TCCTGGGGATGAGACTTGTGAGCGATGGAAAGGTCGAGCAGGGGCCTGGCCTTGCGAGAAGGGGGCCCGCGCTGTTGTTATGTGTGTCTTACCTCCGGGGGACGCCTCGCGCCTGCGGCTGTCATCCTCATCGTACTGTCCTACCGGGACATTCGGCGAATCTCGCATCTTCCGGATTCGCTGCATGATGGACTTGTTACGACGGGGCGTGAGACCGGGTGAAACCGGGCCACCAGCAGTCGGCGAGGGCGGGTTGTTGCCGTTGTCGAGCTCGCTGTCGGGAACAAAGATGGGTTGGGGCGGGGGCAATGCGCGCTTGGTGGTGGGTTGACGACGAGCGGGAGACGGGTGGTGCTCGTCGAGGTATTCCCTGTACACATCGCGGGCGTCACGACCGTCCTTGGTGCGCCTGGAGGAGCTGTTGCCGTGGCTCCTAGGGGTTTCCCCGCTGGGCCGCGAAGTAGCTCCGCCGCCAGCTGAGAAGTCCTCGAAAGGCTCGGGCTCGTGAATACCCCAGGCTTCCGCGATTGCGTCATACTTCTTCTTTGGGGCCTCGTAGGGCACGTAGATGTCGGGCGAAGGGCCTGGCGATTCATAGCCACGGGGCTGGACCTCCCGGGCAGAAGCAAGGGCCTCTCTGTCAGCCTCTGTCGCCGCACTCCATGCTAGCATTGGCGCCTTGGTGCGGTGACGGTTGCGGGAAGGGGCACAGGCGTCGAATGGACCATCGTGATGGAACACTGAGGCAAGGCGGGAGGGTCAGGACTGCAGCCAGGGTCCACGGGACTAGAGAGTGGGACTTACTGGGACCAACACCGGAGAAGTCTAGCCTGTCGATGACATCAGCGTGGGAGGAGCCCTTCTTGGGACGTGGCCGTCCGGACGCTTTGTTCTTCTCCATTGCGTTGGCAGCCCGAGCAACGGAGTCCTGGGACTGGGAGCGACGGGAAATTGGAGGAGGTGCGGGACGGACGTTGGTGGGACTGCGGAAGAGGGGGAAGGAAGGAAAGGAACAGAAAGGAGATCAGCCGCAATCGCGACGGGCGACGAAAAAGGGATCAACGCACGGAGGGAGCTCAGTTTGACTCCGACCCATTCTAGTGCGGGGGGCCTGATCTGTGCTGCCGCGGACGGTGACGGTGTCGCGAACGGCCTCCATGATGTTCTGGCGGTTGCTAGAGGGAGGGTACTGGCGCTGGGCGGAGTGCGGCTTAGCAACGACCTTAGGCGGGGGAGGTGGTGGTTGGCGGGGAAGAGCAGCGGGAGGGGCGTTCCTGGATAGTGTGGGGACGCCGTAGGCAGAGTACGAGATGTTGGATGGGTCGTTGAACGGATCAGAGGTAGCTGATCTGTGCCGTGGATGATGCTTTGAAACCTGCATGATAGGACGACGGGGAGGCGTTCTTAAGGGCGACAGGAACGAAGTTGGCTTGCGATGTGGTCAGGCGGACTCTAGATTCGGCACGGGCGTCCTGAACGGATCTCCCACGCCAAGGCAACGGTTGTATGCGTACAGCTGCCGAGAATGGGGGGGAACGAGACTGGCCGGGCGAGCAGGCGACGATTGGGGCAAGCGAGACGAGGAGAAGATGGTGGAGGCAGGAGGGAAGGAGGACGTTGGACGGATATAGGTGGGAGTGCGCAGAGAGGAGGGGCAGGGCGGCTGAGGCGAGGCCCGAGCCCTCTCCTCGGGCGCCAGTGGGAGGATATGTCACTCCAGGCGCCAGCACGCGACCCCTCCATCCCCCGCGGCGACCCCGCACTCCCCGCTCCCGCTTCCGTCCAGTCCCCGCCTCGAGACCTCCGTCCCTCGTCCTCGACCGCATCATCGTTGTGCACACAGAATATTCCACAGCTACATACGCTAATCCGACTCCGATGATATCACCAACGTTGTGGCTGACCGCCGCGCCACTCCCGCCCTCAGCCCCAGATCGCCTTCGCCGCCTGTGCTACCAGTGCCAACTTCTGCCGTTGCTCCTGCGCAGCGTTCAGCCATGCACGACACAGCCGCAGCTCCACAGCAATGCACGTACCTCTTCTGTTATCGGATTCCCCTCGAAGACCGAAGCGAAGCCGCATTGCGGGCTGATCGAGAGTCTGTGCATAGCTCAGTCTGCGCCCGGCCATCCATTCCCACAACACCAAATATACGCACTGTTCCAGCGCGTCGGCAGGAGAGCGCTTTGGCTCGCCCTGGGCTATAATTTTCGCGGCGCAGTCCACGCGCTCTTTAATCTCCTCCAAGCTCTCGAGCTGCCGCACCAAGGCCGCTTAGCCGCGGAAACCCCCGATTCATTCAAGGGCCTCGTACCTTTCCGCTCTTCGTCGTGACGAGCCCCAGAACGACGTGTTTCTTCAAAGGCAGGTATCGCAGAGGCTCCAGGCCTCCCGCGCGATCGTTATCATACTCCAGCTGTGGCGTCGGGAGGCGTCAGTGCGTCAACGCTCCTGTCCAGGTGATAGATGAATGCGGCCACTCACGTAGAACACGTCCACGTCCAAGTCACACAATAACTTTCTCGCCACCCGCTCGTACCCTCCTTCAGCAAAGTGCATGCCCTATGACCAATGCGTGAGACGTGGAGAGATATGTCGTAACTAAGCAGCACACGCACCTTCATGTTCCCGCGGCAGGTGTGGACCCCAATGCTGAGGTCTTCCGGCCGGTCAGCCGTCACAGCGTTGTAGACCTTGATGTGCTTGCTGAGCAGCTCCTCGTGATCGACGCCCTTGGCCTCCATGCTGGATATCATCGCCTCGGAACAGAAGAAACAGAAGCCCGCGTCGTCGAACTGGATGCGCCGGCAGCCATGCTGGTACAGATCATGGATCTCCTCGCGGAATGCTTGTACCACATCTCCGAAGTATTCCGCTGCGAAGATAACGATTGCTTAGTATGCACGCCAGGCACCCGCCTGGGTGAGCACGCTTACCGTCATTCTTATACACGGCATGGTCGTAGGTGTGCTCGGAGCCGTGAGCGGAATGCATCCACGTCGGCGGGCATATGGTGACTTTGATGGTCGGAACATCCTGTTTGATTCCTGAGCCAACCAATGCTACCAAGACATGCTTGTGGCCGTACCTTGGGGTCTACACGCTGCTTAACAGCCAAGAAGTCGTGTACATAGATAGGCTTGGTACGACGGATCTTGCCCTAGTATGTCAAATACTTTAATCAGTGACATATAGCGTCACTGTGGGAAGGGATACTTGCCTCACAGAAACCCGATGCCCATTTGTCTACGCCCATAGCATTGAAGATCTGTACATAGGGCAAGTATTGCTAAAGTAGCGAGAGGCGTGTTTTAGCCCGCTATTACAGCAGCAAGGCGATTTACGAACCATGAACTCGCTCATCGGGCCTGCATTTCCTTGTCAGCATCTCATTTCTGAAGAAAGCATTCCACGCTCACGATTTCCGAAGGTCATCCCATCGAGCCCTTCGAAGATCCCTTGCGTGTACACATCCCTGAATAAAGCGAGAATCGAGATTAGTCTACTAGCGGTATCACCGGTCTCGGTGAAGTCGTACCGGCGTATCTCCCCATCCGTGGTGATGGCCAGCCCCACGTCCTTCTGGAGTTTCAGAAGCCCAGGCAGGACCTCATCCTCGAGGGCCTTGAGTTCCTCTGCGGTGCATTGCCCCGCGTGGAAGGCGATGCGCTTCTGGAGGAGCTTCTGCGGGCGGAGCAGGGACCCGACGTGGTGTGCGTGGGCGCAGCGCTTTCCTTCAGCCTGTGCTTCGATAGTCATCGTCATTGAGCGGGGCGAACGCGAACGAAGGACCCGACTGCGCCAAGCAGGCCCTTAAATGCGTGCGAGCGAGCGATTCCGAAGAAGCCGGTCCCTCCGATTGTCTCGCCTCAGCGAGTGCAGGGTCGCGATGCGCGTGCGCTGTCCGAACATCCTGACACACACCCGTCCGAGGAGCGAGAGGGGTTCCGCGCTGCAATCGGAAAAGTGGCTGCGTATGGAAAATGGAAGTAGGGAACGGGGAGTTCGCGCGTCCAGTGCGGCCGTTGCGGGCGGCCTCTTGACGTCTCATTGTACAGGGTCTTCCCGGGATGCGCATGCGATTCGCTCACAGGATCAAGCGGCCAAGAAGCGGTGGGTACTCGCGGGTGCATGCATGCAGAAGCCCATACAACCGGGCACCACACGTGGGAGGGTGCCGTCATCTTGTGCACGCCCCGCAGTGGAGGAGTACGTCCATGCGCTGATTTGACATGTGCGAAGCGTGTCAATGACCTGCTGGTTGGTGTAGCAACACATAGAGTTAATTGAAGTTCTCAAACGGCGTCGATGTAATGCATAGTGAACCTACTGCTACTAATGTCCATCGTCCGCCACTGGGAGACGCCGCGTTGACCGCGAAGAGGTTCATGAGAGTTGACGTGCCTCTATGTTGTGGTATACACATAGAGGGTCGGTAGACACGATGTCGCAGATTTGAGCCGCATACTGCGCGCACGTAGTGGACGTCGCGTAAAACAAGCAACTTGACGGTCAAGTACAGAAAAGACGAGCGTCCCCCACAGAGGCGTCTGGTTTTGGGCGCCTAACATATGCCTCCGAGAGTCCGGCCGGGAGCCGGAGGACGGCGCCGGATCAGGTTCTCACGTGTTGGAACTCCGCCAAGCTCTGAGAGCGCAACTGTTTGGTGGGGCCGATTTTCAACGCCTCCTCAAGACCCCCTTCAAGGTCAGTATGCCCGTATTCGCCCTCGAAATGCCTCGGAACCGTCTCTACGCCTTCAGTTTGTACGGTCGACCAGGTCGTTTCTGTGGATTCCGCCCGGGAATGCGCTGGATGGACCGAACTCTGGTTGGATGTAGCGGCGGCTCGCTTCTGGCATTCTGGGCTTGTTTCCTCTGAACTCGAGTGCTAACGCATCTCCCCTCTTCTTAGACTGAGCCATGGGTTTCGCGCACAACAACGGTGCGTTCAGAGAGCTTACAGGATGCTGAAGATCTTGTGGACTTAACGCAATGTCATCCAGTCCTCCACCAGAACCATTTCCGCAAGGATTGGCAGACCCGGGTCCGCACCTGGTTCGACCAGCCCGGCCGCAAGCTCCGCCGCCGCACTGCCCGCAAGACTAAGGCTGCCAAGCTCGGCGTTCGCCCCCTCACCCTCCTCCGCCCCGCTGTCCGTGCGCAGACCGTCCGCTACAACCGGAAAATTCGTGAGGGCCGCGGCTTCACCCTGGCTGAGATCAAGGAGGCTGGTATTGGCAAGAAGGAGGCGCGTGGTGTCGGCATCGTCGTCGACCACCGGAGGCGAAACCTGAGCGAGGAGGGCAAGGCGATCAACGTTGAGCGCCTGAAGGTGTACAAGGAGCGCCTCATCGTCTTCCCCCGCAACTCGAAGAAGCCCAAGAAGGGCGACTCCACTGTACGTGTCCTTTACATTTGGGAGGTCCGGGCATGACTCAAACGTTCATCTAGGGTGACGACCTCTCCGCCCCCACGACCCGCGCGACTCTCCCCATCCCTTCCCCCTTCGTCCGCGAGGAGCCCCGCAAGATCACCGAGGAGGAGCGCGAGTTCAAGGCTTACCGCACTCTCCGCGACGAGCGTGCCACCGCCCGCAACGAGGGCAAGCGCAAGCTCCGGGAGGCGAAGGTTAGTGCAGCGATAGCCTCACGTGGTGTCAGCTCTCTGACGTCTATCCAACTTGTAGAAGGCCGAGGAGGAGGCCAACAAGAAGAAGTAAACTATCCGTGTACTACTTCTCTCTTCCCTGTACGACACCTGCATCATGCTCTGCACACTCTCCATGTACCCAAAATCTGGCACGCCCGGGGTTTTATAGCGACATATGCCACATGCATCAATATGATGATCGCACTTTCACTGGGGCAGGCCCATCATTCTGCCACCCATTGGATCTTCGTGATGTCCTGCACCCCGCATGAACCGCGACGTCGATACATGTCTATTCCGACAATAAACATTCAAGCAGTGACCACTGAGTCTAAGATCTAATCCTTCATGGCTTCTCGGATCTCCGAGTCGGCCACCATATGCACGATTTTGAGTTGGTCGGCGACTTGCTTCAGAACACCGTTGACTTCCCCATTGCCCTCTACGAACCCAAACTCGGCGTATTCCAGATTGCGCTCCTTCGCGAAGTCCTTGACGAGCAAGCTCGCCTCGCGGAGGTTGTGTCTTGGCAGACGGGGGAATAGATGGTGGGTCACCTGCAAATGGAGACCGCCGTGAATGAACTCGATGCGCGGAGAGCAGATCACGTCGACTGTCGTCCGCAGCTGGCGCGAAAAGAACGACTCGACGGGACCCATGTCCTCGGTAGAGCGCGAGAAGTGCGAGAGCACAATCTGCACAGTCCGTTAGTGTGAAAAGCTCGTCCGCAGATACGAAGGCGCGTACCTGCACATGTACCGGGCTCGCGGCGATGTGACTGACGAGCAGGTACACGAGCCCGCTGCGCCACGAGCCGCAGCCCTTGAGGATGGCGCCGAACCAGAGGAAGAAGAGGCTGAGGCAGAAGATCTCGGCCCACCACCACCAGCGCCCGCCGCGGGCGCGGCGGGGCTCGAACGCGGTCTTCGCGAGGTAGCCCCACGAGTTCGCGTAGAGGTTGAAGCGCGCGAGCGAGAGCACGACGTAGAAGAGCTTGTGCTGCATCGAGACGAAGAAGCGGCCGAACGCGTCGAACGTCATCTCGCGCTTGTAGTACGAGGACCAGAGCGACTTCAGGAAGACGGGCGAGATCGCGAGGAAGGGCAGGTGCTGGATATCCGGGTCGCTGCGGGATAATCAGACGCGTGCGCAGGTAGGGCGAGGGGGTGAAGGTGACGTACTGGGTGGGATGGTTAGGGACCACTCCAGGCGCGCATGCTCGTTATTATGGCTCTGGGCGGTGATACGAAGCACTTACAGTGATGCACGTTGTGATTCTAGAGCAAGGGGTGAGAATCTGGACGCACAGATGAGTGGAGGTTACTCACGTTGACCCACCAGCCGATGCTCAGTCCGCCGAGAAAGTCGGCCACAAAAATAGATATCAGACGGTCGAGCGTCCAGTCATGCGTGACGCCAACGTGTCCGAGGTCGTGCGCGAAGAATGTGAGCTGCTGCCAGAACAGCCCCAGGGAGAGAGCGCTGGTGACCAGCCAGCCGTGGTGGTAGCAGACCGCAGCCAGCACGCCGAGCAGCGTATAGCGCACGAACTCGGGCCCGTAGCCCGTGACGAAGCGCGTCTTGTATAGTCCCGCGTCGACGACGCGCTTGTGCAGCTCCTTGTACGCGTCCGAGTTCAGCTTCTCGTTCTTCATCGTGAGGTCGTTCTGCGCGGCCTGCAGCATGTCTAGCGTGGGCCCGCTCTCCGTCGTGTTTTCCGACCGCGTCTGGAGCAGAATTTGCGAAGTGGGCACAGCGTCGCCCTCCGCTGGCCTCAGCGGGCGCGCCTCGTTGTACCACTCCGCCTTGCCGTCCTTGCCCGCCCTGCGCACCCAGCCGTTCGCGATCGGGGGCACAAACGGCACCCATCCGTCGTCGCCTATCTCCACGCGGCCGATGATAAAGCCGCGCATGCGCTGGAGCGTCCCGTCAGAGTGGAATGCCTCGACCTCGTCCGTCGCGTCGCGCCCGACGAAGTGCAGGATGGAGAGGTTGCCGCCGGGGTGGGCGGCGAGCCAGGAGGGCGGGACGCGCACGAGGTTGCCGTTCAGGACGAAGAGCGAGTCGCCCGCGAGAATGCGCGTGGCGACCTGCTCGCGGGTCCATACCTGGTTCGGAGGGAGCCCCATGGGGAGCAGGGGAGTTGGAGGGTGGAGGAAGGGGAGGAGGAATACGAGGCACAGCAGTGGCCGCCATCAGCCCACCCGGCGCTATTTCGAAGTGGACGGTGATTGCCGCCACAAAATAGACATGCGTAAACATGGTGTAGCGCCTCTTTTGGTAACCAGGTTCGAACGCCTATCAGCCCATTGGGGGCGAGTCCAATGTCATCGGTTTATAACGCTCGCTCACGGACACTCTCCTGGAGAACACTTTGTCCATTTCCAAGCAATACGTGTACAGATATGGGGCTCAAATCTAATTATACTTCCACAACCTTCTCCGGAACGAACCCCCTATCGACGCCTCTTCCATAGCCTTTCGGGTTGCTGACCACCCTAACGCCCTCTCGTTCAAAGTCGCACGCCCAGTGCGTATGTCCGAACGCCCAAACCTTCACCTTCCCTTTCCAACACGGACCGCCTACCAGCTCCGTGGAAAATGCCGAGGTCAGCGGGCTGTCTTGATACTGCGGGTTCGACGTGCCCTCGACCGTCGGCGCGTGGTGCGTCATGACAACGATCCTGCGGTGAGGCTCCTCCGCCGAGATGTCGGAGATGCTGCGTTCGAGCCATGCGAGGTCGCGTTCGAAGAGGGAGTTGTAGACACTCGGGGTGAAGTCTTGGATCTGACTGAAGTCGTTGAGCCCCAGGTGGATGGCGTGACGGCGACTGGGGTCGAGCCGAGACCAGAGGGTGCAACCCAAGACGGTTACTGTCTCCGAGATATCGTAGCGGGTGCGGTCGAGGAGAATGAAGCGTCCGAATGGCTCTTGGAGAGTAGCCTGTTCGTGCATGGCCTGGCACTTGTGGGCGAAGTCGATTATTCGACGGTTGGATTCCTCCTGTGTCGACCAGAACGATCAGCACGCTGCGAGCTCTTGACGAAGCATATCGCTTACCATAGATGATCCGTAGGATTCGTGATTTCCCGAGAGGAAGAACACAGTCTTAAACCTCTTGAGCTGTGCGTAAAGCCAGTCAAAGAGGCCATCGTCTGTCGTTGCGCCTATGTCTCCGAGCAGGGCCAATATTTCTGCTTCGGCGGGGAAGGTAAAATGGTACGAGTCCAGTAAACGGGATCGCCTTGGCGGCGGGACCTCGAGATGGAGATCGCTCAGGATTTGTATACGGACAGGACCGTCGCTCATGTAGTTGGAGAGGGATTGATCAACGGAGTGCTTGATATGCAGATGCGTAGCAAAGTTTTCGTGAAAACAACGCGCGCAAGGGTCAAACTGCGAGGTTGGGTAGCCGCATCGCCCGGTTCTGATCTCCCCATATATCTATCGACTGCGAGAGAGAGATACGACGACTTTCATTGGGCCGCCACCCGCAGGTCATTCCGCACACGACACAGCCATGTCGGCGCCAGATAGATGAGTGGAGTCAATGAGGGAACGCCTCTGAGTCAACGAAACACACAGGATGTGTCCCAGCTTACGACAACACGGCGATTGGTACAAGGCACCTTGATCTCTTAGGCCGCACTGCCTGCTAATGGAGAGTTCGGCAAACCTTGAAGCCTCGAACGCGCATGCTAGTGCCGGCGGAAACAGGAATGTGGGGGCGTACGCGAACGTTGAATTCCGGTGGCGAAGCGATATTGCTGTGTAACCGCGTGCCATGGACGCGGGTGCGGTGCAGCACGAGCGAAGAGCGGGCGCAGCGAACCTGTTGCAGGTGGGCAGGCGTGGGTCTGCCAGTGCTTGACAGTGAAGAGGTGGCAATTGAGAGAGTGGTGGCGGTCGATGGCCAAGGGGGAATCGATGGAGGCGTCGGGGAGGGCGTCGGGGGTGCCAAGCGAAGCGGGCGGTAGACGCCGGGCCGTCACTCGGAATGGAAATTCAATGAAGAGATATCGCGTGGGCGTCGTGAGCGGGTCTTCCTCTGAGACACCGCGAACCCGCCCCGCCCCCACTCTCCCTCTCGCCGCCACCTCCATCCCCCTCCCCGTCTTCCGCGTCAGGCTCGCTCCGTCTGCCCGCATCCTTCCGCTCTCTTACCCCCCAAGTCTCGGTGTCTTGCCTCGCTCGTCGACCGACGCGGCCCCTTAACTTCAGGCGCACCTCCCGACCTGCCGCCTCTCTTCTTGGTCCATGTTTGGCTGGCGATCCCTGCCTTTGCTCATCCTACTATGGCCTCTCCAAGCTTACGCTGCTAATTTCACCTTCACCTATGGAGCGGCGGGTCAATGCGACAACTTTCAAGTGTCATGGACAGGTACTTCATCCTACAGCGTCCTCCTTTCGCCTAGCTTCGGTGCTCATCTCATTAACGCAGGGGGGACGGCACCGTTCACACTAACTCTGGCACCTGTACGTATCACTAACCCTATCACGAAGATACACCACTCTTAAACTTGCTCCTCAGTCCTTCGGCACCCCAAGAACCCTTAACATCTCTGATGATGCCTTCCAGAATGGCAAGGGCTCTTTCACTACGAAGCTCCCATTCCCTGCCAAAAAGCAATTTCTCGCCATAATGTCTGACTCAACCGGTTTTGCCTCTGGTGGTGTTTCTCCCGTAATTGCCACCGGCAGCTCTGTGAGCAAGGATGCGTGCAATTTGACTGATCCAGGTAACTATCGCAGTTACCGCACCACTCCTCCACAATCGAACGAGCACTGATCGGGTTTGTAGGAGTGGACTTCATCTTCGAGGCGAATTCCAATCTTGCGCAGTGCCGGTGAGTGTCGCTCTTGCCCTCCAGTCAATAACTATCTCACATTTTCCTAGAACATATACGTTCAGCGGATACACTGGGGGTATACAGCCCGTTACGATCCGCGTACGCCTGCGTATCTCTCCCCTGCGATCCATATACTCAACTCATCCGTAGGGCATTGTGCCGGGGGGTTCGTCATTCGTCCTCAATCCGCCGAAAGGCCCCACATCATTCGACTGGATAGCCGACGTCGCGTCGGGGACATCGTTGGTGTTCATCATGACCGACTCTCAGGGTCGACAAGGTGGCAGCTCCCAAATTTATCAGGTGAACTTGTCGGACGATTCATCCTGCCTCGACAAGAGCTCGCCTGCGTCTGTCACGAACGCACCCTCAGCAACAACCACCCCCACCAACAGCGCTTCCAGCACTGCTTCGTCTACTGCGAGTGCGTCGCCGGACTCTAGCTCGTCCGGCAAATCCAGCGCTGGTACCGTCGTAGCCGCTATTGTCGGGTGTCTCGTGGCGGCGTTCATTGTGGGCACTCTACTCTGGTTCTACATTCGCCGCCAGCGCGGGGCATCCGTCGTCAAAGGCGGATTCTTCGGCAGGTTCCACAAGAAGGAAGTCGACCTCATGCACGACCCCTCTCTGCCGCCCCCTGCGTCCGTCAGCCCATACCCCCTCTACAACCGACAGGCAGGCTCGCAACATGACGTTTCTGTTACGACGCCCAACTCCACCTTCGACCTTCTCAGTGCCCAAGCGCGTCCAGCGGGCGACCCGTTCGGCGAGGGCTCGGTGTACACCCCCTCGGCGGCGACGCTCGCGCATCGCATCTCCGTCGGAACATCGCAGTTCCCTCCCCCATCACCATCCCACCGCCGCTCAATGCGCGAGGGCTCCGCGCACGGCGGCTCTGCTGTTGGGCGTCCGGACGAAGGCAGCTCTGGGTCCTGGGACCAGACCATCACGTCCGGCATGCGCCGCAAGGCTGCTGCCGCGGGCATGTCGCCGTACGCGCCCTCGACGCGTTTCATCCTGCACACCGACCTCGAGGACGACCTGCCGCCACCCCCGGAAGACGAGGTCATCGAGCTGCCGCCGCAGTACACCGAGCGCCGCGCCCTGGGACCCTCCACGTCGAGGCGGAGTGGCCCCAGCTCGTCGGGCTCGCGCTCACGACCTCTGTCGGACCCGCCGCCGCCCCCCAGCCCGACCGTGCCGACGATGTCTCCAGCACCCGCGTATCTGTCCGGCCACGACACGTCCGATTTCAACGCACAGCTCTCCGGCTCTTCACGACCTTCATAGCGCGCGGGCTAGAGTATCCCTCATTCGTTTCCGTGGTGTAGGGTCCTAGATCTTCAACGCCACTCTCCCCGGAGGCGAGTCCCCCGGGGACGCGCTTTTATGCCTGATGTTGTAGTGCTGCCCGCTGTTGTCTCCCGGCGTGCGTTCCTGTCGATATCCCGTCCTGTTCTGCGCCTGCGTTATGCCCCCCTCTCGCACCCCTCTCCATCGTCCTCGTCATACATATCCGCTCATTTCTTACTGCCCCTTCCCCCAGCCTGCCCCTCCGCCTGCTTCGCTCTCGCCCCCGACGACCTGATCCTAGCCCCCAGCCCTGAGGCGGGCCCGACTTCCGGAAGTTGTGTTCGTCGGACCATGTTCTCCCCTTCACCAGGGCACCGCGTTCTACTTCTTGTTTATTGCGTTATCGTATTACTTGCTCCATATATCCCCCGCGGCTTTTGCGAACGATTCGGTCATCGCTGTAACGGTCAGCCAATTCGCGTCGGAGGCCTACGCCACCGCGCGCATATGTAGTACAACGCGGACGTACCTCACCCCGGTGCCGTTCCCGCTCCCGTCGGCGTGCGTGTGCAGTGTCGGAATAGCAATGCCGTCTGGCGATGGAAATGCGCGATAGTATAGAGTAAGTAGGTCGTAACGTGAGCGTACTAGGACAGCGAGACGTGGGTTATACAGAGACAGGTATGACAGCCCAGGTGGTGTACACCCGAAGGTGGTGGGAGGGTGGTGGGAGGGTGGTGGGAGGGTGGTGGGCGGGCGAGTGGCGGACGCAACTCGGGAGATAGAATACATTAGCAATAACGCGTGGCATGGGACTTCCGGCTCGCTCTCCCCCAGGCCCTCTCCTACTCCTATCCAATCCTCTCTAGCGGATAATATGCGGTCGGCGGCCGCACGGGCGTATTGGCACACATGTTAGAGCTATAGCCCTGTGTGCATCCCGAACAGGCCTCCGCTGGCCTGCGCGGGTGCGGGATTGGGGATCGGCATCGGGATGGGGGCGGGGACCGGGACGGGTTCCGCGGGCAGCGGGGCGCTCGCGGCGGGGGCGGCGGTAGGGAACGTCGGGGCGTAGGCGGAGGGCGCGCCGGTGGGGGCTGCGTCGCTGTCCTCGACGAGGCCGGTGCGCGCGAAGGCGGCGACCATCGAGTCCTGCTCCTTGCGCCGCTTGTGGCGGCGACGGCGGTCGTCCTTGATGACCCGCGCGATCCGACGGCGGATAGCGCTGTGCAGCGCGGGGTCGGCCATGGCTTGCTTGCAGGCGTAGGCAGCGAGCTCGATGCTGGCAAGCAGGCGAACGGTCTCGGCGTGGTTCAGTGCCTGTACGGGATGCACGAGTGGGTTGTGGGTTCGGGGGTACAATAAACGGACACATCGAGGGAACAGACGCCGACGGCGAGGTCGGAGTGGGAGCACAGGAGCACAGGAGACATCAGCTACCGCAGCTCCGACGCACAATGACGATGCACTCACGTTCAATGACCAGGACACAACACGGTTCCCCTCGACGCAACCGATAACCACGAAGTTCCCGCGTCTCTCAGCTTGGAGGGCGGCGCCCTGCACGGACTAATCATTAGTCAGGCACGCGACAATAGCCAGCACAACCAACCTCGCCGAAGACGGTCAGAATCTTGGAGGAGGTCGCGGACCTGACGACTAGTACACAAGGCGGGTGAGAAACGCGTGCGGTGGAGCGGTGGCTAAGCGAGGGGAAGGACGCGCACCGACTCTGGACGACTGCCCGGTGACCTCCTGCGAGACGACGCCGCGGCCCATGTAGGCCCAGGAGTCCTTGTCGGGCCTGCGGATGTGGACCTTGACGGGGATATCGCGGATGGGCTCGCGGGGCTGGGCGGCAGTGGCGACGACTGCACGCATTTGTTCGTAGCGGCGGTCCATCTCGGTCAGAACTGGCACCAGGCAAATGTAGGCAGGTGCGCGTGGAACGCAGGCCAAGACTCACTGGTGTTGTTGCTGTTGTTGTTGGTGACGGGTGCGTCGTAGCGTTGGTGGATGACTTGCGGGATGTGCTGGGCCGTGGGGTTGTAGTCCATGGTGGCATCCATGACGTCCTCCATGTTGTGGTCTTCTGTCGGCTGCGAGCGCATGTTCGCGGTGAGCCGACGCGAGAAGGGCAGAGAGAACATACCATATCCATGGCGAGGTGCTGGGCCGTGGTGGAGGGAGACTGGGGGATGCTGGGTGCGCTGGAGGCGGTGGTGGTGGACGATGAGTGCCGCAGAGCCTGAGCGAGCTCAACACGACCCCTTCAATGGGCGCCTGACTGCCACGTGACTCATTAAGGCGCGACGCGTCTGCCACGCACGCGTCCGATCGCGTCCTCCCTCTTCCCTTCTTCTTTGTCCGTCGGCATGCGCGCAGCCGTGGCCTGGCATTGTACATGCTGCCGCAATCGCCAATGTGTCCAGGCGCCCAAAGAATGCCACAACTCCCTCTGATACGCGATTGTGTCCCTGGGGGCGGCAAAGGATGTCGGAGGTGAGTCCGCGAGCGTATTTAAACAGCACCAGAGCACCCTCTAACTTCACCATACACAGCTACCCACTCTCCCACATACGCACCGGTTGCGTAGCCATTCGACATGGCAGGCCTTACAGAAGAGTACACCGCAGAAGATCTCGCTGCTGACATTGAAGAGGTTCCATATGTCGAACACGAACTGGACCTCGACGATCAACGGATCCGTCGGGACGAGCAGAAGGTGAGCACTGCGTATCGCGCCGAGGGATACGCAAGGACCTGACTTTGCATTTGCAGGAGGAAGCGGAAGACGGCGGGTTCATGCCGTCCTCCCAAGGCTCATCCTCATCCGAGGGCTCCTCGTGGTGCTCAGCCAGCGACTGCAGCCTGAGCGGGAGCTCCCAGGGGTCCAACCGTCAGACTGACGACGACGACGCTAACGAGCCTGCTGCTGCACAAGCGCAAGAGCAGGAACCCGATGTCGACTACGACAGCGACGCCGACACCGCGATGGAGACCTACGAGTATGGGCTCGAGCACGACGCCGACCGCGAGGCTGGGTTCGGCTCTCAGGAGCCAACTTCATCGCAAGAACGAGACCAAGAGTACGATGTCGGCGGCGACAGCGACACTGCGATGGAGGTCCAGTCGGACGATGGGCAGGCCCCGCCACCATTCACCCAGCCCGCCGCCCAACCCGACCCTGCAGCGCTGCCCAGTGTATTCACTGGCTTCCGGCTGCTCCGTTTGGCTGAGCTGTACCGAAGAGTCATGCAGCCAGAGCTGTCCGGTTGGCGAGCCGACTGGTACGAGCTGGCCGGCATCCTGTACGATCTCAACGAGGTGCAGACGGACTACGTCAGATACCTTATGGATAGGCTTGGGACGCGCGCCAGCGAGAACGTGCTTCACCCTGGGCCTGAAAATGAGGCATGGATACTGCACGTCGCGGGGATTCACTGGCCGCGCTATCTCGAGAGTCTCACAGATACCGTCGAGGAAGATCTGGCCCCCGGGCCCTCGTAGCACTCGTTTCCCGTTCGGTTGTACAGCATCGTCGTCGTCTGATAGTATTCATCGCGTCTCTGGAGACAAGTACGGACCAGCTACTAAGCACAAGTTCCTCGGCGTGAACTGAGCGTTGATGATCGGCGTCCGCTTCGTCGGGAACGTCGCCAGCAGATCAGTCCTGTATGCCATTGTCAGCACCTGGCAGTGAATGTGGAGTCAATGAAGGGAACGTACGTCTCGTTGCTCTCGACCTCCTCCTTCTCCGGTGGGTGGTCGTCCGTCGCTCCGTTCGTCAACGTGCCGTTTTCGCGGGCCTTCGTGCGAGGGCCACCGGAGGACTTGACGTCCCAACAGCGCACGGTCCAGTCCGCACCGCCGCTCACTAGCAGACTCGACTCCGCGCTGAACGCGAGCGAGTATACAGACGCGGTGTGACCTGTCATCTTCTTGACGCACTTGCCCGACCCGAGGTCCCATAGACGGATCGCCATGTCCTCGCCTGCCACAGCGACGTCGGTGGGGTGGCAAAGAGAAGAGCCAAGGAGAGGACGTACCGGCTGTTGCGAGATAGCGGCCGTCCGGGCTGAAGCTAAGCGTCGAGACGATGTCGTCGTGCCGGTAGAACACCCGAACACACGAGCCGCGCTGTACGTCCCATAGTCTCGCGGTGCCGTCGCTCGAAGCTGTGCCAAGATACAGCGAGTTCGGATGGAATCCTACGGCCTTTATTGCATTTCCTCGCATTAGTCCTAGAGCGTGTGCTTCATGCAAATCCCACTCACGTTCACGTCGCTGAGATGGCCGGCGTATATTCGCAACGCCGACGTTCGGTCTGTGGACCATAGGCGTGCGGTCCTGTCTCGACTTGCGGTCGCGAAGTAGATGCCCATGGGACTCCACTTCACGTCCCAGACCGGGTTCTGATGCCCCCGGTAGGCGACGACGTTCGTCATGGTATCAAGCGACCACAGGCGCGTTGTTGCATCTGCAGAAGCGGAAAGGAGGTAGCGTGGTGGGCTTGCAGAACCACCGATGGGATCAAAGGCGACGGAGTAGACGGGCCCGCTGTGCCCGATCAGCTTCCTGGTCGTCGAACCGCCCTTTTCTCGGATCTTATTCAACGAAGACGCTGTGAGTCGGTAGAACGTTAGACGACTCTGACAGAAAGTAAAGCACGAGCACCCACGATCTCGTACCGAGCTCGACTGGAAGTCGCTACGGTAGCCCTTTAGCTTCTCGCCTTTGAGGCTCCAGATTCGGACGTAACTCTCGGAAAATCCGGCGGCAAGAAGAGAGGTATCAGGTGAGAATTCGCAACATGGAATTCTGTACGATCATTAGTTGACGCAGGGCGGCGTGATAGTATACAACTTACCCCTCGCCAACATCATGAAAGGTATATGCACATATGCTCGGCAGGGCGCGTGCCCGAGCAGTGGCGCCTTGTGCGGTGTTCATGTTTGCGCCATTCAGCACGGAAGGGTCCAGACGTATCCGTTTCCGCGTGTCACGGACTTTCTCGACTTCTCGCTTGACGTCTATCGTCTTGAACATGGGCGGATGTGGAGGCAGTTCCGCTAATGTGGGCGATAGTAGTCCTGGTGGAGGGGCTTGTCGGACGATATGGAGGTCATACCGAGCACCGGGGTCGTGGTCGACCAGTGCCTGTTCCTGGAGAGTCCGTTCTGTCTCCACGCGTAGATCTTCTTGCATTGGAGCGGGCCCAAGCTTCAGCTCGCCTTTGGACGTGTTGTAGGAACTTGCGTCACTGTTGATCCCATTTGTCTGCGGCACAACCGCCGAGAGGAACCCTGTTGACTCCTCCCAGGCGCGGGCTGATATAGATGTGGTCGGGGCGGATGTCACTAAAAGAAGGCGTCAGCATGACTTTCAGCGACAAGGTGCGTGAAGACTACCTTCGAAGCGGAGATGGTTGTTCACCACCCGCATGACAGCCGCCCGGCCTCGACGACCCTTCTCACCCGCAAAGCCTTCTCCAGATCCTGTAGGCTCCCCGCCGACTCCCTCCGTCAACCAGCCGACTAGCAGACCGAACCCTGAGCGGCTCATTCGCACGGTATACTTCTCTGTTCTAAACCGCTGAGCGACTTCGTCCGTCTGGACATGGTATGGCAGTGTAATCGTGGATAGGTGATTGAGTGTCGAGTGATGGACCCCAGACAGCGATGACGAAAATGAAGAGTAAAAGCCTTGCGCTACGGTGAAGCAAACGATGAGACGTGACTTGAAGTGCACCCATCGCCCGACGTACCAGCTGTGCGGAACCCCTGGTGCACAAGGTCCAGGTAGAAATGCGAGAATATAGGGAACAATATAGGCCTGAACTCTGGCTAGGAGGCTAGTCAGGACAACCTAGTAGGTCCGCGTGTTGTGGTTGAGACTTACGCGGTACATGTCGAGAGAACCGTCGACCCATGCCTCAAGCTCTCGGAACCCTTCATGTTTATCGGTTGGGTCCAGGGTAACTATCTCCTCAACGCCAACTGCACCTATACTGGACACGAGGTTCTGTATATTCTGCGGCGCGCCCGTGGAAGACAGTTCCTGCAGGACTTTCGCGCCATCCTTCAGCGCGTTCTGCTCTGGGTCCGAAGGCGCCTGTGCAAATATCGCGAGCTGCTTGACGAGCTCTTCCTGAGTTATGGTAGGGGAAGGCGCGGTCTCAGGCTGTTTGCCCTTGTCCACGGAGGAGGCGTTGCGCTCGATCTCCTCGAGAAAGGCCTTTTCGGCGGCGGTGTGTCCTCGAGCGCGCAAGTATTCGAGAATCAGCTGCTCAGCATTCGTAGCGAGATCTTTATGGGGTTCTGCTGAAGCGGCGCCGGTAGCAGAGGGTGAGACTCCGTCCGGAGTAGACGCGGCCGGCGTAGCGGCGGACATGGTGATATGTTACAACAGTTGAATTAGCGGCTCAGCAGGTGGTCAGCGTGTCATAGACAGAAAGCGGGAGGAAGAGCAGACAGTGAGCCGACGAGGGAGAGGGCGGAGGGAGGGATGGGTAGGTGAGGAGGAACGCGAAGCGGCAGCCACAACGATGCTCGCGCGTCCGAAGTCAACGCGAGCGCGTCACATTCAAATTCCCACGGTAGCGCCTCCTGGCCCAGCTCAAGTTCACGAGCGCTTCGCCACACTCAAGCGTGAAAGTGGTCTAGATAGAGCATATAGGACACACACAATATCGTGAGGAGTACGTTACAGGAATATACGAGCATATAGTACACCACACGAGCGCACTGTCCATTTCGACGTCGACGTCGACCTCTACCACCTCCCCCGACGCCCGCGCTTGTAACCGCCACCACCATACCCGCCACGATAGCCGCCACGAGACGAGGATGCAGAGGAAGTCTGCGTGTAGGTGCGCTTCTGCGACGTGCGCGGCGCGAGAGCCGCGGGCTCTGCCTTCGCGTACCCCGCCTTCTTGCACTCTACGTCGAAAGCCGCCACGAGCGCGTTGAAGTCGGTGTCCACCATACTGCCAAACAGCGGGTGGTACGTCGACCACTTCCCACCCGTGAGACGGGGTGAGGTGATGCCGAAGGCCATGCGAGCGAGCAGTCGAGGATCGTCTCGCTCCGGACAGGCATCTAGGATCTGCTTAATGCGACCAGCATCCGGTACGGCTTGCGCGATGGGCTCGAACTCCACGCCTTGCCCGGCTAGACAGAACGTGCACTGGCCACACATCCCATCCGGGACGACCTCTTCGTCGCCAAAGTATGCTGCCAGCAGCTGCGCCAGGCCTATCATGTGCGTCAGTGAGAACTGTCCCCCCAACACGGAACCACCTGGAATATCCACAATCATCCGTTGTCGCAAACTGTATCACTTGGCGGATCTTCTCGACGGCTTCCTCTTCTCGCGCCACCATTCGTTGGTACATCATCTCGGCCAAGTTCTTGATGTCCTTCAGGGCCCTCGGGAGAGGTTTGGTTGCCATGTACCGCTAGATATAGACCCTCAGTTCTACTATTCGCAAATGACATGGATGAAAATTCACCGCTCTGAGTTGTGAAGGTTTGCTAAAGATGTTTCCTACGTGTAATCAATTATATCCCATGTCCGACAACCGACAATCAGTATGAACATACCATTAAGCTCCCACATATTGACCGTCCTGGCGAGGTCGGTCCTGTCAATTTTCGAGTACTCTGCCGTGGCCACCATGTCCACCTGATGCAATGTAAGAACATGTGTACACGCAATGCGGGATGCTCATACCTGGTAGTTCCTGCCCTTCGGTGTCCAAGAGGCTCGGACCGCCTTAGCCGCAGGCGAGGTGTCGGTCAAAACCTTCTGCCACCCGTCCGCCGACTTGGACGAGATGTCGTATAGGGAGTAGAAGGGCGTGATTGCACGAATGTAGCCGTAGTCCAGCTCGAGTTGTGCATAGCACAAGTTGAGGACGTTTTGCTAGGTCACATTCAGCGGTTACGGACAGTAGCGTCGCGCACGGCGGACGCACCCGAATATCATAGCTACACGAGTAGAGCAATGAGCATTGGGCTATAAGAACTTACCGTAGGACTCACTCCTTCGATTGCTTGTAATGGTTGAAGTCTAGTGTGCCGTCAGCAGCAGCGTCCTTCAGCGCGACTTCTTGCAGCCAGAGCTCCAGATCACGCTTCGCGCATGTATCTCCACGAGCGAAGCCCTCCAGGATGGGTACATCGCTTGCGCAGAGGAACATGTAGCATGTCGATGGCAAACCATCACGGCCCGCTCGCCCCACTTCCTGGCTGTAGTTCTCCAGGGTCTTCGGCATAAAGAGATGGATGACCTAGCCAGAATTTGTAAATGCCGGTACACCATTGGTCTTGCGACTCACCTGTCGGATATTCGCTGAACGTGTCGCAGCATCAGCAGCGTCCGGTCACGAAGTCGAGTTCAACTAACCTTTGTCGATTCCCATGCCGAACGCGATGGTGGCCACCACAATACCTTTCGCCGAATCCATGAAGTGCTGCTGGACGCGCTCGCGTTCCTCGGACGGCAAGCCAGCGTGATACACCGTAGCTTCCAAGTCATGGGGGCGAAGGTGGTTCGCGACCTCCTCAGCATGCTTCTGCAGCGTCACGTACACGATCGAAGGACCAGTGCGCTCCTTGAGGATGGTCACCAGACGGTTGATCTTCGCTTGCATAGTGTCTACTACCTCAGCTCGCAGCGCAAGGCTTGCAGGACATCAGCATATATTTTGACGTGTGTTGTGCTACAGACGACTCACTTGGGCCTATACATAGGAATGCGGAAGACCCCCGCGTTACGGTCGATGAAGAAGCTGTCGCAAATGTCCTTCGCGACGGACGGGGTTGCAGTCGCAGTAAGACACAGGACGCGTTCGACGTCAAGTTCTTCCGCGAAACGCGCAATCTTCAGGTATTCCGGACGGAAACTCGCACCCCACTGGAACAAGGTCTGAGCGTTCCCGTGATATGTGGGCCGTCCTAACTTGACGCACCTGAGAGATACAGTGGGATTCGTCTACGGCCAGCAGAGAGATCTTCACGCGCCTCATCATAGATATGAAGCCTTCGTTGTTTAGCCTACGAAGATTCGTTGGATATCACGGGCAGGACGCATACAGGCATTACTCACCTCTCCGGCGCGACATAGAGGATCTTCATCGACCCGGACAAGACTTCGTTCTTGACCCACGAAGCCCTGTCTGCGCCCTGAGTACTATCCAGGTTCGCGGCTTTGACGCCCCTCATCACTAGCCCATCCACTTGGTCTTTCATGAGTGCAATGAGCGGCGAGATGACAAGGGTAAGGCCCTGACGCGCCATATGCGTTAGCTCTGCCTCGCGAGGATGCCGGACGCGTTAAACTTACCTCAAGGCACAGTGCCGGGATTTGATACGTCAAACTCTTTCCTCCTGCCATCCATTATTGTGTTCGGCCCAGGTCCGGATGCAAGAGTATTGCACCACGCACCTCCAGTCGGAAACAACACAAGCGCGTTCTCATTCTCGACCACAATCCGGCGAATCACCTTCAAGGGTATCTCCAGTTAACGCTAGGCGGAGAACAACGAACGGCATAACATACCGCCTCTTGCTCGTGCTTGAATGCGTCGAAGCCAAAAGTGCTTTTGAGGATTTCATGTGCTTTCTCCATCGCAACACGCTCGCCTTCTCGTAGTTTCGCGAGGTTGGAGAGACAGGAGTTAGAGCACGAGCAGAAGGTTCAAAAGACGCGTTCAAGACGTTGCTGTAGGCGGAATGTGCTGCTGGAGACTGCAGCCAGAGGCGCGGTACATCGACGCGTCTTTCTTTGTGGACGCGTTGTTTGCACAGACGCTCATATAAAGGCACACTTCTTTCCCACGCATGCTAGTATTACAAGGGTTCTCTCCCAGCAGGATCAAGAAATTAAATTAAAGCAGGTGCACAGCAACGTTCTCTCGACGGAAGGACGTGTAATGTACAGCGGGGGTCTCGGGCATGGGCAGCGATGGGGATGAGGGAACGAGCGGAGGATCGACTTGGCATCACGGGGGCGTTTAGAAATGTTCCTGTGCACGGGCGGAGAGCGTGAGTACGACGAGGGAAGCAGAGCGAGGTCGCCTCGGGGACGCCGCACCTTTGCGAACTGGAACTCGACGTTCGCGCTGTTAGACTCCTGGCAGGCCTCCTTGATGGCCTTCGCGAGGACGCCGGGCCCGCAGAAGTACGTCTGTGGGGATGTCGCGTTAGCAACCCGAAATGGCCGAGCTCCCCACGCGAGCCACTTACCCCAACCTTGGTCTTGAGCTGTGCGTTGGTGCCGGGGAGGTACTGGCCCGCGGTGATTGCCTGGCTCATGCGACCGTAGATGGCCTTCCAGTCAGGGCGACCGAACATAGTACGAGTGCGGAGGAGCGTAAGCGGGTCGTACTCCGCGCCCGCGTCGTTGACGGCGATGTTCCAGAGCATGTCCTCGCTGATCTTCTGCGTGAGGTAGATATTGATACGCAAGAAGTTGGCTGGAACGCAGAATGTCAGAGAACGGCGCCGGAGATACGGTTGCTAGCACTCACGGTCGGCCTGTGCAGCCTCGACCTCCTGGAGGAGAGTCTGGAACCAACCGAACGACGGCGCGTCACGACAGACCCAGAAGAATTCTACGCGCTTGAGGGAGCCCAGCGCGCCCTTCTTCTGACGGTACCAGATGTGCTTGAGAATGGACGCGAACGGAGTGACACCGATACCAGCACCAATGAGCACAGCAACCTCGACGTTGAAGACGTCCTCAGCCGGAGCGCCGTAGGGGCCATCAATGCGAACCCCCGGGAGCGCGCGGCCGGTCGAGTCGATCTCTACGAAGTCGCCACGCGTGCCGTATACACGGTCGTCCTTCTCGTCACCCTTGAGCGCTGCCTTGGTCATCGCGGCGACGACCTGAGGGCCGGCACCAAGACGTTCTCCCAAAGCATAGGTCCAGTCGCCGACCTGACGGATGTGAACGGAGACGTAGGGGTCCTCAGGCGCCGACGTGATGGTAAACTGGGCGCCGCTGTCAGCCAAAGGTGTCGCTCGAAACGTGTTCCAACACTCACAGGGTGCCATTGCAGACCCGAAATCTCAGGGACCTGGATGAACAACCACTGGCCAGCGACGTATTTGAAGCTCGGCTTGATGATACGGAGCTCCATGGCGCCTAGATTGGTCCAGGTGTCAGCGACCTAGTAACCACCATTCATAGCACAAAGGCTAATCGACGTACCGCTCGGGTGAACAAGGACCTTCGAGAGGCGGGTTGCGCGCCTCGCCCGAATCTCACGGTAAACCCTCTCTCCAAAGTAGATAATGCCGGGCCAGATGGTGTACCGCCAGCTCTCGTATCCGAGACAGTGATCGGTCGTGTAGAACGGGAACACGTGAGAGTAGGCGGGGTCCGGAGAGTCGCGGACGAAACATCCGGTGGCATGGGCGTAGAGACCGATCATGAAGAAGAACGCAAGGTGGTGCGTGTACCAGAAGGCCTCGAAGCACTGGTTGCGGATCTTGTGGTGAGCCGTGGTGTACATGAGGAGCATAATCAGCAGCATGAAGTGGCCGGTAATGCCACCAGCTTGGTGATAATGAATGTCGATCGCGAGCCCCGGGCGGACCTCTGCGCGAACAAAGCGTGTCAGTGGCTCATGTCTCACACCGGGCAGGGGAGGACCGCAGACGTACGGGTACGCTCAACGTTGAAGAAGTTGACGTAGTGAGCGGTAGTGTGGACCATTGCCCAGAACGCCATGGAGTAGGCGACTTGCCGGTGGAACCAAATGTTCTCGTCGGCGGGGAAGAGCCAGGTGAGTTTGGGGCGAACGACACGAATGATGTTCCTGAGCATGGGCACGAGGATCATGCCACCATCGAATGCGAGAACAAGACCGGCACCACGAGACGTCCAGACAGACCAGGTAAGCGCATTGAGCGCGGCGAGCTTCTTGTTCGTTTCCTGTGCAGAGTATATGGCTTGAGGGATGTGGGGGCAAGGGGTGGCACGGCAAGGGAGACATACCTGACTGTACCATCCATAACCGAAGAGGAAGAGCTGCACGCCGTAGAAGAGGACATTGAAGGCGAGGCGGCGGGGCTGTAGGAACTCGCGTTGGAACCAGTTTTCGCCCATTGCGGTTGAGTGAGGAGATTACGAGCCGTCCCAGGGAGAGTACGATACCAAAGGAGCGTCGTCCGGCCGGCCAGACTAGGGAAGGAAAGGCGGAAGAGAGAGAAGCGGAGGGGGGAGAGTCGGGGAGGAGGGATGGGAAGAAAAGGGAGGGGTGTTATGGGCGCTCTGGCGTGCGACCAGTATCAGCGAGGACCCGGGTGGCATGGCAATCCCACACTGGCGTCGCGCGGCTGTTCCTAGATGCTTCCCGTCCGCATTCGCCACCCGACCGAGGCCCACGCAACCTCTGCCGCTCCCCGTCCGCAGATCCCATCCCCCTTCTCCGCAGTCTCCAGCCAGTCCTCTGCACCTCATTAAATCCTGAAGCTAGCAGCCAGCGACGCAGCACCGAATGGCCACGTCCCTATTGCGCCCTGCAGCCCACGCAGTGCCTCGACCCGAGCCACAGGACCGTCACGGCGTCCAACAGTCTCGCCATGCATCATCAATCACAAAGCCCGACGGACTGTCCACGTCCCATGGTCGGAAACCAATCGTGATGCCTACATGTACAAAAAGACGCGCTGGAATTCCCGAATAGACAGAAATAGAGAGCGCCCTCTCTCGTCCGGGCTCCGGCATCCCCTCCTGCGGCGCCCCATCCCCTCTTTCGGACCTATCCCTCGTATCTATATGCAACCATGGCCTCGATCCGATGCACATCTGTACTAAAGCTCCGAAGTTTGACTTGCTGGCTCTTCGACGCCTCGATCGCGAGCGGGTCTGTATCCACCCACTCGTTCGCGGGAATGTCCACCGACTCCGACGTGTACGCCAGGATGTTGAACACCGTCGGCTCGTCGATGACCGGCAGGAACGTCACCGTCGACACTATTTGCTTCAGGATCGCCCGGATTTCTGCCTGGATCTCGCTCTCGGGCTTGGCAGGTGCCCTGGCGGGGGAGGGCGGTCAGCATTTCTGCACCGCACTGCCCATGATCAAACGCGTACGGCTGTGAGCCCTCCGCCGCGGGCTGTTCCACGAGATTGATGTCGAACACCCAGCGTTCGAGCGGGAGCCTGGAGTCCTTCGAGATGATCGCGAGCACCAGCTGGGTCACCGCGCCCGTGAGAAGCCACTCTGTGGCACAGCTGCTCCGTCAATGTCGAGCGCGCACGGTTCCTGGCTACTCACGGTTCACTTGCTTCAGAATCCTGCGTGCAACCATGATGTCAGATGCAACGGTAGTTAATCGAGATGTGGGCGCACCTGTCAAGGTAGTTCTCTAGTGCGAGATCTTGCGTGACGAGCACGGTCTGCCCGTACTTCTTCACCATGTGAAAGTCATCCGCAGGATAGACACCTCTCTGGAACAGGACTCTGAAAGTGAACCACTTAGTTTCGGCGTGCAGCGCCCCTCTCGATGGACGTACGTGTTAGCGGCATATTTGAAGAATTCAGTGACAAGATTCGTCGAGCCTTTGAGAGTGATGGCTTGACGGGTGGGTGCTTGCTTTGTGGGGGCCATCGTGCTGGTGTTGAGATCGTTGAGGTTGGTGGAAGAGACGTGGTGGCAAGTGGCAGGCGAGTACGCAGCGGTTACATACGAACAAACGCGGTTCGCGACCCTCGCGTGTTTGGAGCGCGTAGGTCACACTCACGTGCGCGTGTCAGGCGCTCGCGGCAGCACAATATTGAACGGCAACTTGAAGTAGAACTTAGAAGTGAGCAAGTACCTTCGATGTGGATTATTTCCTCAAGGCGGCGTGCACGGTCAAATACAGGTATGTACTCTATTGTGGCTCCAAGTACGTTGAACTACGGTCTCTACTTCAACCTGCGAACGGAGACCATAACCGCTAAGCGTATACAAGGTTTTGAGGAGGGGAATCCTAGCATGCCGTAGAACTTGTCTGGAAGGATGAGCGAGAACTCCTCATAGTCATTGAAGTCCGCTGGGGATGAAGCGAGTAGATATGCAGATTTGAACGCGCGCAGCTTGTCGGTTGGCACATGCGCCAGGCGCCACCATTCGTCTTCTTCCCGGTCCGAATCAGAGGGAGGATAGTAGAGGTATCTGCGTAGGGTGCCCATAGAAGAACAGTTTTTGTCGATGCAGCACGCATCGATACATAAGTGCAGATAGCCGTGGGCTCGATCGCAGCCGCAGCAGGAGCGGATCTTCGCACTCAACATGATGTCGAGGAGGTGTGGATCTGTGTCTTCGATGGGAGTGGGAATGAACTTCGCGCGCAGAAGCGTAAATAGCCCGGACGTCCTGCCCATGGACATGATAAGACTCCTCAAAAATGCTCGCCTGCCGGGTTCCAAACGTGCCAGAGAAAGGCGTAGCGGGCCCCAAAGGGGCTTTTTGCGAGGGTGAGTCGATACGTAGCCGCGTTAAGTGGTCATAGAGTCTCCTAAAACCATGCCGTGAGCGACCACATTATATATAGCGGTAAGCGTCGAACGTCGCCCGGCTCTCACCAGTGGTTGAAGGCTCGTATATTGAAGTGGAGAAGAACATGGCAAAGAGCGCCCTTACGACCGGATCCACTATGTTAGGAGCCTACCCGGCGCGCAGCTCCACAGTGAGATGAGCCTGGTCTTTGTCCAACTCATATTTGAAAGCCGCGCTAGAATGGAAGTTGAAGCCGTCCACACTGGTCCACAGCATGTGGTTATATGTAGAACTCGACAAGGACTGCCGGCCTACATTGCTCACAACAGATGGCCGCCAGTCTATAGGGACATCTACATCGATAAAGTCATCCATGATGTCGACATATCGAACATTTCTTACTTTCAATTGTAGAGCGTCTTGGTAGGCCGCCTGCATGAGTGTGTCACTGTGCTCAAGAGACTTGTTGGAGACGTCGTAACCTCCGACTGCCAGATCCAGAGGCACGAATCCGTTTATTCGGCCTTGGCGGTTGCTACCCATTCATCCTTGTGGATCACATGGAGTCGACACAGGTGCCGCAACACAAAGGTACACGTCAGCCGGTGGTGTAGTCTGAGACTGCGCGCTCGCTGCTGTATAACCGCGCGGCAGTACTGGGCCCTGGCAATTCGCTCGACCGAAGCTTGAACCCACCTAGAAGTCGAAACACAGCAATGTTGGAGGTGAACTCATACCTTGCTAGGCAGCTAGCGTAGTGTAAGCGCAAGGGCACGCATCAAGAAGGCTACCAGGGGTGCAACAGAAAGTTCTGCGCGGATGAGAGTGGTGAGTCCAGAAGAGGGACGCGGAGCCTCGGCGCGGGGCGGTGGGCGCTCTCACGTGTGCCGAGTCTCCACTGAGGGGCGAGCCGCATCGAGAAGAGAGCTCGTCCCTCTCTCCTTCCATCTCCCTCTCGTCCGTATAATACTTCCACTCTCTAGTCTTCCAGTAATCGCTTTCGCAGCACCACAACCACCACCACGCACACCGGGATCGCTTACAATGAAGTTCTACTCGCAGTCCTTCTTGTACGAGTGAGTTGACGCACCCGCGCGCCCCGCTCTCTCACACACCACTGAGACGCGTCCTTGCAGCGATCCCTGGTCTATTGTCTCCCTTGCCTACCTACTACGATACCCCAACCCGTTCGCATCGCACATCCTCTCCTGCGACGTGATTTCGCGGGACATCACGCCCGCGGGTACTCTCCGAACCACTCGTATCATCCTCAAGACCGGCTCCTTACCAAGATGGGCCCCGAAAGGCATGATGTCGCGGGCTGAGTCCTGGGTCCTGGAGGAGAGCGAGGTGGACCCGCTTGGCAAAGTAATGCGCTGCACGACGAAAAACCTCGACCATGTCAAAGTTATGCGGGTGGAGGAGCACATCCATATCCGCCAGGCGGAAGATGGGTACGTCACACAATGCTCCCGCGATCGCATTTCCGTCTGCTAATTGTGCCTATCTCCTGCAGTAAAACATTACAAACTACCGAGGCTATGTTCCTTTCGGGGTTTGGGTGGGGGCTGACGAAGAAGATTGAGAACTATGGTCTGGCTAAGTTCAAGGCAAACCTACAGCGGGTACGTCTTATGCCCGTTTGAGTTCACTTTATCACTCTTCTGACGCGCTTGCAGTCTCGTGAAGGTTTCTCTATCATTCTCGACCTCATCCGACAGTCGCGCCGGCAACCCATGACCATGGGCGTACCTAGCTCCTTCCTCATCTCCCACCGCATTCTCAACGACCCGGACACACAAGCTCCCGCCCGGCACGACGTCCCTGCGGCGAGCGAGACCCGTAACGACACTTCGGGCAATACTCCCCGTAACACTCCCAGCGGAGGCGCGTGGACCAGAGTAAAGTCCTGGCTGCGCGTTGGATGAGCTCCAACCGGACCCTTGTTCAGCGTACTTATTTTCGAACGGTGTTACCCGTTACGGTTTATTAGTGTCCCCCTGCTCAGTCATCGTCAGTCTCATGGTTCCGTTGTCGATCGTGCATGTTATGAGCTTGTACCATATGTGTATTTGTAGCCATGAGTACCATCTTCTGCAGTAGTGTCATCGCATATATTCACCTTCCAATCCCTGCCCTCATACAAACAAATATGCTTCTACCAATCAGGATGAGTGAATTGTCGGAGCGTATGTTTGTCCGAGAAATCAATATACCATTCACGAGCCATGGCCACAGTCGGATTCAGCCGCGCTGTGCGGCTCTCACCGTTTCTGACTTCATGCCGCTTCTCAGACGTGTGCGATCATCCTCCACGAACCCTCCACGACCGTCTCATCTGCTTTAGTGTGTCCGCTCTGGCTTTGGCTTTAGCTTTGACTCTGGCCGCGTAGGCAAGATGTATTTCCCGACGTCCGCGGCGAGGCAGCTTTCTAGCGCGCCCGCGCTGCCGCTGCCGAGCGAGCTTGTCCTCGCGCTCGCCCCGAGCCCGCGCAAGACGTTATTCGCGACCGTCACCAAGAGCGGGCTATCGCTATGGCGCGTACGCGTACGTCCTCGCATTGCTGCGTTCAGAGCGGAGGGACACTGAAGGGGAGAGGACATGTGCACTATAGCCATCGGCCGTGCTTGCGCACCTCTCGCGCTCGGAGACATCATTGCAAGAGCATGGCGAGAACTTGCACCTGCATTGGTCGCCGGACGGGCAGCGAATCGTCGTACAGGTGCGCGAGGATGTGACTTGCATACATCGGGCGGCCGAGTGCTCATTGTGGGGGTACACAGACCACAGAATCGTATCTGGTCCTCATTACAGTCGAGTACAACGCGGAGGAGGTGCCGTACCAGACTCCACCTCTCGCCGCCAATGCTGCGCGACACTTCCTTCCCGGCGCAGGCGAAGCCCTTCCACTGCAGTCTCTGAATCTGCATCTGGAGGGCGTGATCCGGATTGAGGGGTCTCTACTAAGGTGCGTGCTATGCCTTCATCTCCACCTTGGCTGGTGATATATATACGCGTCGCTCTGTAGTGTCTCCCCGCGCAAGGAATACATCCTGTTCTCCACCTGCAGCCCCCCATCAATACAGCGCGTTCCATGGCCCGATTCCAGCGGTGCAGGTGGCGGGCACGGCAGAGAGAGTTATGATACATGGGAGGTCAACGAGGAGGAACTTCCCTGGCTCGTCGATCCTGATGGTACGTCATGTTCCGATACAGCCTTCAGATATGCGTGCTTAATGATGCGCGAAGTGACTGTATGCCAGATCTCGTACCACCGGCAGACCGGTTTCGAGACCTGGATTACGTCGGATGGACGCGCATACCTCGTACAGCTCTACCAAGAACAGGATGTGCGTCCGGACGCGTCAGAGACTAGCGCAGCGGACGATGAACACACTCAGGTTCGCACCTCCTCTCCTTTGAGTCCGCGAAGAGTGACTAATCTCCTCATAGCTTGGACACCTTGCGCGAGAGAGATCGTCCTCGGACAGCACGAGCTCCTCAAGGCCCCTTCAATGGCATGGCACATGCACCCACCACGTCGACCCTCCACGCTGGGTGCAGAAGCGCAAGCACGTCGACCCCGGCGATGTCGCCAAGTACGCATACACGGAGCCGCGCCGTGCGATGGCGATTGCGTTGAACCCCAAGTTCTCCATGCTCGCCGTAGGCACGTACAGCGGCACAGTAGAGTTCGCGAGCCTCCCGTCTATGGAAGGCGCGTTGCCGAAGCCGCAAGTCTTGCAGATTCCGACTATGTACGCGCGAGAAGGCACTGGTTCGGTGTGTACGATGGAGTGGAGCTCGGATGGATATGTTCTGGCTGTGGGGTGGGAGAAGGGCTGGGCGATCTGGAGTGTGGGGGGACGGTGCCTTGCATGGGGCTTCGGTGTCGAGTATGAAGTGGACGCGGAGAGGTACGTGGATATATTTGCCGCACAGCACGGTATGGCTGATACGACTATGTTGGCAGGTTTCAAGATGCTTTCATGTACGGTGTGAGAGGTCTGGTGAGCATACATCCGCACTTCAACGCATGCCTTATCTCATTTTGCCGATCTTCAGTTCTGGGCACCGGGTAATTTCGAGCTCGTCATGCTAGCCCAGTCGTCGCCGAACAGTAAGTCATTTGGCCGTCTTATACAACGTTATAACTCATAGTCATATCTAGTGGCCGACGGTCAGCTATTCGTTTTACCCTTCGCGAAAAGCGCAACGACCGGCCAACATTCACCGGTAGGTCATTTTGAGTTCGTTTCGCAGAGACGCCATCTCATTTGGCTGGCAGGACAATACCCAGTATGCTTTCCTACAGATGGATGACCGCGTACTCGTGTACCGCGGTGCCGACCAGCCCGATATGAGCGTCATCAACCCCGAGGCGGATGTCTGGCAGCACGTCAAGGTCCCACAGTCATACATGTCTGCGAACTGGCCTATTCGGTACTCGTCCTTGAGCGCGGACGGCCGTCTCATAGCGATTGCTGGCCGCAGGGGACTCGTGCACTACAGCTCGACGTCCGGCCGCTGGAAGATGTTCGCGGACGAGCTGCAAGAACAGGCCTTCACGGTCAAGGGTGGACTACTATGGTTCCATCATGTGCTCATCGCTGCGGTAGAGGTCGCGGGGGCGTATCAGGTGTGTCTTGATCATGGTGCCCTTCACGCTAGGTAAGTACACTTCGCTGAGCTATCACTACAGCTACGGTTGTACTCGCGCGACCTCGAGCTGAGCAATCAGAACGTCCTGCACCGCGAACTTGTGCCCTCCCCGGTCGTCATCCTATCGCTCGTCGATAATTCCCTCCTCGTGTATATGGCGGACAACACCTTGTATCATTACTTGATCATACCGACTGCCGACTCGATCAAGCTCCATTTCTGCGGAAGCATCACATTTGACGGGGTCATTGCGGTGCCTAGCGCGGTCAGAGCTCTCAGTTGGATGATTCCCAGTGCACAGAAACGTGCGTACAACATCTTCATGATGTTCTGTGGAAGCTCACTCACTATTTGCAGAATTGGGAGACCCCGCGGACGACCTTGCCGTTGCTACGGTTCTGATGATCGTTGGTGGAAAGCTTGTGCTGCTACGGCCCCGCAAGGTGAGTGCAGCCCGGTCTACGAATCTTTCAAGTCGTGACAATGGGCGCATATAGTCGGAGGAAGGCGAGGTCAAGTACGACATGCAAATCCTAGCAGATCGGATCGAGTTCTGCTGGATTCATCTACGCGGCATCGGAACACTAGAGAACTCTCTGTGGGGCTACGATGGTCAAGGTATCCGTGTCTGGTTGAACGCGCTAGCTATCGAGTCCGCACCACCTCCAACGGAGGCTGATGATGGAAGCGAAACCGTGGACCGCGTCAAGGAGAGCGTAAACATCCCACTCGAGTTTTACCCGCTGTGTAAGTGAAGAGTCATGCCTATACGTTCTTTAACTGAACTCGGAACAGCGGTACTCATGGACAAGGGCATCATCATCGGCGTGGAGGTCGAAGCCGCCACTCGGACAAACCTCTCCTTCACGATGTTTAGGCATGTCACCAGTGTATGTCCTCCAGGCCTTTTTCATTGTGCTGGCAGGAATTGACAAGTGGCTGGGTTAGTCTCATCTCTTCCTTCACCACATTCTGCTCTTCCATCTGGAGAACTCGCAGTGCAAGGAAGCCGTCACCTTTGCGTCGCATTACCAGCATTTGGTGTACTTCGCACACGCCTTGGAGATCCTCCTACATACTGTGGTCGAAGAGGACGTGGACGCGGGCGAGCCTACGGAAGGCTCGCAGGACTCAAAGGGCTCGACAGAACAAGGCCTTCTCTCCGGGGCCATCGAGTTCCTGGATCATTTCGACGATGCACTGGACGTCGTCGTGGGCTGTGCTCGCAAAATCGAAATGACGAGGTGGCCACGCTTATTCGACGTTGTTGGCAATCCCAAGATACTTTTCGAGGTATGTCGCTCGTACTATAAATCTCTCTGACGTGATCGCTGAGACCATGTGCTAGTCCTGCTTGTCATCTGGACGCCTGAAGACTGCCGGCTCTTACCTCCTCGTCTTGCACGGCCTGGAGCAGCTGGACGGGATGAACGACGATGTTATACGACTGCTCCGGAGCGCGACCGCAGCCCAGGACTGGCAACTTTGTCGGGAGATTCTACGCTTCCTACACTCCATCGACGATACCGGCGCTGCATTGCAGAGTGCCCTCGTGGAGACGCAGATAGTGCCTTCGGCAGATTCCCAGCTGGGCCAGGGAAACGGGAGTGCGCACTGACACGGACGGACGATACTTCAGCCACGCGGACTATGTCGGATATGGATAACTTATTAGCACCCTCTGTATCCCAATTTTCTACTGCTACCCTCTATACCAGGTTCAGGGCCCAAGAGCAACATCTCCCACATGCTGAGCCCAACCGGAGAGATGTCTGGAGAGGCTTGTGACAGCGGGGCTTTCCGGCAAATGCAGTTCATGTAGGCCGGCCGGCGAGCGAGTGGTCAATACACCCCACATGGCCATCAGATACCTCGCCGAGGAGCACATGGGCAGTGGTGGTGGACGGTCTGGGCAGCGCCGGCAGCCCGTAATCTATAAACCTAGCCTGTCACACTTGTGCAGCACAGCTTCCGCATTCGAAGTCGAGCCCTTTGTCGTAATCTGTCCCTCAGCGCAAACCGTATGTTCTCCATAACGAGGACTATCCTGCGAAGAACGATGGCCACAGTCGCGAGTAATTCGCACATCACGCTTACGGCTGAGGGTGCCGTCTCGGTCTCGTACAACACGCTCGTGTCTTCTCCGCTATCTTTGACCTCTTCCATCGGTAAGTAGCGGAGTCTTGTTCAGTACATTACCAGAACAACAACATTAACATTCACTTCCCCTGTAGAGAAGGCGTTCGGGTCGCACCCGGATAGTCTGGGCATTATCATCGTCCGGGACCTACCAGACACCTATGCCCCAGCCCGGGAAAGGCTCCTCAGGCTCGCCTATCGGTTCGCCACCCTTGATCCCAAGATCAGGGAGCAGTATGCAGACCCAAAGAGCAGATACAGGTGCGTAGCGCATATTCTCATCGTTAGTAGCCGAGACGATGCTCAATCTCCGTGTAGCTTTGGATGGTCGCACGGCAAAGTGCGTCTTCGCCTTACGGAATTCCACGTATTAGACTCGGACCGATGCTGACTCATTTTTGTGAGCAGGAAATCATGAATGGAAAGCCAGGTAACATTCTGCGCATATCTATGTGTACAGGACGATCCTTTGAACTTCTCGCCGTACGGCACTCTAGACACGATGAAAGGCTCATTCTATGCTAACCCGGTGCTTGATGAACCCGACGTCTCGCCGCAATTGCGTGAAGCTCACCCAGAGTACTACGGGAAGAACATATGTGCGCCCTATTCAGATCTACCCAGAAGCGGCTACTCATCTTATATCCAGGGCCTACGGACACTGCGGAGGTCCAGGACTTCGAACACGCTTTCAAAGACCTCGGGCGGTAGGTATCAATTCATTGCACCTCATCTTCCTATACCACCTCAACTCTTAATCACCAGCTTCGTGTTCGGTGTTGGATGCAAACTCGCGGTCGCCTGCCAGCCTTTCGGTACGCTCAGGCCAACCTTTTCACTATGATCCGACTGCTGACGTCCAACGACACCCGGTAGCATCGTGGTATCTCACAGACTCCTCCCTGTCTCTGGCGGACTTGATCGGCAACTCTCAGACGGTGAAGGCCCGTCTCCTGCACTACTTCCCGCCCTCCCCGGAGAACCCTCTCCCCTCAGAGGACGAAGCGGTTGACAGCTGGTGCGGCTTCCACCTCGACCACTCCCTGCTTACCGGGCTGTGTTCGGTGAGTGCATACACGTTATATAATAGGATCTGTACTACAACTCACTCTCGCTCAGGCTCTGTATCTCCGCAAGGACCCGTCGGGAACACCTAGCGTCGTCCAGTCGCCCTCGCCCGCCTCCGGGCTGTACATTCGCACGCGCGGCGGCGCACTGACCAAAGTCTCCATCCCCGCCGACTGCCTCGCATTCCAGACCGGAGAGGCCCTCGAGCTGGCAACGTCCGGCAAGCTGCGCGCGACGCCTCACTGCGTGCGCGTCGGCGCTGCGGCGGACGCAGAGAGCGTCTCGCGCGAGACGTTTGCGCTCTTCATGCAGCCGAACGTAGACCAGCAGCTGTCCGCGACGGAGGACTTCGGGCAGTTCAGCAAGCGCATATTCGACGAGCATTACAAGGAGGACGCCACGGGTGCGGCGCAATGATTACAGGGATGAACATGGCGCAGGGGCAAGGGCGGCAATTTGGTGCTACAGTATGATTACAAGGAGGGAGGCATCTACAGCGAAAGCGGAATGTTGTATCGAAATAGCGACGAGGGCACATATTGAGGGGTGTGCGTGAAACAAGAGAGCGTCATTAGATAGCGCATAAGGATGCTGGGGTGGGTGAGGGTCTAGGATGGAGGCCGTCATAGCTCGTGCGAGTCGTGCGAAGGTTCATCTGAGTCCGATATGACGCTCCAGTCGCTGGCAGGACCGGTGGCTGATCCACTGGGGCTAGGATGTTCGTCAGGTGAGCCCGACGGGTAGTCGCGTATGGTGGCATGTTCGGCATCGAACAGCTCTTCACGGAGGTCGCGATCGTGGTGAGAGGCGCCCTTGATCAAGGATCGGGCATACTCGAGGTCGCGATAGATGGCTTCCATGGCCACAGCGACACCGTTCTCCTAGATTCGTATATGAGCATAACGCCTCGGGGAGTAAACCTGTAGACGTACCGCGCGAATCTGTTCACCAACGGCTTTGGCACGGTCAATCTGTTTCTGGTTGGTGGTGGCATCGCGCAGCGCCTGGGCGAGGACATCGACAGTCAACTTGCGGACGGCCGCACCGACACCAAGCGCTTCAACCCGATCAGCCCAGAAGAACTGGTCGCCGAAGAATGGCTTGATGATTGTCGGGATGCCCGCTGCAAGTCATGTCAGCACGCCGTCTACGGTGCGGAGAAGCTGAAAACCTACCCCGCAAGCTCGCGCCAGTTGTACCGGCACCGCCATGATGGCAAGCAGCATCGATCTGTTTGAACAGCCAGTCGTGCGGGATAGACGAGATGGGGTATATCTGCTTCGGCAGAGGCTCCTCGGGCTCGGTCTGTGCAGGGGCGTTCTTGACCAGCCGGTCCGACCAGCCCTTGGACATGATCGCGTACACGCCGCTCTCGACGATGGCGTCGATGACGCAGCGCGTCATCGTCTTCGGGTCGGGGACGACGATGCTGCCAAAGCCGATATAGACGATCTTCTTCTTCGCCTTGCGCGCTTCCGCCATGAAGTCTAGTAGCGACTGTGGAGGCTCCCATTTCTTGGAGCCCACGTCGGCGTCGTCCAGGAACCAGTAGCCTGTTCGAGCTGTCAGTCTCTAATATTTGGATATGCATCGTGGGAGAGACCGACCTGTGACTCTAATCCACTCTGGCCAGTCTAATGGCTGAGGTACGATGATAGGGCTGAAGTTGTATAGGAAGGGAATCTTGTGAGGGTCCATCTTGTCAAGGCTAGTACCAGGTAGGCCAAGGGTATTCCTGCGCCAGCGGTTGATTTGTCCAGCGGTTCCCCTCCAGAAAACTTGGTCGAACAGCACGTAGGTCTATAACTCGTTTAATCGCTGCTTAGAAGGAGCTGTGAATAGGGTGCGCTCACCATGTAGTTGTAGTTGCCGCCCATCTGAAAGCATTGTGAGCGTGTGGCCACCATCAAAATCGGGAAATATGCAAACCTTGTGCTCAGGTACAGCGAATGCATGAGGATACGCCCTGGATCCTGTTAAGCGATATGTGGGATAAAAAGGAACATGTGGACTGACCTTGTCCGAGTCCAGGTCATGGTGAACGCCCTGAAGTACGGGATCTTCAGCGCCTCCGCAATGTGATAGCCTCCCATTGCACTGGGGCTCTCGATTAGGACGTCTGTGCCCTGGCACGCCTCCCAAGACGTCTTAAGCAGATCGTCAATCCATCCACGGAACTGTTTCGACCTGGTCAGCAAGCGGATAACAAAGATTCGACGAGTAACAAGGACCGACCTTCGCCACGCCCTCCTTCAGGAACGCCACCGTGAACGTGCCATTCTCGACGCAAATCCGCATGAGCTCCGCAGGGTCGCCGCCGACATACCCAAACTCTATACCGTGCTAGCAAATACCAGACGCGGTCAATTTATCGTCGATGCCACATTTGAAGAGAAACTTACCGATTCGACCCACTCCTTGAACTCGCCATGAGTCGCAATCCGCACTCGGTGTCCGTCTGCCATCAGGCCCTTCGCCAGAGCAATATACGGCTGCACATCGCCCCGTGAGCCGATCGTCAGCATCGTGAAATGCAGCGACTTGTCCGGCTTGAACGATAGGAACGTCGACGACTGCGACGTGAACATATGTGCCGGCGCCGCCGACTCCGACAAGCTGCCCTGTGAGTCGCTTCTTTCGAGCGGATCCCGCGAGCCAAACTCCTCGAGGATGAGCGCATCCTGGCGTCCGCTTGACGTGCTCCGTGTGTCGCCAGATGCGATCCGCTGCCGTGTATCGTCTAGCTGGCGTTGGAGGACGTTGACAAAGGCATCGCGCCGCTCTTCATCGGCGAACTCGAAGAAGAGCTCCTCGTGCCCGCGCACGATCACGACGAGTCCATAATGTCCGAAGTGGAAGGATTTCTGCTTCTCGGTGGATAGGATGTCCTTCAGAGGGAGCATCATCTGCGCAGGAAGAAATGAGTAAGCGGACGTGAAAAATCGTAGCAGTGAAATAGCATACCCTGGTGCGTGAAGTCAATGGTCCGGTCGACTTGAAGCAGAAGTAGTTGCTCGACACATAGAGGCGGCCGTGCACAGGCAGCAACCGGTACAAGTACCCAGGGAAGACTGCTCGCGCCCTCAATCAATCCATTCCACCGTCAACAAGCACAAAATACTCACTGCCCAGAAGGTTCTCCTTGTCGTCAAACGCGAACGCCTGGCGGAACTTGTCCACCGTCTCTGCGTCCACGCCATCATGCGGGGTCTCCAGGATGCTGAAGAACCCGAAGTCGCCGCTCGCACTCGCGCTTGTGGTATGGAACCGACTCCGCGACGACCCACGTGAGTGCGACGACACGATCTCCGTGACGCCAGGAAGTGCGTGTGTCGCGGGCAGCGTCATGGCATGCTCGAGGTGCGGCCGCACGCCCGACAACGTCGGTACACCAAACAAGAGGCTGCGCGATGGCACGCGGAGCCAGGACGGCATCGAAGGCATGCCGACGGACCACCCGCTCCCAGATGGCGCATCCTTGGTCGACGATCCGGCGGAGTGAGGATGTGGGTGCACGTCTGAACTCGAGCCGGACATAGAGGGAGGATAGGTGTGATCAGCAGGAGTTGGGGTGGGGACGGGAGTCAGACTCGAGGAGGACGCGCGGAGAAGGTCGGGTCGCCCTGAGGGCTCACCTTCGATGGGGGAGGTCGTCTCAGCCGCCGTTGCAATAGGGACGAAGGAGGAGCCGCTCCGCTTGATGATGTGCGTGAAATCCTCATTGTTTGTATCGCCTGTCGACGGACCAGGCGTGCTCGCAGAGCGTCCCATGGGCAACGTTTCTTGTAGTGGCCGCAGGAGGGATGTCAACTTGAAGCCAGAAGGTGACTTTGGGTGCTGTCCAGCATCGGGAGTGCTCGGCACATGCTCGACAGTTGGTCGGGGACCAGGTGAGCGGGCGGTTGTGGTGTCGACTACTACGGGTGCGTGCTGGAAGGAGGGCATGGTGCGGTACGCCCGTACAGCATCCCGTATCTGTTCCAGTGCCCCTGGCAGGTTGTTGAAGTACGCGAAGAAGTACGAGTCGAGCGCGAGATCTGAGCTCTTGTCCTGCACCTTGATCTCGATCGTTTCACTGAACTCCATCGTGTTTGACCGGTCCACATCTACTACAGCAGGATAGGGGATTGCAATCTAGTGATCAAATGTTGCGGTCATGCGCTTTCTACACGTTAGCAAGTAGTGGGACCGACCTTGATGCTATCACCCATATTGGTGATTTTCAAAATGACTTTGAGGATCGCCTTCACCCACTCATCACGACTGGCAGCAGAATCCGCCGACAACCTTATGGATTTCTCGTTCGTCCGAAGGCGGATATCCTTCTCGTTGACAGCTTCACAGCTGATGGCATACCGAAGGTCTACCACGCCATGCGGGAAGTACGGATCCTACGGTATGTGAGTTTCGTTTTATTTCGCATTGGTCAATCCTTGGTGTCTTACCGAAGCGGACTGATACCACGAAAGCACGTCGTTCTTCAAGATGAACCAGTGCCGGATCCAGCGCTTGGTGCGCTGTGCCCTCTTCAGTAGCGAGCCAGACTTCAAAACTTGATCCTGCAACTCCGTCAGCGGGAATATTGCCATGATAGTTGAATTTACAAACCTCTCTTGATGGCAGATGCGCGAAGAAGCAGATATATGCGTCAGTCAGATACATATAGCCTTGCAGCACTGTCCAGCAAATCAGCTTCCGTCCGTGCATTACCCAGCTTTACGCGAAACAACTTACGGACTGAGCGCAGAAGCCAACATGGCATCTCTTTGAAGAGGGTGAGCACGCGTTGTCAAACATGTAGATCTGCGCCACAGACACTGACCTGCTACCACTTCATTGATATTGTCGAGTTCGAAGACATCGCGCAGCTTCTCCGCCAGCTGTGTACGTCTGTTCTGACGCACTGTGGCCATGTTAGCAGATCGGCCCGCAGCTCGTTCTCTGGAGCCCAGCTCCTGGATCTCCATGATGGACGCGTCCAAGCCAAGTATCGGCTCTGGAGACGTGCGGCCAGTATGGCTGAGGCCCATAACGTGATCAGGCGCGGTGGGTTCAAAGTCGCCTTCCTCGTCTGACATGGGGTGGTCTCCGGATGGTGCACTGTCTTCCGTATCCGACAGCGTGGGTAATGTATGGCCTCTAGCCGAGGGGTGCGTAGAGCTCGAGGGCTCCCCTCGCCTGAAACGCGCCAGAGGGCGGTAGATGGCATGAATTGATGAAGTCAAGCGGTTGACTAAATGCGCGGCCGTTAGCGTCGCACCCAGCGCAGAGCCATCCGCTTCGAGACGCACCAGGTCTGTCATCCTCGTCGCTCTCCGCCTCCGCAGGGGTCGCATTGTGGTTCAGGAACTCGTCATCGTTATCCTGGTCCTCGGCCCACGGCACGGCCTGCAACGCCTGGATAAACGTCTGCGTCCCCGCATGCATCTAACGTAGATTGTCAATTCGGTCGGATAACACATGTCGATCGGGCTGAATTACGCACCGATCGGAACCCGCGCCATATCGCGTTCTCGGGCTGACTCGGGCCTAATGAGGGCGAGCTCGGGGTGATGAAAGGCGACTCCTCCTCTCCGCCCGTGGCGGGCTTCCGCCTCCTAGAGGACAGGCGCGAGGGAGACTTGGGACGGGAGGCAAGCACTTGAGACTGCGAAGTCGTCGCATGATCTCCTACATCACATCGCCGTTAGCGTGACACTCGTGCAGACTACATTGAAGTGTGCGGACCGTCATGGGTGTGCTTCTCCTTGCCCTTCCTCGTAAGACTGAACATGCGCATAGGGCCTGGCTGGGGCAAGGCCGGCTGGCTCTGCGAGAGTAGAGGTGTGTCCCTAGTCTTGTCTAGAGTGCGCTGCGCCAATCCGCCTATCGATGGGAGGGTTGGTGTCTGAGCGGAATCAGGCTCGGATGCAGGTGAAGCCGATGTACTCGGGAGGCTTCCTGGGATCGTGGGCGGAGAGCCCGGAGGCGTGTTGTGCGCCATGGTATATATGTGAGCGAGTCGCTTAAAAGATGAAAAAGCGTTGGTGTCGAGACAAACAGCGAGCTCGGACCGAGGCTAGGTGTGGGGCATGGCCTGTCGGGGAGAGGTGCTGCGAGAGGGACGCGCGAGCTCAGCGCGACACACGCACATTACAGGCCATCAACAGACGCCCGTACGCGACCGTGGGAGCGCCGCATTGGGCAGTTAGGCGCCAGGAACCAGGTGACCTCGGCGCGAACTTCAAGTTCGTGTCGGTCGCGTCAGGTCTCCTCGAGGCTTTCGCGTTCGTCCGTCGAGCTCTCCGCAGTCCGCCCGGATACCCCCCCTCCTCCCTCTTCCTCTTCGACCCCCTCGAGATATCATGCGCGGCGAACTATGCATCGGCAGCGCCTCCGTCCTTGCGTACGTCCCATTCTGATCCGCGTACAGTGACGTACGGGCGTGCGCTGACGCGCTGTGTCCATTTTGCGCATCACACAAGCCTCATCTCCCTCATCCTCCTCATCTTCATGCATGTGCGTCACAGACCGGTCTTCTAGATAACTGTTATCTTCCGCTAACAGATTACCGGCTGGCTTCTCAGGTCGGGCAAATCAACACCTCGACCGTCCCGCGAGGCATTTCCATGGTGAATCCAGACCGCACAGACACAGCGCGGGCAGTGGGTTGACGCAATGAGCTGCGCAGGTCAATGTCAACACCTCCGGATATGCGTGCGTTCTTTCGTCAACGCAACCCGAAGTATGACTGCCGTGCTAATTCCGCTGCAGGGCAGGCCTCGAGGCCGCGCTTGGTGACCCCATTGCCGGGCTGTACGCGACCAACGCATCTACGCCCCTTCAAGTGAACCTAGGCATCCGCGAGAACTACAAGTTCGGCCTCTACTCGTACTGCGGCTATGTGAACGGCTCCGGTATCTGTTCTAACACCTCCGCGGCCACGCGGTGGGAGCCATTCTCGGTCATAGTCGCGGACATGCGCTCGAACTACTCGGGCGTAACGACCGCGCTCATCACCGAGGGCACGTTCATCGACTCGGACTACCTGGGCGAGTTCACGAAGGGGGCCTACTACCTCATTATCATCGGCTCAGTCTGTGCAGCAATGGCACTCCTCACGTTAGTCGCGCGTCCGAAGTACGGTTCACTCGATTGACTGTAATTTTGCAGCGGCTTGCTCAAGCACACAGTGCTCTTCTTCCTATCTACTTTGTTCGCGGTGTTGGGGTCTCTCACACTGCTCATCGGCGCGACTATCTGGACGGTGGTCATCAAAAAGGCCGAGTCCATAAACAGTTTCGTCGTCGGACCTTCGGCGGCGCCCGTTCCGTTGGGCATAACAGTCTCGACTGGAGACGCCATATTCCTTCTGTGGGCTGCCTGGGCATGCCTCCTGGTGTCTACACTGCCTTACATGATCAGGTGTGTCTGTACCCACGAGTGGCTGTGGTAGCTTGCCTGACCTGTTCCGTCCTTTCAGCTGCTGCACTTACCGCGGATAGACGCCGCCTGGATGCCCTTGCTGGGCCATTGCTATGTATCATTTATTCGTAACGCACCACCACGCTCGCAGCGGGGCTACCACGTCGCATCCACGGACGCTTTTACGACCCAGTGATGTAATGCACGCTATGTATATGAAGATTTTGAGAAGTGCTAGACGCAGCGCTATTTGCAGACGTGAGTGCACCGAAGTGGCATTGCAATCCCACCCGACGCGCCGTGAAGCCGAAGCAAACAAATGCGAGTACAGTCGAGCTGCAGCGCAGTAACTCGCCCCTCTTCTGCACTGCTTGACCGTGAGCCAAGGTGAGATCGGTTATGCAGAGAAATACAAGATGCGGAGGAGAGCCGGGTGTGGGCGCCTGAGACCGCCGACGGGGAGGATTGGCCGGGGTCGCGATCGCGGAGGGGTCCTCGGCGAGATCGGCGAGCCCACGCCTCCATCGCAATAAAGCCGCCTACGCCAGCCCCCGCCAAGCACCTTCCCCTTCCCCTCCCTCCTTCCCTTTAGCTTTCCCTTTCTCCTCGCCCCCGCCGTTCTCGTTTACGAATACCAACTACTGTCCTTGCCGCCTCTACCTCCGAGGTCCTAATGCACGCAGCCATCGCAAGGCTCGCCGGCGTCGCCGCCGCCGCTCTCACTCTCGCCGCAGGTGTCGGCGCGCTCCCGAAGGTGTCTAGGCAGGGGAGGTACCTCTACTCAGACGATGGGACTCGGTTCTTTATCAAAGGTATCGCCTACCAGGAGCAAGGTGCGCACCCGTCTGTTGCTCAGCCACCGGACGCTTGTTCATAAGGCATAACCGCCGCATAGGTGCCGTCGTCGCGGATCCTAACAGTCCATTCTCCGAGCCGTCGACCTTTATCGACCCCCTCACGGACAGTGCTGCATGCGCCCGCGACCTTCCCTTCCTCCAGCAGCTCGGCGTGAATGCTGTCCGTATTTACAGCGTAAACTCGTCCCTCAACCATGATGATTGTATGAACGCCTTCAGCCAGGCCGGCATCTACACTATGTATGTTGTAGAAGCATGTAAAGAGGTACCCGGTATTGACCCTGATTCCATAGCATCGATCTTGCCCTCCCCACGAACGGCTCCATCGACCGCAACAGCCCGTCGTGGACCGTGAACTTGCTCGACCAGTACATTGGCACCATTGACGCCTTCAGCAAGTACGACAACGTCCTCGCGTACAACGTTGGTAACGAGGTCATCACCGCCCCCGCTGGCACTGGCGCCGCGGCCTTCATCAAGGCCGCTGCCCGTGATGTCAGGTCATACCTGTCCGTAACCTTCAAACTTTCCCATCACGCCGCATGTTAACCGTAGGCATCTGTGACCCGCAGCAATTCCATCTCCTCGTCAGCGCTGGTTGGATACGCCGCCCAGGACGGTGACGACTCGTGGGTCGTCCCGCTCGCGAACTACCTGGGGTGCGACAACTCGAACAGCAACTCCGGCTCGACTGCTATCGATATTTTCGGTTTGAACAACTAGTACGTCCGCGCGCAGCACTCACACGAACCATCTCTGACGTATGGGTTCCCGTATTCGTCTCTCCTCACTCACGCCGCCTACTACAGTGAGTTCTGTGGCGACGCCACTGCCTCCGCATACAACGGCAAGAACGGCGACTTCGCAGGGTACGAGCTCCCGGCGTACTTCAGCGAGTTCGGATGTGTGAGCCAGCCGCCGCGCCTTTGGACGGAGGTCCCGATCATCTTCAGCTCGCCCATGTCCGACATCTGGTCGGGTGCTGTCGCGTTCAGCTACTTCCCCGCGGTGGCCTCCGACGGTTCGTTCGGTATGGTCACGGTTGACGGCAGCACTGTCACCACGAGCGACGACTTTGACCGCCTCAAGGCACAGTACAGCAACTTGACGTTCCCGACCACGCCCAGCAAGACCGATGCCGGCACGAGCGAGTTCCCCGCGTGCCCCTCGCAAAACTCCACGTGGCTCGCGTCGAACACGCTGCCGCCGACCCCGAACGACGCGGCGTGCAACTGCCTCGAGAACATCGTCAGCTGCCAGTTCACGCCCAAGACGAGCAACACCAGCGCCATCGTCGGCTCGCTCCTCGACCTCGGCTGCTCTCTTCTCGGACAGCAGGGCGGCAACTGTGACGACATCTCCGCTAACGGTACCCTCGGCACTTACGGCCGTGTCGCGTTCTGCGACCCCGGTACGTATCCCACGAAATATTGAATTTCTGTAGTTTATTCTTACCAATTTTTACACCTGCAGAGACCAAGCTCTCGTTCGTCATGAGCGAGTTCTACGAAATCACCGACCGCGCCGCGACCTCATGCGACTTTGGCGGGAACGCGACCGTGAACGCGAACGCACCCTCAAACGTGAACGGCGCGAACGCCGCCGCGACGTCCTGCCTCGCTAACCCCTCTGCGACCTTCACCCCCAGCGCGCCGAGCGGCTCCTCCGGCTCCGGCAGCAGCGGGTCCAGCGGCAGCTCCGGCTCTGGCACGAGCGGCAGCAATGGCGCCGCGGCGATCTTCGGTGCGAGCCCGAGCGCGTTCGTCGGCCTCGGCGTCGCGTTCGTGTTCAGCGTACTCGGCTCGGCGCTCACTCTTGCATGAGCGATCGCCGTGCCAGCGTGTCACCCTGCGGGGGTGCCGCGCGCGGAGTGGGGTTGGTGGCGGATCGGCGCGGATGCAGCAGTGCACTGCGGCCGCCTGCGAAGCAAGCTTGGCACGCAGGAGAAGCAGCAGAGAAGACATGAGATGGGGACCGGCCGGACACGATTCGTGCGTGCGCGCCACCACTTGTAATGTAGCTCGCTGGCTCTCTCCCCGAAATGACGGTACTTCCGTGTATCCCCCCCGTTCCCTTTCCATCCGTCGGACTGCGTCAGGATACTCCATACCCTAGTACTACCTACCCACTTACTCCTTTGCATTTTCATCTCTCTATCCCCCGGGTTGCATTCCATACGTCGTCATATGACAAAATACGGTACGGTATAGTATCCGCTCCGTTACACTTGCGTATGTTGGTATACGTACTATCCGAGATGGCTGGGCTGCACGCCGTGCACGCCACGCCGACTGCTCCCGCACGGACTAGCTATCTGTTGCCACACATGCCTGAGCCTCGGGTCCGGACCCAATGCGGCGCTGGCCTGCATGCCTCTCGACCTCGTCCAGCTGGTCTCCAGCGTGCGATGTCGTGGTAACCTGATCGCCCACGCGGATGTGCGCAACAACGTCGGAGGCTCGGGCGGCCTCGCCCTTCCGCTGCATTCAGGCGTGTCTTTGTTGAGCCGTTCATGGTACATGGTCCACTTCTAGCGCGCCCCGAGTCGCTGACAGACGTCGGAGCGCTAGCCGTATCTCGTATGTTTTTACGCCCCTGGGCCTGGGCAGATGGAGATGTCAAGCTGATGCGCTGGCCAGCCTCGACGCTCGAGTCATCTTTAAGTGAATGTTGGACGGTGGGCCCGCCCAAAGTGCCTTCCAGGGCCAACCGAGACGTACGGATTTAGTACGGCATCGCTAGCACAGCCTAGGACGATGTGTCCCTCGCTGCAGGAACGCGGAAGGCACATGGATGAGCCTGCCGACGATCAAATCGCGATGACCTCCTCGATCTCATCGAACTGCTGTACGGTGTACCTGCTTGTACCTGCCGGTCTTGCAATACACGTTACTTTGTATCGCGCCAGTACTGAGGGCATAGTCGCATTTGAGCGATTATTAGGATGACAAGAAACTTGCACAACGAGTGACAGTGGTAGGAGGCAGCGAACAACACCGGACCAGCGAGGTATAAAGGAGTTGTCATAGTCCAGTGACAAACAGCGAGATAAAGTACGGTGGTGTTCGAGCAGTGCAGAGCGAAGAGTAGGCGTGAAATATTGGATGCATGGTCGTGTGGTAGGGATGAGTCCGACAGGTGGTCTTTGGTGAGACAGCTGCGTGGAGTGACCTCGTCGATATGGGCGAAGGCCTAATGCGTAGGTCGCAGTAAGAGTTTATAGTGCTCGCCATATTGTAAGTAGCACATAGTCCCAAGAAACCCCGATGCTCCTAGAGGAAGAGCGCGATGGCACCCGAGACGACCGCGAGAGCGATAGCAGCCATCGAGCCCGGGCTGGCAACGCCCATGGCACTGTTGCTACCGGAAGCGGCACCGGACGAGTTGCTGCCACCAGTCGCCTCTGCGCTGCTGCCGGTGGCAGAGCCTGTCGCATTGGCAGAACCTGTCGTAGATGCTGTATGAGCGCCACCTGCGGATGCGTTCGACATGGCTGTGGCAGACGTACCGATGGGGTTGGTCGTGTTGTCATTGGTCTCAATGTATGCGTCGCTCAAAGGCTTGTTGAGGCACTGAACCATGGGCTTGATGTCGAACGGCGGCTGGTGCGCGAGCGCATCGGGCAAGATGTAACCGGTGGCGATATCTACCGTCTGTTGGAACAGATCGTGCTCCAAGACGATGAAACCGTGGTCAATAACAGTCGCGTTGCCGATGATGCTTTGCCAGTTGTTCAGCACCTGCTCAGACGTGATGGTGCCGCCGTTGATATCGAAGTCTAACAACAAACGCTTGAGTACACTCAGACGGAAAACGAAGTAATACTGTGCGCACCTCCGGTATCGAAGGTAGCCGTGGGGCTGATACGGGTCCAGATAGAGGTTTGGAGGCCCATAGCTTTGGCAATCGCACGGACACGATTATCGACATCACCGTACGGGGGGCGCCAGTAGGTGGGAGTAACACCAAGAACGTCCTTGATGATCTTCTTCGACCAACCGAGCTCGGCAATGATCTGTTCGTTCGTGAGGGTAGTCATGGGGTGGTGACTCCAGGTGTGGACGGCAATCTGGTGCTGCGCCATGTACTCGTTCTGGAGGAGAGCGGGGTACGAGATCGCACGGGAGCCAACGACGAAGAACGTAGCCTTCAGGTTGACGGAGTCGAGGTAGTGGAGGAGGTCACCGGTGTACAAAGCGGGACCGTCGTCGTAGGTAAGACCCCAAGTCATCTTGTCTGGGCACTCTTCAATGTCGTCATCGGCCTTGCAACCACCGCAGGTCCACCAGCAACGGGTGGAGTCGGCAGCAGCCGCAGCGTTCGACGCGCAGCTGCCATCTGCAGTGGTGGGAGCGAAGTTGGGGATATCAACGCCCGAAGCCGCGACCTCCTTGATCCACTGCTGGACCTCAGGCGAGTCCGTGGGGGGAACTACGTCGAGAGTCGGGTAGTTCGAAGGGACGAGCTTGGAGACTGTGGTGGAGATAATACAGTTAGTGCCGCTGATCGACAGCCGTTGATAACTGAGACGCTTACTGTCCGGCAAAGCGGGGGCGCTGGGCAGGAAGGTCGGCGTCGTTCCTCCCGCGAAGGTGGTGGTAGCGGCAACAGTGGCCTGCGAGGGTGCGTTCGCGATGATTTCCGTAAGCGGGATTGCGCTCGGGTTGGTGGAAGCCAAGGTGAAGGTGAGCGTCGAGGCACCCGCGGGTCCCGAGGCAGCAACAGCAGTAGCTGTGCTAGCCGATGCAGCGGGGGCACTTCCAGTGGAAGAGGCGGCAGCCGCGCTGGTTGATGCGGAGGACCCAGAGGCGGCGTTGGCGGCCGGGGCTTGGCGTGCGTGATGTGCGTCCCGGATGCCGTGGGCGGAGACCAGGGCCGGGATGGCGAGGGCGGAGACGGCGGCGAACCTCATGGCGGGCAGTAAAGAGCGGAGGGGGGTGTCGTGGGGACAGGGGAGAACGCCGTCGAGGAGTCGGACACTCGGCGGGAGGGGTTAAGTACTTGGCGGAGGGAACGGGCAGATGGCAGCGAAAAGAACACGGAGGAGGTTATAGGCGTGGGCCGTCAACACGCACAAACACACGCGCCACCCAGGCCGTGACGGCAGCACTCCACGAGAATAGCGTCCAATGCACACCGCGGTATATTTAGGCTCCCGATCACTCGACATCCATGATGCATTCTGCTTTTTCGCGACAACGCGCCCAGTGCGCGCCCCGACACTGCATGCGCTCATACACCCCGTATGAAATCCGTCTCGGCAATCCCGCGCCGCCCTTCTCCATCTCCATCCAGCCTACGCCTGCTTCTGCTTTTTCGGGCGCGGCTTCTCCAGGTCGATCTCGTCCTCGTTGTCGTCGTCCTCGCTGTCGTCGTCCTCCTCGTCGCTGTCCACGTCGTCGCCCCCAGCGTGCCCGAGGAAGTACTCGATCGCCTCAGGGAACACGTCGTTGGCGATCGTGACCCCAATCTGTGCCGCCGCCGCGTATCAGCACCGGCATTTCAAAAGGCTATTCGAGGCCGACTCACATCGAAAGGGTCCTGCGCAACCTCGAAGAAGTTGAAGAAGCTTCCGCCCTCGGACGGCAGGTCGTCGTCCTCGTCCGTCACGCGCGGGTGCAGCTTCGTCAGGTTCTTCGCCTCGTCCTTCCAGTCGATCTTTGTCGCCTGCATTCTCTCGTCAGTGTCTCCTATGTCTGCCGACGTCGGCCGCCTCGCATACTAAACACGTACCTGGGGCTGGACATCGCGTTCCCAAGAGAACTCTACCATCGTCTCCGTGATGCCATCGGCGTCCGGCTTGTCATCACCCTCAACGGGCGGCGCGAGGTACTTGTACTCCTTCTTCAGGACCGTGTTCGAGAAGTACGGGTTCTCCTTGAAGTGCTACCAACCCACACAACATCCCCGTCAGCTTTTGCCACTCTCGAACACGCTCGGCGCCACTCGGTGCGTCCCCCAGCGTTCCCACAATACAAAGCAGTACTCACGAACTCGAGCGTGAAGCAGCGCGACTCGACCGGGTCCCGGACGATCCACAGGTCCTCGAGGTAGCTGAGCGCGGCCTGGTCCGAGTTGTGCTGCACGTGCAGCGCGAGCATGCCGTGGTTCATCAGCGCGACCGGCCAGAACTTCGCGATCGCCTTCACCACCGCGCGCCGCTTCTCGTACACGGGCACCATCTTCTCCTGCGCGCGGCGCTCTGTGATCGCGTACCCAGTCAGCGTCTGCGGCTATACGCGAGCGAGGGGCAGGGGGGAGGGAGGGGCGTGCGGGGGACCCGAACATTAATGAGGGGCACGTACCGAGCGCGAGCTCGACGCGGGCGACGTCCTTCTGGATGGCCTGCAGCTTGACGGCATCCTCGTCGGTGAGCTCGACGTCCCCGAGGGGGTTCTTCTCGGCCTCGGCGCCGGGGGACGCGCGTTTTACACCTTTGCTGCTCATGGCGGTATGTGGTAGTTGGGTGATGGGTAAATTTCGTCGCCTTCGCGAGCGCGTTCTCCACACACGCACAGATTGCGGGCGGAGTTGTCACGCTCGTCGTTCAGACTCCGCTGTGGCTGAGCCCACATACAGGCGCCCGGCATCCCGCGCCGGCCCTTGTCCTTTATTGAGCTGGTTCTACGCAGGTGAGTGGGCGAGTCCGACGGGGTGCGCTGCGACGGGAGGACGGTCGTAAACATGTCATGCATTACCATAAATACATAGAGTACCGAGTCGTATGCATCACGAGCAGCAGTCGAAGGCGCAGCCGCGGAGTCCCTATCAACAAGCAAGACGTCAAGAATGCGTTCAGTCGACCCGCTTGGTGCCCATCTCGATCTCCTCGAGCCGCTTGCTCTTCACCCGCCGGTGCTGCTCAGCGATAGCCTTCGCCCGCTCGGTCGCGCCCTCCTTGAGCTTCTCCACCGCCGGTAGCCCGAGCCCCGTGCCCTTGCGTGCTGAGCGGAAGCCGGGGCCGTCGTAGTAGATGATGTCGGTGAGAGGCTGGAGACGCGGCCAGTTCACGTAGTCAATGCCGTGCACGAAGATGAACGCGAGCGAGACGATGGCGACGGTGAACCAGAGCAGGAAGTAGTAGAAGAGCGAGTAGTCTGTAAGGGGCGAGGACGATCGGACGGTCAGTCGACGCCGAAACTTATTCCGAGCGAAGGAGCACGTACCGGACGTGCGCGGCAGGGTCAGGCCGGCACAGATCATAAATAGCGAGAAGAACAGGATGTAGGGGGGCTTGAGCGGATAGCGTGCGGTCAGCAAGAGACCACAGGTTCGGTTATGCAGTACTCACCGCGCGGATGATGAGCGGCCTGCTGTCGATAACCAGCGTGGCGGGGTTCCACCCCCTGCGAGGGAACCACGCGCCGGTCATCAGGTCAAATGCATCCTATGACGAACGGATGTGAGCCTGCCAGAACATGACGGATGAACTGTGTCCGCACCTGTCGAGCGCCGTCGAGGAAGTTATTTTTGAGATACCGCATCACGGAATTGTAGCCATCCTCGAACAAGCCCTTTCGGGTCCGCTTCCCGGTACGTGTGAAGTCGGTCTTCAGTGCCCCTGTGCCGCTGTAGGCTAATGAGATGAAGTTGGCGTGATCCGTCCACACTGAATAGGCGGGGACAGTTGTTAGCCTTCCTTCTGTGAAGCACAACGGCACTGTCGGCACGTACTCTCGCGGAAGTCTCTGATGAGATCGTCATAATTATCCACGGAATCGTTCGGCTGGATGACCCCGAGTGCCCTCAGTTGCCTGTTCAACGTATATTTGGCGATGGCAGCCTGTGCGACATTCGTTCGGTCCAAGTTGTCCATGCAGTTGGTCCGCACAACGCCGGTCTGTAGTCTCAACGGCTCAGGCTTGTTGGATTCAAGGTGGAAGTACCTATATTTGGCTTGAGTCACGCCCCGAACGCAATAGCCGTGGTACTTACCCGTACTGCTCAAGTTCGTCTTCGAGCTTCGAGAGGAGGACGCTGATCCGGTCCCACCGCATGTTCTTGCACTCGTTGTGGAAGTCGAAGTACTCGTACCGGCTCTTCGACGACCCCGCCTGAATAGTTCGTCAGTTCGACGAAGTCAAGTATGCCCAAATTTTTCATGAGCACCAACCTGCTCGAAGTATTTCTCGAAGGCCTCTTTCACAGGTTGTTCGTGACCCTTGTGATTCACCAAGTTCACCAACGTATGCCGGCCGTAGAGGGTTTCGTTCTCTTGCAGATGCGCCCGCATTGCGTCAACCTACATTTCATCTCATCAGCACCGCACTTCGTTCAAGCATCACCGTGACACACCGTGTCCTGCAGCTCCATGATTTGGACGTCGGGCTTGTACCGCAGAGTGTTAATCTCCGCCCAATAAACAGGGATACTGCCACGAATCTGCACGAAGCTGAGCTGTGTGCCGGAGTCATCACCACCGACTAGGCATATCTGCTCCGTCTCGTTGAAGTTTGCGACGTGGCCTTCAGAGTCGATTCCGCGCCGGAAGTACCGCGTGCCCGCCCGGTAGCGAGACCGCCGGCTGATCAGGCAGAGGCGAAGTGGGTGGATACCAACGCTGACGGGACGAATATCAAATGCTGTGTTACCGCAGCCGTTAGAAGACCCAGCGGCGAAGTGGGAACAAGATGCGTACTGCCGTATATGACCGGGAGGATGTATGCGCTCAGCTGGGAAGTGATACGGTCACAGGCACATCTAGTGGTACACTGGTACAATACTCACATTCTGGTCGGCGGTGGTGGATGTGATGTCTATGAATCTACTGTGCAGGAACCTGCGCAGCATCTTGTTAGTATCGAACATTGGACAGTCCAGGATTGTGTTTACTTGTTCCAGAAGAATCTATCATCTGCCTGTCCCCATCGTCAGCACTGAAGCAACAGAGGCGAGACTCGAGCTCACAATCTCCCAAAGTGCCTTGTCCCCGTCCTGCTGGATAGTGGTCCACTGCGCCTGCAATCTCCGGGTAATGTCCCACGCGTAGCTGAAGTAGAAGCTACCGCCCTGCAAATGCGAGCGCACGAGTGCCAAGAGGTGGGTTTCGACAGCATTGGGCGGTGTATGCACGGACACGTCGGGGTTCAGCGGGAGGATGTCGTACTCGGTAGCCCGGTAGATGTTCTGCCGCATAATGTGTCCCCGAAGCTCCCGCCCGGTAATGACAATGATGTAGTCCGCTATGCATATGGTCAGCGCCGGTAGCGGGAACGGGAGAAGCGGCGCGTACACATTGCAAGCGATATCATCCCATATATGCCGTATATGGTCTTCGGGGAGCGTTCAGACGTGACAGGAAGTGGTGTATTGGGAGCTGAACGGGCACTATTAGTCGAATATACAAAGCAAACAGTACATGACGCACCATTGAGCACGATATCCCCTGAGTTGCGGTAGATAGTGAGAGAGCGAGCTCCCACCGGCTCGGCGGGAACGAACGTGTACGTCTCGTTCCCATCGCTGTAGCTGTATACTCGAGCGTGAGCTTACGAGAGACCTCTAGTCGGACGATGGAATGCATACAGGGTCAGTCTCTGGTGCAGCGACTTCATGGTGGTGGACGGAGGCAAGAGGGGTGATGATGCACGCCAACGCGCGAGGGCGCAGGCAAGGCAGCGCGCGCCGCGTCGTGATTTCGCGCCACACGCGCCGGGCTGCCCTCTTGCGACGATTGGCTCGCCCCCTGCTTCGCGCCCGACCACGACTGACCATGGTCAAGCTCACGCCCGAGCTCATCGAGACTGTGTCCTCGCAGCTCAACCCCGTCAAGGAGCGGCAGCTCGATCTCAGAGGTGCGCCGTTTTTCGGTGCGCAGACGTACGCTCGTGTTGAACATGCATGCAGGCTACACCATTCCTGCGATCGAAAATCTTGGTATCACCAAGGTGCGTTCTGAATCCCCTCTGGCTACTTTTGAGGCATCGCGTTGATGTGGGGGACGTGTTAGGACCAAAATGACTGCATAGACTTCACCGACAACTCCATCACCGTGCTCGGGAACATCCCCCTCCTCCGCCGCCTCCGCACAGTCCTGCTCGCGAATAACCGAATATCCTCCATCTCCGCCTCTCTCCATCTCTCTGTCCCCAACCTCACTACCCTTGTACTCACGAACAACAACATCGCTGAGCTCGGCGACCTGGAGCCGCTGAAGGATGTGAAGTCCCTCCAATACCTCTCCCTGCTCGGCAACCCTGTTCGCGAGAAGAAGTATTACCGGGAATGGCTCGCGTGGCGCATCCCCAACCTGAGAGTACTGGACTTCCAACGGATCCGGGAAAAGGTGCGTCTAGCTCACGCTATCCACCAGGATGCGTCACTGACCAGTCGTCTCCTTCCTGAAGGAGCGGCAAGCCGGGCGATCACTCTTCCTGACGGCAGACAACCTGCCAACCCACCTCGCGACAACGATCTCGCAAACGGTCTCTACACACTCGTCAAAACCGCCCGTTACGACGGACGAGCCGAAGCCTTTGGTGCAGCCCGGGAAGGCAGGCAGGCTTATGTCCAAGGAGGAGGCGGACAAGGTACGCGAGGCGATCGCGCGCGCGACGTCCGTGGAGGAGATCCGAAGGCTGGAGCGGCAGCTCAGGGAGGGCTTCCTCCCAGGCATGGATTCTGTCGGTGCATGACCGCGACCCTGTACGATGAATGTAATACTGGTATCGATTCCACTCTTGTTCCCTGCTTTCGATTGTCACGCTCAAGCTTATGACGATGCGATACAATCCTGTATCCAATTCGACGAGACAGTGGAAAGCATGGTACGTATACAGGCATGACAGCGTAAGTAAATCAAAGGATGCTCTTGATGCCCGCGCCGTTGTTTCCGATCCAGAGACCGTGGAACAGCAAGCTGAGGAACGCGGTCATGTTCGCGAGGGAGCTGACACCGTGCAGCTTGGCGAAGGTCTTGTTCAGGGCCTTCATGTCGGCGGAGACCTGCATATACACCATTAACACACGTAAAGGCCTGTATCGCACTTCGCACACATACCCCAGGTTCGTTGTAGCCCTTGCCCTCCTGCTTCTCGAGCCGGTGGCGCTGGAACATCGTCCTAGACGCGAACCCTTGTTAGCTTGTAGATTCCGCCCTCATCCCTTCATCACTCACTTGCTCGTCAAAGGCCCGATCACGAAATGGTTCGACGCCTGGGCGAACACGACCGCCGCGAGCGCGTACGCCTGTGCAACATCGGCATTGGTTGGCTTGAGGTACTCCGTGAGTACAGTGGGGTGGCTGTATGTCCAGAGACCAAGCAGCCCAGAGGAGAGCGCGATGCTGATGACGAAGTATACGGGGAACGTGCGGTGCTGCAGCGTCCCGAACTGCTGGCGGGGCAGCGTCTTGAAGGCGATCACGCCTGCGGGTGTTGTGAGCAGGAGCATCGGCACGCGACCGCACAGATAGAGAGCGTACCTCCTACGAAGGTGACCCAGAGGGCTGCAAAGAGGTATCATTCGTATACATCCTACCCAAGAATAGCATGGCAGACTTACTCATGCCAAACAACCACGCATATCCAACCTGATAGAGACCTTGCGTGTTGAAGAGCGCCGCAAACGAGGACCACGAAAGCGTTGAGACCTGCGACATGATCGAGCGAAGCAAAGTCGTATGTACACCAAGACCAGTGTTGGGTGAGTGTTGGGAGGTGCGCGTGTGTCCCCGAGGGTTTATATGGTGGCGAAGAGCTGGGACACGCAAACAGAATGTGTCCTAGAGTCGAGCCTGGGAAGGCGCAACGATCCAGACACCGGGGGCCGAGGTTGGCCTACCCGAGACGCGATGCGCCCGCGCGATCGAAATCACGCTCACGTGTGTGTGCTTTCCGACGACCTCGCGGGCAACGTATCGGCTTGTAAGGTCACTCCAGATGACAGGCAACACCGGGCTCTCAGAGCGGTGATTCAAAGATGCTCAGGCATGCGCGACAATGATTGCTAGCTTGGTACAGAGAACATGATACAAGGGACGATCGCAGAGGATGGCGCTGGACTCTTGTCGACGATTGGTTATACATACACTAGTGCAAGCATCATTGCACTGGCAGCGTTCTCAGGCTGCTGCACCGGAGAACGGCGGCGGAGATGGATTAATGGAAGCGATCGAAGTCTGTGGGTCGTCCCATCATGCCTCTTCGCCGGACACCCATACTCGGGCGATCGTCTCGAGAGGACGTTAGGACGACGTGCTTGTCGACCAGCTATCAGGTTACAGTCAGTAAGATACGTTCGTCCACGGAACAAAGGTTCACTGACATCGTTCAAGAGATTGGCCGACTTGGTCAGTGTTGCGAGGTACGCCGTAAGTTGTACATCCTCGTATTCCTGGGGACAATCAGGGTCGTTTCTCAGCAGCAGATATATGATGGAGCTTACTGTGTCGAATTCTTCTCTGAATTCCGTACTCTCACTTGCAGGGAGAGAGGCGATCAGTGCCGAGAGAGCACGGAGGGTCGCATGGTCTTTTGTAGCAGCACCTATACGCGACAATGGCATGTGAGCTTAACGATACACATGAGGCTGCTGAGATGTAATGACCTGCCACTACGTCCGCGACGTATTTGACGAGGAGCAGTATCCGGTCATGGAGCATCTTGACGGCCGCGCGTTGTGTTTGCAGATGTGATTCCACTGCGGCCATATGAGCACCTTCAGGGATGATACAGTGTGGAGAGAGTATAGAGACTTACAGCTAGTTCCTCCGGACCCTCCCTTCGCGGTCCAGTCGACGGCGATGCGCTCCGCCTCACCCGTTTCTACATTGTACGGGGCTTCGATGAATACGGAACGCGACTTGCGGTCCCGGATCTCTAGCGTTGGTTCATAAGCTTTCAGCGGCAACGACTGGCCTGATGAGTCCGCGGACGCAGCAAAAACAGTTGAGGGTTGGAGTATAAGGAGAAGTGGCGTCGAGCTGTATGGGGTGAACTAAGACAGATCGGAGTCAGACGGCATCCTACTGAGCGATATAGATACACACCTGTTCGTGTAGAGCAATGTGGCGAGCAGTAGGTCGTTCCGCGACTGTATACCACCCTATGAATTCGAGTGAAGGGAATACTTGTTTGTCTGAGGATATCATACGGTATTTAGCAATGCGTAGGGCAGCAGCGATATTCTGGACGTACATTGATCCTTGCGCGTAATCAGGAAGTCCTGATCTACTACCGCGCCGTCTTCAGCCATAGCAAGCTCGAAAGTGTTGACGATCTCGACATCTCGGCCTGTCTGTGTTCCTAGTAGCGCTCCGAGAACTGATACAACAGAGATCAGCCGTTGAGAGTGGCCAATCATTTTACCTGCACGCACCAAATGGCACTCTTGTTCGTGTCTGGAGCCGTAGACGAGTGAGATGCTCGGAAATGTTGAGGATAGGTAGCGGGTGGCTGGGGTATACGCGTCAGTGGCAGCAGTAGTTAAGCGGTGTACCAGACGAACAGCGCGATTGAGAGACCCGAGGTCGTAGTGGAGGGCAGAACGACTGGGAGTTCGTCGGTGTCCATGGACGCCATTGTGCGAGATGAGTGGTGGAGGTGAGGGAGGGACTTGGAGGAGTTGCCGCCGCGTTCCTGGGGTGTCGATTACCGCGGTACACTGTGGCGGGACAAAGCTAGGCACGGAGGATTTCCTCCTGACCGGTTTGAACGGGTGGACTGATCGGGCGCGCTCTACCAGCTGGGCCAAGCTGCACATGTGGGCGCCTGACGCGAACGGACCTGCCCTAAGGCCAATTTGTGGCTCGCGACGCGTCCAGTTGCTCCGTGAGCCTGCCCGTGTCTCATCCTTGCCCTCGTCTCTCTTCCACCCGCCCTCGTCGTCGACATGTCTGGCTTCGACTCTGACCGCGTCTACTCCGTCGCTGTCCACGATGTGGCCGAGCCCACCGCCCCTGAACTTCCCTCTCAGACCGAAAAGCTTCTACTCGACTTCCTGCTCCAATACCGTGTCGGTGGTGATTTCATTTACCGGTACGTCTCTCTGCGACGCGTCGCATGATGCGTCATGCTGAGGATGGATTCAGAGACAAGCTGCGGGCAAACCTCTTGCTAAAGCAGCACCAAGTGGAGGTCGATCTACGACATGTCGGTCTGTACAACGATGAGCTCGCGCACGTTATACAGGAACGCCCGGCGGATATTCTGCCCTTGGTAAGCCTACATAGCTGCAGCCCTTTCTTGGTTTATGTTCCCCTGACGCGTCTCGTATTCTCTAGTTCGAGTCCGCCGCATCAAAGGCCGCACGAACAATCCTGTTCCCTCTCGCAAGCAACTCCGACGCAGCCCATGAGTCGATACCCTTCGTCCAAGTGCTCGTCAGGTCTGGACTGAATCTTCAGCAATTCCGTGAGCTCACTGCCGATACCATGAACAAACTTGTTCGCATTCCCGGCATCGTCATATCTGCTTCTGTCCTCTCTTCCCGCGCGACAAAACTGCATCTACAATGCCGTGCCTGCCGATCGACCAAGATCATATTCCCCCCAAGTGGACTCGGTGGCTTGGGTGGTGGCTCGGACAGAGGCCTCCCTCGGGTCTGTGATGCGCCTGAGCTTGAGAACCAGAAGAAGGATTGCCCTCTCGACCCGTACCTGATTATTCACTCGAAGTCCGCTTTCACCGATCACCAGACTCTCAAGCTGCAGGAGGCCCCGGATATGGTACCCGTCGGAGAACTACCCCGGCATATGCTCCTCTCCGCGGACAGGTATCTTACGGGCCAAGTCGTTCCGGGTTCCAGAGTCATTGCAACTGGTGTATACTCAACTTTCCAGTCAGCAAAGAACGTGCGTGACTGGTGTCAATTATCCTGCATTATTTGCTGATGCGTAGTTGTAGCGCACGAAAGGGGCTGCTGCCTTGCGTGATCCGTACCTCCGCGTTGTTCACCTAGAGGTATCGTCGCCTGCAGCTGGTGGCGGCGGAGGTGCGAACCCCTTTGGTGCACAATTCACTCCAGAAGAGGAGGAAGAGTTCGGCGAGATGGCTCGCAGCGAGGGCTTCTATGAACGGTTCGCGAAGAGTGTCGCTCCCAGTATCTTCGGCAGTCTAGGTCAGCCGTTACCCATACTCGTTCTGATGTGGAAACTTCATGATCGCTGTGCAGATATCAAAAAGGCCATTACATGCCTTCTCATGGGAGGTTCAAAGAAGATCCTACCAGATGGCATGCGGCTTCGAGGCGATATCAATGTACTCTTGTTGGGTGACCCCGGTACTGCTAAGAGTCAGCTTTTGAAGTTCGTTGAGAAGGTCTGTTCATCATGCGTGACCACATATGTATTCAAGTTGATGTTTGGTTAGGTCGCACCCATTGCCGTGTATACTTCTGGCAAGGGCTCTAGTGCAGCCGGTTTGACGGCCTCTGTTCAGCGCGACAGCGTCTCCGTAAGTCTTCCTCCTCCTGAGCGAGGCAAACCACACTCAAATTTCGTGTTCTCTTCCCATAGCGCGAGTTCTATCTTGAGGGCGGTGCCATGGTGCTTGCAGACACCGGCGTAGTATGCATCGACGAGTTTGACAAGATGCGAGACGAGGATCGTGTCGCTATCCACGAAGCCATGGAGCAGCAGACTATTTCCATTGCAAAGGCCGGCATCACGACCGTACTGAACTCGCGCACGAGCGTGTTGGCCGCCGCCAACCCCGTTTGGGGTCGGTATGACGAGGGACGGAGTCCCGGAGAGGTGCGTGCCTCATAGTTGTGCGCACCGCTAGACCTGGGAAACTGACACAAACATCTCCAGAACATCGACTTCCAAACCACTATCTTGTCACGTTTCGACATGATCTTCATCGTCAAGGATGAACACAACGAGCAGCGTGACCGGGTATATATCTTCACAACTTCGCGTTCCATGAGACCTTGGCTGACCTTTCGTTTCTCAGATGATCGCCAAGCATGTTATGAACATTCACATGAACCGCCCCAACCAGAACGCAGATGAGCATGGAGAGGCAGTTGGAGAGATTGACATTGACAAGATGAAGCGATTCATTGCTTACTGCAAAGCGTCAGTCGATTTCCAACCTTCTACCATCCAAACTAACTGCGTCGTGCAGAAAATGCGCTCCCCGTCTATCCGCTGAAGCACAAGAGATGCTGAGCAGTCACTTCGTCTCGCTGCGCAAGCAGGTGCAGCAAGTCGAGCAAGACAACGACGAGCGGAGCTCGATCCCCATCACCATTCGGTACGTCGCACGCGCATACATCTGGCCTATTGTATCTCGCTAACACGTTCCGTCGCCTCAGTCAACTCGAGGCGATCATCCGTATTTCCGAGTCACTCGCGAAGCTCTCCCTCTCGCCCGTTGTGCAGAACCACCACGTCGAGGAGGCGATCCGGCTCTTCAAGTTCTCGACTATGGACGCCGTCTCTGCGGGCTCTGCTGACGGGCTGTCGCGCGGCGCGGTGAACGAGGAGATGACAAAGATCGAGAAGGAAATCCGCCGTCGACTGCCTATCGGTTGGAGCACGAGCTACCAGAGTCTCGTCCGCGAATTCGTGACGCAGCAAGGGTACTCGAGCCACGCGCTCGAGCGCACGCTCTTTGTGCTCGAGAAGCGCGAGATTATCCGGTTCTCGGGGCAGAAGAAGGTCGTTCATCGGTGAGTCTCGTTGTGCCAAAGTACTATGAAGGCTTGCGCTGACGGATCAACTTGTAGCGTTGGTGTATAGGTCATTGTTCCAGTCGCTCATGTTTGTTATCCTGGTTATCGGATCGCTTTCCTCGTGGTGTAGACTATCGTGTAGCAGTATATCGGAGCTATGCCTAATGTATGTTGTATCTCGTACGTGTCGAGGGTCCTGCGCCTCCTGTCCGCTTCCAGTTCCGGCTTCGAGCTCGCCCTCGAAGCGAACTACATGGACTGGGCTAGCGGAGTCGACGGCCCGGTGGTCCTAGCTTATGGTGGATATACAGTAATCTAGCAAGGCATGGGCCAAATGTGTGGCGAGGGCGGTCGTCTGTGATGGTGTCCACCGGTGTCAGGCGATATGCGCAATCCCGAGTGACGCTAGTCGATAGTCCGGGGAGGTGGTGCGTTCGGGTCAAACACCCTCGGCGGGAAATTCTGCAGCGGTTCCCTATGCACACGCATCGCGTCTTAGCCTTCCGGGAGCGTAACGCCATAGCCAGCGGCGACCACTCACGTCCTCATGTCCCACACGTCCTCGCTACTCTTGCTCGCCCGCCTGCGCGCCCACCACTCCGCGCGGCGGCGGATCCACATGTCTCGCTTTTCCTCGGGATGCACGCCCTTGAGGCTCATGCAGAACTTGAACTCCTCGAGCTTCGGCGTGCATGTCGCCATCTCGCCGTACCGGTACAGCGACCGTGCCTGCGAGCTCATAACTATGCGTGCGGGTCAATAAACGCATGCAAGAAGGCCAAAGCTCGAGTTAGGGCACTCACCATTGCAGAGTAGGAAGTCATCGAAGAGCTTCATGCACCCGGGAACATCCTCGGGGGCGGGGTGAACTTTCCGGAGGTACTCTTCCTCCTGCTTGACAATCTCTGGGTTCAGTTTCTCCTCGGTAGCCATAGCCGGCACACAGTTCGTCTATGGTGTGAACCCAGCAAGCACTGTGGCGGGTTGGAGATGAGAGGAGTATTGAGCTCGGCGTGTCTCCGCGCATCGCGGGCCCGATATTGTTATTGATTGATGAACAGAATATCAGCGTAACAAATAAATATAAGTTATCGCCCGCCTAGCTCAATCGGATAGAGCGTCAGACTCTTACTAGCGGGTGATCTGAAGGCTGCGAGTTCGACCCTCGCGGTGGGCTAATCGTTTTCCCTGAGCTGGCTACCACGGACAGCATGGAGTCTTTGCTCGCGCAAGCGCAATTAATGGTTGCAGTAATATCTTGCTCAGTCTTGCGCGTTCCCCCGGCTGACATAGGAATATTGAGGCTAGTAGCGGCAACGAGGACAATAATGTTTTGCGATGCAATGCGAAGGTAAACTACAACATTTGTACTTGTACAATATGATACACAGACGAGCCTTTCAAGCGTTCTTCGTGAGAGTAATCAGAAAGCGACCTTCGCCACCAGACCATCCGACTCTCGCTCCCAGCAGCGATGCTTGCTCAGCTCGTACGCGAAGTTGGCAACAAAGCCCTTCTCTCCCTGCTTGATGGTAAGGGTGTCCGCGACCGCCGAGCCGACGTCGTATTTGCCGGCGGAGACGACACCGTACGAGGTGGTGACGGCGTCACTATTCTGGTCAGGAGCCAACTGAACGCCTGGAAGCTGTACAACTTCGCGGAGAAACGCGACGCCTGCCATATTATCGATAAGTATACCGTACTACTGATGATGTTTAGTTTGTGCGACTCACCCTCGCCAAGGGCACCGATGGCCTTGCAGTGACCGAAGGCCTCCCGTACCCAATGAATGGTACGACCGGACCCCGCGAGAGCCTGAGCATGCTTCGCGCCGCTGGGAATAATGATCGCGTCGAACATGGTGCTGCGCTGGCCTTCGTAGTGGTGGTCGGCGCTGTATCCCTTGCCGGAACCGACTTGCTCGCCGTCAGGATAGACAGAACCGCGCCGGGGGCCGATGATCCAGGTGGTTGCCGAGCCTGCCTTGAAGGCGGCACGAAGAGCTTCAACCTCGGCGAGTTTGAAGCCGTCGGCAAGGAGGATCGCAATCCTGCGGGACTTGATAGTCGGCTCCTTCGGGGCAAAAGCGAGCTGAGAGAGCCTCGACGAGGAGTAACCGTGGTTCGCGCGGGCGGGCTTGTCCGGCACCACACCCCCGACGTTGATGGCGACTTGTTTGGCAAGATCGAAATCGATGTTGTTCAGTAGCTTCGTATAGCTCTCGTACACGACAGGGTCGTCGCAGTGGCTGAGCTCGAAGGAGAGTGCCGACACCACATGCGCCTTCTCGTAGTCCTGCAGAGAGTTGTAGAACAGTTGTGCGTGATTGTAATGCTCTTGGAACTTAGGGCTGCGCAGGCGCTGCTTGATCGCCTGGATTTTCTGGGGGTACCTGCGGGAATGGTGAGTCACGGGTCAACGAGGTAACCAGTTTACGTACTCAGCGTATCCTCCCTCGGCGGGCGGAACCGGGGGCCCGACGGAGTGGCGGTTTGGCCAATAGTTCAGATCCTTGGTTATCTTGTGCTGCATGGCTCCGTCGCGATGGTGATTGAGTACAGGACACACCGGACGATTGATAGGTAGCTGCTGCCAGTTGATGCCTAGGCGCGAGAGCTGCGTGTCGAAGTAGGAGAAGTTGCGACCCTGAAGTAGAGGATCGTCGCTGAAGCCGATACCCGGGACGACATGCGCTGTACAGAACGCGACCTGCTCTGTCTCGGGGAAATACTCGTCGACGGTACGGTTGAGAACCATTTCGCCAATGATTTCCACAGGAACAAGCTCCTCTGGCCAAACCTTGGTAGCATCCAAGATATCGAAATCGAAGTCGTTCTCGCGGGCCTCGGGGATGACCTGAATGCCAAATTGCCACTTGGGGTAGGCGCCAGTAGAGATGGCTTCTTCGAGGTCCTTCCGGTGAAAGTCTGCAGGCAGTCAGCGACCGTACCAAGGACAGTAAAACATTACGAACCTGGATCCTGCCCAGCAATTTTCAAAGCCTCATCCCACATCAAACTGTGGACGCCGAGCTCAGGAAGCCAGTGGAACTTGACGAAGAAACGTTCCCCTCGTGCATTCAACAAAGTGACTGCCATACGAAAACACCCACGATTGAGTCAACCTTATTCAAACAAAGCATGATATGCGTAGAGCGACGTACACGTGTTCACCCCGAAACCTTGCATCATCCGGAGTGAGCGAGGGATTCCGCGATCAGACATAGCCCACAACGCCATATGCGCAGCTGGGAATTTGACATCTTGAGAATAGTAACTGAGGGTTGAGATTGCAGCGACGTACATTCGGGTTGAAGTCCAGCAAAATCCCAGAAGTTATTGTGGGCCGACTGGCCTGTAGGCACCTCGTTGTGTGGTTCCGGTTTCACGGCGTGAATGAGGTCGGGGAACTTGATAGCATCTTGGATGAAAAAGACAGGCATGTTGTTGCCAACCAAGTCCCAGTTACCCTCCTCCGTGTAGAACTTCGTGGCAAAGCCGCGGACGTCGCGTACAGTATCCTAGGTGCAACGATATAAGCACCTGTATGCTTTTTATGGTCTAAAACGATAGCACTCACGGCGCTCCCACGGGAACCTTGAACAGTGCTAAAGCGGACGAACGTGGACGTAATGCGAGACGCATCGGTCAATACGGGCGCCGAAGTGTACTTGGATGCTCTGGCATCGTAGACCTACATAGGTTGACGCCGCTAGTGAGCATATATAGCACTGCCGAGAAAGCAAAGACGCACCTTGAAGTATCCATGAGCAGCAACGCCGCGAGCGTGGACGACACGCTGGGACGACGGGTTAAGATAATCCTCTCGAGAGTGAAGTAAAATCCGACTATATACCTCCGGAATACGCTCATGGTCGAAGCGCATGATTTTCTCGCGGGAGATCTGAGGAGAAAAACGCGTTCAACATGCTGCATATATGCGCATGATTGAGACCCTGGTGCGTACCTGGTCTTCAAGAAGGGCCGGTCCGGGATGAGCACCATTGGAAGCTTGAAGCCTGGATAGTGCGAACGTGTGTGTCAGAAATGATAACGCGTAGGAGCAAGGCTTAAGTACCAATTGTCGGTGTCGGACACAAAGACACCATGGTCAGTGGTTAGGCCTTTCGTAGGCTTCTTGGATGGGTCGAAGGTAACGTTCTGGAGGTCGGCGACCTTGGCGGTTTGGCCGGTCGCGGACGTGAACGCCTCCTTGATGGCGCCGATGGTAGAGGACATGTTGTCGAGCAGGGGGGGATTTGAGTAATGTAGACGCGAGACATGGCGAATGAGCGGTATATATAGCAAGGGCGGGGCCGAGAGACAGCAGAGGACGGAGGAGAGAAGCCACCCAGAGTCGACGTCACTGCTCGATCACTCTGACGAAGTATATGCCCGATTTAGAAGGCAAGTTCGTTCGCGACCCGTCGATGACCCACTTGTCGCGGCCACTCTGATTCACCCCGCCTTCCATCGTAGCTCGCATCATTTGCGCTCCTCCCTATTGGCTGCCGTGCGTCATCCTCAACCCGGCGCGTCCGCGGAGTTCTTCGCGCCACGAGCACAGCTGCAAGATTAACCAGAGCGCTCTTTAGACTGCGAGGCGCGTTCCTAGAGGACCGGGAGGACAGGGTCGTAAGATGCAGGGCAACAACACCGTGGCCAGCGCGCAAGTTGAGTAGCAAGCTCAAGTGTAACCTGAGTCCAGTTAGTACATCCTAGTAAGATTGAGCGCAATTGCTCACCTTTAGCCCCGGCTGCAATATGTGTATGGAGGAAAGAAACGCCGGCCGGAGAGTCTATACGTACAGGATGACGACCAGCACCAAACGCCTGCATCCTGCAGAAACCACGATGGATCATGGCAGGACGGCATCGCGCGGCTTTGTATTACTCCCATCACGTGCTCTGGAGTACCACGGCGTGACCGTGTTCGCAAAACCATCCGATACGGCTTGCTCTCGGAACGCTACTTATTGCAAATGTCAATTCAAGGGACCACGTACGTCTACACATCGGATTTCCTCTGAGCCTGAGCACCGCAGACCCGGCTTCGGAATCAGTTGAAGGCGACTAGCGAAACATCCGAGGAGTTCCCCATACCCATCCCAGGAATAATCAGACCTTGAACGAGGAGGACGGAAGAAAAAGTCAAGCCGTCTATAGCAGGAGAAGATGGTACAGTCGAGCTGCAGGCGTGCATTCGAAACCCGCTAGGCTTCTGCGCGACGTGCATTTCCTGCATGGAAGCGAAGAGTCAATCTGACTTCGTGGATCGAATCGAATAGAAGTGCAGGGGTGCGGTTACACCGTGACGCGACGACACGACCAGGGTGGGACATTCTTCCCCAGCGTACCTTAGCCTACTAATTGACATTGACCACAAGTGATAGTCTCGCTGCAGTACTCGGAGCTTTTCGAGCGAACAACATCGCGTGCGCTGAGACCCACGCAAGACATACTGTGGATACAGACTGGATTTTTCTCAACCTCCTTCGGAAGACGTCCCCACGGAGAAGACCGCATCCTGCCACCTCCGTCACACCACACCCACGGAGAAACCTGCCACAGCACGCCACGAACGCGCAGAAGCCCGTCCACCCAAGCGTGTTCCCCAAACGTACGACGTGCGGTGGCAGCCCCCATACACCCCATAAACCGAAGACCAAAGCAGCGAAGCCTGTCAAAGCACACTACACGCCCGCCTCGAGGCGGCGGAGCCTACGCACTGGGCCCGCCAGCCCACCGCGCGCCGCGCCGCGCCCACAACGCGAGTCGATCCCAGAACACGCACCGGCGATCAGCCCGGGTGCATTATAACCTGGCAGTGCCGCGCAAGCACGCTCGCCGCCCACTACGGTGGCAGAGAGCCGGCGTGCTATCACGGATCCGCGCCCGTGCACCGTATGGTGCCCGGCTCCGGCGTCCGTCCGCGTTCGCAGGGCCGTGGCGGCTGGACCATGCGCGTCGCCGGGCGCTTCCGGGCCCGCCCACATGGACCCACAGGTCGCGCGCCGCGAGTGGGATCGCGCAGCGGTGGGCCCATTCGGAGACGTATTATGGCAGTCCGATGAGGGGTAAGACATGGGGGATAGGTCTGATGTAGCGGATGGGGCGGACGTACGATTTAGTGAACTCGACAGTAGATATGTTGTAATCGCGACTCAGAACGCCGTCGAAGCCCGGCGATACGAGCTTCTGGTTACTGGGCGCGGCCGAGGTGATGTGCAAGGCGTCCTGCGAGAGATTATGTTAGGACGTGGAGTGCAATGCGCGCGGATCAACGGAGGGGAAGTTCGGCTCACCGTCGTCGCCGTTCCTGTCGATCCATGGTGTGTGCGCCAGTGGGTGGTCTGGGGCGAAGTTACCCGGCGCAGCACCCCGCCCATGGCCAAATGGAGCTTCGAACTTCGAAGGTCGACCCTCCGCGCACATCTGCGCGCATTGAACGGTCCAAAAATTCTGCAGCACAGGTCTATATTCATGTCTGCGTAGTAACAATATAAATAACTCGGGACAATTTCCAAATCGTGTGAACGTAAGAGATCGTACGAGGTAGTCGAAACCATCGCTATCGGCGAGTACGGACGGGAAGTATACATTTATAATAACGAGCGACGTATACAAGACAGGACTAACGGGGGAGGAGGGTACGTATGAGAGTAGATAGAGCGAGGATAAAAAATCGAGCGAGGAACAACACGACGACGCCATATGAGGGGGGGTGCATAGGGGGTACCACACAATCAATCAAGAAGCTCGAAAGAAAGGCAGAGCGGATGGGGGACATTCGACAGCGCTTGTACACCTAGCAACGGGACATGGAAGGAACTGAGACCCAGGCGGGATACACAAACGCGTGCCGAGCATCATCGTCGTCGCGATGTAGAGCATACCAGAGCCAAACGAGGTTGGGAACATGAACGGAATCTCTACACCGCTAGACGGACGTGATTGTTGCCTAGCGCTACAGAGAATAATAAGCATCGGAAGAAAAATAAGATAGGCACCAAAAATGTACGTACGCAAACCGTAGGAAGCGAAACAATCAGAGGCGAACATGTCGTTTACTTGACGTCGTCGCACTCGCAGCCCTTCTCCTTGCCCTTGCCGACCCAGCTACGGCCGCACTGCTCGCACCAGGAGCGATGGCCGCCGTCAACGCCGATAGAGTGGCCGGAGCTCGACGTGAGGGACGCGACCGACTCGGTGCGGTGGATGGAAACCATGTGCCGCGTGAGATCGTGCTTCCGGCTGAACGAGCGGCCGCAAGACTTGTGGTGACAGGCGTAGGGCTTAAGGCGGTTGGGGTCATGGGTCTGGATGTGCGTCTTAAGGTTGTAGGCGCGAGCGAAGGCTAGGAGAGGTAGCTTAGCAACCGGTAACATCAGAACGATAGCGCGTGATTATTTACCTCGGGGGCACGTAGGGCACTGGTACTTCCTCTTCGGGTCCTCGTGCATGTCGATCTTCGTCCGTTGCGCGGCGAGGGAGGGGTGCGACACGCCGGACAACTGCGGCGAGACACTGGAGTTCGAGCGGGAGTGCTGCTGGTGAACCATCCGCGCACCGGTGTACTTGTTGATCTGCACCTGCGCCTGCGGATAGTAGTCGGACGCAGCAGAAGTACCGAGCCGGACCTGCTGCGGCTGCGCAGGCTCGTAGTCTGAAAAGGAACCGCGGGGGGAGGAGTAGGGGGGAGAGTACTGCGAGATGTTGGGCACGCTGCCGGGCGAGCTACGGATGGAGGGGGAAGACGGGAGGGCCCCGAAGGAGTTGGGGTCCTCGGGCATGCCCATGCGCTGGAAGTCCATGTCGAGTTGCTCTTGGGTGAGGGAGTAGACGCTCGAGGGGTAGTTGTTCGTGGGAGACTGGGCCTGGGCGTTGAAGTTGTAGTAGCTTTCAGAACGGCTGGAGATACTGTCGTTGTAGACAGAATCATAACCCGACACCGACTCAGACGAGACGGTGAAGGAGGAGGGAGGACCGAAGACAGGCGTAGCCGGGCGATAGAAGGAAAAATCGGCGGTGTCGACAGGGAGGAGACTCAGCTCTGCGTCGAAGGCCGCGAGGGAGTTGTCGAGCTCGAGTTCGAACTGGTCAGGGTGAGGGGCGACGACGTCTAAGCCGGCTTGGCTGTAGCTGAAGAAGTCGAAGGACTGCTTCTGGTTCTCGCCGCTGTCGAGTGCTATGGTAGGGGGGGCTGCGGATTCAACCTTGTGGTAGGCGGCAGGCTCGAAGGCAGCGGACTGGGGATAGAACTGGGCGAAAGTTGGGTCGGACATGGCAAGAAAGAGGGATGTTTATAACTGCGGAGGGGGCGTATATGAAGGCAGGCGGAGGGAGGCAGCGAGAGGCAGGGAGGGAGATGGTGGAGAGGAAAAGGGAGGAGTGCTGCGGAAAAGGCACACGTCGCCTTCGTTCCCACCCCGCCAATGCTGTGCCGTCTCTTGCCGAGGCCCTGCCGCTCCTCCTAACCAATACAGTTTCCTTTCCGGGCCCGCTCGCCAACGCGGCATCCGTACCCCATCCCTGCGGTCTCCCTCCACCACCATGTTTGCTACTGCATGCGCTGATTCCATCGCCAGTGCCCCAGGAAATGCAACTCAATCCTGCCCAACCACCCCCGGCCCATTGGCACTCGGTCGGAGCACCCTCCGGAGTGACGCAAACCAACAATGCTATCAGCCCGGCGGGGCCGCCCTGGACTGGCGGTGACTCACCGAGAGACGCTGGATCCACTCTGCCCTCCCCCGTGAGCGTGACAGGCCGCGCCAGAGTTTGAGGGTTCTATCAGGCGAGCGGTCCGCCGTCTGGGAGCGGAGAGAGAGCGAGATCGTGCGCCCGATGGGCCATGGGGGGAGCATCAGCTCGTAGCTTGCCTTTGCCTGTTCTCCGCGAATCATACCAAATCACCGCCATCAGCTTCTCTGCCAGACGGTGCGCTCCCAATCAAGGTGCCGCGCCTTGCGCCCACCGTCGCCCGTCCTCCCTCCTCCTCCAGCCCAGCCCGCTGGCACAGCCCCCGCCGCGCCGGTCGCCCGCGAGTTGCCCGTTTCGGCCGCCCAAACGCTCTCTCCCGCCCCGCCTCCACCCTTCCCTCGCTGCTTTAGCCTTAATTGTGATCGTTGTCCCCCATCCCAGATTTCTCTATCGCCCTCATCAACTTACTAATCCCTCCCCCTCCCTTACCAAACCTGCGTTCCCCAAAGCTCCGCGACTGATCGGAATATTGTCTTCGTCTCTCAATCCGCCCTCTCCATTTACCTTGAACCTATTTTCCACAAGCTACGGCCCAAACCGTGCACGGGCACCATGGCGGTTATGTCGCACCCCTCTGCGTCCGTCGTGTTTCGGAATCACGTTGCACTCGCACGCCTCTTACGGCTATGTCTGGGGCCCCCCACCGCCCGCTTCACTCTTCCGAGCAACAGGGGTTCACCGGCTTCTTCGCGTCGACCCAAGGGAGGATCATACCCAGCTTGGTCACGGAGCTCATCCCCGAAGCCAAGCACGCATGCCCGGAAACACACCCGCGCACACCCGTACGCGTCGTTTGTGCTCGCCCCTGCCAATATTGTAGCCGCATGCCGCTACGCATGTTGTCCGGATGCTGCGCTCCTGCTGCACGGCACAGCTGCTGCCTCGATCTGTCCTCCATCAAGCCGGACAGCCTTCACCGCGGATCCTTTACTGATCTCATTCCTATCTCGTGCGCAGGGGATATACCGATCACAACTCCATCGCCATCTGTCAAAATACTCTGAGGTATCTCCAAGGGACCCGCCCTGGTCCACGCTTGTGACGATACCTCCATCACGTTGCATACAGAATACCAGTCCGATGGGTGCGCACCATCATCTCCTGAACTTCTCTTCTGGCGCAACTCACCGATGAAGCAAACGATACCTCGTGCAGCTGACCGGTCGTCTAGATCTCCCGGAGGCCAGCTGCAATGCACTTCGCGATGTGGCACAGAGCTTATTGCTACCACACAGCGGATGCAATGTCGGCCCTGTGGCCAATTCTGTCAGGGCGCAGCGGCGGCTGCGGCCCCCATTCCTTGATGGCGGGCGACGTCGCCCCCCGGCAATCTAGGACGATCAATATCGACGTCGACGTCGGCCGGCTTCCTCTTCCCTGCTAGCGTGCCCGCAAGCGGGCTCCGGACTCCGCGTCCCCCACTCCGCAGCGTTCTCTTCGACGTCTTGCGGTCAAGCCATGCTGCAGCTGCGCCCGCACCAGCCGCAGCGCGCAGTTTAGCACTCTTATATGTACGTTCCTCGACCTCGGGGAGACTGCGGAATTAATCGGACGCCCCGTCCCTCTCGCTCTCTTTGTTCTGGATGCAGCCAGCCCCCGACGCACCCCATTGGGCCCACTACGCATGAGAACAAAGAGCTCAGAAGACACGTAGATGGTGATGGTCTGCTCTCCGCATCACTGCCGTTACGTAGGTAAGTGACAATGCAGGAATCCGCCGACCATAAAATTCCCAGCTACGACCCACTCGAGATGCGGAGATTTCTATCGCCCTTCTCGTCGGCGGTAGCGACGTCGAATTCGGCGTGCTCGGAACCTAACAAGATGCACCCGCAGTTCGGAAAGTTCATCACATGCGTTATACGAAGCGTGCGGTGCGCCCCGACAGTCATCGCCTGGATCGTTCAGGTAAGAATTAGCGCATTGCTCCCATCCACTCGAAATCACGGATATGTCGTCTGCTTCTCGTGCCACAGGAAGGCTGGGCCCCATTGTCCAACGTAAGTGCCAGAGTATGCACACGGACCCTTGGCCGCTTGGAGCCGGAATCTGTCAAGAAACCGTTCGAGACGCTCTGCAGTCAGATGGGCGCGAACGGGCGCACACGGGGCCAACGCCAGGGCGTCAGGGGTATTGCAGCCCGGGGAAGCCAACAACAAGCATGGTCCGTGTGCGTACACCTCGCCGGGTGAGCATTTCTGCATCCGCCTTCTGTCGTTCGCAAGTTGTTGTACCGTCAAAGAAGGTAGGAACGAATGCTGATACGCTTGATTTGTAGCCTCCCTTGTTCGGCGACGGGACACTTTGCGTTGGACAGCTCGTTTCCATGGAGTCCTACTGCTGGAAGAAGGGTGCTAGTATCCGGGAATCCCGCACGAAGCGGACTCTCCCACCGACGTCAGTGGCCCGACATTGCAGCCAGCGCGTCACCATGCCACCACCACATGGCCGCTGGGTGGGAGGTGTGCGGCTGCGGCAAGGCGGCCAATAGAGAAGACGAGCAATGGAATGGGTGCGGCACGCGCGTACGTACACCCTCGAGCCTCGCGGGAATCGCGCTGAGCCGTGTGCAGAGCGAGAGGACCACATTCGTTTGGCTCCGTCCGAGACGCATCGGACCCTCCGAGCTGGCCGGGACGTGGGGTTTCCGGAAGAGCCCCTGACGTGGCATCGGGCGGACCGAGTGCAACGAAGCTTCAGGAACGGGAGTGTTTGGGCGTGCTATGCAACATCATTGCAGCCCCAGCTCCACGGGCCTCGATGGACAGAGTTCAGAGTGCCGCGCTGCCGTCGCTTGGCTCGGGGTCGGCGCTGGGTAGAACAGTAATGAGTGTGAAACACACGCAATGTGCAGCTCATCGGCGTCGCGAAGCCATAGCGGGCCCTCACATGAGCTGTGGCTGAACAGAATCCGATGCGGGGCGGCACGAGGCGATGGGCCACGGCTCTATCTTCCCCCATTGAAGCAACTGGAGAGTATCCGGGCGGGGAAAGGCCGCCAGCGTCGCGCGCTGGGTGTGATCTGGCTCGAAGGGCGCGTGGCGCGGGATACTTTGTGTGGTGAGAAGCCGGGTGCGAAAGGCCGCTGGGTTGAAGTCGGTGCTGTTTGGGCAGCTGCGGGGGGGAATCGAGCACTGCATGTCAAAGCCGGCGGCGGGCGCTGCGCACGGGACGGAGTCGAGTCAGTGTAGGGCCCGTGGGCCGTCGGAAGCGCAAGCTGGCAACGGAGGCTGATGGCTCAGCGGACATAGAGGGGATGCGTGATCATCGCGCGGGCGGTGGGAATACAGAATATATCAGAACGGGAGTAGAACGCGGATACTCTGGACTGAGCTGGGCTACACGTTCATGTTAGTGTTACTGTACACTATACTTAGCGGGACTAGCACAGAGTGGTGATCGATCGGGCGCTGGAATAGGCAGGGCCCATCAGCAGCATAGCCATCACAGCTGTGTGATGGACAGACCCCGCCCTTGCCCCCGCCAACTCTAAGTTCGATTTCGTCCACCGCCAGCATCCAAGTCCGCTCCGACCTCTGCTGCGCCCACGCGCACGCATATCTCCCAGGGCGCCCTCTACATTCTACTGTACCTTCTTTCTTTATTCTTCTCACCCGTTCAGACCCCGCCGCCATGGCCACCAGGCTCCGCGCGCCCACTTGGGCTCCCCTTGTGGCCATCCTCGCGGCCGCCGCTGCCCAGGTTCTTGCCGGACAGGTTCCTGTGTACAACGGCGTGATTGGGGGACAGGCGGACCCCTCCACACGCGCACTGCTTCATGGCGCTGTTTTGGCCGCTACCGACGGCAACACCACTGCTGTCAACACCACCCCCGGAAAGCTTCGCATCGTCGAGAATAGCGGGGTCTGCGAGACCACTCCCGGGGTCTCCCAGGCCTCTGGGTACGGCGACCTCACCGCCAACCAGAGCCTTTGGTAAGCATCTCTATCTGCGCGCATCAAGCTAATTTTTATATGCCACATCCGCATGCGCGTATCTTTCTTCTCCATTGTGCTGACAAGGCGTGGCCTTCCCGCTCGCTTCTCGTGATCTAGGTTCTGGTTCTTCGAGGCCCGGAACAACTCAGACTCAGCGCCTCTGACAATATGGCTCAATGGCGGAGTGCGTATCACCCTCGGTAGCTGGACCCTGACGCTGTGGGAAGCACTAACCCAACTTCCTCCGACAGCCGGGCAGCTCGTCCATGATTGGGTTGTTCCAGGAGAACGGACCGTGTAGGATTACCAACGACAGCTCTGCCGTCACGCTCAACCCTTACTCGTGGAACAACGTCTCCAACATGTGCGCGCAGACTCCACCCGACATCGGGGGTCGCCCTCTGCCCTCACGTCCGATGAAACGTTGACACCACCCCTTCTTTCTCAGGTTGTACCTCGACCAGCCTGTGGGCACAGGGTTTTCCCATGGCGAGACGAAGGTCGGCACTTCTATACAGGCGGCAGAAGACGTTTGGAAGGTGTGCATCCGTTCCAAGTCCGCATGCCCCTCGAGTTCCTCCCGGAGCAATGAGCCACCGCCCCGCACGTGCTGACGCGCCCCCGAACTTTAGTTCCTCCAGATGTTCTTTGCCGATGACAAGTTCTCCAAGTACAAGAAAGCGGAATTTGCTCTCTGGACAGAGTCGTGCGCAGGGTCTCCCCGTGATCATCAGCGCACAGCCCCTCTGACCAGATGTGATATAGCTATGGAGGCCACTATGGCCCTACAATTGCTGCGTAAGCTTGATTAATTCGTGTGCTCTCCGGGAGCGGAACATCTGAATCCCCCGCTCAATAGTTACATTTTGGACCAAAATGCGGGCATCGCCAACGGCACTGTTAACGGCACCGCCATCAACCTTCAATATCTAGGCATTGGCGACGGTCTCACCGTACGTTATTTGTCGGCGAAAATACCTAGCGGCTGACACACTGCTGTGTTCTATAGGATCCTCTCGCGCAGTACCCCGGATACCTGTCCTATGCGGCCTCGAACCCGTAAGTCTGGAGGTAGGTACGGAGAAATCTCGCCGCTCATCTTATCCCTACAGCTACCATCCGTTGGTCTCCAATGACACCATACAACGAGCTACTCTATCCTGGAACAGTACAGGCGGGTGCAAGGACCAGGTATGTATCGAACCTCCACTACCATCGGTCAATACCTCACCAAGCCTACCTAGATCACCAAGTGCAACGATGGAGGCACCGACGACGTCTGCTCGAACGCGCAGCAGTTTTGCAACGCCGAAATCTTGTCGGCCGTACTTGGCCCCCACGACCCGTATTACATTCTGAGCGGTGTCGTGGATCTCTACCCGCCGGATATCACGAAGTACCTCACGAACACGTCGCTGATGAAGACGATCGGCGCCGAGTCCACATGGGTGATGAGCAGCGACGACATCTATTTCAACTTTGCGGACACCGGAGACTGGATGCGTACCTCGCGGCCTTTGCTCGAGAAGGTCATCGACGCCGGCGTGCGAACTGTTATCTACGACGGCGACGCGGTACGCCTTCTCTGTTGGTTATGTTATGTGGTATGACCTACTTTGACTAATCCCCGGTCGCAGGATTATATTCTGAACTTCCACGGCGTGGAGGCCATGGTACGCGTAGTGCGAAAATCACGGCCGACCTCAGCTCGCTGACCACACCGTGTCACAGGTCGACGCCCTGCAGACGAAATTCACCGCCGACTACGCCAAGCAAGAGTTCGCCAACTTCACCGTCAACAACGAAGTGAGCGGCCTCTACAAGAACGCGGGCACGTTCTCCTACGTCCGCATATTCGGCGCGTGAGTACCCCGCTTAGCACACCACCACCATATTCGCACCCCACGAGCGATGCTGACGGCTCGCGTGCAGCGGCCACGAGGTCCCGGCGTACACCCACGGCTCGCTTCCCGTCGGCGCGGCGGCCTTCCAGATGTTCGCGCAGATCATGGGCAACAACTCGCTTTCAGCCGGCGCGGTGCAGACCACCGCCACGACCGGCGGAGCCTCTGGCACTGGCAGTTCTGCGGCCGATCCGACTGCGACGCAGCCCAATGCTGCGCTTCTGACCTCGGGCTCGCTCTGGACGATGCTTGCCGCGATGCTCGTCGCAGCGGTCAGCCCTGTCTAACAATGCCACAATGTTGTACTACTATATACCCTGGACGCTTCGTCGATATCTCCGTACTTGTAACTCGTCGCAACGAATGTGGACATTACTATCTACTCATGACAAGAACACGGCTTGGTGCGGTTCGGATGGGGAAGCTGGGCCTCGGGGCACATGCTCGGCGCGCGGAGAACCAAATGCACAGCGCCCACATGGCTCCTTGACAGGGCGTCTGGCACCGGGCAGACCGCAGTCGACCCAGGTGTGCAGACATCGGGACCAATCCGGTGTTCAACCTATGCCGCCCCCTACGAGCTCGATCGAAGAGCCCTCTTCCTCGGTCGCACCGCGCGTAAGTTTCAATTTGTGGATGCGGATCATTGTTTAGCTCTGTGAGGCACAGCAAGGTCCGAGTCGGAGAGATAAATTATGCATGCGTCCGTCTCCCATCTTCTTCGGAACTTCCACCGCCGCTGAACAGACGAGTCACGACGACGTCTACGTAGAGCGCTAGCGGGTATGCAGTAGGACGGGCCCCTCATCCCGCCTTGCCCAGCGCGAGCATCACGATCGCGTACACGTTCGCGGCGAGGATGATGAGGAAGATGACGGTCGAAATCGCGGTCACGGCCCAGTGGTTCGCGAACGAGATGTACCCGTCCTCGTCGAGCGCCGACACCGACGCGTCCTCCGCCACGTCCTGTGTCCGCTGCGCCCCGACCTCCTTTTCCGTCACCGCCACCGCGCCCGCCTTCTCGTCGTCCAGGGAGCACGGAAGCGCGTCCTCTTCTGGCGTATGCGGAATCTCCTCGATGCGATCCGAGGACCCGTCTGACAGAAGAAGCTCGGGCTGTGTCTGCGTGCCCGTCGTGCCTAGCGACAGCTCGTCGGCGGCGGGGGTTCGTACGTCCGGTAATGGACGGCGCACGGACATCACCGCTTTTGATGAGGTGAGGAGGATGAGAGGTGCGGCGACGAATGGGAGCACTATCGCGAGCGCGACCTGCGACGCGACCAGCAGCGTGTCGATGCCCCGTTTTCCGACAGCTATCGCGACGACGACGGAGGGGATCAGCCCGATGAGCCGGGTGATAATGCGCCGGAGGAACGGCTGGACAACATGACGTGCGGAGGGAGCAATGTACATTCAGCACCCGGTCCAGGTTTGGTCCGAGGGGCGGACGCAGTAGGAGGCGGACTCACCGACACGCGCCATTCGATGAAGCCCTCGGAGACAATCTGGCCTGCAAGTGTGGCTGTAATGCTTGCCGTTTGGCCTGCGCAGAGCAGTGCGAGTGCGAAAATGAATGCCGCGGCTAGGGGACGTGATTCGATCAGTCAAAAAGCCGGATGCAATGGTGCAGAAGACGCAGCGAGAGGACCTTACCTGTTCCAATGTGCGCCTTGATCAGATCGTGCGCGTCGAAGAGGCCGGCAGGGGGCGTGGATGCTGATGAGCCATCTTTGTCGAAGAAGACCGCCGCAGCAATGACGAGGATGCTATGGGGAGATAGTCAGGTCATTTGGGCTACTCGGAGCGCGGGGAGGGAGCGTACGCGGAATTTATTGGCACAGCAACAGCCAACAGGCTCACAATCACATCTACGAGGCCGTGGGACAGATGTGCGCGAACAAAGCTGAGCTCGTTATTACGACGGTCATACTTGTCGCGATAGTCTCGCGACGCTGCGATACGTTCGGCGCGAGAGATGGTGAAGATGGATGAGAACCAGGTCCGGACTTTGGTCCTCAGGTCGGTGGGGGCGGCGGACACGGGGGTTGGAAGTACCGGCGCTGGGGCAATACGGTCCTGCGTGGCAAGGTACGACCCGAGGAACAGGGCGTGCGGCATTACGGTAGCACCCAGGATCCCGACAGCTAGAAGGGAAGGACAATGAGCTATTCAAAAACTGAAACTCGAGAAGCTGAGAAGTTCACTGACCAGTGTACAGGGCATCAGGCTGTGTCTGGAATAAACCGCTATCGGGGATGAACCCCAAAAACGTCTGTCCCCAATTTGGGCCCACTCTTGCGAGGAGCACGAGGAAACAGATAAAGACAGCAGCAACCTGCAGTGCAGACGTTCGTCAATGTCGACTGGCGATTGCTCTGTAGTCGCACTCACTAGCGCTATAACGGTGTATTCGAAGATCTTTACAGGGCGACCTTGACCACGGGAAGGATCCCCGAGAATCAAGAAAATCAACACGTCGGAGGCAGTAATGAGAACCGCCGCCCAAAGGGGAATTGACGGGAATATCAGGCAAAGACCTATGGCGGACCCGAGCAGTTCCGCCAGGTCAGTGCTCACTATCGCCACCTCGGAGAGCACGTAGAGTGGGTATAGGACGCCATAGCGAATAAGGCGCTTATGTTTAGGGCGGTCGTAGAGAAGAAGGCGACAGTGCGAGGCCAAATCTGGACAGGGCATTAGCGTTACGCCAATGGTGGGATGCGTCCCGATATACTGCGCACCTCGACCAGTAACGCAGCCTAGCTTGAAGGCTAGAGACTGGGTCCGGACGTCAGACTGGGCTGGGACCCGGTCGAGTGGGTATTCACCTGGAGAACCATCGCACCAAGTCCGGCCATGAGCACGACAAATAGCATCGGCCTGTAGCCAAACAGGGAGCCGGCCTGGAGATCGACGCTCCAGTTACCTCTGCGCGCTATATCAGCACATGGACGCGTTTAGCGATGGACGGTGCGCTCACGGATCGAAGTAGGCGACGGAGCAGATGATGCCCACGCCTACGTGTTTCGATACATGGCGAAAGACAGTGCGCCAGCTACGCGTGAGACGAGCACGCCAGGAGAGCGCGTCGGGTGCGGGTGCGCCATAGACGGCGGCGCGCTCTGGGTGGGCGAGGAGGGACATCGGGCGGGGCGGGGAATAGCGTGTGCATGGCGGCTTGGGGCGGTACTTGAAGAGGAGAGGACCGGGGATGTGGTATGGACGAGGGATTGGGACGGGCGGATATTTGAGAACGGGTTGCTTGCTATGGCGAACCCGGCTGGGCGTACTGGGAAAGTTGCCGTCACTGTGAGACGCGCCGCCAGTCCCGCGCGCCCTCCCGCCAATCGCGTCTTAGCCACTCCGCCGGCTCTGTCTCCTACCACCACCTCCTCCTCGACCGCACTCCTCCAAGCACCCCAAGCACATCATGGACGTCGACCTCCATCCGCCTGACGACTACAGCCACCGCTTTTTCATCTGGCACGAGTGGATACTGGTCCGTTCGTCCCAGGCCGTCTTGCGCCTACCCGACTTATTCACACCGGGTCTCGCAGGCACATGGCCCGCTCACTGCGGAGAACGCGTTCGACTATTTCACCACATCAATGTTCTACGACAAGCAGAGCAATAACCAGGTCCTGCGGATGCAGACCATGCACACCGGCCTCCCGCTCGTCAATGAAGCGGAGGAACTCAGGTAAGAAGCGGCCTTCCCCCGTCCCGTGCTGCGGCCCTCATGCGTCATGTCGGTTCTCAGACGCTTCACCGGCATCGAGTTTGCTCTCGTGCATGCCGAGCCGCCCTCGCTGTTTATAATACACAAGCGAGAGCGTCTCTCACCCCACGAAGGTGAGTCGCCAGGTGAGTCGCCCTCTCCCACCCCCACCGTTCTGAGACCATCGGCGCTGCAGTCCGCCCCCTCGCTGTCTACTTTATTCTCAACCACCGCATCTACCAATCACCGGACGTGTACACCTTGATTTCCAACAGGCTCGTACGTCCACGCGATTCGGCCGAATGTTCGATTCGCCTCACCTCCTGTCCAGCTCACCTCGCTGCATTCGCTCCAAAAATCCCTCGACACCTTGCGCTCTCATAGGCCCACGTACACGCCCCGCACAGGCTTTGTGTGGCCGATCGTGGAACCGCCCGCGACTGACGCCGCGGCGAGCAAGAAGCGTGCCGCTGCCGAGGGTGAGCCCGTGCCTGCCGCAGAAGTACCCGAGGATCTCTCGTCGGAGCGTGGGCTCCCCGCGGGTCCCGCCGATGCGAAGCGGCAGCAGAACAACATGCTGCTCTTCAACGCCATGCGTACGACGGCCTTTCACGCGCATGAATCCTTCCAGCTTCCTGCGGCTCCATCTGAGGAATCCGTCCCGGAAACGCCTGCTACTGCCACTGCAGGACGGTCTTCTATGACACCGGCACCCGTTCCGAGGGGCACGACTCCGAAGGGCCCTTCCAACGCACCTACGCCTCAAGAACCGCCTGCCAGAGGTCCGCCCGGTGGCGGGAAGAAGAAAAAGAAGAGTAAGTTGTGCAGGCAGGTCACCATTCATTCCGGATCTGATTCGTGTGCTTTACCAAGGGACGTTGACCCTGCTAACGCCTGCGCCGTGACTGTCCCGCGTGCACTTTCATGAGCCCCTTGCCTATGGCAGCCTGGTAAGAACGATGCGGACTCGGAGCGCCGCGCCCCCCTACCCACTCCTATTTCACGTTAACGACCAGCTCCGTGCCGTACGAGGCGTGTGTGCCATTCTTAACATATCCTGCATGTACACGGTATCGAAGACGAGCACCATCACATCACCAGTACACCCCCATGTCTACAGACAATCTGCCGGTTCACCGGTAGGCGCACATACGCACACGGTTCCCTTGCCAAGGTATTACCACGCACTACCGACGCTGCTCCAGTTCCATGCCTTGGATTTGGCCCCGCCATACCCTTATCGGGCGTGTACGGTGCCCCGGACTCGGAGCCAGGCACTCGAGCACACAGCGCGCGCCCCCGGGCTCGTCTCGCCCGCTCGACCCGGTCTGTATTATATCCCACGTCCGAGCCGCTGGGCCACTAGCGTGCACCGACGCCCGTGAGCCTGCCCGCGAGCCAGCCCAGCGGCGTCTGCAGGGCACCGGCACTGCGCGACCCGACAGTCCCGCCGCCCCCGAGGGAAAGCGGGTTCGCGGAGGCGAAGGACTCCTTGCGTGCGCGCGCGGCTTCTTGCACTGCGGGGCGCGTTAGAAGTGCGAGCGTGGGTACTACGTAGTGGAGAAGTGCGGGGAAGGACAGGGGAAGGACACTTGCCTGCGCGGTCGATCTCGCTCACGTTCGTCTCGAGTACGAGACCGCCTTGTATGATTTCGGAGAGGATGTGGTGCGCCTGCGGGCGGGTATGTATGAGCGCGATCACAACTAGCCACAGCGTGGTGGCTCGCTAGACCGCAGAAAGCGGCCTCCTGGCCCATGGCAAGTGGCTGGACGTACCTCGTCAAAATGGAAGACCAAATCGAGCTCGCACACGTTCTCGAACGCACTGTCCAGGGACTCCACGAAGACCTGCCCCCGCGGCCCGTTCAGCATCCAACTCTGGCGCATGCGATCACACCACCCAGAAAGACCGCAACGCAGCGCACCTGTATGAGATCGAGGATGCCGAGCTCGCTCTCCGCGACGTCGACGACGAACACGAAGTGCAGCGTCGCGTAGCTGCGGTACACGACGCGCAGCTTCTCGCCCGGGGCGCCGCCCTTGGGCGTGAGGAACGGCTCGAGCTCGGGCGCGTCGAGGAAGTTGCAGAGCCCGGGCTGGCGCGAGGACACGAGCGCGTAGATGCGCTCGACGAGGGTCTGCGCGGAGTGCTCGATCGGCGAGTAGAACTTCGTCAGCCGGGGCACGCCCGAGGTGTTGACTGCGGGCGGGCGTGAGCGTGAGCAGCGGGACGGGGGTGGGAGGGGTGGGCGCGCGCACAGATGAGTACCGCGTGTATCATGGTGTCGTGTTACATCAAGTATGTGCGGTTTGTTGGATGGGGTTGCTCCGTCGAGGAGCACTGTGTCGGTGTCGGGGAGAGAGCGCAAGGACTCGCGCGCCTGCACAATTCGTTCTGGCACAGGGCGCTCCGGATCGAAGAGACGCCCATCTGCCCTGGATGGCGAGCATGATGTCTACCCGGAGTCACTGGAAAACTGGCGCAGACCTTCGATACCTCCGACCTGGCCATGACAATGACCAACAGGTTCGAAGAAGACACAGCAGTACATTGAAGTGGCAGATAGATGTATACGTCCGATAGTGTTTCATAGAATCGAAATACTATGTTGGGGACAGTGACTCGTCCGATACTGCTACGGAGCTATAGTAATCATACACAACACCTTCGCTGAGGTCCGACGTGCCCAGATCACCGTTGTATAATTAGACGAAGGGAAGAAGACAGATCAAGTACCATTGGACTGGGGTATCGAGTCACCTTTGGGCCCAGAGGCGACAGGGCAATCATCGTAGAACTCAGACATGTCCAAGGTTCACACTGCGGGACCAACGGCCGCTAGATTCGGCGGACGGTTGGGCGTATCTCCACCAGTAGGTTTGCACAGGTGCTAGGGGGATAGAAGATGAGTTTTTCCAACGACTACGACAGGCACGTCCACACTCACGTTGAGCTTCGTTGCGTGACTAGAGCGGTGCGTCATCGTGCGGCAGTTATATCCATACCTACGAGTGAAATGTGTTAATCAATGCGTACTGGGGTCTTGGTTCGCGGGTAGGCGTACCAGCAGTCGTCCTGAGGGAGCGTGCCGCCTAATGAAAAGACTAGGTGAGTTACTGCGGCCAATGACGCTGATATATAGCTCACATCTCCGTCGCTCTTCACGCCACCATGGCATCAGGCGCTGTCTAAACAGATCTCCGATACATGTTAAGCAGTACCACTCGTCCTTGGACCAATGAGCAGTGTCGGCGTCCTCGCCTTCCAAGTCCAAGTCCATCAACTGGCCGACAAGGACACTGTCGGTGACGGTGTGTTGAATATCCCTCATATGTTGTGTGAAGGCACGCGTCTCGTCCGCGTTTCTAGCCAGGAGACCGGGGAGTGTATGGGCCCTCTGTATGATCGACATATTTCCCGCCAGCATGTCCATGTCTATTGGTATTTTAGCCACTATGCCCACGCATTCACAAACGATAGACGTACTCGGTGTGCCAAAAAGCTGTAAGCCGTATTTGGTGGAGCAGCGCGAGCCTAGGTGGGATTAGCGAAGAACATGGGGGACATAAGCATATCAATTTACAAGTGTCTTGGTCGCCGTGCACAGACGCGAGGATGGCCCTTTGAGGTTCCCCTGGGACTAAACGCTCGTCGGGGAATTTGCGGGCACGCAAGATTTCGCACGCCGCGTAGGACATTGGGTCAAACTTGTCGGCCATGCGCTCTTCAAAACGGTCAATTTCCGTGCGTTGCTCAAATCGACGTGCCAGAACCATCACGTCGATAGGCGTGGTATTCATGCCGCCTTTGTCAAACGTTACGTCGTGTCCTGTCAGAACGAAACGTGCGGCGCACCGTATGCAAGGCCTATGTGGCACCAAGCATTGAGTTGCCAACTGCGCGTCTCCGAGGCGAATACGCATAAATCTATGAGTTCAAGTAGCTCCTCGGAGGGTATGGACTTGAGAAATTCGACAAGCCCAGCGCGGATCTGTTCCCGCTCGGTCTCTTCCTCGTCTTCATCTTCGTCTTCATCCTCGTCCTCGTCATCCTCACTGGTATCAGACTTGTCGTCGTCTTTGTCCTTGAAGAAGCCCCCACTACAGATGATGTTGTAGCACAAGATGTACCGGTAGATCGCTCGGGCGAAGCGATGCGACTCGGTGGCGTCAAGCACGCTGGTAGACGATGTACGATCCTTAAGTCTGGAGAGGACGGGTATGGGCACACTTTGACATACAGGGGATGAGGGGAAACATACCTCTGGCTGTAGAAGTCCTCAAGGGTGTGTACAGCTTGTACATAGCCCTCGATAGATGCTGCCATATTCCTAGTTAGGTCCCACCCAAGGCCTCGGAAATGCTCTTCGTCCGGAACGTCGTCAGGGGAGCGGGCATCCGTCCAAGAGCACTTGTGCGCATAGTGCGCTGCTCGGGCAGCATATGGCAGCGCTGGCCCTGCAGCATTGGCCGCGACAGCGTGGACGACGGATTTGGGATGGGACTGGAATGCATCGTAGAAGCTCTTGGAGACCATGATGGCGGCTGAGAGCGAGCGAAAATCGGGCAGCAAGCACAATACTTCGTGGGTTACGTCGAGGCTCATCTTCGTGTTGAATAGCATGTATGTGTGAGGAAGACGCGAATGGAGAGCAGCTTTATATGTGGCAAGCGTGGAAGAGGGAGGAGTCAAGACGCGGTGCCGTGTTGAGGGGCGGTGTGGCGCGGAACAGGCCCCGCGCGTCGCGTCGGTCATGTGGTGGGAAAGTGTGACAGGCTGTGACAGTTATGGGCGCGATCGGGATGAAGCAGATGTGCGCCGGATCGCCGTCGATGAGCTCATCAGGAGGAACGAGGATGGACAGAGTACGTGAATATGCGTGCGCATGATGCATGCCCCGCAGCAACAGGAGCTGCCATGCCCCGAAGTCGGTCACAGCGAGCGCGGTCGGAGGAACCCCGTCGCTGCCCGGTCTGGCTGGGCGCGCCGCGGTATATTCGCATTATTATCGAGGCTATATAGAGGCCAGGCGGCAGGCCTATTCTCGACACGTGAGATATACAGGGTGCGGACGTGCATGTTCTGCAAGCCAAAAGGCAAGACAGACGCGTGGGAGGGCAGGATATGAATGTCGTTGTACGGGGAAACGCGGAAGATATAGCGGAGGCTGAGAGCACTTGGCTCGCCTTGGCAGTAACAGCACTAATTCTGGAGCACGCAGGGGGCTGATGTGGGTTCGTATGATGCGACTGAGAATCATGAGGTGTCCGGGAGGAGATGGGGGGAGCACATGTCGACCGCGCGTTCGGATAAGTCGGTGCTGGGGGTGATGAAGAGGGCGCGAAGGGCGAGGCAGACGACGGCCCCAGCGGCGCACAGGAGCACGAACCCGAAGCAACACAAAAATAGGCTCGAATATATTGACGATAGTGCCGCGACAAGTTATCAGTTGCTGTTTTGGGCGTGCCAAGCCAAAGAGGTGTAAGAATAGTACCAACACCGATGCTTATTTTCGGCAGACGCCACCACTGCACTCCTCCTCCTCCTCCCGCCACCGCCCTCAAGCCCCCGCCTGTCCGCGTCGCGCCCCGCTGCCCACGCAACACACCCCATGGACGACCCCCCAACCCGCGCGCGCACCGCTGGGGCAGACGCGGGGACCGAGCACACCGGGGTCGCGCGGCGGGAGACCTGCGGTGGGATGGGTTCCGAGCAAGTCTTGGCACGCTAAAATTACTCTGTGGACAGTCGGACAGGGAGAGTCAAAGATAGTCCATCGACTTGGCTTTGCTCAAATACGCAGCTCTCCACTCTACGCACCATCGCCGTCCCATCCAAGCCCCCCCATGAGCATCCTCCCGTCTCCGCCGCACCCAGCCTTCTCCCCAGAGCCCGCCTTCCCCCACTACTACCACCACCGCCAGCTCGAGGCCAACATGAAGACCGCACTCGCCTCCTCTTGGCGTGTTTTGGAACAGGTCAGTCGCGCATTGCAACCACCACACGGCCCGGTCTCACATGCTTCCCGTTTCGCAGCCGCCACCGCCCAGTCTGCGCGAGATCCTGGAGGCATACAAAGCCAGAGGCGACGGCGACAGAGAGATGCTCCTCGCCATGCTAAACGCCAAGAGTTCTGAAGACCAAGTTAGTCCGCTTGCCGTGCGAAGCGTACCTGTCCACAAGTACTGATAGCGGCCGTCTTTCCAGCGTCTTGCCTCTATCGCGACATTACATCGCACAATGCTCGACATGTATCACGCGCCGCATTCACAACAAGTCCAGCCTGTGATCCCCCTTCACGTCCCCGACGCGCACCACTCCCATCCCTATTCGCATGCCCACCACTTCCCATCGCCCCCCGCCTCCTACCACCACTCGCCGCACGCGCACATCCCGCAGCAGTTGCACCGCGAACAGCCACAGCAGGTGCGCCACCGCACCGACTCGGGCTCGTCCGCAAACGACGCGCGGGACCGGAGGGTGGCGTCGCCGTCCTCGAGCCAGCAGCCGCGCAAACGGCGCCGCACCTCCCGCTCGCCTCCCTCCCCATACGAGTCGCGCGTCCACGGCTCGTCGTCCCATGACGCCACCTCGGCGCACGACCTCCCCCTGTCGCCCTACTCCTCCGCGTCGTCCGCGCAAAGTAGCGGCGGGTCGCCCCGCTCGCGCGAGTCGATGGCGATAAACTCGCTGCTACTCACCTCGCACGCAGACCGCGCGGACGACACTCCGAAACGGAACACCAGCTCTGAGCGGAGTACGACGTCGGCCTCGCGCGACCGATAATCCGCCGACCCTGGTTTTATCTTATTCTCTTCGGTCTTCTCTGTACGATACCTTATGGTCCGCTCTTATTTTGGTAGTGTGTGTGGTGATCGACTGGGTGTGTAGGTTGTAATGTTCCGAGCTTTCACTGTCGCACAATCCCCCGCTGTCTTCGCATGTATCACGAGCCGTACATCCTGTTGTACTAGAACACGCATGGAAATATGACTCGGTCGTCGTCTGTATATCGTTCCCAAACGGGTTCCGTGCTCATCCCATCCGTTCACAAACGGCGATGTTTTGGGTTCCTGCCATCACGGTGTGGGGGTCGCAGCACGACATACGGACCGAACGCCCGACTGATCACTTCATTTCGCCCAGCCAGACCAGGCCAGCCCAGTACTGGAATACGTGTCAAACACATAATGCATGCGCGTCCTCTCGGCATGGCTCCATGGAGCAGCGCTCGGCGCCGAACCAGTGCACCCACACTGGCAGCGCTGTACCGGACCAAGAATATCCTTTGCAACTCCGAGTCAGTCCCGTACCACATGCGCGCGCTCCGGAGGCTCGAGTTCGGAATTGCGCACAAGTCTCGGGCCCTGGCAAGTTACGTGAACGAGTCATGGTGCGTCCTGATTCCATGGCGCGATGCAGCTATTAGTATAACGCTGACAGCACCACAGGAGCGTGTGGCTGGATTGCCGTTGTCGCAGGTACTGATCCCTCGATCCCTCGCCGCAGGACCATACAGGCTCGAGTGTGCCAGCTCGACTTGGATTCTGGAGCATCCAGTGATGCCGGCACCAGCTTGAAATGCCTCGCTCCTCCGACGCCCGACGCGGTATAGGCGGTGCCATCGTGGACAGCTCAGCCCCGACAGCGTCTAGATCATCGACCTCTGACTCTGTGGCCTGAGGCCTGAGGACGTACGTGGAGCTCCGAGGTCGTCGACCCCGCACAGTCTGCCTTTGACAGCGCCACCATTTACTCGGTGCACACGGCTGTCATACTAAAACGAGGTGCCAAGCGGCAGCTCGGTGCTTTTCCACTTGGTGAGTACGTCTGTTATGTGATGTCGGGCAATGGGCGGGAAATGCTAACCGACAGGTCTGGACGTTCAGCGTTAGGTGCGTGTCTTCTGGCCAGTTGCGATTGGACAGAGGACACGATATGCAGGGTCGGCCAGGTTTACCAGCCAATGCATCCGACGCTGCGATTCAAGGACAATAAGTCATCCAGCTCTTCGCTGTGCGCTCGCTCCAGCCCGCTACACATCCCAGGTCTTAGGCTCGCAAGCGGAAGATATAGTACGCCCAGCCGTGCCATCACGGTGAACAGCGGGCAGCCCCACCTAGTACCAACGTAGATGAGCCCGCGGCAAGCCGTCACTCCGAAGTGGCCGACTGTACGGCCAAGTCGAAGTTGCAGCACTGCGCATCTGTGTAGTACGTCGGGACCTGCGGCGCAGCGCGGCCTCCTTCGCGGTAGCAAGAGCTGCATATGTCTCCTGCTGCGTACTATGTCTTCCGCAGTTCTACGCATCGTGGTGCGCTGCTGGGGCGACAGGACACGTCTCGCGACGAGGTACGCCGCAGCAGACTCGAGACTTCGCACCGGGCCGCGTTGACATAGAGATCTAGGCGAAACAATCCAAGCATTCGCTCGCGTGCTTCTCCAGCTGCATATGTTTGCTTCTGGTACGTTGATCCCTTTGAAACTGTATGCATACTTAGTACCACCCGTATCCGCCTAGGTAATACACTGGACCACCAGTTATGCGCGTGCACTATGATCCGCATACAGTGGAGTACCTCGGAAGATGATCTCGTTCCGCGGCATTGGCGACGGAACTTGTAGGCGGAATTACACCATAGCCCACGCATCTGAGCGTCATCGCATAGACGGGCCAAGTGGCCGCAGTGGAAATCGTGCGCTCACAGGGATCGGTCAACCGCTCCGAAGATGCTCGCGGAGGCTAGTACAGTGTCCGACGACAGCCTTGCGTCGCCCTCCCCGGGAGGTGGTGGTGGCCGAAGGCGGGCTCATGAACGCAGTTTCCAAATTTCCCTCCAGCTCATGCCATGCTGAGCGTGCAACGTCATAGTCTGAAGGTCTTCGACCGCCTATAGCATCCGAAAGACGTCTGTAAGCCTCCCTGACGGCGGTAAAGAGAGAAAGGTGAGTGGTTGGACCAACGCCGGCGAATGCGGGAACGTCTTACGTCCTTATGCACGACGGTGTCTATGCGATGTGGTTTTCTACTGGACGGGAATCACTGCGAACTCTCGCCCTAAAATTGAAATAGTACACACGCATACAGGCGCATCCGAGTCCCGAGGCCGCGAGCCCTCTACTAAACATACAATGCCAAGCCCGCCCGCACGATAGCTAGAAGCACACATCTCGTAACTTCGTGAACAGAAGGGCGTCATCAGACGTACTAGTATCTGCGTCACGGTGGTCATACGCACAGGGCGTTATAGTCGTCAATAAAAGGAATAAAGAAATCGATACCGAGCTGGCCTCTCCCAGCACTCCAGCCAATCTGTGTGATTGGGTTATGCAAGCGCTGGGAGCGCGCCGCTCCCGTCGGGTGTGCTCCCCCGTTAGAGGCGGAAGAAGCGGGAGGACGCGCGGGGGTGCGCGAGTGCGTCGGTTGCTTCTGCGAGTGCCTCCCGCTTGGCGCTTGCACAAGCCCCGTCGTCGGTCCAGACGCCGGCGGATCCTAGCAGCGGTGCCGTCAATCATCGCTGAGCAGTTCGGGTCGAGGAGAGACAATGTACCTCCGGGTGTGTCCCCCTCGGTCCACCACTTGGCCGTCCACAAATGACCGCTGGGTTGGTGGTGGACGGCATCAACACGGGCTCGCGGAGCGTGGGCGGGGGACGAGGACGCACTTGAACGAGGCCTGTTGCCCCCCAGTATACACAGACCCAGCGTTCCATGCAGCTACGCCTGCACAGCTACCCCCAGTAGGAGAGCTAGCTCCCGACGTGGTCGTGGACGACGGCCCCGAGGGCGCATTCCCAGCACAGGCGCTGACTAGACACGACCCTCAACATCGGTGGAAATATTGTTGCAGTAAATGGTCTTACTGGGCATCCAGTCACCATTGGGGTCCGCGCTCGGCTGGTTCGACGAGAACCACTTGGACTGAAGCGGGCGCCGTCATTGTAAGCTTCATAGCCTCTGACTGAGCGGGTTTACGATGCGCACCTCCCAAATATACCTGGTGATGCGCTACGGAATCAGAACGTTGCGTAAAAGTGACATAGAGCGTAAGGGACGCACCCGTTGAACGACACCTGACTGCTGCCGGGGTAATTAGTGCCTGCAACGAACGCGTTCGCTGTACAAGCAGGGAAGGTGAAGCCGGTCCCGCCGGCAGCGACGAGCGCGTTCTTCGCCGCGACGTCGTATCTATTGTTCTCTGTAGCGGCACGAGAAGAGGCGTCAGCGTCTCGTCACCCTGTTCGAGAAAAAGAAAGGCACTGACGGTACGCTTGCGAGGCATCCCACATCATGACGCCTGTTCATCATATATGACTATTTGCAGCACGATGGTGTGCCGTGAGGCTCACCTCCGAAGGACGGGAATCGGTTCCGGGTCGTCTTGAGGATGTTGGCGAGCGTTGCGGGATCCTGGTATCCCGATCCCGCCGCGGTGGTCGATGCAGGGGCACCGATGTACACCTTCACGTTCGGGTTCGGGCTGATGGTTCGTGCCCAGATATCCCTGAATCGCGAACATTCGTTATCGAATACCGACGACGAGCGATAGGAAAACGACTGACCAGATGCCAAAGTTAAAGCCCTACATGGCGCAGATGCACACCGGGGTAACGACAGTGCATGACGAAGCAATTCAGGGCGCGTACTATTCACAGCATGCCGAGTTACTTACCGAGGCCGAGTTGAACACCTGCAAGCCGCACGGGTTATTGTCTAAGGGGCCAGATAGTGAGCGTCGAGTGGATCAGAAGCTTCGTAGGGACGTACAGAATTGAACGTATATAGCGTCGAAAGCCACCGAGTTGATTGTCGATCCGAGAGAAGCATCTGGGTAGACACATTGGGGCGCGCCAGTTATGTAGTACCTGTGCGCGGAAGGTTGAGCTCGAAGGTGCACGGTGGACGGAGACGTAATGCGCCGTACTGCTTGCTCGCGCCGCTGAAGTGGGAACGTAAACGCGTTACGAATGCTGCATAACCGGTGGTAGAGCCTCCCTCTATATCGAGGTCCACCCTAAAGATAACTGATTGAGCTTCACTAGACACTTTGGCAGGAGGATGCGCGCTCACCCGTCTAGGACTGCGCTACCGAAGGGACGCGTCGAGCTCGAGCCACCTAGGAAGTCGTTCCAGATGGTATCCGCATAGGCCTCGGCCTGACTGTCAGATTGAAACCCGACGCTCGCGCCACCCCCACCGAGGCTGAGGGTAACGACCTTGCCCTTTGACTGGCACGTCTGTATATCCGACGCCATAAAAGAGCAATCGAGGAGCCCCGTTCCGGGGAAGACGGAGTCGGCGGTGGTGTTACAGATCTACAGATGTGTTCGACATTGGTGACGCTCTGCATTGCCTCAGCACGTACGTTGGCCAGGTCCAACTGTGGAGCGCCTCCGGTACCAAAAAACTTGTTGATGAAGGCAATTGGTATCACATCAATGGAATCGTCCTGGAGTTAGTGCAAACACATAGGTCAGATTTGCACGCACGGCATGACGCACTCGTGGGCATCCTTACCTGACAATAGAAAGCCAGCGGCTTCTGGAAGTTCGCAACGTCGGTGTGGGTGGCACCGTAGGAGTTCTGGCCCCAGTAACTGACGCGTATACAATGTGAGTACGCGACGTGACCACCTCGCCTGAACAAAGTATGCGTACATCGCGACCTGGCGGGGAGAAAGGAAGTCAGGAACGCTTTCTCGATCAGATTGTGGGGTGAGGTACGTACATTATCGAATCTGGAGTTGTCGAACGCCACAACGCCTGCCGCCGCGAGGCCCGCGGCAAGAGCGGCGAAAGCTCGGGAAGCACGGAGGCAGCTAGACCAGGTCATTGTGCGTGCTGGGAGGCCAAGGAGGAGGTGCTGCCGACGCTGGCCCGCTGCATCGCTGGCGTGCTTATATCGACGCAGGGCCCGGGTTATCCAGGTGGACAGACGCGGTGAGAAGGCCGGGCCATCGAGTAGCGTTCATCACGGGGCAGGCGGGGACGGCAGGGGGCACGCGGCGCGTCGCGGAAGCAACGTGCAGTGGACGGAGGCGGACAAGAAAAGGCCAGACTTCGCGATAGAACGGGCAGAAAACATATGGCGCATTTGATCCTGCAACACTCCGTGCAGGCAGCACATGTTGGGCAGACTCAAACTTTGACGTTCGAAGCAGCAACACGTGCCGCCGTACCGCCCATCCTGATAAGAATATAGTTAGATAGCGACACACCTCTCTCTCTGCCTTTAATACACAGTAGTATAGCCGACGTCCACATGCTCTGGATACAGCGTCTGCTCTCATACTCGACCGCTCCCGTCCTCGAGGTACTCTCGCGCAGCCCACCCATCGTGCTTCACGGCGCTGGCCCGCCCTTCTCCGCCTCGTGCAGAGCGGCATTCCTGACGGGGTCTGGCAAGGAGTCACGATGGGCTGCACACACGTCCGAGCAGCCGTCTTACCGAAATATGGGTGTGCCTGCGCTTCTCGCGACGTGAGGCGTTCCTGATGATCGTACCGGAGCAGCCTGTCCAGCAAGTCGATCGCTTCATTCGAGATGTATCTCTGGTTTTCAGAGGTCGTGAACCGCGCCCATGCCTTCTTGGGGTAGCTGTATGAAACTTAGATCATGCACTCAGATCGCTATATGGGGTGACTCACTTGCCGAGCAGCTCGTCGTACTGCGGGTCGAGCGCAATGTCGTACTTGTCTATGTATTGATACAGACCTTCAGTGCCCAGCACCTTGGTGATCTTGACGAGTTGATCGTAGTTGTCGTGTCCATGGAAGAATGGCTCCTTCCGGAATATCTGGATTGACGTCGGCGGCTACCCGCATATACCGATATCTGGATGTGTTGGACTTACCATGGAAGCGAACATGCAGCCGAAGCTCCACATATCCAAGCTGTAGTCATACTCCTGGAAGTCAACCAGCAGCTCCGGACCCTTGAAGTATCTTGACGCCACCCGGACGTTATAAGCCGTGCGCGGATGGTAGAACTCGGCCAGGCCCCAGTCAATCAGGCGAAGCTACAAGGAACACTCAGAAATGCCGTCCGACACCGGGATAGTTGACATACCTTTCGACGCTCGTGGTCAATCATGACATTGTGGGGCTTGACATCGCGATGCATGATGCCCTTGGAATGGCAGTAGTCCAGGGCCTGGCATTCTCCGCATAAGCCCGCTGCACATTAGTCATTCGCCCCGCACGCACCTTCAAGAGTTCGAACATGTAGAACCGAACATCGAAGTCCGTAAAGCGGGGGTAGAGCACTTTGAAGTCGACATTATGCACGTATTCCGTGATGAGGCTCGGGATTTTCGAGGACGGGTCGCGCACGACGTCCAGAAGCGCGACGATGTTGGGCCCTCCTGCGAGGTTTTGGAGGATCTTGATCTCACGCTTGATCTTCTTCTTCTTCACGGGCTTCAGCACCTTGATAATGCATTTCTCATCGTTGACAATGTTGATGCCCTCGAAGACCTTTGCCGCGCACATGGTCTTTAGCGAACGGCCGCGCAGCAGAACAGCACGCGCGTACCTCCGAGTACTTGCCCCGGCCTACTTTCCTGACGATCTCGTAGTGGTCCTGGGTGCCCCATTGCACCTGCAGGTTGTCTATGTCCGGCGTTTTAGGGAACAGGCAAGAGATTCAGTAGGAATTTGCACCGACCGTATTCATACCAGGACGGCCCAAGCTTGCTGTTAACCTCCGGGTAGACACGCGCAACAGACTTTGTTGCCGCACGGCCCATGGTAGGCAGAAAGGGACGATGCGGGGGAGGTGGACAGCAGAGAGGTGGAGATGAAGATGAAAGAGCGCTGCTACTTGGAGGCGAACGGAGATCAGCCGTGCGTCTTGCGCGTGGCTATCGGACTCCAAGCTCCGGCGCTTCCCTTCCTCCTCTCCTCCGCCGCCACTTCCACCCTACTCCGGCGTTCTACTCCCCTTTGGCCACCCTGCAGGGTCTGCGTTTCCCGCTCACCGTTCTCCCGCAGGTCCTCGTACGATGGCCCCTAACAATACTACGCGGCGTCCGGCGCGATGGCCAGATACCGTCCGATACATCGCTGAGCCGCAATATCACTCCTCCGTACCTGCCCATATACGCGACTTTATACGTCCAGCGACATCTAGGACGCACCCCTCACCGCATACTCCTAAACCATTGGTTATCATCCAGCTAATCACTGAAACGTCTCATCCTGCTTGGGGCCAGTACGGCCTGTTTGCAGCGAAGAAAATACCACCACGTACCCTGATCCTTGATTATATCGGGGAGGTTCATTGCGACGACAGGCCCGATTCGGACTACGACCTGTCGCTATATCGCACCCCGGACTACATTAGCGTCGGTATAGACGCGCAGCATGCAGGGAACGAGGCTAGGTTCATCAATGACTACCGAGGCGTCAAGGGAAAGCCCAACGCCGCCTTCCAGGAGCGAAGGACCGATAGCGGCGAGCTACGAATGAGCGTCTGGAGTGAGGCTGAGGCTCTCAAGAAAGGCGACGAGCTCCTTGTCTCATACGGCAAATCGTGGTGGAGGGAACGCCGGCACGAAGACGCGACATGTGATCTGCAGTATGTCCCCGAAATTACCTGTCCCTATGTAATGTCTAATGTATCCTGGAGGTCGGCTGTTGCTCCGTCGGAGGTGGGATGCGTTCTACTTCTATCACGTCAATGTTACTCAATATCGAGCAGCAGGAAAAGTGACACGGAAGCTGTCGTCCGATCTGGAGATCTGGTATACACGCCAAATGGGTTTGGGGGCTCCTACTCATGGCTTACGACGTTCCAGCAGGAGTGCGGTTGTCGAAGGTCGCTTATCGCTACGGAACAAGGACCAGCGAGTCGGCGCATATATCCCAATATCGTAATCTTCACCCCCTGCCGCATTGAATGGACGCTGATGGCCCCACCCCGCAGGAGCCCTGAGTGTTCCTGCAGCGTTGTGAGTTGGCCGTTCTACATTCGGTGTAGTTTTGACGGACGGGAAGATGCTCGCCCAGGGCTGGAGCCTTGAGGCCTGGTTTTTGGTTTATTCCTGTTACGTACACGCTGGTGTCGCGTAGCCGAATGAATGCAGAAGTGCGAAGGACCTGAACTTGTCCCGTTCACGCAACAGCACGCGCGGCCCCGTGCCCCCTCGTAAGTCTAAATTTTGTATTGCGAGGCCGCTCATGCGAGAGTGCTCGCGGTCTATAAGATTATGCGAAACCACACACACTCCGTCATTCCGCGGTTACGTGGTATGGGCAGGCCGTTCTCGTAAAAGTATGCGATCCCCATTCTCATGTACTACTTCGCGCGTATGTTCCGGTTGCTCTTGTTCCGGCTGATATGTCTTAAGAATATTTCTATAGACGCACCATCTCGAGCAGGCCGCCGCTACATGATCCCTATGAGGTATGGTGGTACGAAACGATTACATGCAAGCACGGAAAAACATGCAGCGTGGTAGGGGTAATCTCAGGGCCTTTGACAGCGCAGTACCGTCGATCGGCCAGCGGTGTACAGTGGCTCCACAGCCCGGCATAACGGTAGAGAGCCTATTGGTACCCACGATGTCCGGTCGGTTAAGATCGCGCATGCCATCAGATTCACGGAGGCAAACCTGCGCTCGTCCCACACCTCTCGATCCCCCAAACGATATCGCGGGTCTCTACCGGGAGCCGGAGAGCCTGGACCTGCGAGGTTATCACGGATTACGAGGCAGCGCAAGTGCCCCCGATGGTTCTTCTTCCGCGAGAGGTCTGAGCCTGATTGTGCCCTCGGAATATCGGGCGAGGTACCGGAGTGGCGGGGCCGCAGACCCACTTTGTCTGAACGACGTTACTTGCCATATCCGGCCAGTTCACGAAGTGTCTGGAAAGCGGCGCCCACGTGGTCCTCGGCGCACGTGACGTCTCAAAATTCCGGTCGCCCCGACGTCAGGAAGCGCCGGTGCTTGCCTCTGTCTGCCTGCTCTGCTTCTGCTTCTGCCCATAGACTATTCCCTTTAATGCCGCCTAGACTGTCCACAAAGAGGGTGCTCTCGCTCAACTCGTTGCCTCTCTCTGCACAGCGCGCTGCACTCGCGCGGCCGCGCTACCTCGCAACCTGCGTCACCACACGCTCCGGCTCAGCGTCCAAGCGGCCGTCATGTTCACTCGGTAGACCCGGGCCATCGGTTAGTTCTCTCTGCGAATGGTCGTGCAGTGGTTGCTAACTGGTACAGAGGGGATTCCACGCGTCTGCTGTGCACTCGGCGCCGAAAGACCCCTACCAGGTCCTTGGCGTGAAGAGGGACGCGTCTGCCGCTGAAATCAAGAAGACCTACTTCGGGGTTCGTATGTGGCACGTACTCTCCATTGTGTATGCGTCTAAACGCTCCCTAGCTCGCCAGAAAGTATCATCCCGATACCAATGCGGACAAGAACGCGCAGGAGAAGTTCGTGGAGATCCAAGAAGCATACGACGTATGTCCCCGTGCTCACCCGATGTATTCCCCCTTGCTTAGCCGTAGTGCTGCAGATTTTGAAGGACCAGAAGAAGCGAGCTGAGTACGACAAGTACGGCTCGGCTTCCCAGCAACCAGGCTTCGACTCGAATGCGTACGAGAACGCCCGCTCCTCGTTCGGCGGCGGTGGATTCGGTCACAATCCCTTCCAGGACTTCGCCGGAGCGTTCGGAGGCGGACGGGGCGGACGGGCACAATCCGACTTGTTCGAACAGCTCTTCTCGTTCGGCGGAGCTGGCGGGGAACAAGCCAGGCAGAGCACGCGGGGTGCGAATCTCGAGACCACGATCGGCGTCAGCTTCATGGAAGCTTGCAAGGGGACTTCGCGCACGGTCACCATCCACCCTGTGGTACAATGCAACACGTGCTCCGGTTCCGGCATGAAGGCCGGGGTGAAGCGATCGACATGCGGGGCTTGCGGCGGGTCCGGAGTACGGTCGTACGTGATCCAGAGCGGCTTCCACATGCAGACAACGTGCAACGCGTGCGGAGGATCTGGCTCGACCGTGCCACCACATGGGGAGTGTAACACCTGTGCTGGTATTGGACAGGTCAGGGTGAAGAAGTCGGTCAAGGTTGACATCCCTTCTGGTAAGCAGAAGTGCATTCCCGATGCCGTACTACTCTGAAAGATGGTCACACGTTCCTCAGGGGTGGAAGACGGCATGGCTATGAGAATCCCTGGTCAAGGTGACGCACCAATAGGCGGCTCCGGTCAGCCAGGAGATCTCCTCGTCCGTATCAACGTCGCGCCCTCGCAGGTGTTCAAGCGCCAAGGCGCGAATCTGTACCATGATGCCCGTATCCCGGTACAGACCGCTCTTCTCGGTGGCAGACTCCGAGTTCCCACATTGGACGGAGAAGTCGACGTTCGCGTTCCTTCCGGAACGCAGCCCGGCGAGCAGATGGTTTTGAAAGGCCGTGGCGTGTCCTCTGCTACGCGGAGTGGCAAGGGTGACCTTTTCGTCACCTTCAACGTACAACTGCCACGGTGCGTCAACCCTAGGTTAAAGTTCAATAACAATACTCACCTCTTCCCGTGCAGGTCGCTGTCCTCGCGCCAACGCGAGCTCTTGCAGCAATTCGCCGATGACGTGGAGGGTCGGGTTTCCAACACTTCGCCTCAGGAGCCACCATCCAAAGCTTCTACCGAAGGAACTGCGCCTTCAGGCGAGCGTCCCGCGAGCGAATCGCGTCCTGCTAGCGATTCGGAGAGCACACCAAACGGTACGGCCTCTTCTTCCCCTTCGCCCCCAGATAGCTGGGTGTCTCGTACGTTGAATGGGCTTAGGAGACTCATCGGATTTTGATTTTCATGTGTCGTTGAATTGGATCTGCGCCGCTGGGTTTTTCACTCGGACACTACAGACACGTCCCGCACGTCAGATGATGGCGACCGCGACGACCGGAAACGCGACACCGAGCGCAAGAAGGCTACGGCATAGAACACCCTAACTTGGACCTTCCCCGAGGATGGCCGCCCGTGCATTCGGTTCGACCTCTAGGCTGTCAGTATCTACTAGGCTACATCTCCCTGCAACTAATTAGTACGTATTTTGCTGATCAGGACACACGGGTGACCATGCGCATATCTCGAGTGTCATTGGTCGCTTCGGTTGAGTGTTGTGCACGCCGGTGAGACGATGGGGTGCTTGCCCAATTGGGCACGACTCGTCCGGGTCGGCGACCGAATGCGTCGAGGGGATTTGGACTCGACTAGACTCGAGCCGCCCCGAGAACATTCTTGTCGATGCCGCGAAGGCGCTCCGTTATTTGATTCACTTGCAGCCTTCTGATTTCCAAGCTGGAGTGAATTTTGACGGCGCGAGCGGGGAGGACAGGCGTGCGCATCGTGTCAGGGCTTCGGAGGGTTCGACGTGAGCGCGATGCAGAGGCCTTCTTCCCCTTCGACTTCGCTCGCCATAGCAAGCGAGAGGCAGAACGAGCGGCAGCGCACGAGACCGCAAAAAGGGCCGATAAGGGGAAGCGCGCCGGATATGGGAGGGGAGTTATGGCGTCGACGGCGGTCGCCCGGGCGGGCAGGCAGGAGGCTCACATGTTGGCTCGCACTTGCCGTCCGTTCTGATTTGCCGTTTTCAGCACACGCGGAGAGCGCGATCCAGTCTCGGGCTGAGATCCATCGGGTGGGGGTACGTAAAGGCGTACGAGGGGCTCGGTGGAGTGTCCATATTCCCCCCTTGCGAGCTTCTTCCAGCGAGCCAGCCCCTAGCTGCAGTACACCGTGGCGGCGGAGAGGCGCATGCACACCCATCATATCCGTCCGGTTCACTACGCGTTCCTGGAGCTCACGCCGAGCCCAGATCCACTCTGCCGGACAAAGCAGTCTTCGCCTCCCGACCTCCGGGTGCCCTCTAAGAACACCGCTGGATCTTCTCCTCCAGGGTGGCTCGAATCTCCGACAAAGAGGGTTCAAAGCCTCTCCGAGCCAGATCTGCCGTTCTCGCACAATTAACCAAGATCCTTTCTCCAGCTTCCCGCCCGGATTTTCCGGCCTGGAGGCCTGGTATTTCCTCGCTGATTTTGCAGCGTGTCAGGGTACCCCTCCTGGTTGCTTGGACATTACGCAGTACACACGTCAAGCATGTCCCTCGCGCCCCGTATAAAGATGGAGCGCGCAAATGCAGGCCGCCCCGACTACATTCCTCAGCCGTCCGGACCAGTCTACGCGTCCCCACACACCCCGCTCACCCATGGCGCACAGCACACCCCACACACCTGACTGCGTCTACCATGAAAAGCCCGCAGCGGCACCCACAACCCCCCACACGGGGGGACACCTCCCCGACGCGTCGGCGTCGCGTCTCTCGTACGACTCGTCGCGGTCGAGCCAGTACACGAGCCCGACGATAGCGCCGACACCGAAAACGGCGTCGAGCTCTACGCTCGTCGCGTATGATCCCCGGAAGGCGGCGCCGCAGCTGTCGACGACGCGGCTTGTGATCGCACACGCGGGGTGAGTGTTGGACCCTGAGTGGATGGGGCGTGACGGAGTTGGCTGACGCCGCTGGACGCAGCGCTGCGTTAACTCTATTCCTCGCGACGACAGACGCGGTGAGATCTGCATTCCAGCCTAACTGTGCGGGACCAGTCGGCTGATGCGGGCCGAACAGACGATTGTGTCGACCTGTCTCCCGACGATTGCGAGCGAGTTCGAAGCGAACCAAGCCGAGTACACTTGGGTGTCCGTGACGTACATGCTCACCCAGACCGCGTTCCAACCTCTCTACGGGAAGCTCTCGGACCTCATTGGACGGACGGTGCGTCTCTCTCCCCGGCGCCCATGGCGCGAGTATGTTCTGATGCGGCCCAGTCGGTTCTCTACGGCAGTATCTTCATTTTTGCCGCAGGCTCGGTGCTCTGTGGGAGCGCGCAGGTACGCTTGCAGTGACGTTTCTGGGTGTCATCTGACGGGCTGTGTCCTCGGTGCACAGAGCATCGAATGGCTGATAATTGCTCGAGGGATCGCTGGCGTCGGCGGCGGCGGTATCGTTTCCCTCGTATGGACAATTACGTCAGAGATCGTCGACGTCCGAAACCAGGCGAAATGGTCACAGGCATTGAGCGTCACCTGGGCCTGCTCGGCCGTCGCGGGGCCCCTCCTCGGCGGCGTCTTCAGCGGTCAGTCAACTGCTCCTCGTCCTCGGCACTGCCTCTGACATCTAGTGCAGAACGCTCGGGGCCATTCACCTGGAGATGGGCATGTGAGCCGACATTAATTCCGTTTGTCCGCGCACCCTCTGACCGCCCACAGTCTATATGAACCTCCCCATCTGCGCCGTCTCCTTCGTGACGCTGTGGCTATCTCTGCGCCATGTGTTCGCGGGCCGCACCTCTGACGTTTCGTGGAGAACGTTCGGTCGAACATTCGACTTTGTAGGACTGTGAGCGAGCCTGCACGTTGTCGGCGCCGTCGCAGCTGACCTGGCCCGGTGCAATAGGTTCCTCTTCATGGGAGGAAGCAGCAGCATTGTGATTGGCTTCAACTTCGCGACCCAACTCGGATGTACGTCTCCCTTTCTTGCGCCATGATATCACCTGCGCCAAACTGACAGCCGCCCAGGGGCCTGCGCTTCGACACTCACCCTCATTGTCGCGGGCGTCCTGGTGTTAGTTGTCGCCGGCTTCTACGAAGTCCGCACGAAACGCGACGCGCTCTTTCCCCCGATCGCCTTCAGGGATCGTACGATCGGTAAATAGCCCGTCAACCCCGGCCGTGGAACCTTGCTAACTATAGTCTTAGTGATTACCCTTGCGACGACGTTCCTGCACAATTTTGCGTTCAACGCCGGGACGTTCTATCTCGCACTCTACTTCCAGGTTCGCAAGCCGTGTTTCTTGTCCGCGGACGTCTGATCGCTGATCGGTCGCCAGGCCGTAGATGGCCTCTCTCCCATACAAGCTGGTATCACCATGCTGCCGTACTCCTTAGGCTCCTCGCTTGCGTCAATGCCGGGTGAGCTGAGCCCGTCTCTCGTCTTTCTGATCCGAGCCTCATGCAGATTCCGCCGCAGCGGCCTGGCTCATCGGCTACTGGTCTCAGCGGAGAAACGACACGGCGTGCCAAAAGTTCCTCATCTGCGCTGGCCTTGCCATTGCCTCCGTGGGATTCGGTGCGCGCCTCTTGCATGTCTTGCCGCGAGCGAGCGAGCTCATGTGCGATCACGCAGGCCTGATGATGCTAATGTCTGAGCGCAGCACGCACCTCGAGCAGACACTGTTCCCCCTAATCGCCGGTGTCGGCCTTGGGATGCTCTTCCATGCACCCTATCAGGTCTTCACGCGCGCGCTAAGGCGGCAGGAGGTCGCGTCAGGCACGAGCGCGTTTTTTCTCGTCCGCTTCACGGGCGCCACGGTCGGGCTGGTGAGTGTTCTCCTTCTGCGCACATTCCGCGCGTGCAGTTCTGACCGCGCCCCTTCCAGGCCGTCGCGGGCGCTGTGTTCCTCGGCCGGCTGTCGAGCACGCTGCCGCCTGGGGTGGACGCTTCAGTCGTTCTCGAATCGGTGACCGCGCTACGGAACCAGAGCAACTGGGACGAAGTCCTGCACGCGCTGTCGCTTGCGATCAAGGTGCGTCTTGAACTGCAGCCGGGGCGCCGCCCTGGGATCCCGCTCGCCTGAAACTGAATTGCAATTTACGCCCGCAGGCCATCTGGGCGGTCTGTTGCCCATGCCTTGGCGTGGCTCTGCTGGTCGGTGTCTTTATCCTCCCGCGTTGTGGACAGGGACGTGTGCTGACCGTCACCCGAGCAGATCTCGATGTTTACACGTAAAATCGCAGTCGACGAGGGCGCGGCGGCTCGGGCAGACGAGAAGTCTGCCGGCGCGCCCGTGATGGAGGGCGCAGCACTGGAGGGAGTGTGAGCATCTCGTGCTCGCAAACGGGTTAGCACGCCTCGTGGGCATGTGCTGCATTCAGTCCTTGCGCATTCGCGCATTCTCTCGCGTTCTCTCGCATATCTGACTCTCTCGGTATCCTTATTGCCTCCCCCCTCTCTCTCACCCGCTCTGACGCATAGCACGCTTTGGGAATGCACGCACTGTAGAGTTTGGTCGCAATAGAATCGGACTGTTGTAATCTGAATGCTGAGCGGGACGCCTGGCGAGGGGGCCCGCGCCCCCCTAACCACGAGACGTCTGACGAGCCTGCGGCACACTGTATCGAGAAGGAGCGGTCCCCGATCCAGGTCGAGCGTGCGCAAGTCACATATTACATCGCGCACCTGCAGATCACTATCGATCCCTGCTGCCGATCCACCGCACCCGGGGAGAGAACGCTCGGGCGCGGGCCCCTGATGCTTCGGGGGCTGCTCGTGAGCCGTAGGCGATCGAAGCGGCCGGCCGCGACGCAAGCCCGCACGAACATGTCGTACTCGCGAGACGTCGAGGCCGGGTGCGGCGCACGCGGCTGCCGCGCTGCAGCGAGGCCCATTGATTATCGCCTGCGAAGCTTTAAGCATAATGGTCGGATGCGCTTCCGCGAAAGTGGCGGCCGCGTGGCGCGCCCCACCGGGGGGCGTCCTCGCCCCCTCCAAGCTGTCGGCACCACGGGGAAGGCGCCCCTCGGTTTGGCGAACCGATTGTCGATGGCCGCGGAGCAGGGTCTGCGGGCAGCGGGTCTGGGCCTCGAGAACCAGGGGCGGCGGGGAGGCGATTGAGCCCGGTGGCTTCTCAAGATACGCACTCAGATAAGGTTCGAACAGAGGTTGGGGAGCGACGCACCGTATACACCTCTGCGGCGACACAGCGTCACGGATGCCCGTGCACTTGGGCGACTTCAGGCCGGAGGCGAGACGTGATTCGACCGCGACGTCGCGACCCTCGTTCGGGGGCATTGAGAAGCTGTGGAAGGGCGTTGGAGAGAAACGCATATAAACGCGTCACGTTTTGGAAGGTTCTGCACCGTGGGCCGGGTCGCGCGTAGTATGTGAAGACGGATGGACATTGATGGCAAGCGAAGGCCAGGGGTCGGCGCATGACGCGGTGTTTTCGCAGACTGGTTTCCGGAATTGCCTTAGCTGACCGGTCTACGAACGGCGCATCATGGGCCCGCAACCGGGTTCCGCTAACGAAGCGGTGGTGCGCCCTAAGGAGCGTCCATGGCTCCCTGGTTTGGCGAAGCCTTCTAGGCTCGGCCAGAGGATGGGCATGCTCGACGAATCAGTATGGCCAGATGATGGAGCGGCTCGTACGGAACGGTGGTGCGGACTCTTACGACATTGACGGGTTGCGTCTGGGCCTATGATGAACATGTCATTATAGGAGGATCCGGCCATTGAAAGGGGGGGGGGGGTGCGCCGGGATCTTCTATAGGCAGCATCGGTCTGTTAGAACAAATGACACTAGACAAATTGGCATCGGAGTCATACAAACGTGCGGATATGGGGAGGAGCGCCTTAGGCCGCAAGGAGTAGATGAAGTGCCGATGGCAATGTAACTGCATGGATGAGCGGGTAGCGAGGAGATGCGAATGAATGTCCACGAAGCTACAGCCTTCGAGAACTTTGCGGGAGCTGGTGAAATTGACAGCGGTCGCAATAGCCGCCTAAATGAGACTGAAAGCACGTTGGGGGAGGCCCGCATAACGCACATTCGGGGAAAGGGACGCACCTGGCTGGCTGAAGACGACTCTTCGCTGCGCACGAGGTGGTCATGATGGTCTCTGGAAGAGGTGAATGACGCACAGTGCGGCGTTAGAGAGATTGGCGGATGTTGGCTTCTGGCACGCGGAACGTCCTCTTCCCACTGCAATGTGGTACGGTCTACACGTGGACTTGGGTGCCTCGGACGTCGCGCACTGCTCTTACCGTGGCCAGCTGCTGCTGCTGAGTGTTGTGTTAGTAGCAGTCCAAGTGCAAAGAGTAAGCGGGCCGCGGGAGGTTTATCTGATAAGTGAGTAGATAAGATGAATTTGATGAGATAAGTGGATAACGAGGCTTGTGATAGTGGGCCGAGAAATTCGCACGACGCATTGTGGCCTCCTGCCTCTTTCAACGCTCCGCCTCGCTCCTCCCGCCCGCTCGTGTGACATACCCATCCCGCTCCTCTCTGCGCATACCACTCCCTCTTGCACACCCAGCACACCCGCCACACAGACACCGTACAGAATATCCTAGAGTATTTCGTGTATGGCCAGACTGCCGTCCAAAACCCGCACGGCGTCTTCTCTATTCAGCAAACTTCTTGCCGTCCTTCGCGAAGCGGGTGTCGTGCCTCAGCCCTCCAACAACACCATGTCGCCCACAGTAGGCCCGGACCTCGCCCCATCCTCCTCTCTCGCCCAGTTCAGACCGGCGGGCATCCCGCTCAACAGACGGTCCTCCACGAGCTCTTCCAAGTCGCTTCCGGATAACCTATCGATAGGGACTTCTCCCGCATACTCGGCCTCGTCCTTGTCCATCCCCTTCGAAGATGCTGACGTAGACGTCGTCCGAGTAGAGGGCCTGCGCCATGCCAACGTCAAACTGGAAGCACGGTGAGTATTTGGGTCTTTATTTTCTCATGGCCCCACCGGGCACGCCCTCCGGCAAGCTAACCACTTGTGGGACAGGACGGAGTACTCTATCCTGGTCTGGTGTCCGTATGCTTCTCCCGGCTTGACTAGTGCTGACCTCGCTTGCCTGCAGACGTTACAAGACCGCGCCCTTCGCGGAACACTTGCTCCAGATCCTCCACACCATCCGCACACCTTCCTGGTCTGAGTCGGAGATCACGCCAGACCGCATCAGTATCCAGAAGGTGTCCGGTTCGCTCACCAATGCCGTATACTTCGTGTCCTGCCCCCCGGTACCCAAGACACGCACTGTGCTTCTGCGCATCTATGGCCCCTCGTCTGGTACCCTCATCTCGCGCCCGCGCGAGCTGTACACGCTCCATGCGCTTTCCTCCCGTTACCACATCGGCCCACGCGTGTATGGTACGTTCGAGAACGGACGCGTCGAAGAGTACTTCGACTCCACTGCATTGACGGCTGCCGACATGCGCGACCCTGAGGTCAGCTCCTGGATTGGAGCGCGAATGGCCGAGCTGCACGGCGTAGACATCGATGCCGTTGAGTCCGAGCCGCCCACACCTGAGGGCCCGGATGGGGAGATCCAGCCCACGACGAAGAAGAGCGTTAAGTCGTGGCTCCCAAATGCACGCGAAGTCCTCTCGCTGCCGGGTGCGCCTGCAGACGTACGCGAGGCTCTCGACCTCGACCGCTTCCAGCGAGAATGGGAGCAGTACGTGCAGTGGGTGTCGCAGAAGGAGAAGAGCGAGCGTAGCAGCAGCCCGCTAGTGTTTTCGCACAATGACGCCCAGTACGGCAACCTGCTCCGCTTGCGGACGCTCAAGGAAGGGCAGCCCGCCCACCGCCAGGTGCGTTCCAGCCCATCTCCACGGACGTCCGACAAATTGTAGCATTACTGACGTGTCTTCCCCTCTTCTCTCCCTTATTTCGCTCCCGCCCGCCCCGCCCGCGCTCCCACACTCAATCATATCGCAGATCATCGTCGTCGACTTCGAGTACGCCGCGCCCAACCCTGCCGCATATGACATCGCGAACCACTTCCACGAGTGGACGGCGGACTACCACGGGCCCACCCCGCACCTGCTCGACCCCGCCCGCCGCCCGACGCGCGAGGAGCGCCGGAACTTCTACCGCGCCTACCTCACGCACACGCAGAGCCCGCTCGACGCGCCCGCGCCCCCCGCCGCCCCGGCGCTCTCCCCCGACGCGCTCGAGGCGGAGATGCGCGCGCTCGACGAGCACGTCCGCGTCTGGAGCCCGGCCTCGCACGCCGTGTGGGCAGTCTGGGGCGTCGTCCAGGCCCGCGAGTTCGTGGAAGGGCAGGACGGCGAGCCCGAGTTTGACTACCTCGGCTACGCGCAGTGCCGCATGGAGGGCTTCCGCAGGGAGATACGCGCGTTGGGCATCCAGCCGGTGTCGTAATCGCCCGCATTGTATTCCGCGCGCGCCTTTCTCTTCTTTACTTCCTTCTGCTAAGGGTCGGGTGTGCCTCCCTGACCCCCCCACCCCTTCCCCTCTCCCCATGTGCCGGACCGAGGCCTTGGCTCGGCGCCGGGCGCGCGCTCGAGGGCACAAAGCCGTGCATCGTTTTGGTTTAGCGTGGCGGGAAGGGAACGTTAGTATACAGATACCATTGTGGCAATTTGCTTCGCGGACGATGTTGTGCGAACATGCGGCGTAGAACTCCCCGATAGATGAAAAGTCACGTACCTTACAATGCTCTATATACCGGTATTCTAACGCGGAGAATTTCACACCATCACCTTCCTGGCCTTCGCGGCATGCCCTTCTGCGCGGGGAGTGGGAGAGGCGTAAGCATGATGTATTAATGTCATAAGATAACATGTGCAGTCGTCGACGATGATGGTGGGATGTGGGGAGCGGGGCGAGAGAGGGGAGACAGAGAGATGTGGGTGGGCTATCCGGATTGTCAAGAGAATAAGTCAGACTTGCTTCGACGAGATGAGCGGACAGAAAAGCTGCGCGACACGGGACTGGGAGCGGGAAGGGCAGAACAAAAACTACAGAAAACATAAGCAAAGACGTGAGTAATGAGGGGAAGGGTGGTAGTAGCGTGCGTGTCCAGCGGGGGTCACGTCTAGGGGTGAGCGTTCACCGAACCCGACCAGCGTACGGGCGCGCCCAAAGAAGGCCACGCCCGCTCGGAGCGCCCCAGAGCCGCATCCTCGGGACACGATGCCGCTGACGCATCCAGACTTTACACCCTGAGCTTGCTCAAGCCCAGTTTTTCTCGGCCAGGCGGGACCCATTGTAGTCCGCCCAGGGAGAGGTGTTCTTGAGCTCGCCGCCAGGGATCGAAGAGAGCGGGTAAGCCGTGAGGTGGTTGTTGCGCGTCGCGCTCCCCCAGTTGCCCGCGCTGCCGGAGCGCACATGGCCGTGGATTCGGGACACCTTCGGCGCCTCGGGCGACGCGTTGAGCTGCTGCGTGTTGGGGTTCGACGCGGTCGGGGTCACGACGCTGCTGAGGTCCAGTGGGATCTCGCTGCCATTGAACGAGTGGCGCACGTTGGGGTTCACCGCCGTTTTCGGGCCGCCACGCTGCAAAGGAAAGGTTCAGCGACGTGTTATCGCAAACGCTATATCACGGCATGTCCATACCTGCGAGCCCACGATGTCCAATCTAGAACTCGCGTGTCTGCCGAAGTCAGGCCCAGCAGTCACCGGACCAGGAGACCTCGCAGTCGGCTCCTCTGCAGCAGGCATCAAGACGCCGTTGTGAGCGAACGTCGGGTACGCCGACTTATTTTGTTTGGAGATCGTCGTGCTCTCCGTTACGGTCGTGTTGATGCGCAGCGAATCGGGCCGTCCGTTAACCTGGAAGCCAGCAGATGGCGGCGTCGTGCTCAAGCTGCCCGACCCAGAGTTCATGTTGTTCTCCTGAGTACGTTTCGCAGAGATACGTGCAAGAATCGAACTGGACGACACGTCGTTCGGGTCGCTGTTGGTGCTCGATGACCGCGCACGCCCGTCAACGTGAGCCGGCGGCGGGGTGCCGTCAGCTCCGGGAGCAGCACCATTCGCAGGAAGTTCCGTGTGGATGAAGCAGCAACGCTTGCCATACGGACAGGACCCCGATACCCAGAACGTCTAGAAACGTGTACGGTCAGCGACGAGCGCTAGTAAGGGTCGAATTACGGTGGGAACACGTACTCTGCAGATTTCCGTCTTGTACTAGATAACACGGAAAAGCGGAGGTGTCAGCCGAAAAAACCTTATAGGTGATGAGCGAGAGTTGAACAAACCTTGGGGTGCCTCTGAACCTTCCGCAACTCATCTTCGCCATGCGCGAACTGGCACTTTGCCCCGTAGCGACAGCTTCCCTTCTCCTCCCAGCTTCTGCACAACTCTGTCTTGTACAGCCCAAGCTTGCGGTTGTTCGCACTCGGACCGTTCCCCGTCGAGTGGGTCGCGATCGACGATCCGGTGTTCGTCAGAGGCAAGCCTGGCGTGCCGAGAGGCGGGCCGTAAGAACCAGTGTACTGTGCGTTTAATTGTGCCATCATCTGGGCAGCGAGCTCAGGAGACGAGTATGCGTCGGGACCACCGTAGAACTGGCTGCCAAACATCGACAAGCCGGGCTGAGGGCCCATCGCAGGCGCGTACATCTGACCGGCAGCAAAAGCGTTATTCAGCAGCGCCAGAGTAGCAGGGTCGCGAAGAGAGGCAGGATCCGAGGCGGAATGGTGGTGAGTACGCTGGAAGACGCCAGACTGCTGCTGAAGACGTGCCATCGTAGGGTTCTCGAGCGGGGGTGTCGACATCATCATGTTGTACAGGTCTTGCTGCGGGCCGCCGACAGGCATCGCCCCGTGGTGCACAGGCGTAGGGTACCCAGCAAAGTTCGTGGGAGTCGGGACGACCGGCGGGATGGCAGGGTTGAACCCCCGGGGTGGCGGTTGGCGGTAGGGCAGGTTAGTGGCGACGTTGGGCGGTCGGCCGTGAACGAACCCAGTCGGAGCGCCTGAAGGCGGCGGCGGCGCACCATGGACACTGTGGTTGTACTGACGCTGCTGCTGAGCTTGGTAGTCGACCTGGATCTCCTCCTGAGGGCGCGACATGCCGTTCTGCTGAAGGGACTGCTCTGAGAGGCGCGATGCGGAACCGTTGTGGGAGCCCAAGAGAGAAGGGTACGTGAGCTGCTCAGCCTGTTGTTGTTGGCGTTCGGGCGTGCCGTTTGGCGAAGACCAAGAGTCGTTGTTGCCGGGGCTGCCACCCGCTTGTTGCAGCCGGATGAGATCGGTGCTGGACAAGCCGCCGCTGTAGGAGTGCGGGCGGTTCCTCGACTCGCCTACGGCGCCTACTTTGAGTGGTGTGACAGGCGGAGCGCGCAGGGTCTGACTGTTAGACGACAGGGCGGAGCCCTGAGAACCAGTGGTGTCGGCTGACGATTCGCGCGAATGCGACGCGTTAAGGTTGGCATTCTGATTCAAGGAATTAGTTGAGGTTGAGTCGAGGCTCGTCTGCGACGCAGTGTCTAGTGGAGATGATTCCTGCACAGACACTGGTCCAGAAGGAGATATTTTCGATTATAGAGATGTGCGAACCTGATTCTCGTTCCCGTCTCCGATCTGCAGCTTGACGATCTCGTCGGCCAAATCCCAGTCGGATGAGTCTACGAGCTGTCCGTTTGAGTCGAGACGCCAGTGACCTGCGCCATTGGGCGGAGTCGCCATATTCCTGTCGGAAAGATCGCCTGCGACGCGTCAATTGAGCATAGACGACGGAGAGGAGGGAGACGCGTACCCTTGCCTAAAGCAGAGGTAGGAGTGCGTCTAGTGGCCATGGTGGAGGGCAACATGTACACTGGACTGAGTTGTAGGGCGTTTTTTGAAGCAAGTGGTGAGTAAGGGTCGTGAGGAGAGAAGTTCGTCGCGTCGATGAAGGGGGTCGTAACTGTGCGGAGCATGGTGGGGATCTGGGTGAGCACGCGTGTTCTCGGGGAGGGAGTTATAAGGGGCGTGGAAGGAGGCTGCTTACGAATTAGCAATAAGTTGCCGATACCACGTCCTTAGTTCTTGATGGATAAAAAAGAGGCGAGGATGCTTGTTAGGCAAGATGAGACGAGGACGGACGGAGAGATGCGTGAGTCGTGCGCGCGCGGGGTTTGGATGCAAAGATGGCTCGCAGCCCTGGGCCTGTCGATGGCTTCGCCGTGGGGTGAGGGCGATGGACCGAGTGAGCTAGGATATCTAGAGTATGAAGGGGGGAATGGTATAAACAATTGGAAGAACCGCGCGAGTCGTGTGGTGATGCAATGCGACTGGAGAGATGCGAGATAGATAGGATGGATTGATGCCGAGTATGAGAGGGTTGGGCGAGGAGGCTGTCGACGCAGACGTCGTGGACGGACAGAGAGGAAGGGGGGAGGAGGGAGAGAGGCGGAGGTGGGGGAGCCTTGCGCCTGCCTTACGGAAGAAGCTCAGGGTCTGATTGCAACGTGCCCGTCTCGCGGCGGCGATTGCCAACCCCTCTCCCGCCTCCGAGCTGAGCTCCGTCCCCAGACATGCTCCTTCGTCGTGTATCGTCTCCTCATCGATGCACTAGCCCGCTGCTCAGCCCGTGCGCTGCCCAATCGATGTCCCACCGCGCCCCGCACACGCGCTGCAACTTCCGCCGTCGCCTGAGACCGCCTCCGAGCAATGCTCTGTCCCACATCTCGCCACGTGCGGCGGCGCAGCTAGACGCTATTTAATATTGGGCGCCCGCACGCGAGCCTAGCCGAGACAATCCCAGCACCCGACACTGTTTTTCAGCTCGAGATGGAAGTGCTCGAGCATATTTTGGGGACAGACGGGGTCGGGATGGACACGGACGACAAACTCGCCGCCCTGCGCGGACCAACCCCGCGCGCGCTTCCAAATACGCTGTCGGAAGGCGGCGTTTCCTCTTACGGCAATGTTTACGTCCATCTGCTGTGGACGCACCCCGTCCTCCCTATCCTCTCCTCGAGTCTCTTTGATCGACAGTGTCATGCCGGGTGCCGTTGGAGAAGCGCGAGTCTCACCTTGGAAGGCACCATCCTTTTGCAGACGGGAGAAAATTCTCTCCACGCCGATATGCCCCCTACGCAGCCCACACCCGGCATGGTGGAGAAACGTCGTGAGTCGCAGCCTTGTATCTCAGGCGAATCATCGGCTGCGTTTACGTGTCGTAGTGAGGTAGCGCACGCCCCCAAAGACGTCAGCATCCTCTTATTGCAGCCTTCCCTCGCAACTCGCACTGACTCCCCCATGGTTCCTGCTCGCCAGGAATCCGCCCCGCACTGCAGGACCCGTGTATGTGGTAATTGCGGAGGCGAGTGTCCCACTCTGGCGTGCTGATACGCGACAGCATCGCGGGTGCCCTCCGCCGATCCTCCGGACTGCTGTGTCCCCTCAATTCCCCCGCCGCCCGACGTAGTCGCCAGTCCACAACCCTCTCTGCGCATCCGCGAACGATGACTCCTTCGCCCGCGGCGCTCATCAGGTTCGCGCGTCCTCCGTTACCGCAGTCTACCTCCAAGGAAGGTCCCCCCGGCCCCAAGACCAAGAGCCGGCCGCGGCCCGTGCCCCCAGCGCGCTGCGGGCTGCTCTGATCTGCGCCGTCGGTCACGCCCTCCAAATGACAGCCTCGCGTCCGCCGCATGCTGGCCTTCTGATCACGGAGACGCCCCCCATGCACGTGTCCCGCTGGGTGTGGTCGGTGCCCGCGCGCGCGCCAGGGCCGGCCGCGGAGGACCGTTCCACGGAAGCGGGGGAAGCGGGGCGGGGCCAGTCAATCTGCACCTTCCCTGTCGCCGTCGCCCCTGTGCTGCTAGCATGAGCCGCTGCGAGGCCGTCTGGACACCGTGGCATTGGCGCACCGAGCTTCACTGTGCGCGTGTTCGGTACGAACGCCATCTGGCCATTCAGTAGCACTCGGTGTTGAGTCTCGAGTCTCGAGCCGAGTCTGTGGCTGCCGTGACCGCTCTCGCGGCTCGAGCTTGTACGGTTGTTCTCGGCCTCATTCGCGCGCCGTGCCAGGTGTTTGGGTATCAGTATGTGCCGCAGATCTGCTAGAACGCTACGCTTCTCTATATGTACAGAGGTAGCCAAGACACTGCCCATCCCAGGCCGTGGTGACGTTAACCAAAGAGCTTCTCCGTCCTTCGCAGCCTCGGTCGCTCATAGGCCCATAGCAGAACGCCCTTCGATCCCCTCAAACTTTGCTTGAAGGTATACCCTGGCCTTCCGATGCCCTACTGGCGCGGGCGCACGCCCAGCTTCCAGCCCGAGCGACCACAGAAGTGTTCGTAGAAAACGCATTCAACTACATGTGACCGTGCTTTCCGTGTTGTAGGCGGTCGCACACCCATTTACTTATTTTGTCCGTCGATGATACCAGACCTGTGGGTCCAGCCTAACCAAAACATTGCATATGAGCATCCCGCGTGCGGGACCGCATACGTCTGAACGAGACAGGTTCGCCGCCTTTCCGCCCGAAGAAACTCTCACTCCAGAGTCACATAAGCGTATATGCATCCTGTGAACTATACACTAATTGAGAGAACGCGGGTACAGTCCCCGTCTGTGTGAACGACCAGGATGTTTATTGCGTCCGAGTCGAAGTCGGCGCCACCATCCGGTGCTGTGTTACTGTACTACGGCATCCGACTGCACCCCTCGATACGACAGCGCCTGGGTCCGCCGGTCTGATATTCAAGAACGCAAGCGTGCGGTTCCGCCGTCCAGTGCGCCATTTCAGGGACCATCTGCCCGGACAATTACCCACGCCGCCATGCAGTGCAGAATTTGTCGATGCTCTCACGGTAGTCCTCAGAGGCTAGCAGTTATTGCAGTGCGCGTGCGTGATCTCCGTCCACCAATCACGCCACTGAAACACAGAGCGTTGAAGATCGGATAATGAATTCGTATTCGTAGCTGTGGCGTAGTGATACAAACAGTAGTGGCGATGCAAAGCAAGCGATACAGAGCTTTGTACGATTGTGCGAATGTAAACAACAAAACATGAAGATTACGCATCTGGCAAATGATCTTAGTATGATCGACGCTGTAGGAGAATCTCGGGAGCGACGTACAGTACGACGTGCCGACGAGCATCGTGGAAAGACTTTGTAGCTGGTCCTCGTTGAACGCAAGCTGGTCTTTGTGCCATGTGTCCTATTAAGCCTCATTAGTCGTCCGGACATGCGCCCTTCCGGTACGGAACACACCTGATGCGTCTGCAGATATCATAAGAAGAGAATGAGCGGATTGACACAGACAAGCACGTCAACTTTACGTGGAGACGCACCTTCTTGAATTCTGAAGCACACTTGCGAATGGTCTTCGATATCGGTAATGGGTCGGTAGCGTGATTGGCCAACACTGGACTCACAAATTAGCTATATTGATTCCAGCGGTGCAAATCCCTTACCATCGGTGAGCGGCGGCATCCAAGGTTCCACGGAGTACGGGAAGCTCTCGATCAACGCGCAGATGCCGAGAATGGCGGAGTGCAGAGATCGCAGAGAGTCTTGGTACGCAGGGTCGCCTCGCTTGGGCATCCTTGTTCGGCGAAGCGTGTTGACGAAGCGATCCTAGAGAAGCAATTAGTTAGGCGCAACCTTGCTCTTACCGATCATTCCCACCTTCAACGGGATAATGCTCTGGCGTTGAGAACATCTCACAACTCCGGACAGCATCTTGGAAGCCATCTCCCGAACCTCGATGTTCTCGTCGGATAGACATTCGAGAAGAACGCTCATGAGCCTGGACACGAGGTCGCCCGACATGCTCAATAAATTCCGGTAGAAGAAGACGATGAGAGTCGGCAACGCGTTCACTCGGATACGCCATGACTATGAGACGGGGATCAGTTGTAATCTGATACCGTCAAGGTCTACTCACAGTCGACGACTTGATCGCGTTGATGAAGTTGTCCGCGATGACTTCGATGAACTCCGGCGGAGGAGTCACAGCAGAAAGGACGTATAGGACCGCTGAGCTGTACGTTTGCAACTCTGAGCTGTCGTTGAGCTCAGACATCCGGATGATTTCGGGGCTATGTATGCCGTCAACAACTACGGACGATCGAAAACAAGAGGCTCGTACAGCAAGACGATGATGTAGGGGAAAATCAGAGGCGCTTGAGGACCATGAGCGAAATCCCACACCCATTGCAAGACTGTCCAATTCATGAGCAACGTGGACCGAATACGTAGGGGGAGAGACATACTCGTCAATCCGACTTTATCGTACTGCGATTGGCTTACTCGGGGTGGCGGCAGTCGCTCTTCTCGCCAAGCCGGTAATTGACTGACGATCTGCGAGATGCGCTCTAGATACCGCGCCTGTCTGTGATAACATGAGGACGCAGCCATGAACAAAGCACGAGGATACGTACCGGATGCGGAATGGATCGGGCGATGATGCGCAAGCGGAGATGAAGTCATGCGCAGAGGGGTATACTGGTCTCCACTGGATGCTGATGATGGCGTAAATGTTCTGTGCGATCTGCGAGCGAATCTATTGCCAGATTTTATAATGAGTACTCTGTTGAGTGTAAGCGTGGAAGTTACAGACCTCAGCATAGCCGGTGTTTGCATTATCCAAGAATAGGTTGATGTACTGGTCGGCCAAAGGAAGGAACCGTAGATCAAGGCAATCGACCAAAACATTGAAGATGGACAACGACTTGCTCACTTTAGCCCTGTCAGCTACACTCTATAGTCAAGAGGGGTAGAATGACGTACTCGCAAATGCGGAATCCCCGTGGAACTCCTGAGGCAGAGATAGGATCCACTTCACCAACGGCGCAGTGCGTCGGGGATCGCGGTCCACGAGTTGTTCCTGGAGTACCATTTTTAGACTTTAGCCTAGCAATAGGGTATGAGATACGTACGCTGAGCAGATTCTCCCAGAAGGAGACGGTGTCAGGCTTCATCTGGGCGTAGATTCGATCAAGTCTAGACGCAATCCATGACCACAAGTAGTCCGCGTGTTGCTTAGGCCAATGCTTCGAACCTGGGGAAGAATGAACACTGCACTAAACATCGTGGCGCGGAGCATACCTCGCGATAGCCCAGCCAATAGCTCGGCACCGGATCGCTGCTTGTAGCGGTCGCCGTCTGCGAGAAGGGGATCGATCGTGTCCAAAATGGCTTGCAGCTGCTCATTCTCAAACATCTTGGCTGTGCTTCTGGTTAGTTCCTGATCGTGCTGGAGGTTGAATGACATACCGATCGACTTCATGAACGTCACGTTCTCAGCACGTAGCTCCGGCGTCGTGGAGTTCTTCATGGACTCCTGACCCCAAAGTAGTGCCAGGACGGAGAAGAAGTTCCCCTGGTTCATGACTTCGCTCATGGCGCGAAGAACAGGCCGCGACGCCTCTTCCCATGCGAAGGGTGATGGTCCTTCCGGTACTGCTCGATACCCCTTTACCGTCGACGTCCAGACCAAGAAACCTGTCTCGACTTTGTCAACACGAAGATCCCTATGAAAATGTCAACACAACAATGCTCAAACTGTAACAATATAACATACCCTTCTTGCCCAGCAGGGTACCCTGGCTGGGCATGCTGTCGCATGAACACCGATGGGTCGTCGACGGGGATGTCCACTTTCAGGGGGTTCTCCCACTCATCCAACCAGAGCTGGTCGCTCGACTGGGAGAAAGTCCGAATCTTGACGTGCGCACAAACCTTGACAACGGCCCTGTGTATACATCATTAGCTCGCCGTATTTCGATAACCAATGTTATGAGTGTTCTACTTCTGCGCTGTCACCCGAATAGTGGTGTGAGGACTGATGCTCTGTTTGAGGAAGAACGCTGCTACCGCCGGCGGCGGAGCGAAGTCCCTCCGTAGGAGCCCGTAGAGGAATCGTATTGCGAATTGTACGTATCTCCACTGCAACATCGTCAGCAATGGCGCAAGTTATGTCACGAAATTTTGTCCTCACATGGGTCGCGGGCCGTTCGGCCAGCTCCAGGACGGCAGTCACCTATTCAAAAGCCTGATTAGTTATGAGATGTTTCAACCAGTCAGTACGACGGACTGTTTCAGCATATCTCTGGTTCTTGAGCGATACCCGAGCGTTGGACTTCAAGAGAGCCTGCTGCAATATACGCGGATCGACAAGAGAAGCGGAAAACTCGTGCTGCAAGTCAGCCAAGGCGCGCAGCACGCCCGAGATGTCCTCGGTGAACGCGTCAGTGTGACAAGACTCCTCATTGAGGTATACGAGGGCGTCTTGGGCGACGTTCCCGACGAGCTTCTGCACAGAAGGCTGGATATGCGATGTCAGTGCTCGGCTCCCCCATCAAACAACCAGGGCAATACCTTCTCTTCGTGCTGGCAACCCAACAACGCTACGAGATATTGACCATGGTAGTTGATATCTACGGCAATTATTCAGTCGCGAGAGCTACTTCACTTGCATGTTTTCTTACCGGCGAGTGCGTATGCTGCCGTCCCTTTGTTCCAGAGGATGTAAAGCGCACCCTTCATGCGGTCGGGGTCGTTCTTCTTCTCCAAGGCACGCAACACATAAGGCAGCGTAAATCTTGTTGACCGCACGAAATACTATAGTGCATATGTCAGGCTGCTATATCGCATACGAATAAATGGCAGCTCACCCCGCAAGCATTGTGGACAACAGCTTGTGCGTGTCTGTCAGGATGAAATTCGTCAATGACTAGACAGTACCTGTATGAACTTTGCAATACCTTCGCACTCTCGTGTATGGCGAGAGTGACATCTCGATCAGGTCCTCGAGAAGTTGGTCGTCTAGTGAGTCCCGCCTGCGATAGAGCGCATGCATATAGAGCCGTCCAGCGTTGTAGACCTGCGCCCGCTTCTGGAACACTACTCGTGAGTTCTCCTTCTGCTTGGGCCAGCTACGGTTGGCGCTGTAGTACTGCATGTTAGCCATTGCACCGCCTAATAATCAATTCACATACTCGCGAGCCTGCCGGTAGGCCTTCGTCAAGCTCTCGAAGTTGCTCCGGGTGATCGCATACTCGAGCAAGTAGACGTCAATGGCACGCGACACCCCGATGACGGCGTCGATGTGGTCCTCGCCTTCACTCTCCTTGCGGAGGACGTCAGCTGCGCGATGGACGAGCTTGCCATACCGCAGGCGGTGTGCTGCGGCCCGCTGGTATTGCGGGTCGCTCGGGTCGGTGAGCACGAAGCCCGCCTTGACGTCAAGCGGCATGACTAGCAACTCGGGCACCTCGATATCTACGTTCAGACACGGGTTCACGACGTCCTTTGCGCCCTGCAAGAGGAACGTCGGCAATCCGCCCCATACCGAGCGGGCCGCATGCAGGTACCTGGCTGATGGGGTCAGTGTGTCTGTCTCTGTACCTGGACTCCACACGCACCGGCAGAAATCATTCCGAGCGACGCTATCCCATTTCCCGACCGTCTGAAGCAACTCCTCGACCTTCTCGAGCGCAGGCGCAGCGATCTTGTCCAAGATCTCGAGCACGAACTCGATCTCGTCACGCGTCGGCACTGCCGGCAGTCAGCACCTCGCGCAGTCCGGGGTGGGAGTTACGTACCATGCCAGACGACCTCGACGTCGTCTGCGTCATACATCTTGCCCCATTGGCTGGTTAGGTTTCGGTTGAACTCTGTTAGAGAGATAATATAATTGTGTAAGACCTATGACAACACGTCCGCAGATGTTATCCGAACCTGGCGAGTCCCACTCATCCGGATTCACGTAGCGAGCGTTGAGCGTGTAGATCGTCGCGGCCGAATGCAGGATGCGGTTGATTAAGCGGCCAGTCCCAGTGTACCCGCGCTCGCTCTTCGTCTTCTCGACTAGTAGTGCCATGAGGCCGAGCAGCTGATCTTTGTATTTCAGGATCTGCAGCGGAAGCTATTAGCAGTCGGCGGAGGACGCAAAGCTACCGTTATCTTACCGCCTCGCCGCCGTAGCCAAAGCAGCCGCGGAGAATAGACATGTCTAAATCCCAGGTCAGCGGCGGCAATACAGAGAAGACGGTCGTTGTACATACTCCAGTGCAGGGTCGTATCGGACGGTACCGCCTCGTGCGTCGACGTTGTACGGATGCTTGAGGCGCCGTGCTTCAGCTCCTCCTGGATCTGCGCGAGGCAGAACGGGAAGAAGCGATCGACCGTCTTCTCGGGGCGCGCACGCGCCAGACACGATACGAGCTGGCCGAATGCGCGCACGGCGTTCGACTTGGCGTTCGTGCTCGCGTACTCGTAAACGAGCTTGAGCACTAGGTCGAAGAGCGGGTCGGACAGGTGCAGGCACACGGTGTCCAAGGCGCCCTTGATCGCCTTGAGAACGGCCTCCTCCATCTTGCCACCCGTCGTCCCCTTCTTGCCGCCTTCCTCGGGGAGATTCTCGAACAGCGCAAGCACGCGTCGGAAGAGTGAAGTTACCCAGTCTGCCCAGGCAGCGGTGCTTTCGCGTGCCAGAGCACGTTCTTCCTCTCGACTAAGAGTGGGCATTCCGGGTCCTTCGACGCCGGAGGGGAGTCGTTGCTCAGTGGCGGGGTCTACGTCCATGATGTCCTCGGATGGTGCATCGCTGGACAAGTCCACGCCATATTGGTGCATTGAGACGTCGGCGATCTTGATATGCTGCACGACCGAGGTGATGAACATCGTAGCGCAGATCGTCTTGACCGGATCGTTCTGAGGGGAGCAAGTTTAACCAAAGTGTTCATTAAGGCTTCCCCAATACTTGTGCTTACGAGGTCAATGCCGGGGATGCACAATTCCAACAATGGAACAATGTGCTTCTGTCCGCCGAGGTAGATCTTCTCGCTCACGAGAGGAAGTGCGACGGCTGACAACATCGTCATGACGGAGGTCGTCCGGTGAGTCTCGTTCACAACCTCAAGGCCGCTGTATGCCCGCTCAAGAATCTCTGGCATGACAAGCGAAGGCTCAAGCAGGGCCATGGCGCGGATCGCCGCTTGTGAGTAGCTGATGGTGAATGGATCCTTGGAGAACATGGAGAGCAGCACTGGTGTCCGCAGAACGAGAATGAAGTTCCGTCGGATCTCGGGCGTCAGGCGCCGTGTCTGTATGGTATTCAAGGTCAAGATTCATATCCTCGCGTCCATACACTCGATAAACTGGACATACCACTGGGGTCTTGCAGTTCGGCTGCTGTTCCTCCTTCCACCTCTTCGAGAACTCAGCCATCAGGCGTTGCACGAAGTGAGTGAGCTGACAGTGTATGGTCAATAGGACGGTTAGGCAAAGGAGTAGTCTCCTCACATTCAAGCTCCAAATGCCATAGTTGGAAGGATGGAAGAACGACTCAACACTCGTAGTGAGCTTGTCTAATGAGTCAAGGGCCCTGGAGCCGGCAACAAACCCTTCAGATGAGGGTACGCCGCCGTTGCTACCGTTGTCGCGGACCGGTCCGTCTAAGGAAAGCGAGTATACGATCAACTTGGCGAGAGCACCTGCGAACCCTTGTTAGCCAAATAGCCTGTCGCTTCGCTAGAACCACGTACTGCTTCGGTTGATCAGCTTCTTGATGCGAAGGGATTGCTTGTCTGCCATGCTATCAGCGTGTCCAGCAGTAGTACTAGCACCCTATGCGACATAATCAGGATATGTGCAAGCCTGTTGAATTGTGAGCATACCCTGGTAGCTCCGACAGGCACATCTGTGTCAAGATATTTCAATATATATACGATTGGGCATGCCGCAGTTTGACTCACTCATGGAACCCAACGTCTTGCCGATCAGGAACGTCCACTCAGCCTCGCTCCAGATACCTACGGTCTTCCATTCTGCAGCACCCTCTGCACCGTATTCACTGAACTGTCCGGCAACATGCTCCTCGGACAACTCTCCGCAAAGCTCGATGAACCTGTCGTCTATGACAGATGAGTTGAATGCTTCCCATAGCTTGAATACCATAGGCATGTAGGTGTGGCTGTGGGATGGCGGAAGGAACGATGTTAGGACGGGAATCATGGTGAGCACCGTCTGCGTGGAATGGATGAGCAATCAAGGCGCCCCAGACAGCTTAAATGACCGTAACGCACGTCCTTCGTCAACATAGGCAAGAACGTCGCAAACATCTCGGGGACCTCGCCGACAGGAAAGTAACGTCTGCACTGCTCCGCGACGAAGAGGAGGATATTAACGACGTTCCGTCTAGCATATTATGTCAGTCTTGACCTATATGATGAACCCACGTTGACATACGAGGAGTCGTGCATTCTCTTCTTAGGCCAGAGCTCCTTCTGCAGCATACGCCAAAGGGGTTGCCAAGGAAGCTGCAAGTCTGCGGCGTCAAGCTTACGCCGGCTGTCTGGCTTGTTGCAGATGAGACGGGAGAGCATGTCTGCCCAGCTCCGCATGACGCGAGGCTCTATGCCCGGTACAAGGCACAGTTCGAAGTAAACGCGAGTGAGCTTCGCGCGAATAGGCTTGGACATGGGATAGCGCATGAGCAGCCAGCTGCGTATAATATATTAGGTGGGTAACGTAATGCAAAGTAGCTGTGGCTGAACATACCATTGGAGCATGCCGTCCCAGGTAGTGAGCACGAGCCAGTTCTTGGCCTCGGCGCAGATGCAGATACGTCCTACAATATTCTCCAGCTTCGCTTGCATCTGCTCCGAGGACTCGCACTCGTATGGGAGGGCATTGAGGTACGATTGGAGAGAGGCGCGCTGCTTCTCAAGCGCACCGGGAGAGAGCGTGCCCGACTCCGAGGAGGGGGAATCGGGCACGGAGACCTCGTCGTCGTCCATGATTCCAAAGTCGCTAGTGGCGAGCGCAGAAAAATCTAAACCGCCTAGAGTGTGTACACTGTCCATTGTGGCGGGCGTGAGCGGATGGCAGCGGCAATGAGAGTGGGAGTGAGAAGCGACCAACCTGGGTGTGTGATTATATGCGCGGCCTGGGGGGCTTACGAGTCTATGGCTGACGCGTACAGGGACCGCAGCGGGCGGTCAGGGACAGGATGCGGAGGCTGAGAGAGCGAGCGAGAGCGGTTTCTGACTGACGCAGGCGACGCGTACCCACCCCAGACTCGCCGTAGGCGCCCATTGACCTGCGCGTCGATATCCACGTGCCCCGCCGCCCGATCCCATCTCAGACGCGCGATCGGGACTCCCGCCGGGCGCGTCGCGACTCTGTCCAGACTGCCACCACAAGCTCCCGCCGCGCACATCTCTTCCCTCTACTCCCGAGGACGTCGTCGACAACTATGAGCTGGATTCAATCGAGGCTGGCGCGTAGTGCTGTTCAGGGCTGCCGCACTTTCTCGGCATCTGCGTCCTCACGGTTCGGCTCGCGCTCAGCTGCTCTCGCCAGAACTGCATTACACCAGCGGAAGTCTCTCACGTCTTCTGCACTCTTCTGGGGATCCGCGTTTGCGGTTACTGCTGGCCTGACCTTTAATCCGACTGTTCATCTCGATGGCGAGGCAGCGCCTGCACCCGTAGAAGAGGAAGAGACTCGCGGTGCGTTCTTGGACACTGGCGAATGTCACGTTCTCGCTATACTTACACTAATACAGTTGACCCCGCGACGTCTATCGCATTTCCTACGACGTTGAAGATTCAGTCGAAGGCGCCGCTACCAACCTTTACTCTTGTGGGACTTGGAGTGCGGACTGTGTCATTCCTCGGCATCAAGGTGTATTCCATAGGGTTCTACGCCGACCTCTCCAACCCCAAACTTGCAACAGTACGTTCCTTTTACTATCACCGACTCCTCTGCACTAACCTTTTACGAAGATACCGCAAGACGCGACTCCTGAGGAGAAGATTGAATACATTGTCAAGAGCTCTGCTTGTGTGCTACGCATTAGTGAGCTCTTCAGTCCACGCTGAAGGCTTTACGGCAGCTTACGTCTCCTTCAGTCCCCACGCGATCAACGTCATACAGTCATTTGAGGGACGGGTTCATGCGTGCGCTGCAAGCGCGCCAGATTTTGTGCAAGAAGCGGGAGCAGCTTACCTCTGAAGAGGAACTTGCCATCCAGTCACCTCTGCGCAAGCTGAAGTCAATGTTCCCGAACACCCCACTTGGCAAGCATTCTCCGCTAGACATCTTGATCACCGCGCCGTCGCCCAAAGAGCCGCGAAGCCTCATCGTGCGCGACCTGGGTTCCGTCCAGAGCGATTGGCTGGCGCGTGAATTTGTCCTGACGTACTTTGAGGGCAAAGGTCTCAGCCCGCCGGTAAGCCCAAACCGTGTTCGTGTTCTGCGCGTCGCGAACTGACTTGAGTACAGCTGAAGGACTCCGTAGTGGAATATGTCAAGGAGTATCTGTAATCCGGAATGCTCCGTCTACCTTACATGTACAAGTAGCTTATCCGCCTCCATAATCACATCCTCTAACTACTTATACCTGATCCCATGCTCCTCGTTGTAGTACCGTCTCCATCCCGGACGCGTCCTGGTGACTGTTCCCCTCTGGCGAATATGTGAGTCGTACGGGAAAATTAGTCATACCAAGGGCTCGGACGGTGCGAGACGGGCCGCGCAGCGGCCCATATATGGTGCCCAGGGCGTGACGGTCGCACGCGCCGAAGGCGCGTTCAGTAGGTGTAAGGGCGCGCACTCAGTCCCTCCTGCTCGCGTCCCCCGCGCGAGTACTGCGTCCGCTGTACCAATATCTCATTTACATACATGCAAATTCTAAGATAAAATGGTCTAAAATTGCGGGAGCTTCGCGGCGGCTCGCGCCGCCGCATTGAACGAGTATGGGCGCCTATTCCACGATCACCTTCGAGGAGGTGCACGATTTGAGTGATGTTTCGCGCGCAAACAGGGCTCAGATATCCTGAGATGTATTTTAACCTCACTGGAGAGACTGTCTGTTATTTTTGGAGCTTCGCGGCGGCGCGCCGCCGCGAATCTGTGCACATATAGCAAGGATAGCCTAGGACCAGGCTCTCCTGGGGCTCTATATCCCGAATAATTCACGCCGAGAGCTTCCAAGTGGGTTGAAATGAGCCTCTACACATTTATAACGTCTGTGGTAATGTAATACAAATTTTTGCGAGTTCTTCGGGCTCCTGTGCACCTGTCGAGCGCGTCCACAAAGTCGCGAAGGGGGTCCCGATGAGATCACGTGCGACCCAAATGGTCTCGTAACCTAATTCTAGGGTTGGCTTTGGTCTCTAGGGGCGGGCGCTTCAGCCAATTTGGTCGGGTCCTTGGAATCGCGCTGTATCCGTCGTACGCGCCGAAGCGCACGTGGTCTGCCCCGCGCGTCGAAGATCGAACTGAAGGATCCCGCGCTTCGGCGAAACTGAGAGCGTTTCCACTGCTCTTGCGCAGAGCCCACCATGAACCTCCCTCGAGCGCGAACCGCTATCCATCTCACTCTGCGACTCTGCAAATCCTCGACGCGCTCTGCTCGGATCGTCGTCCTTCCGCGGGCCTACGCCACGCACGCGCAGAACGCTACTGTCAACCCCCAAGGATCTGCTTCGGGCAGTAAGCCCACCGCTGCATCCCTCCTCTCGGGCGCACTCGATGGGCGACAGCGATCATCACGCAGGGAGGACTCGGCGGGTCCGTTCCAGCTGGGCCTGACGCCGCCTCGCGCAGATGAGGTGCCCCCGGAAAAGAAGTGGTCTGAGCTGAGCGCCGGGGGGAAAGGTGCGTCACTGTTCATATGCTTAACATCTCTCGTGAAGAGTGTCTGAACGGAAGATTGATCATGGTGCACAGTAATGCGCACGACGGCGCGCACGACGAACCTCGCGGTCATCCTTGCCGGCGCGGGCCTCTCGATCGTGCTCATATACGCCCTCACGTCCGAGCTCTTCTCGCGGAACTCCCCTACGGTGCTGTACAACAAGGCGTGCGACCTCATTAAAGCATCTCCCCAGGTATGTGATGTTTCTCACTTATAAGTGTATGTTTCCTTATACTGGCTGTGGGCGTAGGTGCACCAGTACTTGCAAGAACCGCTGGTCTTCCACAACCACCCACCAACAGTCTCCCGCCCGCGGCACCGAAACCACTATGTATCTTCACAGATCTTCGTCGACTCCAAGGGCCGCGAACACATGCTTCTCAACTTCTACGTCCAGGGGCGCGCACCGGGGTCTGCCCCGTCACTCTTGGAATCCGACGAAGGCTTCTTTGCGACCGCCGCACAGAAAGCACAAGAGAAGGTGACCGCGCTGCATGGGATGTCATGGGATGAAGTGAAGGAGGAGGCGGAGAGGCGAGCGGAGGCCGTTCTGGAGATGGGGAGGAGCGCATTCCGGTTCCTGAGCGGGGAAGAGGTCGCGCGGGCGAAGCCCCCGCCTATGCCGGTGCAGGAGCACAAGCAGGAGCAGGAGAAGAAGGGCTGGCTCTCGTCTGTTACCGGCTTGTTCTCGGGGATCAAGGGCACTGCGCGGAGCTCTGCGGGATCTTCATCGGAAGCCTGGAACGGTCCTGCACTCACGGAAGGCGAAGTGCACGCGGACTTGGTTATGGTGTGTATTATGAGAGTTTGGCAGGGGATATGTTCACTAATGATGTCATGCTGCACAGAACGATCAGGGACACTACGAGTTCCGCTACCTGCTCATCGACATGCCTAGTGAGTGTTGTGCTAGCATATCCGTGTTCCTGACCCTAACATGTATGTTTCAGACTCCAACATGAGGAATCCGCGTCGAGTCTTCGTCCACAGAACAGAGGGTGTGCGGGAGACGGAACCAATAGTGCGGTGGTACCGGTAGTCCCATCTGCGATCGCAGGCAGTCCGGGACAAGCACGTACTTTATGTCTCTCGTAGTCAACACTCACCGCTCATACTGTCGACGGCACGGTTGGGGTATACGACCGTTGTACATGTATCGAATCTAATACAATACAGATGCAAAGCGTCCAGGGTGGCGGAGGGCTCAGTATTGAGGCGTTTATTCTCCGAAGAGCTTCTGTACGCGCTTGAGTATAGAGTCCTTGCTGGGATCTGGATGGGAGCGTGAGTAGCGGAGACATACGAACTCTACAAGTACATACCGTATGGGTGGTCCTTGGAAGGGATCTCGAGCAGCGCCGGAAATGCCTCTTGGAACTTGTCGACCATGGGGCGGATCTTCTCTGCGACCTGAGGTGCTAGCTCTCAGTATACATCACCATACATTTGATCGTGTATGCGTACGTGTTGGTTGATGAGGAGTATCGCAATATCCTTCCGCTGGGTGAACTCTTCGAAGGCGGCCTCGATGGCTGGTACGTGCGTCTCTGTGGACACGTATATTCCATTGAGTCTCCTAATTGGAAGTAAGAAGGGTGATATGTACGCACTGCTGTCCACGACGAGGAAGTTCTTCTTCTGGTTTTGACCGACGTTGCCGATACCCGCTAGGAGCATGCCCGTTACCGTGTCCTGGTATGGTCAGTACGCGTACGCGCGCCAGACAGAAACACTTACCTCATCCCCGATCACGGCGAGGAGATTCCTCTCCTGCGAAGCCGTCGACATCGTGTGCGGTCGCGATGTGGTTGGCGGACAAGTCGTGCTCGCCGGACGCCTCGACGGCGGCGCGGTGCCCGGAAAGGAAGGAGCGTCGCACCACGTGATATGACGCGGGGCAGAAACCGAGATTTCTAGCACTGCGACTCTTTTCGGGCTTACTCACTTTCCTCCATCCGCGCCCCCCGTAGCACATCCAGCTCATACATCTGGTCTCGAGTATACTGCAGCACCCCATCGGACGCGATGGTGTCCGTCAACGACATCTTCAACCGTCCTCCGACAATCTCGGAGGACACCCTCCAGTACTGCCTGTACCTCCCCCAGGACCAGACAGACCGCGTCTCTGCCACCGCCCTCGCCACGCTCATGATCGAATACACGCAAACGCTGCTACCTGAACACCTCTGGCACCGTGACTCCTTCGAGCTCAAGGTGGCCCCGGACCCAGAGGGCGACAAGGACTCTTGGGTGCTCGAGGGCAGGATGCGCGTCGGAGACTGCATAGACGACGAATGGTGCGCCGTTTGGCTCCTCCGCGAGCTTACAAAAAAGTGGGATGTCGCCGCCAGGTATGTCACGAACCCGCTCAGATTTCATGCATATACTCATGGTCGGAGGAAGTGTGTGGGACTCGGACGGAGAGTTTTTGCTCATCGAGGCCGCCGAAGAACTCCCCTCGTGGGTCTCCCCCTCGAACGCGGAGAACAGGGTACGTGTTTCTGTAATCACGCATCTTGATATACACTCAAAGCGCACTCTAGGTCTGGATCCATAACTCACGCATACACCTCGTTCCACTCTCACACGTCTCTCCACCATCTAGCAAAACGCACCGCCGCCGGTATCTTCCACATCAAGGCGACGAGGATGAGGAGGCGCTATACGAGAATGAAGACGGAGAAGACTTCATCACCGCGCACGACGCAGTGAAGCTTGTTCGTGATCCTCTGGCTCGGACGACAGCGCCAGAAACAGTCGAGCAGACCGTGTGGAAACGGATATCTGGGTATGCTATGGTTCGTACCGGCCCGGCGCAGTTTACTTATGAATTCTACCTAGGTATCCGGCGGCTTCCCGTCAGCATATCCATGTAACGAAAGCGTACCTGCCAGCTGATGTCGCCAAGGCTATCTCCGTCAATCCGCCATTGGTGCAGAAGGCAGTCGAAGCCTTCTACACCCGCGATGCCCTACAACTTCGAGTATGATTTTTCCACAAGAGCACCAGTGCATAGTGCTCACATCACTCCAGTCTGCACAGAAAATGGCCCGCTTCCCACCCGAACCTTCAGCGCTCGCAGCTGTCAGGATGACACGGACGGCCTACGCACAGCTCGTCGGCCAGAAGTTTCACCCGCCGAAGATATTTGGTCGGTGGTCCGAGAAGGAAGGCTCAAAGGAGTGGCGCTGGAGAGACGTCGGGATGAAAATCGTCAGTATACACGCAGTACGTGTTGTCGTGAAGCTTGCTGACAGCCACATGTGTAGGCCTGCGGCTTTGAGATGTTGTACCAGGAGAGCAAGAACCGCAAGGACGCGCTGTCCGCCAACTTCGACGGTTCCCCGGCATCCGTACGTACAGCGTATTGTTGCACCACGATATCCCTGAGCTAATGTCCAGATAGATGGACGCTCTCAAGGACAACTTACGCCGAAACTCCGAGTACACCCAGTACATCGAGTGTCTCTCGGCAGCAGGCTACTTCAAGGGCGAGTTACAGGGATCCCAGCAGTGGACGGCTCTTGAAAATCAAGCCGCGTCTGCCTTTGTCGCCGCACGCAAAGACGAGTAAGTGCAACTATGACGCTGCATTCGTTTCTGCTCGCTGACATACGTGATAGTGACGCATCTCGCCCGTCGTTTGCCACCGTCGTCCAGGCCGCCATCGTCCAGTATACGGACCACCGCGGGCTACCTTCCGGAGAGGAAGACTCAGACGATTGGCTGAACGTTGACGCGGCCGACTTCGACGCCATGCTCGAAAAGACCGCGGGTTCGAGCCGGGACAAGGGAAAAGGCAGAGCCTCCGACAGGATGGACGTCGACGCCCCGGAGGATGAGGAAGAGCGCATCGCTAAGGCGCAAGCTGCCCGCTTGAAGGACCTTGCAAAGCAGGTGGAGGACTTCGTGGAGGGCGAGGGAGATCTCGAGGGTGCCCGCTTCGCAGAGTAAGTGGCCTCTCAACAGGACCGTCGACCGCGCTAACTCTGTAGCTTGTTCATAGTGAAGCCTCCGATGCAGGCGACAGCGATGACAGCGACGATGCAGACGATGACGATGATGAAGCCATGGACGAGGACGACGGGGAAGACGAGGACGCGCCTCATCCAGCCTCCTCGCCCCTCAGCGAGGAACAGCGCAAGGCCCGGCAGGAGGCCATGGACAAGCTCGTCCCCGGAATCGACCCGTCGGAATACGGCAAAATGCCCGCCAGCTTCCACAGCAACTCGCAGCGGACCGCGCCCGTCACGCTCGACACGGAGCTCCGCGAAGAGCTGCCTTCCCTCAGCGGCACCACGCGAATACCGGAGACCGTGCCCGCCCGGCCAATCCGACCCCCGATTCTGCCGCGCGACAAGTACGACGGGGTGGACTCCGACGACGAGACCGACGAAGACGAGGGCGACGCAGACGAGGAAGAGGACGACGAGCACCCGCAGGTCGTGGGCGAAGTAGAGATCGACATGGCCGAGGAGGAAGAGGAGTTCATCGAGTTTGCCCGGCAAGCGTTAGGAGTCACTGATGAGCAGTGGAACGATATATTGCGCGAAAGAAGCGAAAGAGGCGGTACGTCCCCATGCTTTTCGCGTGTAACATGTGCTGATGATACCGATCACGATAGCGTTCGTACCTACTCGCGGAACTGCGACGAACAAGCATGCAGCCAGCACCGCACCGAGCCCATCGTCGCCGCCACAGGGAATTGATCGTTCGCGAGTCGACCCCGACCCGACACTCAACTCCTTCGAGGCTGTGATGCGAGCAATGGACGAAGAGCTTGCGCGTGGGCGCGGTGAACGTACCGGCGCAAACGCCTCTGGTTCTTCGGCCTCGAAAGGAAAGGGGAAGGGGAAGGCCGAAAATGAGAGCGAGGATATAGACATCGAGGCAGCCATGGCATCTGAGCTTCACGCGTCACTTGACAAGGGCGATGAAGAGGATGGAGAGGAGGAGCTCGATTACCAGCTCATCAAGAACTTCCTGGAAAGCTTCAAGAGCCAAGCTGGAATGTCGGGACCGGTCGGGAATCTGGTCGGACGGCTCCAGCAAGGATGGACACTTCCCCGAGACGACTCATGAATGTCATCAATGTGCATCGAATATCGAATATTCCTATACCATCACTGACTGCTGAGTGCATTCTTTCTCGTGACTCACGGGGAATGGGTACTGCAGGGTCAGAAGAAGAGCTACGTAACGACCAGATGGAAAGCAGCATATACGAACGGCAGATGTGCGCATTCCACGTATATATACATGAGAGACGCAGACCAGAGGGAACCCGTTCGTCGAGACAGGAGGCGTCAGCGGCGGGATTTGCGAGCGAACGTAGAGTACCACTGGCATGGCGCAGAGCGGCGCGCGACGCGATCACTTGGACAGCGCGCGCTGCGAGAAATTGCTTAACGCGTCGAACCCGAGCGTCGTGAGCGTCGGCCCAATCGCGATGAGCTGCGACTCCGCGAGCGCGGGATGACGGACAGAGGAAACGGATCGAAATACCAAAGTCAGAAACACATCAGAGAAGCCGGAACACTTGCTGAGCCCGCCAACGCGACGGCCTCGAACTCGCGAACTCGCCCATGGACCGCACAGCGCCGCGGGCTGCGCATCAGTGCAAGTCGTGATGTGTTTCCTCGGCGGCGGCGCGGTACAAGGCGAGGGCGATCTCGAAGGTGCCCGTTTCGCGGAGTGAGTGGTCGCAGTAATTATCAATATCATATAACCATACTAGCGTCGACTGCTGGGTGCATCCTTTTTCGTGGCTCACAGGAAAGGGTACGAAGCAGAGCGCAACGGCCAAATGGAGAGCACCACATATGAACAGAATATGTGCACATTCGTGCTTCTTCGTGATTGCGAATTGTACGCATTAGAGAACGTTGATATAGGATGTCAACCACCTGATAGATACAATGAAACGCCGTGAAGATCCTCTGCGACCGAACACATCCTTAAGCCCTCCCACCAGTAGCGTCGCCAGTCTGGCTGACACCACCGCCACCCGCAGCGTCTAGAGGAATCAAAGTCACTACTAGCCTCTCAACAAGATCAGTGAAGTACTCACTAGAGTCCGCCGCGTTGTCGATGGTACCACCGTAGTTGTACACACTGCCGCCTGTGGCGGGACCCGACGAACCGGTGTACGCGTTACCGCCGGGGCCAAGGCCGTTGCCGTTACCGCCATCGGCGTCACCAGAGAAGGTTGTGCCAGCGCCGCCGGCGGTGTCTACAACGAGGGTGATAAGTCAAGCATTTTGAGCGTACGCTGAAAAATAACTTACTTCCGCCGTTGTTGCCAATCGTACCGTCGCGGTCCGCGGAGTTGACAACCGAACCACCCGATACATCGCTGGTAGCACCGCTGTACGCGCTACCACCAGCGGTACCGTTGTCGCCTGCGCGTCTCTGAACGCCCGCGGGAAGCGTTGGACCCGAAGCATCACCACCCTCGGCGGAGCCGCTCTCTGAGAATCCGCCGCCACCAGCGTTGTCTAAAGTATTAATCAGTCTCCGAACATGTCGCGCCAGCTGCGGATGTCTTACTCGCGGTGGTGTTGTCAATCGCATCTGCGTCACCGGCGGGGGCACCCTCGGAGGTGTTGACGACGTTACCTCCCCGAGAGGCACCGGTCGCACCAGTGTATGCGTTGCCACCAGGGCCGTGGCCGTCACCGTTCCCGCCAAAGGCGAAGCCGCTGAAGGAAGAACCAGCACCACCGCCGGGGTCTGGTTCCATTTTAGTAGGTTTACTGACAATGCGCACGGTGCGTCACTCACTGGAACCGTCCGCGTTAGTGATGGTACCGTCCTGAGAGGCGTTCACGACGTCGCCACCGGAGGAATCCTGGGCGGCACCGGAGTAAGCGTTACCACCCGCCGTGTTGTTGTCGCCGGAACGCTTGGCCTTGGCCTTGGGAGCGGCGGCGGGCACAGCGGCGGCCTTCACAGGGCCGCTGCCCTGCTGGGTCTGGGCCTTTGCCAACTTCATGGCCTGGGTACGATGAACCGGGTCGTCGGTGTGGGCAGCCGCGGGAGGCTTAGCGGCGCTCCCCCCGAGCATGTTAGTCACACCGCCGATACTGCTAAGAGGGTCGGCGCGAATGGCATGAGTCATGGTGGCAGCGTTCTCAGTCTGAGCGAGAGCATTGTCGAGCTTGGGGGATGCGGGCGCGCCGGAAACGAGAGAGGGGCTGACTGCGGCAGCGAGGAGGGAGAACGCGATGACGGGGCTACGCATATTGACGGCGGTGATAGATGTCGACGGGGAGGGTCTTGGTGGCGATTAGACGAGACTAGACTAGAAGAGAGAGAGAGAGGAAGAAGGAGGGATGGGGCACGTTGGCGTTCCGACGAGGTTTATATACCTGCAGAGGAGCACATTCACGCCCCGCCGCGTCTTCTCGAGCTCGCCGCGGGGGATCGACGGCGTCTGAACGACGTGTGCTGGATTGGGGTCGACACTGTCCGCATTCGGAGAGGCCACCCTGGGGAAGCCGTTTGTGGCGCTCTTCTGTCCCGAATTGGCGCAGTGGTGACGGGTAGTTCTGTAGGAACCTCGTCGCATCCACCCCAGGTCATCACATCGTAGACAACATATCACAATTCGATCGTCACTTTGAACATGGATCGCTACTCGGTGATGCCCTTCATATGTCCCAGGATGAGCACTACGAAGTTTGGCCAACTTGGGTGTACATTATTCTACCCAAAGTCCGGGTTACGGCAGAATGAGCGATAGAGGAGGCGAATACCCTCAAGGACAGGGCTCACCAGGTCGATGTCATATTCAACCAGACGGGTGTTTGTAGGTCCAGATGGATCGAACGTCGCGATCGACACGTCAAGGCGTGGCAGGAATATAAAGGTTCTCGCCGGCGTGTCAACCGCCGGCGTGTTCGGCCAGATGTTGTGTGGTGAGTTGACGGACGTCGCTCATCTGTCCCGGACGTGTCGGCTTAGTGCGCAAGCGATTCTAGCTGGTTCCAGTCTGAGACAGGTCGATCAGGAGAGACGCTGGTGGGGAGTGGGCGCCTATGTCGTCTTAGTCAGCCTGTGGTGGCTAAGTTGTGACAGCGCTGTCACGCTGGGTTGTTTGGCTAAGAAGACGCGGACCCAATCACCGCAGCGCTCCCCATGGGTTGACTCTCAACCTCTGCAACGCGACTCGCAGTGCGACACAGAATTCCCCCCGACTACCGCCAACCCGGGTCACAGCACACACAATGAACGCACAAGTTTCCGCGGCGTCGTCAATCGACGAATACGACTCCCTTCCCGATCCATTCGAAGGTGTAGACTTCGATCAAGTCCCCGAACTGTGTGGGGCGACGGGCGACGGATCGTCCGACTACGAAGAATACTTCGACGACCTCGACACGAGCGAATTGGATCGACTTCCCCATCTCGGACCCCCGCCGGCGGCCGGCACCGCCGATACAGGATCGCACTCTCAACCACTGGCACTTCCCCCGCCGCCGAATCAGCTGGCCGCAGCGGCTCCAGAGCCAGCGACACAGCGGACGCGCGATGCAGACGCATCACACCCAGATCCGGTGTCGCAGGCCGTCTCTACCGCTGCGTCCACGCAGTACATGTTTGACGACATCGACGAGACGTTCTTGCAAGAGGTCAGCGTCGTGGAGCAGGAAGCTGCCCGCCGATTCCTCGGTATGAGTCTAGCCGTTTGACGTCGCCGGTATCCTAAACTTACACTCTTCACAGGGAACGCCCGGTCGAACCCCGTACCCCGGGATGCGTCAAGTGAACGAAGGCAGCGTACGTGTCTGCGGGAGTCGCTTCCTAGCTCCATGCGTGCTGATCGCTGTCCTATACAACAGCGTCCGGCCCCGTCGTCGCGTCCGCGAGAATCACACAGAGAAGCTCCTTCAAGCGGAAGCGGTCGGACGTACTATCCAGCGCCCCGGCCACGCCTTCGAAACGCCTGAAGGGCAACAGGACCAAGTCCGGCGACATCCCGGAGACAGTGGACCCGCATGCTTCCGCACGCCAAGTGCTCAGCGGTATAGAGGAAGAGTTGTCGTGTCCCATGTGCGTACCGCCCTATATGCTACATCGCCATTAGATATGGTGCTGACTATCCATTTTAGTTGTATGGAGGTGCTGTAAGTTTGCCGCTTCGCGCACACAGAGATTGTGGCGACTCACGATCTCACAGAGCCACGACTTACATCACAAACCCATGTGGACACTCATGTTGCGGTGACTGTCTGCTGCAGTGGATTGATACTTCTCGGGTACGTCCCACTAGCCGACAATGTAACACGCATCCTTCTGAATGCGCTTCCTATAGAAGCCGGGACCGACCGAACATCCCAAGTGCCCGGTTTGCAGAACCCAGCTGTGCCGCGACCGTCCAGCTATCCGGAACGTAGCAATGGACAGCGTTGCCCGACGATACGTCTCCAGCGCGGAGGAAGTCGGGAAGGTCGACTGGCAGCCGACTGGAGATCGCCGGAGGAACTTCCTCACACGGTCCAAGTAAGTCTGTACACCATCTCCCGTCGCAGGCCACTTACCTCTTCATGTGTTACTTGCAGCCACTCCGCGGTGTTGGCCGGCCAGTTTGCACAGCTGCCGAACACCTTCCCATTGACCGTAGAAGAAGACCCAGACTTCGCACTACCCGGGATACCACCGGAGATGTGGCTAGAAATCTCGATTGAAGACAGCGACCCCGAAGACTGAAGCAGTGACGAAGAAGACAGAAGATTATCCGCTGTATCATTGTTCATGGTCATCCTTGACACCCCGGGGTTACCTGCAGAGGATCGTACGAGACGACGATCGGCGCGGAGGGGACAAGTTATTGTATCGATAGGAATTATGTAGGACGGCGGGCGGATCACACGTTGTAGCATAGCACTCTCCTCAGACTCGGACTCCGTTTATGCCCACGCTATGTTAATGGACGCTTTATGCTGGTCATTCAACGGTCATTGCGATACTCAGATCTGGTCGTGACATACATGCAGTCGTGTACATGAGACAGGGATGATGGGTACAGGCGATACAGACAAAACAGGACAGAACAAAACAGTAGTCGATGCAGATGTGGAACAACAAGCGCACTCCGAGTCGGCGCCGCCGATACGAATACAAAGCAATGGGCAGAGTCCGCAGCCATCAGGAGACGAACCACGGATAGTATGTGCAATTACCTCACGACTCCAGGACGAGATCGAGCTGGCCGCCCGTTTCCAATCCCGCAAACGCGAAGAGCCGAGTCCCGTCGCTCCACGCGCCCGCCGGCGTCGGCGAGACGGTCTCCCCGTCCACCGTGGCGCGGAGCTCCTTGAAGGTATCAGTCGCTTGAAGGAGTACGATGGACCCTTCGGAGCGCTGGGGAGAGAGGGTGACAGAGAGAACACCGTGTGGGGGCGAATCGACGCGAACATCGCGAGGAACATCCGCAGCGTACTGTGGTGCAGGAGCAGCAACAGCGGATACATCCGTTTCGGCCAGCTTCTCCTCAGAGGTAGCGTCGCCTGAGTCGACAGCATCCACGTGTGGTTTATTGCTAGTGGGAGCACGGTCTTCCAACCTCTCACCAGGAGACGACTTCGGGGTGGCCGGAGGCGCCGTTTTCAGTAGCGCTAGCCCGATGAGGCCGGATATACGTCGCGTAGTAGACTCTCCCACGAGGCGAACGGCGAGTGACCTCACGAACATGCTCCAAAACCAGAACACAACGTTGATAATCATGTGCAGGTACCGGCGGATGAGATGGGGAGACTGATAGGGGATGAGTGCCGAGGACGACGGACGGCGCCGTCGAGCGGCCTCGTTACGCCTTCCTTGGGAGACACGCGGGGAGGCAGGGGGTACCGGAGACGGAGTTTTGGATTGAGATGCTTCCCCAACAGGCGTGGGTGTGTCAGAAAGCGGTGGAGAGGGCGGAGGCGTCGGGAGTGTGTGAGCGACCGGCCCATCGACCCTGACGGCGGCGTCTTTATAGGGTGTGAGCAAAGCAACATGCGCGACGTGACCGTTGACAGGAACATTGTGAATCGGAGCGACGATGAGCTCGCAGCCGGACGACCCAAGCAAAGCAAGGTGGTCCTTCCTGGCGAGGGATCCGTGTACAATTTGTACAGAGCGCAGGTCGGCGGACGATAGTACCAGGCCGTCCCACTCCGCTGTCTCCTTGGGTAAGTCGCGGGATCGGAGCGACATGACAGAGTGTTCGCCGAGCTTGTCGGACATCGGGAGAACGATAAGATGAAGGGGCAGCTCGGCGTCAGGAGGACGACAGGCAATCACGGCCGAGTCGTCATCGAACGCGGAGACATCCCCATTGCATAGTGCGGCAACACCCTTCAGTAGATCCCTTGAATGCTCCAGCACGCTGAACGATACCCGCGCAAAGGGGCTGGATGAGTGTAGGATGATTTTTCCTTGCTCGGTGATTTTGAGGGTGGTGGAATGGCTTGCCACGAATACCAGGGGCCTCGGGACACTCGGCTCACGCGCATAGGACTGTGGCGACAGCACCATCGCGAGACCTTCGCATCCATCACGGACGTGAGTGAAGGTTGGCAGACTGAGGTAGCACATGAGAACGCCGAGCTACCCATCATCGATCGGGAGACAGTACACACCTAGACGGGCTCCACGACCAGCATACCCAAGCCTCCGGATCCGTCAAATGTCCTAGGACACGCTCGCCTGGGAACGCGTGCGTACGATATGTACCATCTTCAGCGATATTCCAGCCTTCGCGCAAGTCGACCCCAGGCAGTCCTTTCTCGACCACCAGCTCACCATTCCGCCCGAACTCACCCAGCCACTGGATCTCGCCCGAAGGATGAACGAGCCTGTAGGTGAACCAGAAGCGTGCATCGATGTAGTTGCCGAGTGGAACGCGAAGGTGAACGAAGAGTGTGTTCTCCGGTAGATCCTCCTCCTCTGCGGCCCTAGGCAGGAACGTCGGTGTCTCCTCAGCCTGTGCATTTCCGGGCTCCAGGGTCTTGAATTGCGACGCGCCCCATTGGCCCCGCGACCGACCCTCGGCAGGCACATCCGACCAAAGCTCGACTCGGACCCCGTCCGCCTGCGCCTTGAGGAAAGACTCGCGACTATCGAAAGTCGCTCTGAACAGGATGGACTGGGGCGCTGCAGACCTCCCGGAAGCCAAGGGAGCAGCCTTGAGGAACGTTTGCTCCCCAAGCGCAGGCGAGAACGTCAGCTGCATACTGGTAGAGAGGATGGCCCGCCAGGGGTGTAAAGGGTGAAAAGACGGAGCTCAAGCCTAGGAACGTCGAGGGTCGCCTACAGAAGAACAAGAGCTAGCCGCGCCAAGGTGACCCAGGGAGACGATAATCAGAATGGGTTGCCTGCAGGAGACAACGAGGCCAGCTGTTACCCGGCGGAATATCGCGAAACGCTCATTGACTATATCTGGCCATGTCTGGACCTACAGTGGCATTTGGCGACAGAACTGTTAAGACAGCGTTGCAGCTGGGCAGCAAAATGGGTGGGAGAAGAGTCAAGTGGATATGACCATGCCTACATGCGAGCCCAGTGGCGGTTTTTGAATAATTGATACAATTATCCGGACCATCATCGGACTTGTTACAACCATACATGCAGGGGTCAGACACATGTTTACATTCATGATTCAATCATCGTTCATGTCGTAGTCAGAGTCTCTGGGCCTTTTACGTCTCGACTCTTCTCCGAAGCCACCGTGGTCGGCGGCACGCGAGAGTGTCTGGGCTACCAGATCATCCAGCAGTTCCGGGGGCATGTCATATTCTGACGTCCGCACTACGACCGCGTATGCGGCTGCACGGGGGTGAGATTCGCAAGATACTAGATATGCCTGCGCACATACCGTCTTCAATTTTCTCCAGGGATTGGGTAGTGACTGATTGCTTCTTACGCAGTTCTTTGAAATGCGGCGTCAATCCTTCAAAATCTGCGGGATGAATCTTATTGAGCGCTGTTCTTTCCTGGCACATGCAGCAATTATACTGTACCTGCTTTGCACGCGCGCACGAAGCTGCAGACGTCGCTCGCTTTCTGCCTGCCACCGCGCCTGGATATGGCAGCGATGGCGAATCGCATCAGCTCGCCTGTGAGGTCGGCGAGGCCCAGCAGGTAATCCTCGAGCGACAACGGGAAAAACTACATCGTATAAGCAAGTACTGGAGGTGCAGCTAGACATTGCTCACGGGGATGCCATCGCAGTCGGAAAGGGTGGATTGAACCTGGTCATATGAAATCAAGGTCCTGTGCTCGAGGTAGTGGGCGAAGCTGAGTGCTTCGATGTACTCCTGCACACCCGGGGAGATATTTCTTTGGTGATGCCAGAAACGGTCGCCCGCGAGCTCACCGCGCAGGGCAGCAAAGAGGGATTGGATCTCAGCCAGCTTGCCCTTGGCACGCGCGGCAGCACGGAGACCGAGTACACGGTCGTCGGTTTCTATAGCATCCTCGGTGACGGTGCGATGGAGGAGAAAGATGAGCTTTTTAGAGAGATTGGTAATGTCGCGGCTAGACTGGCGGCATGGGCCTCAGAGGTTGGCGTGACACGGGCTCGCGGGGCTCGAGTGCACACCGACCTTTATGAGACGTTCTCTTCTGTCGTTGTAGTCGTCGAGCTCCTCCCTGAACTGCTCGAAGGCGTGAACGATGGAGGGCCTGGAGGCAAGTGAGGTCATGGTGGTCGGACTGAGAGACGCTGGCGCGCCTGTTGTGTTGATCCTCGGCGGCGTGAGCTGCGGTGGCGCGTCTCGACCGCTGCGGCGGGTGTGAGTGTCGGTACGAAATTAGGACGTGCGCTCGCCGAAAGATGTGCGCTGGACAGTAAGCGATGAAATTGAGCAAGACGCGACAGCGGGCGGGCCCGCCAGAAAGGGACGGCACCGCCACGGCCAAGGGCGTCGTGCTACGCGACACAACGCGAGGCGGGCGGCGGGCGGCTGTTCGGCGGGCGCGGTGCGGTGCAGGCCCGGGGCTGCTGGGGCTGCTCGCGTCTCACACCTCCCGTCGTTGTCCTCTTCGCCCTCTCCGTGCCATCAACCCCCCCTCGCCGGCCCCTTCGCTCCCAGGCCGCCAAGTCCGTTTGCTGTCGTCCAGAAATATCCATTCGTTATACTTGGCTCTCTCTCTCGCTCTCTGACACCCACCTCGCTCTTCCTCCTCCATCATGGCCTTCGCGCACAAGCCCGGCTGCCCCATGTGCGGCATCGTCTCCGCCGCCTCCGCCTCCGCCCTCTCGCCCTCGTCGCCCACAGGCTCTTCTGCCAAGCACGAAATCCTATGGAGAGACGACAACTTCACCGTATACCGCGAGTCCGCTAACCCGGTCTCGAGCAAGGGCCACATCGTCGTAGTGTTCAAGTGCGTCTCACATGCCAGCTCGTTCTCTCTGTCGCTCATACCCTCTCCCTAGTCTACACGTCCCTTCACTTTATACCCTAGTGAGCATATTTCGACGCCTTCTGCCGTGTCCATCATTCACCTTGTCCCCGTCCGCAGTCATCCAGTGATCTCCCGCTCCTCGTTAGCCTACGCGACATCGCCCACCGCACCCTCGCCGCCCTCCTAGCGCCCTCCGCCTCTCCATCATCCTCCCCCGCCGCCCGGCCGCAGAACCTGCTCAACGTAGGACAGACCACGCGCGCCGCACGTGAGTCCTTCCGCGTCGGCTTCATCACTCCTCCCTTCAGGGACAACAAAATCCCCGTAACCGACCACCTCCACGCGCATGCCTACGCGCTCCCCGCCGACCTTATGGGCTGGTGGCGGGGTGTCGCATACAGCTCCGTCGCCTGGTACGATGTCGATGACCTCATTGCCGAGATTCGGTGCGCGCCTCTCCCTTCTCTTTGGAAGTGTCTTTTGCTCATCAGTGTATACTTCCTATCTGGCCACTGCACCCGCAATCTGCCTTTCGTGGACGTTCATACAGTGAGGAAACTTCGAACAACCGCGTACGCACAGGCACCAATTCTCGACCAATCGACCTCGTGCCCGACGCCGGTGCACGACGAGGCACGGCGGACGGCATCGAGACCACCGACGCGAGTCTCCTCGTCGCGGACCCCGAGCTTGGAGAGGTCAGCCCCAGCCTGCTCCCACCCACCCCAGGCACCGCACGAGCACAGCGGAGCCCCGTACCCTCTCCGGACGCCTCGATACCCCACCTGCAAGTATGACGAACATTCTCGCCGGATACCATATGCGCTAGCTGTACTCGCCCCATAATCAATCAAGGACGGTTTCCACTTGTCGGTAGTTGCTTTTTCCACACTCCGGGGCCTGCCGGTCGGCCGCGGAGGGGTCGCACTGGTGCTGACGCGTTGCGGGTTCGGGGACAAAGTGTACATATCCATATCCATTACAGTCCGGGGTTGCACAGACTACGCCCGCGAACGGGGAGCTAGTAGAACAAGAAAAGTCCGAGTAGATGATTCCAGGGGGTCGCGGTCTATTGGGGTCATTATGCGTCTGTGACGATCCTCGTTAGCCCGAACGATGGCGGTAGGCGTCAAGGCGACTGCGCCACTCACAATACGAAGAGCCGGATAGCAGCGTAGAGAGGGCGGCGAGTTGCTCCTCAGAGAACTTCTTGGAGTCCTCGTGCCAGGTATCTTGATGCGTTTTGCGGAACGTGCTCGCGCACTTCCGCACAGTCGTTGAGATGGGAATCTATGGCGCGTTAGCCTCCATGTAACGCTATGAACCCCGCGATACTCACCGGGTCATAGGTATGTTCCGCAAGTACACTAGTAAGGAGCTCCGGCATCCACCGCTCAATGGTATACGGGTAACTGTCAATGAGAGCGCAGACGCCGAGAATAGCAGCGTGCAACTGCCGAAGAGAGATGTTGTATGCCGGTGATTTCCTGTCCTGGGGAAGCTTCACGTTCTTGATCAAGCGCACGAACCGATCCTGGAAGCAGGCGTGAGCGGAAGACACAAGAGGTGAGTGTCAGGTGGCACACCTTCAGAGCAATGATGCTGCGGCGCGGTGACAAACGAAGGATGCCGGACAGGGTGCTAGAGCAAAACAACTTCAGAGAACGCCGTTGAACCCATAGCGCAAGTACCCACGTTGCAGCCATCTCCCGTACCTCGACTACCTCATCGTCCAAGCATCTGCAGACCACCTGCCGCAGTCATACCGTCAAAAGGAAAACTCATATTGGTCGTTGCTCCCGCCCTTTGCGTACCTCGATCAGCTCCACCAGCTTGACGTCGTGGATCAAGAACGACTGGCGGAAGTAGAAGACTGTAGGTACCCTGAGTGTAAGCGTAAAAGCAAAGATTGCAGGTAATGAGAAGCACAAACCCTGCACGAGGGGGAGAATCTTCAGGCGAACCTTCCACGACTGTACATACCTCTATTTAGTTGCACAGTTTAGATGATAACAATCGATTTTCTTACCGGGAACGTGGTGATGGCGGAGAAAATCCGGTCAAGGAGAGGTTCAACAAACTGGCGAGGGACTATGACGCCGCACATGCGAACCATGAGCAGCTTGGCACGGTAAGCGAGCTCGTCATTATCGTTGACTGAAAGAGGTCAATAACTTGCGGTCGAGAGGGTAATATGATTACCAACCTTCGGTGAAACGGACGAGCTCGGGCTTTAAGGGCATGGTCAGGTCGGGTCACAACGCTAGAGCGAGAAAACGCACCATCAAGGGGAGGATGCAGTCGAACGCCGAGACGGCGTTCGTGTCGTGAACCAACTGGAACAGCCACTTGCAGACAAGCACACCGATACTGTACGATGATTAGATATAGATCGCCGCGTTGATTTTCCGCTGCACACACTCACCGGTCGTAGGTCGACTGGAACGCGCGCACACCGGGCAATCGCTCCTTGCGCCATTCTGGGAACTGTTTGACCAGCTCCTGAACTCGCTCCTCGTAGAAGACACCGCGAATACCCATGATGTCCGCTGATGGAGGGAGGATTCTACATTCGCGAACGAACGTCTCAGCCGTCAGCAATGACGGGTTCGGGCGCCACTGCTCGGAGTCAGATATCGTTTTTCTCAAAGCACTGTTCTGCACTCACCGTGATCTTCCCGCAGAAGGCCAGGATTTCGCTGAAGTACGCAAGAACCTGCGTTACGATTTATAAGCTGCGATAGATAGCCAAATTCAAGGGGTGTACATACGTCTTCATGTTCGCACTTCAGCTCGGCCCAGCATCGCTTCAGCACGTCGTCGACCCACGGCGAGAACTTGACGCCAAGCTGCTCGTAAAACGCCCGGAAGAAGCAGAGCACCTGGATGATCTCGAAGGTGGACTCTCCATTGAAGTCGACGGTATTGAACGCCTCCATGATATGGTCCACGATGGGCTGAAGGCGCCGAGGATCCTTGTTGTAGAAGACATGCTTCGGGGCTGTGAGAACGCGTCTTGGAATAGCTACAACTGACGCACCTCGAAGAACGAGGACCAAACGGATAGTGATTCGTTGCTCTTCTGGCTGAAAATGGTCTTCATGTGGGGCGTGAACCACTTCCAAAGCTTGACCTGTGCATCCATTGGCCAATGCTTCGATCCTGTGGGTGGAGAGCGTCAATGCTTCTCCAGGGGGTGCTATTTATATGAAGTTTACCAGAAATCACCCCCGCCAGGAACTCGGCAGCCGCGCGTTGCTTGTTCTTATCCTTGTCTGCGAGCAGTTCCTCCACGATCGGCTTCAGGACCTCCAAAGGCTCATCGTCAAGCAGTTGAACTGAACAAACACGCCGAGGGTTAGTGTACATGCTCACTAGCCTTTTGATAGCACTCACATATTGACTTCACGCAACATAGGTTGTCCTGGAGGATGACGTCGGAGGTGTTCTCCATCGAGTAATGGGTAGACAATCCCTTCCAGAATGACGCGTCCTTCGCTAGCTCGCGGATCGCCGAAACGGCATCTTCGCTACCAGCATCCCAGGGCTGGAAGGTAGACTTCGAAGCATGAGGCGCGAGGAAGTAATCCACCGACTTGCCCCAAACGACCCAACCGGAGCCAACCTTGTCGCGGATGAGCCTGGTCATATGGTCAGCTTGCGCTAGCAAGGGCATCATGAGCGGATTTACGGTTCTTGATGTGCACACTTCAAGTCTAGAGGCTTCCGATATTCGCCAAGCAAGCGTTCTGAGTATTCGCGTGTGTGATCCTTCACGGGTACTTTCGTCCGCAACGGGTTGTGATTCTGCTCGAGCGCGACGTCGATGGGACTGTGGGCGAGCGACCGCAACTTGATGAAGCGCGAAATCTTCATCACTGCTCGCTGGGAGTACTGTCATAAAGCTGTGGGTTAGCTGGACTAAGCTGCAACTTCGGAAAGATGGCATACGTAGCGCTGCAGCAATGTGTCAGTACTAAAGCATATAACAACATATGTAAGTACTCACCATGCTTGCGTTGGAGTCGTGGGTCATCTCGAGGAGATAGCGCACATGGGCGGACTTCATTGGAGCGTCACGCCTGAGCAAGGAGCGTAGGCATCTGACGGCCACAATGGAATACCTCCAGTGTGTCTTCGCATCGTCGGCGATCTCTAGAAGCGTATCCGTCTACCTTCAGAGTTAGCTAAATGTGGTACCTGCATAAGATATAACGTAACGTACTGTATTGGACAGCGCCTGGTCAATTGCAGAAATGTGTGCGATGCGTTGCGTCTTGCACTTCGCGGCTATACCGTCATCCTGAGACGTCTGCGGCAGGACTAAAGCCCTCAGTTCAGCCAACGCGGAGTCAAGGTCGCTGTTCTCGACTTCGTATACTATGTGAGATGGCTCTGCCATACTGCTCAGGCCTGAAGATCGAAGTCAGTACGGGTATGAGGCTCAATCCGGCACACTTACACGTCTCTGCCAATGACGCAACACAGTCCTGGATAGACGCCTATATCATCATAGGTTAGCCTCCGCTATAGTGTCCAGTCACTGTCAATTGACCTTCTCATTGTGCTGGCATTTGAACAACTTCTTGATGAACTCGGTTGCCAAAGTGGGCTCTTTGAGTTGGTGACGTGTTAGCCAACGATAGTAAAGCACAAGTCCATACGTACCACTGATAGCATACTTTGCTAAAACGCCCAAAGTGAGAACAGGAGTGTTTTGTGTCAAATTAGAGGCTTACAGAAGACGGAGAGGTTGAGAGTCCATAGCGCCCCTTTCATGCGGTCATCTTCTGTTCCCGGCTCCAGCGCTTTGTAGAGGGCAGGAAGACAACGACGTCTCACCCCATCAAACGTCTGTGAAAGGAATGATTAGCATGACCTTCTTGAAGCTAAGACGGGCAAACTAACGTTACAAAGACTTTCCAGTAGCGCTTGACTCGTCCTAACGGAACAGATGTTACAACCAGGAACAGTGGCATAGCAAGAGACGTAAACAGACTTACTCCCGGACTACACAATGTCAGAATCAGCATAAATTCCGTACGGGGAATGTTATGAACTTACCAGTGGCAAAGGTCCACATAGACCATTGGGTCACATCGTCAACCAGCTGGTCCTCCAATGGGCCTCGTCTCCTCTCGATGGAATTCCACCGAAGACGAGCCGCATGATACAGCCTAAGGAATCATGAGAGGGGTTCCTATGGCACGAAAGTATACTAAAACGCACCGAGCGCGTCTGACGTAGAGTGCTCGGGGCCAAACCTTCTGACCAGCGTAGTGGCGTGCGATGTTCAGCTCACTCTGATAACGATCCGCCTGAAGGTAGTAGCTACGTCGAAGTGAGTAAGACGACCCTTTTGGAAAATGCGAAATGCGACGGCTCACCTGTCCCTGCTATCGCCGTACTCGAGCAAGAACGTGCGGATTGACCGCAGCTTTAAACCCCCGACTTAGAACGTTTCTACGAGGCCGTAGGATATAGCTTACCAGGCCGTGGACGGCATCCACGGTGTTCTCCTCGCCCTGCTGCTGCAACGATGCGGAGGCCTCGTGGAGGAATTGGCCGAACTTGCGACGCAATCCTGTAATGTACTGGTGGCGAGGGTCCGCGGGATCTGACAGGGCGAAACCGGAGTTGAGCGGCTCTATGGTCGCGATCATTTCCGGAATCTCGAACCTAAGCAGTACGTTAATCACAGCTTGGAATAGAGTTGAAGAACACTCACAAGATGTCGCTTGAATCCATCGCCGCTTGGAGTTCTTCAGGGGTGATTACCTCCTTCGCCAGAGTCGGGATTCCAGAGAAGGCGTTGCGAACGAAGCACAGATGTCTGAGCTGCAATCAGGATACGCAACGCGCTGTCAGGGCAGATCGACACACCTGCAGAAGTCGTTGCGCCATACCGCGTCGCGTACGATACCTAGCCAGCGTCAATATTGATTTTGGACGCTACTCGTGCAAATTACCTGGCTCAAGAAGCCCATGCAGTTTGTCTAGTATGGGCTCCACGACCTCTCTGAAGATGCGCAGAACAAAGTCGATCTCCGCGTCCGTCGGGACATGCCAAGAAAGCTGTGCCAGCATCAAGAATCAAGATATACCTGCTTGATGATACACAAAAAACCGTACCTTCACGTCCTCGGGACGGTACAACTTGCCCCAATACGTATGGTGATTCGACTTGAATTCTGCACAGTAGCGTAAGCATAAACGGCCCCAACCCAAATAAAAGACCAACCTTCGGAACTCCACTCGTCAGGATTCACGAACTTGTTCTCGAGGGGATAGGTATGACTGAGGGTCAGAAGGGTACTCGAGAGGAGTTTGCCGCTGGAGGAATAGCCGCGCTTTGAGAACGTCTTCTCATCCAAAAGTTGGAACAGTGCGATCAGTCGGTCACTGTACTTCAGCGTCTGTGGGGTATTTGGTTAGCTAAAATGATAATCTCGTGTGCTATTGTGTACTCACCACACGTCCATCGCTAGAAATTAATGGGTGACATTAATGGAACTCTCTGGACCATGCAGGATCGGAAATACTTACTTGTACATAGCACCTCGCAGGATGGCCAGGTCTATGAGGATTGAGATAAGCATGCCAGCGGAATTAGGGTGCCAACTTACTCCAGTGAAGTGTGGCGTCAGACGGGAGGGGCGTAGATCCTTGCGACGTAATTCTGATAGAGCTAGCACCGTGCTCTAGTTCAGTCTGAATGCTCTGTTCGCAGAAGGGAAGGAAACGGTCGAGCGTCTTCGCAGGGTTCGCGTTCGCGACACACTCAACGAGTTGATGGATAGCTCGGACCGCATTCGAGCGGACGTTCTGGGTGGCATAGTCGAAGACCAAGCCAAGCACCATGTCGTAGAGAGGTTCCGACAAGTGCACACAGATCTGGCTGAACGTGCCGGACACGGCGTCGACGAGTTGCACTGAAGTTCCAAATAATGTCAGCATCGTGATCACCATGATCTAGAGATATAACGACCTTCGGTTGCGCCGCCTGCCGATCCGTCCGGCCCCTCTTCTGGCAGGTTCTCAAACAACAGGATGACCCGGCGCAAGAAAGCTGCCACCCAGTCCGCGAAACTACCTGCGGAATCCCTCAGGATGACGTCTTCGTCTTCCTTCGAAAGCTGTTCTTCACTGCCCTGTTCCACCCCATCAGGGAAATGTTCGATTCCGAGCACGGGCAAGTCAGTAGATTTGCGCTGGATGACGTCGACGCCATCACCAAGGGGAACATCGGCAGTGGCCAGTTCGCCAAACTTGATGTACTGGGCGACTTCGGAAATGAAAGATGTGGTGCAGAACTGTGGTAGCACATGTTATATTTGTGACCTCGTCGATGAAAGGAGATGTTTACCGTCTTCGGAGGGTCGTTCTGTCAAGCGGTGATTCAGCCAAGTTTATCTGTGGCGAGAAGAACGTTACATACCAGATCAATGCCTGGAAGTAGTAAGTCAAGGATTGGAATGAGGTGTTTGGCGCCGGGGTAGTATACGTGACGGCAAACTATAGCGGGAGCAATCGCCCCGAGGGCTTTGATGACAGCTGTCGTGCGATGCGTCTACTGAAGTCAGACAAGGGTCGCCAATAATTATGCACGGCCACATACCTCGACCAACGCCTCGAGGGCTGGGACTGCTCGCTCGAGTATAGGATGCAGTATGAGATCAGGCTCCATGATACTCATTGACTTCATGCAGCTCTGGATGTTGGATACAGTGGCGCTATCCTGAGAGAACATGGCCAATAGTGTGACCGTTCTCAAACACTTGACCAGCTCGCGCTTGATCTCGCGAGTGAGACGCCGATGCTGCGCGGAAACGTTGGATCTTCGTTTGTCTGGTGGTATCAAGACGACTCACCGTGGGCGTCTTGCAGTCAGGCTGCTGCTCCTCGTACCATCCTACACCGGTAGTGAGCGGGTGTACCGACGTAAAGTACAACACTTACGCTTGTTGAAATCGTAGACGATGTACTTAATGAACGCGCTCAGCTACACATTCGTCGCATTAGCTTCTGTCACATCTTCAAAGGGGTGTAAACATACATCTGATGTCCAACTACCTGAATTCGTTGGATGGAAGAAGCTCTCTGTCGACGCGATGAGCTTCGCCAGAGAGTCTAACGCTTTGCATCCGGCGAGATAGGTCTTGGTCTTGAGGCGACCGCCCTTCCCTAGGGGTGCGGAGAGATAATCACCAAGTCCACCGTTCTGGTGGTGTGGCAAAGGAGTGCTCGTTCCGGATGCCAGCGGCGTGAAGAGAGGCGTCGGCGCGTTCGAAGAAGGGCTTGGCATGCTATCCGGTGCCATGGAGTAGACAACGATACGAGCAAGTGATGCTGCCATACAATCAGCTGCAGCCCAACTTTGTTCTGATGTAACACTCACCAATACGCCAGCTTGGTTTGGGGAGTCGGTTCATCTCAAAGGTCGCTTGACCGTCGGCATTGGGTCCGGTTGTGAGAGAACCGGAATCGGCTAACGGAATCTCTGAAATGTTCGAGCGAATGTCTGAGCATACACTAGCGCTATCATATGAGGCGACATACCCATGGACGCCATGCATTTGGTCATGATATAGTTCCACTCTGTCTCAGAGAAGATGCCGATGTCGGAGAACAGACCTGACCAGCGCCACCTGGTCTCAAGGTCGTCCTTGGGCCACTTTGGCCGACCCTCCCCTTCTGACCTCGCGTCGTCGGGTATCTCTTCAATTCTCTGAGGATCACTTACGGTAGGGTCCACATGCATCTCCACCAATTTGGAGAGGAATTGTAGCATGCGGTCGTCGAACATGTAGGAGTTGACGGACTCCCATACTCGGAAGAGCATGGGCAGATACGATTGGGGGTGTGATAGGGGCAAGAAAGTCAACATGTAGTATTGGGAGGCGAGGATGCTCTGCGCGGGAGGCGTTAATGTTACTAAATTTCGTCCGCCACCATGCTACACTCACGTTCAAGTTCGGTCCGTTCATCATGGGGAGGAAAGTGGAAAGCATCTCATCGATTGCGGCGGGGTGAAAGAAACGGCGAACGTTCTCAGCAATGTAACCCATGTACCATGAGGTTTGGCTATAGCATCAACGTCAGTGTCGGGTCGGCGTCTCGTGAGGCGGCACAGCAATCTACCTGATCTCATACTGTCGCCTTGTCAGGAACAGGTCTTTGCTGAGGATCTTGTACATGGGCATCCAAGGAAGCCTGACGTCCTCTATGGACAGCTTCTTCTTGGACCGCGACATGACCTGCAGCCCGTCGGCGCAGGCCGCTACAATATGGTTTGGCATGCCAGGAGTGGTACAGACATGTAGGTAAGTCTTGATGACGGCAATCCGTTTCTCCTTCGGTATGGGGTACTTGAGCATGCACCAGCTGCCGAGCGTCGGTCAGGGGAGCACGCACGCGGCCCATGGGAGAGGCGCTTACTAGGTCAGCATGCTGTCCCATTGCAGCAGCCCTGGATCGTAGTCCTTGGCCTCAAGACTCTGCGCGATGCGGAGCAGAATGAAGTCGAGCATTTGCTGCATCCTGGAGTTGGGCTCGACAGAGTAGGGTATAGACTTTGCATAGTTGCGGAGCTTGACCATGGAACGGTCCGTCGTGTGCATGATATCGTCCGGAATGGCGGGCGACGAGGGGGGTGGCCCCGTGTCTAGGATGGAGAGGGTCGAAACGTCTGGTACATCCATGGCGTGTATGGTTGGAAGCAAGAGGAGTGAGTGCGGAACAGACAGAGAGCGGGAGGCGCGACGTCAGTGCCTCCGACCGCCGCGGCGGTGCACCGGTGGCGCCGCGTACGGTCCTTTGTGGCGCGCTCGCTTAGATCGCTCTTCCCCGCACTCCCCACTGCACGGGTCCCCGCCTCCTCGTCCGCTACTCTCGCGCGCAAATATTACCGCACCCCACCGTCTTTCATCGTGCTCAGAATGCAGGCTGGTTCAGAAGCTTCGCGTGCAACGTGATATCTTCAAACGCGGGTACTGTTCGATCCAAACGGGCGCGATCTGCAGGCACATACACAGGAGCATACATTCGAGAATATAAACAAACCATACCCTATCTACGACACCGCAGCCGCAGAAGCTACGTCTTGTAGCTCTTGTATCGCCTTCTTCCTTACCAGGTCCCAGACACCATTCCTCTGTGTTCGGACTTCACCCAAGCCCTCGCGAATCTCTTCCAAGCGCTCTACGTACTCCCGCCCATCGTCCTGCAGCTCGCGTAGTGTAGCAAGCGACTTCTCCAATGTCTCGAGTTGCATCTCCGCGCGCGAGAACTGCGCGCCCTCGAAGATCGGCTCCCGGTGGGGTGACAAGAATAGCTTGTGTACGACCGGCGTGAGGTCCGGTGCTCGCGCGAAACGGTTCTCCGCTTCAGTGTCTTCGTCATCCTCGTCTTCGCGCTTGGGCACCAGAGATGTCCCTACGCCCACCTCATCTGGGTCTTCGCTCATGACTTGCCAAAGCCTGCCCAGGGCCATGCGCAGACTGGTCTCTCCTTCGACGAGGGTGTTGGTGGAGTCTTCTAGTTCGTCGTATACGTCCGACCGGAACGAGTGAGTGGCCGCTTTGTCCATGACGAGGGATGTGAATGAGAGGTGGTGGACTTGGGGGTTGGGGTAAGGAGCCATGAGCGGAGGAGACGGCGAACGAAGGTGGGGCAGGGTGAGGGGTGGATCCTCTTCTTCTTCTGGACTCGGGAGCAACATTCGTATACGCTTTCTTGCGCGGTCCTCGGACTGCGAGCCCTTGTCAGGTTGATTCATTGATGGACAGACACGGATTACTCACCTCCCAATCCTCCATCCATGGCGCCCAGGCAGTCATCTTGCCCTTGCGAACCCATTTCGCCTCGTTGTAAGTCTTGATGCCCCAGTTCCCTCTGAACGACGAATGAGGTAGATCCTCGTCGTTTGGTTCGAAGCCGGTTCCCGGATAGAACCAGGCGTCGTTGTCGTTGGAGGGTAGGCTCATGTAGCTGAGCGCAGGGTATGTGAATAGCGATACGCGACACCAAGTAGAATAACGCGTACCTTGGGTCTTCATAGCGGTTTGCGTCGAGTTGCGTGAAGCTCCTCTTGATGCCGTTTGTTTGAGCGGGGATATGTTGCCTGCTAGTAGAGGGCCGCGAGGAAGACTGGTCGTGGGCGGCATGCTCTGACATGGTGCCGGGTGGTATGTGATGCCTGGAAGCGATTGTATGCGAGCAACAGGCAGCGATATCTGGCGCAGAGACGGAGGTGGGGAGGGAGAAGCTGGCGCGGTGGCCTCCGAGGCTGGTGGGTCCGGTGAACGGCGGGCGCCTGAGCGCTGCAGCCACTGGGGCACCGGCAAAAGCCGTGGGCGATTCAGATTTGGACATTGGGAGGTCGACGCGGACGCCGAGCAGCATCTCGCAGCTCCTGAGCCTTCCTGAGCCCGTCCGGACTCGCTACTCCCTGTGCTGTATATTCTCTCCGGCTGGCCCTGGCCTCTATTGCCTCCGGACCACCCCCACACCTCGCTCCGCCACACGATATCTTCGTCTGTGCGTCTCCAGACGCGTCTATGGCTAGTACCGACGCCGCAGGCCCAGTCCAGCAGGCTCTCAAAGAGGAACACACCGATGCTAACCACGCGGACCTGACATCTCCGAAAGACTCCGTTTCCAGCACACATGGAGTGCACGAAGTGGCAAAAGGTGCTGGAGAGTGCTCGGGAGAGGCCAGTCCTGCTCCTTCCTCTCCCGCCTCGGGCTTGTCCACAACCAAGGCTGGCACGCAAACGCCCTCCGTTACCGGTCAGACCAACCCGCCGCCCCTTAGCATGCCACACCCCAAGAAATTCAGCCATGTCAACATCAACAAGAAGTTCCTTGAGAAGACGTCGGCGTCTACCCCAAGCCTCACCTTCTCCGCCTCGCCTGTGACGAAAACGGCCAGCACCAGTCGTGAGTCTCGTGGCGCGTGCACGAACTTATTGTAACACCATACCCATGCAGAGAAACCCGTGCTCCAGACTTCCACTTCGCATCCCCGCCTAGTGACTGCCAAACTCACAGCGACCCCGCAACCCAGCACTACTACTGGACCTGGATGGTCCCGGCCATCCTCCACGGCCTCGTCCACAGCACCCACACCACTTCCAGGCAGCGCCAAGGGATCGCCAGCACCTCTTGCAAGCTCAGGCGGGGCACCTCTGCCGCCACCTGTAGGTAAGGTCATACAGCCCCAGCCGCGGTCAACACAAGATGTTGCAGCCCAAAGGCGCGAGGCTGCAATGAAGCCAGTATGGGGTAACACGAAGGGCGGCGCGAGCAATCCAATCAAGCTCGATGCGGTAGAAAACGATTTCCCCACTGCTGCAGAAGTAGCGCAAGGTCCGTGCGCCTTCCACCTGGCTGTGGCACTAGATAGACGATTATATGCAGGGCGTATCGCGCGAGCGGCGGAAAAGCTCGCCGCTGCAGACGCTGCAGCTGTCCACAAGCAAGCGGTCAAGGCAGAACTTCAAGCGGAAGAGGACACATTCCGTGGGGTTCACCTGGATCCAAATGCTCATCACTGGGACGAGGTTCGTCTTTGGCCTTTGGTGTCCTCGAAATTGGAATTCAATGTTACACCTTTCCAGATGGAAGAGGACGATGACAACTTCTTGGGAGGCGTCATCGAGTTCGGGGATGGCCGTCAGTACCAGGTCTCGACGGAGTCTGCACAGCAGGTTCCACCCCCGCAGGATGCGAAAGCGTCTAGCGGCCTCACTGATCAGCCCGTCAGCAAAGAGGAGCGGTTCGCAGAAGACTTTGACAGAAGTTGGCCACGTTCACAGCCCATCCAGCATCCCCCGCCAAGTCAGCAACGCGAGCAACGACCCGAGCGGTTACCCACTTCTCCATCCACATCTGCGCACTCACCGCAGGAGGGCTCGAGGGTTCTGTTCAATGAGCGTTCCAACCGGCTTGAGCCATACTCTCACCAACGTCATGTCCCTCCTGGCGTGCCTTTCAACAACAACCGGAGAGGCAGTCGTTCTGACAATGCGACGTCGCCCATCGAACCTCGCCGAGATGCTCCCCCTCATGCGCATTTGCCAGGCGTCCAGGTTCTCCAGAGGGGTCATCATGCGGAGCCTCCGCCTTTCTCGAGGGCGCCAGGAGATCGACCTCCGGTATCTCCGCAGGATGGATCTCGCTTTCGGGAACGTCAACCTTTCCAACGAGATCATGCTTGGCAAGGCGGTGGGTACCATGGCCCTGATCGCTATGGTCCACACGGTTCGTCCCATATGCCTAGGGATGCCGCATTCGATGACCGTGCGCGGCATACATCCGGACCCGAGCCCCCTGCGGTATCCCCCTCCGCGGACCACCGAAGGCAGCTTCCCCCGCACCTCTCAACGATGGAGCCCAAACATCCTCCAATACCACCGGAGCCTTCAATACATGCCCCGCCTCCTCCCCACCCGCCGGCTGTTCAACATGAGCCCCCTGCGCCCTCAGCAAGTTCACAAGCTGCCGTTTCGCCTGCAACCCCAGACAAAGCTCTTCCTGCATCGACGATGCCTATCGTCGACATGGAAGAGGTGCGTAAAGCGGCCATGCACAGCGCCGCCGAGCGTGCCCGGTTACGACGCCAGCAGGAAGAAGAGGAGCGAGAAAAGGAGCGAGAACGGGCGCGTAGGAAGGCCGCCGAGTTGGAAGAGAGGATCCAAGCGGAGAAAGCTCGTGAGCGCGAGAAGGCAGAGGCGGAGAAGAAGCTTGCCGAGACCGAGGTTAGATTCTGTCTTCCTCTACGAAGACCAATTTAGCTGACACGCCCCAGGTTGTCGGGTTCATCGAAGAAGCAGTGTCGTCTGTCAGTACCACCGAAAACAAGGTTGGTGCTGCGGAAGGATCTGCTCAGCGGCACTCAGAATTTCGTCCGCCCATGGGGCGAAATGGGTCTTCAAGAGGGACCGCCCGCCCGTTCGGCGCACGGAGGACATCATTCACACCCACCACGCTGCCTGTCAACCCGTCCATCCAACCTTCTCCTGCCTCAGAGACTGATTCATGGAGGCGCAAGGCTCCCCCGGCCGCACCAGTTCAGGCGGAGACTCAGAAGCCACCGGCTACTCCCGTAATGCCACCCCCAGTGTTCGCGCATGCAGGGTTGGATGTGAAGGTGGGCGAGGAGGTTGAGGTCATGGACTTCTCTGATCATGGGAAACTGGCTGGCTCCGAGCAGCCTCCGCAACACGCGGGTCCGCACACCGGACGTCCACCTCGGGCGGTGGCTTCAGACTTTTTCGGCGATGCGTCGGCATCTCCTCAACACGTCTCACCTATCCATCCCAGAGCTGAGGAGGAAACGTGGCGACGGGGGCCCCCTAGTAGACCGCCTGCGTTCGGCCCGCCGCACGCACCAGAAGAAGGCAAATTTGGATCGCACGAGAGCCACACCGCACCGTCGCACGCACCTGCACATATTAATGTCCCGAATGGCCTACCGACGGGAGCCCCGTTGAGCCCTGTGCACGATGAGCATTCACGGCGCGTGTCTGGCCATCATCCGAATGGTGTCCATCGCTTGCCCGTCGGCCCCTCGTACCGTGAAGCTCCTATGTCGGCGTTGAACGATGTGATGGCGCGCATCAAGGGTGCTCTTGACGGCATGCACCACAAGGAGGAGGACGTTGAAGCCCCCAAAGCCCAGAAGTGGTTGCCCCCTGCGTTGCGGCCTCAGACTGCTCATTCTGACTTCGCTCCTCCTGAGGAAGTGTTCGACGTGACTTCTGCAGAGCCTCCAAAGTCGCCCAAGCCAGCTTGGAACATCTTCCACGTCAAGCTCCCGCAGATCTCCCATCCAGCAGCGGCACCTCCGAAGACCGAGCTGGTCTGGCCCCGTGGTCTTCGCAATATGCGGCTAGAAGTGTACTCGTTCAACCCACCGATTGAAGCCCTGGCTCGTCGGGACACCACAGTCAACGACGTCATCTTCAGCCGGCCACGGATAGTGCGTGGGCAGCACAAGTACTTTGTGTCCATTCCGCGACGGCGTCTTGGTCGTCGGCCTCCTGGGGAGCCGTCTGGATCACCTGTTGTCAACCTCCCTTCCACTCCCCTCCGCACGCGGGGCCCTGGCCTTCCCAAAGAGTCTGCTTCGTCCGCCGCGTCAAGTTGGCGTAAGGCACCTGCACCTGCTACCGCGTCCTGGCCCCCGGTACTCGAAGAGACGAAGGAAGTCACCGACCTGGAAACGGTCAGCCGCTCACCTCCCCCCGAAACCCCTTCAGTAAGGAGTGCTGGACTCTCGTTGCCACAAGCGTCCGAAATTGCGGCAGTGGCAGCCGTCGCGTCGAAACCCAAAGCAGAGCCCAAGATGCCAATTGGCTCAGACGTTGCGTTTTACCGCAATTCTCGCGTGGAGACCGCCGTCGAGACTGCACCGCCTATTCAGTTCATAGTATCGAACGAACTCGAAGGCGAGCCCAGAGGGCAACCGAAGGAAGCGCAGTCCTCTCTTCCGGCGGATGCGAGTACATCGGTTCCCTCTGCTCTACCCGCAAGGGAACGAGAGCCAGAGCAGCAGGCGTCATCTAGGAGAGTGTCTATGGTAAGTGTCAACTTATATCGTATGCGTGCGAGACGTCTAACCTGTTGTTATTGGATAGAACGGGACAATGACCCCTCCTCCACAACCGCAGCCTACTTTGTCGTCATGGTCAAAGTCACCGAAGGCGTTCTCAACCAAGGAGTCCCCCGCTCGTGCTCCTGACCCCGAGCATCTCAAAGCCGTCTGGTCACAAACTCCGGACAAGTCGCAGATCCAGCCTGTCAACTCGTTGAAGGGCATTGCGGATGATCTCACTGCCGTACCTTTCACGTTGCAAGACGTCAAATCCGACGACGGCGAGACACCCCCTCCATCAGGGGCAGGTCCTTGGTCAAGAATGTCTGCGAACGAGGTCACCCGCGCGTTCCAACAGGTCCCTTCGCCATCGTCGAGCTCATCACAGCGACCAACCCCCATCGCCTCTTCCGCCAGCACCTCTACGAACGGGTCAACCGCTCGGCATCCTGGGTTCGCCTTCTCACCCCCGCCCATCGGCCAGCCCGCGCTCAGACCACCCGCATATCCGGGTTACTCCCCCATGGTCAGCCATTCACCCGGCCCACCCGTAATGTACCCGGGGCCAAGCCCTGTGCCGAGACACATGGTCGCGGCGCACAACGGCGGCATGCCCGCGTACGGACAGGCTGTATGGATGTCCACGATGGCGGGACCCGCCCCGCCGCCGTCGGCCGGGATGGTCCGATCGCCCTACGCTCCGCAGCTCATGCCGTACCCGTCGCCAGGCGCGATGCCCATGTACCCTGGCCCGGTGCCCATGCAAAACCCACAACAACAAAACGGAGTTCAGGGTCGCCCTCCGAGCATGATGATGAGCCCGGTCATGCAGCCGGCCATGTCGCCCATGTACGGGAGCCCGGTGTTGGTGCACACCGCGCCTGTAGGGCAAGGCTATCCGATGCCGAACCAGACCAACCGACCCCCGATGCGGAGTCCGTACGAGCAGAACCCCCCGAACGGCACCCACATGCACCCTTCCCCCATGCGCCAGCCTCCGCAGAACGGTTACGCTCCGATCCCTCCGAACTACGCGCGTCCGCCGTGGTGAACTTTTTGTACTTAGCCCGTCGCATCTGTATCTTACACTTGTTCTGCTTGCTGTTTTTGGTATCTTCATCTAATTATACCCATTGGGAACGAATACCAGACTCGGGGCGTACATTACTAGCGTGCTCATTGCGAGATATCTCTAAGGCCGGGACTAGAAGAACACAAGCAGCCAGGTATACAATTCACTGGATATCAACCCTACACAGCCAACTTGACAGCATTGCTCGCGGCCTCGTCGAGGTCGTCGAAGGGGATGATCTTGAGGCCCGACTGGCGGATCATACTAGAGACACCCCATTAAGTTCATGTACGCTAGAATCGATTAATTTGAACTTACGCCTTCGCCTCGGCCTCCTTAGTGCCCTTGAGACGGACAATCAGGGGAACCTCAAGAGAAAGTTCCTTCGCGGCGTTGATAACACCCTCAGCGATGTAGTCGCAACGCATGATACCTGATGCATGTAAGATATTGCACATGAGATGCACAACTTGCGACATACCTCCGAAAATGTTGATGAAGATGCTCTTAACCTTGGGATCAGCAATAAGGATCTCAAACGCCTTCTTGACGGTCTCGGGAGTAGCACCTCTGAAAAGCTTCGTCAAAACAGCGCGAGTTTCAAAAAATCGATACCACTCACCCTCCAACATCAAGGAAGTTCGCGGGGTTGCCGCCGTGCAGCGCGAGGACGTCCATGGTGGCCATAGCGAGACCAGCACCGTTCACCAGGCAGCCGATGCTACCGTCAAGCTTGATGAAGTTCAGGTCGTACTTCTGGGCCTCAACCTCCGAAGGCTCTTCCTGAGTGACGTCGCGAAGAGCGAAGACGTCCTTCTGACGGAAGGAAGCGTTGTCGTCAAAGCCGAACTTCGCGTCCATGCTAAATGGAAATGTCAGCCTGCCCCGTCCTCACATACACACTGGCGGGTCCATACCAAAGAACGTGCCCATCCGAGGTCTCTCCAAGGGGGTTGATCTCGATCTGGGTCGCGTCCTTGTCCTTGAAAATCTTGTACAGACGGATGAAGATATCCGCCGCCTCGTCCTGGGCGCCCTCAGTCTTGAAGCCCAACTTCTTCGCAAGAGCGACGGCGGTAGCCTTGTCGAGACCCTTCTCGAAGTCGATGGGGGTGGTGATGATCGCACTGGGGTCCTTCGCGGCGACCTCCTCGATGTTCATACCACCCTGAGCAGACGCGACCAGCACCGGTCCACCGATGTTGCGGTCGTTCAGGACGGCAACGTAGTACTCATGGGAGGGATCCCGACGCTCCGCCAGCATGACCTTGTGCGGATGTCCATTAAGTCAGTTAACGCGGGGGAGGTTGAGGGACTCGTACGGCGTTGCAGACGCGCCCCGCAGCACCGGTTTGCTTCGTGATGAGTTTTGCGCCGAGCATCTTGCTCGCGTAGTCCTTCGCCTGCTCCGGGCTAACACGGCGCTCAGCAACGGAATGTCCGGGATCCGAGCATGTCGCTCACCTCTCAATGACATGCACACCGCCCTGCAGCCCATTGTCGAAGTGGCCCTTTCCACGGCCGCCCGCGAGAACTTGAGCCTTGATCACGCTTCCAGTAGAGCCTGTATGTCCGTTCAATTTCCGACGGCATAGACGGAGGTGCGCGCGGACACATACCAAACTGTTTCGCGACCTCGAAAGCCTCTTCAGGAGTGTGTGCAGCGACGCTTTTCGGCGTAGGAATGCCATACTACGCGTAGGACGTCAGCGCGTGCACTGTACGATCCATGCGACATGAATGACGCACCGAGTTAAGCAGGTTCACTGATTGGTATTCATGGATAGAGAGAAAGCGCTTCTGACCCGCAGACGCGGCCTGTGTGGACCGCGTCAGTGCGCACACCATGCAATATGCTTTGAGAAACGTACGCGAGCCAAAGAACCAGCCTTTCTGAGAGACGCGAGCATTGGGATGAGGACGGCCGTAGAGTGGGAGGAGGGAAAGGTGCTGGCAGCGGGACGGGGCGGCGGTCGGCGGTGAGCGTCGTGATTCTTTGGGTGCTTAGTCAGCAGCCCCCGGCTTTTAGAGTGCGCTGCACGGCTGATGTGCATCTTCACCCAGGACGACGACGACGGTTGATTTGCTGGTGGTCTCCCTGTCTCTCACCGCCTTGCCTTGGTCTTCATGATCAGCTTGCTGCGGCGAAGTTCTGGTAGATGGACGCTATCCTCGCTTTGAGTTCGGACCGCTCAAACTACGGAGTCGTTCGAAATTGTGCAGAGGAACATACACCCATACTCCATCTCGGATCCATCGTCTGCTTTTGTGTAGCTGTGAGCTTGGCAATCTATATTTTCTACAACGTGTATCCCCTTGCCTCGCTCCTCGTTCATATCTGGCACTGCAAGTCTTCCCACTGTCTTCCCGCGAGGGCGAGCCTCGTGTGAGCCGCGCATTCACCTGACTCCTCGGTTGGTGCCACGAAGATACAGGTGGCGTTCCCGTTCCAATTTGCTCCTGACCACGACCATGTCCTCACCGTCACCCGCGCTGGCTACTTCCCCCGAACAAAACGGCTTCTCAGACGATGCGACCGCCCGCGCACGCTTGCTGGAGGTTTCCACGGCCATCCTGCGTCAAGCGGTCAACCTCGTGCAAGATAGCCTCACTACTGACCAGCAGCTCACCGCGCAATCAAACTATATACCCGGGTCTACGATAGGTATGTACATTTCGCGATCGAGTTTCAGCGTTGAACTGAATTGAGTTGTAGGCAAACATCTCAGACATGCTCGAGATCATTTCGCGCTTCTCGCAGAGGCGATATCCACGCCGGCGCCCCATGTATTGAATTACGACAAGCGAGCGCGCAATACCCCCATGGAAAGCCAGCGCAAGGCAGCCGCAGATGCATTGAATGAGGCTATCGCGCAACTACACGAAGTTGTGCCAACGGCAAATCTGGCCGAGCCCATCACATTGCACGCCGTCACGCCGTATCCTCAGGTTATGGAGACCACATTTGCGCGAGAGGTGAGTACGATGCACCTAGGACCACGTCTTTCCCGTCCTGATATATCTACAGCTGTGGTTTGCAGGTCTGCATGCAATTCATCATTGGTCAATGGTAAGTCCTGCGTCGGCTGTTCACACATCGGGGCTCAGTCATAACCTCCTCCAGGTACGAGTCATTGCTGGCGAGCTTGTGAGTCCTCTCGGGTAATAAAAGTGATCGTCTGCTCATGCGACAAAACAGGGCATCAAGCTAGAGGATACGTTTGGCTTTGCGCCTTCCACGATTGTCCATATGGAATCAAAGGCGGCCTTTGGAAAACCCAAGATATAGGGTTCTTGGATAATTTTGTTCTGCATGTTTTAGATATTTGTCCTTACTGTCCGGGTTGTCGCGATGCTATCCTCGTTGTCCTATGCTGCTACCTATATTATCTATCGAAGTCTCCCCAGTCCGCCCAAGACATATGCATACCATGTGCATGTGAGGGACGCCTGCTGGGATGACGAGCGTCGAGCGTCTGGAGGTATGATGCAGAGGCGCTCAAGATCGATCGGGGCGCTTGCGCAGTGGCGTGCGGGGGGCAAGTGCAGTGTTTCTCAACCTGGCTTCTACCCAGCAGCCACCTCCCCGTCCCCCGCTAACTCCCGACCCCTTGGCATACTCTCCAAAATGCCTCCTGAGATGATCCCCATAGACGGGGAGCAGAAGAAGCGCGTAGTAAGTTATAATCTCGTATTTGCATCCCGAGCTCTCCGCGCCCCCAGGCATGCTCAACCTTACCTGTAGTGCTACTTCTTCGACTCGGACGTGAGCGGTTTCCATTATGGGCCAGGCCACCCGTAAGAATGACCCAAGATCCCTCTTGTTTTTGTGCTGATGATTTTCAGGATGAAACCTACGCGTATACGGATGTGCCATTCATTGGTCATGAACTACGGCCTGTACAAACGCATGGAGATCTTCGTATGTAGTCGTGCCCCCTCTCCTTAGTAAACGTATCACCGCGCCTTTAAACTCACTTCGCATTCCACAGAGAGCCAAACCTGCCACAAAGCGCGAAATGACGCAGTTCCACTCTGACGAATATGTCGATTTCCTGAGCAAGATCACGCCTGTCAATATGAACTCGTTCATTAAGGAACAGCACAAGTGTATGCGCAATCGTGCTCTACATCTAGCCCTCTTCTAACGGAGATGTACACCCTATCACAGGCAATGTCGGGGACGATTGCCCAGTGTTTGATGGCTTGTTTGACTATTGCGCTATCTCAGCCGGCGGCTCTATGGGTACGCCCTGGCTCTACCCCCGTTTGGCCGCCTCTTGCTGATATTGCACAGAGGGCGCCGCTAGGCTAAGCAGGGACAAGTGCGACATTGCAGTGAACTGGGCCGGAGGTTTGCACCATGCCAAGAAGAGTGAGGCCAGTGGTTTCTGCTACGTCAACGGTCAGTTGATCCTTCAGAGTTATCTATTTGGCGCTCACATATGATCTGCAGACATTGTATTGGGCATTCTTGAACTTCTGAGGTGAGGAATTTGTAGGCGATGAAACAACTGAGTTGGCGTCTCACCGCTGTACAGGTATCATCCTCGTGTCCTCTACATTGACATAGACGTGCATCACGGAGATGGAGTGGAGGAGGCTTTCTACACTACAGATCGCGTGATGACCGTCAGCTTCCACAAGTACGGCGAATACTTCCCAGGAACGGGAGAGCTGCGGGTAAGGCTTGTGCACATCCAATCTTGGGGCGAGACCGACTTACGAGTTTTGTAGGACGTAGGCATAGGCAAGGGCAAGTACTACGCTCTCAATTTCCCGTTGCGAGATGGCATCACCAACGAGAACTACAAGAGTGTCTTTGAGCCTGTAAGCATTCATAGGCCCCTTATTTCGAACGCTTCTGATAGTGTGCTCTCTGTCAAGGTCATTCAACAAGTTATGGAATCGTATGATCCCGGCGCCGTCGTGTTGCAATGCGGCACGGACTCACTATCAGGGGACAAGCTTGGCTGCTTCAACCTGTCAATGCGAGGTACGTAAATATTTGCTGCAACACGCATCTACAATGGCTTTAACATACTTGCAGGTCACGCAAATTGTGTGAAGTTCGTCAAGTCATTCAACAAGCCCCTGCTCCTCGTTGGTGGTGGCGGCTACACCATGCGCAATGTGAGCAGATGCTGGGCTTACGAGACCGGTCTTGCAGCGGGTGTTGAGCTTGGCAAAGGTACGTGGGAGTGCTCCTGTGGAACCAAATGTGTCGCGTACTCACTGTGGGACACTCACCAGAAATACCCATGAACGAGTACTACGAGTACTTCGGCCCGGACTACGAACTAGACGTGAAGTCGTCCAACATGGACGACATGAACTCTCCCGAATACCTGGAACGTGTAAAAGGCATTGTTCTCGAGCATTTGCGGCATGTTGGCGGCCCGCCGAGCGTCCAGATGCAGGGTGGGTGTAGCCGCACCGTTCGTGAGGTCTTATTGACCCCCATCGTTAGACGTTCCGCGGATGCCCGTCGACGAGCTGGTCGAAGACGACCCAGATGAAGACATGGACGACCCCAACGACAGACGGCCAACTCGCCGTCTCGACGCGCGCCGACAGGCAGACGGCGAGCTCTCCGACTCCGATGACGAAGGGGAGGGAGGGCGGCGCAACCACGCCAGCCACAAGGACGCCGACTCTCCAACGACAGGGCGGAGATTCGGCGCGCCAGTCGGGATTATGAGCACGGGCACTACACATGGTGTAGGGCCGAGCGGCGCGCCGCCGGTCGCTGCGGCCACAGCTGGTCCGTCTGCAGGACAGGCTGCCGTCGCGGAACAGTCCGACATGGACATCGACGACGGCGTCCCGCTTGCACAGGCGGCGAAGAACAAGGCTGCGGCACCCGCGCCCACCACGAACGGCGCTGGCCCTGCGCCCAACAAGGATGAAGCAGAGCGTCCATAGTGCCTGTTGTATAGCCTCATCTGGTCTTCACACTGTGGTATTATTAGTATGTTTGTTGTATTGCGTTCGATGCCTCGGCCTCAGCGTCCCTTCCTACAGCTAGATGTGCTGGACAGCGTTTCCCCCAGAGGTCCAGTCATGTGTGTAGTTTACTGTCTGGCTCTAGGGGATCAGCGAGGCATGCATGGCGGAAATGGGAGAGTAGGCAGGACTGGGTCGCTACTCGACCCGAATGGCTGGCAACCGGTGCCAGGAACGCCGTCTAAGCTTTGCTGTCATACCGAGATCTGCAACGAGGCAGAAGGGGTTCCCCTTACATACGAGTTAGCGGTGTTCGCAAAGATCCAGACGTACCCGGCATTAATGTTAATGCGCGTCACACTAAGTTGAAGGCATCGGACTCTTCCGAACTCCACATGCACCGTCTTGAACTAGATCCACGCCCATGTCTCCGTCAGGTCCAGCTTATGCTTTAATTGATAGGTATAATATAACGGAGCACTGGTACATGTCTACGCCGCGGAAATTACGAAAGGGAGATACAAGAGGCAAATACGGAACTGTTACAGTAGGAATATCACCAACAATCTATACAATCTTTCTTCCATGTCAATAGTACTCCGAGTCCCGCACCTCCTTGCCAGAAGGCGAGATGAACACCCGCAGGCCGTCGAACGCAGGGCGCACCCACACCGGGGGGCCGTCCTCGAGCGTCTCCAGGCCTTGCTTCACCACCTCAGTGACTTCGTCCTGCGGCGCCGTCCGTCCTCCCACCTGCTCCAAAATCGTGCGATATTCGTCGTGGGAGACCTCGTGGCTGAACCCGGTCAGGTACGTCTTGCGTGCGCCCATCCGCCGCGCAATTTCCACCGCCTGCGCGAGGCTCAGATGTGACGTGTGTGGCTGGAGGCGCAGGCAATCGAGCACAAGCACCGGCGGCCTCGCAGATGCGTACGCCGCAGCATACGAGGCGCGGATGTGTTCCCAGACGTCCTCGGGAATGTGCGAGCAGTCCGAGATGTACGTCACGGCGTTCTGAATCGTGAATCCAAAGCAGAAGTAGGGGAAGATCTCCTTGACGGGCTCGGTCTCTGGCGTCAGGGCGCGTGCATTGACAGGCGTGCCCGGCTGGCCCGGAGACGATGGGTGGGTGGATGCGGGCGATACCGAGTTGGGGCTGGGCGTGAAATCGACGGGAGGTGCGGAGAAGACACGGCCGTGGTGCACTAGGTCGTCCGAGGATCAAGTCAGTTTTAGTCGCAGGCACGCTTGATTTCGTTCACACACGCGCGCACCTTTGAACGGGTCCACCACGATGCCGGTGTCGCCGATGGTAAACGGTTTTCGGTCTTCAATAATATGCCAATTGAACTCAGGCACCTGTCGCGGCGAAATTCAACGGGGCTGCCCCGGGTGTGAAACGATCTGCGCGAGACACTCACATCGCCGCCGCCAGAGGCAAATTCCTTCGAGATTAGGTAGGGGAATGCCCTACCGACCTCCTGGAAAGTCTCAAGGGAGACGTACAAATCAACATGAGGCTGGATAGCGCCGTGCAGCGTCCACCCTGCAGGGTAACGGTCAGTTCATCATGCCACAGCAACGGGCCGCGCCACAACATCCAGCGCGCACCTCTGAGGTCGTCTAGTCCATTCATAGCTTCGGAGCGGAAAGTGAGCGCTCCCGCGAAGATAATAGACATGGATGCCGGACATACCATCCGCATGGGCGTGAGTGATGAGCACGGCATCTATCTTGCGGAGGCCGTACTTCGGGAACCACTCGACTGCGGCCTGTTGGAAGCTCTTCCCTACATCGATGACAATGGTCCTGTAGACGCGTGGACGATCTCAGCAATTTGCACGCCGCGGAGGAGAGCACATGGAGGAACGGAGCGCGATGAACGGGAGAGCTCCCAGCGGTAAACGCCGAAGGCAAAACGCCTCATCGCGCAGACGATCCGGGATATGCAGAACCAAATGTACGGCGCGTCTCCCCCCACGAGCCGACCTGGTTCCGGTGCGTGGTGGGCCGCTCTCCGAACAGTCCGCGCACACACAAACCTGACGCCTCCGACGGACATCGCCGACTTGGAATGCCGGGGGCCCTGAGAAGGGTGACGAGGGGTACTCACACGAGCTCGCCGTTCTGCGCGCGGACTCTGGCGACGGCGGAGGTATTGCGCTATCATGATGAGATCCGGCGGAGTCAGCGTCAAGCCGGTGTGGCGGAGCGGACCCGCACAGAAAAAGTATACGCACCCGTATGTTCTTCTTGCCCTCAGGGTAGAGCGTCGACCAGCACGTTTTGCACTTCTTTGCGCCGGGCGGGGCGGTCAGACAGTCGACGTGGGGGACGGTGGAGGATGTGCCGGTGCCGAGGAGGATGACCTCGACGTCGTCGGTCAGAGCGGGCGAAAGCGCGTCAATAGAGCCCATGGTGGTGTGTGGGTGCGCGAGGGTCGGTGTAGAGGAGGAAGAGGAGGGTGTGGCGGCAGACATGTCGGACGAACGGGGGAGCTTTTATAAAACGCGGGGCTGGCGATCTGGTCGGACTCGGCGGAGCAGGCGATTCGATATCAGCCTCCGCACGTGTATAGCGCGTCTCCGGGGCCATCAGGGCGGTTTGAGCAGATTCTGGCTTAGAGCATGGGCGATAGACAGCACAGGCAGTCGGCCGCGGTCGACGTCTGTCCTCGTAGGGCGGAGATACAGGGCGAATAGCCACAGCGTCCCCGCGCCGGCTTGCACGCTCCCATCACTCCCGACTCGGCTCTTCCTCCGCACGTGGCCCGCCCTGCACGCCTGTCCCTAGATCCAGCGGCACTCTCCCAGATCCCCTCGTGGCCCTCCTCTGAGCTCATCGACCCATGCAGCGCACCCCCCAGAATACCTCGAAGCTGTGTATTCCACTTATCGCACAAGTACACGCACGGTGGTCGGCAAGCATCGCCCCAGCCGGATACAGTACGGATTGATACATCTCCACAAATACTTCTTCGTGCCGCCGACATCCTGTCATTTCGTGAAGACTGTGAACACGCCGTGCGTTAGCCTGGGAACACGGCCTCCGCCCGGGTCTAACGTACTTGACACTACGTCCTCGTCCTGGACGTGATGATGCAGGCTCACTTTCTGCGCATGCGGGTTGAACTTCGATGACTTGCCCTAGCCCCGATGTCAGCCCGTTTGCAGCCGCAAGACGCTGATGCGCGCTTACCCTGTCCGAACGGTCAGCTGGCGGCACACAAACTGTTTGTGGCGTCTGCACTCACCAAACTAGAGCGTATCGGAAGTTCGTCGCCAGCGACCGATGAATGCCGTTGCAGACGCTCTGCGGCGCACCGCGTCAGGACGCCCATTTCGGTAGCCAGGTGCCGAACAACGAGCGGTACCCACCTCGACCGTAGCCCCCTTTCGCATGCAGACGGGATCATCCAGATCCGGGTGGACGCCCCGTTTCTTGGTGTACACCTTCACGAGGTCAAGCTCCTCCCAAATCTTCTCGATGAGATAGTCTAGGCTGCGTATAGCGGTGCCGCGTGAGTACCCAGTAGTCGCCCAGATGGGCGCAGCAGCACGCACTTCAGCCCAAGCTCGCAACTAATCACGACCGTGTGGTCTTCCCGGGCGAGTTTGTCCATCTGCTCGAGGCTGATAGCGTCAATCTTGTTATAGACATCTGCCCAGGGACGTAAGTGGAGCACAGCGACACAAATCCAGGGTCCCGCTTACACAGACATGGCATATATTTCCGTGTTCCTGCGGCAGCATATCAGGACAAACGGGCCTCGTGGCCGCCCGGCATAAGACGCACCTATCAGCACATCGATGAATTCGTCGGTTGTGATCTGAACCGCTGTCAGCTGCGAATGGTATCGGCGAACGGGACAGAACCTACGTCTTCCCGGATCATTATGTCGCAGTTGTGCAGCTTGTCTACGCAGTAGCGCGGGGAATGAATAGACCGAACCGCATGGCCCTGAAGAATATCACTCACAGCCAGCCAAGATAGTCCGGATGGTCTTCTCGTCGGTCTTGGTCAAGGGCACCGTCTTGTTGATCTGATACAGATGTCAATGGCCGTGCGGGTACCCCTGGCAAGCCAATCTTACCGTAATCTGTGCATGACAGAGACATCTCAGCTGGGGGTCAGTATTACGGCACACTCGCAGCACTTACACCTCCGGTGGTCTTGCGCTTGAAGACGACATCGGGCTTTTTCTTATTCAGCCGGATGCCGACGGCGTCCAACTCGATCTCGAGCAGGCGCCGTTGCTCCTCCGACTTTGTCGCGTCAAGCATGATGAGAATGAGATCGGCAGTTTTGGCGGTCGCGACGACTTGCCGGCCGCGACCGCGACCTTCACTAGCTCCCTCGACGATTCCCGGAAGATCTAGCAACTGTATGCGCGCGCCTTGGTGCTCAATAACACCGGGGATTGCCTGACAGCGTAATGAGCGCGTGACCCGATATGGCGCTGTGAAGGACGTACTGTGAGTGTGGTGAACTCGTAGGCGGCCGTCTCCGACTGCGTGTGTGTGCACTTGCTGAGCAGCGTTGACTAATTGCGAAGATGGAAGATGAGGGCAGTGTACGGATACGTCATGCGAGACACCCACCTTGCCCACTGAAGGGAAGCCGATAAGTGCGACTCGAGCATCTCCGGACTTCTGGACATCAAAGCCTGTTCCTGCACCGCCGGACTTGGAGGTAGGTTCGAGGAGCTGTGCGCGGTAGCGAGCGAGCTTCGCCTTCAGAAGACCAAGGTGATATTCTGTTGCCTACTTCGCTCCCTGCTAAGCCGTCGATTTCACCGGCGGTCCGCGGTGTACGCCCACCTTATTCTTCTGCGCTATTTGCGGAGGTTCAAGGGTCAGAACTCTACACTGCGCCCAGACGTGAGGCATGCTTACTCCTCGCCATCTCCTCTGCGCACGATCGAAGCCTCGGTTAATGACGTTTTGCATGCTTGCGCAAAACGTGCAGGACGCTCACCCTCGATTTCCTTGATCTACAGCGGGCAGCCTCTCAGCCACACAGGTACGAGCGAGCGCGCGCCGCGTGCCTACCTTCTCCACGATCCCCATGTTTGCGCAGCTTCACGACGTCAGATAGTGTGTGTTTGGGAGAGCCGCTCCAGAGTTGAGCGCGCAGCGAGGAACAAGCACAGGGAGCACGGCGAGTGCGTGGTGGAGAGAGTGAGAGTGAGAGGCGGAGGCAAGGACGGGCCTGGCGCCCATCGGGACCGGCGGGCCTTGGGATACCACAGCGCAGGGTCGGCGGGCTACATCATCTTCCGCCTCGAGTCCCTGCCCCTCGTCGGTGCCTCTCCTGCGTTTTCTCCTCCCCTTGCTTCCCGCATGCCCAACAAGCGACATCAGCCAACTCTCTTTACCCACCCAGAGGGCGACGCTGACGACGAAAACGACGAATCCTGGCAGTCCTCGCGCTTCTCCTCGGGCTCGGGCAGCCTCAAGTCCCGGATGAAGACCCGACAAAGAAACGCGTTTTCGCCCAACTCCTCCAACCCGAACGCGCCCCTGGCATCTTCCGCTACGACGCCATCACCGGCAGTGCGCTCCAACTACGCGAACATATACAACCAGTTCGTACGGCGGTACCGGAACGGTCAGACCATCGACGATGACCCGCGAAACGACCCCGAGTCCCACTACTATCACCGTGGCTTCGGCCAACTCCTAGACGGCGGAGACAGCGACGATGAAGACACCCGTGTTCCCGCTGGCATGGCCGAGCCTGACCGGATGTCTGTTCTCATGCTCGACGCAGAGCCCATCGAGCCACAGACCCTAGAAGACCGAGAACGCCTAGAATGGCAGACTATGCTCGCCTCGGTTCTTGCGGGCGACGTGCTCAAGGCGGAGAACACGCGTATAGCGGTCGCGCTAAATTCATCCTCGGAAGAGGAGAATAATCCCCGCGCGGGCATCTGGCTCGGCATTCGCGCACGCTTTCACGGACGCACCATCGAGGAAGAGCGCAAGAAACTCGAGGAGCGACGGCTGCGCACGGTCGACTCGGTCATCAGGGAGATTCTTGGCTTCCGCGTCCAGGATCCTCCACCAGGATCGTCCGAAAGCCGCGAGACCTATGCTCTGCAGCAGGTCAATGCCGTTTTGCGCCGGCTAGAGATTGCGCATTCCCTATACCCCAGTCTGCGCGCGTTCTATCTAGACTACCCCTCCGCGACTGATGTCGAATTCCAGTCGAGATGCGACACCCTGAACACATGGTCTACTGTCCTGACTTCCCTACGCCAACTCCTCGGGACGCTGCGCAAATGGACAGGGAGCGAGAATATGGACGTTACGCAGCCCCCATCCCACCCTTCCACCCCGGGGACCTCACCCGCCGAGGGCGGGAAGGCGAACGGCACGACCTTCGTCGAGCGATTACTCAAGGAGGAGGGCGTACAGAGGCAGTTCGAGAAGGGCTCAATGACCACCATTCACGCGCTCGTCGGGACGACTCGCGACGCCCACGTTAACCTCGCGCCCATGTTCCGCAAGATGAACCTTCCTTCGTTCGAGCAGGAGCTCGTCCCCCTGGTCTCGTTCCTCACGGACCTCGCACAGGCTGTCCTCCGTGTGCGGCTGTCCTACGCCCAGAACCTGAAGAACCCCGACGTGCTCATAATCGATCAGATGACGGACGACTTGAAGGTCAAGATCGGGTTCGCATGCACGCTCAAGCGGCAGTACGAGGCATTTTTGGTGCCTGACCCTGGCGGGAACTGGAAATTGCCCCCCTGTATCAGCGACGACTACGATTCGACCATCCTCGAGGCCCTCACATTCTTTTTCAAGCTGATACACTGGAAGCTGAAGAGTGGGACGAAGGGCATCTACTTCAAAGAAACGGATGTCATCGAGGCGCAGTGGGCGACATTCAGCGATGTCAGTCTCACGATACCTGGAGGCGCGTCCCTGGTCGCCGAGCAGCTTTGGTATGCGATATGGAACTCTGGAAACCTCTCTTGTGAACGACGCTAACCTATTTAATACTTTAGTGCGCTAACCAACAAGTTGATCGTTCGGGTCACAAATTATTTCGACACTTCCATACGTGTCCCCGGCATGCCCGACGACGTCTTCCCCACAAGCATGTCCGAGCGCGCGCGGAAGACGATGAAGACCAATGGCCTAAACGGCGCGCCTATGATGCAGCCATCCTTGACCACTGGATCGCAGCCCACCGGAGTCAGCGTCCCGAAAGAGCGCCTCGTTGGGTGGTATTCGAAGATCCTTGACGGTGTGAGGCAGCGGTCGCGCAAGCTCCAACGCCTAGCACGGTACGTCAACAGTCTCCGGACATCATGTTGCTTTGCCTTACGCCGGCCTCGGCTGCTACAGAGTCCTCTCCCATCGGTTCAGTGACTCGGCCGAGTACGATCTGGAGGACGTCGACATCGACGCTTTCATCGCCACCTTGGTGGAAACAGACCACTTCCTCGTGTACACGCAGAGCTTCGAGGAGGAGGGCACCTACATCGTTGCGCCACCAGGGCTCCGCGAACACCCGGATGTCATCCGGCGACTGCTCGTCGACGCGTTCCACGTGAGCGAGATCGACGAGAGCAGTTGGCTGATGGAGAGTGGAGACGTCGATCCAGACTACGAGGAAATCACTTCTTACCTCCTTGTTCTCTCTCCGCGTACGCGGTTTCTCTGGAACGGTCTTGTTCTCATGCTCCAAATACCCAAGATCGAACTACAGCTAGAGGATAACCGTGTCCGGCTGGTGGCGGACGGCTCGCAGCATAGGCTTACGTTCGCCAAGCGGCAGTTTGGTGACCTCTTCGAAGCACTGGAGGACGAGGAGACGGGCGAGCCCATCGAGGCCGCAATGCCTCCCCTGGCGTGTCTGGTCGAGCAACAGGCTCACCTTCCGTCGGTAAACCGCGAGCTGCGCAAGATTGGTCGCGCGACGAACAGGCTTGCCGACTCTATCGTCGAGGCCGTCCACGTCGTGCGGCACGCGCTCAAGGACACGAACAACTATCAGGAGCTGCTCGAGAACTGGTACGTTTTCGCGTCCGACCACGCGACGCACGTGGAGAAGTACATGGACCGCCCGACGCTGCTCAAGTACAACCAGTCGCTGATCAAGCTCGCCATCTCCTGGGTGTCCTTCATCTGTGATGACTGCGACCCGAACGACCGCAAGACGTTCCGGTGGGCGGTTACCGCGCTCGAGTTCACCCTACACCGTACTCGGCGGAACAACATCCTCCACCTTCCTGATGACCAGTTCGAGATGCTGCGGCAGAAGGTCGCGAGCTGTATGACCCTCCTGATCAGCCACTTCGACATCCTTGGCGCGCGCTCGACGCTTGAGGCGAAGCGCGAAAAGGAGCGCCAGGAAGAACTCCTGCGGCAGCAGACGTCCAACCGGCGGTCCGACGAGGACGCCGAGGAGGCCGCTTTCCAAGCCGACCCGGAGGACGAGGACCTGGTATTCGCATACGCGGATCCCGCCCTGCGCGCGTACTGGGACAAGGCGTCTCAGGCTGCGCGGGATATCGAGGTGCAGCGGGCGGAGATAGGCGCGGAGCGGCACATCATCGGGCGCGTACTGGACGAGAAGATCCTCGTCGACCGCTCTGTTGTGTTCCTCGCCGGATCCAGCTCGAACATTTCCATACGCTGGCAGCAACGGCGCTTCATCGGCGCGGGTTCATTCGGCTCTGTGTACCTCGCGATCAACCTCGACTCAAACACGCTCATGGCGGTCAAGGAGATCAAGTTCCAGGAGACGGCGGGCCTCACGAACCTCTACTCGCACATCCGCGATGAGCTCCAGGTCATGGAGATGCTGCATCACCCGAACGTCGTCGAGTACTACGGTATCGAGGTGCATCGCGACAAGGTGTACATCTTCGAGGAATACTGCCAGGGAGGAAGTCTTGCGGCGCTGCTCGAGCACGGGCGAATAGAAGACGAGAACATCTTGCAAGTATATACGTTGCAGATGTTGGAGGGTCTCGCGTACCTACACTCGCAAGGTGTCGTCCATCGCGATATCAAGCCCGACAGTAAGTGCCTTTTTCTGCGTGCAGCCCTCCGATACTAACGTGTATGTTGGTCAGATATCCTCCTTGACCACATGGGCGTCATCAAGTACGTCGATTTCGGTGCAGCGAAGATCCTTGCGAAGAACCACCGCACGCTGCAGCGTACACGACGCATACCGGAGACAACACCCACCGCCGACGGTTCACTCGGCAACGGGCTGAACAACAGCTTGACGGGTACACCCATGTACATGTCACCAGAAGTCATCCGCAATAACAAGCGCGGGCGCCACGGCGCCATGGATATCTGGTCCCTCGGTTGTGTCGTCCTCGAGTGCGCGACTGGTCGAAAACCATGGAGCAATCTCGACAACGAGTGGTAAGCTCTGTTGTCCATCGCTGTCTCTAACGCTCCTCACCACATATTTCATCAGGGCGATCATGTTCCACATCGGTGTCGCGACGCAGCACCCACCATTGCCCGATCCTGGGCAGCTGGGCGAGATGGGCATCGACTTCATTCGACAGTGTCTTACGATTGACCCCGTGATACGTCCAACCGCTGTCGAGTTGATGAACCACCCGTGGATGATCGACTTCCGGGAGAAGCTCCGGAGCTACGAGGAGGGGGAAAGCGCGAGCTCGAGTCCGCCCCCGGACATCTCCACCGACGGCGGCACGTTCGAGGCGGCGACCATCGCACGCCAGGCCGCCATCCTCCAAGAGCAAGAGACCGAATTCATCTCAGCGCAGTCCCCGACGCTCTCCCCTCTGGAGACGCCGGAGGGCTCGTCCACCAACTCCTCGCCCGGCCTGCGCGAAAGCCCGCCAGACACGCAGTCGAGCTCGGACGATCGCGGTTTCAGCTCGCCCGAGAACAGCGGGAACAGCTCCTGACACTCGTTCCCGTCCCCGCTCCCTCCCCCTGACCTTGTATACCATACGAACCGTACGAACGTTGCCTCGCCCATACTCTTGCCGTGTAGCTTATCACGTTTCCTCGCTGTTGTCATATTGTTTGCACGCATAGCTCTCTCCCCTCGGTCCACCTGCTCCCGCGTTACCTTCCGGTTCTATCGTCGTCCTTGTAGTAGCCTCCATCTCTGCCGCCCACTCCATTAGCCACTAATCGTGTCTGTCCCGCATGCATGTACAGTAGCACGCAAAGCAAAGAGCTGAATTGGAATCTACAGTAATACACGCAGCAGCATTGCCATTCTCAGGAATCTCAACAGCGGCGGGCGCGGACCACCCGGTGATCTCGGCCGTCGGGTAAATGTGTACACTACGCAGGTATATATTCCGTGGGTCGAGAAAAAAGGATACAAACACCAAGAAAGCACGGTGGCAGAATTTGAATATAAAGTGCGGAGGCCGAAATCAAGGCTGATGAATGTGTAAAGGGTGGGGGGCTACATTGCGATCGGCAGGTCTGTGCAGCGTTAAGCTCACTCGATCACCCAGCGTGTCTTGCTCTTCTGCGAGCTTGAGCTCTGGATGGACGACTGGCTGTGCTGGCTGCTTCGGCTGCTCTGGCGGTATAGCGTGGGCGACGCTGAGCGCTCCGTAGCTGCGTCCGATCCGGTAGGTGTCTCGAATGGATCTGTCGACCCAGAGTAGAAGCGCGGCCCCATGTGGCGCGGGGCAAAGCGCATCTGCGAGGGAGGCGGCACGTCCTGTCCATTGCCACCGAACGCGACGGAGTACGTGGGGATGGGTAGGTCGTTGGAGGGGAACGCGACCTTCTCCGTGTCGCCCTTCTCGCCCGGCGTAGTGTAGTCGTCATCGGGGAGCTCCTCCTGCGCGTTCACTACGAGGGATATGACGTCAACACGGCGAAGAAAATACATGCTGCATGGTACTCACGGTAGCGCGGGAGACCCTTGCCGAAGTTGAGACGGCACACAATGCCGAGAGCGAGCGTGACGACGGTGAGGAGCACGGCGGCGGTTGTCATCAGGCTGAAGAACAGCCAGGTGACATACGTCCAGCGGAACGTCGCCGCGATGAACATCGACGCCCAGCCGGTGAGGACAAAGACAGCGACACCCAGGAAGAAGGCCATCGGGAGCCTGAGCTCCTTCCGAACGGACAGCCAGCCCATCGAAAGCCAGGGGATGAGCAGCTAGGAGGCAACAGTCAGGTATAGGGTAGACGAGGAATGCAAGGAGTACGCACGACAAGGACAGTGATCATGATCGCCTTGAAGAACGTCGGCTGCATCGTGAGGCGCCCAATGTTTCCGTTGTACACCTGGTCAACCCAGAGCGCCGCGGACGCGCCGACAAAGAATAGCGAAAGCTGAATTGAGATCGAGAGCATCAGGACGAGGTTGTATACGCGGTTGATCACACGAGACGCGCCGACGCGCTTGAACGTCTGCCAGCCGAACGACTATACGGCCATGACGATGTTAGCTACCGGTACACAGGCAAAGTGCTTAGCACACACACCTTCATGAGACGCCAGCTAAGGAAACCAGAGACGAGCAGAGCAAAGCAGTTGAGCGCCAAGCTCGGGATTTCCGCGTTCGAACGGGTCCTCCAGTAGTCCGGGAGTAGGTTGATGCCGCATGCGCCCTGAGTCGTCAGAGCAGTGAACTTGCGGTGGAAGATTTCCGTGTTGACCTGGAGAGACTCCGTGAGCTTCGTTGTGCCTTGGGAACACGGCTGGACTCACAATCTGGAAACCTCCCCATGCGGTCGCGAGAATGTGGGTCAGCAAGGACGCGACACTGCCCGGAAAATCTCAGTATATGCGCCTATGTCGTACCGTAATCGTGAAAGCTTACACGTGCGGGATAGACTCGTTCAGCAGCGCCACGAGCGACATTCCGAGGAGCCAGATTTGGAAGGCAATGAATGCGATGTCCTCCCGCTTCGTGTTCTCCACGCTGAAAGGAATGCCATGATGAACTTCTGGTCGGTGTATAATATGCGGTAAACTCACGTGTCGACGGGCCAGTTGAGCGTGTACAAGCACTTCCTCGGAAGCTCAACCTCGTTCAGGCCGTTCAGGCCATTCAGGTTAACCTTCGCAGTCCCGTTGAGCGCAAGCCGAATCTGCATCGCCCTGAGAGTGACGTCGAGAGCCCGACGATGCAACGCCTATGATAGACGGTCAACGATGCACCAGACAAGTAGCCTGCTTTGCTTTACCTGTGCGTCGCTATCATCGTGAACGTCCTCGGCGAAGAGCACGGCTTTGAGCTTGGGGATGGCACTATCGAAGACTTGGTTCGCCTCGTCTTCCTCCTCTTCGTCATCAGAGTCAGAGTCGGAATCATCATCATCCTCTCCATCGTCGCTCTCATCATCCGAATCATCATCATCATCGTCATCATCCTCCGTCGCTGAGTTCTCCTGCGCCACGGTGGACGCGGTCGGAGCCGCGACACGGAGTGTAACGGTAAGGGTGCGGGTGGCGGTCTCAGTGGCCGAGAGGCCGGTGGTTGAGAGACTGATGACTGAGAGGCTAGTGGCGGAGCGAGTAGCAGACGAGGAAGTGCGGGAGAGGGTAGAGACAGAGAAATTGGACACGGCAGACGAGGAGGAAAGGACAGCAGTTGAAGAGCGGGTAGCGACGGAAGAGGTCGTTGAAAGAGCGGACGAGGTCGAAGACACCGCAACAGACGTAGACGCAGCGGAAGAAGTGGCGACGCTGCTGAGAGAAGAAGACGTAGCGGCCTCGGCAATAGAGGACATCGCCGCGGCATAGTTGTCGCCGCTCACGTCGAGCGTCACATTGGCCTTGGTGCGCCCGTCCCAAACGACCGTACATGAGCTCGCGTCGACTGTGCTCGGCACCGTGTCGCACATGCGTAGGTCCTTGTTGTAGACCGCGAAGCCTGGGTCGGTCGCGTTTCCCTGCTGGACGAGACTATAGAGGAAGGTTGCAGCCTCAGCGTTCGCGACGAACGCCTGCACCTGGAAGATGACCTGGACGATGCAATGAAGAACGGAGAAAACAAAATAGATCTTCGTGAGCCGGGAGAAAGTGACACGCTCCCACTGTAGAATAAAGTTGGTGGTTAGCGAAGTGATCACCAAAATTGTAAACGGGCTGCGGCTGGGGTTGTCCGATGCAGTACACTTCACAGCCGTTGAAACAATACACCCCGCGAAGGTGAACACTCATGCTTCCTACCACCAGCTTCGTCGAAACGCCCTGTGACTGAGCGCGCTGAATGTTGCTCCCCGAGGGAGGGAGGCGCGAGAGGCGAAGAGGCGCTGAGCATAGGTACGCAAGCATCACCTTCGGTACAACCTATGCTATGTCACTCACATACCGCCGGGTCGGAATTAATGAAAGCTCTTCTCCAAGCGAGGCTATATCACGCCCGCAGACATGGGGTCGGCGCCCTGTGCCTGGTCCGCAAGGACCTGAACATTGGTTGCTCGCCGGGAGCCGCCACTTGAACACCGCGCACGAGAACGCCCTGGCCCCCATCCGAACCCCAGCGCGCAGCAATACAATTAACTCACGAAAAGCTTCACACCAGCGACAGCCGGAAGGCGGGGGGTTAATGGCCATTGCATTATGGATGGAATCTGTGGCCAAAACGCGTTGAGTGGCGTCATAGGCTGGGGGCAAGCTGAGGGACTTCACCAGGCTTGGTCGGGGGAGAAAACCTTGGCAGAAGATCGAGATGCCGCTAGGGCAGGAAAAGCGACGTGGAACCCAGCCAGTGCAACACAAAAGCTCAGAAGAGTATATGAACGGTTGCAACGACGGTCCTGCCCGTCGACTGCAATCCTCAAGGTTTTTGGAGAAGGGAGGGAGGGTGGTGGTAGGAACCAAGAAGGCCTATCGCGGGATTCGCAACCGCGGGATGGACACCGTTCATGAGCCTTCCCCACAGCCGGCGACCGCGTCGGCGCCTCCCGCCCATCAAACTCCCCATATTCCGTAGCAACGCCCTCCACAACTCCCTCATTTCTCGCTCTCATTCCCGCTCGACGCGCCAGAATAGTACACCAGCTCTCCCCGAGGCCGTGCTGCCAAATATGCTAAACCGACTCCAGCTCGCGTGCAGCGCGCCACAGGCGGCGGCATTATTTTGACAGACTCCCGCTCGCGTAAACCGCTCAGGTCTGGGTGCGTCGTTGCGATCGCACAGGATGAGATAGGAGACGTAGCGTTGACGATGAGCCCGGACTTGGCTCGGGATGGCGGGATCCCATCTCAGATCCTATTCAGGCGACCGTCCATTTCCTCCTTCCATCCTCCTTTGCACCGCCAACGTTGCGTGCAGCATGATCTTGTCGGCCATTGGTGACAGCCGTTAACAATCCGTGTCTCCCACTGTCGGTCTATTTTTTGAAGCGTTCAGCGGGCAGTGCGTCGCGTACCGGCGTTGAATTATCGATCTTCCACCGGGCGAACATCCGGTCAGTCTTTCAGAAAGAACTTGGATCACCATCGTCTGATATTAACCATCCACGCACAGCGCAAGGGCTGCTATCCGTTGATGTTTGATTCAGGGTCCTAGCCAAGTCCTAGCCAGCGCAGCTCGGTCGCATCCTCGAGGCACGCATGCTTTGCCTACGCGCTCGAAGGCTGTCATCTGCCTGCTGCCTGCTTGATATGTACACCTCGACCTGCCGTAGTGTGTCAACAGAAAATGATTACCGCACGACGAAGCTACAACAACATGATCACAACAATAATCTACACTTGGTACCATCTTCGCCCATTTCCACTTGCAAGGAACCAGAACGTAGCCCGCTCCTCCGCATCGTCGGCGGGTCCGACTTCCACAGCCCACTCGTGCGGACCCATCCGACGACGCACGATACAGCCTTCCTCCTGCAGCGCTCGTAAAACCTCACCCACCTCCTGGCGGTCGTACGCGGCGCGCAGCCTCCACCGGATCTCGGCCTTCAGATGCGGATTTGCGCGAACGCGGACGTCAGCACCCCTCGCCTGAGAAGACGCGAAGCCCAACGCACCTGTGAGATACCCGGGCGCAGCAGGACGAGCGCGACGGCGGCGCGCAGTGCGGCCTCCCAGACCTCGTGGAGCTTCCGCCCGTAGATGTCCAGCCACCGCCGCGGGAATATCATTCGCTTCGTGCGCGGGTCCGCGTCTGGCTCTGGATTTTCGGGTGCGGGCACGACGACCGTCCAGGGCCGAATATACGCAGCAGAAACGAGCGCGACCGCAGCGTACCCTGTCCAGTGGGCGAGCGGTACAGGCGCGTCTGTCGCGCGCTGGATGGCGGACTTGACCGCAGCTGCCGGAAAGGCGTCCAACTGAACCTACAGTATGATACGTCCACGAGGTGAACGTTATGCCTGATAGAGTGGAGTGGTTGGCATGCAGGACTTACGAGAAGTTGTCGTTTTGTAATGCCCGCAGCGCCCGCGTCGCGGAGCACAGCCAGAAGCTTCTCAGCAGCGACCTTTTCATGTTCGTTGAGCTCGTGCGTCAGGAGCGACGCCTCTGCCTGCGAGAGACAGGCTTGGCAGTCGACGAGGTCCTCTGTCGCACGCCGGCAATAGGCGGGATCGCCATCCGCCGTCTTCCCATGCTCGGACTCACAGGGCACGTCTAACAGCATTTGGACGTCGGTGTTCGCAGCTTCTGCGGCGACTTCGGGCTCGGGCAGCTCGGGCGCTGGAGGCCCCGCAATGTCGAGGTAACGCACACGGATGTCCGTCTCAATGTCATCATCGTCTGCGAGGTGCACGTTCAGAGGGTGATATACGCAGTCATAGACCGCCCAACGAAGATGATCAACGCTTACCAGCTTTCTTGCTATTCCAGTCAATGATCGCACGCATAGAGCGCGGATGGGCCGTGTCAACGTCGAAGCGGACCTGGAGACGTCTGTCAGACAGGCATCTCCGGAGATTCCGAGAGCGGTGCTGCGAACGAGAAAGGAACGCACCTTGTTTTCGGAGGCCAGTTCGATGAGGAAGGCGGTGTCGCCGTCGCTGGCCAGGAGCGACCAATCCTGACACTGGGACGTGTCTTCCTGCTGCTCGACGAGCTCTTCCAGTGCCGATGCGTCCTGGAAGACCTCGCGCGGCAACTGCCCTCCCAGTGCGTTCTGGTTGCTAGATGGACGGTCCGCATGCATAAGCCTTCAACGCAAGTCAACAAGGAAAACCCAGCGGCATACTTGTCCGAGATCTTCAATGTGCGTCCAGGTTTCGACTTCGCCGGGTCGCGGACAGTCTTCGCGAGCACGCCACGGTTGAGCAGTTCAGTTGTTGCCACCCTCACAGATTCCTGACCCACGCTCTTGAGCAGCTGGGACGCCACATCAGGATCGTACGTCTCGTTCGGATTCCCAAGTGTCATCTAGCCGGCGTGTGTATTAGTATCCTCAAAAGCACGCATGTTTTGACTTCAAGCAGATGGTGGAGACCGCTCTCACCTTGACAGCGGCGTCCGCGATTTGGATCCACTCCGACTCGTATGGGGCCGTGGGCGGCATGTCCCCCACGTCCGCTGTGAAGGCGTGCTGCGCAAACTGCTTCTCGCGGCCCTCCTCCGCGATGACGCTCCACATAAAGTCCCAGGGAGGTGCGGTGGGCACCTTCTCCACTACATCGTAAGCGGCCTCGAGGTCTTCTACAGAAGCCGGCAGTACAGTGCTCTGAGTGGCCTGCACTTCGACGAAGCCGACGCGTCTAGAGCAAACCAAATCAGTATCATTGTAAGATCGCAGACACAGTAACGATACGAAGAGCGGCACGCTTACATCGCGTTCTTGTCAATATGCTTCCGCAGGAACTTAACGTGCGCCGCGAGATCGAAGTTGCCCGCGCTCGTCGGGTCATCATCTGGAAGGACGTCTGTCCCGCGATGTTGAAGCCACAGCTCGCGCCACTTCTCCTCCAGGCGGGCTAGGTACGTGTCTGTTCCGGGGACTTCCCTGAGGTGGACGAGGCGTTGGCGCACTGAGTTTCGTGGCACCGCAGGGAAGACCTGCTCTAGTGCGCCCCAATCGAGACGCGTGCCATCCCTGCAGCGCGCCTTGATGATCGCGGAAGCATCGCGTGCAAGCTCGTCGTAGTCCCGGTTCCACAGGAAACGGTGCCGGCGAGGTGTTTGGCCCGAAGGTTCGCCTTATTATCCTCGTTTGAGCCGATGCAGAAATAATAAATATAGCGCCTCATACCTGTATCTTTCTCTTTACCCTTCTTCGTCTTCTTGACACGGGCCTCCTGCTGTGCGCGATGCCCCTGTGCGGCAATGAGCTCATCCACGTCCTTCTCCTGCGTCGCAGTGACCACAGGCGCCGGAAGCACGGGCTTCGCTACAGGCATCGGAGGGAGACCCGACGTGTGCGAGGCGGGCAGCAGCTTCTCCGCGACCAAATCAGCCTCCCGAATAGCATCCCTGATCTTGCCCTCCCACTTCTCACTCGGCTTGCCCGCACCCTGCATGAACTTCGTCTTCACCCTTTGTATGCGCTGCGCTGCCGCGGTGCGGAGCTCTCCAGGGTGCACGCGCTGGAGCATTTCCTCCCAGTCGCGCTCGCGCTGCTCCTTCGCTTCGGCTGCGCGTCGCGCGAGGACGGCCCCTGCGTCGTCGCCCGCCTTCTGCTTCCCTTTGGCGACGCGCGTCTGCACCTTCTTCAGGTCGCGTAGGTGCTTCTTGCGAGCTTTAGCAAAGTGGCCCGCGATCACGTCCTTGTGAGCACTAATGATCCACGAGAGCTTGTTGAGATCGGCGGCGCCCCCGTCTGGCTTCTCGAGCGGAGTGTCACCTGTGGCAGGGTCGATGTACTTGCGCAAATACTCCGTCTGGTACCACGAGAGGCTGTATGTCGCGCTCCACGAAATAGAACGCCGCAACGTCTTAGCCACGGCCTTCACCTCTTCAGGTACCTCCTCGGCTGGAGGGGGGCCACTACCCAAGATCCCTTCGGCGAACGCAGTATCGAGACTGATCTTCTCCGAGTCTCCCCAAAAGGCCATGGCTTCCTCGCTAGACGAAACAGCGGCCACCTTCCAAAAGACTGAGAGCCCCTGAGGGAGCGCCCAGAGGCGGATCGGCGCGATATCGTTGAAACGCCAGTAAATGGGTGCAGTGGAGGGCGTATACGGCCCAGGAGGCGCGATATCATAGGCGGCAGGGTGATCGGAGGCCGGAGTGCAGGTAATGATGGGTTCGGGAGAATCGGAAGGGACGAGGGGAGTGACGAGACCAAGCACCCGCAGCATATCTAGCAGGACGAGGATCCGCGCGCGAGACTTGGTGTGCGTTGGCGTGAGCGCGTTGTAAAGGCCTTCGTGTAAGTCCCGCACTGGGGTTGCCTGGCCTTCCGGGGTCTCCAAGAGCTTGCCAAGCTCCTCGATGGGCTGTGTCACCGTGACGAGCGAACAGTACCCCGAGATGGAGATATCGGTGTAGTAGTAGGAGAGGTTCATGATGCGGCTCGTCGGTGAGACGACCTGAGTGGACTGTGAGCCGTTTTCGAAGATGCCGACCGTGAGCATGTGGAGAGCTCGCGCCCTCGCAGCCTTGCCGACAATGTACCCATATAGCTGCGCGACCGTATTTTTCTCAGCAAGAAGGGCGTCGCGAATCGTCTGATCGTCCCGTAGGAAGAGCTCCGACGCGTTCGCCTCTCGTTGCTCCTGCGATTCATCGTGATTCAACGCCACTGACGGATGGGGTTTGGCCTGAGACTTGATCCGTGCACCACCGTAGGCCACTGGCTCATCCAAGGTCTTCAGAATCGGCATATAGATGGGCTGCACAGCCTCGCTCAAGTCCGAGAGGAAGATGGTCAGCGCCTCAGCAGTTGTCTCGGGAAGGTATACCACGCGGACTTGGCGAGTGCTTCCCGTCGGGTTAGGCACGCTGGTAGACACGATCTTGACCTTGCCCTTAGATTCTAACGCGGTTAGCGTAGCCTCGAGCGTCCGCTTGTCGATCTTCGTCCCGGGGCGCGTGCTGGCGACCTCCCCAGCCTTTGTAATGGTCTCCACTAGCGCAGCGTGTGCCTCATAAAACTCTTTGCAGCTAGTGTTCATGATGTTTCCCGCCTCAGCCAAGAGCCGCAGTATCTCGTTCTCGCGGCGGGATTGCGAGATGTTGGCCTTCGAGCGGAATCGGCTTCCGTCAGTCTGGCCCGACTTCGTCCTCTTGGATTGTGGCTGAGAGGAAGCCGTTTCCGGGAGTTCCCTCTTCTTCGAAGGGCCTTGGCTGATGCTCATGCCATCGCCAGGGACCTCAGGCTCAGGAGTCTGTGGGGCATGTCAGTAATTAGCAACATGGCGGAAAAGATATTGACTAACCATAGCGATCAAGGAGTGTCCATGCGAGTCTAGGAAAGAAACCTGGTCCGTACTCGGCACAACATCAACGGACATGTCCTGAGATGCACTGGCTTCAGTCGATTGAAACTCCGCGATGGACGGAAGGTGATCCTGCGGGCCCATAACGCTGGCTTTAACGGCGGAAACGCCATCGACTATGGATGGTTGCTGGTCATCGACGACTGCTGGCATGCTAGCAGCCGCGGAAGTATCCCCCTGTGCATCTTCGACGTTTATACCCTGGGGGGCTGAACCCGCAGAGGATTGACCGCGGGGTGGGGGTCGAGTGTTCCTGGCGGGTGACAGCGAGTCGCCGCGTTTTCGCACCTTTGGGGTCCGAGCTGAGCGACGAACAGCCATACTGGAGCTTTCAGAGGTAGCTTCCGGGGCTGCCCCTGTGCCGGCCAGCGAAAGACTTTCCTCTGCAGGTACGGAATGTGCTTCTGGAGCAGAGGTTGGACCCGTAACGCGGGCGTCGTTAGTAGGTCTTCCGGCTGGGGTCGGTGATGATTCACGGGGAGGAGAAGCGTGCATAGGGGATAGCGGGGAGGATGGACCAGCCTGCGCCGAAGGGAGGACCTCTGGCAAATCCGCCACAGGGACAGTGCTTGGACCAGCCTCAGGACCAGCCATTGCTGACGCTGTTCCGAAGACGTCCTCTTCTGCTGGCAGTAGAGACTTCTTTGGGGGACGTCCACGACGCTTGGGAGCGGGTGGCTGTGAGGACGGCCCGCCTGAAGCACTTGCGGATGCGCCTCCCTGCTCGTCCGAGTTCGCAATCTGCTTCGGAGGGCGACCTCTCTTCTTGGCCACAGACGGGGTAGCTGAAGCTGATTCGGCGACTCCAGCAGCAGAAGGAGTTGCCGCCGCAGCCTTCTTGGGTGGACGACCTCTCTTCTTCTTCGGCGGTGGCTCTTCTGTCCCATCGTCCACTGTAGCAACGCCATCCTGCCCCCCATCTTCGTCCTCCTCCCTCTTCCGCTTCTTGCCTTTCTTGGTCGATGCCGGCGTACCATCTGCAGCCGCAGACTTCCGCGGCCGCCCTTTCTTGACAGACCCATCCGGCAAGATCGGATTGACCCGTTTCTTCTGCTTCCCCTTGGTCGACGCAGGAGTGTCGCGCTTCGTGACCGTGAGCCTCCCGATGTGCGCCACGAGATCCGCCTCGCCCTCATAGAAGGCGTCCGCCTCGACGGGCAGAAAGCCACCCACACCCGCGAGGTCGACCGCGCCGTACACATTGTCCTCGAAACCCTCACGTTCTGCGATCGCGCGATAGTGCGCGACAGTGTAGTACTTGTACCGGCGCTCGCGCCCGTGCGTCTCCGCGAGCTGCGCGACGCCCAGGTCGGCGAGGTGCGCGGGTGGGGGGTCTTTCTCGAGCCGATTGAGGAGCAGATCGACGGTGCGCTTGTCGAAGTCTCCGAGGGCGGCGGAGATCTCGTTCAGCGTCATACCCTTCTCGCCGGACTCGGCGAGGAGGTCGATCATTTGTCGGTGCAGGGAGACGTTCACCTTCAGGCCTGTCTCCCCTGCGCTAGGCCCTTCGATCTCTGCGGTGTTCGTTATTAGAGGCGTAGTGCAGAATGAACACGAGTGTCGAACCTTCGAAGTCATCGTCTGCGATTGGCACGACTTCGCCCTGGGTCTGCGCTTCGGCATCCTCGTTGATGAGACGGATGCACGGCACTTTCCTGTCGGGGTGTTTCTTCCTGTCCGCGTGAGGCACATGCACCTTCTCGATCACGCCTTGCTCCATCAGCTCGCGGAGACGGCTACGGAAGAACCTCCGGTCTGTCCTCGATGGTTTGACAAAGCCCTGCAAACACACATGTCAACTGTATGCGCGGAAAAGCAAGCGAATTGACTAGCGTACGATCTTGAGCATGATGTTGCTCGAAGTGTGCATATAATGCGGGCAGTTCTTCAGAAGCTTCGTCAGGCGCGACTTCAGGAGAGGCATGCTCGAGAGATGGCGCGAGTCGATCGGGTCAAAGTGGACCGGGGCAAGCGGCTTCGTCTCGTCCTGGTCGTCATCTTCCTCTGATACTGCATCCTCGTCTTGTGCCTGTTCCGCAGAGACGGCTTTCTTCTCCTCTTGCGCGACCTGCTGCCATATCGGACTACGCTCGTAGAAGTACTTGTGCACACAGAGGTTCGTGCTGATGCCCGGGCGGCGGAGCTTTACACTGAGGGTGCGCGTTGGTAGGTGGATAGGAGGATAGATATACGAAGAGGAACGTACACAAGGTCAAGTTCGACAAGCTGCTTGATGACGTAGAAGCACGTCTTCTGGTCGTACCCCGACTTCTTGCCCAAGTCGAGCACGCTAACACCTTGTTCTCTGCCACGCGTAACGATCTGGAGGCCGGTGTATATCATCCCAGTCAGTTTCGAAGGCTGTATGCGTATATTGCATCAATATATGCACCACGGGGGGCTGTGAGCGAAGGGCATACCCGGATGTGCGAGCCTGTGAGAGCCGCAAACGTGGTCTCAGGATCAGCCGCAATCCTCAGCCGATCCCCGTACTCGTTTCGAAGGTCCTCGAGTGACCGAATAGTCGCATCCTCTATCAGCTCGAGTGCGCTGGCCGATGCCACTTCCTCTGCGGCCTGTTCGCCCGTCGCTTTCGCCTTTGCTTTGCGGATGGCGCTCGCCTGCGGGGCGATATAAACCTCCGCATGTGTACCAGGCGGCACCGTTCCGATGCGCACCCCAGGCTGTTGCACGATAACGGACCATACGAATGCACAGTATGCGTCGTCCACGTTCTGCTTCTGGGTGCCCCCTGCGCCCGGGCGGGCGTAAAATTCTGTGATGAAGTCCCTCAAGCGAGAGACATCACACCCTATCGCATACACAATATAGGTCAGTATATCATGTAGCGGGAAGAACCCTGGTCGAAAACGTGGAAATCTAGGTGTGGGTCACGAAAAATAACGACCGGCCTGGGTTCGAACCCCTGTACGAGCGTGTCGTGGGGACAAAGGGCGTCGCGTTTCGCGATCACATGGGCTGTAAAACGCGTCCACTCACCGAGGTCGCCATCGAAAGAGAGCTCGCGGAGGCAATGGCGAACGAGTTCGTCCATGGAACCTTCTGGGGTGGATGTATGCGCCTAGTGTTGCAGAAGCGGTAGCTTGCCTGTGCGCAGCGGGGCCGCTATCGCATGCAGAGGCTCACACCAACGACTGTCGTCTTTTCGACTCGTTCTGAGTGCGTCGAGGGCGGTGTCGCCAGGGTAGTTGTAGGTGTTGACTAAGACGAAAGAATGGTCTAGGAGAATGAGTGCGACGCTCTCCAAGTCCGCCGGGACGTCCGTCGGGAACCTTCCGTTTAGAGTCTCGATTCTCGGCAACGGCCGGCCGAGAGGACACCGTCACCGACCCTACTCGCAACTGCACAATTTGTGTGGAGTCTCTATTTTATGGTTGAGCACGACATATATCACAAATGTTCGGATGAGATGAAGCTTGCGACAGCATTGCGATTGAATGAGGGAGTGCGAAGGCTGCTGCAAGCGGACACGAGCGAGGTATCTAGGGAGCCCGTGAGAGGGGGTGGTGGGAGGGGGGTAGTCATAAACAGCATGCGGGGGGATAGTACAGTAAAATGTATCGTAAAGAGGCGGTCGTGAACGAACGTCGGCAAGACGCTTTTTGGATCTACTATAAACGTCCTCGAGCCCATCTAAGGCCGCGAAACCGGGGCACGGTCTCTACCCATAAGAAACCAGGAAGAAACCGAAGCGAAACGAGCCCGAGCGGCGACCGCTCATGCCTGCCGTGCCAACTGCTGCTCCCGTACTTCCCAGAGCTGACGCAGGACGTCCGAGAAGCCAATCTTCCCCAGCTGTGCGTTTTGCTCGAAGCGCTGCACGAGCCAGTTTTCGAGCTTGTCCGCCATACTGCGCCAGATGGTCATGCGCGCCTGGATCTCCGCGGTCTGCGCAAACGTTGTCCGGCCGTCCGGTGAGGGCGTATAGCGGATGCTCTCGTAACATGTTGCGAACTGAGACAGCGAGAGGTTGACAGATGTGATCGTCGCCGTCTGTGTTGCGGGGTCGATGAACGAGACTTCTCGTACGAATGCGTCTTCAGAGCCGCCGAAGAACTGTGAAGGTGGCGACGGTCAGGACATTGACCTTACCAACGCTAGCGGTTTTACTGCTGAGACTCACCCTGACTATCCAACCTGGTGCATTCTGTTTGCAGCCCAATATCCGCTCTGTCCGGATGATGCCGGTTTGTGGGTCTACCGAGCGGTCGACGACATCGATGCTGAGGACGTGGCTGCAGTGGGGGTTGGGGTACTTGTGCCACATGCCGATGACGACGTGGGACCATGGATGACTGCAGGGATAGAGGGCACACGGCAAAGCAGACGACGAGGGGGAATGGTAAGCAAGCCGGCCGGTAACCAATCACACGAACATAAAGCACTCACTCGTAATGGAACAGCTGCGAAAAGTAATGCATTTTGTGGGGAACGTCTAAGGGAGCAGGAGATGTATGCGCTTGCTTGAGGATTGTGAGAGGGAGGGTCTAGAGGAGAGTATAGAGTAGAACGGTGGAGGGTCTTGGGAGTGCGAGGTGAGAAGGGGAGACGCTCGCGCACACGACGGCCGGGAGCCCAAGGCGGGGATGGAGGCAGTGGGACCAATCAGGTGGAGCCCGGCGCAGAGGAGCGTGATAAACTGCCGCAATTTTTGGAGTCCTTGCCCATCCCGGGGCCCTCCGATTTCCCGCCCGATGCCCATCTGGCCCTCTCCGGTGACGTCGATCGTCGGCCCGCCTTCCCGCACAGCGATAACACTCGTCGACGCTGTCCTTCTACTCTTTCAGACTCGGAGGAACAGCATGCGCTCAATCTCCGCATGTTCTACGGCGTAACTGCCCGGGACGCCCCTATATGGTACAGGAACATCAACATTCAATTCCGCAGAACAGAACAGTCTTTCGTGCTGTCTACACGAGCCCTAAGTATGTATCATTACCTTTCGGCCCAGTGCAGTTAGACCTCATATTTCTCGTGGCGACTAGATGCGGACCTCCGAATAGTCATGCGCACTATCCCCGAGTCCGCGTTGTACCGCTGTTCGGGCGGTCTTCGCCTACCACCGCCGAGTGCGATTGGAAGCCAGATCGGCTTTCGACGGCGAGTGTGCGGATGACTGACGACATGAGCGAGAAAGTAGGGAGGTCAAGGCCACGATCTCCGTGTATTCACACCCTCTAGCTCGGGCGGCATTTGGGTAGACGACTGAACTTTGCCCTTGGCGGTCTGGCAAAACCACATCCCGCCACTGTTTTCTTGCCAAACACTTGCACGTAAGTCAGCAGCCAGATGGTAAACTCGGATGCACTCACCATCTTCACGATGCAAGACAACCTCGACCTTACCGGTCCTCGTCACCAGAGGAAGCCCCTCGTAAACACGTGCAGCGCAGGCAGCTACCACTTCCTGGCACTCCTCCTCTCGAAGACCGCGCGCCAGCCCCAGAAACTGCACGTTTTCGCCATCCCGTCGGAAGCGCAGCCTGCCGGGGGACACGGGAAATAAAAGGACCAGCGAGTGTAGGGTCGCCAGGAAATATAACGCGCTGTCGAGGCGGCTGCTGGCCCCAGCTTGTAGGAGCTCTGCGAGGTGGTCGGGGAATGTCTTGGTCTCCTCAACCGGAACTCGGCGAGATAAGACGATGTTTTGAAGACCTGGCATCTGCGCCCACTCGAGCCAAGCAGCGACGTGTTCAAGTCCCTGCCAGTAAGAATCGAGATTCAACACGAGATGGACGGTGCACAGTTTGCTGAATGGGGACGTAGGAGTGGGCCATAAACCTTGAGCTGCGGTGGTGAACCAGTTAGCCGTTGTGCTTTCCGGTAGCTTTCTACCCAACGCACTCACATGCGAGACTTGTCCGAGCGTGAGTCTGGGCGATCGGCAGGCCCCGTAGTAAGCTTGCCGGATTCCCCCTCCAGATTAAGGTCTCTATGCTGGACGCATTAATGCTCAACAACTGGCATGACAGGTCGCTCCTAGTAGAGTGTGGGGAGCTCTGTGATGGTGATCCCGCAATTCGCAAGATTAGACCGCTAGTCCAAGGCGTGCACCGGCACACTGGTGCAAGATGATCACTTACATCAATATCATCCAGGTGTATGAATATGACGCCAGAGAGCGAGGTGGTCTGAGAGGGCAGGAGGCGACGAGGAAGACGAAGCGAGCCACGCAGAGTCAGGCGGCGTACATCAGGAAACACCGCTATGAGCTTCAATGCTTCCCTGCAAGAATGTTCCGGCCCTCCAGACCAGTGAAGACTGAGCTCGGTAACGGTGCTGAATGCCGTGAGGGTGCGCAGGGAAGGGGTATGCAGGCCCAAGATGTGTTGAGTGTACAGTCCGAGGCAGCGCAATCGAGGAAGCCTGCCCGCGAGGATCACAGGCCAGGTGTGCCAAATGCTACGAGGTGGGGTGACGTCCTCGTCCGGCACGGTCGCGATGACTTCGAGGATCTCCACTAGCTGCTGCAATGTCGGAGTGCTGTCCAGAGCCCGCACCAGAAGGGTGAGGGTCTCATATTCTGTGTGCTGGAGCCTTAGTCTTCGATATATGTTGACGCGACTCCGTGGAAGCCAGTCCGCGCAAGTGAGAGCACAGTTGCAGAGAGTCTTGGCCACCATACGAGCGCCCTGGTGGAACTCATCCTTCGTGGCCCAGTAGGGAGAGTAGTCGTAGTGGACGTGATCGATGACTCGCTCGTAGATCTCTATGGGGAAGACGGACGTGAACTCGGGAGGTGCGGCCATCGTTTCGAATCCGGTTGTCAGACCTATCACTACGATCAGAGCCTAAGAGTCAGTCATATATCTAAAGCACTAAGACGGATACAACCTGGACTTACTGGTGGCTCGACAGAGTTCAAGTTGCTCTCCAACGAGAACAGAATCAAGAACGTCGGTTGTCAGAGCCCGAGGCCGTGCATGACAGATACTGAACACATGATAGTAGTATTAGTCGTGGCCACTGTGGCGCCTGGCCATGCGCGCGCTTTACCTTGTACGTATCACCCACACGTGTTGAGGAAGTATGTCAAGCTCTACCCGATCAACGACGGACGAGCCAACGCTGGCTGTGGTTTATGTGTGGGGCTCTGTTGTTCTATAAATTAAGTGTTCCACTACATTAATGTCCAACAAGTATCAATAACATATTAAGCAGCAAGCCGAGCAATAGCGCGGCGTGTATGTATGCGCTCCTACCAGATGGTTGAGTTTGCCACGCAAACCTATCGGTCCATATGGCATACATAGGGGCGTACATGCTGTTCTGCAAGTTAGCCATAGATACATCAAATACGGGTTCGCTCCGCGGCGAGCTCCTGCAGCTCTGCGAGGCGCGCCTTCATCTTCGGCCTGGAAGGGCGAGAGGAGAAATATCAGTCTGTTGGCTATGACTACTAGCGGAGGAAAGCAGACGTACACCTCGAGCAGCTTCATGTCTAGCGCCTCCTTCTCCTGCTGCAGCGCGAGCCTCTTCTCCGCGTCGAGCTTTGTGCTGCAATCCCAAAAACAGCGTAAGCGTCACTCGCGGTCCATTCGATCAGGTGAGTTGCTTACAAGACGTATCCGCCCTGGCCGTCGTACTGCAAGATCATCGAGTGGTATTTCCACAACGACGGGCGGTGGGACACGGTGAGGAGTGTGATGCCGAGGCGCGTCGCCTGGTCCATCATCATGCCCTCCATGTCCGGCGGGACAAGCGACGTTGCCTCGTCCAAAACCGCATACTACATATCGAAAGAGGGGTTTTCGTCAGTTATTGATGCCGTGGGGTACCGTATAGGAAACAAGAACGCACCTTGGGCTGGTGGTAGAACAGTCGCGCCCATGCAATCTTCTGCTGGTCCCCACCACTCAGCGCCTCGCGCCACTCACGCGCCGCGTCCCAGCCGCCTTCGCGCTCGATGATGTTCTCCATCTGGACAACCTCGAGCACTGCGCGGAGGTGCTCATCCGTAATGCCACCTGCATACATGTGTCAGTCACGTCTCGCTGATGGTAGGTACGAGGAGGGGACGTACGCGCTTCCATGTCCTCCTTGCTATGCGGGTAAATGACCTGGTCGCGAAGTGTGCCGAGGGAGAGGTATGGCCGCTGCGGAATCAGGATGAACTGCGACGCCGGTGGCTTGCGCACGACTCCGCCGTATACGGGCCAAAGGCCACCGAGAATGCGGAAGAGCGATGATTTGCCACAGCCTGCGCAGGCATATCAGTACACCGATAGCATCGAGCAGCATCACTACATACCGTTTGGTCCGACGATGAGCAAATGTTGCTGTTAACATCACCGTTAGTCATGTCCAAACTGGCGCGAAATAATTGACACGTACTCCAGGCTTAACGTAGAAGCTCAGGCTCCGGACGAGGATGTCTCCGTTGGGCGTCACGATCGGTACGTTCTCGAACTGGATCTCTTCCGACTCGACGACAATTCCACGGCCTCTCAAGACTATCATGCCCCGATTGTCAGCGCATATACTTATGTGAACGGTGAAGAAACGTACTCTTAGCGTTTTCCTCGATTGTCGCGCTGCTGACGAGGGCCTTCTCGAACTTGCCCTTCCGGACGTCGGACATCGTCTCAAGCAGAGTTGCCACACGCGTAGTGTACCCCGCGAGCTCGGAGAGGTCCTTGTACGAGTACATCACGCGACCAAAGGCATCTGTACGAGGTTCAGTACGTGCGATCCGCAATGTAGCACTTGAAATGCTCACCTGACGCGGAGAGTAGCAATCGACGGTTCGTCACGAAGCCTAGTACAAAAATAATGAGCCAGTGCGGATGATTCTAAAAGGAGTTACATACCCTCAGTACGTCCTCCCAAGTCGAGCGCAGCTACACCAGGCAGCTTGAAGAACGTCGGGATGGCGCAAATGCACAACTGACCACAGGCGAGTCAGCTTTTACTGCACTTTACGGAAGAGGCGATCAACGCACCCCGAAGCTTCCCCAAAGCCACTTGACGATGCCTTCCTCGACGCAGCCATGCCACCAACGTTTCGTGAGCACGTAGTTCTCGTGCTTCACGAACCCAGCGTATTCGCGCTCAACCAGCATCTTCTCCGTCTCCTCTCCGCCGAAGAACGCGACCTCCTCCGAGAACTCGGCCACCCGCGAATGCGTGTGGCGCAGGTTACCCGAAAGCTGCGCGGAAAGCGCCGTGTACTGCCCGAACGCGGGCGTCAGGGCGCGCACTGCCCGCAGCCGAAACGCAAGTCAGTCGTTTGAGGCGGGTTGCGAGGGAACAGCAACTTACGTAGCGCTGCGGACGCTTGGACGAGGACTGTCAGGAGGACGAGCCCCTCGGCACCGACGTTCTGTGAGAGCTGGTAGTTGTAGAGGATCACGTCCAGCACGGGCTTCGCAACGTTGGCGTAAATGGCTGCGAGATGTGTCGAAAACCGCTGGATGTCATGTGTGATCATTCTGTACCATCTCAGTTGCGTGAAGGTTCAACGGGAGTAGCTTGACTTACTGATCAGGGTTCTTGATGCGGTCGTCGAGGTTCGCTATGTCGCATTAGTGAACGCTTGGGCACTGGCGTTTGGGTCAGTTCCTCACCTAGCTTATAGAACACCTTGACGTCCGTAGGATCGGCGTCGTCCCCCAAGTATTGCTTCATAACCTCCTCAGTAAGGCGCGTCCGATACGCCAACGCCAGCTTATTCTGGACATAACCCAGCCAGCTGTTCGTCCATGTAGCGGGAATAGCGACCAAAAGCCATCGCAAAATATTCAAGAGGAAAGGGATAGGTTGTGCGCGCACTAATGACGCTACAATCCTGAGCGCAAGTAGAGATATATCAGTACCTGTAGTATCGAACAGGGGACAGCAAGTCTCACTTTCCGTCTAGGCCGGCAACATATAGGGAAATGACTGTCCGGAAGATGAGCAAGCTCGAGTGCATGAACAGTAACAGCGCTTCTTTGGAGCGGATGCTCGGGATGACTATCCGCAGGATTCTGGACAGTCTCTGGTAGAAGAGGGCATCGACCTGATAACGGGCCCATGTGGCATAAGAAACCGCTCCGTGCTAGCAATTCGAAGAGAGCAATGCACTTACCGCGACGCGCGGTTTGGAGGAGTCCGCGGTTTCCTTCCCCTTTCCCTTGCGCTTGGACGAGGAGCTCGAGGACTGCCCCGGCCTAGCTGAGAAGCTCCTGTACGTCGATCCAAGAGCATACAGCACGAAGGACACAGTGAGACCACGCTGGACTAGAGGCCGATGGCTCGCGTATATGCTGGCGAGCTGAGCAAGGTGCTCCTTCGTTGGCCGGAGCTTCGACTGGACGGCCATGACTGCGACGACGGGCGCACGCTAGGTGTCGCTGTGGACGGCGGGGAGGTGGTGGTCGAGTGGAAGCAGAACACAGTGCGGGGCGCTCTTGAAGGGTTTTGGCATGTGATAGACGCGTCGTGCGGGGTACGCCCGATCGTATCACTTCGATCGCCCTTCTTTACAACGTCGTCCTACCCGAGCGCAGCCGCCGGTCCATCCACTCCTCTCTCTCGCGTTCGTCGTACCACCAGAAAGACCACACCCGCGCACTGATCTCGGAGCTGCTCAGATGGCGGACAAAACCTGCTACCAGGTACAAGTACTCCGTGATCGACGGCGCTGGGACACTGCCACAAAACATCCCCTAGCGCTCGGTCCCGACTCGATCACCAACACTACCGTGACGCCCCTGCCGTACCTTCCGAACAATGCATACTCCGAAAGCATCTAACATCACGAAGCGAACGCTCTAATTTGGCCGATGTTTCGATACCGAATTGACCTTCACCGCAAATACATACATAGCGTCCAGAATTATGAACCGAACAACATACACGAACGCGTCTTGTACTACACATGACCCAACAATACACAAAACAACAGCAAGCCGATAGCAGACACAGCAGGATATATGCGAACCGTGGGGCGACACGCGATGCGCCACCCCGAAGACACCAGTCGAGAGCCGTCGCAGTAAGACTAGATTTTGTACACGATCCCGTCGCTCAGCATGACTTCGTTCGCGTCCGTCATGATGGTGCACGCCGCGGTCGCCTCCGCTGTGCCGAAGAGCTCGTTTGTCGGGAGGCCCTCGTTGATCATCTCCACGAGCGTGTGCAGGTACATCTGGTCCTCGTCCACGAGCTTCGTCGAGAATAGACTCGCGAGCCTCGTCTTGAACAACTTCAGCCTGCAAAACACGCACGCGTCAGTCTCGGTCAACTCCATCTCAGCACGTAAACCGAAGACTTACCGCTCTGGCCGGATACCCCGCTCGTCGGCAGCAGCGTTCATAGCGGCATTCGCTTCGTCCTCCATTTGCACGTCGTTGTCGCCGTCCCACTGGGCTCCCGGCGAGGGCTTCTCCACTGCCTTCGCCTTGGGCTTAGGTGTCTCCATCCGTTTCGGAGCCTCTTCCTCATCGCTTTCCTCGTCACTCTCACCCTCCTCGCCGTCCTCTTCATCCTCGTCGACGGCGTCCACCGCACCATTGTTCAGCTTGCGCTTCTTGCGGCGAGTCCGACGGAGCACCTCCTTGAAGAGCGCGAAGCGCAGGATCTCCTCTGCGATCTTCGCATCCTGCCGCTGTACCTTGGTCGAGAGGCGCGACTTGGCATGCGCGGTGGCGAGACGGATGAGCGTCTCCAGCGTACGCGCAGTGAGCGGGGAAGTCTGAGTCCGTCAGGTCAATGGGGTATGGTGTATGCGCAAACTATAATCACTTACCCGCTTCTTCCGTGTACCGTCAAGGTCCTCATTCCGCAGCGTCGCGTACACATTCACGATATGGTCCGCGGCGCCCTTGGTCAGGATCGGCGCAGGTTTGCTCTTCGCGTACTGGATGTACTTCTTCACAAACGCGATGCTCAGTACCTCGTGCTTCTTCTGCTTGCCCCTGCGCGTGCTGCTGCTGGGGCCGCCGATGCCCACATGCAGCAGAGGGTCGTACTTCTCGAATGGGCTCGGCTCACCCTCATCTGCGTCCTCGCCTGCGACGTTCGGACCGTCGACGGACAACTGCTGCGAGAGGCTGTCCACGACGGGCGTGCCTTCCTCGACGCCCGGCGGGAGGTATCGATGCATGCGCAGCACATGGTCTGCGATGGCGCGGTCGCGGTTCTCGTCCACGTCATCGGTGACGACGAACAGCAGATCGAAACGCGACAGCAGCGAGTCGGGCAGCGCGATGTTCTTGTGCGGGTCTTTGTGCACATCGTACTAGAAGGCGGGTTAGCGCTTACGCGGGGGGCCAAGCAGGGGCGCAGCACTTACCTGGCCGTAGATCGGATTAGCCGCGGCGACGACGCTGCAGCGTGCGTTCAGGGTGGTGTGGATGCCCGCTTTGGCGATGGTGACCGTCTGCTGTTCCATGACTTCGTGGATCGCGACTCGGTCGATGTCCGACATCTTGTCGAACTCGTCGATGCAGACCACGCCCCGATCGGCGAGGACCATCGCGCCGGCTTCCAGTCTCCGCTCGCCCGTGTCCTTGTCGCTGGTGACAGCGGCCGTGAGACCGACACCGGAACTTCCGCGACCCGTGGTGGCGATGGCGAGCGGCGCAGTGCCGAGCACGAAGCGGAGCATTTGCGACTTCGCGGTGGAAGGGTCGCCGACCATGAGGATGTTGATGTCGCCACGAATGTGCGTTCCGTTCGGCAAATTCTTCTCGGCACCTCCCAAAAGGAGCAATAGAATTGCCTCTTTGATCTTGTCGTGCCCGTAGATGGACGGCGCGAGAGACTGTGAGAGGAGCCGGAAAATATCAGAACGTTTCGAGAGCTGGTTGATCGACCGGATGTCGAAGTCCGTGAGCGGGGTTTGAGCAATGCCACCTCCAACTTTGGACGACAACAAGTTGATGTTATTGGCCAGAATTAGTGACCTGTCGGATGACCATCAGCGCATGCTCCGGAAATTGTTTTACATGGACCGGAGGCTACGGTGTTTGCCGTCGGTGCGGTCATCCCTCAGTAAAGCTAAGTATCCCCGAGAGCTTACTTGATATTGACGGGGAGTTCCATGCATTCTTCCTACTGTCAAAAGGAGCGAAGAAGCTCCTCCAAACACTAGGAAGGCAGCAGCCCAGCGGGATTCGACCTCGCTACGGCATCCAACGTCACTCAGGCCGGGGTGCAGCATCAAATTGGCTTCGAGCAGGCGCGTTGCGTAAACGTCGAATAGAGTGGGCCCCCATGAGGATCGCGAGCCGATTTACCGAATTTCTAACGGGGCGCCCACTAAATGACACGGATGGAAGGTGGACTTACTTGAATGCACCGTTAGCACCGCCGCCGACGCTGCGATACACGCCCACAAGCTGGATACGGTCGCCCGGCTTGCACTTGTCCACGAGGTCCCCGTCCAGAATGACATCGGTGCTCCGAGGAAGCTGTCCGGCGGGCGCCCGCTCCGGCATCTCCTGGATGCTTATCCGCTGGTTGTCCCGGAACTCACAGTACCCGTACTCCATCTGCAGCGGGTGGCCCTCATCGTCCGTCTGGGGCGTAACCGAGGACGTCGGAGGGAGGTTAGAGGTAGAGGTCGTGGCGTCGCGGTACTCGCGGGCGTGAAACATGCCCGTGTCCGGGCAATAGTGTACCGACTTGAGCATCTTCGGGCGCACAAGCGAACAGCGTGTGACAATGCCTTCGAGCGAGATCATCTTGCTGAGGTGCGTCGCGCGGAGGTGGCGTGGGCTGACATGGTGGTCGCCGAACGAGCCGCTGAAGCCGACGCGGTAGGTCTTGCCCTCGATCTCGTGCTTTTCGCGATCGTGCACCCGCTCCACGACCTTGGAGAGCGCGTCTTCGAGTGCCGGGAGGTAGTCCACCGGTTGCTTGAGAAGCCCGTCCGCGAAGTCGCGTCGGTAGTCGCGTAGGTCGTCGAGGTTGATGATGAGGCGCCGTTGATCCTGTCTGAGCATGCGAGCAATGTCATCGCGATAGTTGTAGAGCTCGGTCTCCGCGTCGAGGAACTCCTCGAAGACGCGGGACCTATCTTGCATAAGATCATCGGCCGCAATGGGGTCGTCGAGGAGAGACATCGTGGGCGTCGTCGTGGAAGAGGTTCAAGAGCGTCGAGGAGACACGCGACGACCACACATTGACGCGTCTCACCGCGAAAAGACCTGCCCTAAGCTCTGCACGTGACGAAAGCGCACTGGCCTTCAGCGCGTCCGACACGTCGGAAGCAGTCTCGCCGTCTCCGACTCGGGCTCGGACATGGTGAAACTCGATGCACTCGCAGCAGCAGTCATTCGGGGAACCGTAAGAAGCCAATCCGTATTTCATCCGGATTCGTTTTCGGCGGAGGGCAGTCGTACAGGTATAATACAGAACGTAGGTTATTCGACCAGAATAAAAACAATAACAAGGAGTGGACGCGACACGGTCCCAACAAACAACATGAAGTCGTCCGCGCGCAGAGTAAGCCGGAGGACCATGGAAGGTATAAGCTAGTATGCACCCAGGCGAAACGAGCCAGCACTGTGTGGATGCGATCAGAAAAGCGCGCCGGATACAACGCAGGGGGACAAACCTGATAGAAGCCATGTGTGGAACACAGCTACGCTCTCGTCCTCGACTCAATGGAGGACTGACACGGCTAAAATCATGTCAGTACGTAGAATGGACTTTGAAAACGGGGGTGCTCACCTCTCGTAACCTCAGTCCGAAACTATAGAGGACCTTCACCGCAACCAGCGGATCCATTAGGACAACTACGGGCATCCTCCAGAGACGGTCAGACTTCGCGCTTCTCCTGGCAAGAATCTCAAAACTCACGTTTACAGCACGCTTGTACTCTGGGCCGTTACCTCCGCCGGGACGACCGCGCTCAACCTATTCATCAGGGTGAGTACAGCAACACTGCATGAAGAGGCTGCACTCACAATCTCGGCACGCTTGTAGTCCGGGGTGGATCCTCCTCCGGGACCACTGCGTTTCCAGTCCGCATATCTGCCACCACCAGGGCCGCCGCGCGCGACCTAGAGGAAAGAGTACAAATATCACGGTGAGGAAATGTTGCGGGCGGAGACGGAAGCCAAAGTGAGACATACGAGGTCTGCGGAGTCAACCTGGAGCAAGTATCAGAGGGCTGTACTTTCGAGAAGAGAAAAAGGTACGCACGGGTGCGGCGGCAGCGAGGCCGGCAAAGAGGGCGACGGCGAGGAGAGAGAATTGGACACGCATGGTGAAATCGGTTGGCGGACGGGGTGGATGCGGATTGGCGGCGGGGGCGAGGGACGGTGGAGGACGGGACGGTGGAGCGCAGCGGGAACATTTATGAGCTTCTGGTTTGGCAGGGGCGGAAGCACGTGGGGTGCCGGAATGCGATCAGTGGATTGTCACCCCATCAAGATTACCGCCGCATGCCAGGCACACCCTGCGGTCCGGCCAGAACCGGCAGCGCACCCCTGCCGCCCGTTCCTCAGATGGCGACCAGATCGCCCAGTGCGCTCGTCAGAACCAGCGCACAGAAAACATACCAGCAGTCGGCCATACACGCCCTGATTGTCCCCTTGTGCCCTCCGAGTCCGACAAATGGCCCGTCCCCATCCTCGGATCGCCCGGGCCCAGACGACCAACTTTATCTCGTCCGAGCCCCACTTGGGCTTAGTGCCTCTGTGACCGCCGTTTTCAGTCACGCCGTCCCGCTCACGGCCTCTCACCGAGCCTCGACGACGTCCGATCCGCAGTGCCTCGCTCCGTTCCATCTGCCCCCGCTTCCCGTCCTCCTGTATTCTCGACCACCATCATCCTTTTCGTCCCGTGAAACGGTCATTCGTGTGCCGGAGACAAAACTGCAGCAACCAGTGCAGAATGCGTGTGCTATTATTCCTACACCCGCCGGTACCGCCGCCAACCGTCGGCATCGTCATATCCGCCCATTCAAACGCGGCCGCGGGCCACCGCAGATACCGGATCGTGTTTCTCAACCAGATCAGCACCCTGCGCCTTGGCCTGTGCCACCGCCGCCGATCTCAGACGACGACGAGCCCGTCTCAGCCTCAGTCTCATTCCAGCACCCGCCATCCACGATACCTGTCCCCCTGCAGCATGCAAGCATCCGTGCGTCCTCCGACATTCTTGCGGCGTCCCTCCCTGCGTGCTACGCCTGTCCCTGGCCCTGTCCTCTTCATCCTCGTGCAAAATGCAACGAGATAGCTCGCCGAGACTCGTCCCTCCTCCTCGCCCAGGTGACCGGTGACGAAGGACTATGATCCCCCGCCGCCGGGCGAATACCCCACGTCCCAGGGGCGAGGGATCGTTTCTAGGCACGGAGGCCAAGGTGCCTTGCCTCGGACTCCTGAGCGCACGCTCGACGTCCCGCAGCGCTCTCCGCCCTTCAGCCGTGACGCCGTGGGCCACGCCCAACGCCCCCCGGACGCCCACCTGATGGGAAGCGGCTCGCCGTTGCCATATGCGCGCGGTGGCACCCACTCCGCACACCCTATCATTGACGTGCGCCCTGACGCGCGGGCCAAACTGGCGATCACAGCGAATCAGCGAGCCTCGGCGTCGCAATCAAGCTGCAGAGCTGCCCGGGAGGCTCAACGTTCAGACGCAAGTGCGCCTCATTGTTGACGCCCGTTCCTCGACCGCGAGCTTGTCAGGGCGCACACTGGCACGGCGCAGGCGGGATCGGCGGCCTAGGCTTCGGACCATGGTTATGGAGCGGGATAACAAACTCAGGTCCCCCCGAGTCTCGGGTCACAGGTGAGCCCCTGCGGCGGTCTTGGGTCGTGCGGCTGCGCGTGGTCGGCCCTGGCAGATACGCGTACACAAATGAAGAAGATCGACTGCCGAGGAGGATGTTTGTGCGGTGTGGATCGCACGCTGCCACAAAATTTGGAGGACTTTCGATACTGGAAAGGTTCGGGCTCGCGGCGTGGCTTCACGCACGACCTCCTGGCCACGAATATACAAATTCCTTGCGAGACCGAGTAAAGCGTGGCGTCGTATCGTAGCGTATCGTATGCCGAAATCAGCACCCCTCATGTCGCCGCTGGACAGCGCAGTAACTATATTTACTCTAAACGTCCGACCTACGAGCGAGCCTCCTGCCAGCACACTTCGCTCCTCCCACCCGGGCGCATGTTCGGCCAGCACATCGGCTTGCGCATGTATTTTCAATGTCAAATCAGTGCAAAACGTCACTGTCTGACGGCGCGCACGGATGGCTCAGACGCACGCAGCCCACGGTGACGCAGCCCAGGGCTCCCGCATCGTGTACTTCCGGATTGCAGAACGCCTGCCCGGCCGTCGAGCCGCGCGCAGACCACTTACCCCATCCCGTCGGACTTCGCCACCAGCACCGCCGCACCCAGCGACGACTGCGCACGCCGCCCGCCCGAAGAAAAAAGCGTCCGAAGCCTCCGCCGCATCGGGCGGCCGCGCCGCTAGCGGAACCCGACCGACCCCCGTGCATCGCGCCGCGCGCAGGTCACCGGTGGTGGCCCCGCGCTATCACAATCTTGCGGGATAATGGCGCGACGTCATGGCGATGGCGCGTTAGCGCTATCGCGGCGCCTGGTGTGCGTGCACCGGGGACCAATACCCAATGCCCAATATCCAGAAGCCGTCGCCACTTTCTGGTGCGCCGCCCCCACATTGCACAAGCCTCCGCCTCGATCCCGATGGGCCAGTGGCTGCCCCCGCTCATCTGACACCGCGGGTCTGATCCGCACGACGGGGCCTGGGAGCCCATATCTCAGACACACCGCCCGTTGCTTCCGAGTGACGACGACGCTGGGCATGTCACGGAGGGATTGGACGCGCCCTGCAGGCGGCAGTCACCGCCGTCGTGCATGTTCGCACGTCGGTGAGAGAAACGGGCAGCCTCGCGGTGCGTCACTGGACGTTCTCGACTCGCTTTATTGCCGCACGATGGGATCTTCGCGGGGGCTCTCTCGCTTCGCCCGCGAATGCGAACATGACGCGTTGTCGCGGTCGCGCCAGCCGAGCGCGACAAGAGATATTCTCAGGGCGCGCGTCGATCAGAGATCATATGGGCCGTCGACGTTATCGAGAAGCTAGCATTTGACATCTCCGGGACGCACCTGCTGCAAACGACAAGACGCAGAGACATGTGCGCGTTGTCGCGGAGAAACGCGAAGTGTGTTCGCCCCCCGCAGGAACAGCGCCGTAAGTACCCCGCAATTTTGAAGTGGGCGTGTGGGCATCCAGTTTCCACCAGAGGACGATGTCGCACGGGGCTGCGAAGGCCGATATAGCTGGGCGTGAGATCTCGACATGTCTTGTATAGATCGTATGTTGTACACGGCCGCGAGGGATAGATACGATACGAGCCACAGCGTCCATCAGTCCTGCAAGGGTGAAAGTCATGGTGAGCAACTTCTGCCGGCCGGCCAATTCTACAGAAATGACGTACCCAGAGTTTGATCAAACCGTCCCAGGAGCCCGTAACAACCTTGGACTAGATCGCAGCAAATTTTAGCATAAAACACCTACTCCAAGTGATCAACCAATGACATACCGTTTCATGCGGGAGCCACTCGTGCGCGATAACCACCTTTGAGTGGGCCCTGAGACGCGACTTGATTCGTCCCGTCTTCCACTCCCAGAACACGACGTTGCCCTCGCCGTCTCCGCTGCTGATCCACTTACCGTCGGGAGAGAAGCCCACTTGGCACGCGTAACCTGCAACGGAGTGGCCGGCGAAACGCTTGTTGCGGGCCTGGCGGAAGTTGTCTGTGCTGTAAACCAGGATCTGGTTGTCCATGCTCTGCGCAGCAAAGTACTTCTCTGTCCAGGTCGCCGACTGTCAACCCCATCGCTTCCAGGAATAGCTATCCAATAAAACTTACTGCTCGGGTGCAGAGTGACAGCGGGCATCGAGTGCATATGCGGCTCTGCAATATACTTGATGACGACGGGGATGTCGAAGTCCCATGCCCGGATGGTCTTGTCGTCTGACGTGGTGACAAACCGCCTATTCTCGTCCACGAAGGTGATCGAGTTGACAGGCCCGAGATGCTGGTCGTATTCTTGCGTGATTTCTCCCGAGTTCATGTCGTACTGACATATGGTGAGCGCACTGCCATGAACACACCGGCACGATAGGAACGGACCTGGATGATCTTCTTGTCGGACATACCCGCGAGGAAGATATGTTGCTTGTCCTCGTCAGGATGGAACCTTACCACGTACGGTATCTTGCCGTTGCTGAACCGTTTCAGGCATTGGCCAGTCTCTGTGTCCCAGAGCTTCATCTGGCGGTCGTAGCCACAGGATAGGAATTTGCGCCCGTCGTTCGAGAACGTGACATCCTTGACTGCCTTCATATGTCCATGGAACGTACGAAGGCAGTTGCCATGGGTGTACACATCCCAAAGCTGAGGATTATTCAGCACAAGCATCGAGCAGACGTGTATAGCACGCACCTTGATCTTGGTGTCCATCGACCCACTTAGGAGCAGATGACCAGTGTTGGGGAACGAGCGGACGACGGAGACGCCTCCCGTATGCCCTGTCCAGGTATGGATGCAAACCTTGGGTATAAAGCATTCTTGAGACCCTGGCTCCTGCTGCAGTTGCGGCGCCTCGGAGAGTGGTGGGTGCATGTACGTCCGGCCCTGGTAGTCGTGCATGGACTTGCCATGGAACACGGTCGACTCCAACCCGGGTGCGCCGCGTTTCGGTTTCGCCTTCCTCGGCTGGACCTCTTCCTCCTCTTCCTCCTCCTCCTCCTCTTCGGACTCCCCCGCGGCACCTGCGGCATCAGGCACAGCCGTGTCGAGCCTGTCGCCCGACCACGTCGCCCACGGTCCCTCATACGCACCCTCGCCGTCCACCACATCCAAGTCACCCTTCGGTTTCCGCTTCCGCTTGAGCTCGTTCTTCTTCGCCTTCGGTGCCTTCGTCATGCCGATGGTAGCGAAGCCGTTCTCTTGCGCCTTCTCGACAGAACCAAGGATCGCGGGTGCATTGGGGTCCACCGAAGGGTTGGCTGAGTAGCCAAGGATGGAATGCGTCAGGTATTGCTGTCGGAACGCATGCTCTGACATAGACTGCTCCTCTACGTGTCCGGCGAGCGCGTTCTGGTTGAGAAACCTGTTCCGGTCACCGAAAGGGTTCTCCGGCCCTTGCACGGGCAGCATCATGTCTTGGTACGGAATATTGACATGGATTTGTGTGTCCGTGGGCCGAGTGACCAAGGTTGATTGGTGCAATGGGTCCTGTGGAACGAACGGTCTGCATTATTCACCATGACGCGTGAACTTCAGAACACTCACCTCCGCAAGCACATCGGGCGCTGATGTTGGTACAAGAGACGTAGAGGGCTGCGAGTCTTCGACGCGCAGCTTTTTTGCCACTGGTAGGTTGGCGAGACCGAAAGCATCGTTCGTGGGCACGCGAACGCCGTCGTCTTCGTCGGATGAGTAGCCCTGGACGAGAGACATGGTAGCAGAAGAGAGGGCAAGGTGCTGTTACGTAATCCATTTCTTGTCCATTCACGGATCGTGAGCGCCTACGCTGCTTTAGCTGCATGTCGGAAGTGGCACCGGACCTCCACAGCCCATCTTCTGTTCACACCACGACTCGACGCCCAGCATACTGCGACCATAACATACAACGCCTCTTGAGGCAGCGGTAGATGAGCGAAAGGGGTGTGGGAAACCCATGGACTACCTACGAAGATAACCTCCTCATCCAGGCCGTGGCCATTCATGGCGAGAATGACAACTGGAAGGCGGTCGCCCTCTCTGTACCGGGCAGGACGAACAAGGCGTGCCGGAAGGTATGTGCCACCTGATATAATTATCATTCGTACATTAAGCGAAGATCTATAGCGCTGGCTTCACTCTTTATCTCCGAATGTGAAGAAGACCGCATGGACTTCTGAAGAGGACCAGCTGCTCCTCTCGTTATATGCAGTCCATGGAACAAAGTGGTCTGTCATAGCTCGTAATATTCAAGGCAGGACGGACGACGCGTGCTCCAAGCGATACAGAGAAGCCCTGGATCCGTCTCTAAAGCGCGACGACTGGACAGCCGCGGAAGATACCAAGCTCCTGGAAGCTTACGCTCGCCTTGGGGGGAAATGGGGAATCATTGGGCAGGAGCTGGGCCGTAGCGGCCTGGGTTGTAGGAACAGGCAAGTTAGCGCCAAGTTTATATGCTGCGCCCTCTCTGAACACAATTGACTAGATGGCGGATGCTGGAGAGAAAGAGGACCGCTGCCGCACGCGGGTCTGCCGCTGAAGGGGCGCCCTCGTCGTCTGCATTGGATTCGACGTCCCAGTGGGTACCTGATCAGGGCTCTGTCCAGGACACTCCGCCATGGGATGGCCGGAGCCCTCAATATGTCACGCCGTCGATGTTGTTCAACAGCTCGCCTAATCACTCTCAGGAGACGCATTCTGCTGCTTACCGGCCAGAACAGATACTCTCAGGAGTTCATCTGGCCAGCGCGAACAACAGCCCATCGCACCTCCAACAGTTCCACTATGGATCATCCTCGCTCGGCGGCGTCCCACCACATCCCAGATCTGCCGCACACTCGCCCAACCCCTACGCGTACCACCCGCAAACCACGGCCGTATCACTCGGCCATGACGCACCTCGGGGCTCCCGTGCCAACGTCTCAACACCTGGTCAATCCGGCGAGTCCCCTTGTGGTGATTATGAACCGATAACCATCCCTGGCTCCACCATATGTGCGACTCCGGAAGCTACCCACCAAGATGATCACCAGAACACGCGGTCTATCTCGAATCGCCAGCATGTGAGGCCTTCTCTTTCCCCTGACCTGCTCGGCGACGCTGGCCCTGCGGTCGCGATATCAGATTCCCCTGCTTCTCCATCTCCTGTTGCGTCCCCCTTACCACTTGACGCTCTTCCGGCGACGCCTTCCACCGAACACACCGGATTGTCCAGCGCGGCTGTTCCTAGTCATAGTACACAGGCCCCAAGATGCAATTATTACCGAACAGAAGCTGAGAAGGCACAGCTGACCACAGCGCCGCGGAAAGCATCTGCTTCTCAGCGCCCAACCCGTCTGTCTTCGCTTCTCCCTGCCACCGCAGAGTGAGTTCCGTGTTGCCTTAATTGATGTTCGCATGGAATGGCTTATCTCTTGACGCGTTCTCATAGCCCCAGCGTTTTGGCATACGCATGTGGCCACCGCGACTGCTGGCCGGAGGGTGGCGTGAGTAGCAAGAGCGCATTTGCCACTTCCAAAGAACTATCCGACCACAACAAGATCGTTCATAGCGGCGATCTCGGTGGCAGCAAGCCTTTCCGATGTGCGCTGGCGGGGTGTGAGAAGAGCTGGAAGGTACGGCTACCCCCACTACGGCACACGCTCATCGCGCTGAATGCAGGCTTTCCCGCCGTGACAGAGTGTCAACGGCTTGCAGTATCATTTACAAATGTACGTCCGGGTACCATTAAGGTTGTGTGCGCCGCAGGCACAGCACGCTCACGTCCTCCCACGGGCGATCGTGCCTGGACTTTCCCACCGGTAACTTACGCTCATCTTCAGATCGAAGGTGCACTTCCAGCAGGCCCTGGCGACCATACGCGACCCTCCCGTGCTTGGCAGCGCGGCCGCCGAATTTGCGGCGTCTGCGGCGTCTGCACAAGGCACAGCTGAGGGCGAGCCAGTCAACGGTCCTCCCACTACCCCCGCCGACGTGATTGGCCCTGTAGACATTCCCGACGCGGCCGCAAGAGACCCACGTCCAGACGACGCGCGACCGACGAAGCCGAAGAGGAAGTTGCATCCCTGCCCGCACCCAGGGTGCGGCAAGCAGTACAAGCAACTGAGCGGGCTGCGCTATCACTTGTCTCACGTGCGTGGAATCTCTCCTATGCACCTGTCAAGTGCCGCTGTTCCGTGCGTGTGCTGACGCAGTTTGGGTTTGGATTGTGTTGCGCGCACAGGGCCATGCGGAGGAGCTTCCGATGCAGCTCGACGTCGTGCCACCGACACTTGCGCGCATGGTCGCGGAGAAGGGTCGGGCTTCTCATGAGTAGGTTTGGACATCTAGTGATACATCAAACGGCCGTGGTCATGCCCACTGCCCTTTCATGTGAACTGCGCGACGCTTATGGACGCTAGTGCACTCCGACGAAGACGTGGCATGAAACAAGTAATGTGTCCGAGTCGGAACCAACCTTGCAGGTATTACCGGGTAACGGCCAGCGTACGACGCATGAGAAGACTTCTGCAAAATCGCTGACAGATGGTAAGATTGACTTCGTGTGATTAGCCCTGGCCTGTCAAGGTGCAGTGCGCGCAGCAAGTTTCGGGGAAGTCGAAGGCGGCCACCAAGAGATGCCCAGAGATGATCAGCGCTTCAGCTTTCCGAAGATTTTGTGACAGGCAGCCGCACTTATGAAGTATGTCCGCATGTCAGCATCGTCCATGAATGACTACAGCACGCAGAGCGTTTGAACAGGGATGTAATTAGCAAAGAATACACTCCAACTACGGATGATAGAGCCAGGAAAAGATCATAACTCCGCCCAGCCGCCATCGCCCTCATCCGGGCTCCCAACCAGCGCGAGCACAAACACCAGAACGCTCGCTCCGACGCGCATACCTAGACCGCGGTAAAGCTGCCCGATACCGCTATGCCTTAGCCAGCTCTCGCTCTCCTCCGGGACATCCTCTTGCACCGCGCCTTCCCTATCCTTGCCCTTCGCAGTCGAGCTACGTCGCCGTCTCCGCCGGTGCGTCTTCAGCGGCAAGTCCGAACGCTCTTCAGTGAGGATGTGCCAGAACGCATCCACCATCCCATTGTACGGCGCAGGTCGGATCTCGACGCACGCCTTCAGTGGGCGCGCGCTTCCACGCGTCTGCACTTGCAGCCGGTGACGTACGGTCTCGAAGGGAAGGAGGACGAGTGAGCCGGCAATGCCGCCGAGCAGCTCCGCGATGTTCCACTGCACGGGATGCGTCTCGGGCGCAATATGCGCCCCGAGCCCGACGTTTGCGGCAACCAGTCCCGGAAGCGTGAGTGGCACGAGTGCGCGGAGCGTGCAGTCCAGAAGTGTGGGCACGAGCAGATGTGGATGTAGATACACGCCACGAACGCCGCCTTCCTGCGCAAGGATCTGTCGGAGCGCGTCGATCGGTCCTGAGTAGGACCGGTGTCGAGGCACAGAAGATTGCACGATGAGACGCGTCCGGACCAGGTCAAGGGGAGAGAGAAAGAACCCGGCGAGGACTTGCGAGGCGACCGGAAGGAGCACGGACGTTGTGCTCAGACCAGGTCCGAGTGGCGATGAGAGGGACGGAGAGAGTGGGGAAAATATGGTCTGCAAGAGAGAGTAGATCACGGGCTGGAGAGCGGACGTTAGGGCATTCTGCACTGCGGTGGTCAATAGACCTAAGGCACAAAATTAAATGAGTACCATTCAATGAAACGTGTTGCTAGGACGCACCTTTCCACAGCGCGAGCCAACCTTCCGACCTGAAGCCGCCTATCCGCTTCATCATCCCCCACGTCCCGTCCGCGCTTCCGACAGGGATGACGTATTCGGGCTGGGTACCCTCCTCGAGGAGCGACTGCCGGATGATGTACCCGTGCTCGTCCGCCGGACGGGGCGGCTTTGGGGGCTTCGCCGTCGTCGGGTCCGCAAAGTACGACTCGTTCTCGTTTGACGAGTCACTAAGCTATATGTGCGAACACATACACGCACTTTGTTCAATGATTGACGCACAAGTGACAGGAGCGGAGCGCAAACGTACCTCTGCCTCATCGTCCACACCGTCCGCGCCGTCAAGAGGGTGCCCTTCACGAGGCTCGGGCTCGCGCGGAACCCATTGAACTTGAAGGAGAGTCTTGCCAACCTCCCACGGTTGCGCGATCGCGTTCGTGGCGTATTGCAAGAGCGCGGCCGCAAGGAACTCCTTGGCGAGAGATGTGATGTCCAGTCCCGAGTCATCGCCCGCGAAAGACGAGGAGAGCTCGAACAGCGGGTTTGGTGCTGGCCTAGACCATTTTCCCGACGAAGGCCCGGGGGCGGAGGAGTTCATAGCGGCGGAGGAGGCGTTCTCCTGCAATGCGGGCGGGATGAATGACCAGGCGTTGGATGGTGGAACGTAGAGGTCGCGTAGAGAAGCTGGTGTTGGAACAGCCATGATGCAGCCAGCCGTTAGGGAGGTACTACGCACAGCTCAGCTCCGAGTGGATTAGAGGGTCGGGGAGGGAGACATGCTCGAGAGAAACACGGGCAGCGGCAAATGGACTCGGATGATAGCAGACGCCCACGCGGCAGCACGGCGACGACTTGTTTGCCCTTGTTGACGCGTCGGTGTCCCAGCATGGCGACCGAATACCACTCCGCGCACTGCAATCCAGATCCAAAGTCCAAAACAGAGTATATATGTACATGCAGACAGTTACAGAGAGCCCGGATCATCGCTCGCAGTCCTCCCTCCTCCTCAATACCTGCTGCACCTCTTCCCTTGGCATCTCGCACAAACCTACACCCTCCAACATAGTCTCCTCCCATTCCGTATCGCTCATCGTCCCGAACGTCGCCTCAACAATTTTGTCCCACTCTGGACCCTCACCGGCGAGCAATCGCGCTGCTAGCAGGTACGCGCGCCACGGCGCCTCCACGCGTGTGCGTTCTGCCTTGAGAGCCGTTCGCGCCGTCTCGACCCAGAGCTCGGCCTCCGCGAGCACAACCTTGCCTTCATGCACGCTTGCGAGTGAACGTCCGCGGTAGAGAATCTGTCTCTGGAGGAGATGCGTTCCGAGTTGGGAGCTGATCCGCCGGTAAAGCGCAGTGGTTGTCGTACGGGGAAGTGCACCCCGGAGGAAGGTGAGGTGGGAAGACAACAGGGCGAGCGGCGCAAGGAGGGTCTGAGCGAGCGCGATGTCGTCTGAGGCGGCCGTTCCGGAGGCGGAAGCAGTTTGTCTGATGTAACGGTTAGCTGGTTGCACAAACGAGAGCTGTAGGGAGAACGAACGGGGATGCATCACGCAGATGAGGCTTGAGACCCGTCTCCACCTCCCCAGTTACGCAGTTTACGATCATATCCTCCGCCCGGTTGACAAGAGCTTTGTAATGCCGCACAAGCTCTTCGAATATCGTGCCCTCCGGCAATTCGTCCTCGTCCTCGGTTGGGTTGGGCAGTGACGCAGCCGCCTCGGCCTTCGTGCGCAGGTTCGACCGCCGGCTGATCTCAGCCCATAGCTCCAAGAAGAACTAGGTGAAGGATTGAATGAGTATTGCGTTTCCTTGAAACATGATTGTGCGCGCACCAGGTCCTCTCCCCAGGTCTCCATCGCATTTGCGAGATACTGCGCGCTGACCAGAGCCTTGCATAAACGCTGCACGCCCTCGACACCTCCCGTGAGCCTGCGCGAATCTCCACGCCCGTCTCCCGCGCCGAGCGCACCAGGTACGGCACGCATTAGCGACGATGAGAGGGTCTCGAAGGCATCGAGCGACGACGATATGCGTGCATGGTACGACTCTAGTAGCGGCAGTTGCACAACAATGAGGAACCGCGTGCGCTGCGAGTACTGCGGCAACGGGGAATAGCGGTCTGCATAGTCGGACTCACGGTCAGTGGGAGATGCATAATGGCGGAGGGCAGAGAAAGACGTGCCAGTAACTTGCTCGACAAGTGCTTTCATGCGTCGGGCTGAGTTCGTAGGCCTGAGCTCACGCTCAGCAGCGCGCACATCATGGTCTGCATCCTCCTCCTCGTCCGCGATGAGCCACGCATCTGACGCGCTGATAATTTCCAGATACTGGTCCATCGCGACTGTAAACAGGCACAGTCAGCAACGCACACCCTGACACGACGTACGTTCACTTACACTGGCGTTCGCCCTCAACCCAAGCCTCGAACCATTCCTTCTTGCCGAGCACCAGCTCACTAATGCCTTCCCAGTGCGCGTCCTTGTCCTCTGAGGTCGCCGCAGTTGTGCCAGGCAGGTCAAAGCCTTCGTCCCTCAGTGCGGTATCGAAAGAGAGCGCCTGATAGATCGTATGTGCGAGAATTGGAGGATGCGCAAGCAAAGCGGGAACCGTTCGCCGAAGCTTGCGCTCAAGTACGGGCAAGAGCTGGAGTGTGAACTCGCGCTGTACACGATCATCGTTAGTATTCATTGGGGGGACCAGCCATATCCTGGCCGAACTTACCCATGCATTGATGAAACGGTATTCTGTGGACGCGACAAGGCTCTGAACGATGGACTCCATAAACGGCCGATGTTCGTGTGCCTCGTTAGCAATGTGTGTGAAATACCACTCTGGCTGAGAAGATCCGTCAGTATATGCGGGCCAAAGTTATGCAATCCCTTACTGACCTTGTCCAGCCTATTCGTCTGCCGCGTACCCTCGAAGTGGTATTTGAACCTAAGCGCAATCGGCTGCACAAGGGCCTGGATCGCATATAGCCCTTCCGTCTCCAAGCCCTTGTCCTTACGGATCTGCTGGCCACTGCCAACATCAACGTCAACATTAAGCACAAATGAAAGGCAGAAGGGTGCGGGCATACATTTTCTGCAGCTTCAGTAGGTGACCGAACGAAGTCTCAAAGGCCCTCCTGTCCTCCGAAGTGGCTGCTGTGTAGTCAACCTTCAGCGGCCACTTCAGCTTCTCCGCTGCCTCGAGGAGCCTCCTGTATATCACGAACATGAGCTCCGCACATCGAATATCACGATATAGCACTCACGACGAGAGTACGCTCTTGATATCCCGCCATGTCCGCTCAACGATTCCCTCCAGGAAAGCGAGGATATGTAGGTCCGGCTGGCTCGCGACTGCGTCCACCTTCGTACAGGCTGCCGCAACGGACGCGACGAATGCTTGCAGGGCTTCGTACTCCGAGACCACCACAGACTCGGTGTCGCGTACCTGCTCAACGGCCGCTTCGCTGTACAAGACGTTAGAACCCCCGACGCCTCATAGGAACCTCAACGATACGCACCTGAGCTTGAGCGCATGTTCCACTACTTGCACATATCCCTTCACACTCTCTAGCTCCTTCAAGCTCCGGTGAAGGGTCTCGAGGTCCTCAAGTAGCGTCGGCGCGCCCTCTGGGCCGTCCAGTGATGACACAAGCTCGCCCGAGAGGAACGCGAGCTCATCCGCGAGGGAATGTCGGAGAAGAGAGAGCTCTTGCGCGGTGTTCAGGTGCGTCGCGGCTTTCTCGCGCGTCTCAGCTATAGCAGCGTCGACCCAGGACTGAGAGTGCGCGAGCTAAGCTGATGCGATGAGCGGTCAGAGCCCTTCATCCTCGAAATGCAGGCAGCGCGCACCTTGGCATCGAGGTCATCAAGCTCCTTGCGGGCCTGTTCAACGAGCTCATCGAGGTCAGCGCCGTTCTCAAGGTCGTCGAGAGAGTGGTAAGTGGCATTCAGGTGTGCGAGGGCGCGTGAGTCTGCTTCGTGGGCACTTGGAGGCTGGAGTAGGGTGCGAATTTCCACAGAAGTCATGTTGGCGTAGCAGAGCAAGCACTAACTAGAGGTTCTGGGTATACGAGACGGCAATACACTGAGTCTGCAGAATGGTGAAACGGAAACGTGTGTAGGACACGATCGCACGGCGAGGAACCGCTACATTCAGCGCCTCCGGCCCGACAGGCGCCTATGGAAGCTGCCGTAGAGCGGTGAGACCACAGTACTTTGAGCCTTCCTTCGAAAGGGAGCTGGAGCTCACTCTCATGGTACGTATCATGAGCGAGGATGCTTTGCATCGCGACTGGCATCAATTCATTTTAGGCAGTGGATGTCGATGAGTCAAATACTAAAGTCACTCTCACTCTCACACTGGGGTAGATGAGGGTAATCCAAACCAGCTTTGTTATACTACAGCGACGACAGCTATGGCGACATAATAACGAATATACAGTGGGATCCAGACCGACGCAATATAAAAACAAAAGGGGGGATATGTGGGAAGTAGTGATTACAGAATGGGGCCTAATGGGGATACCGGAAGTCCAGTGTTCGACACAGCAGGGGGGAGATTCATGCTACACATTCGACCAGCAATGGAAACAGTGGGATGCGGGGACGGGGAGCCAGAATAGTGCGCCGAGCGCGGTGTAGGATACAGAGGGGGGCGAGACTTGCGGATGATTTTCGTGCGTTTTCGTGAAGGGCGTTTTGAGCGTGACCGTGCACGTGGGGTCGTGGAACTCGTCCAGAGGAAAGATGCGAAGGGAGGCGAAAAGGAAAGTGGCCGCGCTCAGGCGCGGAGGGAGCGCCAGCTCGAGGTGGAGCTCGTCGGGGCCTTCTTGGGCGCAACGGTGGGCTTGGGCTTGGCGCCGCCGCCAAGCATGACACCGCCGGTGAGGACGGTGGTCTTGCCGCCGTCGTAGTTCGTGACCTCGTTCTTGGAGGCGTCGACGAAGACGCGCGCCTGGCGGGCGCGCTCGCGACGAGAGAGCTTGAACTGGGGCTTCTCGTCCGAAGGGGACTGCGAAGCGGAGCCGACCGTGGAGCTGGTCTCGACCGAAGAGAAGGTGAAGCCGGAGCTCGAACTGGAGCGCGAATGCGAAGAGAGGGTGGAGATGGTAGACATGGGGGAGCCGGAACGCTCGGGCACGCGAGGGAACTCGCTCAGGATGGGCGTGAGCCAGGTGGGCTCGCGGATCTCGTCGGCGATGAGGGCGAAGAGCTCTTCGTCGTCCTCCTCGACCTCGAGGAGCTGCTGGGCGTAGGTCTTCATGGGCTTTGCGGATGCTGCACGAGCCGCGGCTTGCGCCTTAAGCTCTGCGTCGAGGCGAGCCTCCTTCTCAGCGACAGTCTTCTTCTGCCCAACCTTGCCGGCGTCCTCGGACCAGATGGTGAAGAACTTGCCAACCTTGCCAGCATCCCAGTTGCCGAAGCGGACTGAGACGCAGCCGGGGTCGATGAAGAGGTCGAACTCGAAGTTGCCAAGGAGAGCGATCCATTGCGACCACTCAACGCCCGCGGACTTGCACGCGGTGTAGATGGCGCGAGGGGGAACACCGAAGGGGGAGAGGGTGAGGCAGCGACGCCCGGAGCCGCGGAGGGGCTCGGAGGGGACCCAAGAGGAGGAGAACTGCGAAGTGAGGTTCGCCTCGAGCGCGAGCTGGAGCTTGATGACGGAGACAGCCGAGTACTGTGCGATGAGGGGGCGCGTGATGTACGTGATAGCCTGTGCGAGAGCGACGGAAAGGGAGCCGAAGGTGACGTTGGAAGCGGCCATTGCGTTAAGATGCGTGTGGTGATAAGAAAATGAGATGAGGCTCGTGTGGTGAGTGCTGGGAGTCGTGAAGGCTATGATCGACCGGCGATGAGAATGGGCGGTGGAATGCTCGCTGAAGATGCGAAGGATATCGAGATGATGCGACGAGAGGATCGAACGGAGTCGTGTAGCGTGAGGCAGTCGAGTCGAGTCGAGAGGCGACTGGTAACGAAAGTCTGCAGGGGGGTTGTTAGTTAAAGGCCGGTGAGTAGCCGAGGCGGAGGAGACTAACCTAACAAGAGCTGGTCTGGAAGGGAGCGGGAGAGAGGAGAGGCTGTTGGAACTACTGTCCGGAGTGAGGAGACGGTAATCGGGATTGAGTAGCATACTTATAGGCTGAGTGCGCATTCGAGCGGCGTCTACAGGAGACAATGGGCGAGAAGGAGGCGCGCCGCGTAGCGAAGCGAGAACAAAAGGCCTCACTCAACAAAAGCCGACTTCAACAGTTACCGCTTTTGGATACAAGGCGCATATGCTCCCGCGTTTCACCCGCACGTGGCCGAGCGCCGAACGCCCGCCTCGAGAACAATTGCAGCCCATGCGTTTACGTCCACGCGCACAGCCCGCGTTCATTGTCCTCCTCGAGGAAGCGTCCCGGGCCTGGCCAGGCTTGTTTGTGTCCTCAGTAGCGAGACTGATGCGACTTGTTTGCCCAGCCGTGAATACAATAATACCTGTCATCCACCGACGCCGACGCTCCCATATAGTGCTTCTGTACTACCTTCCGATGCACCAACTCTGCGACATCGGCGTGCTCACCGAGCGAAGATAAGGGCATGATGACAGTGCAGCCGCGAAAGTGGTAGTGGCATAATACAGGCGTACCTGAGTTCCACGCTTTTCCACCAACACCGACCCGGGCTTTGACCGATGCGTGAGTACGTTCTTACTTCGTTACAGCTTATGGCTGATTCTCTCGCATAGACCTCTTCTGTATAGCAGGGAAAGACTTGTATTCATCGTCTCTGACCAAGTCATACATGATGAATTCCCAGTTGGGCGCCTGACGTTACGGGTAGGTATGGACTGTGCTCGGCCAAGTTCGCCTTCTAGACAGCGCATCGGAACCAGAGGGTCGAGTGATAAGCCATAGCTGTGTCGGGTGACCTTGAGAGCTGTCCGTGAGTCCAGCAGATGTCGCGATGCGTCCGGGAGCGAGAAGTCGAGTCGAAAGGAGCAACAGGCGCCCGTTCAGCCACCCGGGAGTAGGAATTTTCAAGCCCCGACTGTTAGCTCGTAGGACATGCCAAACCTTATTTCGACCCTCCATCCACGCAGGTCGACCTCGGCGTCGTGTAAAAAAGTCCACTCCCTTCGTCGCTGACCCTCGCTTCCAACAGCCCCCTCCGTCGCCAACAAAATGGTGTGTGCTGCCCCCTCTTTGACCTACCTCTGTGCTCTTTGTCGATGCTACACGATGCTTATGTTTTGCGATCTACCAGACTCTCGCCGTCGACCTCCTCAACCCCTCCGCTGATGCCGAGAAGCGCAGGCACAAGCTCAAGCGCCTCGTGCAGTCCCCCAACTCCTACTTCATGGACGTCAAGTGCCCTGGTGCGTTTGGCCATCGCGGTCTATGCGATTGCTTTGCTCATGTGAGACTTGGATACTCAGGTTGCTTCGCCATCACGACCGTCTTCTCGCACGCGCAGACCGTCGTCCTCTGCGCGGCATGCGGCAGCGTCCTCTGCCAGCCTACTGGTGGTAAGGCGAGATTGACGGAGGGTACGTCTTTCGCGCACATCACTTCCCTATCGCGCGCTGATTCAGCGCCGTCCCACAGGGAGCTCGTACCGTCGGAAGAACTAAGCGGTCTCTTTGGATCCTGGCTCTCTCCCTCTCCTTCGCTCTCCATGCAGTAGCATAGCCGCCTGGATTATCGCATCGATGTCTCACCACGCTTTCTGTCACGCTCCGAAAAGCTCTCGACCGCGGGTAGTGTATACTTACGCAATCTATCTTCCTATCTCCCGCGCATTCAGTTTGCTCCAGGATCCTCGGGCCGTGGCAAATGTCGTGCTAGGGTTGTAAGGTTGCACCGTATCCATTATTGTATGTGAAGTACGCTATATGACCATGTATGCAAACATGCCCCAACTTCACCCTCTACAACTCCAAGCAGCACGCACAATGTCCCCGGGTGTACATACTCGAAACTGGAAGAGCTCAAAGCTTCGGCTTTGCAGAGGGCGTGGCTATCTCTTTGTCGTTTATGCGAACCACACCCTCTTGGTTGCACACTGCGACGAGGGTCCCAGCAGGGGTATACATCTGCGGAACGTTAGCAGAGCACATCTGGGTCGACCGTTCGCGACTTACCCTGCCGTGCACCGATCCTCGACCACTAGCCGCGGCCTCGCTGACGATCTAGGACAACAGTAAGCGCATGAACGCGGCCACTTACGGAAAGAAACGTACGACGTAGAGCAGCCAGTCACCGCAATCGAAGTCGTCACTGGTACCAGTCAATATCGTGTTCAGGCAAAGGGGATTTGGCTCTCACCTGTAGAAGCTAATAGCGTGGTCCAAGGATGTCTGTGCATTGGCGACGAGGTCAGTCAGCGAGTACTTGCCGCCAATGAGCGGTACGAACCTGCATGACGACCGTCGTGGGACCCTTGCCTCCCTGGTTGACATAGGCCAACGTTCGACGAGCAGCGCTGATGCTGCGAGCCAGAGCGTCGGCGTCAAACATAGGCTACTGGTGCACAAGACGCATGACTTACAATTGCGAGTCTGAGATGTAGCTCAGAATGCACTGCAAAGCACAGGTTACTGACTATGCCTGTGAGGAGGAGCAAAACAGGACATACCTTCTGGAACGCAGGATCGTAGCGCACAGGCGTGTTTCGCGCTTTGTGCCAGTACAAGAACGTCGGCATGCCGTCCTCAGATTCCCTCACGCCGGCCAGCTTGACCTCGATGGGACTGCGCCGGCGTTCCTACAGCGAGCACGTTTGTACGTCAATAGTGTCGCAAGGATGTGAACAATTGTCCGTTACGGTACCTCCAATGCGGTGAGACAGAAGTCTTTGACCTTGGGATCCGAGGTCTCCTTGAACAACCGTTCGTAATTGGCCTCTATGCCTTCACATGCGTCCGGCGGGGGCACATTCGGCGGCATAGGCAGCTGGAAGTTACATTGCCGCGGCTCCGGGCGCTGGAACGAGCACAACATGATGAAGATGGTGCGACCGCGCTGGACCGCACGAACGGCACGCGTCACATAGGAGCGGCCGTCGCGTACGCGGTCGACATTGTAAAGAATAGGCACCGCGGCTGATGCGCTCAGGAGGAAGTAGCACTGTGCCCCGTCAGATTTTGAATAAAGTCGACATATTGAAGGAGAGGTTACTCACATGCAAGGACTGGCGATATGATAGACAAGCAGACCAATGGTGAGACAGGGATTACTCGGCGCTACCATACTGTAAGTCACGTACGTGTAAACTGAACGCGGGGTCGACGCAGTTATTCGCGGACACCAACGCCTGCGAGATAACCTGGCCACCGAACACACCCCGGGCCCGCGGCGGCAAGTACAGCGTCTTGGACCGATAGAGGTTCACATCGAGCTGTTCCACCTCGAGGGCCGAGGATATTTGTTCGTGTCCCCACTGGTTGTCGGGTTCAGCCATGAGCGTAGTAGAAAATGAACAAGTAGAGAAACTAGCGAGTGGGACGAGATGAGCAGCGAAGATGTAGTAAGCGACGAGTGGTATATATGCAAGGAGACGCGCTGCAACCGTCAACGCCCTGGCCTTCGGTCTTCTTGCCCGCCGAGGCCCGACAGTCACGGAGAGCGGCATTCACTTGCACGATCGAGCCCGGCTATGTACGTAACCGGATACCGATGCTAGCTTCCCGAGTCCCGACTGCTTTGGATGCCGGTCAGCGACTTCCTCAGCCATTCACGCAGGTGCAGTTATATCCAGGGGGCCGTGTTATAGCGCATTACGGTAAATATTAGGGTATCAAGCCCCGACAAACACTAAAACTCCTCCACGTCGATGGTGAATCCACACTCATGACAGACTTGCTTGCCGACACCGTCTGCGTCCTTCTCCACAACGCCGAAGATGTGCTTGTGTTCCTTGTCCTTCCGCTTCTGCCATACGGTCTCTCGGGTTCGACGGCGCAGCTCTCTCAGGCTTTCCTCGAACTTCTTGTTCTTCTTGCTCTTCTTCTCGTCGACACGCCGCTGCCATTCGATATCCAGCGCCTCGGGCGACCCCCACTTCTTCCACGCAAACTCCTCGACCTGGTAGCGCAGGAAAAGCATCATGTTGGCGAACGTGGACTTGTGCGGGTTCGCTTTGAGCAGGTGCGGCATGAGCTCCTGATCACGGAGCTCCGCTACGAACAACATGTGAATAAGGAGCAGCTCCGCGAACTACCAAGCTGACTCACGATCTGTTAGGAGGTAGTCCTGCAGGAAACGCCGAGGTGAGCTGACGTAGGTATTATCGCGGATCACGAGTACGTACCTCTTTGCACTCGGTCTTCGTTAGCAGACTGTACTTCTCCGGCTTCTCGTTCTTGCACTTATTGCACACGAGACACCCGAACACCTTCTTGTATGTCTGGTCGATGTCCATGGAGTTGCACTCCTTGCAACGAGGGTTGAGCTTCGGATCCAGGAATATTGCTAGAACCGCTTAGCAACTATGAGGCCAGAGGGATGTCAAGTGTGAACTTACGAGGCTCCAAGTTCTGCTTCGCCCGCTGCCGTTCCCGCTCCTTCTCCTTCTCCCTCATATCTTCGTCTACCTCCTTCCCGTCCTCAACCAAGAAACCGCCCTTGGTGTTGACCATCTTAGACAAATCATACTCGAAGTATTTCCCGAGTCGAGAGTCGCGCTTCAGCTTCGGCGGAGGCTTGGGCGCGGTGGGAGAGTTCGAGGTTGCAGCTACGACGCCCAGAGGGCGTTTACCGTTTGCATTCTGGGTGGACGAAACCGATGTCTGTGCCTCTTTCTCGCGTTGCCGGGCCTTCGCTATCTTATTATGAGCACGCCCGGCAAGTAGAGCTAACAAGCCGCTGACCTTTGAGCCGGTTCAGCTCAATCCGTTTGACCTGTTCTGGAGTCAAGTCCAGAGCCCGGGGCGCTCGCGGAGGAGGTGTCGTGTAGCGTGAGCTGGATGCACCCGGTGTGTTCATGATATTGTGTAGTAGGTATTGCGGTCCTCCTACGTGACGTGCTGGGTGTGGGGTAGAGAAGAGAGATGCTCAGCCACTTTCGGATCCGCACCGCGGTCATTACTCAGTCTGGTAGGAGCACGTGATATACGCGTCGCGCGTCGCGACGACCCCGCCATGTCAGAGGACGAAAATCGTTCCTGAAAATTGCCCGTGCTACGACCATAATACCCCAGATGTGCACACATGACAGCACTCGGGCACCGAGAGGTCACATCCTTATTCTCATAACTTCTACGCTATATCCACAACTACAACCTAGGAGAAAAATACGTGCAGCCGCACAACAGAACGCGACTGCGGGGGTAGTAGTAGATAGCAGAAGAGGCCAGCCGTAGGAATCAAGATACGAAGAGGGTTCAGCGCAAAAAAGAATAATGCTATGTGGCACGGGAATACATATGCAAGGGGAGGGGATCTCGGCAGGTAAGGACCGGACACGGATGGCGACGGCGGGGAGTGGGGGCCGGGCGATCCGCAACTGTTCAAAACCGTCCACGCTCTCAACGGAACGCATCGAGCTGAGAGTATGCGCGAGCGCAGGGGTACGGGGCCGCGCCGCGATGACGGCCGCGTTTAGCATTCTCCAAGGAAGCTGTTCTTGGGGAAGGGCTGCTTGAAGTCGTCCCGCCATGTCGTCAGGTTGGGGTTCGTGTACGCCCCGAGGTACTCGTTGATATATGCGGCCGTGGGGAAGTCATCGGGATCGCACCCAATGTTGATCGCGTCGGGGTCCTGGTACACGCGGATGTAGTCGACCTTCATCGTGACCGGGAACGCCAGGTGGTCGAGATCAACGAAACCGAAGTTTGTCGACATGCCCAAGTTGGCGATGAGGTACTATGAGGCCGTCAGTAAGAGAGCCAGTTGACAATTATTTCCTTGTTACGCACCATGGGCTCTTGCGGCACGGGACGCGGCCCGATCTCAACAGTGGTGTCCGCAGCAAAACCGGCTTGCTTCAAGGTCCACGCGACCTTGCCGTTCGAGATCCAAGTAATGTACTAAGACGAGAGTTAGTTCGAGTAGCGTCACGCAAAGCTAAAGAACTGACGGCATCATCGAAGCCAGGTTTGTACTGGATGCCATAAATAGAGTACACATTTCCAGTGCCCTCGTACGCCTGCTGGTCTAGTACCAATATTAGACATGATGCCGAATCGTGGAGAGATGGAAAGCCTTACTCGTCTCTGTCACTACAGATGATGCCTGCTGGAATGCGCCACCCTTGTAGCTGTTCAATTCGCTGATATCGGTGTCAGGGATAATCAGGGTGTCCGACGTGTTGAACCAGGTGTAGGCCTCGTTGAACGGCTGATAGTTTGATATGATAAGTAGGGCCCCAAGATAACATTAAGTGTGTCGCCACTCACACCCCACTGTGCCGACTGAGACACCTGGCCAGTCAACGGCTCACCCGTGATCTAAAAGGGGATGGTGATCAGAGAGTGGTGAGGGCAGTGCGAGATGGAAATTTGCTGACCTGAGCCTCAAAGATATCGATCTCGGGGGCAGCGCGACCGACATAGGTTCCATCCGAGTGCATAGGCCCGGGGTGAGACTCTCCGGGGCAAGTGCATCGCGAGAGGCGCTGTCCAGGGAGGAAAGACAACACACCACCAACAGATGTGTCACCGTTTTCTGTCGCGGCCAAAGGAAGGCCGTTCAAAGTCTGGTTGGCAACGGTTCCGACGTCACATGAATCGTAGGTGTAAGGCCACTATGCAATAGGATTAGCTTCAGTTGCGCCCCGAGAAGGAGGGATTGCGTACCATGCCCTCAAGACTAGCACCGTAACCAGCACGGCCAAGGTTACCCATCGTCCAGATAGCGGGCCAGAGACCGACGACGTTGTTCACACCAGGGAGAACGACGGAGGTGAGCACCATACCGCCCGTGAAGCAGAACTTGTTCCAAGTAGACATCAATCCACCCTGGAAGTTCAGCTCGTGCGTCTCCTTGCGGCTCAGGGTGATCGTCAGGGAGCCGTTGGAAGTCGTGATTGCCTCCGGGTCGTACCACTCCATGTTGTTGGTCTGCCAGTAGTGGAGGTCGACAGCCTCCCAGTAAGGGTCATCACCAGGGTAGAAAGTCCGCCCGTCAGTGTTAAACTCGTCACTCCATACGAGTTGCCACTCCTTGCCAGAGTTGAAGTCCAGGTAAGTCTGAGCATCCGAGGGGGTATCAAGGTCGATAAGACCCCAGTTGCCGGGCATGGTAGGAACCTGGCCAGTTGCATTGATGCCTCCAAGGTTGAATCCGCCGAAGGTGGACAGAGGGTTCTTCTGGAAGTAGCTGACCAGGGGATAGCCGGCGCTGATGGTGATGTAAATTTAGTGCGCAGTCGGGCGTAGTGTGGAAATACAACATACAAGAGCGCAAGCAGACCAGCGCCGAGGATGAACAAGCATCCCAAGTTGAAGAAACCTCTGGCGGTGAATATATGTCCACCCTGGTCGTGCTTCCTGTCCCGACGGGGGTCGGGGTTGTGGAGGTAGTCATCGCCTTCCGGATGATCACTGGTAAGCGCTGCGCCCCAGGACGAAGGGTCCGGAGAGAGCGAGAACTGCCAGATCGAAACGCTCCGTATTATGGCCGCTGCGAACGAAGGGCAGCCAACGACGCACCTTGTCCGAGAGCGAAACCGGCATAGAGGCCGTCTTTCCTGAGTATCTGGACTCGTTCTGACGTGGAGACGAGCCTGAGAATTACAAGCCCAGTGTGAAACCGGCGATGTTCACTCACCAGCGACATGTCGCTAGCCATGCTGCGAAGCTTAGGGCCGCGAGAGAGCGCGGCCTGCACGCCCGGACCCCCCGAAGGAGTGAGGAGGTTCGTCGTAGACGGCGAATTGGGTTGATTATACTGCATGCGAGGGTTGGGGCCCAAGCCGGACGCCATGGCGACTCTGTGAGTGGGGGAGGATATCTACGAGCAAAGAGCGCGGTTGTGGGCAAGCAGAGGGTATGTGGTGGGCGGCGAGGAGGAAGTGGTGATACAGGCGGACGAGGGGAAGAAGGGCAAGGAGTGGAAGGGATGCGTCGGCGACGTCTGGTAGTCAAGTTGGGTGGAGCGCTCGCCCGCCCAAGGTCCTCCCCCCGTGGGAGCCTCCTGCCTCATTCAGTCCCCGGCCAATGGCCGCCAGCGGCAGACGGCGACACTTGCCGTCCATTCCTCTTCATCCATTCTTCCGCCAAGCATCGCAATGTCTTGTCTGATCTCACCTTGCCTACCGTGATGTTGTGAACGACACCTACATGTCTCAAGCGCGAAAACGTCCTCAGGGGCATACTAGCAAATAACATATATTATAACAAACCATAGCGCAAGCCTGCAGTCAACGCATCAGCATCCTGTAGCTGCAGCAGGTAAATCCGTCGAAAGGGAACTCACGTTCCAACAGCACAACAACGAACAAAACTGGTATAGTGGGTATGATCGAGAAAGGCCGATTTCAAGCGTCGCATCCGTCAACAAACTTGTTCTTCGGGATGGTCTGCTTATAGTCATCGACCCACGTTGTGAGCAAGGGGTTAGTGTATGCCTCGATGTACCTGCATTCACGTCAGTTCTTAGATACGCATCGAGCCGTCGTGTGCATAGATGTTGACGTACTCTTCAATATACGCCTTAGTAGGGAAGTCGGGCGGGTCGCAGCCGATGTTCACGTTGTCCGGGTCCTGGTACACACGGATATAGTCCACACGCAGTGTCGCCGGGAAGGTCAAGTGGTCAAGGTCGACGAAGCCAAAGTTTCTGGACATGCCCAGGTTCATGATCAGATACTGGGGGGAAGAAAAGACATTAGTATCCGTCCATCACCGAGTGCTGGTTTAAAAGTACCATCGGCTCTTGGGGCACAGGTCGCTCGCTAATTTCCACCACCGGATCTGCCGCCATGCCGGACTGGTGCAGCACCCATGCCAGCTGCCCGTCCGCGATCCACGATATGTACTAGGCGAGATCCGGATATCAGTGCCCGCGGGATGTGCTAACAGGAAGCACTCACAGCATCGCCAAAGCCCGGCTGGTACTGGAAGCCGTAAGTCGAATATTGGAAGCCGCTCAGCTCGTACGCTTCGGGGTCTGTCCCGCATTTGTCAGAACACATGTTTGTGACAAAACAACAGGACGTAGGCATACCCGTCTTCGTAACTACAGATGTGGCTTGCTGATACACGCCTCCCAGGTAGCTATTCAGTTTACTCTTGGTAGAATCCTGGATCGTCAACGTGTCCGAGTTATTGAACCACTTGTATTCAGCGTTGAAGGGCTATACGGAACAGCACCGTCAGCAAGGTCGTCTCTGTACGGGTCTCTTTCACCTACACCCCACTGGCCAGACTGCGACACTTCACCGAATTTCGTTTTATCGCCACCAACCTAGACCAACAGGTAAGCCATCCACATGCTTAAATCACCCGCGATTAGGACAGACCTGCGCTTCGAACATGTCGATTTCAGGCGCCGCACGTCCGACGTATTCGTTGTTCTCGTGCACAGGACCTGGGTGCGACTCCCCTGGGCAGGTGCACCGCGAGAGTCGCTGGCCAGGCAGGAACGAGAGGACATCGCCATTGCCGGGGTCGCCGTTCTCCGTGGCGGCAATCGGGAGCCCGTTGACCGTCTGGTTCGGCGCTGTGCCAACGTCGCACGCATCATAGGTATACGGCCACTGTTACACCGGCAAGTAAGCACTAGTCGATTTCGTCAACCCGCGCTACGCGAACTCACCATCCCGTCGAGCGAGGCGCCGTAGCCCGCGCGGCCGAGGTTGCCCATCGCCCAGATCGCGGGCCACAGACCCTGGATGTTGTTCGCCCCAGGGAGCATCACACGCGCCTCGACGAGACCGCCCGTAAAGCAGAACTTGTTCCAGCTGGACATCATGCCACCCGTGAACGACAGGTTGTGGTTCTCCTTGCGCGAGAGCGTGATCTCGAGCGAGCCGTTGCGCGTCATAATCGCCTCCGGGTCGTACCACTCCAGGTTGTTCGTCTGCCAGTAGTGCAGGTCGACCGCCTCCCAGTACGGGTCGTCCCCGGGATAGAACGTGCGGCCGTCGGTGTTGAACTCGTCGCTGAAGACGAGCTGCCAGTCCTTGCCAGTGACGTAGTCAGCCCTGGTGCGCGCATCGTCGGGCGTGTCGGCGTCGATGAGACCCCAGTTGCCAGGCATGACCGGGATCTGGCCGGTGGCATTGATCCCACCGAGGTTAAATCCACCAAGCGCCGACAGGGGATGTTTCGTGAAGTAGCTAGCAAGCGGATAACCGGCGCTGCACAGGCAAGGTGAGTGAAGGGCATGTCGAACAGTATGGTAATCGACTCATACAATAATGCAATAGTGCCCGCTGCGAGGACCGCGATACACCCGAGGTTCATGAGGCCTCGGGCGGTGAAGATCCTGCCGCTACGATCGCCCTTACGATCCCGCCTTGGGTCGGGATTGTGCAGGTTATCGTCCGGCTCGGGTCCGTCTACCAGATGCGACCTGCTCAAGGCGTCGGGATCCAGCGGGAGGACATACTGAGGACCTCATGAGTATCGGTCGCTACCAGCATCAACTTCGCTGCGCGCACCTTCTCCGATATGGAGGCTGGTACTGCAACGGAGGAAGTGTCACCATGGTTGGCGTTCTATACATAAAACATGTTAGTTGATATCCTCTGCATATAATATATAGCACCGTCGCTCACGAGAGATGATGAGCTTGCGGACGAGCGAAGAGAGCGTGGGCCTCTAGCGAAGGCGGGCTTAGGATCTTCAAATGGCCCTTGGGGCGCTAGCAAAGAAGTGCTAGAGGGAGAGCTATTCTGATAGTATTGCCTCTGCGAATTCGCAGGCGGTGGGGCGACCATCTCAAGAGGAGGGCGAGAAGAGAGACAAGTATAGCAAAGAAACGACCGGACGCCCAGAGACTCAGAGAGATGGTGGTGATACAGAAAGAAGGTTGTACGGGAGCGGAACCTGGCGTGTGGGGTTTACGAGTGCACCGGCCTGCACGCTGCCTTGGGAACTCCGGAGTCGTGCCAAGACTCACAAAACTAGGTGCACTAGCTGTAATCGGGACAATTGAGCGGCGTGAGGGGCTACTACATCAAAGATGCCATCTGCACGACCGCCCGGACAAGCTCTGCGGCGCACGAGACCTGTGGACGCTCGAGGGGCGCGCGCTCTCCCATGGTCAAAATACGCCGGCGCCGCAGGAGCTATCCGCCGCTCAAAGCCACCTGCCCAGCCCCGAACGTGCATAGCACTTTGAGGCGCGTCCATTCTACGCCAAAATAGTGAGCCTGTCCGCACTGAGACCGTCCATACCTCGCACAATGGTGGTATGCATTCCTCGACGGCAGACGGGCGCAGAGCGGCTTATGAGCCCGCCACCGGAAAGTAGCTGTCATCCATGGTTCTGGTCGAAGCGGTCGTCCCAAATCGTCAGGAACCACACAACAGACACCGCATCTGGACCATGGATGTTGATGGGATGTCGGTATCATTTGTTGTGCACATAGCTGTTACTCATCGCACAGGTTCGAGCGGATCATCCTGAAGTTTGATGGATTGAATGGGTGGGATCCAGAGCGCACATCCCTCCTTCGGACTTGAATCGGACATAGCATTGAGTTGAGTGAACTTCAGCAAGCTGTAGAGACTGATAGAATCACACCTTTCGTCGAGGAAGTCCACCGCAGACACTTGACGCCTTGCCACAAAGTAGAAAGAGACTCGCTCTGGCTGCCTTGCGAACGACGTTGGACTGAGGTGCGGTCCGCACCGCGGTCCCGGGCATGTGGATGGCTGTGCGCCTAGTGTTACTGATGTTTCCGGGACTTGCCGCACGCACTAGAGACATTGTGGTTAGGTGCGTCCTCAGCGCGTCTTATGTTAGAAACACGTACTTGTGAATGCCTGCCAGACGTCGAAGCCAAGCTGGCCAGTGTTCAAAAGTCCGTCAAATAGCGCATATAGTACCACGCCGCGCACATATTCGTGAATACACTACTGTACTGTAAGGGTCACAGCCACGTACGCTAATATTTGTATGCACCGACAGCGTTCTCTCGCCACGGTCCTCGCCAACAGTCAGTGTCCAAGCACAAGTCGAGTGTCCATCACAAGCACGGCGCGCGCAGCCCGCCGCATTACTAGCTCCTGCGTACTGTATAAATTACCTATATGCAGTATGCCTATCGTTCCCAGATGTAACGAGAAAGCGCCGGCGTCCCGGGGTTCGCACGGCGGTGTCGAGACAGGGGGCACCGCCCAGGCAGCTCCTATGAACTGGGCACAGGGGCGGGGGTAGCATACGCCCGGGGCGCGTACGCGCGGCGAGCAGCCGCCGACGTCGTGGGGCACACGTCGGGGGATGCGGTCGGGCCCATCCAGGGGTTGAGGTAGCCGCACGACGCGATGGGCACCCAGAGGCTCGTAGTGTCCGACGGGTTGTTCCAGCTGCCAGCGGAGACCGTCGACGTCGCGCTGCCGCTGACCGCGGTGACCGTTGGGGCAGGGAGCTGGATGAGCGCGCCGGTCTGCGTGTACTGCGGGATAGTCGCAGTGTTCTTGACGCTCGAGATGGAGGTCGGCGGCCAGGCGAGTGCCGCTTGCGCCGTGGCGGCGATCTGCCCGGCGCTAGCGCCACCCGTCATCCAGGCTGAGAGCGTCCCGGTGAAGGGGTCGCTGTTGTCGCACACGCCCGCGGAGTCGCGCGGGTCGGTCGGCATCCAGCCTTCCTGGAGACCGAGCTGATATGACCACGCAGGGGACTGGGGGCGGCCGCTAACGGTCGAGTTGCCAACTTTCCAGGTCCAGAAGAACCAGTTCTACAAGAACCACGGCGTGAGTACCGTCTCGTGGGCGCATACATCCACATCAACGCACCTGGAGCGCAGACATGCTCTGCAGCGCAAACTGCTTCATGCTCGCCTTCCACGCATCGTCGTACTTTGTGTAGTCCGTGTAGTCCGAGCAATCGCCGACCTTCGGGTAGCTGCCCGACGTGAACGTCCCGTCGAAACGCGCGCCGAGGTCCACGCCGTTGAGCCACAAGCCGCAGTCGTTGATTCCGAGACTCCATTCCCCGACGTGGGTCATGCCGAACGAGCTCATCGAGTTGTTCTGACCCGCGCCCCAGGTATCGCATGCCAGGTCCGCCTTCACGCGCGCGGCGTAGTCATCCGCGGACTGCCCGTTGAAGCAGATGTACTGGTGTACGTCCAGCTGCGTGCGATCGGCGTTACGGAGGAAGCTCGTCCAGTGGCTCAGGCCGAGGAATGCGTCGTGGAAGACGACCCAGGGACCGTTGCCCTCGCCTGTGCCGCTCGCGTTGCGTACAATCTCGTATGCCTGCAGGTAGCTGGGAAAATGGTAAATGGTAAGACGTCACATTTAGCAACCTGAATAAACGAGCACGCTTACAAGCGTTCGACGGCGTCACTGCCGATGGTAGGGCCGAAGGGCTCGTTCATAATCCCGAACAGCGGGATGACGTCCCGGTATTCAGGCTGAGAAATGAACTCGGCGATAATGCGGATATAGTCGAGTGCCCGTTCCGCGTTGACGATGCCCATGGGACCGAGCAGGATGTTGATAGTACCCAACTTACTCGAGTGGTTCCAGCCGTTCTGGGAGCCTGGGAGCGCGTGTAGGTCCAGGTTGATGCGGAGTCCGTACTTACGTGCCCACTCGATAGCCTTCAAGAAGTACCTACACGCACATTCATTAGTACTGCACAGTGGTGTACGGAGAAGAAGGCTGCGCGTACGTCCAAGAGGTCTTCGGGAGGAACGGTTCGTTCTCGCGTACCTCGATTGCCCAATAAGCGATCGGAATGCGAACGAAGTTGAGGCCTGCTGCGGCGATATCGGCGAAGTCTTGCTCAGTCTGCGCAGCATCCTTGTTAGCGGATGAACTCGGGGAGAAAACACATGTGCGGACTCACGATGAAAGTCTTGTAATGATCCTCAAGTTCGTCGAGAGAGCCATCCGCAGTCATCAATGTGCTGAGATCCCACTCGTCCACGGCCGGACCCGAGGACGTGTTATAGTACTTCTCGTAAAGCGAGGGGACACTAGCAATAACGTTAGCCAAGCTATAAACTAGCTTGCACAACGGTGCTCACATGAACTAAAAGGCGCCGATGAGCCTCGATCGTGAGCGCATGCTGATTAAAGTACGTACTGGTTCCGTGACAAGCCATCCACCCAGGTTCACGCTGTATCAAAAAGTTGGTCAATATGCTCAGCGAACCGATAGGGACACGTACCCTCGGATGGGATCAACGCCATAGTTGAATGTCTCGTTAAGTGCAGGAGTCCAGGACTGCGGCCGGGCACCACTGACGGTCGGGTTGGCAGGATCATAGTACCAAGTTCCGCCGAAAGAGTTCGAGTACGTGACCTTCGAACCATCGAAGAAGGTGACGGTACTGCCATCGCCACCGCTGGTGACGACCCGTGACTGTGTCGTACTAGAAGTGCTGCCGGAGTCGGACGAAGAGTCCGAAGAGTTGCTCGCCGCCGCGCCGCTCGCAAGATTATTGCTCGTGTTGTTCTGCTTCGGCTTGATGACCGCGAAGTACACTGGCACCACAACAGCAACCACAATGACAGCGATAGCGATCAGAGCGATTATAATGATCTTCCGGCGAGACTTTGCAGGTTTGGGCTGGTATGCGTCGCGCTTCTCGTCCAGGTAGGGCGAGTTGTCGGGTGACTCGCCAGTACGGGCGACCATGGGCTGGGAGTCGTTGTAATCCGTGCCATAAAACCCACCACGCGAATTCCGCGAGTTGAGCTTGTCGGAAGAGTCGTTAAAGCCGACCATGGTGGGCTCGCTGCCCTTGGAAGACGCGTACGAAGAGCGGTTTTCTTCATGGCGAGCGGCGCCCATGAAACGCGGAGGAGCAGCACCAGCAGGGAGGTCATCGCGAGGAAGATCGAGAGGCTCCGTTTCCGGAGAGTAGAACTGGGTATTGCGAGCTTCCTGGTGGTCGTTTCCAGCGCCGAGGTTAGGACTGCTGCCGTGGCCATTTGAGACGGGCTGATAGAGTCCGCTGGACATCTCGGGGAACCCTCCTGTGCGACCTGGGCGTGAAAGAGCGACTAAGTACGCGGAGGACGCGCGACAAAGAAAAGGAGGGGAGAGGTGAGCCAAAGGGGATCAAGGCCGATTCCAATATATGAGCGAGGACGCACGGGACGGACGGCTGTCAGGTCGGAGATGGCCTAGCGTGTTGCGGGCGTGTGCTTGGCGGGCGCGAGGTGTGACGGAGAGCGGAAGTCGTGAATCCGGTCCAGGAAATCAAGACGGAGAGGGAGAGGTGGATGCTATTCTCGCGGTCAGGAGACGACGGGGGGCGAGAGCAGCAGGGGGAGGACTCGGAGGAGCAGAGGAGAGCCACAAGCTGCGCCCGACGGACGAATGCAGTCAGGAACAACGAGTCCCCGGATCGGCTGCTTGGCTTGACTGGTTCGGCTGGGCGGCCAATAGGGTCATAACAACTCGAGCCAGCTGATTGATAACTCGGCCTGAGCATTTTGAAGAGACGGCGCGCGGACAGTATTCCCTGCCGGATGCGGCTATGAGGTCATCCAAGCCGTCTCCTCGCCGTGTCCACTGCGGTGCCACCGTGCAGAAAACCGCGGCGGTGGCGTCGACTCTGGTGCTGCGCTGCTCTACAAATAAACTAGGGCTCAACGACAATCGCAGACCAAGGTAAGCAGCCCCTACTTTTGCGCGGCGCACTGGGATAGCACACCGCGGCACGATACGGCGTTAGAACGCCTCACACGAGCACCGGAGGAGGCTGGAGAAAGCAGAGGCATTGTTGGGCCGTGCCGACAAGGCAGCTGAGGACACCGGTCACCGATCCCATCATTTAATCAACTCCAGGCAGCGGCGCATGGCAGTCGAATGGAAGGGCATGATCGACGTACGTCGGTCGATCGGCGGCTGTCTTCGAACCCGGCGTAGAGTGGGTAAAAAAACCAGTCTTATAACCAGTAAACGAAGTCATCCACAAGGCGCTATAGCCAAGTGGTTACGGCGAGTGATTAGAATGTATCCAGCATTAGCGGGATTCCAACTATCACTTCCACTTTGTGGGCGCAGGTTCGAGTCCTGCTGGCGTCGAGTTGTCTTTTCTTTTTGCACCTAATTCGAAGATTCTTTACGGTACATTATCCTCCCCGAGGTCTATGGCTGCTTCTCATTTCTTCTGGGAGTTTTAAACGTGAAGTGGTGCCAATAGATGAATGACTTGGCGGAGGCATGGGGAGGCGTAAAACAGGCGCCGGCTCACCCTGCGCACTGCGGCCGGCGCGTGCGGCGTCGGATTGACTTGCTCCGGGCAAGTTCTACCACCATCCTTTCGTTCCGGCCCTCACATTCATCCATTTCTTAGCCCGACTCTGAGCGTACCACAAGAAGCCTTGAATTAAGTGGACACAGAAAGCAAGGATATGGTGACGCCAGCCTCACTTTGTGAGCTCCTCCATCACGATCACATGGGCGCGCTGCGGCTACGCGTCCGTGCATGTTGCGACCCGCTACCTGAGCCGATATTCGGACCTAGCCTCTACCAAAGTCTACTCAGGGTCTCGGTACTTTATTCACTCATGCTGCAATATTGTCCTGCTCTTTCTCTCTACGACACGGCTACGCCCCAAACTTGTAGATCGTATACGGTCACTCTCCCGAAGAAGTCCGAGCTCTCCTCGAACACCAACTTCAGGCTCTCTATACTGCGGTCTGCGAGGTCCGGTTCCGAGGGTGCGAGGTCGAAGGTCTGTTTCCTGTTCACGTCCTCGGGGAACACGCGTGTCCAGTTTCGCCATTGCCCTTTCTCTGCTCCTACTAGTAGCACTTCCACGGAACATCTCGTTCCTACGAAGCCGCCCTGGAAGGTGAGTTCCACTCGCTTCGGGATTACGGGTGAAAGGAAGGATAGCTGAATGTACTGCGGGGTGCCCTGTCGATGTGTATAAGTAAGTGTTGGGCGAAGTGGTTATATACTCGAAATCCGCGCCTGTTGTGACGTCCAGCATGTCTCGGGGCTGCCATCAGTGAGGCACTTCTTTCCGACACTTTTATCGAGCGTCGAGCTGACCCTGAAAAGACATTCAGTACACGAGTTACACGGGCTTGCACTGCGCCCACTTGATCTTGGTATCAGCGTCGATCAACGGCTGTGATTCGCCCGCCATGCCTGAGGCAGCTTCTGGGCCTCCAAGCGTGTCCTTCCGACCCCTGTGTTGTTCTCCGGCCCAATCTTGCGGATATACTGTCCAGAGACAGGTAGGACGACGAAGGAAACCCAAGACTCGGGGAGGACTTTAGATTCTCGAAGATACGTGCTTCATCACGTGGGAAGGACGTCATCGCCGCCGATCGCTATCCTGCTTCGCCCAAGCTTAACTGAAACCTCTTCTCTCTGCAAGACCATCCTCTTCTACCATGGCGGATACGATGATCCAAGGTCTTCCCACTTGGCTCGCGCAAGCCCACAACGCCGCCCACATCACCGTCGTCCTCCGCACCCTCCAAAAGCGCGAGCGCACTCGCCTAGTGGCTTGCACCGCGTCCAGGCACCAGGCGCACCCATCCAAAAGGCATAGGCTCTCCCATTTGCCATCCACACTCGCCACCAAGTCCGAGCATGTCGCCTACTACTCCGCCTCCGTCGGATCCGACCCGAACAACCAGCCCGACAATCGGTACGCGGACATCTTTCCCTACGACCGCACTCGCGTGGTCGTGTGCCCGGGGGAGCCAAGCCACGATTGCTCGAGCTCCTGCACCTCTGGACGGTACCTGAACGCCAACTGGGTACGCGAACTCGCCGGGGGGAAGTGGTGGATCGCCACCCAAGCACCCCTTCCCCATACAGCCCACACGTTCCTAAGCGTGATCATGGAAGGCGTCTCCCCGCCGCCCGGGACGCGCTTCTCCAACCTCCGGAGCCTCAATCGGATTCGGACCGTCGTTCAGCTTACGCGGAACCTCGAAAGCGGCATGCGCAAGGCCCATGTCTATTTCCCGCCCGTGGACGGCCAGTCGTGGGTCATTGAGCCCCCGAGCGGGTCTGAGGACCCGCCCTTCCAGGTCACGCTCGTGCGCTCGCAGGCCATCGAAGAGGCGCATTGCGTGCAGAGCGTCGTCTCCCTCCGCACGCTCTCGAAGGACCGGGCACCGGAGGGCGACCCGATTGTCTTTCAGCACCTGCTCTACACAGCGTGGCCCGACCACGGCGTTCCCGCGCGCGAGGACCGCGAGGGCCTCCTCCGTTTCACGCGTCTCGTTGACGAGGCGAACCGCGACTTGTCACTGCACACGGGCGTTGCGGACCTCGACCCTAACCCGCCCATCATGGTGAACTGCTCGGCTGGGGTCGGCCGCACGGGTGCATTCATCGCGATCTCGTCCTTGCTACGACACTACCGCTTCCTTGCACCCGGCGACCAGACGGGTGAACCTATCCCGCCGCTGCCGCCTTCCCCACTAGGGCCTCTTCCCGAGGAACTGCAGGACGATCTGGTGGCGCAGGAGATCGACTCGCTCCGTGAACAGCGTCCCGGGATGGTTCAGCGCGACGACCAGGTCGGTTTGGTCTACGAAGTGCTGGTGGCTGCGTTTGTCTCTGCCTCGGACACGGACACGGATGCCTTACCTGGCGGCGACGCCTAACAGCGACGGTGTACTGTAGCGTCTTGGACTTCTGGTGGTATTTTCTATACTCGGGTTCGGAGATACGATAACTCTATTGCTACAGGCTTTGTTGTGCGGCCCAATGTGCCATAGCTCGTGTTTCTCGACCTACTCTACGTATCGTGTTAATTTTCAGGTGTTGCCGTTAAACACTGCTGTTAACTAGTGTCCGCAGCACCCATCTATTTCCTGTCGTCTCCCGCAGTCGGTGCACATCTACGGCTCAGCCGAATACACCAGCATGCACTAGCGCTTCTTCAAGCACACCGCCACTCACGCATCTGGCGCGGGTACCGGGTAGGGCGGGTTCGGAGTTCCGTATGCCATGGTCACCCACTCACTCAAACATAACATCTGGATGAATCAGCAGACGGGTTCTCGTTCTCACTGACCCCCTATTGCGCAACGAACTCTCTTCATGGGAGAACGCATATAGCGACCGCGATCGGGGACGATAAGCTGATGATACCATCCTCCGCCATCCAACTGCTTACCCTACGTCGAACGAGCGTAAACACGCAAAGGTTGACTAAGACCGCACTGCAGCATAAAGCGGCTGCGCGCACGAGTTTGGTTGCTCGCCATCTTGCCACCACACCTTCCAATCGCAAGCCCGTAAACGCGAACATGTCGCTCCCGGAGACTGTTGAGGCCATCGCGATCGACAAGACGGGGGACATCGACGTCCTCGTCAAGAAGGCCGTTCCCTTCCCCGTGCATGCCCCAGGCAATGTCGTTATCCAGGTGCGATGCGATTGACTTCTCCATGCTCTTGGCGGAACCCATGAACTAACCGAGATGCACCATTCCGCTAGGTCGCCTATGGAGGCATTAACTTCATCGATACCTACTACAGGCAAGCCCTAAATGCTTCCACGACTTATCAGCGCGACTGACACGCGGGCACGATAGGAAGGGCCTGTACCCCATCAAGTCCTACCCCCAGATCCTGGGCATGGAGGCATCGGGCACCATCGTGAGCCTGCCCACCGACGCCTCCCTGCTCGAAGACGAGGAGTTCAAGAAGCGCGGCCTCAAAGTCGGCAGCAAAGTCGCCGTCGTACGTCACCCTTCTTCCTTCCCTTGGCCCGCCGACTGGCACGTACACCGCATTCACACCTATTCACACCCCCGCCCAGGTCTACCTTGGCGTGCACGCCGAGCTCATCTCGGTCCCCTGGGCGAAGGTCTTCCCCCTGCCCGAGAACGTGTCGCTGCTCACCGCCGCGGCCGCGGCGCTCCAGGGCCTCACCGCCGTCACCTTCATCGAGGAGGCGTACAAGCTGCGCGCGGGCGACACCGTGCTCATCCACACCGTCGCGGGCGGCTTCGGGCTCATCCTCGCGCAGCTCGCGAAGCACGTCGGCGCGACGGTCATCGGGACGACGTCGACCGCGGAGAAGGCCGCCGTCGCGCGCGCGCACGGCGCGGACCACGTCATCTTGTACACCCAGGAGAACGTCGTCGAGCGCGTGCTCGCGCTCACGGGCGGCGAGGGCGTGCACGTCGTGTACGACGGGGTCGGCAAAGATACGTGAGTTGCCACGTCTTTCTCTCCAACTTCCTTCGGTCTCTTCCCTCCTCCGTCCCTTCTTTCTGCGAGGCGGTTCCGGCGTGTTGGCGTCGAGCCGCGTCTCGAAGCGGACCCGGCGTCCTCTGCCCTGCGCGCAGGGGTCCCATGCCACCCGCGCCCCATATCGCCCAGGACGGAGCTTGGATTCGTGTGTTGCGTCTCCGCGTCTCCGCGGCGGCGAGGGCGCAGCACGGTGGCCACGCCGATCAGACATGGTGCTTATCAGCCCGCGCACACAGCTTCCTCGACAACTTCAAGCTCACACGCCGCAAGGGCACGATCGTGAGCGTCGGGAACGCCTCCGGCGCGGTCGAACCGATCGCGCCCCTGAAGCTCGTCGAGAAGAACCTCGCGCTTCTGCGACCAACGTGAGTGCCAAACGCGAATTGAACGAAGTATGGGGATGTCTGATTGCCATTCACTGCGACTTCGCCCTGCACAGGATGGCGAACTATATCTACACGCCCGAGGAGGCGCGCTACTACAGCGAGAAGCTGTTCGGATATATTTCAAGTGGAGTTCTTAAGATCAACATTCACAAGCAATATCCGTTCACTACGGAGGGCGCACAGACGGCGCACCGCGATTTAACGACGAAGGGCGGCAGCACTATCGGCAAGTTGTTGTACAACATAGGGGGTGAATCATAAAACAATCGCATGTCAGGCCTTCATGCGGCGGGAGCGCCCAGATATACATGTAGCGTACCGGTACCTCGCAACCCAGTAACCATTGTCAGACCGCTTAGTAGGCTTTACCGTGAAACGACTCGAATTTCATCGCATATGAAGCCGTCGATAGAAGTTATTAGGGTTGCGCATAATGACATATTAAGGTGATCGTATAAGATAAGAGGGCAACATAGAAGTGGTATAGAAATGTGGATATGTAATGATGGTGGTATAATGATGTGAAAGTGGGGAACAGAAGGGTTCGTCCGTCTGATCAAGCCGAAGTGGAGGAGGCAGAAGCCGAAGACTGAGAGGCGGTCATGGTCGGCATACCGGTACTGTCGCCTGAGGCCGTGACGAACGAGGCGGAAGTTGGCGACGCATACGCTGAGGAGGATGACGAGAGGTCTGCAGCTTTGTACGCGGGGAACAACGGGGGAGCATCCCTAGCGATAGGTGCAGCCGGGTTGGAGACGGGCAGCGCAGGAGAGTTGGGAGGGACCACTGGAAGTTGCGGAGCGCCCACTGGAAGCTGCGGAGCGCCCACCGGAACTTTAGGCGCACTGACTGGAACTTGCGGCGGAGTGATCGGAAGAGTAGCGTTCTTGACGAGAGGCAGGGGCTGGACGGGCAGCGACGCGGGAGGAGTAGGGAAGGCCATTGCCTCGATGCTAGACGCCGACTCCGTGGTTGACGGTGCCGGAGACGCGAAAGATGAAGACATGAAGGACGCGCTGGAGGATCCGGTCGAAGCCTGCATGTACCTCTTGCGTACAGCTGGGGACACGGCACCCGAGACATCGCCGACAACGCCATTGACAGCGGTGCCCGCGGCGCCGTGTAGCGTGTTGGCCGCGTGCGCGAACAGTGCCGCTATCTGCGTCACTTGGTCTTGGGTGAGACTTGCAGCCTCTTCAACAGCAGCGCCGCCCTTGCCCAGTAGAGGCCCTAGTATAGGCTCCAGTGCTTTGATAATAGGCGCCAACAGCGGTCCTACTACCGGCAGGCCCCCAAGACCGTCCAAGAGAGCGCCAAGGCCCAGAAGGTCTCTGCGGTCTGCTCTGGTCATATGCAAACCTGGAAATGAGATGGATTGTGAGCTGCGGACAAACAGACTACTCTGGCAAGGTAATTACTCGTGCTCATCTGCCCGTGACTGTTCTCTGCCATGTTCACGCTGACACCTTCGCCTCTGCCGATCATCGCCAAGGAGCGCATGCTGGACGAAGAGGGAAGACCGGTGGTGTCAAGGGAACCAGGCTCGGTCGGCGCGGCGAGAGTCGACGACGAGGACGAGATCGCGAGAGTCGCGAGGAAGAGCGACGAGCTGTGCGAGATTCTCATGACGGAGTAGTGATGTGGTGGTCGTAAGACGAAAGCAGTGCGAGAGCAAGAGGATAGCGGTGAGCAGGACGGTCTCTGGGGGGAGATCGAAGTGGTCAAGGGAAGAAAGAGGCTGGGGGAGGGGGAACGCGCGACGAGTGCTTTATAGCCGGAACGGGCGGGAGTTGAACGTGAACAGAGGCGGGCGATCGAGGGCTGACCGTAGCGGGGCCGTGCGCTATTCGCTTCCTGCGCCCGTTCGGTTTGCAGAGACCCATTCAGTGCGCACGCCATCGCCGATGTTGGGGTTGAATCGGGCACCACCCGATTTCGCCGAGTGAAGAGGGCCCTTCACGTCGACAAGGTCTGTACGCCGTTGCTGGCAGTGCGTTGCATCCAGATGAACGCCTGGCTGACACGCTTATTCGGCGACCGAGACTCTAGGTCAGTAGTTCGAATCGCAACCAGGGAACAGCTGCATGGAACAATGCGCGAGCAACCCGAACACAACTCGGAGGTCGCAGAAGCCCGTATGTGACAGCCACAGATGTCTGCCAAGGTTCGGAGGTGCTGTCATGTTGAATGTGACTGCAGACAGGACTGCTCCCGGAGGACCGCGCCTCATTCGGCCGGACGCGCCCGTCGTTCGCAATAATGGGTTATGATAATACACATCCATGAGCTATACAGGTGTCTGGTGGTGAACGAATGTCAGAGTCTGCCTGGCACACATGCGTATAGCTACGGTACCATGATGGCGTCAGCGGCGTCCTCTGTGTTCCATTTCGAACAGCTGGTCGTCTTCCCAGCGACCAGGGTTCATGCGACGCCTGACGTGATCTCCGCCGCTGCTCGAGCGTGCGCTGAGCAGGGTCATGTCCCACAGCTCGGATATGGTGGAGAGGATGGAACGCCCCATGCACGAGGAGAGAATGCACCACGCAAGGCCGGCAAAGCTGTTGGGGAGGTGAGCACGATGACACAGTTACGGCGTGTAATATTCACAGCAGAAGGGCTAGGAAGGCGGCCAAGGGGACCAAGCTGGACGCGTCTTGGGAAAGCATAGGAGCTGTGACAGACGCGACGGCGTCGAAGGAGAGGGTGTGAGTGGAACGCCGCACAATGGCCGCCACGTGGGACGTCCTGCGATCACGAGCGGAGTGTATCTGATAAGATGAGAAACGGCGGGGAGGGTGCGACCCTGAGGACGTGCTGGGCCCGTGCAGGGTGTGGAGGTGTGCAGCAGCGAATTGGACGGTGCAGGCTCCGGTTCGAAATAGACATGCACTCGGGGCGGTCCCATGGGGTCGCACGAGTCGGGCGCTGCAGTCCCTTGCGCTGCCTCGCTGTGTCGGACTCCACATTCCATTCAAGGTCCGCTACGAAGGCCGTCGGAAAGAGGCGCCGGAGAGCGTCGACCTCCCCTGCACTCTTTTTCCCCTCCCCGTGCTCACAACTCGACCATCATCCTCCCACATCGGCCTCCAATCGTCCCGCGCCGATTTTCCAGTCGTCCGTTCCGTTCATCGCACGAGGTGAGCAGAGTTTGCTGACGGCGCCTGAAGAAGCGATTCGCTGCGAGATGGCTTACCGACAGAGCGGGACAGCGCCGACAGGGGGGATCGCTTCACTTCGCAGTTAGTACCGCTCCCTTGGGCCTCCCCTCCGTCCGTCCGTACGCTCAACGCTTTTATGCCTCTCCCTCCGCAAATGCGCCTGCCGTCTCTCTAGCCCATGCAACATTCAAAGTCGTGCTCTTCGGATCGCGACAGCTCGCCCTCAGATATGCCCTCGTCCGCTTCCTCGGTAATTCCTCCCTCCTCCGGCCCATTCCCGCTCCCCGTCCTGACGGTCCGCCTACAGCATTCCGAGACAACGGTACCCGATCTCTTACAGCAGCTCGACACCGTCGAGAGGGCATCTGGGCCCAAGAAAGTCGAGGACCCCTTCAACTTCCGCAGCGCCTTCAAGAACGAGGCGCAGCTCTTCGACCTGCGCAAACGGCGTAAGGGCAAGGGTCTCGAACGCTACCACCGTCGACAGAACAATGTACCTCCCAGCTGCTCTCCGTAGTGGCGACGTCGCTCACGCCGCTCCACATTAGCTCATCAATGACCTTCTCAAGTCCATGGAAGACCATACGAGCGAAGCTCGAGTCGAGGAAGAGCAGTCTCGTCTTCCCGTGCGTCCGGATGTGGCACTAGGCTTTACCGACGCGGGATACTGATCACCGGCGGCACACAGGTCAAGATTGCCGTATGGGCAAGTCTCATAGCCAATCTCGCTCTATGCATCCTACAGAGTGAGGATAGCTTCCTTTCTTCGAGGGAACATGCCTGACTTTAAGCAGTGTATGCTGCGATATCGTCTCTTTCTCTGTCGCTGCTGGCGACGGGAATTGATTCGGTGTTTGACATCGGGAGCAATATTCTCTTGTTCTGGTTGCACAAGAAAGCTGCAGCTCTAGATGCTAACAAATGGCCCGTTGGTGGGTCCCGTCTCGAGACCATCGGCAACATCGTATACGGTGAGCGATACACTTTCTTCATTTTTTGATGCGCTGTTAATGACTGTGTTTATAGGATTTCTGTATGTCGGCTCATCCGTTGCTACTCACCACGTACCTTAACGGCATGTATTACAGCATGGGCTCGGTCAACCTCGTCGTCATCGTCGAGTCCGCACGCACGCTCATCACGCATAGCGGCGAGGACACCAATGCCCTCCACGTTCCCTCTCTGATCGCGGTAGGCGCGGCTCTAGGTAGGCGCCGATATGCCTCGCTCTCCCAGTCATGACCAATAGCGACTGATCATCTGTTCAGGTGTCAAGTTCCTCCTGTTCCTCTACTGCTTTGGGTACCGCGGCGCGTCGAGTCAAGTGCGCATGCTGTGGGAGGATCATCGGAACGACCTGTTCATTAACGGCTTCGGTGAGCGCCTCGGCGGTCAACTTGTCAAGGTAGGCGCGATAGACTCACAGGCTCCTCGATCGCAGGTCTCCTCATGTCCGCCGGTGGGAGTAAACTCAGGTGGTGTGAGTGCAGTCTCCCCCAACTGTCGCGGCGCGACCCAGCTCATCGCTTTCCGCTCTAGATCTCGACCCCATGGGCGCCGTCATCGTGAGTAACACGCATACGGGTGGCCAACTTGTGTTGATGCATGACTGGTGCTGTCACAGATCGCGTTCGGTGTCATCCTTGCGTGGTCTCGCACCATTTACCACCAGTTCGAGCTGCTGGCTGGGAAATCGGCCCCGCACGAGTTCTTGCAGCTCCTCATCTACAACGCCGTCACGTTCAGCGACGAGATCGAGAAGGTCGATACTGTACGCGCATACCAAGTACGTCAATCCCCTGTCTTTGTTATGCATTTGATGGCTTTAGCTGACTATCTCTTCAGAGCGGACCAGTATGCCTCAAATACCTATCCTTACTTGTAAATTCTAACCTGCGCGCAACAGGAATTCTACGTAGAGATCGACGTCGTGATGGACGCAAATACCCCGCTGTGGAAGGCGCACGACCTCAGCCAGAACCTTCAGGACAAAATAGAGGTCCTACCCAATGTCGGCCGTGCGTTCGTACATGTCGACCACGAGACGACACACGCCCCCGTACGTAGCCTCATTCGTTCTCACTATGAAGCCGTGGCGCTGAACGAATTGTTTTTTCAGGAACATCGCAAATATCAGTGATCCACAGATTCACGCTTACCTACGCAATGTGCTATGACGTCCTTCTCGGACTGCTCACGACGATGTATCTCTCACAACTTGCTGGCTCTGCTACAAATCCTGTCTTGCATAATAACGCATTGGTATCAATGCACGAATGTAAGCTATGTTCACAAGCTACGCTCTACCAAAGGATGGTCCGGTACGGAAGAATTGCATCCGGATACACGTAGGAAAATGGTGAGTGATTTATTGTGGTAGGCATCCGTACCGGCTTTAGAGACGGCTTTCCGGGACTGCGCCTGCGTCTTAGGTACGTGCATGATGTGATCCATGTCAGCCCATGTCTGATCGCTGAGCAATATTTTCTAGACCTCGGGACCCCCTACCCCAATCATTGCCCGGTCTATCACCGCTCTACTATGTCCTCTTGTTGAGCCCGGTGAGCGGTTACTAAACAATGTAGTATGCAGAGGCGGTTTGATACATCGCTTGCAGCTTTCCGACGGCTCGGATGCCACATTTGTCAGGACACCGTCACGCAGCAGCAGGACTAATCTCAATCACGTGCACGCTCATTCTCCGTTTCCCCGTTTCCTCGTAGGTTCAATGACCTCCCAACATCCCGTCTCGACGCACGAAGTTGCACCGACCGCGGGGACGTCGGCCTCCCGCAGCAAGGGCGAGGGGGCCTCGGGCGCCGGTTCATACTATGTATGCTGCGACGGTGCGAACCCCTCGCGGTCACGGTGCTCATGACAGTTGCGTTGCTGACGGAGCGCATGCAGCTCCTCACGTCAAGCAGAATGTGACGAACGTCCACCACTCCGCGGAGGGGTTCTCCGAATGGGACGTTCGTCCCCCGAGCGTGCGGACGGAAACGCTTTTCCTGCGGGATCGTCGACGCGGGCTCCGTTTCCGCGGGATGGCGGAGGCACTCAATTCTGCAAGGCTCGGCTTCCATTCATGATGCCCCCTCGCGCAGATTCCCGGTGGGGAGAAACTCGGTCTTTGGGGACGCGACGAGCGCGGCCGGCGCGCTGGGCGTCCGCGGTATACAACCTCGAGGAAAAGAACCAGCGCGTGCGGACATCGCGGGTGTGGCACTAAATAGCGGCCGGATTCTTCCCAAGATTATGCAGCAGAGGCGTTTGAAAGAGTGGGTCAGATGCTAAAGGTAGGTATGCGCGCGACGTCGCTGTTCGTGGCTTGTAGTGGCTGATATAGACGTGTTACAGGGATGCGCGCGGGCTGGAAGGCGGGCTGATAGCGCTTTAAAAAGGGGAACGTCTGGGCCATCTCGGGCGAAGGACATTCAAGATGGGCATGGAAAGCTCATGTACGGTGGAGGCACCTAATCCGAGGGTTTGGAGAGTTCACTAGCGCCCATCCCTATGTTTACCGTGGTACAGGTCCGCAGGTACTGCCGGCGTTTAGTTTGAAAGGTGTGTCTTGTAGAAACGGCGTCTTCATCCATCCTAGCATAGCTCTAGCGCTCCAAGAACAACATGCCGTCGTGTATCTGCGTAGTTGGTCGATACTTTGTGCATGAGAGGAGAGGTGGCATCCGTTCCAACGTACTGGGTTGCCAAATCCGGGAATCAACCCAAAGTAGTGGATCCACAATCTGGCGGTAGCGATGCACCCAAGTTGTTGGTCCGCGGCTCTGCGCTTCCTCTCCCGCTATTCTCCCGTATTTTTGCCGACATTCGCTACCAGCCATATCATCCTATGTTACGAAGGTACCCGACCAGCCGTCGCCATGTCTCGCACTTGGTGAGGCGCATTCGTCCAACTTGAGACTGGTCACTGGATATAATTTCGAGATCTCACGCACACGCCGGTCCGGTTGTCTCCGACTTCGAGATAGTAACCCGAGCCTGAACGGTACCGGCGGCCAGCTAGAACTTCCAGTCCTTCTACGAACCACCTGCAGATAAAGACTACAGCGTACAGACTGAGGCACTGCAGCTCAAAAATAAAGCCTTTCAGCTATAAAAAGCACGCGAGCACTGTCTATTTTCTTGCACCCACACTTAAGCTAGGCACTCATCATCTTTAGGTCCAACTCCACAATCTTCGGATTCCAGACGGACTCATCCAGAAGAGCCCGGCCATTTTGGCCTCGCGTCAGCTCAAAGGAACTGCAACTGTCAAGGGTACGGGTTTGTGTACTACTTGGTAATGACACGGCGTGCTATCGATGCTCACTGCGCATGTGTAGAGGTATACACATAAGTATTCGCCAGCTCAAGTCGTATACCAGTACACATAAGTACTGGCTATAACGGTCGGGTGTTCTAACCGATATGCAATCCTATACCCGAAGCCGGAGACAATCGCTGCCTATTTTCGCTTCGCCAGAGGTATAGATAGAGCCCGGTCAGACCGAACGAACATTTGGTGCGCCAAAACCTTCTGATACCACGGGATAGTGCTGATAGCTTATTACAAAGGATACTTCTACTGGTCACGATGCAAGCGGCGAGTAGCTTGTTTTGAACCTCAATACTCATTCTCTCTCATTCTCCACTTGGCTTGTTGAGACGTAAGCTTCTCTATGCTATCAAAGGGTTGACTAGTACAAAGGAACTGGGATTTCTTCGGAGCACAACCCACCGCGCCCTGGCAACAATTCCCGAACCCTCAACAACGCCCGACGTCAGTCTAGCTTCGCTCGCTCTCAGTAGAACCCCGCCCCGTGGAAATTCCTCGAGAAGGCAGACTACTTAGGGGGCTCTAGGCAATCGCATCGCTGAACATTCCGCTGCGAGTCTCAGCGCTGTCGACTTGTCCAGGGATCGCATCGGTACGTCCAACCGCTCCCGTCCAATTACACACACAAGCCACCTGATGCATAGGAAGTCACTCTCAACGATCGTCGGCGTCCACAGGTTCAATATTGCAGCAAGGGTCAGCACAATCGAACATGGTCATTAAATGGTGCGTGACTGCGGCCATTAAGCCACATATCCGCTCAATCAATGCGCCGCAGCCAGGGTCAGCCAGCAGGCACTGACACCGTCGAGACTCGAAAGCATCGTCCAATCCACGACTACAAATCTTGTCAAATCGGGATGAAGACCCTCGTGAGCAATGGCTCATCGACAGAACAGTCGTGGCTCAAGGGGACGTACGCTGCCGCTCTCACACTCCCGCCCACGTTGTCCCACATCCACTCCCGACCCCACCACGCTCTCTTCATTCCTCCACGGCGGCCATGTGCCCGTACAGTCTCCTGACGCGCACGCCCCCCGCAGGGCCTTCACGTCTGCGTCGCGGAGCCCAGCGATATCGCGCAATCCCCTACTCCGCCATCCGAAGCACCCTCTCGGGTGCGTATCTATATCCGGTAAGACGAGCAGCACGAGTGTGGTCGTTTCTTTCAGCCCCTGTTCCGAAGGCGGCAGTCTCTTCAGTGCTTGCAAAGTAGGTGGACGGCCAGCGTCCGCTCTATTGACCGTGATACGCTAAAAATACAGGACGATGCACCGAAAATTTGATAGTTGTGTACGAGCGCGTTAGTGATCTCCCGTGTCCGTGAGCCCCCACCGCCGTATCTTCTGGATTCCTTCTTCGTATTGCGTGAGGAGGTCGGCCGTTGGCTGACTTATCGTAGTCGCCAGACCGATCTGACGTCTAGCACGAGCGTGACCGTTGTACATCAATCCGCTAAAGGCACTCGCGGAGGAGATAGGGTACGCTGGGCCCCACGAGTCCATGAGAAGGTCCGCATCTTCTTCCATGGCGTCTAAGGGTGGTAGAGGCGGAGGCAGAAAAGCACCAGGGCCCATCGGCATGTAGCTCGCGGCCGACATCCCAGCGCGATATTTGCGGATAGCGGGCTCTTGGGTGGCCCATTCTTGGATGCTGGGAGGTGCCTCAGAATGAGGTTGATGCATGAAAGAACCCAAAGACATACCACTTCTTGATTTTGTCGTGACGGGTGAGGAAGTGGGATGCGATCACCTCCTATGTGGATGTATCAGCACCGGTGAGTATTGGTTCGTTATGCTCCTGCAGGTTGCTTACCCCCCACAGGCTGTATCTGTTGTCGTCTTCGAGCCAGTCTACGATCGCCCAGCGGGTTGTTTGAAGAGTAATGTTCTTGTTATACTGGATGCTTGCCGGGTTGGTTGGTTTTGCTTGTCCAAAACCAGGTCTGCGCCACGAGCCGTGAGCAGGGACCAGGCAGACGGGGTGACACCACGCACTCGTTGAAATACGGCAAGTCAACAAGTATCATGCTCTGGATAGACACGACAACCTGCAGCAGCGACGACTTGCGCGACCATTCCTCCTCCGGCCTACGTGTCCGTAGAGTCAGCCAGTGGACACGCTTCTTAGTACTGTCCGCAGCCTGAACCCGCAGCAGCTCACCTCCCCTGCCACGTTCCTAGAAGCGACAGACAGACCTTGCCGTTGTTGTACAAGTTTGGGTTGAAGCGCACCGTGCCGCCCCCGGTCGTGCGAAGGTGCATCAACGGCGGCGTGTTGGGGTACTCGAGCGGGATGAAACAGTCGAATTCGAACAGCCCGCCAGCGTACGGCGTCCCCTCTGGCCCTGCAATCATGATCTTGCTGTGGAGCGAATATATCGCAAGTCAACCATCGCGATCGTACCCCCGAGCCGTAACATGGACCTACATGGCGTCATTCCGTACTTCGTCCACACGTACCCACACTCCAGGAGGGAGGCTTGTGGCCATCACCGCGAGCTCCTTGACGAGGTGTAGCCGGTCCTTTGGGCTCCGCGTCGCATTCGCTGTCTGCGCGAGCTCGCGAGAGTAGTTGTAGTTGGGGTAGTCGAGTCCAGTTCCGTGGGCGCTCGGCTGGGACAGCGAGACGTGCTTGAACGCGAGGCGTTCGCACTCACGCGCATACGTACGCTCCAAATCGATAGCAGGGTCTCGTCCCTTGCCCTTCCCGGTGGACCCATTTGAGCCGGGAGTAGCGGGACGCTCGCTGAGAATGGTGGCAGGGTCCTTGCCCATGGCGACCATAGCGCGCTCGATGTCGTCCTTCACCGCGATAATGTCTCCGCACAGCGAAGTGGCCCTGACCATCATTTCAACGTCCTCACCCTCGCCTGCGCCATCGAGCATGTTGGACGCCCCCGCAAGGAATGCCTCGCATTGTTTTGTGAGTTTCTTGAAGTGCGCGTAGAGAGGCGGCGCGGGCACAAGCGTGTCATCCGAGTTGTTCGTCTCCCAGACGATCTCACCGTCGCCCCACATCCAATCTTCAAGCCCACAACTTCTCGCCATCTCGTATCGAGGTGCAGTCAACACCTACCGCAATGTCAATAACTTCATAACGCAATAAAAATGACAAATGTACTTCGAGGGTCAATTCGCAGTCAGCCATCCTGCGGAGCAGCGCAAGCATCGCACTATAGACGTCGATCCGCACAATCCAGTCCATGACCGAATCGTTCCGAAGCAGGCTACCGAGCAAGTCAGGCAATTGAGACAGCAAGAGAAGTGTGCCGGTGGCCGGATGAGGCAGCATGTCGTAGATTTGAGCATTCTCCGAGTACGGAGAGGGGAGATAGCTCGTGATGGTGTGGAGCGCACGAACAATGATCTCGTCGAAGTGGGCCGCCAACGGATCGCGTTGTGGGGTGTCGTCAGCTGGCAAAATGAACGCTGCTTTACCTCGTCGCCCCCGCCCCCGACCTCGAGCCCGGTAGGAGGGATAACCTATATGATCAAGGTTGGAATACGCCATCGCATGGATGAAGCCGCCGCCGTACGACGCACCCCCGCGACCTGTGCCGTATCCGGTGCCGCCTGGGCCGACGCTACTGCCAGGGGCTGTCTTGCGCAACTTTGCGGCCGCTTCTCGAGCTCGCTCATTTGCAGTCGCGCGTTCTCCAAGGTATTGCCTATCGAACGCGCCCAAGGCTTCGAAGAGGGCAATGACGCGCACGTCGGCGCAGCACGTTTCGAGGGGGCAATCTTCGTTCTGCATTCTTCCTTTGCACGACAGCGAGCACGACACAGAAGACAGACAGCCACGACAGTGATTTTTGCGGCACGATTTACATGGGGCATGCAGCAAGTGCAATAGATTGGGAGGTGGGACCTGTTGGGTATACATGACCTACGGAACATCTTAGACGGCGCTAGTGGCTGCGGTAGAGTACTGCGGACTTACATGACCTCGAGGGGAGGGGAGTGCGACGCCGCACGAACAGATCCGCGTCCCAGTGAACAGCACCCTATACTGCTCCAATGCTGAAGTGGGGGTTGGAACGGCTGTAGTCGTGGATTGAACTTTCGCCTTGCCCTTGGAGTTCGAGAGTTTACTTGACGAGCTCTGAGTCTCTGACGTACGAACGGGCACGACTTCCTCGAGCTCCCATTGTTTTGCAAGGCGGCGTGCAATGGTCTCGTCATCTTCTTCTTCATCGTCGGAAATGACTATAACATCGTCAGAGGCAGAATTGCTGTTACGAGCACCCGCGCCACTCGGGTTTGAGGGACCGGGAGCATCCCATTCCTCCTGCAACTGCCTGGCAAGAGCCTCGCTCTGTTCTTGAGCTTTGATCTGCGCTAGAATGGACTCGAGAGTGTCCTCGTCGTCATCGGAAATGTCCAAAGGTGGCGCGACAGAATGTCTCTTTGTCTTGGCCCGGCTCGCGCGCGGAGATTCCGGAGAGAGCGGACGTTTCTGGCCGAGCATCTGCTACCTTGTGTGCAACGCGCGACTCGAGCTGAGCGGTCTAGGATGAATTCGACGCGTGAAACGCGAGAGGACGCGAGGGGAGAAGACAAGGAGGGGCAGACGCGCCGGGCTGCGGGACGGCGCGGGTTCTGGGCAGGCCGGATTGGGATGAACGCGGCTGGCTGCTCGGCGCTCGTTGCTCAACATCTCTGAGTCTCAGCCCGTCTTCCTCCTCCTCCTTCTCGTCCGCTCTCCCATCGTCTCAGCCTCTCCGTTCTTGTATTATCTTGCATTGCTTGTCGTGCTCTCATTCACGCTGTCTCACGACTGCCCGACCTCCCACCGGCGTCTCTGCCTTCTCCACCGCCGTTAGCTTGGATCTAGACAATCCCTCACGACCCCATCTACGACCTCTTAAGTAACGCATCCGTCCTTCGGTATCAATGGTGAGTCTTTGCTCCTCAGCCCATCTGCGATGGTCGCACGATATTGCAAGCGGCTGACGGCCGAGCAGGAGAACCAACGCCAGGATCCCGAGGAGTTCTATGTCAAACAGGACCGAATTGGTGCGCAGATCACTCGCATCGTTCGTCTATTATCTCCGGAGCGCTTCACACTCATCATGGTCTCCCTGCACAGGCAAGGGGTCCTTTGGCGAGGTCTACAAAGGGTATGTTCTATTGCTTCGACACCTATCGCCGTGATTCTTGCGCCTAATACCCCCACTCTAGCTATGACAAGCGTACCCAAAAGACCGTCGCGATCAAGATCATAGATCTTGAGAGTGCCGAGGACGAGATTGAAGATATTCAGCAAGAGATTCAAATACTGTCCCAGCTCGATTCACCGCATGTCACCAAATACCATGGCTCATACTTGAAGGGATCCCACCTCTGGATTGTCATGGAGTACGTGTTTCTCCGCTCGCTGATGCTTACAAGACTGAACTTTATCCGCAGATACTGTTCAGGGGGTTCGTGCTCTGACTTGGTATGACATCACCACTTGCCATGGACGCAACTGTCTGATAGACTGCGCAGATGAAACCGGGCGTGTTCCGCGAGGAGTATATTGCTATCATAGTCCGGGAACTCCTGAGGGGCTTAGAGTACCTTCACACTGAGGGAAAGCTCCATCGAGACATCAAAGGTATGCGCCTTTGTCAAGGATCCCAAATTACACCTTCAATTTAACACCACCCTCTAGCCGCGAACATCTTGCTGTCGGCCAACGGTGACGTAAAGTTGGCGGACTTCGGTGTCTCGGGGCAGCTGTCGGGTACATTGTCTGCGAAGAAGAATACGTTTGTAGGGACGCCGTACTGGATGTCACCAGAAGTTATCAAGCAGAGCGGCTACGACCACAAAGCCGACATCTGGAGTCTGGGTATCACGGCGATTGAACTGGCAAAAGGCGAACCGCCATATGCTGAGCTCCATCCCATGAAGGTGCGTGTCGGAGTTCCTCGTTGTGCCATGCATCGCCTCCCGTTCGCCGCTCATGACATGGTCCGTACTAGGTCCTCTTCCTGATCCCGAAGAACCCACCGCCGACGCTGGAAGGTCCATTCACAAGGGCGTTCCGCGAGTTCGTATCTTGCTGTCTGCAGCGTGACCCGAAGGACGTCAGTTTCATTCATTGCTGCGAAGCTGTTCCCAGACTAAAACACTACATCAGCGCCCAACTGCCCGGGAACTTCTCAAGCACAAATTCATTCGTATGGCCAAGAAGACGAGCTACCTGACGGAACTCATCGAACGCCACGAACGCTGGAAGGCTGAGGGCGGTGACAAGGTCGAGGAGGAAGAGCGGCATCACGCTGAGGAGATGTACGTACATCTACCCGTCCATCATGCCAGCATGCACCACCACTAACGCGATGCGTCGTGGTAGGAACGGCGGTTCAGACCCCGAGGATCTTTGGGACTTCGGCACAGTACGCCATGCCGGTACCGTGGGGCGCGGGCAGCCGAACCCGGTACAGGTCTCTGGTCCACCGCTCACCTGGGAGATGAATGGCAGGACACCATCGGAGGATTCTTCCAACTCTAGCTCTACCTTCACTGCCGGGCGGCGCGGGGTGTCAGATACATCTTCAGTCGCGACGAGTGTCAACACGAAGGGCGAGCTCCCTCCCCTGCCGCCGTCCGCGCCAGCTACCACGGCACATAAACGATTTGACCAGCAGGCGACCATTCGACACGGGCCCAACGGGCTCAGCCGCGAGCCATCAGACGAGGACGATTACAATGGTGATTACGCGAGCCACCGCGAGGCCGATGACGACTTGCCAGACACGACCATGCTCGATTCGGTTGTATTACCAGCCATTGCATCGGTGCGTCTTGCCCCATCCATGCACCCGCAAATATAGCTTTGGACTGACGGAGATACGCCCGCTGCGAACACAGCTGTTCCCGCGGGTCTCAACGCAGGAGGCGCGGGTGGCGCTCAGCGCCCTGCAGCGCTCCTTCACGGACGCTGAACGCATTATACCGGGTGTCACCCTAGAGCTTATCAACGAGATCGTGGACTCGGTCGAGCGGGTGGACGAAGACCGATGAGCCTTGTTGCCACATCTGCGCTCGGTGCCCTGCGGACAATCGGCCCTTATCCATACTTTGCCTCCCTGCTGTCCTTTGCTACTGCTCCTGGACGATCATCGGCCCTACCAGCTTCTCCTATCCCCGGTCGTGCACGTCCCGTCATCATCCCCGCCGTTCCATACACATACCTAGCCATGCACTGTTACTAATCGTGCGACTGCATGTATTCCCACCACCGTCCCACCATCCCCGTCTTGGCGCACCCTCTTGTCCGGCACTGCAGTACTACCGACGATGTATACCATAGTTTTTTCCATCACCATACCAGTAATCGAAACAAAGAAACAAACGTGTATTTGCATCATCTTTACATGCGCTCACGGCGCCGCTGCGGGCGTGCTAGTGCCATCCGTCTTAGGTGTCCGTTTCTTTTCCTTCTTGCCCCCGCCCGACGCCTTCTTCTTCGCCCGCGTGACCTTGATAGGCTGCGGCGTCCCCGGGCGCGGCTCGTCGACGTCGAGGTCATACGGCGCGAAGCGCGATGGTGGCGGCGCAGCTGCGCCAGCCGCCCCATGGCCGTTCCCAAGCAACGCGGGTTTGGGTGTACCCGCCGCGGACCGCGGGGGCGCCACGGCGCCCTCAGGCATCTCCCCAGTCTTGTCGATGACGAAGGTCTGCGCTGCCGGGGTCGGTGAGCTGCGCAACCCAGGGAAGCGCGGTGTCGCCGCTGAATATACACGCGTGTCAGCACGATTTCCAAAGCCCCACGCTGATGGTGGTGGCACGGGGAAAGGAGGGCGAAGGCTAACCTTGTGCGGACAGCGGCGGCAGGTCGTCGAGTCTGACCACCGGGATGGCGTCTACGTCTGCGGCGTTCATACTCGCCGCGCGGGTCGATGAAGGCCGGTCGTCCATGAGGTAGTACGGGTCGTCCCGCAGGCGCTCTAGCCGCTCCGCCTTCCTCTGCGCAGGCGGAGCAGACGCGGAAGGGGGACGAGTTCGGTCTTTAGCATACACGCCACACGCACGGGGATGAGATCGCTCACCCGCTCCCGTTCTGCTCGTTCCTCCGCGGTCTCGGCTACGGGCGTCGGAGACGCGCTGCGCGCCCCGTCCTCGTCGTAGTCGCCGTTACCGTCGAGGATGGCCTTCGCCTTTCCTTTACGCTTCGTCTTCCCGGCATCCCTGTCCTTCTTCTTGCCCTTCTTCACCTTCTTGCCCTCGGTGTCTTCGCCCAAGTCGGCCACGGGGCCGGTCTCTTCCTGCCAGGGCACAATCCAGACGTCGAGGTCAAGCCCGTCAGGCACGGGAAGGACTGCTTGTGCACCCTGTGCGACAGCGTTGAGAGGGTGTGCGCTAAATAGCGGCTTGAGGAGGTAGAGGCTCTTCGGGAAGCGCGGCTCAGCAGACTCAGACTCTCCGAAGCCGCTCCCGCCGGCGTCACCGTACAGCGCATCCGCGCGCGGCTTGGGTTTGTGTGAAGCGAGGTCCGCACGTATGAATGCGAAGAGCTGGAGCGCCTCAGCCGCCTGCGAAGAAACGCACGTCAGTCGCCGTGTCCTCGGGCCCCAGGGCAAGGGGGCGAGCACAAGGGCAAGCGCCAGGCGGATCGCGACGTACCCGCTCTTGTACTTCGATGTCCGGATGGGCCGCGAAGCTCTGGAGGCGCTCGAGGATGTCGCCGACGACGCCCTGGACACGGGGCAAATCGTCATCGTCCCAGCGCTCGGCGAGCTCAGCTGCCCAGGACCCGAAGACCTTCAGTGCCGCCTGCACGTACACGGCGACGACATCCGGCGGGAGCGTGTTGATGCCCGGTTGGAGTAGGTGCGACAGGAGCTTCTGTGGCTCGGCGAGCTCACTGGCGCATTCAGTAATTGGCCGACCGCAGTGCACGAAATCGAGGAGACCGGAGCGCTCACCTGCAGTACTCGCCGCATATCCACGCAGCCGCCCACAGCACCTCGGGGCAGCCACCATCTTCGGGCGCGTTGTGCAGGAACGCATCATCCGTTAGAAGCTTGAGCATGAATTGCACGGCGTAGCGCTGCGCGCCACGCACACGCCCCGCGATGTCGACGAGCTGCTCCCGGATTTCGGCGCCCACATTCACGCGCCCAACGTATGCCAGGTCAACGAGGACGGAAATATACCATTCGAAGTCTGTGACGTTGTCGTACACGTCCTGGGCACCGAGCGCCAGGATGCGCTGGGCAAGCGTCAGCCTGTATGCCGGAGACTGCGCGGGTGATACGCCGGGCTTGACGGGCGGGGCCTGTGTAGAACCTGCAAACTGTGAAAGCGCTTCGGACGCCGAAGGCAGGGCGGAGGGCTCGCTCTTGACGAGGTGAGAGAGTAGGTGTTGGATGATTGGCTGAAGGTTGTGTCGGCTAACCTAACGGCGCGCGTGAATACGATTGCAATATTAGCGAGACGGGGAACAGACCATGGCCGACACAAGGTCGAGCGCGCGCATGCGGATGCTGATGTCTTCGTCGTTGACGCTGGCAAGAATCATGTCTTGGTACTCCGCTACAAGTTCTGGGTGCGTGGGCACGATCTTGACCAATGCCAGCAGCGCGATGTACTTCACTAGAGGGTCCGGTCATCGACCTGTCCCGCAAGGTGTGTGTATAAGCGCGTCTAAGCTTACAGTTTTGGTCTCGGTCTTGCAAGAAGCCCGCTAGTTTGGTAACGCACGTCCTGGCAAGCTGGCTTCCGCCGTAGCCCTGGAGCATGCCCCCGATTATACATGTCCGAACGCACTCGTACAGCAAGGATATTGCTGAAGTGGTCGAGATGAGGTCTGTGATGGGAGGCTGTAGCTTCTTCACCAGTCGAGGCTCGTGTGGGGTCAGAGTCCCGAACTATAGAGTGCATCAGGTGAAAGTACTTCCTCCCAGGAGCGGAGTGTGCCTCACAAGTTTGATAATTTTGATCAGCATCCAATTGTTCGAGGAGGTTGTCAATAGGTGGAACAGCTGAGGCGCCAATGGTAGGTAATCCCTTGGATTCTGGTGTACCAGTTCGCACAGGACATTGACCGTCGCTGCCACTACGCCTGGACAGGGTGTCAAATTATGAACAGTGGGAGTAGACGCTTTGGACATACATACCATCATCTGAGTCGTCTAGCTTCTCTCGTAGTCGGGTCATACATTGCGGAAGGACTTCCGGGTATCGGATGATAGCCTTGTAGAGCGCGAGTACTGCGCGCTTCCGTATGTGCGGCCGCGAATGGTTGAGCATCGCAATGAGCTCTGGCGCAAGGTCCCGCGCCAGCTCTGGTGTTACTATCTGTGATAGGCCGTTAAGCGCGACAGCGACGTCCTCGGGCCTTGAACCGAGGTCCTATCCTCGCGTGTGAGTACGTTACACACAAACGCGACTCTCAGGTGAGAACTCACCTTCTTAAGGAGATTGGTAGTAAGCATGAGCACATCCGTGTCCTGCTGGAACGACAGCACCGCGGCGAGGTACCCGATCGTCTTGAGGTGTATCCGCGGAACCGACATGACCTCCACGACATGGAACGATGCCCAGGACATGTCGTACCCCAACATGTGCAACTGCGCGCGAGTTATTAGGCGGTCAATCAGCCGCGGCCTTGCACGGTGAGCGCGCCGCGGCGCTGGATGCAAAGCACGTACGTATGTGAGCTTGAGCACGGCGGCGGCCTTGATCTCCATGTCCTTGCTCTTGATCTCGTTGCGGATCTCGTCCACGGCCTGGGCGATGAACTTGCTCTCATCCTTCTTGTTGGCGCGCAGGCCGCGAATGAGGTCCTGGAGCGTGCGTTCCCACATCGTACAGCTATGGGGCTTTTGCCACGTTCAGCAGGATGTCAGGCGGTATACGGAGCCTGGCCGGTGTGCCAGTGTATCAGGCACAAGTTCGGGTATAGCAACGTTAGCAGATGTGGCTTCGTGAGGTCATACACTAGGCGTGGACTCGTATAGATGTGCAGAGCGGGCGACAGGCGCAGTATTGTGTCGTGATGAAGACCCAGGAGCGTCGCGCAGCTGAGGCAGGTAGTGGTAGTAGCCAAGGTGTGGGCAAGAAGATACTGAAGCGGCCGAGTCGAAAGACTCGGAGTGCCGCAATGCTGCTCTCTGCCGCTCCGCTCTCAAGCGAGGCGCAATCGTTTCCATTAGGCAGGTCGCTCCCAGCACCTGACCAAACGCGCGCCTACCCGATCGCGTCCCGAACAAATGTGTCTGAGCATTCGCAAAGTCCGAAGCATCCTATGTTCAAGATGCTACTAATATATAGGGCGCATTTTATACATCCGATAATGTCCAGCTAGATCACCCACAACTCAATGGAACTCGAACGCCAGCCACTCCGGCTCGATTCGTCCGTCCACATCGACATCCACCCATCGCCGTCGCTTGCGATTAACCTGTCCCATGGCGTAGTCCCCATTCCCGTCAAACCCAAATGCACGGTCAAAACCAAATCCAAGGGCTGCCATGCGGCATACGTTCGAGCTAAGCAAGTACGCGTCAGATGTGAGTGCTGTGACATGTTAAGGTAAACCGCCGAGACTTACCCCAGTCCGCAGACGACTGCCGCAGGCAAAATCTCTCCCGGCCACGCCCACATCCCGCTCAGCATTGCAAAGTCCACGATCATACCCCTCGTCAGCCGTATCCGCTCATCGAGCGGGTCCTGGTCGAACTCGCCCTGGACATAAGCGTGTTTCGGGGCGAGCGCCCGCAACGCCGGATTCGTGTTGTGTTCGAGCGAGAACACGGCCGTTGCCGGAGGGAACGCCGCGACAAAATCGCGCGCTGCAGGGGGCGAGTCCGACGCGAGCCACGTTATGGGCGCCGCCGGATAGTGGTCGGGTCGGCCAGAGGACACGTCGGCCTGTGCGCGCGTAGCGGGGGCGGCGGGCGTGCCCGACGCGTTAGCGTTGGCGTACAGCCTGTCCCAAGTCTCGCGCGCCCCGGCGACGTAGTTCTCGAGCGGGACCTGCTTGTCCGGGTAGAACATGTACCCTTCGGGTCTGCGGTCGCCCTTGCGAATGTGCACGCCGATGTACATCTGTTGCGCGGTCGTCGCGGCGTTGCTCGAGACGCCGTCGGCGTTGGGGTCTCCGACCGGGAGCGAGGGCAATGAAAGCAGCTCGGCAACCTCCTTGCGTGCGCTTCGGATGAGCTCGGCGAGGTGGGCGTTCGGCCGGATGACCTCCTCGAACGACTTTAGGGCGCGTTCGTAGATCGGCCGCAGGCGGTGCATGCCATGTCCATAGCTATAATTTTATCGATGCGCAGGGATGATGCGACGGCGCTGGTGTGAGAAGCCGTGTGGTAACTGAGAACAGCGCCTGTACGTACGGGTCCTCGTATTCTTCGGCGAACGGATGCCCCATGTGGAACTCGGCGGTGCGAGAGCTTATAACCTAAAAGCCAGAACTCAATGAGCTCAGCGTTCGTGGTGGGGTCCGACGTCGGAAGAACCCACCCAGTGTCTGTCGCACGGATGAGCAAAAGAAGTACACGAATTACTAGGGCGCGCACCTCGCTGTTCTTGGGCATGCAACCAGTTCTGCGGAAGGCGCGGTATGGCTGTGTCAACACAAATATCGAGCGGAGTGTGGGGTGGGTTCCATACCTTCCCGAGGGGGCGGTAGACATCCAGGTTCCGGTCCCGGGTCAAGACCTTCGACGGGCTGGAAATGGTCGATCCACCTGCGTAATGTATCAGAGCGGCCGTCATAGTACCACCCGGCATTCGCACCACCTCCGGAGACTCACTTGCCGCGGGTCCAATGTGTATCATCTACAAAGAATGTCCGATTACGCTGCGTAGAGATCAATCATACGTTCATTGCAGAGCGGAGTAGGCGGTATGTCGTACTCACCTCCCGCGCAAAGGCCGCGGCCTGTGCCATTAGCGCAAGGTCCGCCATAAGGCCGACATGGCCATCGAGCAGATAGGTGATAGTGCTTTTGCAGACGCGGGTTCGCTGGCCCTCTGCCATATGGTAGTTCGTAACGTCGTCGTGATGTACAACATCGTGTGTGCCCATGCGGGGCTCCTCCCAATATTCGCCGTGGTGCATGAAACCGGACATGAGCGTCGCGCACTCATGCCGGTATTGGTCGCCGGTCAGCGGGAAACTGGTGTAGTTTTCGTAGGATATGAGAAGGTCTGGTGGGGGACGTGTTTCCACTATAGATGGTGTGGGCAGAGGCGGAGGTTTGTAGATAGGACGTGCAGTGTGTTCGTTCTCTGGTGTGACCGGCTCTCCCGACTCAAAGAACTCTTCTGGAGACTGCAGAAACGCAGCTTCGAGAGCTCCGGGACGGTTGATAGACACGACCACAAGCCCAAAGAGGAAGAGGCTCAACACCGTCCCAGCAAGTAGTGGCAGGTTGCTGAACAGGTTCTTGGGACTGAGCAGGCCACCCTTTGTCCGTGGCTCCTCATCTCCGCGACTCCTGTAGCCCGCCTCGCGCGGATTTGAAGAAAGCAGTGGTTGGGACTGAGTATTTTTGCGATACTCGCGCGCTTCCTCATCTTGGAACTCCTCGAGTTCGACCTCGGTGAAGCCCTCTTCGGCGCGTCCGGCGCGTGAATGAGGTGTCCGTGGCGTCAGAACACGGTAACCATCGCGAGATGGCCGCCCAGAGACGAGAATGTCTGGTAAAGGACGCGGCGGCATCGCCAAGAGCAAGGTGAGCACGATGCGCTGTGGTCGAGCTAAGCAGAGAGGGGTGGAAGGGCGAGGAACGGTCTCAGTGCTGTCGCCGGTGCCTTCTCCCGGCTGGAGGAGGGACGGTGTGGTGACTTGTGGTGACCGGTCGAGCCGTCGCGCGTCTCCCCCACTGCCACAGTCACAGACGCGCGACAGTCACGGGTCACGCGTCTGTAATATACACCGTCACCGTCACGCGCTGACCGTCGCGTCCACATTTCGGTCGGTCGACAACGCAAAATTCTCGTAAACTAGTCTCACGTTCGGAGGCGGAGGACAATCGTTCTTGTCGAAGGGAGGTTGGACCTATGTGTACGGAGTGGTGAAGACCCCCGTGGGAACTGGAGTGAGTCGAATCTGCGAGGGAGAAACAGACAGGCGCTGAACATCGAATGGGTACCCATGACAGTCTCTTTGTCGCTGCGAGCCTCAATCCCCGTCAGTGGCCGAAGATATTAAGGACATGCAGAAATTCCGCAGGCAACCCAATCCCCTTTTTTCATTTCTTGTAACAGCAAGAAGCGTGTGGGCGAGGGTGAAACCGGGTTGAGACTCCCCAGGTCCCATCGTTCTAGCCTAGACGTCGACAAGGTTCGCGACGGCGTCGAGCAGGCCCCATCCATCGCTGAAGTTGCGCTCGGACTCGAGGCGCAAAGTTGGATGAAAAACTGACGAGATGGTGATTCGGGATCGTCTAGGGTTCTCTGAAGTCATGCACACGTTAAGGCTGACCAACCTCAGTACCCAAAAGCCTCCGAGCGCGGCCGCCTAGACGGCCCATCGCACACCGACGGAAGATCTTCTCCATCCAACTGGTCGAAATGTTCCCTGCATGCTGCGCGCGACCATCCCCCGAGGAATCCTCCCGTCCACAGATCTCCCGTGGCCTTCCCCACCTCCACGCGCCGTGCCCCGACCCGCATGACGATCATGCACAGGGACCCCCTCGGACAAGGATCGTCTCCGGGCATTTCTGACCAATGGCTGCCGACGTGGCCTGCCAGCGCACGCGCCACGCTGCTGCCCCGCCCGCATCACCTGCCACTACGCGTCTTCCAAGGCCTGAACGCAATGCCGAATACAGATATGCGCAGAGCGGCGCAGACCACGTTTCCCCTCCCCCGCGATGAGCGGTCACTCATAGGAAGCAACTGCTCCCGAATCGCCCTCGACCTCGCTCATGTGGCTTTCTCCCGTTGGGAGCGCCCGCCTAACAGCCGGCTACTATCACCCCACAAGGCAAGGCTCGGACGGATTCCGCTTGGTATGCCGGGCACAATCGATGCTTGACGTCAGGCGTTTCTCCCTCATATCCGACGCGATCCGGCCATCTACAAGCCAGTTCCTCAGCAGCCATGCCTTATGCAGCAACTCACTCAATCGCGGTCCGTACTCCCCTCCTCCGGCTAGCCCCCCGTCCAGCGGGTGCAAACACCCCCGCAGACTATGGGGCTGATCGTGGCGCGACATAGCAGCCCGGAGGACTGGTTCCCCACCCGCATCCCTACTGCCAATGAGGAGAAAGCGCCAGGGCCTGCGCGGCCGCTGCGTCGTCATGCATCCTACCTTCCTCCTTTGGGGCCCGCACGCCCACACAACGCCCGCGATCCGATCACGATGCACCTTACGTGTGCCTCCAGGAGTTGTCGAGAACCCCGGGGTCCGGCGCCCGGGCGCCCGCGGGACGCGAGCGCGGCCGTCAGCTGCAGGGGTGCACGCAGCCACAGGTCCACCGAGGACGGGTGGGGCGCGCGCACAGGCCGAAGAACCCGCTCCCGAGCTGGCTGTACGCGCTTCTGCGGACTGGCCGATTCGATCTCTCCGCCGGCCAGGCACAGGCAGGGAAGCAGGCCAGGTGGCCCCGCTGCTGGCCCTCCCGATGCATCACGGCATGCACCAAGGAAGCGCACGCGTCCCCCCAGCGCGTCCTTTTTCCGGCTAGCCTTCCTCTGGCCTGGTTAGGTCTGAGATGCGGCCAGCAGAGCACAGCGATGGCGCGGGCATGATAAAAGCCTGCGTAGGATCGGCAGCTCTGCCAACCCCGGATCCGCACCGAACAGAATGCCTGGCCTCACCACCTTTCCGTCTTTCCCCTCCGACGTCCCCACCCATGCCCTCCTCGTGGTCGACTACGAGCTTCTCGTAGCCGGGGACGAGCACGAGCTAGCTAAGCTCTGGCATGCCGCCACCCACCTCGGCTTCTGGTAGTACGTACACGCTGCCTTCTCGGTAGTCATGCATGCTGATCGACGGTACTAGCATGCGCAATCACGGCGTCGAGTGGGAGGTCGACGCCATGTTCGACCTCGGCTCTGAGACGCTCGCCCTCCCGCTCTCTGAAAAAATGAAGTATGAGCAGGGCGACAACGGCGACTCATTTGGGTAGGCTCCTCACCGGTTCCGACGGCGATACCGAGCGTGGTGCTGAGTCCAATTGACAGATACAAGGCCCGTGGCACCATTGCCACAGACCTGAACGGCACCAGGGACACAGTGGAGTTCCTGAACATCGCACAGGATGACGCCCTGTCCTGGCCGCGCCCCACATACCGCACCTACCCCTCCACCGTCAACGCGCGCATGGACCGCGTCGTGGGCCCCTTCGTTCGCAAGTCAATGGCGGTCAACAACACGCTCCTCGACATCTTCGAGCGGCGCCTCGGCCTGCCGAGGGGCGCCATCGCCAAACTGCACGCGACGGACGAGCTCTCCGGGAGCGAGGCGCGGGTCGTGAAGACACCCCCGAACCAGGCCAGCGCAGGCATCGGAGCCCACACCGACTTCGGCACGCTCGTACGTCGCCTATCGGGGGATTTACCTCCTTCGCGTGCTTACCCGTTTCGGCAGACGTTCCTCCATAACCGTCTGGGCGGCCTCCAAGTGCTCCCGCCCGGCTCCCAGGAGTGGCAGTATGTCAAGGTAAGCATCGGGCGGCGGCTTCGGCGCGCGGGCCTAGGCTAACAGGTCGCCCGCAGCCGCTTCCCGGCCACGCCATCTGCAACGTCGGAGATGCGCTCGCGATTTTCAGCGGGGGCGTGCTGCGCTCGAACCTGCACCGGCTTATGTGAGTGCCTGCCCCACATCGCAAAGTATGGCTAGCGTGCGCAGTTTTGACGTCTTCCGCTCAAGGCCCCCGCCCGGACGCCAATCGCGCTACGAGCGGTATTCTGTCGCGTTCTTCACACGGCCCCAGAACGACGTCGTCCTCCGCCCGCTTTCCGAGCAGAGTAGGATGATCGCGGACGCGGCCGCGAAGAACCCAAGAGAGGAGTTCAGCACTGGCTCGACGGCCGGAGAATGGACGTCGCGGCGTATCAGGAAGCTGAGGCTGAGGAACCGAAGGGTGAGCGCCGATGTTCGCAGTGGACGCGTTGACAAATGATACTCACACATTTCGGCATGCTCACAGGGTCCTGAGACATGGTACGAGGCCAAGGGCACTGAACACCAAATCGCCACGGTCGGTGCGGGCACGGTTGCCGCTGCGGCGTAGGATGGAAGGCGGTGTTCGCTATCGTCGCGATTGATTATGGGTACTTTATTACTGTGTTAAACTGCCTGACTGGTAGATTGCTCCCCTGTACAGATAACGTGTTGTATACTTAGCTCCGTCTGCAGCTTAGTGCTTCCGCTAAACGTTCTAATATACGTTGTTGTATCACTCCACTGAGACCCGGTGACTAGTGGGCTGCCTTGTTCACACGTACCCCGTTTGCCGCGGAACAACTGGTATGTTCCATTGATGTTGAGCTGGACCTTTGTGGCTGTAAAGCCGAGGAAACGAGAGATGTCGGCCAGGGCAGTGTGAGACTCGGTCACGGTGCAAAGAAACTCGGGAATGGCGAGCGTCTAACAGGTAACCGGTAACACGGCACGCGGGCCGGAGCCGTCGACTCTACTGAACGCCCAAGTATAGCCACAAGCGTAGGGTTGGGTTGTACTTAACTCCCTACCACCATTGCAACCTCGCGCACGTCTATCTGAAGTCGCACTCAAAAGTCGTGTACGTATGGTGTTTAATTGAGCAATGTCATGATAACGTCTGACTGTTATCTCGTAGTCAAATTGCGGACATAGCGATCCTGCTACCTTATTCACTAGCCCCGGCCCTACTCCTACTCGGGACCGCCACAGCTATCACCGGCCGCTGCAGCTCACTCCGCCGAGCCTCACACCCTCACGCCCAGCATGAGTACTCTGACACCGAACGAGTAAGCGCAAGTTCGCTCTTCTCCCAGCAGCAGGAGTCTAACCTTGCCCAGCATCGAAATCGCCACTCGGGCAGCCGAGAACTTCACGCGTCTGTACTACACCACCTACGACTCTCCGACGCGCGTAGACGACCTGCCCAACTACTACCGAGCAAACTCCGCCCTCACCTGGAACGGCCGCCCGTTCGAGGGCGTCGACGGCGTGCGCGAGCTCGTGAGCGGCATCCCCCCCACAAAGCACGAGGTGCAGTCCTTTGACTGCCACCCTATCCCTGGTGGGCCTCGCACGCTCTGCGATCCGCTGCACACGACTGACGCTTTAGCTCCCGCGACCAGGCAGCCAGCCGCCTTCCCTGCTCGTCACCGTGTCGGGGATTGTCACCCACGGCAAGGGTCCCTCAGGGAACCCGCCGAACACGCCCCACAAGGCCGTCGACGGCCACCCGCGTGTGTTCTCGCAGACGTTCGTGCTCGCTCCGGACCCGAACGCGCCCCCAACGAAGTCTGGGGAGGTCGCGAAGTACTACATCACGGCGGACGCATTGCGCTTTGTCGGATAGGCTCACGCCGCGCCTACTGCACGCGATCGTCATTGTACGTGCTGCGCTGGTCTCCCAAGAGTTGACAATCATGCTCATGCAGTTCTCCCGGCAGGCACGCCAGCCCTCGACACGTATAGCACGATGTTCCGTCCTTGTGCCCGTACGGGCCCTTTCGCAGGCCATATGACCCCTCGAAGCAAACGTAACACGCCCCTCGAACTCGTAAAGGCGGCACAGAGTCCCTCCGCGAACGCTGATGACGATATACATACGTATCCGCAAAGAGAATGATGCGCATTCCTGTACATCCACGCGCACAGCCAGGCGCCGTAGCAAAAACGTCATTACAATGATATACAAGTACAGCACGACAATATCCCGAGCGAGTCCACAGCAGCAGCTTATCAACCAAACGTTTGACTCTGCGACAGGCGTGAGCACCACCGCAACAGATCGAGATAACAATCCTACGTACCGAACGTGCACTGCGCTTGACCTTCGACAGCCGCCACTCGTCTGGCTTCTCGTACTGTAGGGATCGGTCAGCGCCCGCCTCGCGGCTGCGAGGGGTGGCGTACGCACCTTGTTGAAAAGCGGCTCGATCTTCTCCTGCCGCTTGCGCTTACTGATCTTGTTCGCGTCCGCGACCTTGAAGAACTGCGGCGCAACCTCCACGAGCCACTTGGGCTCGATCGCGGTTACGTTGTGGCAATACTCGCGCGTGGTGAGGATCAGTTCATGGTAGATGCACCACTCCGGATTGCGGTTGAAGAGCGCTGACGACGGGTGGATGTAGACGGGCGTGCCCTCGACGAGCGTCTTGTAGCCCTCCTGCGGGTCCTTTTTCGCGGCATTACGGAAGTACCCTGAGCAAATGGCGCGGCGCACGCGGTTGTAGTCCTTGCCAGCGGAGATGATGTCGTGTTTATACCTGTCATGGTGTCAGACGCGAGAGCGTTAGGTACAGAGTAAGTGTGAACATACCTATCCATGATACCGAGTAGCTGTTTACGGACATCCTGTGCACGCCGCATGCTCCGTGCCTGGATGAAGTTCTCGTAGCACCAGGGGTTGGAGAAGTTGCTCGCCTTCCACCCGTTGTACACAGTGAGTAGCGTCAGGTGGTCACCCTCCGGCTGGTGGAACTTCGCCTTCTTGGAGTCCGCCTGGCCCTGTTTCTCCTTCGGGCGGTAGAAGACGCTCTGCACGGACAACATCGCGACGATGGACAGAATCTCCTCCGAGCATCCGAGTTCGACCGAGGCGATGAGCATCTTCGCGAGGGGGGGCTCCATAGGGAAGTCGGCCATCTTGCGGCCGAGGCGCGTCAACAGACCTTCGTCATCCAGGGCGGAGAGCGCGTATAGTGACTCGAGTGCCGTGATCATGGTCGGTGCCGGTGGCGGGTCCATGAAATCGAAGCTGAGGAGGTCGTTGATGCCCATCGCCTTGAGCATCAGGATCGTGTGCGACAAGTTCGTCCGCTGGATATCGGGGATGGAGTTCGGCAGCATCTCGTTCCTGAACGCCGCCTCAGTATAAAGGCGATAGCACTTCCCAGGACCGGTACGACCAGCGCGACCGGCACGCTGCCGCGCCTGCGCCTGTGAGATAGGCATGACGACCAGTGAGTCCATACCAAGACGGGGATCGTAGGCATTCTGTTTGGAGAAGCCGGGGTCGATGACATAGTAGATACCAGGAATGGTGAGACTGGTTTCCGCGACGTTGGTTGCAACGACGACCTTGCGGGCACCGGGAGGGGTGGGCTCAAACACGCGCGACTGTACCTCGGACGGAAGGGCGGAGTAGATGGGCAGGATGATGAGTTCGGGGACCTTGGGGCCAAGCGCCTTCATACGCTCGTAGAGGATCTCGCACGCCGTGTCGATCTCCTCCTGACCCGTGAGGAAGAGAAGGACATCACCAGGTGGTTCAGAGAGATGGATCTGCATGACAGTGATAAGCGACGCATCGAGATAGTCCGTCTCGGGCTCCTTCGTGTAGAGGACTTCGACAGGGTACGTCCTACCAGGGATGGTGAAGATGGGACACCCGAAGAAGTACTTCGAGAACTTCTCAGCGTCAAGGGTAGCGGAGGTGACAATCAGCTTCAGGTCTGGTCGGCGTTTGATAGCCTCTGCAAGATGCGTTAGGTTATGAAACGCCCTTGAGCGCAAATAGTACTCACTCTTGAGCAAACCAAACAGAACATCGGTGGCTATTGTACGTTCGTGCGCCTCGTCCAGCATGACGACAGAGTATTGGCTCACGTCGGGGTCGATAAGACATTCTCGCTGGAGCATACCGTCCGTCATGTACTTGATGCGAGTTTCGGGGCTGGTGCAATCCTCGAAACGGATGGTGTACCCGACTTCCTGACCCAACCGACAGCCTACTTCCTCCGCTACACGCTTGGCCACGGACATGGCTGCGACACGTCTGGGCTGTGTGCATCCAATCCGTCCCTTGTCAGCAAAGCCTGCCTCAGCCAAGTATTGAGTCATCTGAGTCGTCTTCCCGGAGCCAGTGTCACCAACAACGATGAGGACCGGATGCTACAACAACGTCAAATAATTATTTTGTGCGGCCGTAAAGATGATGCATACCTCGCGAATAGCCTGGAGAAGCGGGTCGCGCAGCTTGTAGATAGGTAAGCTCTTGCGCTGCTCCTGGATGCTCATGTGGGTGATCTCTCCGAACGTTGTGGCCTTGTTGAAGGTGGCCTCCTTCCACTTCGGCTGCTCGCCGGCCTTCTGACCGCGAATGTTGCCCCGGAGATCCTGAGCAAACACGCGGTCGCCCTCCTTCGCCATGGGGTCGAGCCAAGGGGCACTGAAGTCGCGCGCCTCCGAATCTGCCTCCTCGTTCGCCTCCTGCTGCCGAAGCTCACGACGCTCCTTGGCTAAGGATGCTCCTGCGACCGCAGCACGGTTGAGCGACCCGTCCGGTGCCTTGACGATCTTTACAGGACTCAGCTCCAGCGTCTTCTTCGTCTGGCCTGCCAGGAACGGGGGTTCCTCTTCCTTGACCTCGACGTCTAGTTCCTCCTCTACTTCAGCACGCGCCAGGGGGTTGGCGAAGTCCTCGTCGAGATCGGGGTACTCTGAAGCATCAATGGCACCGGATGAGATGAGCTGCTTGATTTCCCACCGCTCTGGAGAGGTCAACCGCTTAGCTGACCTGACCACTTCGACTTTGCTTTCACGGGAATTGAGGGGAACGGCATTTGCACCATGCGCCGCGCGTTGTTGCTCCTCAGCGACCATCTCCGCCTCTGACTTGATGCGTAGATGAGGTGTCAAGTCACGCCCGGTTGCTTGGTCTACGTCCTTCATGGAGAGTCCAATTCGGGTTCCGGCGAGACTCATCACTTTGACCTTCACAGCTTGCCCGCGTGTCAATAGGTCAGAAGCTGCGTTCGCACGCGCGCCCTGCTGAATGTTGGAAACATGCACCATGCCTATACAAATGATGAGTCTGCGAAGAATACGGCAGTGCTAGCGAACATACCTTCTACTCGACCGGCAATACCCTCGAGCTGGACGAATGCCCCGAACTCCTTCAGACCGTTCACGCGACCGTCATAGATCTTGAAGAGCACTGGCCGCTCGTCAACCTGCCTACCACGATCGCCCCTACCTCGCCTGTCATCTCGTCTGTCATCATGGCCACGCCCTCGGACGGGGCTTGGACTTCGACGCCGCGGAGGAGAGCGGGAACGAGAGCGCCTTTGACGCTTCGGAGAGCGGTCGTCTTCTGTTGGTCTAGGACGCGCTTTCTTCGCCCCGCCCTCGAACTGCGACATCAAGTCGTCCACCTCCTTCATGATAACATCCTTCCCATCCTTGGTGACGCTAGGCTGCCAACCCTGATCCTGGAGAGCGAGGCCGGGGAACAGACGCTTCTTCTTGTCCGTCTCATCAATGGCGGCACCGTCCCCAGAGCCGCTGTCCTTCCCTACGACATTGATTTTCTTCTTGTGCTTCGGATGGAGCGTGAGGATGAGACGGTCGACATTCTCGATGAAAGAGTCGGGGAAGTTGGCGCCGACTTCGCGCAACTTGTCCTTGAAGTCTGGGAGGGATTTGGATTGGTCATGGAGGGAGATGACGAACTCGGCGAGAGTCTTGTCGGTGAGCCCAGTGTGGTTGTTTATCTCCTGAGTAATTTTGGCGACTAGGGAAAGAAACTCGAGGTTGTAGATGTCCGAATCAGCCATAGTCGTGGAGGAAGAGACCCAGGCCAGATGACGACCAGCTAGGACAGGTGAGAGCAATTGCAAGCAGCGTCTTGGTTCAGCTCGGATCGGAGCTTGGTTCGTCTGAGCCACGCTGACTCAGTAAGCGCCCTTTAAAGTAGTTGTGGGTGCCGATAGGCGTCTATCACAGTCCCTCACAAGTTCTCTGAAAGCATCGCGCATGCCTCCCAAGAGAGGCATCGTCAGGTCCGGAAATGCTGGGAACTCGGCAAAATCAACAAAACCAGCGGAGACCCAGTCCAACACGCCCGAAGAGAAACCTCTGTTTCCACCAGGGTCGAAATATCCTCTGAGCTTGCTGCACGAAAGGTACGGAAGTGTACCGTACTAGTGGGCGACCATTTGACTAGTTCAGCAAGCTCAAATGTGTAGCTTGCGAGCTAGAAAATTGTCGTCTGACTTGTATCTTATGACCTTTAGAAAACTGACGTGCCACACAGATGCCAGAAGAATGGTTGGGAGAAGCCCAGCGTTGACTCGGTACCTCCCGCCACGGCTTATTCTCACCGTGTTGTGCTTTCATTCACGCCCCTCGATATAGCGGCGGCAACCAGATGGCTACTCTTTCGTTGTCACGCTGAACCGACTTAACAAGAAGACTTCTGAAAGGGAAACCGTACGGCTGGAGCCGCACCCTCCGTTTGTCATGCCCAGCGCTCTCGAAGCACGCCACTGGGGTGCAACGTATGCTCTATATCGCGTACGTCGTCTATTTCTCGGTTATCTTTAACGTCGCGCTGAAGGGAAATGGTAAGTTTTGCAACGGTATTCAACTGAACAGAGTGTTGCCTCCCGGACCTCGAGAGTACTGGAACCAGTTAGCTGTGGAACACCATGCTGCTCCTGAACATCAAAACTGGATGTACGAGGCAGACCCCTTCGCCGCTCGCAAGGTTGTAGGGGAACGACAGGAGAAAGCCGCCAAGAAGAAGGAAGACGGTGGCCGCGGTCAAGGGAGCGCCGACCGCGGACCTGGGGCTTCCGACTATGCGAGCGCTCCCGAAGCGAAAATGGCTACAACGCTCAGGGACTTTGTCGAAGATGCAGTCAAGAAGGTGCCGTATGTTGGAGTCCCCTGATTCACATTCGCTCATGATCCGTGCAGGGAATCGCCCTGTATCCTGAGGCGGGCGGCGCGGAACCTGTACGCCTTGCGTCCGAAGATACACCCCGTCTCACTAAAGATCTGGGGCTCCTTGGGTTCACTCCAATACAAACTCGGAATGCCATCAAAGCATTATCCGAGCCTTCGCCATTAACGACGAGCTTACTAGCCCGCCTTCCCCCACTGCAGGCCTGCATAGAGTTCCTCATTCTACAGGTGCCGGAGTGCGATCTTCCTTCGCGATTCCTCCCCTCTGTCAACTCCTCAAACCCCTTCATTACCGCGGCACACTCTGGTGCTACTGACCTGAAGAGACGTTGGGTCGAGGAAAAGGCTGTGAAAGAATGCGGATGGCCTGAGCACGTCGTCAAGGAGTGCACCTCAGACTCTAGGCTTGTTGAAAACTGGCCCCGGCTCATCTTTGCATTGAATTGTAGGTTGTTGGGAGAGGATTGGGAGGATGCAGAGAAGATCGAGCCGCAAGAAAAGGAAGCCATCGACCAGGACGAGTCTGATGCCTTGGAAGTCGAAGTGGGCACGAACGGCGAGCTGGTCATCCCGTTGCCCACTGCGCCGCTCAAGCTGCATATCATTGCCCCGGACCGAGTGCTATCAATTGGCGGTACCCATCCGCCGATGTATCTCACGTCGCCCTCCGTGGCAGCCTACGTTCGGCTTCATATCATTTCGAGGCTGATCCACACCTTCAAAGCGGACTCGTTGCGAGACCCGGGTGACTCGATCTTCCTGTCGGTCATGCGGTTTGTAGAAGAGGAGTGGGCAGTCATTCAAGACAACGGCCCGCCAAATGTGGCTGAAGTTCTCCATCACCTTCTTCCCCGAAACGAAGCAGCTCCGTCCCCGGCAACCGCCGCACGCACTCAGACGTCTTCTACCAATAGACGCACCAGAGCACCCAGACGTGATGACAGACCAGATGGGCGCGTCAAAGACGAGTTCGAGCAGCTCACGAGGAAGGTCGAGTATGCTAAGGTCCTGGCGGGCCGAGAAAAGTTGCCCGCCTTCTCATCGCGGGAGCAATTTCTGGACATGCTCAGGAACAATCGCTGTGTCATCGTTGTAGGCGAGACTGGTTCGTCCCTCACGTTCTGAAATGAATCACCCTGTACTCACATCTCTCTAGGATGTGGAAAGACGACACAGCGTACGTCCTCAAAACGGTTTACTTTCGCAGGACGACCTCTGACAACTTGCTGCAGTGCCTCAGTTCGTCTTAGACGACCTCATCAAGGCAGGGCATGGCTCGAAAGCGTCCATCATCGTAACACAACCTCGTCGGCTGTCTGCTCTCGGTGTCGCTGCTCGTGTATCCTCCGAGCGTCTCGACGATGGCTCCGTGGGATACGCCATTCGTGGCGAGTCTAAGCAGACCACAAGAACCAAGATTCTCTTCTGTACTACCGGTGTCGTACTCCGGCGCTTGGGCTCAGGAGACAAGCTAGACGATGTGACCCACGTCGTTGTGGACGAGGTAATTCGGCTAGAGCCACCGGTCTGAGTACTTACTGACCGCTTCACAAATCCCGGACAGGTACACGAACGCTCGGTCGATGGCGACTTCTTGCTCCTCGAACTGCGAGAGCTTTTGAAGACACACCGCAAGCTGAAGGTCATTCTCATGTCTGCGACCATCAATCACGAAGTCTTCATACGATACTTCAACAATGCCCCTTTGCTGAGCATACCCGGGTTTACGCACCCTGTCGAAGACTTGTGAGGCTCACGCTTGCAATTCCCCCACAACCACTCATCAGCGGCGCAGATACTTGGAGGACTACTTCCCGCGTCTTAAGTACCGGCCGTCAGGTGCCAAGTCTTTCAAGAAAGGCCGGGGCAGAGATGATGATGCAGATAACTCCGAACTCGACGACGACGTTCAGGGCGTAATCAAAGCGATCATGCGGTCGGACTCCTTCGACTACGATGTAAGTGCCCCAGCATTTCTCGTGTTACAAGGCGGATGACTGAGTCTGCCTCTTAGCTTATTGCTGCCACAGTCAGCCATATCGTTTCCACTGCACCTAAGCGCGGCGGTATCCTGATATTCTTATCAGGCGTACAAGAGATTCGCCAGTGTACGGAGAGGCTGCGAAATGTACCAAATTCGCGAGTCTTCCCCCTTCACGCAAACCTCTCAAGCGATGAGCAACGGGTCGTATTCGCACCAACCTCTGAGTGGAAGATCATCGTTTCGACAAACGTCGCCGAGGTAAGACGAGGCTATATTCGCGTAATTCAGCACACTCACATTTGTTCCCCCAGACTTCGGTCACGATTGACGATGTCATATACGTGATCGACGGTGGCAAAGTCAAGGAGACCCATTACGATCCCGACGCAGGCCTGACACGGCTGACCGAGCAGTGGATCACCCGAGCGGCTGCGCGTCAGCGTCGAGGTCGTGCCGGCCGTACCCAACCCGGCGTTTGTTACAAGCTGTACACCCGGGGGCAGGAGAAGAAGATGGACCCCTTCCCTATTCCGGAGATCAAACGTGTCCCACTGGAGAGCATTGCGCTCACGCTCAAGGTAGTGCATAATGACGTGAAGGTACGTATACAGATACAATGAACGGAGGGGCGCCAAACTGATATCATTGTGAAGTCGTTCCTCTCTCGAGCAATCGATCCGCCAGATATCTCCGCTGTCGATAAAGCGCTATCGGTTCTGGAGGAGTTGGCGGCCATGGCCCCTGATGGCGAGTTAACAGCGCTGGGCCGGCATATGGTGCGTTACCACTGTTACGCCCGAGTATCGGAGCATCGTGCCAATTTATTTCTTAGGCCATGTTGCCCATGGATCTGCGTCTCGGAAAGGTACGCACACTAAAGAAATGATACGCTTACCCGGTCTTACTTACGACGGTACTAAGATGCTTATTCTGGGGACGGTCTTCCGATGTCTGGGGCCTGTTCTCACTATCGCTGCGTGTCTGTCTTCGAAACCTCTGTTTGTTAGCCCGATGGACAAGCGGGAGGAGGCAAACCAGTAAGCTCGTGTAATTACTCGGTGCCTACAACGATACTGACGGTTTACATAGGGCCCGCGCGAAGTTCGCTACTGGTAATAGTGATCTTCTAACAGACGCCAACGCGTACGAGGAATGCGCTGGACTCCGGGCCAAAGGGACACCCAATGCCACCATTCGCGCGTTCTTGGAGCAGGTTTGTCCTGTACTTCACCTTTCACCATCTAGCTGTCGGTTTGACATATTATATATCGCAGAACTTTATCTCCCCTTCCACAGTACGCGACGTCACCTCGCTCCGGATCGACTTCCTCTCCGCGCTCTCCCAGCTTGGCTTCATCTCGCCCTCCTCCAAGCCGTCGTCTCCCGAACTCAACGCGAACGCGTCGAACACGAACCTCGTCAAAGCCGTCGTCCTCGGCGGCCTCTGGCCGCGCATCGCGCGCGTGCACCTCCCCCGTTCTGCCATCAAGTTCGACCGCGTGCAAGCCGGCACTGTGCAGCGCGAGAACACCGCGCGCGAGTATAAGCTGTACGACCTGCGCGACGGACGGGTGTTCCTCCATCCTGCCTCCATAATGTTCGGCGCCAGCGCGTGGCGTTCGCCGTTTGTTGCATACTTCCAGAAGCAGATGACGAGCAAGGTTTTCCTACGCGATGCAACTGAGGTACGTGCTTGGTTGCGCCCATACTTCGTTTCTCGCTGCATGCCGCTTACACGGTTGTGTTCTATAGGTCCCCATCTACCCACTCCTGCTCTTCGGCGGCCCCGTCTCGATCAACCACATCGGAGGCGGCGTTACAGTCGGCGCGAGCGATTGTTTCATCAAGCTCAAGGCATGGCCCCGCATCGGCGTGCTTGTCAACCACCTCCGGTATGTTGATCTCACAACGGCTTCAAACCATTAGTACGCCCATAACTGACCCATTCGATTGGTATCGGGATCGGTTTGGTTGTGTTTCAGACGTCTTCTGGATGCGCAGCTGCTGCGGTGCATCGAGGACGGCACCGTGCTTGATGTTGGAGGAGCGGGCGAGAACCCGGTCATACAGGCCATGCAGGCACTGTTGCTTAACGATGGGCTGACGAGTTGAGTGTGTGGGTCATTCCATAGACGCAGAACAGCTGGTCTTAAGTGATCGACTAGAGTATGGCAAGCCTTTAGAGGTCTTGTGTCCTGTGTTCTGTGAGATTACATTCTTGTGTTTATGATCGTGCAGTGCTGTCCATGATAAGTTACTCCTCGTCCGACCCAGAGCCGGAATATTCCCCCTCGTCATCGTCGTCATCTGCATAGCTTCGCGTAAGCGGACAATGTGGGCAGCATAGCAGGGGACCGCACCATCGGCCACATCGTCCTTCGAGATGCTTGCCTGCGCCTGAGATTTCCGAAGCAACGTGCGGATCTCAGTGTCTTCGGGTGAGACCAGATCAAACACGGTCTCCCCGTTCTTGTCCTTTATCCTGAAAAGGGGGTCGCGTCTCGAGATTGATAGCTATGCACCTGGATGGGTCCGGCTTACCTCGTATCCGCACCGGCCTCCAGGAGACTCGAGACGACGGCTGTTCTCAAATCCTGGTCTTCGATGCGCAGTGCGAGGTGGAGAGGTGTCGCCTTCTCCATGCGGTTCTGCGGGTCGACGTCGCAGTCTTCATGTTCAAGTATATGTTCCAATATCTCAAGGTACCCATTCGACGCGCTATAATCGACCGCAGTACACATCAGTACCTGGCCATGTTCACGAGAAGCACTACATGACATACGTACGCATAATGAAGGGCTGCAGATTGACACTCATCGTAAGCTCGCCGCTCCGCTAATGGCTGCACGCGACGGTGGCAGAATAAAGAGGCGCACCAGTGTTGCCAAGCCTGTCGCGATACAAGCCAATCAGTTGGAATACATGGAATCGGAAGGATGTTACGCACCCATCCTGAGCATTGATGTCGAACTTTCCCTCGTCGAAGACCTCGAGGAGCATGTCCTCGTTATCGGACCGCGCTGCGGCTAGGAGCCTTTCGTCTGCGGTCGTCAGGATGGACCTTTCTCCGCCGTACGCGGGCACGTACTGTTCGTGGCGCCGTCTGAAGCCATGACCAAGTGTTTCCAATAAGCTTAGACGAGGCCGCAAGAGTGGTAGAAGTACAGGACGAGGACGCAGTAGTACTACTGGTATGAACACAATGGACTGGACCACTGGGATACGGGATCTGTGATTAGCACCCGTGGGAAAACTCCCCGCATCCCAATCCGGTAACCGTCCTAGTTCGTCATTTCACATCCCGCCGTATCCACGAGGGTTGTACTGGGACCCTAGAGACCGAAAGTGCATAATCCGAGCGGGCATGGAAGGCTCTTCCCGCTATCAAAAACCGACACTATTCTGGCCGGCATCCGATCGAGGACCAACCGTTGGTACGGTTAGTTGCCTTCATTTAGTCAAGACACCCTCCAATGGCCAGGCTTAACCAAGTTCCATCAAGCGCGATCACAGCAGAAAGACGAGTACGAATACACATTATCAGCAGTAGTCAGAGTAGCGATCGGCGTGGCTGGCTTCTAAACTGTACTCGGCCGCGATGGTTGCGGTTCTTCAGGTGGATTTCGAAGTTGGACAGTGTGTCTCCAGGTCCCGGGATGTACAGCTGAGATCTTCCTGTCAAACTTCGCTGATAGAGCAGATTACAAGTACGTACTTTTCCTGGACAGTCGCCGCACACCATGCGAAACACGGTCACGACGCCCCCGGTGCTGGGATTCAGTTGCTGTTGCGCCACGACGTCGAGTGCGTCATTGGGGTAACGCATGCGCATGTCGGCGAGTGCACCTCGCAGCCAGGGAGGTAGGGCCTTTCATAGCAAAGCCGTTAAACAGGAGGATGTCTTCCGTTAGGAGCCTTACCTGCGGGGGTACATTGGCAGGAGGGACATTCATGTCGAGAGTTCTACTACGAGTCAAAGGTTCCCAACCCGGTTTCGACTTCGTGGGTTGGATACGGAGGTAAACCGGCGTCCACGAGAGTTAGATGGGAGCTGACTGCGCCGCGCCTTACCCGAGTGCATAATTAAGAACTCCTGAATCCGTACATGGACGCAGCGCTCGCCGGCCAAGCTCGCTCCGAGCCCGAGTCTCAGAATTACCCCGCATCGGCCACCGGTCCGGCTGTACCGGACTTATGAATGCGCCACAGTTACCGCACAGGCAGCGCAAAGTGGACCACCATGGCCTCTGCTCGCGACATCCTCGAAGAACTGCATCTTCTCAAGTGCTCTCTTCTCCCCGGAGAAATCCTCTCTTTTACAGAGGCATCGCCCGTCTGGGAAACACTGCTCGAGACTTACTCTTTTGACCCGGACGCCGAGCTTCCCCTTGTGGACCATGCCGTTCAATTCGAAGTGAAGGCAGAAGACAGCGACGTCTGGTTCGGAGTTCAGCTGCTGCCTGGGTACAAGGAGGAGGGAGTCACGCCTGTCGTCTCGGTCAAGGGCGATAATTTGGGGCGGGCAGAACAAGAGCGGTGGCAAGCTGTGGTCGCCGAAGCAATAGAAGAAGTTACAGGTAGTGAGTGCGTCTCCGCGCGCTGTCTGCGCAGTAAAACCACTGACAGATGGGAACAGATACACTCTCTACGAGTTGATATCCACTCACCTCCTACCGCGGCTACACGCGGACTCGGGCACCCAACGGACAGTGGTGCCTTCTGATAAATCCACCTCCACCGAGCCAGCTTCTGCCCCACCACCCACTTCCAGCCCGCGATACCACGCCCTCTTCACGTCGCACCACCTCAAGTCCCCTCAGAAGCGACGCTCTCTATCACAATGGTCGCACGAGCTCTCCTTGACGGGGTTCGCCAAGGTGGGCTATCCTGGGGTGATATACTGCGAGGGCTCCAGGGAGGACATCGAAGACTTCGTCTCCCGCGTGAAGAGCATGCAGTGGCTCGCGCTCAGGCTACGCTTCGTGGAACCTATTCCTCAGACAGGGAACCCCGATACCAGGGAATGGTCAGAGTTCGAGAAGGTGGGCGAGGTGGTGGAAGAGATGAGGCGACGCGGAAGGGAGAGTTTCGTTGTCGAGATAGGTATCGGGAGTGCCGGGGCCTCATCCGCAGTCTCAAAATAGGGTACAGCTGTGAAGCACCAGTCAATAGACTGGCACAATATATAACGACAGTACAAGTAGGACCGAAACCGACAGGCAGAGGACCGCATACACAGAGGAAGGCACAGACAGGCATTTTCGCTGCATCTCACACGAATAGACGACAGTCCCATATCATAACCCACTGCATGGCATATAGACCTGGAAGGATCGCAAGCCACGCACGCTCAGTAACGGCGGTCGTCGTAGCGGCTACCACGGTCATAGTCGCGACCATAGCCGCCACCACCACCTCCACCACCAGCGCCGCCTCCGCCACGTTCATAGTCGCGACCGTAGCCGCCACCACCTCCGCCGCCACGCTCGTAGTCGCGTCCTCCGCCACCACCGCCACCGCGGTAGTCCTCTTCGTAGCGGGGACGGCGGCGGGGTTCGTCGCCTCCGCGAGAGTAGCGGCTGTCGTACGGCCTCGGGTCATACGGGCGTTCGTCTGAAACTGGTCGTGTCAGCTAGGCGCGGACCACTTGTGCCGCAAGTGTGCTCACGTTCATTCCTCTTCGGCGGGCCGTAGTAGCGGCCGGGGGTAGGGGTCCGTGCACGGCCGCGACGCGCCTGAACCGAAGTGTGATTGATAGGTGAGCTAACGTGAGATGATGAATCGTGCTGACCTTTTCTACTGAAATCGCCTTGCCCATCAGTTCAGCACCATTCATGGCAGCGATGGCAGCGTCTGCCTCTTCAGCAGACTCCATGGTCACAAACCCAAACCCGCGCGACTCGCGCGAGTGAGGATCATACATCACTTGAGCCTTCTTGACCTGATTCATCTGTCAATACAAAGCATACATCAAGATGGAGGGAAGAACGTACCCGACCCGACTTAGCGAAAGCCGCCTCGAGGTCACGCGTGTCGACCTTGTGGCTCAAGCCAGAAACATGCAAGTTGTTTCCGGGGTTGTTGCCACCACCACCGCCTCCGCCGCCGCCTCCGCCACCACCGTTGTCCCTAGAAGAGATGGTCGTGAGCGCATGTATGGTACGAGCGGACTAAAATTGTGGCGCACCTGTCCGGGTTCCTTATAGGGCTGCGGCTCCTGCTGGAACGACGGGGAGGTTCAGCCCCACGGGGAGGGGAGCGCCTGTCATTCCAGGACTGCTCTTCCTGAGTGCCACCGCCGTTCGAGATAGCCGAGTCGGTGGTGGGGATGCTGATGCCGCCTCCGTTGGTGGGAGGAGCCATATCTTGGGACTGCCAGGCTGAGTACAGAGGGAGACAGGGAAGGGGTGGAAATGTAGTCAGGTCGTGTTACTGGTGTCGAGGACGGGCATGCTGGAGGGAGGGAGCGGCGACGCGAAAGAACAGAAGGCACACCACCAGGCGGGGAGAAGAACTGGCGGAGACACGTGCGAAGCGCGGCGAAAGTGATGGTGAAGCCGAAAAGGGCGCGTCGACGTGGACACTGAAGAGAGCAGTACGCGCCGGCGAGTGAAGGCCTTCAGCCAACGGACGGCAAGCCGAGCGAAACGAAATGAAGCACAGGAGCCGCGCGGATGCTGAAGGCGACATCTGCGAGCTGACGGCCGGGGCTGCTGCTGCTATGGCGGTACGCAAAACCGGCGCGATGCATGCAACTGGTGGGCGCGCATGCGGGACGGGGAAACAGTCGAGGATGCAAGGAACGGGCTCGTGGTCGTCGTCGGTGGCGGGGCGGCTGATGCTGAGGACGTACCGTCATCCATTGCTGTATGCGTTGAGGGGAGTGGGCGGGGGCAGAGATGTGCAGGAATGGAGGGGATGGACAGTGAGAACGTCGAGCCCCATGTAATTTAAGACGCCCCGCTTGCACAAACACGACCACACTCAGCTTACGGGCGTCCCCTTCGCTCGATGCGGATTTTTTGCACGTTCGTCCGCAAGGGTCGTCTAGCTCGTAGCAAACAGCTCTCGTGGACGTAGTATACTCGCAGATAATATATTCGTGCATGAGCCCGACGGCGGTGACGTCGAAGAGAGACTGGACGGAGTGAGCGCGGGTCGGACTGAACCGGCTGGCGTGATGGCGGAGGCCTCGGCTGAGTCGCGGCGGGTCGTGCCTTCGCTGCTCGACGCCCGCCCGCCTTTCTTTACGACCACAACCTCGCCGCACGGTTCACCCGCACCCCCTCCTCCTCCCCCACCACGATGATCCGCGCTCAGCTCGCTGCCACTCTCCTGCGCGCCCGCCCCGCCGCGACCCGCGTCGCCCCCGCTTTCGCCCGCGCGTCGTCCAGCGCACACGGACAGGAGACGTTCGAGTCGTTCAACGAGCGTTACGTCAACTTCTTCCAGTCGGCCCAGGACCTTTTCGAAGTCCAGCGCGGCCTCAACAACTGCTTCGCGCACGATCTCGTCCCCGCCCCCTCTGTCGTCGAGGCGGCCGTCCGCGCTGCCCGCCGTGTCAATGACTACGCGACTGCAGTCCGGGTCTTCGAGGGTATCAAGGAGAAGGTTGAGAACAAGCAACAGTACCAGGCGTACCTTGACGAGCTTAAGCCTCTCCGGGAGGAGCTCGGTGAGTCCCACCCTCCCGGTCCTATGGTACATTTTACTAACGAACCGTGGACGACCAGGCATCAACATCCGGGAGGAGCTCTACACCTCGTGAGCAGCGAGAGGGGTTGCCCTAGAGTACGTCTTCGTCGGTTCCTTGTGCATACAAAGTCATTGACGGCCACCTCACAGTATTGTATCCCGAAAAGTCAATTATACACTACCATTCCACTAGGATTATCATTCGACTTTCCCGCCGAACGCATAACCTTCGGTCCACGCGTGCAAGTGTCTTCTTGCGAGATAAATTCTCCGATACCAGCCCTGTCGCGGTGACCCCAGTGCGAGGGGCCTGCTAGCCTCGGCGCTGGAATAGTAAGCCGAACACAGTAGCTCCCGCCCAAAATGACAGGGTCTATGATGTAGTCGTCTGCGCAGAGACTTTGATGCAATTCGGCGTAAAGACAGTACTTGGTAGCGAGCTACTGAAACATGTGTGTGGGGCAGACATTGCGACGCTGGATGCACAGGCATTATAGACTAGGGGCAAGGGCAGGAGGGTATGGGGCTGTTGCAGGCGAGATATGGCAGATGATGCGAATAAGGAGCAATAAAGAAACGATGCTTGCGTAAATGTAAATAGGTGCGAGGGTCAGGACTGCTGACAGCCCGTACGGTGGAACGAAATCTGCGACGGGAAACATGCGGATATGGGGATTGACAGAGAGCGATTGTGTGTGACCGCGTATGCGACGCGGAAAGATGATGCGAAATGCGTTGAGAGAATTGCTGTACTTGAGATATACCTGAAGATATGCCGATGATATGTTGCGAGACGAAATGATGCCTAGTAGCCGTAATATGCGCGCTGGAACGAAGAGTCAGTATCGGACACAGGAAAAGTTATGAAACCGTCCGTACCATCCTGTCACTAGAGGCTGGTCAATAACACCGACGTGAGACGAATAAGATGAACACTCACAACAGCCAGATGACCTTGGAGCCGGTCTTGCAGCCACGGAGAGTGACTATGTGTCCCCGAATGGATTCGTACAATAGTGCACGCTGGTCCTTGTCCGCCTGCAGCAGTGATGAGACGAAGAAGCTCGCCGAGATATTCCATAGTACTCACATTCGGGAGAACACTAGCGATGAGCTGACTGCCAGTAGGTGACAAGGCAAGGTCAACGATCATGGCCCTTCGCGCACTGCAGAATCGACAGAACGTGAGTGAACCTGCAACGAAGAGTATATCAGGAAAACATACCTCTTCGCCGGCTCACACATTCTCCTGATAACTCTGTCGAGTGTATCTTTGCCGCCCTCCTTGAGAGCTTTGGTGATGGATTTGATCCCCTGCTCACTCGTAGCATACTCTAGCAACCCGGCCAGGATATGGCTCATAGCCATGTCCCGGTGACGCTGAGAGCCGTGCTCGAGAACTTCGAGGAGTGACATGTATCAGCCGAGGCAACGTACCAACGTTAGGATATCGACTCACTGTGCTGGACGCAGTATGAACCCCATTGGTTCTTTGCCACCTCACCGAAGACGTTAGGGCCTTGGTTTAGCAGTTCATCGACGATGCCGTCTTTCGCGGATTCCTCAAGGTTCTCGAATGCGTGCTGGAGGACAAACACATCAACAAAAGGCTCGATTACTTGAGATGATAGTAAGGGGATATACCTGAACTACTAAAGAGCCCGTCTCATGGCAGGCCAAGGACGCCCACTTCCCTTTGAGGGATTTGTTAACGCTTAATGTCGATGGAGTCAGATCGGCGAGGCATGCATGCACACGATCACACTCACTACGCAAATATGGGAGGTGCAGGAGTCGTCCACGTGAGCTCCATGATCTGCGAAAACGTCAGCAACGTAGACCCGCGATAAATGTGATATGCTATACCTTGCTCCAGACGTGCGACGCGTGCTTGTTCACCAGCGTCTGTGCTGGGTCTCCAAGGAGTAGTTCAGAGACGATCAACAAACGAACTTCCTCTTCGCAGTCCAGCGCTTTCTGGAGGACATGGCACCCGTAGCAGTTCATCGCGAGGTCAACGACGCGACCCCTGTGCCGAAACGTATGTCAGCATAGATAAGCGGTTGTAAGCAGCCTACTTACCGCATACAGGTGACGATCTTACGCCTCTCGTCGACACTAGAGGTAGCTTCAAGACACCGCTGCACAGCCCAGTTGCCAAATCTGTGCGCGAGGAATCAGTCGTCGAACAGACCTAGACACACGAAACATTTTACCTGTGAGCCATCATCTCAAAGCCTTTCGCACAGATAGCGTCTACGATCTTAGCGCGCTCTTCGGCGTCGGCGACTTTGAGCTTCTGCTGCAGGAAGATGGAGGCTTGCTGGTCTGAGGATTTGATGATGCGCCCAACGAACAAGTCGTACGGCGGGGTCGAAGAGGGGTGCAACAGCGACAAGAAGTTGATAGGCTATGACCTTGATCAGGAAACGACGCAGACGCGACGCAAGATTCAAACTGACCTCGTGAACCTGGGAGCTCGAACGATGAGAAGAAATCGAATGCGTCTGCGGGGAACGGAACAAGGCATCGCCCCCGATGAAAGCAAGACCCCGGTCCGCTCCCTCGTCCGCTCTCAGCCACTCCGAAGAGGGCCGCCGCTGCTGAGCCCAGGAAGATGGCGAAAGCGGAGGAGGAAGCGTCGCAGACTCCATACGGCGGCGATCAGCTGGAGCAGCCGAAGGAAAGAGTGACGGTCCACGCGAAGGGTGAGTGAAAGGGTTGTCCGAGAATGGCTCGAACGCCGGGGAGTATCCAGCTTCGGGTCCGAAGGACTGCGACGGAGGGTAGAACGAGCTCTGAAGACCCATGCCACCATCTTGCATTCTATACCCGGTCTCGAACATCAAGGAATTGTTGTCACTCGGGCGGTGCATACCGCTGAAGTCGAACGGCGGCAGAGTCTTTTGGTCGAATGTCTTGGCGGGACTCAGGTCAGTCGGAGTCAGGAGAGCAGAAGTGGTAGAGATGGGCGATAGATCGGGGGAGGTGGGCGAGTGGGAGTAATCGTTCTTGAACCGGTTGCCATGAGCGGCAGGGGCAGGAGAGTTGAGGTTCAGCGAACGAAGCAGCTGCTCGACGCGCTGTACACGATAAAGGTGAATACCGGCGCATATATGCAGCATATAATCAACTCACGAGCTCATCGTAGGTGGGCGAAGTCCTCTTTCGGCCATCACCGATCGCGCCGACGCACTGGCGCCGTTGGCCGTCCAGGCCAACGGGCCCAAAGACGTCTTCACCAGCGTTGGGCGCCGGGAAGGAGGACGAACAATGAGGGTCCGAACGGAGGGCTCCGGGTGCGCCGCCACCAAAGTTGACTCTAGTGAACGAGTCGATGGCTTTTGACCAGGCGACATCCGAGGGCTGCGGTTGAGGAGCCCAGATGGAGGAAGCGGAGGATCTTGAGGAGGGAAGGGGGTCGAAGAGGGGAACGAACGGTTGCGAAGTCGAGGTCTGGTCCATGTCGGCGAAGGAAGAAAGGATAGTGGGGGATGAGAGGAGGAAAGAAAAGGAGCGACAGAAGGTTATATACCGTGGCGGGTTGGACTTGACCGGCGTGACGAGGTGCGTATTGGGGAGGGCGCGCCGCCCGATTTGGGTGTCCGGTGCCCAGATCGAGCGAGTTCTCAGCGTTCGCACGCGGGACTGTCAGGGAAGGCGACACTTTGCGGGCAAAGCTGGACGGCTTCCTCGATGGTCACATCAATGTGATTAGCCCCCGAGAACAGAACCCCCGAGTTGGATTCCCTCTACGCCGCCGCCATCCTCAGCGGGCACACTGTCCGAGCAGGCCACCAGTTTGGCTCTCTCTCGGCGCGCAGACTCAGACGCTGCGCTGCACTGAATGCACGGTCGTGCGTGCGGAGCCTGCGGGGTATGGATGGCACGGCGTCACATCCATCTGTTGGACGTGCGTTGCGGGCGTCGCCCGACGTGACCTATCAGGACGGCTGAGAGAAGAGAGGAGCAGTCATTCCGGAAAGAAGCACTCACCGACGTGCTGCGCGATCCCTTTGACAGCGACGTTGCGAACACACGTGGGCCGAACTGCACACCGAAAGGAGCGGTTTGGAGCGTTCCCCTGGACCGTCGAGCATTTGTCCGAGCGTGGTGCCTCTTCATGCGGATCCGATGGCGTCCAGGTGAGCAGCTGCAGCGGGATTGATGCAAGTGCGTAGATCTCGCAGGCCCGAGTAAAGAGCATCCAGAGAGGAACTGTCCGCGGAATTGCCTGCCGTCCGAGAAATGAAGGAGGCGCTGGGGACGTATCGATCACCGAGTTAATTAATGTCTGCGCAAATTCTGTGACCGGTTTGCCAGAGACAGAAGCACGAGTACGACAATCATCACGCAGCAAAAGAAGGATGCGCCGCCGGAAGCGTGCCGATGGCACCCATGAGGCTATCGCGTCCATCGCTGGTGACAGCCACGACGTGGGGCCAGCCGTAGGTCGCATGAGCGGCGCACACCATGACATGTGGCGGCGCGAGCGGACTGCAGAACCAGTTCATCAGCTTCGGTAGAGCCAACCGCGGCAGATCGTACCTTCTTTATTCAGGACGTTCAGATTCCGGTGGGGCGTGAGCTGACGGTCCTAGAGTTGGTACGCGTCTTGTTAATCGGCTTGCAATACGCATCGGTGGAGTCATCGTCGTCTGGAGCTGTGGGACTCAATGCGTCATATGTCAAATGTGTTCTTTGTTTCCTATGCAAGGTAATGATACATCAATCCGATATTCCAAGAGCTACATCCGCGCACGACATCTAGTGATGGTCTGATAATAAGCAGTACAGGCATAATATAGCGAACAGCGAAGAGCACACGAGCACGTACGATCCAGACCATGATGCGACCAGTCGAGTCCAGACTACTCTCCACCTCCGCCGGCGAGCTCGAGGATCAGTCGACATGCGACGTCCATGAAGATGTATGGGGAAACGACCTCGTCGTCGCGCATGTTAAGGTCCTTCACCGAACGGCTTGATTCCGACGCCGTCTCCGACAGGTTATAATCAGGATGAGCCATGTCGAATTTGCCAGCGCCTTCCTCGACGGAGGCCTTGTACGTCTTCTTGTGGTGGAAGTCGACGAGGTAGTTGATGTGATCAACCATGTACAGCTGTAGATTCATGAGAACCTACGGGAATAACCCAGTGAGCATATGAGCGTAGGTACAATAGGCCTCGAGCTTACCACAACGTCTTGGACTCTCGCGCGGGTTTCGATGAAGTAGATGGAGGAGGCGGCACGGAGGTCAACGTAGCCGTCGTACTCTCTCGCGCGCTCGATTTTCGCACGGTCGCCATTGCGCTTGTCTTGCAAGAGAGCGCTCGCGCCGAGACCGCCGAGGTTCTCCTTCTCCTTCCACTCCATGCCCAGCGTCTTCAACGTGCGGTAGATTTCGAGCATCACTTCCATCGGCGGCGACCGACTCCGGATGCCGAAATGCCACTTCGTCCGATGCTGCTTCTTCTCCTTCACCGGTGTCGCACGCTTCGCGTTCGCGTATGACTGGAGGTGGTGCGGTTCGGGAAGCTGTTCAGGAAGGGAAGAGTTCAGGACAGCGAAGTTGTTGCTCTCAGCTTCAGTGAGTGGTGTAGAGAAGTCGAGCTCGTCGTCTTCGTCGTCGTCGTCGTAGTCGTTGAACTCCGAGTCGAACGGGTTCTCCTCGAGGTCGGTACCGCCTCCTGGAGAAACCGCATTTGGTGACAGTGGGTGACGAGGCTAGGAACGGGCTTCAATTACATTGCTTCGTGAAGAGTTGAGAGACTACGTACGTCCATTACGGCCAGTTTGGCGTCCCGTTCTTGCTCCTCGAACTCTGCCACTATCTCCAGTCAGCACGAAATGTCCATACCTATTGGCAAGCATATACTCACAGCTCCGCCCCGCACGCCGCTTATCCCGCAGAAGCATATAAGCAACTTTCACCGCGTTGCCTTGAGGGCCGTCATCGCGCCTCAAGCACTCCCACACGTCTTCCTTGTCGACGCCATCCATGCGCGATGCCAGCTCTTCGACGACGTCGTCTTCTATACGGCCAAGGCCCTCGATGATCTCAAAGTCGATAGCTTTTGGGGGGGTGACGAGTGATGACAAGGTGCCCAGGACGGGCCCTTGTTGAGGGAGCGGGCTGAGGTACTTCGGAAGGTCGATCGTGAAGAACGGGTGTTGCATGATCTCTGGGACGGTGATGCGCTTCACCGGGTCCACAGCAAGCATGCCGTTGATAAGGCCCTTCGCATCCGTAGAGAGGTATCCTGGCAGGTGGTACACGCCCTCTGCTAGCTTGTCAGCGGCGAGTCAGTGCAAGCGAAGAGCATACATACGACTGATCTTCGTGAACAGCGTTTGCACGTCGTCGTCCTCAAACGGCAAACGGCCGCAGAGCATGACATACAGGATTACGCCGCAACTCCATACGTCGATTTCCGGGCCAGTGTACAGTCCGCCGCGGATGACCTCGGGGGCGGCATAGTTGGGGCTTCCGCAGCTCGTCTTCAGGAAGTCGCCGTCCTTGATTTCGTTCGACAGGCCGAAGTCAGCTATTTTGACGTTCAGGTCGTCGTCGAGAAGGACGTTCTCGGGCTTCAGATCTCTATGTACTATCTTGAGATGGTGGCTGTACTCAATGCCGGATATGAGTTGTTGGAAGAACCGACGCGCTTGAGGTTCGGACATGCGCCCGTTCGCAACGATATAGTTGAAGAGTTCGCCGCCTGCGTACTCGAGTACAATAATGATGTCTGTGGGGGTCGAGATGACTTCATATCTAGAGAGAAACTGAGCTCTGCGACCTCAGGGACAACGAGCTCGCACGTACAGCTTGATGATATGTGGGTGTCTGAGCGTGCGCATGTATTCCACCTCGCGTTGTACTCGCGTCTTCGTCCTATGCTTCGCAATAGCTTGTTTTGATATGAACTTCATGGCGACCTTCTGGCCGGTGACTGTATGGACGGCCACTGTACATGCTGCGATTAGGAGCTGTACGAGGCGAAATGAAGGAATGTATGACTGACTTTTGACCTTGCCAAACGTCCCCTCTGCTATCTCGCCGACCACCGTATACTCTCCGAGCTTGTACGCCGGGTACTTCTGTTGAGGGTCTTCTGACATCTTGTACACAAGAGCTGCAGCGTGTAGTCCGGTATGGAGGGCGGTATGAGAGGAGGTAGCTGCTATTGGTGGGCGCTTCCGCGGATCGCTGCAGTGATCGACGAATGCGGGGAGTTGTTGTCTCGTATTTGTGTCCGGTGGCGTCTGAGTGAGCGATCCCGCGGCGCATTCGCACTGGTCACGAACGACCTCGCTGAGTGTAAACTGCACCTCGTCGACTGCTAATGAATGGACAGCCAGCGAGCATGTATGATCGCCAATGCAGTTAAACGCATCTACGTATGTCCTATAGAACTTATGTGTACGCATGATGAATAAGTACGTCAATCAGCCTTGTGATATTCAACCTGATGATCCCGGCAGCTGACGCCATAGTATAGGTTAATGAGCAGCCTGTGCAATATTAGAACACCGACTTACTATGGTACTCAGTAGTGTTGACATCTCCGAGCAAGAAGAGCACGCGGGATCCGTTGTTTTCAGACCTGCGCGCATAAACTACTGACTAACCTGCATTTACGTATACACAGGAAGGACCGTCGAAGGGACATTTCAACGAGAGAGCGTCGAGGATCCGACAGCGCGGGTGAAGACAGACGCCTGACGGGCGAGACCGGGTGGTCCCTGCGGCGGCAAGCACTTGGCGTATTGTCCCTGTGGAATTTGAACTGCACCTCGTCTTCCCGCCATGGCCTCACTGACTCATGGGGGTGGGGATGCCCTATCTCTCCGCACTATTCGCAGCCATACGAATCAAGCGAATAATGGAAGTGATGAGGATCACAGCGCCAGAGCTATCCAGCGCGCGGAGGACGAAGATACACATCCCCAGCCGTCTCAGACGTACCAGTGCCTCCTCGTCTTCGCAGGCTTCATGATGACCTTCCATGTCATCGGTATCAACTCAATCTACGGTCTCTTCCAGGTTCGTCCGAACGGCGTATCTATCCAAGTGTCCTGCTTACCATTCATATATAGGAATTCTACACGTCTCCTGAGACAAACATCAAGGGTGCGGAAGGGCAGGACGCTCTGGTATCCCTTGTTGGGACCATCGGCAGCGGACTGACCTGGAGCGGAAGCATCTTTGTGAACCCAATGATCGGAAGATTTGACAATGTGAAGCTCATTTCCCTGACCGGCGCATTCATCATGAGCGTTGGCATAGTGTTGGCGAGTTTCTGCACTGAGGTATGTGCTTACGGAGGTACATCAGCTATATTCGTTCAGCGCAATCTGACATGACGACCGCAGCTGTGGCAACTGTACTTGACGCAAGGACTGCTCTACGGGATTGGTTCCAGCATGTATTACTTTCCCATCATGTCACTCACGCCCGCGTACTTCGACCGTAATCGCGGCGCGGCGATGGGAATTGTGCTTGCCGGCAGCGGTATCGGTGGTCTAGTCCTCTCGCCAGTCTTCCACACCTTGCTCACTCGTCTCGGGATCCGATGGGCTCTGCGGATCCTGGGCATGTGGAACTTTGTGCTGGGCATCCCTATCTCAAGCGTTCTGACGAAGAAACACGGGGCCGCTGCGAACGCCGCGGGGCGCACTCGTGTCAGTATGGCTATGATCAAACGGGGAACCTTCATTCTCCAGGTACGGACGGCTCCAGATTCGCGGGGCTTTTTTGTCAACTGAAGCTTGCTTGCGTTTAGTCCCTTGGAGCCCTCCTTCAAGCGGCCGGCAATATGGTGCCGGTGTACTTCCTGACCACGTACTCCGTGTCCGTCCTCTCGTACTCGAGCTCCACGGGCAGTCTCCTGTTGGCTGTAAACACCGCCGTGAACAGCGCAGCACGCATAGGCATGGGGATTCTCGCGGATCGCGTGGGACGGCAGAACACCATGGTCCTAAGCGTAAGCCCGTCGTGCCTATTATGTATTTTGAATCTCCCACAACGCCTCCCCAGGTCATCCTATCCGGTATCGCTGTCTTCGCCCTGTGGTATGACTCCGACCGCGCGCGCTTCCTCGCCTTCGTTGTATTCTACGGCATCCTTGCCGGGGGATATAACGCGCTCCTGCCGACCACGATTACGGAACTGTACGGCGTCCAGAACTACTCCAGCGTGAACGCGTTCATATACTTCATTCGTGGGCTCGGAGCGCTGTTCGGCGCGCCCGTTGCGGGTCTTATTCTGGGGAGTCACCAACGGGGCGCGCGTGTTACGGGAAGCATGGCATTCAACATGGGCGTCCTGAAGAATCGGTACAACGAGGTCGCTATCTTCGACGGAGTTCTCCTTCTCGCCGCTGGAGCATGCGTCGCATATGTTCGATGGTTGGATGCCCGGGACAAAGGGGGGTGGGCGTGGAAGGCGTGACCCGTACGGCCCTGGCTTCTCGTACAGACGTAACATTTACCTCGACGACCGGGAGCTTCTGGTTCTCGGTCGCATGCAGTCCATGGTCCAGTCGTGGCTGCGAAGCACACGCAAAATCGGGGGTATCGAAGGAGGCAATATAGATTCCGGGGTTCGCATTACATCAAGTACTTCGAAGATGTATGTCCCAAAACTACGAGCAGGGCCAAGAAAGGCGGTCACCAGGGACCAGGGTCGCGCTCAACTCTACAGGGACGAGACTCCCCGACGCCCTGGAACCCCCTCGTCCCCATGACGGGGAAGAGAGGCAAGGCAGCCGAGGAGCGTCAATTTTCCACAACCGTAACAGACACAACACGTAGGAAAGCGTGCAGGGACTTGACTTGGTATGTGGGTTAAGGAAAGGCGACACAGATAATGGGAAGGCAAAGGGAGAAGCTTACAAGCGAGAACTCACTGTATGCGTAGGTATGAACCGCTCACGCACAGATGCACTCATAATGAGATGGCGTAACCCTGGGAGATGGCACAATTGCATTGCGTTGGGGCTAGAATAACACATGGTGAACACGATGAGTACCCATGGCGGAAAAAGGCGAAGGAGTCGAAGGAGGTGAGGAGGTGGAGAAGGGAGTGGAAAGAAGCGCCCGTGAGCTGCAAGAAAATGCTTCACACAGTTTCCCACGGTAGCACGCGGTCCGTTGATCCGCCGCACATCCGGATTCGCCCAACCACCGCTCTCTCGAGTTTGCGCCCACTAGCCGGGCTGTGGTTTCGACTCGCTGTTGGTTCATCCGACTCTCCATGATGAGGGTTTCTGCAACACGCACGGCATGCATGAATATTTTTGTAAGTGCGCACCACAACGGGTCCATGTTACTCACAGCTTTACGTGGTCCAGCATCGCGAAACGGGCCTTACCTTCAACTAGGTTCGCACAAGGTGCCGGCCATACGACGAGCATGGTGCGGAAGCAGGTTGGGATCTCGAGGTTCGCGCCTTCTCTCCCCCGACAATCGCAGTAGCTTGTGGCTTCTCGGCACTGGATTGACCCCCATACTCGCACATTAAGGTAACGATGCATTCCAGCCCACTTAGGCTCGCATCGACGTTCTGACCCGCTTCGAATAGCGCTGCACATATCGGGGACTCGGTGGCAAATACCCGAGTGTTACCGACTCGATCAGAGTGCGGGGCAGCTCACAACCGAGCGTTTAAGCTCGCTCGTTACCAGGCCCACGACGTGCATAAGTTTGTCCCTGGTCGGTACAAACTAATGGCGGCTGGGACCCCTTATACCGGTACGTAACGACGTTCTCATGCTGCATCTTGTCCGCTCGCATAGCCTGTCCGATAGCCTCATCCCGCACGCCTACTCGCTGTTGGCATGTCTGAGAACCACTACGAAGCGCGGCAGCGGCGACGCGTTTGTACGTACTGCACACACTTCCCTGGTTCTATCTGGCGTCGTTCCCCCGCGGTGGCTTAACGCTCGAATAGGATCCCACGTCTGACCCTTGCCTGGACTCAAAAGACCTGACCGATAGTGTCATCTCTGACGTTCTGTCATTTATAACTACTACACGTGCAGCTGTCGCCGCGCCGCTGGCGTGGTTGCAACTTCATGGAGCAGGGAGCGCCCCGATGTAGGGTGCCTGGCAGGCCCATGAACGCTTGCACATCGAACTTTGTTGAGTGACATAAAGCGCTCAATTGAGATCGTAACTCCAGCCTCACCCCTGACAATGCCGCCGCGTTGGCCCTCATTGCTTCCACACATTCTATGCGCAAGCTATATTTATCACGTCATGCAAACCTTCTCACCCTTCCGCACAAGCGGTGGCTGAATGAATGCGTTTCAACGGTTGCTGCGTTTTGTGGAACATCACTCATGCGCGTGGAAAGCACACAGAAGGTGTGAGGGCATGTTGTATCAAGTGACGCTCTAACCTGCGGTTCAATATGCAGGGCGCATACAGGCAAGTACCAAGCTTGTTAACGCCACAGTTCGAGCCGCGCCCGCTCTTCGCGTCAAACTCTCAAGGGGCACCGTTTCTCAACGGAAGGCGCTCCCTATCTCCGCACTTCCTACCTCGCTGTTATGCCGTGGCGGCCGCCCGCCGCACCATGCGTTCTGCTTCGTCGACTAGCCGGTACTGACTTGCCATATACACATTCTTTGTGGGCGCATCTTTCCACGGCGGCGCCGACCCCGGTGTAAGAATGTACAGGCCTGCAGACTTCTTGGACGTCATGACACGTCCGGGGGTCAGGGTCCTCCAAATGTACGTACTACCCACCGTGCTGCAATCTGTCCCTTCTCGTCCGCGTCTGACGTGTACCTGGACAGACCCTGAGATGCCCGACCAAACTGCTTCGGAAGCTGCCTCATGGCATCATTGCGACGCCCAGTACTGTTCCAATGGACTGCAGCATATGGCACCAGCTCGGGCGCGAAGTCCGCTGACAGCGATCAGAAGCGTATCGGCCCACGTTGCGTCGTGTGTGGTACGACTGGGACAAATTGGACACTTCGCCAATCCAGCACGTCCGCTCAAACGGCCGATATCAACGGGACATCCACAAAACCGTGTCAGTAGCCCAGGAAGCTTGGAACCGCCCTGTCATGGACGGAGCGGGGAGCTTGAGGTCATGGACTGCGCAGACCGTGTTCTCTCGTCCTGGATTGAATCCAGCATCTGTTAACCAATAAATTTCCTTCCAGTGCACCGATATTACGGTATATCGTTACAAGCTGCTACACAAGCTCGCGGCCGTCTCGTTTGAACACCTTCGCCCCCTTCATGACAAACGTAATGTTTGACTTATCGACCGCGCTCTCAAAATCGTTCTCTAGGTCTCCGCGAGTCGCCACGATGTCCGCCGCGAAGCCCCTCGCGATAACTCCGAACGGCACCTCGTTGTCCCCTACCACCCTTGCGGCCTCCTGCAAGTCCGCGATCTTCTCGAGTCGCGCCGCACCCTCCTCACCCTCCCACGCCGCACTCCGGACGCATTGCCAGCCACCGACCGTCGCCCACCGGAGAACTTGGCGCCAGTCCGCACCCAGACGTACCATCAGCTTCATCTCCAATGCATTGTCGCCATGCGGGAACGGGCCCGTGTCCCCTCCACATGCAATGTTCGTTACACCCTTCGCCAGCGCCCTGCGGAAATTGTTCACAGCGCGGTCCCAGCGTCCGCCCGGCGCCTTCTCCGTGTCGGTCGAATAGAACACGGACAAGGTGGGCACCCAGATGATGCGCGACCGTTTCACCGCGTCGATCACCGCGTCTCCAGCCCCAAGGTCATTACCGTGCTCGAGCGTGTCCACTCCACCGTTTTCGGGGAGCAGCTCCGTGCGCCACTTTTGCGCGTGCGCCGCGACCTTCACGCCGAGCTGCCGCGCGGTACCAATAAGCACCTGGAGCTCGCTGCTCGAAAACGTTTGGATATCGGCGCTCGCGATCTTCGTCGACACATCTGCGATGCGGGTCCGGACGCGGTAGTCTAATGGCAAAACGCTCCTTCGTGAGTCTCCGCTGCCTCGCTGTTCCTGCCCACCGTCCACTCACCTGCGTACAGCTAGGTAATCAAATGACAATGTTAGACAACGTGTACGGACCGGAGAGCGCGATCGACGTGCCTTGATCCAGTCCGCGCCTGCCCCGACCTGCTTGCGAACCGCCCGTCTGCACTGTGCTTCGCCGTCAACAAACTCCGCCCCGGTCACGCCCTCGACGCCGTCCTGGTGCAGGTGCAGGGCGCTCTTCGGACCTAGGCCCGAAGACACACGCAGCCCGAGACTCAGCCATAACACGAGCGCTCAAAGGGACGCAGGGACACACCGTAGCTTCCGCTCGCGATGAGGGCACGGGATGCGCAGAAATATCGGGGCCCCGGAATAAGCGGGGCCGGACCCGACAGACACTTCCTCAGCTGGATGTCTGCATCGGCTGCGCCCTCGGTGCCTAGATCCCTGCGAAGGCGAGCCAGGTAAGTATCGTCGCTGTGCACTGCGGGGAAAGCCAGTCCAGGCTGTTTGCCGTTGCACTAGCGGCCTAGACTAGGGCTGCAGGACAATGTGATTCGGGTGCGTACCGTACGGTAGTGTATCCTGCCATCAGCGTGCGCTTCGCGTGGACTGTTGCGCGCACGGTGCGCTCGACCAGGCTCTCCTTTGTCAACTGGTCTTCCCAGCTGACCTCGGCATAGGGGTGGAGGAACACTGCAAGAACCGCACGTCAGCAACTGCCAGGCCCTCCTCTGATTCTCCGCCAATGAATGAAGTATCCAGTATGCTGGTGTCAAAACACCTAGCCCAGACGCGGAGATGGCGTCCGAACCCTGAAGCGTAAAGTCCTAAATCGACGGGGCGCGACTCACTGTGCACATGGGCGTCGACGAACCCGGGCAGGACGGTCGCGGCACGCAGGTCGACCACGTCCTCGTTGCCGGCGGAGAAGTCTACCCTGCGCACGTCCTCGTCATCGTACGGCTCCACTCCGAGCACGAGCCCCGTGTCGGGCGAGACGGCAACCACGCGCTGGGGCAGCAGCTGCAGCGTCTGCGGATCAAAGAGCTTTCCGGCGTAGATCCTCACGATGCGCTCGCGTTCGCGTTCGGAGGCCCCCGAGGACGAATGCGCCGCCGACGATCGCGTGTGCGGCTCGGCGGCGGCCGTCGCCGCTGCTGAGGGCTCCAAGTTCCGGTCAGAGCCTGAGTCTGATCTTGGCAGGGTTGTGTCCGTCATTGTCTGAGTTGAAAGCGAGCCCGGCGCGTGCGCTGCCGCTGTGCGCGTAAACGGGGGTCGGTGCGTGGGGCAGGGACTGGGGTGGACGGTCGCGGCGGAGCACCTTTCCCGGCGAGCTAGCTACGCTGAGCGCCGCAGCGTTGAGGGCTAAGCTGAAGACGTCGAGGGTGTGCACTGGGCTGCGGCTCGCGCCAGGCGAGGGCTGGACGGCGTGCAGGACGCTCACGCTCACGCTGCGGGCATCAACCGGTCCGCGCTCACAAGGACGACAATCCGCGACCCGGCCGTCCGGGACGATCTCACAAATCGACCCCGCGATCGCTCTGATCGGCGCGCTTCAGACTGTGACCGTCGGCCAAACACCCTCAGGCGCGGCGTGACGCTCACCAAGTTCGCCCGCTGCACCCTCCTTCACCTCTACCGCGCCGGCGTCGCCCTGCGCTGCTCCTGATGTCCGTGCGAGAGCGCACCCATCCCCGCCGGATTCCCGATCGCCAGCACAAGCGAAATGAGGCCGTACACACCCGCCCCTATCGAGCCGCGGGCGTGCGCGGGAGGACACGCCTCCGCCGGGTGCGCATGCCGGTGCGCCCGCTCGGGGCGACGTCCAATGGTGTGCGCGCAACAAACACCAAGCAGCGCGGCCCGTGCCTCACACCGCGACAAACAACACCAGCCAGTTGGCTCCAGCCAAGCCCCGAGTGCCCGAGCCGCGCAGCCGAGGGTCGGTAGCCTACTGCCACCTCCGCACTGTCCAGCTGCTCCCAGCTGTCACCCGTGAGGTGTGCCCGTGCCCGCCCTCGGGATGCAGCCGGCAGATGCGAGATGGGCGATCGCAAACGATAATAGGCTGTACGCGGGGGCATGATGCGGACACATGCACAGGGGCGCGCCTCGCGGCCGGAAATGAAGCTTGACGGCCCATTCTTGTATGCATATGGAAATGAGGATCGCATCCCGCGCGTCCCGCGATGATGGTGTGTGCGCCGTCACGCGGCGGTGTGGTCTATGTCCCATTTTGGTCGCGAACAGCAATAGACGGCAATCGGCGAACAGCGAGGGAGGTGGGGTACTTCGAGTGTGTTTGGCGCGGCTGCGCGCGGACTCGGCGAGGCGTGCCGCGCGCGTCTAAGTGAACGAATATACAGTATACAGCGCGGGTGGGCGGGTATCATATTGAGCGTGTGCATATGGAGAGGTAGATGAGTACGTCTAACGTCCACTCAAGATGTGTACGATATGATACAATGGGGGGAGAGCACTAATATCGGGAACATACCAAGATTGAACAAACTATAGCGTAACGTACAGGTGAGCGAATGCCAATGGGGGTCGGACGTAATCATACAGCGGTAGACTCAGGCGTAACAACGGCAGCCGGGTGCGGAGGATCGTCTGGGTGGGGTTCAGCGGGACGAGCGGGCGGAACTTCGATGCGGCTAAGCGCGAACGGTCCCTCGAGCGGAATAGCGTTTAGGTTCTCGTTGTACATGCGCCATGATCCGACAAAGTTCTTGTTGCCGATCAGGTAGCCCCGGAAGATCTGCTTCATGTTTGTGGGCAGGTCCGTCGGAATGCGGACTAGGACGATGAGGCCGTCCCACTTGCGGACGCGGCCGTAGAAGCGGTAGTGGTGCCACGCCTCGCCGTGGTGCGGGAGGACCTACAGAGTCCGAACGGAAGCGGAGGTGAGCCACGAGGGGTGGACACGGGTTGCATGATCTACGTACCTCGCCGGTGATGAGGATATCCTGTATCCCGTTGCACTCGTTCTCGATATACTCCTCGTAGTCGTCCGGGACGCCCTCCGACATGAGTTCGTCGACGATCGCCTCAGCCTCGCGGTCGCGCTCCAATCTTAGCTCGCGCAGGAAGAGCGGGTTGCTCTCGTCGCCGTAGTAGAGGTCAACATCGGAGTCCTGCGATGCCGTGCTTACGCGACGGGAACGTGGGGCCGGATCCTCGTCCATGGCGTCTCCGTCTTCGTTGTCGTCGACAGCAAGATCTTCGCCAACGCCAGCTTCGGCGCGGGCTGCCCTCTGGTGGTACGCATCGATGCGAGCACGGAGCTGCCTCTCCTCTTCCTCTTGCGAGGCGATGCACATCCCGCACGTGCCAGGGTTGTGCGAGTTCGGCTTGCCCTCGACGTAGTCTTCGTACTTGACCACTGTGCGCGTACCCGGAATCTCGACGCGGAGCGTGTTGCCGACGTGACGGTAGTCGAAGGGATACGGGAGATAAGCATTCTGGACATTGTCACCGAGATCCCCAGGAAGGCTGCCCGTCGGGACGGGGATCTCCGGGTCGATGCAGTGGTGCTCACGAAAGCGAACGAAAACAGGTTGCTCTGCGACCTTCGGAAAATCCGTAAGGTCCGGCATTTGGTCAGCCTGGACGATGTCGCGGTAGCGAAAGAAGTCCGGTATCTGTTCCATTGGTTAGCACGTGTAAAAACCTTGGATACGAGTGGCGTACCTGCATGCGTCCGGCGAACATGCCGGCGATGGAACCGAAAGTGTAGACAACACCCTTGAGCGGCAGATAGCCGCGAGGGTCGTAGCAGCCCGTCAGACGGTTCCAATCATTGTCCCAGCTGGCACTGATCGCTTTCAGGTCCTTGCGCCAAGATACGCCAGTCTCCAGCAGACGCTGCTCGGGAGTCAAACCGCGTATCCAATCCCACGAGCCCGGCTTGTACAGCTGGACGCCCCGGACAGAAGCCCACTCGATGAAGTCGGCTTGTGTAGGACGGACGCCGTCGGCAGGGTCCGCGTGCGCACGATCGACAGGGAGCATGGAAGGGGGATCGTAGGGAACTGCCTCTGCGAGCATCACGAAGACCATCTTCGCTCCCAGGCCGATGAGGGGAGGCATGATGGTCACCTTGCGGATGTAGTGCACGACCTCTTCGATGACCATGTCGGGGTCGCGGAACGTGGGAGCAAGGCCGAGCGGAGTGGCATCCTCCCCCGGCTCGGGAAGCGCGTCCTCGTCGGGTAGGTCGAAGCGCGAGTCCGGTGCGTGGAAGGGGTAGTACATGGCGGGAACTAGCGCGAACGGACGGAGCTGGTCCATGTACTTGCCGCGGCGCTCAGAGGACATCCCGGAGAGACGGTCTAGAAAGTACAGGTCCGGCACAATTCCAGAATATACAGTGGGCGAGCACGTACCTGGGGTCATGGTGAACCAGAGCATCCAGACGACGAGAGAACTAGGGGTGCTGTCGACTGGCCACCCTAGGTTGGACTCCCGGTGGGACCACAATTTAGAGTCCATAAAGCGCTCAATTAAGACGTCGATGTGGGCGTAGTCCATCAGGTGGCTGTAGTTACGACCGTCATTCTCCATGAACATGAGGTACGCCGTCCATAGGTCTGCAGTGAGTGTGTACGAGTCCAGGTCGCCCGTGCGGATGCGCTTGAGGGCGAGGGTCTGCTTTATAAGCTGGAAAGCGAGCGCGGTGTTGGTGATGGCGTTCGACCCGAGGCGGCGAACGGCAGCATGGGTGTCGAACTTGCACCGATATATGCGTGCAAAGAGGAGCTTGCGGTGCGCTAGGAGGACGTCGCGCACGTAGCGACAGGCGAGAAAAAGCGGGGGCAGGTGGCGCGGTGGGCCGAGAGGGTCGATAGTGCCGAGCTCGAGGGCGATAGCAAGGATGACATCGGGCGGGAGACGGGAGCAGAAGGGGGACGCAGGCTGGTAGTAGGGCGTCGCCATGGCCGTCAGTGACGGGGGCGGGGGTGCGCGAGATGGCTGGAGGGGGACATGGCGGCGCAGACGAGGGCAGTTTTATCTCGTCCTTTGGGCGGGAGCGTCTAAGGCGAGGGCAGCTGGCGGGGCGGAGAAGAGCGCGAAGCTTGGGCACGTACGCGCGACCGGAGTTGAATCTCGCTGCACCGTCACGGCGGTCACGCCAGATCTTGATCGGCCTCTCCGGATAAGGCAAGCCATGGTCGTGCGCGCCCTCGAGCGGCCGCATTTCCTCCTCCATCCTCCTCCCACCGCTTCCGCCTCGGTGCGCGACTAGAGCCCGCGCGCCGTCGACGCCCCCGGCGACCCCCTCCCCCTCCAAGTCGCCGTTCCGCTTTCGGACGTCCATCACGGCTATTCTTGGGCTGCGCTGCCGTATCTCACCCACCCCCACCCATCCTTCCGATTCTCTCTCCGCTCGCCTTCTCCCCCCTCGCCTCCTCCTTTCTCCGCCGCCGTCCCTCCAGCGACCGTCCCTCCCGCCCCTCAGCCTCGCCCGATCCCCCGGCCGCGTCTCTCCGTGCCCCCCTCCGTCCCTTTTGCCCACGCCTGTCCAGTCCACCCCCGCCCTCGCCCCTCCTCCCCGGCTCGTCCTGCCCTTTTCTCGTAATCAGTTCGCCGTCGCCCCGCTTGCTTGGGAACAACCTCCCACGCGTGCTCAGGGCTATCCCGTTATGTCGTCACTCCTCGCCTGCGCGCCCGCCAGCCTGCCGCCCTCCTCCCCGGCGTCCCGCGCCTCTCCCTCCTCCCTCCCTCGCACTAGCGGTGGCTACGCGCTGCGCCGTGATCCAGTGGGCGTCCGGTCCAGACGCGACCCTGTTCTGCCAGCCATTCCGGACCCCTTCGTCATGGGGCTCGCACAGCATTTACGTGTGCCGGCCAGATACCGTCCTCGTTCCCGTCATATCTCTCCAACTGGGATGAATACGCACTTTAACCATCCACATCTGTCCTAGCTCTGCCGTACGCAAGCACCTCAGGGTCCTCGTCGTCTTCGCCAAGCTTCCGCAACGCCGTTTCTCGTCGTACGCCGGCCACACCGCGAGTTTACGCAGGCCGAGGCAGCAGCCCCTTCTTGACACCGGGCTCTCAGGGTGCCGCAGCTATGGCACCGTCTTCTTGATCATCTTACGCACGGTGTTTCGCAGCCGTAGTTTCGCTCGTCTGTGCACGACGCTCTCGCAAAAACAGCGTCCGCTTTGTGTGTGCTTGGAGATCTGTACGCGAGCGTCATCAATTGCGCTTAGCGCACAGTAGTTCCGGCCCTCGAGGCTCGACGGCGTCCACGCCGACAAGGTTCGTTCCTTATGGCTGGGTCGACGGAAAAGTCGTGCTCCGCTTCCAGCTGACCGGGCGATCCACAAACATCAGCTGGATCCTCGCTGCGAGCGTTTGTCATGCCCAGAGCTGTTCCCGCGCGCCTCTGCCGGTACGCGGGCAGATACACGCCCAAGATCGCGTGCAAGCGGCTGCGCTCGGCGTCTCGTCGCATCAGTCGTAGGCTTCACTCCCTCTGCCTTCTCTCCGCCCGCTCATCAACCCTTCATTCAAGTCCGCTCGTTCGTCGCGATCGCGAGCGCAGAGAATTCCCTACGCTTGCTGCATGACAATTACTCGCTGTGCTCGCCTGCCCGCGAACCCCCGTGCGTGCGCAGCCGATGTTCCTTAATAACGCCGACGCGACGGCGCAGAAGAGGAGCCCGCCGACCCTTTTTCTAATCACAACAGCGGCTTTGACAACTATTACGTCTCAAACACGAAACATACGCCCAGCTCGCCCGTGCTACGGACGTTTGCGGCGACCTATCGACCAGCACGGATGCGGCATGACGGCGGTCACCGGGCGTCACTTCATCTCTTGCCATTTTCCGACGGCCTGCCGCACACAAGTAGCGTGTCTGCGCAGGAGGAAGGGACAGGGACGGAGAAGACCACGGACGGAAGCTTAACGCACGCGCACTCCGACACGTCGAGTCTCCCGGGCGGCCTGCTCGTTGACGTATACGCGCGGGCACTGGCAGCATCGCGGGAGCACCCTTCACAGGACACGCGGGCGCGCAAGAGGGGCCGCGAGATCTGGCAGGTCGCGGTCTGTATTATGTATGAGCAGCGCGCATTGACTCGGGTGTGAAGGTGTCATTTTGGCTATATGCGGGCCCTCCCTCTCGCGGGACGCGGCGTGGGCGCAACCGGTGCGAAGAAGCTGTGATGGGTACCGTGATGCGGGAGGGAAGCTCGTGCTGGTGCGCCCTGTCTACTTTTCGAGTGCGGCCACATTCCGCGCTGGACGCGCTCCGTCGGTGAGCTGATGATCGGCCGCCGTGCTGCGCGCGTCCTACGCCGACGAGGCAATTCCGGCGAGATGCAGCGTCCGATGCGTTCTGCTCGGGCTGCAGCGACTGCATCCGCGACATATTATGTATGTATGTTCTGGCGAGCCGCCACCATCAAGCCCCGGGCGCGAGGCCTGGCCGCGAGGGCCCGGGCGTGGGTACCGCCCTCCAGGAGTGGTTGGGCAATTGCCATATTGGCCCGATTGGGATGCGCCACAAGGCCGCTACGCATCGGGTGCGGAGGGCCGCGGTATGCCGCTGTGGTTCAGCTCCTCCATCATTGCTCTCCTGCAGGTTGGCGCGTTCAGTCGCCAGGAAACGCGTTGCGTGTTGCGCGTCGCCGACGACGGACGCGAGGTCGCCGCCCGATGCCCCCGCTCCTTCATTAATCCTCTTTCCTCTCGTCGCTCGCGCTCCGGGTCCTGGTGTTGATGCTGCCAGATCTCGGAGCCCACCTCCGGAAACGGGAAAGGCCAGGCAAGAGCCCGTCGACCCGCCATATAGTACGTGTTATCTCCTTGTCCCTCGGACGTATTGTTGCCAATTGATCTATTTCTAATCGTAGGCGGGTCCTGTGCGCACTGACCCCGGCGAACACACTCTTTAGATCCCGCGTTTGGCATATCCGGGAGTGTTTGGCGTGGCCTCCCGGGATGTTCTGACGGACGTCGAGGCTGCGCATTCACTTATCTCGCAACGCCCATGGACGTACTTCGTCCGTTACCGCGTGTGTACATTTTGATTAGGCGAGGTGAGTAGTTGTGCTCCCGGTGCACGTTCTTTCCGAAGAAGCTAAACACCGAGGGCTTAGGTCGACGTTCAAACGTGTGTTGTTGTCGCTGACAGCAATTTCCTTACACCATCGCCGGGTTATCGCGTCGACGTCTCCATCAGGGTTTTGTTATTGCGCCTCATGATCCGCTATTATCGTTGACAACATGCTGCGTGCTCTCATGGCTGCTCGTATCGTCTACCTGCTTGTGGACATTAATGGCTTTAGGTACACCTGTCAAGAGCTGCGCTTACGATATGTCGCGCCCTCCACTGATGCCTTGGAAGGAAAGCACAAACGCCCTGAGACCCCCGTTGTGACGGCTTCTTGGCTCGACCAGGGTAGTGTTCACTTCTGTCCGTCCCTGTACATTGACGTACGAGCGTCCTTTCAGCAAAGTGGCACGAAGTCCATGTGGTGCGCATTCCGCCCTACTCTCTTGCTGCATCGAGGAGCCGAAGACAGGAACTCCGAGCCTTCCGAGCCCGCCACAGTTGCTCTCCCTCGGACATTGGGGAAGCGCACTACGCCCGCACGCCAGTTAAGCTCCTTCTCGCCGTCCCGCTACGCACGAAGTCCTTGTCGATCGAAGTCGCACGTTCTAACGGACGGACGGGCACGAGAAGCCCGCGCTGCGCTGGCCCGCCGACCCGTTAACCGCTCAGGAGTGGGAGCGGCGAGCGCGAAATCGCGCCCTCTGAAATGCGCACGCGCCGGGACATTGGGTAACTGCCAACTCAATCCTCACCCGCGCCCGCGCGCTGCGCGTGCATGAGAGCCGTTCTCACATCACGCTCAGTCGCCAGCTTCGACGAGGCCTCCGCCAGCGAAGCGATCACTAAAAGTTCTCACCCCCAGAGCAGACCTGTGCTTCCTTGCGTCCTGTGCGTCCGCGCCGATGCCGAGCCCGAGCGCGTGCCCGCATGCCTGGCGATGACGAGGGGTGGCCGGCTCGCCGCTGGCGTCGCGACGCACGCAGCAGGGCGCGTCCCCACGCGGGCGGGGTGTCGGGAGCGGGGCTGTCGGCTCCGATTGAACCGCCTTCTCCGCTCTACTCCGCTAGCCGATCCATCGACCTCGTACCGGAGCTCGATCACGAGAAGGGCCTGGCCGATCGCGCCCACAGTGCGGGGTGCGGAGCAGCGAGCGACGCAGCCAGACGGCGTACGCGTGCTCCTCCTCTCTCCTCACGTCGCGGCCCGCGGTCTGTCGCGGTGGCACCCGGGAATCATGCATAATCCACACCGTGCTGCACCGCATCAGGGGATAGGAGTGGCGCGTGGAAGCGCCGTGGTCAATTGACTCCTACTGAACGCATACTATGTCATCACCCCACAGTGCGAATCCCCCGAGGCTCTTCAGCGAGGCCCTTCGCTTCTTGCTTGCCGCTGCGAATTGCGGCGCGGCGCCACCCTGCAACTGTGCGTAATATTTTACACTGGAGGGTCGAGCTTTCTGCCACATGTCCCCCACGCTCTAACGCTTGCCCTTCAATCGCCACCCGGCTCGCATCGCTCGGGAGAAGGTGCCAAATCGAGGCCGGACAAGATGAATAGATGGGGATCCGGCCGTGGGTGCTGGCAGCCACAGGTACGTAGCCTGTTCAGTGCATTACCGCGCTTACTGCAGAAATATTGATTGCACTGCGTACATGTAGTACGTGTTCCTAGCCATGCAGCTCCCTGTCATTGCGCAGGGTGCGTGTTTGCAGACCCCACTGCGCCGCGATGGTCGTCCAGGGGGCGGCTTCTGATCGCACGACTGCGATACGCCACCGCTCAACGCGAATTCGGCGAACGTCACGGGTATTCTCCCAGCTCTCGCACCCCTCTTATCTGTCTTCTCGTGACGTGAGCGTACAGAGAAGCTGCAACGCTCATTCTCGCGTGCATCATGTGTTCCCCGCATGGCCTTCATGTCCGCCCTCCGACCCGCCCTGCGCGTCCGAGAAGCAGTGTTCCGGTGCTCCGCAAGCCGTAGTCTCTTCGCCGGCCTCCACGCTCGACACAGCCGCTGCTCGGTTTGGCTGCCAGCGCGTCGCTTCTCCCGTCTCCTCCTATCGCCCTACCCCGCATTCGCTGCTCGGTCCGGCTTCAGCGACCGTACCGCGATGCGCTCTGGATGTTCCACACAATCTCCGATCCGGCACCTTTCGTCGTTCATTAAAGTGGCGCGGAGTTGCACACGGTGAGCCGTCGCCCAACGTCGCTATGTGAGCTGATTGCGAGTCGGCAGTATTCAGCTGCAGAGCGGACCCATCATGCCTTAGAGGTGATGCATGTCGATCGCGCGGTTCTAGCGACTCCTCGGCCCTTTTCGAAAGTGCATCCCGGTCAGAATTCTACGCCGCTGGAAAGGGCCGTCACCGCTGTATAGGGCGGCAGATGATGTGCCAGACAAGTGTAGGTTATGTCGGCTCGGGCAGGCGGCACCAAACGCGCGCGACGGAGCGCCGCTGCGAAGTGCCCAAAACAACATCTCATTCCCCGAACGACCCTGGGTTGCCTACGCCTGGAACATCGGGGCTTCTCCGGCGCCAGGACGATTCGGGCGGGGCGTCTCTCGAATTGTTTGTTTCGATCCGGCGCCCCGCGCACACGACCACGATCTTCTTCTACTCGCACCGGAGACGCACTTTCGCCTCATTCAGCGCAAGCGCAAGCGCGAACGCCGTTGCATCGAAGCATAGTCCGACGCGTCCCGGCAGCACCCCCGCCGCCACAATCTTTTGCTAGATGGTCGCGAAATTGCAGTGGACGGCACGAGGTACGTCTATTTGTCAAAGCCTTGCCGCGCACTGACCGTGAACACCAGCCGAAATTTTCGTTGATATAGTTGTGTCCCCTCCGCGACGACGAGCTGACGGCTGGCGGGAGAATAATCGTGCGGCCACGGCGGATCAGTCGCCATTCGGCATTGTGTGGCGGAGCGCAGCAACTGCTGCTCGGTGTGGGACAGGCCCAAACGTGCACCACCGAGGGTCGACAGACACCATGAGGCTCGATGGTGGTCATACATCGTGACTCCCTCCCCGAATCATGGCTCGGATGCCTTGTTTGAAGGCTTGATTGTGGTACCCGGCAGCGACTGTCGCAATCTTCGGGCGCCATCCCCAAAGGGAATGTCGGACTCACAAGTTGATGGTCTAGTCCACATGGCGGAACTCGTTCGCCGTGGGTGGTCTTCACGGCGCAGGTATATGGTTTGCATGCCACGGTCCGAACGACGAGGTAAGTCACAGCCTGTTTACAAGTTCGTGCCGCTCACCCATACTTGGCATAGGCAGTGCGTTACTGCGTTTGTCGCGTTTGACAGGAGCTTACCTGCGCGGGCCCTTGGCGTACGTCTGCACTTGTGGACCTTCTTCTGATGCGTCCCGTTCCGCAAGTCATTCGCATGACGTTCACGGTGCTCCACAGGCTGATCTCGGTAGGCTCTTTACTGTGAACAATAACCGTTGACAATACACTTGGTTGCTCAGTTATGCCTAATGTATCGGAGCGCCCGTCTGTCGTCGGATTCGCCGCGTCCGCCCTCGACCTTGACGAAGTCCGACGATCCCATATGGGCCTCAATATTGCAAGGTTCAAATACCGCATCCGCCAGACGCTAGTCGCCGCGCTGGACGTCTTCGCTACGTAACACGCGCCCTCTGACGGACCGAAAATGCCCTCTGGGGTGCGTCTCCGACAAGATCCCGCCCATCACAACTTCTTGGTTGTCGAGCTGCGACGGAAGGTGCGGTCACCTCGGGTTATCAGTCCCGTTCAGGACGCTATCATGCCTTTCCTGCACGTCCTCTACCGCCGGGGTGTGCAGGGACCGGTTGTCATAAGGAAGGCAGCAAGCCGTACACACTGCTCCGTGCACGCTAACTGCACCCGCAGCGCCCTGCGCCTTCGCTTGCCGTGCCGTTAGCGATGGCGGTTGGACGTGTTACTGCACAGGGATGAGATATAACCATTTCGAGCACAGTCGTCCCGCGGCGTCGGCGCACAAAGGCAAAGGCTCTTCCCGCCGCCGGCCATCCGGGCCTGGAGGGATCAGTGTGGCCTGCGCGGATGGCGCATTCGCATTCACGCGCATGCGCCGTTGACGTTACAGTCCCTCTGCGCTTCCCACAGGCGCCCACCTGCGCTGATGGCGGCCGCATGACCAACGGGTCTGTGGCCAACGCTGCTCAATTCACTTCCTCTCTCAGGCCAGCGATACCGGCCTTGCGCACGTCTCCCAGGCCCCACCGCTAACACCGCCTCATGACTCGCGAGTTGACACACACGATTGGGGTGCAGGCCAGCGCGACCCCTTCTCAAGCTCGCTTCATCTCGACCGGTGGCCCAGAGGAAGAGGGCCAGACCGAAAGCACATGCGTCTTCGTACACACGTCTTCCCCTCGCACGGCGACTCCGCTTCCGGCAGTCGCATTCCGGGGGGCGTCTTCTCCCGTTATGCTCAAGATGCCGTTGCTGAAGCGGCGGATGCTTACAGCAACGGCGACGCCCTATACAGTCGGGACGCTGCAGGCATTGATTTGCGCCGCTCCGCCATTAGCTCACGACGCTCGTAAGGCCCGGTAGCGACCGGGTTCCTGTTTAATAATGAAGTGCTTCCGCCTTCCATTCAGCGTCGTCGGCCTGCCGAGTCCTCCAATGCACTCTGGAGAATCCCCGGACGGTGCCCGCCATCAATCCAGCAATTATGCACCCGTCTGCGTCCTGGCCGCCGGGGGGCGCGACCACTTCGCACTACTGCGCGGCGACCGTGCCCGACCGAGCACTCACGCGAAGCAGCAGCGCCGCGCGCTGCCAAACCGCGGCACGCCGCTGCGACTACGGGCACCCAATGCGGCATTTACGCTGCGTTCTCGAGCAACGGGGCTCCCGCGCTGCCACTGCTTCTCCCGCCTGCAGGCCAATGACAGCTGCGTCGGCTATCCGTGCGCCCAACGTGGATTCCGTACAACTGAATGCCGAGGAACGTCGCGACGGGCCTGCTGCACTTCCCTGCCGTCGGGTAGTCCGTGAGCGTGCCCTCCTCCGATGCAAAGACTCCTTGGCACGGGTGGGACGACTCCAATCGGAGAATGCGCTTTGGTCCGCGTTCCACACAGCGGGCTACGTTCCCTTGTGCGCGGCCGTCAGATAGCAATGTCTACGGCACAGATACCCATGCCCGCGTATTGACCGGCCTTCCTTGCATAAAGGCATATTGAACGAACATAGTAAGCGAGTCTTCCATGCTCAGGCCCACGAATTCATAGTAGCGGACAGGATTCTCCCGCCGTTCTAGAACGAGCCCGCAGTGGGTCCCCGTCCAGACAGCGCGCGGTGCCGACGACCGTAGTGGACTCCCTGCCCGCTCTGGCAGCGTTCTCTTCCGGGGACGGCGCAATTATGTATTCCACCGACCCCCGACCGGCACCGCACCCTGCCAGTTCCCGGTGTCGCGACCGTCTCATCTTCTACGCATGCCTTTTCTGGCATGGTCCGCCAGCAACCCACAGCGAAGCGCGACGGAGGCCCAAATGTGTGCATATTGCGCGCGGATCTGATATCGCCAGGCTGCCCTTCAAAGCGGGACTTATCAACCCGGCCCCGTCCTGTGGGACTGCGCAGCGCAGAGCAGCTCGGAGCCGGCGATACGCCCCTCTCACGAGACTCCTCCGTTCCAGGCGGACCGAAAACATCAGGTCGCGTAGCGTACCTTGCGACATAATTACTATCACAGCTTCAGTCTGGGCTGGGGCTCCGACAACCGCGGCCGCGTCTGTATGACAATCTGGCCGGGGTGCACAGATGGAGATCCAGATATCCGGTATTTGTATTGTGGGGTATAGCCAACTCCGCCAGGTCCGTACAAGTACACATGAATGTTGCTACAGCGAGAAGAGGGTGTCGTTACGAGAGGAGCGGTCGGAACAGGGAGAGACATTGGCCGTAGGTGTTCCCAGGGCACCTCACGAGGTTGTTGCCAAGGCGTGCTTGCGCACTTCGTCGTATCGCGCGCCCTCAGCTTCGGCACGCTCGATGTGTTTGACTAGTTTGTCTTCGCGCGTCTGTAGCCGCTGCTCCATGCCGAGGATGAGCAGCTTCACCTGCTCGATGTACGCCATGGTCGCTTCGGCAGTCGCGCCGTCTGTCTTCGATGCGCCGCCTGGAGACGATGAGCCCTTGCCTGGGCTGATCAGACCTGCCGCACGAGCATGGAATGACGATGTAGGTGCGGGAGCACCCAGCTCCAGGTTTGCCTAGACGAGCCATATGTCAATGGGTGTAAACACAATGTTCCGGCGCACGCTTTACCTGCCAGTTCGCCCCCGCAAGCTTCTCTAGCTCGCGTTCCAACAGCTTCTCCCGAACCTTCCCTCTGGTCATGGCCTCGCGTCGATAGTGGTTCATGGATGAATCAAAGTACAACGTACCTCTCCATCTCCGCCATGCAGCGTTCGTTCTCTCGTTGCGTTCCCTGCAAAAGGATCTCCAAATTGGTGTACTCTTTCTCAAGCGCCTGAACCGTCTCTAGCGGTGGTCGCTGGGCCAACTGTCCCTGAAGCGACTGAATCTGTATTTTCAACTGCGCCCAGTGAGATACGACATCCATCGAAAATCCAACCGTTTAACGCGTACCTTATCGCATTCCCTGTCCTTCTCGAGTAGCTGCCGCCGGAGAACCTCTTCGACGGATTCGTCCTCCCTCAAGACGCCCAGATCATCCGTGCCAGAGGCTAGAGAGGCCCGAGCGTAGTGTCTGACGCTTTGTGCTCGTCGCATGCTGAATTCTTTAGGATGAGCGGGTAGGGATGTGGCAACGCGACTCGGACGATGGATTGGACGAGAGTCTCGATTTGGGCCACTCGTCGAGACGCAAGTTCAACGCGTGGGGCACACGTGATCCGCCACACACGCGCTTGATCGAGACGCGTCGCGTTCGCCGATCAGTGGCACAGCACGGAGGCGTTTTGGAGAGAAGTACAGGTGCGTATATTTGAGCAGGGATGTGTGTACAACGTGTCAAGTTTTACATTGGGAGCCATGTGTTCGGCGTTGAAAGTCAAGGTGCAGGACTATGAACGGCACAACGCTAGTCGACCACGTCGAAGGGAATGTCTTTGATCCAACGAGTGATCATATCCTGCCAAAAGTTATTCAGGACGACGGCGAGATGTTCGTCACATATTGTTTTGTACTCACCAGAGTAGCTTCGGGCTGATCATGGGGAGCCATGTGGCTGATGAATGTATGTCAGCATCGAGTATCGCAGGTACGGCCTGAGTAGATACGCACCCTGCTTCATATATCTGTACGAAGGTGACATTTCCAGCGCCAGATCCTCCTGACTTGCGCACCTTACCGCCAACCTCACCAGTGTCGTTTGCGATAAATTCCAAGGGCGGCGCATTCACGAAGTCCAGGTGGAGCACATGCTCGAGCTGTAACATCCAGCGTTCGACGCCCTAGGGAAACCAATATTGACTGAGCTGCACAGATTGTGTTACCATGATGAACCTACTATGAAGTTGCATATGCCGTCTGAAAAGAACACGCATCGTTAAGCCAAACGGCCACTTGAGAAGACAAAAGCAGACATAGACATACCGGTGTCACCCGCGAAAACAAGCAGCCGCAAGCCATCCTTGATCAGCGCTGGGAGCAGCGCAGCGCTGTTAAGCATGGCTTGACCCTGCAAGTAAAATCCACGGTTGACGGTCATGTTGCAATGCACAAATTCGCCCGCCTCGTCGTCGGCGCCGAGCTCATGGCGGTGCTCGTTCATGTATGCCGCGAGGCCATGAAATTCGGCGTAACAGCTGCCCTCAGGATCTGCGCAAGGGAGGCGCAAGTCATAGGGGTTCACACCCCTGTCTGGCAGGAGAATCTGTTAGCCAGCGATACAACTAATCATATGCAGACAGAATACATTACTTGACATCGGGACCAGCATCCGCGACCAGCAATACACGGTTGCTGGGTCGCATGTCGTCTTCGACGGGAAGCGGTAGCAACTCTCGATCATCCTCTTGCATATTGGACCTTCCACCTTCATCGCGCGGCACTCGGCGCTATCGGGCTTGAAAGGCGGGTACGGCGCGGCGCCACACATGTACTCCGGTACGGATGCGAACTGGACGGCAGGGTCCGTAAGACCGTTCGCGAGGATGAGCGACGCCAGATTGATGTGTCTTTGTCCGGGGAACGGCGCGTACACGCCCCGCTTATTCATCTTGTGCACGTAGCTCGCGATGTTCGGTCCGTAGTGCCCACCCCAGCTCTCGGCTGCGAGGTGAAGTGGCTTCGCACCCAGGGACGGGAAGCGGGCGGCGAAAAGCTGCAGGAATGCGTACACGTCCACTGCGAGGTCCGCGAGAGTGTCGACCTTGGAGCCGTCGGAGGAGTATGAAAATCCGGTACCGATGGGTTGGTCCAGGAAGAGCACGTTGGCGATGTTATTCCACGAGTACGGGTTGCGAGGGCTGCTCCCATCGTCAAGGACAGTGCACGGGCCCAATTCGAAGAAGAGGCCCGTCGTCGAGCTGCACCCCGGCCCACCGTTGAGCCACATCACGAGAGGAGCCGCATCAGGGTCTTGACGAGCCTCAAAGAACCTACGCAAATACAGTCAATATATGATACCGAGCGGCTAAACAGGAACGTGTTGCTCGCCAGAAGAAAAGGTGTCGGGTCTCTGAGATGTCGAGATACCCAGAGTATTGCTTTACAGAGGGGTCGCACAGCTTTGGCTCGGTGATCCGCAGTCGATAATCCGCAAACGCCGGGTGCGTGAAGTGTTCCAATTCTGTCAGGAGGTTAGTGTGGCAGCTTGCGCACCCTGAAGTATCGCGTGAATCCTAACCAACGGTATCTGGCGGAATGCTGCCATTTAGGCTTCCGGGCTCTAAGACATGTTGGTCTCCAGCTCCAACTGCCTGGAATTCGTTCGAGAATCCAGAAGCCGCAGCTTGCACAGCGAGACAAGCTACGAGACCTGCCAAAGCGATCGACCAGCTCATCCGTGGCGCACGAGATGTTAGAGATGGTGGAGTTTCGGTGAGCCCACGAAAGACAATACGTGTCGCTTTCTGCGAGGTTGATGGCTTATTAAGCCAACTATGTGAGCGCTATGAGCCATGCGAGCCGCAGTTGAGTAGATGCCATTCAAATCACCACCGTGAGCATGCGCACGGACGGTCTTCGGCCCCAAGTAACGATTCCACGAGTATCACCTACTACGCGGAGGTCATAAGCACGTATATGACAGTCCGGAGTACTCCTTCTCGCGCAGCGAAGCAAACGCAGTGGTACTGTCCAGTGCAGGCAGGAGCTCGAGGAACTCGTCGACAGCACTGCCAACGCGAAGCGCTCGACACCCGGCGTCGGCGTCTTAGTGCGCCACGTGTCCCGACCTTCTCGGACACCTCTCCCGCTATGTTTGGCGCCCGCGACAGCCACAACGCTTGACTTTCCGACACACAGTACCGCTACACTTGACAACTACAGTTTTCTTAGCGGCTGAATTTACCCTAAATACTTCATCTCAAGCTGTGGAGTTCTGTGGCATTCAAGTACGTAAGTTTGAACCGGCGAAATGCATGCTGATTGCAAAAAAGCATACTGACTGACTTCAGCTCCTGCAGGTTGTGATCATCGGCGGGGCTCCGAGGGGGTGCCGCTGCTCACGGATGTGTGGAAAACTTTCAGAAACATGGGCCTCGGCGAGGTGCTTGCGAATCGAAGACCACGGAGATAATTGCTGATGCTTTGAGTTTCTCTGCGGTACGCCGACACGGAGCGATCTTGAACTCAGGTGAACATTCTCCGCGCAGTGACGTTCGCTGATTGGTTAAGAAAGCTAGGACTGCCTGTGTGACCACGATCGGGTATGAATTTTCTTGTCGCTATACTATCTCGGTACATTTACGACGCCGCTGAAGTACGTTTGAGGCACCCGACACCTCCGAGCTGCCTTTGAGGTGGAGCTCTTACGTCCTCGGACACATTGTTTGGTACGGCACAGGCCCAACTATCACTCTCACCAGCATGAGATTATCAGATACCGCACCATCGACATTCCCTCAGTCTTGTGAACCTAGACGTTAACAAGCACCGAGCCAATGAAGAGTCTTCAAGTACGTTTGACCCGCGGCGAAGCACACCGCACAGTTCTCTTGCTTACAGGGGCCAAGACGCCGCGAATAGCGGAGAAGGGCCGCCCGCAGAAGAGTGTACCGACAGTTTCTCCGAGGAATATACAGAAATACCACCCTTGAAACGCAAACACGCTCCAGCATGCTCCGTGCACGGGCTCATCCCACTGCCAGAGCAAATAGGATCTTCCAGCTCGGGGTCGTGGCAACGCACCCTCGTGAACAACAGGTGATCGGAAGGTAATTGTATACGCCCGCACGGATGGCAGATCCCATGTACACGCTGCTAATATGATGACGTCAGGGACGGAACGGAAGAGACTCACTCCGCCTCGGAAGTGTGGCTATTGTCTCAATATGATATGCAAACTGTCCCGCCAGGTCTCCCGCCACGACGAAGTTGCAAGAAATATTCGATGTTTGTTTGCATTACAAGAAATTCAAATCGCTACACTGGGTTGGGTGGCGACCAGCGCCGAGAGCAGCTGCTATACAGGCCCAAACCGCCTATGCTACACAGAAAAACCATATGCCACCGTCGCCATCACTATTGCAAGGCTGGATATCAACGAAGTCCATGGTATAAGAGGTGGGGTGGTGGGGATGGACGTCTCCCACACGAGGGACTCAGAAGCCACCGAGGCAGCCCTCGTCCATGTCGGGGGAGAACGAGACCGTCCGCCCATCATGCCGCGTCTCCTTACGGACGAGATTTGGCCGGCGAGCCCTGCCATGCGTCTTCCCCCCAAGGGGCGAGCGCACTGCGGGCGGTGGAGAACCCACATCTGCCTTATCCGGGAGCGGACGGCGTCGGGTCGGAGGGAGATTGACGGGTGTGGCCGGTAGGTGGAGCGGCATGGGACACCCAGCCATCGCCGCGGTGAGGTTGGGGTCGGGGGGAGTGGTGACGGTGGTATCGGACTCGTCCGAGGGCGAGAGGTCCTGGATGAGCGGGGGCGTCGACGGGAGCGCGAACGGGGTGCCAGGCACGTTGAGAGGCTCGGGTTTGCACGCCTCGTACGCACGCGGGTGGAAGTAGCTCCCCTTCACGTTCTCGCTGCGCTTGCCGCCGCGCGTGCGACTGCGCCCTCGGCCCTCGCCCTCGGGCCCCTCGACGGACGGCGCGCGGACGGTGCGCTCGCCGCGGCGCGGGAGCTGGCAGATATTTGGCGTGACGGCGATGGGTGCGCGGTCGTAGGTAGTGGGCGAGTGCGCGGGGTATGTGCCGGCGACGAGCCGTGGAGTGGGAGGAAAGTGGACGTGGGGAGAGAACAGGGGCTGGCCACAGGTCGAGAACGGGAGGGCTGGTGTCCGGAACGGAGAAGAGTCCCGCTTGAGAATCGGGTGTGGGTGTGGGCGGTGAGACATCGCTCGGGCTCGGATAGTAGGATTGAGCTATAGCACGCAGAGAGAGGATATAGCGCAGGGTACTGGGCTGCCACGCAGCGAGCGGCGTACGGTGCAGCCTGCGAGCGCTGCGATGTCTGTGGTCGAGTGGCACTCAGCCCATCTCCGTCTTCTCTTATAGCGCACGGCCCGAAAATTGCGCCCCATGAACGTGAAATCATCGCAGGCGCGCAACATACCTGTGCCCCACGCTCCACTACGAGAGCTGCGATGGATGGTAGATCGGGGCATAGATGCTTCTGCTCCCCCCCGCGCTAATCTGCCGCGGCCGCACCCCGAATCCGACCCGCAAGCACGCACGGGCTGTGCAAAACTCACTAGAAGCTGCAACGCACACCTGACAGCCGCAGGCAGCGTGGCACACATGGCGGGCTGAGTAAGTTAGCCTACCAGTCGGTTGGAGCAAGAAAGCATGAATAGAGACCATAGACACACACGCCCATACATATACTAGCCAGCGTTTGGTAGTCTCCTTGCGGAAGGGTGAAGATCAGCGACGACGCATACGCCAGCTCCAGGATTTGAGTGCAGTCGTTCAAATCAGAGACAGGGAACAGGTCTGTGGAGAGCCAGAGTCGACGTCGCCGTTACAATCTGCCATGAGGCAGGTCAAAGGTGGCACTCGGTAGCTTGCATGCAGAACGATGGCGGTAGGGCGGGAGCGGAAGGTTTTCCGTGGATGGATTCTCACCTGACGCAATGCGTCTCGGAACGGTAAGCGCAATCGATCAGCGCTCTTCTCTCCGGAGGGCCAGTTTGTCCAAGAATTGCCAGTCTGTGCTAAAAATCCGTACATGCCTGCTAGTGTAATCGATGTGTCTTGACCGCGAGAAGCCCGAAAGGAGGAGCACAGCGCGCGCGTGGTGGAGGGTCCCGCTAAGCATCACAGGGCGTGGTTCCCCGTGTATGTAAGGGGCGCGCGGATCGTGTGGGGTAGGAGAATATGGATGTGGGAGGGCGGGAGGTGCGTTCAGCTCTGCCATGGGTTCAGGTCAAGCGTACTCGACGCCTTCTTGCCACTCCCATACGGCCCACCAATGTCCCAGGGCGCGCGGGTGGCCTGCTGAGAAGACGTGGACGAAGGCGCGAAGCTGATAGAACCATCGATGCCGCCAAAAGATAGCGAGGGCGCGCCTGCGGATGCCGCAAACGGATTGTCAGGCGGGGCTGGCAGCTCATCCGAGCGGAGACCGCTTGTTCCGCTAGCGAACGGATTTGACAACACGTCCGCTGAGCGGAGTGCGGCGAAATTGGATGGTGCCTGATACCCACCACCGAACGCACGGTACGCAGTAGGCGTAGGATCAGGATCGTGAGACGGCCAGATTGAGCCGTCACTGCCACCAAAAGACAAGACCGGCGGACGGGACGAGGGGGCGTGGCGACTATATGATGTCATATCGGCTTCGAAATCGTCGTGCATGTTGTTGAGTGAGAGGGATCGCGATAGGGAAGCGGACAGGTCCGCTCGCGAGCTTGAGCTTGGACCAGCCACCGGTTCGTCCTCGTGGTCCAACGGAACAGGAGGAAGGTTAAGGGAAGGTCGCGCCTTCGGAGTGGCGGGAGGGGGAGAATCCGGCACGGGTGGGGGTGCCGATTCCGTTCGAAGTGTCGGAGGATGAGAATGAGCATGCGGAGGCGCGAACTTGCTAGGCGTCGGCGCCCGTAGATCGTCTGGGTTCGTATCGCCCTTCCCAAGAACCTCTTTGATCGCAGCAAAGTCAAAGCCGGCATGAGCGGGTATCTCGGAGGTAGCGACGTCGCCGTCGTCGTTGGGGGTAGAAGGAGCGGTGGGGGACTGTGCCGATGGTGAAGGTTTCGACGGCGACGGTGTGGTCGCACCCTCCCTAGGAGGCAAGTCTTCATCTGCCGCGCTGGACTGCGAACCGGACTTTCTGTCATGGCTGAAGGTTGCGGCCGAAGGTGGCCGGGAGACCGACTGAGAGGATGTAGACGATTTCTTCTTCCGTCCGAACCACCCTTTCTTCTGCGTCTCTTCACCCTCCCGGATCACCACCCGATCCCCTTCGAAATCGGGCTCCTGAGATCAGACCCATATGACATCAGCGCTGCGCTGGAAAGTAGGTCAGCTCAACCACGCACCTCGGGTTCGTCAAAGTAATCCGCAGACACGGGGAAGCCAAGCTGATCGAGGATGAGGGGCATGAACGTGCGGTAGCTCATGTGTCCGGCGATCTTGTCCGTGACGTCCACGTTCTCAAGCCCCGGAACGTTTTGCACCGGTCGGAGTCCCGCCACAGTGTTCAGGCCGCCGCTTGTTGCACGGAAAAGGTAGTTGAGGACCCAGTCGTTACGAGCGTAGCCGTTGACGAAGCGGCCGGAAACTACCGACCGCACTTCCAGCCATGTGCGCAGTGGTGCGGTGACGGTAGCGCCCAGCAGGATCACATCTTGGACGATACCAAACGCTCCCTTCTTCGCCAGCTCGACCAGAGCGTAGAAGATCACCCTGGCGCCGAGAGAGAAACCAATGAGGGTGATGGGGCGCACTCCGAGATGCCTGTTGAGGAGAATCTCAGCCAAGACACTGCCGGCTCCCTTCGCGCGGTCCAGCGCGTTAGACCAAGGGTTGTCGATGAGGTATCCGAGCTTCGTTAGGACTGCGCGTATCGGTTCATTAGCTTTCACTTTCATCGCTTGCATGGACAGACCGACGACTGACTGATAGGCCATTGCAAAGCACTCATGAGTGCCGTCATGACGGTCGCCTGCAGAGCCGTCTGAGCAAGTTGCGACAACACTTCGCTCGTCAGAATCTTGAGGGCACTTCCTGTCTCACGGATCATCTCCGGCTCCCAGAGGACACTGAACACATCCCCGACGACCGGGTCTAAGACGCTGAATGGTAGACGGACATCGTCGTGAATACCGTTCATGAACCTGAGCACGCGTGTCACATTAGTCACTAGGCGCGTGTTCGCTCAGTAGGAGTAGAGCTCACCCAGGAACAGTGAGGATACAATTGACGCGCTTGTGATTGTGCAAGGGGAGCAGCTCAAACGTACGAACATGCTGCGTCCGCCGCGCCATGCCACGCGCTGCGATGCCAGATCCTGTCAAGACGCCGCCAGTGGTAATTACCGCGGCGCCACCCGTTCCGGCCAGGAACCCGGTGGTGCCTGTGATGCCTATGGTCGTAAAAGCAGCACCAAGTCCAGCTCCGATGACGGGCGCCAGGAGTCCCGCGGATAGTCCGATGACGAGACCACCACCTGCCCGTATTTGACCGTTGAGTTGTGTTCAAGGAAAAGAAACCGATGTACGCACCCAATGTTGCTAGACCTAGCATCATGTACCGCCGCTTCTTGGAGTTCTTCTCAGCTTCTTGTATAGAGTCTTGCTGCTCTAGTCTCTCGACGCCCTCCTGAATTTCAAGCGCCTCCGTTACTCGACTCTCAAACTTGACTACATCAAGCCAGCCCAAGCCAAGCTTGAGGGCGACGCTCTCGAGCAGCACCCGGGATCGAGCATCGTACACACTATCCGCGATGAGAACGAGGAACAAATCGCAGAGCACGGTCCACCGGATGTCTAGCGTAACGTCCTTGTCCGCAGCCGAGAGGTGGGTACTGACCCCAGGCATAGCCGGCGCGGACGTGTTCTCTAGGACCTGACTCGTAGTTTGTTGAGGTTTCGGTGGCGGTAGCGGGGGTGATGCGGAGTATGCTGGGGGAGGTGTTGAGGGCGGGGTGGTGCTTTCCGAGATGTCGGCCGATTCCTTCATAGCCTCTGTTTGTCGCTCATCCGCTTGTTTCCGTGCTTCGGCTGGATCGTACTCAGGGTTGGCGACGGTATGGGTCGTCATGAGAGGCGGAACAAGATCTTTGGCCTGAATGCCATGCTGTCCGAGGCTTGCGATCATCTTCTGCTCTAACCAGCTTGTTCAGCGTGAGTTCTACTTGGAGGATATGTAGACGACAGCTATGCTTCACCTTCAGTAGCGAGCTCCATATGATAGTACAGCCGACCCATGATCTTCAGTGCCCACAGCTCCATGTTCTGGATGGCCTTCTTGAGCTCCTTCCGGTTGACCGCCTTCAGGGTATCGATCATTTCCTTCGTGGTCAGCGCGCATATGCCGACATACGCTATGCGCTGCGCTTCGGTGAGCATGTCCTTGGTCTGCTGCATCTGGCTGAGCGGCGTCATCGCCTTGTCTTCATCGAAGAGGTATCGCGTGCGCAGGTGGACTTCGTCCGACTCATCCTCCTCCTTCATCCGAAGCCGGGTATACTCGCTTTCGTTCTGGTCCGCCTTCGCGCGCCATTCGTTCCCCTCGTAGTCAATATCCAGCAAGTTACCGGTGGCATTTCCCGCCGCACCACCCGAAGAGTCCCCCTTCTTGGGCTGGGGCATGTAGTGGTACTTCTTCTGGTCTTCCTCGTCGAACCCTGCATCGAGGCCGTCGTCCTCGCGGACGACGGGCATATCCTGCCAGCCTTCGTCATCATCGTCAAAGACGTCCGGCTCTATAGGGGCTATTGGAGGTGCAGAGACGACTGGCATGGAGGGAAGCAAGAGACGTAAGGCGCAGGCGGCGATGGAACGAGGCAATAGACGCAATGTAAGCTAAGCGCCCATATGCAGCCCGATACGCTGATCCGAGATCACTGCCTGTGGCGGACGCGGCCGACCGCTGCAATCTCATGCACGTAGAGTCAGAGGTCGGGGAGCGTATGTTCAGACAAAGGTCATAAAAGCGACGGCGTAGGCCACTCCATTGAAGAGCAACGGTGTACGTTGGCCCTGATGATACAACAGCATATTTGGATGCGAGTACAGACCGAGTAAAGTTAGCTGGTCTTCGCCCGTGCCTTGGCCTCTTCCTTCTCCTGCGCCCTTTTCTTCGACTCCTCCAGCTTCAGCGCAGCCTTGATCTTCCTCTGTCTCTTTCTTCGGCCGTTCCCTCGCTTCACGCCCTCGATGACGATCTCCTCTTGCAGGCGGCGTTTCTTGCGTGCGGCTTCCTCGGCACGGTGCTTTTCGCGCTTCTTGTCGCGCTTTCGGAGAGAGGTCATCGACGACTTGAGCAATACCCCATACGCCGCATGGAACTTCTCCAGATCCGATGGTTGCACCTGATCCGGCATAGCAATCTCGCGTCAGATGTGCAAGCTTGGAACAGGAAGATGTACGCACGGTTGTGGAGAATTTGGCGTCTTTGCCGTCGGTGACCCGAACCAGACAAGGAAACTCCTTGGTATCGTCTTCCCCCGATGACATATGGGCATCGCCGCCCTCATGGGTAACTGCGTTCAGCGTGTCAATAAAGTACGTCTTCTATGAATTGCCGGGACGTACGTCGTTTATGCGTTAACCATATCGATCCAGATTTTGAGCTCGACTCAAACAACGTCGACAACTGCTTGAGGAACTGCACATAATGTCAAGATACAATCCGCAAAGCCCACACAGGTGAACACGTACGGTCTCGTTGTCCACCAGCTGCATCGAAGCTGGAAGTGAGGACCCAAGTACACATGTTACGTAAGCGCCCTGCTCACTGCTGTGACAACGTGCTCGTGACGGATGTGTCACTGACTGCCTTTCTGGGCGCTCGAGAAGGCAGAGCCGGGCCAATTGGCGCTGAGGCGATTGCTCATCCTTGCGACTCCTCGAGTGAGCGCTGTGGCTGAGGCCAGAAATTAATTCACTATGCTCGCATTGGCTCACGCAAATATCTCCGGGGCGGCCCTTGTGCGCTTTACACCTTCTCTTAGCTCGGCAATATCTCCTGCTCGTGCTCTCTTGCGCTCCTACCACCTTACGCCGACATGGAGGCATTCCCAGCCCCCGTCCCAGGCGCATCTCTGCTGCTCTCCTTCAAGCCTGTGAAGAAAAACGTCCTCATCATCGGCGGAAACAACATCGCGGCAAAACGCGCATTTGCTGCCCTAGAAGCGGAGGCCAACGTCTTGGTACTTGTTCGGGGAGGTCTCGACGCCGCCTGCGAGGAGTTACGATGGCGGGCCAACCAGGGTCAGCTAGCACTCTTCGACCTCGACTCCTTGCCATGCTCCTCTGCTGGACCCTCGGACCACTGGCGCGACGCTAAGGCGGTTGACTCCTTCATCTACAGGCAGCCGGATAAAATGCGCCTAGTCTGCATCACCGACACGGTCTCGTCTCCGCACGCGGCGTACCGACGTACCTACGAGTCGGCACGGGAGATCGCACGAGAGTGCCGCCATCGGAGTATACCAGTCAACGTCACCGACATGCCAGACCTCTGCGACTTCACCTTCATGTCCACCCAGCGCTTCGTAGATGCGGAGACAGGGACATCGACCCCCCTGCAGGTGGGCATCACGACGAACGGGCACGGATGTCGACTGGCCGGGCGTATACGGCGGGACATCGTCGCGAGCTTGCCGAAGGAAATCGGTGCCTCGGTGACAAAGGTTGGGCGGCTGAGGGAACTGGCTCAGGTCGCAATGCCGGAAGACGCTGTCGAAATCCCGGGGCTGAACGAAGACGGCGCGCCAGTTACCCCGAACGAGCCCGTTCCCCAGCGAAAGCAAGAGGAGACAGCCGCCGAACGCGCACGACGGCGCATGAAGTGGGTCGCACAAGTCAGCGAGTACTGGTCCATTCGCAGACTCGCGCATCTCACCGACGCGCAAATGGACGCCATTCTGGACGGTCGGGAAGGGCTCATTAGCACCAGCTCTTCTGTCCGGGACACAGACTCCCCTACGCCTTCTGTCGGAGACAGCGATATCTCCACGTCCCAGCATGACCTCGACCTCGCACCATCCCGCCGTGGACGTATTCTCCTCGTTGGCTCAGGACCTGGGCATCCTTCCCTCCTCACAGTGGCGACCCACGCCGCGCTCACAAAACATGCCGACCTCGTACTTTCCGATAAACTCGTCCCAGAGGCGGTTCTTGCGCTAGTTCCTCCTGGTGTCGAAGTGCGCATTGCGCGCAAGTTCCCGGGCAACGCGGAAGGCGCGCAAATGGAACTCATGGAAGCAGCCATCGAGGCAGCCAACCGCGGGCTGACCGTCGTCCGGGTAGGTTCCTTCAATATAGCACACATAGTATCATGCTGATCCCTTTTGTGTTAGCTCAAGCAAGGTGACCCCACAGTTTACGGGCGTGCAGGCGAGGAGGTGATCTACTTCCGCGCCCGTGGATTCGAGCCTGTGGTCGTTCCTGGCGTCAGCTCCGTCCTCGCAGGCCCTACCTTCGCTGGTATCCCCGTTACCCAAAGGGGCGCTGCCGAGTCCTTTATCGTCTGCACGGGTGTTGGGCGCCAGGGCAAAGAAGTCAAGCTGCCAGGATACGAACGAGGCCGTACGCTCGTCATCCTCATGGGCGTGGCGCGCCTGCCGCAAGTGTTGGACACCCTTCAGACCGGCGATGCGGAGTCAACTGGACGCCGAGATGGACCCGCGTATCCCTCGCACACTCCCATCGCTCTCATCGAGCGCGCGTCGATGCCTGACCAACGCGTCATTTGCTCTACGCTGAAGGATATCTCCGCTGCGTTGGAGAGCGTCGGCGAACAGAGGCCACCGGGGATGCTCGTGATCGGCTGGTCGGTGTTGTCACTCTGGAAGAAGGGCGACATGACTATCTTGGAAGATGGCGCGGAGACACACGATGCGGAGAGGGTGAAGGGGTGGCTCGGGGAGAAACTCTGGAGAGTAAGCGAAGGTCTGAACGCGGAGTGGGAAGGCTGGTGAGGTGGGTAAGTGAATTGACGTCGGTTGGCTTCTTTGGTCGCTGTATAACATCTGTGTACTTGTGCTATCATACTCATGCTATCGTCTGTAATTTCTGCACTTAATCCTGGGCTGTTGTATCCCTTGCCTCCTCTTCCGGTTTTGCGCGCCTCTCAGGCACGGTCTGCGGACGCGCGTGTCACGTGTAACACACGCGCGACGCGTTGTGGCAGGTTCGAGCTTGAACCCGTCCACCTTCAGCAACCCCTCAAGCAACCCGTATCCACCCCGCCGCCCGACCTCGCCATGCCGCCCCGTCGGTCATCTCGGGCCCGTAGCTCTGTCGAGCCAGCTGCGCCCGCTCCGAAACGCAAACGTAACGAACCCCAAGAGATCGAAGAGGTCGATGAGGAAGAAGTCAAGCCCGCGCCGCGGACGCGTCGTTCCGCGTCAACTCAGCCACAACCGAAGGGACGTACCTCCACTCGCTCTAGGAAGTCACTGGAGGAGGTGGAGGAGGAAGACGAAGACGAGGAGGCAAGCCCGCCCCCCGCCAAGAAGTCACGACCATCCCTGGAGACGGAGGATGGAGAGGAAGAGAGTAAGGGGACGTCACGAACCCGGTCGCGTAAGCCTGCGTCGAAGACCGCAGGACCCTCATCTGCGCCGGCGAAGAAGACAAGAGCGTCTTCAGCGAGCGTGAAGAGTGAGTCCTCCGAGCTTGTCCTTCCCAGGAGGAAGACTGTCGCGCCCGCCGCCCCTGCCACCAAGACCACCCGCTCATCCAGGCGTATCTCTACCATTGTCATTGGCTCGGATGACGACGAGCTATACGAAGTGGATGAGGACGGCCAGAAGCTCGATATCAAGCCTCCGCCACCTAAGCCGGCGCCGGTGGCCAAGGGCAGGAAGGGCAAGAAAGAGAAGGTCGTGTATGTGATCGATGATTCCGACGATGAACCACAGGCAGGTCCTTCGGGAAAGCGAGGCAAGTCGATGACTCCTGTCAAAGAGGAGCCGGCTGCTGGAGTGGCTCAAGAGGAAACTGAGGACGCGGAGGACGCGCACGAGGCAGTCAAGGAAGAAGCCCCCGAAGCAATGTCCACTGATCCGCCTGCTGGTGATGCCGCCAAAAGTGACCCTGAGGACGAAGAGGACGAGGATGACGCCGAGGCCGAGGCCGTCAGTGCAGCCGTTCTCAATGAGGAGGAGGTCAACGAGGATGCGGCACCACCGCAGATCGAGGAGGAGGTGGAGGAAGAGGAACATTCGCTCCTGGATCCTCCTCTCTCCTCTATCCCCCGGCAGCCGTCTCAATCCGCTGCCCCGGAGGAGCCGCAGGGCCCCAAGCCCCGCCTTGTTATCCACAAGATGGCGCTGGTCAACTTCAAGAGTTACGCCGGCAGGCAAGAGATTGGCCCATTCCACAAGGTAGGATTGCGCGTCACTTCCTAGCCACTACTTGCTGAAGTCTTCGCGGCTAGTCCTTCTCGGCCATTGTCGGGCCTAACGGCTCTGGCAAGTCGAACACTATCGACGCCCTACTCTTTGTGTTTGGTTACCGAGCCTCGAAGATGCGACAGGGCAAACTCTCGGAGCTGATCCACAACTCGGCCAACCATCCCAACCTCCCTGACTGCAGCGTTGAAGTACATTTTCGGGAGATCATCGACTTACCAGGACCTGATGCTTTCGAGCTCGTCCCCGGATCGAAACTGGTTGTTACTCGTACGGCCTATAGGAACAACAGTAGCAAATACTCCATCAACGGTCGCTCAAGCACATACAGCGAAGTACAAACCCTACTCAAGGGTCGCGGCATCGATCTCGACCACAACCGGTTCCTCATCCTCCAGGTAATCAGTTGTGCATTTTAGAGTTGAGCGTAATGACTAACTTCCGCACAGGGTGAGGTCGAGTCTATCGCTCAGATGAAGCCCAAGGCCGCCAACGAGAACGACGAGGGGCTTCTGGAGTACCTCGAGGACATCGTCGGCACCTCCCAGTACAAAGAGCCCATTGATGAAGCGCTTGTTGAAGTCGAGCGCCTTACCGAGGACCGTCAGGAGAAGCTCAGCCGTCTGCGGATTGTGGACAAAGACCGCAAGGCACTGGAGTCCAAGAAGAAGGAAGCAGAGGATTACCTCAGGATGGTAAACGACCTTGTTAGGGCGAGGTCACGGCTCTGGCAGTGGTATATCTGGAAGTGCCTGGAGAACGAGAGTCAGCTCGAGGAGAAGATAGTACGTGCTGCGCGAAGGCGGGAAGTAGCTAAGCGACGCTGATTGGTATTGACGTTCGTAGGGCAAGATCGAGCATGACCTGCAGGAGGAGCGCGATCGCAACCAAGACGACATTAATCACTTCGAGTTGCTTCAGAAGCACTACGATGAGAAGTGCTCGGCCTATGAGGTATCTATATCGCTTTCATTTCCTCGCTATCGATATGGTGAACTCATCCATTGCAATAGGAAGTCCAGAAGGCCGCGGCGGAAGCCGTCAAGGATCTCGCTGCTCGGGAGAAGACACAGATCAGTCTCGAAGAGAAGCGCAAGCATGCTAATACCAAGGCGAAGAAGCTTAAGAAAGCTATTCATGATGTACGTCTGTTACTGAAGCTTCATACTGCGCCCACTAAAACTTTATCGTACAGGATGAGCATGCGAGAGCCGAAGCCGACCGCACTGTTGACGACAGTGCAGCGAAGATCGAGCGGAAGAGGGATGAGCTAGAGAGTCTCGAGCAAGAGCTCTCCCAGGCCGAGAAGGTCTTGGAAGAAATCCGCGACAGCCTGAAGGGTACGTTTGCTGCTGAACGGCCCCATGTCCATTCCAAGCTCATTTTCCACAGACAAGACACAGGTCTTCCATGATCAGATCGAGGTCAAGCAGAAGGAACTCCAGCCATGGATGGCGAAGATCGATGCCAAGCAAGCTGAGATTGACGTTGCCACTAGCGAGCGCGATGCACTCAAGAAGAAGGCCGAGGCAGCTAAGGAGGCCAGAGAGAAGGCTGATGCTGAACTCGAGCAGCTGCACGAGGACCACCAAGCAAAGAAGGCGGAACTCCAGGAGCTCGAGGCTGAAAAGACAAGAAATCAGCGAGAGATCCGCAGCGCAGAGAAGGAGTTCCAGGTAAGTTGTCTTCTTATGAACTAAGCGACGATGCTCAAAGGACAACAGGACGCACAAGCCAACATTCAAGGACTTCGTGCAAAGGCGTCTGCTTCACGGCAGAAGGTCGACGAGGCTAAGTCATCGCAGGAGCAGAGCCGCAGTAACAACCGCGTGCTGGACACTCTGATCCGGCTCAAGACGGCAGGGCGGATCCAAGGTTTCCATGTGGGTCATGCATAATGTTCGACCTTCCTCCTATTTGCTGACGTCGTCGGCAGGGTCGACTTGGCAGCCTAGGGACTATCGAAGACAAGTATGACATCGCGATATCTACCGCTTGTGGCCAGCTCGGCAACATGGTAGTGGACACGGTGGAGCAGGGCCAGGCATGCATCGAATACCTCCGAAACCAGAACGTCGGCCGCGCGTCCTTCATGGTCCTCGAGAAGATCTCCGGGGACATGCGGCGCATCCAGACCCCAGACAACGTACCACGTTTGTTCGACCTGATCAAACCTAAGGAGCCCAAGTTCGCTCCGGCGTTTTACAAGGCGCTACGCGACACCCTCGTGGTGGACACCCTCGAGCAAGCGAACCGCATCGCATTCGGCGGTCACAAGCGTTGGCGTGTCGTAACTCTAGCGGGCCAGCTGATCGATGCCTCCGGGACTATGTCCGGTGGTGGTACCAGCGTCCAGCGGGGTGGTATGAGCTCGAAGCTCGCAGCCGATGCCGTACCTCCCGAGGTGATACGCAAGTACCAGGAGACCAGCGAGGAGGATGCGCGGGCTCTCGACGAGGCCGTCCGTGAACTGCGGGAGCTGGAGGCCAAGGTGGAGGCGCTGAAGCAGTCAGCTCCTAGGCTCGACCTGGCCATCGACAAGGTCCAACTCGACATCCGGAACGCTGCGAAGCGGATTGCTGACACGGAACGCCGTGTCAAAGAACTGAAGTAAGCCCAACACACTCGGACTGGAGGTGAATCTGTACTGACTACCCACAGATCGCAGAGCAAGCCCGACGCGAACGACGTGTCTCGGATCGCCACTCTCGACCGCGGGATCGACGCTGCCACCGCTGAGCTGGAGAAGCTCCAAGGCAAGGCGAACGCCATCGAAGCCGAGATCAAGGCTCTGGAGAAGAAGATCCTCGAGATCGGCGGTGCGCGCCTGCTCTCGCAGAAGTCCAAGGTCGACGGCCTCCGCCTGCACATCAACCTGGCGAACGATGAGATCACGAAGGCGGAGGTGGCGAAGGCGAAGGCCGAGAAGGACCGCGTCAAGCACCAGAGCGCCGTTGAGAGCAACACGGGCGAGCTCGAGGACGTCCAGCGCGAGCTCGCTGATCTGGAGGAGCAGCTCGAAGAGTGCGCGGAGTACATGGCGCAACTGCGCCAACAGGTCGACGTTGCCCAGACGGCCGCTGAGAAGTCCTCGGAGGCCCTGGCGCAGCTCAAAGAGGAGCTAGACGAGAAGAGCGAGCATATCCAGGCTTTCAGGCAGAAAGAGGCAAGTTGTTTGTGATGCAAATCTGGCGCAACGGCTGACGTTCCCCGCAGATGAAGCTCAAGCAGGAACTCGAGGACACCAAGAAGTCGCACAGTGACAATAAGGCTACGCTTGAGCACTGGAGTATCGAGCACGACAAGCTCCAGCTCGAGGATATAGAGTAAGCTTAGTCCATACCATGTATCAACTCAGTGACTGACGTGCTTTCTAGCGAGGAGGAAGAAGGAGAAGAGGGGGCTGCTGGGGGTGAAGGCGGAGAAGGAGAGAACGGAGAAGGCGCAGGCGGCGAGGGCCCAGTCAAGAAAGAGCCTGGCGCGAGGAAGTCTCGAGCTCGTACACCCTCACACGAGCTGCACTCCTACAGCGAACAGGAGCTCGGTACCTTCAAGAAACGCGAGCTCCTGGCTGACGCTGAGTTGCTTGATGGTGCGTTTCCGCGCAGCTTCGGTGCTTCGTGGACACACTAACACCCCCAAAGAGAAGGTCAAGAACGCGAAGCCTGATCTGAGCGTCCTGAAGGACTACCGGCAGCGCGAAGAAGAGTTCCTGCGGCGCGCGGCAGAATTCGACAAGATCACGAAGCTGCGGGACGCCAAGAAGGAAGAGTATGAGGCGCTGCGGAAGCGGCGGCTCGACGAGTTCATGGCCGGCTTCAGTGCGATCTCGCTCAAGCTCAAGGAGATGTACCAGGTAGGTGGCCGGGAGTCTTCTGAACCGCATTGTGCTTATTCGTACCCGAAGATGATCACCCTCGGCGGTAATGCCGAGCTTGAGCTTGTCGACAGCATGGATCCCTTCTCGGAAGGCATCATCTTCAGTGTTATGCCCCCGAAGAAGAGCTGGAAGAACATTTCGAATTTGTCCGGTGGAGAGAAGGTAGTGCTGCCGTTTATTTTGCCCTCGTTCGTAGCTGACGAACTTCAATAGACTTTGAGTTCTCTCGCCCTTGTCTTCGCCTTGCACGTCTATAAGGTACGATTCAACACATCAACGTACTCTTTCTGGTTCTGATGGGTCCATAGCCGACGCCTCTGTACTTCATGGATGAGATCGACGCCGCCCTCGACTTCCGGAACGTCTCCATTGTCGCGAACTACATCAAGGACCGTACGAAGAACGCGCAGTTCATCATCATTTCCCTGAGGTACGCTCTTCATCGCACCCCAGCGTAGTCTGGTCCCGGACTGACGGCTTTGCCACAGGAATGACATGTTCGAGCTGAGCCATCGCTTGATCGGCATTTACAAGACCGCCAACGCTACTCGCAGTACGTGTCATCATCTTTGCATGATACAAGCACCCATGCTAACGTCTCGCTCAGGTATCTCGATCGACAACCACGCTCTGCACGCCATCCCTGCACCTACTGCTGCTCCTACCGCTGTAGCCAGTCACTGATAAAACACACTGTACAATACTCTCCGTCACACGTGCTGGTCATCCCGTTCCCATACCCGTTACTCGTACACGCCTGTTGTATTCTCTACACTACTCTATCCGCGCCGTTTTGAATTCATGAATTGTAGCCCGATCCCTGTCGCGACGACCGCTCGGGAAGGTAGTGTGCTAGAATTCCCGCAAGGGTGGCACCCTCCCGGTCCTCGGAGAATGCGGAAGGTAGACCTTCTCTTGGAAACTCCCGGGGCAGCCTCAGAGGCAGACCTCGCGCGAAGAGCGGGTGTGCGAGCGCGTCCTGGGCGCGTAGCCGCGACTCCGGTGGGTACGCCAAGAGTCGCGACAGAAGATTAAGGCAATCCTCGCGTTCGGGCGGCTCCTCATTTGGGGGCAGGTTGGGGAGCAGCTCCCGTAGGTCGACTGGAGGGACTTCCACGAAGTTGAGCACCTGCGCGTCTGGCAGCTGTCTGAACGTCTACAAGAGGCAGGGGGCAAGTAGTTCGCATGCGCCGTAAGACAAAGGTGGCGAGACAGACACGTACTGGCCAGGTGTGCTCGTTGGGCGTCCCGTGTACCTTGAATATGCTGAACGCGTGCCCAATCGTGCCCTTGCTCGCGTCGTATAGCGAGTCCCGCTCCCACTCTACGTCAGGATGATTCGGGTGCAATGCTTTTGGGATTATGAATGGCACTTTCGCGGGTAGCGCGCCCGCACGCGGATCGGTGTCGTCCTCGTCGGAATCTTCGTCTGAGTCGTCGTACGAGCGCTGCAGGCGGAGCGGGGTGAAGAACTCCGCCATAACGGCGCCCAAGCTCCATATATCTGTCGCGGCCGCGTCGTAACGCGTTGCTCCAAAGAGCAGTTCTGGCGCGCGATATGGTCTACAGGAGGTACTAGTGTTTGAACGTCGTGCCTCTGAGAGCAGGGTAACGAACGACGCACCCAGTTGCGACCTCGAAGCACATGTGGCCGGGGGGTTCTGGCCACAGGTCGCGCGCGTTGACCGTCTCCGTCCATGCGACGCCGAAGTCGATGAGCTTGACGCATCCGTCCGCGGTAAGCAAAATGTTGCGGGGCTTGACGTCTCGGTGAGCGATGTGGAGGCTGTGGACGTGGGAGAGGGCCGAAAATATCTGGTATAAGATGGATTTGAGGACGACGAGGAAGCAGGCCGAGGAGGGTGCTGATAGCGTCCAAGTCTTCTCGTCGACGTTGAGTTCGTACGGAGAGAAATGCGGGCTGCTGAGCACGTGGTAGAGCTGAAAGGGCACGAATGGCATCCAGAAGTACAGCGTACTTATGGAGTCTTCGTGTGTATAACCGAGCACCTCTATGATCTAGCGGAGGTCAGTGGTGCGGTTTATCTACGAGATACGGTTCCCCTTACGTTGACGTGGGAGAGGCTCATTAAGATGCGTAATTCCTTGCCAATATCATGCGGTTGCTTGACGAATTGACGGTGGTTGTGAGCGCTCTTGATCGCAACGGGAGTTGCTTGCGCCAGGTCTCGCAAGTACCCCAAATGGACTTCCGAGACGATGGTCGCTGCGATCGTTTCAAGAGCATCCTTTCGCCTCATTAAGCACCGCGAGTATGGGAGACGATTGGGTACATACCACGTCGAACAGCTCGTTCAGAGGTGGCCAGCGCGACTCGTCGGTATCTTCCATATTCATGGCTGCTCAGCGTGGTGTGCACTGCTGTGATTTCCCCGTTGAATGGTACGTCGTCGGAGAGACGAGTCGCGCGCACGCCGCGGGAGCAGCATGAGAGAACCGAGTGGACGGGGTCCGGGCCGAGAGTTTATTGAGGGCAGTCCGAAGAAGTCGGAAAGCTACGGACTGCGAACTATATTCGCAGCCGACGACCGCCATCGACGCCTATTCTATTCTTGTCCTCTCTCCCCCACTCTCACTCACGCTCTGTACAACACCCACTCTCGTTTTCTACCCTACTCTGCGCGGACGACATGATGGACGGATGGACGGACCACCTTCACTGGCGGTTCCTCGGCGAGCACGTCCTCGTCTTTGGTCTTCGCCTCGACTCCGCATGGTCGTTCTTCGTGGCCTCCTGCCTCACCGCCGTCATATGCTTCTCCGAACGGTGCGTGCTTTCTACCACTCACGCTCTGCAGATCCCTCAAGTTATGTGATACAGGGTATTGACCTACGCCGTGAGCAAGAAATGGAACCCATTCAACCCACGAGGCCGTCGAGGCTCTCGATTCGGCACTGCTTTGTGGCGAACATGTCTGTACTGGCTTGTCACCTTCGACAGATTGTACGTACTCGCCGCGCTTGTCACCATATTCTGCCACTGAATGACGGGCATTCTCTCAGGTTGTACATGCTCATCGGCATGACGTTCAGCTTCGGGTGAGTAACACGTCCTAAAATTCCACCAAGTGACATGGTACTAAATATGTACTACATAGCCTAATCGTCGTAGCTGTGAGTATGCTCCCTGAATGGCCCTTGATGAGAATGTGCGAGTGCTCACGCACCCTGTTAGGTGACCTGCCTCGCAATAGGCCAGTTCGTAATCGAATACCTCGAAAGTGCTCCCGAGCACCACCAACCGCACTCGGAGTACGCCGTCTCTCCTCACAATTCCCTCCATGTTTCTGACACGCGTCCACAGCCCTGAACACTACAAAGAACCACTCCTCCGGGATTCCCTCGAGGACCAATACTCCCTTGAGTCCTCCTCGTCCTCCTACCCCCCGGCGCCGTCAGCGCGCACGAACCCCGCGACCCGCCCGCGCTCGAAATCAAAGCCGGAGAGCATCTTCATCCATCCCAACCACTCCAACCTCGCCCGCGCGGACGCAGCCGCCGCCGAGCTTGGACTCGCTGGGGACACCGAACTCGTCAAGACGAATGTGTACCCCGCAGACGAGGACCCGTGGGAGCATGGCAAGGGCAAGGACCTCGCGCGCGAGCTCCTCGGCCGGTGATTTGCTATCAAGCTCTGCCTCGCCCGGGGATCTCCTCGCGTCGGGATCGCAGCGCGTCGCCACAACACACCAACTCGTCGCCCCCGATCGCGGTTCGATGGCGACCGCCGCGCCACCTCTTCTCATCTTTCTTGAGCAGACCGCAGGCAGGTCTGTTGGCTGCGCGCTCTGCTTCGCGCTAGCGACCTGCAGCTGGTATGCTGGTGACCCCCTTTCTGTGCTTGCACCCAACCTATGCCCAGGACGCAACTCTTCGTTAATTTATACATGTATCCTACGCGCCCGCTAAAAGTCAGTTATCATCCGCACTCGCTCCCGTCGTACTCTAGATGTAGCACGCCCCGCTCCGCGCATATACAATATCTTAGATTCCCCACTGCGAAAGCTTACAGCATTGCGAGATTACGAGGATGTCTTGTCCCCATGGTAAGAGAAAATCGAAAGAACGCACCATCTGTGCGCATATGCAAGATGGATGATAGTGGTATTGCTTCCGCCCCTGTCCGTCGTCGTCCCTCCCTCCCCTGCGCCCCCCATCTCCAAGAAAGCCAAGCCCGCAACTCAACCCCGCCCCGATCCGCCCGTCACCATCGCCCGCCGCGCAGGCGCACCCCCCCGCCCGCGCGGCGCCGCCGGGTTCGTCTCGTCCACCGCCCGGTTCCACCGGTCGATCAGCTTCGACACGCCCTGGAACGGCTTCTCCGGCGACGGCGAGCGCACCGGCAGCCCGCTCCCGGTCGCGTTCTCGCCCTGCACCGACATCTTGCGTTCCATCCGCGGCGACGGTGGTGGCACCATGTCCCCCATCGTCGCTGCGCGCGTGGGCTGTGGCTCACGCACCGGCTCCTGCGGGAGCGGCGAACGGCGCGTTGGGAGCCCGTTGATCGACGTACCCGTGTTGTTGCTCCCGAACGCGTTCCCGTATGGGGTCTCAAGGCGCCCGACGGGCGAGCTGCGTGTGGGGAGCCCCGTCGGCGACGTCCTGTGCTTCGCGAAGTCGCGCGCGAAACCCCCTACGGTGGAGTCTGGCACCGCGAGATTCGCCTTGGTGAGTACGGGGGACGTCGCAGGAGAGAGATTCGGGAAGCGGGTAGCCGCAGCCGAGGGGGACATGTCTGACGTCGTCGACATGGACGCCGCGCTGCTGGTGCTCTGATGCGTCTTGAGCGTGAGCCCAGCAGGCTTCGTGGGCGCAGATGGGGCTACAGCCTGCGTCTTCGGCTTTGCGCCGATGGCCTCGTACCGCAACACCATGTCCGAAATCGAGCTCCGCCGCCCGGTGCGGCGCGAGCGCGGCGTGTCAGGCGGGGAGAGGGCTTGCTGAGCGAACGTCGAAGCCGCTTCGGACGAGGACGCCAACTCCCCAGGCGTCGACTTCGACGCAGTCACGGGTGAGATAAACATCGAGGCTGGACGAGAGCGCCCGGTGGCAGTAGTGGAGGAATCCACCGACGGGGAAGGGGAAGGAGGGACAGGTAGGCGGCGACTCGCGGCGTTGCTGGATGGTTGCTTAACGTGCTTCGTCGGCGAAGGCATTTGCCGCGATGACTGGCCGCTTGCAGCCGTCTGCAGAGGCTGAGGCGACGCCGAGCGCGGCTTGTTCAGGAGCGGAGGCGGTTTCATCGTCGCGGCGGGCACGATGATAGAGCTCCTCTTCCCGGGCGGAGGGCCCATGCTGCTCTTCGGCTTCTCTTTCTCCTTTTCCTTCTCCTTCTCGAGTCCTCCACCCCAGAGGTCGACGAGGTCGTGCACAGAACTCTGTCTCCCCTTGCTCCGCGTACGACGCCTGCGCTCGCCCTCCTTGGGAGGTACCATCGCCCCGAACCCGTTTGCACCACCCCGCGTAGAGCGGGACTTCGCCCCTCCAGCCTTCGGGTTGAATCCCCCAACGTCCTCCGGGCCGCCATCGCTGCTCGACGACCCGGCGGGCGAGTGCAACGGGCTCCAGTTATCCGTGAGTCCGCTCGGAGATGGGGTTGTGCTCTGTGCGCGCGTCTCGACCGGGGGGATCTGCAGCCCAAGCCCGCTCGTGTCGACGTCCCCACGCGTGATGAAGGCCTTCGTTGCGACGGGCTCGCGCGAGCGGCCGGTCTCCAGCTTCCGCTGCGCCTCTTCGCGGTCGGCCTGTATCCGCTCCCGCTCCTTCAGGCGCTCGCTCTTTCCTGCGGGGATGTGGTCCAGCCTGTCCAGCGCGCTGTTCCACTCGCGCTCGAGCTCTGTAGTTGCGGACCGAGACATCTCTGGAGCACGAGATGGTACGACGCTCTCCGCCTCTAGTGGCTGATGGAAGGCAATAGGGCTGCGCTCGATATAGCTTGCACGCTTGCTAGGAGAGTCGCGGAGAACGGGCTGCGAGTCGTGCGTTGGTGTCGTTGCCCGCGCCGTCGCGGAGCTAAGGTCATCGTCAGCTCCTGTTAGCCAGTCTCGAGGCTCAGTGCGCGGAGTCGACTGCGGTTGTGGCCTTGGCGGGAGCGAGGGCGGTATAGCAGAACCAGATGGCGCGCCAGACATGTAGTCGGGCGTGTCGGATAGCGTAGGGGTCTTCATCGTCGTCGAGCTACGGTGCTTGCGTGACAGTGATGGTCGGCTCATCATCGGCGGCTTGCTAGGACCGTCTTCCGCCTTGGTTGCCTCGACACTCCGCAAGAACGTCGATTGGCGCGAGGCAGGTGGCCGCGTGTCGCGCATCGCACTGCCTGTGACATGCTGAGAGCGAACACCATCGTAACGACCCTTGCCCGCCGATACCCCGATGGTCTGAGTGTAGCTGCCGCGCGATGGTGGGCGGTCCGCAGCACGTGGCGCAGGCTTGTCAGTGGATACGGGTGGTGAGGGCGAGCCAAATGTACGGTCGAGATCCTCCAGCGAGGGGAACCGCTCCTCGGCGGAGAGGGCGTCCTGAGACGACGACGGAGCCTTGATATGCTGCCGCCATGTCTGTGACTGCGACGGTGGCGGGATGGGCGAGAAGTTCGAAGACTGCGGCTGGGGTTGTGGCGAGGGTGTTGGTCGCGTCGAATGTACGCTTGGTGGACGATAGACAGTGTTCGAGGTTCCTAGCCCACTGGCCATCGGTACGTTGAGCTGTGCGTTCGAGCTGGAGGGTACGTTGAAGCTCGCCAAGCCTGTGCGGCTCTTCCTCGCTTCACCGAGGGTGGTTGGCGGAGCCGGCGAGGGGAGGCCTAGTCCATCGAACGCATCCTTGCCTATTCGACTCATGCGTAAGCGCGAAGACGGCTGGGGAGAGGATGACGTCTTCGCCGGGTCGAATGCATCACCAAAGCCTGCATTGAACCCAGATGCATTACTCTCAGCAGGCTTGCTCGTTGGGGGTGCGCGACCAGACTGAGCGCCGGTGAACTTGCTCCCAAAGTCGGTGCTGAAGTCGCTGTCAAACCCGCGCCGTATGTTGGGATCAGGCTTCTGTCCCGGCTGTCGCGAGTCAAGACTCCAAGCGTCCGCATCGGTCCGACTGCTGAGAGAAGCTGCATCGCTGCCTGCTCCGGGAAATCCGGACTTGGAAGGACGAAGAGCTTTCCATGAACGGTCGTCCTCGTTACCAAACTTCGTCTCGAAGGCCACTGGCTTTTCGGGACTGGATGGTCGTGAAGGTATCCGAGAAGGACCATTCGACTGCTGTGGGCGACCGCGTCGCATGGGCGCAATGGCCTCAAGGACCTTCTCGCGTGCCTCGACACCTGCATTCTTCGCCGGTTGCTGAGACTTGTATGAAACAAGGTCGTCGAGAGGGTTTGAGGCGATGTTGGGCGAGAGTGCCTGCAAAGGTGCCTGGAGAGAGCGAGGCGAGAGCGGTTCTCTCGCTGGGATGTTATATGTGAAGCGCGACTTGGTCCCACGGAGTGCGTGTACATGTTGCAGGGTCTCGAACACACTTGGCCGCTGCGTGCCGTGTTCCTTGAGCATGGAAGCTGTTGCGCGCCGCGTCAGATGGCCGGTTGATGCTGGAGTAGAGTTCATGTTACGAACCGATTAGGCTGTTCATCTGCACCGAATATACGGGATATGGGGGTATCTTGTACTGAACGTTGAGAATGGCCAACGGTCCGTGTTCTTCGAAGGGGGTTGTGTAGTAGCAGAGCTTGTATAGGAGCACACCTAACGCCCATACGTCGCTCTTCTCGTCGATCGGTCTTCGCAGGTGTACGTCGATCATCTCAGGAGCACGATACTGTAGCGTGGTGTGTCGGTTGAGGTCCGCTTCCAGCATGCGGAGCTCTTGCGTGTTTGAGGGTACTTTCTGCACTGGTGTAGCACTGCCGAAGTCGCATAGCTTGTAAGAAGTCGGAGACGCCTGGAGGATGTTCTCGACTTTCAGGTCACGGTGCAGAATTGGTGGCTTGAGCGCGTGCATGGCCGCCAAGCCTTCGCACACGTCGACGAAGATAGTGAGGATCTCGGCTTCCGTGAGGCGTTCACGTAGCCGCCGGTTCATCATGTCGATGATTCCACCGCCAGGGCAGAACTCCATGAGGATGAAGACCTCGTACGTGCCGTTTGGTAGGCGATGCCAGGCGGCATCAATGAGGAAGACGATGTTGGGGTGGCCCTTGAGGATTCTCTGAGAAGCGCAGGTTGACAGGACGTACAGCGACAAGTAGGGCGAATCTCTAATTACCATGATGTCCACTTCCTTCTTGACTTCTGAAAGCATGGTTTCATTCGGCACCGCGATTCGCTTGAGGACATGGTGGGAGGTATTGTATACGGGTTGTGCGGTCCTGACAAGATATACGTGTGCGAAGCCACCTGAGGGGAAGAGTGCGTAAGATTCGGACATAGCAACCCTAGCGCGTATTGTTTATAGCGAAGTCTTGGTGGAACATGACTGCACCATCCCCTGGTGCAGCACACCTCGCATCGGGATGCACTGTCACCAGGAAAGAGGGTTGCAGCATTGTGCTGGTTGTACGTCTCCATTGCGAGACAGGGCTGGAGATGATCTAGGATGGAGAGTATGGCTGACCTTGACTGAGGTAGCGCTCGACCACGACAGTATACTTGTTCACGGTGATGGACTGGCCAGGAATGAGGGTCCCCTTGTTGGGTTGGGCGAAGGGCTGCTGATAGGCCTGCATGGCAGGCAGATAGCGTGGAAGCAGGCCCTGGGGCGATGGGGAGGAGGAGGAGGAGAGATGGATGAGAGAGTGCAGCTGGCCGTGGACGACCACAACCAGTCCGACCTCCCGTCCTGCCGCCCAGCCGGCACCTGCCGCCACCGGGCGCTCTCTCGTGGACGCGTCAACAGGCGCAAACAACGCGTGCAGCGCTGACCCCAGGATAGGGCTTGGCCACGTGGTGTGATTTATGACGTCTGCCCTTCCCGTTTACGGCGCTCTCCCCGGGATCTCGCCCATCGCGCTCACGGACGCTTTCAGCCTCTCTCTCTCTTCACTCGCAACCAACACCTGCAGCCATGGACAGGGCACTACACGAACGTCCGGGACACGCCCATCTCCTGCACACCCCGCAGACAGACTCGATCCCCTTCTCGCGTCCCACTACCCCAGGCCAGCATGCCGCCCAGATCGGCTTCTGCGGGCTCGGTGCTATGGGCTACCCAATGGCCCGCAACCTCGCAAAGTGGCGGAGAGAACACGTCCCTGGTTCTCTGCCTATCCTCGTCTGGAATCGTACCCAGTCAAAGGCAGAAGAACTCCGCAAGGAGCTCGGAGACGACTTGATTACCGTCGCGGACTCGCTCGAGGAGATCGCAACCGAGTGCGAAGTCGTCTTCACCAACCTCGCAGAAGACAGCGTTGTCAAGAACGTCTACGAAGCGTTCGCTAAAGCACTGAAGGTAAGCTCGCGGCTCGCGTAACTTATATGGGCGCTCATCGGTTCTGCTAGGAGTCGAACCCTACCAAGAACAAGATCTTCGTGGAGACTAGCACCATCTACCCCACTGTCGCTGGTGCGCTACCAATGGTCCACTACAACAACTCGGACTGACCACTCTATGTCCCGCAGCCGAACTCGATACACTCCTTTCAAAAGTGCCTCACACCCACTTTGTCACCTCCCCCGTCTTCGGCCCTCCCGCCTCAGCCGCAGCTGCCCAGCTACTCATCGTGATGTCTGGGGATTACCGGTCTAAGAAGGAGATTGCCCACATCCTCATCCCCGCCGTTGGCCGCAAGGCTATGGACCTAGGCGGTAACATTGAGAAAGGTGAGCCTAGATTCATACCGAGCTATCGCCGTTATCTGAACGCCGCCCTTGCAGCGCCGACATTCAAGCTCATAGGGAACTCGCTCATTCTCGGCTCTCTGGAGCTCCTTGCGGAAGTCTTCACGCTTTCCGAGAAGGCTGGCATCGGCGCCAGCCAGGTGCAGCAGTTCATCAAGGACACTATGCCTGCGCCACCCCTCATCAGTTACGGCGAGAAGATGGTACAGGACAACTTCGATGGCAGCAAGGGCTTCGCCATTGATGGCGGCCTGAAGGACTCGGCCCATATTCGCAAACTGGCTACCGAGCTCGACTCTCCAATGCCCGCTTTGGTAGGGCTCATGACCAGAAACACTGTCATGTATCTAAACTCTGCTACAGGACGCTGCGCACCAGCATATGCTCACCGCGCGGGCGTTGCACGCCAACCAAGTCCGTCGTGGGCACGCACACTATGGTGTCCTCGACTGGAGTTCTCTTGTTGCTGGTGCGCGTGTTGCCGCCGGCCTAGATGGATTTGACAGCAGCAAGGTCTGTACATCCTTGGGCTTTGCATGTCGGCGGGTTGCTCACGCGTGGTCATGTCTCACAGCACCAGAAGGTTGTTCCGGAAGACTGATTTACTTCAGGGTAGGCTGAATGACATAGACGGAGGCAGAAGAGAATATTCATGTGCAGTGTATCATTGAACGATTGTTGTACCCGTATTCTTCGAGAATCCAGGATAGTGCTGTCAGAGATGGCTCGACCTACGTCTTCTGAGAGTACACACCCCAAGTGAAGGTGGCTTGAATATACATATCTGCGTTGGCACGACTGCTCATCTGCTTTATACGCATTTGACCTGCGGAGTACACATCTAGCTTTACTTTCTTGTTTCAGACTTGTGTCGCTGCAATAAACCGTCGAATGTAGTCGCCTTCCAAAAAGGGACGTGTAGTTTTCCGAAGCGCCCGCGTCTGTCACTGAAGCGCTCCTGCTGGTCGACTGAGCTGGACCTTCCTCCTGCCTCTCCCTCACCATGCTGGGTTCAACTTCACGACTGCTGCCCAGTCCGAGGCCGGTACTCGTCCAAACACGAGCGTATGCCGTCTCGCTGAAACCGCCGGTGGTGTACCCCCGCAAGACGGTGCCGCGGCGGTACTCGGAGCGCAAGACGTACCTCTACAACCAATACACCCGCCTCCTCCAGTCCTCCTTCGAGCGCCCCCTCATCCTCTTCGAGCACGCCGACTTCTCCGCGCCGCGCCTCATCCGCCTGCGCGCCGACATCGCCGACGCCGTCGCCAAGCACGCGAAAGTCAGCGCGCCGACGCTCGCCGCCGCGTCCCCCGCGCTCGCGCACGACGTGCCCCCGACGCTCACCATCCTGCGCACGTCGCTCTTCGGCGTCGCCCTGCGCGACCTGAGCGTGCTCGACACGCCCCTGCGCCGCCAGCTCGCGAAGACCGTGCCCGGCACGCTCGCCGCGCTCTCCTTCCCGACGCTCAACCCGCCGCAGCTCAAGGCCGTCCTGCGCGTGCTCGCGCGCTCGGTCCCCCCGCGCAAGCCGAAGACGCAGCAGGCGATCGACGACGAACGGAAAGCGGTCGAGGCTGCGTTCGTGCCCGGGCGCCGCCCGAAGCGCCAGCGCCCGACGCCTGTGCCCGACCTGAAGCTCCTGGGGGCGCTCATTGAAGGGCGGCTGTACAAGACGGAGGGCGTGCAGAGCGTGGCGGAGCTGCCGACGCTGGATGGGCTGAGGGCGCAGCTCGTGGGGCTGCTCAGTGCGCCGGCCGCGCAGATGTCGATGGTGTTGGGCGAGGCAAGTGGAGGGAAGCTGGCGAGGACGCTCGAGGGATTCAAAAAGAGCTTGGAGCCGGAGGCCCAGGAGGGCGAGGCTCCCCCTTCATAGACTCAGAGTGCTGCTCTCGCGGCTGGTCTGTAGTGCATATATATTCTACCTAATCACGGATGCTCTACCTTTGGCATATCCGGCGGCGATTTGTCGCGCTACAACAGCTCAGACTCAAAAGTACGTGCAGTCAGGAACGAAGTAGATACACAAACGACAGGTAAGAGTAAGCGACGGTCCCAGAAAAGCTATCTCCTCTTAGAGCTCCTGCTCTCATCCCGATCCGTCGAGCCTCTCCGCTTCCTGCTCGTGCGAAGGTAAGGAATAGGCCTCAAGCCTACAGGACTAATCACGCACCTGCTGCTCCTGGTGCTGATGCTGGTTTCTTCCACTGCGTCAGGTGTACCGCGTTCTTTCCTGTCGCCACGGCTATGCTCCCGCTCACTGCGTTCGCGCTCACCATTGCCGCCTCCGCCTCCACCGCCATAGTCGAGGCCTTCGACCGCAGGTGCACTACCGTCGATGTCCTTGTACTTATTCTTGTTTCGCGGGCCCGTAGGCACGTTAGGCGGAAGGGGCGAAGCAGGCCGCACAGGCGTTCCTGATTCCGCACAATCAGCCCGGCGCTTCATATATTCCGTTTTACAAGCGACGCACCTCTCCCGCGGCCAGCGAATCCTGCGCCTCGTCCGCGCAGACCCAAACCCTGTCCCATACCCCGGCCCCGGAACTGTCCTTGGTGTACTCCCCGAGCTGGCGCAACGGGCGTCGGGGTGCCGCTGCCGTCCATGCCCGGGTACATCTGCTGCCCCATGCCTGACGGATCCTGCACCAGCGATACATTGTGAGCAACGCCCACCAGATGACCACGAGGTTTCAACAAGCGACCGCGCACCTGCATCCCGCCAAACTCGCTCATGCCCATGCCCATCATGCCCTGTCCGTTCTCGGGCACGAAGCCGCCAACGTTCATACCCATACCTTCCTGCCCACCACCCTGGGGTCCGCCGCCGCCACCTGAGCCGTCCTGCATCATGCCCATGTCGCCCATGCTCATGTCCATCATGGGGTTCATCATCTGGCCCATGCCCATCATCTGGTTCATCATCCCGCCGTTCATGTTCATCCCTGCCCCGGGAGGGATCATACCGCCCCCTCCGGGACCTCCGCCACCACCGTTGGCCATGACAGCCGTTGCGCCTGCCATGACCATTGTGCGGACTTCCGGAGGGAGGGCGATGAGCTGGTCCTCCGGCATGCCAGCGAACCCCTATGCGCAAACCGCACGTCAGATTGTATATGCGCACACATGAATGACTGCACGCACAAGAACATTGCTCTTCAGCATAGTGGCAAGCTCGCCCAGCTCCCGTCTTCTGTAACAGTACGCCTCCCACGAGATTTCGTCAAAGCCATAGTTAAACCAATCACTCAAGTCAGACCCTGGCCTTCTCCAAGGCTTCTCCGCCATGGCGTTAAGGTCATATTCGAGTATCGACCGGCCATCGACAGTGCCCGGGGCGGAAGGGTTGATAGACGGATGAGAGGGGGGCGCCTTCGCAGGCGGGAGTGTGCTGGGGTCAGGACCAGAGTCCTTGTTACTCTCGATCTCCCCTTCTTGAACGTGTATCTTTTCTGTGGTCCCCGGGGTCGCGGCTAGTGCGGGTAGAGGTGATTGCGTTGCTTGTGTTTGTGCTTGTGCAGAGGGCTGTGGGGTGGAGGAAGGCTTGGCGACAGCTCCCCTTTCACGGGGTGTGTATTCGGTAGTTAATGACGGTTGCTGTTGCGGCGGAGCTGCACAGAATTGTCTGTTACGTGCGTGAACCAACGCGAATTCGCGTATTACATACCTCTCTGTGGTGTTGAAAATGTGGCGCTAGTAGAACGGGCTGCTGGTGGTCGACCCGGTTGATTCCTTTGGGGCGGAGGTCAGAAGGGTCGACACGTCAATGCACCCGCATACATACCGGAAGTCCAGGGAGCGCGACTGCGGTTCCATTATAATCTCAATGTCCTGTATCGCAAAGCTGCAGCTTAGCATCTAATCACAACTTAAGAAACAGAATGCGTACATCATCTTCGCTTTCCTCTTCTTCATCTTCCTCTCGGCCTTGTTCTTGCTCTCCTGCTTCTTCTTGCTCACCATTCTCCTCTGGCTCCTCTTCTCCTGCGCCCACGGCCGAGCGGTCTCCATTGGTCTCCGCAGCTGCCTGCTCTTCAAGCTTCGCGACTAGACCATCTGCGACAGAGCGCGTCTGCTCCAGGGAGATGCTACCGTCATGCCTGCGTGTAAGGACTTACGACTGAGCTTAGGGTAGGTACGACTCACGGTTGCGGCTCTAGACATCACACGAGTTGGAAAAGCGGTTATGAGATTTTCATTGCACTCAAAACAAAGGTACAGAGGTGACGAGGCCACGAGCCCCTCCGCTGGTCGTCCAAGCTCTTACCGGATGGTTGTGCTGCTGGCTGCGCTACCTCCTCCTGGTTCGAGTCGCCGTAAAGGTAGCTGTCGTCGTCATCCATGCTGCAACCGCTTGGTAAGTGGTATCTTTGACCCGAATCCTGAGCGCACACACCCTTTTGAGAAGCCAAGTGGTGGTGAGAGATGAGGTGGGAATGAGAGTGAGACGGGCCACGGACGCGGAGTCCAAGAGAGTTGACGCGAACAAGGACCGGCAGACCCTGGGCGCTTGCCGAAGTCGCGCTGCCACCCTGCACGTGATGCCCGATCGCAGAAATTTCAGCCATCTCTCCTCCTCCGAGCTGACCGCACTCGACTCTGTGTTCTGCACCAGTCGCAGCTCGTCTTGCATTTCTGCTCACGACTTACGACCATCATCCGGAGAAGAAATTACCTGATCGACTAGGCTTGAGCTTTGCACGATCGCACACGACCTACTTCCGGACTGTAACGAACCCGACCCTGCATAGACTTTAGCTCGGAGCTCTACATCAAATTCATACACAAGCCGGCAACCATGGGCAAGTCACAGAAGAAGCGTTCTATGCGCAGGCATAATCCCATGCGGGTACCGGACTCGCATCTCCCTCAGGGCCTCGCGGTTGCATCTGCTTCGTCCTCGAAGTCCGAAGCAATCCTACCTATCGTCCAAAAGGTAAGCACACAGCTTGCGTCAAAGGTTCTTCGGTCACTGACACACATATTGCACGTAGCTGGAGAGTGTTGACCCAGCAGAGCGCAAATGGGCTTGCGTAGCTGTGTCCAATCTCATACAGAACGACCCCTCTACCCGGCGATTGCTCCAGGGCAAGAATATCGTCGGCAAATTGATCACGCGTCTGTCAGATAGCGAGGAAGAGGTTGTCGTAGAGGCAGCAGGCTCTCTGCGGTATGTACCTTTAGTAACAATATATGTCTGCGTGCTGACGCAGAACGCGGCCTATCAGGAACCTATGTATAGACGGCGGATTTGACATCTGCGCCGAGATGTTTAACAAGAACATTCTCGCACCTCTCAAAACATTTGTGCCCAAAGTTAGAACCACTAAATCTCTTTTTCCGAAATAGAGTAGTTATTAACACCGTGGGCAGATCTCAACTACATTGTCACAATTCTTAGCGTCGCCAAAAGATGCCCCCGAAAATGCTCAACAACTCGTGTACGAGTTCGCCGACAATGTGATTACCATCCTTTGGTGCCTCTCGTAAGTGTCTTGTTGCTATACATCTCTGTGATGCGTCCCTTAACTGACGAAGACTAGAGAGACCTCGAACAAGGCCTTGAACTCCATCAACGAAATATCACTCGTGCCGTTCTTGATGTCCTTCTTGGCCGCCAGGGAGAAGTTGCCGCTGTCGACCGTTGCTTCAGCCGGTAAGATTTGTTCGGTTTCTGTGCGAATGTTAGGTAAACTCACATCGTCTCCATGGGAATAGCTCAGTGCCTGTACGTCCTTACGGACGAGAATCGTCCCATTATCGAGGAGGTGCGAACCAACGCGGAGTATACCGCATGTCTCCTTTCCATCGTGAGGCCGGATGAGGCCGCACCGAAGCCCAACGGCAAGGACAAAGCCACAACGTCTGATGAGCGCACCACCGCCTTCCGCGTCCTCACTTGTGGTATGTTTCTGCGTCGCTTGCTTCTTCATCTGCCGCTCCCGCCGCTCACGGCACCACACAGGAATTCTAAGGAACATCTCACCGATACCGCCCCCTTCTATCGCTGCGACAGTGGACCTAGACCGGGACGTGGTTTTGCCAACGCTCGAACCGGTGCTGTCGACAGATTTGCAGGAGGCCGCAGAAGCGGCCCAGCACGCCATCGACCAGCAGGTACGCCGGTTCTCACCGCTAAATCCCCACATTCTGACAACTGCCGCAGGAGTCAATACCGCAGCTCGAGAACCTGTCCCTCAAGCACACGCCGAAGTCGGATCACAAAACACCCTCGGAGCTGGAGCTCGAACGACTGGAGACGCGGCTGCGCACGGTCCAGCTCGCTCTGGAGATTCTCACCGGCATGTGTGCGACGCTTCCCGATCCCGAGGTTTTCAGCGGTGCATCTAGCGCCGACGGTGTGGATGACATCGAAGGTGCGTTGCAATGCGACCGCATCTAATCGCTAAGGCTCACTGTAGACAATCTTGCCCGCTAGGCGAGGACGACGAGGACATCGAAGACGCCGGGGACGTCGACATGGCAGTTGTGGACACCGCGGACGCAGCAGCGTCGCAGCCTCCGTCGTTCTTCACCACGCTCGTCGCGCCGCTCCTGAAGTTCGTGCACCCGACCGCGCTGTCGTTCCCTCCCCTGGGCGCGCCGTCGCCGCACCCGCCCACGACCTCGGCGCTCGGCGCAATACACGTCAGCGCGCTCGAGTGTTTAAATAATATCTTCCTTTCCATGGCGACGTCCTCGCGCGGGCAGCCGGCTGGCCTCGGCCTCGACCCCGCCAGCGGCCGCGCGGTGTTCGACGCCGTATGGGGCGCGCTCCGGCTTGTGGGCACCGAGATCACCAGCACAGGGCAGGAGCGGCGGCGGGAGATGTGGGACATCGGCGTTGGGGTGCTCTGGGGCGTGGGCAACATGTTCAAGGGCGCACTCACGCCGACGGACGAGCATGTCCAGGTGCTGATACAGTTCTGCAACGCCACGTCAGACATCCAGGTCAAAGTCAAGACGATCGGGACGCTGGAGTGTCTCGTCCAGCATCCAGAATCCGTAGACGCGAACCGAGTACGTCGTCGCACCCACATAAACCCGATCGAGAGCATGGCCCGCTGACGCCCTGCGGCCTCGTTTCTGCTTGATCAGATGGTTTCCCAATATTTCTTGTCGTTGCTACCGCCAAACGCGAGCCCGCCGACGCCCACCGAGCCGCTCCTCCAAGCGGTGTCCGCGCTTATCGACATTTACTCGGACGAGGCCCTGCCGTACGACATTAACTTCCGGCAAGGCCGCTACCTTGATGCGCTGGTGCAGAGCGTTGAGGGCGTTCGCAAGGCTGTCCGTGGTATCGATCGGAAGAAGGAGCGTGAGCTTCGCGTGCGTGGGGAGGAGGTGCGAGATAATCTCGTGGCGTTTATTCAGTATCGGAGAGCCCTCCGACTCTGATTGTAGTCGCGATTGATCTGTGGTGCTGTTCCGCGGGGAATGTATTCGGTATTCAAACTACTGCCCAACGACGCCATGCTATTCGCGGCGATGATTATTGATGCCTGATATCCTGAAACTTGTGGGTGCCCGTTGTCAACCGCGCTCCGCCGTTCCTAGACAGCAATCCGCGGACTCCAGAAGGCGGAACGCGGAATACGGTCCTCCTCCGTTTCGGCGCAGCAAGTCAGCTGTCTGGATGACCGGAAGGTCATTGTCAGACACTGGGCGCTGAACATCCCGGGCGGTCAGGAGGGGCTGAAAACTTCAAGGCGCTCTGGGATGCCGTGCTTCCAAAGCTACCGGGGCTTCCATCGCCGACGAGATGCAGGCACATGGTGTCGCGTCTAAATGGTCCCTCTTGACAGCATGACGTCGGTGGGATGGGGCGAGTTGCAAGCGGGACGTGTCTCGAGACGGCCCCGGGCGTCCTGAGGGCAGTCTCGATCAATGCGAGAGCTTCGCCCGCATTGCCTGCAGGGCACGCTGCACCGAGAACACGCTGCGCAAGGACGCATGGGCAGCGTGCCGCCCCTTGGCCATTCATCTAGTGGAGCGAAGGTGAGCATCATGGGACGCCGAAGTGCGTTCACGTACCGGACACTCCGAGCGGGGGTTCGGAGGCTGCGTGCGACGCGGCTTCGCACACACTAGAACCGTGGCGAGATCTGGCTGGAGGAGTTATGTCATTTGTTTGCCACAGAGAAGGACATGTCGCTTCTTGAAGGAGAAACTCAGGGATCGGCGGCTGCCAGGTGGCGTGAGGTTGGAAAGAGACTTGGCGCTTCGTGAGGACACGATGAAGGAGGTACGTGTACATTGCGCTCCAGGGACTGAGGTTGAGGTAAACGACGCCCGCATGGGCGTTCGGCACGTAAGAAGGGAGTTGAGCTTGAACAGCCGCTGCCGATGAGCACGGTATAGAGATACCTTCGATCTCGGCGATCGCTGGATGTATTGCGGTGACAGACAATCAACATCTCTATTGATGATGGGGCCCTGGTAAAGAAGGAAGGTCGGAACCGTTGCAAGTCATATGCGACTAAATACTCACTGGCATCCCGTCCGCATGTTATACGCATGATAGGTCCATGTCTGTCATGACTCCACTATACAAGCTGGAAACTCCGGCACAAAACGCTTGAGATTCCACGTTGAGAAATAAGCATAACTATAAGCCTTGCGTAAAAATCGCGAGCTTGAGTATGAGTCACTCGATTCAAAGCGGTCCAGGAGGCGGTGGGTCGATGGGGGAGGTCAAGAAGGACGGAAGGGCGCCAGGCACGCGTAACAGCGACCGGGGTCACGTGAGCGAGAGACGCGACCTGTTCCCACGGTTTGAGGTCGCGTCGCGGTGTGGCTACTCGCGTCCTGCGCTCTTCTCCGATCCCCACGCTCTCCGAGGCCTCCGAGTCCGTCCACAACACGACACTCGCACTGCCCTCTACTCTGCGGTACTCACTACCTGTTGTACACCATCGAATCAGAAGACACCAGCCAAGCACGACTCAAATTTTGCATACCACTCGACCTACGACCACAGCAGAGCCATGGGAGACCTTAGCCTCCGCCATATTCCAGACCTATCGGATGCATCAGCCATTGCAGACTTCTCCGATGCCTCGTTCCAAATTCCTCGTGCCGCCGATGACTTCCTTCTCGCAGACGATACCATCGACTTTTTCAATGGTGCAGACGATACCCTTGCCACACCCGCTCCGCCATCAAGGCCCGCGCCGCAACCCCCGTTAACTCTTGCCGAACTCACGCCGCGCTCGAAGCCTGTGCGTGCCATGCCCGTGCGATCATCTCTTCGCCCGCGTCCTGGGATTGCTACGCCCCATAAGGCTGCTGTTGTCAACAAACTCTCTGCGGCTCTCGCGGAGGATCTGTCACCCTTCCGTCACCAAGACCCCTCTTTCCAAATTCCTCCCCAACAAACGGACCTCGAAGACCTTCTAATGGCCGACGAAGGGTCTAACTTCTTCCAAGGAGAGGAACCTTCACAGGATTCTGTCCCATTGCGCGCTCGTAGTCCCTTGACATTGAGTCAGCTCAGTCCGGGACCTCAGAAGCGTATGCCGCTGCCATCGCCGACCAGCCCCGACGGGCCCTCTTCCATCATCCGACCTTCCTACTCCGTTATTGCGAATGATGATGGGCGGCTCGCAGATGCCTATGAGAGAAACACAGCCGACATCCAACCACCGGCCTCGACTGTGGCCAATCTCATTCCGGTCATAGCGGAAGTGCTATCGGCTGGCCCGGCTGACCGATTGGCTGTCGAACGACCTGCCGAGAAGGGCATAGTCAAGGGTCCTCCCAAGACCAATCACGCAAAGGAACAGAAGAAACTTCCCGGCGGCGACAAAGCGAAGCGAAAGAAGGTACGTAAATTCTACTCTATGCATGTGTTTGAACTCTCGTTCATCTCCTTTGCTATTGGCTCCCCAGGTGACACCCGTTGCAGCGGTCACCAAACCCGCCAAACTCAAACCCCTGACTGCATCCATCGCGCGCAGAATTTCACTTGGAGGGAAGAAGACGGTACCTGGAATGCGGCGTCGACCACTCCAGGCGCCGCCTGCAGCTGCCGCGACAAGAGGAATCAGCGTCCGGCGTGTTGATGGTGCTGCGCAGTCAGCGTCGTCCGCTGTTCTCACCGACGTCAAACCTCCCCGGGTAGGCGGTGCCTTAGCCGATACTCTACTGTCGTTCGGCCAAAGGCTCATGGCGAGTACTGCGAGGTAAGCAAATACGAACTTGCAATATTTTCCGCCCGTCATACGAGAGTGTCAATCATGATCGTAATATTTTAGGATAGAAGTCGGTGAAGACGCGCTTTTGGTCAACGATGCCCCGAGTTGTGCACTGCCTGAGACCGACGTCCCAGCACCGACAGCTACAACTCAACATCCCGCAGGATGGCTCAACGAGGGCGGGGACTCGGAGGCTATCGCTGGCCCGAGTAGTCGCGTATCCCCGCGGGGAAGTGGGATTGGAGCAGCGTCGGCCACGCTAGCGTCAGGGTCGCTTAGCCCTGCAGGAGCGCCCGCGGACGTCCTCGATCAACATGCGACCGAGCCCCAGGTCTCAGAGACACGACGTTCTCCCTCCCCGATGCGTCGTTCAATCAAACGTGCGGGGTCTCCAGCGTGTGAGCCACCTGCACAACAACGCAAACGAAGCAAGACCACATCCGGACCGTCGGCACCGCTCGCCTCGAAGGAGCCCCTTCCCCGCAAACCTGCCCTACAGCCTTCACGGTCAAGGAACGGGGCGGCGGCGGCGGCGTCCAACGGCGCGCGGGCGCGGCGCGTGGTGTCCGCAAGTGCCAGCACCGCGAATCTAGGCGCGAAGACCGACGGAGCGCGCCAGCCTGCAGTCGCGCCACTGAAGCCGCTCTCGCATAGTGGCCCTGGAAATACTGTCGACGGGGGAAAACCGAAGGTCCCTTTTGGGGGTGAGATCGTTGACAGCAAGAGCGGTGCTCACGTCCCGACCTCGAGCAGGGGTGGCAAATCAAGGGGCACAGTCCAGTCGCAAAAGGAAAATCTGACCGACGCAAAGGAGCGTCAGACCCACGAGCGTCGTGATGGACTCGGACAGACATCCAGTTCCACCCGGGGAATCGCCTCCGCGGACAGACAGGTACGTCGGGATTTCCGTCAGCATTTGCTCAGGGCACGTTTGTCTTTCCGCCACTGTATGCGCCCGCAGCGGGGACCCCTGCGTGCTGATGCATCCGGGGTCTCCTCCGCCACGCCTTCTTTTGATGGTTGCGCGTAGCCGACAACTTAAGCATTCACTCGTCCGCGCGTGCCCACCAGCACTTAATCATGCGTTTAAATAGACTGTATGTCGGGTGTAATCATTGCTAATGCTTTGTGCTTCTAGCCGACAAGTTCGTCGTCCGCGAAGCCCACGAAGCCGATGGAGTTCCAGTTTGCGACGTCGATGCGCGGCGAGGCACGGCGGGCTGACCTCGAAAAGTCAGCCAGTAGCAGCGGGAGCAGCCACACGATGTCCCTGCGGCAGTCGAAGGCGTATGCTGCGCACCCGATCCCTGACTTCAAGGCGCTCCACGCCATGCAACAATCTATGCTCGCCCAACGCAAAGCGGAGATTGCCCCCGTCGTACCACTCCAGATCGAACTCTCCACAGAGGCGCGGGCACGCGAGCGCGAGCAGTTCGAGGAAGCTCGCCGTGCACGCGAGGCCGAGCTTGAGCGACAACGTGAAGAGCGGCGGCGACAGCAAGAGCTCGAGGAGGAGCAGGAGATCAAGGAGCTGAGGAAACGTGCGGTACCCAAGGCGAACGAGGTCCCGGAGTGGTACGCGCTCGCGCCGAAGAAGTCGAAGGCGGGCACCGGAAACTGAGGTACCGGGAATCTTTGTGCTCTGCATCCCGCCGGGGGCGTGCCCGACTGAAGGTTCCGAGGAGCGGGACGGACGCGCAGAACGGGGGTTGTGGCGCACTGCGCTCGCGCCCAGCCGCTGCGGTGGTGGGGGCGGTGGGAGGTGAAGGGCGGGGACGCTATGATTATGGCATGAGAGTCATCTGTACGTTACTACCCCCCGCGACATCTTCTCTGCATTCATGCACCCCGATGGAGGTGTGTCGTGTATGTTATTTTTGTCCGTGACTCACTGCTCGTCTTCGTGCTCGGCGGACTACCTATCAATATCTGGATATCTGGACACTCAGCGCCTTGGTCGTCGGACAAAGATGGCCAGCATGGTCTGCCTGCCCGGCGGTCCCTGGTACTCCGAGGCCTCTCATTCATTCGCCGGGCCCGGCAGTCGGCCCACGCAGGTCGTTCGTGGATGACGCAGACGCGCACATCATACGAGCGAGCCTCATCATGCTGTGTCCGCCCGCTTACCCCTCCTCGCGCACGAAATCACTCAGCCGCAGGGAGCGCCGTCCAGAGCGAGGGCCATGGGCACAGACGTCGACGATGTCATAAGACGAGAAGCTCGAGCGCGAGGCAGGATCACGTACACCGTGATCTTCCGAGCACCCCGGACGGGAGGGCGGGCTTCTGAATCGCCCTCCCGTCTGCGCTTCTCGGCGCCAGGCCTCACTCTGTGCTCGGTCCTGGGTTCTGGGGCCTGAAATGCCGTGATGCCCACGGCGGACCGCAGCGGCCTCGAGGGACGCGCATGGGCGGGCGCGCAGGACGAGAGTTACGTCCGGAGGCTGTGCTTGCCTGGGCACGCTCGCAGGCTCGAATGCTCACCTCGCCGTATTTTTTTCTAGTCCGCCCGTCAATGTCAGTTGTCACGCTTCCAACCCTGCTTCGCACGCGCGCGGGTGCGTATACGCGGGTGGCACGGTGCGCGTCCGAGGACGTCTCCTACGCGGGTGGCACATACACAGATCCTCAGGACGCGTGCCCCTCGCGCTGCCTGTCACCGTAAGTCCGCCGTGCTCTCGGAGCGCGGGGCGGGGCGTGTCAGTGCGCATGCGAGGCGGGCCCGAAACCGCGATGTGTTGCAAACCTTTCGAACAGGCCCACCCAGCTCCGGCATACGCAGCCCCCAGGGTCCCTCCCGCACACAGATATCCGGGTTTTGGAATTTCAGCGACGTGTCTGTGGCCTTCGACTTGGCGCGCAATGCCGTGGCTTTTGCATCCGGCAAGTGATCGCTAGAAGCCCGCGAGATGCTCAGGTGCGCCCGGGGGGCGGGGCGCAGCAGCAGCGCGAACAGCAGCTGGACGCCGCGCTGCAGCTCCGCGGCTGATGATGTCGAGGGTGGACACCAGGGGGACGCGCACACGAGTCGCACCTGGGTTACTAACGTCGGCGGAGGCCCGCGGCCTGTTCCCGTTATGCCTGTTCCTAACTCACTGCAGATGCGCGATGGCATGCCGTGCTTCCTCGCCCTTCTGCGAGTGTAATTATATCATCAGCTGGGGGAGCGCACCCAGCGCGCGGGGCCGGGGCAGCTGCAACGGGGCGGACGCGGGCGTGGTATCTGCGTCTGTTTCCGTCGGCGGGTGTGGGGGCGGTGCTAACCGTCTGCGGCAGGTGCAGCCCGGGCGCGTGCGCGCATGCCCTGGCCCGGGGCGAGCGGGGTGATCAAGATCGCACGTTATTGCACGGCCAGGGACGCGCGCGACCTCTGGCCCCCGGGTGCGAGCGCAGGCGCAGGTGTTGGGATGGCACACTGCAGCTGTGGTCGACGCCAAGGCGGGCGAGCGCGCGGCAGGTGTGCTAGCTGGATATGGCGCGCCGGACGCGGTTCGCTGGTGGAGCGGGAACGGCGGCGACCGCGGGCGGACGGGTGCGCGGGGTTCTAGCGCAAAGAGGTGCTGATGTAGCTATAACGGGCCCTGTGGTATGTTTAGCGCGTCGCAGCAGCAACGGGGAGACGGCGCACGCAGCTGGGTTGGCTGAGCTGAGATGAGCTGAGCTCAGCCCGTATCAATGACAAGAGCTCGGGCGTGCGCCGCGCACTGGGCCCGCGTTGCGTAAAGAGGGCATAGTGGGAGGTCACTAGGCCCGTCCGTGTGTAAGCGCATGCGTAAGAGCGCCGTCAAAGAGCGCAATATCGGGCCTTGCGCATCGCTGAGTACTGGCGCATGAATACACGCAATCGGGCGACAGGAGCTGGCTGGGCACGGTGTGCTGTGTGTACAGGGGGCTCGTCGGACGTGCCAGGAGCGCCGGCAGTGCGGGGGGACCGCACCGGTCGAGGAGTGCACATTGCGTCGTGTTGCTCAAGCTTGTAAGAGAAGATGGAGGCTGAGCTAGTTGTGCGCTCCGCCGAGCGCACAAACGCGTGTTCGCGTTACACACTGGGAAGGCCGGTGGCCTGACGCCCTCGAGGTGGCCGGTGCGAGCGTCCAGGGGCACACGTCGTGCAATTATCGGGATTCCAAGGACGAGATATTAATTGGCAAACAGCACAAAGGGTCGTACATACATAGACTCTGTATACTGCACGCGGCAAGCGGTGACATCGGACAGCGCTAGGGCAGGCTGCGCATACGCGAAGGACGAGGGAGATGGATCGGACGCTGGACTCGAAGACAATCTGGTGATGTCCACGCCGGTGCGCCGTCCGCGACTTATTCGGCCGCGGTTCCTGGCGAGATTTGCCCTCGTTACGTTACTGCGCGCAGACACAGTTCGCGATAGACGCGATGCGCGAATGTCGTTCTGGCCGCGGGCGAGCATCGTCCGCCGCGTCCGACGCATACGAGCCGCGAAGAAACAGCCTCGGGAGTCTGAGGGAGACGCACCATGTCCGCGCGAGTTCTCGGGTTCGCCGCCCCTCCCAGCGGCCTGGAGCGGCCTGGGCAGCCTGGGACTCCGTCTGGGCCGTGTCGGGATGGAGACGAGATGTGGATGGCCGGGCATAGAGTGTGTGTTGAGCGGGACGGCGTATACGAAAGCAGCAGGGGCCTGCCATCGGAGGGGGTGGAGAACACGTACGCACGCGATGCGCCCCGGCGCCCGAGGTTGTTGAAACGGTTCGCCCGCGCGCGACGTACGACGGTTACGCCGACCGCGTCCGTCGAAGCGTCGGGTGGTGAGAGCGAAGCGCGGCGCGGGTGGGCGAGAGCGTGGCGCAGACAGCCTGGAGAGCCCTAGAGTCGACGGCGGCGGTGGGTGACGCGCTCCGGTAGATGCAGCCCAGCGAGCGTAGAGGACAGCGTCGATCGACAAGCATCACATCGGGCGCACAATGGGGCGTTGTGCGTCCTCCGCGGGTGAAGAGGGCACGAGAGGAAGGAGGCTCGAGAGCTTGGCGCGCTGGTTCTCTTTGGCAGCGCGACGGGCGTGGGGGACGGGGTGCAGGCGTGGACGAGCGACGCGGCGCCACAATGCTTCTCCGGAGATGCCGCCCGCGTGGCTAAATGGGCATTATTGGCAGACCATCCGGACGCATCCGGGGCAGCCGTTCGCGTTTGTGCGGCGGTGACGTGCCTGTAGGGACGATACGGGATTATACGATTAGACTGCCCAGGGCGGCGGGCATGTGCTGTGACAATAGCGTCCATAGCCTTTTCTGCTCGATCGAGGACTGCAAGCCACAAAGGGATGCGGGCGGCCCCCCGCCGGCGACCTCGAGGCGGACGGCGCGCCTCGGGGCACGGAGTTCGGGCCAGGGAGCGAGAGTCAGACAAAGGAGCGGAGTGGCACAGACGGCAGCATCAGGAGGCAGCGCGGGCTGTGTGAACCGTGATAGGCGACAGCGTCCGCTGAGCGTGGACGGAGGGGCGGAGGGGAGGGAGGACAAAGAGGATGGGGCTGAGTCAGGCTGGGACGAGCGTCGAGTGGCCTGCGCACGATCGCTGTGGCCGGATGCCTTTCGCGGCCTAGCGTGCCCTCCGATCGTGTTGTCTTCTCTAGCCCGTTTCGGCCACCTAGGGCTCCCCGATCCCATCGCCTATTTTGATTCGCATTATTATCGCTATGCGCCGACAAGTCCACAACTGACGTGCCTAAGCTTCCTGCCCATTACCGCTTTCGGCCGGTATTGAAGTCCATCGTTAACGCCCACCGTTGCCGCACGAGCGGAATATGTGAGCCCTCAACGGACGCATAAAAGGTGGAGTCCGCCTCCGTCTCCCCTCACCAACACCTCCCCTCCTCGCATCCGCATAGCAACTCATCCTCTCCCGCTCATCCATCCTCCGCATCCTCTCAGAGCCCTCATCCCGAGCTAGCCCTCCCCGCTCCGCCGCCACCCAGCCCACTCCGAGCCCACCAATCACCCGCGCACCACTATGCACGCACAATCCTCCGCGATCTCCACCCCCGCGCGCTCCGTCGCGTCTCCGTCGCATCCGCACGCGTCCGCGCACGCGCATACCACCGACGCGCCCTCCAACGCGGCCTGCCACGGCCCCGACTCCGAGTCGTGCCTCCTCGCCGCCTCCTCGCCCCAGTGCTGCCACTGTGGCTGGCGCGGTGCCCACGCGCCGACGTGCCCGTTCAAGTGAACGCGCCCGGCCCTGTCTGTATACTAGTTCGTTGTCCACCATGTGAGTGTCCGCCCTTTCTTCCCTTTCCCTCTCCATTCCTCCCCGCTCCCATCGTCCGGCGCTCCTCCGTTCCGTTTCGGCACGCCGGAATGCTGACGCCGCCCCCATTAGTTGTTTCTACTCTACTCGATCACTGCTGTCGCAACCTCGATCATCGCAAGCCTGTATCACCACCGTATAGCATGCCGAGCACCATGCTCCTATTTGCATCTCGCCCACGTATTCTCAAGTTCCCCCGACGCAGCGCTGTACGAAGATATCCTTAATGGAGGAGGAGAGGAGTCGCGGAAGAAGGAAGAAGCTGCTATCGGTTGTGGTTGTACATACCCCCCATCTGTCTTGTATTCTGTCGCACACCCCACGGATTCGTTGACGCATCTGCTCGAGTGTCCCGCGCAATCCATCTGCTATGTTACCCAGTTGTTGCGAGCCGCGAGGCGTGTGATGCATGGGATTGTGCGAGCCGCGCTCGGCAGGCGGTTCTGAGACTTTAGCGTCGCGTGCGGAGAGAGATGAGAGCGATCTTATCTGGGCGAGCATCAGGGCCGGAGGTGGGGATAACGTTATCATGACGCAGACCGTCTCTGTTTCCCCGCATTCGCAGCAGCGCAGGCTCTCGCCGTCCGAGGCCACAGCAGCAGTCGACGTCCGACGCTGGCTCGTACACGCTCCCACCGATCGCCCTCTTGCGTTCTCGTGCGCGCCCGGCCCATGCGTCGCTCTCCTCGCGCGTGCCGTGCGAAGACGATCCGCCCCGATGAATGCGGCATCGCGAGTTCTCTCGCGACGTCGTCCGCCAGCGAGCAGTGGCAATAGAGTTCCCCACCCCCACCGCTTCACCTGCTTCCCGAGCCCCTTGTCCACCCGCTCGCACTCCCTCCGCGTCCTCCCTCCCAGCTGATGCACTGGGGCCTCCGCAATCGCGCCATCGCCCATCGATAAGCCGTCCCAGTCCGAAAATTCTCTCGCCGAGCCACACCCCGCGCCCTGCGATCCGAGCAGGGCGGTGCAGCCGGCGCGCGCACTCGCTGTCTCGCTCCCGTCAAACGCGTTCGCGTGCGGCGTGCTCGCCGGCAGGCCGCTGCCGTCTGCGCGGGCCATGTGATGTGGAGAGTCGCCATAACAATTGGACGTGAAACGCTGCCAGAAAATAAACATCCATTTTGGCTGCGCCGTCGGAGCGCGAGCGTATTGTGTGTTCCGCGCGCCGTCGTTCCGTCATCATCAAATCTTCTTCAATCCCGCCGGTGCGTGCATCCGGAGCCGTGTGGATGGGAGCCATCGCGGGCGGGCGGTGGGCTGGGAACGGGCGTCGGGTACAGACTCTGCTTTGTCCGCGTCGACATCATCGTTCACCCACTCCGACCAGCGTGTGCAGGTCCGTGACCGTGCAGGGCGCGCAGAAGGCCGGCTGGGCGAATAGCAACCGCTTCTCGCGTCGGCGTGAGCACGCTCGGGCGGCGGATAGCTGCCCATCCGATGCTGCTCCGAGCCCGTCGACGGCGCCGCGGTGGCAGCAATTGGCTCGCGTGCAGCAAATCGCTATGCGAGCCCTGACGCACCCGCGGCTTCCTGCACGTTCGAGAGAACGCCCCGGTGCGGTTCTCCGGCGTATCTTGCGCGCCCGGCCGCCTTGGCGCACTCTGCTGCTCGGACGCGAGGCGAGCTGACGCTGCGATGATGCACACCGCGTCCTGCACAGGCTCGCGCGTTCCCATCTTTGACGATGGCCTGTCCAGCGTACAGGACCCGCGTCGTCGCAGCAGAACACGCAATGCGCGCGTGTGTGGCTAGCGCTATCGCCCCGCGCGTCCCGTGCCCCGCGGCGCAGCCCCATCTATCCATCCCATCCATCCGTGACCCATCCATCCCGGCCGGAGCGCTATCGCAGCGTGGCCATTGCCTTGTATTCCGCGCAGACCTTTCCTGCCGCGAGCAGTGCGTATTTTGCTACCGCTATCACAGTATTTTGCGCGCAAGTGCTTTCCCGCCCGTCCTCCGAAACCTACGCCGACCCACCCGCCGGGCTGGAGAGCAGCTTCCCATCCATCCATCCATCTATCAGTCCGGCATCTATGCACAGGCCGTCGGCGTCCGAACGCCTGCCGCCTTGGGACACGATCCACCCACTCTCTTTCTGCACGCCTTTTTTGCTCCCGTTGTCCACAACCTGCCGCTCGGCCCAGCTGACCGCATCAGCTGTGGTGCCTCGTTGCCCGGTGTGAGTCCCGCGCAAGTGCCTCGGGTCTGCCTCCTCCGGCCGACGTCCGACCCGCGCCCGCGCGAGGCTACGAGCCTCGAGCCGCTAGGCACCCTGGTACCACAACACCATCTCGTCCCTCGAGCTCTCGTCCAGGAACACGGCGGCGGCACGCAGCCCGGCGCAGCGCCGAGCCCACGGCGCTGACTGATACAGTGCCTGCGCTACTGCACTCGAAGTGCGTCCGCGAGCCTCTCGCGCCGAAGGTGCTAGCCCCGAGGCTTCGAGAAGCGTGCCCTCCTGGTGATTGCGCCCAGATCCCAGACGCAGCGCAATCTCGCGCGGCGCCGCCGCATCTGCGTCAGGGCGCGCGCGAGGAAACCACGAGGCTAGCGGTGCACTGCTGCTGGGTGCTGTGGGCCGGGACGACTCGGGCGCGCAGCAATGCGGGCTTAGCAGCCGCCCAAGCACCGCCAGAATAGCCGAGGCGTTCAGTATGTGGCTTGGGCCCGTCGGCAACGTGGTGGGGGCCGGCGCCTGCCACTAATAAGCCACGAATTCGGACTGAGTCCACCTTGATGATGGCACTGCTACGTACGAACGCCGAGTCCATCATCATCACGTACGAGTTGACCCTCTGCTGCACCTGAGGCATATGTGCCGCTGCCGCTGCCAGACGACTCGGAAATGCACGGCCCTATCCCGCGCGTCCAGGCCCTCTCAGCCGGGACGACAGCTGTGGGTAGGACGCCCACCGTTAGGCTCAGGAACCCCAAGTGCGCACTAGCGCGAGTTCGCGGGGACACGCCAGCTCTATCGCCGGGAATTGCGCGTCAGTACGTACACATCGACCGCTCTTCCCCACATCGCCAGGCCCTGATCTCGCCCCGGGTGGGCTTCGCAGGACACTGGATCCCAGATGGCCAGATATAGTGCGTCTGCAGCCCGCACCACGCCGGGCGTGGCAGGTCGGGCCCAGCGGGGAGCAGTGATCCCTGATTACTTCCGCGCAGGATCGGGGCGGGCGGCGCGGCGTCGCGGTCGCGTACTAGCTCGGGATAGCCTGAGCGCGGGCGGAACATGCGAAGCCAATGTATCGCTGCGCGTCGTTATGAGTGTGAGTCGTCGCGAGTTGACGGTTGCTGTGGCATATTCTGCTGGAAGCCTTCCTGCCGTCAGTGTTAGCTCGTTTTAATACTCGGAGCCGGGGCCCGAGGAAGAGCACAGCGGACGCCCGGGCGCGACAGGATGTGCCACCCGCGTCCACTTGTTCGCGTACGGTGGGAGGCGGATTAGAAACGCGCTAGAGCCTACTTGGTGGACGTTCTTCAGGTACGCCAGCTCTAAGCCCGGTACTCGGTTCTCCAGCACGTTTTACGTATACCCCGCACGTCCTTTGTGGAGAGCTGTGTCGTGGAAAGTGCTTCGTGGTGGGCCTTCTCCGCCCGAGTTCGCCGGTCAAATACACGCTCACGCCCACTCTGTTACGGCTCGCAGGTGTTCGCAAGGTGTCGAGGCTTCACACCGTCTGCGCGGCGTCGAGCCAGCATGACCTGATCCCCGCGCGTCACAGGACCCCAGCGGACAGCGTGTGCGTGCGTTCTCTTCTTCTACATTGTTCTGTTCTCGTCCCTTTCTATGTTCACAGGCGTCGTGGTGGCCAATTAGCGCAGCGCGAACGCGGCAGGGCGCTCCACCGTGAATTCTTGGCCGGCCTATGTTTGTAGATGGCCACTCAGGAGGCCTGGCATATCAAGCGGAGCCGGCCGCTCCGGCTATGTATACAGTGGACCTACATCCGCACGGTATACACGCACGCCGACGTCAACGGTACAGCCCCACCGTCCGCTAGGTGCCGCCACGGCGCAAAGTTACAGTTATCCAGCTAAATACCGGGCCTGCTGATAGGCTTGCCTCCGGACAGGTTTTCCGCCCACGCTGGTCCAAATGGTTGCCGTTCATTATGCGTTAAGTCTGAAACAAGCAGCGTTGTCGCCCGTTTGGGCGGCCCACTAGGCCCCGCTCGCCCCGGCGCGATCTGGTGGCACGTCCTAACGGACAGCGGTCATTTGCGTGCGCAGCGGACGCTGGACCCATGACCAACGCCGGCCCACAGCATGCATCATGGATGATCACTGATCTGCCTCCGTGAGCGCATACTGCCCACTGCAGGCGCCAGGTAGAATCGTGAAGAGGAGAAGAGGGTGGCCCAGGAGGGCCCACCGGGACGATCACCGCGACGTCTGTATAGTGGCCTGGAGAAGAGGGGCGCGTGTCTTCTAGTCCCGGTGCGCCGCGCTTCGAGTCCGCGTTCGAGCGAAGGCGAAGGCGCGAACCCCTCGCCTCGAGCTCCTGACTTCGCGGCCCCCTCTACCTTCCGTCCTCCGGTTTCTTCCTCGGGGGCCCTTCGTCTTCCCCAGAACGCGCAGTACGCAGGGCGCTCTTCCAGTGGAACGCCGTACGTGCTATGTATACGCGTCCTTCGCTGAGTGACGTTCTTCCTGCATCGTGCGTGTTCCTGGCCGCCGCGGTCACGCCGCCGTTCGGCAGCCAAGCGCGACGGCCACACCCCATGGCCGGCGTGAAGGACGAAGGCGGGCTCGCGACGTCTCATTCAAACCGCGGCCTTCGCTGCCAGGACGTGTGGACCGCGCTGAATGCGCGCAATCCCCGCGCCGCCGGACCTCCGTGCGCCGACGTGTGTATGTCAGCATCGCGGAATGTGACCAGCTGCGGCCGTGTTCGAGTCGTTCGAGACAGAACGCGCCTGCGCGTGGACGCCGGCTGCAGAGGGGCGATAGCTGCGCGCGAGTCGCAGGCTTCGCGACTTCCTCGAGCGGGCGAGCAGGCGGGCGGGAGGTCAGGCTGATCGCTGGCACAGAGCTCTTTCGGGCAGCACGACCCTGATCGGCGGGGCCGGGCTCGTCCGAGGCGGGGCTTCGATGGACTTCATGGGCAGCACACCATGTCGCTTCCGCGTGAGCAGATCCATTCGGGCGAGATGGCTTGTTCTGGGAGGATCGCCTGCCTCTTTCGGCACGGCACACGGGCGCCTGCGGGTTTCAGACCAGCTGAGGAGGCCTTCGCGATTGGCGAGCGCGACGTGCGCCTTCTGTGCTTTCTGTTCGCACTCCGGTCGGCGGTCGCAGAGGGTGCCTGCACTTTGAGGGTCGCGCATTGCGAGGGGCTGGCGTGTCGCTTACGTGTGCCGGACGCGAGCACGGAAGGCTTGGAATCTTCGCACCCTTCTGCGGGGTATGAGAATGTGGGGTGAAGAGGTCTGGCGGCAGTCAGCTGTGCGTCCGCCGGGGTGAAGGTCGTACCGTATGTTGCGTGCGGATGCGTAGTGGGCTGCAGAAGGGTGTTGCTGTGGCGCTCGTCCGCCTTCTGGCACGGGGGCCTGGGAAGCTCAGCGGGAGAAGGACTTCGGGGGTTTGCCGTGTCGTACCAGTGGCGGCAGCCACAGCGCGGCCGGTGAATACAGTAGCTCGTTAACTGTTGGTGGCAATCATAGTACACACCGTGTGCGAGCGTGACCAGCCTGCGCAGACAGCCCGAGCCAGTCGGTATGCAAAGTTGCGGGCGTCCGGCAACGTACGTACCTCCAACGTTATAACGGGAGAACGCACGCCGCACGCAGCCCATCGGGGCGCGGTGTTAACGTGCCACCAATGGCGAGCTGTGAACGTGGGCGCCGGACGCTCCTGCACACGTCTACGCAGCACACGAAGTCGTCGTCGCACATACGGGAGAAGGGCGGCGCAGGGATCTGTGGCGCAGGCGTGAGTGTGTGCGCGCTATTCCTGTGGTACGCCCACCGGCCACCTGCCTTGTACGGGCGATCGCCGCTCGCCCGCCGCGCGATCCCGGCGAGTCTATTCGGCTGACGTCTGCTATGGGCGTCGCCTTTCCACCCGCGGGCCCTCCCCTGCGTGCGGCGTTCCTGTCCACCCGGCGTGCACACAATTGTGCGGCGGCATGAGCGGCACAGTTTGTGGCGCGAGTTTGTCCGAGGAGCTTGAAAGACCGCGATTTTGGCTGCGAACCCTCTTCGTGCGATGTTTTGCCGAGGGCGGGTGGGGGATTGCTGCTTGGAGTCGTCATTACAGTTCGGCGTGCCTGTACGTACGGCGTGCCTCAACTTCAGCATCCCGCGGGCCATCGCGATAGTCCTCCTACACAGTGCGATGATCCGTATGAGCGGAAGGAAGTTGTTGACGCACCTGCGTGAAAGCCTCCGAGCGCCCTAGGTGTGTTGCAAAAGCAATTTTCATGACATGATGTACCCAGGCTCACACCATCGCGCGACAGAAACTGACCACATAGGGCGCGCAAGGATAAGGCATAAGCCCCACTATATCGCGCAGCGTTCCTGTAACGGATGTGTATGCCGTAACATTTAATAACGCTCCCAAGCTCGACCGGCAACTGGTCGATGATACACAGCTGCCTATGTATCTCCTATGGCAGTAGTGAGCCGCGAGGACGCTGATTGGCTGAGCCTGCGTGCACCACCGCCCGCATGAGAAAATGCAGACAAGGATGGCCATTTGGCGTACCGAGGCGGCACAACTCACATGTCGTGGCTATCACTGACAAACGCTGCGGGCCCTTGAACGGGTTAGACCCCGGTATTCCGCTTGTCCTCCGGGCATGGCAAGCGGGCCAGGATGGCAACTAGCACCGGACGAGGTCATGGACGTCGTCGTATCACATCGACACCTCCAGGGCCAGGAACGCGGCCCCGGGCCAGCCTTCCCCATGGGCACCACACAGCGCGCTGACGAAGGCGGGCAGCTCGTGTGGGGGTCGTGCGGGGTACGACGCACGGGTGGCAGTGAAAATATGCCCCGGGAAGGCGCGAAGAGAGAACCGGATTCACATGAAGCGAGGCGAGAAGACGGGGGTGTACGCGCGAACGGCGAGATCTGGGGCGACGATTCGATCGCCACCAACCGCATCATTGAATGGGTCCAGTGGCTTGTAGCTTCTAAAGGCCTGCGCGACCCACCGTGCAGTCGCGCACTACACGGGGCTCGTGCAAATTTGCACCAATCCAGCGTAGGACGAGCGACGCGACGGACGGCGCTGCACGGCACCGCGGGCGGCACAGAGTCGTCACCAGTGTGTGCCTGCGTGCGTTTCGCCATCAGCAGGGCCCAGCGCGCCCGTGTCCTGCTCTAATTCAGCGGGGCTTGGAGCTGCCGTCCGAGGTCGACGCACCTTCGTAAGTACATGCCGCTTCCGGTGCTGGCAACCGCAACCCCATATGCACCCGATTTTTTCTGGCCGCAGCCCCTGGCGACGAAAACTCAGCGCCGCCTTCCGCGGCCGGTCAGTTGATAGCGAACCCTTACCACCGACGTGGCGCGGGCCCCACTGTGACCTGAACGTTCGGCAGCCAAGCAGTCAGTCGCGATGGGCGGCGGCGAGGGGAGATGTCAAGATGTTGATTTAGGGCGCGGAGGGTACCGCGCGGCCGGCCCTCTCTTCCCATGGCGGAACGTGAAAACGCGAGAACGGGAGCCTGCCTTGCGGTGGCGCGCCGCACTTCGCCCGCCCCCAAAATACAGAGTTGGACAGATTCGAATAGGGAGAGGCAGCGTGGTGGCACGGTGGCTGGCGGTGGGCGGCCTGAGGCTGCAGTGCAGCTGGAGATGCGCGGGCCCCCGGTAGCGACCTGCCAAAGAACCGTCACCTCGAGTGCGCGATGGAAGGGTCCCCACTTACGAAGAGTGGCCCTGTGGGAGCAGCAGTGGAGTGGGGCCCGTGGCGCGTTCTAGTGCGGTGATTCGTGCGGGGGGCAGAGCCTCGTTGCGGAGACGTGTCACGCTGTGAATAGCTGGACGTGCTCGTATCATGGTTCTACTGTTCTCGCGCCAGGAGCCATGCCGCACCCTGGGCAGGTGCCGGATGCGCAGAAAAGGCCACAGATCTGGTCGAATTTGCGAGAGCACGAAGGCCCGCTGTTAATCAATGAGGCGCTGCTGTAAGCAGCGGCGAAGTCGTGTCCGGCCAGCCAAGAAGCACGGACTGCCGCTGACGATCTTGGGGCGGCCGCAGTAACGACGTGCAGCAGAGCTCGCAGCGAAGCTTGCACTGGGCGGCGACAGGACGCAGAGTTCGCAGAGGTGTGATGGCAGCACGTGCAGGTGCTATCGTGCGTTCGAATTCCAAGAAGGCGCGAACCCGTTCGATCGTCGCTGCTGTATTCGGACCCGTGTAGGCACTCTCTAGAGCGGCCTGTCAGCCAATAGCAGATGACGTCAGGAGTTAGTGTGCGACAACGTACCACCGCGGCGGGCCGCTGCGAAGGCTTCGTGTGTTTTTATCGGCAGAAGACCTCCATCTTGCGGCGATCGTATAGCTTGGCTGCCGTCTCGAATTTTCGTTCCTCCGAAGGATCAGCGCGATGAATGAACACAAAAAGATGTCAAAAAACTGTGGAGATGCTTGTTCGGTCGGCATCGAATTTGTAGTACGGTGCACGGGGCACCGGACGGCCGTGCTGGTACGCCCCATACCCCGCCAAGCTATCACCTTGTCCGCCCCCGGACAACGTGGAAACCAGAAGGCGCCAAGTGCGCCTACGGAGTCCGTACGCGCCGAGTGAACTGGTGTAGAGGGATGCCGTTTCCGAAGGGATATCGCGATATGGCTGGCCAGCGCCCGATGCAGATGCATGAGCAGAAGCATACTTGACCTGGATCGAGATCCAGCGTGGCTGCAAGATCGCTAGTGCTGTCATCCGCACATGTCGGGATTCGGTTGAACAGGTACTTACCATCGTTGCAGCCTGACGCCGGACGACATGGTGAATGGAAGCCGGACGTCCTCCTCTGGCTGTCACAATTTTGCAACCGGTGGCGCAACATAGACACGGTAGGCCGACACTTAGGACTGTGCGCCGAACCTTAGGGAAACGATAGTCATACATGTACTGATACAAAGCAAAGATGTGAAGAGGGCAACCTAATCCAAGGCGACTGTGCCGTCCAGAATATACATGACGCCATTGGATGCCTACAGTGAACGAAGGTTACTCCATTAGAGGCTGGTCTGGACGGCTGCGAGCCCGCGCAAAACAAAGGATAGGAAGGGGACTCACCTCCTTCATCGCAATCAAACGAACGGCGCCGTCGAGGACCACGCGTGTCCACTCCGGCGCACCTGAGTCGCCGCCGTGCGTGGGGGTGAACGTTACGTTCTTCCCGTCGAGTAGAGTCCTGTATTCCGCCGGCGAGGCTAGAGAAATGGGGGACCCCTACGAGCGAGCCGCCTTCAGCACGCCGCAGCGGGCGGCGGAGACGAGCAACAATGACATACCGGAATGATGTGCGCCGAGACCCAACGCTCGACGTTCTTCTTTGACAGATCGTCGAACTCGGCTTCCGACAGGATGACGCCCTCACGGATAGGCTCGGGACCCTCATGGCTGTGACAACAAGACGCCGTGTATAGTTCTGCAGACGCATGGAAGACATCATAGGGGACGTACGGTTTCCTGGGGAGGGCGATGACGGCCTTATTCGTGGGGACCAGGAGAGTGCTCTTCGCGTTCTTGTCAGCGAAGAGCTTGCTTAGCTCGGTTTCCCGCGCGTAAGAATAGAATATGGAGGCAGAGGACTCGATGGTGAGGAGATCGGCGAGAGAGGGCTTCCCGGAGTATGTAACCGGAAGAAACGGCTCTCCGAAGCCGTCTTGAGAGGACGGCAACACCATTTGCTCGTCGGTAGACGCAGTGGCAAGGAAGGGTAGCACGAGGAGGGAGAGAAGGTGTAGACGCATGGTGGTCGACTGCGAGGGCTTGTGGTCGTGCTCGTTGGTGCTGAACCTTCCAGGCCGTGGCCTCCTACACGAGGTGCTCCGCTTGGGGTCAACATGTTCCCACGGTCACTACCTTCGGTTGGGCAGCCTCTGTCGCTCTCGCTGGTCTGTAGACACTAGGTCCTCGGATCAGGTAAGTACTATTACTCGATGAGTTTTGTCGTGTAATGTCGTCGAGCACATTGTATGCGCTGTTTCTGCAGCATTTGTGTGCAGATATCTCGGATAAGTACGTCACAGAATCCTACCCCTAACCCCATCCCAGGTTATGACGACCTTCACAGCCTCAACGTACCACGCTGGACACGAGCACGCAGCTGGTCCACCGATCGCAACGATACATATTTTCCTCCAAAATCAGCTGCGTGGTTGATCGAATGCTGGTGTTCGACGTTCTGGCTCTATCAGGGTGTGCTTTGAGCAATGTTCAATCCACGAATAGGAGGGCTAGGATCGGCGGCAAAGCTCGCGCAAACTTGATTGAATCAGTAGGCGTTAACTGCCCTATGTGATGTTCACGGGACGCGTCCTCCATGATCTGCTTGGATGGCTTCATGAGCGGCTCACTGATCATGGGGTATGTCGTGGAACTGGTCGTATCTTCTCGATGCTCTCAGATGCTCACCATGGGACGGGCGCGGGCGCGTGAAGCTCTCGGCCCGTCTAAGTACAACTGCATCCCTCCCTTCCAGCGTATCTTTGGCCGTAGCAAATACGAGGATGTGCAATGCTCGCTGTAGGAATGTTCTGGTTGGAATGGGAGTCCTAGTGCTGAATGGATTACCCAGCCCGGACCGGTGCGAGGACGTGTATGACACCATCCTTCCGCTCTCTCACCCCTCGATCCCGTGCGCACCACCGTGCTGCTATAAAGCTCCTTATCTCTTTCTCACCCGAACGATCTGCAGCTCAGCGAACATCCGCAGGTGGCCATCGTCGAGACCAACCACTAGCACCGTCCCAAGGACCCATTTTCTGACCTCACAACAACAGCAGAATGGCGTACACGTACGAAGCGAAGAACATGCCCTTCCGCAGGCTAGGCCCGAGCGGCCTGCGTGTGCCTGTCTTCTCCCTGGGCGCATGTGCGTGGCTAATTCACTCTCGATCCTGCGCGGCAGGCGCTTCCTCCCGCGATGATGAGACTGACAGCAGCCAACTGAATTTGCAGGGCTCACCTACGGCGAAACTGTGCACGGCGACCCCGTCAAGGTGCGCGCGCTCCGCCCTTCTGCCGTGCCTGTGGATCAGCGGCTTGCGGAAGAAGAACTTACTTTGCGGCTCGGGATGCCCTTGCCTTGCAGGATATCATCAAGATCGCGCTGGACAATGGTATCAACATGTACGTGCAACGTTGACACTTCGTCTCCGGGAAGTAGTGCTTGTGCCTGACACGCGCCGTTGCAGGTTTGACACCGCGGAAGGCTACGCCAGTGGCAAGGCCGAGCTCGAGATGTGAGCCAGCCCCCCAGGGCGCACAAGGTTACCGGTAGCGCAGAATTGACCGACCTTCTGGGAATCAGGGGTCGTGTGTTCAAGGAACTCGACGTCAAGCGTTCCGACCTTGTAATCACCACCAAGATCTTCTGGGGTGGCCGCGGGCCGAACGACATGGGACTCTCCCGGAAACAGTGAGTTCAGGAAGCGGCCGTAGCTCGGACGGCTCATTCAGTCTATGCTCGTACGACAGCATCGTCGAAGGCACGAAGAAATGCCTCGAACGGCTCCAGATGGACTACGTGGACGTGCTATTCGCGCACCGCCCCGACCACTCCGGTACGCCCTAATTACGTCTTTGCGGTTCTCGTCTCCAGGGATTCCGCTCACGGTAACGCCACGACAGTGCCTATGGAGGAGATAGTTCGTGCCTTCAACTTCGTGATTGATCAGGGCTGGGTGCGTCTTTCTCCCGCGCCTGTTCTCGAGGCGTCGCACAGGCGGGGGCGGGAGCAGATTTGCTAAATCGGCGACGCCGCCACCGTCCGCAGGCGTTCTACTGGGCCACATCTGAGTGGACCGCGCGCGACATCGAAGAAGCCTACCGTACGTGCGCAGCCCACGTCCGATTCGCCGCGGGCTGCTCGGCTCACGCAACCACCGCTCTCCTTCAACCCCATCCAGACGTTTCTGCCAAGCTGGGCCTGGTCGCCCCGATCGCTGAGCAATGCCAGCACCAGTACGTACCTCCGCGGCGGCTTCTGCGAGCACCGCTCATGCCGTTCGTAGCATGTTCCACCGCGAACGCCCCGAGAAGGAGTATGCGTGAGTGACGGTTTCGTGAACGCGCCATGTGTGTGTGTGGCGGACATTGAGCCATGGGACCATCTCTGCACAGGCCGCTCTACCAGAACTATTCCATCGGAACGACGGTGTTCTCGCCCCTGGCGAGCGGACTTCTGACTGGCAAGGTGGGTTGTGTCTGGCAGTTGCGCAGGCAAGCGTGCTTCTGAACATGTGCTGACGCGCGGGTGCGGTAGTACAACGACGGCATCCCCGAGGACTCGCGTTACGCTACCCACTCCGAGTTCTTCAAGCAATCCATCGCGAAACTCAAGAGCGAGGAAGGCCAGAAGCAGCTCAAGTCCGTCAAGGAGCTCGCCGAATTCGCCGAGAAAGGTAACAGTTGGTGCCCTCCGCCGCGCCAATTTTTTGTGGTCCCATGTGTTGCACGATCGCTAACGGTACATTGCAACGCCGCCGCTCGCACACGCACATCTGCCAGAGCTCGGCTGCAAGATTAACCATCTCGCCCTGGCCTGGTTGGCAGTTAACCCTAACACGAGCACCGTCATCCTCGGCGCGTCGAAGCCTGAGCAGGTCGTTGACAACCTCAAGGCGCTCGAGGTTATCCCGAAGCTCACCCCGGAGGTCCTCGAGAAGATCGAGAAGATCTTGGACAACAAACCCTCCCCCTTCGTACGTCCATATGATTGAACTTACCGCACAATTGGTTGGTATTTAAACGTACCCTTATGCAGTCCTCGTTCGGTCGTCCCGTGCTGGACAAGTTTGGGCGCATCAACCCCACCTTTGCTTGAGGATGAGGCGCGTCTTGTAGCAGAGTAAATTTGTACCAGAGCAAGAGGAGTTCGGCAGAAGGAATTCGAAGGCGTTTCCGAGTTGTATCAGTAGTCTTCATATCGTGTCCATCGAAGTAGTTGTCGCAAAAATCCAAGCTGGACAGGGCATCATCCGTGGTCTTCATTCCTATTTTTGCCTGCCAGCCATGAGGGAAGCACGTCTGCGGTTTGCGAGCGATGGTTGTTCGTGACAAGCTGTACTTTGAGCTGGAAGCGCCGGTACGACTAGCGTGTACCACGCTAGGCGCCTATTAGGCACAGACACGTCGCGTCTGCGGACTCGGTCGTCACAAACGGCGACCGCGGCTCTCGGCTCGACTTACTCCTGCGCGCTGCTACCCCTCATCTTCTCTAAACTCTGGTCTGGAGAGCCTCCTATTACCGCTTGAACCTCCTCGAAAACCCTGAAGCTAGCGCATCTTCGGAATGGTAAGCGTAACTTGATTTCACACGGAGGACCTCGATGCGATGTCTCCGCTAGGTTGTCCTCGCAGCTTCAATATGCACGAAGGGCGGAAAACGTACGCATGTATTTTATATACCGTTCAGAACCCTACTCACAGCCCACCAGCCATCGTGTCTCGCCAGTTCCGTGACATGTCGCGAGCGAGGATAGAGTCCCTTCTCGCGTCCTTCCCGAAACTCATCCCGACCAACACTCAACACACGTCGGTCGAAACAACCGACGTCCGCTATGTCTATCAACCACTGGAAGACCTCTATATAATCCTCATCACGAATAAGGCGTCCAACATCCTGCAAGACATCGACACTTTACATCTCTTCGCGCGCGTTGTCTCCGACCTCTGCAGGAGTGCGGAGCAGCGCGAGATCGTCAAGAACGAGTTCGAACTGCTCTTCGCGTTCGACGAGATCGTGAGCCTGGGGTACAGGGAACCGGTCAACCTGATGCAGGTGCGGAACGTGCTCGAGATGGAGAGTCACGAGGAGAAGATCCAGGAGATCATTGCCCGGGTGAGTCTAACGAGTGCAGTGTATAACCCGCGCATATATTGACGTCTGGGCAGAACAAAGAAGCAGAGGCGAAGGAAGAGCTCAAGCGTCGCGCCAAGCAGCTCGAGATGCAGCGCCGGGAGCAGCAGAGGCGCGCCGCCGCCGGTGCGCCGTCCGGGGGAGGCTACCTCGGCGGTGGCATCTCTGGGTACGCGCCAGTCGCCCAGCGCGAATATACCCCTCCTGCGGCGATCCGCACCAACTCGCCTGCGCCGTCCAGTCTCCGGGCACCCGCATTCAAGGGCAGCGGTATGAAGTTGGGTGGCAAGAGGACCCAGCAATCGGCACTGCTGGATGCCCTTGGTGGAGAGGCTCTTCTCTCCGAGGACATGTCTGCGCCAGGCACTCCCGCTGTCTCCCACACTCCCGAGCCCGTCGCGTCAGCACCGAAGAATGATCGTGGTAGCTTACCCCCAGTCGAGGCGCAGAGGTATATGATCTACCATCTAATCCCGTAACTCTATTAACACCTATTTTAGCGTGCACGTTATCGTTAAAGAGTTTATCAACCTGGAACTCATGCGCGAAGGCGGTCTGACCAACCTCGAATTGCGGGGTGACATGAACCTGCAGATCTCGGACCCCGACCTGGCGCGTCTGAAACTCACGCTGGCCCCCGCGCCTGCTAGCTACGGCCCTGAGCTGCAATTCAAGCAGCACCCGCAGGTCGCGAAATTTGCAGCGAACAGGGACCGCGTTGTGGCGCTCAAAGACGCTTCGCGCAGTTTCCCCGTCGGCCAGCCGCTTGCCGTGCTGAAGTGGAGATACTCCGGCAAGGACGAGACGTATGTCCCGCTGTCGAGTGAGTCTTTCTAGCCTGTTTTGGGGAGGACGTATGGACGCTGATGGCGGGCTTCGAATCGCAGTCAACTGCTGGCCCACGCCGTCCAACGACGGGACGTGCGACGTGAACATTGAGTACGAGCTCGAGGCCGAGCACGTTTCCTTGCACGACGTCGTGATCTCGATCCCCTTGCCGTACGTCTCCGTTGAATTGCCGGGCCTTCCACGCTCAAGGGCTCACTTGATTGACATAGGGATGGGTCGTATCCCACGGTCTCGTCGCACTCGGGCGAATGGTCGCTCAACCCGTCGAGCCATTCCCTCGACTGGGCCATCCCGCTCGTCAACGCGGAGGAGCGGTCCGGCTCGCTCGAGTTCTCCGTTGGCGGGGACGACCCTGGGGTCTTCTTCCCCGTCAGCGTGTCGTTCGTTGGAGAGGGCAGCGTCGCGGGCGTCCACCTGGCGTCGGTCGCGCGCATCGACAACGGCGAGGACGTCACGTTCTCGGAGGATGCGACCGTGGTCGTCGAAAACTATACCGTCGTCTAGATTGTACATCGGCATGTTTATGTATTCGTCAGCAAGGAGGTGTATCGATGGATCAATCGTCGTCTGTCCGAATCGGAATGTGCGCATACAAAGTCCCAGGGGTGAGAGTACTCCAGTCAGTAACTAGTCCGCGGTGTCCTTGAGACGCCAGATACATGATCGGCGGTCTCTAACCAGTCCGTGGTACGTGCATATGGTATGGTGGTATGGTATCGATCGTGTCCAGTCCATGTCCGAGATGTCCTCGTGGTATGTGTATCATCTGCCAAATTTTCATCGTGAGTGCGGGAGAGCGTACGAGCTCACAGTCTTGCTCTTCAGGTGCATCGCAGCCAGGTTCTCGCCCATCTCGTTTATGTCGTTCGTCGAGTTCACCCGCGCCCTTCCGGGCATCCGTCCGTTGAACGAGCCGGTGGGAGGTGCCAGCCGTTGGTCGCTGATCGTGCGGTGGTTCGGGAAGAACGACATCCTCCCGTTGGCCGCTCCTGCGTCCCCAACGATGTCCGGGGTAGAGTGCCTTGGGAAAAGCACCGGCGAGCCAGGGGGCATCAACCCCATTTGCGGAAATACGGGCGGGGTAGGCACGAACGGGATCCCAGGCGCCATGGACGGGCTCCAGCTGGGGCCGCGCAGCATGGGGGATACGCCCTTGGGCACGCGTGGAACGGGCGCCTTGGTGTCCGGGTCGAACAGCGCCTGGAGCCCGAGCAGGCACATGAACGCCGCGTTCCCGGCGTTGTGCAGCACGCGCTGGACATCCACGCCGAGTGACTGGAGTAGCGCCGCGAGCGAGAGGCTGGAGCCCTGCTCGCGGGCCTTCCCGGACGGCTCCTGCATCGCGCCGCGCTGGCCGGTGCTGTATAGCTGGCGCTCGAACGCCATCGTGTCGACGATGAGCAGATTGTGTGGGAGCTCTGCGGGCGCACGGAGCGGAAGCCAGGTGAGAAGGTGCGACGAGGACGTAAGGACGGGTGAAGGAGCTTACTGATCCTCATTTCCTCGAGGCGGCGGAGGTCTCCGGTGGTCCCGTGTGCGACAAGCACGAGTGTATTTGGGATCGTCTCCGAGTCGGGGCTCATCAGGCTGCTACAAGGTGCGAGGCAGATCTGCTTCACGAACCATGCGCGAATCTGAAGGAGAAGGGCGTACCTGATGATGGCTTGGATCATGTGTGACAGCTTGGCTTTCGGGACGACCTGGCTTTCACCGAACTGGCAGATCGTACGAGATTGAGCACGAGTTGTGGGTGTCAGCAGGGCCACGGCTTACCGCATACTGTCACGAAGAGCGGGTGAGCGTCCGTGCCGGCGGAAAGCGTGCGAGGGACTTACTGCCCAAGGAAAACTTGGCCGGTGCCTGTTGTGCACCTTGTCCACATACTCCGCAACAATGTAGTGCCCACGTCTACGACCGTGAGTTCGCTGAATGTGGCGGCTAGCACGAGACGCGCACCTGTAGTTTGGCTCCGGATCAGGAGGCCATGCTCCAGCTCTGTATGAAGATGTGGTATCTCTTTCAGCATGAGCGGGGACGTCAAAGTTAATAAGTACTGACGTATCAAGGTGTCCGCAGCGCACGGCAGCGTAGCCCCACTCAACGCACGACGCGGAATTGCGTTCCGACCATTCAAAGTCAATGGCCAAGAAAGTCTTGTCTCTAGAGGCCCACAGCTCTCGGACGCTCTGGGGCTCGCCGTTCCGCACTCGGACCTTCTGCGCGGAGAGGGCGATGGCAGGAAGTGTGGAGAAGACTTTCTTGTACGTAGTATAGTCGGAGATTGTACGGAGATGCCGTTGGGAGGTTTCGAACGGGGTTATTCGGAGTATGTTCTCAACGATGGGAAGAGTCTCTCCAAACCTTCAGGCGCAGGTGAGTACAACACCTCCGAACGAGATTACATCCTCGATGATACCTTGTTTTCAGCATCTTCAGAAACGCGTTTACTGTCGACATCCGGACCACAATGTGTGCTCGTCCGGTCCACGCATCAGTGACGGTGATGGCCGGCCACGAAAAAGTCAGGAATTCTTCGAAAGACTCGAAGAATACGCCCCACGATCGTTCGTACCTGTCAATAATGTTGTCAACCAGGCGTCTCGGCTAACATCTGCCCTGGAGCACCCACCAGACGATGTTGTGCAGCTGAAAGTGGCCTATGTATGCCGAATACACCTGGTGTGAGCCGGTGAGCTTAATCGAGTCAAATTCTGTCGGGGTAAACGCACGGATTGCAGATCGCAGTCCCATCCTTTTGGGTCGACGAGCGTGAAGTTGGACATGATGACAGCGCCAAGCCTCGTGGCGCAGAGCTTGCTGGACACAACCTTGAACGCGGCTCACCACATGCAACCGCCTTGGGTGCGACAAGCCTGATGGTGCGCGGGCTACTGGAGGCAGCGGAACGCGTTCACGATGGGAGACGGCAAGGAAGAGCGTACTCGGTTGGCGGGAGGCATACCGAAGAGGCCTTTTACGGAGCCGATCGTGACGAGGCGTTGACCGGCGGCAGGGACGTCGCCTCCGGAGGTATCGCGTCTATCACGGCAACAACCCGCCGTGCAGTCATTGTGTGGAAAGCACCATGTTCTGCTGACCATCTCTTATCACTTCCGGCGGAGAGCATGGGAGCTGGTCAGGTACCAGCGACTCGTTCGAGGTTGCAGCTGATGAAGCCTTCATGGTTCATCACACGAGCAGGCACGCGGTATTGGTGTGGAGAACACGGTATATTACGCAAGAGACAGAACGGCAGACTACACACGAGCAACGAACATACAGATGCTGAGGAATGGTACATCGCCAACGTACCTGGGTCCTGGCAAGGTTGACATATTTGCGATGATATCGGACGCCCCCGTGCTGTAACAGATAGTCAGCCAATGTTGCGAATGTTGTACGACCGAACAAGTATCAGAGACTTGAATGGTTCCCGAAGGAATCGCTCCCATCGTGCGTGAACACGTCGAGTAGTAATTTGCAGAATATTTTCATCCGAAGGCGAAGGCGCAAGGGATGATATTGAAGAGGGTACTCACAGGAAGGTCGTCCCAGATATTCAGCGCCATACGCAAGAAGCCCAGCGGACGGATGGAACGGACCTGATAACAAAGAGGTGTTAGCTGCGTGTTTCCAAGAGGAAAAGCATGCTATGATAGAAGAAGCTCAGAAAAAGTATCGCATTCTTCTCATAACCCTTGAGGGCATCGAAGTGAGCTGAGTTTACGAAGATTTCTCATCCCAGAAAGCGATAGGCAAAACACGAAAATGAAGCGACACTCACCATCGGTTGAGGTCGACTCGTCGACGCGTGTCCAGAAGTTGGGTCCAAGGAGGCGTGATTCCGACCTAGTCAGAGTCCTCACAGCCAAAGTACCTCCGCAAGCGAGCAAAGAGGCAGAATGGGCACAGTACATCGCAAGCGTCGTAGCACAGTCCCGTCGGCAACGCTGGCGACGTCCAGAGTCCAGACAGTGACAGCACGACGCGTCCGGGTAGCTGAGCGCTCTATTTGAGGGAACGCAGGTGTCACGTGCGCCGTGTTGAACCTGCCCTAAACTCAGCCACCTGGATTTGCTGCTGTACAGTCTTTCCCAGGCTCTCACACTCACCGTCAGCAGCAGTAAGTGCCGCCGTCCCCAAGCACACGATTCTCGACGTTGACCGTACGTGAAGATGCAGATCTTCGTCAAGACCCTTACGGGGAAGACCATCACCCTTGAGGTCGAGTCCTCCGACACTATCGACAATGTCAAGGCCAAGATCCAGGACAAGGAGGGGTGAGTGGTCATTTGGGGATGGTAGACCCGGCGGCGGCACGGTACTGACGGACCTTGGCAGCATCCCCCCCGACCAGCAGCGCCTGATCTTCGCCGGCAAGCAGCTCGAGGACGGCCGTACCCTCAGCGACTACAACATCCAGAAGGAGTCCACCCTCCACCTCGTCCTCCGGTGAGTAAAGCGGTACTCTGTACTTTACCGAAGTCTTACACCACCGCCAAAGTCTCCGTGGTGGCATCATCGAGCCCTCGCTCAAGGTGCTCGCGTCAAAATACAACTGTGACAAGCAGATTTGTCGCAAGTGCTACGCGCGCCTTCCCCCTCGCGCGACCAACTGCCGCAAGCGTGGATGTGGCCACTCGTCTCAGCTCCGCCCGTACGTTCACGTCCCTTCGGCCCACGATAACCTTCTGTGCTTACGAAGGCCTGCTTTACAGCAAGAAGAAGCTGAAATAGTGGTTGTGCGCCTCACCACAGCCCTTTTGCGGCTTTTTGGGATGGGACACGCCGAGCCCTCGGGGACGGGCTTTCATGCATGTTTACTACATTCGATATGCGATCCATGATATGCGTTCACCGGCCCTTGTAATGTGTGCGTCCCCCTTGTATGATCAGAGCGTAGGCCACCGTTGCATGCTACGACGAGACGCTGTCCAGGATTCGAATGACATCCCGCCCTATATCGTCTATTTCCACTTCCTGTCTCGACACAAGGTGCGAAGTTTGGGAGGCAGGGTTCGTTTGTGACTTCAAGTTTTTGCGTTTGTTCACGCGGTACCATCGCGAGCTACCTCTGCGGAGCATTTACCGACCGAGTTTAAGTCGGGGTCGAGTGGCCGTGGCTGAGGCACTACAGGTCCACAGACACGGTGTGTGGTGGGTACGGGTCTTTCGAGGCCCTGCCCTCCCGCACAGCACAATGAGGCTAACCTGCAAGATTGTTACCGCAGCGCCGAATATTTGCCTTCACCGTTAGGCTCGCCAAAGGCCAAATTAAGCCTTAAAGCTTCAGCAACCCATACACAGCGACCCTTCATACTAGTGGCAGGAGATTACACACACTGTAAGGCTCTTACTCGTATAACATGACGGATCGTCGCTGTTTGGTGTGCCAGTTCTCAGAGTACCTGCTGAGAGGTTCCCAAGTTGATCAGGCTCTCGCCTCCCTTGCTTGTCCTTGAAGCTCATATACCGCCGCCGATCCATGTCAAATTTCCCAACCAAGTGTAGTTATACTCTGGCTCTTTCCGTCATTCAGCAGAGCATCATAAGCTTGCCTTTGCCAAAAGAACAAACCAGTACAGCCTGAGCTCCCGTTCCTACTCACCATTGTCCGCAATGGGCCTGAGACGGAGGATGCCGAAGCGCTAGAGCAGCCACGTGCGCGGAGTGTATGGATCGGGAGGAAGATCTGAGCAAGTTAATCCCAGTGGTGAGCAGCCGAGGACGTCCCTCTCATTTTCCCGTCTCTCACCTGTACACTCCCTCCTGCTGCCCACTTTCTCGTGTATCCGTCTGCATACTCTGGGCGCTCCTTTACGATGGCTAGAGGACGGAATCTCGGAAAGTCAGCGAGGCCTGCACCATCTTCGCGCAAGACCGCAAACGCGCTCGGCTATGCCAAACGGCATACCCTGAAATCGAAGGCCCTCTCGGCCGGGGATCTTGGAGATGTGTACGAATATCAGCAAGACAAGGTCCGCCGCTCGAAGGTCAAACTTGAGCTGGAGAGGGATGAAGCGGGGGGCGCACGGAGCGGAAGTGAAGAGGATGAAGACGGTCCGGCCACCAAGGGTCGAGATGCGAGGCCAAGGCTGGTCGGAGAAAACGACGACGACGATGCGATAGGCGAGGATGAAGACGAGGAGATCGACAGTGACGAAGCGTTCGAAGAGAGTGATAATGAACGTTACGCCGGCTTCAGCTTCACTGAGAAGGTGCGTGCTTGTAAACCGGTGGGTGTTCCACAATGCGCTAACAGTATAACAGAAGAAGGCCGGGACAAAGTCCAAGTCGAAGAAAAGGGCCGACGCAGGCCGCGCAGTACGGTTCGCCGAGGTGGACCTCAATGAGGATAGTGATGAAGTGCAATCCGAAGCAGAGATCGAGGACGCCTCTGAGGCCAGTGACGGGGACGACGATGATGAAGAGGAAGAGGGTGACCCGAGCGAGTTCATAGATGTCTTGGACGTCTTGGATGGGCGAGGTGACCCAGAAAGCGAAGATGAGCATCAGGACGCCAAGAAAACAAGTAGTTTGAAGACGGACGCCGCACAGATGAGCGAAGATGAGGAGGAGGATGAAGAGATGAACAGTGAAGAGGATTCGGAGGAGGACGAAGACGAAGACGACAAGATGGGCTCAGCATCCGAGCCAGAGGACGAAGAAGACGATTCCGCCCTTCAGGACCTTGAGCAATTTGTGTCTGGACTCGATGCGGGACAAAAGCGAAAAGCTCCTGACGAGGACGACGGCAAAGATGTCGACCCTAAGCCCGCGGCGAGGAAGAGGAGACTGCTTCCCGAGCGGACAGAACTTGGCGCAGAGAATGAATTTGCTCCCGCATTAAGTGCGTAAAGTGTGAAGTCTTCAATAGCTGTACTAATTATGCTACAGGTGGTGGCAAGCTGAACCTCGATGACCTGCTCGCCCCTCTCGAGGGCCAATCATCGAATTTGGCATCACTCAAGAAATCCGCGAAGGTTCTTGCGTCTACATCTGGCAAGGTCAGGACGTTGTCGGCACCTCTGCCACAACGTACTGCCGAGAAGTTGGACCGTGAGGCCGCTTACGAGCAGACGAAGGAGGAAGTCGACAAATGGAAGGCTACGATGCAGCGCATCAAGGAGGTATGGTCACAATATTTGGCGGTCACGGCGTCCGCTCATATATCATCGAACATAGGCCGAGCATCTGAGCTTCCCTTTGCAAGCTGAGCCCAAGAGCCGGACATCCAATTTGGAGCTTGCAGCGAAATTCAAGGTAAGTATCATTCCACCACACGTCGGAATTACTCTAAAGTCGCGAATTACTATAGCCGACGACAGAGCTTGAAAGCGCTGTGGATAAGCTCCTGAAGTCTGCCAAGATGCGCGAAGACGAGATTGCCCAGACCGAGACGCTGAAAATGAACCACCTCTCCGTCGAAGAGGTTGCCGCACGCCGCGCTGAGCTCGCGAAAATGCGTGAACTTATGTTCCGCGCGGAGGCGAAAGCTAAGCGTGTTGCAAAGATCAAGAGCAAGACCTATCGCCGCCTGAAGAAGAAGGAGCGTGCCCGTTTAGCGGAGAAGCTTGGAGAGGGCTCGGACGATGACCTCGACGACGAAGAGGCGCGGCTCAAGCGGGAGGTTGACCGTGCCCGTGAACGCGCCACTCTGCGGCACAAGAATACCGGCAAATGGGCGAAGGCCATGCGTGAAAGGGGGGAGCTCGACGAGGATCAGCGGCGAGACATCAACGAGATGCTGGACCGCGGCGAGCGATTACGAAAGAAGATTCGTGGAGAGGGGGACAGCGGAGACGAGGACAGCGATGACGACGCGAGTGACGAAGAGGGTGAGGACGGTGCCGCCCGCATCAAATCCCGGGCCTTCGACGAGCTCGCCGCGCTCGATGTGGACGACACCGAGACTCCTGCAGGCAAGAGCAAGAGCATCTTCGAGATGAAGTTCATGAGAGACGCCATGGCCCGTGAACAGCGGAGAGCGGACGAGATCGCCGACGACTTCGTCAAGGAGATGGGCGGCGGAGACCCAGACGCCGACGACGATGCGGACGCAGAAGACGGCGACCAGCCCTCCGGGGCTATCATTCAGCGCGTCGGCGGCCGCGTGGTCTATCGTCCCGGTGCACTGGTGAGTTTATTGCCCGCTGCGTTATCGACGCCGAGCTTACCTACGGAGGAACCAGAACACGGGTGTCCGTCCTGTTGGCTCACTTGCCTCCGATACGTCGAGCGTCACCCTCAAGTCAACAGACCTTCCTCCCGAAGCCCGCGACAGCCCGCCCGATAATTCGCCCCCCGGCTCCCCTGTTTCCCAACGACGCGTCCCGCCACCCACGGACGAAGTCAACCCGTGGATTGCACAAGTTTCTAGCAAAGGTGGTCTGACGAAGCACGAGGTCGCGATCAGCAAAGAGAGCGCCGCGGCGGAGAAATCCAAGAACAAGCTCCGCAAGCGCGTCAAGAACCGGCTGGAGGAGAAGGCGAAGGCGCTGGAGGACGCCGCGGTAGACGTCTCGTTGTCGACGGTCATGACGTTGGCCAATGGCAACGAAGCGGGGCCGTCCAAGGCAGGGCAGCCATCGAAGCCGAAGTCGAAGCCCACTGCAAAGTCGGCCTCGGTGGCGAAAGGCAAGGCGCGAGCGTCGCAGGCCGATGACGACAGCGACTCGGACGCCAACAGCGAAGTCGAAGAGCAGGAGAGCGCGCTCACCCAGAAGGGCAAGGGTAAGGTCAAGGCGTTCGAGCAGCGTGACCTTGTCGCCCTCGCCTTCGCGGGTGACAACGTCGTTCAGGTAAGGGTTCAGGTTAATGTCACGGCCTGTAACCCGTCCTCATACCCTCGCAACTAGGATTTCGCCGATGCCAAGCGGCGCGAGATTCAGGAAGACGCGCCAAAAGAGATCGATACCACGCTGCCTGGCTGGGTGAGCGTTCCGTCCCTAACCGCATCAGACTGCCTACTGACAGCACGCAGGGTACATGGGGTGGCACTGGTACGAAGAAGGCCCCGCCCAAGCCGCACTTCATCAAGAAGATCGCGGGAGTCGACCCTACGACGCGCGCAGACTACAAGAAGACGCACGTTGTCATCTCCGAGAAACGGGACAAGAAAGCGGCGAAGTACCAGGTCAAGGACCTACCTTTCCCGTACACGAGCAAGGCGCAGTTCGACCGCAGCATGGAGGTTCCACTCGGCACGGAGTGGAATACGCGTCTTGGGTTCCAGCGTGCAACGCTGCCGAAGGTCGTCACAAAGGTGCGTTTTGCTGACTCTATTTATCTACTCGTCGAGCGTTGCTCACAGTCAACATTGCAGATGGGCAAGCTCATTACACCACTGGAGAAGCATGCATGAGCATGGACTCGCTTGTTTGTATCGCACATATCGTCGTGGTCCTAGTACATCATCTGTCTGCACTGCATACTGTCGCATTCCCATTCATGTCTCCTTAGACTGTCATTCGCACAAGCAATAATGTCAACAACGCTTCCATCGGCATTTTTATAACACATCGCGTCGCGCGGGGGCTAATACATACAGTAGTAATGTGTGCGGGGCTAGTAGTGTAGTGTGTATTATACATATGCGTGCAGGACCCATAAAATATGCAATGGTAGCGCGCCGGGCGCCATCGAGCTCCGAAAAGCCCTGTCGCTTGTGCTCGACCCTCGACCCCTTGGGCTGAGCTTCGACCCTCGACTCTTGAACCCCGAGTTGACCCCGAGAGCCATGCTGCATGCGGCGGCGTCGGCGCTCAATCGTCCCCAAGCGCGAGCCCGACGATGGCGTAGACGTTCGCCACGACGACCACGAGCCAGATGAGGTACCCGAGGCCGGTGACGATGTACCCGTTCGAGAAGTCGACCATCTCGCCTGCCTGCGCCTCCGCGTCCGTGTCGTCGACACGCGTCGTCTCCTTGTCCTTCTCGTCGGACTCCGCAGGGGTGACGGCGCCCGCGGGGAGCTCGTCGACGTCTGCGTCCTCGGGGCGCAGCTTCTTCGTCTTGTGGACGCTCATGATCGAGCGCGAGGAGGTGAGGTAGACGAGCGGGAAGACGATGAAGGGGAGCACGATGGAGAGGATGACCTGGGAGGCGACGAGCAGCGTGTCGATGCCCGACCGCCCGACAGCGGCGGCGACGGCGAGGGAGGGCACGAGACCAATACAGCGCGTGACGAGACGCCGCATGACCGGCTGCAGATGTGAGGTTAGTGGACGTACATGACAGGGAGGTGCGCGGCGGGGGAGACGTACGGAGAGTTTCCAGCGGATGAATCCCTCAGAGACGATCTGGCCTGCGAGAGTGGCAATGATGGACGAGCTTTGTCCGGATGCGAGCAGGGCGAGCGCAAACAGGATAGCGGCGGCTGTAGACGAGTGGAGTAGCGTGAGACACGTGAATCGAGACCACGAAGAAATAAGCAGGGGCACGTACGTTTTCCGACGAGGTTTCCCAGGAGATCGTACGCGTCGAAGAGGCTCGCGGGATCCTGATCACCGGTGTTCCCGTTGAAGAACACGGCGCTCGATAGAATGAGGATCCTGTGTATGGGCACTCCGTCAGTCAATGAGCCCGAATCAATTCGCACGTCAAGTGTACGCACATAGAGTTGATCACGACGGCGAGCCCGAGCAGGCTGATCACCATGTCGACGATGCCGTGGTACAGGTGTAGGCGCACGAAGCTGTAAGGCCTGTTCGTATGCTCGGCATGCGATGCAAGGTCGGGGCGGGCGACGTCCGTAATGTTCGCGATGCGTATATGGCGCTTCACGCCAGCCCGGATGTACCCAACGAGGCTGAGCTTCTTCGAGGAGTCACTGGACGCGGAGGAGACAGAGTCCAGCGTCCTCAACTGCTCCTGGGCCTCCTTCGCGGGATCGGGCAAGTGGTCGACGCGGTCTTGCGTAGCGAGGGCTGAGCCGAGGAAAAGACTATGAGGCATCACGGTCGCTCCTATGATACCGATAGCTGCGGGTGCGCGTCAGTACAATGCAGATATAAAATGCACGTGAATGCTGTGCACGCACATGTGTACAACGCGTTCGACTGGATGACGGTCTTCGATGGCACGAACCCGAAGAACGCATCGCCCCATTGGACGCTCGCCTTGGAGATGATGACCGCCATACAGATGAGTACAATGAACACCTGCCAGCCGCGTCCGTGTGAGCGCATTGCAATGCCCGAGAAGACCGAGAACCTACAAGAGCGGCGATGCAGAGCTCGAACACCCGCACGGGCTTCCCCGCCATGGGGTCCCGCAGCGCGAGCAGGATGAAGACGTCGGAGGCGGTGAGGAGGACGCCGCCCCAGAGCGGGAGCTTCGGGAAGAGCATGCAGAGCGCGATGGCCGACCCGAGGAGCTCTGCGAGGTCCGTACTGATGATGGCGATCTCGGAGAGCGCATACAGGGGGTACAAGACCATCCAGCGCCACATCTTGGTGTGTTTCGGCCGGTTGTACAGCAAGATGCGGCAGTGCGAGGCGAGATCTGAGCACGCATGCGAAGTCAGTAAATGGTCGTATGCGTGCTAGAGAAAACGTCGGACATACCCAGACCGGTGACGCAACCGAGGCGGGATGCCATGGTCTGCAAGCGCAGTGAGCGGACCGGATAGCGCGGAGTTGGTGGCGCCACATACCTGAACGACGATAGCGAAGATTCCAGCGAGCAGAACGACGAAGAGGAGCTTGTAGCCGAACTCCGAGCCCGCCTGGAGGTCGACCCCCCAGTTCCCGCTGCCGTCCCGCCTCCGTTAAGCGCGCAGTTCAGGCAAAAAGCGATGAAAAAAGACTTACGGGTCAAAGTACGCGACGGCACAGACGATGCCGACGCCGGTGTGCTTCGTGGCGTGCTGGACGACGTACCAGGCGCATTTGCGCGCACGGCGGAGGAGGTGGTGTTCGTCGGCGTCTGCCTGCGGTGGCTGCGCCACCCGGGCGAGCTGAGGTTGAGCGGGAGAACGGTGCATGGCGGGGGAGGGCCTGTGGTGAGTGGGGGTTGAGTGGGGGGTGGGCGGGGAGCATGAGCTGGCTGTGCTGGGCGTCGGAGGGGCCGTTATAAGGGAGAGGAGACGCAAACCAGCAGAGTGGACGGCGCGAGCGTAAGGGAACGACGATGTGGTACTCTAGCCAGAACATGCCCCCCTCATTAATTCCTCGCCCGGCTCTCAGCCGATCTGCCCCGACTCTCCAGTCGTTCCGCCCGCCAGGGTCTCCGTCGCCCCGTCGCCGATCCGCAATGCGCAAAGGTGGAAAAACATGTGTCGTGGAGGGGAGTTGCGGGCGACAGGCCTGAGTGTGCACGCCATCGCAGACACTCTAGCGCCCAACAGAGGCAGCGCCCCGGCGAGCCCGCGGTTCGAAGCGTTTTCAAGTTCCAGTCCGCCGGGCCCACGCAGGCGCTCATCGGACTGCCCTCCGCCACTCTCTCAGACACACCGCTGCATTTGCGCGAGACCTGTGCAATTCCCGTTCAGGAGCGACGACCTCCCCCTATTCGTACAACGCAGAACCTGCCTAGCGGACCTCTCCCGACATGAACACCCTTCCCTCGAACCCAGCCCGCCTCCTCCAACCTTGCAACTCTGCAACTCTCCCCACTTGCGGCTCTTCCGCTCCGTCGGTCCACCGCGCCAAGCAGCGCGGACGCGCGTGCATCGTGCAACCGCTCAGAACAGATGCTCGACGAACCGCGACCTAGACGTGATGCACCCGAGTCCAAGGGTCCCAAAGCGCAAGGAGCTTGAGTCCATGCTTGACGACGGCCGGCGATGGCCACCGATACTGTCGGCAGATGACGTCCCCAACGAGTCATCAGACATCGTGCTTGACGGCGCAGAGGGACGCAGGTCCCGAGACAGAGGACCAGGCAGCAAGAGCCCCAGAGAGACAGACCACAGCGCACGAAGACCAGCCTGCGTCTTTCGCGCAGCCGTCCAAGCCAGAGACCCTCGACGAGCGGATGCAACGCGTTTCGCGGCCGCTATCTGATACCCTAGTCGTGTCGCCCAGGACCCAGTACCAGCAGAGTGCGAGTGCACAAGCGAGACAGAGGCGACGGAAGATGACGCTAAGACCCTGAACGGTAGCTCCTGCTGGAACGAGACGGACGATCCAAGTCCAAGGCCGCGGGTCGAGTGCGGTCGCTCGCTGTTGGCCGGGGCGCCCAGGCGGCCCATGACCGCGCGTATGCTCGCGGTGCTTTCCGCAGGATTGATGTATGGCTCGGTGAGCCAACGCCGCCGTCCGCCGTCGTGTGCCTGGTACCACATCTTGCACGCCAGCCACTGTTTCTCGCACGAGCGGCAGATCACCCCGTCTTCCAGCTGCGCGAGACAGCAGCGATCGCATGCCGGGATCGAGGGGGCGGGGGAAGGCGTAGCAATGGCCGGAAATGACAGAGGATTACTGTCGCGGGTAGGCGTCGTGGCTTCCACATACTTGAATAACGTGATTGGCGAACGCGGACGGAAGACTGGTGATTGCGCTATTTGCGGTGTCGGTAGGGTGAGCATGAGTGATGGTAGCTGTGATGGTGCAGCGAGGAGACCTGGAGAGGCTTCCGTAATTGGCAAGGCCGGAACAGAGGCTTGAAGCGTTTGGTATTTCCCCGCAATAGACCCGGCGGTCGGATAGCAACGTGCCTCAGGGCCCTAGTTTTATTGTCAGATGAGGCAAGCGAGGCAACGGCGATTAAAACATACCATAGCGATACCGATGAAGACTGCGCCCGAGCTTTCGTCGACGAACTGCGGCACAGCAGCACTCCCCAATCCGCTGAGGCTAGTCATGTGCGAGATAGCAGTGTGGTATTCGCTCAGCGCGAAAGAATCCTCGCCCACGGGGGAGTACGCCTGGCATAGATCAGTGCTGTTCATGCATGTGTCGAGCGAAGACGAGCGACGTACGCGACCAAAGTCCTCGGATTCCGACCCGTATTCGTCGTCCACGACCTGTATACACTCGCTAAGCGTCGTACCGGACGAGCAGAATCAAAGTGGTTTACGTTCAGCGCAACAACAGCACGCCCGCCGATCCTCTGCCAGGGCCGTAAACAATGTGTTCGAGATTCGGTCGTGTGCGCAAAGTCCGCCCACCTTCAGCTTCCTAACAGACTTCAGGGTTTTGCCGCCGGCCTGGGAGTTCGGCACCGGTGCTCCCCCTTCGACCTCGTCCGGGATGGCCGAGCACACCTGCTGCTCCACTGTGCAGCCCTGGAAACGTGAGGATGGACTGAATGCGTACCTCCTGTGTCGCGACCATGACCTGAAGTTGCCCCAGCTCATTTGGCCTCGTTGTGCCAGGGTGGCGGCGGCGGAACTTCGGGTCTGCGCGTGCGGGGACTTCCTAGGGAGCCAAGACCATTCAGCCCCGCCAGGCGGCTACGGTCAGTAGAGGCTTCTACAACACTCACTGGGCGCGCTGTAATGATGTTATGAACGAACCAGGACGATTTCTGTCGGAGACCCTGCACCAGGCAGGCACCTCTCCGCACGAGCCGAGTCCCGCTCGACTGCAGGATGCGCACCATGATGCAAGGATGTGAGTAGTGTGTTGTCAAGAAGTAGTATGAGTTTGAATTGTCGTGTAGCAGTGGTTATCCGAGCCAGACGTTCGCGGTAGGCAAGCTGACGGTGACGGTGGTGAGAAGACAAGAAGGGAACACAGTCCAGGAACGCCACAATCACAGCCGACGCGTGTCGGGCGTCTCGGACCGGCACCCCCGGTGTCCACGGCCAGGCGGTGAGTATGTTCAGATCTCGTTCACTTGTCCGAAACGTGCACGATCGGCTTCTGAACACATCCCAGCGTCGCGGCGGTGTCGGCGGTGTCCAAGGTGCGCACAAGACTACGTCCTTCAGTGGGAGGTTACGGCCCGTAAACCCTCTACTAGTACAGGCAGCTTATAAATTATTGACGATCCAGACCCACTCCTTGACTTGACCTGTGTTCGACCCTGAGAGCCGTCCAACTCCCAAGGCCCCCGCAGGAGATAGTATCATTATTTGGTATTGTTCGTGAATTTCAATCACGTAAAGACTTGCTGCGGCTGCGTGCTGACTGCGGGTGCACTTGATCTTAGACCTGACTCAAACTCACCCCCCAGTTCAAATATCGGGCCCTCTCAGCCGACGCAAGTAATCTCCTCGGACGTCTTCTTGCATTCGACGAGGTACAGGTCTCCGGCATGGGCTTCGCATTTAGGTCCCTCCTGCTGCTCGCCGCTGCATGTGCCATCGGCGTGCGTGCTTCCCAGTACCCTCTCTTCCCAAACCAAGGCCGTGTCGAGCCGGCACGCTCAGGGAAATCATACGATCCCTATGAACCCTACGATGCGGGCCTCTTCACCCCAGTCTCTGATCTGCGCTCAATCTCCGCCTCGGATTATACCACTCTCACGCATCCCCAATTTCCGAAGCACAGCGTGCGGATCAAGGAGTCTCAGTTCTGCGACGGTACAGTGCAGTATGCCACCTGTTCTTCTCGCCGCCATGCCGTTTGTGATCACCTGTGTTGCGGATGGCGTGATGCCGTGTAACCTGCCGCTAATTCATCGTGCAGGTCTTACACCGGGTACATCGACGTGGAGGCTCGACACCTCTTCTTCTACTTTTTTGAGAGTCGTCGGGATCCCGACGCCGACGATGTCGTTTTCTGGACCAACGGCGGTCCTGGCGGTTCCTCAGCTTTCGGTCTCTTCATGGAGCTCGGTCAGCCGCTTCGTCCGCTATCTTGTTTACTTTTTCCATCGCTGACGACGTTACAGGTCCTTGCAGAGTGACGAGCCCGAACACTACGGAGCGCTTTGAGTACGCCTGGAACGAAAATGCCAACGTGTTCTTCGTCGACCAGCCCGTCGGTGTCGGTTTTTCATATGCGGATTACGGGGAGCAAGTAGTGAGTTGTTTAAATGCCACTGTACTAGCCGGTTCAGCAAGTCCTAAGACCCCGTCGATCCTCCAGAGTACGACTGCCGACGCAGCCGTCGACATTGCTTCTTTCGTCGCTATTTTCTTCGAGCACTTTCCGAAGTTCAAGGGACGCCCGTTCCATATGGCGGGCGAGTCATACGGCGTAAGTTTGCAGTAGACCGCCAGATCGGTAACGTCTCGTTCATGTTCTCAACTTTCCGAACGACAGGGCCGCTACATTCCGGTGTTTGCGTCAACTGTGTACGACCAAAACGCACGGCTGATCGACGCAGGCCTGACGCCTGTCAATCTCTCCTCTATCATGATAGGTTCGTTCACGTTCACAACCTCGAAGAAATTCCGCTCAGTGTATTTCAGGAAATGGGTGCACCGATATGATGAGCATGGCACAGTCATACTACGACGTGCAGTGCGAAGGGCACGGTTTTCCTTTCGTGACGAGCATTTCGTGCGTATCTAGTATACTGCCTCAATATCATCCATGTGACTCAAATTATATCTGCAGGGAATGCGTTCGGCTTAAACAGTTGTACCCACGCTGCGCACAACGTCTGCAGGTATCATGCAAGGACACTTTGGACGACATTGACTGCCGCTCGGCATTCGAATTCTGCGAAGATTCGTTCACCGGACTTTTTGAGAGTGAGCTCGCGTATATATGTGCTAATCAACTGCATCTTGCTGACGGAACCCGCACACAGAGGTGAACGCTTATGATGCAGCGAGGCCTTGGTGAGTTACCCCGGTCCCTGTTCACACGTGGATTGAATTAAACCGCTATCACCGTTCATTTTGGCCAGTGCCGATACTCCGGGAGACATCATCGCCTGCTACCCCGAGCTGAAGTAAGACTGCCCAGTGTAGAGCTGTCATCGATGCGGACCCTTTACTCACGACCTCACAGATATGTGCAAGAATATCTCAACAACGCGCATATACAGTCGCTCCTCGGCGTTGACCCAGCTGCCGTGAACTACAGCTGGGTCAATATGGAACTCAACGGCCGCTTCGATCGGCACTCCGACTACTGGTCCTTCCAGGCAGAGCACCACGTCGCGGCCCTCCTAGAGCGCGGCGTACGTGCCCTAATATATGTGGGCGCCACGGACTGGATATGCAATTGGGTGCGTGAGCATTTCCTTGCGCACAGCGCCCGTGGTCATTGCGGGCGCACTGCGACTGCGGTTCTGACGTGGATTGATGTTGCGCAGGTCGGCAATGAGCGCATGACGCTTGGGCTGGAATGGACCGGGCAAGAGTCGTATCGAAACGAGCACCTGCGCGAGTGGCTGGTGGACGGCGAGGTCGCGGGCAAGGTGCGAGCTGGCGGCGGGCTCACGTTTGCTACCATCGACGGTGCTGGGCATATGGTGCGTTATCTCCCTATCGGCCCTTCCAGTGTAAATTGACATCTTTGACGCATTCTCTGTGTAGACTCCATATGACAAGCCGGTCCAGTCGCTCGAGCTGGCAAACCGCTGGTTGGCGGGACAAGAGCTATGATAGCGGTGACAGCAGTATTTGTGAACACATCTTTGCATCCAGATACAGTTCATCTTCATATTCGCAGCTGTATCATCTTTTATTCTGCATTGTTTATTGTCTGTGAATATGTGCAGAGGAGTGGACGGTGTGTTACCGAAACAAGGACGATAACTTCAAGATTACCATTGCGTTCAGTTTGTAAAACGTCGGAGTGCACGATCTCCGCTCCCACATTTCAAATTTCATGAACAAATTACTCTGTGACGCGAACATATATATGATTCTAAACCGCGGCGATGCTAAAACTCTATACTAAACAACAAAATACATCTTTACCCGGAGAGTTCCCTCGCCTTCGTCTTGAACGCCTCCTTTACCATCAACCATTCTATCGTGGTGAGCCCCCCGGCCTGTAGCACGACCCCGACTTCGTCCCACGCATCCGGCAGAGTGCAGATCAAGTCCAGATCCTCTTTGGTGACGAGACCCATTTTGTAAAAGAGAGGGGCGGCATCTCCCATTGGGCGGCGAAGGCGACCGAGGAAGCTCCGGACGGCGGTGGGCCTCTCAGGAAGATGTTGAACCGGGGAATGCGACGATGACGCTAGAGGGTTGCTTTGAGCGAGAGCGTAGCGTGAATTATCGGCGGATACAGACAAGGCATCATCCGGGTCGGACTTGAATCTGACAGCGACGGTCCGGGACACAGGTGCAGTATTCGCTAGCGTGTGGCCGGACGACTTTGACGAGCATGAAGCACTCCTCGTAAGAGTCGGCAGAGAAGAGGAACAACCAGAGCTAGAGGGAACCAAGCCGACCGGCGCACAGGGCACGTAAGGAGCCTCAACTGGAGACCAGATCGCCGGGCGCAGGACGGGCGGGAACCAGAGGACTTGCTCCAAAGTAGTACCAGGATTTGCAGGAGGTCCGGGAGTATCGGTCTTCTGACGCTGAGCCTGAGCCCCCAAGATACCGCCACTAGATGACGACGAAGATTGGTCAACGTCGGGGCTGCAAACGTCGTTGCTACCTATTTCAATGGCACGCATGGTAAAGAAAAAAATCCTGGGCTATAGAGAAGCATATACACGCACCATCTGGGACGTTCCCCTCAGTATGTTCGGTATCCATGTCCGCACACGCCGCCGAAGGGCTTTTGTGAGAATTGCGTGGAAGACTGGGCGACGGCGGAACATTCTCCGCTTCTTCGTTCTCCGATTTCGTGGATGATAGCGAGCGATACTGCGCGTAGCCTGCGCACTTTTTAAAAATATGACTCTGGACGACGGGGACGTCAGTCATTTTCTCTCGGCATCACTCAAGGACACGGCCACTCACGCGAATCGGTGTGGCCATGGCCCACGACTTGTCACACTTGGGGCAGTGAAAAAGCGTAGTGACGGGGTTGCGTCGCAAGATAAAGCCTGCTTCTGGGTGACCTTTGAAGTAAATTTTGGTGTGCTGCTGGTGGGCGGTGCGCTTGTGGTAGTTGGCGGACTTATGGGATGTGCCGCAGCAGAAGAGAGGCTCTTTGGCTTCCTTGGGCCTGTAGCGGGAGGCATCACGCATCAGTGCCAGAAGACTGACGGCGATGCGCATACTCACATTTTGCTAGGTTTTGGGACGAGGTGCGGTTGGAGAACGGTGGGGGGAGCTTGAGCTGTACGAGACCCGGAGCGCGTCCCGAGGGAGTTTATATCTCGGCGGAAGCGCATATGACAGCTTGTACGCCTGTGTCAACTGTGTGGCATACGATCGGAGCTGTTCTGGTGTTTCAATGCCGCATTTGTGCAACGACCCGTACAAATGCACCACCCTCGTAGCTTGTCACAGAAGTCAGCCAGGGCTCGGGACGGGATCGTCGGCGTCGGAATCCGAAAGACCTCGCGCTACTCGCTCTGCTGCTCGAGCTACGCTGTAATCTGGGAAGAAAGCACCGCACAGAGCGAGACAGAATACTGAGAGCAACAACATGGCGATGTCGATTGCCAGAGGAAGGAGAAAGCGGGAAAGTGCAAGATGTCCCAGAGTAGACAAGAAGCGGCGTCGACGTTCGGCGGGCACGACGGCGTAACTCCTACCCTTGTGGCGGAGCTCACGCGCTAGTCTTAGTATATATGCGCCATCGTATCTTGCGACGCACACAATTGTTCATGATGCGCTGTCTGCTTTGGTGACACTTGCTTCGGGGTGCGTGCACAGAAGTGAGAGGAAGGTTCAAGACGCTCACCATGCTCCTTTCTCTGCCACCCGGGAGAGCGGCCCGCTCATTTCGATCACTTCGCAGACGGATCCAAGTTTGCAGCGCGAGCGTGGAGTACGACCGCCATCTCGAGCTCAACGCAGACTCCAGCCTTTCGCCAAACTGGCTGAGCATCGTGCCCCGGACTACTATGCTCTCCTCGCCGTCTCGCCCTCCGCATCGCCCGCGGACATTAAGGCAGCCTACCATCGCGCCCTCCTAGCCTCTCATCCCGACAAGCGCGACTCCACTGCCGCACCGAACTCTGCAGATATCGGGCTGCTGAAGCAGGCGTTCCATACCCTCCATACGCCTTCTCTGCGCCAGGAATACGACAGGCTGAGAGCATCGTCGGACTCACCTGGTGGACCACGCCCGGCTCAGGTCATCTCGCTCGAGGAGTTCGATGAGGGGGAAGACGGGGAGGCGACCATCTGGGTGTATCCGTGTCGGTGCGGAGGGCGGTATGTCGCAACGGAGGAGATGCTCGATGCCGGACAGCATTTGGTGGGATGTACGAGTTGCTCGGAGGTGGTCTGGGCGGGCTATGAGTTAGTCGACACTACGGAAAATCCGAAAATTAGATGAAGAAATCCTGCATTACGACGTAGGCTTCTGAGGCACGCATGGCTCAAACAGCCGCACTCAGCGCAGACGTGCGGACAGGGATGATTATGGCCGTGTGGCAGGTATCATACGACGGGCCTAGATCCAGCATACACCAAAGCTCACAAATCCCAACTCGCGTCCACCTCGCCATGCTGCACAAACGGCTTGTCCAGCCCAGCAACGACGCTCTCGCACATCGGGCAGTTCGCCGCGAGCACGTCCTCGAGCTCCTTGCGCATGCGCTCCGCCTTCTCCGCGTCCTTCTCGCCCGCGTCCCGCTTCGCGCCCCCGCCCAGCCCGATACCCGGGATCCACCCCACTGGCGCGGTGACGAGGCTGGCGAGCGCATCTGGCATGATCAGGTCGCGCAGACGGTCTCCCGCGGACAGCATGCTTCGCCCGAACGCGTTCGCGCCGCGGGCGCCGGGGACTAGTGCCTGCGCGCCGAAGTTGGCGGACAGCAGGGTGCGTTGTGAGGGAGCGTGGGCATGACGGCTGGCGGGAATGAGGGACGGGTTGGCGATAGTCGAACGGTCGATGACGCCGGTTGTGTGCGACGTCTTCATGAGCTCGGTTTGGAGTGCGAGGATGCGTCGAAGCGCATGTGCGGGCAGGAACTCCTTCGTCTGTGATAGCATGGTTCGTCAGTCCACTGGCAGAACAATGGAACACAGCATGTAGGTTACGCACCAAGCCGATGAGACAGTCAGCGTGGAATGTGTGGTGGCACGGGAACACGTAGAATTGGCGTGTCATGAGCGCGAGCGCGCAGGACGAGCAGCGCTCCTGCGCGTCGAAGGCGATGAAGCGTTTCTGGAGCGCAGCGATGTCCTGCTTGATCGCCTCCGCGTTGTGCGTTGCCTCGTCCATCTCAGCCTTCAGCGCGTCGATGTGCGCTGAATAGCCTTCGAGGGCGGTGCAGATCTCGTCCTTGAAGTCGTCGATCACGACGAAGTCGGGGAAGAACGGCAGGATGTCCTCGATCTTGAGCAGCTCGGTGTTCTCGAGGAACCGCATCGCCCTATGCCGTTCAGTCAGTGTATGCAGCAAAATAGGAAGCAGACGCGCAGAGGAGTCTGCGACTTACATCTTGATATCCTGCTTGTCTTGCACAACATACTTCGCGATCTTCAGCCAAAGCTTCTTCCTTAGCTGGTCGTCGTCCTCGGGCATATCCGCGTTGATCTTTGCAAGCTCCAGGTCACCCTTTTCGAGTGCGAGGTCCACGCTGTTCTCCCACAGACCCATCTTGGAGTAGATGTGCACACACGGTTGTGTGCGGCCGCCCTGCTTGCATAGCCGAAGAGCGTAGTCCAAGTCGTAGTAGGGCTTGCCTGTGAGTGGATCCGACGGGGCAGTCGAGAGGAAGCGGAGGAGCGGTCCATCGTCTTCTGGGTGGTCGGCCGATGTCGATGAACTGGCCAAGGTGAGTGGTGTCGACGCGTAGAAGGTGATCATAAGATTGTGGATGGTCGGCGAGGTGTTGCCTTGTTCGAAAATGACGTGGTTCAGGTATCGCACGGCGTGGTTCGGTGATAGTGGGTCTCGGGGTGCGTGCTGCATCCTGAGAAGAGCTGGTACGAGACGAAGGGGATCCAACGCGCGCTGCCGCAGCCACGAGTCGACGGTCTCCTTTGGTGCATGTCGCATCAGTACCGGTGCAAACCGATAGTACAGCTCCAGGTTTGACTGCATAAATGGTCAGATAGGAATCGTGGCACATCCGGATAGACTGACCTGTCGGTTGATCACATCAATAGCCTTCGTCCATTCCTCCTCCATGACCCAGTGCTCAACTACGCGTTCGTAGTCGCCGATCACCGTGGCATAATGGAGGTACATGTCCGTCCGCCCATGACCTTGGATCAGCTCGTATACGGTCCGCGAATCGAGGTTCGCCTGTGCGTCGCGGATCAGTGTATCGTTCAATGTCGACTATGAGTCGCCATACCTTGTACGTCTCGAAGAAATGCTGTAGATCGTCCTCGAGGATGGCTCGTTCCGCGAGGAGATTGTCCACATCCTGCGACACAGATTCAGACGCAACCAGGTCGTCGAGCTCGTTGCATTTGCTGAGATAAAACTCTACTAGCCATGTGGCTAGCATCATCCGTTGCGAGAGATCCTGCGTGCTGTAAGTAAGCCGAAGTCACCTAAGTCGTAGGAATTTCTTACCGTTCTCCGTGTGCGCTCAAGGCGTGAAATGAGATATGAGCGTAAGGCATCCCGCTCCCCGGCATCCAAGAACTTCAGCGTGACCTCCTCGAACGGCACGGAGCATTGTGCGTAACACTGCGCTGCCTGGAAGTACCTCCCCTCGTTGAAGAACGCCTTCGCTTGCGCCGAAGTGATCTGGTCCCGCTGGCTTGCGCTCTGCTAGGATGTCAGACTATGCTGCCCAACTAGTCGTTTGGCACATACGTTTGCGTACTGTAGAGCAGCATCAAATCTGCCCTTCTCCAGGTAGATCTTCCAAACGTCACGATGCTCGTTGCTCACACCGACTTCCCATATTGCTTGGTCGGTGTACACCCAGTAGGTTTGTCGGACAGGGTCTGAGGTCAGGCCACGAACTTGTTCATTGGGTTTCTACGTGATGAAGTCAGTCCGCTGAAAAGGTTAGAGGGGCTAGAGATGCGCACCAATGGTAGCAGCTCTTCGTACGCAAGCTGCTCATTCAGATTTGAGATTCCCAAAACACGGTCCCGATAGAGCAGTAGGAAGTGGAACTCGGTCAACGCCATAGAGATAGGAACATTGCTGGCCAGAGCATTCCGATTTGACGGAGACAGCGACGGCGAGGCAACTGAAGGATATGGGAGCAGCTGGGCGCCGTCGATGAGATCGTCCGTCTTTAACTCGAAGTCCAAGCCACCATGGTAAATACCGGCAGCTACGATACTTTAGTGGGGAGTTACGGGGTATATCATCAGAGCAACCCACCGTTCATCCAAGCCACGATATTTGGCAGCGAGTACGCTTGGTCCGCATTGGGGCTATATACATGTAGCTCGGAGTAGTCGATGTTGCCGGGGAGTTCCACAATCTCTTCGAGACGTCAGCTGCGTTGTTCCATGGTATTGCATGTGCCTGTGGACCGACTCACTCGGTGCAGTATCTCGGTAGCTCCCAAACAACGCAGAGAAGACTCGCCCGCCTTCATCAGAGCGCCTGTCGGGAATACCTACAAACTGGTATATACGCGTCGCAGTAGTTACCAAGACCAAAGCGTTCTTGGGGTCGAGCGAGGGGAACATGTCGAACTTCAAGCCAGTCACTGGGTGGCGTTCCGGAAGGGTGAACACTGGCTGGAGGTACCTCTCTTGGGATTTGAAGAAGTCCTCCTCCGCGTCCAGAACAGCTTCGTATATCGTCCCATTCCTCCCTCCGACCAGGAACTCTCGCGTGGAGGTTGAATGGGATGAGGACAGAAGGGCGGCCTTGTTCCAGGCGACGCTCTCAATGACCATCTTGAACCCCTTGAGCTGCTTCGGCTTCTTCCACCCACGATAGAAGTACCAATTCTCGCCTTGCATTGACGTAACGAGCAAGTGTCGTCCTGAGGGATCAAGGAATAGCTTGTATATGCTGAATTCGGTCGGCTTCCGGGGTATTTGTATGCGAATGAACTGCTCTGCGCGAGAGAGCTCAATTTCGATGATGAGGTTGTTGGCGAGCCCCATGTAGAGTGAGTCGGAGGAGACGACGAGGGATACCAAAGGTGCGGAGAGTGGACATTGCACCTCTCCGAGCTGGAATATTGGAGCTGCGGGCGGCGCTACCTCTGCTGGGTCCTACAACGCTAGGTTAAGAGAGCCCTGTATAATACGCACATCCCACTCACTTGGAAGACGTCTGCGCGGTTGTCATCCTGATCGTATGGGGAGGGCTCAAAGCCCTCGTACTGGACTGCTGGGAGGGAGCCACGATTGCGAGCGGAGTCCGGCGCCGAAGCGTGTTCTACATCTGTCCACCGCGTTTATGAGCCTTCCAGGTTTCCTTCGCATACACTCGCGGTCATACTAACAGTCATCAAACATAGTGCAAGCTCAAGCTCAAGGGTCGAGTGGCAGGAGAGTTGTGGTCCGCTAGCCAGTGTCCTTTTGTTGTGTGTGGTACGGAGCAAGAGAGGGCGTCCGTTGATGTTCTGACAGAAGCCTCCAGCGCCGTAGTTTGTCCAGCAGATTAGAGGGATAGTGCCGCCAGCCCGCAGCCTCGCGAAGGTGAGTGTGTACGCGGCGAGTCGCAGCACTGGGCAAGCAGACGCGCCTCGAATTACGCGCCCATGATGCTCGTAGCACGTGGCTAGCCGGCTGAGCGCTAACCCACACTTCGCCGTGATCGCGCTAAGGGCCTCGCGTCTGTCTTGAACGGAGGCGTAGCCTTGAGTTACACACCCACCACTCACGCTCTGCTGTCGACACGCAATACGTGCGGCTGCTTGTGTTGCAGCTTTGAGCCAAAATTATGTCGGCACCATCGTTCTCCTCTTTCCCCGCATTCAACACATTTCCCGATCTCGACCCTGGACCCAGCACCCGCACATCGACCTCGAAGGAGGACAAGCGCAAGGATGATGACAAGAAGCACCATAAGAAGAGCAAACGGGATGATGGAGGCCTTGACTCGGATGGAGATCGTAAGAAGAAGAGGCATAGGCATGACAAGCATAGGCGGGAGGACAGGACGGAAGTCCGTGACAAGTATAAACGAAGGAGTCGATCTCCAGCGAGACATAAAGGCTATGGCGGCAGCGACGACGAACGCGGGAAAGACGTAGAAGACCGCAAGCACCGTCATGATGACCCTCAGGTCTCGGGCGTGAAGCAGGGTTTAGTATACTTCACAGACCGAAAGGGCGACTTGCTGAACGTGCGGTACGGCGGCTTGCATGCCGGGGACATTCCCAAGCACCGTCTGGTGGACAGTGAGTACAGAACTCCTCCTCGCAGCGACAACTAACGAAACGTAAGGGGGGCGGAAGGTTCTCGGGTTGAGTCCCGGTCTCTGTGTCCTCCACCGCGGGCGCGGAGGCGTCGAAGTCGGGTTGCCTGGAGGCAGGCGCAGGGTGCGTTTCACAGCTGTTATGCCAGGTTTCGGCCTCTGACATACGGTACATGTGCAGATGCCCGAGCTCACCGATTCCAGCGTGCGCCGCATGCTTGCCTCGGCGCCCACTCATAGGCTACTGGCTTCGGCAGAGAACAAATTCAAGTACGAAGAAGAGGACGGCTTCTTGCGCATTGCCACGAACCGGCCACGGAAAGACGAGCAGTCCTACCGGGAAATCGAGCTCACGAAGCAGCGCGACCCGGACTCCGACCAGTCCGAATCTTCCGAAGAGAGCGCGAGCTCTGCCGACGAATCGGACACGACGCCCTTGACGTCGTTGCAGATGACACTCAAGGGCCTCGAGGAGAGGCTTACCGCGAAGCCGGATGACGTTCCTGCATGGCTCTCCCTACTGGCGCATACCCTCACTACGGTTCCGAGCACGACGAAGAACGCGTCGAGAGCACGCGCAGAAATCACCATATCTGTGCTCTCGCGCGCATTGTCCGCGCATCCAGCCAATGCTCGCTCCAAGACTTTGCGTTTGAGGTACATGAAGGCAGGGGAAGAGCTCTGGCAAGGCGGCAAGCTCAAGGAGGAATGGGAAGACGCTGTTCAAGTCAACGATATCGAGATTTGGATGGCTTGGCTGGACTGGAGAGTGCGCACAACGAACAGCATTCTCACGAGCATGGTGGATGACTCCGCCAGAGTCTTGCGTGCGCTGACGTCCAATCAAGACGAAGTTGGGCCACTCAGAGTGTTTTGGAGGGTTGCCGTTGCCCTAAGAGATGCAGGTTAGTCTGGTCGTCGAGCATGACGACCTGTTGTACTAACGTCAAACAGGATACGTGGAACGCGCCAACGCACTATTCCAAGCGCAGGCCGAATTGTAAGAGTACATGTTCCGCAATCGATGACTTGCTCATGATCACCGCAGGTTGTACCACACGCCCTCTGCCCTATCTGGCAAGTCATTCGAAGACCAGCTGAATAGTCTCGAAGAGTTCTGGGACTCCGAAGTACCGCGCGCAGGCGACCCAGGTGCTACAGGTTGGGCGACCTGGGAAGCTTCCAACCGTCCTGATCTATCACCCCCGCCATCTACCAAGCTTCCAGACCTCGACTCCCGAATCTCCGATCCATACTCGAAATGGGCTGCATCAGAAGCCCTCGCAGACCGTATCCGTGTGCTCTCCTTGCGCTCCACCGACGATGAGGACAGTGAAGATCCATACGCCGTCGTTCTCTTCTCCGACATCCGGTCCTTTCTCGTGCCTGTGCGCTCCGAGCACGCGAAGGAAATCTTCCGCCGAGTCTGGCTTGAATTCGTGGGGCTGCACGTCCCCGGCTTCCTTGTGTCTCTCTCGGAGCGCCCTACGGAGAATGCGGACGACCGTTGGGCTTACACGCATCTTGCGACCTCGTCGTACCTCACTTCTATCTTCCCTGCGGATACTGCCGCGAAACGGATCACTGCGGATGCCCATGCAGGAGTACTGGTGGGGCACGAACGGGAGTACGGGAGCGGCTTTGGCCCCGTGAAGAGTTGGGGCTATGGCACCATCGAGCCTCTCGATAACCTCGGGCAAGGCCGGTGGACGATGTGGACGAGCGAGGACGTTCAGGGTGTCGATGCAAGTCTCGTCCGTGAGATATTCAAGCAATGCCGGATAGCCCGGGATGCCGTGGAATGGGATATCCTAAACCTCGCATTCGAGGCCGCCATGGATACCAAGGGGTATGTCACCAGCTCGTCTCTCTCGGAACTTATCCTGACCACTTATACAGTGCGCTGAAAGTCTCCAAGGCGCTACTCGGCGGTGCGCGAGATTCACTGCCACACTGGGCGGCACACGCGCGCCTGGAATGCCTCCGCGGCCGCCACGGCGATGCTCGCAAAGTCTACCAGACGGTCCTGACGGCCTCGTCGGAGCACCGTCCCGGCGAGGGCGCCTTGTGGTGGGACTGGGCGCAGATGGAATGGCTGTCCCGTAACGACGACGCGGCGCTGGCGGTCATATTACGGTCTTCTGGAGTAGCGGGCACCGGCGGCATCGCTGTCTTGCGCGCAAAGAGGCACTTTGAGAGCCTCCTGATGACGGAGCTGCTCCGTGCGCATTGGAAGGAACGCGCGCCGTGGATTAAGATCGCGGTACTCCTGGAGCTGTTGACATCGACAGCACAATCGGCGATGACGCTCCTCGATTTCTACCTGAACGCGCTCGAAGACGGGTCGGCGGCACATGAAAGTTTGACTGTGGCGTCGCTCGCACTACTGTACAACCACTCCATCGTCCTCAAGAACCCGTCGCCTCCTGCACTGCTACGAGAGCGCGCGGAACGCGCCATCGAGGAGTACCCGGGCAACACGGCGGTATTGGGCGTCTTCCTTGAAGCAGAGAAAGGGCAGGGTATCTGGGGACGAGTGCGCGCTACGCTAGGAGAGACAGCGGCGGACGGGACCGGGAAGGAGAAGGACCTCGCAAGGCGAGTTGCGGAGGTCTGGGTGGCGGGCTGGGAGAAGGGACGTTGGGAAGCGGAAATTGAGCGCACCCGAGGCGGGCTGTCTGCCGCTGCAGAGGATGAGAGGTGAGTGTGTGCGAGCGCTGTGGGAGAGGCACAGCATGCTGACACGTCGGACTGCTCAGGACGCGGGGGAGCGCGATTTTATGGAAGCTGTTCGTCGCGTTTGAACTACGTGCGGGGCAGCCGGAGCGGGCGAAGAAGGTTCTATTTCGCGCGGTGGGAGAATGTCCGCTGGTAAAAGGTGCGTAATGGACATCCGAAGCCCTCTCCGATACATGCATCACCGTGTTTACGATCTCGGACGATAGAACTGTACCTGCTCGCATTCGGGCCGTTGCGAGCAGCCTTTAGCGCGCGAGAGCTGGATGGGTGGGCGGACACGATGGCGGAGCGGGGAGTGCGGATGCGAGTTGGGCTGGACGAGGCTGTGGGGGAATGGAGGGAGAATGGGGGCGATGTGCGGAGAATTAATGAAGAGGGCGGGGAGGACGAGGACGACGAGATCGAGTCGAGCGCCCGGGAGCTGCGGCGGCTCATGCCGTACTAATGTAATAGGCGCCGGTTGGGTGCTGTATTATTGCGTGTTTGTACAAGGTGTTTGTGCGCCTGGGCCTGATGGCGACCACGAGTGCACGGGCTACTCATCGCTGTTTGCACACTCCCACCGCGTCCCCCGCGCCCTCCCGCTTTTTTCACCCAACCCTCCCGGCACCCGTCTTCAGCCCGGCCTGCAAAGACTGCATCGCCTAGCCTCGCCTTTCTCTCGCCCCGCCTTTTCTGCTGCCCGCCACACATGCTCGGCCAATAAGTCTCTCCGCTCTTTCCCATCTCCTCAACCCTACCGACAGCCCCACCCTAATCTCTGCCCCCCTACTGGCGTAATATTGTGCACTACCTACCCTATTGTCCTCCACCATGACTACTATCCCGGCACCCACAATCGTCCTCCCCAAGGAGGAGTGGGCAGACGCCGACTTCGACTTCCCTGACGGCGACCCCATCCACGCTTCCGACGCAGAGTCCGACAAGGACGACGATGAAGACTGGGACATGGAGATGGATCTAGGCAAGACTGGCGGTGCTAAGGCTCAGCTCGTCCTCCAGGGCATCGCTGCAAGGTCAGGCTCCACCCAGCCCACTCCCCACATGTTCACCATCCGCCCTCCGCTCCCACAATCATCTGCCGACGAAGAGGACGACGAAGGCGTGTCCACTATCAAGGTCGCCGCTCTTCCGAAGCCTCTCGCAGCTGCCAAGCCCCCTCCAAGCCCTATCGACGAGGACTTTGAAGATGGCTTTGCGCTCCCCTCCGACCTCACTACCCTCTCCCTCCGGCCCTTATCCCTCGCACATCGCACGTCCAAGTCATCACTTGAATGGGGTGACAAGGACCAGACCTCCTCGTCGCAATCCTCCGACGCCTACTCCACTCTTGGATTCGCTGATAACTCTCCATCATCCAATTACACATCAGCGTCTCTCCCAGAGACGGAGACGGAGGAGGACGAAGATGAGGAGGATATCCTTGAGGGTCTCGATGTTCCGACGGGTCTCTTCGAGTCAGGACATGGCGCGAAGAAGCTGGGCAAGATCCTCGAGCTGAAGAAGAGGACCGCCTTCGACGACGATCGCGTGAAGGTCGTCAGTCCCGATCCTGAAGACGACTTCGAAATCGGCCTAGTGATCGACAACGAGACCGAACTCAGCCCAAGTCGGCTCCTTCAGAATGCCCAGTCCGTCCTGCGTCCCACCGCCTCTTCTCGGAGCAAGAGCGCCCCACCTCGGCCTCCTACCGCCCTGCGCCCACCATCGCGGGTGAAGGGCGACCGAGCCAAGTCTCCAAACAACCCTCCCGTCTCCTCTATGTCGCAGCTTCGCCGGATAACGTCGCCCATCACACCTCCTTCCCCGCCCTCCTCCAATAGGCCTGCACAGCCCGTACGCTCACAGACATATAGTCAAGCTGTCGCGTCCCCCTCCACTATGACTTTCCTGGCACCTAAACCGGGGAGCTTGCGGGTCCAGAAGTCGCACTCAGTTCTCAAGCCGCCGTCGCCACCTCAGTCGCGCAGGCTAGGGCGGAAGGCGTCCCTCCCGTCGTTATCAGAATCCAGTCAGTCCCAAGCGTCAGGCTCAGGGGTGGATTCTGCGACGGGGAACGGCTTCCCCCTCGCTCGCTACGAGACACCGACGGCGTCGTCAAGAGCGAAAACGGCGCACACTAGCTCCACTACCAGTCGAATGCAAGGCTTGGAGTTCACCGTGCCCCCCACACGCCCGTCGACACCTTCGGCGAATCCAGCGGCCCTCAGACTGACGATGCCAACATCATCGTCACGGATGAAATCCCGCGCCCCCATCTCCAATGTCTTCCCGACTTCAGCAGCGCCCGCTGTACCACTGTTGGCCCGCCCACCGTCATCGGCGCGCTCAACATCACCATTACCCCCACGGCCTCCCTCTGCGACATCGATCAAGTCGGTGAAGTCCCGACACGGCCAGAGCTCGAGCCTACCTATCACAAGTGCGCCAAAGGTGCTGAAGAAGCCCAAACGACAGCGCACGTATGGGGATGGCACAGAGCTCGACGCCTTCGAGGACCTCCCGACGGACCGTGAGCAAGAAGGCAAATATCGAGTGCAGCCAAAAGGATACGGAAACCGTGTCCCCGGCGCCTCGTATCCCAAGCCCTCGTCCCCGGCCGATGCCAGCGCGACAGGAACTATTCGCCGAAGAGCGAAAACGCGGGAGTTCTCAGGAAGCGGACCTGGTGAGTGGCCTTAGCTCAATTGTAACAATAAGCGCTGTGCTTGACGCCCTTTCGCCCCTATCAGAGTCCTCAAAAGCCGCGTCTCTAGTTCCGTCCAAGACGCTGAAACGCACAAACCGGATCGAGTTCCCCTCTAAACCGCCGCCCGAGCCGAGCAAAGCGGAGCGCGATCGCGGGAATACCGCAAATGCAGAGGCTAGTGCAAAGCGGAAGAAGTTGGCCTCCCCCGGGCAGACGAGGCGCAAACCAACACTCATCCGCAACCTGGGTGGCGCAGGCCCAGCGAAAGGTCAGTGTTCGATGCGCATGCGCTTTCGCTTCTTTGCCACAACTGGACGCGCTGACACTCGGCGCCCTGCAGTTGTCGGCGAGATGAAGTGGAATCCGCACACACTCCGCTGGGAGGGCAACGACCAGGCTCTCCGCGACTTCGACGCTGCCTCCGGCACCTCAACACGCCCCGCACTAATCACCCATCTCACCGGCTCTTCTATTGGCTCGCCGGTGGGCTCCTTTGCCTCGGGCGCCCGTGTGGTCGGCAACATGATCTTCGACCCGCAACGCATGTGTTGGATCTCGACCCTCCACCCAGACGAGGAGGAGCCAGATGTGTTCGCGGATCTCGCTGACGACGAGGACGATGACGATTGGGAGGCGCGTGCGGCCACTATCCGCGCCAGCCAACAACTGCAGGGCGGCGCCGCCACCGCCCCCTCCGACCAGTCGTCGAACACGTCGGCATCGCGCGTCGAAGCGCCAAGCCCCGCGCGCAGCCACACACGAAGCATGTCCGAGAGCGAAAGCGACCGCTGCTCGCGTGCTTCCATGGTGTGCGACGTCGACGACTCATTCGTCGAGAAGTGCCGCGCCGCGGAGGAGCGCCACCGGGCGGAGCTCAAGGGCTGGCTCGCTGTCGGCAACGACGTCTTCGCGTCTGCAGACCGCTCGTATCTCTACGAGATCCGCGCGCTCGCCACGCGACAATACTAGCCACATCCCTCGCCCTCCCCTCACCCACCCCCCATCCTGATCCCACCCCTCTCCGCCTTTGTACATTCGCACATATCGCAGAGGTGTACAGGACAATTCCTCGCCCGCAGCATCGCTATGCAACCCGCCTCTCCTCACATGACGACTTGTAATGATCTCTCCCTTCTTTTCGCTTTGTCCATAGGCTCCGCCCGCCTCTCTCGCCTCTTCTCGTCCCGGTTTGCACCTTTTCTGCACTGTTCGATATTGACACCGGCCCCATCCGCATCCCCCCTACCCGCTACCCTCTATCGCCCCTCTTCCCGTTCGCTGTGCATACTTTGCTCCCGTTATCGCTCGCGCCTCTTGATTTGCCGCCTCCGTTGCTGCCGCCTCTCGTTAAAGTACAGTCCCCGTTTTCTCTCAATCTCTCCTCTCTCGATGTGTATGACGCAAAACAATCCATGAATATACATCTATGTTTCCATCTCACACTCTAGTTTGACAAGTTTCCCTTGCGAGGGATGTCCACGCAGCGCTCACGCAGTTCATGGTAAGTTAGGCCGCAGACAAGTATTTGTCATTCGACGAATATACTACCAGCTATCGGGCTGTGCTGTCTGCTACGATACGTATACTAACGGGAAGACTCGGATGAAGACGGAAAACGCCATGGAAACAGTAATAGAGGCACGAGGCGCGGGAACGAGACGACGGGAGACGGAGGTCACTAATACATAGTTCGGGGACGGTACTACTGCTTCACAATACGGAGTCCGGAGGGGTAGATAGAACTCGAGGACGACGCGCGCAGTCCTACAGAGCGGGGGAGCGCGGGCGGGGTTGTCGAAGCCAAGGCGAGTTAGTCAATGGGATAAATAGAGGGGATTCAAGGTGAACGAAGATATACTCGGGGGGAGCGGTAATCAGGAGAAGGAATAGGGCAATCAGGAAGGGGGGAAGGCAAGAAATACGGGGACATCTATAGTAGGTGGTGTTACATAGGAAGGAAACCGCAAGAGAGCGGCTGCATAGCGCGGGCCTCGAGACGGGGACGCCCTCGCCTGCGCGGGGGCCCCGCCTCCAATGGTGATTGCGGCGTCGCTGGTCGCGCCGGAGGCGTGCGTGGGGGATTCAAGAGACGAGGTGCGAGATAACGAGAACGAGGCGAGGACAGGACGGGTGTTGACATAGCGATACGACGACCAAACAGCACAACGGGACGACTGGATCTTCATGGACAGCGACAGCGAGAAACGACGAGCAGCGAAGCATAGTGGGAGCTGGGGATGCGAAAGCGTGTCGGCAGCGGGTGGGAGATCTACGGGCGATGATGCTATAGGATCGGGGGGAAGGGTGGTACGCGGGATGGTGACCTGAAGGCAGCCGACGACGTTCAGTCGCGTCCGCTGATGGTCTTGCGGCGTTTCTTAGGCTGAGCCTCCTCCATCTCGCAATCACCGTCCAGACTGTAAAGGAACTCGTTCCTCGAAGTCTTCCGGCCGATCTTGAACGGGCTCCCCATAGCATCCACCGCGACCTCGCCTTCGTGCGTGTGGCTTGTCCGACGACGCGAAGGTTTCTCCTGGCGGCCGAGGATCTTGTCCATGAGACCAGCCGTGGCGGTCGTCGACGCTTTGTGAGAGCTGGAGCTCCCGCTGGCGCTGCGCTGCCGACCGTGCGAGCCGAAGCGGAACGGAGAGCTGTCGCGACGAGCACTAGCAGTGCTGCCGGAGCTCACCGGGGCTCTATCGCTCCCACTGCTGCTCGGCGCCGAGCTCGTGCTAGAGTTGAGGCTGCTGGCCTCGATACTGCTCGAGCTTTCTCCACGGCGATGGAACTGCTCCTGAACGCGTACGGGTGTTCCGAGCCCGAGGCTGGCCATGTCTGTCTTACGTATAAGGCTCACGGGGTCCTCGACGTGCTCCATGTCTACATCTTCGTCGTCCTCAGGGAAGACGCGCCAGCGGAGCTTCGACATAGAGGATAGCGAACCCCGCGCATGGCCGAAAGACGGGGTGGGAGAACCAAGGCAATCCGAGATACCAGGGGGACCTTCAAGCTTCTTGCGAGTGACTGGGCTGTCGCTCTCGCTGCTCGACGGCGGGTGCGCGGGCGAGGACTCGCCGGCCACATTGGGAGCAGGTGAAAAATGGACATACGCCTGGAACGGATCTTCCACTTCACCACCAGGAGTCGGTAGACTCGCATCCAGCGAGAAGCCTGAGGGTTTCGTAGGAGTGTGCCCAGTCATATGATCCTTCAAGGGCGACGGCCACGCGAAGTGCCCCATTCGAGACATGATGGATGGTGTCTTATCCGGCCTGTCCACGTCCGCGAAAAGCCTCCTAGGAGACGGGAAAAGCATATCGGGCTCCACGTCGCCGTGCAAGTCCAGTAGGGTGAGCCTGCGCTCGGGAGTTTGCTGGGTCGGAGGGCTGAATATACTCCTCTTCTTGCGTTCGCTAGCTGGAACGATGACGATGGGACTGACGTCCAGACCACGCACGTTAGGGCTCGCCTCTCCGCGTACCAACATGCCTAGAGTAAGCTGCCGGACGGCTTGACTCATGGCTGCGCCCGACGTCCTCCAAGGCTGATCGGAAGGCAGACGAGCAGGGGAGTGGCGGAACGCTGGAGTCCGCGTTGGATCGTATGGACTCTCAGGGGGAATAGCCAGCTTGCTCCCAAAAGACTTGCTAGGCGAAAGGCCTGGGGTCTGTGGTGGGGTAGCCCGGAAGAAGAATGCATCGTCTGCGCTGTTCAAGAGGGACTTGTGTTGCCAGCTTTGGAAAAAATTGTCGTCGAAACCATCGGTGGGATCCGTGCGAGCGAGGGCTCCATATAGCTCCTGCGTGAGCGCTGGCTCGCCGAGCGAAGGCGCATCTGCGAGCAGCGGCGAAGCAGGGCTCGGAGGTTCCTGAGGTTCGTGGATACGGGATGGGCCCGCGGTTGGCCCTTGAGTAGACCCCCGGGCTGAGGTGAGCTCCAAAGAAACCGTCCGACGGATAGATTTGTCTCCCGCCTGACTGGTGTTCTTCTCGGTTTCACTCCCCTTGGACGACAGCTTGTTTTCCTCTACGAACATCGCGAGACCATCAGGAGAATGAAGATACAAAAATGAGTTTTCACGCACTATTGGAACTACGACCCCCTCGGCCACCGACCTTTTCCCCGGTTTCGCGACGATTCGCCATGGGGACCTTATGTTTCTCGTAAACATGGCGCCTCCACATGCTCTTCGCGTTTACCCCTGCGTACGTGCGGCGACAGAACGTGCAGCGGAGACGAGGTTCCTCCCCTTCCTTCCAACCGTCCTTGACATCCTTTTTCTTGGCCGGGCACCAGCCCCTGGGCGGCTCCAGCTGAGTGGGGTACGCAACCGAGTTCGGACCGATGAAGTCCTTGACGTCGAGGAACCACTCCGCATTGTTGGCCAGGATTGGGTACGTCAGACCACCCTTGTAGTTCTCCGAGCCAGGGAAATCAGTGAAGGGAGGACGTATGAAGGTTGTACCCGCTTCTCCAGGGACAGGGTCAAGATTGAGCGTGCCATTATTGGGTAGAGAATTGGCTCGGGCAAGTTGGCTCGGACGAGCTGATGCCGACGTGGTGGCGGATCCCTGGGGATGTAGATGAGAGTTGGCGGGGTTGAAGGTGAGGGTCGGTGCGGGAGCTAGGACCCCCGTGAAGGGGGGAATCGTGTGGCTTTGCATATGGCGTACGCTGGCGTTTTGCGCAAGGTAGGTTGTACTGCTAGACGAGAGTCGTTGTTTGGGGGTCGGCGGTGTATCGAGAAAGGCTTTGCAGGCGGCAGGAAGTGTGATGTGGCTGCCACGAAAAGACGATAAGCGACGACGGTCCACTGAGAGTGTTGTGTCGAGAAGAACTGACCCGCCGAGGCAGCTGGTAGGGAGGAAAGGGCAGCGAGGCGGGGAGGAGAGGAGGGAGGGGGGGAGGAGATGATGGCAGAGAGGAAGATCGGAGTGGGGGATTGAGAGAGAGGGCGGGAGTGATTGGGCGAGGCCACGCTCCTAAGCGAACATGGCCATCAATCCTGCCCTTATTGGGACACAACGCGACTGGCGCGTCCATCACGTGACCGAGTTCTTCGCGTCCTTTCGCACGCGCGTCTCCCATTGTCCCACGCACAAATGCACATCCCCTCCATTGTGTACGCTACAAGCCCCAAGCAGGCCGTCCATAGTACATCCCTTATGACTCCTCTACGCTCCCATCGCTCTCCGTAAGTACGTGGCCCAGAGCGAACAGCCCAGCGGGCAAGGATTGTTGTTGACAACGAGGCCGATGATGTCACCCGGGCCTCCGGATCTCCCGACTCTCCCCTGGCCTCCCCTGGGCTCTGCCTCCTGTCCCCTCTCAGAGCGCGAGGGCTATGTAGCTAGGCACACGTTAGCACCACAGGACTTTCATTCTACCCGCCATGCACGCAGTCACTCACCCAGCAATCATGATCGACCCTCCGAGCGGCGTGGTAGGTCCCAGCCATCTCAGCCTAGCCCGACCCGCTCCGGTCAGCTCGCAGCTCTCCGTTCTAGGGCCGCACCAACGAGCTTCACTCACCGATCCGACTGAGCCAGCACCAGCGTCATGATGCTTCCGGAGAAGACAATGCTACCGACAGCAATGGCAGGGCCGGCGAAACGGTGCACAGCGAACCGCGGGTGCAGCGAAACCAGCAAAAGCGCGAGCCCGTTGTAAATCTGTTAAGTACACAAGCTCAGGCTCGTTCAATTCCGCAGGTTTCCTACCAAAAATCGGGTCCGGAGCGGATGTCGGAGCCTGCGAAATGCAATGGAGGCAGCTTACCGCGTAATTTGAAGCCGTCTGCCATGCATGCAGCTTCTCAGGCGTCACACCAGCCCTCTTCTGCAGACCATGCGAGCCAAATGCACCGGCTACGATCCCCGCAGCAGCTTACAGAGATGGTTTGTGTCAGTTGAGGTCCCTTCCACACCGGACTGCGACCGGCTTGTCACCTAGAACGGCTCCGGTCCTCCAAAGCAGGCTGGAACCTGGGAAAGCATTCAGGGCTCGAGGAAGCAGAGGAGTGGATGCAGACGGACGCGACATAGCTAGAAAACGTCGAAAGAGTATGCGGGTGAGGAGGAGCTCAAAGTGAGTTGCAGAGAGGCGGGTACAACTCGGAGTACTTGTGCGGTTCCCACTGTACCGTGGCGGCTATACGCGTAGGCTCGGCGACGGCATCCCGCCGAACCCGGGGCGGGCCAGAGCGGGCCGTAAGTACATATACAATGTCTCTTGGGCGGCGCCGTCGTTGTGTAGGGTTGCGTTGCACATATTATATCCAATGTCTGGGTCCCGCCATCAGGTTGTGCTCTCAGTACATACTCTCAAAGAAGATAACAGCTGTGTTGCGAGAGAGCTCAGAGGACGACTCGGAGATGCAGTTACAGCAAATAAAGCATTTATTACTCAGTCTGAAGGTCGCCCCTCCGAACCGACGTCATCTTGACGCGATGTTTATACCTTTCAGTAGATACGAGTGGAATTTCGCTGAGTACGACGTCGTAGCAGCCGAGGTCAATCTACCTCTCGAAATCTGCGTAGATATGAGTGAGGATTGATGCTCCGGGCCTGACAAGTGATCTCGCTAAGGGGTATGCACTAACAAATGCTATAATCCTGACTGAGGTAAAATTAGGGTCTCATTCTGAACACATAATTAAGTTCTGTGTACCTAGAGAGCGATTATGGGGTGAATAATCGAAGTTATAGGAATCACAAGGGGAATGACATGCCATTCGGTTGATGAGGATGAATGTGCATTCCCAACATGATGGTGTCCCGAAGTGTTAGCTGACTCAGTCAAGTAGGGCCGCTGTGATTGCATCCGCGAGCATAAGCGCTCGGCGTTGAGTAGTGAAATCCGGATCCGGCATTTCACCCACGTGGTCGGAGATCAGGGATTTTTCGTGAGCGCCCGTGTATGCTTTGGAGGAGCGCTCGTTTGGCGGTCGCTCAGCCCTTCGAGGACTCCTTCCTCCCCCCATCCCTCCCTCCACCACCCACGTTTTACCGCCATGGGAAAGGCCCAAAAGAAGACCGGAAAGGGTCGTCTGGACAAGTACTACAAGCTCGCAAAGTACGGCCGTATGCTCTACCTGTGCAGGCCGATCGCTAAACGGCATTTATAGAGAGCAGGGCTACCGTGCCCGTTCAGCCTTCAAGCTGATCCAGCTGAACAAGAAGTACTCCTTCCTCGAGTCCGCACGATGCTGTATCGATCTTTGTGCCGCCCCGGGTGGTTGGCTGCAAGTCGCGAGCAAGTACATGCCCACGAACAGTGTCATCGTCGGTACGCCCTGCCCTGTCCTCCCTCCTTTCGCCTGATGCGAGCCCCGGTCCCTAGGTGTCGATTTGGTGCCCATTAGGGCCATCCCCCGTGTCGTCACATTCGCCTCGGACATCACGACACAGCAGTGCCGCAACCAGCTCCGCAATGAGCTCAAGGACTGGAAGGCGGACGTCGTGCTGCACGACGGTGCGCCGAACGTCGGTACGGCGTGGGTGCAGGACGCCTACAGCCAGTCCGAGCTCGTGCTCATGAGTATGAAGCTCGCGGCCGAGTTCCTCATCAAGGGCGGCACCTTCGTGACGAAGGTCTTCCGCTCGGCCGACTACAACAACCTCATCTGGGTGTTCAACCAGCTCTTCGGGAAGGTCGAGGCGACGAAGCCGCCCTCATCGCGTAACGTCTCCGCGGAGATCTTCGTCGTGTGCCGCGACTTCCTCGCGCCGAAGCACATCGACCCCAAGTTCTTCGACCCGAGGCACGTCTTCAAAGAGCTGTCGATGTCGGTGCCTGCGGACGAGCAGAGTCTTGCCGCGCAGAAGAGCGCGCAGGTGAACGTCTTCCAGCCCGAGAAGAAGCGTCGCCAGCGTTCTGGTTACGAGGAGGGCGACTACACTTTGTACAAGGAGGCCGGAGCCGCGGAGTTCCTCAGGGGTCCCGACGCCGTCACGTTCCTCGGAACGTACAACAAGATCACTTTCACGACCGACGAGGAGAAGGAGTGGTTGAACCTGGACATTACGACTCCAGACGTAAAGGCGAACTGCGATGACCTGAAGGTTTTGGGCAAGGGTGATTTCAAGGCGCTGCTCAAGTGGCGGACAGCCATTCGAGAAGAGGTACGTTCGTCTAAATATTACGTTTACGACTTACGATGCTGAACGTGCGCTAGATTGGTCTCGAGAACAAGTCCAAGGACACCGAAGAGCTTACTGAGATCGTAGAGGTCACAGAAGAGGTCGACGAGGAAGAGCAAATTCAGCAGGAGGTAAGCACGCATATTAAGTGCAGTAACACGTCTCCCACTAACACTTCTCTCAGCTCGAGCGATTGAACGCGGAGGCATCAGCCCGTACAAAGCGCGAGCGTCGCCGCGCAAACGAGGTCAAGACGCGCACCATCCAGCGGATGCAGCTGCGCATGGTCGCCCCCATGGACATCGGTATGGAGCAGAACGACGACGCGCTCCGCGGCCAGGACGACATCTTCGAGCTCGATGACGCCGAGAAGGCCCTCCGCGGGAAGCGCTCCGGGGCCGGCTACGACGATGACTCCGAAGACGACTCCGAGGAGGAAGCCGAGGAGGACAACGAAGTGCTGGACGAGGATGAGGAGCGCGAGCGCAAGGTCGCAGGACTGGAGGCGGAGCTGGACGGGCTGTACGACGCGTACCAGGAGCACTTGCGGGAGCGGGACGCGAAGTGGAAGGTGAACGAGGCGCGGCGGAAAAGCAAGGCGCACGAAGAGTGGAACGGCATTGGGAAGGGGGGCGATGATCCAGAGAGCGACAAGGAGGAGGGTGGGTACGAGCGGATCCAGCGGAAGAAGGCGCGTCTTGGCGAGGACTCGAGTGACGAGGAGATGAGCGACGAGGAGAGCGACGAGGAGGAGGCAGAGGAGGAGCCTGCTGCTGGGAAGAAGAGGCGCGCGGACGGTCCTGCGGATTCTGGTGCGAAAGCGAAGAAGGCGCGGGTTATCACGAAGGTGCAGGAGCCCAAGGTCACTGCGCCCCTCAGCCGATCTGCCGAACTCTGGTTCAAGCAGGGTCTCTTTGCTGACGTCGACGCCGAGATCGAGGACGATGACGAAGAGGAAGAAGAGGTTGAGGAGGAAGAGGAGGAGGAAGAGATCGACGAGGCTATGAGTGGAGTTGAGGATGAAGTATGTGATTACTCATGTCCCAATATTGCTCTGCTGATCTTGGTGTGTCTACTAGGCTGCATCAAACGACGAAGACGACTACAACGACTTCGAAATTGTACCTCAAGACGCCAGCGACGACGACATGGACATGTGGGACGTCGAAGGCGAGGACGAGGATGAAATCAAGCAGGCGAAGATCCGAAGTGAGTTCACCTACATATTTATTCCTGTCGCCCTCATCTAGCAATACTAACACTACTTCGCAGAACACGGCCTCACCACCGCAGAAGCGATGACACTCGCCACGCAGCTCGTGAACCGCGAAAAGACACGCACCGAGCTCGTCAACTCCGGCTTCAACCGGTACTCGCTCAACTCCAAAGACGACCTCCCGCCCTGGTTCCTCGACGACGAGGAAAAGCACTACAAGTCGAACATCCCCATCACCAAGGAGGCCGTCGACGCGCTCCGCGCCAAGATGCGCGCCTTGGACGCGCGGCCGATCAAGAAGGTCGCGGAGGCAAAGGCCCGCAAGAAATTCAAGGCCGCGCAGCGGCTCGAGAAGACGCTCAAGAAGGCGGAGGGCGTGAACGAGACGACGGACCTGACGGAGCGCGAGAAGGCGAAGCAGATCGAGAAGCTGCTCGCGAAGGGCGCGAAGACGAAGCTCAAGAAGGACATCAAGGTCGTCGTGGCCAAGGGTGCGAACCGCGGCCAGAAGGGACGGCCGACGGGTGTCAAGGGCCGCTACCTTATGGTGGATTCAAGGATGAAGAAAGAGGTGTGCCTTTTGTCTAGCTGTGGATACGTTGTGCTCAAGGGACCTCACAGCTCCGGGCGAAGAAACGGAAAGAGAAGGCCACCAAGAAGCGCAAGCGTACATAGGCTTCTGGCTGCCCTCCCTTCGCCTCGTTCTTGTTCTTCCCAGACTGTCATATATGCCGGCTGCACATCACACCCTGTACCTCTTCCCAGTAGCATGATCGATTATATTGCAGCATTACTAGTGTATACGTCCGTGCTCTATAGTATGTCGTGGTCATCCATCTGGGGATCGTTCCACTGCTGCGTGTCCTGCAGCGCGGAGTACACCTTCGGCGGCGGTTCGCGCAGAAGCGACAGCCTATCGCAATCTCGGAGGAATTGCGTCCACGCTTCTTCCGACGACGCATCCGGGCAAGTGACCTAGGTAGGGCGCTCCCGTCAGCACTGGCAGCGTGTTTAGCGGTGGCAAAGCAAAGGCATACCTCGCAATGCATCGACTTCTGGCTCGTCTCGAGGTCCAGCGTGCTCTCGCAAATCGCCCGCGTCGGCGTCACGTCCTCCAGAGCAGGATTAAAGTCGGCGGACGTCGGCTGCACGTCATCGCCCACGAGCTCCTCGCTCTGCCTCACGCTCGTGTTCGAATGCAAGATGTATCTCTCCCCCGCACTCTCAATCAGCAGCGGCGGGGTCGGATACTCCGCGTCCAGGTCCGCACCACGCAAACTGAGCGCCCGGAAGGGAGAGGAGGAGATTAGCCGCGCAAAAGACAAGATGGCGCGAAAACACGCACTAAGCACGCAATTGCGTGACATACTGCTGCAGCTCCGCCGGCTGCCGCGCCTCCGCAAGCTCGGTCGCGCTGCGAACGGTGAACTGGAGATCCATCGGGCTGAAGAGGCGTGAATTTCGATATCGGTCACTCAACGCGCGAGGCACCCGAGACGGACGTACCGGTTGGGCATCATAAGGTTGAGATCGGCTTCCACGCCAGTCCAGCAGTGGACCCCGGCGGTGTTGAGGACCGGGATCTGGGCCACCCGCGGCAGCGCTGGGTACGCCGATAGCGGCTCAAGTCCCTCGTTCATGTCGAGTGTTGAGAGGCCCTCTTCAAGGTCGCGCTCGAGCATCGTGCCGCGCGGTTCTTGAGGGGCGGCGGGAGGCTTTGTGAGCGTAACCTCGAGCGAGATAACCTTTCTGCGCCGCACTGGCAAGGGGGAATTGGCCGAAGATTCTTTTGAACCGCTATCGGCCCCGCTATCCAGGGCATGGTACACCAGACGGTGCTTCGTGCTCTGATTGAGAGGAGACACGTCCAGCAGGGGTAGAGGGAGGCTATGTACCGAATCGTGAGCAGCCAAGCGCAGCGCGGCAATCGAGATAGTGACTAACTCGGGCACAAACGTCATCTTGACAGGATTTTGCGCAATCCACTTGCGTACCTTACCGAAGGGATGTGCCCCCGTCAGTGGCGGTACCAACGTCGCGCGCTGTTCCCCGGAATGGCGGGTGAGTAGCATGTGGCCCATGCTGGAAGCAGCCAAGCGTCAACAAGTGGACCCACATAATGCCACACGCGAACACTCACGATGCTTTTACGACGATAGGAGGCTGACCGGGTTGCCCTGCGTTGGGCAGACCACGGAGTAGTGCAGTCTTGAGGTTGCCGTTTTCTCTGAAAACGACTAGATTTTAGTAACATGTCAACCACAACTGAAAATGTGACATACTCTGAGCCGATGAGGATATGGCCTTTTCCCCCTTGGAGGCCCCCAGTATGTTCAATACGCTCCCGGAAGTCGGCAGCAAGCCACTGCGCGGCGCGACGTAAGCGAAATGTGCCGCTAGTGTTCATGGTGAAGGGTAATGGGCGCGGGGACAGGTAGGGGAACAACGCATAGTCATGCGGGAACATCACCAGCTGCTCCACCTGCGTGGTAGCTGCACCGGGTGGAATATAGGTCAGGATCGGGGTATGCAAGCTCTCCTCAATCTATAATAGAAACATTAGAAGTCGACAACAGCGTGCGTACACCACACAAACCTCGTATACTGCGCGACTTGCGAGTCGCTTCGCAGATGATAGACCTTCTTCGCCTTTGGCAACGATTTTCAACTGCGTGATTATGTGAGTGGATAGCTAAATATTAAAGCAACGAGCACAGTACCTTTCCAGGCGTTGAAGGAACGTTCTCGAGGTATGCGGAAGCAAGGCGAGATATGCGCTGCACCATGTCCTGCGGAATAGCCACGGAGAATGGTAGATCATATGTTTCTTCCACAAAGCTCTGCACAGAAATGTAAACATTGACACAACTAAAAGTACTCAGTACAGCATACCTTCTTGAGAATGAGGAGGCGCTCCGCTATATCCCTAAGAGCACCTCGGCTCCCTTCCACTTGCAAAGCCATAGGTTCGCGGCGTAATGAGATATGGACGTCAAAATCCTTGGAAAGACGTAGCAGGTCCGACCCGTCTAATGATGCGTCAGCACGAGTAATGTCTTCACGTATGTCCCTATGACGCACCGGGACCCAAAAACAAGAACAAGTCGCTTGCGGTGACCGGGAACGCTGTAACACAGAAGTTGCACTGAGTTGAGGGTAGTAGAACGAACGAGCATGTACCACGCACCCTGGATGGAAACTTCTGTTCGATCCCGCTTGGCCTTTTCCAACTCCTTGAGCGTAGGCCATCCCCACAGCTGCTCGACGATAGACTCCGCGTATTCGACCTTCTTCCTGTGCTTTCCACTATGGCGACTCGCACCTAGCGTTTCTGCAAGGAACTTGCGCAGCTGCTCCTTGGTGAACGACCGACTCAGGTTGTTGATGAGAGTCGTGTACGTCTCGACGTATTGCGGGGAGTGCGGGGAGGGCTGGTGGAGAGGGCGACAGCGCTCGAGGTCTTCCCGGGTAGGCTCGAGTCCGCTCGCGTTTATGGAGGCGAGATAGGACTGCACGCGCGTGAAGTCCGAGGTCTTCTGCGTACCCTTCAAGGGAGGCTGGGTCGTGTTCGTGTCGGCAGCAGTGGACGCGGGCTGGCGAGAGCTGGGGCCAGCAACCTGTGCACCGTCATCTCTCTCTTCTGGGTCGAGACGCGGTCCGGCTTGTGCGGAAAGGGCAGAGTACCGGCGAGGACGAGAGGCAAGGCGGCGTGTCGCAGTGAGCGACTGAGAGAGCCTGGGGTGGCGGAGGAGTGCAAGTGACATCAGCGGCCTGCACAAGTCCTCTGCACTCGCCTCAGCCACAGCACGTCCGCCAACTTTTCTGTACGCTAAGGTTAGGGTTCCCGTTCTTGCTTGCGGGCGTCTAATGCTTCGGAGCTATAAGCGCCAACCCTCTCGATTCACACTACTGAACTATATGGCCGAAACATACATGAAGCACACTCGCTCGTCGTCGTAAGGGATCGTAAGTCGTAGCCACGCAAGCAAGGGGAACCAACCTAGACCTTCTTCTCGATCGTACCGCTGTCGCTCGACACATCGTCCTCAACCTCCTCGGAGTCGTCCCCGACCTCGCCCTCCCAACCGTTGTCCGCGAGGTACTGCAAGAACTTCTCGTCCTCGTCTGCGAGGTCGACCCCAGTCATGTCCGGCACGAAAAAGTACGTGACCAGGATGCCGGTCACGCCGCATATCGCCGCGATGATGAACGTCCACCTGCCGCCGCACACCGCCCGTCAGCTATGCGCGCCGCCCACATGCCAGCCCGCCAACTCACTTTTTGCCCAGGTTGGTCTGGATGGGCGTGAACGCCTGGGTCCCGATCGCTGCGCCCGTCTTTCCGATCGCCGCAGACAGCCCGTAGCACGTCCCCCTTCGCGGGATGTCAGTCGCGACGTCATTTACGCTACAGCTCCGCCCAGACGGCTTCTGCGCACCTTACGGGGGTAGCGAACGACCTGTATTCATAGCAAGGTTAGCACATCTTCTCGCTGCGCGCACTAAGAATAAAGGCACTCACTCGGCGCTCACCAGTCCGAGCATGTCGCCGGGGCCCTAGACCGCACTGCTCAGCATCCGGTGTTCAAGGCTGACGGGACGAATTCCGAATTACCAGGTTGCCGAATGACTGCATCAAACCGTAGCTGCGTTTCTGCGGTGAGCTCACGTTGAACACCGGCGAAGCTCGCGGGTGCACTCACAAGATCACGAAGAGGGGGATGATATGCGTGATTTTGTCGTACGCGAGGCCAATGATCAGCCCTGCAGGGAGTCAGCATTTCAAACCGCTCCACCACAGCAGCCGAAATTGAGCCCACCGAAGACGAGGTACCCGCTAAAGCCCAGGATCATCTGTGTGGAAGCTGCGTCGGCCGTGGAAAATAGAACACCGCAGGTTCGTTACGTACGGTATTCCGCCGGCCCAGGGGGTTACACAGGAGCGCACCGACGAAGACGCCTGGCCACCGGTGTCTTGTGAGCTAATTAAATGAATTCCGAATTCGCGTGCAGCGCGTACCGGGAAGCGCAATCGCGCCCAGGAGCAGCTGCCACTCCGCGGTTGCCTTGATATCCGCGTTTTTGATCACGCTAGAGATGATAGTGCCCGAGAAGACACCGTTCGGGAAGGTGACCTGGACAGGGCGTGAGCGGGTGTGCGCTGGAGCGGGGCTAGGTGCGTCTCACAAAGTCGTAGAGGAACCTGGCCACCGCAGTCAGCGTAGAGTTCGACCGGTTCTTTTCCGAGTAACTCACCAGGCTCCGCAGGTGCCAATCAGCGTCCGCCAGTAGCGTTTGAGCACGAGCCAGTACGGCACCCGTCCTGTACGCACTCAGTATGAAGCACTAGAAATCGGGGAGGTGCACTTACGCTTGATCGCGCCTTGCCGGAACCTGATCTCGCAGTTAAACTCGGGATCGGGCACGTAAGAAACCATGGGGACAGGACGCACAGTACGGTGGTCATCATGCGCATCCGGAAGAAGAAGACCGTGACTGGGAGGAGGATGCCTATCCCGAAGCACACCCGCCACACCGTCGGCAGGTGGTCTTCGCCGGCGGCGGATAGCACGATGAGAAACACGGCGACAGCCAAGGGTCCTCCGAACTGGGCGGTCCGTTCAGTGCACGGACCGAACAAAAATACCGTATACACCCACGCTCAGCACGAAGTTCGTCACCATTATGAACACTGCACGGATCTTGTGAGCGTGTCCGAATATTCCGTGCAGTTGACCAGAGTGCTAGAACATACCAGGGCCTCTGTGCTTGAGAACCTTCTCATTGGCCGCCTCGCTCGCGCTCGTCGAAGACGCAGGATACTCGCCGCCAACGCCCTACGTGACACCAGCTGTTCAGTTGCTGTTCCCACACATGATCGAAGCAGCCGCGCACTCACCACCCCCGTGATTCCTCGGGCCACAGTCAAGCACCAGAACAATCCCTGGACGCTGCCGTGCGCGCCATGGGCCGCGGTTCCTATAGTCGCGCCGACTATGATCAGGAGCGTCGTAGCAACGAGCGCCGCCTTGCGCCCGACGCGGTCACACAGCAGCCCGACCGAGACCTGTCCGAGCACCGCACCTGCAGCAGCGAGCGCACAGTACGGATTATCATCCCACGCATACGTCAGAGAACATCGAACATCGCGCAGGGTCCAAGCGGCAGTGCGCGCTTACCGACGAGAAGGGCGTTGGAGACCCGGGTCGAGACGTCGGACGTGTATTCCTTCGGATAGAGTTTCTTAAACACGACCTGTCGGGCGGCCGCAGCCCCATGGTGAGCACTCGCTGCGCTCCACGCTGAAACGACTGATGCGCCGCCCAACACTGACATTGCTCATCGTCATGAGGTTGTTCTGGTCTGCAACGCCCCGGCACGTCAGTTTCCGCGCCCATGCTGGAAACGGGGGGTGGAATCGGTGCGACTCACATCCATCTGAGATCAGGCCAAACGCTGCGGCGGCGATGGTCATGTACGCGCTCATGGCTGCCTTCCGCGACACCTTCGCGCCAGGCTGTGTGCGAGGCGGCTCCTTGGCCGGCCCCACGCCACCCTGGTCTCCGTCGTACGCAACCACCGCGACGCGCGCATCAGCCTTGGTGTCTTCAGGGGCGGCAGTCATGGTGGTAGACGTGAGGAGAGTGGGGAGAACTCTGAAGGCTCGCCGACAGCGACGCCCCCGGGGCGCGTCTCCTTATGAAAGCGCGCTCCCAGGCATCATGGCTGCTGCAAGCTCCGCCATCAAACGCTGCTCGGACACCAGGCACGGCAGCGGTGGGGGGCGAGTCGGGGGCTGCGTGCACGCGCACGTGTGTGGCCTCCCCCCCGCCTCCGACACCGAAGCAGCCCGCGATGGCAGGCGTTCTTGATGGGTCCCGCACACGGAGGCCCGGCGCGCGAGCGCGGTGCTGCGGCACGTGCTACGACATACTCCAGCGCTGCGTCGCACCGGCGCCCCGGATCGTCTGCGTCAACGTTCGAAGCCCTGGCGCGCGCTCGAGACGTGGTCCGACGTCCACGTCCACGTTCAATCCACAGCCGCATAATATAGCGTTCCGCGACAAGAATAGCGACGTACTGGCATGGTGGCGCTCCCCGTCCTCCACGGTAGACGATCGGCAGAGCCACTTGTGCGTCGGCTGCAGGGCCAGAGACCAGGGTGCACGTCCTGGTCATCTGCATGCCTTTGTCACCAGCCGGGTGCTGCGCTGCCCGGAAATCCGCTGTGGGAGAAGCGCAGTGTACCGGCACAAAGAGCGCAATAGAAATTTATACAGCCTCCCTCGGTCGTCATTTATCACTTTCCGCGACATGCCAATAGCGACCATGACATTATACAAGGAGCCCCCAAGCCTCCTCGGCAAGCGATTCCACGCCCTGCCTCTATCAGGGGTGTGCGTCGGGACCACACGCCTGACGTGCAGGGCGTCGGCTTGCGGCTAGGAACAAACACGCCGCCCCGCACATACAACCACCCCTGACAGCGGAACGGACGAGGTTGTCAATGTCAGCGTGCGGCCTGCCGGATGGAGCGACGTGGGGACTCACCGGCGCCCTCAACGAACGGTGCACACACGAGCTAGGCGCCGATAGCGTCGATTAACCTCATCAGAACCCCGGCACGCCAAGTGCGCCCTAGCGCGACAGTTTATGGAATACAACTTGATCAGATCCGTCACATGCATGTCAACAGGTTCGAGGCGCGCGTTGCGGTGGGGTGCACAACATGCCTGTGGGACAGATAGCAGAGGGGAGGATGGGCACGAAGCAGGCGGGTGCGGACGTATGTCTTGGAGCAGGGTTTGCAGGAGATACGGTCGTCGCGCAGGGAGAAAACGGGCCGTCGTGCGAGCTTCGTGGCGAGGGCCACAAGGGCGAGGTGGCTACTGAACTTCGCGACGTGCGGCGCGCCTCGGGACTTGGACATTCGCGGGATGTGATGTTGTCGAGTCCTCGAAGCGGAAGAGCCTCCGGAAGACGGTGCCGTACGAGGAACTTGCACCACCCAATTAAATCGCACCGGGCCTCTGCGGAACCGCCGAAGTGAATATGAAGGGGCGGTGATAGACCCGGATTCTGCCTGAGGCTGAGAAAACAGACTCGACGGGGTGACGTACGAGAACCTGTTTCAATGTGCGCCCGAGGCTCTTGGCACCGACGTCGGCTTCTGCAAACGCTTATGTGAGGGGAGATTACGCGGAGGAGACTGTCACGTTGTGGCGACTTGAATGTATCGAAGTAGACGCGTGGCGCCGGGCCTGAGCGAGGACAGGATGTGTGAGATAGCTCCGACAGAGAGGAGGTACTTCGCAGTTCCTTTCCTGGAGGTCGGGCGACAATCCTATGGACCTGTACATGTGGTGCGCAATCAGAACTGCACCCATAGTTAGGCGGGGCTACCGGAGTTGGGGACGCACAATGATCTTGGGAAGAAGAATATGATGCAGCACCGTTGGACAGGATTCAGTGATGCATGCACGTCGGTGCCCCGCACTAGAAGTGGGTCTCTATGCACGCGACGTCGTGGAGATACATAGATGCAGGCACTGGGGTAAAGTATGGGGCTTTCGGATAATAGAAGTGTTCAGCATAGGTACCCACCAAGGACATCAGTCGCCGGTGTCATTACCGTACCTTTGGCAGTGGAAGCGCCTACGACTTCGCGAAGGCGACTTCAGAAGAAAGCTGAACAAGCCTCACATGTTTACAGATACGGGTGATGCTCGCGCCCCGGAGACGCATGACGATACGGGTTGGGTTTGCCGTATCTAAGTTCCGTCCAGAGCGACGTATGCACAGACGCAGCTAGCGGTGGGAGAGATACGACCATGCCCAAGATGCGAGACACGGCCCAGGGGCCAGGTTATTGCCGAGTCACTGCGGTTGCAGACTGCCCAAAAGTGAGCTCTGTACATGACAGCGACGGCACAAAGTAGCAGCCAGAACATAGGGCCCCTGACGTCATGCAGCTGGCGCAGACGTCGTGTCAAAGACGACGAGTAGGTTGACAACATGACGGGGGCCCAACGTCCTGGCAGCGCTCCTCTGCTGCATCCCGTCCGGAAGGTGGGGTAGAAACGGACTGCGACCACATCATGACCCCGAGGGCGGGGCGTTCGTGCGCTTCGTGCAGGGTGCAGGGAGCGCGCACATGGCGCGGGGTTATCGAGGCAGGTCCAGATGCACAGACAGATCTGCGGTATTAACCGAGTCGAAGACGTCGTGGGTATTTCCGCGGTCCGACACCCACGGCGCGGTCCCGGGTCGAGGAAATACCCAAACGGGGACGTGTCGCCTGAGGATCACCGTGCCAGTCTAATTGCCTCGGAAGGACATCAGCAGTCTATAAGCACGGTGAGCTGGCTGATGCACCCTGTGCTAGGCATTTGCTAAGCTGCGGTGTTGTGCAGTTTGGACACCGGTCGCAACTGCCGACGCCTAGGCAGGGGCACAGCGCGCGTAGGCATATGTGCCGGCAGGCTGAGAGACCGACCTCCTAGGGAAATAAAGAATGTCAGAAAATAGATAGCAATGGAGAAGAGCCTAGAAGACTAGAGCCTACTCTGGGAAGTGGCGAGTGTCGTGGCTCGTATCAAAGAACTGTCGGAAGACCATCACAGATGGAGAGCGAGGCATGCGGGACATGGAGGGCAATTCGGAATTGTGTCTGGAGACGCAGCTCGCAAACCTCCACGGAGGGTCGGAGCAAGAAGCGCAGTTCCTGTACGTGCGGAGTGGGGATCTCGCCAAGCGAATTCGGAATTGAGGTAGACGAGACAGAAGGATGACATCTGGAGATATGTGCTGCTGTCGCATGGGCCGTGGAGGGCGCAGAAAGCTCGAAACACGGCCCAGAAACGGTCACGGTTGAGGTAAGCATAGGTCAGCGTGTGCATCGCCCACGTGTCGTACGCGCGCTGCTAGCCGATGCGGGGTGCGGGGAGTGCACACGGAGTGTATTTGTGTGCGCCAAGGTGAGAGGCGGCGATAGAGGCAGGACAGGAAGGTCGAGTGGGGATGAGGAAGAACGGTGAGGCTGTGGGGGGCGGGATTACTCGGACGGGCAGGAGGGGATTGTCGCGAACCGCAGGAGGAGTGGCCTGACGCGCAGGGCACGCGATCTAGATTGGAGAGGCGCCGGCGATTATCTGGCGGTGATATAAGGGGAGATGGCCAGCCTATCTAATCAGTTAACCCGCCGCTCGAGATCTCCCCCGGCCTCTCTGCGGGCCTGTTCTCATCCTCCATAAAACTTGGCTCGTCGCCGTCCGCCGCGTTCCCAGCCCTGCTCGCCCCCCTCTCACCCATTTGTCCCCGCCTCCCCGCCCTTCGCCCGCCGTGATGAGCGCTGCAGCCTCCCCCACTGCGGTCTCTTCATCCTCAACCCTCTGGGCTACCGGTATGTCGTCCATCGGACACCCGTGGGATCCGCTCGTCTGACACGCTTCCTCGCAGCTTCCAAGGAGTGGGTCATCCCCGCGAAGCCGAAGCCTGGTCGCAAACCAAAGAAAGACGTTGCCCCGCCCCCAGAGGAGACTGCCGAGGTTCGCAGTCCGAGTCGGCCCCGGTCGGCGCTAATTCCGATGCTAACCCGTGTCTGATCCAACAGACCGACAGCAAAGGGCGACGCGTGCAGAACAGGTGTGCATCCACCATCGATCTATGTGATCACTCCCCTCAATATACATTTTTACAGAGCAGCACAACGTGCTTTTCGCGAGCGCAAGCAATCCCAGCTCGCCGAACTCCAGGCGCGGGTACAGCAGTACGAGCAAGGCGAGATCGAACGGAATGTTGCCCTCCAGAACATAGCCAAACGTCTCAAGGAGGAGAACGAGAAGCTGCGCAAGGAGAACCTCGAGCTCAAGGACAAGGTCGCCCAGTTCGAGGAGCGCGTTGCTCAGAAGAGACCACGCGACGAGTTCTGCCCACAGTCCCCCTACGACCTCACCCAGTCCCCCGCCAAGAAGCGTAACAGGGTCTCCATCGATGCTCTCAGCAACTTCACCCAAACCTCCTTCCCCCCGGTCTCATATGCCTCCTCCCCCTCCGCGGCGTCCTCGGCAGACTCAAGTGATGCGCATTCCAGCTTCTCTCCCGTGCCCATGTCTCAGTCCGCCCGGGACACGCCCATTTTTCCCCAGACGTTCGGTCTCAACGGCATCTTCGAACTGGCTTCGTCGGGCAAGAGCAATCTTTTCGAGCCTGGAGGTGCTCTCGACACGTTCGACTGCGGCCTCTGCAGCGACAATACCCCCTGCTTCTGTCGCGAGATGGCACTCCAGCAGGCCAACGATCGGATGGCTGCCGTGAATGGCGTCTCGCCCATGAAGCTCGAGACAGCCGATCAGAATACAGCCGCTACGTCGTCCTCCCCATCTATGGTCCCGCAGACCCAGACCTCCACCTCCATCCTCGACAACCTGCCCGCATACCAGGCCCCCGTCCCTCTCCGTCGCCGTGCACCCAACCCCTCCCTCCAGCCTATATTCCCCATCACCCTCCCGACATCAGAGCCAGCGCAGCCCGAGGTCCCCTCATGCACAGGTGACCCGTCCAACTGCCCGGCGTGCGCCGACGACGCCTTTGGCAAGGCGTTTTGCGCGGCCATCAGCAAGTCGGTGTCCTCCTCTGGCCCATGCAACGACTGCCCAGGTCGCGGTCAAGGTGGCTGCGGCGGCGCGACGGGCAGCGGCTGTTGCGGGAACCCCGGAGCCTGCGGACGCGGCGCAGACGCTGGAAGCAGCAGCGGTAACGCGAGCGGCTTGGCAGCGTCGGGCTCTGGCTCCGGATCAAACGCGTCGGCGGCAGCCGCGCCGCTCACCTCGTCGCTGCTCATGTCCGAGCCGCTCACGACGTCGGAGACGATCCCCTGCGATGCGGCGTGGCGCCAGATCAAGTCCCATCCAAACGCCGTGTTCACGGACCTGTCCCTCCTCGCCGAGGTCGTCGCGCGCCGCACGAAGTGCACAGGCCCCACCGTCGAGATTTCTCCCGCCCCAGGGACGATCACGCCAGAGAGGGGGCTGTCGCCGGGCATTCCCGCCTATGCCCAGCAGCAGGACAGCCAGCCGATCATCCTCACCGACCCGCACGCGCAATATCACGAGCGGCAGCGGACACGGACGGGCGGGACGTCTTCCCCGCCGCAGTTGGTGCCTCAGGAGGTGCTCGTCAAGTGCGGCCGGCAGCGCGTTCGGGAGGTCATGGCGGACGGTGTGCGGGATGCACTCCGGCTGCTCGATGCGAGGTTCGCTGTACCATAGGATGGCAATATGAAATCTTCGTTCTTAACTTACTTTACTAAGTATGACCATGCCTCATGTACACTAGCCGCTGCCTTATATTAGAGTGACTCGTCGAACCCACAAACACCACACATGCTATCATCGCAGCTATGCTTCGCGCGGCAGAACACACGTCCGGGAGTAACGATACTGTACGCGGTGATCAACGCCTTTTTGCCCTGGTATATTCGGGGGTACGTGTCAATGATACAGCGCGAACGTGGTCCTTCGCCCTCTCTTTCTTCCGCGTGTACCCCAGGGAGAACCTCCAGCCCTGCAAAAGGTCCCGCATCTTCCACCGCAACATTCGCTGCTCCCCTGAAGAAAGCCGCTCCGGCATGCGCTTCCCCTTCCCATGCAGGCCCCGGAAAGCCACCACCAGCTCGTGCAGTGGAGCCCGGACGAGCGCGTCCGCCATCGGCCCGATCTGCGGCCACAGCTGCAGAAGGATGCGCCGGGCAACGCGAAACGCCTTCGCACGCACGAACGCGCTCACAAGCGCGTCGATGGCAGGCACGTCCGGGCGGAAGCCCTGCGCGACCATGGCGCGGAAAGCCGCGAGGGCCTGCGACGGCTGGCCGTGTCGCGCGTACCCGGCGATGAGGATGGTATGCGTCTTGACGTCGACCGGGACGCCTGCGTCTGCCGCTTCCCGCATTATGTCCGCCGCGCCCGCCATGTCGCCTGCTGCCGTGTAGCCCTCCATGAGTGCGCCGTAGTGGTAGACGTTCGGGCGCACGCCGGATTCGACGGCCTGCCTGAACGACGCGAGCGCCTTGTCGAGGTCGCGGTGAACCACTCCGTCCTGTTTGATGCGCAGGGCGAAGGAGGCGCGGTCGCTTCGCACTCCGCGAGCGGTCAGCGACTGGATGATCGGTCGCAAGAGCCTCCGGTAGCGGCGGGAGAAGGCGATGCCCGCGGTTGGATGAGAATACTCGTCCGAGTAGGGTTGCAGGTGATCAGCAGGCGGGTCCTCACGAGCTTCGCCGACAGAGTCGTCCGCCGCCCATCCCCTTCGGTGCATCGTAAACCGCTGCTCTCGCAATAGAGCGGCCATAAGGACGTGGAGGTGTGGCGTTGTGGGAGCCAATCCGGCAGACATCAGGGCACGCACAACCCTGATGATCTCCCGAGGACGTGAACAGTCATCTCGGTAGAGGTGTGACAGCAGAACCCTTAGCGTGGTGGCGTCCGGGTCGATCTTCGTAATCTGCATCATACGTAAGACCGTACGAAGCCCGCTCAGACGTCGAGTCTGTAGAACACCCCAAATGAGCGTGTTGAAAAGACGGATGGTTGGAGAGGCTGTGTAGGGAAAGGTGGGGTGTTCGGCGGGGGTTGTGGGAGAGAACCCTAGTTGGGGGAGGAGGGCGGAAGCCGTGGGGAAGTCCCGGAGCGCATCGGCCACGATGTGGAGTGCATCGTTGGGACAATCGACAGTGAAGTAAAGACGCGCGAGGGCAGGTGCTGTGTCGCCATTAGGATGTATGTGTGTAACGTCCATTTGCTGCAATGTCCCCAGTGCCCGTTCAAGATCACCTTGGCGGGCTAGGTAGTTGAGCAGCAAATTGTAGGTGGAGATGTCGATGGAGACTTGGTGGGAGAGAGGAAGGGGAGATTGGTTGGGATACCCCTCCTGTACCGTCGCAGACGCGCCGCCTTCCAGGGTGGTACCTGCCCCAGGGCCGGAGGGGGGGCCTCCAGGAGGTCGCGAAACCAGCGAAAGAATCTCCACGACGCCAGGCATGTCGTGGGCATCGAGAAGGAGCTGCACGAGACTGTTGACTATGACAACTGCTGTGTGTCCATCCGCTGTGTTCAAGGCAGCAAGAGCCTGGGTCCTGGCAGTGGGCGTCAAGCCAAGTGAGCGGTGGCTGGTGAGGATGACGGCCCACGTTCTGGCGGAGACGCGAAAGCCAGCGGATTCCATAGCCCGGACGCATGCGAGAGCAGAAGGGAGGTCGTGATTGCGAAGGTGCATGGAAATAAGCAGATGGTACGTCAGACGAGACGCTCTGACTTGTTCTCTTGCGAACAGGTCCAAGACTTCTTCCAGAGAGAGATAACGCTGCGATTCCATGAGCGCATGCAAACGCCAATTGAGAAGAGCTGTAGTGGTGTATCCGAGTCGTTCCCTGGCAGTACGCACAAGGGGTAGAATCGACCGCCACTTCTTCATATCCGCCAACTTTTCCGCGACTGGACCGTAGAACTTCGGGGAGAAGTTGCAGCCCACTTCGTTCGCTATTCGAAGGACCCATAGTGCGCGCCGGGGTTCTTTGACATCGAGGAGGTAGTGGACCAGCGCGGGAGCACGACGCGGAAGGCGCAGGTACGTTATGAGCTCCTCCATAGCAGGTAGACGTCGCAGATCCGCAAGTGTTGGAAGCTGCGTTGGTCGAGCATCGAACACGCCGTCGATGAGGGATAGGATGGAGGCAGGAGGCAGATCCTCCGGTGGCACGGCACCAACGTCCCCCGCTGGCCTCTTCCACCGCAAAAGAACCGCCTCTACATGCTGCGCCCCCACGTAAGGATCGTCCTCGTCGTCCTGAGAAGTGCCTGTCGTCACCGCAGATGTGTGATTGAGCTGCAGAGCTAGTGCCGGCCGCCATTGAGTTTGAGTCGAGTGGATTGGCTTCGCGAGTACGCATATGGGATGGAGCGAGACACGACCTCTCTCCAGGATGTTGTGTGCGGCGTGAACGAGATGCCTTAAATCCCGACCCACTCTCCAGGGCATGGACAGCCAGGATGACGGGGCGACGATATCCCCGAGTCGCCGCCGTGAGCTGGACGGTGGTCAGGATTGATGTTGGTCCCAAGTAAGAACGCGCGGAGCATCGTACCTCTGCACGGGTGAGTGCTATGGAGCGAGTCGGGGGAAGAAGGGGGACATGCAAAGGGTGGTGCAGGTCGAGGACGGGTCGTTGTTCAACGCGCGAGACGACGACCTCGACCTCGGAATGCCAGTCTTTTCGCGCCTGGCCCAGCGGTTCGGCACTTCCCGGCCCATCCCGGCGCAAGACTTGCGTTGGCGCCCATCTGCTCTTTGCAATTGCCCTCTCCTCGTTCGTGGCCTCCGACGTCGGATATGAATTGCGAGTACCTGAGCAGTACGTAGCGATACGCTGAGGACAGCCAGTCGCATACTGGCATCGCTTGTCGCCTACTCAGCGGAGCAACGACATGAGGAATTGTCAGCTGGTGCGTCCATCCTTTTGGAAATCGTAGTGATCCTCCTCGAAGCCATGAAGACAGCGGCAGATCTGCGATACATGCGCACAAGATACGACCCAGGAGCCGATCGGCTACTCATCTGGCAATTGACCGACGCTCGTGTCCGCGTTGGAGTGGTCTTCGTTGAGCTTCACGCCACACAAAGAACCTCTGACGGTTGGCATACGCAGGTCGTGGCGAGCGTCTGCACGGTCATCTACGCTGACCTGGGGGCCGTGTAGCGTCGAAGTGAGCCACGGAGCGTGCTTCAATAGCCGCCTACCCGGGCGGAGGCAGGCAGCCGGCAACTAAGGGCGTCCTTGTTTCCCTGCAAAGCCCGAGTAACGCTCACTGGAGGCACCGGTGCGTCATCTGCCGTTGCAGTCTGGCAGTGCATCGCGGGTGGTGATCTCAAACGCGCCGGAAGAGGCGAGCACCATTGCAAGCTTCAACAGGGGAACTCAGCGGAAGTCCGAGGAAATGTTCTTTGCGATTTGCCGTGCTCCAGGGCAGCTGAAATGCGTGCCTGAGTACCATACTGATTTCAACACTCTCAAGACAGGCCGGAGCAGACTGAGGGCAGGCGGCTCAAGACCTGTCGCTGGTGATACACAATCCGCAAATGGCGGAGGACAGAGTGCTTCAGTGTTGAAATGCTAAACCTGTTCGAAGCCACAGGAACGTTGACCGCATCTCAAGGGCCACGCGGGGTGGCGGGGCAGCTATGTTGCAGGCTGTGTGGTGCTTGCTGAGGCCTATTCCTGTGCCACGGTGATCGGGAGTTTTGTGCGAATATGTCGCGCAGATGTGCCTTTACGCGCGAGGTGGCTGCATCCAGAATGCAGCCGAGCACTTTAGGTGGTGGTGGGTGCCAAGTCGGCCGAGGAAGAGGACTGGTCGGTTTGGCGTTGCATACTCGAGCGCCGTCGCAGCCGCTGTTCGATAGCCGTCGACCGGTGCCTTCGGGCGATTCTCCCGCGTTCGTCTTCCGCAGGCAGGTCGTTCGCCACTCGCCGCAGTTCTCGGGCAAGGTTTACTGATTGCTCAGCAGCTCATCTGTCACAGAGTTCATCAGCACAGTCCCCGACGGCGAGCAAGTGCAATGCACCGTTGCTCTCCAAGGCTTACGAGCTGCGCGCTATGACTCGCTCCAGGCGGTAGCGCAGCTCCAGTCGAGGCAGTGGACCCTTTGACTCGGCGAACGACTATGACATCTTCATTCCCAGCCGCCCATTTGACCCGTTTCCGTCCAGTTTCAAGACGGTTACAGATGTCCGGCGGTCGAGATCTTGTCCTGATCCCTCCCCTTCCATCATACGGGGTGCCTTGGCACTCGTGCGTATGTTCACGGCCGACAATTCTTGCAGGTTTGCACTGACACTGGCTGTTCTCGGAGGGCGTTTGAGATTGACAACCGGATACACCCGTCCAATCACCATGGCTGGGCATCCTCATACTTGCATGCCCTCCTGTGTATATAAGCTCCTCGACATTTCAGCTCGCTCCCAACTTCCCTTCATTAATCATGACCGCCTACCGGACTCACCTCACCATCCTCGAAGCAACTGCCGCTAAGGTCCCCGACGCTCCTGCTTTCCGTGTACCACGCCTACAGCCGGGAACAGACAATGTACAGGAATGGGACGTTATCACCTACCGCGAGTTTTGGCAAGATGTCGAGCGTTTCGCAAGGCATTGGACACAAACATTGACTGCCGACGGCGTGCCTGCTCGCTCCGTTGTTGGGTTGTGGTATGTGTTTCCCTTCACAAACAGTGCCGTTCACATGCTCATATCATATCAATAGGCTAGGCGGAATGACTTACGTCGACGCATTGCACATCTACAGCATCGTCCGCGCCGGTTACATCCCGCAGTTCTTCTCACTACGACTACCCAACCCTGACATCATCTTCGAACTCCTCGAGCGATCGAATGGCAAGGCTCTCATCTACGACGACTCATACGCGTCGGTGCTCTCACATAACCCCGTACCTACATATATGGCTGTGGATGCGCGGATACTACCAAACGCAGAAGTGTCCCTACCACCCAATCAGGGTAGCCGTAACGGCGACGATACCCTCATGATCTTCCACACCTCCGGCTCTACTTCTGGGCGACCAAAGCTCGTACCATGCAGCTATGCATGGTGGGACTTCACCCTGACCAAGACCTGGACGGCGATGAAGCCGAAGACCGCGCGCAACGGCCGACAAGACGTCACCGTCTGGATGTAAGTGGTCATTCCCTGCACATCAGAGATAGGTGCTAACTGCTGGCTCTTCCCACAGGGGGTCTCTGTGCCACTTCGGCCAGACGTTCATGCTCTCCGGCATGATCCAGCACGGCTCCTGCACCGTCCAGTTCACGAAGCAGACGTTCTCATCCGACGAGCTGGTTGACATGATCCAACGCTGTGGGCTGTCACGCATCAACCAGTTCCCCACCTACCTCACCCACCACCTTCGCAACTCGCGCCACAGCCCCAAGCTCCTCTCCCACCTACAGGGGCTTGACGAAATCCTCATTTCGGGGTTGATGATGTCGCCCGAGGACGAGGAATGGGTGTACCGCAACGGGATCAAGCTGATGAACTGCTACGGGAGCACGGAAGTCGGCTCGATGCTCGTTTCGCCAGAGGACGACGCGGAGAGCGCAGTACACACGATCAGCCCCGTCCAAGGCACCAAGTATGTGTTCGTCCCCGTGGACGCTGCGGCGCCGTCCGACGACGCTGCCGAGACCGGGTACGCGGACGCGAACGCGCAGCTGCTCGAGCTCATCATCCTCGCGGAGTCCCCGGACTGTCCCGACCGCTCGCTGCGGCACGAGGACGGGAACTACCACACCGGCGACCTCTTCCTCCAGGTTGCGCCGGGGAAGTTCGTGTACCGCGGGCGCAACGACGACTGGATCAAGTCCGAGAACTCGCTCCGATGCGACACGAAGGCGGTCGAGGACAACGTGTTCGCTACCTGCGCGGATCTCGTGGCGACATGTATCGTCGTCGGCAACGGCCGCCCGTCGCCTGCGCTGTTCGTCGAGCCCGCAGTGGAGGGCACGGACCCCGAGAAGCTGAAGCGCGACATCATCCGACGCATCCGACCGTTCCATGCGCGCCGCTACATGCACGAGCGCATCGTCTCTGCACGGTTTGTCGTCGTGGTTCCCCGTGGCACGCTCCCACGCACGGCTACCAAGGGCAACATCCGGCGCAGGGCGGTCGAGGAGGCGTTCAAGGAGGAGCTGGACCGCGTGTATGCGGTGGCGTGCTGAGACCGCAGGCGGGCCCCGGCGGTGCGCTAACACTATTCCTATCTTATTTCATCTGGACTCTGGCCTCCTGTCAACAAGCATTCTCGTCCTGTCCACGCATCCATCTTGATCCTGTCGCGTTCTACCAACGCTGTATCCCTACGCCGCATAGCGTAATCCACCTATTAACGGACTCTCATAGTGTAGTGTTAACGTTTTATATCGAGCCCGAATACGTAGCTCTCCCTTTGTACTCGCTTTACCTCACCCAATCGTTGTATTGGAATAGAATATCGCCTACGATTCAATCGAATTTGTCCAATGTTGCCAGGGATATCGCCCTCATCATCAACCTGAACAGCAGTGGTCTACCGATTCGATCTAACCCATCACGCCCCAAAGGAATATAAATGAACACGGCATAGCCCAACAATACACATAAGCAAAATATCTAAACACAGCAAGAGTGCGTTAATCGGACAACGACACCTCTTCCTCCTCTAACCGCACAGCTGCGTCCTCCGCCTCGGAGTCTAACCGGGTCCCTGCGATGAGGTCCTTGTCCTCAGCATTACGAGAGTCCTCGAAGCCTAGAGCGAGGAAGCTGAATATAACTACAGTCGCGCCCAGCATGACCTGTGCCCGCGCCGGCCGCCCTAGGACGAAGTCTCCCAGGACGGCCAGGGGCATGGTTAGGCTAAGGCCCACGGTGACGACCAGCGGCGTAGTCTTGAGCATCGCAATGACGTAGATGTAGTCGCTCGACAACGTTATGGCCATCTGGAACCGCTTTCAGCTCGGGGAGGCGATGGATCGCACGGGTGATGGGCACGTACGTTGATGAGCAGAGCCATCACGGCCTTGCTCGTGCTGGGCAGCTGGAATGGCTCCACACCAGTGAGGTGCAGTACGACGCCGATCGGCCAACATGCGAGGATGTTAAAGAGGCCGACGAAGCCGAAGAACACTTGCATGTCTATCCGCTCCTCGGACCGGATCCTGACCTTGAGGAGAGTCACATACAGGGCGTAAAAGAGGGCCGAGAGCAGCGCTAGCGCGTCCCCAAATATCGGTGCAGATGGCAGGTACGCCATGGCGGCCGATGGTGGAGGGCCGGGAGGCATCGATGACTCCGGCTGCGAGGAGTCAGACAGCGATACCAGGACTACGCCCACAAAACTAACGGTTTTTGGTTAGTCTATAGTACACTACCGAAGGCAAGGATGACATACCTGGTAAACACGGCGGCAATCTTGACGATTGTCAAGCTCTCCACGCGGAAGACCCGGCCGATGCCCAGAGTAAAGAACCCTGTGTAAACGCAAACTGAGCAAACTACGCCCGCAATGGCATAGTCTCAGATATACTCACCGCTCATGCTGGATAGGATTGTGGCACTTGCCACGCTCGTGTAGTCAAGCGATGCATTGACTGTCCAATTGGCGATAAACCATAGGAAACAGAACAGCCCCGCGAGCTGGGCCGTCTCCCTGGTCGTGAGAGGCTTGGAGACATCTTCCCCGAGGCTTCGTTCTGGATTCTGCGCATGCACACGACCACGATAAGCAAAGCACGCGAAGACACCGCGCGGCACATGGCGAGCTCACCGTAACGGCCAACGTCTCTGCCGCATCTACGTCCGTCAGAAGTGGTTCGTATCCGTCATGCCGGCTGCTATGAAACATGAGGGTTGAACGGAATGCTATGGCTTGGCAACCTACCCACCGCTTCCGCCCTTCTGATAGCTTCGTGCATAGAATCTGCGGAAGGCGTATGGCAACAGGTACAGTGCAAAGGCACTAGTATTGAGATAGGTCACGCTGAACATGATATAAGCATGGTTACAATCCTAGATAACGCTTTGGGGACTCACAGGAACGGCTTCTCATAGCCATCCTCGAACAGGTCCTGCGGCAGAGGTTAACCTCCCGTACAAGGCAAACCATGAACCTACTGACCTGCGTGACAAAATTTGATGATGTCCATAGAACAACGACCACTAAGAGCAAGAGAATGCCGATGAGGTAGTCCCTCCGGACGGCGGCATGAGAGCGAACCCGGGAGTGGGACTTGCCGCGAGAGCGGGTACGCGGCAGAGGTGCAGATTCGGTGTCCATGAGCTCCTCAGCTCGAGCTCATTCCCAGATGGAGTACGCAGGGAACCAAGGAAGGACACCGCCGAGGATGAGTGGTCAGAGGAGAGCGCGATAGCGATGGCTGGGGCGCGAGGGCGGCGGTAGTGGCAGCACCAGAGAGCCGCAAGACGCCATTTCTGTTAGCCGGCCCGGTCCCGCTTTTCCTTTCCTGGGGCTGCTACCATGGGCGCTTCCGAACTAGCTGCAAGCTGCTTTGCAGCAGAGCTTCTGTCCCTTGCACACCCACACCCTAGTGCTTTTTTCTTTATCCACCATGGTGAGCCTCGCCAGATGCAACTTCTAGATATTTGGCTCACCCACGAAAGTCAGCCCAAGGAGAAACGCAGACGCAGCGGCGCCCACGAGCAGTCCGTCAAGCTGCACAAACGGCAGTACGCTGCGCAGGATAATGCTGTTGAACATGTCGACGTCGGGGAGCAGAGTGAACGAGCGGTGAGCCCCCACGTAGCATCCCGTGCATCTGTGATCGCTTAGTGCTATTAATGGAGGCTCCTGAGATCTTCGAGGACATGGCCATGGAAGACGAGCCGCGGCCCACAATGAAGAAAAAAGAAAAGCAAGCTCTGAAGCACGATCTTTTCTTGAAACGTGCGTGCATCTGCCTCACTGATTTCCTTCGCACCCCCGTCGCTCACCTGGCTGCGTCCGCTGCACAGGTCTGGAGCAATCTCGCTCTCCATACTCAAAATCACACGACCGCCGCCTGAAACGCAAAGCGAAGGAGCAGGTCGCAGGCGGCATGAGTGATATCCAGGCGGCAATCTTCGCTGTTGAGGACGACATACCAACCGCAGTGCAGAACACCATCGCTGCTGATGAGGAAGAGGCCGACGGGACCGACGAGCCCAAGGCCAAGGCGAAACCCAAAGCTGGGCAGATCGGCGAAGGCAAGGGCGCCCCGCTGTCAAAAAATCAACGAAAACGCGCTCTGTGAGTACTCGGCTGCGATAATCCCTGTGCTTCACCAAGCGCATGCGCTCACGCCGCATGCCCTCTCGCAGTCAGCTGGAACGCATGCGCATCCCCTTGATTCTGTCCACCCCCGAATTTGCTGCGAATCCGTTCCAGACCATCCGTACGCACGCGAAGAACACGCTGGTGAAACACGAGCCGCCGACCGCCGCATCTTGAGCCGCTCCGCGTGCAATCGTCGATACTCCGAGGCCTCCGGAAGTTGTTGACAGCGTCCGGAGGACTCACACACCTTTCCGAGGACTTCCTTCCGTCACCAGAGCTCTTCAATATTGCTGTCACCGGCGACTTTGACTGAGCCCGCGGTGCACACTGACCCCCGCGGGGATCCTCAAGCCATGCCTCAAGCTCGAGTAGTGTGCCTTCACAGAGAGAGGACGGAACATAGAAATATCTTTGTTATGTATGAGGGGAGGCATTATGTACGCTGTTGGTAGGTACAGTCATGTTGTATACTACTGGTATGGATGCGTTGAAAAGTAAGTATATGGGCGGGCATACTAATGCAGAACAAATCGAAATCCATTGATCGACCGTGAAGACATCATCCGAGGCGTAACGTGGGCATATAGAGCGTGCGGGTGGTATAACACGCGAGATGGTATAGTGACATTCAACAACAGCGACGACGCCCCGTGCGGTTTCCAACTCGTAACGGCCGTCGTCGCCCCAGAGATCCCCAATTCAATACGGTCCTGCTTACCTTGCGTGGGGTGTTCACAACCCCGTCTAGAAACACATTGCATCCAAGAATTACACACTTCAGTCGTCCTCGCCCTCTGCCTTGCTCATTCCCGCGCTCCAGACCGTACTCCCACTGCCCCCACTGCGCCGACTGCTCCGGCGGTCCCCGCTCCGGCGCACGATCTCAGTGAACCCGCCGGGGGAGCCCTTCGCAATCTCTACACTGAGTTGCCGCTCGTGTGCGTCGAGCGCTGCGAGAGCGCTCTCCGCCTCGGCCTGCTCGAGTGCCTCCTGCGTCAGGTTCGGCGTCCCCGCTCCGGGATTCGGGCTGCCGGAGAATGACGAGCGCGCAGAAGACGGGTTCGAGGACAATGAGTTCGCACGTCGGAAGAACGAGAAGCGCGAAGACGTCGAGGGCGTGAGCGGCGTGCTGTTGCCGGGCGTGATCGTGCTCGCGGTGACAGGGGTGCGTACGATTTCACCGCTTGGGGATGAGTAGCTCTTGCCCATGGAAGGCATCGCAGGCGACGCAGGCTTCTCGATGCCCATGAGCTTCATGGTCGCGTGCAGGCGCTCGCGCTCGCGGCGGTCGTCATCGTCCTCTTCTGTTTCGAGCTTGCGCGCGTTGGTCACGACCGAGTTCGCGCCTGCCTTGAGCGTAAGAGGGCGGAGATGTGGGTCTGGCCGCTTCTCATCCTTGCCGAACATGGAGAACCTGCTCCAGTCGAAGGAGAGAGAACGCCTGGACGCACGCGTCGAAGCCGAAGGTGCAGGCGGGCCGTCGAGCTTGGGAGAGTTGAGAGCATTCGCAGCACGGATGTCTTCGAACGTGGTGAGGCGCTCTTGCGGCGGCGATGTAGTGGCAGCAGACGACCCGGAGAGCCCGAATATAGCAGACTGAGGCCTGGCCTTCTTCGGAGGCTGAGCGGTCGCGGGATTCGGGGAAGCGGGGATGTTGCTGAACGTAGTGAACGAGGCGGTAGTCGGGGACGCGACCTTGTCGTAGTCGACGGCGAGGACATGCTCGAAGCCCTCCTGCGAGATGATCCTGTCGATGATCTTGGATGCGTAAAGGGAGAGAGCCTTGTTCGCATCCTTGAGGTTCTTGACCTCGCTCCGCAAAGTTTCGATGTCGTTGACCGAACCACTTGGCTCCAAGCCTGCGGCGCCCTCGGACATTGAAGATACCTTGCGGGTGGCATCGCTCTTCCGGCCCTTCTTCCCTTTAGGGTTGATGACAGATCGGTCGGTCTCCAAGGATGCGCGGCCCTCCAGGATGTCCTTGTTTTCTGCGCGACCGAGCTCGGCGGCGAGGTCCAATCCGGGACCGGTGATCGGAAGGTTTGCGAGGGACTCGCCGCGCGGGGCAGGGGAGGAACGAGATGCGGTGGAGGTCGTGCGCCGGCGGCCGCCTCTGCGGGGTTGCCTGGCGGCATCGTCCTCCTGGGCCTCGCGCTCCTGCTGCTCCATCTCGAAACTGGGATCGAGTTCGTGCAGCTCCTCCGCGCGCTCGTCGACCGGATCAAGCACGCTTCTGGCGGTGGTCCTGCTCCGAAGGCTTTCGGCGTCCCTGCCATCATCCTCGTCTCCGGCCTCGCTGTCACTCGGCTCCGTCGGGACGCTGCTCGCGCCCCCGCCCATGCGCATAACGTCAAACTGTCCGCTGAGGGTCTTCTCCCGAAGAAGAATGTTGTACGACTCATTCTCCTCTTGCAGCTCGTTGTTGACACGTTTCAGATCGTTGAGTTGCGTCTGAAGGAGCACGAGGGTGGACTGCAACGAGGTATATGACGTGGACAGCGTCGACAGCTCTAAGCGAAGCGCAGTCATCTCGGCCGGCTCCTGTTCAGGGTCATTGAGATCCTGTTTGGGAGGCTCCGCGACCTCGGCGGGTTGTTCCTCGATGCCTGCCTCCGACTCCGCAACGGAGACGACAGACGGAGACGTGAGGATTGGTGCGGGCTGTTTGCGGGCTTGCATGAGAGACTGTATACGTGACTTCAAGTGCTGCTCGTTGTCATAAAATGACTGCCGTTCGGCCTCGAAAGTCGAAGTCTGAAGGCGAAACAAGTTAACTATGATGTGCGTGGCATTCTATCCATGAACCACATACCTGCTCGTTGTATCGTCGCTGGATATCGCGCTTCTCTTTCTCCAGATCGCGCACTTGGGTACGCAGCTTCTCGATTACTTCTATGCGCGCAGCCATCTCTTCCTCTGTTCGATTTTGGTCGGCATAAAGCTCAGCAAGGCGCGATTCAGCGGCATGGAGAGATGAGGTGAGGTTGTCATTGTCGGTCGTTAGTTGGGTGATGGTTTGCTCCTTGTCCTGCAGCTGCACAAGAAGCTACGGCGGTGTAAGGCGACGTGTCGGAAGAGTATTCCGTAGCACTAACCTTCTCCTTGTGCTCCGTCTCAGCCTTGAGGGATACTGAGAGTGTTTCGCGTGTCTCGCTGCCGTTGAGAGCGGGTGGTTGAGAGGCTCTTATGGACGCCCTGCGTGCCGGAGAGGTGACAGAAGCAGCCGCACGGGGGCCTATTGCTGCGCGTGCTGTCGCGCCTTTGGCGATAGAGGAGGCTGCGGGGGAGCTAGAGAGGGTAGGGGGCGAGCGTCGTGAGGTGGGCGTGGCTCGTGCCGGAGCGGTGGTCGCCATGATGGTATATGATTACAGAATGCGTGTCCGAGAGTCTTGAGAGATGCGAGAGAGACGCGACAGCCCCGCCGTCGACGCTGCAGAGGATGAGAAAGGCGGGGTGAGCTGGCGGAGGAGGGCCAGGGTCGGGGGAGGCGGTCGTTAAGTCTGTAGGCGCCACTTGATCTGCAGAAACAATCACACCCCGGGCGTCTCACCCACGTGGAACAGGCACAGCTCTGCCACCGCCATTAATGCCACAAACGCGTCTTGCCCCTTGCCTCACGCGTCGCGCTGCCGTCTGACGCGTCCTCTCGCCCGTCTCCTACCCATGGCCGACGCCGGCCTCAGCGCAGCCGCGCTTTTGGCAGAAATACACTCCGAATCTCTCCAGTCTGTGAGTGAGTCGATGTGCATGCTGCGCTATCTAACCTATGTTGCGAGCAGCTTCTGGCAGCTGTCTCGACCGAAAGTGAGGCAGATTGCGTGCAATCCATCACATTACCATTCTCCAGACTGACAACCACGTAGCTTCCTCGCCAGGTCTCACGCGGATTCCAGCCCTTGATACCCACCTTGCCGCGGTGAATGCACGGCGCACCTTTCGGGATTGGCCTCTCAACCGGGGTGATGTCGTCGAAATACAAGGTCCAGCGACAGCCGGCAAGACGCACTTTGTCTATCACATGCTCCTGGAATGCCTGCTTCCTGACCGTTGGCTGGATACGGAACTGGGAGGCTGGGGAAAAGCTGCTGTGCTCATCGACACCGATGGCAATTTTAGCATACAGAAACTCCATGAACTCCTCGTGTCTCGCCTACGTCGCTTTCTGGGTGATGAAGATCCCACAGACGTGACGACTCCTTCTATGGAGGACCTGGCGACACAACTCTTACAAAATCTACACGTCTTTCGCCCGACGTCCTCTGCGCAACTGGCTATCACCCTGCTTCATCTTCCAAACTATCACGCCAGTGAACCTCGCCTACAGAATAAGGAAATCGGCCTCCTCGCGATCGACTCTATGAGCGCCTTCTACTGGAGGGATCGGTACACCCTGGAACAACTTCGTGATGCCACCGACAATCCACGTGGTGCATCACCTCCCAATCCACTCTCGCACGTCCTGAAGGCACTTATCACTTTTCGTGCCTCCCACCGGCCCGTTGTCCTCATGACGAACTGGGGCCTGAACCCTATCACGAAGCCTTCCACGACTGGCGCGCCGGGGACGCTTTTCTATCGACAACACCTTCACCCCTTCCCGGCCCCTTTTGAGCCTCACGGGGCCGCCGAAGCCATATCCAGTATTCAGGCCTCGCAGCCTCGCGAGGCAGACGCACCAACGCAGAACCTCACGACTCGCTCGCGTACACCTCAGCACGCCGCACCACCGTTCCCATTACATTACCACATTACTCTTCACCCATCACCCATCGACCCATTTCCAGCGAATTTCTCCCTCTCTGACGCGCTACACCACGAAGACATGCGGGCGGTGCTCGTAAAGAAGGGCGAGATCAGAGGCTTGGTCAGGACCCCTGGCGACGATACCGTTGGGGAGTTCACGATCCGCATTGGAGAGCGGGAGATTCTAGTCGATCCCGACGAGTAGCCTTAACTGTGCGGACGGGATACCGGTGCAGAACCTTGTCGCTATATCGTCGTAGTTGAGGCCTGACTGTTGTTCGCAGGACAAGTGCTTCGCGACATGCGCTATACCCTCATAATCATCACAGGGCATCTGTGTAGGTTCGAGTTCAACTCCCTCTATCGCTCAATATGGTGCACATCCTATTGCGACCATGACGGTCACTGCGCGGAAAATAGTCTTGATATGAGCTACATTCACGTTCATTCAAGGAGACTCATCTCATCTCCCAGAATCGTCTTCGTAAGTAACACCCCTTTGTTCCAGAACGCCGGCTCATCCCTCTATACATGTCCTTCTGTTCAAAGGTTTTCGCGCACGCGGCGCCCATATCCTGATCATGCTGCCCTTGCACCCACCAAGCTTGTCACGGCCCGCCTCAACGGCCCACAAGTCGACAGTGCATCAGTGTTTATAGGATAGCCCGGCTCATGGCCAAAGCCGACCATCTTGTTACGCTGGAGGCTGAGGACAACGATAATGAGTTGGACGGCACCGCGATATGGGAAAGGTAGAAAGTGGGTGGGAGTAGATAGTCGTGGACAAAGGGTGTCAAACCAGGGGAGACCTGCATCAGCATCTATAGCCATGGAAGGATTTCTAGGTATCGCCCCCCTGTTGCTCATTCAACTATAGCGGTGGCCAGTGAATTATCTGCGACATATCCCTCGCACATAGTGGGCCTTTTATATTCTGTAATACGGTTTAATGTCTACACCCTAGAGCTTAAATCCATATTTTACACGACCAACAAATTAGTATAGATTGAGGCCGATCGCACTCAAAAGGTTGATCCATCATTGCATTTATGGTTGGAGGCCTTCTCTGAGATGTCGAAGCTGGACACTTATACAGACACCCAGTACACGTGAAAGCCAACGAGTCGGGTCTGGCAGCTTATTGTCAATCAAAGTGACTGGTATATAGTCAGATAGTACAGACATAAGACAATAAACACAACTACTCTTACAACTACTCTACGAAAGCAAGGCTAGACGATAGGATGTGCGCGACGAGACAGCAAAGAAGGGCATACACAACGAGCCCAGACACTAGTAACACAACAAGAAATATACAAGACCGAAAATCAAAACGCGTCTATAGGGATGGGGGGATAGTACGAGTGGGTCCGAGAGGGAAGAGAAACCAGCAACCAGAGTCTGTCCGGCCGCGGCTCACAGCCGGGTGCACAATCCCTAGCTGGCATAAATCCGGTCGAGCTCCGCCCGGAATTGCTCCTCGACCGCGCGGCGGCGGATGTTGCCCTTCGTCGCCGTGCGCGGGAGCGTGCCCCCGGGCACGACGACCACGAACGCGGGCGACGCGATGCGTTCGTGCAGGTAGCGGCGCGCGTGGAAGTGGCGCGTGCGGCGCACGATCGCGCGCTTCAGCGCCTCCGCGTCGACGTCCCCGGGCACCTTCGGCTCGACGAAGAGCGTGGGCGAGGGCCGCCCGTTGCCGACGACCACGCACGTCGCGACAAGGTCCGCGCAGGTCGCGAGCACGTTGTCCTCGATGGCCCGTGTGTCGCAGCGCAGCGAGTTCTCGGACTTGATCCAGTCGTCGTCGCGCCCGCGCGAGACGTACCGGCCGGGGGCAACTTCGAGGAACAGGTCGCCGGTGTGGTAGTGCCCGTCGGCGTTGCGCAGGGACGGGTGCGGGCAGTCACCCGAGTGCGAGAGGATGACGAGCTCGAGCAGCCGCTGGTTCGCGTCCTCGTACCCGGTCTCGGAGTCGACGTCGGGGGTGGCAATGGGGAAGAAGCCGTAGGCGGTGCCCTCGATGGGGTGCAGGTAGGATGCGTCGGAGCCGCGGCCGCCGACGGAGAGGAGCATCGCACCACACTCGGTGCTGCCGAAGAGGTTCTTGAGGAGGATGCCGTTTGCGTAGGCCCAAGCCTCCTCCTCAGCTGCGAGGGGCAGGCCGGAGTACAGGAGCTCGTCGAGCCCCTTGAGTACGGCGAAAAGAGCTGGGTCGTTCTGCGAGCGGCGGAGATGAGCGGCGAGGAAAGTTGCGAACTGGTTGAGGCGGTTGAGACGGCAGCGGTGGACCATGTCCATCAGTTCCTCTGACGAGAACGCAATCTTGGTGGGCTGGATGGTGCACACCCCATGCTGGAGGTAGCCCATGAGCATGAACGTCTGACCGATGTGGCACATGCTGCCCCTGTAGGTCAAAGTCAATAAGCTAAATTGCATGCGCGGTGGGGTAGGCGACGTACATCCACACGGTAACATCCTGCCTCTTAGGGTTGTGGGGGCGGGTGACGTGCGCCGCCTTCGACACCGTGGCAGTTACCCAATCGGCGGTACACGGAACCAATTTTGGACTGCCCGACGTCGACCCTGAAGTGTGGTAGATCATGACGATCTCGTCGCCGTGAGACGGGACCCATAGCGGCGGCAGGGGAGCGTCCTTGACGTCAACGGCGCAGACGTCGAGGGCAGCCTCGGCCGGTACGGGGCAGTTGGTGACAATGGACAGGTAGGCGGGGTCAAAGACCAGCGCCCGAGCCTCTGCGCGTTCGAGGAGCTCATAGACAACATCGGGGTTTGGCATCCTGAGAGAGAATAGCTGCGGAATATAGCCGGCTCTGGCAACTCCGTAGATGTGCAGCGCGTCCAGGTAGGTCATACCGCCCAGCCTGCGGACACGTTAAGACTTGCGCCCGCAGCTTGTAGGTTGCATTTGGTGACTCACCACATGCCGACGATAGACCGTGAAGGGACACCGTGCGCAGTGAGTGTCCGCGACCAGTACCTCGCGGACTGCTCAACGTCGCTGAGGAACTGCTGGTATGAGATGGGAACCCATTCCTCGACCGCTTCTCCGTCGGTGGATAGACGGGGAACCTTGAAGGCCGCGGAGGAGGAGAAGACCGAAGCGCTGTGCTCGAGGACGGTGAGGTGAGTGTGGTAACCCATTGGAGATGTCGGGTTGGTGGATATCGAGGAAGTGCTGGTCGGTACCGGTCATGACGGTATGGCTTTATACAAGTAGCGGCGTCCATAGGACCCAGCGTGAGCTATGCGGGGCGGTATACGGTTGTCAGGCGAAACAGTCATAATGTCATTTGAGGCAAGTGCCAGGTGTTCCGCTGGCCTTACAAATTGGACAGGCGTCCAGACAGGTACGTCGAGCAGGGGTGTCGATGACAGCGGCGGGGTGGCTCGAGGGCGGGCGGTGCAGACTTGTGGAGGAGTCTGAGGTGAGCACGGCGGTAGTACAGACATCGCCGCCGCCCGGAGTGGGGACGGCATGGGCAGGCTGATAGCGGATGTCAGTATAATTAGCGGACCGAGGGGGCGGGGGAGGAATGAGCGGACCTCTCAGGTACAGCTTGGATCGTTGAGGAATCGCCCGATACAATATGGCACAGATCCCTCCTACATCTGACAGCACTAGCGAGCGTCAGGACATGAAGCCACACAGCCCGGCGGTATGCGAAATATCGATTTTGACATATTCTGTGCGCATTGCCGCCCCTTCATGCACGCCATGGCGCGCTGCTAAACGTGTGTGCCGACCGTGTCAGCTGGCCGATAATTCATTGGCGACCATCGGCGGCGACGGAGTCGGGATGGGACAGGGAGGTGCCAACGTTGAGAAGAAACGAGATGGGAGATGTGGGCGACACACACAACCGCCCGCCGGCGCCTCGAGATCGGGATCGGGGGCGCACCGCCCGGACGAGGAGGCCTCTCCGGCGGGCGTCCCCCGGTCAAGCGAGGCAGACACAACCATTCCTCGCTACGGTCCCGAATGCACGCCCGACGCTAGCTGCACAGCGGAGGAGCGGCCACCGTGCGGATTCCAGTGTTGCGCCCGCCGACCCACGTCGGGCCGCCGTACGCCTCACTCAGCAACATCCCCGCTTCCCTCAATTTTTGTGTGCCACGCGAGCGAGCAAGCATCCAACTGGTACTGGCCTCTCCTTCTCTGTCCACAACCGCTCGGGATGGCCGGGTGACCGACGTCCGATTTTGCGTTCTTCGCTGCGTCAGCAGTCCTCAGCGTGTCCATCTCTCGAAGTCCAGGACACCCTGAGGTCATCGTATAATTGGAACCGGTATAATTGGAACTCACTTCTCTTAGCATTAGGAGGACGGCCATGACGGAGACACGCCATGATTAGCTACGTGCAGCTGACCCGCTTCCGCCAGCTGAGGTATTACTTCTCTGATGATATTGCGAACACCGTCTGATCGATGCGTTCTTTCAAGTTACCTTCAAGTTGTAACAGCCCTACGACAAGTGCCCCCGTAATTGCACCACCTCCAGTCGTACACCCTGGAGATATTGCCAGCTCTCCTCATCTAACACAGCTGCGCAATTCTGAACCACGTCGCAACTCGATACTCAGTCGCGGGCAAGTCGGCGACACCTACCTCAAGCTCGTCTCCAATGGGCCCGCATCTCCCCCCACGCCCCCGTCGCGCAACACAACTCCAGCACATTGCGGCCAGACCTCCTTCGCACGACATCATTCACACCCGTGCCTCCCGACGGCCTTCCCGTACGGATCCCATCTCTCACCCAACCTTACAACGCGTCTCGGCCCGCGAGACAGATTACTCCGATCCCCCGTCTCCTGCCCCTCTCTGCCCGAACCTGTCGATCCGTCACTCCCTGTCTGCAACCCACGATATCGATATGATGGCCCACCGCGTCGCTCCGTACGCCCGCCTCGTTCGCCCGCGCACCCACCACTCGCTCGCTCCCCGGCGCAATCTCCGGGCCCGCTGCGTACGCACTATATCACGCGCACTGCCAGCTGCGCCGTGGCCCTCGCGCGCCCTGGGCGGTATCGATCAGCCAAGAGCCTGCTCCGCAATAAACGTCTGCCAGACATTGCGCCGGCCGCCAGCGTATGTTATCATGACGTCGCGCGGGGTGCGAAGCCTTCGCGCCTCGAGGCGCGGCTTCACAGCACTTAGCAGACCATTCAGTCTTCGGTCTTCCGGGCTTCATTTTTTCATTATGCTTACCCCGCGTGGACAGCCTCCGCAATGTCGTGCTGCGGGCGCATATATCACAGCCCACCGGGAAGGGGGTACGCAGAGCTTGCCGGAGGGTGGTTGGCCTGCAACGGTATGCCGATGCGCGAAGGCACTGATGGTAGTGCACCCGCTGCTGCATATAGGCCCGCCGCTGCACCGAGGACAGAGTTCGCCCCTCGATGATGCCGCCGCCTCCGTTCCTGTCCCGCCGCCCGCGTTCCTGTCCCACCGTGAAGTTGATCATCTTGGCAACAGCGCAAAGCTTCAAGAGCGTTCCTGACGCATCGTTCAAGCTCGCCATCTTCCGCATGCGACTATCCGTGACAGCTCCCAACAGCAGAGAGGTGAGCGGGACGCGATGAACTGTATAGACGAGAGCTCTACTGACGGCATGATATGGTACAGGGGGTGCAAAAGAAGATCGTATAATGATAGGTTCGAAGGCCCGTGCCTCCGATAGACCGAAGCCCAAAGGGTATCATGAGTCGAAGCTCGGGGCCCACGCCGTGCGCCCTGCCCGTTCCCGTATAAGAAAAGCCTGAAGTCCCGATAGAAGAATGCTGAATCCCCTCCCACGCGCGCCTCCCCCGACCCGAAACCGACGCCCGCCGCGCGGGCGCGCGCTCTACGCCTGGTTCGCAGCGCGGACGCTCGGCCGGACCTGCACAGGCGCCGTCTTCTCCGACGAAACATCGGTCGTCTCCTTGTGCGACGGCGCCTCGCAGTCCGTCGCCGGCGCGGCGCCCTGGAGGCGCAGGTCGCGGCAATACTCCTTCAGGCGCCGCACGGCGTCCGCGCCCTCGCCGGAGAGCGCCTCCTGGGAGCGCTTCATCGCGCCAACGCCGATGTCGAGCGCGTCGGAGAGGTCGCTGACGGTGCTGACGTTGATCTCGTTCAAGTGCTGGTAGAAGCCGTTCTCGCCGCGCTCCGCACGCAAGTTGAGGAAGTCCTCGAGCGCGGAGCACATGTCCACAACGTCGTCCTCGTGGCATTGCACGGAGAGGCTTTCGACGGGCGAGTCGGAGAGCGTCGTGAGCGTGTCGACGACGTTCTCGACGGGGAACAGTGGCGTGATATGGATCTTGCGCAGCTTCTTGAGCGGCTTCTCGGTGTGCTTCGCGTGCGCGAACGTCTGCGAGGTGAGCGCGGTGTTGAGCGCGCACTCGTCGACGGTATGCCCGATGTTGCCCATGATGCGCTCCGTGCAGATGCGGTTGTAGTCGTTCGACTCGTGGTAGCAGCTCCCGAGGTCGAGGACTTCGAGGAAGCAGTACACGGGCATGCTCTCCCACTGGGGGTCACCGAGGTGGGTGTCGCGGATGCGGAGCTTTTTGAGGGTGGGGAGGCGGAGGAGGGAGGGGAGGCGGAGTTCACGGCCGAGCATGGGGTGGTCGGGAATGTCCTCGTCTCCTTTCACGACCGGGACGAAGGGGCGAGCGCCGAGGAGGTCGGGGGCGTGCATCGCCGAGCGGGTAACGCGGTCGAGGGAGAGCTGGCGCAGGTTTGGCACGGAGGCCGCGATGGAAACGACCAATCGTTCGCTCCTGCGGGCGTGGGTGAGCGGATGCCGTCAAGCAAAGGGTGGCAGGGAAGACGTACAAAGGCGACCGGGCCTCATCGCCGCAATGATCGATGCACAGCGACTCGAGGGAGAGCAGGTGCTCGAAGCATGGAATCACCGCCTTTGCCAAAGAGGCTGCCAGACTGAGCGTCAACTGCTCCACTTGCGTGCAGTGCGGGAGGAGGTCGACGAGGGCGTCGGTAACGCGGGGGGCCTCTGATCCGGGGGCGGGCTGCGCTGCACGCTTGGTGCAGATGGTGAGTTGGCGTATATGCCGATTGTACGGCTTTGGCACGCAGGCAGCAAATTGTTGCAGCGCCTCGGCGCTCGAGAGGTTCACGCTCTGGATATGCGGTCAGACATACGCGCATGTACCAGACATGGGTAGACAGACGTACGCGGAACAGGGCAGGAATAGATAGGTTGTAGGCCTCACGGTCTACTTTGGCAAACGTCCGGACGTCGTCGAGGTCGAGCTGGTCGACAATAGATAGCTTCATCTCCACTGGCAGGCAGCTCCAGGAGGCGGTGCGGGTGGCGAACATGGCGAGCCTGTTGCTTGAGGCGGTGGATGAGATTGGTAGGCGGGGAGGGCTGGGGAGTGATGGAGACCAGGCGGGAGGGGGCAGGGGTTTTATAAAGATGGAGGACCGAGGTGGTCGGGGAGAAGTGGCTGGGGCACGCTCACTGCTCCGAGCACTTCGGCATCAGCGAGGGAGCGCTTCGAGCGATCATTGCCGCCGGCGTCCAATCGCCCACCCGCGCGCGTGGCGGAGAGTTGGCACTGGCAGTCCCCACGCCTGCTTAGATTTCCTCCGATGTGCGCTCCTCTGACACCCCATCATCCCCACCGACGCCTCGCTTGTGTCGTCCGCCCGCCCCCAGTCGTCCATCAGCCACCTTGTCACGTCGCAGTCGTTTGAGATATTGCCAAACGCACCCGCGTACCACCTTTCCTGTCCGTGCGCGGCCCTGGATGCGCCTCCAGGACATGGCGCCGCACGGGCGTGTAGGCCAGATGTCGCCGTGATCGCCTGCGACTACGGATGCGCATCTCCTTGCTCTCCGGAACAAGGGCGTGCCCTATCAAAGTCTATCTTCGTATACACGCCTTCTGCAGTGCGCGAAGCCCACACCCACATCGGTGTGCACTGGTATGTCGTCAGCGCTGCGCCAGAGCCCCGCTTCCCTCCCTGTTCCGGTCCCCGTCGTTGCTCCCTCCTATCGCGAACGCACCATCCATATGCGTTCGCAATCTCATCCTCCTCCTCCCATCAGCTTCCTCGTACAACTTTGACAGATCGCTACTATGATATCTGCCCCGTGTCTGCCGGCCATCCTATCCCCTAAAGCGCTCGTCTTCACTTCACCGTCGCGGCCGTGCTCTTCCACCGCCAGCCTCCCTTCCCGGATGTGCTCTTGTCGATCTCCTTGTTTCCAATCGCCGTACACGCCGGCGACGGCTCCGACGAACGTCCGGAGATGCCTGTGTAGGCTTCGGGTGCGCGTGCACATACGCAGTCCCAGATTGTCCTGGATGTTTTCTGACGTATACTGCGACGCGGGCGTGTGGCAGACCCGCGACGGCGTTCTCGGACGTGTGGTGGCTAAGAGCGCTGTCACAGGCTCCCGCCGTAGCATACAACTGTCATTGACTGTTCCTGCCCGTGGAGAGCGTGTCCATCTTCCACTTGTCGCAAAGGGTAGCTGCGACACCCGCTTCGGCTAATGGCCTCGCAGCCTCCTCCCCGGCCGCCGGATGCACCGCGCCAGCTGAGATTTTCAGGTCGCGCCGTATACAATGCGTATTGGCGGCAGGTACGGTCGTAGCGTCTCCCCGTCCGACTGACAGCTCGTCCGCAGCTGGCCTGGATCGCCGACGGGTTCCAACGCGCAACACCCCGACAGCACCTGGACGTTGTCGGGCTCCGCGCACGGTAATTGCGCGGGCCGCCGCGCAACATTCTGACACGCTAGCGCCTCCCATCGGCCCCTTGCCCGCGCAGGTAGAGCGCGGCGGCGCTCCGGTGCCCACCGCGCTACGCCAGCAGCACCGTCCCGAAACCGACTGCGAGGATCGCTTTTTGCGGGGGTGGCGGCGCGGGCCACTTGCCCAGCCGGGGCGCACCAGCGCGGCATCCCTCGAGTCGCGACGTCCGGTCCGCGTCGGATTTGTCAGTAGCCCGCCAGTTCTCCAAACTGTATCGCGCTGGACCGAGCTGGATGCTTCGGAGCTTACTGCGCACGGCTTTACATGCCGAAAGGCCATTCCTGTGCGCCCCTTACTAGGATGCGGTGACCGAGCAGGCCTGAGTTGAAGGGCCGTTCGGGATCGCCGTGTCGCACCGTCATGTGTTAACGGCGACACACCTCCGCTGCTGGTCGGCTTCGGGATGCACGCGTCGCATCTTCTACCGCAGCACGGTGTCTTATTTACTTACCCTGCCTTGTGCACTAAGTCTGCGCTCGACATTTTTTCTTCCTGAGGACAGAGCTGCTTTTGCACGCAGCCGCCTCCGACGTCGGATCCGCGCCTACGCATGCCTGTGCCCGCCAGCGCAGATATCTTGCAAACACACGGCTCCCGGACCCGCAGTCTTCTTCGTCCGCCGACCGTACGCGCACCCACTGCCCACACCGGACACACAAACCACAGACGAGGACGCCGGGTACGAACTACGTAGCCAGATCTGGCGATCGCCTTATGTCTGTGTGTCATCGCGATATCGATGTCGAGGACGTCGATGGAAGACGTAGAACATATCTTCCGCTCTGATGGCGCATCAAGCTGCACAGCTTGGAGCCGCCGCTCCATGATCGACATCACGGCACCCCCGCTGCGTCTTCGAAGCTCGGCAGGCGCCAGCCTCGACCATCCAGCCCCGCAGCCGACTCGGACCACCCCAGGCGCGCGGGCCCGCGCCTGCGTAAGTACGTACTTGGTACGTACAGCTAATCGCCGAGGAACTGTATCTGCGCACTAGGTCTGTGTAGTCCACGCTAGACCACCGGCTCACATCCTCAGCATGCGGTACATCCCGACATCGGCGGCACGGACGCTCCGCCGAGCTCGGAAATGCCTGAACCTGGATGAGACAACGCAGTCTCAGGTGGGCCAAGCTGCCACCATCCTCATCCCCATCACCCGCCTCGGAGGTCCACCGCAATCCTTGGATGTCCCGTAACCACGTTTCGCACCGGTTGATGCCGTGATCTCCAGCCCCAGCAGCTCGCGTACTCGGGAATATCATGTGCTGCGTGCGGACGCGCGCGCGCCCGGCCAGCCGCCACACACAGCATACGTCCACCTCCCGCGACGTGCGCATCACCTGTCTGCTCAAAGGCCGGTCATATATCACTGCTATCTTGCGCTATATGCTTTGTTGATTGGGCGCATCGGGGCTGCGTTACATCTAGCGTGCTGTAGGTAGGGTGGGGGGCACACGGTTCGAGGTCGTTAGGGACACAATCATGGAGATGGTGATACATTCGTACAGCTGCTCGACGAAGCGATCATGCGCGAGTAAACGTAAGTTAACCGAGGTGGTAGCCGGACACACTGTGAGAGAAATCGGGAGACGAGGCTTAGCGGGGACTGCGACCGCTCGTGTGCGTAGGTACCTAGAGAATAAAGACCAAGGTAACATGTACAGTATGCGGATGAGAGGATGGTAGGGGGTGTCGCCGGTGTGATAGAGAGGAATGCGGAAGGCATCTAGAACCAAAGTGTTTCTAGCTGCGGGATGGAAGGGTATGCACGCGTTACGCGGTAAGTACAGAAGTCGGGTGGTATTTCACCTTCTCGAAGATGCGGAAGAGCGAGATGAAGAGGTTGAAGCAATACATCATGAGACCGACACCCACCAAACAGATGAGCACTACCTGGTCATCACATAACGTATCACCAACGCCACCTTCGAAGCCATTGACGCCGTTTGGGAGGACTGGACGCGGAAGTTTGCTGTACCAGGAGATGCTGGTCTCGGATGCGCAGGGAATAAGTGAAGTGAAAAAGTTGTCGAAGGAGAGTGCGAGTGCCGCCGACCACGTGCAGATGAAGACGACCTCGAGAAGTGTGTAGGCAAGTTTCCAGGAAGTGTGCCACAGGCCCAAGGGTCGGCCGAAGTATTCGAGCTGCATACACCGGTCAGAGAACGGTAATGTAAAGCCATGTGGAGACGCACGTATACGGCTATCATGACATGCACTAATGTCAGGCAGGCGAATATGATAACCAAGGTGCTGGTGAACGGCCTCGTTCAGTATAAGCATGAAAAGGTGGCATGTATGCTACTTACGGAGAGGCTCCAAGCGCCCCCATGACACCACTCCGTTCCTCGATGATCCGAATGCGGATCGCGATAGCGAGGGCAGCGGTAGTGAGAACGATGTTGCAAAGACGGAAAAGCTGCCACAAAAGCATCAGTACAGAAACCTTTCCATGACATGAATCGAGCCCACCAAGGGAACATAGACGTTATACATCATGTATGCTCTGAACCGTTTTCGTCTCCTTTGCCAAGGGGTTGCTTTCTCGTCATCGTGCAATGAACCAGTATCCAGTGCATGAGGATCGTGGCTTTCGTCTGTCCCAATCGGATGCGAGGACGTCCACGGCGTGTCCCAGCCCGGTGTGCGACTGTGCGACAGCGTGAAAGGGCCACTGGTAGGGGGCATGTCGATGCGCAGACGACTCCGGGGATTCGCCTGTGGCGTGCCCGACTCAGATCCCTCGCGGTCCGACTCACGGAGCGTCGGGCTGCCCTCTTCGTGCTCCTGCGAGCGGCGGAACTGCGATGAAGAGAACCAGGGTATAGACATCGAACGGCCGCCGTCCCGGGGCCGCCTGGGTGGCCGCTGCTGCTCCTGCTCGGTGGGCGAGAGCGGCATGGAACCCGAGTCCATCGGGCGATGTCTTGCGAAAGCCCACCAGCGCGAGGGGCCCGGGTCTTCGGGTGCCGAAGACTGGAGAGAGGCAACATCGGAGGGGCGGCGGAAGTCTGGGAAATGCCTCGCGCCTTCGTGCGGTTCGTGCTCGCCAGGGGAGGGAGGCTCTTCGCGTGCCCACGCTAGAATTTCAGACAATCAGCTGGCGAGCTGCAGTACTGAAATACATCCGAGAACGAACGTGGAGCGGTATTGATGTAGGTTTTCACGGTCGAGGTGGCGGCACGAGAACTGTGGACGCTGTGGGACTTGGAGAAGGAGGAAGCTGAGGCCGATGGGGGTTGACCATCGTTGCTCATCGGTGCCTCAAGGGCGAGCGGGGTGGAGAAAGGAGAGGAAGATGACGGGGGACGGGATAGCCTGCGCGCAGTCCGGCGCTGTGAGAGGGGGAGAGGTCAACCGGCATGCCTCCCAGCGCTCGTCCGGCTCATATACCTCTCTTCTCGCTCTCCGTCTCTCTCTGCGCGGCGCTCCGTCTCCTCATCAGCCGATCCTTCTTGCTCTATATCTGCACCGTCTAGCTCGCAATCACGTATTGCTGCACACATGGACGAAGCTCTTCCGTCCATACAGACGACGGGCGTCGGATCCCGTTTCGTCTCGCAGTCCGAGCTCGAAACCGCCAAGGCCAAGCGCGACGAGCAGTGGAAGGCCGCCTACGCCAGGTAGCTATGCCGCCCTATTCATTTGTGCTGCGACCTCTAACGTCATACAGACTGGGCCAAGAGCCTCCGCCGCAGCCCGCAGACGATGCATTTGACGGCAGGAGCCTTGCGGAGGTGCGCGTGCCTCCTTGTTGTTAATCCTGAGACCGGACCATAACACCTCTATCTCCCCCAGAAATTGGCTGCGAACAGAGTAAGCATTGCCCCGGGCGCGTGCAGCATGGGGCTTATGCATTTCAGGCAGCCAAACAAGAGGAGTGGGAGGAGCGCAATAAGCTAGGTGAGGCTGTCCTCCCCGTCCCATCTCCGCAGCCCAACCCGCTAACTGCTGCCATTGACAGGGAACCAGTTCCGTGCGCTTGAAGAAGATGAAGTGCTGTTCCTCGACTCTGTACTCGAGAAACAGAGAGAGGAGGAGCGTCTCCGGAAGGAGATGGACGGCGAGGAGCTCAAACACTTTCGGGAGTAAGCCCATTCTTATCGGACGACCGGTGTCCCCGGTATTCACATCCCACAGAGCGGTCGCCGCCCGAGAAAGTGCAACAAACAAACCACCTCCCGTAGGCGCGGCCGTGGCCGCAGTCAGCCCACCACCGGCCACGAAGCCGAGCACTGCAAAGCCGAACGCCGCTCCCGTGAAAAAGGATGCGAAGAAGGCCCTGAAGGGCGTCCTGGTCAAGAAAAAATCGAAATCTGCTGCGCCCAGTGCATCTGCCGCTCCGGAAGGTCAAACGACCGAGGAAAAGAAGAGCAAAGCCGGTGAAAAGGCCGAGGGGGACGAGCGCGAAGCCAAACGGCGAAAAGTAGCTGATAGCTGACCAGCCATCACGTTCTTCTCCGACTACTTCACTCTGCTCGTGCTTTCACCTGGACGAACTCTGGGTTTGTATCATTATCCGCTCATCTGTCGAAGTTTGTGGTATGGTAGCTAGATCCTATGGCAATACAACAATCCTCATACATTGTGCGGCGAAACTCGGAAACCGGTAATCCTACTAAGATCACCCTCGCCTGGTCACTGGACTTGGTGTAGGCGTCCACCTCATCTTCTGAAGGTCCCTCTCCTTCGACCTCTCTCCTTCCCATCCAGATAGACGTCCCATCGCGTCCGCCCGTCTAGAAGCGGCGGTACCCATGGTCGACCTGTCCAGCAGACGCCTCGCGGCGGGCGTAAGCGAACCAGGTGCTTCCGACTTGCGCGGGGTAAAGGACGGGGGAGGCATGGAACCTCTCCGGGCGGCGCCGCTCCCCGACAATCGCGACGAGCCCGGGAGGCCTCCAAGCAGGCCGGCCTTCGCGCGCAAGCTTTTCGACGCGTCATTCGACAACCTGTGCGAGAGCCGCTCTCTCGACGACGGCTCGGCAATGCGGAAGGGTGTTGCCGGGGTAGGGACGTCGGCAGGATCATCGGACTGTGACAGGATGCGGGGAGTCGCGTTCAGCGTCCCCCACGTCATGAGCTGCTTTACTGCGGCAGGCCCCAGCTCCGAGGGAGTAGGAGAGGGTATGGAGGCTACTAGTGAATGGGTGTCATTCGTGGGAGACCTCGGGCAATCTGAGTGTATACTTGTCAGTGGGTGGTACGCGGGAACAACGTCTGTGGTTTGTCACTTACATGGTGTGCCTGCAATGGCGGCATCGATGCGGCTGCGAGTTGGGCTCGGAGGTGCCGATATGGACTGGTCTGGCTTATCGTCTTGCTCCGGTAGCCTCGTGTTCGTATGCTTGATGGCTTTCGGAGGTCCCTTGGCAGCCTCCACGGTGCTTGCGGCAGGTGGATGGTACGGGGAGACGTCAGCGTCAGGAGAGAACATCAGAGCGTTCCGCGCCTGGTGTCAAATTAGCACATCCATCCACTCGGCCGTGGTACGTTTAGTGTATTGAGGCGTACCTTGAAGCTCCACCCGTCTACACCAGCAGCGCGTGTGTCCTTCTTCGGAGCCATTACATCGACAGCCATGTCCTCGTCCTTCCTTGGAACTATGACAAGGGCCGACCCGCCCTTCTCTGCCAATTTCCCCTTCTCCGCGGCTGTCGGCTCTTTGTGCGTCCCGTCCAAGAGGTCCTCCACCTCGTCTTCGTCCTCCTCATAGACCACCACAGGCTCCGCGGGCGCAGCTTCGATAAGCCCCGCTGGTGCCGGTGCATCTATCCTGAGCCGCTCCCTTACCCCTGGTCCGGGAGGCGGCTCGAGTAGCATCCTCTCCCTGCCCTCGAGCATCCGGTCCCTTTGTTCCTCCACCCGGCGTTGCGCCGCCCATGCCCAGCCGTACTTCTCCTTCCGCCGCCTGTTCTCCTCGTCCAGGATCTGCGTGAAACTCGAATTGTCCTCGGACGTGTAGCGCGCCTGGAAGGCGTCCAGGCTCATGTCCGTGTCAAGGCGAGCCCGTTTCGCGGGGCCCTCGCCGTCTCCGCGCGGGGTGCGCAAGGGGGTGTCCGATGGGCCAGCGGCGTAGGGGGTCTGCGAGGGGGTCTGCCATGGGCGGCCCCGGCGCGACACGGGTGTCTGCAGGTCTTCGAGACGGCGCACCGACGCCTGGATGAGGACTGGGTCTTGTGACCGGAGCGCGTCGAGGTAGTTGTTTGTGGCATCGATGTGGACCAGAGACGGAAAGAAGTCTCGTTTGATGATGCTCGAGAGCGCCTCGGTGTACTCGTCTTCATCGAGAACCACTTGCCGGTTGAGGGATCGAGCGGGCTGTGAGCTCGAGGAAGCTCCCGGGGTCATTGACATTGCGGCGTATGCAGATAGGTCCAGCAATGCAATACGTCGGCGTGATGGGTGAGCTTGGGAATGGCAAGTTGCTGTCGGGAACCGGATGGACAGTAACTTAAGTGGAGGAACGGGTCAGAGACTCAGAGTGCCGGACGCTTGTGGCTACACGCCCAAGCGCCCACAGTGCACCCTCGTTCGAAAAAGGAAGGCGAGAAGGAAAGATGCGTACCTCGTCGACTGGAGTCAATTGCTACACGGATTCAAAATGACTGAAAGTTCATCTTGTTAGCTCAGAAAATTGGTACGATGCGGCTATAGGCCGGCTTGGTATACATAGTTCAAGGAGCCGATGTGATTGCACAGTAGAATATATTATACAGCGCCGACACCATTACAGCTATACTCTGCTTGCAGCTCCAGCGTGGCCGTCGTAAGCTCTTCCACGCACTAGTATCTCGGCGGCTGCACCAGTCTATCGAGAATAGCGGGAATATCGTCATAAGCGTCATTGATAAGTGAGACGTGGGGTGCAGCTATGGGGGGACCCGGCCACCGGGCCCGCTACTGCAGTTGCTGTATCGTCAGTTCGTAATCGCGGTAAGGAGGGAGGGGAGGAGATTATGTATGTACGGGTGAGATGGCAGAGGGAAACATATAATCATCGCAAGGAACAAGACCAAGGGATAGCACGATATGGATAGAAAAGTAAGAGAGTGCACGGGGAGGAGGTGCAGGAGGAGAGCATGGAGGATAACACGGCAGCGAAACGGACAAGCCTTCAGTTCCGGCCGTACAGCATGTTGGTACTCCCCGATCGCGGTCGCGCCTTCGCGGGTGGGAGTCCCTCTGTATCGCTTCCTCCGCTTCGCCGTCCTGACACCGAGGGCTTCCCGATACGGCTCTGGGCGAGTGCCGAAGGTGGTGGTAGCTTCGGCGCTCGGATAGTGACATTGGAATGGGTGCTGTAGCTCGGAGAGTCTAGGACGGGAGATCGGATAGTGCTGGCACCGAGGGACGAGCGCTTTGGTTGACTGTATGCGCCCGATCCGGGGCCCGTCGAACGCTTCAAACCTGCTCCGCCATAGATACTCGCAGAGGGCACCGGAAGGAATGTAGGCGTCGATGGTCGCGACGAAGGGGTAGGGATAGAGCTGGTAGTGCTTGTAGTTGCGTTGGTGCTGACACTGCTCCGCCCCTCCGTCGAGACCGATAGCCGCGACTGCGGACGCCGAAGCCCAGTGGGCATGACACTTTGAGACAGAGCGCTGGTAGTCCGACTGTTGCTCCCCGTTGATGATGGTGACTCCAACGAGCTGGATGATACAGCGCGAAATGCAGTAGGGGCAGTGGGGCTCGAAGTCCGCCGCCGCTCCTTCTCCTTGTCCTTCACCGGTGACGGCGAGTCCTCCATGATGAGCACCCATCCAGACGTGTCCGCGCCCGGGGTTCGTTTGAAGTCGCCATCTGAGTCGATGCTCTGCCGCCGCGACTTTGCGACGGCGGGGCTAAGACGATCGTCGTGCGATGCGCGGGAAGAGGAAGTCGATGGGACTGGTGAAGCTGATGAAGAAGAAGCTTTCGTAGGAACAGGGGGAGGCGGCATTGCGTTTGCCGACGTTCGACTAGTGACGCTGCCCATACGCAACCGCGGAACACGGGTGTGAATCTTCTGTTCGAGGACCCTCACACGAGCCCTCATCTCCGATACCATTTGCACGCCTCGACTCCTAGATGCTGTGGAAGGGACACCGCCGGCGGTACCCGCAATGCTCGAGTTCAGGGTCGTAGTAGCACGAAGAGCGGCAGGTCTCGGGACGGGAGTTCGAGGGGGAGGCAAGCGAGAGGGGGAGAGACCAGGCAGAGTATTAGATCGCGCGATAGCAGACATGCCGCCCTGAGGAGTGGAGACGTTGGCGCGTGGTGGTTGGAAACCGGCACGTTGGAGCATGGATGTGGGCGTAGAGGGGTTGGCACCCTTGGTTGGGCGGGGCGAAACGATGGAGATCGGGGTGGGGAAATCCTTGGCGGGTGTTTCTGGTGGGGGAGTGAGATCTGCGAGGCAGAGATCTGGGGGAGTTGGGACGCTGAGAAGGTCCTCGTCCGATAACGATGGTGTGGCGTTGGGTAGTGACGATGGCGTCGAGGAATTCACGGAGGTCGTTGAGATGCTGTTGGCACGCTGCTGGGCGGCAGCCAATTGGTCTTTCAGAATCGCAATTTCTTCGTTGGCATCTGCGCAAGAAACAAGGGATGAGAGGGTAAGCGCCATTGGTGTGACCAGGACTTACCTCTCAGCTCGTCCTTCACTCGTTGACCTTCCTCCTCCATATTGGCCTTGTCCAGTAACTCGTGCTCCAGGAGGATCTTCTCCTCCAGCACCCGCGCATACTTCTGCTCCATATCGGCCAAACTGGACGATATCGCCCGTTCACTCCGCTCCAAGTCGTCGTTGCCCATCTCTAGCTCTCGTAGCTGCACCTTGATCTTCTGGTAGTCTTGCCGTAGCTTGTCCAATTCGCGTTGAAGGGAGGTTGTCGTGGTGTTGTGCGTCGTTTGGAGAGACATAAACTTGGTCTGCGGCCGCGTCAAGGACGCTGCGGGGAGCCACCTCAGGAATACGCACCTTCCAATCGTCCCTCTCCTGTTCCGCCCTAGCTACCTTGACTTTGAGCTCCTGTTGAGCCTTCTCGGTCCGCTCCAGCTCGCGTTCGAGTTCCTCCTCTAGCTCCTTGCTTGAGTGGTGGAAGTCGTCGAGTTCGGCGCGCGTTTCTGCCAGCATATCGGCCACCTCGAGATACTTTGACTTCCAGTCCGCCCCCGGGGAGGAGAAACTGCGAAAGGGGACAGGTCAGTACAGGGGGAGGCGCATGTGCGGGCGCAGCAAGTACTTGATAGAGTTGTCGTCCATGGAACCCATTCTGTCCTTGCGCAGGATGTCCGTGGCTTGCAGAACAGCAGTCATAACGTAAGACGGTTATGTACAGGCAAAGACAGAAAGCCAGGAGCCTCGAGGAAAGCCAGGAGGCGGGAACCAAGGGGAGACCAGAACCAGTGCTTGCGGTGAGTGAACAACCCCCGTCAGCCCCGAATAGTGAACTTGTCGTTCAGCGGCCACGCGAGCCTCCTGCCTTTTGTGGCCAACACGTGGGGGTCGCGTCGCACGTGATATGCTTCGACGCGCCTAAGCTTAATGGGCGCGTCTTCCCTACCCCAGCGCGTTGTGTGTGGCCTGGACAGACACGCAGACGACAGTATTCGCACAATTCATCAGACCTGGTCGGTGTGAGACTACCGAGTTCGCTCCCCTGTCCATATGGCTGGCAACGAGCATACGTGATAAGGAAGCGAGACGGCACTAACATTACATACAATAGACCGGTACATCGAGTAATCTCCACTACCATAGCTACATGCCTTCCGGCTTAGCGCATTTACGCTTCTCGATTTTACCGGTCTTTGGACAACGCATTTCTTGCCACGAGACGGGTTCCATCGTGGCACCTGGAATGCGAGTTAGAGCAAGCTGGCGGCAAAAACAGCTGACGGCCTTACCAGCTTCGCTAGTGGCGAAAATAACCCCAAGGTCATTCCGAGCAGTGGTGACATAGTAGCTGCGAGCATCCCCCAAAGAAAGCTGGAAGGAGGGTAAACAACACCATAACGTCAAGAAGTGGAAGCTACATACCACAAGACCTCTAATAACGTCCCCTCCACGAAAACAGTCGGCAATTTTTACTTTGTCCTTCTCGGTCGCCCGGACATCTTGCACACGGATGACGCCAGTGAACTCTTCGCCTGCCGGTAGAGGCACGCCGTCTACGACACTAATCGACAAAACAGCCTGCAGAGGCGACAAGCGGGTGACAGAGCCAAGCACGACGGAGTTCGGAGCTGGTGGGTGAGGGCGCGTGCGCTTGATTTCCAAAGTCTGGCGTAGCGACAAGTCCACGGCGTTCGCACGAGAGACAAGAATATTCAGAGTGGTCCAAGACGAGAGCGGCAGGAAAAACCAACAGATCCTGAGTACTGAGGGACGCCGACGAGACTTGCCCTGACGGTGCCATCGCGGATGTAGGTACCGCCGCCGAGCTGCGGGACAGGCCCCCGCGGGAGCGGGATTGGCTGGCCTGGGAGAACGGTGTCGGACGACATTGGTCGAAAGAGAGAACGGATGGGGGAGGGACGGATAGACGGTTAGGCGATGTGCGCATCTGGGAGCTCCGAGCCTGCCCGAAGAGCGACGCGCCGGCTGAATTTGTGCGTGTTTACGCCCCCCAACGACGTATCGCGTACCACTTTTCTGCGTCTTGCCAGCTGAGCCCAGCATCTCGCCCAAATCTCGCCCTTCGACTCCGTGTCGCCCTCGCCCCCTCTCTCGTCCGCGCAATGGCCTCCACTCTCGCCCGCACCGTCTTCGCTAGACGTATGTACAGTTCCGTCTCGTTTCCGCGGAGCTGCAAGCTATAACTCTGCACTCCGTCAGGCTTCCACGTCTCGGCCTCCCGCCATGCGCTCTCCAAGTTCACCATGCCGGCAATGAGCCCTACCATGACGGAGGGTGGTATTGCATCATGGAAGAAGAAGGAGGGTGAGTCCTTCGCGGCTGGAGACGTCCTGCTCGAGATCGTAAGTCGCGTGAACAGCCGAGCATTCCGAGAATGCCCTATAACTTAGCGCGTTACAGGAAACCGACAAGGCTACCATCGACGTTGAGGCGCAGGATGATGGCATCTTGGCCAAGATCATCGTGCGTCACCCGTGATTTTCGCCGTCCGGTGTCGCCTGACGTGTCTTGCTGTACAGGCCCAGGACGGTCAGAAGGGCATTGCCGTTGGCTCGCCCATTGGTATTATCGGCGAGGAGGGTGACGACATCTCTGGCGCTGAGCAGCTGGCTGCTGAGTCTGCCGAGCCTGCTGAGAAGCCGAATGCGGCGGAGAAGGCTCCCGAGGCACCCAAGTCCGAGCCCACCAAGACGGAGGCCCCCAAGCAGGAGACGAAGTCCGAGCTCCCTACAGGTGACCGCATCTTTGCCTCGCCTATCGCGAAGAAGATTGCTCTCGAGAAGGGCATTCCCCTCGCGAAGGTCAAGGGTACTGGCCCCAACGGGCGTATCATCCGGGAGGACGTCGAGAAGTACCAGGCACCTGCCGCGAGTGTATCTGCGGCTCCTTCCGCGGCTCCCTCGCCCTCTGCATCCCTTCCCGAGTACACCGACACCCCCGTCTCGAACATGCGCCGCACCATCGGCACGCGTCTCACGCAGTCAAAACAGGAGCTGCCCCACTACTACCTCACCCTGGACATCAACATGGACAAGGTGTTCAAGCTCCGTGAGGTGTTCAACAAGACCCTGGGCGACAAGGACAAGTCGGCGAAGCTCTCGGTCAACGACTTCGTCCTGAAGGCCGTCGCGTGTGCGCTCTCCGACGTTCCCGAGGCTAACTCGGCGTGGCTGGGCGAGGTCATCCGGCAGTACGTTCAGCAATATAATGATCAGCGCGTGTAGAGACTAACTATGCAACAGATACAAGAAGGCTGACATCTCTGTCGCTGTCGCGACGCCCACGGGCCTCATTACCCCCATCATTAAGGACGTCGGCTCCAAGGGTCTCGCGTCAATATCGTCTGAGGGCAAGGCGCTTGCGAAGAAGGCGCGCGACGGCAAGCTCCAGCCCCAGGAGTACCAGGTACGTTCATCAATACGTCGACAGCCGTGCACACAGGTACTAACCGGCTATTAGGGTGGAACCTTCACTGTTTCCAACCTTGGCATGTTCGGCATCTCGCACTTCACCGCCATCATCAACCCCCCTCAGTCATGTATCCTCGCCGTCGGCGCGACCCAGCCCACACTGGTCCCCGCACCCGAGGAGGAGCGCGGCTTCAAGGTTGCGCAGATCATGAAGGTCACGCTGAGCGCGGACCACCGGACGGTCGACGGTGCGGTCGGCGCGCGCTGGTTGTCGGCGTTCAAGGGCTACCTCGAGAACCCCTTGACGTTCATGCTCTGAGAGGGATACGGGGTCCGGGCTGGGGCTGCAAAATCGTCCTTCGTTGACATCCATAGACTTGCTACGTCGATAGTACACTTTTGCCTATAGTTACTCACGATACCGCCAGGGTGCTGGGTTTACCAGCAACTTGTAATGTTTCACGTCGTTGCTGTTGTCGGACCGCTGTGTGCGCTATCCAGCATGAAATCTTTCGTATGCCGTGGGTCGTTGATGGAAGCAGCTGTAGCCGGGACAGACTTTGAATGACGAGCGCTAAATACATGACACTTCGTACGGAGCGCCGGCGCGTCGCGACGCGTCCCTGAGCAGACGCGTCGACCACCGCCGGGCTTCCTTCAAGTTCAACCTCGACGCGTCGTTGTTTGACCAGTTCACCCTACATGCCCCCCAAAACATCCTGTCAGACCGAGCAAAACCATACCTACCTGTCGATCCTAATTGTGGCGCATATACGCGCAGGCTCACCCTCAGACACTGTGGCTTGAATGGAGCCAGACTTCATCAGCGAACAGGTGAAGAACGTTTGGCGCGTCATAGCGGCGAACGCGAAGTTGATTGCGGACAAAAAGCTCACCATAGAGGTATGTCGCTGGGATGGTCGTGAGACTGGCTGCTCATTCCAAAATTCGCAGGGAGCGTTTGTAGACCCAAATTTCGTTCTGGGCCAAGCTGTCGCCCTTCACCACGCTGTCCTCGACAGCGTGAACATCCAGCAAAACATTCAGCAGACCGTGAAGGACGGTTCCCACCAGGTAAGCGTCCGTAAAGTAAACAACCGCATTGGATGTGCGAACGTCTGATATGTATAATATATGTAGCAGTCCGTCATCATGAAACCCGAATTTCTGAGCCAACAAGGGAAGGCGCTACAGGTCGTGATTGACGACAGCGCGCGGCTTCAAGACTCGAGCAAGACCACGCATTCGGAGGCGAGCTTCACACTAGACACCATGTGGCCACATATACTCAGTTTCCTTCTAAACAGCTCACAAGCCTAGGGGACATGTTCGTGCTCGGCCTCGTTTCCAACTTGCGCGACGTGATCTCCGACAATGCCCACAGAGCTAGAGAAGCTAATATGCAGCCTAACCTCGTGAGTGCGGGATGTGGCTATTGACTCATAATACTGACTCTTTGAGGTGCAGTTATACATGGCTCGACCGGACTTTACGGCACAACTGGCCAAGTCGTATCATTCCGTGATGACTGCGTATATATGCCAAAAGAGAGGCTCTGACGTTGGGCGAAGCGATGTGAGCACATTACCTTCCATGTTTCCTTACCATATAAAGCTGATAGACCGATGCCAGCAACTTGCTGCAGAGCGTGCACTCCTTGAATACAAGACGCAAGTCGATGCGTCCATCACAGAGAAGTTCGAAGCACTCTCAAAGGTTGCCGGACTGGAATCATCCGTCGCTGCGCTCCTGAAGGAGCGTGACGAACTCTCGGCCCACACGAAAGACGCCGTCGACGCGGCCCAGGGACGCGTCCACAAGCTTGAAGAGGAGTTGGCACGCTTGAGCTCCGAGCATCTTCGGAGTGGCTCCATGGTATTGCAGTCTCTCCCGTCATTCGATTGCCGATACACTTATACCACCTTGCGTAGGCGCAGGAAAACAGTTCCGAACTTGTGGCCCTGAAGGAGGAGCACAAGGCCCTTGTGCAGAAATGCGAGGAGCAGCGCAACGCGGCTGCATTGGCCGTCCAACAGGTCTTAGTCTTGACCGAGGAGAGGCGACAACTGCAGCTCGATCATGATAGACTGGCCATTGAACTCACTGACACGCGAGCGTCCTCCGAAACGTTCTCCCTTGACCGTGCCAGAGAACATGACCAGATGAACACCACGGTCTGCACCATCTCGCTCGACCTCCATAGTGTCGTATATTCATCCGCCTACAGATCGCTCGCTTGGAGGATACTTTGCAAAAACGTGAAGCGGTGATGAGCTCTCTCGCGGAAGAGAAGACACAGTTAAGGATGGCGCTCGATTCGGTGAAGGCAGATCTTCAGGCCACCAGCACTCAAGTAGGTTATAGTCACGCATCCGCATGCCCGCACTCCTGACAGTGATCCTCTTGTAAGCTATCGGCTACCGTAGTCCAGTGCGATACCTGGAAGGCCACGTTAGACGACGTGCTTTCCCGCCAGACCACCGACATCGACAACATCCGGCAAGATGCCGCGAAGGAGAAAGAGTCTGCGGACGTTCTGGTATGTAGCGCACATGTCATTCTCATATTTCCTTCTATTCATGTGAGGCTCGCAGCTAGGGAATGCAGTCAAGAAGATCGAGGAGCTAGAACTTCGGCTGCTGCAGAAGGATACCGAGGTCAGTAGTACCTACCAAAACAGCCGCGACCTCCCACTCACGAAGCATACTAGATTTCAACCTTGCGCGAAGCTGCTAAGCAGCCAGCTCAGCAGCCAGCATTTGCATCGCCAGTCAAGCTCCCAGCGTCGCCGCCTCCCTCGTCCAGGAAGCGGCCAGACAACGGGAAACGACCGGCTGCTGCGTCAACTTCCGCGGGTGGTGGCTGGACTCTGAACCTCGCGACCCACGGTTCCCCTCTGCCTCTCAGCCGCGTTCAGGAATTAGCCACTTTGCCTGAGGTTGTTGTGGACCTGGGTCCTGGGCAGGCCGCTCCTGCAATCTTCACTCGCCAATCGCTCAGTTCTATCTTGGGTGGTTCCATACAGGGGCTGGTGGTTCGGTGAGGTCGTTTGTAATTCATGATGTTTGTTCTCCCGAACTGATCTTTACGCGTCGTATCAGCTGCACCGAGAGCGCAAGCGATCTTGCGCGTGAGCACGGTATACAAGATTACCTGTGCCCTAACATGGACCATAACGCGTGGTCTCCTGCGGGACCCGGTAAGCACGGTTACATGCAAGTCGGCTTGGGCCGAGACAAGAGGCTCTTCAACGACGCCGGCGACTACCGACACGTCTTCGTCGGCGCGGGCAAGCATTTCCTGTACTGCGGCTGGTACCACGTCCTGCGCGTCGAGCCGCTCACGAAGGAGGAGTGGGAGACCCTGCCGCCGAAGGTGCGTCACATCGTCATATGTCTGCGCGATTCGAATGCCGAACGAGCCCTCGCGCAGGTGAAGCAAACGTACTCGGAGACGACCGTGAGTAAGGAGAAGTCGGCCGAGCTCAAGTCGGTGCAGCAGGTGCTCCGCATGTACAACGAAGGCGTGCTGCGCGCGCCGTGCGTGCGCCTTCAGTGTGTGGAGTTCGACACGGCGTTCTACCAGGAGCTCGCGCGCGCGAACGACCAGTTCTTCCAGCACAGGCCGCTGCAGATGCGCCCGTCGGCTCACAAGGGCGGGGCGGGGCCGTCGAAGCGGCGGCGCGTTGACAAGGAGAGTACACATACTCTGGTCGATGATAGCGAGGAGGAGGTCAGCCTTGCGTTGGTGACGAAGAAGAAGACCCTGGTGGCGACACCATCGAGCACACCCGCGTTCTCGTCAACGAGCCAGCTGAAGGTCGACGATACGGTAGACACCAAAGTGGACCTCACCACTTCGGAACTGCCGCCGTCTGTTCCGCCGGTCGACGTCAACGTCACGCCAGGGGCCGGACCATCGACCATGCGTACAGCGCCATCAACGGGGTCCTCGACTGTACCCATGCAGTCTGGTTCAATCAAACTACGCATCCCTCCCCGCAGAAGTGTCAACGGGAAACCCCTCATACCCGACGTGCTGGAGGATGTTATCGAGTTGTCGGATTTGTCTTCCGAGTCGGACGATGATGACATGTACGCAAACTGATAGGATGATGCCGCTGACTTTTGTTTTTCTTGCTGTCGACCATCTTGCTTTTGCTTTCCCGCCATGCTTTCTTGTACATGCTCTTTGAGACCGCGTTATAGCTTTGCGATTGTACCCCATCCTAATTGCTGCATATCTTGTACATACACCGTCACGTTAATTGTTCCGTACCAGCTCGTATAATGTATATACTCTGCCATCAGTTCGATGGAAGCGTTGATACCATCCTGTCGTAGAACTGTTGTACTGCTTCCACTATGCCTTCGTGGTACTTCTCAATTGTCTGACCCGCCATGCCTGGAGCGATTTGGGGATCTCCCCGCACGAGGCCTTCCAGCGTCAGCTTGGTGAACTCGACAAGAGGCATCCAGACCTTCGCCAAGAAAGGCGTCAGGCCTTGGTCTATAAGGATGTCATCAGTAACGGTTCCTGTAACACACTTTCCAGTACTCACGATCGTGCAGCTCAGATTCGACCAGCCTGTTCACACACGGACCTCAGTTGTTGAACAATGTTATGTGCAAGGCTTACTTACGGAGGCAGAATCTCGATAACCTGAACTTGCGTCTTGGAAAGTTGAGCACGCAGAGACAGGGCGAGAGAATGCAGTGCGGCTTTTGTGGCCGAATAGTTCGCCACGTTTGCGAAAGGCAGAACGCCGAGCGAGGATGTGATGGGAATAATAAATGAAGGACGGCCTTCATCCTGGAGAAAAGATGAGTGTTGTTAGTGCAGGGTGGATACCGTGTATTCGATGTGCATACTCACGCTGAGCTTCAGGAAGTGGGGCAGGAACAGCACGATCAACTTGAAGATCGACAGATAGTTCGTCGAAATTTCGTCCTGGAATTCTGAGAATCGCTTAGCTCGCACTGCGTGATGAACGGGATGCGCTACGTACTGCTCAAGTCGATAGTCTCCGGTTGCGTGAACTTGAAAATATGCTGTATCCCGGATGAGAAAATAACGGCGTCCAACTGCAAGATGAAACCGTGAGTCAATGCCGTATAGAAGGGTATGGTGAGACGCGTTCGAACGTACGTCTGGGTATTGTGACAGAGTGTGCTGAACGAACTCCTTGAGCGTATCTTCGCTCGACGTGATATCGATACGAGCCGTCTTAATCCTCTCGCCCTGCTTGGATATCTCGTCAAGTCGCTCCTGACGGCGCCCAGCGACGATCACTGTCGGATTGGAGTCAAGGCCGTGGAGAGCGAGGGCGAGATCGCGTCCGATGCCAGAGGTAGCACCGAGAACGAGGATGCATTTCGCATCTTTGATACCTGGCATAGCGGGAGTACGGTTAGACGATGAGAGAATGTGAGAAAGAGTGTGCAGGAGGTACGTACATGTCCGTGGTATATATAGCGTTCGGGGAGGGACCGATGGAGGAGAGATCCAAGGAGAGATCGACAGCAGCAGCACTAAACAGCTATGACCGCACCGCTTCCCGCGACCCCGCGCGCGCCTACGTACTACTGCACATCCCACCTCCTCCCCCCGCCCAGCGTTGCCGAACCGACGCGCAAGCCACATGACAACTCCCACAGAAATGGCCGAACATCCAGATCAATCGCCAGACCGCAGCGTGGACACGGTCACTACATCCGGCCCCAGCCAGGTGGACCTCCAAGAAGACATTCGGGTATGTCGCGAATCTCTACAGCCGGTCCTTCTCGCCTCACAACGATATAGACACGCTTGGGACATGCAGAAGAGCTCAGGAAAGAGGGGAACGAATCCTTTCGCGCTAAACGATGGGATGAAGCCCTTGCTTCGTATAGAGCGGCACTTGGCCGCCTGCCCAAACTGCCCGAAGCTCTGTCGCTTAGCAAGGACAATGGCGCAGAACCAACTGCAGATGAAGCTGACAACGACGCGTCAGACCAAGATGTGGGCATGCAATCTACGCCGATAGACACGCAAGCCGAAGACAAGCATGAAGGAGTCAGCTCAGAGACTGATGCGGAATGTGCGAAAGCGAGGGCCATCATCAACGCTAACATCGGCGCATGCTTCATGAAGCTCGTAAGCCTAGGTGCTATCTCCACTGCCGCCGCTGACAGCTATAGTTACACAGGAAGAATATAAGGAAGTCGTGACCGCTTGCACCCAAGGTGCGCAGGAGAAGCCTAGAAGATATGGTCATCCAATTCTGCTGACTATGTCTGCGTGATCAGCACTACAAGATGACCCAAGATATGTCAAGGCCTTACAAAGGAGGGCGACTGCCCATGAACAACTTGGCTCTTGGTCGTCTCTTTCTAGCGCACAGGAAGGTCCGTGATCGTCCAGTGTTTTGACTGCAGTAAGCAGAGACCCTTCTGCTAGATTACAAGCAGTTACTTGAAATTCTCCCCGCATCTTCCCCTGACCTCGTCAATATACGTCGGGCCTTGGTCGCTCTTCCTCCTCGTATAGAGGCGGCTCAAAAGGCGGAGACAGCGGAGATGCTCGGTAAGCTGAAAGGCCTTGGGAACAGTATCCTGGGTGAGCGTGATGGTTCATGGCCCTTATTCCATACTAAATTCTGGACATTCGTAGGAAACTTTGGCTTGTCGACGGACAACTTCCAGTTCACCCCCAATGGGCAGGGAGGTTATTCCATGAACTTCGTCCGATGACTACTCCTTGCTCTATCTACCACCTATGGGCTCCTTATTAGGCACGACTCGTGAAACTTCGGCCGTCTTCGATATATTCCATGTACTCTATTCTTCCCAACACGATATGAAATAACCAAAGAATGAATCCAGTACCAGAGTAGACCAGAGTGTGCCTGGTGTTAGGCGCTTGCGGCTAATGTTGTACTTACTCACGCGCGCTTACGATTGTGGCACGGCGAAACACGCCACCCCCTCCTCGGAGCTCCTCCCTCCTCCCATAATGTCGCCTGTATAGTGTTGTGCCTTCGCGGGGGTTGGGACTGACCTGGCTTCCTGACACGTAACCTCGACTGGTTTAGTGCACTTTCTTCACCTCACAGCGCCTTTGTTTCTCAATATTGACCCCATTCGTAACAGACTCAGCTTCACATCGGCCAACTATGCAGACGCCGAGACTGAATGCAGACATACTCGCAACAATCATCTCCGTTGCGGATTGGGATGAAATTCCCGTGATGATGCAAGCATGTCGTCTTTTCTACCACGAAGGTCCGAAGAGACTCCTTGACGGCTGTGTCACCCTGGACTGCGACGAAGAGTTCCTCGTGTTTTTCCAATTTATGCGTGCGGAAGGAGGAACACGCTCGCGCTACCTCACCGACCTTGCCATCATTCCCATCGACCATGGAGATGCCATATGCGAAGAAACTGCCCAGCTTCTCGCCCAGTTCCTCCGCACATCATCCTTCCCTCGTCTCACAACCCTGCGTATCGAAGACACTGAGGACCTCTTCACGCGTTACCCTTTCCTCCTGCCCGCGTTCAAAACACTGTCCCGCCTCGAAGAGTTGACTTTAGTCTCCTGCGACCGGCTCGCTTGTGAACTGGTGGACGCAGTCGGCGGTCGTCTGCGCGATGTCACGCTCGCATACACAGAAGAGTACGAGGAACCTATGGCCACGCCTGTGGAAGACATCCATCCCCTCGTAACGCTCCAGCGCTCCCACGCCACCCTGGAAAAGCTCGAAGTCAGATTCATGGACGCGACTCTTCCAGAGTCCCTGTACCCGCCGCCTTTCCCCAATGTGGCCGAACTCGTAATCGCCTGGTGCGCCTATCCGTCCCTTGCGCTCTACATTCATGCCTTCCCCAATCTGCGTTGCCTCGGCCTCAAGTTCACGATCAGCGAGGACGACTTCATCAACCCGGGCGCCCAGGCCAATGGGCTCCGGCAAGCCAACCGCACCCACCAGCTCCAGCACAGCTCGTGGAAGTCACTAGACGACGTCTTCGGCAACGTCACGGACGTCTATATTAGCGGACTTGCGTGCCATGTCAAACGCCTTAACATAACTCTGCAGCACACGCGTTCCAGTAATTTCGAAATGCTCGGGGACATCGTCAACGATACGCGACCCTTGAACCTCTCTGTCTGGGTCGGCTGCGAGGGAGCGTTCGACAGCGTTGTGGGCGTCCCTTACGTGCTACGGAAGGAGGGCGTGAAGAATCTCGAAGTATTCCAGCTGGAGGTCCGGCTCGTTCCTGAAGAGTCGGACATCGACCTCTCCCAGGCTCTGGTGTGTATACAGTTGCACCCCGATATTGAACATGTACGACTCACTCAATTATGACAGGAGGACATCCTCGTGTCTTGCAAACCGCTGCCCCTGCAAGTTGTGGACCTTCAGTTCACGTGCTATGATCTCCCGGTGCGCAGAGAGGGCAGACGACTGGGCGGCAGGGCCGCGCTTCCTCAATGTCGGGTCGAGGAATATCTCGAGCATGTGGATTTCAATGAGCTCGGCAACCACTTCCTTGCAAGTGTACCAACGCTGCGGGAGGTCACGGTGTCTCTCCAGGGACACCGTAGGCGCGGCGACGATGTGGCAGTTGTCGTCAAGATGGACGGCCGGCCCGGTGTTGCAGATAGTTGGGTGAGTGCTTGCTAGCGTTCTTCGGAAAGGCGGGCATTGGTATTGAGACGGATCAATAGGCGAATGCAGAACGTCTGTCAAGACGTGATATACATACCAAAGGGTGGGAGTTCTAAACATCTTCAATAAACCGAGGCACATTACTATCTACCCGGAGTCTTGCTCACCAGCTTCTCGCCCACCTGACACCCGGCGACCATTATGATGTTGATGATCTCTGCCGCATGAGGGTGTCGCGATTGCGCTCTTAAATGTCAATCGACACAAATACACTTACTGGCTCCGCAACCCGGGTCCGTGCTTTAAGCTCGCCTACGCAACTTGATGCGTACAATGGGCCGTTTACATCGTACGAGGTACTCGGCTTGCTTCTGCCTGTTACAGGTACATGGTATACCCTTCGATATGTTGTCCGCGTTTGGCATATGTGAAGGAGATTCGCGAACCGATCATGCATACGCTGCATGAAGTGTCGTGGGCCTCAAAGGAAGCCTTCCTTTGTTGTCGGATCCCATATAAACCGAAACTCTCCTCGTGCGACCTTCCCCTCTTTCCCTCAACCCACTTTTGCTGTAAGAGTCCCGGGCAACGATGTCAAGGCGCAACTGACATAACAACATACACAGGCGGGCCCATGGAGCGAAACCCCGCCCTCAGTGCGGATGTGCTGTTGGTCGTCGCATCCTTCGCGTCCAGAGGGACGTTGTCGGCGATGATGAAGACTTGTCGTCTTCTCTACCACGAAGGAGCCAAGATACTGGTGCGGAGACGAGTCGAGATCGACGATATCCAGGATCTCTCATCTTTCCTCGCATTTCTGCACGCGGAGAACGGCAGTCGCTGTGGGTTCCTCAGGGAGCTTGTCCTCGACATTGACTTGCCACGTCCGACTACCCCGAATCTCATGTCTCCGGCACTTTCCAACCTTCTCGCCGACCACTCTTTCCGGTCACTCACATCACTGCGTCTGGGCAGCGCAGAGCGTATGCTGCGTTCACATCCACAGCTGGCCGGCGGGTTCGCTTCTCTCAAAGCTCTCACTTCCCTCGATATTGGTCCAGTCGGCCTGAAAACGCTTGCCGTTTTGGCGGCCCTCGAGTCCGAGCTCCGTGTCCTCGTGCTCAAGTACGCTCCGGGCTTGGACCAAAGACCGAGCGCGGCGGAGTGCTGCCACCCCGTCGTCGTTCTCCAGCGATTCAGGAACAGTCTTGAAACCCTCGATGTGCAAGGATACGAGGCCGAGCTGGACCGCGCACGGTTCCCAGAACCGTACCCTCGCATGCAGGAGCTCATCCTCGACAGCCCGGACTGTCCCCTCCTCGCGCCATACATACATGCTTTCCCTGACATGCGAAACCTGTCAATCACCACCGTGTTCGCCGACAACTTGACCCTCGACAACTTGGACGCTGAGGAAGATCTCATCGAAGCATTCCGTCGGGCCAACCGGGGCGACCAGGCCATCTACGGGTCGTGGACGAAGCTGGAGACCGTGAATGGTACTGCACCCGACCTCTACGTGGCCGGGCTTCGCTGCGCAATCAAGGACCTTTATCTGAACGTCTGCATGTGGGATCCTTTCAAGATGGTACTTGGCACCCTCCAGGATGCCTCGGTTTCTCGCCTTCACCTCTTCGTCCATGCCGTTGAAGCTCTCGGGAATGATGGCCTTCCTGTGGTGTTTAGGCGACTCGTCGACTCGTCTCTAGAGGCTCTTTTCCTCCACATAAGGCTCTGCGCGGAAGAAGAATGGGACGAGGATTTGCGCACCGTGGTGAACCCCACGGCATTGGTGAGCGAGCTCCAACTCTGGGAAGGGCAACTCTGACCAGAACTTTTCAGGAACGCCTTCTGCAATCGCTCGGGTCGCTGCCCATCCAGAAGTTCCACTTGGTGCTGCGCTGTGAACACTCCGGATACGCGGCTGGGCCACACTCTCCGACCAAGAAGGTGTGTGGCGGTCAAGGAATACAGGACTTCGACTGCGAAGCGTTTGCTCGGCGGGTTCTAGCGACCGTGCCCGCTGTGCACGACGTCGACGTCCGGTTTAACTGCAGTCGTAAGCAACACGCTAAGCTGCGACGAGCGGTCTAGAAAACAGCGTTCGAAGGTCAGAGAGGTTCGTGTTCAGCACACTATCATTATCCAGTATATAGTTTAGCAAAAGAAGGCCCACGTATAACACGTCCTGCTCATCAGTCGATGAAATCGAATGTATTTCGGAAGACTGTCGCGTCTCGCAGAGGCCGGATCTACGGCGCGGTGAGAGGGATATACGACACAACGCTGGAGACAGACGCACCCTGGCATACAGCCTGCCCTTGACCAGACCTAACGGCACAGGCCCATACATGCGGGAATCCCTCGACCACGCCAAGTTGTCGCCGGTCACCCAGATGTGGTTTCTAGGCACTACTACGTGTTCTGTGGAAGGGGCGTATTCGCCAGTGGGGTCGACACAGATAATGTCCCCAGGCAGCCCAGTCACGCGCTTGCAAACTCTGCGGGTTGGGTCGATGGGTGAGATGTATGTGACGAGGTCTCCACGTCGTAAACGTTTGGGGTCAATCCACTTGAGCTCAAGGGCAGCCTCCCCGGTCATGCTCATTGTTGGGAACATAGAAGGACCTGCCACCTACGGAGGAGTGCCGATCAGTGTCCTGCATGAACGGCTTGTCTGGCAATACGCCACTTACGAAGGAGATGGTTGCTACATGTTCACCAAGGAGATGCATTGCGCACAAAAAGTTGATTACCTGGGACTCAGGTCATTCGTCGTGTTCAACAGGATAGCAGACTAACTCGTACCTGGAGCGACCAGTACCCCACCTTCAGACCGGTTCGTGGAAGCTGTTCCCGGCTGGGGAGGAATGTTCGCCAAGCAGCGGAAGCCCGCCCTGCAAACCGCCCAAGTACCATGAGAATTAGCTAGCTGGTTGGTGTGCGTTTATGCGCTGTAGGGCTGCGCGGAGGACATGGTGTTCGCGAGTCAAGGTCGCGTCCGGCGTCTCGCGTCGCGCCGTCGCGCTCGCGATCGCCAAATCTCGCGCGCTTCAGCGTGGAACGGAGCTCTCTCTTCTACACTCTCGACGCGATCGCGTTCCACACTAAAATGTCTGCCTTCAAGCGTCGGACGACAACAAAACAGCCGCCACTTCCGGCAGGCACGCGCACCTCTCCAGGCTCAACCGCGACCGTGATCACGTCGACCGGTATTCCCTCTCTGGATGATATTCTCGGCGGCGGTCTGCCCCTCTCCTGCTCGCTTTTGGTCCTCGCGCCGGATGCGCACACGGCGTATGGAGAACTCGTAGTCAAGTACGCTGCCGCGCAGGGGTTGGCGAGCGGGCAGCGGGTGTGCGTGGTCGATCCCCGCGCGGACTCCTTCCTAGCCGAGTGCATGTGGATGCCGGGAAGCAATGCACCAATCCCTACCTCAAGCGTTGCCGCACTATCGATCGCCGCGGACGACGAGGATGATGAGAGGGCTTCCGAACACGATACGAAAATCAAGATCGCGTGGCGTTATGAGCAAATGAAGCAGTTCCAGACCACCGTGCCCAGCTCTAGCCAGTAAGTCCCGTGTTTTCCTTACAGCAATCCGTCTGCAACAAGTGACCAGAACGCGATTTTGCTAGGTCGACGGACGACTATTGCCGGACTTTTGATCTCACATGTCGGATACCAGAAGCCATCGTTGATGCCGCTCGCAGCGACGGAAGATTTCTGGATGTGAGCCCGGACGAAGACGCACCCAAGGAGGCACGGAGGTCGTGCACGACGGTGATCCGTCGTCTTACGGAGATGCTTGCTCGAAGCGACTTGGAGACCGAGCCTTTGGCAACACGGATCTGCATACCCGCGCTGGGATCGTATGAATGGGGAGACCTGACACCCCAGGTCAGTGTGTGGAGTGCCCGCACTTTGCTTTTCTGGCTGATCAGTAATTTAGGATATATGTTATTTCTTGCATTCTCTGCGCGCCCTCCTCCGCCGCTATCCGCGTGCATGCGCCTCCGTATGTTTGGCGCCGCATCTTTGTCAAGAAGCGTACGGCGGCCCTGGATGGGTGCAGAAACTCGGATGGCTTACGGACGCTGCCGTCACTTTGGCTGCCTTCAGCTGTAGGTGACTCACTATCGTACTACAAGACGAAATGCTGACTTCGAGACGGTTTCAGCAAATCCCTCGCTCACCGCGATGTTCTCGTCTCATCATGGCCTGGTCCACATACACACCCTCCCCTCACCACACACCCTACTCCCTCCTAGCGACAAGTTCTCAACTCTTCGTGGGCTGTCCTCGTCCGGAGAGAACAACCTCGCATTCAAGTGCATGCGCAAGCGCCTCATCTTCGAAACGCTGCATCTAGACGTCGAGGGTGGAGTAGGCGAGCGACGCACTACACCATCCGCTAACGCCATAGCCATGGACTCAGGCCTCGCGCATGACCACACCCACGAGGAGTCAGCCGCGTTCACCAAGGGAAGCACTTCAATAGCTGCAGTCCAAGTACAGCTAGAACAAACACAAATAGCGGTCGCCCCTCCGCAGCACGACATCGCACCACCCACTGAACCGCCTACAAGTAGCTTTAAGAAGGTCAAGGTCAAGAAAAAGGTGGCGTTTCACTCGGAACGGCCCGATCTGTACGATTTTTGAGTGGAGGACCCAGTTCGGTTGTTTTGTTGCATAGGCATCGGCATGTAGCCTTAAGACATAACATATTGTATCTATGAAACTGCTGTATCCAGAGTTCGCATCGTTCATGATGATATATAAAAGAGTCGGTGCAGGCGCTGGGGGAGTGAATATGAGTGTATGTCGGATACCGGAGCATGAGCACGTACCTTATGGCTGCCAGTCATGCGGGGAGGAGTCTGTGCGAGTGTTCGAGTGCAAATAATCATACATTGGGGTTCGAGTTTGGTCCGAGAGGAGAGGAGAGGGAAAGCGCGAGAGCAGCGGACAACACGGGGGCAAGTGTGCATGTATGACATCGTCGGCGGGCTGGCGTCAAGGTCGTATTTGGTCGTAGAGCATGACTGTGGAGCACCTGGCCCAGGCTCCTGGTGGAGTCGTGTCGGCCAGTCAGGGCGAGCGAAGCGGTCTGCGAACGGTCACGTTTGGTACAACAACGCGAGAACATGGGAGCGAGGGCACCCACTATGGCTATGGCTATGACGCCCGCGAGGTCCCAGCATATATCATCCGAAGCGCCGGAGGGGTGACGTCCGCCTCGCGCTGCGCGTTCATCCTCCTGCACTCCATGAGGAGCTCCCTGAGCGACGAGAGGTGCGGCTGCGTCTGGGCCTGCTGTGCCTCCCCCTGGACGCTCTCCTCCGTCTCGTCGTCGGTGTCGTCTTCGGTCTCCGAGTCCATCGGCAGCGTGCCTAGCGGCTCGCCTGTGCAGTCCTCCAGGCGGATCCCCTCCTTCTGGCACTGTCGCGACCATCGCTCCCAGCGCTCGTAGCAGTGCTGACTAGGACCGTTGTTCGCTTCGAGATCGGAGAGGAGCGTGGTGTTGAGGACGCGGACACGCTCGAGGCGAGGGAAATTCCGCCGGTTTAGCGCGGCGAAGTTGACGTCGTTCCGGCGGCGGATCATCTGCGTGGCGAAGGGATCAACCTTGTCGTAGGTCGCAGCATAGCCGACTCCGAAGGCGTAGAGAAGATGATGCAGGCCGATCGTGGTAATGTTCGCATGCGGACGACGGACCGCCGAGGGCCCGACAAACGAATTCTGCTCCCAGGCCGGGATGCGCCAGTCGGGGTTGAACGTGAAGGTGATGAGCATCGGACATAAGTCGAGAATGGTGGGCACATCGAGCGTCGGGATGATGTTTAGGTCGAGGAAGGTGAGTTGCGCGCCGTGCATCCGGAGGAACTCGAGGAGATCGGGGAAGTCATCTCGGTGGTTGACGAAGTCGAGACAGAGCGTCTGCAAGAGTGGAATCTCCCAGCCGATTGCCTCCTCGAGGAAGTCCTGGAATGGACCTCGTAATGAGAGATGTTGTAGGGCGGGTAAAGTGAGTGCCAGATCCGCTGCCGCGCCTAGGTTGATCTGCTCAGGGGGAGTGCCGTCGAACTCTATGTGCGCAGTGGCCAGCTTAGGCAGACACTGTAACATGTGGATGAGTTTGGCAAGGGATGTCGTGGGGATGTTGATGTGCAGGACACGCAACGTGCGTGGACAGAACGTGCATATGGCGTCCCCGATGGCCTGCAAGGTGTTTGACAAAGGCCAGTTGACGATGAAGGTTTGCAGATTTGGACAGTGCCGGATGATGGACACCAGGGAGTTCTGGGTAGTCTCCATGGTCGTCCCGCCACCTGCGAAGTAGCGGGTTACGTGCAGCCTCCTCGTCCACCATCCCAAGTTCTTGTCGCGATCCATATGGGCGCATACGCGCTGAATGTTGCGTGGATTGCTGAAGAAGAGGAACCTGTAGAAGAACTCGTACCCTAACCGACGCCAAGTTCTGCACGTAGACATGATAGCCTGCGGCGGTATCTCGTCGGATTCCGCGATGGACACACACAATAAAAGGATGTAGACTGACCTTCTTGGTAGCATAGCTGCGCCGTTGGGCGTTATTCACGCCTTCCTGAGCAGTGCGCAAAGACCACTCTCCGTATAAAGTCTTAAACCAGGAAGCTTCGGAAAAGGCGGTCGGCAGAGTGTGGTCAAAAAGGTCGGCGTCTTCGACAGCCTGATCGAAGATGTCGAGCCACAGCTCGTCGGGGAGGAGAGAGCCCATCGGAGCCTGGCGGTGCTAGCAGAGAGACAGTCGAGAGCGGAGCGAGATGGCGGGAGAGAGTAGAAAAGGCGGGTGCATTCAAGTTACATGGGCGTCGGTACTAGCAGTCCAACGCGAGTAAGCGGGTTCCGTACAATGCATACTAGAGGCGCCCGTGCCGTCCGGCCGTGCGACCCGCCCTCCTGTGGCACTCGGCGGCAGCGGCACGAATGATGGCCAACTTCCAACCGCGTCCTGCGTCCCCCTCCAAATCCCGCCAATCGTCGTCCACGCGGGCAACGCAGACGTAAATACTACGTGAGCGAAGGATACGAGGTGGCGGTAGCAGTAGAGCGCGGCGATACTCCGTACCAGCTTCTAACACCTCAGTGGTCCTTGGATTTCCCTTCCGGTATCCTCGTCTTGAACAGGCCGCGCTCTCGAACTTTGTGCAAGATCTCTTCGGCCCTCTCCCGGGCCAGACCAACATCCTCTCCATTCTCCGCTATCCGATTCCTGCCTGAGACAGAGGATTAACGGAGGCTTGGGCCAGACTCGAGGATCTACGTACCGACAAGCGCCCAATTCCTGGTACTCGGGATGCGCAGGTTCTCGCATTCGACCTTCCAACCGCAGTGCAAGCTCAGCGAAGCCAGCCAGATACGGTACCTCGAGTACGAGCTGGCGTTGCTGCCTTCGCCGCCAAGGTTCAAGCCGTCCACGAAGCTGTCGTCGTCGGGCGTCGGATAGTCCGAAACTCTCGACCGTTCGTACTTCTCGTCGAACGTCCATGCACAGCAGGGGATCGACAAGTACCCCGACCCCGAGAAGAGGGTTGCGAGTACGGGCGTCCAGGGTGTGAGCTCATCCGCGTGGTTCGCGACGATGAACACTCCTTGACGCAGGTATGGATGCACTGCGAGCTCGCCCCCTTCGCCTGTCAGCGCGGTCGGATCCAAGGACTCCGTGTGTAGTCGGCTGCGAGTCGTCTCCGGATAGTGCGTCCAGGAGGTGCGCGCTCTGACATCGATTCCGTGGCCGTCGTAGCCCTCGGCGGTGAGGATGTGCGTGAGGAGGCCGTTCCCGCATCTAGACCAGTCGTTAGCGCAAGCTCGCCCGGTTAGGAATAGAGCACTCGGCCGTACCCGAGGTCAAGAAACCCTCCTGGAGGTTGTGACCAGTTGCGCCATGGTGTTGGGCTCATATCATCGGTGTTATCGAGGTTTGATGTTTCTGAAAGTGTAGAACCGTAACTCTCTTTCCATAGGAGCATCAAGAACGTCGCGATGCCGATGTCCTGCGGGATACATCGCGTCATTAACGCTTCCCATACAGAAGCCTGTCCTGTACACACCTCAAATACATGCTTCAGCGGATCTGTAACCTCCTGCCATGTATCGACAAGATGTTTGTGGCGCTCGCGCATCAGCAAATAGAGGTCCTGGTACGCTTCTCTTCCTACTACGCAATCGTGCTGTACCCGCTTCTTGTAATTCGTGAGAGCACCCCAACCATATCGATGCAGGGTGTCCAGAAGGGCGAGACAGGTCCGATATAGTCGCGAGTCGAGATCCGTCGGTGTCGAGGGAAGCGGGACGGCCTCGATTTGCAGGAGCGGTACCTCGGCGGGGATGTAGCGGAACGCGAGGTGGTGCACTGCTGGATGGTAGTAGGGGAGGGCCCCACCCGGCTCAACGATAGGCGTCAAGAGGAGCACCGTCGGCCGGTCATCGTCTCCTTCGTCGGGCGCATAGAGCATGCAATGTTGCTCTAACCCGGCGTCGCGTCCTGGCCGACGAGCGAGGAGCCGTCGTCGGATGTGGCGCACAGGGCGTAGGCCCTCCAAAGAAGGGCACCCTTCCGGTGGGAAATCGGTGGTCGAGTCCGCAAGCGTCTCCGAGCGCAGGATGAGTGTCGAGTTGTATTCCGGATGATGAATCAGCTGCGACACCGCAAGCTCAAACTGCAAGACGAGCGAATTAGTACGGCATAATGAAAAACGAAGATGGATGCATACGATCTCCGGAGGGACGTCAGCCGGACAGTGGAGCATTGGCGTCCATCGCTGTGTTCCTCCGACGATTTGAAGTTCCCCGACAGGGGCTTTTCCGTGACATGGTGTGGGTGTAAAGCGAGGTCTGGGGCCCGACATGGTATGAGATGGGTCGATCTAACTCAGATCTAGCAAACAAGCGGCCGGAAAGTGGCGGTGATGTCCTCATCCAGGTACAAGGCCAAAGCTTGTGAAAAGGAAAATAAATATTGAGACCCGTAGGTCTACCACTCCGGGAAAGCGTGTCATCCTTGTGCAGGGGCCATGCTAATCTTCTCTGTATCGTTCCAATTTTTTCGTATGTCACCCCGAAGGGGACATTAGCTGGTGCCGACGCCATGGTAAGTTTCAACCACATTCTGCGTTTTGCTCAACCGTCGGGTTATGACCGTCGCTTCCGTGGACTCTGCGTCTGAACGATAGATGGTAGTATATTATCTTGACAATCGTGTGAGTGGCTTTCAGAGGCCTCGCTCTGCTCGCAGCTAGCGACAGTATACGGGCCATCCTGGACCCGATCGTGAGCGGAACGACGGAAGTGTTGTCGGGTCACCTTAACATCGGCGCATTCAAGTATCTCGCATAAGTAAACACATAGCCAAGGGTATACTTGTTCATGCTATCACAGCCAAAGATATAAGTACATACAATGAGATATGAGTACAGTCACAGTTCATCGACATCCCAACGACGTTTGCACGAGAAAGTTGAAGCAATTAGAACTCCTGATACGGCGGCAGCTCCGAGTCTCCGTCTTCGGGCTGTTTGGCATCCGGGTCCGCGTTCGCGTTCGACGACCCTCCGGCAGCGAGGAGCCGCTCCCTGTCTTCCCTCTCTAACCGCTTCTTCTCCTCTTCCGCACTCTCAAACTTGGGCTGCTCCCCAACAACAGGACGGTCGCTACCGCCCTGGCGGAGGATGCGTTCGCGTTCCTCATGCTCCAGACGCTTCTTCTCGTCCTCCGCACTCTCAAAGGTGGCGGTCGCGCCCACATCGCCTATGAGCCTGGGCGGGGTGGCGGTGGCGATTGCGGGATTGGGGGCGACCACGGGAACCGGAGCGACGGGTGACGGGTGCTTCAAGTCGAGGAGTGAGCCACTAGCCGGTCCCGGTCCATCGGGGCCCGCGGACTTGGGCAGGCCCGTCTCCGCGACAGTGGGCGTAACCGTCTGCACCTTGACGTTAGGCTCGGAAGGGTTGGGGGCGACCACGGGTGAGGGCGACCCCACTTTCAGCGGAATTGGTGCGGGTGCCTGATTGAGTGTCGCGGGATTCAAGGGTGGAGATGCCGTTCCCTGTGGAGGCGTGGAAGCTTTCGGGACACCGACTGGGGCGCTGGTCGTGGGAGGGGCAGGGGAGGTGGTCGAAGTTGTGATATTGGCAGTGTGGGACGGTGCCTGGGGAGGAGTGTCGTGTGCGGGAGGCGTTACGGGAATGTTGGACGTCGTGTGGGGGTCGGCAGTGCCAATGCTGGCAAGTTCCTTGGCATGTGTCTCGCCGAAGCTGCGTGTATCCGACCTGCCTAGGTCCGCGGCCGAGAGCTCTCGGAAATACAATGTGGAGTCGCCCACGCGGTAGTTGTCTAGTGCGCTTTGAAGCGTCGTGCGGACGGATGCGGTCAGCTGAGTCCCAGTGTAAGGCTGAACCTTCGACGGAGGAACGGCCGGGAGTGCAGGGAATACCGCGCTGGCCGCCTGAGCAACGAGTGCAACCTTCTCCCCGTACTGCGGACTGCGTTAATACAAATCTTGGAACGCCATTCGTGATGATGGCTTACCTCTCGCAGCGCTTCCCACTTCAAGCGTTCGCTCTCGCGCAGGGCTTTCCTCTTGAGGATCTCAACTTCCTTCTCCAGAGGTTCATCGTCTTGCTCTGCCTTGCTCAATTGGCGCCTCAACTCCACGAGCTTCTGCTCCATGCCACGCTGCTGGTCGTGTTCAATCCGCGCGATCTGATTCTGGAAACCGGCACGAATATTGCGGCGTCCGCTGAGGCTAGTCTCAGCATCACGCAGCTCCTTGAAGGGTGCACGGGATGCGTCAAGCTTCTGCGCGAGCGTGGTCGCAAGCGAGCCTTGGATGTAGTTCATCCACGCTAGGCGATCACCGACTAGGGGCATTGCAACTTGCGTCAATGACGGGGGCGCAAAGCGAGCGTGTAATTACTCACCATCCTTGAGATCATCGTACTCGGCCTGACCCCACGTATACAGCTCCTTGCTGTGCGCGTGGGCATCGCGTCCGACGTTATCAAAGTCGAGCGCGAGCCCCTTCTGTGCCGTGATGATCTTCTGCACCGGTGTTACTGAACTCCTGTAGATGTGCCTTCAGCTGAGGCTCCTCATAGGTGGTCGTGCTACTACACGTACGAATACTGTTGCTGGAAAGAGCGTAGCTGGTGGTGAAAGCTCTCGAAAGCGTGCGATTTGCGGATGCCGCCAGAGCTCGACGTCTGGCCCGATCCGTCATTGCTTGAGCTAGATCGACCGAGCGGGGTCGCGTTGATGGCAGACTGAGCCTTGTCGGCGAGCGATGAGAATAATCCTTGCATGGTGGGGGATCGGATGGAGGGGTGGTGAAGACAGAGCTGGGCGCGGTATGGCGAGCTTATGTACCTCCGCTGAAAGTGGCTGGGGAGTGGCACTGTAACCAAGGCCGCTACGTCATGGCGCGCTACAGCCACCCGCAGCGCTCGCAGTCGATAAGAATAGCCTCGTCATGGCTAAGGCCTTCTCCTATGCACGCGCGCACTGCAAACTCGCTAAATGAACACTAGGATATAGGGTGTGGTACCGGGCAACGAATACTACAGTCAGCAGAGCACACACAGCAGCTATACATCGGTCCGACGATGAAATCGATACGACTCATAAGCCGTCCCTGGACTTTACACAATGATCTTCTTCGCCTGCTTCCCCTTCTTCTCCGAGTCCTTGTGCGACAAGAACTCGACCTCCGTCGCCAGAGCTCCAGCCAACTTCTGCGACTCCGAGTACCCCAGGACACTGATCTTAAAGTGTCGACCAATCCCCTCGATGCGCTCGCGGAGCTTGTCGTCCTCCCCGGCATTCGACGCCGGCGCAGTACGCGTCCAGATTGAGATACGGTAGAATTGCGGCCTCGTCGAGACAATTACGCCAGTGATGAGAGACCGGGGCGCCTCCCCGTCCTCGCTCGCCAAGAGTGGATCGAAGGTCTCGCCGATCGCGGCGAGCATCTGCCAGGGCGGTGAGTGGACTCAGCCTGATTTGATGTACATATGGGGACGTACGGTATAAAGCCACATCTTGTCGACGTAGGCCCTGTTCTTGTCGCGAGGAAGCTGTATGCTCCACTTGCCACCATTTTTGTTGGCTTCGTCCTCCCATGCGGGAATGATACCCTCCTACAAGGCGCCGTCAGAGATGTGATCGACACGCGGTTAAGTGAGAGTCGTACCTTGAAGAGGTAGTAGTTGGCCTTTTGCGGAAGCTGAGACGGGGGAACGATGTTGTTGTAGAGTCTAAATTATGTTTGTCAGCGCCATGTACAAGAAACGGCAGCCGATCTACGCACCCCCAGAACTCTTCTACACTATCGAATGTGATCACCCGCTTGATATCCTCCATCCAGCCCTGCGCCGCGATCCCACCCGGGGTGTGCGGCAGAGGGGTCTGAGGGAAAGACGTCATAGGTGTCTGTGGGAGATTGCGGCCCTTGGTGGCTGGGGAGTCAAACCAGAGAGTCCAGGGCGAGAAAAGAGGATGCTGGAACAATGCCAAATCATTCATTAGCATCGCGTTATAGTACGCTTGAATGGCAGATGGCGCACCTTGACATTGAAGTTGGTCGGGTCGCTGAAGACCGTCCGGATGGTCTCTGCCTGCGCCTGCATATCCACTTCCTGGATCTCTCCAGGCTCGAGGGTCTCATCCTCTCCATTCGCCTTCTCGCTCTCCTTCGACTGGTTCTCAGCAAGAGCGGCCGAAAGCGCAGCTTTCGACGCCTGCAGAGCAGGAGCGGGCAAGCCAGAGACAGAAGCCATGATTGAGTGCGCGAGTGATGATTCCTTTGCGGGCTCGAATGTCTTCAGATCGATAATACGAGCGCGACGAGAGCACGAATAACTGTCGGAATTTCTGCGCGTGTAAAGGAGTCGACGGGCGAAAAGAGCGAGTAGAGAAGCCGATAGGTATACCAGATGCGGTACGCAAGAGAGATTAGGTGCAGAAGACTTTGTGAGAGGCGGTAGTAATAGCGATTGCTTGTGAGAGTCTCCGCTTCATCTGTTCTACAAACTTTCCGGCCGGCCAACTCCGTGCTTCCCGGCCGACCCGGCCGGTCACCGGTCCGGAGTCCGAGCGGTTTGAAAGCGCCGTCGCTCTCTGTCGAGCTCTCTCTCCGCAGACGTGAGCACACAGTCGAGTGCGAAAGCACGTCGCATGACAGCATATCGCCCACAAATACGGTTTGTATCAACTTGGATACCCCTCCGGTACGCATGACACTTATGATATGAAATTGTCCGATTCTGCGTGGGATGCTCGAATTTTAACTGTATCCAGCAGCTGCACTCAAGTTGCTCACCGCGAAGCATATGAGCCATCTACAGCGTCATTTGTATCGGGCTCGACCCAGTCTGAAGGCTAGTTGCATACGTGCTAAATCCAGCGGGATCGATGGCCACAGCTGCGCGTACGTGAGGCCTTGAGGGGTGGGAAAGGATCAGTGCGTTAGCTTTGCCAATGAATGCGAACCCGAAGAGCGACCGTGGCGGCGAGTCCCCCATTTTATGGATACTCAGCGCTGCCTAGACATCAATTGCCTCTCGACGCCGCCGGAATCACGCCTATCTGCTATGTCCATACTAACGCATCTCTGTGGCGGCTTTTAGTCTGTGTACTGCTTGTGGCGCCAGATCTAAGCAAGCACGGGCCTGTTGCGTGTACGAATCTTCGGTCAACGCCGAGATGCGCTTCAGTTTGAGGTGAGTAGTTGCATCTGAATACAAATTGCTGCGCTGGCCGACGCCGCCCCTCCCTGCTTATTCGGTGGTTGTCGCACTAGCCCAGAGTGACGTTCGCCGCGGTGCCTTGCCTAGCCAATTCCAGCGCTGCGCTCCCCACCACGATGTTACCCTCGAGACGGCATCCCGCTAGTTTCCTCTAATCCTGAGATGGTCGCCACCGGTCGGAGATCTCCAGGCAGCCTCGGAAAACGTCACTCCGTCCCCCCTGCTCGGCGACGAGCGAGACTGTGCCCGCTACCGCCGGCTGCTTCCCTACCCTCAGGACCGAGGATCGAGCGTCCTGGGTGGTTCAGCAGCAGCAGAAAAATTTACCTCCGCTCTGGCGGCGGCGGCGGAGGCGGAGACCGTCCAGTGACGAGCCTGGACGCGTCACTTACCAGGAACTGGTGACCATGCGCGGATATCGTACGTACATTGCGAGCTCATCGGCGCCTCTATTGACAGCAGAAACAGGTCCTGAGTTTCTGGGAGCTCTTCGCGGCGCCCGAGCAATTTCAGGAATGAGCATGGCTCGGCCCGTGTGGTTTGTTCGCATTCTCTCAGCCAGTCAGGTGTCGACAAGACCCTTGTCCTTCTCCCACTGTGACTCGACCATTGCACCCGCCAATATCTCGACCGCCATGTCGGCAAGAGGGGGATTATACGATGCGATGAGTGACGCTGCAGCGCGGCGGCCCGTCGGACGACCGAGTACCTGGAATACCCATGATGTTGCTGTAAACGGACGTGCCACGATGGTCAGTCACATATGACGACGCCTGTCGGCTGCTTGCCCGAGCTCACCGAGCCAATGTGCGGTGTGAGTAGTTCCTTCCACGCACGCAGGGAGTTGCCGGGCCCCCTTGCGACAACATGTGTATTTCTCTCATGCTATGTTTCCGCTAGATGGACGACCGGGATCCGCCGACCACCTGAGTAGCTTATTTGCTCTGTGTTCCCGCTCTAACGGCTGCGACGCAAGCAATATACCCTTGATGGGCAATTTTTATGGGCGCCCTCTGCATGATGTCCCTGTCTATGTGCTGCTAACCATATAAAGCTCGGCGTGTTGGTTTGCGGAATTGCCTTGCGCAGCTTGACCACGCGCGCGGGCCCGTTGTGTTGGTGCGACCGAGTTATTCGGTAGCCGTTAATTGCGTCTCGAGCTCGCGGAGGCTCGGAGCTGTGGTCTTCCCCTGACCACATGGGCACGTTACTCACATAAGTCTAGCATGCATGGTACGCACGAGCGGTAGCAGCGTGCGGCGTTCGAGCGAGGGATCCTCCGTGCAGCCACCGTGTCATGTGCAGACATCGTATCTCATCTTGTCATCATCCCCGCCGCGATCTGCGTTGTTGCGCGGCGTCCCCGCTTTCGAGATGTAGATACTCCCAGGGTTTTCCGTTCCGAACTTCTGAAGACACGGGTATGACGGCTCGCATTGAGTATATTCATCGGAGCTTGAGTAGAATATTCCGCATTGAGCAGAAGACGGCAGAGGACAACGTACAAATGGGAAGATACAGCCATATATGCGCGAGGACGGAGGAGAAGCTGTACAGTCAACCAAGCAAGCGTCGACTGATGTTCGGGAGAGCCAAGATAGTACAAGATCGAAGTGCGCGACTACCGGGGCCAATGCTAACGTAGAATAGACCGATCGTCACTAGCCGTCGCGAGAGAACCCATGCACCGTGTTCGGCACAGCGCCCATCGCGATAGATTGTCTCCTAGGCTGAAGCTGAGGATCCTCCGCCATCTGTCGCATGACGAGCTCATTCTGAAGCTGCATGAACTAGAGCGTAGATTGGCAGTGAGTAAGCAGGCATGCGTCAGGGCGAATTGAACCGACCTTTTGCTCCTCTTGTTTCTTGTGCTGATTGAGCTTGCCGATGTCTTCCTGCTTACGAACAAGCATGGTCTAGTACATAAAATGCGTCAGCGAATACTCAGCCTACCGTAAAAGAACACACTTACCCGGATGGACCGGCTCTTGAGGCCGCGGTAGGACGAGACGCGCTCAACCTGGATAGGCTCCTGACCGACTAGGCGGAGCTGGTCGTGCATCCACTGCACGTATTCTTCGAGGCACTCGAGATAGCATCTCTTCTTGTCGTGCGACGTGATCGTGTCGCTGTACGTAGCATGGAACATTAGTGGTGGTCATGGGGGCGAACATGACGTGTGAACGTACGGATCCGTGATACTGAACCCGACGTTGTCGGACACCGAACGAAAGTATTGCTTGCGCTGATTGAGGTTCTCGGGCTCCTCCACGTCGGTTTTCGATCGCGGAGTTGTGGGGGAACGGGCCGTGGGCTTCGGGGCGCCTTTGCCGGCGGCCTCGCTCCCGTCACGAGCTTCACGCTCACGGGCGTTGAGGTCCGTGAGAAGCTCAGACGGCGTCGGGAAGAGGACCTGGGGAGCGTGCAGGTAGACGTCGAGAGGGTTCGTCTGCTCCCCAATGTGAGGCTTCGTTTCCTCGACCGGCGCAGGGTAGCCGTGCGGAGAGAAAGCAAGCGCCTGCGTGTCGCCAGTGTTCGAGGCAAGCAGGGTAGAGTAACCCGAGACGGGTATCGGGGCGTGCAGAGGTATCCCGCTGTTGACAGGTTCTCCCTGATGCATACCAGCATCCTGGTAAGGCACATACTCAGGATCGATGTAGGTGTAGTTCATTGCCCAAGGACCAGCGTTGTAGTCAAACGGCACGGCGTACGCGTCGGGCGTCGGCTGCTCAGTAGCATACCCAGCATGCTGGTACTCAGCCTAGCGCGGACGGTTAGCTGGCGGCATTACTGGGTGTGCTGCGGGTACGAACCTGGAAACGCTCAGAGGGCACTGTGTACGGTTGCATGGTCACGCGTGAGCAGAGGGAAAGATAGACACACGGGGTACGCGTGAACGACGCATTGATATACAAGTCGGGGACACCGGCGCATGCGACACGCGATCGACGGGGACGGCAGAGGAGTCGGCGGTGTGAAACGAGAAAGATGAGATCGCTACCAAGATACTCTCCCGTGCCATCTAGATGTGGCGTTAAGGTTGCTCGCAGTCCCCGCCGTTGCAGATTCGGGGTACTCCTTATCTGGAGGGTTCCCAAAGCCAAATTCGGCCAGGCTCGGGAGGCTTCCCCACAGCGCGCTTCCCTGCACAGAACACCTCGGCGCCTCATCACCTACGCCGCTCCTGTCGTACCCCATACCGCGTGGTGCCGAGAATGGCCGCGGAGGGGCGCCGTCTTTTGACTGTCACACTCGGGATGCCGCCACCGGCAAGGAGTATGTTCAGTCGGTGGGAGCAACATCGTCCCGTTTTCACTGGCTGGCAGAACGGGGGTGGGCCTGCTTGTGAGGGGCTTACGATCCTATGGTGGTGCGCGTACTGGGACGCAACGACGCTCACGTAGCGGTATACCCTATGGTAGCCACGTCATCAGCGAATCGTTTGGAATCAGCCTAGACCTCGCACCTGCATGCGGAGAGCACGCTCCTTCGTTCAGCTGTTTTGCATTGCGACGAGAGCACGATGGTCATTAATCAATATTCGGCGAGCTGCCGTCATCAGAAGAGTGCCTGCAAGGTAACTCGGTTTCCCGACCGGACGATGGGGAGCTTCGAAATCCGAGGGGAGCGTGCGACGCCGGGGTTGGGTTAGTGGTGTAGGCCCATGTTAGCCGTATAAGGAGAGGTGGGTGATGTTACTGGAGCATTGGTGCGTACCCACCCGTGATAGGATTCAGGTTGGCAACCGAAGTGGGCGCCAGCTCCCGAATATACAGACTTGCCATATCCGGGTAATTGCGCAACCAGTCCACAGCGGTCCCCAGGAGCCGCGGAGATGACGGAGCGAAGTTAAAACTCGTTCCGACTTCTCCCATTGGCTGATCTCGCCCATTCAGAGCCAACTTCTACTCCGACGACCAATCTCGAGTCGCCCTGATCGATTAGATGGCCCCGGGTGGTTGGCGTCTTTTAGACTATGTCTAGCAAGACCGTCACTGGAACGAGCACGAAGTACACACCCGCGCGGGCGTACGCAGCCCATCAACATGTAAGATCGTCACCATGCGCCCGGCTCTTCCCAGACGGAATTGCTCGCGTAATCGGGCACAGCGCCTGCTGGGAGAGGAAATGGGTTAGCCATTGTGGACGAGAGCGCGCGGCCTAGGATCATGAGCTGGTGCAGATGTCAACCTGTCCAGCGCGGCATTTCGCGATGGACAATATACGGCAGCCTGGTGAGGCGAGTTTCCCGAACAGAATGATACTTGATCGGTGCGCCATGGCAGCTGGGGGACCGATCGCCCGGGCCAGGATTCCAGGACCATGTCCCATTGGAGGTGAGTGCATCGGTTGACAGCACAGATCGCCACTCATTTCACGCAGGAACTCCATCGTCCCAGATGTTGTGCTTCGCATGCCCTTATGGCACACAGAGGCCCGTTTGTTATAAACGCCTGCTCGTCTCCCGGCTCCGTGTATCCCGCTCCCCAGACTTCCCCTCACCCTGATCCTCGCTCATCTCCTTCGCGCCAGAGTCAGCCATGTCAGTGTACCCCACCATGCTCGCCCACTACCCTGTATATCATATGCAGGATCCGCTTGCGCAGGGCGTAGAATCTCCGCTCATGCCCGCCGCGCCGTTCGCCGGCGCAGTCCACCCCCCTCGGCCGCACCTTCAGGTCTCGACCGACTACGTTCCCACTCGCCAGGCCGACAGTGAATATCTCGTCCGCGAGTTCTTCACTCCCTCGCCCTCCTCCAGCTCGCCGTCGGACCACGTACTCTCTGCTCTCCCATCCGCGGAGGAAGCCACTGAACGGAACCGACCGCTGCCTTCGCCTGCTTCCTCGACTAGGCGCGAAGCAAGACGGCGCGGCGCGGAGGCGTCATCTTCGGACGAGGGCCTGGTCGTCCGGGGCTCGATCGCCCACCCATACGCCCGTCTGTACAGCAAGAAGCACGGCGCTGGCAAACGGCGAAAGATGTGGAACCACGCGCTCGAGAAGATGCTGTTCACACCGCAGGAGATGTAGGCACCGCCGTCCCTTTCCCGTGATGGCATGACTCACCACCCTCTTTCCTCTCCCAGTTCCACCATGGGCGCTCCCCACCGGCGAACGATATATACGGCTAGTCTGGAAGCCCACGTCGATCGTCTCCATGAGCAGCTCCTCGGCCTCTCCCTCTTCCCGGTCCCGTTCGAGAAGCTTGAACCCTACCGTGGCCTGAATTCGAAGACGGCGAAGGTGTGTACTAGTATCGCCGCTCTTGGCGCGACGACGTCCTCTAATCCACTCCACAGAGCATGGTCTCAGGGCTGCACCACGACGCTGCGGAATTGAAGCTGAAGATCCTTGAGCTAGAGCGAGCGGTAAGCGCTGTTGTCGTAATCGCCGTCGGACGCGCGCTCATCCACGTTCGCCGTCCTCTTTTTTAGAACCGTAGCCTGGAGGAGAGACTGAGCGGCCGTTCGGTCGGGTTTAAGTCGTCCCTATGACTGCGCGCCCCGCCTCCTCCTTGTTGACTTCTCCGTCTTTCCTTGTGCTCGGTCTGCTCTTTTTATTTGCTTCTGCCCCGCCACTAGCTACGGTCCGTTCGATATTCACGGGGTGCTCTGGGGCGACTATATGCATACTACTAGGTTGTGACCGTCAAGTATAATCACGATTTAGTGTCGAATTGTATACTACTACGATGAATTATATGTATACCATTCATTCTTACTGCCATCCGTTCAAAGGCCTAGAAACGGGGCCTCACGCAGCCACTTGAGCTTGAATTGGTGCCTGGGTGGTTTTCGCACGGCGACTTCCCCGTCGGGACGAGCCCCGGGGCGCCTACCTATTAGGCGCCCATTCGCCGCGGTCTGCGCCCACAGCCCAAGTGTACGACTCGGTAACACCTTGCCCACGACTTTACACCTCTGAACTGCTTGTTCCCGTACACCTGCCAGCTGCCACCGTCATCCTTTGCAATCACTGCACATCCCACATATAGAAGCCACCATGGACAAGTCAGACCTGGAGACCTACCAAGTGCAGCTCTCGCAAGTTGAACTCGCCCTCTCCGCCGATCCCGAGAACAACGAGCTTATCTCCCTGCGCTCAGAGCTGAAGGAGCTCATCGAGCTGACACAGGCCGCGATCGCACAGGCCGAGGCCGCCGCGTCCTCTAAAGCGGAGTCGTCGAAGAAGAGCGCGGCCGCGACCGCGTCTTCGTCCAAAGTCTGGTCCGCTGGGGACGACTGCCTCGCGAAGTACTCCGGGGACGGGCAGTGGTACCAGGCGCGGATCGCGTCCGTGGGCGGGTCGGCGGACAACCGCGTGTTCAGCATCGTGTTCAAGGGGTACAACAACACGGAGCTCGTGAACGCGGCGCAGATCAAGGCGCTGCCCGCGAACTACCAGGGCCCGACGCCCGCCGCGGCGAACAAGCGCAAGCTGTCGAAGGCGGAGGAGGAGGACCGCGAGAAGAAGAAGAAGAAGAACGAGAAGAAGCTGGAGGTCAAGGCGGCGAAAGCGAAGGAGCAGCAGGAGAAGCAGCACTCGTGGCAGAAGTTTGCGAAGAAGTCGGAGAAGAAGGGCATCCACATAGCGGGGGTGGCGGGGTCGAGTATCTTCAAGACACCAGAGAACCCGCTAGGGAGAGGTATGTTCGTGATGCTGTGGGGGGTGCGGGTATACTCACTAGCGCTTTGTAGTCGGTGTTACAGGAAGTGGCAAGGGCATGACTGGGGTGGCTCCTCGAACGAAACACAAGTTCGAGGTCACCGACGAACCCAATGCTTGAATGATCTCTACTCGTAAGTGGCTCACCGCTCGATCTTCGCGCATCGAAAGCTGGACTGACCCGCGTTACAGCATGTATCGTATTTGCCGTTCTGTCATATGCATTAGTATAACCTTGATAACCCGTCTCCTCTGCAAGTCGACAGATGATTCGCCTCAGCCTCGTCGGACGGCGCCGGTGGAGGACGACCGGCGCCTCGTCCTTCCACGCACGAATGGTCTCGCGCTATTTGGAGACAGCGTCTGGTGCTGAGCGTCATATGGTGACGCGCTTGTACGTGCCCGAAATGCTCTCATACGTCGCACGTCTCTCTAACACACACCGCACATGTGCTACTGGCATGATGCACGGATGAGCGCACGGGCTCCAAGAGCTGACATTCTCGCTGAAGGTGTAGCGTATGGCTCGATCGCATTTGAGTATGATGGCGCTTGTCTACTTCAAGTAGGTCCACTTCCCCAGTCTACGTGCACGATGCAGTCTTCTATTCGCTATGTCAATCCCAGCGTCTTCCTGCCGGCCCGCCCTCGGAGCCTTGCGCGTCCGGTGCGTATTACGTGCAACCGCTGGCGCGCGCTGCAAGGTTCATCGTGTTGCAGGTACGTCGGCCGGAGGAGTGCTTTCCGCTACCGCTCTGGCTGGGTGCATGCGCTCCCTCACTGGTCCAGCGGCGCAAGCACCTGTCCGGAGAATTTGCGCCACTCCTCTGCCGGCTCACCGGCCGCGGAGATATTCGAGTGGGGGCCCGTTGGTCCAGCGATCGGAGGAGCTGGCGTCGCTCCAGGATGGTTTGATGGCTGCCCAAGCCGGGCATGTCATCTTACCGCCGGGTGCGCTTCCATGTCTCTTTCTGTCAACCCAGACCATCCAGCGCATTCCCAAATTCTAGCATGGGGCGCCCAGACTTCGAACCCCGTAAATTGGCGCAGCGCCGTCGTCATCGACCCCCGGACGCGCCAACGCATCAAGTTGTGCCAGCCTGGGTTTCTGCGCTCCTGCCACCAGGAGTGTTCTGTTGGCCAGCACGACGTTCAGTGCATCATATACTCCGCCTGCCACGTCTACGTGCTGACGGTGACACGGGGGTAGAGCATCCAGCCTGCAGCCGTGCACAGTGGTAACTTTCAATTTTGCTCGGACCGGCTTACCCATGGACCAACAGGTTCGCGGCGATCTCGGTCCCTTGGGCGTGCGCACGACGGATCTCAAGATCTTCTTCGGTTGCGGAGATTCTATAGCTGGGCTTGAAATCTGATGTGGCAGACTCAATCTATTCAACGCCGCGCGCCCGTCCGGGGACACAGAACAGAGGCCTTCGATCGGCGGACACCATACCAGCTCCCGCCGGCCGGTCTCTCGAAGAGCCTGGGTGCGGCGTGGAGGCCGAAATCCCCGTGCCTGCGTCGTCGGATGCCACTCCCGGGATTTAGGGTCCTCGCGATCTCTGAGGAGATCTATGAATGACAGGTGCGATGATCCTCCTGGCGAGCCCTCGCTCAGCTGTATTCTCCCCAGTCTTCTGCTGGGACGTCGTACCTCTTGGTAGCAGCTATGTGCCGAATCCATCGCATGCCTTCGTCCCGCCCGGTCCCTCTTCGCGTGGCCCCTGCGATCGCCTTCACGTACGCCCCGCACGTGCCGGAGCTTCGTGTCCCGGCACATGTGCGCTGCCGCCGCAGACCATTCATCGTGCAACGGGCATCCTCGTCGGCACGTACGCAACGCAATTCCGGTCGACCGGAATGACGGTTGCGCGCACGGGGGCGCTACCGTGAATCCTGGTGCGAAAAGGGAATCCTCGCTGTGGTTGGGGGCGCTGGCACTCGCCACGTACTCACCCGGGGGAAGGTGTCCATGGCCAGATTGGCCACGGGCATGCGCTCTCCCGGAGCGGTGACACAAGGTGATGCGCCCGCAGGACTTCGTCACGAATATGAATATATTGACGTGTGCGCGGGGCAGGCTGATTTCCATATGCGTCGTCAGCGGTTCAAATTTTCAAGTCCTCGAGAAGACCCGTCGTCTCCCACCGCGAGGCACTCGGAGGAAGCTGCTTCGAGGCACTCGGAGGAAGCTGCTTCGAGGCACTCGGAGGAAGCTGCTTCGAGCTTGACGATGGTCCGGCGGACGCCGTCCTGAAGCTCGCCTCGGTACTTTTTGACGTTCTCCCTGACTGCACGCATCTGCATGTACCGTCTGTACGTACAGCTGGAAGGCAACCCAATGCATACAACCCTTTACGCATGGTCTTCGTCGTTGGAGGTGTGCTCGCACCAGATGCCGCGCGGCGCTGTTCCTTCTCAGATGTGACAGCTGCCGCGTCGGAGTCCCTCAAGAAGCCGCACGCATATGGTATACCTCAGCTATGTGGCCGGCGCGATGGAGTGCATGCTGCCTCCACAGATTTCTCGTCACATCTGCCACCGGGGTATCAATTGCACTCTGTAAGTCCGACTATCGATCGCAGCACAAGAGCGGACGCTCTTGTGACCGGACGCCACACTTCTAGCTGCATGCGCATGGATATGTCTATTGCCACACAAAAATACACCACGAAGTTACAACAACGGCGTCGAAAGCGGAAAACAACGCCCAAGCAGGGACGTACACCATCGCGCTGATCACTCCCAAAATCCGCCGCTATCGACCTGGACCCTCGTGTCCTGTTTCCTTTTGCTGCCGATGGGCCGCCCACCCGCACTCTTCTTGGAGTGGTACTTGCGCTGCTGCCGCGCCCGCTGCTTGGACACCTCGGACTGAACCTTGTCCGAGAGGGCCTTGGACGCGGCCGCCGACGGCTGGCGGGGCGCGCGTTCCGAGCGGAGCGACAGCGCGGCCGTGCCGTCGGCGAGCGACGACGAGTGCGACGAGGAGCGCGATCGCGCAGATCGCGGCGAATCTGCGCGCGAAGCCACGTCGCCCGCGTCAGAGCTGCCCGCAGCGTGCAGGTCAGCTGCGTCCGCGCCGTGCCTCGAGCGTGTGCGCGCCGACGGTTCTCCAGATTCATGCGACGGTTCGCGAGATTCATGGGCAGCTTCCGCGTCTGCGCCCGCCTGGGGAATGTGCGAGGCTTCCTCGTCCGCGCCCGCGCCATCGTTGCCGTCGACGCCCTCCTCCTCTTCGCTCGACGTCCCTTCTTCCTCGCCCTCGCCGTCCTCATCGTCGCCGCTGCCTTCGGACTCGTCGTCGTCGGATCCTGCGTGCTCCTGCTCTTGGGAGACACTGTCCATGTACTGCACGGAAAAGGAATGCACCCGTTAGCATCCCTGTCGCATCTCAGCCGGTGCACCAATCCGTGCCATGCTTACCTCCTCCAGCACTTTCTGTTCGCCCTGGTTCCAGCCGCTGGCCGCTACCACGAGGTCGAGGTGCCATTCATCTGAGCCGTCGCCACTCTTCTCAGAGTTAATTGAGCGGAATCGGGGATAGATGCTGCTCTCGTAGCGGAATCTGCGCCGGAAGAACCGCCTGATGCACTCGACATCGCGATTGAAATACCTAAGATGACCAACCGCTGTTGAGCAAACCACAGAACGCATACGACCACATGCGGTCGCTCCGCAGTCATCACTTACCACTCCGCATTCTTGTGCGACGTGCTGACCATCTGGGGGAAGTCAATCACGATTGGGTTGCCGTCTTCGCGGCGGATGAGGATGTTGAATTCATTGAAGTCGCCGTGAATGAGCCCTGCGCGCGCAAACCGGACAATAAGGTCCATAAGCTCCGAGTAGAGTTTCCCTGGAGACGGGATGTCCGCAACCTGCCGACTGTATTGGAAAGAACCGTCAGAACGGGCAGAAGAGCTGGATAGAACCGAAAGCTTACAGAGGGTATGCATCGATGAATCCCATTAGGATGCAATGCCGCGCCTGGTCGACGGGGCGTGGGACAGGGAAATCGTGTTGGTAGAGCACCTAGCGGGCGGTTGGTAACGAAGGTGCGAGGGCAGCGGTGATAATCTACCTTCATGAAGGCGTATTCCTTCTCGGCAGCGAGACGAGACATGTACATCCAAGACGCCGACTTTCTCTTGCCCATATAGTCTCGTTTTGATTTAATTGCGCGGAACGAGATCCGACCCAGGCTACATCCTCTTGTCAAGACGAGCACACGATATGCATTGTAGACGAACGTACCGGTGAAGCTTGAGAACGAGCTCCTGTCCGTCTTTGTCTGCGACAATGTAGATGTCTGCGCCGACGTGTGAACGTGTGTCCACCTGTACCTCGAATTTGGCTGTACGCACCCGATTCTTTGCCCACACCGATCTGATTTCCAACGGACTGAACGGTGTCCCGTTTTGACATGGCGCGCATTGCAAGGAAGTCATACCCGCCATAAGTGAGCCTGTAGCCGTCGTCTGTTATAGGAGAGCCGCGAGAAACCGTGAGCGAAGTGCAGAGTCGAGCCAGGTACTGGAGGAACGCACATCGAGCATTCTGCACTCTTGATACAAGGTTACGCTTCGCCAAAGAGCCGAGGATTTTGTTGACTCCTCCGTTTCGCAGCCCCGAGATCTTCACGATGAGTACGGTGGGAACAATTTCGTGGTTTTTCGAACCCATCTCGACCTGTAATCCGGTCAGACGATGCGCGGATCCAGCTACACTGATTCTACTCACCGCAGTGAGTACGCGGAACTCGTCCGAAGTAACATAGCGGAGGTCTGTCGCATCGAGCTTCATGGCTGCGGTAGGGTGCCCAGGTTTTCCAGGACCAGGATGAGAGTTGGGGCCGATGGAGCGGTTTTTAGATAGCAATATCGAGCTAGATAGAGCGGTCCTTCCAGGAGGGTTGAGAGAAATAGATTCCAGACGTGTTGTGCAGGAACTGCGAGTGATGGGCGGCTTGTAGACGAAGAGGCGGCAGCAGAAAAGTAGCAGATGCGTCATGTGATCGAAGTCATAAATTCCCGATCATCTATGGGCGCTTACGCGGTCAATGCCTCCGAGGTGGCGGTGGCTGAGAACGTTCAAGTTCGACGCGTCCACCGGCGCCATTGCACACTGACCGCTCCACTGTCCTTGAGCCTGAGCTTGCTGGACGAACATATAACCCTAAAGGGGATAAAAAGAGTGTACTATCTCATAGTACTCACCTCGCCAACGCCGGATATCAACTGTAAATCTCCTTTATTGCTAGTTCATACCTAACTAGCATCACTGACGCGGTGCATTTCAGCGCGTACCCGTGGCGGAAGATGGTCACCTCAAAACTAGTGAATATAGCCAACCAGGTATATATTTTGTCACCCGAACGTACACAATGAGTGACGCGTCTCGCGACAGGCTTCGGCCCACGAAATTGCGGTAGCAGCGGACATCCCGAGCACCCACACATTCAAGGATACACCGTATGAGCTTCTCCCCTCAAGTTCGCTCCGAACATCCTGCTGACTTGTGGCACAATAATCTAGGCTCACCTTACGCGTGGCTGATGCACCCTCACTCTCGTCCGACGAACGAGAAAATATTTGGAACTTGTGGGAAACAAATATGCGTGTACTGTATGCGATCCGTGCCGTCAAACGAGATCTGCCATACTCACCAGTATGGTGTAGAGTCGAACCATCCTCCTTTGGGTGGCATCCCAAGTCGAAGAGGAAGGAACTCTTCCATCGTAATGCCAGGTTCATTTTGGTCCTCGATGGCGAAGGCTCGCAAGCGGCCACGACCCTCGTAGCGTTCGCCATGTTCAGGTTCGAGCGAGACGAAGGAGAGGATCTCTTGTACTGGTAGGTCCTTGCGGGCTCCTGCGTAACATCCCCTTTTGATATCGCGACAAGTTATGAGCTACAGGTCTCAGGGCTATTCAGAGGCAGCGGGATCGGCCATTTCTTCGTGGAGAAGCTTACAGCCATTGGAAAGCGGTGGGGAATGTCGAAGATCATGTTAACGGCACTGAAAAGTATGTCTTCTTATTTCATACGCACACCGCCGTTATTCACCGAGCCAGGCAATGTGGCCGCTGGCCGATTCTACAGCAAAACTGGGTTAGTATGTCTGATATATCTTCCACTGGGCCTCACCGAATGCTTGTATAGGTTTCAAGTCGACCCCAGCTCCCCTGACTACGGGCCTACATCGGAGGACGATGACTCGCCCGACGAGGACGCCGAGGACGAACCATGCGACTATGAAATATTGTCGAAGACTTTGGAGTGATCACACCGACAGTTCTTGTGCCGTGATGTCGCACTGGAGCGGACTATCCAAGATGCTCCGCATATTAGTGTGTATATAGTAGTACACGCACAATACAATCCGACCAATCATGACATCACTGAGGACTCCGAGGTTGCGACCTCCTTGCCTTTGCCGTTGGGGTAAGATGGAGGCGGAGGCGCGGGGCTGGACGGAAGGGGTACAGGTGTGGACGGCTGGGACATGCTCGAAGCCGTCGGGCCACCGGCTAGCTGCCATGCGGGTATCGAGGGCTTCCCAGGAAGCACGGGGGTTGTAGGCCCTGTAGACACACCGGGCCCACGGCTCAGGAGAAGGGCCTTGAGCGACTTAAGCTCCTGCTGCAGCTCAGCTAACGACTGATTCTGGCTCTCCTTGTTCTTCTCAATCATCTAGCGTTGATTATAAGCAACGAAGCACACGGTGATCGGTCCGGGGGACTCACCTTTGGTAGCATTTCGCGGACAGTGTTCACCTCCTCGCGGATCTCCCGCATTTCGTTTCGTGTATGGGCTTCGCTCTCCCGCATGTCCTTCACCACGTTCGCAACTTCCTCGGTAACCTTCGTGACCTTCTCGTTCTGTTCCTCTACGGCCACTCGGACCGCCGCCGTCTCAGCCTGGATCTCTTTGAGTAGAGCTTCGGCGGCGTCGAATTGAGCCGCCATAGCATCCTTGTCTTCCTCATATGCAGTTGCCGACGGGGGTTTTAGATGAGGTGAGACATATTTCTGGTGAAAGGCTAAATGTGGGCGACAGGAAACGCGCTGTAAACGGACGCACCCTGAATAGCGCAGCCGCGCCATAGGCAACGGTGCCGGATACGACGGCAGTGATCTGGTGGTTGGTGAGCTCAACGTAAGGCCTTGTGACGAAACAACTCACGAAGTAATCTCGCCAGTCCCACATCTGAGGCGGGGCTTGTGCGGGTGTGTATGGCATAGGACCATATACAGGACCATAGGGAGTGGGCGGATATGATTGCATGGACTGCCGCGGAGCAGCTTGACTCATAGCAGCTTGGCGCAACGCTTCCTCAATCTCCGGCCCTGCAAGGCCTTTGGCCTCCAAGAATTGTATACGTTGCGCGAGAGGTGAAGCTTGCGCCTGGTGGCGTTACACTTTAGTCCCGAGTAAGACTCTAGGATGATAGTCGAGCTCTACGCACTTTTGGGTCCGCCAAAAATGCAACTGCATTGCGTATGAGTTCCTGTCTGTCCGGTGTCGACATGTCGGTGAACGGGAGAGGAAAAAGAGGGATCGGTACAGGACACGAGACGTTCCCCGCACTTGCAGTCGGGATCGGCCCACTGCCGCAATCACGGTGACGGAGCCGGCGCTTCCTGTGCCTGCCACGCGGCGGTCGTCCGGCGAGGGCCCGGAGGAAGCCGTGCCGCGCCTCCGAAGGGGGGCGCTTAAGAATTTTGAGCGCGCGACTGGCTCACGCTGCAGCCGTGCCATCGTCTACCTGTCGCCGTCATGTTCAAGGCTCAGCTCCCCCCCACCCGGGTCATTGCCCGCCGTCTCTACAGCTCGCGTGGTACGTTTCTTGTTTGAGGCGTAAAATATGGCGTGACGAGTAGAGGCGCTGAGATCTTGTCGCCAGCAACGCAAGCTTTGTACAGCTGTACACGGAGCTCGGTCAGGCACCCTACTACTTCGCACTCGACATCCTGCAGGACAGTTGGTCGTAACTTGAGTGAGTGGTACTTGTGCACATATCTCTGGAAATGGGACGCTGATATGTCGCGTGTCTCGCAGTATTCTCAAGAGGGTATGCTGAACCTGCATCGGGGAAGTTCTCCCGGGCGAAGCCTCACTTGAACATCGGTACCATTGGTATGTCGCCCCGACCGCTACTCTTAGAAGGCGTAACTGACCGAATGGATAGGTCACGTCGACCACGGTAAGACTACCTTGACGGCGGCCATTACGAGGGTCCTTGCCGAGACGGGTGGAGCCCAGTTCACCGACTACTCCCAAATTGACAAGGCGCCTGAGGAGAAGGCCCGTGGTATCACCATCAACTCGGCACACGTCGAGTACGAGAGTGCCAACCGCCACTATGGCCACATCGACTGTCCCGGTCACGCTGATTGTAGGTCGTTCCGCTCTGTCCTTGCAGTACAGAAACGCTGACGTCAGGCAGACATCAAGAACATGATCACTGGTGCGGCCCAGATGGACGGCGCTATCATTGTCGTCTCTGCCACGGACGGTCAGATGCCCCAGACGCGCGAGCACTTGCTCCTTGCTCGCCAGGTCGGCATCAAGAAGCTCGTCGTCTTCATCAACAAGGTCGACATGATTGCGGACAAGGAGATGCTCGACCTCGTGGACATGGAGATGCGTGACCTCCTCGCGACGTACAACTTCGACGGCGAGAACACTCCCATCATCTTGGGCTCTGCTCTTGCTGCTCTGGAGGGACGCGACCCGGAAATTGGTGCTACCAAGATCCAGGAGCTCATCCAGGCTTGCGACGAGTGGCTTGAGATCCCTCCTCGTAAGTTCACAGGCACCGCTTCCATCACGTACAGGTTAGCTCACACAACCCAGGTGACCTTGACAAGCCCTTCCTCCTCCCCATTGAGGATGTGTTCTCCATCTCTGGCCGCGGAACTGTCGCCACCGGTCGTGTTTGTACCTCCGCGGTCATTGTGGCGAGTGTCACTGGCTAATTACAGTACGTAGGTGGAGCGTGGTATCTGCAACAAGGGTGAGGAAATCGAGATCCTCGGTCTTGGGACGAAGATCAAGTCTGTTCTCACCGGTATCGGTAAGTGGCGTTCGAGTATGGTCTTCACATGCACACGCTGAAGATGTCATACAGAGGCTTTCCACAAGGAGCTCGACCGCGGTGAGGCCGGCGACAACATGGGTGCCCTGCTCCGCGGTATCAAGCGCGAGCAGCTCAAGCGTGGCCAGGTCATCATTGCTCCGGGCTCCATGAAGGCTGTCAAGAAGTTTCAAGCTCAGATCTACGTACGTTTACGAAATCGAGCATAACTCTCCGGCAACCACTGACGCCTCCGCGTAGGTTCTGACAAAGGACGAGGGAGGCCGTTACACTCCTTTCATGGCCAACTACACCCCTCAACTCTTCATCCGTACCGCTGACATCAGCACGCGGTTGTCGTGGCCCGAGGGCACCGCGGACGCGGAGGAGAAGATGGTCATGCCCGGCGACAACGTCGAGATGGTCTGCACTCTCCACAACGACGTTGCTGGTGAGGTCGGTTCCCGGTAAGTGCCAACACGGTGTCATCTGCCGCCAACATCCATCTGACCGCTCGTCTGCAGTTTCACGCTCCGTGAGGGTGGTAAGACCATCGGCACGGGTATCATCACCAAGGTGCTCGAGACCGCATGAGCGGGAGAGGATTACTCGCATCCACATCGTTACATAGCCACGCCCCTTAATGTCCTGTGCTTGTATATCCTACTCCCCACTCACCTGCAAAAGGAGCCCTCGAGCCCGCACACTCGACCCTCGTCATTCTCGCTGTATGTTATCCCCGCATGTCTGCGTTTTGCTAGATAGATGCTATTGAATCCATGTTGAATCAACGCGCTTTGGGTGGACTCAGTACGTACTACGGAACGCGCGCCCGATAAGCACCTGGCGTTGGCAAAACAGCCGGGCGAGCGTTGGTGGATAATACGTAACAGAGGCGCCCATAAGAGGCCAGGGAAGGGCGCGCGTTTCCGAGAGTTTTGAGGCGAGCGGGAGTCGGGACCCCGTATCGGCCACCTCGAATTCGTCCTCGCGCCATCGCTCCTCCTCCGTCTCCTTCACTGCTTGCACGGTCCCCTACACGAAACACTCTGCCTTCCTAAAAAACCAAGATGTTCGCCATCCGCCACGCCGCCCGCTCCAGCGCGCCCGCCTTCCGTGCGGCGCCCCGCGCTGCCCCGTCCGCGCGCATCTCCCGGCCGCTCGTCCGGACACTCGTCAGTGAGTCGCGCACCCACGCTACGTGTCCGCTCTGGATACTAAGGCTATGTGGCGTTCGCAGCGAAGAAGTACACTGAAGATCACGAGGCGGTCGTGTTCGACGACCAGACGCAGCTCGGGACGGTGTCTATTACGGACTACGCGCAGTCGAGTCTGGGCGACGTTGTGTACGTCGAGCTTCCCACTACGGGTACGGAGATCGCGCAGGGTGGTGGGTGCATATCCTTCGATGATTTTTGGGTCTATGTGGTGACACACGGGACCCCTCTTTGCAGACCAGATTGGTGCGGTAGAGAGCGTGAAGGCCGCCTCTGACATCGTGAGTTTATTTGAAGTGGCTTCCAAGGCGCGCACATGAACAGGGTCGTTTTGCAGTTTGCTCCGGTCTCCGGAACGGTCGAGGAGATCAACGAGACCTTGAACGACCAGCCCGGTCTGCTCAACAAGTCCCCCGAAGTGAAGGGTAAGGTGGTATACATCCCCACAGGAGTAAGTCGCTGATGAGGTGTTGTCCACAGGGTGGTTGTGCAAGATCAAGCTCAGTGATCCGTCCGAGGTACGTTGCTGCCCCTCACTCGTTGGTGTGGCCGATGTTGACAGCCGTCCCAGCTCGGGAAGCTCATGTCGGAAGAGGAGTACAAGAAGCACTGCGAATCTGACCACTGAGGACGTTCGTTTTGACTGTGCTTCATGACTTCGGCATCAACTGCCGCATGTGAAGGGGGTTCGGGGGATGGGTCGATACTTAGACACAAACTTAGCACGTATGCCCATAGCGGGGCACGTAATGAAGGGATCTTAACATCCAAATGCGCCATGTGGGTCCCGTCCGGTGTGATACAACTGCTGGTGAGCAGGCAGAGCGAAAGGTGTTATAGGTGGTGTGTTGCAACTCTATAGGGGTCTAGAGTAATCAGGGCTTCTCGCCTCGCGCCTCCATGCGGGCCTTGGCTTCTTCCAAAGCCCAGCTCTTGATACTGTAGCCTGTTGTTAGTGTGAGCAAGGGAAGAGGTACGTGGGTTGGCGTACCTTGTGTCGGGCTTGTAGTAGAGCAAGACAGCGGCGACACCCATGGAGCCGTACATTCCAATATACCACACGTTCTCCCAAGACTCCTTCTTGCGCTTCTGCCCAGCAGGGAGGGGCTACGAGAACCGCATTGAGCTTGGTGAGCAAGTTGAGAGATGGGGCTTTGGGGTCACATACCTTCTCGCTGAGGAAGTAGCCAGTGGGCTCGTTGTAGTGGGGGCCGTGGCCGTGGGAGGCGTAGCGCTTGCAACTTGGCGAGCTGCGAACGGCGCAAGCCCGCCGCTGAAGTGTTCGGAGCGCAGACGGAGAGGGCATGGGTGTAAGGTGCAGAGCTGTCTCTCGTCTCTGTCTAGGTGGGTGAACTCGGGCGGCAACGTGCAGGGTTAGGGTTCCGTGTATAGACGCGACACTTGAGCGGACTGCGGCACGCTTCACCGTACTTGCACCTCACATACCCACTCTGACCTCTCTCTCTGCCCACGACTCGGACTTGGAACACGCGGGAAGATGTTTACTGGCTGGCGACACGCTGTAGAAACGCTGGCCCAGCCTGTAAAGCCCGCAGGCTCCCCCGACGCCGCCGCGTCCGGGGAAGACGCACCCGTTCGGTCGTCATTGGACTCCCTCGCCATACGCACCTCCATCTCCTCCCCCGCACATCTCGCCGAGTCCGCACTCAGCAATCTCAGAAAGACTCTTGTAGCGCAGCGTCCCGCCAGCCCCGCAAACGGGGCCGCGCCAGCGTCCACCGCCTCTCCCGAGCCCACACCTGCACCTGTGTCCAAACCGCGCTCTGGCACCCGCACCACACTAGAGGATAGGCTGCGCGCGAAGTTCGCTATTGGGGATGCGTCGAATCAGTCTACGCCTGCAACTTCCTCCAGGGCGTCCCCTGCGCCCGTGTCGTCCGCGGACCACCCGCTTGCGCTTCCCTCAAGCCGTAGCTCAACCCCAGACATCCCAATAGTGAAAGGTCCACCCAATCCTCTTTCGCCAACGTCTACTCCTCTCCCAGACTCTCCTATGGTCTCTCCAACGCCTGTACACGCGCAGTCCATGAATGCCACAGCTGCGAACATCTCTGTGGCCTCATTACCTGGCCCTCTGTCGGATCCTTCAGAAGCTAGCGCGGAACCTGCAGAGCCTCCCGCGGTCAACACGGAAACTGATATTCCCGAGGTTATGGACTCTACGCCTCAAACCTCAGAATATCCCGCCGAATCCGCCGATGCTGTACAGGAAGGTTCAAGCGAACCATCTCCACCAGAGGCATCGGACGTGCCCCCCACTTCCGTTGAGACTGAAAGCCCTGAGCCCATAGAAATAACTCCAGAGGCTACCGAGCCTCTGGAAGTGCCGAATGAGGAGCCGGCCGCTGAGGCTGTCCCCGCGCCTGTACCTCTCCCGGAAGTACCACAAGAAGTGACGCCTACTATGGAAGACGCGCCAGTTGGCCAGCAGCCGGAGCCTGAAGCCGAACCGGAGAGCGTCCCTCCTGCTATAGAACCCGCAGAGCCAGCTGCAGAGCCTCGGCCTGTTATCGTTGAGGACACTACTCCAAGTAGCGACGTACCTCCGCCAGTCGCCTTGGCCTCCCCGGCACTCCTCGATGCGGACGCGTCTCTTCCGCGGCGTTCTCTCGACGTCCCTTCTCGGGCCACGACGCCAGACGTCGAGGGCTCAGCGGACGTCGAAGCCTTGCAAAAGCGCTTGAAGCTGGTGCAACAGCGGTTTGCAGGCGAGTACATTTCCGCCCTGGCGTCTTGCAAGCGGTGCTCATGTCGTACCCAGATGTGTCTACTTCCTTCAAGCGCCTCCAGGCGGAAAAACTGGCTGCCGACCGCGTCCTGCGCGAGCTCACGTCTGTCGAGAGCGTGACTGAAGTGGATGCGCTGCGCGACTTCCTCCAGAACCTGACGCTCAAGAGCGAGGTACGTGAAATCCGTGTTAGTGCAGGTTAACATCCTCACAAAGCCCATAGATGGCACAAGACGAGATTCGAAGGCTTACTGGCAAGCTCACTCGTGAGTACACGCTCTAGTCGATTCATAGCTGCATATTAAAGCCCGTTCACAGGGCAAGACGAGCGCATTGAGGAGCTGCGCGACATCCACCGGCTGGAGTCGAAGTCCCAATCAGACCAGATTGACAAGCTGAAGGCGCAGATCGAAGAGGCCGAGAAGCTCCTCAAGGCCGCACAGAGCGCCACAGCACAGATCGAGCAGGAGTCCGCAAAGCGGAAAGCGGAGATCGACCGGCTGCACGGCGAGGTCGAGCGCGCGACTGGCTCCGCGAAGGACGAAGAGGAGAAGCGCACCAAGGCGATCACGCTGTTGAAGACCGTGCGCCAAAAGCTCGTCAAAGCGGAGAAGGAGCGCGACGATGCGGTGAAGGAGGTCGGCACCGTAAGGGAGGCTGAGAAGGCGGAACGCGAGAAGGAGAGAGCGGAGAGGGTGCGGCTGCAGGGGGAGATCGAGAAGGCGAACGCAGAGCGAGAGACTGCGGTGCAAGGTCTGAGGGCGCAGTTCGACAAGGAGGTCGCAGGCTTGAAGGAAAAGCACGAGAAGGAAATCGCTGCTCTGCGCGGGCAGTTCGAACTAGAGGCGATCACCACCAAGGTATGCGATATTCTGACACGTTCCAAACCGGTATACTTATCACGTCCCTACAGACCACCCACGTCAGGGAGATCGAGAACAAGAAAAACCGCATCTCAGACCTGGAAAGCCGGGTCAAGACCCTCTCTGAGGAGAAGGACGAGCTCTTCGACCAGCTTCAACTCCGCCAAGCTGAGCTTGAGTCCTCGCAGTCCGCGCTCGAGTCCCTCCAAGGGCAGAACACCGAGCTGCAGTACCAGTTGCGCGAGGCAAACGACCGCACCGCACTCATGCAGGACGAGTTTTCCGACGTCCGGCGCGAGCAGGATGTCCGGGTGCTCTCCCCGGGGCCCTCCGCGGAGGACGTGGCGCGGCTGCTCGCGTCCGCCGAGTCCAAGTACGAGTCCAAGATGGGCGACCTGCGGAGGCGGCTCGCGGAGGCCGAGCGCGAGCGCGACGAGGCGGATGCCCGCTGGAGCAGGAAGTTCGCGGAGCGCGCGAAGGAGGTGGATGAGCTGACCGCGGCTATTCGCTCGTCGCAGCAGAGCAAGGAGGAGGATACGGAGGGCAGGCAGGCGTTGCAGGCGCAGGTTGAGGCGTTGCAGGCCGAGATTCGCGTGTATCAGCAGCAGATTGCGGGTCTCCATGGGGAGCTGGAGAAGGCCGCTGAACTCGAGGTATCTGCGAAGACCCAGCTTGCCGAGATCGCGTCGAAGACTGCGGACCTGCAACAACATGTGGACGAGAGCAAGAACCGTGAGGCGCAGCTCCGCGCTCAGAACAAGGTACATCGCACCCTCAGGAATGTTTTGAAGCAGCACTCATATCGCCTCAGACCCTACGCGAAGAGCTTCGGAAGGTGCAATCTTCCGTTGCCTTGCTAGAGAAGCAACGCAACCCTGGCGTTGGCTACTGGGCGGCGCGCAACGAGAGCACGTCGGAACTCCGGTCTCCTAGGTCCTCGGTGTCCGACCTTGCTCGGGAAACGCCCTCGCGGCCGTCGACTCCTACGGCCACGAAGTCCGACGAAGAGGTCAACTTTGAATATCTGCGCAACATCATCATGCAATTCCTGGAGCACAAGGAGATGCGGGTGAGTACCCACTCCCATCTATCTTATGTGGAATGTCGATTGACGTATGTTGACAGCCGCACCTTGTGCGCATCCTATCGACGATACTGCATTTCACTCCACAGGAGACCCGGAGGCTCATTTCAAAAGTCTAATTCATGTAGCTGCAGCACACACTCCTTGCATACCTTGCATCCCATATTATACCATACACCTCGGTGCACATCGGACATTACTACTGTATCTACTCACCTATAACTATTTATGCGGAGCAATTCGCACACCCATCACCAATTTTGCAGCCTGCGGCGGTTTAGCCACCCTGAGGAGTTGCCATTCTGGGAAGGGATAGTTGTAGGTGTCACTTAGACGCCGGTGCCACAAGCTTGTTCGTCCGAACCGCCAAGCGGGATTCTGAGCAGAGCGAGGCATAGCTGCGGCAGGGAATGTCTCTGAGCGAACTCACGAGGAACGCCTTTCAAAGTGGTATTCCAGCGTGTAGAGTAAGGCTCCCGTGGGGTTCGAAAGTCGTACCAGCGCGCTGACTGCGTGTTTGGCGCCACAGTGGATCGGACTCTGCAAGCTCTTCATTTCGAAGAACCTCGCTCATAGCAGCTCTCATAGCATCGAGACAGACATTAGCAGTTGAGAGGCCTCCTTGCGTCATTATTCCATTGGACATTAGCTGACCTGCATTTATCAAGACTCTGTGCTCATCCTCTTCCGCGACTACCCTGGGGACCCCGCACTCCAGGCATACCTCAAGCAAGCCATCCAAGATGGCGTGCTCTCCCTCCCCACCTTCCTAACCACCTTCCTCGCCGCCGCCCAGTCCCCCGAACTGCACAACACCGCGACGCTCGACATGCTCTGCACCGTCGCGCTCGAGCAGCACTACGCGTCCGGCCTCCCGCCCACGGGCTCGCTCATCCCGTACGGCGAGCCGACCGCGCGGCTGCTCAACACCGTGCAGAACGCGATGGCGCTCCTGCGCACCGCGTATGCGCTCCCGATGGCGCACTTCCACACGCTCACGACGGGGGCGGCGCAGCTGCTCGTGCTGCTGCTCTCGTGCGCGACGGAGCCCGCGCAGCTCGCGACCGCGCAGGCGGTGATGCACCTCGCGGACGTGCACGAGCTGCTGCAGCTCGCGCGGCTGTCGCCGCCGCACGTGCGTGGGGTGCTCGAGGGCTTCGTGTGGTCGCTGGGGATGCTGATGGGCGACGACGCGAAGGTGGCGAGGGAGGCGCAGCTCATGCACCTCTCGTCGGGGAAGGGGGACACGCTTTTAGGCTCCAGTTCTGATACCGATATTGTGACCTGCACACTTGTGCTAAACCATCTGGTACGTGTAGACGAGGGATGGTGGCGGGCAGTAAGCTGACGGGAATGCGTGTTGAGATCTTCAATAGGGCAGGCGACTTTGGCTCGGGTGACGGGCAACACGCCGTGGCGATCCTAGTCTCCCTCCTCCGGTGGTCCGCATGGACGCCGGCGACTTTCTACTCACAAATCATCATCTCTGCGCTAACATGCTTCGCACAAAGCATCAGCCCAACCGGGCCCACGCGAGCCAGTTCTATCTGGCGAGCGTTTACGATCGGTCGCGTACGTTTTCATTCTCATTCTAGAGGAAATTCTGCGGCAGCACGCTCACTTCTGTCTAGCTACCGCACCTGTTAGCGCAGTTCCAGAAATCGGCACAAGCGGCAGGTGTCGGCGAGGCTGACTGGGTGAGACTCGTCTTGTCGTCGCAGCCCCCGCGTGTAGCTCAAACAACGTAGCATACCGCCCTGCAATTCGCTCTGCCGGCCATCCTCCATCGCGGGGACCTGCTGGAGAAAATAGACAACGTCGGGCAGACCGCTGGCTCCGACACTGGCAGCGAGAAGTCCGTCATGTAAGTGTACAGCTTCCTAAGTGCACCTCCTGCTGGATGCTCACAAACGTAGGCCCTGCAATTTCACGTCGGAGTTCCTGTACCAATTGCTCCATGTCGGTCTGATTGAGCAAGCGGTGGTCACCACCATTAACCCCAATTTCCCGAACGACTTCCACCCTCGCGTTGCGGCGGAGGCGCATGAAGCGTCCCTCGATCTTCCGGTGTGTTGATCGGTTGCCTGACTAGTCTAGTGTCCTGAAGACTGTGCAGGGCTACTTCGAGGTCAAGCTGTCTCCGGATGCGAGCCCTGAAGACATAGAGGTGCTCCTCTATCGAGCGTGGAAGGACCCGTGTTGCCACTCCGCTTTTGCGGAGGTCGTGGAAAAGGTAAGCACTGCCCAGGCCCGCTTGCCCATCGACACCAATCTGAGCTCGTCAACAGCGTTTTACATCCTCGACGAAGAACGTGGACACTGAAACGCTGAGTTTGGTCTGCAAGATGCTCTGTCAGCACGAGATGGCGCTCGACATGCTTTCGCTGCACACAAAGATATCTGATCTAGTCGCGCATGCGCTCGCGTTCGTGGAGGACTATGACTGTGAGACGGTCGGTAAGTGGTTGTGAGGGCTGCAGCGACTGGACGACGCTTACGTACAACGACAGGCGATCCCCAGACAGCGGTGACCCACCTGGGTGATGTGGTATTGTTTGTGGAGGCAACAATAGCGCGGTTCAACGTGCGTATATGAGTTGTTCTCTTTCTCGCTCACTTCCTTAGTTTATCTTTCGCAGCTGGGAACACATTCCTTCTCGGTCGGCGAGAGGTACCTGAACCCTGAGTTCCTGAGAACCGCCGGGCCAAATCCCCGAGTCGATGAGTTGAAGGAAGAAGACCTATCCGCATTCAACTCGTGGATCAAGGCGCTGTTTGACCCCAGTAGCGAGGGAATCGAAGATACGATCCTAAGGTACGTCAACCTTTCCCCACACCGGAGCGGGAGTTCTGAGTTGTTCCAGGGCTACGCGGCCAAAGGTGTTGTTACGGATAGCACCCACTCTGTTTTCCCATGCGATTACACAATGCATGGAGCGCAAGATGGACAAGGATGCGCTGTTGAACGGGATCTCGTACTTCCTGGCGCCCCTCCTGAACTGGACGCTCGCCAGGGTGATCAAGTTCTTGTTGTCCGAGATACAGCGACGCGGGTGAGTCCTGCAGAGCAAACTCTCGACAACGCCACTGAGCCAGCGACATGTAGATACGCGGTACCTGTCCACCTAGAGGTCCTCAAAACACTCCTGACCTCGCCCTCATGCCCCCCTGCGGTGCTCTCCCTGTCCGCTCCAAACACCTTGCGCACATTCCCGCATCCCTTCCCGGAACACAGTAAGAAGGTTATTGGGACATTCGATCTCGCGCCTATCCGCCAGGCTGCACGGCGTGCCCTGGGTCTTCCCGAGGAAGGTGAGCCACCCGGTGCTCAGTTATGCCATGCAAATCTGACATTCCAGGCTGCCTGGTTGCAGACCCTCAGAACGCCCTGATCATGCCCACGCCGACCGCGCATTGGTCTGACCAGGCGCGTCAGCTCGTGACGAATGCGCTGGCAGCAGCGAGAGCAGGACGGGCGGTCGCCCTCGACGTGGACCGCTGCCTGCTCCTCTCCCCGCCGACCAAGTTCCTCTCCGCGTTCTTCTCAGAACTCGCCCTCGCGGCGACGATGGACATGGAGGCCCCGCGGCGGCTCGCGACGTTCGTGCTGACGATGCCGCGCACACCGCGCTCGCCGCCGTTGCTCCCGCTGTTCCTGCACCTGCTGCTACCGTCGCTGGTAGCGGCGGCCGACAACCTGCCGCCGACGGAGCAGGCGATCCGGGTGGAGTTCCTCGTCGCGGTCATCTCGTCGTCGCTGACCTCGGCGCTGCACCTGGAGTGGGCGATGCTGACGACGTGCGGGGAGGAGCGGTATGTGCTGGGCCAGTCTGTGACCTCCATGGCGCGGCGGCTGGCGGGGGAGATCAGGAGGCGGGGGGACGGGCCGAGTGCAGGGATGATTATGCAGCGGCTGACGGCGATGCAGCCGTTTGTGGCCAACTTTCCGACGTTCGCAGCGGAGCTGTAGTGTACTAGTGATCGTGCAATGTATTCGATAGGAACTGCGGTATCATATGTGCGGCACAACCAGTCGCAGGCGGATAAAGAAACATAAGAGAAGCGAGCGTGGGCAGAACCCCGCTTACACGTCCGTCGGCGGCGGCGCTTCGGGAGGAGCGGGCAGAAGACTGTCAGTGCAAGCGCGCAGGCGATCGAGAATTAGACTCACGACAGCAGGCGTTTTCTGACGGGTTGCACTCCTGGTCAGGCGGGCACAGGATCAGACATGACGACGATGCAGACAGCTGCAGAAGCGGCTCCGTCAGCGCGATATGTTCCCGCCCTGCTCGGGCGTCACATCGGGGGACTCACCCTGAGGTCTTCCTCTGGCGCCGCGTTCCGTGGCGGATGGTACTCGGGCTGGATGGTGCTCGAGTGGATGCCCCGCTCGTGGAGCGCCTTGCGAATCTGCGCCGCTACCGGCATGAAATCGTGCTTGCGCGACGCCATGACATGCACAGACGCGACGATCTTGTTCTCCGACAGCTGCCACACATGGAGCTCGTGCACAGACAGAACTCCGTCCACCGCAAGAATAGCCTCGCGCACTTCGTCCAATGAGATCGTAGACGGGACGCCCTGCAAAAGGATGAAAGCGGTACTGCGTACTGTCCGCATGTGGTCAGTCTACATCCGGACGACGGCGGAAAAATAACGCACCTAGGGGCAAGGCTGACGAGAAAATAATAACCGTGATGACCAGACTGATCATCGGGTCAAAGTAAAACTTCCAGCTCCAGCTCGTGAGCCAGATCACAAGGCCCGTCGCAATGACACCAACGTTTCCCAGTGCGTCCCCGATGACGTGCAGAACTAGGGCGCGCATGTTCATCGAACCATGAGAGTGACCGCCGCCGCCGCCGTGGCTATGTCCGTTGTGGGCGTGAAGCGAGTGCGGGACAGACTCTACGCTGGCGCGGTCGGGGAGCAGGCGAGTAGACTCGTTCATTGTCTGCTGCTCGTCGAGAGAGGAGTCGCTTGGGCTTTCGTCGCGGATGTCGTCCATGCTCGCATGTCTGCCATGCGACCTCGATCGGCTGACGCGCGACTTCCGTGAGGGCGAGCGCGAGCGCGCACGTGCGACATCGTTGGCAGCCTGCATGATGGACGCACGGGTGGCGGCAGGATGGCCGTACATGGACGAGTACGACTCCGACCGCTCGCGAGACCGCGGTGTCGGTGACGTTACGTGAGGGCGGGGGGTCACCTGCCCGTCTTCGGCCGAATGAACGCTTGCAGGCTTGGAGCCTGACGGGGTTCCATGACTATGACCGTGGTCATGACCGTGTTCTGCGAAGCCTTTAGCCTTTGATGCATAGCCTTTAGTGAGGCATCACCTACCATGGAACAAGAACAACCCAACGAGGTTCGAAGCCAACCCGAGCGAACCGACTATGACAACCAGCTTCGGGTTTGAAATTTCTGCTCTCAGGGGTTAGCAAAAGGACATGCCTGCGCGAGTCTCAAGCACGTACCTGGGGTGCTGAAGAAACGTTCGATGGCCTCCAAGGAAATGGAGAAGCACAGCGCAAGCAGGAAGACACCATTGACCAGAGCCGCGAGGATTTCGGCCCTGTGCCAGCCGTACGAGTAACGAGAGTCGACTTCGGTCTGGTTGGTGAGCTGTTCATAGCCGGCGTAAATAGCTGCAACGGCTGGTAGCGGTGCGTGAACAGGACGATACCTTGATCGCATATAGCGCCACTATGAGGCTCAGTACGTCGCTGCGGCACAATTGTCAGACCCCCATACACCTCATTCCACATCTGAGGGAGTTCGGGCTCACTTCAGCATGTGGAAACTGTCTGCGACGAGGGCGAGCGAGCCGACCGCATAACCTAGCAGGGGTATTTTCAGCTGCGCGCCCGGCCAGACTCGATAGACGAAATACGCACCGACAATGAGCTCGGTGAAGAAGAAGAAGACGTCAATTACGAGCAGCAGTATTATGCGTGTTGAGCGGGACATCATGGTCGCATGCAGGCCTCGACGGCAGGCGGAACGCGGTGGGGGAGCGGGAGGAGGCAGGAAGAGAGTTAATGTTCAGGCCGTCTGCCATGGCCATTAAGTCATGCACCGGCAAACCCCGCTTTGGGGCCAGGGCTATCTGATAAGATTAGATGGGGCCCGCGTTATCTAAGGAGCGCTGCGCACCGATGATACCCGACGCAGGCGAGCCTCTGGACTGGCATGTCCTGCCACCTTGCTGACCACCGACGCGCTCTGGGCCTCTGTCTTCTGACCTTCGTGGAACGACTTTCTATTCATTTTGTGTTCAAAGCATGTATTCGCCGCTGTGAACGGACCACCCAAGAAGTCTCGCCCGAAACCTTCCTCGGCCGGTCCTGCCAACATACGTCACTCTCACTGGTGCTTCCTGGCATGCTCTGGCTCATATGGGTCTTTTACATTCAAAGGATGATGCATTTAGGGTTTCGGTAACGGCTTATTGGCGTGCGGGCTGACATCCGTCTTCAACGGGGCTGGGTCAGCGCAAAGTTCGCAAGGTTTGAGCAAGCATCGGTAATATGTGTGCAGGAGTTAGAGCGGGCCTTACTCTCGTGTTGCTCATCTTTTTCTTTATAAGAAGGCCGTACTGCGCGTGTTAATTTAGCCTGCTCATGCTTTACGCAACTGCATGCAGCCGTGACGGATAGGTATCGCTCATCGTCTGAACTGGCCATGTTTCTAAAAGCAATCCGTTACCCTATACTTCTGATTCTATAGTGTTTGTACCATGTCCGTACGTATGCCCTCCTAAATTCTCCACAGCGCGGGGGACAGATGCAAGATGCAGACGACCGCGAGTTATACTTGCATGATACGAGGTCACGTGCATGGACGAGTTTTGGCATGTTTGGCAAGAGCCTCTAGCGCAAGCCTGTCTTTTCGCAGCACTGCTCAAGTGCTCTGTTACGGTCCTGCTTTCAGCTCGCTTGCTCTCCTCGCTCTGCTTGCTGCTACCAAAATCCATCCTGTGCATACTAGACTAGAAGCCTGATCCAAAATTATGGCCGCAACTTCCATGGCAGCGGCTCTCGCCGCATCCCTGCCCGCACCCCAAGCCGCACCTGCACCGAGCGCACCGACCTACGAGGCCATCCCTGCGTCGATGGCGCAGGTGATCGACATCGAGGCGGAAATCCACATTACGAGCGTGCAGCTGGACGCGATAGTGAGTACCAGCCGTCCGTTCTATGAGCTGGACACGGCCGCGGTGCCCTCCGCGCCTGGTGAACGCAAATTGCCTCCGGCCGGCGTCCCAGGCTCGAGGGCACATGCCGGAGCCCGTTCACCCTCGACCGCCACGCGTGCCCGTGCGCTCCGGTCCCTCTGCCCTTCTTTTGGGGTTGGGCTTACGACCTGGACCCGGGGTTTGTGGACGTTTTGCTGACGGATTTTGTCCTCCGTCTCCGTCTTCGTGGATGCGCCGGCGCGTTCTTTTTGCTAGGCCGTCTCGAAGATCATCAAGCATGCAAAAGAAGCTCCGGGCTCGTCTGCGCACGGGCTCCTCCTCGGTCTGGACCTCGACGGCACCCTGGAGGTCTCGAACTCCTTCCCCCTCCCCCACCATTCCAACGATGAAGACGATAAATCCGCGAAGGGGATCGGTCAGTACTTTGCATTCCCGGAAGCACTACATTCAATTAAATTCGATCCAATTCAATCAGCACGGTACCAGGGGGCTATGCTTCGCTCGTTAAAGGAGGTGCAGGCGGACGACAGCGTGATCGGGTTCTACCAGGGAATGACACTGGGGTCGTTCTTCAACCAAACGCTGGTCGACACGCAAGCGATCCACCAGGAGCGGCTGCGACACGGTGGAATAATCATCGTCCACGGTGCGCGGCGGACCCAGCGTGTTTTCACAGCGTTGCTAAGACTCATCAATCCCCGCTGCTAGACATCTCGCAGACCGCACGAGGGAACGCGTCCTTCCGGGCGTTCCGTCTCACGAGGGCGTTCCTAGACGCCTACAAGCGGAACAACTTCAGCGCCACGAGGTGATAGACTCTGTCGTTATGTCCGATGGAAACCCCGGCTGAGCGGAGACATTACAGCCTAATCGACCACCGCCTTACCTTCTCAAAAATTCTCGAGGAAGTGCCGCTCAAAATTCGCACGAACGCGCTCGTAAGCACGTTCTTGGGCACGTTGGCGGAGGCTTCGGCCCCGCCAGCGGCGCAGACGAACCCTGCACTCGCCACGTCCTCTGCCGCCATCCCGCCGTCGTACCAGGTGCTGAACCTGGGCGCGGCGAACATGCCGCGGAATCTGGAGCTCATCGTGGAGGCGCTGGATAACTACAAGACGGAGGAGGGCAACCTCGCGTACTTGCACCGGCAAATCGCGCGCGAGAAGGCGAAGGCAGACTCGTTCATCGCGAAGCGGAAAGAGGAGAATGCAGCGCGGGTGGCTGCGGGCCTCGCGCCGGCGCCGGAGGAGGACGTGAGCAGGCTGTTCAAGATCCCGGCGGAGCCCAACCGGTTGGAGAGCATGTTGCTGCTGGGGCGGATCGACGCGTACGGGAAGAGCCTCGAGGAGACGGCGAGCACCGGACTGGTGAAGATGTACGCTGCGAAGGGGAACGCGGGCAACGGCAACTAGGCTGGCGGGCTCATGTACGTTGTGGGAGCGGTATTCGATGTTGTATTACGAGATGTACATATGACGCGGGGCGTGCATCATGGGCACGGGCGCGGACGTCGAGCGACGAGTGTCGCGGACATGCGGGGAACGCGTGAAGAAGAGCAAGACATGCGCCGAGCACCTGTCGCGATCGATGCGGGCGTAGCGCCGGGGCCTCGACAGGAACGCCCAGCGCGCTCGATAGACGCCAGGGGCCGGGGCCTGGCCGGCGGTGCGCTGGGCGGCCGGCGGGTACGCCCAAAGCGGAGACAAGACTGTCAGGGCAGTCCGGACATTGGCTGGGGGTGATCCGGGGGGCCGGGGCCGGGGAGAAATGCGCAGCTGTATTCGGAGAAAGAGGTGAGCCGTGGGAGTCGCCCTTTTTATTTGCAGCGCGCGGGATGTGGTCGTCGCTGTCCTCGTCCCTGCCTCTGCCTGTCTCCTCCCTTACGTCCCCCATCCTCCGCCAGAGCCTCGCGCCCCCGACGCGTTTCTCTTCATTCCTTCCGCCCCGAGCCCACAGCGATATATAAGCCGCTCCCGCCCTCTTTTGAGCAGCCCCCCAGTCCTTCCCCCACCCTCCCTTCACTCCCCGCTCACTCAGTCGACATGTTCTTCTCCAAGACCCTCGTCGTTCTCTCCGTCGCCCTCTCCGCCCTCGCCAGCCCCCACGTGGCCCGTGGCATCCACCACCGCGACGTCGCTCACCGCGCCGCCATGCCCGTCGCGCAGCCCGAGCCCGTCGTCGCGCCCATTCGCAAGCGCGCCGACTCCAAGCGCTGCAAGGTCCGCTCTAGCACTGCAGCCTCCTCGACCGCCGCGGCCACCACCTCCCTGGTCGCGCCCTTGAACGTCGAGAGCTCGGCGGCTCCGGCCACCACGGCGGCGCCCACCACTGAGGCCGCCCCCACCACCACCAAAGCCGCCGAGACCACCACCAAGGCGGCGGCGACTACCACCAAGGCCGCTACGACCACCAAGCACACTACTACCCAGGCCGCTGCGACCACCGCTGCTAGCTCGAGCGGCGGCAGCGACCTCGCCAACTTCTTGGCTGGCACCAACGTCGGACAAGGTAATGTTACAATGTCTCGCATGAATGATGCTGTGGCGCTAACAACGCTCCTTTAGGTACCTTCTACGCGACTGGTCTCGGTGCCTGCGGTATCACCAACTCGGACACCGACTACATCGCTGCCGTGTCCCACTTGCTCTTCGACACGTACCCGTACGTGTTCCATTGATTGATTCTGAGGGCCAATTATAACTGACCCTTGCTTCCAGTGGTTACAACGGTGTTAACCCGAACGCGAACCCCCTCTGCAACCGCAAGGTCAAGGCGACTTGTAAGTAGCGCGCTCATCCCCCATCAAATGCCCACTAATCCTTACTGCTTAACAGACCAGGGCAAGTCCGTAACCGTCGCGATCACCGACCGCTGCACAGGCTGTGCCCTCACCGACCTCGACTTCTCCCCCTCCGCGTTCGACCAGCTCGCGTCCGAGGACCTCGGCCGTCTGTCTGGCATGACCTGGGTCTGGGCCGACTAAGCGCTTCTCACCCGCGCTCCCCCTCCCTGCAGTGGTCACGCCCCGATACCACGCAACCTCGTTCTCCCTGTTCATTCGAAGTTGCTCTTTGGCTTTGTTTATTGCGTTTAATATTGGTTCCTATTCTCGCCCAGCCCTCCGCGCCTGTGGCGTCGTCGCTCGTCTCGACCCCCTGCATGCGGAGGGTGGGACGGTCTCTGCGAGGGTATCTGCACCGTGTTGTTGTATTGCATGCACGTCGGTGATGGGATGATTGACATCATACTGGATCGGTGTCGCGCCGCGCGCGACCGGCGGTCGCCGTTCTGGGAACTGCGGTCGCGTATGGAACACACAGCTGTCTATACATATGTTATACTCGACGTTGATCTGAATAACAAAAGGAAACGAACTAGTCGCCGTAGCGGGGAAGCTGTGTGCGGTGTGATGGTTACGCCAGTGCTGCTCGAGACGAGGCCGGCCGTGTTTCTCCGCGTGCACGGCCATCGGTAGGGCAGCGGGCAAGTCTGCAGCTATAGTTGGACTGCCCTTCGGTCGCGCCGCGGAGCCATTTGCGTAAATATAACGCATTCATTCGTCCGGTGTCCGTCCACATGGCATTTGTCATTCTGGCGCATGAAAGATGTGATGGTGGTTTGCTGCCGAAACCAGATACATGCACGATGCTTTGCACATGCAGAGTCGCGGAGGAGTTGTGTCCGAGCGAACGCGGTCTATAAGGTAACACAACTTTGCGAGAGCAAAGCACAATGCAGCAGCGAGCTCTAAGATGGGTGGGACAATGCAGCGCGTGCGAGCCAAGCAGTGCCAGCGGCTAAACGTACCTCGATCACCATTGTGACCTTCGTATATAAGATATGCCATCTTCCTTCATGCCCCTCACAACCTGATACCTTCACAGATAGCAGGGCAGATCATGTCCTCAACCACCGCGAAGCCTGAGGGAGACCCGGAGGTGGCAAAACAACCAGCTGTGCCAGACGAGCTCATGTACCGCCCGCTGGTGGACATCGCGGCAGAACTCCGTCAACTCCGCGAGGAGAATGAACGGTTGCTGGAGGACAAGCATCGATTGGACGAGCTCCTGCCTGTAAGTTAGCCACCAACAGATATTCTGTGCGACTGATCAGCGTTTTGGTACTAGGTAATGGCCACTTTGCGCACAGAGAGGGCTGCCTTCAAAGGGGCCGTCAGATGCCTGATGGATCAGACCGGGGTGCGGCGTTCTACTTCATCCTTTAATCGACAACCGTATCATGAGAAAGCTGACACTCATCCGACACAACAGTTAGTATCGTCCACGGCCCGCCCACCACCCACAAACCTAGCAAGGCTTCCATACGACGTGCTTCTCCCCATACTCAGGGCGTCCCGAGCACCATTCTACCAGCTCGATCCGTCCGTCGCCCAAGGCCCGAAGAGCCCATGGCTCATCGAGCAGCGTTATCGCAAGGGTCTCCTCTTGGTCTGCAAGGGGTGGACGGACGCGGCGACAGACTTGTTTTACGAGGACATCGTGCTCCGACGGGTAGGTCAGATATTCGCCCTCGCCGCCGCCCTAGAGTCGCAGAAACACCTGGCTCGGGCGGTGAAGACTATCCGACTAGAATCCTGCCTTGTCCCCCCGGCTTGCGCGGACGCCGCGCGCGACGCTTTACGGTCCATCTTTTCGTTGTGCACGGGGCTGGGGAGGTTCGAGTACCACTCGGCCGAGCACTTCCCTACAGCTACTGCGCTGCCTGCCGCTGGGGACATCTATGGGCCGTTCAACCGGGCGTTCGTTGACGACAGCTTGGACCCGTTCCAACTTGCCTACCGGCAGCGCGTCTCGACGCTCACGGTCCTGGATCTCGCGATGCCTTTGTCCTACAAACAAGCCGCGCAGCTTCACGGGCTCCTCTCCGGCGCTGGCCGCCTCGGCACTCTCAAATTACGCTCAGTACGGAGGGAAGAAGGCGAAGAAGACCAGTTCAAGGCGGCATCCGTCCTGACGCTCCCGCACCTAATGGAGCTTTATATCTCCGTCAGCGACGCTCATTTTGTCGCCTACGTCTCTACGTCGTGGGTGATGCCTGTCTTGGAGCGGCTCACGACGCTCGATACCCGCGCGATACCCACTGCGCTCCTCACGGCCCATGGCTTGCGCCTTCGCTACCTGCACCTTTGTCCAGCGCCCAGGTATCCCCATCATTGGCAATGGAAACCAGCCAACAGCGCCGGTGTTGAGCATATACCGGAGCTCTGCCCCCTCATAGAACACCTCGTGCTCTACCCCAAACCACTATCCCCCGCGAATCTCGTCACCGTGTTAAGGCAAAAGTGCCCTCGCTACCTAGACATATATACCATAACCCCGCGTGTCATCCTACCAGACGAGCAGGCTGCAGTCAGCGTGCGGCTCTTGTGGGCGACCCACCCCGACCTCCCGGCGATCTTCGACCCGAGGGTCCGCATGGCCCCCGGCGCTACGAACATCTTCCACCTTCGCGGGGTTCGCCTTCTGTGCTCTGAAAATGCCATCATGTCTGATGTCGAGCCGCACTGCGCTGAGGCGTTTCCACCATTGGCGTTCAAGGACTACGACAAGGACAGGTCGGGCACGTACAAACCACCGAAAAGCGCAGGGTCCCGATCCAACAGGTCTTCCTTGCCTGAGGGTTCTGGCTATACGACTCCGAGTAGTGCCACAAGCAGCGGATGGTCGGAACGGAGTTCCGAAGCTGACGATGATGAAGAGGAGGGAGAGGAGACCGACGACAATGGCGACTCAGAAGACGACGATGGTTCGGAAGGCCTCTCGGAACACGATTCGGATTGCTGGCAGCCTGATGAACAACTCGACCGCAATGTCGTCTTGGACTTATTCCGCTCAACACGCGATCATGCATATGATGTCTAGGTATACATGGCATCTATGGTCGTTCAATGGAGCACCTAAGCCTCAACGTCTAGTGTAGGAGGTCTTCGCGAGGTTTGTTGTAGGCGTGCTGCCATAATAGAACATAATGTATAGCAGTGGCATCTCCATGTACGTCATCTAGGGCAGCGAATTTTTGGATACATGTCAGTCTCTGCACAGTGAGGTTTTGATGCCCGCAAAGTACGCCGCGTCCTCCGTCTCGCGGGTAGCCTCGTCGACCGCGGATATGAGATCGTCATCTCCGGAGTCTGTTTTCCGCGGACTCTGGCCGATGATGGTCGCCACGAGGTCGAGAACCAGATGGCGCAACGGCGAGTCCGCAGGCAGTTTCGCATACGGACCCCGCAGCTTACCGCGCGCCGGGTGCGATATCGCGAAGTAGGGGACAAGGCGGGACCGGAGGGCGGTGTATGTCTAAATACAGCTGTCGGTCAGCTCCGCCCGGAGTGTGTGTACGGTATCGCCAAACCGTGTACTCACCCCTGCATGAAACAATCCTGAACGTCGCTGCAATAACCGCAGAAGTAGCCGGACAATGGTCTGTGTAAGAAGAGATCAGCGATTGGAATTCGCCAGGTTCACGTCGTGCACAGACCTCGGTAGTCGTGGGGTGGTTCCCGCCCAACTCCCAGAGAGTTTTAGGGAGCTGCAGGATCCATTCTTCCAGCTGTGCATCCTGCTCTTGACTCCGCCCGCATTTGAACGCGCCGACGTACTCCGGCTCCCTGTCCAACTAGATATGTCGGTGAACAAACGCTGCAGAAGCGGCCAGGTACGTTGTTTTGACTCACAAGCACAAGTCTACCGATAAAGTCGACTGTATGCCTCTTAGTTGCGGACGCCGAGGATGCTCTGGTTGCATGTTCCACGACGGCTGAGAAAAGAGTCGCTGAGGCCGACGCAAGCTCCAAGGTCGCATTGTTGATCAAGGACCAGATGGTCGGCAGGAGAGAGACGTAGGCTTGTGCGACTATGGGCCGTGGTATTGATGACTGGGCACTAGAGGATGGGGCTTCTCCGTGGAGAAGCTGAACGATGTATTTGCTGACGCGCTCGATCTGGCGTGCGCCGACGGCAGATGCAGAGCTCGCAGCTATCGCTGAACGAGCCCCACGCAAGGACGCCCTCGACACACGTGTTGTGGGCGCCCGTTTGTTATTGCCTTGCAAGGCCAGTACGAGGAAGGAGGACAGTTCGCAAAATATGAGGTTGAGGTCCTGGAACGCCTGCTCTATCTTGATGTCTCGCTTTGCGGTAGAGGAGCTGCTGACGGTGAAAGGGAAGTAAGGTGACAGGTACGAGAGCATCGTCTGCAGGTCGGTTTCCGCCTTCTCGTGCGAGTACCCTGACTATAAGGCTATCAGTAGATGTCACCGAGTTGAATTAGTTAAAAATAGACTCACTTCGGATGTATTCTGCAATACCCGGCCGTACAAGCTTCGACATATTCGACACACTACGAGCACCATTTGCAAATCGGTCTCCGGTGGAGTCGAGCTCGGAGAGAAAACGGAGGGCGCGAAGTCTAGGAATGTCGACACGAGAGTGGAGTGCAGAGTACGGGCCACATGCTGTCAAAACGGCAGTGAGCAGTAGAGGAGTATTGTAGAATAGTACAGACTAACCGCAGCTGAAGCGACTTGCAGATCCAGACCACTGCTACCCTGTTTGTTCTCGGCCAACGCAGCAACTGCAACATCGATGTCGTTCAACTCCTGGACGGCCCAAGATGCCGAACTTGTTGCGGCGAGATCGAAGTCGCCGACGAAGTCCTCGTTCTCGCCAGAGGCTTCCGGCACCCAGCTTCTAGTGCTGGGAGGCTGCGAGTCATGACTCATGTTAGGGCCATTTGTGGGGCGCAGAAGGGCATCGAACGCGACGAATGCCGATGTGGAAGCAAAGGACGATGAAAAGTACCAAGTCGGTGTCGTGAGATTTCCGGAACTTGATTCGTTGCTGATATCCCGTGGTCCGCTGGCAGTAGTCACGGCATAGACCAGGAACGTCGCCAGGGATTTCAGAACGACGAGCTTGGACTGTGCCGAAGAGCCAGTCGAAGATCCAGTCAACACGGGGCACGCAGGGAGCAGAGAGAGCGGACGTACGGCAGGCGATAGGACCACACTAGCGGTAGAGGTCGCACGAGCCGGCCCCGAGTCTAGAAAATTCATGTTCAGTCTTCACCCCACCAAGATGTTCACGAACTGTCATACCACCGCCCTCTCCGAATGTAGTTCCGGCATTGAGAATCCCGAGGTAGCCTTCGAGAGCCCTTCTTCCATGACTTGTACCCCCTTGTTGAGTCCATCCTTCTGTGACGACCTCCGGGATGTACTCAAGAAAGATGTCAAGAAAACGGACGGCGTCGATGCGAATCTCCGGGAAAATGTGGGTCTGAGCAGATGTAGTGAAGAGCAGGAGAACTGGCGAGTGAGGAGTGATGTCGTCCTACAGATGGTGTGAGTGGTGCGCAAAGGGGCTGTGTGCTGCATAGTTACGCACTCGAGGCACATGTCGGAAAAGCCAGGTAAAAAATGCCAGCAACGTCTTCCGTACACTCGCATCCTGGAAGAAGATCAATAGAGCGCACATTGGTAGATATTTGAGGCTTACCTCGTCGCTGATGAGACGAATGCAGCTATTGACCAAGGCAGTCAAATGCACGTTGATGAGCTCGGGATGGGCCTCAAGAAGCTCCCGAAGTCCAAGTAGGGCATCTGTCGCCTGCATTAGATGTATGGTACCTCTATTTTTATAAGGCGCTACCTTTTCGCGTATTTGAATTGTAGTGCTTGAGGTGTACGACGAGAGAGTCAAACGTCAATCGTCTCCTAGTGGTAGGTGCATCCGTGTCCCTGTCGGTCGCGATGCTCTGAGTGGGTAGAGCGATAGCTGCAAATGTATCATTAGTATGTATTCACGCACGAGAAAAATACACTTACACCTGGCTTTGAAAGATGTATCGATGACGTTGTTTGCTTCTTGCTTGCCCTTTCCAAGCTTCAGCTTGGCTTTCTAACGATTCTGGCAGCATTAACAGATATTTGCAATCGAGGGGAGTGAGCTCATACTGAGAAGTCAGCTGCCTTATCCTTCTTTTTCTTGGTGCTTTTCGGCATGTTCGTGCAATCTCTGTAGACGGATGAAGTGGCGGACCAGACGAACGAACTTACTTGTCGCCACGGGCGCCAACAACTCCGGAGAAAATGCAGGCTCCCAAAAAGGCAAGACGCTCAATCGCGAACTTCCGCGTCTTGCGGCTTTCATCTCCTCCTCCCCCACATCGCATTTTTGCACACTTTTTGGCTTTCTGCGCAGCAATATGAGGGACAGTGCCTATCGCTTCTGCGGTGCTCCGTGAACAAGTCTTCCCGTTCGCCAGAACATCACGATGGCCAAGTCGCGTCACTTGAACCATGCCGGATGGGCCGCTCCGGAGCATCACGACCCGCTTTGAGCTCCTTCCGCCGCTTCGTACACCCACTCTAACCCAGACGCTCGCAATCCTTTGAAGATCCTTCGCAAACTGGACGAACCGCGTGCCCGTCGCGTCACGCGCCATATGGACCGACGGCTCTGATCGCGCATCTGACCGCTGGCCGATATTCTTCCGGCCAAAACGAAGGGACGACGCGAAGAACGCCCCGCCGCTGATCGAGTCGCAGAGTACCTCCGAGGTACTTGAGCGCGGCTATAAGAATGCAAGGGGGGAAGAGACTTGTCCACCCACCGTCAGGATCGCTGTGATGATGCGAACTTTACTTGCGACATGTGTCGCTCTCTGGGCTCTTCTGGCATTGGGAGCTAGGGCTGTCAACGTGCCCCGCAAGAATCCCAAGGTACCACCGGGATTTGTGACGACTAGTGGCAGTCGTTTCGAACTTGACGGCAAGCCATTCGTAAGTCTGGGCGTTTGCAGCCTCGCTGTCGCGCTAACGCGTACCATTCTCTAGTCGTTTGTGGGGGCCAATTCATATGTGCGCCACCTCGCGAACCAATTGCATTGCGATGAAGCTGACGCGCGAGCAGTGGCTACCTCTGCTTCTGACAGCCGACGATGTGGAGAAGACGTTCCAGACCATGCAGCAAGCTGGGGTCAAGGTCCTTCGTACCTGGGTATGTCACTTGATACGCTGACGCCGTCAGCGCGTTAATCTGGGCCTTGGACTCCCGAAACAATCATTCTCAGGGGTTCAATGCAATCAACGCTACCGAGCTTCCAGACGCCCTGGATTCCAACCTCACGTACTATCAGGTATTGCCTATCTGTCCTTGTCAGCAAAGTCACAACTGAATAAGCATTCGCCGTAGGTGTGGAACAGTAGCCAGTGGATTTTGAACGACGGCCCCCAAGGCTTGCAACGCCTCGACCATGTTATATCCACTGCAGGCAAGCATGGTATCAAAGTAATCCTTGCTTTCACCAATAACTGGTTTGTTTGCGAGCTGCTCCACTTGTATACATGTTCGCTGACATGATCATATCTCTATAGGGTCGGTTATGGCGTAAGTTGATGCTCTACTAACACCCATACGTTCCTACGTGTGACATCATATACTCAGGGCTCTGATCTCTTCGTCAACTGGATTGCCGGTGCTAACCAACCGCACGATGTATTCTTTACGGACCCGAGAATCATAGCATCCTACCGTTGGTCCGATATCTTCTCCTGCCGTATCTCGCCTGCTGACCATCTGAGCACAGAATCCTATGTGAAGACCCTTGTCGAACGCTACAAGGATTCATCAGATATCTTCGCATGGGAACTGATGAACGAAGCTCGCTGCTTGAGCGACACCCTTCCTGCGGGGCCATCCTGCGTACCAGGATCCAACACGTTGAAGACCTGGTATCAGCAACAGTCCGACTTCGTTCGCAGCTTGTGAGTAGATCACCCGACTTCCGTTCACCACGTCCCTGACCGCACTAAGGGACCCGAACCACTTGATCACTACCGGCGGAGAAGGTCACTTCTTCTGGAAGAAACCGGCGGAGTAGTGCGTTCCGTTTCTTTTCGCCATTGCCGCGCTTTGCGCCCAGTGACCCCGGCTTTGCAGCTGGTTTGATCACACTCTTGTCAGCGACTACAACTTCAATGGTCAAGGTATGATTTCTCGCTTACCACATGCGTTGTGTACTGACGGCGATCATAGCGGGCGAGGACTTCGACCATGACATGTTGCTCTCAAATATCGACTTCGGGACCTATGTGAGTCGTGCGGGATTCTAAGAAATCGACCCGCTTATTCAGTACGGTTGCTCCAGCATCTTTATCCCCAGTCGTGGTAAGCCTACAGATGGTTTCCCCTTTGCTTCCTTGTGACAAACCTCCTGCATCCATAGGTATACTGAACTGGTACATATTCCTGGCTTTGTTTATGAGAGTATTTCACGTATACTGACCTCATCACATCGGCAGGACTTCCCTGGCTCTAACTGGACGGTGGAAAGCTGGGGCTTGGAATGGATTGACGATCATGCTCGCGGTATGCCCTCGACTGTGTTCGATTTTGCGGTAGCGTCACTGACCGCACGTGAATAAGCTGCAAGCAAGGCCAACAAACCGGTGATTTTAGAGGAGTTCGGCGTCGGTGGATTGCGTGCGTACTATTACGTCTTAGTGTTCCTTTGACACTCAACGATGCGGTGTAGAAAACAAGACCGACATCTACCCTAAGTGGGTTCAGCGCGCGCTGGACACGCATCACGCGTAAGCCCCTGATTTGCTTGAATATTCACTGTGACTGAATCACGTCTTCGTAGTGGGTACGCGTAGCTTGTGCTCATCCCAAAGACTGCTAATAAGATGGGTGTTTTGGTCTAGCATCATGCCATGGCAATGGGGCGAGCTGGGGCTCACCGAAAGCGGCGGTAACCGCATTATCAAGTACGCGGACGCTATCAACCACGGGGTATGTCATCCCTCCGTCCCACGAAATCTGGGATACGATCTAACCAATCTCTTCCGCTAGGCCTCCCCGAACGACGGTACGATTCCATCTCGATTCGCATCGCGGAGCACGCACCCAGGATGCTTATTGTGCGCTTCTTCAGGCAACACGTTCTACATCAACCAGACCGCGGTCTGGGATATCTTCACGTAAGTCCGCTAGTCCAAGTCCGCTGGCGAATCTCCCGCGAACCGGCTTATTGACCGCTCTTTTAGGAGGGCCGCCAAGATCCAGGAGGCACGATCTGGATAGACGATCTGCAGGAAATGCGAGAGAAACTATGGTACAAGTGTAGCGGAGCCGACAGCAAAGAAGCAAAGTGGACAACATGTGAATCCGCGCTCGGCGGCAGGTATCATGCGCAACGAATCCCATCCCCCCTATGACCAAAATATCCCTCATCGCCTGATGTGTGAACTTCTGGTCTGTTCGCAGCGTCAGCTCAATACTACACAACACGCAAACAGCAACGCGCACCGGTTGATGTTGTGTCGGCGTAGACGGAGAGCCCTTGGGTGTCGCCGTGATGCCCTCCATCACGGCGATCCCAACGTCGACCCTGCAAACATGCGACGACGGCGGGGCTCTGAAGGCCTCGGACAGTCTGCACTGGGTGTCGCTCCAGATCTTGACTCTATGCGTGCATTAGCCACTGTCCTTGGCAAATGAAGGGCGCGGTTCCGTACGAAAGTTCCGCTTCTCGAGGGGGCTGCCTGAGCGCGTACTTGTACGCCACGCCCGCGGTGAGCACGAGGGAGATGTCTTCTCCGTGATGCAGGAAGATGACGGGCCCGGCCTGTCCGTCTTCCCGCCGCAGCACCTGCATGGTCGCCGCATCGGGCGTGTCGTTCGAGAACTCGAGGAGGACTTCGTATGGGAGCGTGCACGTCGGGGACATAGTAATCACTGCGACGTGAACGGCGGTCGCGGAGTGTGAGCGACGCGACTCGGACGGAGGGAGGTGCAACGGTAGTACGATGGGAGCCTCGCGCGTGAGCGGGCTCTTCGGTAGATATACGCGCGGAAGCGTCTCGTCGCATCGGTCGCGCGGGTGCGTGAAAATGCGCAACGGAGCAGTTGCCGGGGTTCCAGTACAAGAACGGTGGACAATGCAAGTTGCCCGGGCGCTCACAGCTATTGTGTTCCGCATGGGGCATGTTCAAACGGTTCGTACAGCCGCCGGCACGCGCGGGATGAACTCCGCGAATGTCAGTACCGTCCTTCATTCTGCATGTACAGACCGCTGACTTGGGAAGGCCAGAGCACTGCTATGGGTCGAAGAACGAACCGGGGGGAGCGAGCGAGGGCAGGCCGATCGATGGCATCGAGAAGTTCTAGCGTTATTGTGTTCGGCTAGTCAGCGGACTGGGCTCGTGTGGAAGTCGAAGTCACCGAAACTTAGTACTCCAGACGGAGGCGCGCGTTTGCAGCGGGAGGCGTTCATGTAACATTATGGCTGCCTTCGAAACTATGCGCAACAATGAGAGCGGGGGTAAGTTGTGGGCTGACGGTCCGGTATTAGCGAAGTGGGGCTATCGTAAGTGCGTCTGCGCGCGTGGACTGGTGTGTGGCATAGGGCACCGCGGGGCTATTGGGACTTTCCCTGAGGCAGCAGGTCGTCCTCGGGCTTCCACCCATCCTGCCGCATCCTCTGTACGAGTCGCAAGATGTTTTTGCAATCGTCGATGCCCGAGTGGTGTCGGCCCTCCAGCTCCATCTTCGCATGGGTGAGCATGCTCGCCATGCCCTTGGGGTACTTCAGGTCGTGAAACCGTCGATATGAGTTTTTGATGTTGATCCATCGGTCGTAAGGTGCGACGAGGGTGCCGGAGGGAGTTGACGAGGACTCGAGCAGCTTGCTCAAACGGAGCTGCATTGGGAGCATCGTCTTGAGGTCCCAGTCGCCGCAAGTCAGGTATATGGCAGAAGACGGCGAGTCGACGACGCCGTGCGTCCGAAGAAACTCTTGGTAGCGTTCCCATACGTCTGGAAAGGGTGCCGCAGAATCGACCGTGGCCTGAAAGCGCACGCAAAATTAACCGGTGTATCCAATGACCATTAACGAGACGTACCTGCTGTATACCAGTGAGGTCAGTGCAGAACGGGGTCAAAGTGGGATGGAGAGTGGGCCGGACGTATTCGTGGAAGACGGCTTCCACCTTGTCTTGCTCGATATCGTACAAGATGGTCGGGAACTCGATCACTTCCATCTCCTGCCTAGGCACTATACGATTTGTGTTGTCACAGGTCGCCTCGAAGTCAAGCACAAGCAGGTAGCGAAGAGTAGACATGGTTGTAGGCAGAGTGTGGATTGACCTAGACGAGACTGCTGCACGAACAGTGTTCTTGAACGTCCTAGCAAACATATATGCTGGGATTGGAGACAATGTTCACCGGTTAAAGCGGGATGCCCCCTGCCGAGAGCCCACCGGGAATAAGAAGGTGATTGGTGTTGGCGGTGAAGACACAAGATGCGCGCTGGCGTCAACGACGCGGTCAACCTTTACCACGCGTCATTGATACGTAAGTATTGTGCGCTTCACTCGCGAACGCAACATAAGTATACAGAATGCTTGAAGTCCAGTGAAAAGGTAACATTCCCAGCAAGTGGCACTAGTGGTTAATTACATGGTATGCGTACAGTGATGACATATCACAAGCAAAGACAGAAAGGTTGAGAACGTGCAAGACCCGCGCAAGAATCACCAGTTGAGCATCGAAAGGCCACGGTTGGGCCTGAAGTCCATCATGAGGTCCATGCACGCAAGGTCCTCATCGTCGACGGTGTAAGCCCTGATGTTGACCTTGAATTGTGCTGCAAAGAGTTTAGCCGTGCATATCCACCGGCAAACTCATGAACTTACCGGGAGGAATCTCCTTGGGCAGCTCGACTGACTGGATGACCTTGTGCGTGCCCTTCTGAACAGGACATTGGACGGTTGTATTCGCCTTGTCGCTGTAGAACGCTCAGCCCAGGCATGGTCTGCGAGTGAGATGCTGCTTACGCCTCTTCGCAAATGTCGAATTCCTTCGACAAGATCTTAATCACGCCCACCTTGACGGTGACATCGGCATATGCACCATCCTAGGCAGATATGAGTGAACGCCATGGGCGGAAGCTAATGGCGCCTGGGCACACCTCAATGGTCTCGTCCGCATCACCCTCAACAGTTATCGTGAGCTCCTCACCACGCTGGGGCGGGTCTGGGGAGACCTGGATGCTCTTGATGTGAATAATGTGCGAGGAGGAGCCTGGGTTTCCCAGTATTTCATTAGCAGAGAACGACGGGCAGTCGCGGCGAACAGCCTACCACAATCAGTCCAATCCCATTTCTTGTCCAGCACCGTTGATGGCTGTTTCTCCATGAATTGCTGCAGGTTGGAGGGGGATGCAGCAACGCTACCAAGCGCAGCAGCAAACAAACAGAGGAGACCAAAGCGAGCCATGAGAGTAACGCGAGAGCGGAGGGGTATCGTCGACGTTGAGGGCAGGAGTCAAGGAGGACGCGATCGCGAGTGCAGGCTGCCAACTACGGTAATGACGAGCATGGCTGGCGTGGGAGCGACCTGCCTGTTGGGGACGTGCGGGTTTCACGTGGCGAGCAGCGGCTGCGGAGGCCTGCGCTTGGGGTGGCGCAGGGAGGAGACACTGCCTTCCGTGCGTTGACCAATTCAGAGGCAGTTCCCAACGCCGACCCCGCTGCGCTCCTTCCTCTTTTACCCCTTCTCCTCCTCGCAGCTAGCCTGTCAGCCCCTCCCCTCTTCCTCCTTACACGACCCGTGCCCTCTGTTCCTTGCTACGACCTTCACGACCACCCGCTTTCGTTGAACAGGTCCACTCACGATGAAGCCGAGAGAATACTGCTGCTGTGCCATTCCCATCGTGTACTCGGGCATCTACACGGCTCTCTTTGAGCAGTTCTTGCTTGGTGCCGTCGCTGGCACGCTCTCAATCGCTACACCATCGAGTGAGTTCTGCCAGTCAGCCGCTGTGCACCCACGTACTCACCTGTGCTGTAGTCGTCGGTGCATCAACCCCCTCCTTCGCAAAGGTGTTATTCGCCATCGTGTGCTATGTTGGCGCTGCTATTCAGCTCATGGGCATCTTCGCCGTGCGGCAGGTCAGCCGATCGTCCTTCACCTCTATCTCCTCGCATGAGCTGACACTGTAAGCAGGAGCGGCCCATATTCTTCCGCCGCTACGTTACCTTGCACACCCTGATCACAGTAGCAGCATTCGCCATCGCCGCAGCATGGATTATTGTATCCGCTACCCGCCACTCGCAGGCCGAGGACAAGTGCATCGCCGACTTCTTCGCGGGCACCGTATCCGCGACCAACTCTGAGGGCTCAACGCTCTGCAACATCTTCCCTTGGGCCGACGTCGGTATTATGGGCGGCCTTTGGGTACTGTTCGCTATCGTGCAGGTATGTCACACGCACTCAGCCGTTTCGGCGCCGATATAACCCCACTCCTTCCCAGACCTACCTGTACATTGTTATATCATCATTCGGCAAGGGCCAGCGCCGGGACCACTCCAAGTACCAGTCCCTCTACGAGTCGTCTCGCTCGCTGAACAGCATTCCCTTGATGGATCGTGGTGCGTGGGACTCGCGCATGTCTTCCGATGCCCTCGTTCAGCCTGGCGGACACGCAACATGACAGTGGCGCAAGTGTAGCGACGGTCATGGCCGACAAGGTCCAGGGCTACTCCGACTACGACTACTCCGCACAACCCCCCGCCCACGCGTACACCCAGGAACCTGGCCCGACCCCCCGCGCCTACGACAACTACTACGATGCCGACGCACAGACCGGCGTTGGCTACCCGCAGCGCAGTCAGGCCCATCCTGGTGAGTCGTAAGCGAGAGTTGGGGGTGGGGCCGTTCTCGGCCGTCTTGGGACGGCTTAGAGGGTCCGTGGGTTCCACTTGCGAGTGTAAACGGGAGCTGATGCCCTTGCCTCTCCGCAGCGGAAGGATCGTTCAGGCGCAAGACCCCGAGGGTGGAGAAGCCGGGATCTCAGGACTATAACAACAATACATACAGTGCATATCCACAATACGGCTCCCAGTTTTAAGCACCCCCTCGTACTTGCTGTTCTTGTGTATAGTTCTCGCCTGGCACGGACATTACACGGACATTCGATTTGTTTCGTTCTATGTATGAAAGACACTTTCATCGTCGACGGCCGTGGTGCCCGTACGTGAGACATTATAGCAAACGTATCATGCGCCGCGAGTCACGGCTAGTCAATTATTTGGCCGTCCCATCGTCCGATATCTAACTGTACGTGCCGTGCTTGTGCTATTTGTGTCCAGCGCTCCTGCCGCCCCTCCTCCGTCATCAGCTCTTGTCTGAACCACAGGCATACTTGTAGGTACGGTGTCTCGCGGAGCAAGACTCTCCGCTCGATCGCGTCACAGAGCCCCCGTTCCGCCTCCTTGAGCGGTATCGCATACCACGCGTTGATGACCTGCAGCTTGAACACGGCCAGCCCCGATGGGAGCGACTCGACGAAGTTGCTCTGCGCCTCGTTCACGGTCACCAGGCTGAGCGCGAAGTACTCCAGCGCAGGAAGCGCCTCCAGACAGTGCGACACGACCGTGCTCGAGAGACGGCTGCACCCGCGCAGGACGAGCGTGCGCAGGTGCGCCCCGTGGCACGCGACGAGAGACTCCAGGTGGTTGTTGCGCAGCTCGAACCCGAGCCGGTGCCCGAGCACGTACGTGAAGGCGTCCAGGCGCGCCCCGGGGAAGCACTCGTCGATCGTGTGGCGGTCGAAGAAGGTGCCGATGACGCCGTCTAGGGCGAGCTCGCGCAGAGCGGGCGCGCGCTGTGGCCCGCCGCGGTTTCCGGGGGCAACGACGATCTCGCCAGAGAGCCGCAGGGAGACAAGCGCGGTTGGGGGGACGGTGTCGAAGAGTTCCACTCGCGTGTCCGGGTTGAGGTGCTGCTCGTACAGACGTAGGGCAGGTCCGCCCTTGGGGAACAGTGCCCGCTCGAACCCTAGACGCAGTTGAGGAGGATACCCTGTTCAAGGGATCAGTGCCATCTTCTACGGGTGTCTCTGCAGACTCACTGCGCGGGTTTGTCGTGCTCTGGAGCGCGGGCGGGAGGCCCTGCCGGCACTGGAAGACGCGGAGGCGCGCGAGCGCGGTCATGCGGGCGAGCGCGAGGTGCAGGCTTGACAGCGGCAGGTCTTCTTCCTTTGCGCCCCCGGTGAGCCCACACTCTTACACAATCGCACACCTTAACGAACGCTTACCTTATCCGGACCCGTTGTGCGCCAGATGCGGCCGTCATTCGCGACGTCGGCCCATGAGACCTGCGCCGTAAGGGTTGGTGGCGCGTCCTGCAGAAAGGCGCGGATTTGGAACTCGTTCGCGAGGGAGACGTAGCGCCGGAGGATAGAGCCTGCCTCCTGCTCTATCTGGCGACATGTGTAGAGGAGGCGGAGGTGGGCATTTGTAGGCTGGGTCTTCGAGTGGACACGCTGATGTGTGACGAGGAAGTCCTCGTAGATCTGCAGCCGTAGCTCGACCGGGAGATGGAGGAGGGCGATATGCGGCATTATGCCAGCTGTATGCACCTTCTAGCTGACGCTGTACGCCCACTCCGCGGCCAATTAGGGTTGCGAGCAAGGGTGGTCTAGCTGGAGAGCGTGAGCGACCGTGGCGGGACTGATTGAGTGAACGCGGACTCCGCCATGATTATATTAGACCACGCTCGTAAGCGCGCTAGCGTGATTACCGTATAAATCCGCTGGCCCGATGAAATAAAGCACGGGTGCACTGCTATGAAATACACACTCGCAGCAACACAGCTCATCGGATTTTAGCAGTGCACTGCGGGCAGCTGCACCCGCATGAGTGAGCAGAGGACGGAATAGACGCGATCATGTGTCGCAAGTAAGAAACCATATATGGCAAGCTCGCGACGCGGAGGGGGAAGCGCGCGTGTGGGAGCAGGTCGTCCAACGCCGCAACGGTTCTCAGAGCAGCCCCCGAGAGCTCCCCGCCAGTGCAGCCTGCCCGCTCATGCATGGTCTGTCCCAGTAAGCTCCGCTTCTCCTCCCCCGCGCGCTCACCCCACGCGTCGTGCCTGTGCGTCGCCGCCCACACCGTGCTGCACGCGCACGCCTGCCAGCCGAAACAATAAGGCCTGCACAACGTGGCAACCCCGGCGCTGCACCGTCGCTGCACCGCTTGCTGAGCCAGACGTGTCGCGCGGAGCCCTCGTCCGAGCACAGGTTGTCTTTTGCCACACACGACGCGTCCGCACGCCCCGACGACGGACCACCCCCGCAGACGCACCCGCTCTGGATCAGGCCGGCTCTGCATCGCAGCCGCAGGCTCTCCCTAGGCTGTCTGCTGCCGTAAAGTAGCAGCAGCGAGCGTGCAACGGCCCGCGGAAGCTCTCGAAGCAGCAGCTGCCAGCCCGCGCGATATTACCCTGTGCCTCTCTGGCGTTCCCCTCCCCTCCTTCTCGCACACTCTCCTTACTCTGCCTGCCTGCCCTGCGCACCCTATTGCCCCCGCGCCTCCCCACCTGCGCGGCTTCTCTGCGCACCTCCTTCCGTCCTAGCCCCTCTCCGCCGATAGCGCGAGCCCTGCCCTGCCCACCCCCGACGACCCACCACAGCGATGCCGGGCACCACGCAGTACGAGGTCCTGCTCGACTTCACGAACGACACCCACGACTGCGCCACCGTGCAGCTCCAGCGCGACTACGGCCGGGGCACCGGCGCAATCGTCCTCCTCCACCCCGGCGAGAGCGTCACGCTTGTGCTCGATGCTGGTGAGTAGCCTCGTTGCCCGCCACGGGAGTGAGGCTGATGTCACCGGGGTGCAGGCACAGTGTACAAGTATGCGCTCAAGACGAGGTCGCGCGTCGCGAACGTAACGTGCGTCCCGCTTACCTGCCTCCTGATGCCCCGGTGTGCACAGACGAGATCACTCACTCACGCTTTTACGTCTGTCGCCAGGGCCCGCGCGTGGCGAGACGTCCGCTGCACCGTCTCCCAGCTCTTCCCCAGCACCGCGCCCGCGTCCGCGCACCCGCCACAATCCCCGACCTCCGCCGAGCCGCTGCGCCCGGTGCAGGGCATCACCGTCGACCAGCTGTGGCGAGATATGCGCTTCTGCATATGGAACGACGCATAGCCCGCGCGGGAGAGTGAGTGTCTTCATGCAGAAAGAGACCCAGGTCGGCACGGTGGTGGTATGTCGGGCGACAGCGACGCTTATTGTTTATTTGTTTCCCTGCAGCGGTGTGGCACCGTCACGGGATACCCCGTACGCGCGCCCGGCGCCAGCCCGCAAGGCACGCTGCGGCTCCCCACGCGCCGCGCCTCACGCCTCACGATCCGAGCGAGGCCCCGGAGTGGGACTGGGAGGCACGATGGACCGCGGCGGATGTCGACGGAGGGGGCGCGCGTCGTGATCGCGTGCGATCGTGATAGGGCCCGGACGCACGCTGTGTTGTTACCATTAGATTATTAGCCATAGGCCGTACCATCCGCATACTGGGTTGTAATCGCCGCGGCCGCGCCAGCGCCGCCGCCCGCGCAAGCTTTACATTATTGTCGCACTAGCTACCACCATGACATTATCATATACGCCCGGGGGCCTGCCTGCGCGCCCCCCAGTGGCCATCGCGCGCATGCAACGCCGCATCCGCGTGCATCACGCAGCTTTCTCGGACGGCAGCAGCGTCCCAGAGCCTGCGTGCGGCGTTATGGCGCGGTCCGCTGACGCAGACGCGAAGAGAGTTGCGAGCGTGCAACGCCTGCTGCTCGTGTTTGCCGCGAGGCACGGCGTGCGGGAGCGCCCGTCAATGTATGCCCATCGTCCTTCGTAAGTTTGTCAGACTGCGATGCTGGGAAAGCCCGTGCGTTCTGGAACGGCTCGGCGCATCACAAGGGGGCTCGCATTCTCACCGCGCGGGAGGACCGCCGTAGGGGGCCGGTGGGGACAGGGTGCCTCGCTTAACCCCCGGGTTTCCAACTTGAACACGGACGGGGGTGATCGTCCGGCACCGAGGGTTAAATGAACTGCTTCCCGTTCGAGAGTGAGAAGGCGGGGCGCGGCGTGGGGTAGCGTCATCATTGCAGGGCGGGGTGTACATTCACTAGGATAGTTTACAAGGTAAATCGCCGGTGTCTGTGGCGCGGACATGACTGAGGGACGCTGAGCATCTTCGCGGGGTCAGTGAGGGGGCTCGAGCCTCGGAGTCTCCGGTCAGCAGGCCGTACGGTTGGTTTGGGCATGCCTGCGCAACGAGAGAGGCTCGCGGCCTATTCTTGCCTCGGTAATGCCACGGAGACTCTAAACCTGTCGGCAACCTAGTGCGCGGGACGGGTTGGCGAAGTTTGGCAAGGCTCTGAAGCTGTGCGCTTGCTATAGCTGACGGCCAAGAGGTCGCCGGCGGCCATATGCGGGGAAACGGCGTCATGTGCAGCAGCTTGGGAGAGGCCGAGTCCCCGGCGCAAGAGGCAGGCTAGACTTGGGTGACATCGTGGGCCGACTGCGACTGGACGGCGTACTTAGCGGTTGGATCAGGGGTTGTGCTGCGTCAAAGATAGAGCTGATCACACAAACTCACCCGTGAAACTGAACTCTGGGTTCGCCCAGTGAAACCGGCGGAAGGGGCGCGAAGCGAAGGCCCCGATAGCGCCATTGAGAGCCCGGTTGAGTCCCACTGGCGTGGCCAGCCACCGTCAGCTACTGTGTAAGTATTCGTGACGCAGAATGCGTGACAAAGCCTGAGCTAAGGTTGCAGATGTCAGAGTGCTCAAGTCGAGATGGATTGTTTAAGCCTAAGGTCGGACAGCCGCAAGGAGTCAATGCGGAAGGACTGACGAAATTCGAAGTCGAGGGCTTGTGCGCTAGTACCTTGGAGACCTGAGATGTCAGTAGTCGGTCATAGTGAGCACAAGAAAGATCACTCGCCTATCGCTCGTAGCTTCGGTCACAGGGCGGTATCATGATATAAGCAGCTCCCAGCTCAGATCGTTTTGGGCACTTCCGAGCGAAAACGGCCGCCGCGGTCTATCACTCGATACTGTCCAATGAGAAGAGATGTGTACAGGCCATGTAACGACCAACTTACAACACCTACTGTAGGCCTTAGGCTTGAGCTGGAGAGGCGCTAACTGTGTTTAAACAGCAATTAGCTGGCAGTATACTAGTAAGATGACCATGTGGAACTTGCAAGTGCCTCGGACGTCGAGCTCGATCGTGCACAGCTAGCGCGTCGGAAACATAGCGAGCTGGAGGCAATGAATCGGAGGGAGACGTCACGCGAGATGTCCGGCCGGGATATGAGTGTAGGAGCAGGAAGAGAGGGAAGAGAGGAGCGCGGCGCCCAGCCTCGGAATGTATCCATAACGCGGTGCACGTGATCTGAACGCGTCGCGTCGCGTGATGTCATTGGGCAAAAGAGGTGGGTACGTGCCGTCATAGGACGCTCATCCACCGCTCCCTCAGCACTCCGCGCGCGCCCTATATAAGCTCGCCACCTCCTCAGCATGCCCCACCTTTTTTTCGTCACGATCGCCTCACGACATACACCCACCACCACCACCACCACCACCACCACCACCAAACTTCTTACGACGAATCCCATCTCAATTTCTTCATCATGCAAGCAGCCTCCAATGCCATTCAAAACGCAAGTGAAAAGCCATAACACACCGGCCTGGCGCCCACTGACCTAACTGCATGCACGCAGGCAATGGGTCCCGTCCCCACCGTGGTGCACCCTGAGTTCAAGCCTCGTCCCGACGGCGCTACCATGAAAGCTCTTGCTTGGTTCGGGGCTGGCGACGTCCGTATAGTGGACGCCCCTATCCCTGACGTTACCGAGCCCGACGATGTTATCCTCAAAGTCACCGGAACCACCATCTGCGGCTCTGACCTTCATCTCTACCATGGTGAAATCGTCAACCTCCAGAAGGGCGATATCCTAGGCCATGAGGTTTGTCATTATTGAAACACGCCGCTTGAAGCACGACTCACTGCGAACTTGTCAGTTCATGGGCATTGTCGACAAAGTCGGCCCCAACGTCAAGAACCTGTCCGTCGGCCAACGGGTCGTCGCTTCGTTCCAGATCGCATGTGGCGAGTGCGAATACTGTAAACAGAAGCTCTCGTCCTTCTGCGACAGGACAAACCCCTCATCGTGAGTAGAGTATCTTCCAACGCAGCTGTGTCGCCTGTTGATCGTATCGACAGACTTCAGAATGCGATGTACGGTCACCGTGACGCTGGCTTCTTCGGGTACTCGCATTTCACTGGTGGCTTCGCTGGCGGCCAGGCAGAGTACGTCCGGGTACCCAAGGGCAATGTGAACTTGCTCCCCATTCCCGACATCGTCCCCGACGAGAAGGCGCTATATCTCTCTGACGTTCTGTGCACGGCGTACCACAACGTCGAGGACACCGGTGTCAACCCTGGCGACGTTGTCGGAATCTGGGTAAGTGTTCCCGGGTTGTTGAAGCTATGATCTGGTGCTTACTTTCAGTTCGTAGGGTCTTGGTCCCATCGGCCTCTGCGTCGCTCAGTTCGCCAAAATGAAGGGTGCCTCTCGCATCATCGGCATCGACCGTGTCCCAGAACGTCTCAAGAGGGCCGAAGAGCTCGGTCTCGAGCCCCTCGACTTCTCAAAACACAGCGACGTCGTCAAGCGCCTCCAGGAGATCGTACCCGGCGGTCTTGATGTCGCGATGGACTGCGGGACGTTCCACCAGCCGAAGTCGATGCTCCACAAGGTCGAGAAGGCGCTCATGCTCGAGACGGACGTGTCGGAGATCGTCAACGAGATGCTCATGTCCGTGAGGAAGCAAGGTCGCTGCGGGATCATCGCTGCCTACGCGGGGTACACCAACCACTTCAACATCGGCGCGCTCATGGAGAAGGGCATTCGCCTCATCGGCAACGGCCAGGCGCCCGTGCACAAGTACTGGAACGAGATCTTGAACGACCTCATCATCCCAGGAAAGTTCGACCCCACATTGTGAGTGATCCTGCCGCCGGCCAACGATGAGACAATTGATGATGGGGGTTTCATAGCATGATCACGCACCGCGTCGACATCGAGGAGTTCCCGAAGCTCTACGCGGCGTTCGACAAGCGCGTCGGGGGCGTCGAGAAGGTGTTCGTGCAGACCAAGTTCTCGAACGCGCCGTCCCCAGGCTGTCCGACGCTCAGCAAAGTTGACGAATGGGCCCATTAACGGAGTCGTACCAGAGGAGCAGTAGCATCACCAAATGTACTTATACGGAGAGCCCCGGAGTCTAATGTGTACCATCAACAAGGTTTCAGACGACGCGAGCACGTAAACGCGAGCGCACCCGTACCTTCGCTTGGCCATGTGCCCCGCCACAGCTCGCGAGAAGCTGACCAACGTGCGCCCGAAGCTGCGCGGCGGCGCGGTCCCGACCGCGCACGGCGTTAGCGCGCTATAAGAACGACGCGCAGCGCGGGCGCGGGGGTGCACTACTACCTACATAACTTACCCCGACCTAGACAGCATGAAGACTCCTGGTGCAGTACTTGCGGTGCTCTACTCCGTGGCCGCGGTCACCGCGAAGCCGGGGGTGGACCAGCAGATCGCGCAGCTAGAATCGTCCAACTCGAAGCTGCTGCAATATCCGACGCAGTTCACCCAGAGCATCATGCCCAAGGCCATACACTCACATAATGACTGTGAGCATGCTCGTCGCCCCAGTGCACCGTGTTTGACATTCATTCTTTTTGCGTGCGACGATAGACTGGAGGGACGTGCCTCTCCTCACTGCGCTGAGCTACGGCGTCGCGAGCGTCGAGGCGGACGTCTCCCTCATCAACGGGACGCTCTACGTGAGTCGCTATCAGGCGCGGCCGCCAATCTTCGCCGATCTTCTGACGTTTTTGCAATTGGTAGGTCGGACACGAAAACCAAGCGCTGACGCCGGACCGCACGCTGGATTCGCTGTACATCCAGCCGCTACTGCAGATCCTGAACAACCAAAACCCGCAGACTGAGTTCACTGCGGGGAGCACGTCGCACAAGTGAGCTTTGACACCAAGCATATCCAACATGACATGGACTCACCGGACCTCGTAATGCAGTGGTGTCTTCGACGTCGACGGCGGCCAGACGCTCCAATTCGTGATAGAGATCAAGACAGACGGCGTAGCGTGCGTGCCTCGAGCCATTTCGCTGATCGTTTCCCGTTTGCTGAAAGTTACAACCAGAACGCTGCCGTCCGTTCTGGCAGCCCTGGAGCCCCTGCGTTCAGCCGGGTACCTCACCACCTTCGCGAACGGCACCCTCTCACGCTCCGCCGTGACCGTCGTCGGCACCGGCAACTCCCCGCTCGAGCAGATCAAGGAGCTCTCTCCGCGCGACTTCTTCTACGACGCGCCGCTCTCGCAGCTGACGGACCCGTCGCTGAACACGACGTGGGACGCCACGCTCGCTCCGCTTGCGTCGACCGACTACGAGGCCGTTATCGGGTGGAGCGGATTCGGGACCATCTCGGACGAGCAGAAGGGTAACATTACGAAGTTTGTGGGCGACGCGCACGAGCGGGGCATCGCTGCGCGCTTCTGGAACACGCCCGCCTGGCCGGTGACTGCGCGGGAGAATATCTGGAGGGCGTTGTTGGAAAACGGGGTGGACTGGTTGAACGCCGATGACCTGGCTGCGGCGAGTTCATTCTGAAGGAGATACAGTTTAGGGTCCATTATCAATATAAGAACGTACTAAGGGGTAACAAAGATGTGACGCCAGGGAGACGGTTCCTTTGAGATGTCGGTGAGTTTGCTCTGAAGTAGGCCGCAAGATTGCTGTACTTGCTCCAAGATTCCCCGGTGACAGTTGCCACTGAAAGAGAGCTGCAAGTAGTGGCGGTAGAACATCCGAAATATTAGTATTATACGATCATAGCTGGTTCCATACAGAGGTCTGGTCTACGCCGAGCTTGCGGCGGGTGAACCACTGCCAACGGCCAGGGTTCTCCCTACCAAGGTCGCCTTGAGCTAGATGAAGTGTACTCCTCTGTCCACCAGGGAGGGTCTGGCCGGCCTTGAGGCGGATGCCCGCGAATGCGGCATGCTTTTCCTTCTTTTCCTGCTTGGCGGCAACGATCTCCTTCAGTGCAAGGGGTTGCGCCAGAACGGTGTCCTGCGAGAATGGTGTGCCAAAGCCTCTAGTGAAATAGAAAGGACGACTTACGACGTGGTCCTCAGCTATCCTGCTCATCTCCTCTACCGCACCCACACCCCGGAACTTCAAGACCTTCTGCAGGTTCTTCCGCGTCACCGACCGTAGCTCGCCACGTCCTTCTGGCGGGACAGTCTTCTCCTTCTCGATGACGTCCACGATATCGGGGATACCGGTCTTGACCAGAGCCTTGGGGTCGCCCTGTCCAACGCGCTTGCCCAGCAACTCCCATCCTATTGCACGGGCGGTCATCTGGAAACGCAGGTCCCGCGGGTTGTCGACGAGCTCCAGGATGGCATGCGGGGCATTGTCTCCAGGTCGGTTGCCGAACTTGTGCACCCGTGTGTATCCTCCAGGACGATCAGAGTAACGCGTCGCGAGTTCACTGAAGAGTTTCGGCACCATGGTCTGGTCGAGCAGGAAGCCCGTTGCACGGCGGAAGGCGGGTAGGTCGCCCTTCTTGCCCAAGGTTATGATCTTCGATAGGTGAGTCCAAGATCATTGAGGATGCGTTATCAAGTGTACGGCACCTTCTCCGCTAACCTGGCGGTATCCCTCGCCTTCGGAAGGGTGGTCTTGATCTGCTCATGTTGGAAGAGGGATGTCACGAGATTCCTGCTCGGTGTCAGACTCCCAGCTCGCTGAGAGATTCGAAGTAGCATACCGCAGCATGAGCATCCTATGCGAGGACGTCCTCGAGAGCTTGCGGAACGCGACCCCATGCTTCATGGTGGTCGACTGGAGCGGAGGTAAATGAGCGCCTACTTGCCAAGTGGGTTTGCGCTGTACACCGAATAGGCGCTTTGGGCGCTCTGGAGGGCTGTCGGCGATCGAAGCTTCTGCAGCGGGGTTTGAAGAAGACTGCTTCGCGGAGTTCAGTGACACGGGATCCTAAATCCGGCCAACAACACCTCCAGCTTCTGTCCGTTGCGGCTACTCCGAGCCTTGCACAAACCAACTTCTTGGCATGCTCATCGTGGGGTGCACTCTGAGCCGTGTGTCTCACTTCAGCTTGATTGTCGCCGTAAATCCAGTGCCAACCCTTGTTAGGCATTGCAATCTACAAGCCACGACAGCTCGGGGACACTGACGAGTGCTAGCAGCAATACAATGTCCCCGTCGACTCACGGGTACTGACACCTCTTCTCGGACTGTGGCACTTTATCATAAGTCATGAAAATCATAAAAACATGTGTTTAACGCTTACAATAGGTAATAGCGGCCCGTAGTCACCAGCAAAGGACGTACAAAACCAAGTCAGCCGGTTCGAAAATTATGCATCATGGTGGAGATAGCATGGTTTCCGTCTCCCGGTGAGCATTCGAGCGTGTTGGGGATCAAGGCGTTTCTCACGCATGTTCTCCTTGGCAGCCTTCCGCACGCCCTAGGCATTAATATTCCTCGAACATGCGCTACTGACTTCAACAGAACGCCATGCGCTGTACGCTCTCGTGACGGTCAGGGCCTGTCACCCCCGATGATATGGCAAAAGTGCGGGGCAAGTCGACCACCCTGCGTTTACAACAAAGGCCATATGCAAGCCATTCTGTGTTTCAAACCTGGTTCTACTCGGTTAAGCACCGTATCGAGTGAAGAACTGATCGGCGAAGTAGATCATGCATGGCAGCTGCTGTAGGGCTATTTCAGTGGTACGTCAAACAGGACAATCGAATTTACGACCGACGCGCACCGTTTTGTCGTTATGCAGTGTGAGCTTCGGCCTCATATCTCCTCGTTCGTCATCTACCCAAGCCTCACCACAGAAATCACCTGCTGCGTTCTGAGAACACTCTATCGATTCCCCGTGGACGTCACGAAGTTCGATATAGCCGCTTCTTCAGGCCTCGTGGGTAGCCGGGCTGTCGGAAACTATCGCCGGGCCCAGTAGTCTCCACTTACATAAAGAAGTCAGGGAATACATTGACAGGGCGTGGTAGCAGGTGAACCAATACCGAGGTCCTGACGTTATCCCCCACATTCCTGTATTGGTTTGCTAGGGTCGTAGAGGCCGTCGATTAACTCAGCGTGTTCGATAGGAGCCGCAGATCTTGACGTCTGGCATGCATTACTCATTAGCTTGGGAACACACTGTGGACCTTCCGGTGTTCGATCCACGGCGAGATGAACATCTACCTTACACTGCAAGCGCAAGCACCTCGAACCCCGCCATCTGCAAGCCATGAAATGTCCATACATTCGCATCCAGGAACTGACACCGAGGACGGTGACTTCGAATCGGTGACGAAAGGCACCCTCTCTTACAACACCTTGACGGCACCACTGCACCCACATTCCGCTCTAGAAGCAAGACCCCCCTTGTGCCGCGCGTCCCGTGAGCCCTTAGCCCGCGAACTTGAACCGCCATTCACCGCCGACGAATGCACCCGATAAGTCGACCACGAACAAATTACCGGAATCAGGGTAGTCGGCCTGCCGGGTGGCATCACCTCCACACGCCCCACAGTGCGCGGTGGTCACGTAGAGCTGGTCACCGTTCGGCCCTACCCGTGGGGTCAACGAAGCGCGTATTGCAAGCGCAGCAGCCTGCTTACCTCCGAATGTGCACGCCGTGATATTGAGCGCCTTTGGGAAGAAGACCTCGAGATCCATCTCCCCGTCTCTAGAGTACCTGATGATCCTGGACCCGCCCCAGCTGTGCCGGGGGCGATTATCAGCGGCTGCATATCTGCGCAGGAATGCTCAGTAAGGACACACCGTGCCGACCACACCCCGCCGTCCTTATCGATGCAGAGGCCATCGGGGTACGTTCCCGGGGGCAGACCTTGTGACATTGCGTCTACAAATACCCGTCTGCCGGATACTTGCCCATCGGTGTAATCGTAGGCGTATATCTTGTTCTCGAACGAGTCCGTGAACAGCCTAACGTCAGAGGAGATCTCAGATCCCCGCAGACGTCGCGGTAGAAGGACGGGTGGCTCACATGGTTTTGCCATCGTCCAGCCAGCCTACGCCGTTACTGTCCTGCGAGCCAAGACGCACGTGTCAGCCGCAAGTCGCGGAAACTGCCAGGGTATGCGTACCGTGAACGGCCCGGGATCAAGCACCCTACAGGTGTCGCGGTCGGGGTCATAGATGTAGAGCTGTCCTGGAATGCCGTGGGTTTTGTTGAACAAGGTTCCCGCAATGAAGCGACCCTGCGGGTCACAGGCACCGTCGTTGAATCTAGTGAATGGCTGAAAGTCTGCTGGGAGAGGCCGGCTGAGGTATCGCAATTTTGAGTTCTCGATAACGGCGAACCCATGCGTCGTGGCGCAAGCAAGCTACAGTCCAGGACCAGTCAGTTGACGATGTCGCCATAAGCATCTCGGGGAACCAAACGCCTCACGCCTTCCTGGTCGCGGCGCAGCGCAAGGCAGGTGATGGACTCCTCGAACTGCTGACAGTCCAACGTCCCCGACGCTGTGTTATAGTGATAGACCTGCGAAACAAAGCTCGGTCAGACCTGGCACAGTGAGTTCTAGGCGAGCCGTATACTCACCTTGTTTTTCTCAATATCGACGAAGTGTAGGACCGACGTCTCGGGGTCATATATGGGCCCTATGGTAGAGCATGTAGGGATATAAAGGCCAGCGCAAGTAAAGCATGGGTGGCGTTACCTTCGCCCAGACTGCAGTTGAGATGCAGGAGCGGTTTGTCCACCGAGATTCGTCGAGGAGGCATAGCTGCGGATGACGACTGAACAGCACGATTCGACAGGCATTATATACGCAAGCGGGGAAGCAACTGCTCACGGGTAAATACTGTAAAGCTATGACATAAGCGGCGTGCCACTTATCACAGGGGCAGGAGAGACGTAAATGGAGCCCGACCCAGTGGGAAGCGGCCTCGCTGGTTGCGGGCGGACGGAGCATAGTTGCGAGCTTTACTGCTGCATTGGAGCTTCACCTGACTGTCATGGATGGCGTCCGGCCCTTCGCGGCCAAGAGAAGACAGGGATTGTGCACTCTAGTCGAGATGGATGAGATGCAGGGGACGAATACCATTAACGGATGAGAGGGGTACAGGGCATTACTACTACGGGCTAGTGGGCTGGAATATAAAGTGAGTTCTCGTACGTTGAGAAGGGGCGAGACGAAGAACTCACCAGCAGGCGTCTTGGCGATGTAGTCAATAGCTGTCAAGTGGCGTCAGACTGAGTGACGGCGGAACAGGAGGACATACATACCTTGCTGCACCGTCTTGATCTCGTCCGCTTCCGCGTCAGGGATCTCAATAGCAAACTCCTGGGGTGACGTTAGCAAGAAGGAACTCGCTCAAATGAGAGTATGAACGGACCTCTTCCACAGCCATGACGACCTCGACGGCGTCCAGACTGTCCAGGCCCAGGTCATCGGAGAATGACGCTGTAGGGTTGAGCTGGCGGAGCACAGTGTTAACGCGTCTGCACACGAGATATTCGCCTGCAGTTCGCACCTTGTCGGCCTTCACCTTCTCGAAACTCCTGAGGACCTGAAGAACACGAGCAGTAATCTCTTCTTTTGAGAGGCCTGCCGCCGCGGAGAACGCTGCGCAAGGCACGATGCGGCTACGAGCCGCGAGAGCGAAGCGGGGGGCTACAACAGAGCCAGAGGCAATGTTGCGAGCAGCAAAGTTTCGTGCAGCGAGACGGAACATGATTTTGGTTTGGGAAGAGAGAGAGGAGGATGTTGGACGCGTCGAGCTCACTCTCCGGGAGGACGAGCTCACACGTCAACTCCGCCGCCGGAAATGGCCGAGAACGCATCCCAGGCGCCCGTCTCGACGCGCCGCGACTGCGTAATTAACGCCTACTAATTGGCTCAAGTGGGGGTGTTGTAGTGATGTCTATACGAGATCGTAGACTGACCTGCTCGTAGCTACAATAGTAAGTAGCTTGGATAGGCGGGTATTAGAAGACAGCGAGGCAGTCCAAGTACGCCCTTCGGCGACTTGGAAGGTGTGGTTTACTGGTCTCTTACAAAGGCTTCGTGAAATTCATGGAGATGTGGGCGGTGGGCTCGGCATCTCTACCTATACACCAACTGCGGCATACACGTTCAATGCTCGCAATGATGGAACCGATATATTCATGGTAATGGAGACGACAGCGCTCTACAAATAAAGGGCGACGACATGTAGATTTAAGGATATCTGGCACTAATGGTAACACTAGTACGAACAGGCCGGCAAGCGCGGCAGATCAAAGCCAAGGTCGTCTGGAGGGCTGGGTCGCAAACGGATTCATAGGCTGCGTTTCACAGCGTTGACCCAAAGCAAAAGATAAGGAGTGCGAGAGTGCAGATAGGAGACAAAGCATATTAGCCGTGCGTGGCAGCCGGTGTACCGCCAGTGGGTGTGGACAAGATCTGGTGAGGACGTGAACATGGTCAAAATATGGTTGAATAGACATGGAGGATAAGAGGATAGTCGACGAGCTCTCCTAGTGACACTGGTGGATAGCAGCAAGGACCCGACGTCGAGCGGAAAACTAGCGAGTGGACGGAGGGTTGGAGGAGGACGACGCATAGACGCCCATATTTCAGGCGCTCGCAGTGGCTGAAAAGGGTTTCGGCAAGCTCCGAGCAACTGTGCAGTCCCAGTCACGGTGGCTGTCACCGTACGAGACTCCAGCCACCATTACCGACTGCAGCAAGATCGTCAAGGTGAGAGCTTCAAGTATTCACGCTGGATTCTCGCTGAAAGTGCTGTACGTTATCCGTACGACTCTCAACCCCCAGGTTCGTCGTTCCAATTGTCGCCAGGAAGCTCGCCAACTCACTCGTTTTATCCTACTCCTCGCAATAGACGCGCCATGGCCACATTCTCCTCCACCCCGATTGTCATTGACGGCAAGGGCCATCTTCTGGGTCGTCTTGCTTCGATTATCTCGAAGCAAATTCTGAACGGCCAGAAGATCGTCGTCGTCCGGTGCGAGGAGATCAACATCTCGGGCAGTTTCTTCCGCAACAAGGTGCGTACTACGCCTGGTGTCGACCGCAAGGAAAGTCGCGCTGACAAGGCTACAACAGCTGCGGTACCACAACTTCCTCCACAAGCGCCACATCGTCAACCCGAAAAAGTCTGGCCCTTTCCATCACCGCGCTCCCTCCAAGATTCTCTACAGGGCCATCCGCGGCATGGTGCCTCACAAGACTGCCCGCGGCGCGGCTGCTCTTGAGCGCCTCAAGCTCTTCGAGGGTGTCCCTCCCCCCTACGACCGCAAGAAGCGCATGGTCGTCCCTGAGGCTCTCAGGGTGCTTCGGTTGAAGCCCGGCCGGAAGTACTGCACGGTGAAGGTAAGCACGCCGACCTTACACTCACTGAACGGGATATCAATCGGAGTCGTCCTGCAGCGTCTGTCCCACGAAGTTGGCTGGGGCTACAAGGACGTCGTTGACCGTCTGGAGGAGAAGAGGAAGGTCAAGTCCCAGGCTTTCCACGAGCGCAAGGTGCGTCCTTTATATGATGTTGCGGACCATCTTCTCAACCTAGTGCATTTGTAGACCGCGGCCCTCAAGCTGCGCCAAAAGGCCTTGACGGACGCGACACCATCTTTCGAAAAGCTGGCGCAGCTCGGCTACTAGATGGAGTATCCACATGGCATATCGCACTCGCACTTCGCGTCCCTCTATGATTAGCTGCCATGACATTCCATGTACCTCGCCTATTGCTATCGTATGCCTGATCCGCGGGGACGACACTCAATATGATACTACTGTTGCCGAGAAGGATGGCGTTGCAGCCTCCCGGTTACCTGTATAACATAACTAGACGTGTTCGAATGCATTCGATGTGTCTAGGTCGATTTGAACGGCGAGCTCGAGCGACACTCCTGGACTGGTCAGCACGAGTAAGCTGGAACGAGTCATCGGCGAGTCCATAATTGGCCGCCGCCGGGCCACCGGAGAGTAGGCCGGGAAGCATGGGCTCGGAGGGGACGGAGCGCAAGCGGGGTGCGCGGCCGGCAGACGCCGGGGGAGGGCGGGCGGTCTGGGCTTGCCGGTCTGACCAGTTGGGCAAGCTTTTGCTTGCTCACCTTCTCATCCTCTGTCCCCCTTGCCCTTTCGTCCCCATCGCCCCTTCTCGCCCTCCTCGCCCCCTCTCACCCCTCTCTTCCCCCCGCTCCCCTCGCCATGCCCTCCGACGCCGCCGTTCCCCGCGACAATGGTACGCTCACCTTTTCCTGGCCTGTTTTCGCGCATTTCTTAACGGACCGATGTCTACAGACTCTGCCCCGCAGTCTCGTTCCTCCTCGCCCGTCGGCTCCGACAGCCTGACCCTCCGCGCCCTCGTTAGCACTAAGGACGCAGGTGTCATAATCGGGAAGGCAGGAAAAAATGTCGCCGAGCTCCGTGACCAGACGGGCGTTAAGGCCGGCGTCAGTAAGGTCATTCCCGGCGTTCATGAACGGGTCTTGACCGTGACTGGCACTGTGGAGGGTGTCGCGAAGGTATGGAGTAGTCGATCAGCGCGACTCACGAAATGCTAATCATGTCTCAGGCGTACTCTCTCATTGTATCCCAACTCGTCTCCGCTAGTCCCTCCTCCCCGACCATGTCTCCCACTTCTTCACCGACCACCGCCATCCGCCTCCTCATTTCTCACAACCTCATGGGGAGCGTGATTGGTCGTAACGGTTTGAAGATCAAAGCCATCCAGGACTCGTCCGGAGCACGGATGGTCGCCTCCAAAGATATGCTCCCGCAGTCCACGGAGCGTATCGTGGAGGTGCAAGGCTCTTCCGAGTCGATAGGCCGCGCCATTGAGGAGATCGGTCGCTGTCTCTTGGAAGACTGGGAACGCGGTGTCGGCACCGTTCTCTTCCACCCTGGCGCCGGAGAAGAGCGGTCGGGCCGTCGCACACACCCCACAAACCGGAGGAGTAACGGTGATGTCCGCCGAACATCTCCTTCACCAAGTTCCCCCTCCTCTTCCCCGCCCACCAACCTCCGCACGCAGAACATCTCCATCCCCTCGGACATGGTCGGCTGCATCATCGGCCGGAACGGCACGAAAATCACCGAGATTCGACGGCTGTCGGGCTCCAAGATCTCCATCGCGAAGGAACCCCATGACGAGACCGGCGAGCGCATGTTCACCATCGTCGGTACTCCTGAGGCGAACGAGAAGGCCCTCTTTTTGTTGTACAACCAGCTCGAGAGCGAGAAGGAGCGCCGCGTAGGTCGGGACCAGCAACAGCAGGAGGAGCTGCAGGACTAATTGCGGAGAGCTGTTCGCGTTTCCGTATGCTTGATCTACGCTATACAGCAGCGCGCCGGTTTTCTACCGACGCGTTGCTTAGCTGCTCTACACTCACTCGCCTTCCCCCCGCCTCCTACCCCATCTCCCTTGCCCCAACGGCTCTCCCCGCTTGCCTCTTCCTTCCGTACCTCTCCCTACCCGCTCAAAAACTCCGTAAACCGTGATAGTGTACACTCCTCCTGCGCACTCCATCTTGACCCTCGTTGCCGTTGTCCCAACCCTCTCGATGTAGCACACCCCTCCGTTCCCTCGGCCAACATGATGCTTTCTCTTCCACTCACGGGCACACTGCCGTCGTTTGGCTCTATCCTACTGCTTTCGTGCATACGTGCGCCTCATAGACAGTAAAAGTATGCGTATGTTAATTGCTATCCGATGGTGTTGGTGCAAATGGACTTTGCTTTCGAAGACGCTTTCCTAACCCGGATGCGCAAAAATGAGGTCACGTTCGTCAGACGCGTCGCGTAAAAGTTTGGAGGGCGCGCACCGGCGTCTACCGTGCTCCTGCTCTCAGCCACCATGCAGCCAAATCGCCCTCAGCAGTCTCAGCCGTACCACCCAGGCTCTGCGAACAACAGCGCACGGGCTGCGCAAGCTGTCTCCGCCGCTCTCTCGAACCCGTACGGTCAGGCATATGGCGCACAGGCTGCATACCCCCAGGCCTCTCATTACGCGCAAGCATACAGCCAATACTATAACGGAGCGGGTCCCTCGCATGTTACGGCAGATGGGTACACCATGTCATCCACATATGTTCCGGGGACCCAGTATCATACCCCTCAGCCGGCGCGACAGCCGGTACAGAGACCGCCAACCCATAGCGGAGGCGGAGGCGGCGGAGGAGGCCAAGGTCAGCCAGGTTGGTACCAGCCGGGGACGTTTCGGTGTACAAACCCCGGGTGCTCGTTCATGGGGTCGAAAAAGAGCCTGGAGGTACACATGATGGACAGACATCTCATCTACCCGCCTGGGTGGGAACACCGGAAGAAGAGACAAGACTGGGATGCCGACCCCAGTCTCAAAGGGTGCGTCTGTGCACTCCCTTCATAGCGGGCATATCCTCAAGTTTTATGGGCATAGAAAACCTGTCCCTATCCAGGGAACGAGCATCAAGCTCGACACCCCAGAGGCAATCGAGCAGTGGATCGCGGAGCGCAAGAAGCGTTTCCCGACCGCGCAGAACGTGGACGACAAGCAGCGCAAGATGCGCGAGGCTATCGAGCGCGGACAAATACCGTTCGACGACCCATCCCGCCGAAAACGGCGCCGGGTTGACGACAGCCCCGGAGAACGAGGCGGGAGCTCTAGAGGAGGCCGGGGAACCCAGCGCGGACGCGGGAGAGGCAGGGGCAGGGGCCGAACCCAGGACGGAGGGTGGGAAGGTCGAAGGCCTGCAGGACAACCCGCCGAAAATCCAGAGGCCTCCGCGGTCGCCGCCGTACCACCATCCAATCCCGAGCCTGCGTCAAACGGACATCGAGACGAAGAGGCGTCGTCCGGCGAGGACGCGAATTCAGACTCGGATTCGGACGGCGTGCCAGAAGTCGTGTCCTCGAAGGCACCGCCTCGTGCTTTGGAGATGCAGGACGAGAATTCGATGGAGGTCGATGAGGAGGTTCTCACAAGGAACGACGCGGTAGTCGTTCCCTCAAAAGTCGCTGGTCCTACCGCGAAACCGATCACGAAACCCCGACCCAAACAACCCCGCAGGCCACTATACAATCCGTTTGCACAGCGAGCCTCGCTCCTGCGCAATGTAAGCCAGCTGTATTTGTGCCGGCATATCAAAGCTGACAGCTCTGTCTGTAGTTGTTGCTGCCGGAAATTCGCGTGACCGTGTCGAATCTCTCGCAGGCGATACACTTTCTGGTAGACAACGACTTCCTGGACGACGTCGAGCTCAAACCCGGACAAGCGAATGAACGTAAGATACAGGTCATTGGAGAGCAATCTACATCGACGGACGCCGTCGCCGCGACCGTTTCCGCTGCGCCAACGGAGGAGACCAATGCGCCTCCACCAAGCAATAGCTAGTCATGAGCTGGATGCTACAATTCCCCTGTCCCCACTGCGCAGGACTGACATAATGCTACATATTACTAGAGGCACTAGGCGGTATACGTATAGACTATCGGTCGCTCGCGCTGTCGCTCTCACTCCCCTCGCTGTCCGAATCCTCGCTGTCCTCGTCCGCCTCGACTTGCAGCGACTTCTGCTCGACGTCGAAGCCGACCTTGCCGAGGTCCTGCGCGACCTGCTCCGCCTTGGACGGTGCGGTGACGATGACCGCGACAGATGACGCAGAGTCGAAGAGCGGGAGGAAGTACTGCTTGAGGACCGCGAGCACGTCGTCCTTCGTGATCTCCTGGAACTTCTCGAGCAGCTCGACGTTGAAGTTCTGCGAGACGCCCTTGAGGCCTTGGTTGATGAAGGACATGAGCGCCGCGCGCCCTGGTGTGGACACGCTCTTGGCGACGCCGAACACGATGCTGCTCTTCGCGGCGTCGAGAACTGTCTCATCGAGGGCAATCTGTGGTAGACTGCATCAGCGTCCAAACGGCAGGACAGGGATTTTCGGCACGTACCGATCCATCGGTGAGACCCTTGATGACATTCGCCGCCTGCTTAAACGCCTCCATGCTGTTCGAACTCTGTATATATCTCCATTAGTACATTGCGCCTGCCGCCGAGAGGGCCAATAGAGACGTACGCGGTACAGCGAGAAGCTCAGTAGACCGGCTTCAAGGTCAAGCCCGCAGTGCGCGCCATATGCCAGGCCAGAGCCACGGATGTATCTCTGCGCAGGAAATTAGCAACATGCACCGAGTGTGGCACTGGAGAGTACTGCATACCCAGAGATAGCTCTCGGTCGCGTTCAGGACTTCGACCGCGACGCGCATGGCGGGGTACTCGGGATGCGCCCAGCCCTGGACGCCCTTCGCGGTGTGCGTGGCGAACGAGCTCTCAATCGTGGGCAGGCTGACAACAACCGCCTTCTTGACGGGGTTCTTGCCGACGGAGCTGAGGGTGTCGACGGCCATACGGAGCGGCGCAAGCTCGCTCGGCTAGGGATGGCGTGTAAGGGCTACTGCGAACGCGAGCATGTTCGGGTGGACTTACCGGCAACGTCTGGCCGAAGTGTCGTGCCCACGCGCTCCGAGGCTCCTTGAGGGCGAGAATGTCTCCGTTCACCGACACCCGCACGCCACTCGGGTCCGTCACTGCGGTCACCATCAGCGTTCCGGTCTAGCATCAGCGCACAAGGAAAAACGACGTACAGTACCGCCGGATCTCTTCGAAGTCCTTGAGCACTGCCGCGGGGGTCTCCTGCAGCTCCTGAGAGAGCTTCGGGATGAAGTCGATCTGGGGAATGACGCTGCCCACGCGCGAGGTCGAGCTCGCGTCGTAGAGCAGTTCAGCAGAGACCGAGCTAAGAACAGTGTCTCCGTCACGCTTCATCTCCGGGAGCGACTGCTGGATCTTTGCGATGGTCACCTGCAGACTGGACAATGGAGTGAGTACCTGGAACCACGGGAGACTACCTGATGCTAATCGTACCGGTCCTTGTCGAACTCGCTGCCGTAGACGAGGTCCTTCAACCACGCGATCGCGTGCTCGTACTGCGCCGTCTCGACCTTGATGCTCACGCGCGCCGTCTCGGTGAACACGCTGTTCACGCCGAGCGCGACCTCGTACGAGACAGTGTCGCTGTCGAGCCGGTGCACGACCTCCTCGTGGTTCAGCTTCTCGCCCGTACTCCGCTTCACGGGAAGCGAGAAGAACGCGGAGAGGTAGGTTGACATGTACCTGCGCGGAGATTAGAAGAAGCCCTGGGCGTTCACTCTAGAAGTCACTCACGGACGCAGGCGGTCGGGGAGCTTCGCAAGAGAGAAGTACGCGTGTACAGTGACGAAGTCGGACTAATAACACAAGAGTCAGCACGGCTTTACCCTTCAAAGACACATCGTATACACACCTTGACGTGGTCGTACTGGACGAAGAACGGCAACGGCGCGCCGTCCTGCTCGATGTGCTTTGCAAGCTCCGTATTGCCCTGCGCCACCACCGGCGCACGCCCCTTGCCCTTGACGGGCTCCTGGAAGCTCTGCACGGGTATCCACGAGATGCTCTTCACAGAGGGCACGGGGAACGCCTTCAGAATCTCCGTCGGGATCTCCGCCTCGTGCTCCTTCTTCGCTTCCTCGAGCACGCGCTCGCACTCCGCCAGCCCCGCGGGCCCGAGCACCGCCTTCTGCGCCGCGACGCGCGCCTTCTCCGCCTGCTCGAGCCTGTCCGCCATCTCGCCCGACGGCCGCCCGCGCACGACGACGCTCGGGGGGTCGACGTAGTACTTGCGCAGGACGCCGATCCACTGGTCGTTCGTCCACCGCTTGAGCTCCGCGTACTGGTTGATCTCGTCCATCGACGGCGCGAGGTCCGCGCCGTTCTCCGCGCCGTAGAGCGAGTCCGTGATCACGTTGCCCGAGAAGGTGTCGCCCTGCGAGGACTCGACCTTGCTGCGCAGCTGCCGCTCGTCGCGGTTGATGACCATCGCCATTCTACCCATGTCGAGCCCCTGCTCGGCGATCCGGCGCAGGCTCGCCTTCAGCTTCTCGTCGAATGTGTCGAGGTGCTCTGTCGGGATCGAGCCTACGTACACGGGCAGGTCGACGTACGTCGCGCGCGTGTCCTCGCCGAAGTAGATGTACGTGCACAGCGGGTTCTCGATCTCGACGAACTCCTTGTTCAGTGGCGCGACCGCAGATGAGGTCAAGTACGTTCCGAGGATGTCGAGGGCCTTGCGCTCGAGGAACGCGGTGGGTGGCGGGCCGAGGAAGCCGATTTGGAGCTCGCCGACGCTCTCGTCCTTCTCCGGGAACTCGACTGTCTCCTTGACCGTCGCCGCGATAGGCTTCCGCGCTGCACTCACGGTCTCGACGAATGGACGTTTCCAGCCTGGTGGCTTCGCGCCCTGGTTCTGCCCGTGCGCCACAATGCTGGGCTCGACCTGGTTTTGGACGACGTCGAGCAGGGACGCGGTGCCGGATGCGAGCTTGCCGGAGACGATGAGGGTGAGATTGTGCGGGACATAGTATGTGTGGTGGTATTTCCGGACTAGGCACGAGTGGGTCAGATGTTAAAAGTAGGACTGCAACATTCAAGAGCTTACTTTGCTCCACTGACAGTACGCGAAGAGCCTCCATGAGACCTCCGGTCTCGCTACGGTAGGCGCTACCTGGAGGATTCAGGAGTCGCTGCATCCTGTGGGATTTTATGAGTACGTGGCATCGCTGCTCCCGAATAGCCTGTACTGTACCGCAGCGCCATGAGGTCCCCGGACGTGTTCTCGCGGCCTTGCATCTCGCTGTAAACGACACCAGAATCTTCGCCCTGGCCATCTATGTGGTGAACCTACTGTTTTTAAGTCATGTGCCTTTTTCAATGTGCGAGATTGATTCTACCTCTGTAATGTAACCGGCCTTAGTAAGCGTGGGGTACAGGATGTGGTCGACGTAGATCGGAAGCAGCTGTAGGAAGCCCTGTTCTCCGGCAGTAGAAACGGTGTATGCAGTGTGGTCTGTGTCTGTCCAAGCATTTGTTCCATTTGAGAATCCGCGATTTGCCAAGTGGTCTATGATTCCCTTGTAAGGGTACTTCTCTGAGCCCATGAAGACAAGACTGTGTGGCGGTCAGTAGCCGCATGGAAGAATACCAATCCAATACGTACTGTTCTAGTGTGTGAGGGCATCCACTGTCATCGAAGACTATATTCGTGGTGAGTACACGCATGACATAGTGAGCGCCACAATAGCATGAACGCACTCTCGGTACCGACGACGAAATATCCGTTCACGAGGGGGGCTGGATATATATGAGTACACGTGGCGTAACATGTCCGTGTATTAAGCCGTACCATCGTAGTCCAGGTGCACCACAGAGAGACCAGAGGTTCGGCTCTTCCATTTGGACACATGAATGTCCGCAAAGTCTAGCTTGAACTTCTTGATGAGATCGAAGTTGCCGTGGGCCTCGAGTGGTTTTGCGTTCAGAGGGGCGCCATTGGCAAAAGTAGACATGCTAGAGCGGAAAGTGCGAGAGGCAGCCAATGGGCGGAATCCAGACGAGAGCGGAGCGCGTGCGGTGGTACGAGGGCAGGAGCGGAGGAGCCTGGATGTCTGGCTGGTGGCGGCGAAGAGACGGGAGAGATAGGGCATCCAGCAAGTGCGATCGCCTGATAGTAATCGGCGAGGACGCAGACGGAGATGAGAACCGAGTAGACCAGAATGGGTGGACGAGGGCAGGGTGCACGTACGACCAGACGCGCCCCGCGCAGGCGCCCATTCTATTTCTCGCACACGTGAGCCGCTTACTGGCGCCCTGACAGCATCGGCGCCTACAGCAGCACAGGTTGTGCGCGGCATCGCGCTTGCAGTGCGGTCCTCCACTTTCCTACCGGACCTAAGTAGACCTCCGGGTTCCTATAAGTACCTGCACACGTCCAAGTAGTGCGCCAAATCCTCCTCGAAGACATGACCCAATCAGCAGAGCCGCTCGTGGCTTACCTCGGGCCCCCGGGATCATATTCCCACCAGGTCTGTGCTTTCTCCGGACTAAAGTCCACGGTAGAACACGCGTGGCTTAACACTTCCATAGTGTGCACTCAGCAGGTTCGACACGCTCGTACAATACGCAGAACAGAGCAGTATACCAGGCACGCCAATCAGACTGTCATTTGCACGGTTCGGAAGTAGACTCATATTTTTGTAGATGTTTACCGCGCCGTCTCGGCCGATGTACCCTATGCTGTTATACCGCAAGAGAACAGTGTGTATGGCACCGTCATCGACACATATGACTCCTTGCGCAGCCCTTCTGCTGGCGAGTCCGTCTTCGTACGGGGGGAGCTCACTATCGCAGTGAAGCACTGCCTCGTCGTTCGCCGCGGTGTCCAACTGGAGGAGGTACAACGCGTCATGAGCCACGAGCAGGTCGATTTCTTCGTATATTGAGTCTATAGCGATGGTACTGAATGGTTTCCAGGCCCTCGGTCAGTGCTCGCGCTTCCTCACAGAGACGCTACCTGGCGTTCCGCGTGTGAAGGTGCCCTCAACGTCCGCCGCGGCGCAAAGCGTACTGTATTGCGGAGAGGACAGCGACGAGCCAGAGACTGCTGCCATTTGCTCGGCCGAATGTGCTGAGCTTTTCGACGGCCTCGAGGTCCTCCACAAGGACATCCAAAACGAGGCTTGTCAGTGGGCCCTTTTTCCCTCCGTTTGTTTGTCGCTCACGTCTCCATTTAGCTAACACAACACGGTTCTTCATCCTGGCCAATTCACCCGACTCCCCATTACCTGGCGGACCACGAGAGCCACGTCGCCAGCGGGCCCTTATCCGCATCGGAAACCCCCCTCACCAACAGCCTGCAGACGAGGCCCCCGTCCCCAACCGCCTGCTTCACACGATTACGAGCACGCTCATGACGACCTTTGGCTGCGCGGCGCTCCGCATAGACCGGAGGCCGTCTCTGACAGATGTGCCTTTTGATGACGTATACTTCGTCGAGGTGGGCGACGTGACTCTCCCGGTGCTGTCGGCGGCGGCGAGCAAGTGCGCTGAGGCGGAGTGGCTGGAGCGGGTGCAGGCAGGTGTTGACCGAATTCGCGCCGCTGGTGGGGAGGCTACGATTCTTGGTTTGTGGTAGTTGGAGGCCAGGTTAGACTAACAATAGTTAGAGGTCGCAAATATTGTATCCATTTTCTGGCAGCGATTAGACCTGAATAGAGGAATAGAGTGCGAGATGTATACCGTGAATTGGCGTCGGGATGGTGGCGTACCGCCGACGCTGCCGGATTGGGACAATTCTGAATAAGGGAATTCCCGTCCTACTTGTGCGCTCCCCGAGCACTTGAGCGCTTGCGAGTACCTTGCCGCAGACGTGCATCTGCACCATGGCCACAACCATCCCTCTCCCTGTCAGGGACATCATAAGTCCTCAATTCCACCAAAACAACTTCTCTGAGGAGGCATTCGTCAAGAACGAGCTCGGAATCAAGCTAGACAAGGGTGCGCACCGCAGCCCTCCCACCTCTCAGCCACTGACTAACATACACACGTCGCGCTCTCGCAGACGACCAGATATGCCGGCTCTCGCTCACGCCGACAGGGTGTCCTCTGGGCCCACAGCACTGTCCGCTACGACACACCACCCCATCGGTGCTGAACTTCCAGCCACCAAAGCAACTACCAACGCACCCCCGCGAGCGCGAGCGGCTCGCGACGGTGTGCAAGCACTGGCTGCGCGGGCTGTGCAAGAAGGGCGACGCCTGTGAGTTCCTGCACGAGTACAACCTCCGGCGCATGCCCGAGTGCTGGTGGTACGCCAAGTACGGGTACTGCTCCGCGGGCGACGAGTGTCTGTACGCGCACCCGAAGGAGCGCCGCGTGGAGTGCCCGGACTACAACAGAGGGTTCTGCAAGCTCGGTGCGTCTCTCTTCCCTTCTTCGTATGCGACCGTCTCTGTATGCTTGCGGCGTGCTCATGTGTTACTGGCTTGGCCGGTGCGCTCTGTGTATCCAGGTCCGACCTGCCCCCGAAAACATGTGCGACGGGTGGCATGTCAACTATATCTCACCGGCTTCTGTCCACTCGGACCCGACTGCCCCCGCGGCCAGTACGTTGTCCCCTCCCCTCTCTTCCCCGCCCAAACTCCACTGACGCGTCACCCTCCCACCCAGCCCCAAACCGGGCATCCCGCCTGCCAAGGCGTACGACCCGCCCGAACCGCCGTCGGTGCGCGACCTCGGGCCGCCGCCGCCAGGATACGGTAGGTATGCGGACTTCGACCGCAGCGGCGGCGGCAACTTCCCCGGGCCCCACCCGCCCGGGCTCGGGGGCTCCGGCGGGCCCCCAGGGCCAAGACGGAACTTGGAGGATGTGGTGTGCTACAAGGTGCGTGGTGTGCCATGGCGCCGATCGCCAGCGCAGAGGCGGGTGGGCTGACGATGTACGGGTAGTGCGGGGAGAAGGGCCACTACGCCAACCACTGCCGCCATCATGCGCACAAACCGTACAAGCGGTGAGGGAGGGCTGGGACCGGACTTCGGGTTACGGGAGCTTTGTGTCTGTACACTGCGTTGGTAGCTGTGCTTGTATTCTATTCTGTCTGTCTCCGTAATCGATGCCGTGTCCGAGTCCAGTCGATCATTCCCTGAACGAGACCGAGACGATGTCCGTTGAAAATTCGTCATTGTATTCCGATGTCTAGCTAGGCAAACGAAAGGGGTACTAAAACTACTAGAGCGTAAACAGCCAAAGAACATTCCAAAGTCCTGGTACGGCAGCACCCCGCGCGGCGAAGCACCCCGCCGCGCACCAACTGTCCACGCTAACGCCTACAAACGAACCGACTGAATGGGGCGGCGGCCCCGGAGAAGAACAACCCGGTGAACAAGCTTTTATACACAGTGGAGCGGGTCGCTGCTTGCTATTTATACAGTCCTTCCAAGCCAAAACAGAAGACCATAAGTCCGCGACAAGAAGCACAACGGGACCCGACGGGCGGGATGAGACAACAGGGACACCCAGCGCGAGGCGGCACCGGGCAACGCATTCTACGACTGTTCGAGGGGACCGACAGGTTTGGGAGAGAGAGAGATCGAGGCAAGGAGGGTTTATTGGTACGGACCCCCGTGCCCGTACGAGATCGAGTGCACGGCGGGTGTCGCCCAGCTGGAGAGAGAAGGAGCGGTGGGAGAGGAGGCGGAGGTGGCAGACATGGACCCGACGAGGCCCGTCATCGCCGTCGGCGAGTCCGACGTCGACTCGTACTGCGTGCTGTCCGGGAGCGGCGCCCCAGTTCCGTCCGTCGGCATCGTCTCCTTTGAGAAGACCCCGGCGTGCGAGAACGGGTAGAGAGGCACGCCGACCTCGAGCGGCTGCATCTGGGTAGTCATCCTGACGATTTCAGTCATCAGGCCCTGCAGGAGCTTCTCCTGCCGCGCTGCGGAAGATGCGTGTGTCAGCGCGGGAATGCAAGGAAGCGTAACGCCACCACGTACTGCCTATGGGAGACCGGCTTCCATAGTTGAGCATCGCGAAGCTGTGCGGGCGGTCATCTGTCAGTACAGTAGGTACAATACCGGATGTCAGGCGGCCTACCGAAGGGCGTTGATCTCCCCCCAGACCGTCTGCTCCCTGGCCGTGTCCCCAATCTCAATGAAGTACTTGCATAGCTGCGTTTGGACGACAGCGGCTAGATACCAGCAGATCTGGGACGTAAAGCCGTGAGATCTCGCGGATCTAGGGCCCGTGCATTATTGAACACTCACTGTCGCAAACGGATGCAGACGCGTGTGGTCAAGCGACGTCTCGGAGAGTCGGTAGTACGCCGCAAGGATGGACCTTGTGGCATGAATACACCGCCTCGTTGACAAGCTCGCCGAGTCGGAGAAGTTGAGATAGGGGTTGTGCAGGGTGATCGCGGCACTGCGGAGGCGTCATCTCAACTACGGGCCGTATCACATGAGACAGGCATGAGAACGTACGCGTGTGGAACGAGATGGACCATGTAGAGGTCGGTATCCAGGACACCGTCGCTAGTGATGTCGAGATGCTTAAACTCCAAAGGAAGACTCTGGAGAAAGTCCTGCGCGACCAGCCGATCCAGCTCCTTGAAGCCGGGGAGCACGAACGGGTTTTGGTTCTTCGACGGTGGAGCGTTGGCACGAAGGTTGCTGCGGGTGTTGTAATCCGTGACCTTGCCGAATATCATCACCGCCTTGAGGAAGAGGATGAATGAATCCGTGTACATGGGCGGATGCCGCACGAAGACGTCATCTGTGAACATGTCTTGTGGATTAGGGGGCACGTTTGCCTGGCGATACCCGTCAGCTGCGCACTGTCAACGGAGAGGTCAGAACTCACCCCAGCTTCGAAGTCAATGCGCCGGAGCGGAAGCTCCGTGCCAATATCCCGCTCATCTACGCCATGCAACCACCCTCCCACGGATACAATGCGGTCGAACATGACGGTCATCCACCACGTACGCCGCCGGCATTCCAAGTCCCTGCAGTCCTTCGGCGGCGCAAGATACGCGCCCGGGCTGCTTGCTCCGATTGCAGAGAAGGTCCCGGGATAGTTGAGCCGCAGTGGGACAGCTGCGCGCGTTTGGAAGCCCGCAAATATCCACACTTCCACCCACCGTCCCTCTTGATAGAAGTACCAAGATAGAATGATGCACGCTTGCATGACCGGGAAGATGTCCTGGCCAGTCGCCATCGTCCTGTCGATGAATGCCCGCGTTTTGCTGACATGGATGTCGGCAAACTTGTCCCTGCGTGTGCCGTCGGGCAGAGTCACTATCTCCTGAGACGCCCATCTGGACGCAGAAGCACACTGCGCGAAGCCTATGTCAACCTGAGTCCGAGTAGAGCAGCGCCTAACCTTACAATTGCATGCAGAATCGCCGGATGCGGATAGTTGGAATCTTTCGGGTGCAGGTGCATTGAGGCAAGGAAAGACGGCTTGTGCAAAACACGCGAGCCACAGGGGTCGCACTTGAAGAAAATGTCGATGCTGCGATGTACGGTGTTAGGACGCTGTGAGACCCAGCCGTAGCAACGCGTGGACGCACTAGTGATCCAGGGTGTCAGGGTCAGGGAGGTCGGGATCCCACCCCGCAAACAGCATGTCCATGAGGGGATCCGGCACAACATGCTGGTTACCATGCCTCAGTTCCGGGCTAGACGTGGAATTCCGCGCTAGTGAGCCGGTGCTGTCTGGTGAAAGATGATGAACGGCGTCCAAAGACGCATGTGGGAGGATGATGCCGCCGCCATTGGGGCTATGTTCAGGGGTTTGTCCACTCGACGACCCAGAGGCCATACGATGCCCGCCATGGTGGGAGATATGGGCACGTCGGGGGGACGCAGAACGCGAGTCGTAGTGCCGCTGCTCGTTGAGCTGGCTCTTCAGTTGCGCTGCAGCGGTGTTCGTACAACGTGGGACAGGAGTGGCAACGGCGTGAGCACTCACAAATCTGCTCCTCCAGCATATGTATCCTCTCGCTAGGCTCGACGTTTGGAGCAATTGGAAGGCCTTCTACGGGATCGTACGAGCATTGCGGCTCCGTCGGGTGCCTGGAGCCAGGGATAGTAAGAAGGGCGCGTCCCCAGGTACCCGGGCGTCCACTTACGCGTATCCTACGGGAGGGGGCACGCTGATGAGAGATTGCCATTGCCTGTACCGAGCATGAGTGCCGTAGCGGGGGGAATCAGGCACTGCGAACGTACTTGACGCAAGTGGTGCAGTGGGGTCGGGCAGCGTCGCATTTCTAGATCGGCGTCCATATTGGGACTCGCTCACTAAGTGGCAGACGCTAAGACACTTACGAGCTTCCTCTTCCTGCACGAGAGGCAGGCCTACAAGGGGATAAATTGGCGATGGTGAGCACTGTGCGGGGACGGCGGGGCGGGTATATGTGGGAGCGCAGTACCTGATTCCTGCGCAGCGCGGGGCGGGCGGAGGGGGGCGGGGCCTTGGGCATGCCGCCGGCTTGGCGAGAGAGAGGAAGTGGAGAGGACGAAAGGGGGGCCGATGGACGGAGAGCAGGAGGAGAGGGTGATGGCCCGCGCTACGGTATATAAGAACGCCAGGTGGGAAGAGAAAAGGGCGGTCGGGAACTTGCGAGCCCTTCGCGAGCGGCGTACGTACGCGGAAGGCGCCTCCCCCTCCTCCGCCCACCAGTCCCGTACGCCCCTCGTACCTCTCCTGGCCTCCTCTCCAGCTCCCTCCCCCCGGCGCACACCACGCGACAATGGCTGTGTAACCACCAGCGTCGCCTTGACGCCTTCCGGCGCTCTTCCGCGGCACTCAATTATCATCCCGGGCGTCTCCGACAAGGGCCTTACATACTTAGTCTGAGACAGCCTTCGAGGCAGATACACACCCCTTGGTCATTCTCGGGATAGCACTGGCAGGGGCATGGATGAGGTCAGACCGTGTGCGGCCCCTCGGCTGCGCAAGAAGCCCGCAATATTTGCGCCCTCGCTCTCACCCCGTCCGGACCCACAGTCAGGGGGTGCGTATCGCTGACGCCGCTCATCTGCCGCACCCACCGCTCGCACAGTTTTGACCCGGCTGCGTCCCCGTTAATATCATCGGCGGTGTACGCATGCGCGCTGATGCCCGCCGCACTGGGGAGATCCGCGCATTCAATCGCAGAGCACGCAGCACGCTTGAGCGACACCGTTTGGGCAAGCGCACTTCCAGTCCCTTCCATGGAGAATCGTGCACTCCAAGTCCCCAAACGTTCGTCGCCACGAGGATCCGGTTGTCAAACCGGACGCGAAGGTGGCTGCTTCGAGGCTGGTTGCGAGCAATCCCCGTTCTGGGACGGACGAGACTCGACGAGTTCCTCTCCGGTCCTGGCGGCAGCCCCTATAGTTACCGGGGGTTGAGCTTGAGACTAATTCACTCCAGCAAAATTCACAAGGGGCTTCTCCAGAGCTTCATCGAGTCTCCGACGTCGAAATACGCATGACACCTGTGAGAGTCGAGCAAGCACATGCTGGGAGTTGATGGCCTAATTTACCACTCACTCAGCGCCCCAGGACAGCTCCTGGCTGACAGGATGCGAATTCGAGCGCCCTGGTCACGTTCGGTGAGATTTCGCCTCAGTCAGCTCACCACCTTTCTTGACTGCGTAACCTGGCCTCGTTACGCTCGGAGCAGCTCGGACCGCGAGAACGGGTAACGGCTGTATTTGCGCGGTACCGTGAAAGAAAGAACTTTGCATAGCGTACACGTGCGGCGGTGTTACAAGTTGTTCGTTTGCTTCTCATTCATATCCGCCGTGGCGCGAACGGCGGTGTCTGAGCCCAAGCCGAGTATCGCCGCCTTCTTACGACCTGTGGGCGGTGGAGCAATGGGACATTAGCGCAGATTCAGAAGGAAGGTGGGTCAGCGGTTATCTCCCCGCGCTACTGGACTCACAGGACCGTAGCGACTATGCGTCTCGAGTGAGGCGCGTGTCTGAACTCTGTGAGATAGATGCCTGAGTTCGGGGACAACGCGACCGTTGATCGATCCGCGACAAGCCAAGCCCCGATGACCGACGGGGAGCCCGATGTCCGAGGCAATCGGGGCGACCGGCGGCGAGACGCAGATGCGGTTCGTCAAAGCCGCAGCGAAAATGGCGGGGAGAGTGATGAGAGAAGGTGTACAATAACGTTAGGCAATGCCGATATTGGAAATGACAGACAGACGTACCTTGCCACGTCCCTAAATTGAGGCGGCCATCCGTGATCGGGATGCAAAGCGATGTCCCTACGAGCGACGTTTTGGTGTGCGATGCGCTGCAGTGCGGGGAAATAGCGACATTTTGAGACAAACGCCGGGGAACCTCGTCAGGGTCTCGGTTACTGCGAGGTCGGCCGGCTACTGCACTCACGAGTCGCTGTTTCGAGTGCCGCGTTGAAACAAAATAAATTAGCAGCGGTGCTAATGCTGAGTGTGCTCGCACCATGTGTACTCACTCAGGACCTTCGTCGGTGTGCAGCCAGTTCAGGTCCTCTGGAACAATCTTGTCCAGCGCCATGTCCATGTCTACCGGCGAATAAACAATTAGACCGTTCCAACCGGGCGGTGGAGTGCCGCGGTAGGTCGTCGAAATTTCTCACCTCGCCGGACATCTGTGTTTCACGGGAGTTAGCAATCGGCGTGTGGGCGCGTATGGGAGGTGGCTATACCTCGATCGAAGTTCTCATTGATTGTGAGCGCTGCAGAGGTGTGCTGGCTATAATCCGTGCCGTGAGCAATTAGCACACACCCACGGCGCCGCGGTCATTGCATCGGGTAGTTTGAACGGCAACTCACATGAACAGGTACAGCACGCCGACCTGTGAAAAGATGACGAGTCAGTGATTGAGTTCTCCGCCTTTGTCAATGCACAAAAACGAGGAGTCGGTGAGGCGTCGGAATAATATCGAGCCGTCAGAACAGAAGAGGCGGTCGCACCGCAACGCGGGCTACTAGAAGGCTATCGGACTGCTCACGCGCACATCGCGCAGGGGGGTCTGGAGGCTGGAGTTACCACAGAGACTGATAGAAGGTGATGCCGACCTGGACGCCCCGCAAGCCCGCGTCGATCTGGGTGAGCACCTCGTCGGTTACGAGGTGGCAGCCCTTGCTCCGGCGCGCTAGTGTGAACGTCTTCTGCCAGCCCATGGCGTCGTCGTGGGTATCCCGAGGAGTTCAGAGCCAAGAACGCACGGAGGCCCGACGATCGAGAAGGCCGCGATCAAACCACGCCGGCCAGATTCGATTCCGATCAGCGTGTACACACACCCCTACTTTAGGGGTATGATGTCATTCCCGCGATCACTCCACACTCGCCGCCCACTTCGTACCTAGTTCAGCGTTCAGTAGAAAGCTCACGACACGGGAACTGCACGGGAAGCTAGCAAACATACTTCACATGTAGAACAGTATTGCGCTAGTAGCAGCTAGAGTATGTCCTATAATCTGTGCCACTTTACACCCGATAGGTATGCTGCGCAAGCTCCACTACCCTCATCAGTCGCTACATTGACCGAGACTAGCCCATTACCCCAGCACAGTCCCGGCCCTGCAAGCTTTTACGCGCTCTCTCGGATAAACGCTTCCGAGGGTAATGAACGGCGACTTGAGTCGATCAGGGATAATCTTGGCTTACGGGACGCTGAACGGGGCCGGGTATTTTCGCGATGCATGGACCGGACTGACACAGCTGCCTCGAGGTCGCCGCTAACGTGGGTGCAGACGGGTGTCCGATGGAAGACATGGCATGCAGGAGACAGCCTAGGCTGAGCGGCGGCGTCCGCACCGGGAATGGCACGAATTGGAAACTATCGGGGGAACACGCTGGCATGTAAGCGTACTCTCTCCTTGCATGAATGTGTGGGTAAATAGCACTGCAGCATGGTCTGCTTGAGCATTCCTCCACTTCCAATCCTATGTTTAAACGTCTAGCCCACCGGGTCAGCACAACGTTACAAATTGCAGGCAAACACGACCGGAAGGCTGACGCACCATATCTTACACACCGCCCAGCACACGAGCCAGCGAGATGACAGTTAAATCCGAAGATCGTGTCCTGGCTCACGAGGCTTGCGCTACCTTTCTCTCGGCCTCCAGGATGGCATCAAACTCTGCCTGCGCCTGGGCACGGGGGTCCTCGTCCTCGGCAGACTCGTTCTGTTGGACACGTCCGGCGGTACGCTGGCGTTCGTGACGCTGGCGCAGCTCATCCCACGAAGAGCGCCTGCCGTTGTTCCGCGCGTTGGCTTCCCTAATAGCGTCCCATGTACTTTTCTGACGGACGGCGGGTTCCTGGGACGCTACGGGCAAATGGGCGCGTAAATGTCCCCTCGCAACATTCGCCTCGCGGGTGACATACCATTTGAAGACGACGGCGTGCCCGTCGAGGCTGTACTATCCGCGGAGTCGCCGAAGTCGGATACAATTTCTATACCGCCGTCTAGGATCTCGCCGTTCTGCTCCCTCTGCTTCTTGATCCTGTCCATGATCCGATCCCTGTCGACCTGTGGGAAGAGGGGGGCGGCATTGCCGAGGCGTCTGTTGACATTATCGAGGGCAACCAGGAAGGCTTCCCGGTCATCGAGCTGGCGGGCGAAGCGTTTGTGCTCGCGGATGTAGTGGACGAGTCCGGCGCCGTAGCCTGTAGAGGCGGAGATGGCGACTATGGTGGGCGAAAAGCGGACTTTGGGCTTGAACCGCCAGACAGCAAGACCGGCGAGGGCGCCCCAGGCGGCAGTGTGGAGGTACTGAGCGAGAATACATATCAAGACAGAGGGCGCCGCAGCGGAGGAGGGAGACGCACGGGGAGGTAGCGGACGGGACCGGGGAGGAAGTCGACTGCGAGGGCGTAGTCATGCTGGGAGAGGAGACCGGACTCGAGGTCTGGGCGGAGGAGGAGCTCTGCGTCTGCGCGCGAGCCGAAGGCGTGGTCGAACCAGCTCTTGGACATTGGGACGGCGCGGTGGGCGGAGGAAGGAGGAGGGCGGGTGGGAGACGCGTCGGCGCGGCTGCTCATTGGATCGCGTCTTTGCACGTGACTGTGTCTGGGCCATAGGAACGTGCAAGCAGAGGAAGCGAGGGCCTCTGCAAGGACGTCCTGACACTGACCGCCGCCTGTCCACTCGGAGGGCCTGCTGCCGCCAAGGTACAGAACACTCCCAACCGCCGGCGCGCCCACCCGTCCCCCTCCTCGTTGTCCGCTTCGCTCCTCGTCTTTCCTTCCTCCATCTACCCGCCCTCGCGCGTACACGCTCCTTCACGACCGACTCCCCCATGGCCGTCCCGGACGTCGCTGCAAAGCCCCTTCCGCCGCCCGCCAAGGACGAAAAGCTGCCCTCTATACCACCGCTCGACTTCGACGACCGTGTCCTGCCAGCGACACCCCCAAAGATTGTTCATGATCCTGCCCCCGACGTCCCTCCAACTCACAAGCCGCTGCCCCCCATCGATGTCAAGGCTTCTCTTGGCACCTCCGACCTCTGTGCGTATCCTCTCTTTTCCTGCCACGCCTCGCGTCTTGACTGTACTGTCATCCCAAAGCTCTCGGTTCTGCTCCCCTCACGCCCATAACACCTGCTCCGGGGTCGCTACCGTCCATCCCCCCTTCGCCCTCTTCCGAAGGCAGATCGAAGAAGGCCAACCCGCTCACAGACCTGATTGACACCGAGAAGGTATATGTGGATCTACTCACAGGAATCATCCGCGTACGTCCTCGGTGTCCTTCTATTCCTCCTCCCGTGCCGTAACACCAATCCCATTTCCGCGTATGCAGAAAGTCGCCGCGGCATGGTCGCGCTCCAATCTCCCACCGCCCGAATTGGATACCATGTTTAGAAGCATAGAGAGCATCTACAAAGCCAATCGCGCCTTGCTTGGGGTGCGTTCATCTCCGTCCGTACCCTCACACTAGATCTCACAGTCGACGGCCGCTATAGAAACTCAAGGAAATCGGCACCAACCCCTCCTCGCCCAAGGCGCTCGGTGATCTGCTCATGCGATGGGTCAGTGGGCCTTCCCAGCAATTCCATGCGTGCTAACAATAATGCGCCATTAGATCGACGATCTGGACGGCCCCTACACCAACTATGTCGCGAAGTTCTGCGGCGGCTTCGACACCTGGGATCCCGTCCAGTCCAACGCGCGCGTCCGCACCATCCTCGCGATGTTTTCGTCGTCCAATCCTCCGCCACTACCCGCGACCGCGCCGGCACATCCATCAGAGCCGCCTATTTGGACCCTTGATGAGCTGTTCCTGTTACCCAGGCGCCGCATCAAGTATTACAAGAAGCTGTACGGTCGTCTACTGAAGAGCACCACCCCTGGGCGCAGTGACCACCGGTTGCTGAGCGGCGCGCTTGACAAGCTTGACAAGCTCTTGGTGACCCTCGACGCCCGCACGGAGGTACGCGTCGGAGGCGGCGCTCCGCCGCCTGTTGCCGCGGTATCACCACCGCCCATTGAAACCGAGGATGAAGTCGTGATTGACATGCGTATGCGTCAAAGCACGCTGGTCCCTCAGCCGCGCGAGCCGTCTACCATCAGCGTATCGCCTTCCCAGCGTGCGAGTGATTCTACCCGTGCAAGTGGAAGCCTTTCGAGCAGGTCAGTACTCGACCTTCAATTACTTGGGCGTACGTGCTCATCTTGGATGAGTAGTGGGAGAAGGTCGGAGGACACTGCCCCAACCACGGATAGCAGGGATTCGACCTCGACACTCAATGCGCCAGTTACGGACCTCGAGCGGCGCCTTTCTACTGAACGTACGTTAGATATCTTCTCGATGAAGCCCAAGGTACGTCATAGTTCACTGGATGATTGGGCTATCTTATTGATCGAGGCACACTCGTTCACAGCAAGTCCGGCTACAAATAGCCCCTCCGAACCTACATTATACCCGAGAGCTGCGCTGCTCTACCCCGGTAGTGATCTCCTTCACGCCGCATGCGACAGGGATCGAGGTTGTTCAGGAACGTGGGCATATACTTCTGCTCACCGACCTCATGCTCGTATGCGAGCGCATGTCTGAGAAGGAGAGGGAGGTCGCAGGTCGCGATGGACCAGACATGTGGCTGCTATACCCGCCTCTCACTGGCAAACATCTGCGCGTAGCGCCCGTAGATGGTGAGTCCCGTCAGGCACATAGCAGCTCCATCGGTACTGATCATACGCGGGCCCGCCAGATTATTCGCTGTCCGTCACCATCTTACGCAAGGAGTCGTTAATTCTACGCACGGACTCCACGTCCGCCCGCGACCGGCTCATCACGGATTTCAGGGAATGCATTGACACAGCATCCAACCGTGCGTAATCCCTGCCGACCTTGTAAGCGACAAGACAGACGGACTGACCTCTCTTCAGTGCTCCCTCCATCTAAAGGCCCTCCGCCGCCAGTCCCTGCGTTACCATCTCCGGTAAACAACATGGGCAACATTGCATCAAGACCGCCGATAGCTCCGCGCGACCGAAGCCAGACGTCCTCGGAGGTTCCGTCCGAACGGTCCAGCGCGAGCATGAGCCCTTCGCGCGCTTTGTCCCCCGCCAGCGTCACTTCCTCGCGTCGCTCCAACGATCCGATGTCGGGTCCGCCGTCACGAGCCAACTCCGCGTCGATGGCGCTCGCCGACGCCGCCCTCTCAGGAAGCTTGTCGAGGATGGACATGGGCGGTCCTGTCCAGCAGGGATACCCCCAGCGCTCAACGTCGGTGAACTCGGGTGGCGGCCCTCCGCCATCCTTTGGCCCCGGCCAGGTTATGCCGCCTCAGAATTTCGGCCCAGGGCAGACCATGCCGCCACGGGGACCTGTTGGACCAGGACAGATGATGCCGCCACAATCCTTCCAGCCAGGCCAGGTCATGCCTCCACAACAGTATGGTCCTGGTCCGGGCATGCCGATGAATGGTCCTGGTGGAATGGGGCGTCCACCGCCCTCTGCATACGGCCAGCCAATGCCGCCACAACGCAACCCGAGCTTGACACACGGTCCGCCCCAGGTCGGGCAGTCGTATCAGGGAGGGCCGCCACAAGTTGGGCAATCGTACCAAGGAATGCCGCCACAGCAACGCGGGCCACCGCAAGGGTTTGCGCCCGGTCCTCGACCAGGCATGGGGCCCGGTTCATACCCGCCGCCCCGCCCGCCTTCCGAGCCTGCCTACGAGAGTGGTCTGCGGCACTCACCCTCAGGGCGCTCGCTCGCGTCGCAGTACGATCGACAGCAGCAGTTCTCGTCTCCTCCGCCGATGCCGGGCTACCCTGGCGATCTGCCCCCGCCCCGTCCCGGCTTCCTACCGAGGAGCGACTCTTCTAGCTCGCTCCCGTCCATGCCGAGCGCAGGGCTGCATGCACCGCAACCCCGCACGCTGCTGCCCTCCGCGCAGATCAGCATGCGTTCTGTGTCGACCGCGGGGTCGTTTTCGATCGAGGAGCCGAGTCCGCCTGGGTCGCCTGTGGAGGCAGCGCGCCCGACGGGCCCGGTGACCTCTGTGATCTCCGCGCAGATGAAGTGCAAGGTGTTCCTGAAGCGCGAGCACGCGCAGTGGAAGTCCTTGGGCAGCGCGCGCCTGCGGCTGTACCGCGAGGACCCGACGAACATCAAGCAGCTCGTCGTCGAGGCGGACGACAAGAACAAGACGGTGCTCATCTCGACGATCGTGCTCACGGACGGCGTCGAGCGCGTCGGGAAGACCGGCATCGCGATCGAGCTCAGCGACAAGGGCCTCCGCACGGGCATCGTGTACATGCTGCAGCTCCGGAACGAGAAGAGCGCGAGCGGGCTGTTCGACGAGCTCCTCGCCGGCTCGGATCGCGCGGCGCGGTAGACCGCTGCGCACGTCTCTCACACCGTTCACTTAGGACACATGCGAGGTAGCGCGGACTCGCGGCTCTTGGTTTGGCTTCTCTTTCGGTCGTTCCGATAATCTCACTTCACGCTGGACCCGTTTCCATACCACGCACACATCCTAGCTGGATCGTTCGGCCCCTCCACTGATTGTTTCACCCCCGTCTCGTCGTCGCAGTCCACGCCCACATTACCCTAGCCTCGTCTATTAGCATATATCTCTCCGTCTCCCTCGTTCCTCTCCTTCGCTCTTCACACGGCTGTAGCCCCCAATGCTCCCCAACCTCTAATCGAATTGCGTGCATACGGCGCGTGCATGAGCTCTACATAGTAACAGAGACTGTATAGATCTATAGCGGCGCCCAGTGCAGCTCCGCCGCGAGTGAGATGTGGTCGCTCCCGCAGACGCCCTTGCGCGGCAGGCCCTCTCCAAACGCCTCTTTGCGGTGCGGTTTCGCGAGGCCCAAGATCGAAACGTCCCGCCCGGGGGCGTCGAGAACGAAGATGTAGTCTGTTGGTCACGAACTGCATCAGCGCGTGCGGGCTTCGATGTGGGTGCAAATCCTGTACCTAAAACCGATTGCCAGTACTGCAACGCTTCTCAGCCACGGAATATTTGAAAAGGGCAAAGGAAGTGATGGCGTACGTGTGTGTAGCTCGTGTAGATGGGCTCAAACGCACCGCGGCGCTCTTTGGGCACGGCCGCCCTGCTCCCAAACACGAGCGCGCTCTCCGAGATGCCCGGGACGAGCCTTTGGCCAGCATCGTATGCACTGGTCACTCTGCCGGATTGGGTGAAGAGGTCCGCGAGCTCGGTGTCCGTTAGGAGGCCGTCGGACGGTCGTGCAGTGCGGGCGTTGGCGATGACTCTGTCCGGATCGTTTTCGCCTGTTTCGCCGCCCTCTTCCTCCTCTTCGACTGGGCCGGCGCCATCTGCAGGCACGGTGGGGTCAATCGTCTTGTGTACAACGCACGAGTACTCTAGCCGCTTCTTCTGCTCGGGGAGGAGCGGCTCGCCCATGAGCAGCGCATACGCGGGGTCGTCCGGCCCAAAGTTAAAGTCTGAGCAGGCATCAGGACACATCGACCACAGTCCTCACTTGGAAGCTCTGCTCACCGCCGGCGATGATGGATGGCCAACGCTGTTGAGGCTCTGGGCCCTCACCGCGGAACTTGGCAACTTCTCGTAGCAAGATGGCCGCTTGCCTAGTTAACGTTCAAACACAGTAAGCCTTCTATTCGACCCTCGCTGAGTCTGGACCCCCTACCTCGCCCGCTCGTAAGTATACCTAACGACGAGTGTCAGCGCAGGGTCCGATAACGCAATCTAGCTCCCACATACGCCGGGTGCCAGAACAGATGCGTCGTCGCGACGATCACGCCGTCGCCGTCTGCGCGCAGACTCCGAAGCGCAACCAGCGAGCCGATGTTCTTGGTGCGGAAGCTCGAGCCCCGCCGCGCTTCTTCCGTGTCCGCGTCGCGCACGTCTTCCTCGTCGTACGCGACCATGCGGCGGCGCACGCACTCGTACGCGTCTTTGCGGAACGCGATGAGGCACCCGTGCTTCTTGCGCGGACCGGCGGCGAACACCCAGTCGTACCCCGCCTTTTCGAGCTCGGGGAACAGTTTGTCTGTCCTGTCTACTTCCTGTGTATGTATGGGATGCACGCGTGAGCAGGAACGCTACGATCAGGGTAACGCGACGCGCCTGTAGACAGCAGATGTCTGCCTTGTGGGACACCAGCTCGCGATAGATCATATGCTCCCGTTGGCTCGCCTTCAGGCAGTCGCTCGTAGGAAACATCGATCGTCCTATTATCAAAAGGAGTTGAAAAGGACACAGCGCGAAACACTGCACTGCGAAACTCACGGACAAGCGTTTGAGCCAGGAGCTAGGATGATTGAACCGCGTCATGAGCCCGCACACGAAGCAATAGGTACTGTACCGACATTCCAAGACATCACGCGGATGTTCTGCCCAGCAGAGGGTGCTGCCCCTTGAGTGAGGTCTACCCATTCGCGGGGCAGGATGTTGCCCCGCTCGTCTTCCATGATGGATAATTTGGCCGGTGCGGGGTTGCTCCTGGCTTGTTCCTTTTTCAGGCGGCGTTCCTCCGCCTTGGCGAGGTCTTCAGCTGTAGGCTGGTATACTCTGGACATGGTGCAAAGGTAGTTCGGAGATCGGGGAAGAAGTTGAACACCCAGGACGCGTCGAGTCCTGCTGGTGTAATGAGGCGTGTTATGCCGCAGCCACAATGGTCTGTGGAGACCGCGGATGAACTCGGATGCCTTCAGGTTTAGCAAGCAATCGCGTCCGTCTGGCTGCGGCACCAGATTTCCGAGGCACCAAGGTGTTTGTACGGAATGAGCGTAGAGTCACAACAGAGACACGGATGTTGCACGGAGTGAGGAAGCGGATCCGAAGTACTTCGCGTCTTTCGGATCACATGATAGCACCGAGGACGCGTTTTGTCTATGCATTTTGAAGAAATCACATCTTACAGGCCATTGAGAGCAAAGTTACATGACGCGGGGAATAGGCATGGGGGCAACGCGCCCGGGATGCAGGATGGCCTGTACAAATGAAATATGATATCCTCTGAAGACGCTAGCTAGAACGAACACTGAAAATACGGGCAGACGTGAACGACCCAAAGTGCCCGCAAGCCCCGTATGGAATTAGAAAGGGAAACACACCACGGACTCACAGTATCCCTAGGTGGCGGAAGTGAGATGCATGGCGCGAACGGACGGGACATACACAAGTCGTAAATGGTTGCAAGATCGTAAATGGTATGATGATAGTCGTACTGGCAAGTCATGGCTCTGCATAACCCTTGCAGAGCTCAAGCGATGATGCACTTGGAGCCCTTGCTCCCCTTCTTGGTGGGTTGCGGAGGGGGGTTCACTGCAATGCGGACATGCAATCAGGGCTGGAGGCATCGATAGTTGGATTACACAGGTACTCACGGACTGCGCGGATAGCCTCGTCAAAGACGGTCTTGAGACCTTTCTGGGTAAGGGCAGAGCACTCCAAGTACTTGACGGCACCGATGTCGCGCGACATCTGGACGCCCTGAGAGTATTGAATGGGCGCCATCCGACTGTCATCACACTGTGAGTCTAGCCCCCATCACGCGATAAAATGGAAGCACATACCGGTCCCTCAGCTTCTCAATCGTCGCAGGGTCCTCGCGCAAATCCAGCTTCGTCCCTACCAAGACTATGGACGTTGAGGGCGCGTGGTGCGAAATCTCGGGATACCACTTGAAACAATCAGAGCGAGCGGTCAGGATCAAATACCCGGTGTTGGCCTGTGCACGCCACGTACCTTGGTCCGGACGTTCTCGAAACTGGGGGGACTGACGAGGGAGAAGCAGATGAGGAACACGTCCGTCTGGGGGTAGGACAGCGGGCGGAGACGGTCGTAATCCTCCTGACCAGCCGTATCCCAGAGACCGAGGGAAATGGTCTTGCCATCGACCATGACATTTGCCGAGTAGTTATCGAATACTGTGGTGGGAGTCCGTTACAGCCGTGCCCGATATCTTCCGGACAGCGTGTGTACTCACCAGTGGGGATATACTCTCCCTAATCACAGGCGGGGTCAACAAGGCGCTCGAGTGAGCAGCAGAAGCACGTACGGGGAAGGCATTGGTGGTGTATGAGATGAGAAGACAGGTCTACGGTCGTCGAATGGTGAGCTGGGGGCCTCGTTGCTTCACTCGGGAGCGTACTCGCCTTTCCCACAGCACCATCTCCTACAACAACACCTGACTGCGTGTCAGCACACGAGGCGCAGGGCGCGGCGGCGGAGGGGCGACTCACATTTAATGGCCTGCATTCTGTGTATTTAGAGTCGTCTAAGAGAACTCTGGTTTCGTGGCGGGGGATATCTTGGTGGAGGGGCGAAAGAGGGAGTTGCAGGGCGAGGGTCGGACAGGCAGTGACGACGGGTATGGCAACGCGGGTGAGATAACCGGCCGTGTGGGACGAGGGGGGAGATGGGTGCGTTACCTGGCGAGATACAAGAGGAAGAAGGCCCGGCGTAAGAAATGTGGAGTAGGAGAGTGAGGAGGAAGAGGACAGGAGGGAAGATTGGCTGTAGGCTGTACTGATGGTCTTTACGATGTTGGTTCTACGCCAAAGTAACCATATCCGAAATGATCGTCCTCTCTCTCACGTGCGGGCCCCCACATCCCGTCCCTCCTTCGTGTTCTCGTGCACGCACTCTGTCGCCGACGAGCAGTCGCCCCAGAAATATACATCGGCCTTCCTGCGCTGCGCAGGATGCCTGTCAAGCGAAGCACACACACACCGCCCAATTTGAACGCGTCTACGCCCGCAGGACAAGACGCTTCCATCGGACGTTCCTGCGCCCGGACCCTACCTTCCCGGCTGATGCATATCGCGCTCGAGAGTCTCATGTGAGAGCCACTGCGTCCTCAACGCCACTCCACAACGGCTTGGTCTGCCCCGGCGCCCGAGCGCATCGATGGACGAACGCATGATGCATTCTCCGTATGTTCGTACGCGATGCTGTTATCAAGATGGAGGCTGCTGCTCTCGTCGGACGCGTCCTGCTAAGGATAAAGATATGTGGCCGGCCGCAGGAACCACTTCGCTCGTGTTCGCACGTACGCCGGACTATGGCAGAGGCGTCAATGTGCTGTGAGCCAATGACATCGACGGTCAACCAGTCTACTAATAGCTAGTTATTAGGCCGACTGCCCAGCGCGTCGATCGCTGAACTCCTCCACCATCTGCTCAACTTTCACCATGTTTGAACGGCCTATGCCCCGCCTCTTCCTCATCCGTCATGGTATGGAGTCGCGTTGCCTCCACAATCATCTGATGTACTCACCCGGAGGGTGCTCCAGGACAGACGGAGTGGTCACTCAACGGGTGAGTTTGTCGCACGCAAAGATACGCGTCATGTTCCTGTCTAACTGATACACCGCTCTTGACAGTCGTCACGTACGTCGCGCTGTGGAACCTTGCCATATGTATGTGGCACTGACGCGACCGATCTCATCAGACCGGCCGTACGGACATTCCTCTCACTGCTGAGGGTGAACGGGAAGCTGCTGAAGGCGCTCGTGTCCTAGTTGGCGAAGGAAGTTAGTACTCACGAGCATATGACGTTAATCATCAACTCACAAGTCGTAACTTAGAGATCATCGACCCCAAGAACATTTGCACAGTGTTCGTGTCGCCTAGGATCCGTGCTCACAGAACGTTCCACCTGCTCTTCGATCATCTCCCGGAAATCCCACATCATGTCAACACGGAAGAAGTGAGGGAGTGGGACTACGGAGAGTACGAAGGCCTCCGCCCTGCAGAGATCAAAGAACGGAACCCGACCTGGACTATCTGGAAGGACGGGTGAGTGTCATGCTGCGATCGCATTGCGTCGTCAATCTGAAACGCTTGCCAGTTGCCCTGGAGGCGAAAGCACTGAGGAGATGTGCCACCGCGTTGATACCGTCATCGGCAAGGTTAGGCCAGGCCCCTCATAGCAGTCGCCGCAATGCGTTAATGATCGACAGGTCCGCGAGCATCACCGCGCATGGAAGGAGGAGGGCAAGGGCTCTCGCGACGTAGTGATTGTTGCTCATGGCCATTTCAACCGCGTCTTTATTTCGCGCTGGATCAACTTCCCGCTGTCTCTTGGTGAGTCGACCGACGCTGCGCAAAAGTCGTGTCATTCTCACAGAAACTCGATTAGGGACGCACTTCAACGTGGAGCCTGCTGGTGTAAGTGCTAAGTTACAAAACACTTCAGATAGACTCTAAATGCTACTTCACTAGATTGCTATCCTCGGATATAACCACAACAACCTTGCAGAGCCCGCGCTCAACGCGCTCAACTTGTACGCGAAGCCCCAATAATAGATGTCGTGTTGGCTAGTAGATGCGTTATACCTGAGATGTATCCAGAGACGAATGTTGTACGGTTTTGTGTGTTAAACAATGAACAAAGAGCGGTCGGATATCGTACGGTGGGACGGGATGAGTGGTCCGCGCCAGAGCCGGCAGGGCGGACGCGTCGGGGTATACGCGCCTGTAAACTTGTGTTATTGTTTGCTTGCCCGCCCCGGGTCTATCACAAACTCCCATCCTGTGGTGATCCCACTCTGCGCACTGTGCTTCCTGCACAGTTTCTTCTTCTCTACTCTTACTGAACTACCCTAATGGCCGACGTCGCACCTCAAGAGGTCCCCGTACACGAGCCTCAGCCCCAGGAGGACGAGGTGCTGTCCGAAGGATCCGGCGCGGTGGAGGCGACCCACCCTGAGACGGACGGAGAACACGAGGCCTCTGACGTGGTCGACGCAGCTTCGGAAAGCGGCCCTGCGGAGAGCGTGACGGAGGAAAAGCCCGCTGAGGTTGCCACGAATGGGGAGAAGGACGCCGAGCCTGCTGCTGCCGCCGACATGCCTATCGAGGACGCGAAACCGGCCGCGTCTCCCCCCACCTCCCCGCGGAAGATTAAAGCAAAGCCCTCCATCAACTTCAAGCCCCCGGCCGGGAAGCCTGCAGCGGGTCCGCCGACGCCGCTGGTGAAGAAGGTACGTGTCATCTCCGGGCGCGCCTCGATGAAACCCGCCTGCGCCAGGCATGCTCAATCTATGAACGCCACGCACAGATCATCAACTCGGGCACGTTTGGGTCTGGCGCGGTCAAGGCTGCACCCACCGCAGCGAAGACCACTGCTACTGCCGCGCCTGCCAGGACACCGTCTGCGACCACCGCACTCAAGAAGAGCGTCAGTGCTGGCGCGCCCCCTGCAAAGTCCTCCGCTGCTGCCGCGTCGAAAGCCATGCCCCCGCCCCCGTCGAGACAGAACTCGAGCGCTGTCGCGCCCCCCGCGACGGCCCCGGTGAGACGTCAGTCTATCGCTCCCAGGGCGCCGACCGCTGGTATTGCTGCCGGCAGAACACCGCTGGCATCCTCCACCTCAGCCAAGCCCCCACCTGCTCGTACCGCCACTGCTACTCCCGATTCCACCACTGGGCTCAAGTCTTCGACGACTGCTCGTCCGCGCGCCTCGGTCTCCGAGGGCGTGAAGCGGACGGTTTCTGGCACTGTCAGGCCTGGTGCCGCCGCTCCTGGCACTGCCAGGCCTCCGAGCACGGCTTCTACTCGGGCTACGAGGACACCTGGAAGTCAGTCCATTTCATCCATTAAGGAAGTTCGGGACGACAGCAAGGCGGTCACGGAGCTCCAGAGCAAGGTATGTTCTCTACTTGCTAATCACACACAGTCTATTCAAGCCTTCGGTACAGCTCGATGGTGCCAACACTGCGCTCAGCTCCAAGACGGAGGCCATTTCCGGCCTTGAGAGTGAAGTGGAGACCCTGAAGGCTTCCCTCCAAGCGGCCCAGGAGGACGTCGAGGCCAAGGCGTCTGCCATAGCCGAGCTTGAGGCCGCTAAGGCGAAGGCAGAGGAGGAGCTCGCCGCGATCCGTGCGACTCTGGAGCAGCTCCAGTCCGAGCAGTCCGGTGATTCCGCACAAATTGAGGCTGTCCGTGCAGAGGTAAGCATATTTGACGTAACGGAGGGCGCGCCGTTGACAGTACGTGCACAGCTCGAGGCATCGAAGGCCGCCAATGCCGCTCAGGCGGAGCTTGTCGCTTCTCTGCAGGCGCAGCTTGACGTACTCCAGGCAGAGGTCACCGCGGCGAAGGAGAACCTCGAGGCCATCCGTGCCTCGGGCGACGCTTCTGCGGCGGCCGCTGCGGCGGCGGAGGCCGAGCACGCCGCGCTCCTGCAGGCGAAGGCTGACCTCGAAGCCATCAAGACGGAGACAGACGCGCTCAAGGCTGAGCAGGACCAGGCTCTCGCGGCTGCGGAGGCGAAGATCCAGGCGCTCGAGGAGAAGAGCTCCCGCGTCGACACGCTTCTCTCTGAAATCGACGAGCTGAAGCGCGAGAATGAGGAGAAGGCGAACAAGGTCTCGGAGCTCGAGGTGGAGATCCTGGAGCTGAAGGACGACCAGGAGTCTTCAGGGGACGAGCACTCGAAGGCGCTCGCGCGTCTCCAGTCGCTTGAGGAGGAACTCGCGAAGTCTGTCGCCGCCGCTCAGCAGGCTCTCGAAGAAGCCCAGGCCAAGGAGGCCGCGTTTACTTCCCAGTGCGAGGAGACCTCGAAGGCTCATTCAGAACAGCTCGAGAAGGCTGCGGCGGAGTACGCTGAGCTGCAGACGAAGCTCAGTGCTCTGGAATCCGAGTTGGCTCAGGCCATCGCGGCAAACGAGCAAGCGAAGGCGGATGCTGCCGCCACAGCTGAGACGCATCAAGGCCAACTTGCGGAAGCTGAGAAGGTCCGTCTGGAGGCTGAGGCGAAGCTGTCGGAGGACATCGCAAGGATCACCGCTGAGCTAGAGGTATGTGCTCTCTATCACTTCGCAACACCCGTACTTACATTATCGCAGAGCCAAGAGGCAAAGTACAATGAGAAGATCGACGCTGTCAAGGCTGAGCACGATCAACTCCTTCAAGAGGCATTCGAACGTGCAAAGGTCAGACCATGGATGTATTTGCGTCTCACTACGGATGCTAACCCTGCGCAGAACGAGGCCGGCGACGTTCACAGCCAGGATCTCCAGAAGCTTCGTGCTGAATCTCAGGCCGCCATTGAGCAGCTTCGTGTCGCTCACCAGCACACCATCGGTGAGCTCCAGGCTGAGCACCAGGCTGCGCTTGAGGACCAAGTCAAAGCGCTCGAGAAGCAGCTGGCGAACCAAGGTCTTGAGTTGAAGGCTACCCAGGAGGACCTCGCAAAGGCGAAGTCTGCTGTCGCTGCCGTCAACCAGGAGCTGGAGTCGACTAAGGCGCAGCTCGAGGAGGCACGGACGCTCGTGGCGTCCATGGACAAGTCTGACAAGGACGAGGTTATCGCGCATCTCAGCCGCGACCTGGCCAACCTCCGCGAGGACCACGCGTCGCTCAACGAGATGTTCCTCGCCACGAAGGGCTCGCTCGGGGAAATGGCGGACAACCACGTGAAGGAGCTCGAGGAGGCCGCCAAGACGCGCGCGGAGGAGGCCACTAAGCTCCGTGCTGCTCACCAGGAGGAAGTCTCCGCGCTCTCGAAGGAGAAGTCGCAGCTGCTCACGCGGCTGTCTGACCTCGAGGGTGAGCTTGCCACGGCGAAGGCCACGCTTTCTTCGGGGCCTGCTACGCCCTCAAAGAGCAACGGCTCCGCGCACCAGCGCAGCGCGAGCGTGTCTCGGGACGACCTGCAGAAGCTGCATGAGGCGCACAACGCGAAGATGCACGACCTCGAGGCCGAGCACGAGCGGGCGATCCGCGCGATGAGGGAGGAGCTCGAGATCACGCGTGTCAAGGCGGACGATCTCCAGCAAGAGGTGGCGCGCAAGATGATGGAAATTCAGTACCTCGAACAAGATCAAGAGGAGAACCAGGACCAAATCACACGGTATGTCAAGGTTTTCGGTTTCAAGAGCTTTCTCGGAGCGATTTTCACGCTGGCCGTGATCTATGGACTCTTTTGATTATTGCCTTCGTTTCATCATTCTATTATTGCTTATCGACTCGGTCGCTCTCCTCCCGCTCGTTCGTCTTTTCCCGTTCGTATATTACTATATCCGGTGCCGCCAACGCTCATTCCCCATCTATCTTATTATTCCCGCTCGGACGTTGACTTAATACTCATGCCACGCTCCTTTCCTTTCCACGCGTTTTCCCTTGCAGATTGAAAGAAGACCTCGAGCACGCGCAGGAGCAACTGAAGGCCAAGGAGGACGCATGATGGACGATACCAGGAGCCTCGTGGCGCCCGCGCGGAAGCCACACCTACGCGCGCCGGCTATCTTCGCTTCGCCTCCTTGAAGGAACCTGCGCCGCTGTCTACGGGACGATCGCCGCACGAACTCAACACACAATACGCACCACTACAGGGTAATACGTTTCCGCCTCTTCCTCCTCCTCATACCCCCTTCTTTCGACTCCAGATGCTGGCCCGGCCTCCCTACCCACTACTCCTCGACCCCTCTCTCCGCACGATCCTCTTCCCTATGTTACCCGCTGCATTCCTATACCCGCCTGCCGCTCGTACACCACCACCCATGCCTGCTACGGACGCCCTGCTAGTCTACACAGTACTGTTGTTGTTGCGTAATTGAAGCTTTTGATGTTGGCGAGAACTGCTTGTCTGACCGTCTATGTGAGGCCGCCGCACCAGCTGCCTACAATGCCACCACTAGCGATGGATGATCAGTGAGTTCAGCGTTCCTTCGTCGAGGCGAGCTGTAATGGAACATTTGTAACTAGGGTACGGTGTTCCCGCACCTTGTACATACCTCCAGGTGAGTGCGCACATTTAGGCGCTCGGAAGGCATTCTGGAAGCTCATCATGGCAGGGACGTCCAGAGAGTCGCAGCACATCCAGCAGGGGAGTCCTTGCTATATACCCGGCCTGGCGTCCGTAGATGAAACGGATGGTACCATCCAGCCGTGGTACCACCGCGAAACATCACCATCCCTGCGACATGCGCCCGCCCACTGACTTTATGGACCGCAGCGTTGTCAGCGGTTGTCGGAGCTGTATCATATAGTACCCATTCGGACGGGCGTCCTTTAAATTGTCAAACATTCGCTGGGCCGCAGCGCATGGTGGTCCGACCGCGCCCGAAAAATCGTGAGGCCATCATGGTTGCGCAAATTACACCTGAGGTGTGCATATAATCAAACAACTGGGCCCAACGGATACGCCCGAATGCAAGATAGTAAGTAGGTACAACCGACTAACCTACTCACAGCGCCGGACCGTTTGGGTTAACTCGAACGTACCAGCAGGATTCCGAGGACGATCGGACTCGAGTTCTGTGAAGGACCACTGCAGCGTTCATTTTTAGCAGTAAGTATACTGGACTGAGAATGGAGATTGGGTGGAGCTATGTCGCAAGTATCGCCCTGTAGACCCCGTCGTGGGATGGAACATTTAGCTGGGAGCCCTCTTACTGGAGGACGGGTATGAGAGCGCCCGCGGGTAGAAACGGGTCGTGTCTTGGCGGACACGTTGCCGGACAGACGCGCGTACCCGAGTTAGGGGCGCTTGTGTGTCCCGACTCCCATCACAACCTCCGACGCCACCGGCGCGTCGTCAAAAACTTGAATTTGAAGAGGACGGTCGTATACACGTATGTTCGTCTTCGTTCTTGTGCTCAAATATTGTGGTGAGGCCTTGATGCTTTGAGGGATGTCGTCGAGGACTCGAGCATCCGTGCGTGTGCAGCCACACTTCCCAGGATGGTGGTACTCCTTCAGTGCGTGGGCGTCCATGCCGAGCCGGCACCGACGAAGATCACTCACAGGCGGCGCTTTGACTCGACCGAGGAATGTATTGGAGCCGCGGGAACGAGCAGTATATAGCATCTTTCGTACTAGCACACACAGCATCCCATCTGTCCTCCGTGTTTTCTGCTCTCCCGCTCCTTGTCCCTCCTTATCCGCCCTAGCACAGCTCAGCTCCCAGACGTCTCAACGCGATGACTGCCAACTCTACTCAGCACCCCACCGACGTAGTACTTACGGATGTAGTACTTGCAGCAACCTCCGCCCCAGTCGACACGTCACACCCGGAACTATCTGAGCAGCCACTAGCCCCTCCTGGCAACGATGCAGTAGTACAGACCACCGCGGAACCACCAGTAGCTCCGACTGCCCCCGTAGTCGAGGAGATCAAGCCTGTGTCATTCCTGCAGCTTTTCAGGTTTGATTTTTATTTTGGAGCAGGGCGATCAGACAGCTTCTAACATATCATTTTCAGGTACTCCACCCGTACGGAAATATTGCTCGATTATATCGGATTAATCGCTGCAGCATGTGCGGGTGCCGCTCAGGTATGTTCAAACGTACCACATAACACAAACATCATACTTATTTCGTTTTTATGCAGCCCCTCATGAGTTTCCTCTTCGGACGTCTGACGCAGGACTTCGTAAACTTCGCAACGGCTGCTGCGGCCGCGGATCCGCAGGACCAGAGTGCGCTGGACGCTCAAGTTGTAGCTGCATTCAAGCATTCAGCTGCACTCAACGCGTCGTACTTGGTTTACATCGGTATGTTGTGCAAGAATCATGGGTCTATGTATGCTCACTTGTTTGTCCGTAGGGATCGGCATGTTCGTATGCACGTACATCTACATGATCACATGGGTCTACACCGGCGAAGTTAACGCAAAGCGCATCCGCGAGCGTTACTTCCGCGCTGTACTCCGGCAGGATTTGGCGTATTTTGACAACGTCGGGGCGGGCGAGATCACCACCCGCATACAAGGGGACACCCGTGCGTCATCAAATCCCAGCGCCCTCATGGATTCGATTGACCGCTTCTGTAGACCTGATTCAGCAAGGAATTTCGGAAAAAGTCGCTCTTACCGTCAGCTACTTGTCTTCGTTCGTCGCGGGCTACGTGGTCGCGTACGTCCGCTCATGGCGCCTGGCTCTGGCGATGACATCTATCCTCCCGTGCACGATCATTGCCACCTCGCTATTTGGCAAGTTCATCGCCAAGTACGCCATGACGTCGCTCCAGTATGGTGCCGAGAGCGGCAGCCTCGCCGAGGAAGTCATCTCGACCGTCCGTACCGCCCAGGCGTTTGGCATCCAGTCCGTTTTGTCGAATTTGTACGACGGGCATGTGCAGAAGAGCCGTCTCGTGGAAATACAGACGGCGATGTGGTCGGGTGCCTACCTCTCCTTCTGGACATTCCTCATGTATGCCGCGTATGCGCTGGCCTTCAACTTTGGCACGACGCTCATCAACCACGGTGAAGGTAGGCCTGCTGTGGTACTAGCACATTTACCATCCGCTGATAAAAATATCTCGGTACCCAGCCAACGCAGGAGATGTCGTTAGCGTCATCCTCTCCATTCTGATCGGTTCTCTCTCTCTTGGATTGCTCGCGCCGGAAGCACAGGGTTCGGGATTTTCTGAAATGTCATGGACCTTTCAGTACTGACGTGGACTCGTTACAGCAATCGTGCAAGCTAGCGGTGCCGCTGCTAAGCTTTTCGCTACCATTGAGCGTGTTCCCCTCATTGATTCCGCTTCCACGGAGGGAAAGAAGCCTGCACAATGCGCTGGGGAGATCTCGTTCGAGAACGTCGACTTCAACTACCCCTCCCGCCCGGATGTTACCGTCCTCAAGAACTTCTCTATCACGTTCCCGGTAGGCAAGACGTCCGCGCTTGTTGGCTCGTCCGGCTCTGGCAAGTCCACGATCATCTCCCTCATCGAGCGGTTCTACGACCCGCTTAGCGGTAGCGTGAAGGTCGACGGCTTCGACGTCAAGGAGCTCAACCTCAAGTGGCTACGCTCACAGATCGGCCTCGTCTCACAGGAGCCCGCCCTTTTCTCGACCACGATCAAGGCGAATGTCGCGCACGGTCTCATCGGTACCCAGTACGAAAACGCTACGGAGGAAGAGAAGTTCCGCCTCATCAAGGACGCCTGTGTCATGGCCAACGCGGACAAATTCGTCTCCGAGCTTCCCTCTGCCTACGACACCGTGGTCGGAGAGCGCGGTTTCCTCCTGTCTGGCGGTCAGAAGCAGCGGATTGCGATTGCGCGCGCTATCGTCTCGGACCCGCGCATACTTTTACTCGACGAGGCGACTTCTGCGCTGGACACTCAGAGCGAGGGCGTCGTGCAGAACGCGCTTGAGAAGGCCGCCGAAGGACGCACGACGATTGTTATTGCCCACCGTTTGTCTACGATCAGGGACGCCGACCACATCCACGTCATGGCGAACGGTGTTGTCGTTGAGTCGGGTACTCATGCGGAACTCATGCAGGCCGAGGACGGGACGTATGTTCGCCTCGTTGAGGCCCAGAAACTGCGGGAAGGCGAGGAGAAGCGTGCTGTGGAGCTTGCGGAGGGCGACGCGATCGCGTTACACGACATCGAGAAAGCATGGGAAAAGCAGGCCCCGTCGGAGGTGCCGTCTCTTCAGCGCGAGAAAACTGAGATGTCCCTAGCGAGCGAGGCCGCCACCAAGACCGAGAAGTCAGGTGAGAAGGAGAACCGCTCGTTCTCCTTCGTCATCAGGCGACTGGCCTACATCAACCGCGACGTCTGGCAGCAATACCTGTTTGCTACTATCGCCGCGATCGGAAACGGCGGCGCATACCCCGCTATGGGCGTCGTCTTCGCGCTGGGGATCAACGCGTTCTCCGACACCACGAACGGACAGCGCCGCCACGATGGTGATCGGACCGCGCTCTGGTTCTTCATCATCGCTCTCGCGGCCATGGTCATCAACGCCATCCAGCACACCTACTACGGCATCACCTCAACGCTGCTCGCGTCGCGTCTTCGCGGTCTTGCGTTCCGTGCCATCCTCCGCCAGGACGTGGAGTTCTTCGACAAGGACGAGAACAACACCGGTCAGCTCACGGCGTCTCTGACGGAGAACGCGAGGAAGGTCCAGACCTTCGCTGGCGTGACTGCCACGATCATCGTGCAGAGTCTTGCGACGCTCGTCATCGGCGCGGTCCTCGGTTTGATCTTCGCCTGGCAGCTCGGTCTCGTTGGTATTGCGTGCACGCCTATCATGCTCTCTGCCGGCTACGTCCGCCTGGTATGTGACGTCGCGTCTTCGGCGTTTGGAGTATTCTGACCGCCTCGGGCCTCGCAGCGTGTTATCGTCCAGAACGACGCACGAAACAAGAAGTCGCATGAGTTATCCTCTCAGCTAGCGTGTGAGGCTGCTAGCGCGATCCGCACCGTCGCATCTCTCACCCGTGAGGAGGAGTGCTGGCAGGACTACAGCCGGTCTCTCGAGGAGCCGTACCAGCGCACCAAGAGGGTAGCGATCTACTCCAACGCGCTCTTTTCCATCACGCAGGTCCTGTCGTACTGGGTCATCGCCCTCGTGTTCTGGTACGGCTCCCAGCTCGTCGCCGATGGAAAGCGCACTACGTTCCAGTTCTTCGTCGGTCTCATGGTTCGTCATACACCCTTCTCCTGGTCATGTCCCTGGGCTGACTGTACCTCTTGCAGGGCACGACGTTCTCTGCGATGCAAGTTGGCGGTGTCTTCGCTGTGCTGCCCGATGTCGCGAGCGCGAAGAATGCTGCGCTCGATTTCCTGAAGCTGCTCGACTCTAGACCCAAGATCGACGCAGAGTCCAAGGAGGGTATCGTCCCGAAGGAAGTCCAAGGTCAGATCCGCTTCGAGGACGTCCACTTCCGCTACCCTACTCGTCCCGACGCCCGTGTCCTCCGCGGCCTCAACATCACGGTCGAGCCTGGAACCTACGTCGCTCTCGTTGGAGCTAGTGGTTGCGGTAAGAGCACGACTGTCCAGCTCATCGAGCGGTTCTATGATCCGCTGTCTGGCGCTATCTACGTACGCACTCCCCACGGCTGTATGCAGTGCGTATGTCCTAACCTTATGCCGTTACAGCTCGACGGTCAGCGCGTCACGGAGTTGAACGTCTCCGAGTACCGTAAGAACATCGCTTTGGTGTCGCAAGAGCCGAACCTGTACGCCGGTTCCGTCCGCTTCAACATCCTGTTGGGTGCCACGAAGCCCGAAGCGGAGGTCACCCAAGAGGAACTCGAGACGGCGTGTCGCAACGCGAACATCCTCGACTTCATCCAATCGCTGCCCGAGTGAGTGGCAATTGTCGCGCTGAGAGTGGCGGTCGCTCACTAAAGCTCCAATCCACAGCGGCTTTGACACCGAGGTCGGTGGGAAGGGTTCGCAACTGTCTGGTGGTCAGAAACGTGAGCATATATAATTGGGAGTTGCTTCTTGCCTCCAACCGGTTCTAACCCCTTGCGCAGAACGTATCGCCATCGCCCGTGCGCTGTTGCGCAACCCGAAGGTGCTGCTGCTGGACGAAGCCACGTCCGCCCTCGACTCCAACTCCGAGAAGGTCGTGCAGGACGCGCTCGACGTGGCTGCCAAAGGGCGTACGACCATCGCCATCGCCCACCGTCTGTCCACGATCCAGAACGCTGATTGCATGTGAGCACGCTGTGGACTCTCCACCCCTCTCATCAACTGCTGATGCATATGAATCCACAGTTGCTTCATCAAGGACGGTGTCGTCGCCGAATCTGGCACGCACGAGGAGCTGCTTGCTCTCAAGGGCGCGTACGCCGAGTATGTGCAGCTGCAAGCCCACGGTTAGTCTTCACGGACGCACATCCCAAACCGCCCGCCGCCCTCGTGTTCCACGCCCTCTCCTCGGGATGTTGAATGGCGGCTCCCTGGTGCGAATTCTGGGATCCGTGCTCGTCTACACCCCTCCGCTCGATCATGTTCACTGTCTTTAACACTCCCCGCTCCTTTATCACCGCTTTTAATACTTTGCATGCCTCACGGCTACCACTCAATTTATACCTCCCACGTCGTTGGACTATGGCTTCGAAATCACGAGGATTCGGATAGACACGCACCGATACCTGCCATGTCTGAGATGCCCCACTCTGGAATTATGCGTAGAACGAGAAGGTCCAGTCGGGCGTGAATACGCCCACCACCGCTGTCGATGCCGCCGTCCGAGGGTCGCACGGAAAGATGGGCGGCCCGACGTGCTTTAAGACAACGACGGCGCGACAGCCAGGCTTAATCATAGCACTGGCAGCACACACTGCACAGAGCATAACAAGCGCCCAACGCCACGAGTCTACTGAACGGGGACGGGATCGGTGCTCTGTCTGGTTTAGGCAATCAGTGTTCCGCATTCGGTGATGTTGAAGTCCAAACAACGCGGTCGCGTGCGCACGTGAGCTTTGTTCTAACAAATTAAGGTTCAAATGCGATCGCGTCCGATGGATATATAAGCGGCCTTGCTTGCTCTCCGTCCGCCACTTGAACCCATCCTCCCCTCTGCGATAACCACCACGAGACACTGCGACATCACGACAACCATGTTCACGACGCTTGTCTCACTCTTCCTCTCCGTCTTCGGCGCCTTGCGCGCCGCACCGCTCTACTACTCTCGCATCCTCACCATTGGCAACACAATCTGGGCCAGCTTGGGCGACCGCACGGCAACCATCGGCACACTCCCAGGGATCACCACTAGCACACCCGTCTTCCGCCTGCCGCCTTCCCATGTGGTGCCCACCCTACCAGCCGGAACGTCTACCCAGTACTTCGGCGCCTCGCTCGCTTTGCTCCTCGCTGTATTCACGACTACACTTGTCTTCTCTGGCATCATATGGCGTCTGAGAGCCTTGTCACTAGCTCCCGGCGACGACGACACACCCTTCATGCACGCCGGTGGCCCCGAGAAGATACGCCATACCGTCATCGACTTCTCGGGAGCCACCTACCACGGCACCATGATCACGTCGGATGTCGAATTGGCGGGCTTGTTCGCTGGCTCCGCAGACGCCAACACGCCTTTCCAACACGAGACCCCGACAGCTCCCTCTTCTTGCGCAGCCAGTCGCGAAGATCTGGAGTACCTCACCCTCGCCGAGTCTTCAGAGACGGTCTCTCCACCTGTCGCGCCGACGTCTGTCTTGCCGCCACCGACGACCGTCAACCCCACGACCGTTCCCGTCGAACTCGCCCCAGCAATCGAGGAACACGACGGCGAGTGGGATACGTGGACAAACCATCGACGTCGACGACCACCGAGGGTTCAAGCGCCACCTTCCGCGAGAGCCTCGCGCTCTCGGTCCCTGTCCGTCTTCGCGACCTCGCGCACGTCGCACCGGCCCATCTCAGGCAGATTGGCCGCGTCCCCCGCGCCGACTTCCCTTGCTCCATCGCCTCGCCGCTCATCCATAGCGGCACCTTCTTCTACGCAGACCACCGCACGTAGCGTAGCATCTCAGAACAGGTTTTCGGCTCTTGAGGTGTTCGAGGTGGAAGAGTGAGTGCAGGGCAGGAAGGGGATTCGGCGATGGCCACGCCGGCTCCTCTTCCTGCCTTGGACTCGCTCGCTCTGAGGGCGAGTTGGAACTTGGCCAGTTCCAAGTCGTCCGATGAGACACTTCTCCGCATCTCCATTACACCGTACTTATTCATACTACGCGCCTTTCACACTACGCATCATATTTTATTTCCCACATCCTAGTCTTCCGGTTACCATTTACCATTACCTTCCATTTACTACCATACGCCATGCTAAACCACTAGCACGACGACCACAGAGTTTCTACGACCTGATCTTCCCTCATGTATCACTTATTTCTGAATGACATCGAATATCTCCCGCTTACCTCGCGCTTGATTTCGAAACCGCTCGCTCAAGCTTCGAGGATCATGTCCGAGTCTCCGAGCATCCGAGCATCTCAATACAATAGAAGTTGTGGGCCCTGCGATTGTCACTCAATCCCTTGTACAATATGCGACACAACGACGCCAGGGGCGCCGTCCGCGCGGAACTACGATAAACTAAAAGATACGACTAGCAAGCATGCAACAAACGACCCGAACCTTAGATCTTTGAGCACCGAAGGACACCGCCCCTCTTCCCAAACGGCGCGAGGCGCTCACGCACGATGCCCTCGACCTCCGCCATGTCTCTGTGCACGCCCGGCCACAGATTGACCCCCACATCGAGCGCACCGAGGGTGGCGTACGCCGGCCCCGCAAGTACACCGTTCAGCCCGTCCCAGTCGAGGGACGCGAGCCCGCCGAGGAGGCGGATGTCGAGCGCGAGCGCGCGCAAGGTGGGCGCCTCAAGCGTCTCAAGCAGGGAGACGATCCACGGCAAGCTCGCGCTGTAGTGCACCGGGAACTGGAGCCGGAGGCCCTCGAGCGCGGTACACGCTGCAAGAGACACCGTATGTGGCAGTGCAATGGCTGCGAGAAGGGACCTGTCAGAACCACTGATATCACGGATGGCGCGCCCGGAGCGCGCTGAAACAGATAGGACGTACTTTTGTCCCCGGAGAAGCTCCAGTCGAGGTCGAGCGAGTGCAGCGCGGGTCCGGCGAGCGTGATGAAGGGTCCGACGAGATCGGTGTCGCGCTCCGATGCGCAGCGGACGGCGAGGCTCGTGATGGACGTGTGCAGCCCAGTGGCGACGAGCCACTCGAAGAGCCGCTCGGCGTCCAGTTCGCGTCCAAGAGCGAGCGTTCGAAGCGTGGGCAATGGCCTCGCTTCCGGCACGCGGAGCTCCTCCTTCCAGGTGAGGCCGGCTATGGAGAGCTTGGCGAGGCTGGGAAAGGAGCTGACGAGGTCGACGAGGTCTGCGAAGTCGGCGAACTGGCAGAAGGAAAATGTGGCTTTGGTGAGGGAGGGATGGTGGAGCGCACTGAGCTCCGTGACGCTCTTGAGGTCGATGTGTGCGAGGGTGAGGGAGCGGAGGTGCGGGAGGTGGGCGAGAACGTGGGGAAGGGCATCCTCGACGGAGGGCGCGGGCTTGGCAGGGCGGAACACAGCCGAGGGCGTGACGAACCTGGCGACAGTCAGCTCGCGGACGTAGCACCCGAGGTCTGGGGTGGTCTTGAGGAGCCGTTGGAAGGAGGACGTGAAGTTATGGTTCTGCAACACGATAGAACGGAACAGGTGAAAGCGAGAGGCCGGGGTCCACGCACGACACACCCGGGCGCACACAGCGAGGGTTCGAGCGTCCTTGTGGAGGAAATCGATGATGTAGTCCGAGAGCTCGAGCGGTACGTTCGGCATGACGAGTGCTATAGGGGGTCGACGGCGGTCAGTTGACGTACACGATCATGACTCTGCCGGCTCCTTTATGTACTCACATCTTGGCAGGACGAGGGACACCGGCGTGAGGGGTAGGGTCCGATGGATAGAGCTTGCGCGCGCGATGGTTCCGTGAGGCCGGAGACTTTATACCAGCCGCTCCAAGTTGCCGACAGGATGTCCTCGAGGAACAGAACTAGCCCGGGTTACGACATAGCTAGGGCACGCCGCGCGCGCCCAACGTAAGACCGCATCGTTCGTACCAGCCGCTTCGGCTAGCATTAATTGCGATGCAGGCCGTGGACGTGTGTCCCGCCTCATACCGGATATGGGCACGGAGGAAAGCAAGCGCTCGGCGTCGGAGAGCCTTCGTTCGTCTTGCAGCACAGTTGTGCATGTTTAGGATACAAACCCCGAGGAAACGAGCAGCCGCTGCCTCCGCGCAGCGAGCGAGTGCGCGCCGCCCGGACAGTGCATAGTGGCGTTGACCTGTGTAGGAAAGCGTGTCAGAGTGTGTGGGACCGAATCGAACTGGCTGCGCGATGGGCGCGCGCGGCGCGCCATCTGCCAGATCGCCGCGGACGCTAGAACATACCTCGGTCTGGAGGGGGGCTTGTGTCTGGCGTATGAGAATGCGCGAAACCCGGGGGCGTTGATTGTCAGGAGTCGGTGCCTGATGCAATGTCTCTGCGTCTAAAACAGCTCGCGGAACCGCGTTCGGCGGCTTCTACAGGACCCGATCTTCCCCAAGACTCCCGCGCGTGCCGTCCTGTGAATGGAGAGGATCGTTCCCGGCGAGTGGTGGGGATAGCGGCGGCGGGATTGGTCGTACCATGCGGGGTGGTGCGAGACGGGCAGCCGTGCGCTGGTGATCGCTACTCGTGAAATGGCGCGGTAACGCGTGTTTGCGCCGGCCAAACAGCCCTCCCTTAGCCGCCGCCCTGCCCCAATATTTGGGGCCGCCCCCGCCAGTCTCAGTCTCTCCTTCCCTCTCCCCGCAGCCCTCGCGTCCCCCTCCCCCTCGTCCGCCGTTACGACCCCCGCCCACGCGCAGCCATGGCCATCACTAAGGAGCCCGGACAGAAGGGCGTAAACTGGTCCAACATCGCCGTAGGTGAGCCCGCGCGCGTCGGTGGCTGCTGAGCTGGCCCACGTGAATGCTCATCGTTCTGCCTCTAGGTGGTATCATGAACATGGTGCGCTTTCAGTGTCCACTCATCCGCTTCAGATTACTCAGCGACGCGTTCCGGTTGGGTTGTTGCTCCCGATGTGTAGTTTGTGAGTCGCGCCCATAATGTGTATATTTTGACAGTACTGACCTCTGACGTAGGAGGCAAGTCCACAACATTGCACAGCAGCCCATCGTGCCATAACTTATCGTGCACGTTCAGGTCACGACGCTCGGTCAACCACTTGAGGTCCTCAAGACACAAATGGCGGCCAACCGGCAACAAACGATGCTTCAGGCTGTTCAGACGGTGTGGAGTCGTGGTGGTGTCGCCGGCTTCTACCAGGGTCTCATCCCATGGGTACGCGTCGTTCATTCTCATGCGTTCAGATTTGCTCACGGTTTTCGCGTAGGCGTGGATAGAGGCGTCGACGAAGGGTGCCGTCCTGCTCTTCACCGCGTCCGAGATTGAGGTCGCGACGACGGGTCTGGGCGTCAACCCCGCGGTGGCCGGTCTCCTCGGTGGTATGGGTGGAGGCATTGTACAGGCATATGCTACTATGGGTGCGCACCTTGCTGCCTCTCTGCCTTGCACACGCTGACATCTACCCCTGGCAGGTTTCTGCACATGCATGAAGACCGCGGAGATCACGCGGCACAAACAGGCAGCCACTGGGATCAAGCCCCCGTCAACATGGGCCGTATTCGCAGACATTTACCGTCGGGAAGGTATTGCGGGCATCAACAAGGGCGTGAACGCGGTCGCAGTCCGGCAATGCACGAACTGGGGATCGCGGATGGGTTTCGCGCGTCTTGCGGAGGACACCATCCGGAAGCTGAGGGGCAAGGGCGAAAACGAGAAGCTCACCGCGCCGGAGAAGATCCTGTCTTCGTCCATCGGTGGTGCTCTCGCCACGTGGAACCAGCCTATTGAGGTTGTTCGCGTTGAGGTGCGTGTAGCCGGACTGGTGTACGAGGCGGATGAAATCTGACTCAATGTAGATGCAATCCATGGCGAAATCTGCGGAGCGCGGAGAGAAGAAGACCATCGTCAACACGTTGGCCTACATCTACAAGGAGAACGGTATCAAGGGTCTGTACCGCGGTGTCACTCCCCGGATAGGTCTCGGCATCTGGCAGACGATCTGCATGGTGTCTCTCGCGGACTATGTCAAGGCTTGGTGCGTCCACTCGCATCATCTCTACTTCTCAAGTATCACTGACGCGTTCTGGTGTGTAGGGTCAAGGGCCAATAATGGCCGTTCTTTCGTTTAGTTCCCGGTTCTGTTTAGATATCTAGATCCATGAGTACTCTGGAGCTTACTTCGTTATCCTGTGCTTATTCCTACCTTATGCTCGTATCAATACGTGGATTACTCTGCATGCATCTGCTCTAAGAGTGTGTGGCCGACGCCTAGCCATGGCTGCAAGCAGTGCATCGCTCTCGAGTCTGTCCAGTCCTGGCGTAGCTGCGCTGTCCGAGCACACTCGGCCAGGCTGTTGCGTAGCGCCAGTTCGATCCCGTCAAGCATCCTTTTCTGATGGAGTCTAGGTTTCGAAAGGCTTTGCCGCGAGAACGAACGCGCATACTGCCAGCCTGGGTAGAGCACTTACAGGATGCAGATGAGCAACGCAGTGCCTCCCACCGCAGGGTATGAGGCCCGTCGGGGAGCATACGAGAACGGAGAGGAGTGCGGGGTAGATGAGAAGCCGGAATAGCCGAGGGGCAGAGAAGGTACAAGTGCTATAGATCGCGATCGAGATCTGGACAGACTGGCGGGCCCGTGGCTCGTTCTCGGGCTCTGCGCGTATATATACCATCCCCACAACTCTCGTCCCATGATCCCCTCTCTCCCCCTCTCGACGACGACGACAACCTCCTCCTCGTCACCCAGATAGCAACGATGAGCGCAGTCGCGGCACCCCACAAGATGAACCCGCTGCTCGCGGCGTACCTGCGCAGCCTCTCCACGAACCCCCTGCGCACCAAGGCGATCACCACAGGCACGTACACACTCACTGGTCGCACCCTCCCCGCTGCCCCGTGTGCTCACGCCCCTCTCGCGCGCAGCGTTCCTGCAGTTCTTCCAGGAGATCCTCGCGTCGCACCTCGCGGGCGTGCCACCCCCGCGCGTCGGCAAGAACGCGCCGTTCCTCGTGCACGTCCTCGCGCGCGCGCAGGTGTCCTCGAAGGCGTTCAAGATGGCCGCGTACGGCTTCCTCGTGTCCGCGCCCATGTCGCACACGCTCGTGAACGCGCTCCAGCGTGCCTTCGCGGGCAAGTCTGGGCTCACCGCGCGTCTCGGCATGCTGCTCGCGAGCCAGCTCATCGTCGCGCCCATCCAGATCTTCTGTGAGTTTGTGTGACCGAGCGCCACGGCGTGCTGCAGCCGGCTGCGTGATTGTGCATGACTACTGACCGAGCGCGCAGCATACCTGGCGTGCATGGCGGTGATTAACGGCGCGAAGTCTGTGGACGAAGTCTCAAAGACTGTGAAGGCTGGCTTCGGGAAAGTGATTCGGGTACGTATGAGCGCAGAACCGCCGGATTCTTCGCGCGCCCGGAAGCTGTTGCTTACCCTCTTGCGTCACAGGTGACGTGGATGACTTCCCCGGTCTACACCGTCTTCGCCCAGCAATTCTTGCCCACAGAGCTGTGGGTGCCGTTCTTCACCTTTATGCAGTTCCTGACAGGGGTGAGTGTTCACGCCGCTATACGATCGCCTGAGGTTTCCCACATCTGACCCCACGCCACAGACCTACTTCAACACGAAAATCAAGCGGATGCAGATCGAGGCCGCGGCGAAGGCCAAGAAGGACAAGGAGCCCAAGAAGGACTGATCCGCCCTCTGCGACATTTACCCTGGTCATCTGTCTCTCTGCTCACCCTGTGTGGTGCTCCGACTTGCTCGTGCGAACTTGTATGCGTGCACTCGCGTCGCTGCAGACCACATCCTGTTGTCCCATCTCTGGTATCTTGGAATATGTACAGTACGCTATAATACCTATACACACACGCTTTACGCGAGCCGCCCAACATCGACGACCGCGACACACGGCCGCTCGCCCGCCCGCGGGCGCTGCAGGTACTGCATCTGCCTTGACCGCCACGCGGCCGGTTTGGACTCTGCACTTGGAGGTTCTGGTGCAGGTAGAGGAGGCTCGCCGACCTCGGTCTCGGCCGTCCACGAGTCGAGCGCATAGGCTCCTGGCCGAGTCGCCCATAGTTTTGCGTGTGCGGTATATGTTTCCGAGGGTTCGAGGATCTTGCGGAACGTTAGGCGGCCGGCATATGGAGGGGGGAGGAGGTCGCTGTGCGGAAGGGTCAGCGAACAGACAGGCTGCATGTGGCCAGCGTGCATACCTCGAAGGTTCACCCTCTGGGTTCTCAGCCAGTTTGAGCGTTACCCGGGCAGGGTGTGTGCGCGAGAGGTTGCGGAACGTGAACGCCACTGGAACATGGCAAGGCCTACTCGTTACAAAAGGTCAGCTACGGCACGTAACTTCACCGGCCGGTCTACGTACCCCTGTCTGAAGTCATGTTCCACGACCGCACCGTCCTGCACGAAGACAGCAACGGGGTCGTCTTCGCGATTCCACTCGCACGCCTGCACGGCCTCAAGGATCGCCGCACGCTCGCGCTGCGTCTCCGCGTACATCGAGCGTTTCACCTTCATGACTTTTGCCGCTTGCACGATCTCTCGCAGCGCCGCATGTCCCGCACCGAGCGTCGGACCCTGCAGCAGGATGTGGCCCGCGCGCTTCTGAGCGGGGAGCTCCCAGAAGAGCACGATGTCGACCGTGGACGGGTTGTATAGGGGGAAGATGGCCTGGTGCAGCCGCGCGGGAATGTCTGGGTGGGAGGCGGCAGTTGCTTGTGCGGTCATGGCCCGTCGGCCGCAGTGGATGAAGTGCTGGGTGGCAGGATTGTGCAGAGATACAATGTCTGTGTCCTGTGGAACAGTGAGTATCAAATCGAAGGCATGGAGTATCTTCTACTAACAGAAGCGATATGTGTGCAAGTCAGGTCGAGGGAAGGCGGCTCTGAAGGGTCGATTGGAGTCTCTTGCAGGACAGCCCGAATCTTGTTGGCCACGAAATCCCTCGTTTCTGATACGCCTGCTCCGGAAGTCCATGGCCGTGCACCTAATGAGAAGGTTGCTACTTGATGAGGCGGACAGAGCAGGCCGCTAGAGAAAAGGGGCCGAATATTCAGCAGGTATCCCCTCAGTGATTGTACTATTACTCACGTCGAAGACGACAACATCGGCGAACAGTCCCAGGTGGCACTCATGGCAGACAGTTGCTTGAGCTCGATGTTGCTTGATCCGGTGACATTTTCGATCTCCACAGTGACAATGTAGGTCGAGTCCGCGGACGGGCTTGGACGAGCGGAAGTGGTGACCTTCAGGATGGGCTTGACCTCGTATCTGCGCGTCACACGGGTAGAGTGAAACTCGACATCGTCGGCCTGAGCAGCTCTCAGTCAGTGTACGCGACGATGGTGCACAGGAACCGTACATACCTCGCGGAACACAAAGAGCAGGCTGAGGTCCTTCTCGCCATGATGTGCAGCATGAAGAATAAAGGGCAACTGCACTTCTTCCCCTGGTTCGAGCTGAGGCGCCGAATGAATAGCATCCAACGGCACCCGATACGGTTCCCGTGGAGCGAGGGTGTTCTTCGACCGCAATACCTCAGTCTTGGGCGGTGAGGACGATGACGCTTCTTTAAACGGGAGATCGTCAGAATGAGCATTCACCTTAACCCGGGTGCATACCTGTCGAGTCGCTGCTGCCAGCATTGAACCATAACTCATCCTCTTGATTAGTGACTACCCAAAGTTCCTTGATGGAGCGCGTTCCCGAGTTGGTTAGCCAAACATGTTGATGCTTATACTCTCCTTGGGCGAGGTTGAGGTGTCGGTCATCGACGAAATGCGCGTGCAGGCGTTGTCCCGCCTCTTCCACATCGATCCGTATCAACACATCGGGGGCGTACGACTTGTCTTGCCTCTGGGCAGGGGTATCATTGAGCCGGCGACCGCGGACAGCGAGTGATTCCACGGCCGGCAGGAGCGAGAAGAACTCGTACACAGCCTGTGTAACGACAAGTGCTGCAGGGCGCGTGCATTTTATTGCCACGGGTATCTGGAAGAATTGGCCATTAAGCGGCGAATAGTGTCCTAAGTGCGGGTATACTCACCATGCGTGTATCTTTGGCACCGAGAACGATGTCATCGACGACCTCCACTTCCACGAAGTCTGGGTTGTTGTCAGCACCCTTCGCAGACGCCTCCCGTATGGACACGGTCAACGCCGAAAGCGTGACCTCGACATCCAGAGGATTCCGCAGTGCGATATCCACCCAGAAAGTCTCTGCGGGAGACGTCAGCCTTGACCAATGAATTCCACCGGGCGTACCCACCATTTACCGCAGCCTGTCCGCTCTTCCCCAGCTTCTCCTTGCCACGCGGTGTCCAGAATGCCGCCCAATCCTGTTCGAGCACCTCCCACGCGGCAGAATCGCCCTCTACTGCGTCCCCAGGAAACCTTACCCGCGTGTGTTTCGCCTGGCAAAAAGTTATAGGAAGCTGCAGTCCCAGAGTCTTCCATGCGTCGCCTTCTGTGGTTTTGAAGTGCTGCGTGCTGCGGGTGAATTGACTGCCTGCAGCATGAAATGTGCATAACTCACCCGGAACGCTACTCGGAAGTCCTCGAGATAGACCTTGTCTCTACTAGGCTGCGGGAGAAGCGGGGACCCTGCTCCGTTGGCGCCATGCGTTGGGTATAGCTGCGACCCTTGAGGTGTGAACGGCTTCAGGAGTCCCAAGAAGTATTTGATGGCACTGGCGGTGTCTCCGGTAGTGTATAGCAGCCTTCCTGGTGGAAACGAGGTGGTTTAGAGGGGGGGCGCGGAAATGCAACGCGACAATGCTGACCTAGCTCGTGTTCGATGGCGGGGAGCACAGCCGTGAAACCCTCCCACTGGGTGGGACTGCGGTCCTCGCTTTCCCAGAACGCCGGCGATAACTCTTTCGGAGGTCGATCTCGGTATAAACTCTGGGCTTTGCGGAAGAAGAACATCGCAAGCGGTTTCTGCGGCACACGAAGTCGAGCATTAGCATCGAACAGACTACCGCAGCAAACGGTCGCGTACAATCCCGGTCTTCTCGAGCTTCTCCGCCGCGATAAGGTACCAGAACGCAGCTTTCCGCCGCAAGCCCTTGAGCTCGCTGAGGAACGCAGCGTGGGCGAAGAGGATCGCAGTCGGAGGCTCTTCTGCCTTCAAATACCCGTCAGCGTTCCTACAATTACTTCTAGAACGAGAGAACAGGCATACGCTGTAAGCAGCCCTGACAAGCCATCGCTCGCCCTCTAGGGTGGAATTCAGGAACTCCTGGCGGTCAATACCCGTCTCCCATCGTACAGCATATGCGAGCGCCCGGTATTGCGCATGAGCGGGGGCTTCGAAGCCTGAACCTACCCGGGGTTGTGGACCTCTGAGCGTTGTAAGCGAGTGTTCGGCATGTAGGGACAGCGCGGGGGATGGAGCAGAGAGTAATGGCAGAATGTCCTAACGATCGACCTTGAGCTTCGGTATAGCTGCAGATAAATGCACGGGAGACATACGGAACCACCTCTACCCTCTTTCCTCAGCGTCTCCCACACAGAGATGGCCAACTTGTAGTCTCCTAGGATAGTCGCAAATTCAGCAAGCCGTCGCTGCTGGTTAACGTTACCTCCGCCCATCGTTGATATCGACGTGACGGAAGTGATGGAGCTGACGGAGCTATTTGGGCCGTGGGTGAATCTGTTGGACACAGAGGAGACCGACGGGCTAGAGCCGTGTGTAGGTGTCGCCGGTGAAGACGCAGCAGAAGAAGCCCCAAACAGCCGGCGTGTTGACGAGAACAGACGGGACGGTAGGCGTCGTGACGAGGAATACTGCAAAACATTTCAGCAAGAGAACGTGGATCCTGGTATAGACGACCTCACGTTCTCGTTCCACTCTACTACACATTTCTCCATCCAGGGTATAAGGCTCATAGTCACAAACTCGCGCACGAAGCGACCGAGCTGCTGAATGTCATCTTGCGTCAAGCGCAGGGTGCTTCCTGTATAAACAGTTGGCGACGGTGGAGGGTTGTCTGACAGCTTTTCGGGCACTTTGTTGGTCAGAGGAGAAGGTCGGGGCAGCTGGGGCATAGGCGATGCTGGGGGAGGGGGAGGTGTGGGTGCGGTACTATTAGGGCGAGATGGTTGTGGGGTACGGGGAGGTGAGTGTAGCGGGATAATCGTGGGGAGTCGTGGCGGTAGGGCGGGTACGGGTACGGGGGCAGGCAAAGGATCTGTGGGGAGATGGAGAGGGAGTAGGAAACTGTGTAGGCCGTATTGTTTCTTGACGGCATTAAACAACGCCTCAGCTCTGTAGAGCGAGGGAAGCAAAATCAGCCTGGTGCGGAACACGCTGGAAGAAGAACATACATAGGGTCCGCAAGAGGGGAGTTGGAAGGGTGGATGATGAGGAAATAGCGCATGGAGGTGAGGTCTACCCATGGGGGAAAGTCGAATGCGCGCGAGGCGAGTTCCTGGAGGGCCTGTAGTGGGTTCGCCGCGGTAGTAGTCACGGTCAGTATCACTGTGTAAGCATAGGGTTACTGTCAGTGGCCGACTTTCTGACGCGTTATTTCCAACAGAACGTACGCGACACAGGATGATTCCACCCCTCAGCGCTGCTCGGGACATGGTCCCCTTCCACGCATCTCTTCACCTCCTCCCACCATGGTGTCCGGTCTCTCCACATCTTGCCGCCATCTTGACCCGTGGGTGACTCGAGCATATCCACCCACTTTTGACACCGTTGGGAGATGCGCGAGCCCATCCAATCCATCATCCTCCCGGCGCGCTGCTCTTCATCCTCGTGGACGGCGTCTTCTATCTCTACGACGTCCGAGAAGCGCAAAGCAAAGGACGCATGCGGAACCGACGTTAATGACGTGGTTCTGGTGGTGACTATACACAATAGTTAGCCCGCGCGTGCGAGGCACTTCGTAAACCGAGTATGGGTACGTACTCTGCGGGAGCGGGGAGAAACACTGCAGGATGTCCGGTAGCGGTGGCAGACTAGCCCTCTCCAGGACGTCTTGGACATCAGGGGATGCCAAGATGCATACGTGGGGACTGAGAGAACTGGGTAGGGTTGGCGGCGCCATATTCTAGCCTCTCGGGTAGAGGGGGCCTCGGAAGAGATACTTCGGATTCCGGAAGGAAACTGGTCTTGTGTCTATGCTCAGCGGTCAGACTTGCTGCAAGCGATAGAGGTCATGCGTCTAGACGAGGCAGAGGCTAGCAGAACTTGAGGGTCCGAGAGTCATGAAAGGCGGGTAAGCAGCTAGGGCGCGGGAGCCTGAGCGCGCGAGATTGTCGTGGAATTGGACGGCGCGCGCTGCGCGGCTTCGCGTCATTCTCCTCCGCTCTTCGAACAGCTCTGCGCGTTGCCGGCAAGGTCGCCGCATTTTCTCATTGCGACCTCAATCGTAACACATCACACTCCTCATGCTTGGAAATTTGCAAGGGTATTATTGTCTAAGCTACATTCTCCGTGAATTGGTACTCCGTGAATTGGTACATGCACTGTACATGGAAGTCACACTGGCCGACGATAACGGTACAACGCAAGAACGACAAGGGACAAGCGATCGCAGGTGTCCTCCATGGTGAGTAAAAGATTCCGTCTCAGAAACCTCCGCCTCCGAAACCTCCGTCAAATCCTCCGCCTCCGCCATCGAATCCGCCACCTCCAAACCCTCCATCGCCAAAGCCGCCGCCACCAAACCCACCTCCAAACCCTCCGGGTCCATCGAGGATATCACCTAACAGCAGTCCGCCTGCAGCACCAGCCAACAGCGGCATACCGAGGCCTCCGCCGAAGCCTGACCTGCGGCCATAGCCCGACCCGCCAAAGCCAGATCCGCCAAAGCCAGACCTGCCGTACCCCATCCCGCCCAATCCGCCGTATCCCCCGCCGAAGCCACCTCCCCTCCTGCTCCAAGGGTCCCCCAGGGGCGCTGCATACATGGGCCGACTGTAGGTCACCCGCTGGCCGTATCCGCTTGGTCCACCAATGGGCGAAGACACGCGCTGCTGAGCGCGCTGTTGCTGAAGGCGGCGACGCTGCTCGGCCACCCGCTTCGCGTACTAAATTTTGTTCTGTCAGCGACACCTGCAATAACAATGAACGGTACTCGTACCTCCTCCTCTTCTCTCATCTCCTGCCGCCGCTTCGCTTCGCGCTCTTCCTTGGTGCCAATGGCCTTGTCCTTCAGCTTGCCAAAGAAGCCCCTGTCGTGGCTTCCCACCACGGGCGTTCCTGGCTGCGAGCGCGTATCCCTTCGATCGACTTGGGGCACGTTCAGGTGTGATCCAGAAGTATTGGCATTGACATGTCCGGAGTACGAATGGCGCCTGGGCGTGTATGGAGGCGGGGCTTCGCTCGGCGTCCCACCGTCACGTTCGCGGGCGAGACGATCCCTGATGTCCGGATGCTCGCGGAGAAACTGCTCGTCTTCGTACGGGTGCACCCAGATAGACCGGGGTGGCTTCGCTTTGGTATGGACCTATTGAGCGGGGCAGAACAGTTAATGAAGCGCGCTTCGGATGGAGTTACGATGCTTCGTACCCAGAACGGGTGCTTCGTGGTGGGGTCGTACTCGCGGATCCAACCGTCGGGCAAAGGGTCGTTTTCGTAGCTCATGATGGTCGTAGATAGATGGTGGTGGTAGAAGGCAAAGAGAGTTGGCTGAATATAGTTATGGCCGACGGCTGTGGGAGGACTATAAGGCACGGCGACACCACCGCCACAGCTGTGGCCCGAGACGCTGACGTCATGACAGCCTACGATCGGGATCTCCGCACGCGCATATGATTAATCGCAGCAGCGCGCGGCTGCGCTTCGGATGCAGAGTACAACTGTATTGAGTACGCCGATACTTCGTGAAGATACTGTACATGTTGTATGATGGAAAAGAAATTGGCTAGTAATATCATTATAGTTCGCACGAAGAACGAAACAGTCCCAATAACTTATACGTACGATGAGAGCGAAGCAGATAATGTGGAGGGGAATTACACGGGCGGCATGGGGTGTTTAGCCAGGAGGATACGATCCTCGTCGACGCGGGAACAAGCAGCGTCATGCGCGCGCGACGATCCGGGGGTGGCTTCGGGGCATACAGACGACCTGCACGATATGCCCACGATGTTCGCAGCGGGCACTACGAAGAAGGCAAGTCAGCAACTCCGTGACGCGCGACAGACGTAAAGCGCGACGTACCTGATGTATTCAGTACATCTTCGCGCGGCGGTCCCTGTGCGCCTCGACTCGACGCGTCGCCGCGTCGGGCACGAAGGCTTCCTTCCCCTCCTGCTTGCCCTGGCCACGCCCGCGGCCGCGGTTGCGGCGACGTCGCCTCGACCGCTGCGACGCCGTCTTCTCTGAGCTCTGCTGCGGCGTGACGCTCGACGACGGCGATGGTTGTGCGGCTGCTTCCGCCGGCCGGCTCTTCTCCCATTCCGCGGCCTCTTCAGGCGTGAAGCCCCAGCCTGCGTCCGGCGCTGGGTCCTCGGGCCACCACGTCGCGAACACCGCGAGGGACTCCGCAGTGTGCGAGTGAATCCACTGGTCTCCGTCCCAGCCCGTCAGATCGTACCCGTCGGTATAGCCCTCATACCAGTGCCCAGGTTCGCCGTCGAAGCCCTCGACGGGCCACTCCTCCTCCTCGCCCTCCTCCGCGCCCCAGACCTCGTACTTCTCCTGCCAGTTCTCCTCCTGGTACTGCTTGTCGTACCGCGCGATGAAGACGTCCATGTGCATGGGCGTCTCGTCGCGCGCCGCGGTCGCGATCCCGTCCATCCAGAAGTTGACGTACGCTTTTACGCGTTCCGACAGGTAATCGTTCTCCCATGCCGACTCGCCCTTGGGGACGTGCGGTGTGGTCCAGTCACATTCGGGCTGGTAGTTGGGGTCCCATAGTGCCGCTTCCGCGAGCTTCGTTTTGTGTTTTGCGTTCTCGCGCTCGTGGCGGATGGCGGCGGCGATGGTCATGGGCTGGCCTTGGGCGTGGTCGGGCGGCGTGCAGACCTTGCAGTAGACCTGCCAGCTGCGGCCCTTGACCGGGATGAAGTCTAACATGGACGAACATATGTGAGCCACTTGAGCCACACGGTCTGCAGCGGTTGAGATGTGGGGAGCAAGCACTCACTCTCGGGGTATTTGAAGTCTGCGGATGTTGCGGCGTCGCACTTGCCCATTGTCGGTGAGTTGAAGAAGGATGGCGGTGGGTGGTGGTAAGGCGATGGTGATAAGGCGGACGCAGAGCCGTATGTGGTGGAAAGAGGCAAAGAGTGGGGAGTGGCGGGCCTTGGGCAAGGCTTATATCCCTGCCCTGGTCGGAGTCTGCAAAGACCTTCCATTGTCCTACCCCCTTCACTAAGCGCCGTTTAGCCATAATCACGGATATGGCAGATCCAGCCAGAGATCTCTTTGAAGCCATGCACGCATGATCCGCACGCCCGGAATGGCCCCGAACTGATGATCTAGACGCTAGAAGCACTCACCGCTGCCCCGCGCGAGCAGGACTACAAGGGTCGCAGCCGGAGCGCTGCTGCACCCCGCCGCCGCAGGAAGACGTTCGCAGCACACTCGGGGCTACGGCGGTCGAAGCCGGAGCGTGTGTGGAGAATACAACTTTAGTTCAGCGTCCGTGAAGAGTATACTTACAAGCCCAATGAAGAAGACTACGCTGAGAGAAGTCCGCTGTAACCCATGAAGGAAAAGCTATCCGAGTCTATTACGAGGGCCCCGGCAGAGGGTCCACCCACGTTCCGTTGGGATAGAGCGTGGCAGCCATGGTAAAGTCGCCGGTTGACCCCGAGCTCGTAAACTGCGGCAGGGGAAAGGTGCGTCAGCGGCGGGCTCGTTAGCAGATGGGAAGGCACTCACTGCGAGCCGGAAGAAGTGTAGGAGGCTCGGGTCAAGTGCAGAGAGGGTGTAGTTTAGGGCCGTGCCGGCGTACCGTTCGACGTCGTCGACCAAGAGGGCAAAACCGTCCCACCCCTCGCCATCTGGAAGGGCGTTCCAGAAGATAGTCTGGTTGAGGAACGGTGTCGAAGCGTTGAAGTTGGTCGAGTTCGTGGCGAAAGACGGCAAGTCCGAGCCAAGCGGGGCATCGCGCCGCAGCTACCGGTGCGCGAGCGAAGGTCAGCTACCGCAGTCAGCGCCAGTGGCCCGGAGCACTCACATCAGCGGGAGTCTGCAGAATAGAGTCGAAGCCGAAGGCGGCAACTCCGTTGAGGAACATTCCCAGCAGGAAGCCTTGGTATATTGCGGAGAGTCGGGTCGGGAACCCGGTTCCAGGCATGAGAACCATCGCGAGGATATAGTGGTGCAACCTAAACTCCAGCCCTGGCAGCTGTGAGAGGACGAGAACGACGAGGCCGCCCGCGATATACCACCCGAGGTACCACGGGAGCCATCCTGTCTTCCTGATCACCCTCACCTGGTTGATCGCGATGACCAGAATTATGACAACGATGATTATGAGTGCGGTCAACGCTCCCGGTCGTGACGAGATATCGGACGCGGTGAGGCGGTCTATGGGAATCTTGTCCGTGGTCAGGTTGGTGAGGACTCCGGCCCAGTACGGCGCAAGATACCAGACGGAAGCTTCGATAGGGGTCCTCCGGAACGCAGGGAGCGTGTGCTGAAACGCGAGCCGCCAGAACGCATACGCGACGAAGAGTGTGGGGAGGAATTGCTCGAAAGCAACGTCGAGAGGTGGGGGGCTCGCCTGTGGTTGCGAAAAGAGAGTGACATGCCAAAATCCGATGCACACCAGGCACCAGTACAAGACGATAGGCTTTGGTCGGAGGACGAGGAATAGGAGAGCAGTGATGAGGATATTGAATGCCAGTGCTTCGTTGCGTAGGTCGGAGCAGCTATGCAGGGATGTTGTTGGGTTGAACCGGAATGAGAGGGGGAATACAGTGGGGAAGCCGATTGATGTGAGACCGTGTCCGGTGAACGGGAGGTAATTCGAGAAGTTGCCGGTGAGTTCTAGCGTAGCACAACCACCCCGGGAGTTGCTGATGAGACCTCTTTGTGGATCATCAGTCGCGGGATCGCTAAGCATAGAGCCATACGGGGATAACTCACGCTTGCACAGCAGCGGCACATATGAAGGAATCTCCTCGGTATGTCCCATCCTCATCGCCACCGCCCACGATGAGAGGTACGAAATCGACTTGCTCATCGCCGACCGTCCTGGGGTTCTGCAGCACGACAGAGCTGCATTGTGCCGGACATCGGAAATCGAACGTCGCGTTGTCGAATGGTGCGCAAAACTGGCCATCCAAACCGCACCCGTCGTTTGCTGACCAGTACGTCGCTGTGCACCCGATGAACGAATCCGCCGGGGTGAGGAAGGACTGCGCGCGCGCGAAGAACGCGAAGCCAATGATGTATCCTGCGGCAAGCAGTGCGAAGAGCCATGGATTCGTGAGCGCGCGGGTCAAACGGATCCATGCGGGTTCGAGAGCAACGCTGTAGGCTCTCCGCCCTGCGTGCAGCGTCAAGCTGAGGAATGGGGTGGGGGCTGCGCGTACAATGGTAAGGTTCCGTCGCGCAGAGCTCCGTCATGCAAAGTTGACGTACCTGGCAGGTCTACTTTGGGCCTCGGACCTCGGAAGTAGAGCCATATACGGCGCACGCGCGGATGGTCGAGCAAGAAGGCCCTCTGCAGCCGACGTCCGAGCGGTCTGGGTGCTGTCGCGGACGGGAGAACATCTGCTTCTTGCAGCTCGAAACTGTGCTGGGGCGTGAACTTTGGAGGCAGGTCCGAATCGTTGCGGGGCACTTCCTCGCCGACCTGGGTCAAGCGAGAAGACGAGCTGGATCCGGAGGTCGATGTGGAGGCCATTCCGGGAGGTGCGTACGACGCCTGGTCTGTGCGCGGCGGGTAGAGGGGTGCTTGCGAGCTTAGGTGTGCATGGGCGGAAGAGAAGTTGCCATGAGCGGTGTGCGCGGGCAGGCGCGGGCGGCGGATGCGCCTGCGCAGCTGCCATTCTCGCGCTGCTATTCTCGGCATGGGACGCTCGCCGGGCGAACGCCGTCCACCGGCGCCAGCTTCAGTCCCTTGTACATTGACGGTCATCTTTCCATCCAGCTCGTTTCTACTAGTGACACCAATATACTGCCCTGCAAGACTCAGACGTTTGCCCGCAAGGTAGAGCAATATTGATCTCCGCAACTGCGCGCTGGAACTGTGGTCGTTGCCCCCGCATGACCGCGCCTCCGGAGTACCCTGCCCAACTCTTCCGCGCTCCGCAATTCACAGACTTCGGCCACTGTCATGGCTACACCTGTACGATACAGCTCCCGGCGAATTCCAGCGTAAGCATGGAAGATCCCAGGTCACTTGGCTTCCGCGGCCCCTCACTGCGAGAATTCGAAAGCATCTGGATCGGTTCTGGACCAATTATAGCGTGTTCTCAGACCGTACTCATCCAACGCCTTTCTTTAACAAGTACTGCCGCATGCAACACAGATGAATGCCCGCAAGACAGTGCATCTATCACCGCAGTAGCTCAGTACCGTCGTCGTCGCGGCGTATGGCCGAACACCTCCGCGCACAGACAAACTCTTTCCCGTTCCGAGGTGCACAGAGCTCGGCGGCCGCTATAGCTACCGACCTACAGCTGCACGACATACTGCACAGCTGCACGACATACTGCAGCTCTCGGCGAAGCGTAAGCATAGAAGGGTCAGCCGGTTCTTGCGGATCCGAATCCTGAGTGCAACAACATCCGGATCGACTCTGAAGCGTATCATACTGCACTGGTAGCGTTCGGGTATGTACACCACTGGCTCCGCGGCCTATGTTACAGGCGGACATCCATGCATGCATGGACTTGAGCGAGTTCTGTGGTGGGGCAGATCCATGTGATAGCAAGGCTCTCATGACCAGCTGGCTGCGCTGTCGCTGTGCCATATAAATACGTCAGGACAGGCTTGCAGTTACGTCCATTCCCCCAACATCTATCAACAGCTATGGCCGCCCCCGCAGATATGACCACCCGCGATATCAGCGGCAAGTTCATCATGGTGCGTGGTTGTGGTCGAGCACGATTGTGCGTGGTCATGCGAACACCGATCTGACATTCGCAACGGCTGTAGAACAAGTCGCTCAGCGACGACACCGACGAGATCCTTCGTCTCCAAGGCGTCGGGTGGTTCAAGAGGAAGGCTATCGCAATGGCGACCCTGTACCTCTCCGTCAAGCACTACAAGGACGAGGCCGGCATCGAGCACATCGACATTGACCAGACCCTCACGGGAGGCATTCAGGGGACGAACGAGTATCGCATTCTGGACTGGACAGAGAGATCGCACGAAGACCACGTTTTCGGGAACGTACTCTCAAAGAGCAGGCGCGTGTCGCTCGCTGAGGTCGACCGCGAGTGGCTCAAGAAGGAGTGGTTGGACGATTCGCTGGAGAACGGCGCGATAATCTTCACCTGCGCGAAGAGCGACACGGAGAAGAGCGGGACGGCCTGGTCTTCGGAGCAGGTGAGATATCCTGATCTTGGCGGACTGCGACTTGCTCATCTGTTTCCGTAGACTTGGGGTTTTGAGCAGATCGACGGTGAGAAGAGATACGCTCGGCGCGTCCACTTCGAAGGGCCCGGAGAGGAGATCATCGAAGTTCGCCTGGTGTACGACTATGGTGAGACTGATGGCGCTCCCCCGTTCGCCCCAGTAAGCTGACAGTTGCATATAGATGGGCCCCTTTGATATAGAGATACGCTAGACGAAGACGTGAGATGTCGTACATACCTCTTGTAACACCAGCCGCGCCGAGCGCAGACCTACCTTTTGCTTCAATCCTGCTTCGGAGGGAAGATACTGATCACCTTCCACACGGCGTCCTTACCGCGCTCCCATGCCTGCGGGCCCCTGCTCTCCTCCCCGCCAAACTCAACCATGACGCCGTCCTTCACCCACTCACACCAGATCCCGATAGACCCCGACGACGGACCCGCACCGCCACCTTTGCGGTCTGGCTCGCCCATCACCAGCACAAACACTTTGCCCGTCGTCTCTGGGGTGATGTTGATTGACTCCGCGCGTGCCTTTCCGTCCTTGTCTGGGGGAAGAGAGACGAGACTGAGGACGATTGGCGAGATCGGGTAGGTCGTGTACGGAGATTTGGTGGCTCGTGCGGCGTTATCCTTCGGCTTTGGTACATTGTAGATGTCGATGCCGTCAATTATGAGATTGTCGTCTTGCAGATCTTTCCGCGCGAGTCCTGTCTTTGGCTTGTAGCCATTGACCGGCTTGAAGAGGATGCTGAGGCCAAGGGGATAGTAATTGAAGTAGACGGCGTCTGAGTAGCTCTTGACTTCCGGTGTGATGTCCACTGGACTCGACGAGCTCGACGCTAGTGCAGATATGTGTTGCGAGAGGGCTGACGATGACGGCTTTTGGCCCAGCAGCTGCTTTAAGTCGGAAGCCATGGTCGTGGTATGAGAGCAAGAGGATTATCACGTGGGAATGACGTAGACGCGTTGAGCAGAGTGGTCCCCGCGTCTCTTGTCTTCACCCTCTAGCCGCTGGACCGCACCTCCTCCCGCCCACCTGTATGCTCGGACGCTGCTAACATGGAGCCAAAGCAGGAGACCGAGACCGAGGCCCAGGAACGCGACAAACTGCGCAAGAAGGTCGTCGAGGACACCGGCGGCATCCTCAGCTACTTCTGGCCCTTGCACCCCATACGCCTCTTCATCGACCTCACTCTCGCCGCCCTCCGTCTCGTGCAGCCGCTCGCGCCACAGCTGGTACCCCTTGCGGTATTCTCTGTATCTCTCCCTCTCATACTCTTTCTATCTATTGGCTCCGGGTACTGGGTGTGGAAGAGCGTCGCGGTCGGTTGGGAGACCGAGATATTCCTGCAATATGGGTGCGTCTGACCCTGCTCGGAGAGGCAGTTGGTAGTTCTTACTCCCTGACTAGCGACGGACCTGTGCCGTATGCTGAAGTCATGCTCCCCACTGTGGTTGCACAACAGCCGTACGACATCTCGCTACACCTGATTGTCCCCGCGAACGAAGCGAACTTCGCGCTCGGAAACTTCATGGCCTCGCTCGCGCTTGTTACTCCCAGTAATCGCACGCTTGCATACGTTCGCAAGCCCGTACGTCCCTCGCGCTTCGCCCACCCTGCCTCGCTAACCTTAGCGTCGTAGGCAATTGTACTTCCCCCATCCGCATCCCCTTGGGCGTTCTTGTACAATAGGCCCGGAACGGTCGACTTGAATATCCCCATGCTGAAGGACTTCACCGTGAGCACTGCACGTGCGCTCGCACGAGTAGAGCTTGGACGCAGAGACCTGTGGAAAACGCTCGGTGAGGGCCACGGGCGCGAGCTCTCCGTTTTCTCCGGGTATATTCGCGGCGTCGTCCTGCACCATGGCGTTCGGTGAGCCCCAGCCGTCTCACATGATGCTGATGAGAAACTGACCCCCCTGCTTCCAGTGGCATCGTGTCCCGCTTCCCGCTGGCTTCGGCGATGGTAGCATCTGCTGTGTTCTTCCTCATCATGTTTGTGGGAATGGTCGCGTGCCTCATGCCTGCGGTCGAGTGGCATTTCCCCTCGGATGTCAGCGAGCCCCCAAAGGTCGATGACAGGCCGCGCCGGCGCCGGAGGTCCCGTCGGCGAACTGAAGGCGACGACCGGACGCCGAGGTCGAAGACGGGGACCCACAGCGAAGGCAGTGGCTCTAGAGCTAGACCGTGGGTGAGGCTGAACCTTGTGTAGCACAGTAATTGGGGGACGATGCTCATTATACCTTCTAGAGGGAGCCCTCCGGGCAAGCGGTGAAGACGGAGCGGGAAGCTCAGGAGGACTGGGACTCGGCGCAAATGCCAGAGGCATCTGCGCGAACGGGCTATGGACGGACAACGCCCATCCGACGGCGTACGGGGCCGCGGCATACCGATGATGAAGATGAATGAACGGGTCCAACCAATGCTATTCTATCTTTGGGATGTACGCAGGGGCAGAATTCGATGCTTGCCATATACCTAGCCTTTAATTTTTGTAATGATACACGCAGAGTTATACCCAATCACCACTACACAGGGTGGTGGTTCTCGGAAGCTGCCACCACATAAAGTTGCAGAGTCCGGGGTGTGTCCAATCAATTCCAAGTGTGGGATATCCAAACCTATGTTACAGTCCTCCGACCCATGCGTTCTATCCGTATACCCAAGAGTGACCTCGAAAATCCTGCAAGACATCCAAAACTACGCAGCCTTCACTTCCTCAGTAGTTGACTTCTCATCGCCCTTTTCTGCTGCATCCGCTTCGTTTGCCTTCACCTCTGGCGTAGCCTCCGCTTTTGGTGTTTCTACGGGCTCTGCTTTCTCCTCCTTGGCTTCTACGGGCTCCACCTTCTCCTCCTTGGTCTCAACATTCTCAGCCTCGGTTGTCTTGACCTCGGATTTCTTGACCTCGGGTTTCTTGGCCTCCGCTTTCTTGACGACCATCTCTTTCACCACGTCTTTCATGAGTTCGACTTTCTTGACCTCGTCCTTCGTAGCCTCCTCCTTCTTGGAGTTCGACGGTGCTGGACCAAGGCCCTTAACGAGCTCATTCGCCTCGTCCTCGTTCAAGCCCAGTTCTTCGACCAGCGCGAGCAGGTCGTCCTCCGTGACATTCACCCCGACGAGCCCCGCGTCTCCGAGCTTCTCCCCGGCATCCAGCTCGCCGTCGCGGGGCTTACTAGTCCTGATCGGAGACGGGGCGGGCGAGACGTGCGACGGGTTCATCTGCGCGGGGGAGTACGCGCCCGGGATGCCGACGGGAACGGCGCGGAGCATGGGCTTGTCGCCCTCGAGCGGCTCCCACACCTCGTTGAGGCGCAGGTAAGCGTTGAGTTCGCCAAATTCTACGGCTTCTTCGCTGAGCGAGCACGGTGATCAGCGGGTTTTTGGGGGACCGAGCTGACACGGCTCACAAGTCTTGGAACGTCTGGGTGCGCAGTCAGCTTTGGGTGTAGGGCAGGTACGGTTCGTAGAAGTGGGACGTACGCCAGGGAGTTCGCCGCCTATGAGGATGCCGGGCAGCTGCTGCTTGTCTATGACGCAAAGGGTGCGGTCAGAGGCCGTCTGAGGTCGCGCGCGGAGCAGAACGGGCCATGACTAACCTGCCGGAGCCTTTCTCCTCCACAACTTCTTCGCTTCCTCATCCGAGGCGAGGTCGTAGGAGGTGAAGGGCACCTTCTTGACCTGCAAGACGCGGAGCACATATTCTGTGTGCCAAACCGGTGAGTATCGGCTGTCCTGTGAAGACACGCAACGCGTCGTACATACCTTGGCGCTGCCTGAGAGCAGGTTGAGAAGCGATGGTGGTGAGGAAGACCTGGATCGGAGGTGAAGGCATGGCGAGCAGGAGAGATGGTCACTGTGCAGCCACCGCGGACCTAGTGACGGTGGCGGGCGGGACAGACGCTGGGCGGATCAGAGCGACGCGTTATGGGCGCCTGGGGACCCCACATGATCAGCGCGTCGAATGCGGGGCACCGCGCCGTCGGCCGCTCCCCCTCCCACCTCTCCCTCTTCTCCCCGGTGTCCTTCTTGCCGGCCGCTTTATAAGACAGCGACGCGCCCCACCTCCAGCTCTCACCCGCACCGTTTCTACGACCGGCATCCCCTTGCGCGCACCCATACAGCTCTGCATTGAGACGGCATGCCCCTCGCCAAACTCCCTCGTTCCGCACGGCTCCCCGTGCGTTCGTATGCCACCACGGGCTCGCGAGCACTCGGTACACTGAGTGCGGCTGCGAAAGCAAAGGCCGAACAGATCTCCCAGGAGTGGAAAGGCACAAGCGCGACGGGAGGGAACACCAAGAACTTCGTCGGCGGCGAGTTCGTCGAGAGCAAAGCCGACAAGTGGATAGACGTCGTCGACCCCGTAAGCTCTGCTTCCGTCATGGTTCCGAGACATAGCTGACAGAGTATCAGGCTACCCAAACGCTCTTGACGAGGGTTCCGGAGACGACATCATCAGAGTTTGAGCAGGCCGTGAGCGCCGCTTCGCAGGCTTACAAGACATGGAGCCGTACCAGCGTTCTGACACGCCAAAGATTCGTCATGGAGTACAGTTTATTATACTTTCTGCAAGAAGGTATGATGCTAACATACACTTCAGCCTACAGTACCAGTTGAGGCAACACAGCGACGCCATTGCGAGTAGCATTGTACTCGAGCAGGGCAAAACCTATGCCGGTATGTCCTGGGCGTCACGCATTTATTTTGCTTGCTTCTGACGCTAGGCAAAGATGCACAGGGTGATCTGCTTCGTGGCCTACAGGTGGTGGAGACCGCTGCTGGTATCCCGTCTGCACTCCTTGGCCAGACGATCGAGGGTGCGTCTGCAAGTCATTCGCTTGTTCTCAATACTAATGCCGATGTTTAGTTTCCAAGGACATGGACACCTCGACGCGTCGGCTACCATTGGGTGTATGCGCAAGGTAAATATATAGGTTTACGTAGTGAATCTTATGCTCATTCCCCCGTATAGCGTGGCACCATTCAACTTCCCTGCGTAAGCCCCTGATTTTGTTATGCTGAAGTGCGCCCACTCACATCTTCTCAGCATGATTCCGCTTTGGACCATCCCTGTAGCACTTGCTACCGGTAATACGCTCGTACTGAAGCCGTCGGAGCGCGACCCAGGTGCTGCCATGATCATTGCGGAGCTATGTCAGAAGGCCGGTCTTCCAGAGGGCGTCCTCAACGTTGTGCACGGCACTGTCCCGACCGTGAACGCCATCTGTGACCATCCTGACATCAAGGCGATTAGCTTTGTAGGCGGTGACCGTGCTGGCAAGCATATCTACGAGCGGTAAGCAAGAATGACGGAAAGGGTTAAGGCGCGCTGACCTCACGCGTTGCACAGAGGACGAGCCACTGGAAAGCGTGTCCAGGTACGTCTAGTGGAATGTCTGTAAGGTAATTGCCGCTGACATAGTTCTCCAGGCCAACTTGGGTGCAAAGAACCATGCCGTCCTCATGCCAGATGGTCAGCCATAGTCTCAATGGTGGTGAGACCGCCCGCTGACAACACTTGCAGCTAACAAGAACCATGCTTTGAACTCGATTCTCGGTGCCGCTTTCGGCGCTGCTGGTCAGCGGTGCATGGCCATCTCTGTTGGTCAGTCCATTATCCAATAACTACGACCCTCCTCTAACCTGAATATAGCTGTCCTCGTCGGAAACGCTCAGTCATGGATCCCCGAACTCGTTGAACGGGCTCAGAAGCTGAAGGTCACTCAAGGATTCGAGAAAGGCGCTGATCTGTACGTGCAACCTGCCATTCCCAGCAAGGATATCAGTCTCATAGCGCCTATAGCGGACCTGTCATATCTCCTGCGGCCAAGCAGCGCATCACCGGTCTGATCGCCTCCGCTGAGGAAGAGGGGGGCGTCGTTGTTCTCGACGGCCGTGGCTTCCAGGTATCTGACTACCCAGACGGTAACTGGGTCGGCCCTACCGTCATCGAGGCTACCACCACCATGCGGTGTTACCGGTCTGTTTCCTACTCCGTTTCGTATGCGCGCGTGCACTGACAGGCTTTCCACCTACAGCGAGGAAATCTTCGGACCAGTGCTTATCGTGCTCAAGGCTGACACGCTCGACGACGCGCTCGCGATCATCAACGAGAACCGGTACGGGAACGGCACGGCGATCTTCACGCAGAGCGGCGCGACCGCGCGCAAGTTCGAGCGCGAGGTCGAGGTCGGCCAGGTCGGCGTCAACGTGCCCATCCCCGTCCCGCTCCCGATGTTCTCCTGGAGCGGGAACAAGGCGAGCTTCCTCGGCGACGTGCCGTTCTACGGCCGCCACGGCATCGACTTCTACACGCAGAACAAGACGACGACCGCGCTGTGGAAGGCCGAGGACGCGATCGGGAACAAGGCGTCCGTGGATATGCCGACGCACCACTGAGCGGCTGCCTGGTGGTCGAGGATACATCCACTTGGAATACACTGTACTATAGCAACATAAGGATCGTCTTCTCTATCTACATCTACTCGCGTGAGAGTCGTTTAAGTCCGGGCATCTACTCGGCCTCTTGCGTGCTCTTCCCGACAACGTCGTCCAGGAAGGCGTTGGAGAGCCTCACACACTGTTGGTACACCTCCTCGAAGCCTTTCTGTAAGCGGCGATATACGTTAGTCTCGTCAACGAAAACGAAAACGTAAAAGCCCAGTGCTTTACTTACCGCGCCGCCGTAGTACGGATCCGGGATGGGCTTGTCGTCAAGGTATGCGCCCCAGAGGCGCACCTCCGCGGTCGCGCCGCGCGGGCGCACTCGCTCCAGGTTGCGCAGGTTCGCCTCGTCCGCGGCGAGGATGTGCGTGAATCGGCTGAAGTCCTCCGACTGCACCTGCCGCGCGGCGTGCTGGATCGGGACCTTGAACTATCGAGTGGGGAGACGTGAGCGGGGCGACTCTAAGCAAGCCGCTGACGCAAAAATACCTTGCGGCATATCGCGACAGAGCTGGATAAGAAGTGGTGAGAGCAGATTCCCTGACAATTGTGTGGTGACCTACCGATCGTCTGGATCTTCGCCGATGTGGTAGTTAGAGGTGCCCGCGGAGTCGACGGTAATGTCGACGCCGCGCTCCTTTGCGACGTGCTTCAGGACGGCCTCCCCTATGGGCGAGCGGCAGATGTTCCCGAGGCAGACGACCAGGACGGAAAGATTGCCGTTCGACATCGCAGTGGTTCTTGACGGTGCTTCAAGGACAAACGTAGGCCGCGGCACAGTTGATGCCGCGCGATTTAGCACGGCGCGGCCGGTCGCGGGAACTGCTTCTAAATGGGGTATACGTAGTGTTCACCGAAAGGACTTGGCAGTGGCACCATGTTCGCGGCATTGGGCAGATAAGAGATGAGATGGAACAGCTTTCGTTTTCTTTGCATATTCTTCAACAAGCCGGCAGGGGAAACGGCGGGCGTGTCTACGGGGTATCGCTCAGCCAGGCGGTAAACTAAGAAATGGTAACGGAGAGGTATCTGTGCATGTGTGGTTATGAGAGATACTGGTATTCTGGGACATATATGGCGTTACGGTTTCGCGTCGTCGCGGGACCCTGAGTCGGACCTGGTGGTAAACTTCTACTCCAGCCTCTCGCGGGGATAATCCAAAACTCCGACTGGCGATCACAAAGGTGGATAAGGGGTTGTCCGAGCCGGGTACGCGCGTATTACATCGAATTGGGATAAGGGATAAAGAACTAGGGGCGGGTAGGATGATAGCATCGTGGACGGGGGCGGAGTGCCAGAGCGCGTATTGAAGATTGAGAGTTCGCGTGCAGGGGGACAGCGACAGCGGTGCAAAGGGGTGATCTAGGCGGGTCAATAAAGAAAGATATATACACCGCGAAGAAGTGGTATGCGACGACGACGAAGACGCCAGGGCTGTATCATCATGATCGTAGCGGCGAGGGGTGGTAACGGGTGCCTGTTCACCACTTGACCCATTCGCCATACATGTTCGGGGCCTCTCCCCGGATGTACGCCTCGAACGTCCGCTTGATGACGACGGACCAGTCGAGGTCGCGCTTGTCGTCCGCTACCAGGTCCTCTGGAAACTCGTTGCGCTCGAGCATGGACGCATCAGCTTGTGTGCGCGCCTGGCGCTCGCCATTGATGAAGCGAGGCCCGAGGTCCGGCCAATTCCTGGTCGCATCGAAGGGCTGCCACCTACGAAACAGGGTCAGCCGGTTTACATAATCATGCCGTCTGCGCAGCACGCACCAGAAGTTGTGGAAGTGATAAGAGTAAGCCCCCCTGAAGAAACCGTTGAAGCCAAGTGCGTGGGGCGCTGCGCTCCTCTCCCGTGGGGTGAAGAAAAAGTCGCCGAACCTGCAGATAGCGTCAGTCGTATTATCTCCGCATGTTCGGTGAACATACGCACTCCGTGAAGTACGGCTGGGGCGGCCGCTCGCGCTGGAAGTCCTCGGTGTTCAGCCATGCCGAGTCGAAAAGCGCGTCAGGCAACCGCAGCAGTAGCGGCTCAAGCGCGGCGTCCTTCGTATACCTTGACACGGTCATCGGATGGAAGTCCAAGCCGTTCTTGAGCGCAGTGCGGAACAGGAACGTTCCCAGAGCAGAGCCCTTGTTGAGCTTCAGCACGGCGGTGTTGTACCTTTCCAGGCGGGACCACCGGTACGCGAACGCGCCCTTCCAGCCCCAGAGTTCTTCCCAGTCCCGCAGCAGGATGGTATCCGCGTCCAGGTAGATGCCACCAAAGCGATGGCACAGGACGAACCGCGCCATGTCCGAGAGAATGACAGACAAGCGGTCGTACGAGGATGGCGACTTGGAGCCGACTCGGTTCACCTTGTCGTCCTTCTCGCCCTCAGTCTTCGTGCTTTCGGCAGTAGCAGTACCGCTGGACTCTTCCTTCGAAGTGACCGAATCGACTGGCTGAGGGATCTTCTCCACGACACCGCCAGAGTTGAACAGTGTATCCCGTAGGTCCCTCCACTCGTCCTTGAGTTCCGGAACGCCGTCGAGTTGCTCGGTGGTATTCCATAGCTTGAACTGGATGACGTCCTTGAACCGGGGATGCAGGAACGGCGACGCCCAGGGGTTCGACTTGAGCTGCTCGAACATGTCGCGCATCGCCGTGGGGTTCGGAACAGATGCCGCAGGGCCAGGGTTGATCCACAACCAGAACTTGGGCCGGCAGACGGGGTCATCATGTTCGGGGTCTATGTGAAGGCCGAGGTTCTGCGTGTACAGGAAGGACAGCAGCGCGAGATAAGGCTTGTCCGTGAACGGCCCCGTCCAGAACATGTGGAACAAGTGCGGGTTCTCTACGCATGACGCAGGGCGGTCTTGGTGCGCAATGTACTCCGGGGGCTGCGCGAAGTGGACGTGCGGCTCCCAGTCGGTGTTGCGCTTCTTGCTAAAGCCGGCGTTCGGGTCCGCCACGCCCTGGCTCTTGAGCGCGAGCGCCGGGTTGACGGGAGGCACGGTCTGCGTGCTGTTCTGCAGCTCGCCGTCCTCCACGTAGATATACTTCCATTCGTCCATCTTCCCTCTTCGGACCCGCGCACCGTTGTCCAGGCCACCTCCAAGGCGGAGAATCTCGAGACAGTCACGCACGTACTGCAGCGGCGCGTGAGACGGTGCTACAACAAGCAGCGAAGATGCCAACAATTACCTTGTTCTGTGAGAAATCACAGTGTTCCATGACCACGTCCAAGTCCGCGACGCTGCCAGATAATGGCCGTGGCGGGTACGCGACATTCGGAGGCTTCGCCTGAATGTCCACGTAGACACGCTTCGCACCAATGCCGGTGGTGTCCGTCACAGATGGTGGGCGGAACCTCGTGGGGATCGTGGACGTCTTCCTGGGCGGCAAGGCCGGGTTGAGCGGCGGGGTCAACAGACCAACGGTCTCGGGGACTACCAACGTGTCAGATAGCGAGCCCAATCAGCAAAAAGCGGCACGCACTTTTCTGCCCGCTCGGGTAGTGCCCAGCAGCTACTTCCCACTCCCATATCCGCTGGAGGTCCTCACGCCTGTAGATGAGCGTCGGGGGCTCCTGGTACGCCGGCCAGTTCCGGTCCTCCGGCACGAAGCGGTCGCGCAGCGACACCATCATGACCACGGTGAACACGACTGCGAGGAAGCCGAGCGCGAGGAGCAGACGGCCTCTTCTCCTGCCGAAGCGGGTGATGGTGCTGTGGTGCAGCCTGGGGAGGTTGGGGAGCATGAGGCGGAGGCGACGTGTGCGCACGCCGGGGATGGGGAGGGAGATGGGCACGAGCCACGAGGAGGTGTGGTAGTGCCGCTGCCACTTTTCGCGGACGGCGGAGGAGTGGGTGGGGAGGGCGTTTGCTGGACGCGCTTTTTCGGGGTAGCCGTTCCCGCGTTGCGGAAAGTATATTGACGTTGCCATCGCGGAGGACGCAGGCCCTGCGGGGGATGGCTGGCGACTAGGGGAGCTATAGGCTAGGACGCCGTGGAGGAGGGAGGGAGAGGCGGGGTGGGACGGCGGCGGGGACGACCGCGGTGGCAAGGGCAGGACACTCCGAGTCGGTCGTGAACGCGCTCGGCCAAGCCAGAGACAGCAGGCCGCACAACGTTCTCGCTTAATTCTCCCACGTGACCTCCGCGTCTCCCCAGCCGATGACACCCTGAGCGCAGCGCACCCCCGCTCTCACACCGTTCGATGCCGAGTCTCTCTATGTGTTGCAAATCGCTTGCATGCTACAAATACACTGCTCATACATCTACCGATCTTAGACTACTACTGCGCCGCGTCCGTCCCGCTGCACAGTCCCTCAGGCGCCCAGAGGCTGCTGAGCCAGGTCTGCGTGATCCGTCGGCACCGACAGCACACGCAGCGTGTTCGTGTGGCCCAATCCACCCTTCCAGCCCTGCACCGCGACGACCGTCGTGCCCTGCTTGATCAGGTTCAGCTTGAGCGCGTTGCGCAGACCGAACCGGATACGGTTGTCGACCTATAGTGTTCCGTCAATATCAAAATCACACCACATGTGCGCACTACTTACATCCGTCTGCCACTGGTGGGCCTCAATGCCGCGCGGCTCGGAGTACCAGAAGGGGTAGCATCCCCTGTGCAGGTGGATCTGGCGAGCAGTCTGCTCGTTGCGAGTAACTGACGTGGATCGACACGACGTCAGCGTCTTTTCCCACAGGTATAAACTGGACACTGACCAGTGATGATGGGTACGTCAGGGCGGTACTTCGAGATGAGGCGAGCCGTGTTGCCGCTCGTCGACAGCACGATGATAGCGCTCGCGTTCTGCTCCGCAGCAGCAGCCACCGCAGCGATCGCAACGGTTTCGGGGGTGGCCGTGGGGCGCGGGGCGACCGCACGCAGCTCGTCGTACAGAGCAGGGTAGCAAATAGCCGCCTCAGCGAGCAAGCACGTCTCCGCCATCATGAGCACTAGAACGTCAAGTTAGACGGAACGAGGTAACGTCGTGGAGGATACTTACCAGACTGGATGGGGTAAGCACCCTTGGCGGTCTCGCCGGACAGCATGACACAGTCAGCGCCGTCGATGACGGCGTTGGCAACGTCGCTGACCTCCGCACGAGTGGGACGAGGGTTGTACTACGACAAATTTTCAGCTATATTCTGTGCAGCACATAGAACCGCGCTTACCGTCATGGACTCGAGCATCTGGGTGGCGACGATCACGGGCTTGCCAGCCTTGTTGCACTTGGCAATCATCATCTTCTGCGCAAGGAAGACCTGGCTGGCGGGAATTTCGATACCGAGGTCACCACGGGCGACCATGACACCGTCGGTCTCTGCAAGGATCTCGTCGAAGTTCGCGACACCCTGTTCGTTCTCGATTTTGACGATGATTTTGATGTTCGCGCCGTCCGGGCCGAGGACGCGACGGATGTCACGCACATCATCCGCGCGGCGGATGAAAGACGCGAATATCATGTCGACGCCGTTCTTGACACCGAACTGGAGGTCGGCCTTGTCCTTCTCGGAAAGAGCGGGGAGATCGACATCGGTTTTGGGAAGGTTGACACCCTTGCGCGAGGAGAGGGTGCCATTGTTGAGAGCGCGAACGCGCACGTTCTCGCCCTCGACGCCGAGCACAAGCAGGGACAGGATACCTGCGCAGATTATGATTGGACACTATTCGATTTTAAGAGCGGAGAGCGTCTTCACCATCATCGACGTAGATGAGCTTGCCGGGCGCGGTGACCTTGTGCAAGTTTTTCTGCACGATCCTTGTGAGGAGAGAGAGAACAAACGGTGGGACCATGTACATACGTAGTCCATGTACATGATCTTGTCGTCGCAGATCTCAGAGTACTTGGGGTCGGAGGACACGATGAACTCATGGCCAGCCTTGATGGGGATCTAACAGAGCGGGTTTAAGAACACATGGTCGTGACGCATATAAGCAGTCTGCTCACATCCTTCTTGTCCCGCATCAACCCAGTACGGATCTCGGGGCCTTTCTGTGAACAGCTCTGAGCGGCTGGGAACCAAGTGCCATGCCCGAACAAGACTCACGGTGTCCAGAGCGATCGCGACGGGGCGACCGGTGGGGTCCACTGAGAAGACATGAGGAGGGATACGACTTGTGAAGTGGATCGCACGTACGGGAGACCATCTTCCTGGTGTTGTCGATAACGCTCTTGTGCCACTCGTACTCGCCATGAGAAAAGTTCATCCGAACTGGTATGGCCCATGTTTACAGTTGAGAAGAGCAAGGACAGGGCGCCGCGGAAATCACACGCACCGATGTTCACACCCGCGCGACGCAACTCCGCCAACTTCTCGACATTGTTAGTGTTGGGACCTAGTGGGTCCCGAGGTCATCAGACACAAGATCCCGCTCGGGATGGGCTTTCCGTACCGATAGTGGCGATGATGGAGGTCTGAGAGCGGAAGGTGAGTTTTCATGGACAATCACGAGTCGTCGCGATCGGCGGACAGACCTTGCGGTGGAACTTGGTTTCCTCCGTGGGCACCTGTGCCTTGGTGGGGTCGAGCGAGGCCGACCAGACGATGCGGGAGGTGATGGTGGAGGAGGACATGGTGGATGGGCGTTCAGATGGAGTTGGAGAGAAAGAAAAGACGGCGCTGGGTATTTAAGGCGGGAGCGGAGCTAAAGTGGACGGTGATGGTTCGATGACAGCCGGCCGATATGTATATCGTTGCGGTGCACGGCGCGTCGCGTCCGCGCGCAGTGGGTGCTAATTGGCGTATCGCCGCCAACCATTGGCCAAGACTCTCTTGCACATTCTTACGTCTCTACGAACGTGTACGGTCGTTCCCCATGCCCTCGCGACGATCTCTGGGCGCACATCCTGCCAACGTTGTCGCCGCCCGAATGCTGCAACGGACCGGAGAGGATCCCCATCGATCGCGGCGGATGCGGCATCCCCAAACAAGGAGCGCGGACCGTGGCGCGATGCGGCCTTCTCCAGAGAACGTATCACCAATATCCGATCGCCCAGCGGCTCAGGCCCGCGCAGGCCAATCGTAGGCCCACCCCGGCTTATCGTCTTACGCCGAGACGAGTCGCACACAGATTCCGTCGGACCCACCAGCATATGCGGACGCTCTCATAAAAATGGAGAAGAGGCTCCGACAGCACCAGCCCAGCCCAGCCAGCGGCGATTAGAGGACTGTCGCGGTCACGGTCGACGTCATTCTTCGCACGACTATATGAGCGTCTAGATGCTACTTCGGTAAGTTGCGTTCGCTTACGGTGCTCCTTCAAACCAAGTGCATTTAGTACTCACATGTATTGACAGGGCGCACCTACCTGCGACACACAGCGAACACCTATCTGTATCAACACACTAGGTATCGTTTTGTCTTTACAAAAATATACCGCCTTTGCATACGCGTGTCGTTCCAGAGTTGGGCTGACGGTACCTGGACTGACTCCTGAGCGCAGCAGATATGCAGCTGCAGGCTGCGCGACCTTCAAAGTGCATGCGCGAATCTGACGCCTTTAGGTCCACCGACGGATGCAAGTACTGGACGTACTCCGCGCAGCAGTATAACGCAGTAGTTTGGCCTCGTGCCATGTTGTCTCACAGGCCAGCGAGGACATGTGAGTGTTTTGTTACCCGCAGTCAATTGACGGTATACATATTGTACTCAGAACATCATATTGACTCCGGAAGGCCTCATCTATGTTCGCAGACAAGGGATGGCGGGCGGTTCCAGACCCACCACTATCACAATTAGAAGCACTTTCGGGCCTATGATGATCATTGCGGGACAATCTGGCCGTCAAGACGGTTGAAACCATCTCGCGGTACGTCCCTAGTTATGTAGTGACTTTGAAAATGCATGTTGACGTAATTTACGGGGGCAACGCAACCGCAGTGCGCTTACGCCGCTGATTGCTGCAAGGAGTCACACCTTCCGGTACCGCTCGGGTTTGCGACTGCAGAGCCACCCGGTCTGTGTGTCGCGGTCACGGTGTAGTTTGACCTATGTCCGTGAGCTTCGCGTTCATAGCCGATGAATACGGCGGCAAAGGATCCTCGAAAACCTGTGCGCAGTTTTCGACCGCTCCGAACGCCCGAATGGCTAATGCCATCTTAATATGAGGTGGACTAGTCTACGGATGATTCTGCGGATGCTGACGCATCCTACGCTGTCTGCGCATTCATCCACTGGTTGGTGCATGACGCGTCGCGCAGCGTCTTCGAGTCAAGGAGGTTGACGTTAGCCGCTCACATTTATAGTACGCGCCTCCCCTCAACGTGCCCTCTGCCCCTGCAGTTTCATCTCAACTTCACACCCAACCGTTTTTAATTTGCGTCGTCCCCATCTTCGAACCGTCCGCTCCCCTCCCATCCGATCGCCGCCGCTCCCTCGGTGACACTCCTCCTTCGATTGCTCTCCTGCTCCTCCGACAACAAACACGTCGATCCCACCATGCACGCCACAACGGATGTCGAGCGCCGCCAAATATTTCAGTCAGCAGAAACGAAAACTACCGACATTTCAGCTATAGCGTACGTTTTACCCCTCTGCACAAATATCCCCTGCAAACCCCGCTTATAGCGACGGTTCAAACGGCGACGGCGGTAGACCGCTTGCACCCACAAGGACGCCCAACCCTGCTGGCGGTCAACAGCCTGCCAGTGTTTCTCCCGCTATCCCTGCGGTCCTCGTCATCTGTTGCCTTGCGGCGGTTCTGTCGTTTTGCTGGTGGTTCCGCCGCCGCCTCCGACGGTCGCGGCGGTACGTACCGCTATTCGCCAGGCTGGGATGGGGTGTAAGGCCGGAGCTTGTCGAGGTGAAGGTGCAAAACCCGAGGGTTGTGGATGCTCAGGCGAACGGGTGTTGGAGCAGTTTGTCCGTGAGTCCTAGAACGTGTCGTCTCTACTTGTGCGAAGCTCACAACAATTCAGCCGTTGGCCCTCATGAAGCTTCCTTCAGACGGGAGTCAGGGATATAGGCGCACGCTTCCACCGGCCTCGCATCCATTGGTGAAGCGGCAAGCTTCTCACCGAGTCCCCTCCGGGCAGACGCTGGAGCTCGGGGACCGACGGCCACGGAGAACAGCACGTCCTTCGAAAAGCGATCCATCCGCGGCCATCCAAGTCGCGGTCTTCATCGCCATGCCATCCTCCCATCTACACACCGACAAGCGTGGTTTGCCTAGCTTTGCGACCGACTGTGGCCTCCCTGCTCTCCATGTCGGCATCGCGAATGCGAGGTGCGCCGGGAGGTAGTTAGGATGACTCCCCCATTGACTGCGGAGGGGATGACCACTTGTTGGTGCCACCGTGACCTTGGTGTCGATCGAGTCATGTCGGTGTGGTTGATGCTCCCCTCCCTCGGTGGCATGTGACAGAACGCTGTGCCCATACAATTCCTCAATCTATCTCTGGACTCTAGGTTTGTGGCTGCTCCGAGTGCGGTGTCCCCTCAAGTGGGCAGCCCGAGGAGACAAGCGTCAAGATACGACACAGAAGAACACAGCCCTACTATATGCACGCGCGCCAACGACACTCAAGCGGTACGCGATCACCCGCAGGCAACGCGTACTTTGCATCCCTTTTCTGCATGGAGAGGTGATTGCGTTCAAAAATTCTTGTGTCGCAGTGCATCAAAGTACGTTCGACCGTGCCAGCTCTAAGTAAATGCACCGCTTTTTGTGTAACTTACATCAATCAGGACTTCACTCTGAGCGCATCCACGCTCCTGTTAGTCCACTGATCCCGCCAGGTAGAATTCTAGGGTGAAAGGCCAGTATCAGAACAAAATGCTCATTCTATATGTTATCTGTCAGCGTGCAGGTAATGGGCGTTCATCTAATGAGGATCGCCCTATACCCGTAGGTACATTCAATCCAGACATGTACATAGAGTCCGACGACCCTCCTGGTGCTGCTTATGGGCGCGGAACATGTCGATTGCGAAGCATGAGTCAGATGTGCAGGGTTCCAGATACAATCACAAAATATTACACGTCTAATCTACGCCAATACCCTCTCGTATGACGCATGCTGCACCTGTCCGACATGAGTGGACGCCGAAATGATGATGTGCAAGTGTATGGGGACTGGAGAACGGGGGAAATACTAAGCAGTGACCTTGGCGTACTGTGTGCCCTTTAGCGCTCCCCCACGCATCGTGGTCTTCACGTTGTACAGGAATTGCTCCCGGTTGCGCTTGAGTTCCTCGGCAGCCTCTGATCGGGGAACGTTTTAGCAGCATGGCCTCGGACAAGTAGGGCATATACACGCACCCTTGTTCAGCGGATCGTCGGCATTGGGCTCTAGGAATAGGTACTGTAGTCCAACCATGACGGAGTTGAGGTTCAGGACGGGTTTCCAGTCTTCTCGTAGGATGTTCAAGCACACATTGCCCTCGAGATCGACGTTCGGGTGGTAAATCTACGGCGGCGATCGTAAGCATATATGGCGTGCGATGTGCTTTTCGACATCACGTACAGTCTGTGTGCACTTGACCTTCGGTGGCTCGTGAGGGTAGTTTGAGTTGATGTTGAACTGGAAAACAAAAGCGCCACCCTTGTACATGCCTGCAAAGTATGTGAGCATGACTGATTATATAGCCCCGAATATAGAGTACATACCCTCATCTGGGGTGATCGTGAGCGTGAAGTTGAGGAGATCAGCGGGATCAGGGAAGTTTGTCTTCATAGTTGGTGGTAGGTCAAGCTCCGTCAAGTCTGAAGCGTTCATTCGGTCCGCGTTGAGTTATTGGGTCCGCCAAATGCAGCACATATCGCGCACCTTTCTGCACTCGGATCTGAGCGGCACTCGTCTTCGGCTTCTTCTTGGACGCCTGGTCCTCATTCTTCTTCATGCTCCAGATCTAGACGAGAGTGAGACCCAGATATATTCAGGAACAGGCTGGCACACCTTGATCATCGTGCGTGCAAGGGAGGGGGCAGATGTGTGGCGGAGGGTCGGGTACAGGAACGCGGCGCGTGCAAGGTTAGTCAAGCCGCGTAGGCGCCCATAGCAGTGCGGTATAAGTATCGCTCACGTGATAGCGCTTCTCGCTTCTCGTGCCCGATTTGGGTCGCGATGATCGAGTGCTTCAGCAGCCTCTCCCGCGCAGCCTGTTTGTCTCTTGTGCGCCCTTCCCCGCATTCCTCTCTCCGAGCCTTGCCCCTCCCTCTCCGTCTCTGTCTATCTGCGCATCCGTGGCAACAGAATCGGTACACGAGATCAAGATGTCCGATGTTATTCTGCCTGTCGTCAACCTCGACGTATTTCTCTCCGCGTCCCCAGATTCTGAGGAGTTCGCGAAGGAGTGCAAGAAGGTGAGAACCTCTGCCGAGACCTGTGTCTCTTTGACTTATGATGTTTGGTCGAATGTTAGGCCTCTGATGCACTGATCACCTTCGGCGCCCTCTTGTTGCACGACTCGCGTGTATCTGAGGAAGATAACGCTACTTTCCTTGACTTGATTGAGGACTACTTCGCCCAGCCCGAGAAGCTCTTGAAGGAAGATGAGCGCCCGGAGCTTGGGTACCAGGTACTGTGGTGTTCCTTCTGTCGGCGGTGGCGGTGTAGCTGAACATCCGTCCAGGTCGGTGTAACGCTTGAGAACACCGAGAAGCCCAAATGCGCCGCAGACGAGCCCTGTCTCAAAGTGATCGCCCGTCTCGACCCTGCGGAGCGCCCTCTCGACATCACTGCGCACTCCCCGGATCCGAAGTGTCGCTTCTTCTGGAAGATGAGCGAGAAGCCGCCGTATGAGACCCAATATCCCGGTTTGAACGCACCCAACGTCGTCCCGAAGGCTGAGAGTATCCGCGACCGCTGGACGCCTGTTATGGAGAAATGGGGGACTTCAATGAAGACTGCGTAAGAGATATCCGATGTAGTAAAGTCGCGATACGGCTAACATGTTCGATCACACAGGGTGGAGAGCCTGGCGGAGATGGCAGCCATCGGGCTTGGCCTTCCCCGACAGACCTTCAAAGAAGCCGGTAGATATGGGTAGGCGTTACATCACTTTGACTGCCTAAACAACCTAGTCTGACATTCGCTCCCACAGCCCCCATCTGCTTGCCCCCACCGCTTCCGATCTGGTCAAGTATGGCGAGAAGGATACCATCCTCGCCGGATTCCACACGGACCTCAACTTCCTGACTATCCACGGTCGCTCGCGTTACCCTGGCCTGAATATCTGGGCACGCAACACCGGAAAACGCATCGCGGTCAAGTTTCCCCCGACAGGCCGGTACCTCCTCGTGCAGGCTGGGAAGCAGCTTGAACACCTCAGCGGAGGCCTTATAAAGGCCGGATTCCATGAGGTTGTAGTCAACGATGCGACACTCCAGGTACGATATATAAAAGCTTCTTTTGTTGTTGCTTATCCTAACCTTATGGTGCAGGCTATCCAACGGAGGAAGGCTGAGAACCCAGACAGGCCGCTGATCCGGATCTCTTCGACGTTCTTCTGGCACCTGTCTTCGGACTACGACCTGGCCCCCATTCCGGAACTGCGGGAGAAGGCACGCTCTGTCAGGGCCGACATCATCAACCTGGGAAAGGTCGATCTCGATGAGGAGACGACGTACGAGCCGATGAAGGTCGGCCAGCAAGTCCAGAAGTACGTTCCTGTAGTCAGACGGATCATCCTGCCGGAGCTGACTGTCCTACAGCGAGCTGCGCCATATTGCGCTCATGGCTTGAGAAAACAATTCTGAAGTCTATTTACTTGTTTGGATTGTGGTTAGGCGGATTTTATCTGGGTGTTTAGGACGAAGAAAATGCTGGCGATCAGTTGTTGTGCTAACGTGTTGTACCACATATATGTACGTTCTATGTGTGTAGTTTTGGTGCGAATGAACGACCGTTGTATACCCCGACAGAAAATGAACTGACCGTTACATGATTCAGCCCTAAATACTAAGATGCATAACAGTGTGATGGTACAACTAATGCGACGGCCGTTGAGGCCTTGGTATGATACAGTGAATGTCGGCACCGACATGATGAAGTCAGTGAGACGGTATTAGTACACTCTAACGTATATGTATTCCCACTGAAGGCGGCCTTCCGTTGAGGAAGCCGATCGCCGTTAGGTCTATGACAGTGTAGGCTCGTTGAACGCCCGTAGCACGCTCTCGACCTTCGTGACCATCTCGTCCCACTCGGCCACAGGGTCGGAGAGCGCGGTGATAGCACCTCCGGCACCGAGCGTCCATTCATCGAACAGTGTATCGGGAAGGGGGGTTAGGTGTCGATCGGGTGTATCATGGAGAGCGCCGAGCCGCTCGGCCAGTCCACCAAGGCCCTCGAGATCTGCATCCGAAGTACTGGGTACCGCTCCCCGAACCGTGTCTTCTGTATCCGTGGCGTAATGTAATGGTTCGCCAGGGCTAGGAGCCAATCGCTCATCGTGTTTGAAGCAGCTGCGAATGATGACTGCCCAGTCGCCACCGCCACCAACATCAGCGTACCCAAGAACGCCGGAGTAGATGCCTCGCTCCGCGCCCTCAAGGTCACGCAAGATCTCTACACTCCGCTTCTTAGGAGCACCGGTCATACTGCCTACAAACCCCCCTTTAGCCAGTGACAGACGACACCGCGTACAGGTGGGGGCTTACCTGGTGGCAGGCTAGCACGCAAAACCTCCCAGCCTAATTCCGAGTTTGTCTTGTTCTTGATAGCTGGAGCCGGCTTGCCCTCGATGACGCTGACAAGCTGCCATACAGTCTCGTACTCCTCCACCTTGCAAAACTGGCGGACGTGCACGTCCTCGCCCACGACGCTGTGTAGGTCGTGTCGTATGAGGTCCACGATCATGAGGTTCTCCGCGACCTCCTTCTTGCTACCTGAGAGTAGCTCCTCCGCGACCTCGCGTGTGATACCGGGTGCCTTACGCACCGTCCCCTTGATCGGACGTAGCTGGCATAAGCTGTCGGGCGCTCGTGAATACGACAGGAAACGCTCGGGGGAAGAGGATAGAAGGGTGGATGGGTGAAGGCGGAGGTAGGCTGAGTGTGGAGCCGGGTTACGTGAGCGTAAAGTCTTGTAGAGCTCCCAGGAGGACGACGTGCCCCGCGCGACAGCAGAAGGCGCTTTGAGTGCGCGAATGCGCGTAGGCGCAGTCACACAAAGCTCGTACGAGTCACCAGAGAACAGCCATTCTTTCGCAGCAGCAATCTTGGAGATATATTCCGCGCGACCCGGGAGGGATACGATGGGTGCAGGCACAGACTGGCTCGAAGTAGCCCCTAGGGAACGATCTATGGTTGGCGCCGCGAAGATCTTCCGCAGACGACAGGTCATCTCCTGCAGCCACTCATCGTCGGAGGTAAGGATGGACTGTATGTGGACCAGCTGATCTCGCGAATCCACGACAATACTCCGATCGACGAAGACGAGGCTGACATCCGCGTGACGGGGCTGGTTTCCGGAACGAGGGGGGACAGGAGCGATAGTTTGCACACCCAGCTCATAGCTGAGATAGCCAACAAGGCCACCCCAGAAGGGCACTTCGGGCATACCGCCATGCGCTTTCCTGCGGTGCATGAACGCAGTGAGCCAAGCCCATATGTCCAGTGTGCCAAGTTCTGCGAACGTGATGTCTCGTCCCCGCCGTATCCGAACGAAAGAGTCGCCGATAGAATATGTGATCTTCGGGGAGGTAGGCGAGAGACATCCGATGATGGAAAAGCGACCGGGTGCAGCAGCGGAGTCGAGCATGGCGAAGTCGGTAGTGTCATCTTCTACGCCCAGCATCTCGCAGACGCGAGAGACGTCGGCGTAGGGTGCACCAATGGTTCGAGTGATGACCAGGGCAGTCGAGAGCTCAGCGGAGTCCCTAATAGCAGTTTCAGGGCGCACGCTTGGCCAGCATGCACCCATAAGGTCTTCAATGGCGGCCGTCAAGGGCAGCGTGATCCTTCCGTGGGTCGTAGACCAGCGACTCGCTAGCTTCCAAAAATTCCGTAGCACGTCCTCCCCACCGCCTTCCGTCCGCACCGACTCCGGATGATATTGTACAGACCAGAAGGGCTTGCGTCTGTGCTTGAGTGCCATGAGGACTTGACCGTTCTCCCCGTCATCGTCTGCCCAGGCTAAAGGCTCGAGATCGACCTGGCCAGAGAGTTCAACGTGTAGGGAGTGGTAGCGCACAGCGTCTACCTGCCCAACGTTCTCGAACAGATCCGTTCCTTGATGGTGGATACGAGAGACTTGACCGTGTTTGACGACATTAAGTCGCTGGATTCTACCGCCGTGCTCCACCGCCAGGCTCTGGAGGCCAAGACAGACTCCGAATACGGGGACGAGCGAGTCTTCCGCGACATGCCAGACGTCCTTCACTATCCCGACGTCTTCAGGATTGTCTGGCGAGCCAGGACCCGGTCCGACGATGACAGCGTCGAAGTGCCGCAGGAGCGGGATGAAGGAAGCGGCGGAGAGAGCATCGTTCTTAATGATATGGATGTGGCATCCAGGGACAGCCCGTTTGCAAAGCGAGGCTAGACTATAAGATGGGTTATAAGACGGCTCTATAGGCAGGTGGTCGCACGTACTTGAAGGTGAAGGAGTCGTAGGAGTCTATGAGGAGGATGCGCGCCCTGTCGGCCATCTCGGGTCGGAAGGTCTAGGTGAAGCTCAAGAAAGAAGAGAGAAGCAGAGCGGGATGTGGAGAGAGCATTAGCTGTGGGTAGCAATAGTCATATACATTTCGTGCACATGAGAGAACAGGTGAGAGGAGGGAGACAGAGACCGAGTGTGGCAATCCGCTGAGGAAAATCCTGTTCCGGGCTCCGAGCTTTACACGGGCCGCTCATCCGGGCGCGCGCGCGTCCCGACGCGTCGAGCTCGCCCTCCTCTCCGCCTTGTCCGCCGTCCCTCTCGAGGTCAATCGCACACTCCCCCATCTCTGGTGCATACGCGGAATATTTACTGGGCGAAACAAACAAAGAAGCGCGACCCATGGCGGATAACGCGCGCTCAATCCCGTCCACATTCCAGAGAGTGCGACATCCTAGTATTCCGATTCCAAGTAACGACCCTCATAATGCTTAACAGCTTAAAGTCATCTGCGTCCCTCTCTTGGGGAATGCCTTGCTCAGCCCCACGAACACTCCGGCAGTGCTGAATCTCTTGTCACAACTCCGAGACACTCTACGGCTTGTTCAGACCTCTGCCGAAGCCCTTTCTCCCCAGACCGTCTCCTACATCTTTTTCCCGCTCTCCACCATCCTTCGTCGCAATGAGCTCTCAAATATTCCAGATCAGGTACTGGAAAGACTCTTGGATGTCTTAGCTCTGCTATGTGACTTCTGGTGGTGGCATATGGATGTCGCCGTTTGGGAGCAGGTCTTCATGCTCTGCAGTGCCATCCTTGGGGGCATTGACCGGAAGGGCAAGGGCAAGGATAGGGACGACGAGACCAAAATTGCGGCCGCTAACTGTCTCTGGTCTCTCCTTCGCTCTCGGACGGCCGAAGAAGATCCTACGAATTTGCTCGACGGAGGCGCGCATGCTCGGGCGATCCTAGCCTCATTTAGGGATCGCGCACAGACTCCCAAATTCATGCCCGTGCTCGGTCAAACGCTGGACTCCCTCCTCATCGCGGCAGAGTCTCCTCATATGCCATTGCAACGGATTGCGCTCAAGGTCTTATCCTCTGTGATCGCTGACTATCTTCCCGACGAGTTTGTACCGTCGGTTCTCCCTGGGATAGTGAGTAGTATGAGTAAGGTCGCATTGGGGACGAAAACCTTCAAGGGGTGGGCCAACGGGGACATTGTTGCGGCTGCCCTGTTAGTCATGCAGCATGCTATCGTTCGGGCCATCGGCGACACCGTTTGTCTTCGTGAAGGGGCTGTTCAAAGCATTAGCGAGCTGGAAGACTTGCTACCAGGCTCTGGCCCTACGAGCGGCGAAGACGAAACTCCTCCGCCACCCTACGCGACACGTCGCACCACGTCGTGGCTACAAGGTAGCGCTGGGCAACTCCATATAGCGTTGAACGCTCTGTCCCCTCTAGTCAAACACCCAACCCCCACTGCTCTGCTTGGACTGGCAACCTTTTCAGCCGACGTCTTGGCCGACACTGCTCTCACACTACGCCAGTCTCAGCCCCTCCTCCTGTCCTTCCTCCTGTCTCTCCAGGCGTCCTCCTTCGATCGAGTATCGGACCACGCTGACGCCTCGCTTAGGCGGATCCTCACCGGTCAATCCCCCGTCCGCCACCACATCGCCCCAGTACTGTTCCAGATCGCACAGGACAACCTCGCGGCCTTGCCCCGGCTGCTGCTATCCCATGCCGATGCGAAGGTCGAGCATGCTACCGAGATCCTGGAGTCCATTTGCCGCCTCGCGGGCCCTCGTGTTCACCCTTCTCATCCAGGAGTCGCGGCGATCTCCGCGGGAGTGGGCAAGCTGCTGGGGCCTGGCGGCAACGTAGAGAAGTGGGGTTGGAGCCTCCTATCGACCCTCGAATTCGTCAGTCCGCCTATCGTTGTGACACCGGCGTCGGCGGCACAGCTCATGTTGGAGAATGACCCATCGGCATCCCACAGTATCTCTTTTCCCGACCTCACGTTCCGGCACGTCAGTTCACGGGCGGCACATCTGGCGCTGGAGCGAATGTTCCGCGCCCTAGGCGCTACCGCTGGAGAAGACTGCCTCTTCTCGGTGGAATGGTTTGTGGAAGCGGGACAGAGTGGTCGCGGCAAGCGAGCTGTCGCTGCCCTGTGGTGCGCCTGCAGGCTACTGGAGGGTGTTGGGAAGGTGTCGCTCGATTTCCGGACCTCAACGACACTTCCGGCCCCCCGCACGAAGAGGCTCGAGAAATTTGCTAGGAACCTCGCACGGCGTATCGGGGAAACCTGGGACGACTTGGACAGGGAAGACGTGCCTGGTGATGCGGGGCCAAAACGGGACGCCGATGAAGACAACAACGTCCTCGTCGAGCACGTCCGAGGGCTTGTCACCGTTCGGGGCGTGTCCGAGGCCGAGCCCAGGCAGACATCAGCACCGCTACATTCCACTATACAACCGATGCTTCACCGTGGGCTCTCGCTACAATTGCTGTCCATTACGGCTGGCATTCTGGAGGCGCGCTTCCTTCCGCTGCTTCTGCATACACTCTACCCGGTTCTGCACGGAATCGTCTCCGATTCGCTATTTGTTTCCATCTCCTCCTTGGCAGCGCTCAACTCTATCTCCCAAAGTACCTCCTTCGCCACCCCTGCCAATCTCCTGCTCTCTAATTTTGACTACGCATTGGACGCGGTTTCGCGCCATCTCACGAGGCGGTGGCTCGACGTGGACGCGACGAAAGTGCTAGCGGTGCTCGTCCGCCTCGTGGGCCGGGATGTGGTTGAAAAGGCCGGCGACGTGGTCGAGGAATGCTTCGACCGCCTGGACGAGTATCACGGGTACGAGGTCATCGTAGACGGCCTACTCGAAGTCCTTCGCGAAGTAGTCAAAGTGATCGAGCAAGACAACGTTAAACCCCCGTCCGGGACCCCGCATGTTCCGCCCGCGCAGTCGCACTCGGTCGACACTACCGGACATCTTGACGCCTTCGCGGATTGGTTCGCACACCGACACGACCCAAAGGAATCAGACGAACCGATCCGCGACAGCTCATACCCTCGCGAGGCGTGGGGAAAGGCCGCTGAAGAGGGCGCCGACGCCGATACGTCTGATGCTAGGCAACCGGGAGACGATCCGTCTGCCGAGACAGCACCTACGCCATCCCAGGCGTTGACACAGCAGATCGTATCGCGCTCACTCTACTTCCTTACGCACGGGGCGCCCCAGATCCGTGCACGCATCCTCCTCCTCTTGGCCCACGCCGTGCCCGTCCTCCCCGAGTCCGCACTGCTCCCCTCCGTGCATCAAGCCTGGCCCTTCATCCTAAACCGGCTGGGCGACACGGAGACGTTCGTCGTGAGCGCCGCCGCCGCACTCGTCGCAGCGCTCGCAGCGCATGTCGGGGACTTCATGTACCGGCGTATTTGGGACGATGTGTGGCCCCGGTTTCGCAGGCTTCTGCGCAGCCTCGAGCGGGCGGACGCGAATAATGCCCTGGCGCACCGCGGCCGCGACGCACCTGGAACTGAGTCGGCGTACACACACTCCCACAGGCTGTACAAGGCCATTCTTCAGACGCTGACCGCGGCCGCTCGCGGGGTGCAGGCGCAAGATGCGGCGAGCTGGGAGGCCATTGTGCTATTTCGGCGCTTCCTTCACCGCCACGCCCATGAGGAGCTCCAGGCTTGCGCAAGGGCGCTATATGCGGCGCTGCGCGCGACCAATGAGGACGCTGTATGGTTGGGACTATCGGGAACGGTGGGCTTAGTGGAAGGTTCCGTCGCGTTCCTGCGCGAGCCAAAATGGGACTTGGAGGAGAATGTCAGGGTCATCCTACAACCCTGAAGGCGTCATGGTAAATGATTTCAAATGTAGCGACGACAGCGACCGTACTCATTCCTCAAGAATGTAGCGGACGAAAGCATGGAACAAACATCAAAGGTCAAGCAACAACTGTGATGCGATGTATCGGACAACTACTCCGGGTTCGCATGTCTTCGGAGGGTGACCCCTGCTTCCGCAAACAGAGCGGCTGAGGCATCATCTCTTCAAAAACAAATATCCGTTATTAACGGATGCGTGGGAGGTAAATCGTGCTTACACTTTGTAGCTGAGGTTATAGACGACCTCCTTGACCCCTGTTTGAATGATCTTGATTGTGCACTTCAGGCAAGGGCAGCTGAGAGGCGATAATCAATGTTGTTGAACGTTTCGCACACTAGCGGTACACCTCACGTATTGCAGTAAAGCACCGCCCAATCGCCGACTCTCTCTCTTCCCGCTTCAAGTAGGGCGTTCTCTTCCGCATGGAGGCACAAGCATTCATCCGGAGTCTCGCTTGCAGTATTACATCGGACACAGCCGCCCTCGTTGCAGTTTGTCAGCCCCCTTGGTGTGCCGTTGTACCTGAAGCATTAATCAGTGCTGAGACACGGATACAGATGACGTCTGTACATACCCAGTGGCCAGTACGCGCTTGTTGCGGACGAGCACAGCGCCGACGCGCCGCTTCATGCAATTTGACCTCCTCGATGACAGTGAGGCCAATTGCATAAAATACGTATCCCAATCAGGCCGCAAACGCTCAGGGTCCAGGAGGTTGAGTTCTGCGAGGTGTTCGTGGAGGCCGGATATCGTCTCAAATGAATTCATCACCTGGACACCCGCCAAGTTGCTGAGGCTGCCGAACGGCGAGCGTGTCTTCCGTCCGAGCTTCACGGGCTGCACGCTGGGCGTGTCTTGACCCCGGTCCTGAGGGCCGTAGTAGAAGGCGTCGTGTTCTCTGATGAATTCTTCTAGCGAGTGTTTCGACTCTGACCTGGCACATGGGTGAGTGTGGGGCGGCGGAGCCGAGCCATAGAAGTACTGACCAGTCGAGGCTGCGCCGATAACGCATGAGGAGCGGCGCGTCCACACTTACGACCAGAACGAAAGGCCGTGTCATAAAATCTGCTAGCACATCGGGTGTGTCGAGGTCTGTCGTAACGAAGTCCACGCGCCAGTTTCTGGTGACGTGCGCGAGCAGTTCCGCGGGGGAGCGGAACCACAGTGGAGAAGCCTGCTCTTGGCTTGCGGCTGGGGAGGGTGCACATGGCGAGATGGGGGACACCAGAGACAGAAATGAAACGCGGTGGCGATTGGATCCGGGATCGGAAGGGGAGATGCCCTCGAGCTCGGATTCCGCGTAAGCAGCTTCAGCCAAGGGATGCGTGCTCGCTGGAGTGCCATCAGCAAAATCAACCTAGCAGCCACAACATCGTGGTAAGATGCAGTGTCCCATTCCACCACGCGGATCCCCAATTATGACATACCCGTTCTTCCGGAGCATGCTCGAGCAACTTCACGGCAATGAAGCCCTTCTGCTCGATCAGGTACTTCTCGACCGATGACTTCCCTGCAAGGCGGGTCCCGATGATAGCGATGAACATGACCCAACCTCGTCAACGAATAGCTCGAAAAAATGCGCGGGGAATGCTGTACAAGTGCTGTCAATGTGCTTCCGTTTGGTGGCGGACCTCGGAGGCTCGCGTAACAGTGAGGGACTTTAGCTGAGTTACAGTAACGTTGATGCTGTGCAACAGTACCAATCGGACAACTGGCGCTTTCTTGAAGCTAGATCTTGATCTGAGGCTTACGGCCGGCGACCATGCGCTCACCTTTTAGAGTTACAAGCCACCGACACAGTGCAGCGAATGCTCCGATATTGATCCTAGAGCACGTCTGGCATATGTGCGACTATGGTGTTGCTATGATGATGTACGGCATATTGTGACCTGATGCATGCAGGGGCGGAGTACCAACGCCAAACTATGACCATCGCGATATCGATAATGTCACCCCAAGTTGTAACAACCATTGTACTAAATGGCCTGAAACACATTGACCTGTCGTAGTGCATAGCGTCTCCACCAGCAGTACATTGACCTACACAATCGATGAGCCAAGACGATGGCGTTGTCCGTGAAATCTTCTTGAGAAGTAGTACTTACGTTCACGAAGCAGCTGGAAGAACGTTTAACCCCTCTGAAGTGAGCGTAACGCGCTTGGGGACTGGTGACCTTCTAGCTCTGCGGCGTTCCTTGGCGGCGGCACGTCCACGGGCGCGATGTTCCTTCGCATTTCTCATGTCCTTCGGAGCTGTAGTCCGAAGCTGCTTGATATGTGTAGGAACCAGTGTCATGGATGGGACGGAAGGCCGCGACTCCAGCCAAGGGGCGACTAGAAGAGGTATGTTCTGGAGCATCGGCCCTATCGCCGGCAAGAAGGATTCGGGAGCCTGAGTCTTCGCTAAGCACAATGAAAGACCAGAAATAAGCAGCGCGCACCTCGATGAGCATAGCAGCAGCTCTTCGCAACCCAAGGGCTCCGGCTAAGGTATGCTCCGCTCCCTTCGGTAATGAAATCAACCATGTGCGTCCACCCCCTTCCCGGCGGGAGTTGCATGTTGCCACCAGATTGGGGATGTGGCTCACGAGTGCCGGCGGGTCGACATCCGCACGGCACACGACCACCAACCGGTCGCGGGATGTCGCGATGCTTCCCTGCGCAGTTTCTCCATCCTTGTCAATATCGGAATTCACCATGTGCCGATGGGGACGGGCGATGGTCTCTAAACGCTTCGTGACTTCGTTGATGCCGGCGGCAAGAGAGCGGAGGATTGGGGGAGTGACAGTCGCGGCCTCAGCCGCGTTGTTGATATCGCCTTCATGAGTGGCGAGTGGCGCATCCACAGTGGTGCTGCGAGGTCCCAGTTCGGCGAGAATCCTCGATTTTTTCGAGGCGACAATCGCCGGAGCTGCCCGGCGCTTCCTCTTCAAGCGACTTGTACGCTCGCGGGATAAGTTGTGCTCAGCGACTGCGGAAAGCATATCAACAAGACACGCCAAGATAGCGTTCTGCGCGTTCAATGGAACAGACGGCCTGCAGGGTTCAGCGACCAGCTGAGCTGCAAGGTGACTCGAAATATTCACCATTGAACACGGAATGGGTTCTCTACGACACTTCTGAAGACGGTCTTGCGCTCTCCATTGTCGCGCGCTTTTGCACGATTGGACATGCTCGTGTGGGCACGCGCCGTTTGGTCCGACATATCAATTCGGAATTGTGACCTGTGCGTTAAGTCGAGTGTGTCAGCAGGCGATGTTGGCGTAAGATGCCCAGGCACTTTACCGACAAATTTTCAAGGGCACGGCCGAGTTCCAGGTACGCGGCGAGGACTTGTGGAGGTGGATGCAGGACCCAGAGGAGAACAAGGGATGGCGGGAGGCTGTTGTTCGAGAGTCTGTGGCGGCACTGGCGGGGATGCCGCCGCGGCGCTACTGGGCTGCGCGCACTGCTCAAAGCGCCACGCGCTCGGCGTCTCCCGCGCGCTTGCGGGCCCAGAGCTCTCCCACCTACTCAGTCTGCTGGCCTCCTCCCGCGCGCGGATCGCGCGGAGTCTAACTGTGTGGTCGGTATCTTGTATTCAATCTGGATGTCGCTCATGTACTTCCAGAAAATCTCCGCGATGCATAGCTAATGTCATTTTGCGACACTCCGTCGTAGCCTGCCCGCGCGGACGCTGCTCCAACCATGCTGGCAAGGCTGGCGATGGGTACCGATGAGTGCCTACAGCGTCCACCCCGGCGGTCGCGGCGGCTTTCGAGGAGTTTCGCCAAGACAGACCGTCCGGTCACTTGCGTATGTGACGTATATCGGTAAGGATTCCTTCCCATCATGTCGTCTTGCGGCGCATTTTGACTTTTTCTTGGTCGTACAGCATCTGTTGTGCAGCCACTTACGCTCACAACACAGATCGTGTCTATCCTCAACCGTACTTTCGAGCCGTGATCCAATACCGATCGCGATATTTGGAACGAAGTCCACGAGCGCTCGCAAGAGACGCCCCCTCGGAACACACCAGTAGGTCATGTCAATACAATATCTGTCGGCGAAAATATCCATGTTGCGTGCCTCATTGATCCATGTCTATGACATGCACGCGACACAAGCGTTTGCCTCCATGTTATAAAGGCAGCCCGACCTCTGCTCATGATATCCAACATCCAACGGCAACAATGTCTTCGCAACAGTCTCCCTTCCTCATCTCCGTCTTCCACAGCCCATTCCAGTTTCCCCCAGCTTTGTGGGAGTGCTTCAACGCAGAGCCCCGGAACTCCAACATCATCTATGCCCATGCTGCGAAGCTCAGGAGCACCGGCATTGTCACCGCTCCTGGCCCGCCCGTCGATGTGTGGATCGTCTGCTGGCGGCAGGGCCCAGCTCCCATAATCGAATTTGTGCTTTCCTGCACCACCGGCCCCCTCGGTGCCTATCCGGTCTTCATATACACCCCCCTTCCCTCGGAATATCTGGCCCTCGGTTTCATCCAACCCCGTATCCATTCCATTATCGGCTACCTGCAATCGTACGTTGCGCCCGAGAGGGTGTTCTCCGTCTTCGCACTCGACCCCGTCGCGGATGCCTTTGCCGCTATGTGGACCGCAATGACCCGCGTTCCCCTCGCTACGCAACCGGTCTACTATCATGCCCAGTTCATGTCCTGCGACAGGACCACATTCAAGCCGGGAGCTCAGAACGGCACCGCCCGTACTCCGAGTCCGCTGCGCCTTGCGGTCCCGGACGATCGTATCGGGGTGGCGGCACTGTGCCACGGATTTGCTGCCTCATCGGTTCGAAATTTTAATCTTGGGCGGTGGCTCCTTGCTGATCGTTCTCATTGTTTCAGGAGCCTTTCGTGTTGACGGAACAAATGGCGCTCTACGAAGCCTCGCTCCTCATTAACAGCAACTCCGTCTGGGTTCACACCATACAGGGGCCCGGGCAGGTGACACCCGACATTGCGTGCATCGTCTCCGTGACGCGTACCACTGAGACGGTCGCTGCCATTACCAAGGTCTACACCAATCCGAACTACAGGAGCCGCGGGTGTGCCGAGCGGCTTGTCCGCTTTGCTTGTGCGAGGTGAGCGGATCGTCGAATCATTTACCCCAAGAAACGATACTCACGCCGAGCGTCTAGTCTGCTCCGGACCAAGCAGAGTGTTGTGCTGTATGTTGCTCACAACAACCAGGCGGCAAAGAAGGTGTACGAGCGCGTGGGGTTCGTTGGGTTTGCTGCCTCCGGGGTCGGAGCGACTGATTCTTGGAAGGAACTTGGCTTCGATCAGACTCTCGTCCGACTCGGACATTGGTAGACGTGGTGAATGGCGAACTTCTTGCTGGCTCGGGCATAGTACTTATAGCGGATTCGTCGTACTTGTGCGTCGTGTAGTGCCTGGAGCATAGTTTTGCAAGTTTCCGTTGTAGTACTATATTTAGACGTGGTTCTGAATGCTTTATATCAAGTGGTGCCTAGACAAAGTTATACTACCGCTAGCCACCCTGTTTTTCGAGCGTTGGGTCTGTTGTCCGCTGGATGATCGTCCACCCATTCTCAGCTGCAAGCCCGCCCTACGGCATCTTCGGACCGCTTGACCCCGCGTGACCTGTTGTCACAGCCAAGACGTAGCAGTAAGTTGTGACGTGGTTGGTCTTCGACGTCCGACGGCGACCGAGGCCTTTCCTCGAACCATATCATCCTCCGCGGCTGTGTCTGCCCGAGGATGCCGCAGCAGCTTTGACTGCTCTGCGTCTACAACCTGGGCTCAACTCTCATGCCAATTATCGTCTAGTACTTCAAGTTCGACCCTGGAACTTTAACTACGCGATGTCTCTCCCCGTCAAGGGTCCACTGGTGCGCGGCATCGGCGGGCGAGCTCCGAGCTCAGGCTGAATCGAAACTTCGAAACGGCTGACGGCGGCAAACACCACTCTGTTTCTCTTGGTGGTTGTGAAGGTCTTTCACCCCGCAGTATATGTGTCGGTCGTTGTCGGGCTACCTCTCCGAGTCGTCTTCGACTTCCCGCCAAGGCAACCCTACAATTTCTTCGCTGCGTCAATACTTTCTACCATCTGCAGGACGCTGTCCTCTCAATTGTGATATGGATCAATTCTCTGGAATCGGACCGCTCGCCGATGGTCACAAATCCGAAAGGGGCGTCCAGGGTACGTTCGGAGGTTAACGCACAGTCGTGCCTTTCACTAACAACTTGTCAGGTGGCTCAGAGCGCTCCTATAGTCCGGAGATCTGTCGCGGGCAGGAAGTACCGTTGTGCGGCGCATCCGAGACGCTGTCTCATGGAGAAAGCCCTACCCTCCCCTCCGACAGCGGATTCAGCAGACACGATTCGCTCTTCAGTTTCGGCGCATCGTCGACACGCAATGCTGCGGAACTCAAGTCCTTTCTGGGTAGCTCGAACTCACGACTGAAACCGGGCGCAACTGTTCTGCCGCTTTACGGAGCCGCCGCGGACAAGAAAATTGCAGGGGCACACACCGTATCCCTGGAACAGGCGAAGGCACGCGCCCGTGTCGAGGTGGACATTGTCCTGGAGAACGACTGCTGCGTGGAAGGTGGGTATCTGCGCGGCAGTGTCAAACTCCGCGTGCGCAAGCGTCACAAGAAAGAGGCCCACATTCTGCTCGCCGATGGCAAACTCAGGGTGATAGGTTTCGAAAGCATACCTGGCGAGGCCGACCGACACGCTTTCTACCAGCGCGCGAGTCCTCTGTGCGCAGTCACGGACGCATACAGCCGCATTTACGACTCCCCGGCGGACTCGGAGGGCTTCTCGCGCGCCATGGAGGGCGTGCACGTGTTACCATTTGCTATGCAGCTATCGGCGGACGCCCAGCTTGGTTCTCCTAAGGGCTCCCCTTGTCTGCAGAGCGGTGTATCCATTCGGTACATCGCCATGATGTGAGTGTTGCTACCCGCCTCTAGGCACATTCACATGGACTGCTAGCGCTGATCACAGTCTTGTCAGATCAGTGAAGGTCAAGGACTCGAAGACGGGTAAGCGCTCCATAGCGCACTTCTACCGTGACTGTCAAATCTGGCCTCTTTTGGACCCTGCCATTGTCCTCGCCAATGCTTCACGTCCGATACATGCTTCGACTGCGGGAAGCCTTTCCGTCATCGGTGCCGGCAAGAAGGTCAAACTCACGGCTATGCTCCCTCGCATGACGTGGTTGGCTGGTCAGCGGTGCTATGTGCACCTGTCAGTTACAAACGAAACTAAGAAGACCGTCAAAACTATCAGGCTGGCGCTGGTTAGGACAACCACCGTGTTCAGGCCAAGACCTGCCCTGAATACCGGCAATGGCGAGTCCGTTGACCCGGGGGTATGCCAGACGGCTACCACGCACAAAGTTATCGCGGAGTCTATTCTTGAGAGGAGCCAGGGCGTAGCCAAAGGTCACGCGAGTGTACAGGGCTGGTGGACCGGTGTACCCGCGGGCCAAGATGTGCAGTTTGCGCACTACATCTTAATTAATGTGAGTTCCGCTCTGCTTCCTCTGACCAATCTGCTGCTGACTATCACATCCCCTTTGGCAATGAATCACTGTAATCTTCGTCGTCCACCTTCTCCTCGCGCATCTCTCCGCGACGTCGTCACGGGACAGCCGGATGCCTTGTCTGTTACCCGCTCACGGTTTATCGAGGTTGAATACTCTATCCAGGTATCCCTCAGCGCTGGAGCCTTGACCTCCGTTATCCAAGTGACTCTTCCCATCCGCGTTGTCAACTTCCTGTCACTGGACCCTTTGCCCAGCGCACCGCTGATATCCTTAGACGGTTCTTACGCTCGCCTGGTTTCCCGCGAGGAGGCCGGAGAAAAGGAGTCCACATGCTTCGACTCAGCGGCCCCCGAGAAGCCAGGGCAGTTCTGGGACACGCCTTGTGTCGCAAACGAGACAGCACCCGCATCCCCTTGCTCGATACCATCCTTCGGTCGGGACACCAATCGAGACCGCACGGTTGATCATGTCCGCAACGCGACAGAGGGGAAGGACGTTAACGTTTGCTCCGAAGGCGTCACCTCAGGTACCCTGTCTACTGCGCTGCATGTGACGAACCCTGATTCGTCAACGCGAGGGTCCTTCTTTGAGGCCGGGGACGGCTCCGAGCTTGCCTATACGTCCGTCTCTGACACGAGCCTCTATTCTGCTGCCTCGTTCACCTCTGCGTTGGATTCCCGCACTTCGCCGCTGGATCAAACACACCTCCCTCTCGCTCCCCCCCTCCCTCTCGGCAATCTCGAACTTCCCGACGAGGCGGACCTCGGCGACGAAGTGGATGCCATCCTTCAGTCCATATCCCCTGAGTCCCCGTCCCCTGGTGCGGCTCTAAACCTACTCGTACTGGACGAGCCCACGGTCGATTCCTACCGCTACGGAGACTCAGGCCATATATCCACGACAAGAGACGGCGCTACACCGCCTAGCAGCCTAGACCCGGCGTCTACCACGGCGTCTCTTCGAAGCTCTGACGCGCACCGCCGCTCCGTGAACTCCCGTCGCTCCGGGCCAAACCCCGTGCCAGAGGACGCCTCCCTGCAGCGGGAGGTCGGTGGTACCGACGCCGCCTCACACCGAAGCCTACCGCGTCTACACACCGAAGCCGACTCGGTTACCGACCATGCATCCCGCCCGGTGCGCCCAGAGCGTTCTCCTCTGCGTACGCGGACAGGTACGTGGGGTCCGCGGGGTATCGGCTCTGGTGCGGACCGCGGGGGCATGACGTCCTTCGAAAGACGGGTACAGGAAAAGAAGCTCGCGCTCCTCGACGCCCACACAGGCTCCTCGCCTCATTCCGGCCACCGGCGCGAACCTGCGCACTGCGATGCGGCGGACACATACCGGGACGTCGACGACGACTGCGAAGATACGCCTAGACTAGGGTCCACATGCGTAGTCAGAGACGCGCCAATCCGGGGTGCGCTGGTTTCGGATGAGCACGCAGCAAACCCCTCCGGGTCTCGCATACGCACCTCGCGCCTGCTGCCTCTGCCACCCCCGCGTCTGTCAAGAACGGGGAGCTTCGCCGCCGGCGCGGGACAGGACCGCTGCGATGTCCCCGCGTCGGTGTCCGCCTTCGACTCCCTCCGCATATCTCGCTCGCGCAGTCGTGGCGAGCTTCCTACTGGCGCCAGCTTCATCGCCGAACGGTACTCTGCACATCCGCCGCCCTTGGTGGCTTCGACGTCAAGCTCGTCCTCGTCGGAGCAACTCGCCGGATCCCACTGCTACGGGCAGCAGGTGGGCGATGATTATACTGTCGCGCCGTCCAACTCTGGCCGGGACTTCTACCATCGCCCGACCGAGGGGCTGCACAGCACTGGTTCTTCCGATAGCTCCATTGTGAAAGGACGTATCGCCGCCTTCGAGGAACGTCTGAAGTTCTCGCACGACATAGGTGCTGCGTATACCTAACCTCTTCACGGCGACTCCCCGGGCATGTGACGGTGGCCTTGTGAACGGGCGAGTTGATTATGGATACAGTTACGGTTCAAACAACATGATACAAGCAGATAAAAGCAGTGCTACATTCTACAGTGTGATGAATTTACTCGATGACGACGCCCCCATTGACATGGATAATTTGACCGCTAGGAGTGCTATTAGAATGGTTTCAGGTATTTGACAGGTGCCGCAACATACCTCACGTAGCTGGAGTCGGGAGACGTCAACCACACGAACGCGGTGGCCACCTCGACTGGTTGGCCTGCCCTTCCAATCGGTACAGTCGTGCCGAACGAGTCGATAGCGTCCTTCGTCATCGTAGCGGGACTGCAGAAAATCAGCACATGATAGCTTTTCACACAGGCGTCCACAACGTACATGAGGGGCGTCCAGATGGGACCGGGCGCGACCGCATTGCAGCGGACGCCTTTCTCGCCGACGATCTGGTTGCTCAGAGCGCGCATGAAGCCAATCATCGCACCCTTGGTCGCGGTGTAGTCGATGAGCTCTGGGTGGCCGATAGCCATGTTGATCGACGCATTGAATGTGATCGTCGAACCCTCCTTGAGGTGAGGGATAGCAGCCTGCGTACGAAATGGCTTCAGAATCGCACTGTCCAGGCACTGCAGTTGCACGTACCTTGCAGATGTAGAAGAACGAATGAATGTTCGTGTCGAACGTGTCATGCCATTGCTCCGTAGATAACGAGGTGAGGTCGGTGTTGGCTTGTTGTGTCCCGTGATTCAGGATGCTGTGGGTGCGAGTGAGCGTTCGTAGTCTAGTGCGGTAGAAGGTGTCCTACATGGCGTCTAGGCTCCCATGGAAGTCGAGGTGGTTCTTGACGAGTTCCTTGCAGTTCTCTTCTTTCCTCAGATCCAGCTCGACGACGTTAATCTTGCGAGCGTTATTTGTCTTCTTCTTGATGACATCCAGCATGTCCTGGGCGTCCTGCTTCTCGCCGGGCAGGAACGTCAAGGTGAGGTCTGCTCCCTCGAGCGCTGCACGCACATATCAGTGGGAGATGTTCCAACACAAGTCACGGCAGACACACCGAAGAGGAGGGCAACGCTTCGCCCGATACCACTGTCTGCACCAGTGATGAGGGCTTTGCGGCCCTCGAGCTTGCCAGCGGCCTTGTATGGCTTGCCATCGGCGGTTATGTCGTCCAGAGGTGCGGGGTCGAGCTTGTACTGCTTCCCAGGTGTAACAGACTGCTCTTGGAAGGGGGGCTTCCAGCCTTTCTTATACTGTTCGGGGACGTTGGCAGGCATGATGGAGGCGTATGCGGTCGTGATTTTGAGGTGGTGAGAACGGGTTGAGAAGAGAATTTGGCGAGCTCACCGTGGACGTTGAGGATATATACCGCGAGAGGGGACGTGACGTCAGATATGAGAGCGAGATGGAGGCAGCTGGAGCAGCGGGCACTCGACCGGATCGTCGCGTCAAGGTCCCACCGCGTTCGCGTCCCCTCCAAATCCGGCAGCTCGCCTTCCATCTTGGGGAAGGCGGTGACATCACGGGCGCTCGAGCGCGCAAGCGGGGCTGATCTCGATTGTCGACCGTACTTGTATCCCTCCTTCCCCCGCGTCCCCGGCCATGGTCCTCGCCCTCCCGCCCACCCCGCCAGAGCTGAAGGCCATCACACCATACCTCCAGCGCGCAGATGAGATATCCCCCAAGGACCCGGTCATCGCTTACTGGTGTACGTCCCCGTAGGCCACAATGCCACTCATACTCACATCTCTCCAGGCGCGTACTATGCTGCTCAGCAGGGCATTGCACTCAAGGTCAAAGACACCAATGCTCGGCACTTCCTCTTTGAGCTCCTTGGTCTTTTGGAGAAGATGAAGACGGACCTTGGATCAAATGATGCCGTGCACGACGAGCCCGCGAGCGCGGCCTACATCGAGAACTTTGCGCTACGCGTGTTCGCAGCTGCAGACAGTGAGGATAGAAAGGGAAACGCCACTCGGTGAGTGGCTCACAATGTACTCAACTTACAACATTATTAACACAGACCCCTACAGTAATACCGCTAAGAAGTTCCACGCTGCCGCGAACTTCCTCGAGCTCCTTCGCGTATTTGAGTCCGGCAAAGCCGGCATTGACCTGCAGTCCATCGAGGAGAAGATCAAGTACTCGAAGTGGAAGGCTGCGGACATCTCGAGAGCCTTCCGCGAGGGCCGCCAACCAGCTCCCGGACCAGCAGGCTCCGTAGTCGAAGAACAGCCCGTGTTCCCCGACGTCAACCTCCCCGACCCGCACGACGCGCCCGTCACCACTCCTCGTTCCGCGCAACCACAGCTTCCCTCATCGTCCTCCCCTCCCGGGATAACGCGGGCGAACCCTCCGCCGCCGCAGCTCACGAACCTTACTCCCGACGAACCCTCAACCCATCTGAGCGCCCTCCCAGATGGCCTCGCGCCTCCGCAGCCGCCGCAGAGCCCAGGGAGCTGGAGTACCGCAGCAACACCTGGTTCCCCGAGCTTCTTCGCCGATGGGTCGACCTCGCCGACGAGTCCGGTAGGAAGCGGGCGACGCGCGGCGTATGTGAGTGAAGAACTCGAAGGTCGCGACGACGACGATAGAGGGGGCGAAACGCCCTCACCGACGTCTGCCGCCAAGTCGGTGCACTTTTCCCCATCGGTCGTCGGCGGAGCGTCGAGCGCGGGCCCCCCAGAGCAAGACCCGTTCTCGGTGCATGTGGTCGTGAATAGCCCGCCTGCGAGCCCCTACACCGTTCCACCGCCGCTCTCCTCATCCGCGTCCAATTCCCCCGCAATTGTGCCACCTCCCCTCCCTCATCACGGGGCTGTGCCTACCGTTTCTCCGACGCGTACACAGCAGCAATATGTGGCACGGCCCTCTCTGCCCCTCGAAAGCCCAACGTTGGCGACGGTCACGACCACCCCTCCGGAACTCACGCCGCAGGTCGTCTCGCGCGTGCAGAAACACTGCCGCTACGCGATCTCGGCGCTCGACTACGAGGACCCGGAGCAAGCTATCAAGGAACTCCGGGCTGCGCTGCGCATGCTCGGCGGGTGAAGGAGCGTGTGTGGCGTATGATGGACACGGATATGAATGAGCGTTATCTATGCGTTGTGTACTGCTGTGTTACCGGATGTATCCCCCCGCGTGTGGTGTACCCTACTTCTCCTGATATATAATATGTCTTCCGACCGCGTTGCGTCTAATGCCCTGCGATCGGCGCGCACACACGCGGGCACAGAGTTCGATCGCGGCGGCGCGCAGATCTGCTCTGATCATGATCGCCTCGTCCTCAGCAGCACACGGCAAACTTGCGCAGAAGACGATCGACGCGGACGCCAGACCGCGGACTCGCAAAGACGCGGCCAAACCTTCGTCGAACCCTCGTAATACGTGTACATGCTCTCGATCACAGACGTCATCGCCAGCCTCGACGCCTTCGACGCGCACGCCGCCGCCACCGTCGCCGCCACCTCCTGCGTGCGTCCTGAGGATCGTCGTGGAACATTTAGAGGAAGGCGGGGTCGATCCAGCTCGTCGAGTTCAGCACCGTCTTGATCGCCACCGGCGCGGACAGCTTCGTGCTGAAGCTCGCGCGCGTCCCGGACGCGCCCGGGCCTGTGTTGCCGTACTCCGCGAATGTAACGTGGTCCGTCCTGGGTAATTTCGGTGAGCTTGTGAATGCCCGTCGCGTATTTCTTTCTGCCACGACACTCACTGCGGGGTGCTAGGAACGCGGACGAGGGCGTCAGCATGCGCCGGTGAAGGAGCCGGAATAGACTCACCCGACGTTCCAAATTGACCAGCCCGCCGCTGGTCTACAACCCCAGCACGCGCATGTCCAACAAACTAGTCAGCGTCTGGCAGGACAATATCGCGGAGAACGATGTCGCGGCGCATCCTGTAAACCGTGACTGCGCCGCGCCAACTGCTCTCCGTAAGGCAAAGGCACTACTCACACGTTGCTCCCGAGCGTGCTCTTCTGGAACACGACGCGCGCCCAGTCGCGCCAGGGGCGCCCGAGGAACGCCGTGCCGGTGCCCTGCACGGTCGAGCTGTCGATGACATACCACAGCCCGTCGTCCGTCGAGCGCCCGGACGCGGTGATGCAGCCGCTCCCGATCGTCTGCAACGGCAGAAGACTAAGTCAGCGTCTGCGCGGGCCCGCATCGCGCGCACGCGTGCCCGTGCGCGAATTTTGCTAGCGAGAAAGCACACCGAGCACTTACGTTGATGACGGAGCGGGTGATCCAGACGCTGGCGGCGGCGGACGCGGAAACGGACAGTGTCAGCGAAGAGCCAAGTCGATGGGCGGCAGGGCGGACGTACGAGGCTTGCATGCCGAATATCTGGGCCCAGGCAAACGGGTCGCGGGAGTCAGTTTGGCTGCCGGTGTGTGCGCCCAGGAAGGCAACGGAGGACACGTACAAAGTCCACGGCGCCTTCGATCCAGCTGTCCGCGTAGTATTGCCTAATAGCGACCCGCGCGGGACGTAAGCACGCGCGCCGGAGAGCGTTCAGGCTAATGGTGGGGCCCACAAACTTACGCGCCGACGTTTGCGAGGAGTGTATCCCTGGCCGCAGCAGACTAGCATTGAACGGCGATCGCCCGTTGAGGAAAGCCCGTTTGGCACTCACTGGTCACCCGTAATTTTGAGCCCGTACGCGCCAAACTGGCCCGCCTGCACACTCAATGCAATCGCTTGTGCCTGCCACAATTATTGTTGAGTGCGCTCAGTACGTAACCCCGAGCGAATTAGGTTCGGGGGTGCACCCCTACGTACCTGGTCCACCGTCTGTCCACACCATCAATGGCACGGGCGCCAAGTCGCGGACGTCGCGCAGCACAGTCGCGAACACAAAAAGTGAATGCGCGGGCGAGGCGGACGAGTGGATAAGCGAAAAGATCAATAGAGTGCTGGGCGCGATCCGGGGCGCGAAGACGCACCTTGCCGTACGTGTTCGCGATGTTTAGGTTGTACAGTGACACATTCGTGGCGTGCACTTGCACCGTCCCGCTCGCATCGTTGGAGCCCGCCTGCGAGGCCGGAATGTTATTCGTGATGGTGACAGCTTCCCGGGGTCGGTGTGCGCGTCAACGCTCGGTCTCGTCGGCGAGCCCTGCACAACGAGTACGCACTATTCCCCGTATAGGACGACGGTGTGTTCGTCTGGCCGTACACCTTCACGCCCGACCGAGTAATAATCGCCGTGTCTGTGTATGTCCCGGAGTAGACGAAGTACACCTAAACGCGGGTGCCCGGTCAAGACCCCGTCGCGCGACCGAGGTGTGAAGGAGCCACTCACGAGGCTCGACGTGTCCTTGAGGGCGGCGGACAAGGTTTTGTATTTGCCGCTAGACCCGCCGACGGTGATGGCTCCTGCAGGCGGGCTGCTAAGCGCCGCTGCGCTGACGATCAGGTAAGAGAACAGCAGAAACAAGTAGGACTGCATTAGGGCGCCGTGAGTAATGGGGTATTTTATAACTAACAATTGTTCACACCTGTTATAAACCGGTTAGTAACTGTGAAGTAGGCAAGGGCCCAGAATAGGCGGTGAATAATCGTGAATAATCGTGAGGGCGGAGCCTGCTCGGGACTGCTCGGGAAACGCTCTCAGATACCAGGACTGGGGCACTTTAACTGGAATAGCAAAACCGAGGAGCGTATATGGAGCACCGCAGCGGCCACAACCTCAGATTCCTGCGATGGAGGCGGGCCCTCAAACAGAGCGCCCGGCGCGCCCATGGCAGGCCGGCTTGCGACTTGCGATACCGAGAAGGTATGCAGATCTGCCTGCGGGAGCTCCAGCCTGTGATAAGTACACTCACAATACGACTCAGACCCGTTCGGCCTTCTGAATTCGACACGGAGGTTCGCAGCGATGGTCGTGGAGAACGTTCGCCGGGTCCGTTAGGCCCGGCGAGTTTTATACTGTTATAAACTTGTTCTAAACTGTTAGAAAAGATCTGTAACCAGTTTATAACCCACCTGTTAGTAACTGTTTCAAATCCTTGTTAGAAAGCCTCCGCCGGGCCTCCAGTTAGTAACTGTGAGTTAATAATCGGTCAGAATTTCTCACGGCGCCCTAGACTGCATCGTGAGCGCTTGAGCTCTTGGAGGAGTCAAGCGTAGCCACGCCCTGCTGCTCGCTGTTATATGTGAGCCCCTCTAGTGCCTACGCAACCAGCTTGACGGTCCGCCGAGGTCATGCAGCACTGCGTTGCCGCCGTTGCGAGCTTATTCCACGCGCTCCTAGAGCGAGATTCGGCCGGTGAGGCATATGATGTTGGCCAGGCGGGTCTCTGCACATGTAACAGGAACCAGCTGTTCGCTCGCGTTCGCTGGCGAGTACGGGCCGTCAGCATAGGCAGCGGGCCGCTCGGACATACCCGGATTTTCATAGCTCACTGGGCCTGACGTGGCCGCTGCAGGGCCGCGAGCATGGGAAGCCCCGAGTCGGATCGAGATGACAAGGTTACCGGGCTGTGTCACGCGATCTACTTAATACCGGACGATATTCGGGCCCGCGTCGAGGAAGAATTAAACATGTATGAAGAGAAAGTGCAAGTGCCTAGTGCGCGGACGGGATGCAAACGGGTGGCGGCTGGCAGGCGGTCGACCTTGGTTGACAGGGGGAAACAAGCATCGACTTGGGATTGTGGACTAGTGTGGACCGCAGTCAGCGCACTAGCGCGGATTGGACAGGGCGGCCGCTCACATGGACGCAGGGCCCTGGCTCCACTCCGCCAGCGCATCCGACTTATGGTGAAACGGCATAAGCGGATGCCCTAAGCGAGACGCCGCACTCCTGCCACAGAACCTCATGGGGGCGACGCGTGCGGAAGCACCTCGCCGGGCGCGGAGACAGGGCTCTCGTGAATGATACCCTCGTTCTTGTCTGCCTCGCTGAAGACGAATTTGGGGATGGCGACTGGGAACTCGGGTGATGGCGACGCTGCGGTGCTTGCGATGGGGGACCCCGCTAAGTCGGGGGACATCAGCACGGTGTCCCTGGTGTTGCTGCGGCTCGCTGAAAAGTCCATAGTGGGCGTCGGGAGCGCGTGGAACGTCGTCAGCGCATCGGAAAGCTCGCCGAGCTGCGAACGGAACGGTCACCGCCTGGGATCCTGCACCCCATACAAGGCGAGAGTGTGCGAACCTTGCCCATAATGTCATCGATAGCTTTCCGCCTGCCCTTGAAGGTCTCGGCTAGGTCGTTGAACTCTGCGTCGCGTGCGCGTTTGCGCTGCTCCTCGGCGGCGTCCGCCGCACCATCGGGCTCGTCCCAGTCCTCACCAACGTGGATCGTGTCAGAGTGCACACGGCCGGCAGCGCCCGCCGCCCGCTTCGCATTCCGCGCGTCGCTGAGACCAGTACCCTCCATCTGGACATGCATGCTGGCGACCGCGCTTTGCAGTTCGCGGATGCTTGCGAGACGCGTCCACAGCTCTTCCCGTGTCTGCTCGAAGTGCTCCGCCGCGGCGTCGCGTTCCTGCTCCCTGTCCTGCTTCCTGGGGACCATCACGCCCACGAGTGCGCCGGAGAAGGGGTCGTAGAGGGCCTCCTGGGTGGTACCGGGGGAGGACGCGGTGGAGCGAGCGCCGCCTGGCGACGGGCTGGGGGTGCGGTCAGCACGTTCCTGCGAGCCGACGCTTGGGATGACGCTGAGCTTCGGAGCGGTTCTGGCAGAATCTGTGATGGCCCTCGCGCTCGGCTGAGGTGGGCTGCGCGGGCCCTGGAGCTCCGCGAGAACAGCATCATGCGGGGTAGCGAGCGCGGCAGTGAGGGAGCCGGAGGCGGGGGGCGGAGCCGAGTGCGTTGCGGGGTCGTCGGGGGCGGGGTGGGATTGGAGTGATGCACGCGTCGGGTGGTCTGGGGGAGGCTCTGAGAGCGCGCGGGGGGCGGCGTGGGGGATCGGGGGCCGCAGATGGTGGGCGGGAGGACCAGAAGCCATGGCGCACGACTGCACCTGCCATTCCGGGACGCCCCCGCCCTTGACGCCGCGGCACGCGCAGGCCATGTGGCGGTGGCGGCGCCGTTGATGCTTCAAGTTCCCCACACTCCACGCCCATCCTCCTTCCTCGTGCTTTCCGTCCCCAGTGCGCTCAGACGCGGAGTCGGTCGGAGCATCCCCGCCCTAGTCGTCCACAGCGCCTGCCTATCCCCGCGCTGGGGTGGGAAACATCACAAGAACGCTAGATTGGTACTAGATTGAGCAGAGATTGGGTGCTCGCAACCTAATTACATCGGCAGCCGAAGATCCCAAGAAATTATAGCCCCTTACACTATGTACATACACTTTCCCCGCAACGCTCCATACTGGTCCACAGCTGCGCGTTCGCATGCACACGCGGCCCGCGTCGCCCCCCGATGCGTCGGGGACTAGCTCAGTACCCTGACACGCGGCAAGCGTGGCGGACACTCCAAAGTCCGCGGCTGGGGGACAGGGTCCCGTCGGCTACCCGTGCGACGGGCGCGGTGCTCTCACAGATAGCACCTCGAGAACGTGCTCGGCGGGAGGAACGACGGCCACTGTCCCCTCGCGACGGTGGCTTCCCACTCCTCGGCATGGGAGCGGTAAAGGTCCAGCGCTGCGCGCGCGTTCTCCAGCTGCCGGCGCCGCTGAGTCAGTACGCGGGCCCTGCAAAATGGCGCGGCTTACTTACCGCACAGACGTGGGTCTCCTGGACTCTGCGCCGCATGAGGTGCCACATCAACGTCTGGAGACCAATGGCCTGGTTGGGGGAGCGCAGGGCGTTGCGGAACGGTTGATACAACGCGACATCGCGCGTCGCCACTGCGGGGTGGGGGATCCCCAAAACTAAATTGTAGCATCGTGATTAGCGTTGAGGCACGGCCGCGGGGATTTGATGAAGGAGGGACTTACCGGACAGGTCTTGCCAGAGTGTATGGCCCACTAGAATCCTGTCCCTGATCAGCTGCGCGACGCGTTGCTGCACGTCCTTCCAAGGCAGGGCGTTGCCTAAATGGCCGTCAGCGCCGGGGGACGGTGAGAGAGCGAGGGGTCGTCTGACCTGGCTGGAGATCTGAGGCCTGGATGCCGGTGGTGTTGGTGCGGTAGTCCGTGACCGGGTTGGTGGGGAGGACGTATGAGCAGAAGACGGTCTGCCCTCGGTAATCGACGACGGCCACACGGCTGAGCGCGAGAAGCGAGGTGAGCGGCGCGAGCTGTGGCGTTGGGGGCGCGCGCACGGGGGACGTACGCAATCATGGGCGTGCCTCCGCCAGGCCCGCAGCCGACGCTGGTGGTGGCGAGCGCCAGGTACTTTTCCGGAGGGGGAATCGGGTATTTCTGAGCCATTGCGCGGAGGACTATCGGAGACGAGTGCACACACCTCGATGGAGTCCGAGCTGGACCGCGCCGGATTTATGTAGACGAGACGGGAAGAGCAGGCGGGGAGCGACGCATGGCGCGCCGCGAGCTGTTGGGGGCCCAAACGCGTAAATTTGTTGTTGACATTGACTCAACCAGAGCCGAAGGACAGGACGTGAAGCTTGGGGGGACCGTTGACGAAAGCGTCGTGGGGAGGCCGCCTCAGCCGTTACGCCGTTTCCGGGACGCCGGCGGAGGTAGGCGGTGAGGCGTGCAGGTAGCCGTAACGCGGAGGGGATGCATGGAGGACGACGGACTGGTCGCAGATTGCACTCGGATCTCGCGCGGACGCACCAAAGATCTCGCCGCACGCTGCAATCTCAGCGACAGATCCTGGTCCGAGCAACTTCGACCCCGAGATGAGCGAAAAGGAAGCACGGACGTCAGCCCAGCCTCCCGCAAAGGCAGCCCGCCCCCTGCGCACGCCCCCGCCCACCCTGGACGCGAGCATCACACGCCTCGCACTTTGCGGACAATTATGCCACGATCGCGCGCACATCCCGGGAACAAATCGGACGACATACCGATTCGGCCGGGGCGCGCTCGACCCCGTCTTGGGACTAGTCGCCGCGCGACACGACAAATGGCGCGCTCCTCGCCATCCTGGACGAAGTGGATAACGAGAGCGCGACGGGGTCGTGTTCGTGGCGAGCGCGCCAACGCGGTGCGCGACAGGCGCCGTGCAAGCGCCGGGCTGGTCGAGGCCAGACGCGAGTCTAAATTGCTTGGAGGTCGTGGCAGCCGCGGGCAAGATCAGATCTGCTCACGGTTCTGTACATAAGTGGAGTCAACACCCCCAATCAGGCAGTCGACGTGATTGACCCACGTACGTACCACGCCCGCCAGGCGCCCGCCCGTCATCGCGGGTTCATGCAGCACAACGTTGAATGCATCCTCATCTCCTCGGACTCGACCCACTCGCATTCGCCTTCCGAGCGCGCGTTGTCGGTCTCTAAAACTTCCCTCCATGTCATCGTCCGTGCGAGCCTAAATGACCCCGACCGAGACGCAGGGGGACGCGTGCGTGGTATCCCGGTCGGAATGATCCAGGACCGTTAACGTTGGTACACCCGCATTCGAACTAACTTCCGACTTGGCGACCTGTCCGCGACCGCTCTAAGGACACCCCAGGGTTCGCATTAGAGCAGATCTGTCAGAGCTACACCAGCCCGGTGCGACGTGGAACCTGCGCGATAAGCCGAGGTGGAGAGGATCATCTCACGAAGCCAAATAATGACGTTAGCGCACACGCACCAGCTGCTCCATCCGAAGAAAGCACAGCTCTCCACAGCATAGGATGAGTGTCCTTCCCAGTCCCCGTTTCCAGGGCAGACCCATCGGCTATACCGGACGTCGCGTTCGTGCTCCGCACTCAACATGTCCCTTGTTTTCAAGCCGCGAACGGCAGGCCGGGGCAGGGAGCGGCCCCAGGACACACCGCTCCAGGCTCCAGCACTTCGGGGGAGGCAATTAAGGGTCTACTTGTATAAAGCCTGTAAATATTACGTTCACAAGCCGCTCTACCACAGTCCACCCGCAGCGTACCGTATACGCCGTCCGCGCAGTCAGCCTCGCGCACGGCGTTCCTGTGCCCTCCAGAGCCGCCGCCGGACCACCCGCCAGCGCCAGCCTTCCCTGTTCCGCGTTGGTGACCGGTGCATGTTCAGCCAGCGCAGTCGCCGCGCGCGGTCCTTCGTCGACGAGTCGCCCAGCACCGCCTCCTTCTCCACCCTCAGCCCTTCCCGCTGCTCATTAACCGCGTTCTGGACTTCCACGACGGCGTTTGCGCGTCGGGGGTCGCCCTGTTTCAGCCAGAACGCAGCGAGGCGACGCCTCACGGCATCGTCGACGATGTCTGGGCCCCAGCGCTCCGTAAACGACTGTACGAGTTCTTCCGCGCGCCGGCCACATTGCGTCGTCTGGCGAAGGGTCCGCAGCAGGAAGTAGAGCGTGGTCGAGGTCGGCCGGAAGGCGCGGTGCATGCGGAGGAAGCCGTAGAGCGTCTTGCGGGCGGCATAATGCTCCGTCAAGCCAGGCTTCGGCCCGGGCTTCAGGTGCAGGTGGATGATAGATAGGCAGGACCGCTGCCAGGCCTCGTCGATGTCCTCCGGCAAGGATTGGAAGTACTGAGTTGTCATTGAGAGCGCCAGAGGACGCCGGCCCTGTTCTGCGAGCGTGCGCACGAGCACGAAGACGGCGTGCGGCGGCATGCGTTCAAAGTCGCCTTGAGTCACCAACGGAGGATGCTCCATAAGGGCATCGAGTCGTCCGGCGGCGACCGCGGGCGCCGGTGCCGGTACGGACTCCCTGCGCTTGCCTTCCGCACGTCTCTGTTCCCCCGGAAGGAGCGAGATGGCCCCCCACTTGACGCTGCCGAAGAATTCGAGCCAGACAGGGTAAGGCATCTCGAGGCCATCCTCCTTCATCCGCTCCATTTCCTCGCGCCACGCCTGCTCCCAGGAGCCGATTCGGACCATGCACCGCACTCGGAGCGCCCTCGTCTCCACGTCTCCCGCGACGTCCTCCCGAAGCATGTGGCCGAGTAGGCTCCTCGCTGTTCCGAAGCTCGCGTGCCGGAGCGCGAGCTTGATGAGCAGGTTGAATGACGCGGTGGAGTGAAGGTTCCCATAAGCCGCGTGGTAAGAAAGCAGCGGCCCGAGGGGCGGTAGAGCCTTCGAGGTGACGGCGAGGGTCAGGTTTGCCAGCAGGTCTTCCGGCGTGGTGGGATCCGGTACCGCTGTTAGTTGTTTGGGGATAGAAAGCGGAGGAGGAGATACTCGCGGGAGTAGGAACTCGGGGACGGAGTCCCGGACTTCCTCCCATGGCGGATCACTTTCATACGTAGACTGACCGGCAGAACCAGGGTGGGGTGACTCAAAGGCTTGCGTAGACAGTCGTTCGACGTTGATTGGGGTGACCAGGTTCCTCTTCCGAGCACGAAAGAACGCCGGACGTGCGCTCGCTTGCACCGGATCGACTTCGGCACCACATGCTACGTCCGCAGCCTGCGACACAAAGGGAGAAGTCGAGAAAGGGGGGAGTGAGGGGGCCGCACACAATTTCTTGTCGTGTGATAGGGAAGACACGGCGTAGGACGTACTGAACGCGTGCGCGGATTGGGCGCGTTAGTTGGACGTGTAAAGCACAGGAGCCTGACGCACCTGGAAGTCGACGACGACGGTCCTCCCACTCCGCCAGCACCGTCATGACCGCGCTGGACGGTGCGCAAATTGCTCGGTGCGATGCCTTGCGACCGGACACTGGTCCGATGGTACGCGCGCGTCGGCCGTGTCCTGGCCCACGCCCTGCCAGCAGCGACTTGAAATAGAGATGCGAGTGTGAGGGAGGGCAAGGTTGCAGTCAGGGACGCATGATGGGGCATGCATGAGCATTCCAGCCCGGTGCGGTCTGGTCGGTCGGGGCAGTCGGTCGTGGGCGGAGCAGGCTCAAGCTCGAGTCGAGTCGTTGCGTGACGCTGCGACCGCGTAGGCGCCCATGCTTGTGCTACAAAATTCGCCACGTGCCTCGATTGCGATCCTGGGATCAACAGCTGCAAACACCGCAGCCACGCCCGTCGGAACATGCCGCCACGGCCCCGAGAACGAACGGTCCAGGGCAGAGGGACGACGCAGTCGTCCGGAAACTGTGGCAATAGTATATTCGTGTCGTGACGTTCCGTGCTAGCATAACCAGTGATGATGTGGGCGTACAATTGCAGGGGTGCAGGGGAAGAGGACAGCAAGGTGCAAAGAGTGACTGCGTAGATGATGTATAGTAAGGGATCATCGAACATTATGAATGACCAGATGAGAGCGTATACACGGCTGCATCATGATAACCTGGAGCCGGGGAATATGTGGGAGTGCAGAGAATGTTCACATAACCATAAAGACGAGTTGCGCTGCCAAACGTCCCGAGCCGATCACATCCCCTCCATAGGTTGCCGTCCAACGAGCCAGCCGACTTTCGAAACCCAGCGATCGCGTACCTCCTTCATCACCTCCATCTCGTTGCCCTTCGCTTGTGCAAACTCGTCCAGCCCGCGTTCCCAGATCTGGACAGTATCCCTCCCGTACATGCCGCCTTGCATGTTGACCGATGCGTCGACATGATCTACCCAAGCCTTCCATTCCACCGCCAAGCGTGGAGCGAGCATGGGTACAAGCGTGGTCTGCGTGAGAGCAGGCTGCGACAGGATGTGGGATGTAAGGGCCGCGAGGAACATGTAGGTCTCGGTGGGATGGAGTTTGTCCTTGTGCTGTTGTCGCAGAGCCGTGGCGTGTGATTGCGCAGCATGTGGTCGCGGTGAGGAGGTCACGTCCGGTGTGGCGTTGGAGAAGTACGGAAGATACGAGAGACATGCAGAGACGAAGTCTTGAATATGAGGCTGGATGCGAGAAAGGATGTATTCGTCGCGCATGCCTCCGGGAGCGTTCGTGGTGGCGCCGAAAGAAGGACCTGCGCCAGTTCTGCTGCCAAAGCCGAATCCGGTGTTGAAAGAAGCGGTCCCCGCGCGGCCGCCGAACCCTCCCGTACCGCCCCATGCAGCACCCGGTTGAGCGAACGCAGAGTTTGAGTAGGGATACGCGTCTTTCAGCTTCTGGGCCGAGATCGAGAGACTCTCGAGAGCGGCGTCCAGGGTAGGGCGAGGGATCAGAGAAAGAATTGTCGGCTTGAGAGAGGGTTGGGCGGCCAAGAGGGAGCTGAGGAGGGGCAGAAGCGATTGTGGCGGTAGAGACGCTGGATATATCGATTTAGCCACAGCACGAGAAGAAGATAGATGGCAACATACCGAGAAGAAATCCAACATCAACATCGTTATCATCCGCAGCCGGCTTGCTCTCCTTGCTTCCCTGCGGCTCCTTCCCAACTGTTACCAGTGTGGGGGTGGTACGGGCACGCTTGGGTATCGAGCGCCTAACTCTCTCCGGGGTTGGACTCCTCTCCATAGCATCGTCCCGGTCGCCCTCCTCTGGTTCATGACGCCTCTTCGCCACTCGAAGCTGCGGTTGGGGGGTTTGCTGGTGGGTGGCCCATTGGAAGGCTTGTGCGTGCGAAGCCGACGGCCAGCCTTGGACCACAGGCGTCGCTGACAGGCCGAACCCGAAGCCTATGGGGGTGGGGGAGTGGCCCACGGGGCGGGCGTTGAAGCCGACTTGGAGGTGGGGGTGTGTTACAACATTTGCCATGGTCGTGGTGGTCGTTCGGAAAGATGGAGAAGAATGCGCACACCAGATGAAGCGAAGCAAGGGAGCCGCGCTAAGAAACGCCTAGCCTACGCGACTCGCCCTGGCCTGCCCTAAGGTGCTCACGTGGGCGGTTCCTTATAGCGAAGAACTTTTTGCTGCCTTGACCGTCCATGCCTCTCTTTGCTCTCTTTCGCTCCGCGCATGGATCTTCCGCTTGTTTCAGCTGGTGAGTCTGCTCTTTCTCCCGCTTTGCGGTGACGCGAAAAAATGAATCGCTACTTCGAAGCCTTCGGGCTAATGAATGTGATACATTATACCCAAATTTCTGAGCTATCATCGTCACAGCTGTCGTTCTGTTACTAACTCTTCCTTTCTTAGATGTCCTATGGCGCTCTCCTTGTCCATGTCCGTACATCTCTGAATCTGTGAGTATGTTTTCTACTTATCTTGAGGGATGAATAACATAGAGTCAAGTCCTGACCCCGTCTAAAGGATGGGGATTGACGATTAAACCATGCTAATTCTGACATTTCACCTTTGTGTATCTTCGATTGTTAGTTCATTGAACTGACCGCCTTCTCATTCACAGTGCTTTTCTCCATGCTACCTTCCGACTGTTTCAGGCGTAGGCACAGTGTTGTGTCCAGTAGATTATTCATGTATGCTGTACGACGGTCTTGAAGCAATTATTATGTTCCGCAATCCTATCTATCGAGCACGACTACAACGAATGTGTATATCTAGCGGTATGTCCATTATTATCTATGGCCACATAATGTTCAGCAACCACATCCCTCCCAATCCTATCAGAAGCTTCGTACGAAGCCCCGGTGTCCACTCAGACTCGCCATACCACACGCGGAAGCCGGGCGAAGGCTGCGCCGGTGTTGGTGAGCCCTCGGCCAGCCGATCCAACCATCGACGCGGTGGCCGCGCGGGTGTATCAGGCTCGCGGGGGATGGGGTTCCCGTCGTTGTCTTTCCTGGGCTCCTCGTCACCGTCCTGAGGAACCATGAAGATGACCTCCTGCCCCTCCTCCGACTCTGGTGGTGGAGGCGGTGGTCTTGGCGGATTGGCGGGCTGCGTTGTCGGCAGCGAAGACGCCTTCGCCTTCCCGCATATCCAGTTCGTGATCTCCCCGGTGGCCTTCGCGACAAGGTGGGAAATGTAGATGAAGATAATGGTCGTGAGCAGCAGGTTGAGCGGTCGCATATGCCGTCCCGGGAGGATGATGAGGATGCCCTTGGTGTCGCCGGCGAGCCATAGGTGGTACTGGATAATGAATGTCTCGAGGGAGCAGGTGCCGATGAACGCGAATACGCGTGATGAGCCGGAGCGGAGGATCGCGTTCGCGTTACGCAGTACGACGAACGCGCCGACCGGTAGGAAGGAGACGTACGGGTGCCAGAGGTTGTACGCGAACTTGTCGGCCTGAGCCAGCTCGAACGAGAAGAACCAGAGCAGGACGACCGCGGACAAGACGGCGGCGGACCTGACGACGAGGGGCCACCGGGGATGGTCGGTGATACGGTGTTCGCGAACCTTCATGACGGCGATGGCCGCGAACATTCCAAAATATACGATCCAGAGGTCGAGGTTGACGCGGAAGGCCCACTCGCGTGCCGACCACTGGATGTTGCAGAAACGCGCGAGGAACTGGAAAACGGCCTCCAGCAGCCAGGGCTCGCTCATGAACCATGTCACGACCCCCATAGAAAGCAGAATTTTCGTGATCAGGAAGATAGTGCGGTCATTGTACTTCGAGCCCAAGAACATAGTCCCGTAGATGATCAGGTACCATTGCGAGACCAGCGGTGCGAAGTAGTAGGAGATGTAGTCGGTGTTCATGGTGTACGCCAGGAGCAGCGTCAGCAGGTTCAAGCGGACCAAAACCTATAAACATCCGTCAATGATGAGAACTTCGTGAAATGTGCATAGGAAATACCTGAGCAACGCGCAAAAGACCGAAGTCTGCCTTCTTGACATAAAACGTAGTGTGGCCGTAGCCAGTCATGAACAAGTAGGCCGCAACAAGCACACGGATGGGGTTGTAGATTCCGGATATCTTCGACGCGCCGGTGTAGTGGTAGATGAGAATGGCAACTAGGAGGCAAATAAATCAGCGACCTTCTCGCAATCCCTCTAGTCAAGACTTACTTTGCATCCACCCTTTCCACTCATCTGTCTGCTCCCTATTCAGGAAACCAAGGTCGTTGTCGGCACGCTTAACAGAAAGCAACCCCGCAGCGAGACTCAGAAGTGCCAAGAAGCCGAACGTCCACGGGTCAAACTGCTTCTGCTCCTTCAGCCAGAAGCCTGTACGATCCGCTACATATATGAGCGCCGCTGCGAAGCTCAGTGCCAGACCGGAGACTTCATCGTCCCGGATTAGCGGCATTCCAGAAGACTGCGGGCCTGAACGTGTATTAGCGAGGTAAACTTTATACAAAGGCTTGAACCTACTGAAACGACGGGCAATGAGCCAATTAGCAGGCGCCCACAGGAAGGCTCCTGCTAGCACTAGAAGATGGAGCACGGATGGCCACGGGTACCGACGGCAGCACGTCTTGTCGAGCGGGAACGTCTTCGGAAGGATGTCGTTGCACCGCAGGTTCAACAACATCTGTGCTTGCATGCTGACCACGAGGTCAGAGAAATGCAGACCATCTTCCGTCTGCGACGGATGCAACATCGTGTTGAACACTAGCGGCAATGCAATCGGCAGGCCAGGGCGGCCTCGCGAGGGACCGGGGAGGAACGCGAAGGGGTCGCGTGACGCAGGAGGGCTGATTCTGTGCAAGAGGTCCGAGTTCATGGCGTCGATGTCGGAAGCCTGCATCGAAGCCGCACGTTCCCGGCTAAGCTTCGAAGGCACGACGTCTTCGACTGGAAGTACTGCGACCACGTCCGCAAGAGGGTAAGGCACCTGCGTTAGAGCGGCGAGAGTAGACTCCATCTTGGCTTCCCAGGCCGGTAGACCGCCCGAGTCGGCGTAGCGGAGATACCAGAGGCCGGAACCAAAGACGAGTAGAGCCGGTGTGTTCGAGGGCAGAGCATCTCGCGCACTAGGATGGAGGAGAGCGTGGGTGTGGGTTGAGTTGAGGTACGGGTCCCAGAAGAATTGTAGCTGGACATCGGACTTCGACGAGATGTACCGGTAGTCCGCGTGCTTTTGCTCGTCGTCCGGCGGCGCGGTAGGGAGGCTTGGGTCAAGTACATGCGCGAACTGGAAGAACAGCTGTCTGGTCACGGAGTCGCCGACAAAGACCACGCGTTTTGAAGCCATGCACGACGCCACATCGGCGGGCTTATACTGGTACAGCATACAGCCTAACACGACCGCGTCAATAGAGCACACAATGCGTTCTAGCTGACTACGCACCATCTGGCTGCCAATTCTTGAACTTCGTGTCCAGCCACCGACCTTCGGTAAGCAAGGCATTACAATGCATAGGGTCGGTTCGGTCTACGGCGACGCGTATGAGGCCACATCCAGGGATTATGTGCGCAGAGACGTACCCAGGAGTCCATATCTCACGAGCCCGACCAAGGTCGCTATCCCGACGCATGCCCATGAGAGGTAGTGTGGCCACAGCGGGTTGACCGAGAACTGGAAGCGCCTGGAAGGCATGACGTCGTGTCGTCCGCAGGACTTGCGCGGGTCCTATAGGGAGCGTCGCGCACAAACAAATGGTAGGCGGGGCCTGCTGGCGCGGCGAAGTATATCCAAGCGAACCCGAACTTGATGACACTTGGAGGGAAGGCACAGGCTTCACGTCTCTGTGCCGTATGCTACGGAGTGCTGCGGAGCCAGATTTAGACGTATGATTAGGCAGCTAAGGTGGGCGTGAAGCGTCTACGAGCAGCAAGAGAGAGAAAGCAGAGAGCGTGCGTGGGGGCCAGGGTGGAAGAGTGGGAGGGAAGGACGGAGGTTGCATGTGTGCTCTCAGGCTCTCTGCTCAGAAGCGGCTGCTTCGAATATCCACCTGCCGGCGCTAAGGCGCAGATATGTATAGCACGCACAGGGTCGACACTCGGGCCTATAAATATTCTGACCAGGCGAGTGCGAGCATATGGGAAGGAATAGGACACGCTCATCTAATTGAGTTTTATTCGCAGCATATTGAATGCAAAGTCCTGGGGCTATGCGAAAGGTACTAGGTGATGTCCGTGAGTGGCAAGGAGCGTCGTAAGGAGGTACTAATGCGTCCGTAGTTTCGCTACACTTATACTATGGCGTCCAAAGTAGCGCCAGGCAGCAATATCGTAGACAGAGAGCAGCAGTATACACAACACGACAGCCGGAAGGGGTACGCAGGATCTCGTTCAGATGCTGGATGAGCCTGACGATGTGGTGAGACCTAGAAGAAATATGTTCAGTGATCGGCATATATCGAGTAGTTCAAAATACGTACCGGTTCTGAGTGTTACAACAGCGTAGAGGTGGGACTGTTGAGCGCGGACACCACAAACTCGAGTGATACGGACTCACCCTTTGCAGTGGTTGTTAGAGCTCGTGGGTATACAAGAGAGGTAGCGACACCAAGAGCATGCTACACCACGCTTGTTAGAACAGGACAGACAACGATTTCATGGCGCGACATACCCGCAGAGGGATCCGACTTGTAGAAGTTGCGAATTAGCACTACCATCATCACGATGGCCAACGGAACGGCGATGAGCCTCAGCACAATGACGATGATTCGGTGACGGTTCGACGGGCTGATGATAGGATAGAGCGCCATCGCTACTAAGAGACCCATGGCAAGACCGCCGAGATGAGCTGTGACGAAGTGTCAGCTAAGTGCACAAAAGACAGTCAACGAGAGCATATACCGAAGTTGTCAACGTCTGTATGGAGGCTGGTCAGCACAAGAAACCAATATTGCTGCCGGGGCATGCCACTTACAAGGAATGAATCCAATAGCAACACCGATGACCAGCTCGACGATCATGAATGCAAGCTGCCACAACACCGTCAGCCCAAACCTCGCATGTGAATGTGAGAACTTACCTTCCGACCAGGTCGGAATGTGTACCTCCAGTGTGCGAACAAATCTATCCATGCAACCTACAAGGCGGTTCAGTACCGAAGCTTCGGACCACATTAGCATAACCTACCGCGATAGTGCCGAAAATCGCTCCGCTAGCACCGACCGATGGTGAACCAAGCAATGCAAAGTTACCACCCAGGACGTTTCTACACACCATAGTGAGCATTATCTTCCGCCGGTCAAGCCATGGACGTACCCGAAGATACCTGCCGCTGAGTACAGTATTAGGAAGGGAAGGGAACCCATTTCTCGTTCAATCTGCAAACATTCGTTGAGTGAACTGAAACCGCCGCCGCTGAGCGCATACTGACCTGCGCGGACGCCGTGAGCTGAGCGAGCATGTTGAGCAAATAATGGATGAGGCCGGCGTGGAGGAATATGGGCGTGATGAACCTAACGGCGCAGGTATGAGCCAAGCGATCCCACCACGGACGAATATGACCTACCTAAACCACTGATCGGGAGTCTCATCGTGGAACCCGCCAAACCCGCAGATGTTCTCAAGCGAGCAGAGCTCTGTCGCAGGATTCGCAGTGTCGTTCAAACCTGCCGGCGACAGCGTGAGGAGCGTGAATAGGTGTACACCGTAATATTAGCTTACAAGGAAGAAGCGTAGTGATGGGGACGTCTGTCACGTTCTTCATGCAAGGAGGGAATCGCGCGCCCATTTGGATGAGCGCAGACGAGGAGGGTCCTAGCATAGGGTTTACTACTGGCTGCTGCGAGGTTAGCATGGACTGTGCCTCGCCAGTGAATTATACTTGCCTTGAACGAGAACGGTGAGCCCTGCGCCTTCGAATTTGTCACAAGCTCAAATATGAGCACGCCGAGCATTGCTGCACTCAGCACGTAGCCTGCGCTGACATCAGACACGCATACCGTATGAGCAGCACTACGGAATGACGTACACACGATGGGATGCTTCTGCACGCCTACGCCGCGTTTCTTGTCCTGTATACGCTGCTCCAGGGGATAGAGACCAAAGTACCGCTGGAACATGTTGGGCTGCTTCATCATGACTGGTGTTGACTTCGCGGTGGGACCAGGAAACGGCTCCGCATAATCTGCGGCTGCTTGTAAGCACGGTAGGGAACCGAAGGGTGTCACGACATACCGAGGTTCTCGTACTGCGTTTGGCGGGCATAGTCCTCGGCCTTACTAGGAGGCGCAAAGGGATCATCGAGCTTGGCTTGGGACTGTGTGGGCCCGCTGGGGTAGTAGTTGTAGTTCTCGTCCGTATAGCTGTAGCGGTAGTCCGGGTCATTGGGAGTGTTCAAGTGGGTGTCCGAGCCCTGGGCTGGTGTATGCGCACTGTCGAGTAGTGGCTTAGAGTCGGACGCGTCGTGTTCGTGATCATGGTCATGTCCATGCTCGGGCTCCGGCTCGCGCGCGTACGGGTTGTTAGGCGCGGCAGACATGGCGGTCGTTAGGTGTGTGGTGGAGGAGGGTGGGTGGTAGACAAGGAGAAGGGTATGCGGGATGTGAGGGTGAGAAGGTGGTAGATATATCCCAGCGCGCAGTTGGTCGTGCGCATCGCTTCGCAGTTGTCCTCTGACACATGTCCCCGCGCTCAGCTTGGCATTTCACTCGCTCTCGTACCGCCCCTCTTTAGGCGCTGGCCGTTGATCCCCGCGGAGGTCGCATGCACAGATATTTCGACTCTTTGACCACAACGACAGCAGGCGTCGCTCAATACAGGCGGCGGCCTTGCACGCGCAGCCAGTGCAGATTCAGCTGCGCACGCTCACAACTCGCCTTCTCAGTCCGATAGACGGCGAGACCGAACGTCGCTTGAATTCCGGCGTTCTAGCGGTCTGCTGCGGACAGTGTGGAAGAGCCATGGACGCGAGCTGTGCAACTGCGTCGCTTAAGTATATCTGCACAGGTCTTTGACTCTGGAAACGCTTGTATACCCCGGAATTTGTATCTGAAAAGACCAACGTCTAGAAAGCGTTCAGTCGATGGACAAACCCTCGCTTTCCTTCCACTTCGCAAGGAGTGTGTTGCTAGGAAGGCCAAATGGATCCACGACCTTTCGGGCGACCTCAACTCCGGCCACAGGTAGACCTTTGGCATCCAGAATGCCAAGCTGCGAAAAGCCCAACTGAGTATCAGAAACTCTATTTTTGATGGAATAACATACTTGGACCAGGACGGACGCTTGATCCCAATAGCTGTTCGAACGAAGTGTGAGTAATAACGAGTTTGAACTGGAGACACCCAGGCTTACATGTGTCTAGAAGGTTACAGATCAGCGTTGAGGAGGCACAGTTGATAAGTAGAAGGCTTACTCAAACGTGAGCTTGTCGCCTCTGAATGCGACAACCCCAACCAATGCAATCTCCAAGGACTTCCCTGTGGGTTTGATCCCCGGTAGGAAGTAGTCGATTTCCTACACTAGCGTCAGGACTGATTACGCCGTTGTAGATCTACTGTTCACGTACGGTGGAGTGAGTGCACTTGAAGATCATTTCATCTATGATCCTATCGGCGCCCACTTTGGATTGAATTGTAAACGAACTGCACCCCGCATAAGAAGCGGAACACACCAGTTCGAGAGACGGTGATCAACTCCGTATCGGGAGGCGTGACCTGTGCTCATGTAAGTCTTTCTTGAGCGAATAGCGTAGACCTCACTGCGCACATTCTCTTTCGTGAAGTGGTACTAATGATGAAAATGATTATCAGTGGCACTACGGCGGGTTAGATACGTCTCGGGCTGACCTTATAGAATCGCGCTAAGTCCTGGTAGCCCACGCCCCCCGTCATGGTGGGGACGTGGTTGACGTAAGGGGTGGACACCTATGAACCCCGAGAATACGCGTAAGAACCTACTGTAAGCCGGAGGGTATGACGCACCATGGTCTGCATCGTTTCTATGAATATGCAATCGATTATGTTCAGCCAGCAGCACGCAAGAGCTGAGACGAAATCAATTACTCGGTGCGTCCCGCTCCACGAATTCCTAGCATCCCGGGGTTTCATTAATGTGATCGCCAAAGATACACCCGCAATGAAACTCACATAGTAGGTGTGCTTCTCCCAAAGCTCTTCCAACGGGAAATGAGGGCCGAGTTCCCTGCGCAGAAGCTCCAGCGTTCTAGTATACGCAAGATTGTTCGCCGAGCGCAGATGGGGGTCTATCGTCCCGACCCGCCCGCTCGCATGATCGATGGGTGCCCCAGCCTCGAAGGGGAACGGGGGCGACACGGGCACGAAGGGGTACGCGTGCGCCATGATCGGTGGGTACCGCGACGTCGGAATGCCCGCTGCCTCTTCGCCCGCGACTTCGAGAAGCGACGCGTGCAGGGCCTCCTGCTTCGAGGACAGGTGGACGAGGGTTCTGCGCGCCACGCACTCAGCAAGCGGTCGATCGCGTAGATTTCAATGGGAACGTACGGCACCACCGTTCCGTGCGCGGCCTCGTGGATGAGTGATCGACCGGTCTCTCCTACCGGGGAGTAATGGATACAGGCTCTCAGGTTCTGCGTGCCCAAGGGTGCGATCACGGAGGATATGTCTCCGGAGGCGAATCCGTAAGTCACAAGGGCCCAATCGCTGGTTTTCTGGAGCTCTTCGGTCGCCTGAGAGAGGCTCCGAGGGAGATCGTCGGCATTCAAGTTCGGGTAGGGTATCTGGATCACGGTGTAGCCCTCTTCACTGAGCTACCGCAAGCACTATTTCAGCACGCGGCGCACGCGATTGGACAAATATTGCATACCTGTTGGCACCAGGAAGTTTCCGACTCTGCGATGAAGACCACCAAAACCGGCGGCTTTGCGACAGAGGCAACGGTGTTTGGGAAGATACGCGACATGGCCACACTGCCTAGAGTACCTAGATGTTATGTTGAAAGCAGAGTAAGGCGTAGAGACGTCCTGCGATATCGCTGCGCAGTGGGAATCCATAGATTCAAACTCGTGATAACGATGCCCATTCGGGACGCTATTCCTCTCGCGGTCTGCTGACGGCCAGTGAGGGACCATTGGGGCTAGATCTTTAGCTGCCTCCATACCCACAGAGAGAAAATGCTGTGGAAGATGCTCTCGGATATGAGCGGTTTACGACAGGGTCCGAGTAAACAACTCGAGGAATGACGGCAGGGAACCAAGCTGCGGGACCCTCTGGCGCCCACAAAACACGCGACAGCTGTGGCCGTTACACGTCTCGATTGTGATGCACCTGGTCGATCTATGAGGGGAGAAGACGTTAGCCCCGACAGGTCGGGTACGACACAGATGTGAATAAACAGCAGTGGTATGTATGAGTCCGACAGCAATGCGAGTGCAGATCCATAAACAAGTCCTTCCATTACGATATCAACGGGTCGCCCTTCTGGTCTATAGGCGTGCCGTTAGCCACGCTCGCCCTTCCTCTACTTCGCCCGGACGGTGCCCGGGTCAGTGCCGTAAGGTGTACAGTCTCCGTGTCGATCTTGAGCTCGCCCGTTTCCTCATCGGGATCGTCCGATGCATACGCCGGTGGAGGCTTGTCCCCTTCGTCTTCCTCAGGCTCGAGCTCGACCGGCCTCGTCCAGCGTGCCGCAGCCCTGCTTCCGTCCACGTACTGCAGCGTGGTCGGCCCGATGTCGCGGAGCTGCTTGCTGAACCGCCAGCCCATCGCGCCCCGGTTCCCAAAGCTCGCACGGCTCTCGCTGCGGCTCGAGCCGTCCATGCTCAGACGCACGCCCGCGCGCTTCTCGTCGTCCAGACTCGGCGGCTTTGTGGGCAGGGCCCCAAGCATGCGTGGGTCCGACGGGAGCAGTAGGGGAAGCATGAAGCGCGAATCCAACAATTCGCCGAGCGGGTCAGGTGCCTTCGCTGGTTCCCAGAGCAGCTTCTCCTGTGTGCGGTCGAAGAGCGCGTCGATGGAGCGCTGGGCGGCGCTGCCCTCCTGAGAGATTGAGGACGATTGGTCGGAGGCGATCGGGACCTCGTGAAGAGACGGCGACGCGCTGACGCTGACGCTCTCGTCGCGTTCCCGTTCCCGCTCGCCGAGCTGTGGTCGCGAACCTCGGTCTGTGCTCTCCACGAATCAGGACGACCACTCTTACCTCCTTCCGCAGCTGCTCCACACCCATCTTGACGCGATGGCGCTCCCAATCCTTCTGTAGTTGTGCGAGATATTGATTGCATTCTTCGGTCATCCGACCCTCGTTGACCTCGTACTTGTAGTCTCGAACAGCTCGACGCATCTAGGCCAGGATCAACACAAGCCCCCCGAAAACATACTTTACGACTAACCTGCAATGGATTGAGGTGCTTCATGGTCTGGATCGTGGCTATGAGGTTCGCGAATTCCGTGATAGACGACGAGCACTGTCACCGGGATCAGTACGCGTCATTAAAGGCATCGTGGCAGGTTGTACCTGGAGCCAATTCAGCAGGTCGTGTACGGGGGCGAAGTGTGATCCCACGCCTCGAGGCAGCTCCATGCTGCTAATCCACTCTTCGATTACCCCCAGATTCATACTGATCTGCACCGCTCGGGATCTGCGCGAGATGAGTACGGCGACTTGCGACGGCTCGTGTGACCTACCGGCAAATATACTTCTTGCGCGTCAGGACCCTATTGAAGATCTCGCCTAGAACGGGCTCAGCACTAATCCACGAAGAATAAGAGGGCGAAGCGTACACGCTGTCCAGTACATGACTTGTGACCAAAATTGCGTCACGAGCGCGGGGTTGATACCGGATAGTATGAGGAGGGTGTGTAACGCGGTCATGAACGATATCATGTCTTTGGGGCTCGTGGGAGGAGGGTGTAGAGGATCGCTGAATAGGGACTGCAGTGGAGTAGCTGAAGATGGCGCGCGTGCGCGGGACAGAGTTTGTCGGAAAGAGGCGAAGGTACCAGCATTGGGTGGTGATGTACCCGACGGTGGTGGAGACGGCGGTCTGCTCGCCTGTGTAGGAGACAAAGGTGGAGCTCCGCGCACGGTGTTGGCGCTTGAGGCCGCTCCGTTAGCCTTTTTCTTTCCCGCACCGAACGAACGCAGGAAAGACCACTCCGACTCGAACTGGATGGATTCAAATTCGCTTGAAAGCGGGGAGTAATCCAGTAACGCCGCGTCCAGCAGTGAGTCGATCCTCCGCTCGGCGAACCGGATGATGAACACTAATCGACACTTTAGCACATGGTCGCTTAGCTCGGTACTGGGAACACGTACCAAACACAGAATTGAGAATCTCTTCGATGAGCGCAAGCGAACCCAACGCATCGCATGTCCGGCTAATGGCGTTGTCGCAACGCATAAGGTGAAGCCAGATCGTCGTGTTGTATAGCCAGAAGATCAGGTAAGTTGGATCCTCCGCATGGTTCTGTGGAGAAGCTCAAGAACCGTAACGCACACTAACAATGTTTAACTTACGAAGAAGACGTCCTCAATGGTGTCTGTAGCCCCGATTATCAGGTCTTCTATCCAATTGTGATCGCAGCTCAAGCAGGCAAACCGCGCTAGCATATATAACGCGTTGGCAGGTTCAGCATTCCGTAGCGATGGCGGGAAGTCTGTGATTAGTGACTGGAAGATGTCTGGCAGGGACATTGGCGAGAAAACCAGCATCGACGAGAAATCTGGCGGCGGTGTCTGCAGCTCGCTCTGAGAATACGACGCGACGCATTGCCGGAACGACTCACAAGCACAGCGTCCGAAAGGGCATCATCATCCCCCTCCTCGTCGGACTCGAGGGAGAAGAACGTGTCCTCGTCCCCCCACCATTTCGGGGATATTCCAAGCAACTTCTCGACCGATTCCTGGACGTAACGCCGCTTCCCTAAGCGGCGCATTCGCTTCTCGAGTGATCGTCGTTGGTCTTCCATTCGGCCGCCTTTCCACCCCGCCTCTCGCATTGCTTCCTCGAGCAAGAACGCAACATCCTCCCGGCCTGGCACAGTGGAATGCGCGGTGACAATATCCAGAGGGGTCAGTCCCCGCCTTGTGAGCGCTAACGGGGAGGACCCGTGCGTGACAAGAAAGGAAACCAGAGTCGGCGGGGAAAGCAATGCGGCGTAGTGCAGCGGTGTCCATCCGGCTATATGTGCGCAGCCACTGTGAGATCGACCAACTGGCGACAGTACGGGTTGCACGTACCATAGTCCGACGTGTTGACATCGCAGCCTTCAGAGACGAGCAACCTCACGCACTCCTCCCGCTCGATGTCCCGCTCCGACTCAGAACCAAAGCCGAGGATAGAGGTGCTGATCAGGCCGAGGCTGTCTTCGTCATGCTTCGAGAGGTCGACATACGTCTGCGCCTGCGGGTCAGAGAGCAGGAAGGAGAGCAGGTTGATGTCCGCGAATACGCAGGCGCGTATTAGCGAGTGGGTGACCAGCTCTGCCTTCTGGGAAGGCGCAAGGCTAACACTGGGTGATAACAGATCCGAGATCTGGGCGGGTGTGGGGTACAGGGGCTGCAGGTCGGGCTCGACGGTCAGGTCGACGGTTCCAATAGAGGAGGATGCCATCCGGGCTGAGGGTGTCGTTGTGAATGTGTAAGTGAGCGGTTGCTAGCGATCCCCGCACAGACTCCCGAAAGCTTATATTGGGCCCGCAGACCGTCGGTGAGTTCCCGAACAGCGGATGGCGTCACGAGACGAGGATGCGTCCGAGACAGATGTAGAGCACGGCGTCGAGAGAGCGAAAGATGGCGGACACGGTGGAATGGACGATGCGGATGGTTTGCAAGCACGGACACGGTGGTACGCGAACCCGCGACGCCTATCCGCGCAACGGCTATGGGCGCTTATGTATGCAAGTATTACGCTCCAGCCACGTGCTCGCGCATCGCGAAGCGTCCTGCTCGAGTCTTTGCTCAACGCCACGACCTCTTCCTCGGACTCATCTGCTCTGCTTCCAATATGCCCCCCGCAAAACGCACAAGACCTTCGAAGGATGCTATTCCTGAGCAAGAAAACGACGATGAGATGCTTGCCGGCTCTGGCTCCGGATCTGAGCAGGAGGCTGGATTTTCCACGGACGCCGGCTCTAGCTCCGGTGAACCCGACACCGACGACGAGATTGCTGGGTCCAAGCTAGTAAAGTCGAAGAAGACATTGAAACGGAAACGGCGCGCGACGGATGCAGTCAACTTCGGTGCGACGCTGCAGTCGCTGCTGACAACCGATGCACCCGAGGCACCACTTTCCCTCAAGCCGTCCGTAGCGAGGAAACGCAAGGAGGAAAAGCTCGAGGCAAAAGGGAAACAGGTGCTTCAGGTTGAGAGGAAGGAGAAGGAAGACAAGGGGCACATCACCGACGTTATAGGCGGCTGGGGCGGAGAGGGCGAGCGGGCACTGAGGAAGGTGGCTCAACGGGGAGGTAATATCATCCCCTGCTGCACTGATACGACGTTACTGACATTCCGCACAGTTGTCAAGCTTTTCAACGCCATCCAACAGACACAGGCTGCATCAGCAACCGCAGCGGAAGAACTCAAGTCGCACAGAGGAACGGGAAAACCAACGCTCCCCGCACCGTCATTCCATGACAAGAAAAAGAAGGGCAAGCCCAAGGACGCCATCGTCGCTGAAAGTGAGAGCATAATCATTTGCGTACATGAACCTGATCTAACTTGTCGCAGCAAAATTCGGTCAGGATGACTTTTTGGACCTCATTCGGTCCGGCGGGGTTGTTTCAAAAGCGTGATCTTTCGCCCACAGAGGCTCTGTCCTGTCGCTTTCGACTTATATGCTGTAGCTCTATGTCAAACCACCTTGAGGGACGTGCATGTATATTGCCTGCGCGCTACACATACATATGCATGATCGGGGTCAGATCCGCCAGGACGATCCAATGTGATCGCACGGAGAGCGTGGCACGTTTTCATAGCGCCCACAAGTTTTGGGCGCTTCTCCTCTTAAATGACGCCTTCGAGCTTGCCCTGAAGCGACCGCGTTCCTTGCTATAAATCTTCTTTCTCGTTCTGCCCGTGCTCCTCATGGTCTGTACCCGTCATTCTCGGTCCTAGAGCTCTCCGCTAACCATGCCACGAAACCTAGCCAACCCAGCCGAAGGCGAAGATCTATCAAGAAGAATGGGAGAGGCGGCTTCATGATGTCCAGGTCTCGAAAGAGTGAGTCTTCCTTCTAGGTGCGCGGCCGTCGTCATGGGATGAACAATTTAAATGGGAATCTCTCTGAACTCCTTGATGAGTAAAATAAATTGCATGTATTATCTGACCTTCGACGCGCCACTTCGTTTCGTTCTCGCGACGGAACATTCATGCTGACTGCGCACGACTTTCTAGGGATCTGAACAGGCTCGTCATGGACTATCTCGTCATTGAGGGATACAAGACCGCCGCCGAGGAGTTCAGCAAGGAGGCTGGGATGGAGGCTCCGGTGGACTTCGAATCCATCGAGAATAGGATGAACATCCGGGAGGCGCTGCAGCGCGGCGATGTCGGGGACGCCATCACGCGCGTGAATGATCTGAACCCTGAGGTGAGTTGCTTTCTTTGCTATCGCGATGCGCTGCACGCGCCCGCTCGAAAGGATTAAAACTTTTCATGCACCACGCTGAGCCCCTTCGGGTCGATGGTGAGACTAAACACCAAACTTCAGTCTTCAATATGATTCTCGTCTACATGTCGTCTCAGTTGAACAGCATCAGAGCTAATTGCGCCGTTTGTTCCTAGATCCTCGACACAAATCCGTCTCTGTACTTCCGGCTTCAGCAGCAGAAGCTCATTGAGTACATCCGGCAAGGCAAGGTCGCGGAAGCACTGGAATTTGCTCAGGAGGAGCTTGCTCCCCGGGGTGAAGAAAGTCCGGAGTTTCTGTCCGAACTCGAGCGCACGATGGCGTTGCTAGCCTTCGAGTCGTCTCCCTTGATGCCCACGTCAGTGAGCGAGCTGCTATCTCCTGCGCAGCGCTTGAAGACCGCGGCGGAGGTGAACGCAGCGATTCTGGAAAGCCTCAGCCAGGGCAAGGAGGCGAAGCTAGTGGGGTTATTACGCCTACTGTGCTGGGGCGAGGCCATGTTGGAGGAGCGTGCTGATTTGCCGAAGGTGCGTACTTGGCGTTTTGAACGTTTCCGTGATGTCTCATCGAGTTGCGCCACATAGCTTGACCTCAGTGATGGAACGTTCGGCGCCAACAGATAGGCAACGTTCGCCGTGCTGTTTCGACCGTGTTGTTGGCGCGCTGTGAGATACCATGTATTATTACGGACATGTAATATGGAGACATTTGCGATTCGGCATAAGACGACCGCGCAGACGTGTGCAGCAGCTCGTGCGAACGGGGGGACATCGATCCGGTGCATTGAGTGATATTGCGCGGTATGTAAGAAGACAACAATCAGATGATCGCGAGGGGAAATTGACAGAGGAGCGTACTGACATTGCACAGTAAGTAATGAAACGGCTGCCCTGGAACTAGGAACGCCGAGGAGGGTATGAAGAACGCAAAAAGCCGCTGCGCAGCACTGCGAGGAACCGGAGAAGTATGAACGAGTCCGGGCTGGCCGCACGCGACGCGGGGAGCGCGTGAGGGGCTGGGAGAGCGGCGTGCGCAGTTCATTTCGGGCGCGGGGGTGAGGCAGGAGCGAGGGGGGCAGATGGTGGATAATACAGAGGGTGCGGTGCGAGAGCCGGGCGGGAGGCAGACACATGCTGGGGAGGGTGGGCATGAGGAGTTCATGTGCACGGGAGGGAAATGCTAGAAGGGCAGGGTGGGCGCCATGAAGACGGAGGTAGAGAAAGAGGCGAGAGGCCGCCCCGGCGAGCCCCCGCAGATGTGAACTGCGAAGCCATCTCGAGAGGCGGCCTGCCGATGCTTAGTCAGCCGGCGGTAGCGTTCGCCCACCCGCGCTGTGCCTTGGCCACTCGTCCGGCTCACTCGCGTCTTCTTGTCGTGCTGCACGACGACCCCCGCGCCCTCCTCCTCGCCCTCCGCGCCCCGTCGCACCTCCGCACACACACACCCCGCCCCCGCGGCCAGCTCCCTGCCGGAGCACGTTCTCTTTGGCTGCCCGAGGTCAACGCGCCTCCACCCACGCCGCCGCTCCTTCCTCCTCCCCCGAATCATCGCGACGGCTGATCACTCACGCTTGCCCGCACCCGTCTCTTTCTTCCGCTCTCTCTCCCCGGCTGCCCACAGCCCACCATGTCCGACGATACGAAATCCGTGAACCACCGGTACCGACGCCCAAAGCGCGTGCTCGTCGTCAGCAATGCCTCCCCGGAGTCGAGCAGCGAGGAGGGCATTCCGCCCCCAGCAGAGCCGTTCAAACCCTATGGCTACGCACCCCGGCCGCTCCCCAGCCCCTCCGGGCATTTTCCTTCGTCGGAGTCGTACTACAGTCCGTATCACCGCGACACCGTCGTTCCGCACCCTCCACCCTTAACCACCGACATCCGTTCTTACCCTCCGTCGAACCCCTCCAATGGCACGCTCTCCTCTCCATCAAGCAGCAGTTCACCCGCCGTCGAGTCTACCCCTCCGCCCAGCACTCCGGGACTAACTGGCCCGGGTAGCCACCTCACAGATGATGGTACCGTCACACAGGAAACGGTCAAGCCCCCTTCGTCCGACCGCAGCGACAACACGCCGCCTGCCTCAAGACCAAGGCCCTTCGAACGCCTACGGTCGCACCTTCCTGGCGGGTCTTTCCCGATTCGACGAGGGTCCTTGAGCGGGTCTCATCCAGCCACAGTACGTCCATCCGCTTGTTCCGCCGTCTCTTCCTCTCACCGGCCCTGCAGTCGCCTACCGTCTCAACACCGGACTCGTACACTCCCTCCGGCACGATGTTTCGCTCAAGCCCGATGGACAAGGTCATCGTGCTGGTGACCACCGACGCTGAAAACATGCAAGTTGTGGATATCACAGGCGCCATGACTCCCGCGTTCATTCGGGAGCGAATTTTCACCAAGGTGCGTAAGGAGATCGACGCACCACCTACGCGTGGACTTAATACGCCATCCCCCAGCTGCAAATTTCGGACGAAGATCAGGCCAAGTACTCGATCTATCGGACCGAAATTGGGCAGTTCGCTATCAGCGAAGCCCTCCTCGACGAAGAGCTGTTCAGCCTCTACAAAGAGTTTGGCGATCATCGAGGCAGTCTCAAGTTGCTCGTCTCGCATTCATCTGCGACAGTACATGAGCCGGTCTATGACCCCGTTGCCACTTCCACGGTGAACACGATCCCGCCCCCAGTCCTCCCGCAGCAAGACCTCTATGCGCCCCTCCGTCCCAATCGCGCGGGACGCATCCGGCAGAACAGCCAGTCCTCCGCAAGCGAGGCTCATCCCGCCGAAGTTGGATACGAAGCGTCGGTGTCCGATGATCTCGACCATGGCGACATCGACCCGCCACGCGACGTGCGCGAACACGTCCGCCCACCCATCTCGCGGACGTTGCCGATCCCAGGTCATCGCCCACCTTCTCCTGCGGGGCGCCACCGATCCCGGTCTCCTGCCGGTATGCTGTCTCCGGAGCGTAGCGTCCGCAGCCCGGAAGCATATCCGTACCGCTCGGACCCTTACTACGCTGCCACTGGCATCCACCCGGGCACTTCTCCGAAGAGCTCGAGGTTCGCCGAAGGGTCACACCCATCCTCGACAGAACCCTATTCAAGCGCTCTGGCCGAGCCACCTGTGGAGCGGGAGAGAAGCCACACCAACGACGGCCAGCCATCTAGCTACTCGAATCGACAGTGGCGAGCGCACAAGGAACGGGATGCTTTGTCGGATCGCGAGCGGAAACGGGCTGGACAGCGTGGAGATGCGAGGAATGCGAGCCCGCGCCATCAGAGGAATCCTGAGTATGACCCCCTCGAAAGAAGCCATCGTCATGATCCATGGACGATGGTGCCCTCCGATATACCGTCCAGCAGCTACAAAAATGACAAGGCCACCGCCAACCCAGACACCCGTCGCTTCCCCTTGAGCCCTCCATCCATTCCAAGTGCGCTCCTTCCACGTCCGCACGGAGGCTCCAGCAACGGCACGAGCGAATCGTCGCGCAAAACGGCCAAGAAGGTTCCCGCTGCCTGGGCTGTGAATTGGAAACATGGAGTGGGTGCGAGCAGCAAACCAGAACCGAGGCCTCCTCCCCATGGTCTCGTCAAGGGCGCCGCGAAGAGCATGAACAACCTCAAGGAGGCTTACAGACACCCCTCCAGTCTGCAACCGGGGCGCAGCACACGGGCGCCGCAGCCTCCTCTCCCGCTGGTGACACGTCCTTCAACAGGGGGCAGCATGTCCGGGGGACCATCGTTCCCCAGTGCCTCCTCCTCGGGAGAGGCCTCGTCCGCTCACACGGAGCAAGGGCTGTCGCCGGATATCCTTCGCGCCATTCCTTCTCCAGGTTACACGCGGCAGCAAGCGACGTCTTACACTGGCAGTCCGTCGGGAGTGAACACGTACCTTGGCTTGTCGTCGCCCTCTCATGACCCGTTCCCACGCCCACACTCTGCGCTTGGGGATGGCGGTTCGTCGCCGTATAGTCAGCCGCGGTATATGCACTCGCCTCAGCACTCGGAGACGTCCTACGGGTCCACATCCCAGCGGCACCCATCCGGTCCTACCCACGGCTACAGCACGTCTGGTCCCGCCCACCCGTACAGCGATCGCGACGAGGCCTTCCGGACTGGCACTCAGGTATCCCGTTCATACGGCGAGTCCCACATGCAGATGCCTCCCTCCGCCGCTGAGCATCCCATGCGGGTGGCCAACGGGCCGCGCACCCCACCTCGCAGCCCCATCGCAGGTACGGTGATTGCGCCAGGCCCAAGCAATCTCTCAGAGCCAGGCGCCGTATCCCCGAGCACACCTGGCCTTGCGTTTGCTCAACGCGGCGCGATCGACGAAGATGGCAGCATGAACACCCTCAGGGGCAACGAGCGCACCTGGTTGAAGGGAATCATCGACGAGGACGCTGCAGCGGAGTGCACGATGCGGCCCAAACAGCATATGCCGCCTGCTGTGCAGCTGCCCACTCCGCCTCTCACCGACATGTCGACGTTCCCGTCCAACGTTTCGAGTGTCATACAGGACTGTGCCTCCGAAGGCGGCGATTCGGACGACAGCAGTGAAGACGGCGGCACCATCTGGGCCAAGAAGCCGGTGAAGGCTCTTGACGCACATCCGTCCCAGATGCCACGGTCGAGCACCCGGCCGCCTCTCGCCCCCCTCAGTATCGAGAGCTCACCCGCATCGGGACATAGCACACTACCCTCCAACAACTATGGCCCCAATCTTCCGGGCTTGCCACCTATCCCGTCCCAGCCTCCCCCTCCCCGCACGCCCAGGAGGACGCCAGCGATCAACCGTAAGGACCGGATTAGCAAATTTGACAACAACTTCGATGTCACCTGGGCGCCGCGTCCGCCGCCCGAGGTCATGTATGAGCGCCTCGAGGAGTACTTCCCCGAGCACGACCTCGACAAGCCGGTCATCGAGACGCCCTCAGGTGGCGCGTCGCCCACGTCCACGGAGGCTCCTGCCGTCCCGATCACGCAGCGCTTCAAGCACAAGAAGTCGATCCGTGTCGTTGCCGCCGAGCACAAGCGGCAATTGGACCGCACGTCGCGCGCGGAGGATGCTACGTACGCGCCCATGTCGCGCAAGCGGCACACGAAGATGTGGGGCAGCAAGCTGGAGGAGGTCACGACGGAGCAGGGCAAGGGTCCCGCGTCTTCTGGCTCCGACGCGTCGCCCGGCGGTGGTGCGAAACGTAAGTAATTCGCCCGTGTTGGTCGCACTCTACTGACGTGTGTCATTTACGCGCAGCCATTTTCCGATGGGTGCGGGGTGAGCTCATTGGCAAGGGCACGTACGGCAGGGTGTACCTGGCGCTCAACGCCACTACGGGTGAGATGATCGCCGTCAAGCAGGTCGAGATTCCCCGGACGGCGAGCGACAAAGACGACTCCCGGCAGGTCACGGTCGTCGAAGCGCTGAAGCTCGAGAGCGAGACCCTCAAGGACCTCGACCACCCGAACATCGTGCAGTACCTCGGTTTCGAGGAGACGCCGACGTTTTTGAGCATGTGAGTACACAGATGAGTGCTAGTGGGCGTCGACTGATTTGCTTTGGTAGCTTCTTGGAGTACGTACCTGGTGGTTCGATCGCGAGTTGCCTCCGGAAGCATGGTCGCTTCGACGAGGAAGTCACGAAGTCGTTCACTGGGCAGATTCTCGGCGGCCTGGAGTACCTCCATTCTCGGGGCATTTTGCATCGGGTAAGTCTACCTTGCGCCTCGTCCCTACCAGGCATTGACTTTTGTGTAGGATCTCAAAGCGGACAACATCCTTGTCGAGACTACCGGCGTTTGCAAGATCTCCGACTTTGGTATCTCCAAGCGCACAGACGACATCAACATGGCGGGCGTGCATACTTCGATGCAGGGCACCGTGTTCTGGATGGCGCCGGAAGTCGTGAACTCCAAGGGCAAGGGCTACAACTCCAAGATCGACATCTGGAGTGTCGGTTGTGTTGTGTTCGAGATGTGGACGGGTCAACGCCCATGGCTTGGTCGGGAAGCGATGGCGGTCCTGCTTCACGTACGTCCGCTCCCTGCCTATGTTTTCTTCGATGCCAGTGCTGACGACGTCGGGTGCAGTTGTATCATACCAAGCAGGCGCCTCCGGTACCCGAAGGCATCGAGCTTTCTGCGCTCGCGGACGACTTTAGGCTCAAGTGCTTCGCAGCGTGAGTACTCATACCTCTGTGTCGCATGGTTTCAATATGCTAACGGCGAATCTAGTGACCCCGACCAACGTCCTTCGGCTTCGGAGCTACGCCGGCATCCCTACCTTGAACTCCAGCCGGGCTGGTCGTTCGTCGGCTTCAAGTAGTTAGGCTGTACGCTATCACCGGCTCGCCACCGTATGTTTACTTACATTTTCCTATCTCCCATCGCCTACCCCATCTTGTTTCATACACATGCTCAATAGTACCACCACACGCCTCACGGTCTTTCTCTGGTCTCGTCACACACATCCCCGTATATCCCCCGCATCGTACACACCCTTGTAGCACTTTAATAGTATCAGGATCGCGGTTGGAATGCACGGACTCCGTTATGCCTATGATCGCATGTACAGCATGAAAGATTAGCACTTTACTCCAGGAATTTCATAGCCTGTCGTTTATTTCTGTCGCTCGCGGCTGCTCGGAGCGGTGCTGCCGCCTGCGCTCAAGCATGACGTCACATTATAAGTACCTCGCGAGGGTGTACTTCATGGCGCCTATCCATCATGCAAACTCTCGACGAGGCACTGCACAAGCCGACCGAGGAAGAGCAACTGCAGGAGACGGAGCGCGAAAACGCGGCGATACGCATCCAGAAGGCATGGCGAAAGCGGATGCGCAAGCGTTACCTGGGCGCGGACTTCCTCTGGAAAGACCTTGCCATACACGCCCGGATGCAGGTGCGCCACCACGCCCGATCACCACCACCTGCCTGCCAAGCTCACGGGCGCAACATAGGTTGACAGAGATGCCGCCGGCGAAGGGAAGAACACGAGCCGCGACCGTTGGCGACGAGGCATCTTCCTGGCTACGCGCCTCCAGGACGGGGACGACATGCTCAGGAAGGGTGAAGGTAGCACTCATCCCGACGCGGCAAGGAAACACCTGGAAACACAACATTGGTTGGAGTTCATCGACGGGTGAGCAATTGTGCGCGCGGACTTCGCGATTGGTCTTTGCTGACCGTGGTTCTTCACCAGTAAACACCGGTACGGTTCGAACCGTGAGTACGGCAGTATCACCTGCAGGTCGCAGCTACTGAATGCCGCGAACTGCCACCACCCCATGCAGTAAAGGTGCCGTTGTCAATCAAACTTAGGCTTCCCAGGCACGAGCTGATACCGCGACGCAGTACTACCATGACAGGTGGAAACACGAAGACACGAAGGAGAACTTCTTCAGATGGTAACCGGCTTCCGACGCTGTCACCACCTATCACTGATACCCCTCAGGCTAGATCGCGGGGGCGGGAAGGATCTTTCCCTGAAGGAGTGTCCACGAGAGCAGCTTGAGAAAGAGGTGCGCTGTTTTCAGCTGCGTACGGAGCTCCGCCAGGATCATTGACCCCCGCCTTTAGAGAATCACGTACCTCTCTCCTTCACAACGTCGGTACAGTTGAGCCGACATGTCCATTATACTGCTCATACAACTCCGCAGGCCTCAACTACCTGATTACCATCGACAGTACTGGCAAGCTCCGGTGGGCACGTAATGGAGAGCTGGTCGACACCACTGCCGGCCGGTACAAGGACGCAGGTGGTGGGCGGGGAATTGTGCCATTCGAAGCACCCGACATCACCCATGAGCCCAGGGCCAGCTTCAGTGCCCCTTCGCCGGACACAGGCCCAAGCTCCGGCTCCAACTCCTCGCTCGCGGACAGCCAGATGATGCATTATGTCGGCCTTCGGAGACAACCGAAGAACCCTGTCAAGAGGGTGTTGTGGAAGAACTTCACGCTTAAAGGATTGGTGGACAAACTGCTCCGCAAGACCATCAAGCGCAATACCTGGATCTATGTCTCGGTGAGTACCTGCAGCACAGAACCTGTGCTGATGATACTGATGTCGTGCAGGACAAAAACTGTTCGTGCCTGTGTTCCTTCCATTCCACCAAACTGTGGTTGCTTATCTGTTCCCCTTGCAGTCAACATCTACATCGGGATCAAAGGTGAGTCTAGAGTCGAGAAGGTACGATGAGGGACGTACCTTAATAGCTGTACTATAGCGCCAGGAACTTTCCAGCATTCGTCGTTCCTAGCAGGTGGTCTGGTTACCTCCGCCGGTTTGATATCGGTCAAAGACGGCCTCATACATACCCTGTCTCCGCTGTCTGGGCATTATAGGTGAGTATTATAACCACATCAACTCGAGTATGATCACACTCTAAACATTTTCAGGACGTCGATTGATGTAAGTTCCGGTGGAACACGCACCCCTCATGCATGTCGCTCATATGCTAATCCAACCGTCCGACAGCACTTCCGGCGCTTCACATCAGTGCTGGAAGAGCGCGGCGTTGACATGGACAAAGTTCAGTTCAGCAAAGCTGAGCTTGCTTTGTGGGGGTATGTTTATTTACTTGATAAACCAGCGTGCACTGACGTATAATCCGCGCTAGAATTGAGCACATCAAAAAATTCAAGAAGAAGCAAGCCGAGCTGCTCAAGACCGCCGGGAAGGAGACGACGCATATGGTTGGAAAGACGTCCCTTCCTGGTCGTAAGTCCAATGAACACGCGCACGACAAGCAAGAGACAGCAGAAGGGAAGGAACCTCAACGGGAGGAGCAACGAGTTGAGAGCTCCGGCGGCGGGGGTTCTCCGGCGACGCAAACCAACCGGAGCGACAAGTTAGAAGCCGATGAGGAAGAGTCAGCGCAAGCTCAATCCGGTCACAGACCAAATACTTCCGGCGAAAGCGGCACACCCCTGGGTGCGCACTCGGGAAACGACACTTCCGCGTCTTCCTCTCCCGCTCCTGAGCCTCATGTCTGAGGACGGAAGGCCAGGCTTTTCTACGGCGATTTTAGACACTTACGCAGATACCCAGAAATCATGTCCGGATTGTAGCACTGATGCATACCCTTTATTCGCTGACTGACTATGGGACGTTAATCAGCACCTTCGTATACCACGGACATCTGTACCCTTCGTTGATGTACAAACCACGAGCTTGTTTTTTTGTATCCTTATGCTCTTGCCCACTGGCTCTCGAAGTTAGACACGCCGACAGGCAGCGATGACTGAGTAGAAGATATGGCATGAGCAAGAAGACACGGTGAAAAACTAGCTGCAAATACCTTCTCATCATAGTCGACCCATTCGCCCTCCTCCAAGTCGACTTCGGAGAAGACCGTCCCAGACTCCGCGCCAACGCATTTCCAGATTCCCTGAGGATGGTATAAACAACATGAGTGGATTAGCGAAATATTAACAAATATGTATCCTACCCTTGGGTCGAACCCAACGAACTCCAGACCTCGGCAGTCGAGCGTCAGGAAGGGCAAGAACTGGCCGTTTACATCGGCCGAGTAGGGCTTTGGTTTTTCGCCGGGTTCGAACTTCGCGGAGGATTCTCGTTTGCAAAGACCACAGCGCCATACGAAATGCGCCGTGCTCCCCTTGCCCCCGGAGACATCGCGCTCTTCCTGTAGCGATGTGGCGTATATCAGTGCTGCGGTATCGTATTCGGGGTGAAAGGGGTACCGTACGATGCGGTTCAAGGAGACCATCTTAGGGTGTTCCTCATTGCAGCTGTTGCATTTTACCTGCATCAATCATTGTCAGCCTGAGCAGGTGGACTCACGCCCTGACGGGAAGAGTCGACCTTGAAGAAGTATTCAAAGTCATCCGAGGCTGGGACAAGATCTGTGACATTCTCGAGTTCGGCTTTGATGGAAAGAGAGAGGCGCTATGGATACGCTTATCAGCCATAACATCCCCTTCGTTCATACTGACGCACTCACGACCATCGTGCTGGGTGGTGGTGGCGAGTGGCAGAGATGCGATTAGCAGGGATTACCATATCTGGACGCAAGAGCTTCCCGATCCCATCTCTAGCGCCAGACGCCGGCCAGCTTTCGAGTTTCTCTGGTTTCGGTCTCTCACCGCTCGACCTCGGCGCAATGGCTCTCGTTCGCTCCTGCAGGGCTGCTTTCGCGCCATTGCACCGCGCCAACCGCCTCCACACCTCTGCTGTCCTTTCTGCCCGCCAAAATGCTGCTGCCGCCCCAGCATCCACCAAGCTCAGACGCGTTGTGCCAGACCTGGAGCCGCTGAAGTTCGACGACGAGGTCCTCGAGGACCAGGTCCCCGCCGAGGATGACGCGCCGGAGCCGACACATAAATACCTCGAGCAGCAGCGTAATATGCTATACTACCTCCGACTAATAGAACACGAAATGCCCAAGCTTGTCGGTGAGTAGAACCTTGCACTTACGTTTGGTATGTTGCTGAAGTGGCATACCTACAGCATACCGCAAGCCGTTCGTCCCCCCTAATGCATCCCAACCTCTCGTTGTTCGCTCTATCTCGTATGGTGGAGAGCCGCATCCAGCTGCCGCCAAGCGAACTATTGTCGTTCCGGTGGCTGGCCTTCCGCTAAAGAACGAGGCGGCGATTCACAAGTTCAAGGTGCTTGCGGGCGTTAGGTGGAGCCCGGATGCGCCTACGAACTCTGGGATTGACTCGGAAGAGAGCGGAGGAGAGCACGGGTACTTCAAGATATCTTGTGAGGACTTCCCGAAGCCGGCTATGAACTTGAAGTGGGCAAGTGACACTCTCGACCGGCTGTTGGCCGCTGCGAACGTGCGTACCGCCCATCACACAAACATTTATACCACTCACGTTCTCTTTATGCAGGACACGAGGGAGACATTTGCCGACATTCCCCTCGACACCCGACACATCGAGGCACGGATACGCAAGGCGAAGAAGGGCGGTCACATCTACGGGCAGCAGACTCACCGGCCATCACTAAAGGACTTCCCCAAGGAGTGGCTTCCTGCACCAAAGCCTGAAGCAGCGGCCGCGCCTGGTGCAAGTAGTACTTAACTGCCGTAGCTCCCCGTGTCCCCTTCACTATTCATTTGCATCTTCTCGGAGCGCATCGTCCGGATTCACCCTGTACCCGCCGGGTTCGAACGCGCGTGCTTATGCAGCGAGTGTGTATAAGAGCCTTCTGCCGCAACGGTCGAGCACGGAATCCGCTCGTAGCATCTCGCGATCGTGGGAATGACTCGTCCAACTGAATATCGGGTTCGGCAGGGTGGACGTTCTATACACCCATGAGGTAATCTCGTAACGTGCATCCCTTGTATATATGTGCCAGTGTTCCCTCCCTGATCCTTATCCCTGTCCTCCCATCCAGCACCAGACATGGCGAACACTATCAAGGCGTCGGTAGTGCAAGCAAGCACCGCGGCTTATTCCTTGCCTGACACCTTGGACAAGCTCGAAAAGCTGACGCGCCTTGCCAAGGAACGAGATGGCGCGCAACTCGCGGTGTTCCCGGAAGCATTGTTAGTATACCCAGACATCGGTCCATGTCCACACGAGCTGATTACCCTGTAATAGCATCGGGGGTTATCCCAAGATGTCGACGTTCGGCCTGGTCGTGGGTGATCGCCAGCCAGAGGGACGCGACGAATTCGTTCGCTACGCCAAGGCAGCCATCGAAATACCCTCGCCTGCGATCACTAGGATTGAGCAGATCAGCAGGGAGACGAACGTCTTCATCGTTGTAGGTGTGATCGAGCGCGACGCAGGGACGCTCTACTGCACGGCGGTGTTCGTTGACCCCGAGAAGGGGTACGTGGACAAACACCGGAAGCTCGTGCCCACCGCGATGGAGCGCGTCATATGGGGCCAGGGCGACGGTTCAACGCTCCCAGTTCTCGACAAGAGCTTTGAGAGCGCGTCTGCACCGGGTTCCACTGTGAACACCAAACTGTCTGCTACGATATGCTGGTGAGTGCCCCTGGTGTGCCGCTAAAAGTCTTGATGCCTGAACGTGTATTGTGCAGGGAAAACTATATGCCTCTGTGTAGGTTGACAGTGACACCTCGTTGTTCACGGTATGGCTGACAAGTCAGATAGTGAGGACCTACTACTACTCTCAGGGCACACAGATTTATTGCGCACCCACTGTCGACGCCCGGCCGGCATGGCAGCACACGATGACGCACATCGCGCTCGAGGGACGCTGCTTCGTCCTTTCCGCCTGCCAGTTCGCCCAAGAGAAGGACTACCCGCCCGACCACGCCGTCGCCAACGCGTCCGCGCGCGACCCGAACAACGTGATGATTGCGGGCGGGAGCGTCATCATCAGCCCCCTGGGCAAGGTGCTTGCGGGCCCACTGCTGGATGCGGAGGGTGTGATCTCGGCGGAGCTCGACCTGGACGACGTACTGAGGGGCAAGTTCGACCTGGACGTGACGGGGCATTATGCGAGGAACGATGGTGAGTTGTGTGGTGCTGCTTGTTCGTTAAACCACGGCCTTATGTCTCTCCTCCTGCGGTAGTCTTCGAGTTCAAGCTTCGCGAGCCCCCGGCGACCAGCTCATAGTGATTCGTTTGTGTATGAAGAAATGTACATGGGGTACGTCGAGTCGAGTTGACAGTGTCTAACTTCGCCGCTTGTTATCGTTATCCAGAGCCAAGGTGGGTGCAGGGCCGGATCAGCGATAGTTCATCGACATCTGGATCCCGTCGTAGAAGTGACGGAGAGAGATTGCTTCGGTGCCTGCACGCTGCCTGCAATGTCGAGCCTGTTTCCTCTTCGACCAGCGGTCAACAGAAGATTGAACTCTGCAATCAAGGAGACGAGTGCACTGCTGGATGCGATCCCACCCCACAATGTAGTGAAATGGCGTATGAGCCATCCTCCTGACCTGTTACTGGGAAGGGCTTGTTACTTCCATACGCTGATGTCGGAACCGTGGACGCTAACGCAGCTCACGTTCACTCGTGCGAGACAGCGCGATGCGACGGACTCGTATCCGCATTACTGCCTGTGTCCTGAGTAGCGCCGCAGATGAGATATGACATGCGGCTTGCCTGGACGGCGATGTGGACGGCGGATCCCGGATGACGGGAACGGTTGTGAAGCCGCAGTGACGGGAAGGCCGCTGGCAACCTTTTCCTTCTGTACCTTCGCCACGTCTTCGCAGCACTCAAGCGCAAGAGGAGGGGCGGCAGGACTACTGGAAGGACGAACATTGAGTTTCCACGCGTGTACTTCGCTGCCGCACGCCGCAAACGTGCCCGGAAGTCGAGGGATGGATATGAAGGGAGACGAGGAGCGCGCGTTGCGGCTGATGACCATGTCGACCCCCAGCACGCCCCCCACCATCCGCGGCAGCCCGCTGCACTGGGTAAGCCTCCGCTACGTAAAACGCACGCGAATATGTGGTGAACAGAGAGGATGTGGTGTTGTTGCAGATGGTCCTGCCCAAGCCTGGTCTGCGGTTTGGCGGCGCCACAAATTCAAGCAACGGCAAACAAGAACAGCGCTCGCGGCCTCCTTCGATTTCTCCCCCCGTTCCATTCCTCGCGGCCATCCAGGTAACGCAGGGCTCCGTCGACTCCCAGCCCCATCCTCCCCCCACCGACTCTCTCTCCTCCTTCAATCCCGCCGCCTTCACCATGTCCGACTACGACTCCACCAACGGCGACGCGTCGCTCTCCCCCAACGGCACCAGCAGGATGAACGGCTCCAGTCCCTCCCTCCAGCAGCCCGCGACGTCCCCCGGCCCCGACGCCGCCCTCTCCTCCATCATCCGGAAAAAGCTCATGGGCTTTGTCGGCTTCGCCAACCTGCCCAACCAGGTCCACAGGAAGAGCGTTCGCAAGGGCTTCCAGTTCACCACCATGGTTGTTGGTACGTAGCAACACGTTACACGCGTCAACTGTACACAGCTCAAATTCGCCCTCTAGGCGAGTCTGGCCTTGGAAAGTCCACCCTCGTCAACACCCTGTTCAACACCACGCTCTACCCCGCGAAGGTGCCCCTTCCCCCCCACGCTGAGCGCCCCTCGACGGTCGCCATTGAGAGTATCAGTGCCGGTGAGTAGGCACATGTACAGCGCGTCAAACCGCGTTTAACGTGACGTGCAATATCAGACATTGAGGAGAACGGTGTTCGCCTGCGCCTCACTGTCGTCGACACCCCTGGTTTCGGCGATTTTGTCAACAACGATGAGTGGTCAGTTGCACCTGCACGCATGGTGTTCGCACCGCTCACGTTTCTCAACAGCTGGAAGCCTATCGTGGAGAACATTGAGGCTCGCTTCGACTCTTACCTCGAGCAGGAGAACAGGGTCAACCGGCAAAAAATCGTGGACAACCGCGTCCATGCTTGTCTCTACTTCATCCAGCCCACCGGTCACTCGTGAGTATCTGCTGCGTACGCGAGAAGTCCCGAGGCGCTAACCCCAAACAGGCTGAAGCCGATTGACATTGAGTTCATGCGCCAACTTCACACGAAAGTGAACTTGATTCCGATCATCGCCAAGTCGGATACCCTTACCGACGAGGAGGTTGCCGAGTTTAAGGCCAGGGTATGTCGCACGCCTTCCTTGCTTCTGGATGCAGAGGATTGATAGTTCTTCGGAATAGGTGCTGGCCGACATCCAATACCACAACATTCACATTTTCGAGGCCCCCACGTACGAGAATGAGGATGAGGAGGCTGTCGCGGAGGCCAAGGAGATTGCGAGCAAGATCCCCTTCGCCGTCGTTGGCTCCGACAAGCTGGTGAAGACGCCAGATGGCCGTGAGGTCCGCGGACGCGCATACCCCTGGGGTGTTGTTGAGGTCGACAACGAGGACCACTGCGACTTCGTTAAGCTCCGCCAGATGCTCGTCCGGACTTACATGGAAGAGCTCCGGGAGTACACCAACGACGTCCTCTACGAGAACTGGCGGACGGAGAAGCTGCTCAGCATGGGTGTCGTTCAGGATTCTACCGTCTTCAAGGAGATCAAGTAAGTCCTGCTCATTCGCTCAACATTGCTAGCGCATTGCTAATCACTTTCAACAGCCCTGCTATCCGTATCCAGGAGGAGCGCATCATGCACGAGGCTAAGCTCGCGAAGATGGAGGCGGAGATGAAGATGGTCTTCCAACAGAAGGTGCAAGAGAAGGAGGCTAAGCTCAAGCAGTCTGAGGAGGAGCTTTACGCCCGGCATCGCGAGATGAAGGAGGCGCTTGAGAAACAGCGTCTTGACCTCGAGGACAAGAAGAGGCGGATTGAGAGTGGCCGTCCGTTGACACCCGAGAAGGCGAGCGTACGTGTACCACCGCGAGTACATGGCAGGCGCCTTACTGACATCTCTGCTTTGCAGACTGGGCGCAAGAAGAACTTCCTGCGCGGCGGTTAAGGGATTTTGGACGTGTATTTCTTCCTTGTTCCGATCTCCTCTGCTTTGTCCCAATGGTGTTGCCTTACCTAGTGCCTTCTACTCGTCGTCCGCTGCGTTATCGTATCTTCTCACCTCATATGTTTGTCGCTTCTAATCACTCGACAGTGTCCGCCTGAACACTCACCCACGCTCCTTACCCCTTACACCTGGATACCACCTTGTCTCGTCGTTTTATCAGTACTGCGGTCTGGTCATTCCCTACACACAAAACCTGTGGACTGTAGCGGCCATGAGTTTTATGACAATACCCTATACACTATGAGCTCGGATTCGAATTTGGGGCCGGATAATGCAGCCAGTCTTCGCGCGACTTTATCGAGATCAACATCGCCAAACATCTGCGGTGGCGCGAATTGGCGGAGGTTGTGCTTGAGCGCATACTACCACAGTCCCTCTGTACACTACCCACCATGGCCAACGTCCAGGCCGTCCTCTCTGCACTCCAAGTCTTCAGTCGTGCGCCAGAGAAAGCGGCGCTCGACCAGGCGAACACATGGCTGCAGGATTTCCAGCACTCTGTAAATACCCGTTTCGCCCTTGGTGCTCCCGGAGGACGGCGCCATCTGACCCTCCGCTCCCAACCCCTGCCAGTCCGATGCCTGGGCAACCTGCAATGTCCTCCTGCTCTCCCCAGAGGCCCCTCCTGCGGCTAAGATATTCGCCGCGCAGACGTTCAGAACCAAGGTGTGTACCTCTTGTCCTCCAGGACGGCTGCAGGCACATCTCATATCGGGTGAAGGTTACATATGATCTCGGAGACATGAGCACCCCGGACCTCCTGCAGCTCCGGGAGACATTGCTCAAGGCTTTGGAGACATACCACGCCGGTCCCCGCAACATCCTCGTCCAGCTCTGCCTCGCCATCTCCGGCCTCGCGCTGCAGCTCCCCGCTTGGGATGATCCTGTGCAGGATATGATCGACGCGTTTGGGCGCAACCCGGCGACGGTTCCAGCGCTGTTGCAGTTCTTGACGCTGTTGCCGGAGGAGGTCACCACGAACACGAAGATCCCCATCACGGTCAGTGGTGCACTGTGTACGTCCGCCCTTGCTGTGGCGTCTGACTCGCATGTTAGGACGACGAGTACAAGGAGCGGGCTGCGAAGCTGCTCACAGCGAACGCAACAAAAATCACAGATCTCCTTGCGATGTATCTCCAAGCATCAGGTGTGTAACATTACTTCTCGCTCGTGCTGAGGCGGAACTAACCGCGTTCATCTGCACACAGGCGTGACCCTCACCGTCCAAATTCAAGTATTCAACGCTCTCAGTAGCTGGCTTGCCGCAGGCGAGGTTGTGGCGATGTCGCTCCTCAATTCACCTTTCATCCCGTACTCCTTCCAGGCCCTCTCCTCTGACGACCTCTTCGACTCGGCGGTCTCGGTGGTCTGTGATCTCATTCACGAGACACAGGAAGTTGAGGACAACATGCCTGTGATCGAGCTTATTGTCCCTCAAGTCATCGCACTGAAGCCGAAGCTCACGGAGTACAAGGAAGACCCGGAGAAGATCAGAGGCCTCGCGCGCATATTCGCCGAAGCTGGAGAGGCGTATCGCAGCCTCCTGTTGCATCACCCGGAAACCTTCTTCCCTATAGTAGAGGCCATCGGGGAGTGCTCTGCATACTCTGACCTCGACATCGTGCCGATCACGTTCAGCTTCTGGATGCGGTTGGCTCAGAGCATCGGGAAGAGGCCCTCGGTATCGCCGCTCTTCCTGGACGCGTACCGGGCCCTCATGGATGTGATCATTCGCCACCTGCACTTCCCAGCCGACCTTGCTTCGCTGACCGGACAAGAGGCGGAGAACTTCCGCTCGTTCCGCCACGTTATGGGCGACACCCTCAAGGACTGCTGCTATGTTCTCGGGACGGAGCAGTGTCTTCTGGCCGCGTACGAGCGGATCACGCTCGAGCTCTCCCGACCGAGCGTCTCCTGGCAGGAGATCGAGGCGCCTCTCTTCGCAATGCGGTCTATGGGTGCAGAGGTTGACCCCAACGACGACAAGGCGGTCCCGAAAATCATGGATCTGATACCCTCGCTTCCTCCGCACCCTCGTGTTCGCTATGCTGCGCTCCTCATCCTCTCCCGCTATACTGAATGGATCAACAAGCACCCCGACTACATACCCTACCAGCTCCAGTACATTTCAGCAGGTTTCGAGGATGCGGATCAAGAAGTCAATGCCGCCGCAGGACAAGCCTTGAAGTATCTCTGCCAGGATTGCAAACGTGTAAGTTCGGCTGTCGTTTCAAGGCTGAACGCTACTCATATCGTCGCGCAGCATCTTGTCGAGTTCCTCCCCCAGCTGCACTCTTTCTTGGCGACCATGGGCTCCAAGCTCGTTCAAGATGACAAGGTGCAAGTTTACGAGGCGATTGCGTACGTTATCTCTGCCATGCCGATGGAGCAAGCGGCGCAATCCCTCCGCACATTCTCCTTGGACATACTCGGGCATGTCCATGCATTGGCCTCGAAGACGACTCCGGCTACTAAGGAGGAGTTGATTAATATCACACGTAAGTTTAGCCGCGGTGAAGTCATACTGGTATCTGACTGTTGTGTTGTAGACGACCTCGAAAACCTTGAGGTGATGCTAGGCGTGATCGGGTCATTCGGGGAGCAGCTTCCAGTGGCATGCCAGAACACTCACCAAGAAGCCTGGGCCGTCTTCGAGCCGTTCCTGATCAAGTATGGCTCTGAGTACTCGATTTGCGAGCGGACGACCCGGGTGCTCCGCCTTGGGCTCACGTTCTTTGGTCCTATCACACTTCCTATACTGCCATCGGTTTTGACGAGGATGGTGACTTGCTTCGAGACCACCGGGTTCTCTAGCTATCTCTGGATGGCGGGCAAAATTGTTGGACGCTTCGGGAACGAGGAAGATCCTGCGCTCCGTGCGGCCTTCAAGGAGGTTTACGAGCGGGCGTCGAACAAATTGGTTTCGATATTGCAGGAGAAGATGCCCCAGATGATACCCGACGGTACGCCATAGCTTTCAGAAACCCTCGCAGGTCGCTGACCAGTACACACAGTCCTAGAGGACTATCTGCAGATGCTCCTGCAGATGATAGAATACACACCCGACGTCTTCTTCCCCTCCCCTGCCTTCGCTTTCGCGTTCCGCGTGGCGATGGCTTCGCTGACTCTCGTACACTCTGATATTGTTTTCGCCGCACTAGACCTGCTCCGTACGATCTTCACCCATGAATGCCTTGCACCCCCAACCTCGCAGCCCCCGCCGCCCAGTTTCCCCATCTACGCTGCTGCGGTTCGGCCTGTCGTCGAGCGGGAAGGGCAAGAGCTAATTGGCTTGCTCTTGTCTGGGCTCGTCGGCGACTTCCCAGAAGAATCCATTGCGATGGTCGTGACTATCTTCCGTGTTCTGGGCGCGATCTGGCCGACCCAGCTTCATGCTTGGCTGCCGGTGGTCGTACAGCAGCTCCCCTCGACCGTTGCGCCCGACCAGGCGAAGTCCTCCTTCCTGGCCGACATCAACAGGTATGTTTTACTGTGCTGCTGCCGTGCACCCACTCTGACGTCTGGTCGTGTTCAGCTCAATTCAGTCGGGCGATGTGGAGAAAGTCAAGTATGCGATCAGGAACTTGCACCGGGCGTCACGAAAAGCACGGGAAAGGAGGCGGGCGGGTCCGTTGGAGGGCTGAGCGTCGCGCTGTACGGTAGAGCAGTTCCGAAAATTGTATACGTACGAGCCGAGAGTCCAACTGTATTGCAGTATCCCCGTTCAACGCCCGCGGTGTGTGCGGTTGGTGCGTGATTTTCGAGCCCGAGAGCCGGACGGGGTACCACGTGCGTTGATTGGGTCGCCCGAAAACGGAGCGGTGCAGCCTTGGACACAGCGGACGCGCGCGCCGAAGCAGGCCAGCTCAACTCTCTTCCTCTCTTACCCTACTCCTCCACACACCATGCTCCGCCGTGCTGGTCAGACTCTTTCGCCCGCAGGTAGTGCTCGCATCTTCCGTTGTGTCGCCGAGCGGTTTCCTGATATCTTTCCGCCAGCTGGGCGCCGGGCGTTCTCGCAGTCTGCGTCCCGACAGAATTATGACGCGACTATCCGGAACCTCCTTATCCACAAGGACACGAAGGTGCTCTGTCAGGGTCTCACTGGAAAGACTGTGCGTGCTCTTTCCGAATGCATATGCTCGCTCTACTCACCCGCTATCGCGACAGGGTACTTTCCATGTGAAGGAGGCGCTCGAGTACGGGACGCGCATGGTCGGTGGTGTCTCCCCCAAGAAGGCCGGTCAGACCCACCTCGGACTTCCCATTTTCGGCACCGTTCGCGAGGTACGTTAATTGTGATCAACGGTATTTGCCTCCGCTTATGCGTCGCAGGCCGTCAGGGATGTGCAGCCCGATGCGACCGTTCTCTACGTGCCACCACCCACCGCCGCGGATGCTATCATCGAGGCGATTGAGAACGAGATCGGTTTGATTGTCTGCATCACGGAGGGCATTCCCCAGCAAGACGAGATCAGGGTACGTGCGCCCCCGTGCTCGCTCCGCGCGAGTTCCGTGCTGAACCCGTCGGGGCCCCGGAATAGGTCATGAACGCGCTCAAGAGCCAGTCCAAGTCGCGTCTCGTGGGGCCCAACTGCCCCGGAATCATCAACCCGGAGGGGTGCAAGATGGGCATTCAGCCCGGCGCCATTCACAAGCCGGGTCGCATTGGTGCGTCTGGGAGACCACCTGCACACTTGACCTTCCGTGACATTTCCTCCAGGAATCGTCTCGCGCTCGGGTACGCTCACGTACGAGGCGGTCGCGCAGACCACTGGGGTCGGCCTCGGCCAGTCGCTTGTCGTCGGAATTGGCGGAGACCCTTTCCCCGGCACGAAGCACCTCGATGTCGTCAAGTTGTTCCTTGAGGACCCCCGGACGGAAGGTATGTATTGGTGCACGGAATCCCGCGAGTCTGTGCGTGGGGCTAATGCGGTGCTTAGGTATCGTTCTCATTGGCGAGATCGGTGGCGGGATGGAGGAGGAGGCGGCGGAGTACCTCGAGAAATACAACAAAACGCGTAGCAGCCCCAAGCCCGTCGTCGGTTTCATTGCCGGCCGCACTGCGCCCCCCGGCAGGCGTATGGGTCACGCCGGTGCCATCATCTCTGGTGGCAAGGGTGAGTTTCGTACTGTATTCTGTGTGAACGCTTGACTTATCGCCGCTCAATATAGGTGCGGCCTCGGACAAGGTTGCGGCCCTCGAGAAGGCGGGCGCCTTCGTCACTGACAGCCCTGCCAAGATCGGTTCGACCATGCTCAAGGTATGTCGGCTTTATTCTCCGTGACTGCGGGTCCGTCTAATATCTTTTACAGGCTATGCAGGCTGCTGGGCTCGCCTAGACTATTTTAGACGGCTTTGGAGTAGCGGCATAGCATATGGCAGCGAACTTGTGTGCTTTCCTCTGGCCTGATTACGTAATAGACTACGGATACGGTCGATGTAACTTTGCGGGGCTCTGTCGATTCTAACGAACGCTGCGTGCTGTATACCACTATGTCTTCCATCTATAATCCATCTCCTGCCTTCCGCGACGCCGCCGACTACCTCTCCAATGCGCCCGCGATGAAATCCGTGTCAGACGCGACGAAGCTCGAGGTTCGGAGTCCACCCGATCCTGCACGGATGCCCGTGAACCTGACCGGCTTCGGCTCAGGATAGCTCTATTCCATCTTCAAGTACCTGACCGTGTCGCCATCGCCAAATGTACCGAGGCCGTCGATCTTTGACTTCACCGGGAAGGCGAAGTGGGACGCGTGGAACGCCGCCGGCGAGACGTACAAGGAGCGGCCGGTGGACGCGGAGGCGCGCTATCTGGAGATCGCGCGCAGCTTGGAGTGGACGGAGGGCAAGCCCGCTGAGCTCGAGCTTGTGCGGCATGCGACCGGGGATGAGGACGAGGAAGAGGACATATGGGACACGGACGCGGACACCCCGAAGCAGAAAGGCGGGGATGGCGGGATCGGGCGCGTCATGAGCACTATGATCATGGACGGGGAGGACGAAGAGAGCACTAGTGCAGTGTCCAAGCTCGCCATCTCGGGCGATGCGGAGGCACTGGGAGAGTACTTGCAGGAACACCCGGAGGTAGACATCAATACGCCGGACGAGAATGTGAGTACACCAGGTGGGGAGACGGGCTCATGCTTACTGCAGTCGCAGGGTTACACGGCGCTGCATCTAGCTGCGGACCGGGGACATGCAGAGGTCGTCAAAGTATTGCTAGAGCGCGGAGCACACAGAGATATAAAGGTATGTAGCCTCCTTCCCGGTCGAAGTCATGCGACCCACCTCTTGCGCAGGACGAGGACGAATTCACGGCGAAAGAGTTGGCTGAGGTGGCGGGACACGATGAGATTGTAGCCCTTCTGTCGGATACATGCAATCCATCCTCCTAGACTCCTCACTACCATCCCACCTTCCATGCTGGCCACTGCGTTTCCTGGTGCGTGCGCGCGGGCGGCGGGCCTGGGGACGGCGTCGTACAGAGCGGACTGTGGTGGACAAGCTCTATGTATATTATAGTGTGATGGGGGTGATTAAGAGCTTGTAGCAATAGTGAGCCTCCCGATCCGTCATGACGCAGTAGGCTGGGCGGTAGCGCTAGCGTCGGGAGCATCTGGGAGGGGAGCCGACGCGTCCGCCCCAGGCGTGTCTGGTATAAGAGCGTTGTTGGGCGCAAGAATACCGCCCTACACATAGCATAAGCCCCGGAGCACCATCTGAGTAGCGAATAGTACACACCATCTGCAGTAGCTCCGTAACCGTATCGCTGGGGGTCGCGCCGACCTTCAGCCAGTACTTTATCCGCTGCGCACTCCATTCGATAGTTTTCGTCGACTCTCCGGGCTTGAGACGCGGGTTGTAGACACCGAGCAGCTCGATGGGCTTCGCGTTTCGCCGCTGCCGCTGGTTCACGGCGACGATATGGAATATGCGGTTGTTGCGTACGCCGTGCACGGCCATCCGGATCCTGACAGACATGGCGAAGGGTAGGTGGGGGAAGGAGAACGGAGTCGGTGCGTGAGGGTGGTGGCTGAGCGCAACTTGCAGCGCAAGACAGCAAAGGCGGATCGACTTGCATTGGCGCCCGTGTGCCTTGCCAAATTGATGCCGGCGTTTCCGCCGGGAGCACCACCTCAGACTCATGAGCGAGGCCGACGCTCCGCCGGTTGTAAACATATAGCCCACTATGAAACCCATTCAAGTGCTGGTGATATATCATGATGACCCAGAGCTCTTGACAGCGACGATAATTCTATGCAGGATCGCGTCGAGAGCCTCGTGACGGTGTCAAGTTCCATTGAATGCTCGGAGTCTCTGAAGGGCAACTATCACCCTTATTCAACATTAGGCAGAGCGGCCAAGCCGTGAATTTCAACTATACAACAAAGCAAGTGCGAGCAAACGAGTCCAGATGATGGGGAGGCGATCAAGATGCGAAATAACGCGTCTATACGTCCTCGGGGCCTGAGCTACCAGGGATCAACTGAAACGAAAATTGTCAGATCTATGAGCGCATATAACAGGCGTAACATACCATGCAGATGTTGTTCCCGTTAAGCAGCGTCTGGTTGAGCTTCGTCTTCTTGCGTCCTTGCGGGGTGTGCTCGCTAGATGGACGCGTCAGAAAAGGCGATGTGAAACCTGCGACGACGAACGTACTACTCTGTCACATCCTCGAGCACCATGTCTGTAGCACACGTATCATGTTAGCATATGCAGGCCGTGATAGGACATGCACAACATGACGTCTACTTACTGACAAAGTCGTCAAACCCGAGCAGGGTTCCGGTGAACTCCCGCTCGCTTTTCATGATCACCCAGATGCGGGAGCCGATACACCTATCAATAAGTTCTGTATAGCGTATTAGAGAGCTATCTACCATGTAAGTGAGAGCCACACATACCGAGCGGGAGGATCTGGCTTGCCATGTCGTGTTGGTCTGTGGTGAACCACACCTCCGAGATGCCTTCCTAATTGGACAGTGCACCCCCGCTGCGGTTGACGCGCATACACCTGCAGCACATACGCATCAAAACGCATGCAACACCGTTGCGTCGAGTTCATACATCGTTTGTTGTGCTGCATCTATTAAATAACGCAGTTGAAAGCGCTCTCTCGCAAACCTGCAAATGCCAAACAGGTTCGCATTTCCCTGAAGGCAGATGGGTACTTACAGTAGGTATACCGCATTCCGAATCACAACAACCAGGAAGACCGGAATGCATGGCGTCTCTGGCCTAGCAAGAAGTATACACATAATCGTTCGTAAGGATATGAGACAGCGCACGGGAGGCAAGTCAAGCCAACTGAGACGGAGGGAAAGATCGTTGCTGAGAGAGAGACGCGCTTGATATTCTGTATGGTGTGGCAAAACTACACGATGGGGGGAGATGATGGGAGGAGAAGGAAACGAGAGACTGCAGCTACATAACTATGATACCCTTTACTGCCCGAAGCTGAAACCACCAGGAGGGGGAGCGGCACCATCAGTGTTGAACTATAATAGGCGTTAGTAAGGGCGTTGTCAACTTCGGCGTCGAATACTCTTACCTGGAAGGTCCCTGTCGCGTCAACAGCAGGCTCTGCGTCCTCGTCGTCAGGGAAGTACTTGTCCATGATGTTGAACGCCTTCTTGTAGATCTCGAGGTTGTCGTGCTGCTGGAGGTTGTGGATGGTGACCATGCCGCCCGCCTCCTCAACAAACTGGGCGTATGCGTTGGCAGCACCAGGGCCCGCAGCCTGCTTGTCCATCTCGCCAACCTTCAGGATGTTGTCGAGGCCATCAAGCGCAACCTGGATGATCTTGTTGTCCATCATCGTCAGGAGGTCGCAGAGAGGCTTGATGCAGCCCTGCGAGACGAGGTAGCGGATCTGCGACGGCTCCTGAAGACCGCCAGAGGTAGCGTTCGAGATCGCCCAGCAAGCCTCCTTCTTGGTCTTGAAGTCAGCGTTCTGGAGGATGTTGATGAGGGGAGGAATGATGTTGGCGTCAATGACGGCCTGGATTTGCTGGGGCGAGCCAGCCGTGACATTGGAGATCGTCCAGCACGCCTCCTTCCGGATACCGTCCTTGGGGGAAGACAGGAGAGACAGAAGAGCAGGGAGAGCACCGGAAGTGATGACGACCTGCGTCTGCAAGTCGTCACCAGTGACGATGTTACCGACGGACCGAAGCGCGGGGGTCTGGACAGACGTCGACGGGTGCATGAGGAGGTCAACAAGACGCCTGCAGACACCAGACTCAATGACAGCCTGGATCTTGTCGTTCGAGCCATCCGACAGGTACGAGATCGCCCAGCAAGCGTCAATGAGGATCTCGTCGTCCAATGAGTAGATCAACTTCGTCAGCACGGGCAGTGCTGGTGAGATCTAAGCGAGTGTGTGAGGAAATGCGCAGTGCGGAGTATACAATAGAACATACCAGATCCCAATCGGGCTGAGGCGACTTGCCTCGGCAGAAGTTGCTCAACGTCCAGGTGGCGTTGCGGAGCATGCTGAGCTTGTTGTTCTCGCTCAACAGGTTCAGCAGTGGCCGCAGCGCACCCTGCTGGAGGACGTAGTCGCGGCATTGCGGGCTGTCACCGGCGATGTTGCCCAACGCCCATACTGCCTGCTCCCGCACATCGGGAACGGGAGAGGAGAGAAGCTTGATGAACTCGGGAACGGCCTGCGCGTTGATCACAACCTGGGTATGCTCGGCCGTGCCGGAAGCGATGTTGGTCAAGGCCCAAGCAGCCTCGAACTGTCGGTGGCGTTAGTTCTCAAGAGGCATCTCAAGCAGCTGGAGCAAAATTACCTGAAGCATGGGGTTGTCCCCTCGGAGGAACTCGACAAAGCGGGGCACGACACCGCATTCAATAACGCGCTCGATCGGAGGGTTCTTTTCTTTTGAGAGCAGCTTGCGGAACTTGGTCGTCGCGTCGAGTTGACGATCGGAGTCATCGGAGAACACGCCCGCAATCATGTCCTCGGCGAGCTGGGGGACATTATGAGCACAAAGTACATGATGAGCCGACGCGTGATAAGACGTACAGGGGACTCCCAGCTGCCCACACCGCTCTCATCGTCGGAGTCGGCACCAGTGCTGGGGAGGAAGTTACGCCTCTTGGAGATGTTCTCCTCGCGCTTTTGCCGACGAATCTCGACCTGCTGCTCTTCGCGACGGCGCCTGAGCTCATCCTGCTTCAAGCCACCCTTGCTCTTGTACTCTGTTGATTGGTGCGCGTCAGTGGGATCGAGCAGAGTGCGTGCGACGATACGCGTGGGATGCGAGGGGGACACGTACCGTTTCTGCGATGTGCCACACGGGACTCCATGATGGTGGATGTAGAAGGGAGAGATGTGCTTTGCGGAAGAAGACCTCGACGCGCAAAGAGCCTCGGACGCTCAAGCAGTGCACAAAGATTGTGACGACGCGTGGCTCAGTCACAGTCACGCGACCTTGACTCGAATGCCCCCGAAAGCCTCTTTCGCCCAACGCCTTCACATGCATTTTTTGAGCTGGCGTACATCGCATAGCCTCCGACAGATCCCCACACATCCAACAAAGCAACGCCCGAAATTTTTACGAAGTACAACGATAGATCAGGCCACGATCAAACCCTCTACCCCATAACGCGCGTCGGGCGTCCATCCAAGAAGGCAGCGATGTTCTCGACCGTTTGACTCCAGAACGCCTGCTTAATATTAAGACATAGATCATGGAATATGTATAGGACCCACGCACCCCATAATTCTCGTCGCTCACATAGCCCATGTGGGGGCTTATGGTCACATTGGGCAGCTTTCTCAGCGGGTGGTCCAGCGGCAAAGGCTCTTCGTCGAAGACGTCCAACCCCGCCCCCGCAATCCGCTTTTCCTTCAGCACCTCGATGAGCGCAGCCTCGTCCACGAGCGGTCCCCGAGACGTGTTGATGAAGAACGCGGTGGGCTTCAGGAGGGCCAAATCGGCAGCTTTGATAATGTGGTGCGTCCTCTCCGACAACACGATCTGGACGGAAAGGACATCGCTCCTTCGGAACAGCTCCTCCTTGGTGGGAATAAAAGTGACCCCCGCACTCGCTGCACGCTCAGGCGTGAGGTTCGGGGACCATCCAATGACCTCCATTCCGAAGGCCTTCGCAATCTAGTAGCGAGTGTCAGTCAGCCGTCTAGACATCGGCCAGTTGTCGACATGTCACTTACACGTCCGGTCTCAGAGCCAAGTCTGCCCACACCCAGCAGACCCAACGTCTTTCCACCTAGACCCGTCGGGATGGTGCTCTGCCAAGGCACCGCGCTTGCCTTGGTGCGCGCGTCCTCTACAACGATGTGTCGCACCGTCGCGAGTATAATCGCCCAAATGTGCTCCAGCGTCGAGTCACCTTTGCCTCCGGTACCCACCACAGTCACTCCTTTGGTCTTCGCGTACGCGACGTCGATCCCCAGGTTGCGCATCCCCGTCGTGGCAATCAGACGCAAGTTCGGGAGGCGGTCCAGCAGCGACGCGCGGAACTTAGTGCGCTCCCGCATCGCGCATACAATCGTGTAGGGCTCCAACCTCTTGGCCAGAACATCTTCATCGGCCGTCGTGTCTGGGAGGGAATCGATAATGAGGCGGTCCCGTATGCCGGACCAGTCCCCGAACTTGAACGCCACGTTCTGGTAGTCGTCGAGGATAGCGACGCGGACGCGTTCGGACATGCTGTTGCTGACTGAGAATGATAGTGACGTCGAATGTCTCGTCGCAGCCACTTGAGAAAGTGGTGGCCATATATACTGCCGTTCCTGTCTATTTCAAGGTTCGGGCCGGCAACGCCCGCCGGCCTAAAAGGCGTCAGCGGAAGGCCATATGATGAGATGCGCACCTCTCATGACCATACGTGGGACGGACGCTCTGCGAATGCCATGCATGGGGAGAAAGAGAGTTGCAAGCGAATTGAATAAGTCCGAGCTATGGATTACACGACATTCCCGTCTACGTATCATGATCGAAAGGGTACTGCACACATCCTCGTTAGCACATGTTTCACTTGAGAAGCAAACTGGACTGACCTCAAACGACTCTGGGGGGTCCGCCTCAGGCGCGCTCTCGTCGAGGGCGATGTGGCGACCCGCGGCCGTCGGTGGCGGGTTTTGCGCGGCGGGAACAGCGGCTGCTGCTGGGGCCACGGCCTGCGTCTCGAACTCGATGTATTCCGCATCCTCGCCAGGACGCGTGTCGGCCATGATGAGAATCCCACCGCCACCTGCGTAGCGTTCCGCGGCGAGCGCCGCGGCTGAGGGGGACCTCGCGGGCTTCGCAGCGCTTGGGGGAGGGCGAGTAGACACCACGCGTACAGGCTGGTACCGGCTTTCACTTGGGAAGGAGATGTATGCCAGTTGCACCGGCGTCACCCTCGCGAAGTTGTTGAGCTTCTCGAAGGAGGGCTCCTTCCGGGACTTCGGTGTGCTCGTACCCTCGGCAAGGTTTGATAGCGAGCCTGAGATGGGGGAGACGTCCTCGTTGCGTGTTGTGGACGTCTCAGCCTTCATCTCAACATCACCATCTTTCTTGTCATCCTAAAATAATATTAATTAGATGGGATCGTATTCAACAAAGCGGGTTGGACTTACAGCAGCCACCGTCTCGCCTTCCGCAGCAGCTTTGCGCTTTTCACGGGCCTTCGCCTTCGCAGTGGTGGAGAGGACAGCGGTCGCGACCTTGGCAACAGCCTCCTTCTTTGGCGGCTTCGTCGGAGAGGGGTATGCGAACAAGCTGGGTTTCGAGTTGGAGAGGAACTCGAACTTGGGCGCCTGCAGAAGTCCAACAGTTAGCGCTACGGGTTTCAGGTATCAAGGTATAAGCACTGACCTTCAGGTTCTCGTCAAGACCAATAATGCCGGTGGGCTCGAATGCCAAGCATGCGCAGTGCGCCAGAGGGTACCAATACCAGAACTGGCAGAACAGAACCATACCAACAATGGCGCTGGTGTTGCGGCTGCCTGCCCGGCTCTGCAAACTGATAGTAACATTCCGTCCACCAGCATCAATGAGACCCTGGCCAAGAGCGGCACCAAAGCGTGCCATGGGGTCATCGTGCTTGTCGGCGACGATCTTGGCGTAAAGCGCACGGGTGGGTGCCAGGGACGGAGATGATGCTTCTGACTGCTCGACGAGGATCATACCCAACGAAATGAGGGCACCCTGGCGAACGAAGTCGACGCTGTCCCGAGTCATCGGCTCGAGGATATCGACAGCATCCTGCAAACATGGTCAGTTATCGACTTCATCCTGGGCACCGAGCATACATACCTGGAGGCCAGTACCAGCACATGCAATGCCGAGCGCGAGCGTTGCACCACAACGGACATGAGGGTTGTAGCTCTCCGACAGCAGCTGGACAATCCTTGGTACCTGCGCAGGGTTCTTGAAGAGCAGGAAGGCCAGACTAGTGACAGCAGCACGACGAACGTCGTCCGACGTGTCCGATACGGCGACGTGCAGAAGTTGCCGGATAGCGGCGTTGTTCGATGTACCCGCGTACGCGAGAGCGAGCGTGTATACACCACCGTAGCGCAGAATAGGGTCCTAAACATAGCGTCAGTTGCTGCGAACCCTATATGAGGGGGAGACACGTACCTTCTCCGCCATGAGCAGCTTGACGATATCGTCTGCCTCTTCTTGACGTCCGTAAAAAATAAGCGCCAAACCGATCGCCAGACCGCGGATGATCTTCTCGTGTTGGGTTTCCCTTGCGTACGTCAACATCTCCTCCGCGCTCGTCCCATCCGCAGTACCCAGCATAATCAAACCCATCGCATATCCCGCTGCCTCGCCCGCTACCGCGGAGTCGGTGAAAAGCGTCTGCTTCAGGTCGTCGTATGCCTCTGCGCTCTTGCCCCCCATTCCTGCCACACCAAGACCGAGAGCAGCTCCATGCTGCACGACCTCGCTACCGGCATTCTTGAGAAGATTGCGCAGGTAGTTCTCGACCTCCTGGCCGCTGCCGCACCCGGCGTTGACCAGACCAAGCGCATACAGAGCACCGCCCTCCGAGTAGGCCACGCTGCCGGTGCTGTTGCTCTCCGCGCCTGGTGTAGGCAGGTACGGGCCGAGGATGTTCATACTCTCCTGGAAGTGACCCTTGTGGATGACACCGATGGCAGCAGCCGCGGAGAACTTGGACCAGTTGTTCGCAAGCGCGAGCCATTCGAGGTTCTCACGCAGGAAAACGTCGGACGTCGTGCCGGCATGCATGAACGCGTTTTGCAGCGTGAGGGCGGTATGGTAAATTGATGACCGGGGCTCGAGCGCGTCCTGTGCCCAACGTTCAAAATCTGAACCTGCAATGGAGAATAACTAACATACCTTGGTGTTCTTGAGAATAAGCATGTCAACCTTGTTGTTCCTCTTGAGGAACTCGAGGTACAGCTTGATGGATTCCTGGCCGAGGAGAATCTTGCGCAACTCGTCGTAGATAGGTTTCGACTCCTGTAAATTATGTCAATCACTGAGCCGTACGCCCTGATACGCTGTACCGACCTCGTTGCCCTCAGGAAGGTCCTTCCTAACAGCCTCAAGGAAGTCCTGGCCGCCACCCTCGACCAAGTCGAACGCGAACTGGTATGCAAGCAGCTTCTGACTCGGGACCAGCGAATTGAGGAAGCTGATGGTCATGTCGGGGGAATTGAGGGTGACGAGAATGCGGGTTAAGGAGTATACGTGCTGCGTCTTGGCATCGCTGGTCGGGGCGGGGAACAAGGGGAACAGGAACTTGAGAACTTGGTCACGGTACGCGAGGGGGAAGGCGGTGTCAAGGACGGCCTCCATCGCGTATGAAAGAAGGCTGGTGTCGTGGGTTTGCGCGTAGATGTGCTTGATGACGTCGAGACGTCTTGATTCGAGCGCAATACCGATCGCCTGCGCGCATAGTCAGTAAACCGGTGGTTCAGCAGGATTCGCAAGGAGAGAGCACTTGCCTGCCTGAACTCCCCGTCCTCGATGCATCGCCGGAAGATACCCTCAATAATACCCTGTAGCTTAGGGTCGATCTTGCCGTCTCCCGCCTGTTCTGCTACTCGGCTCTTAATATAGCGGTCAATGGCTTTAGCTATAAACCAAATCTGGTGGTTAGTTGCCAGAACACGGCAAGCCGCTTAGATATACGCACAGACTACGGTCTCCACGTATTCCTCGGTTCCAGGTGTGCGGCTGTCATGCTCAAACGCGCTTCCTGCCCCGAGTGCAAAGGACAGAGCCTCCTCATATTCGCCGAGGTAGTAATAGACCTTGCTCGCAAGGAGCGCAGCCTGGTCATGAGCCTCTTGAGGGAGCTCCTCGCTCTCGTAGAGGGATTCGCTACAAGATAGAAAGAAACGCCTTAGAGCAAGGTTCGTGATGCAGAGGTAATTACACACATGAGCGCAATGTGCTCCGAGATCTCAGCCCAGAACTGAGGCACGAGCGAATTGAGGGACTTGAGTGCATACTGCTTGAGCAGTGGTTCGGGATCAAAGAGCAGAGCGAGAACGCCCGCGGCGGAGGACTGGGTGAGGGCAACCATGGTTGCGGGGAGAGCAGAGGTGTGGAGGCCAAGCAGAGTACGCGTCGAGTCCACCTTCGCTTTTGGGACGCGTCAGCGACACATGCGGGCGCTTCCCACCGAACGCGCACCCGGCGCTTAGAGCCTGCCCGGCCACGTGGTATTACATAAGCAGATGCGCGCCTCGTCCGTTCCGACCCCTGCCAGACCTCGACCATTCCCGAAAGCCAGGTCGCGACTCGTCCAACCCGCTTTCATCCTATCCATCACCACCCCCCGCCATGTCCATGCTCGCCGCTCGCCGCGCTGCACTGCGTGCAGTGCCCCGCACCCGTAACTTCGCCGCCGCCGCTGGCAAGTCCACCTACCGCCAGGAGATGGAGGCTACCGTCCACCACGCCGAGGGTAAGCCGTTCATTTTGCCCTGTCGCGATATGACAGACGAGTGATGTTGTTCCGTACGTCGCAGAGACGACCGAGCTCTGGCGCAAGATCAGGTACGTTTGACTCGAATATGAGATGAATGAGAGCGATAGCTGACAAAAAATGGCGCAGCTTCTATGTCTGCATTCCCGCCAGTCAGTAGCCCCTTGCATCATATCATAGCTGTCTCCTGAAAAGAACCAAGTCGCCGTCTGCGCCCTCTGGGTCCGCAACGTTGAGGCCGAGCACGGCGCCCACCAGGCGCATCTCCTTGAGGAGAACGGCGGCAAGCTCCCCGAGCCTCCCGCGTACGAGTACCTGAACAGGCGTCGTAAGTCAAGCTCTGTAGTGGTAGTTTGTACGTCCGTGCTTATCAGGTCCTCGCAGACGGCGGTCCCTTCCCCTGGGGCGCGAACACCCTGTTCTTCAACCCCAAGGTACGTTCGCACACACAATTTGGAAGCGTTGTACTAAACAAGCAACTAGGTCAACAAGGACATGAGCAAGGTAGATGAGTAGATTAGTCGCATTGTCAATCTATTCGTTTGAGGTATTACCCAAGATAATATCGTGTCACACTGCGTAGCAAATATCCGGAGCATTGTGAAGTTCACCCTGTTAGGGGGATATAACATTACATCAAGCACTACACGTAGTAAGTCCGGCGAGCGAAGCGAAGTAACATAAATAAAACAGAACGAAGGATGGTATTAGGGTAAGTGAGAGTGCTGCGACCGACACTGTTCGACACGAGACCTCAGAGGGCCACCCAAACGCCGAGGAACATGGTTGCGAATACAGTCGCAAGACCGCTAAGCAGGGGAGCAGAAACAGCGAAGGCATGCACGCCGACTGCCGCATTGTTGGACTGGGTAGCAGTGGAGCTGTGATAGTGAACGTGAGTCAATGTTGCTTAATTTTCGAGCAAGATGGAGAACTCACGTCGCCGAGGAAGCGAGTGACGCCGCATCGTTGGTTGCGGCGGAGAACACGGACGCAGCATCTCCAGTGACGACTGTGTACTGGCTGCCCGCGAAGGAGGTAAGGTCGCCGAAGCCGCTGGGGGCCAGGGTGATTGCGGCACCACCTGCGGAGGTGATGACGGTCGCAACCTTCCCGCCGATCGCTATAGAAATCGGTGAGCTACCCATTTGGGATGCATGAATGCGCGACAACTTACAGGTGATATCGGTGGCAATACCTACGGCAGCAGAGGTTATGTCGCTGATGATAGAACCACCTACGCCAACGGATGAGCTCATTATCCCGCTGCTGAACGACTGTACGTACCTCCGGCAGTAGCCTGGGTGAACACAGAGCCCGCATCGGAAGTAAGAGAGTTAAAGATGCTGTCAACTGCGCGAGAAATCAGCACGGGTGCAGTGAGAAGTCGGCCTAGGGGGGAACTAACGTTGCCGCTTCTCTTCGACAGCAGCCGCGCTCACGAGGAGGGCGCAGGCGGCGAGGAGGTAGAAGACAGAGAGGGCAGACTTAGCGAACATGGCGAAAAGATGGCTGGAGGGGAAGTGAGTGGGACATTCTGGGCGGGGGGAGGGGCTTATATACAATTTGCGTGCGGGGAGGAGGCCCGAGGTCAGGCTCCTGAGGCACTGTGCGCCGTCATCGACCTCCCGGAATCCGACGACAACCACCGACTTGGCGCAGCCGCACCGCCACCGCGCTAATGCGTCATGCAGCGATGAGGCGATAATGCCCCCGATCGATCTCGCGCTGCGAGCGGTGCGCGGCCGCTACGCCTCCGCTGCGTCCCTTCCCCTCTCTGCCACTCTCCTTCTCCATCCAGCAATGCCTCGCGCAATCATCTCCCCCTCCGTCCTCGCCTCCGACTTCGGCCAGCTCACTGCGGAATGTAAACGCATGATCAAGGGCGGCGCCGAGTGGCTGCACATGGGTCCGTACCCTGACGCCCTCCCCCCACCGCCCATCTACTCACCGCGCTGCCTCTTCGCCTTCTCGCAGATGTGATGGACGGGTAATCGCCATTCAGTCTTCAATATCGTCGCCATCGCTCACGCCATCGACCACCACTAGGCACTTCGTGCCCAACATCACGATGGGTACGTTCGCAGGCCCTGTCACCTCCCAAACCACACATCTCTGATCATCCCGGTCCTGCGCAGGCGCGCCCATCCTCGCCTGTGTTTCCAAGGGCGTCCCGGGCATTTTCATGGACTGCCATATGATGGTCTCCAACCCCGAGAAGGTAGCGCGTTTCGCGCCCCACTACCGGTCCCGGCCCCACACTACACGCTAACCCAAACCGCTCATTGATGCGCTCTGCAGTGGGTGGACGACATAGCCGACGCTGGCGGCTCGCTCTACTGCTTCCACCTCGAGGCCGCATGTGAGCACCACCCCCCGCCATACCCGCTGCGACGCGCGACCGACCACATGCGCGCCCCGTACAGCTGACCCGCTCGCGATCATCGACCAAATCCACCAGCGCAACATGAAGGCCGGCGTCGCGATCTCCCCGGACACGCCGTCGACCGCGATCACGGACGAGATCGCGCACGCGGCGGACATGCTGCTCGTCATGACCGTGTACCCTGGCCGCGGCGGCCAGAAGTTCCTCGACCGCTGCGTGCCCAAGGTCGCGGATCTGCGTGCGCGCTTCCCCGACAAGGACATCGAGGTCGACGGCGGTGTGGGCCCCAAGACGATCGACGTCTGCGCGGACGCGGGTACGTCGTGGGAGTGATAGACAGTGCGGTGCTGCTCGTTCTCATGCGGTGTTCTTTTCAGGGAGCAACGTTATAGTCGCCGGGACCGCTATTTTCAATGCGCCTGAGCCTGAGAAGGTCATCGAGCTGTTGAAATCGACCGTGAACACCGCGCAAGCCAAGATTAGTGCGGCGGCGAAGTAGAGCTTGGGTAGATTGAGCACAGCATTGGTCGGAGGCGAATGTATTCCATGTAGCAGTAACGTCCTGCCCTGTATCACATAACATATATAACGCGAAAGTATCAACGGACAATAAGTAACCAGACGTGAGCGGTCGTCAGAGCATATCTAGAGAGCCATTAGGATGATGTACACATAGGTGGGGAATATATCGTCGAGCGGAGGGATCACCACCGGATCCACTCGCCATACATATTAGGTCTCTCTCCACGGACATACGCCTCAAACGTGCGCTTCAGCACGGTCGCCCAGTCCAGGTCGCGCTTGTCCTTGTGCACGATGCCGACCGGGAAGTTCGTCGCCTTGCCCTCGATAGCCGCGCGCCCCATCTTTTCCACATCGGCGAACCGAGGTCCGAGGTCGGGCCAAAACCTCGCGGCGTCGACGGGCTTCCACCTGCATGCGAATCATCAGTGAGAAAGGCACACAAGTGGTCGGCAGGCAATGCACGAACCATTCGTTGTGGTAGTGATACATGTACGCGCCCCTGAAGAAACCGTCAAACCCGACCACGGCTGGCATTGCGCTCGTCTCTGGGGGCGTGTTGAAGAAGTTGTCGAAGCTATGACAAGGCCGTGGTGAGCCCGGACGAACCACATGGAAGGTCAAATAGCGGCACTCACTCGGTGAAGAACGGTTGTGCGGGGCGGTCGCGCTGCAGGTACTCGATGCTCGACCACGGATGCGGCTTCCGGTGGTCCGTGTTCAGCCACGCCGGGTCGAAGAGCGCGTCGGGGACGCGGAAGAGCAGGCGCTCCATATGCGCCTCCTTGAGGTAGCGCGAGACGGTCGTCGGGTGGAAGTCGAGCCCATTTCGGAGCGCGGTGCGCAGGAGGAACGTGCCGAGCGCGGACCCGCGGCGGAGGCGGAGCACCGCGGTGTTATACCGGTCCTCGTGCGACCAGCGGTAGGAGAACGCGCCCGTCCAGCCCCAGAGCTCCTCCCAGTCGCGCAGGAAGAGCATGTCGACGTCGAGGTACACGCCGCCGTAGCGGTGGCAAAGCACGAAGCGCACGAGGTCCGAGAGCACGACAGGCAGCTTGTTGTACGTCGCGAACGTCTCGTTCGACTTGCCGTCGAGCGCGACGTTTGACCCGACCGACTTCGTCGCGTCGTCCTTGACCGAGCTGAGCAGCTCGTCGCTCATGCTCCGCCAGTCGTCGCGGAGCTCGTCGATGCTGTCCAGCTGCTCGGACGTGTTCCAGAGGCGGAACTGGATGACATCTTTGAAGCGCGGGTGGAGGAACGGCGCAGCCCAGGGGTTGCTCCGTAGCTCCTCGTGCATCTCCTCGTCCGCAGTTTCGCTAGGCATGGTATCGGCAGGACCCCGGCTGACCCACAGCCAGAGCTGCGGGCGACAAATGGTGTTCTCAGAGGCGGGGTTTTCGCGGTGTAAACCCAGGTTTTGAGTGTAGAGGAACGCCATCATAGCCATGTATGGCTTGTCGGTGAACGGACCAGCCCAGAACATGTGGAATATTCGCGGGTCGTCTTCCGGGCATGGTGATGACTGGCGGTTTGCGGGGTTGTACTGGGAATGTGGCGGGAGAGGGAGGTCATGCTCCCAGTCGTACGAAGCCCGCTTGGATGGAGGAGCATCTAGTGTTGCGGTGTTTACGCTGCGAGGCGTAATGTGATCGCCTTCACCATCCAGCACGTAGATGTATCGCAGGTATTCGACGTCCTCTCTCCGTAGACGAACAGCATTGTCGAGGCCCGCCCCTAACCGTAGAATCTCATGGCAGTCGCGGACATACTACAGATACGCGTTAGGTCAGGCAGGGCCGTACTCGGACCGAGTTGAAACTCACCTTTCCGGTTTCAAAGTCACAATTCTCAAGGATAATATCCAGGTCGGCCACACTGCCGGGTATCGGTCGTGGCGGATGACCAAACTCTGGTTGTCGGTTCTTGACCTCGGGGTATATCCGCTCGGCGCCTGTCCCGACGGTGTAGGTGACGACGCCACCATCGGAGGCTGTGGGGTATTTCAGGGCAGCACTCGACGGTAGAGCAGGATTGCTCGGTGCTGACGTGAACCCGATCACATCTGGGACTGGTGGTAGAAGGTACAAGTAGAAGGGCGACCTGTAAGCACGACGGCACAGCTTGCACTAACGGCCGGTCCGAGGCACTCACTTGCACGCGTACTTGGGTAGTGGCCCGAGAGGATCTCCCACTCCCATATCTTCCTCAGCTGGTCCCGTTCGAACACGACCGTACTCGTTGCCCCTAGCAGCGGCCAGCTGCGCTTCGCGGACACGAACCGCCCGTGGAAGGCCAGGGCGGTCAGCACCAGCACCAGAACACATGCTCCGAGCATTGCAGGCCCTCTCCGGCGACCAAACTTCGTTACACTGGCCTTGTAGACCCCCACCGGGGCCGCATACAACAAAGTCCAGCGCGGGGCGTGGCGGTGCGCGCCGTCGCGGTAGTTGTCGTCGGAGAACGCGTCAGTGCTGATGTGGCTGTAGCGACCGCGCTCCTGGGTGTCGCGGCGGCCCAGCGGGTTCGAAGGCGCGAGCATGCCGGCGCGCGAGGGCCTCTGTCGTGGATGTGGGCTGGAGAACAGGCTGGAGGGCTCGCCTGGACGGGCGGGGAAAGATGGCAAGGCCGTCGGCTGCGCCATGTGCCAAGACGGGCGTTATATGCCTCAGGGAACACCGCCGTCCGACTCGGAGACGGGTAGTGGCGGCTCACAGGCGGCATGCAGTGATGATGAAATGTCACTGCGGTGGCTGTGATCAACCGCGAGTCCGACAATCTGTATGGACGCTGTTGCCGCGGGTTGCCGTATGTGCGCCAGCGCTCGCGGGATGTTGGCCTCGACGTCTGCCTCCGACATACTCGACGACGAGCAGGTCAATGCGCGATACTACAGACAACACATTCACAGAGAGCGTGATAGGAAATAGCGAATATATAGTCGTCCGCATCAGTACATTCAAACCAAATCAGCCGCACAGCGTTCCGCAACTAGTAACATGCAAGGATCAAAGCAATACGAATAACACAAACCAACGCGGATCAACATATTATACAGTACAGTGCGTGCCCGTATACCCTTCCGAGCGCACAGACAGTCCATAGCCGCCGCCACAGTTTTGTCGCCTAGAGCACCTTGAGGTTCCACCCGTGCATGGTCTCGTCGGACAGCCGCGCCGCCGCCTGCGCGGCAGCGAGCCAGTCCCCGTGCTCCCCGGTCGGCCGCACCGGGTTAGAGAGGTCCATGGCATGCAGGACGTTGTCCGCCGCGACGACGCGCCCGGAGTGGTAGCCTACGCCGTCGTACGAGCGGATAAAGAGCAGAGGGAGGCTGCGCCCGGCGATGTCGCGTACTAGGTCGCCCGTACGCTGACCAGAGGGATCAGACTGCGAGCTGTCGGCAGCAGCCTCGCCCGGGGGCGGCACTGCGTCTTCCCGTAGCGCCTTGATGATGTCTGCCACAGGCGGCATCTCGACGACAATGAGGGCGTGTATGTTGCGATTGAGCGCAGCTGCGAGTGAGTTGTACCTGCGGTCCTCCTCTGTATTCATAGCGACCATGAGGTCGTCGGGTTTATCAGGGTTGTTTGGTACAGGAAGGAAAGTCTGGCGGGGATTGAAGGGGTTGTCCTGATTTGTGGCCGCATGGTTGTACAGACGCAACCTCAACGGGCCAATGTTCCCGATGTAGACATCAAGAGGTACTTGATGCCGAGTCTTCGGATGCTCGTAGAAGAAGTTCGCCGCAGTCATCTCCAGCGTGTTTGATTGAGATCGGTAGACCGGAGTGTTGAAAAGCGTGGGGAAAGGTGTGATGGGGAGCTCCGGGACGTTGTTGTTCAAGCCGAAGGCATCGAAGAACGTGTACTGGAATTTGGCTATGCACCGATTCAGGTTAGCAGGTCTGCAACGCAAGAGGACATGGCCTTACATATGCCCACGATCGTCCAGCACAGGTAATCATCCACCTCGTCGGTGATGACCCGCGCACCGTCCTTCACCTCTTCTCGCACCCGGGGACTCTGGAACAGTAGCGGGTGAGTGCCCGCCTGGTTGGACAGTCCCGGTGCTGAAGGCGCGGAGACACCGGGCGTCCCAGCTATTGGACCAGCCGCGGAGAGATAATGTCTTGTCCCGTCCGAGTTGAGGCGCTGCAACGCAATCTTCTGCATTTGACTGACGGGGCCACCATCATCGTTGACAATTCGGCCCTTGTCCACTTTCCGGATGATCAGCGGCGCGGTCTGCACGCCCGTCACAGTATCCGCAAGGACAATCTCGCTCCCGTACGTCACCGGCTGCGGCCCGCCTGGACGACTCGTTAAGCTTCCACCGCCACCGTGTTATCAGACGCTAGACATACCGAGTGGTGCCTCCGCGCCTTGCGGGCGCACAACGTTCACCGCGAACGCCGACCACGCCACATTGCTGGCACATAGCTGGTTCTGTTCAATGGTCATGTATTTGGTGCGCACAGTCTGCGAGTTGATCCGATTGAACAGCGACACTGGCCCGCCCGCTAGGATGCATGATGAGATGTTGCGCGTCTTCGCCGTCTTCTTCGACGGCTTCGAGATGATGGTCACGGGTGCGGAATCAAACGACGCCCATATGCGCTCGTTCGCGTCGCTCCCATCTGCGGCTGGCTCCGCGATATCGAGCGACAGGAGGAAGTTCTTGCTCTTCGCGGAACCCGTCACGTGGAGGAACTTGAAACTCGCCGTCAAGTTGTGGTCCATAGGGGCCTTGAGCTCGCAGGTGCGCTCCCCGCCCTCGTTCACGACCGCCATAGACAGGCTCTGCTGCTTCATCTGCCAGACAGGGCCCTCGATGTGCACGACCGGAGGGGGGCAGAGGAAGCGCTTCTCGCTACCGTACGACTTCTGCGCGACCGCGGCATGGAGACATATGACGGTCGTCATGGGCATAACGCGCGCAGGATCCTGGGTGATGTGGTCGCGCACGACGCGTCGAATCTTGCTGTGAGGGTCGACTGCTTCCGCAGGATCGAGCTTGCGCTTGCGGGAGGCAGGCTGATAGGACGCGTTGAGCACGGAGACAGACGCGTTGTAACGAGACAAACCTGCTCAGGAGAAGCCCCTGTTGAGGGTCCTGCGACGGCATTGGAGGGGTCGCGTGAAGACGCGTTTGTCCCGTTCCAGGAGGACTGGTGCCCGTTGGTTGTAGGCGCCGACGGGGGCGCGTTGGAAAGGATGGACTGGATTGAAACCGCTGGTTCCGAGTGCGGTGGCGGATGTGCATGCGAGGCCGGTGGGCTCTGTGCTACACCGGCTGGTGGCGATCGGAGGGCGGCATGGCCGTTGGACACCTGCGGACGCGGTCGGACGCGATTCCGGGGAGATAGACGCGGTACTTACTAGCAAACTGAGGTTGGACTGCTGGGGCGAGGAGGAGCGGGAGAGCTCGTGGGGGTTGAGGACGGTCGGGATGTGCTCGTGGGTCTCAGTGGTTGCGGTCGGCGACATGAGGAGATGGAGGGGACTGGAGGCCAAGGGGACTATTGTGCGCATGGTGGGCCTCCAGACTAAGAGCAGAGAGCAGACGGAGGGGCTGTGGGAATCCGCTCACTGTGGGAGTGGGAAGAAACCGCTTTTTTACCCACGCGCGTCGGTTATAAAGCTGCCGTTTACGACCCCGTGGACTTCCTCCGACTCCAGCGGTTCCGGGGTCCCGCGGCACCTCGGCATCGCCGATTCGCACCAGGTCTCCCCGAGGACGTCTGCCGTGCAGCCACACTCGATACTCCTCTACTCTACATCGTGTACATGCCCAGACAATTCAGAATACACCCACGCAGCTCAGACAGGCGAAATATAGTCCACCACCCGGCTCACTCCCCACGACACAAGCGCTCCCCACCGCGTCGAGTCCGCCTCGACATCCATCTTATCGTCCCTCCCCTTCTGCGGAGAAAATAGGTCGTGCATGGCCGCTGCATCGTGCTTGACAGCTGACCCACGCGGACGACTGTGTGCCGTACGCAGCGCTCGAAGGGCGTCGTAGACAGCCTCATCATCCAACGGATCACCTGTCTGCGTGTAGGGCGATAACAGCCGTTCCTCCCCATAAAGTTCATCGCCGTGCGACGGCATCGACAGCCTGTCTGCAGTGGGCGCCCGCGTCCCATTCAGCCTCCGTGTTCCACATCATACGCGAACCAGGGGAGTGACATACCGCTGAGCGCCAGGATGCCCATCTTGTCCTCGCGCAGGATCGCGTCCCGCGCGAGCGCGTCGCCCTCGTCCGCGAACGCCGAGCCCGGCGTGCGCACCTCCCACTCGCCGTCCTCCGAGATGGGCGAGACGAGCCCGGAGCGCGTCGAGCGCGCGCTCAGGGGCGAGCGGTGCGTGCCCGCGGCGGCGTCGTCCGCGGCGTGCAGCCAATCCCACTCGTGTTCCACCGGCGAATTCTCGAACGTCCCCAGGGGAGCGGGGAAAAAGCCGCCAAGGCTAAACGGGTCCTCCCGCTCACTCCGCGGCGAGTACAAAGACGAGAGCGGTGGTTGGATGGGGCCCGCGACCACGACCGCGCTGCGGTGTCGGGGCAGGTGGGTGCGCGTGCGGGGTCCGGGGCCGGGGAGGTCGGTGGTCGTGATTTTGAGCGAGCCTACATGAGGCACGGACTGCGAGCGCGGAATAGACATTGTAGCGTTGTTAGAGGGTTGAGAGAAGCGTGAGGGTCGTCAACGTTTGAGGGAGGTCGTTATGTATGAACACCGGCGAAGACTGGAACTGGCGGCGAGCGGTCCAGACTAGTGACGAGGGCCGGGGGGTATGGAGGGGCGAGAGCGGTGGGATCTGGAGCAGCAGCGGGCCTTTGTCTTATATGCTCTCGGGGGGTATACGGACAGGACCTAGGAGGAGGTAGCGTGCAATGCAAATCGGCGGGGAGCGAAGTGCTCCGAGTGTATAGAGCTCGGGGAGGCGCACCGCCCGCATCCCCAACTCTCCCATGCTCCCCCACTCCTTAGCGTACTTTCTTCGATCGGAACCCGATCATGGCACCCCGATCGCCTTCCCCATGTCTACCAACCGCCGGCCTCAGCTCCCGGACGCTTAAAGCTTCTCCGCAGTGCACCATCATCAGCCTCTGAACGGCAAGCTCCCCCTACCTCCATATGTCTTGCATTAAACATGCGCAGCGTGCGAGAAATCCAGGGGGCAAGTGCTGATCATTGATGACAGTGGTATGCGAGTGTGAGTGTGTTATTACCATGCGAAATAAAAATGTATGATAGTCCAAGTCCGAAATGTGAAGTCCAATATCCATGAGAGGGGCTACTACCTACGGAAAGGGGGAGGGTGCGGGCACGAAACAGGATAGTGCTGCTACTCACAAGATATGTAATGATAGACGACAGAATGCATAAGAGAGACGCCTCAGTCCTATGGTCTCAACGTCATGGCAGTGATGGTACACATTAGCTCTGGTCCATGAATTTCACCCACTGCGGTGGCCACTTCAGCTGACCGGGTCGCGCGGCATGCTCGACATCCGCCGCTCAGGGAACGGGACGCCAGACTGCCGCCGGCCCATCGACATCGAGCCCTGCTGGGGCCGATGCCGTGGCGACGTGGGGGCGACGTCGTCAACGTCCACCTGGTGCCGCTGCCAGTCCTCGACCTTCATCGTCGACATGCGCCGCGACGAGCCCTGCGTCCCGGGGACGTTCGCCAGCACATCCGCGCTGAGCGACCGTGTGTGCCGCTTCTCCTCTCCGCCGCTGCCAGACGCGACACGCCGGCCCTCGCCGGACTTGCGCGCCTTCTCCTTCGCCGCCTGCTCCTTCTCCGCCTGTCGCTTGGCCATCGCCTGTTTCTCTGCGTTCTTGGCCCGTTCCCAGCGTCCGCGTGCGTCGTTGACCTGCGCAGCCTCCTGCTCCGCCTGCGTGAGCGGCGCCTGCAGCTCGCGCAGCTTCTCGCGATGCCGCTCGACGAGCTCTTCAAACGTCTTCACACGCGGTGACGACGCCCCAGCAGCCTTGGGCGCGGGCTGCGCAATGGGTCGTTTCGGCGGCAGGATGGTCACCGGAACATTCCCGCCTTGTGAGCTCGTCTTCTTGTGATGCTGCGCGCGCAATGCGAGAGGGATGTCTTCTGATGAGGAGTCCTTGAGTGCTGTCATGTCGGGCGTGCCGCCGAGAGGGGGCGATAACACATCCTCCCTGCGTTGACGCTCCTTCAGCGCCTCGACAACGGCCGGTGAAACTGGAATACGCGGCGTAGGGCTGATCGTAGTGGTTGGAATGGGAGGTGTAACACCCGCCGGTGGCTGCAGAAGCTTCCGTTCGTGGAGATAGACGTCCCAGTCATCGTCACGCAGGGGTGCACTCGTAGGACGTCCGATGGAAGCACCCACATCCGAGGCATGAGACAGATTCAAGAGCTCCATAGACTGGACCCGAGCACGAGGATCACGTTGGCGTGGGGGGCGCAGGTGCGCAGGAGCAACCGGTAGGACACCAAGCTCTTGACTGAGCTGCCTAGAGTTCCCAGACGGGTGGCGAGACTCCGAAGAGTTGGAAGAGAGCGCAACTGGGGTGTCCGACCGAAGCAGCTCGATAGACTTGCGGATCGTGTTGATTTCCGACAAGAGCTCCTGGCGACGCTTGAAGTCCTCCAGTTCCACGGCCGTCATGGGCTTTGAGGATCTGTTTCCAGCCTCCAAGTCGTCCGCAATGAAGGTCCTCGGGACGTTAGCTTCGATGTCATCGCCCAAGTCGAGGGCCGGGAGAACGCCGGGAGTCTGCATTTGCTTGCTCGCAGCACGGTTAAGTTCGTCCGTGGGAGTCGGCGCGGCCATGAACTCAGATAGGCCGGAGTGATAGCGGGGACGAGGAGTGCCCATCGGCGAGTCGGTGTACGGAGAACCAAAGCCGTCCTTGCCCAACAACGGTGATCCGGAGAGGCCGCTGTCCGAACGGTCGTGCTTCGGGAGCGTCGGGTGCGCCAACGCCCAGTCTTCCTTCTCGGCCTCGAGCTGCCTGAAGCGTTCAGCGGCGCGAGCGTCTGCCTCGTCGTTCTGCTTCTTGCGCTCGAACTCGATTTCCTTCAGCTTCCGCTGCAGGACCTTCAAGATCTGGAACTGCACGGCCATGCCCATGAGCGACACGGCGCCCATCATGCCCAGCTCGATCTGCATGATCTGGGTGACGGGGAACCTGATCCCGTGTGTCTGATACTTCGTGAAGAGCGACTCGAAGCCGATGTTCCAGACATAGAACTGCAAAAGCAAAAATACGACACATGGAAGGTGGTCAGCCGAGCTCGGGCCGTCCGGCCAAACGCATGCAGAACGCACCTCTTTAAGGCCGGCGGTCGTGAAGCAGTCGACCCCGAGCATGAACGCGGTCGCGCCCACGAATGCAGTCGACGTGAGCATGATGTAGTAGTGCAGCTTGGGAATCGTGCATAACACGAAGCCGACCACAGAAATGGCTAGAGACGGGCAGGGGAGGGTCGCTTAGCCGGGATGAAACGGGAGCTGGAAACAACGCGGTCGCATACCGATGTACATGATCCAGCGAAACCCGATCGGCCCTATCAAACCGCCGTTGCGGAAGCATTGAATCCACAAGGCGAAGGCGAAACCGCCCCATGCACCGGTGAAGTACTTGGCGGCTTTCCAGAAGAAGATGGAGATGCCGCCGCCGGCGATGCCTGCGACGCCACAGGAGAGCACAAAGAGGCCGCGGAGGGTCGTGCTGGGGGGGTTGATGGCATTGAGGACACCGAAGCGGAGGATGAGGACGAAGCAGGTGAGGGCGAGGGTGTAGAAACCGATAAGGAAGATGGAAGACCAGCGGTTTTTGTGCCCGAGAAATGCGCTGGGCAGGCCGGTCAGGATGAGGAGCGCACCTAGCACGCCGAAGCCGCCATCGAGGTGGGTGTCAAGCTTTGTGAAGTCCGGCGCGGCGGAGGTCGTCGCGGAAGGTTGGGCGGACGTGGTTGAGGATGCAGACTGAGTCGGGGTGATGGTGACATTGAATACCGTGGGGACTACAACGGTCGTGGGGATATTCAGGTTGCCGGAGCGGGTAGTGGTCGTAATCGTCGTAGAGCCGGTCGTCAATGAGAGGGAAACGGAGTCAGTCCTGGACGGAGTCGGAGTCGCGGATTGTGCGAGAACGGTGGTGAGGACGGTGAAGAGGAGGAAGAGATATGGCCAGAGAACGGATGGCCACGGACGGGAGCGGGGGACAGGCATGGGGGGCGACCTGCTTGAGGGAGGCGGGAGGAAGGAAGAGGGGGAAGGGAGGGGACCGGGGCGTATGAAGGGAGGGAGTGTGATAGAAGAGGGCGAGCGAGTGGACTAGTGCCAGCCGCGCCCGGCGATTCGGGCGAAAGGAACGACGACAAGCTTCTCGAGTGTACCCAGTCCGGGACCCACGTGTGCGCGCGAGCAGTCGGTCAGATCAAACCGTACCGTATCTCACTCTGCCCGCTCCACTGGCCTGCGAGCTCGACGATAAGTACAGTGCGTAGACAACCAGCAGACCGGAGTACAGAACAGAGGGCGTCGCCGTCGGAAGGGGCCCGCACCCAACACCCCGGCCCCGATATAAGAGGCGGCTATGCTGGACCCGTGTGGGCACCCGAACGCAGTGTCCTATGAGATTGATTCGCTTGCCGTCCTAGTCCCTGATACTCCATCCCTCCCCGCTCTCCCCGGAACGTGTTTGTCCATGACGACCTCTCATTCCACACAATTCGCATGGTCCAGCGGCGTTCTGCGTCCATACCATGCCTAGGTGGCGCCCCACGCATCCCGTGTCACTCAGACAGCCTCATATGTAGTGCATAGTATTCCGGAAGTATGCTACTCGAAATGCTCGAATCTCGTCGGCGTGATGCCCACCTTTCGCAGCAACCCCTCCATCATCCGGGGTTCATCCCTAGACGCCTTCCTCCCGTTGTCCCGCAAAACTTCGTGTCGATCCGCAACAACACTGATCACCCGCCCGCTCCGTCCGAATCGCCCGACGCGCCCCGCGACATGGAGGTACGAGTCCACCGCGCCGTTGTCCAGGAGACCCAGTATGAAGACATGCGTCAATTCAGGCAGGTCCAGTCCTCGCGTAGAAGCCAGCGTGGACACGAGCAGGGTCGGGTTCTCAGCGGCGATGTCAAAGTTCTGCCGCATAAGATGTACGCGCCCCGTCTCGTCCTTGACGACGTCCAGTGCGCGGGCGTTGACACCGAGTAGGCGTAAGTCGTACGCCGCCCGCTGCACAGGCGCATCTGAAGGCAGAACCAGCAGCCCGACGGAGGGAACGTCCAGCGCGAATGCCGCCGCAATGGCTTCCAAGGCATTGGGGTTGAATGGCGAAGGTGTATCTGCGAAGCATAATAAACCAAGAAGCACCGCGTGGGAATGAATGGTAGCCTACCGATCGCCTGGTCAATATCGGGTGCCTGTGACGACTCTGGGAGCGGAGGCAATTCGAGAGGCGTGTCAGACGACGTCTCCGCCTGGGATTCTTCCGAGCTCACGGCGGGCGCGTCGACTGCGCCCACAATATTGGCGATGTCACCGTCCTCTGAGACCACGATAACATGGTGCTGTACGTTCAGGCCTCCAACCGTCTCTGCGGCCGAGTCTTCGACTTCCGAGGTGGTGGCTTGCTCTTTTCTCGGGTTGTGAGGAGAAACCTCGCCAGTGATCCGCACGAGTTTGCCAGATTCCGTGTTGAACCAGCCGCTGTCTGTAAGCAAAAACCGTCGTAGGTGGTTCCTCAGAGTAGCGCTCATTAAGACCAGTTGAGGTCTTGCAGCGCTTGCTTTCTGTTCGCGGTACGGCCCTTGGTTCGCACCAGAATAGATGTGGTCGAGGAGAAGACGCGTCGGACCCGGGTGACGGTTAACCTTTCGCTCGATTTTTTGCATAGCAATCTTGTCCTTCAAGATGGGCACAGTCTTGACGAGGTAGTCGACCTCGTCAACGACGACAGTCGACAGCTTGGAGAGCGGCAGCGCCTCCGGGTCTTCTTGCACGGCGTCCAGGAGTGCCTGAGGTGTACCAATGAGGATTTGCGGGGACGAGTGGCGGATGGCGGTGAGCTGCTCCTCGAGTGACGTGGATGAGTTCCTGACGAACACTTGTGCGAGAGAGGGGAGGGGATCTTGCGGTGTCATGTGGTGGTGTATGCGCTCAATCCAATGAAAAAGTTGGTAGGCTAAGTCGCGGTGGGGGACGACGACGAGGGATGTGACAGGTCCTGAAGCGCGTTTTTGGCTGAGCAATGCGAGTATTGCAGCGAAAGATCTAGCAAAATGGCATGTGAGCACGCCGGGAACATCGAACGCGCTGTCGCGTCACGTACTTTCCAGTACCCGTCTTGTCTTTAAGCAGAACATCTTGGCCTTTTAAGACAGCGTCAATGAATCTGTGTTGGATGGGCGTGGGGTGCTTGATGGACGGAAAGGCGAGGCGCAAGGCGGTGAGGACAGAGGACCGCAGGCCGAGTCGCTCGAAGCTGAACTCGTCAGGGTGAGGATGGCTCTTGACGGTGTCGCGAGGACCGTTGTGGATGTGCCTCGGGTGTCCGTACTTTGAGCATGGTGGTTGGAAGAAGGCCCGAGCGCAAGCACCGGATGGGCGTGTTCGCGCTTGAGCTTGAACGAGAAGAGAGAAGGGACGCATGATGTCATTCCCTTGTCCGCTCTGCTGGGTATATCTTGGGCGCTTCTCTCTCTCGTGGCGTCGAGCGCTTACTGTCAGTTATTGCACATAACTTACATATGCAGCTCAAATTTCGGACAGGATGCTTGTTCACGGTCATGGCAGAACAAATATTGATAGAAACAAATTGCAGATGAGAGAGCGATGTAACAGTACGTGGTACAATGCAGCGAGGGGTATGCTTATGCAGGACGCAGGGATTAGTAGGGTGTGGGCTGATAAAGTAGGCTAGCTACTAGACTGTGAGGATGAGCAACGGCGATCAAGGAGGCACAGTCAAACTACCAACGGCGACCACTTGGTAATCAACCTGTTCCGCTCCGCGCTGGGAGGTGCGTGCACGCGTCCGCCTGTCATTCGACGTCCACGCCCTGGTGGGCGGGCGACGGCCGACGGGGGACGGCGTCTGAATACTCCTCGACTGCACTGCTGTCCATCCTCGACATTTCCTATTCGTCGCCGTCGCGAATAGGTTCGTAGCTTGCTCGCCCGTCGTTGCGGCCGAGCAAGCGGCTGACCAGCCCTTGTCCGGACGCGTGTGGTATGCGGGCACTGCGGCGCGAACGGCTGGATCGACGGGATACGAGCGATGCTCGTTCCGATTCTTCTTCCTCTAGACGCTCTTCTAGCTCCTCTGTATACGCCGAGGTTGAGCGGATAAAATACCATAACTGATGTTGGAACCGACCTTCGCCAAACACGGCGTCCATCTCCTCCAACGGGACGCCCTTCGTCTCGGGATACACTATTCATCTGTGAGAATACGGCTGCATATGTCGCAAAAAAAGGGGACGTACGGAAGTAGACTGGACACAAGGCCATGAGCTTTAGTACAGAGTGCATCGATAGTACCACTCACCAAGAATGAAACTGCAGACACAGAAGAATCCGTGCATCGGGTACAACCGCCACTCGATCGTTTCCTGCAATATCGGAGTCATCTCTCCTACAAGGAAATTGAATGCCCAGTTCGTAGCAGTGGACAAGGACACGCCCTTGGCGCGCACAGTGAGCGGCAGGATCTAGGTACATATAGTCAGCGACCAAACTCGCTAGATGCACTGCACGCGACATACCTCCGGAGGGTAAAGCCTGACATCATGAATGCACGTTTAGCTCCGAATCGTCAAGAATGGTTACGAGGTCAACATACCATCTGCAAAAAGGTTAGAATATTGTGAATATGTAGACAGCGAAACAGACGTACGGAATGGGTCCCCAGCTGTACCCGAACGCTGCGTTAAACACGATGACACAGAATACGACGGCTTTGGGAGTCTCTGGGACGTCAATATACATCCACCATCCGGTCATTCCAAGCGAGAGAGCCATCTGTACCAAATGTGTCGGTTACAACACCAAACAATGTGCGCATATACGTACCACAACAGCGCCTGTGAGCAAGATGAATCGGCGACCCCAGCGGTCGACCAAGTACCATCTACAGTGGGTGTCAGTTTCTGAAGCTGGAATAGACGACGAAGGTCGCTTACGGTGGAAGCGTGCTCAAGATGTAGATAATTGCGTTGATACCAGTCATCAGGATAGCGTCGCGGCCAACCCACCCCGCCTCTGCAAGACCGGACGTGAGCTTGTGAACGTGCTTCCTGTGTCTGTTGACACTAACCTTCGAATACTCTCGCTGTGCTGATGGTGAGTAACCGATTTGTGCGGTAGACCAATACAAGACTTACGCGCGTAGTATGAGATGACTAGGCGGAAGAGAGAGCGTAAGCAGATGAAACATTGACCTACGGACTATTCCTTACCATTGATACCATTCTGAACCGTTGAATCAGCCGGTCTGTCGCGAAACGGAATGGCACAGAACTCACCAATTGTGCGAAGGCCTGAGAAGACATAGCGAGCAGCACTCGCTTCTTGTATCGTTTCCACATCACAGCGTACGTCCGGCCTTCGCCCGATTCACGCTGGGTAGCGTGAGCACAATCCGCTGAATGGTCAGAATATAGCGCACCTCGTAAATGACTCTGTCTTTAATTTCTTGAAACTCAGCTTTCGCCACAAGGTCTTCTGGGTCGCCACCATGCAAATCAGCAATCACTGTCATGCCTTCCGCATCTCTGTCTACGTCTATGAGCCATCTGAAAGGTAGGTCAGTAACGGCAGAGTTTAACGTACACGTAAAATGAAGCCTACCGAGGACTTTCTGGCATTACGAGGGAACCGAGTGCGAGGATAGCACCAATGACAACTTGGATGAACAGCGGGATACGCCAGGACAGGTCGGATTCAATGAAGGAGCAGAAGTAGTCGATCCACTATCATTGCGGGGTCAATGTGGCTTCCCTTCGGCTTACAAGCGTACTTACCACCGATGAGGCATAACCAAAGATGTTGCCCGTGAATTCCATACACGCCAGTGCACCGCGCTATTATTGTCAGTGTGAGCATTCGTTCAATACTGCAGGCTAGTTGTGTGCGCATACATGGTCTGGCGGGGAAATTTCACTTTGGTAGATAGGCACAATGGTCCTAACGCGCGGGATTAATTGTGCAAGCTGGGCCGGACCGAGAGCGTACTCACGATAACAAGCCTACACCAAGACCAGAGATGATTCGACCGAAGACCATAACCCAGAATCCGGTAGTGAACGTCTGGATAGCGCCTCCAATGGCAAAAATGACGGCGCCGCTGAAGAGCGTCCCGCGCCTGCCAATACCGTCTCCGATGCGACCGGCCGCGAGCGAAGTAGCTGTGTGCGGGGTGTGTCTCTCAGAACTCCGCTCAATTAAGGGGTGGCAATGTGCCTGTGTGGACTGACCGAATGCCCCGACTTCCAGGACAGCGACCATGGTCCCGACCTCTATCGCCGTGGGGTCGTTGAAGTACTTCCGGAAGTAAGGCCCGGTGATCACGCCCGACATAACGCTAAGGACAGGATGAATATGGGCATGGCCGGACCATACTTGGACTGTCTAGTCTTACCCCTGGTCGTATCCAAACTACGTAGACGCATGAGGTTTAGACGTACGCGTAGCGAGTGTAAGTCGATACTCACGAGGAAGACCCCCAAACTAGCAAATATCGAGATGGCATAGAGGAGTGGCTGGCCCACGAGCCTCCGAGAGCTGCTTGGGGACGTTGGCGGCATCCTGCATCTGCTGCCGGCGCGGAGAAAAGAAGGAGAGCGGGGAAGATGACGGTCGTAGCACAGAAAGTGCAAAGTGGGGAGAAGACGCCGAGGATGCGATGAGGGGAGAGATGAAGGGGCCGCTGGCGGGGGCCCGGTGAGCGAACGTCGCGTGTCTGTGGCACTGGCTCTAGCAGCTCTCTGCCGGCCGCGCGCTGAGTGAGGTCACGATCACCTGTGCCGAGCTCGCTAGCCTGCCCCGTCCCGCTCCCTCCGCACACACCTCTCCCCCGTTTCTTCCGTTTTGCGTCTCGGGTGTTCTGTGGCCCGCCTCTCTTGCGATGCCAGGCTCGATACAGTCGCTCGACACCCTCTCCATATCCTCAGATGGCTCTTACGACTCCGACGACGAAGACCGCCTCGCAGAGCAGGAGTGGCAGGAGAGCATTCAACAGCTGCTGCAGCTCTTTGCCATCGTCCTCCTTCCGTATCTAGGCAAATTCCTGGGCAGGAGATGGAGTCACTGGGGTATGTGTAACATCCTGTCTATGACGCCGTTCACCCGCTCATCTGACCGAATCACAAGCCTATGCCCGATACGTGCGCTTTGGTTTCGGAAAGACATTCTTTCTGGGCGACCGAGGTCTATGACCTCCCGAGGACGTACACGCTCTCGGGAGGCGTTCACCCGCCCCACATTCACGCGACGCAGTGCATGATATCAGAGGTACGTTCACGCCCCCGCAACACCATTCGCATTATGCCTGCTAATGATATCGACCAACTTCTTTAGCGAACTTGACAGGTTGCTCGCATGCCGCCGTCGCATGTCCTTCACCACCTCGCCCGCCACATCCCACCGATCCCTATCCATGAGCCCCTTGAGCAGGATGTACCACGTGTCGGAGTTCATGTGCACCCGAAGACGAAGCATGTCTCTATAGTACTTCATCGCGTTCTCCAATCCCTCTGGTTCGAAGCCCACCAAGGCCGCCTTGATGAGCACGTTGTACGTCTGGCGGTTCGGCTTGAGGTCCCTCGTCTGCATCGTGTTCAGTATCTGCTGGGTGTATTCCTCGACCACCGACCGCGAGAGCCAGGTTCCGCGATTCATCGCGGTGAGTATCGACGTGTACGTGATGACGTTCGGCACCGCGTCCCCAAACTCGCCGCGTTCCATCTTCGCCATTAGGTCCATGGCCACCTTCAGGTTCTGCGGCGTGCACTCCCGAAGCTGGTGGTCGATGATCGCGGTGAGCGCCGTCGTATCCGGAAGGACGCCGTGCTTCTTCATAAAGTTGAGCACGATCTTGTCCGCGTCGGGGCGCACTTTGAGCAGCGACGAGAGGAGTGTGGAGAACGTGTACACGTCGGCCTTCACACCGGCGCGTTCCAGCTCTTTCAAGACTTCCCCCATAGCCTTGAGTTCGCCTTTCCGGCCGTAGTAGCGAATGAAGGTGTTGTATGTGATAATGTCGGGGCTGGGACCGCTCTCCTCCATCTTCGACTTGATGGCCTTCGCGTCTTCTTCCATCGAGTGGAACAGCAGCCCGTGCAGCGTGGTGTTGTACACGGCCATGACCCCGGACGAGTCCGCAGGTGACCCGCCCGTCAAATAGCTGCTCTCGAAGGCGCGAAATCGCCCCAGGGCTTCGTGCGGCTTCCCGGCGATGAAGAAGGCGGAAATGAGGGCTCGGTGGGATAGTGCGTCGGGCTTCACGCCCTGCGCGTTCATCACTTCCCACGTCTTGGTTGTCGCGTCCAGAGAGCGCATGCGCCCGTAGCCGTCAAGGAGAGCATTCCATATCGCAATGGACGGCGTCACCTTAAGCTTTAGGAGATCGTCCCACAGTTTCTCGGCGAGGTCCGTCCGCTGACAGGCGAGGAAGCTGCTCAGGAAGGACGCCCAGAAGAAGTCCGGGAGGAGTACTACGCGTGTCCCTGTGAGCTGGCAGGGGGTGAGGGCAAGCCACGGGTCGGGCTCGCTCGCGCCGGCGATCGCTGTCGTATAGAGCTGCTCCAAGGAAATATCTGCGGTGTCCCGAGTAAGATTGGCCAGGTGCTTCATGAGAGTGGGAGGGCGCGCAAGAAGGCCAGCCGTCCGAAGACGGAAGACGTAAGAGTTGAGCTGTGCGCGCAAGGCGCGGTCGGGATGTAATAGGCGAATGGTCTCGGCGAGCGTAACGGTCCTACTCCGGATCCCCGCCTTCAGATAGGTTTGCATCGCGTCTGCGAATGTTCCCAGTTGTGCATGGGCGGCGATGGCAGCGACGAGAATCTCGTCCCGGACATGGTTGAGTGTGGCAGACGACTCCTCATCACTGACAGCAGCTTCATCGGTCACCGCACTAGACTCCTTTGACGCTATGCCGTCGGGGATGTTTCGTTCGCGGAGACCATGGACGTATTGATCATATATCGCAAGAGCGACCCGCGGCTGTTCATGCTTGATAACGGAGAGCATAAGAGCCCGTAGACCGCTTGTAGAGCCTCCGACGGCACAGACTAGGGCTATGTCGCGCAGAAGGGCTACCTGCTTCTCAGATAGTGAAAGCGACGTGCACAGGGTCGAGACTGCTTGTGATAGAACGTCGTGTTGCGAAGGTCCTAGGAAAGCCACGAGATTGCTGTCCCTCATCTCTAACCAGGTCCGGCGGGCCTTCGTGAAATCGCGCTTGTTGAGTGCGGCGCGGAGCGTGGGGATGGTGCTGTTGAGCGCATCGGTTTGGGAGTGTGTAAGGTACCGTGTAGTCGATCCGTTGGGGAAATCCTCCGGAAGTCGGGCCAAGAGCGTCCCAGGAGTAAGCTTGGATGAGGATGCAATGGACGGTTGCGAGAACGTCGAAGAGGCTCTCCTGCAGCCTTTCACCGTAGTTAGCGATTGCTTCCTGGCGGCCGCCTGCAATGGTTTACGACAACGGATGACATGAGGGGTCAAGAGGTTGAGGGTGGTGGCCGACGCAATCCCATGGCTTGTCGACCGTATAATCATGCGCGGATTGAACGAGAACAGGAAGCTACTTGACGCCCTTGAGTCCATAGAAATGCATTGCATGTGTGGACAGTACATACCAGAACCTAGCGCTGTCCTCCGTGCGTGGTAGTGTTCAAACCGTCGAGATGTCCCAGTCAGAGCTCTCTCATTCAGAGTCTGCCCAAAGTCCCGACGCGACGTCAGGATATGGGCGCCTCGTACCTCGCACGTGATGGCGCGCCTTGCCAGGCGGCGGGGCTCCTCCAGGTCGTCCATCTCCTGCTCTCAGCCACCGTCATCTCAGAACTGTGAATTACTGCTTGGATCGTAAAAATGGGGCACGGGAACTCGAACAAGCTGTATGTGACCCATGCCGAGCACTCGGGCATGTTTGGGCAGCATACGGCGTCCTCGGGTGGTCACAGAGCGTAAGTGTGGCACAAAGCAGTTGTCTACACGTCGATGCTTACACAGAGCACTCAGGAAAGAGCAAGCGACACAGCGCCATGCACAGACCCCATTTGACTGCTGCGACCTGACTTTCCAGCAGTTCAACAACCCCGTATGCGCGCGCAACTCCGATGGCACCGGGAATGTGTTCGAGCTAGTCAGTATTATCCCCTGGCTCAAGTACGTCTTCCTGGCACCTATATCTCGCAATGTCCTAACACCGTACTCGCAGGCAACACGGCAACACGAACCCTGTGACTCAGGAACCTCTACAGCCGTCCGACCTCATAACCCTCCACTATGCGCGCAAATCCTCTGGGGAAATACACGACCCCATCTCCTTCAAGCCGTTCAGCGACCACTCGCACATCGTTGCAATTGCCACCACTGGAAACGTATTTCTTGCGGAGAGCGTGAAAGGTGGACGGGATCTCGTTGCAGACGTGAAGTTCAAGAAGTGCGTACCTTCGTCATTATGCTCGGTTTTGGCCACTGACGCTATTCAGGGAGGATGTGATAACTCTGCAGAACCCGCATGGTTTTCCCACTGCGTCTGTAAACACTAAGCCGGTTCAAACCGCTCAGGCTGCCAAGGATAAGGCGGCAGAGAAGAGCGACAAGAGCAAGGCCGTTGCGGTGAAGCCAGCTGCTGCACCCGCGGTCGCAAAAGCGAAGGCCGCAGTACCCTGTAAGCGCGCCCGACTCGCATTTCCGTAGGGAAACATCTAACGCAATGTTCAGGGAATGCGTCTCCGTACTCTACGGGTCTTCCTGGCGCGTCTCTCACATCTACGTCTGTCGATCCTCAAACGCAAAGCTCTCAACTCCTTTGGGATGAGGTATGTTATGTCGTTATCCACTCTGTCGTTGTGCAGTTTCTCAAGTGCCCGCCACCGCAGGAGGAGCTTATGTTCGATGAATTTGCGAACCCTCCCAAAGGCAAAGGGAAGGAGAAAGACGTCGGAAAGCGACGAGCGTACGTACGTGTCATCACGAACTTGGGCGGCGGTGCTCTCAACCTCGAGCTGTACTGCGAGAAGGTATGTCTCACTACTTTGACGTGCTGACAGCGTCTGACGAGGACTCGCAGGCACCAAAAACATGTTACAACTTCCTACAATTGGCGAAGGCGGGGAAGTACAACGACTGCCTGTTTCACCGTCTCGTACCCGGGTTCATGGTGAGCACTCTTTTCAACCGTCATCAAGATATACCTTACTGACGCTCTGCAGATTCAAACTGGAGACCCAACAGGTACAGGGTCGGGTGGCCAGTCATGTTGGGGTACACCATTCCGGGACGAGTACGATCTGCGAAATGCCGCAAAGCATGACAGCCGAGGCGTCATCGCGATGGCCAATAAGGGCCCCTCCACGAACGGCTCGCAGTTCTACATTGCGTTCCGTCCCGCCGCACATCTTGACAAGAAGCACACCGTCTTCGGGAAATTGGTTGGCGGCGAAGACGTACTGGATGCACTGGAGTCGCTTCCTGTTAAACCAGGCACAGAGCGGCCCGCTAAGCAAGTCAAGATAACGGAAGTTGTCATGTATGTCCCTGACGTCCATCGTGGGAGGTTTAGCAGCATGTTGACCTTGTTCCCGTCTCTACAGTTATCAGGATCCATTCGAGGAGTACAAGCAACGCGAGCAGCGGAAGCGCGAACGCAAAGCGGAGACACACGAGACGCGCACTAAGGAGGCGGAAGAGAAGGCGAAAGACGACGTCAACTGGTTCGGCGTCAAGGTCGGCCAACAGAATGCGAACGCGGCTGTAGGCGGCGGCGTTGGGAAGTACCTCAACCTGAATGCCAATGCCAAACGGCCTCTGGAGGCGCCTACAAGAACGATGCCTGTCAGCGCGCCGCCAGAAGAGGGCAAGAAAAAGCGTCGCATTGGGTTTGGCGACTTCGAGGGCTGGTAGAGGATGCCATAGTATATCCCGTCTGTAGAGTAGTGTACATGATAAGTTACCGTCCATCCTATATTCTAGATCATGCAGCGACCGGGACGCGCTCCGTCTCTTTGGATTGAGACTCTGGCTCGGAGGCTGAAAGAATCATATGTCAGTGGAAGCAGAAATATGTCGCACAACATCTTACCCTTCGCAGGAATTTCTGGCTCCTCTGTCGGAACAGATGGCAAGTCGATAGGACGCTCGTCGGATACTTCAAGCTGCAGAATCATGAGTACCGGGCCTTGAGTGATAGACATACGGCGTACCGTCTGGAGCTGGAGTTGCTGCAGTTCTGCTTGTACGGCTTCCTCGTCCTCGAGGCTGAGTGAACCGGCAAGCATCTCGTCGATTTCCTACATAGATAGTGAGTCTCAGAATCACCTAACCTACGAATGTCACTTACTCGTTGATACTCCCTGGCCTCTGCGGTCTCTTCCATGATCCGCTCGACGTTCTCAATATTAAGCTCTTTGTGGATCTCCTTGAGCACCTCGTTGCCCTGTTGCAGTCCGTGCAGCACAGACACCTCCACCAAAGAGAACTCGATGGTCGAGACCTATCGTGTGATGGGAACATAAGGCGGCGAAGAACATTCATAATAGGAGGGAGACGGACCAGCTTCTCCAGATTCTCGAGCTGCGCGTCGGTCTTCACAAGCAGACTTTCCTGGTATTTCCGCTTGCGCAATGCTATGAGAGCGCGGTCCTTCCGGCCTGCCGCTAATTGCTGCTTGGCAATTTCATGCTCGCGGTCGAGGACGGCTTGGATCTCCTCACGAGCTCAGCCTTCCCACAGAGAACAGAAGGACCTCGACGAGCTCACCTTCTTCTGGTATTGTCTGACTTTATCTCGCTGGAGTTTCAAGCTGTGAACGATTACATCGTGGGCGGCGTGTGGGTAGCACTGTCTGGCACTGACTCTAGGATCGCGCGGTCCTGCTTCGTGATCTTCGGAACGGACTGGCCTGCTCCCATGGAATCCTCGAGTACTACTGGAGTGTACTACTGGTCGTTGGTCGCGAAGTCACAGCTCACTTTGTAAAAGGAAGAGGGCGGTAGGATACACGAGCCGGACGAAAGCAGTGGTATGAGCCAACGTGCAACGCCACAGCTTGTCGCCGTACTGTAGCTACCGGTATCGCCGGCCCCCTTGCCGGCCCGATGACGTACGAAGGCAGCCCTGCAGCCTCTCTGCGGTGCTCTCCTGGCCAGTGAGTCTGGCTGATTAATTGAGAGTCTGCAACTCGAAGGCTTCGGCTTAAGTTCGCCCAGGGTGACATGTGCACAGAATTGGTAACATATGTATACGACAACAAATCTGACATATGTACGGTCGTACATGCTTTGGATCGGCAGGAAAGCTCAGAGCTTGCTAGCCTCGACGAACCGCCGCTCAGCCTCCTTGAAGTTGACAACGTTCCAGATCGCGGTCAGGTACTGTTTTATTCGTCAGCATCGTCCAAATACTGCACTGAAGTGAGCATACGCACGTCGGCCTTGACGTTGTGGTACTGGAGGTAGAACGCGTGCTCCCAGATGTCGATGCCAATAATCGGGACGTGGGTCAGGAGCGGGTCCTGGTTCGCCGTCGTCACCACCTCCAACTTCTTCGTCTCCGTGCTGTATCCAAGCCAACCCCAGCCGGAGCCCTGGATGGCGCCCGTCACCGTGTTCATCTTCTTCTTGAACGCATCGACGCTCCCAAAGTCCGCCACCAGCGCATCCTTGAGCGGCCCCGCGGCGAGCTCGCCTCCGCCCGCGCTCGCAGGCGCAAGGTTCTTCCAGAAGAGCGAGTGGTTGATGTGTCCGCCGCCGTTGAACTTGAGCGCGGGCTGCAGCCGGATCTGGTCCTTGGGCGACGGCGCCTGCGCGTACGACTCCTCAGCCGCGTTCAGGCCGTTCACGTACGCCTGGTGATGCTTCTTGTGGTGCAGTTCCATGATCTGGCCCGAGATATGCGGCTCCAGGGCCTGTGTCGGGCATCGTTAGCACCTGAATCTGGAGAGCTCAACCCTCGAAAGAGGGGGAAACGTACGTCATAGGCATAGTCGAGCTGCGGGAGCGAGTGCACGCCCCGGGCAGCAGCGAGCGAAAGCGACGCGCGAGGGAGGGCGCGGGTGGCAGGTCGGGCAGCACGGGCAATAGCGGTAAGTACAGACATGGTGGTTGTGGTTGTGGTGTTAGGGAGCAAGATGAGTGGAGGGTCGGCCGACGGAGCACACCGCGACTTCGGGACGCGTCGAATGCCCGTGCCGGCACGCGCGATGGCGCGGGCTTAGCCGAGCCACATCATTACTGACGCAGCGGTGACGCACATTCGACCAGCAGGGCTCGATAAGTTCACTATTACATAGTACACTACAATAATCCTACGTATGAACATACAATACACACATCCTAGCAGAGTCTAGATAGAAGACCACAAATCTACGAAAGGAACCCGCCGTCTGCCATGACGGTCGCTGTAGCAGAGAGTCCAAAATCAAATGTGTGGGATAGGTCGCTCGCCTGGTGCGTATTGGGATTACGCCGAGGAAGAGTGGGTGCTGCGAGGGGGGTTGCGTATTGCTTTCCGCACGTCTGAGCCAGGTAATCGTTCAACAGCCTCCCGTAGTGATCTGAGAAAACAAGACGAGCACTGAATATTAGCGCGCAGACTACTGGAGACACAAATATATACGTACGGGCATGAGGAACGCTCTCCCCGACCCCATTTATGACAGAGCTGGCAGTGAGCGTTAGCAGAGGCAGAGAGTGTTTGTGCAAGCTTAGCTCACGTACCGGAAGAAGTTGACCTCGGAACGAATGGTTTCGATGTGCTCATCGCTGTGTGCGTCAATAGCAGCCCTCAGGAACCGCACCAGCACCCTTCCTGCCGCAAACCAGCAGACCTGCAACAAAGTTAGTGAGATGCTGAGTAGAGAGCTAGCTAGAAGTGATTGGATCTTACCGTGGGGAACACTCCCAGTAAGGCGAGATTGTGACTGGTCGAATACGCATCATACAACAGGTTGAGGATGCCACGCGCTGCGGCCAGGACTTTGCACGACGAGATACATGCCGCTCGTCCAATATTCGCATGGCCCTCGTGCAAGATGATCGTAGCGCTAGGAAGTCCATTCTCGGTAAGCGGATACGGGGAGAGCAAGCGACATGCTCACAAGTGTATCGTCGACAGGGCTGTGAACAGGTTCACGTCGATGACGCCGCTAGATAACGGGTCCCTGAGCTGCGACGGGAGCGATTGCGTGAACGCCACGAGGAGGCGATCGATTTCCATAAATGCAGGGGTGCTCTGAATGAGGTCGTTGCCGGGCATGCCTGGGATGCCCGCAGGATCCGGTTGCATCGCGGGGTCGCCCAAGTGCCTCCTGACTTTGTACCGGCCGTTGAAGACCTTCACTTTGGAGAGCAATAATGTGGCCTTCACATGCAGAATGAAAGAGTCGGTTTGTTGTTCCAAGTGCGTCTCGATAACGTCTGGATCGTGCGACCACTGCCGCCGGTTGGGGGGGACTAAGTTCTGAAGAACAAAATCAGCGGCGATAAGCATGCAACTTTCAGAGTACACATACCCCTTGCTCAAACTGATCGCCGTGAACGGGAAGCATTTGTGAGATGTCTTCGTCGTCGAGCATCATGGCGAAGTTGTTGAGCGCGCCGAAATGTCGCTCCATCATGTAAGCTACATAGAGGGTCAGATGCACCATACGCCAGCTGGGGCGGGGGGGAAGAGCTCACCAATCCAGAATGTATTGCGTCGTGTCTCGTCCTCCATAACATTCGGTGCCGCAGGGATAATGGAGGAGCTGGTCATGTTCGAGCTCGAGATGCTATCGAACGGCGGACATGCGTTGAGCCCACACGGCACGGCATATCGTAGGGACACTGCGAATGCAACACAGGCCTAGCAGTAACCCATGGTGAGGATGACTTCAAAGCATGCGATAACGAAACTGACCTCGGACCATCTGATGGGGTACGGCTAATTCAGAACTTGAACCCGAACGATGTCAGTGTACTCGGGACTCACCTTGCATTATACCAATACCAGAGGGAGATAATCACTTGGGCTGTATGCAACGCGTTACAATCACATCGCTGTTACGCCGTAGTCTATCGTACCTTGGAATGATCCAAATAGGTCGGAAGTTGTCCTGAGGGCGTGCTCTATAGCATCCACAGCTGCTTTGATTTGCAGCTCCGCAAACGAATTTGCCAAGGGGCTCTTTATTGAAGGACCTCCATCTGAACAACGTCAGATTAAAACGTTTCGCTGAGCATTATAAACACTCACTTTCGCAATACGATGGTAAAGGAGGAGATGGCGTCGGCTCCACAGCCGCGGTATACATGCTCCCCATAGCACATATAGCGTGTAGGATTGCCGGCAGCGGGAACTTGGGATGTGTAGCGTGTAGCGCAAGGGAGGCCATGAAGGTCGGCGCATGGAACATCCGAGATGCCCCAGGCGTGAACGTGAAGAATGCTTCTGCCCTGTGAACGAATTTATTGGTACAAAGCTCAAGGGGGAAGGACCTGCACTCACAAATGACGGAGGAAAGGATAGGGCGGCAGATTTCTTGGCCATCCAGGGCTCATCAGCTCCATACCGAAGTCTGATTGCGGCGAGTCCGAATGGGTATGCGTGAAGTCAATAAACGGGGTGCTATTTGAGTTACGGTAGCCATTCGAGTGATCGCCAACAAGGGTAGCGACGCCAGCAAGATCATCCAGCGTAGGACCGGACGAGAAGTGAGACATATCCGGGGTGGTGCCTAGACCGAAAGAGCCGTGCGCGAGGCTCATGTCGTCGGAGTAGCCCATGACAAGCCCAGTCGACCCCGAGAAACCGTTCGCGGAGGCAGAGCGTGAGCGCGAGTCATCCCTGACATCCTTCTCTTGAAGCAATGCTTCAAGTTCATCTGGATAGACGTCAGAAGAGTTCACTCTGCAGGTGATATGAGCTATACGTACTGATTCTGCTTTCTAGCTGTTCAAACCTGTTCTTTGGCGAGTCCGGGGTCTCAGAGGTGCCAGGTTCGGAGGCTGAGTGTACAATAAGCGCTTGTCAAGCAAGTCTGCGGACTGAGGACACGCACAGTCATCGAATGTACACTCTGGGTGTGGAGGCAGATCTGCGCCTGGCGGCGCATGGGCAACGGCATATGAATGCGAGCGAGTACAGGTCGAGCACGGTCGTTTCGCGTCACTGTGTGAGTAGACGCGCGCACAATCAGCAAGGCTCGGGCATAGGCTCGGGCATCGGGCATGGGCCGAAGCACGAACCATTTCTTGAGCAGGGTGTCTTTTAGCATGCTGCCACATACGCCGAAGGTTAAGGACACTCACCAGTTTACGCCGACGGCATTGGTGGCAAGCCTAGATAAGAACAGCCGCGTGAGCATTGCAGCAGTGCACCGAACGCGAGCCGCCGTACTTGGTTTCTGCGCAGTACGTGCGCATTCTGAAAGGCAGCGCCGGAGCGTGTTGCTGATGTGGAGGAGGTCGAGGGGGCTTTGGGCATGATTGACGGTGGATGGAGAGATGGACAATGAGGGGGTTGCTGTCTTTAACTCGGAGCGCAGGTGGATGACAAAGTAGAAGTAACGCTGCAGAACCGCGAATCTTGCGCGAATTCGAGTCCGGTTCTGGCAAAGCTGGTAAGCGAGCATTTCACCGATCATATGGTTGCGGAGCCCCAACTTGCGGTACGGCTCGGGAACAAGCGTAAAGATACCAAGACAGGAGCCCTCGAGGTCCCGGATGCTCTCCTCCCAGTGTTCCGCCGGTGGACTCTCGCGGCACAGCAAAGGCTCGATCTGTGGGCCTCGCTGCGCATGTTGACTACTTCCCATCCCATGCTGAGATCTCGCACACAGATGTCCTCGGGCACCTACATCTTCGGCGGTGCAAAGGAGCGCACACGTAGCTTCTGAGCGCTCGAAGTGACACAACGCGCTGAGATGCTGCTTGAGATGCCGTGCCTCACGCATGCGCGCGTACGTCGGCTCCGATGTCCATCGGGGCACTACCATCACTACAGGTCGTCGTAGGCGTTGTGTTCTTTTTGTACGATATTGTCAGAGGAAATACACGAGGACACGCGAGCGACGAGGACAGGACGTTCCGCGAGCCAGCGAGGTCATTTCTGATCATCGAATTCAGCGATGTGATGCTGCATGCGATGAAGGTCGATACAGACTGACGCTCACCTCCCCCTCAAACCCGAGCACGCAAGACGGCGCTGGTTTATTGGCTGCGGAGGGCGGCTTACCGCCGCTGAGTTATTGAAATGGCAAGCGACCGGTCACTGATCCCGACAGAGAATGTGTGCAGGGACAATTACGATGATGCAGTGCCAAGACTGTGGCGTTTGCATGAACAACGTTCGGGGTCACTGCGTCGTCGTCGTCGGAAAGCAATGTCGGAACGAGAGGAACGTGCTCGGAGGGAGACATATCGTGAGGCGCTGAAGCCGCCGCGGCCGTAGAGCAGTCATCTAATCTTATCTCCGCCTGAACCTCTTCCCGCCGTCCCCAGGCCCTGCGGGTTCTCGCCGCCGGAGGCCCGCGTCCGCCACCAGTGGAGGTTGCACATGCTCACATGGGACTATCGCTCGACATCACCTTTATCCATGGCAGAACGGACGGCGGCATCGTCGGGACGGAATAGAGCGCAATCCGCCCTTCTCACGAGGCTAGGTTATATACGCACCGACGAGAACGATGCATTCCTCGACCTCCCCGCCCTCTGCTGTGCCTGTAAACGTCGTGCTAAGGCCAAGTTAGTCGTGCTATCGCCAGTCGCAGCTGCTTATACAAGATGAAGATCGACTGGAGCAAAGTGGAACAGCCGGACTTCGTCCCATTCCGCTTCGGGAGTCGGCGATCCGTCGTATATGGAAGTAAAGGAGTTGTAGCGGCCTCGCAGCCTTTAGCCGTTGAAGCAGGGCTAGAAATATTGAGGAAAGGAGGAAATGCAGGTGATACTACCTCCGCTCAGCTGACGCATGCTAGCAGAATCTGACGGACATTTCCAATGCAGCCGATGCAGCGGTTGCCACCTCCGCCGCGCTTAACGTTACGGAGCCAAGCTGCTGTGGAATCGGCGGGTGAGTGCTAGACTACCTCAGTCAGAGTACACAGTATAATTAAGCTTTGATTGCCGGGGTCCAGAGACGCGTTCTGTTTGTTCTACGACGCGCAGACGAAGACCGTGAAGGCACTTAACGGTTCCGGTCGATCGCCCGCTAAATTGACTATCGACCATGTTCGAAGCCAAGGAGTGACTGGCCACAAGATTCCTAGTACCAACCTCAACTCTGTGACTGTTCCAGGTTCGTATTTTTAATACTGCAGCGGTCTCGATTTATCAACTGCTCCGTAGGAGCTGCTGCTGCATGGGTCGATACCGTTGAGAAACTCGGCAGTGGACGACTGTCGGTCGCGGAGATTCTCGAGCCCGCGATCAGGCTAGCAGAGGAGGGGTATGTGAACCAACCACACAACCGATGTGGGCTTGCAGCATTACTTACATGCATGCTTGCTATCGCCAGCTTCCCGGTGACGGAGATAAACAGTGCCGGGTACCAGAACGCATACAATCAGATCAAGAATGCCTCTCCAAACGGGGATGAGATGCTGTTGGACGGGAAGGCGCCGCTGCCAGGACAATATCTGAAGCTGCCCAACCTGGGGAAGACGTTCCGCGAGGTCGCGGAAAAGGGCAAGGATGGCTTTTACAGGGGCCGCGTCGCGCAAGCTATCGTGGACCTCATTCAGAGCAAGGGTGGTGTCATGTCTCTAGAAGACCTTGCGAATCACAGCACCGATTTTGTCGAGCCCATCAAGTATACCTTCAACGAGGAAGTTACCGTATACGAGGTAATTTCGTGGGTCCCTATATTTAATTTGCACATAATCTGACGCATGAAACGCGTTCACAGTGCCCGCCCAATGGACAAGGTATCACCGCATTGCTCGCGCTGGGACTTTTGGACAATCTCGAGGAGCAAGGGAAGATCGGCTCCCTATTGGAAATGGAGCACAACTCTGCGGAATACCTCCACATCCTCGTCGAATCTATGCGGTGCGTTCTGCCGTTACCTTTGACCCATGAAAGTGGCTCATCTGTCTTTTCGCTAGCCTCGCGTTCGCGGGTATGTCATGCCGACGCTCCCATCCCGAGTCCGACTTATGCGAGGCGTATCACAGATAGCCAGTACTACGTGACCGACCCGGAATTCTCGAAAATCCCTGTCGAGCAGATGCTCAGCAAGGTACGGATGCCGCCAATACCGCACTGGGTCTTATACTCACCGGATGCCTGCGAACAGGAGTACCTCGCCTCCCGCGCGAAGTTGATCGACCCCACCAAGACAAACCCCAATGTCGTACACGTACGGAGCGATATTCAGTAAACACGTTTTTTCGCTGACTCTCGGGCCGCAGGGAAACCCGGTGCATTCCTCTGACACCGTGTACTTCTCGGTCTCCGACCAGTGGGGCAACGCGTGCAGCTACATCCAGAGCAACTACGCAGGTCCGTCTCCCTCCGCAGTCCGCAGGATCTCCTCCCCGTAATGCTCATGACCTCCCTCGTTCGGACAGGCTTCGGCACGGCCGGTGAGCACACTTACATGCAGACCGTCCCCGCGCGTAACGTACTTATTGCGATTGCAAATACGCAGCCGTTCCGAAGGGCTGCGGATTCACGCTGCAGAACCGCGGCTCGAACTTCACGCTGAACGCGGACCACCCGAATGCGCTGCAGGGTGGGAAGCGGCCGTACCACACGATCATCCCCGCGATGGCGCTGCGCGGGCAGGAGCTGTTCCTGAGCTACGGCGTCATGGGCGGCTTTATGCAGGTATGTTTACTTTTTCATCTGCGCCTGTTTTACTTCCCTTCTACCCGGCAATGTCGCGTTACCTGACCGCTAATAATTCCCCCACAGCCCCAAGGACACGTCCAGGTGCTCCTGAACCTACTACGCGGGTACACCGTGCAGGCCGCGCTCGACGCGCCGCGCTTCTGCATCTCCGCGGGCAGCCCCGAGACAGAGAACGCGCAGAGCAGCGAGTCGGGCGACATCAACAGCGAGGTGTACTTCGAGGAGGGCATCTCCGACGCCGTCGTCGAGAAGCTGCGCGGTACGTATTCCTCGGACTCCGCGAAGAACGGGAACGGAACACTAACATGTGGGCGTGCTGTGCAGCGATGGGCCACGACGCGCGCCAGGTGAGCGGCCTGAAGCGCAGCATGTTCGGGCGCGGGCAGATCATCCAGAAGCTCACGGACAAATCTGGCAAGACGGTCTGGGCGGCGGGGTCTGACCCGCGTGCGGATGGGCATGCGTCGGCGCAGATTTGAGGTTGGGTATAGGAAGTCAAAGGAATGTGAGGTCGCGAGGAAAACAACGTATAACATAGGGTATGTCTAGCTGTAGCTGCGGATGTGTAAGTTACTGGAAGTCCTAGGAGATACAATGTACGCGATAACATATATACACGACGATATATCGACTCGCCGAAAAGCCAATGCTGTCCCAGTCCCACTAGATCACCTGTATGTGCACATAGTGCTCGAATTTTGCAAGCACATTCCCCGTACTGTGCGATGTCTACATCCACCGCCCGCGCTGCCGTTCACTGCCCTGCATGCTCTTGATACGGTAGTCGCGTAGCTCTTTCGTGCCGTCCGGGGCGGTGATGCGCCCCCAGCCGGCCAGCGGCACGATGAGCGCGGTCATGTTGTCGTCGCCGCCCATGTCCTCCGCGAAGGTGAGGATGCGCTCCGCGGCGTGTTTCGGACTCGGCGCGCCGCGTGCGAGGTCAGAGATCTCGTCGTCGGACACGACGGAGGAGACGCCATCGGAAAGAAGCGTGATGTGCGACCACTTCCGTCCTGCCATAGATTGGTCAGAGGTGAGCAGTGGGGAGTTGAGCAGCGGCATACCCTCGAGGAGCATGCTCCGGACTTCGGGTTCTGGGGTCACACCGAAGGGTTTGAACTTCAGGTCACCTAGGCTGCAGACAATGGGTCAGTTTGGCGTGCACGGAGACGGAGGGCGAACATACCATCGAGTGTTCGCCAGGGCACCCATCCATCTGCATCGAGGTGAGTTACCGGAAATGTTGAGAGGCATCCACCTCACTTACCGGACTTCCCCAAAGGAATCTGTCGCTAGAGCACCAACCATGCGTCGGAGACGCACAGACTCGACACGGGCCTCGGCGTGGTGAACTTCGGTCATAGGGATCACCGTTCCGTCGGTGCCTGTGAGCAACACTCGCGTGTCTCTGTGTCTACGTTTAGCGGTATTTCGATACGATTTCGTCTTGGAATACATACCCTACGTGAGCGACAGTCAGTGCAACTTGCTCCGCTTGGAAATATCCGGAGGGGAACTTGTCAAGGGACTTCAGAAGGACGACCGAAGAGGTAGCGCCACATTCCTTCGCTTCCCGCTCCTGAGAGAGAATCTTGTCCACCTGCAGTGCTAGTGTCAGTTCAGTACGGAGAGACAGACGTGGCCGCTCCGACCTCGAAGAATGCGAGCGTCGCGCGCGCTTCGAGATCGAGCTCGCGCTGGAAGTCCGGCGAGTCTGGGTCGATCCAGGGCGCGAGCACGCCTCCATTGAAGCGTCTGAAGTAGCCGCCGAGCTCCTTCGTCCACGCGTACAGCTCGGGAATCTGCTCCTTGTGCACACTCTCGAAGAGCCCATGCAGCTCTTGACGCAGGAATTGTGAGACGGTGGAGCCGCCGTGGCCGTCGTATATGCCGACGAAGAGTACCTGGCGGGCGAGGGCGGGCTGGAGTTCGGAGTAGTCCCAGTCGACGTGATGCGCCTTCTTGAAGGAGAGCGCAAGCTCGGCAGGATCGAGCGAGAGCGCCGAGTACGCGTAGAAGTCCTCTTGGTGACTGTAATAGCAAAATGTGAAATGTGCGGACGCGGGGTATGATGGGCTCGGCGCACCTTCGGTCGCCTCTGGAGCGCGCTACGCCGATGAAGTTTGGATTGTTAAGGGACAGACGGGCCGTCCCTCCTCCTGTCGTGTGAGAGGCGTTGGCGTGCAGGGGCGAGGGAAGACGTGAAGCAGGATCACCTGGGGTGCAGATACGGATATAGTCATGATAAAGAGCGCGAGGGGGGCGTGTGAGGAGCGGAAGGGCGCGGCGCAGGGCGGACGAGGAGGAGAGCAGCGCCATGGGAGGCTATCGCTGCCGTGGTGCACATCGAGCAACGCTGGGCGGGTCTGTCCAGGCCAGCAAGCAGTCGCGGAGGACGGGTGAGGGGACGGAGGAGCGTCTGCCGTGGCGGGGACGGGTCGGGTGGTCTCGAAGCCCTAACCCAGACCGTGTGGGGAAGCACAGAGGTGACAGACGGGCGCTTCCGATGCCGTAGGAGGCGTTCACCCATTCCGCCGTCATCTCGAGCGCACCATCATGTCTCTTCTGATCTCCCCAGAGTAATGGCACTGCAATACCCTCGACCCACCCAATCGCCCTCGACCCCGAGCCCATGTGCTCTCCCCCGCCGCAGGCTCACGTTCGCCAATCCCGCCGTAAGACAGTGACTCCCGTCGAGTATATATATCCCACCCATGGCGGGGTGTACATCGCGTCGCCTGTCTGACCTCGACGAGCCTACCTCACTGCTATGGCTTTCCCTGCACGCCTCCTGCTCGCATTCTGCGGCGCCTCTTTGGCGTTGGCCAACCCATTGCAGCATAGCGCATCCACCTTTGCCGGTGCGACGTCCACCGCCGTGTTCCCCCCGCCTAACGCGACGAACACGGCCGTGGACACGTTCTTCCCAGACGCCGCAGAGGTTGGCCATGCAGGTCCCACTCCCAGTACGTTTGACGCGTAATTTGACGCGTCTTTTCGATCTGACCCCGCGTTCTTGCAGCGGGCGACGAGGCTTTTGTCCTCGAGACTGCCCCAGCCGCCCCCGTGAAGGGCGATGTCTATCCGCTTGTCAACCCCGTGGAGGCTCAGACGACCGTCAAGCAGCCTTCCTTTGACATCATGCGCTCATGGGGCAACCTTTCGCCGTGGTTCTCCGTCGGAGACGTCTTCGGCCTTCCGGACGCCTCAGCCGCCGTTCCCTCCGGATGCGAGCTTACGCAGGTCCATCTCCTTCACCGGCACGGTGCCAGATATCCCACGTCTGGGTCTGGACCCAGCGCGTTCGCGGCCAAGCTCCATGGCGCCGCGACTTCCGAGGGCTTCAGCGCGTCCGGCCCGCTCGAGTTCCTGAACACCTGGACTTACAAGCTTGGTGCTGAGCTGCTGACACCGTTCGGACGTCAACAACTGTGAGGGCCCTGTTGTGTCTCGTTTAGGGGTACATGCCTAAGAGTTGCGTATCTCAGGTTCGAACTCGGTATTGCGTTCAGGGTGAAGTATGGGCACCTCCTGAAGGACTTCACTGATCTTCCTGTCTTCCGCACGACTTCAGAAGGTAATCAATCCTGTTTGTTCTAATTTTTGATGTGCTAATATGTCTTCTCCTCAGCGCGCATGGTGGACTCCGCGTTAGTATCTTGAATTGCGAGTGACTCTGGGTATCTGTACTGACCCCCCTCTAGCTTGCACTTCGCCGCAGGTTTCTTCGGTGTGCAGCAATACCAAGATTCCTACCATCAGCTTATTACTATCGAGGATGACGGGTTCAACAACACGCTCGCTCCTTGGTCTGCTTGTCCCAACGCAAACAACGCGGTAGAGGACATCGGCTTTGATGCTGCTGCCAACTGGACGGAGATCTACCTGAAGAAGACGGTCCCGCGGCTGCAGAAGCATCTCAAAGGAGTAACGCTGGACGTCAATGACGTGCAGGCCATGCAGGACCTCTGTGCCTATGAAACCGTTGCGCTCGGGTTCTCTACCTTCTGTGACCTGTTTACTGAGGAGGAGTGGAAGGGCTACGAGTATGCCTTCGGTAAGTCGCAGCGTATGCGCCTCCTTAGAACGACATTGCTTACAGACTCTTAGATCTGGAGCTGTGGTACAGCTTCGGTCCTGGCAACCCTGCTACCGCGGCGCAGGGCATTGGTTATGTTCAGCAGCTTGTATCACGACTCACCCAGACGCCCCTCACGAACTTTGACACGAGCCTCAACTCGACTCTGGACGGCAACAATGTGACGTCTCCCCTTACCCAGCCCATCTACGTGGATGCCACCCACGATACTGTCATCTCGACCAGTGAGTATCATTGCAGTCTAGGAGCGGCCATATGGTCTAACCCCTGATCGTAGTTTTGGTCGCTCTCAACTTCACGACTATGGCGGCGAACGGGCCGTTGCCTGTCGACCACATCCCGAAGCACCAGGTAGGAACTTCGTGGCCACACGCGTGCCCAACCCGCCTGACGGATTTAAACATTAGACCTACACCGGTCAGCACCTCGTGCCCTTTGCGTCGAACCTCGTTGGCCAGGTGATGTCCTGCCCCGCAAGCAGCAAGTCCCAGGACAAGAAGTCCTTCATCCGCTTCCTGTTGAACGACGGTGTCGTGCCGTTGACGGGGATAGCTCACTGCACCGCCGACAAAAACGGCCTGTGCGAGTTGGACAACTTCGTGAAGGGCATGACGGAGCGCATCGCGGAGGTGGACTTTGCGTTCGACTGCTTCGCGAACTACACCGCGCCGTGGCCCGACCCGATCATCGACGGCCGGATGCACAAGTAGTTCCGTACCGTAGTACTTCTCAGTCATGTACCGCGGCTATGAATACAGTGCTCGTGTGCGTACCCGTGCACTCTTTACAAACCGCCGTCCGATTTCCCGGGACAGCCCCCTCTCCCGGCCGGAGTACGGGAGGTGACGATCAGGTGCGGCAGCAGAACGGGAACCCTAGTCTAGGGTCTCGGTTAGTCATCCCGACGCGGCGCGATTGCGTGGAAAGAGCTCGAGCGTCCGACGCCCAAGCCGGACCCAGCCTGCTCGACCCGGCTCACCACCACTCTCTTCCTTTCTCCACCCATGCTCTCTCGTTCTCTCCGCGCAGCTGCGCTCTCGAGGCCGCGGGCCGTGCCCATTCTTAGTGCTGCGCGGTTGGCGCGCACGTACGCTACGCCTTCGGACGGTAAGCCGACACCCGACAAGCCACCAAGTAGCGACAACAAGTCCCCGGCGGAGGGCGAGAAGTCTGCGGAGGGGCAGAACGAGAACAAGGATGTGAAGGCGAAGGAGGGGGAACAGAAGGAGGAACCTCTGAAGGGCCTCGAGGGCTTTTTCCAGCGGTACCACCAGAGCAAAGGCGAGGAGCCCGCACCGGGCGCACAGGAGGACGGGGCGAAGAAGCAGCAGGGCCGGCAGGAGTCATCGAACAACCGGCGCAACAAGAAGCAGGAGGCACCACCAGGAGCAGGCAACCAGTTCAACCCGAACCAGCTTGCGCTGCTCGCAACGACGGCCGCGATCTTCTTCGCGCTCTCGTCCTCGTCATACCCGTCCGCGCGCGAGATCACCTGGCAGGAGTTCCGCACCGCGTTTCTCGACAAGGGCCTCGTCGACAGCCTCACGGTCGTGAACCGCACGAAGGTGCGCGTGAAGCTGCACTCGAACGCCACGGGCACGATGTACCCGAACGCGGCCGCTGGCGGGGAGTACTTCTTCTCAATCGGCTCCGTGGAGGCGTTCGAGCGCAAGCTCGACGAGGCGCAGCACGAGCTCGGCATCCCCTCGCACGAGCGCATCCCCGTCTACTACCACGAGGAGGTGTCCACGTTCAACTACCTGCTCAGCTTCGGGCCCACGCTCCTCTTCGCTGGTATCATGATCTACCTGTCCCGGCGTGCTGGCGGTGCGAGCGGCGGCGGCGGAGGCATCTTCAGCGTTGGGAAGTCCAAGGCCCGGCAGTTCAACAACGAGACGGACGTGCGGGTGCGCTTCGCGGACATCGCGGGCATGGACGAGGCCAAGGTCGAGATCATGGAGTTCGTCTCCTTCCTCAAGGACCCGACCAAGTACGAGCGGCTCGGCGCGAAGATCCCGCGCGGCGCCATCCTCTCCGGGCCCCCGGGCACGGGCAAGACGCTCATCGCGAAGGCCACCGCGGGCGAGGCGGGCGTGCCGTTCTACTCCGTGTCCGGGTCCGAGTTCGTCGAGCTGTTCGTCGGTGTCGGCTCCTCGCGTGTGCGCGACCTGTTCGCGATGGCGAAGAAGAACGCGCCGTCGATTGTGTTCATCGACGAGATCGACGCCATTGGGAAGAGCCGCGGGAAGGGCAAGGGCTTTGGCGGGAACGACGAGCGCGAGCAGACGCTGAACCAGCTGCTTGTTGAGATGGACGGGTTCGGCACGCAGGAGCACGTCGTCGTGCTCGCGGGCACGAACCGGCCGGACGTGCTCGACTCTGCGTTGATGCGTCCCGGGCGGTTTGACAGGCATATCACCATCGACCGTCCGGACGTCGTTGGGCGCAAGGGCATCTTCCTCGTTCACCTTAAGCCCCTCCGCCTTTCGGACACGCTCCCTCAGCGGGACAAGTTTGCGGAGAAGCTCGCGGTACTCACCCCTGGCTTCTCGGGTGCGGACGTCGCGAACGTGTGTAACGAGGCGGCGCTGCATGCTGCGCGCGTGGGCAACGACGCGATCACCGAGGACGACTTCGAGGCGGCCATCGAGCGTGTCATCGTTGGTCTGGAGCGCAAGAGCAAGCTGTTGAGCCCGGAGGAGAAGAAGACGGTCGCGTATCACGAGGCGGGCCACGCTATTTGCGGGTGGTTCCTCGAGCACGCAGACCCGCTGCTCAAGGTCAGCATCATCCCCCGTGGCGTCGGCGCTCTCGGTTATGCGAAGGTCAGTCTCATTGGCTGTGATTGCAAAGAGACGTGCTGACATTCGATACATAGTACTTGCCCCCCGATCGCTACTTGTTCTCGACGCCTCAAATGCTCGACCGGATATGCATGACGCTCGGCGGTCGTGTGTCCGAGGAGATCTTCTTCGGTCAGGAGAACGTCACAACAGGTGCTCAGGACGATTTGCAAAAGATCACCAGGATCGCATTCGAGGCGGTGGCGAACTACGGCATGAACGACATCGTCGGCCCTGTCAGCTACGGTGGCGCAAACGCGACACAAGAGTCGATGGTTAAGCCTTTCAGCGAGAAGACCGCGGAGATGCTCGACCAGGAGGTCCGGAAGATGATTGTGTAAGTTTTATTTTGTGGGACGTTGTTCCGGTCACCCTTGCTGATCTGTTTTACTAGTGCTGCGCATAAGCGAACAACAGAGCTCCTGACGAAGCACAAGGACGATGTTGAGAAGGTGGCGAAGCTTCTTTTGGAGAAGGAGGTCATCAACCGGTCAGTCTCCCTTACAAGTAGTCGCAAAGGACGGCACTGACGTCTTTCACAGTGAGGACATGATTGCCCTGCTCGGTCCCCGACCATTCGCGGGTCACAAGGACGCGATGGACAAGTGGCTAGAGGAGAACAGCCAGGAGCGCAGCGCACCACCACCACTGGAGGCCGCAAATTCGGCCGAGGTCAACCCTGTCCCGGCGGCGAAGCGGATAGAGGACCGCGACCTGCATCTGTAGTTACCTGGGCATGTGTCGACGTCTCTGTGATCTACTCTTGGGCTGCTCACGCTGGACATCTCATACCGCACGATGGCTTGTATTCGACATTGTATCTATCCTACACCCCCGAGCACTACTCATCATAATAAGCATCCACTAGTCAACACGCGCTGTCATGGACAAGATGCTCTGGTTTGTTGCGTGAATGCACATAGCGTCGTTAATCATGAACCACGGTGTATACGCTGTCATCATAGCGAGTAACGGAACCCGCTCCACTGGTCGCCCTTCTCGCTCCGCGCCGCCTCGACGCTCTCGAATTGCCCGTTCTTTTCGTGCGCATGCTTGCTGTCCACACCGTCAATGACCTCGTCTCGCTCTCCGCGCTCCCGCGCCGCGTTCTCCCGCTTGAGATGGAAGTACATCCCGAGCGAGCACAGCCAGCCGATGGCGATGTAGGCGAGCACGATCCCGTGGCCCAGCCTGTACCATGGCTTGTCGACTGCGCGATACTAGTGCCGGCAATCAGTAGGTTGTGGAAGGAAGACTGTGAGGAGACGTACGATGTTCGAAGTCACCGCGCCATTCAAGTTGCCCCAGCCGATGGCCATGCCGAGGACGGCACTTCGCTTGTAAGAACCCTCGACGTTGCTTGAAACCCATGCGCTGAAAAATGGTGAGCCCAAAGTACACATCAATATCCGTTTAGTAGACCTACACAGAATTCGCTGCGAGGGGTGCGCGCCGACTTGGTTAGAATGTCGTGTCTGGGGATGAATGTTGCTACGTACGAATGGTCGGATAGATGGATCTGGAGGGTATCAGCATCGTGCTCCAGTGATCATGAATATAAGGCAAACTCACGATGCAGCGAGGTATACGGCGAAATATGACAGCGACGGGTTCGTGGAGGATATCAAGATGATGTAGCCAACGAGGCCTAGCACAAATTTCCGTCAGTCCCAGTCGCACACAGAATAACGGCACTCCGTATTACCGCTTCCGAATAGACAACTGTCAAACCGTCAGTAGGGTACCAAGCTATCGCGGTGACAGACCGTGTACTCACAGATTTATCCAAGCCCTCGTCTTCACCCTATCTCCCAAAAAGCCAATCACAACTGTCATTATGCAAGCCCATGCATACACCGGCACGGAGAGCAGGTTGGCTGCTGTGGCTTGGAAGCCCAACTGGCTAATGATAGTGGGGGTGAACAGCGAAAAGGCGAAGAGAGGCCCATCGCTATGCGGCGTTAGAGTCGGAAGAGAGCACAGTCAGCGCATAATTGCTACTCACAAGCCCATGTAAATCCCCACTTAACAATCGCTGTCAATGATACATTTGATTCGTGGCAAGGGAAGGGACTCACTTGCTAGCCATGTCTGCCTATCGGTTAGGCATTGCCAAACGTACTTCATCTTGAACGTCTCGCCACCCGCACTGTACTTCATGTCTGCCTGCAACTTCCGAACGACCCACACACCTAGGAAGCATGAAGGGACCTCATTCACCATAAGTTTCGAGACATGTTGAGACAACACGTACGTTCGGTTTCGTTCAGGAACTTCGCAGTGTCCGGGAAGTCCGAGAGGATAAAGAACGAAGCCACCGCGCAGACGACGGTGACGAGTCCTTCCAGGATGAAAATCCATGCCCAGCCAGGCCTTCCTCCGACGCCGTCCATGTTGTGTATGGCAGCGGCGAGCAATCCGCCTGAGATCATTGGTCTCAGCACATTTGTTGACGGATGCGAGTCCAGGACACGCACTGAAAGCTCCCGCGATCGTAGCCGAGGAGAAAAACACGCCCACTCGAGTTCCAAGTTCGTTGCGCTTGTACCAACTATACACACTGTGAGCCTATTAGCGCGAGTGATGCTTGTAGCGTGCTCACCAAGACATGTAAAACACGATGCCAGGATACAGACCCGCTTCTGCGAGTCCTAGGAGAAAACGGAGGCCTGGGAGACGATGCAGTCAGCTATTGCTCCATACGCCGGTGCAGAGGTGGACCATGTACCAAGCAGGCCGGCATAGTTGGTGATTACACCATGAAGGGTCTAGCAGAAGAATCGTCAGAAGAACAACGCCGGTATACATGACATTCTCTGCGCACCATAGCTATTCCCCACACGAGCATAATTGATGATAGCCATATCGAAGGGCGCAGCTTCTTCAGTGCGAGGTTGCTTGGTGGCTATCCTACAGGTAAGATCCCGTCCGAATCAGTATGAGATGATGTACACACCTCGAACAACGCATATGGGAAGAAGAACACGGTCAGCGCAATCAAGTATTGCTTGTCCGTGATATGCAGGTCATCCGTCATATGGTACAGCTAGCGGCCCATGCACGCTCAGTACTGTGGTTCTTCATTGACTCCGACAGAGGGTTCCGTACCTTCGCATTTCCGATGTTGCCGCGGTCCAAGAAGTTGAGAAGGTATAGCACCGCGAGCCAGGGCACCACATGCCAGTCGATCCTTCTCATGAGCTTACGCTCGTCGATACCTGACGTGTCTACATCTGGACGGTAGATGTTCTCTGCGTCTTGTACCACGACGGTTTCCGGATCCTTGAACTCCTTCTGCGAGGCGTCCTCGGAAGACATGACGGTTCTGCAGAGGATGGTCGCGCTGGTGGGGCCTGGTGGGTAATCAGTCAGTCAGCTGAACGGCTCGAAGTTACTAGGACAGCGCAGTACCTGCAGCTGAGAAGGGCTCCGCGCATCCCGGCTGAACTCTGCGACTGTTTATAGCAATGCAAGTGTCACTTGTACAGTGAATTCGTTCTGCCAGGCGTCGTGTTACTCGTCTGATGGCACCGAGACTACATATCTAAGCGACGGCCCGCACTTTCCCCCGCACGATAGCACCGTGTCCCTGGATCAAGTTCCCACCGATAGCAGCTGTCATTAGATGTTCCGAACCCGTTTAGCATGGACTTCCGTCATGGTATCGGTTGACTCACGATATCGTGGTCCCGCAGATAGGTTAACACAACTGCCACCAGATCTTTGAATCGACACCTAGTTTGCCCGTGTACAGCTTTAAGGCATCGTGCCGGTGTCCCAAGAAGACACAGCAGCGGAGCGCATGCGCGACTGAGGAAATCCTTAGAGGTGAGTATGAGCATGAATAAAAGACGTACAAGTCATGTAACTTCAGACCTCACCTGAAAGCGTCGTAACGTCTCGGGCTGCAATTCCTTGCCAATTGCTGAAAACCAGGCTACGAGAATGCTCGCCGATAGATATCCAATCCGAGCACATGTTCCAGGTCGGAAAGCGCCTTTCCGAGCCATACCTTCACGTCCTCGCTGTCCTTGGCCGCGACCCTGACTATACACCCCCTGCCATCACATATCGTGCTTAATGACCAAACGAGTGTCGGCGGACCGGGCTGCTTGAATACGGTGATGGCGCTGTATGCCGCGGAGAGATGTCGTACGGTGTCTTGCACAAGGTCTCCGTACATGATCACGGTAGCATAGCACGAGTATGGCGCCAGGGTTTCACCCAGCGTCCGAGCCACGAGCGGACCCGGCTGAGAGTCGCGCTCCTCTAGAAGCGTGGCGTCCTTCGCTATCCTCCGACCGGCAACGAAGACCTCGTTCACACTGTAGTATCTTGAGAAGACCCACTCCTCCCCGATCGACTTGCGTCCAGACGTGATCCAGTCAAGCAGGACGGCGGAAGAGTCTTCGGCGAGGTGGAAGGTTTGCGTTTGGTGATATTTTGCCGAACGAAAGCAGGTAACGGGATCGGGGAGTAGAAAAAGCGCACCGCGGGGTGCGACATGCACCTCGAGGTTCTGTGTTGTCATGGGGTGGATTTGTGTGTGTGCAGCTGACAGCCTATGGCCAAGGCGTGTCTTGAACACCTTCGTGGATCCCTGCCGCATCCCGGGTTGACATGACGCGACGGGGTAGCCTGGGAGGACCAATCACCTGAGAGAGAATGGCGAGCCGGGCACCGTCCTGCACCTCAACAGACAGCTGCACACGATCTCCTCCGACTAGTCCGCCGCCGTAGCTCAGCATGTAGACGACAGAGACATCGCTTGACGGCAGTTGTGGAGACAGCAGCTTCAACGGATACATTGCCGACATTTCTGTGAAGATGTTCGAGCTCCCATCGTTGCGCAAGACGACACGACCGTGACCAGGCTGTATGGCGTCCAGAGACATGCTAGGGGAGGCGAGATAGCGAGATGTGGTCGAGAGTCAAGAGTCTGCGCGTCGCGCTCGAGTCGATATCGCGTTCCGGCTGTCAAGCCGTCTCAGATAATGACGTCGCAAAAGAAGCCGTTAGGGTTCGAATTAAGGTTCGGATTTGGGTTCGGGATTAGGGTTCGGGTTTTGCCGGGGTTAGACGCCGCTAACTGTTTGTCCCCCCTGGAGGGAGCCGGTCTGGTATAACACGCGAACGAGGCTTTAGTGTGCCCGCCTGAGTGTTCCCGGCTTGGGGGACCCCCCGAGCGGAGCGAGGGAGGGGAGGGAACACGAATGGCGGGTCCTCTTCGCGCAAAAAACGCTAAGTCCAGACTTTAAGCGCCCTTCCCAATCGGGGAGGTTCTCTACTATTTCCTCAAACAAATCTCGATGGTGCGACGTCATTCTCTGAGACGGCCGACCAGCCCGTGGATGATCGTGAGTGAGATCGGGATCTGCAACTTTTTGGACGGACCTGCGCGTCTGACGCCCGACGCCCTCCGTCTCGCTCGTCTGCACATCCTTGCTGCCACTCTCAGACCACTACCCCCAACCCGCCGTAAATATGCGCCCATTGACAGAGGAAGAGAGCAAGGCTGTCTTTGCAAAACTAGCAAATTACATCGTGCGCGTACTTCCTCAGCCCGCCTCACTCAAATACCTAATTCTCCTTCGGCTCAGGGCAAAAACCTCGTACATCTCATTGACAGAGAAGATGAACCCCACTGCTTTCGGCTCCAGAAGGACCGCGTGTTCTATGTCTCCGAGTCGTCCATGAAGCTGGCCATCTCTGTTGCAAGACCAAATCTCGTGAGCCTGGGCACATGTTTCGGCAAATTCTCGAAGAGCGGCAAGTTCAAACTCCACGTCACTGCCGTGGACTACCTTGCGCAATACGCGAAGTACAAGGTGTGTTATTATTTTCAGCTGGATTGAGAGCGTGATTTACGAGGGCGTTTGCAGGTGTGGATCAAGCCTAATGGCGAGATGCCCTTCCTGTACGGCAATCACGTTTTGAAGGCCCACCTTGGCCGGATAACGGAAGACACCCCCGAACATCAGGGAGTTGTTGTCTTCAGTATGAATGACATACCACTGGTATGTGCAACTGTGGGTTGTCCACACTCGGTTTGCTTACGAAGATGCTCCCACAGGGTTTCGGTGTGACTGCAAGGTCCACAGTGGATACCCGGAAACTCGACCCTACGTCAATCATTGTTTTCCACCAATCGTGAGTTCACTTCCCCCTACGTCTGTCATAAACCAATGGCCTCAATAACCTTTGCCTAGTGATGTTGGGGAGTACCTTCGTGACGAGGTAAGCTCGGCGGCAGGTTCTTTGGTCGCATGCGCTAACGTTTTCTGTACGTCCAGGAAACACTCTTCTAGTAGAGTACCCTTTCGGTCGAAGGTGCCTGGCAAAAGGAGACGACTTGACGCGGATACGAAGTGCTCGGCCGCGATCAGGGCTCGCCAGACGTGCCTGCGTTGCACTGGAGAGGTTCTCATCGTGCTGATTGTCTTTAGGTTACTCGGATGGCTCTCCTGTACATGCCTTGTGTGCGGTAGATTCATATTCTCCATTCCTTCAATGCTGCCGGGACCAATCTCGTCATTTGAGTACTTCCTCAGGCACGGACGATTGCTATTCTCACCGCACAGTGGTGACTATTCACGCGTGCACTTCTAGGCTTGGGCTATGCTTGTGGGTGTCAATCTCGACCCGGCTCCCCCTACATCTCACACCGCTCCCTGGCACTTACAGGCACACTGTCGCAAGCTCCCGCCGTCCATGCGTCGTGCTCCATCCACGTATCTTGAATGAACGCAGACCTTGCTACATGGCCAATGGAGAGCTCAGTGCACTTACAGATATCGCCCTGAGGTTCAAAGGCTTGGGCTGCTCAACCAGGCTCTCACTCTTATCGTCCCTATCGATTATCCCACAGCCACTTCAGGCCTAGGCCTAGGCATGAGAGGAAGTGCGTTGGCGTTGAATAAGAGAGGCTGCTTGCTTCGTAACTTCGAGGATACGCCGACGGATCAGAATGAAGTAATTTCACTCTATTCATCGCGTGTAGAGTGGCCATACCACGGTGACTTCATTCCGAGACTTTGCTGGCCTCGCAGGTCTACGACACCTGCTTGAGCTCTTGGCGAGGTGGAACATGCAGCGTCAGGTCTAGGCTGGTTGCGCACCAACTGTTCGTCCGTGGTTCTTATGGGGGTGTGCCGTGGGGAAAGGAGTCGGCAGGCCCATGGGGTTCGCTGGAAGAATTTTGATGATGGGACACATAAGGCTGACGTAATGCTAGATAGTCGGACAGACGGGACGGGAGGGGCGTAGAGAAATGGGCGCTCGAAGGCTAAGTTGCTCTCGTCTTCCTCCCTGTGCGTCGGCGACGCCGCTCTCTCTCGCGCTCGAGCCTTGCGCTCATGGACGGTCCTTATGCCTTCGCCACCCTCGTAACTTCAGATCACTATCTTCCCGGTGCTCTCGCTGTTGCCGCGGCAATCAAGGACCTTCACGCGTCTCCCGCCGCCTCTCTAGAGGTTGCTTTCCAAACAGTATGTTTGGTCACTCCGGAGACCGTCGACGTGTCCTCTATAAAGCTCCTGCGACGGGCCTTTGATTTGGTCATTGGCGTGGAGGTTATAGAGGATGAAGGTGGCACAGGGCTACAGCTGCTCGGTAAGTCTTGCAAACTCTGGCTGCGCTCGAAAGTCAAATTTCAACGCGTTTTCTGGGGGCGCGTATGCACTGGATGTTCACTGTGCTGCGTACGAGCGTCGGATGTGGGTTGATCGTATCGCTCATACAAGACGGGATGAACGCCCCTTGTGCAATTGAGCGGCGCATTCAACCACTTGCTCATTCCTCATTATGTCCAATCAATTTCCTCATTTGCTCATTATATGCGTCGCATCTTAGGTCGCCCGGACCTCAGCCAGGTCCTTACCAAGTTGCACGTATTTCGGTTGACTCAATTCGCCAAAATCGTCTTCCTCGACGCGGACGTTCTCCCGATACGGGCGCTATCGCATCTGTTCACTATCCCCCATGAATTCGCAGCTGTACCCGATGTTGGCTGGCCGGATATCTTCAACTCAGGCGTCATGGTCCTCACGCCTGGGGAGGATAAGTTCGAGGAACTTAGGGAGCTGCTCAAGACGAAAGGCACTTGGGACGGCGGCGACCAAGGCCTACTCAACGAATGGAGAGGTGGGAACTGGCATAGGCTCAGCTTTACGTATAACACTACGCCTACCGCTGCTTACACGTGAGTGTTTCATTATTGCCAGTCTCCTGACCGGACAGCTGAACCAACGAACGTCATTAGCTACGCGCCTGCCTACGAGCGTTTCGGGTCGGAGATATCTGCCATTCACTTCATTGGACCCAACAAGCCATGGGTATCCATCTCGTATCGCCCACCGGGAACGAAGTATGGCCAATCCTCCTCGAACACCGTCCTGGATCCGAAGGCTCCCGCATACAATTACGACTCGCTCGTCGACCGCTGGTTCGACGTGTATGACAGGCACTACCGTTCCGAAGAGTCTGCTCAGCATGCCGACTTCGAGTTCTCCCGATACGACTCTGCCTGGGACTTTGGATCAGGCTTTGACGCAGAGATGGCGCGTCCCCCTCCGGGGCCGCCCCCTGGCGGTGCACTCGGTTTGGACGACTTGCGCAAGATCGCTGTCGAGGGGATCAATGGCTACAACGCCTCCGCACAACAGCCACAGTGGCCATCCATTGGCGAGTATCGATCGATGCCGCTGGAGGGCCGTGTGGACTTGATGCGTCCGCGCAAGGAGCCTCCGCCTGCACAGGAGAAAGGTGGGGAGGAAGGTGGGCATGACCAGGGTGGGGACCAGGGCGGGGATCAGAATCTGACGCCAAAGCAGGCGTTCCGGGTTCTTGAAGGTGGCGAACTCCCCAGGATGGAGACGCTGCCTACACCTCTCCCGAGCGAGGTACCCGGAGCACCGTATCACGGCCCCCTTTCTCTGCCGCCCTCCGGAGCCTCAACGCCGTACCAGTACCCACAGCCCGGGCAGGACCAGTCGCACTTGCCGCAGCATTATCCTCAACTACAGACATACGATGATACCGAATGGCAGGACTCCGACTTCCAGCATAGCTACCTCCAGCAGTACGGTGCAACGCCGCAGGATCCCTCCTACTTCCAACTTGTAGCTGGCATTCCGGGGCAGCCTGGAGCGATGCCGGGACATTGGTCACCGCAAGGCGATCGGCGATTCTGGTCGCAGACCGCTCAGCAGCACCGCCGAGAAAGCGAGCAGTCTGACGCTGACGACCAAGACGACTCCACACCGTGGCAGCCGTCGTGGAAAGCGCAAGACTCTGGGCGACCTCGCGGGTCCTCACTCCAGAGTGAGCGTGGTCATCACCACCATCATCACCACCACCGCTCCCAAGGCGAGCCTCAACAACATCCGCCTTCGGAGCGTCTGCCTCACGTCCACCATCGAGATGCACCGCGACAGAGTGGGCAGCAGAGCCCCTCCGTCTTCCCTCACCACATCAACACCCGTGTCGGTCATCAGTCTCCTCGAGGCGTTCACTCACCTAGGGGTCACCGGTCACCTAAGGGTCACCACTCCCCCCGGGGTCACCACACTCCCCCGCAAACCCGCCATTCCCCGCCTTTGCCCGTTCATCAACCCGGCCCACAACAAGCCCACCACTCTCATCCTCTTCACCAGCCTGCGCATCAGCAACAGCACCAGCACCAGCCCTCGCACCAGCATCATGATCAACCTCATCCACCCCGTCCTGTCTCACCGCCAAAAGTAGCCTGGAACCCTGCCATCGAACCTCCTCCGAAGACACCTCCCCCTACTTCTGCTTTCCCATTGGACACATATTTCCCTAATGTGTGGGACCAGGCGCCGAGCCAGGAGCACGATGCGACCCATCAGTCGTTCCCTCCCCACCTGGTTAGCCACCAGTCCGAGACCTTCTTCAACCCCCCGCCTCCGGCCGAGATACCAGAACAGCTGCTTCGCGAGGGCCAATACTCCAACGTGATCGGCCGCCCAGCAGAGAGCTCGCCTGGGTCTCCCTCCGCCCACCCCGCGCCTGACCCTACCAAGCTCCATGCGATTTTCCCCTGGGAGGAGAAGCCGAGACCGATGCCTCGCCGTGTGTTCCCGATATCGGACTCGCCGCCCCCTATTGCGAACTTCGTGGAGGAGCCTCGCCCTGTGAGACAGCCTCCCAGACCACGCGTGGCATCACAGTCACACGTCCCCCCTCCGTCTGCCGGCCTCCCCTTGAATCTCAACCTCGCCTACCAAAACGCATGGGACACTGTGCCTAGCATCCAGCACTACGCCACGAAGCTTGTACGCCCGCATCATTCCATTCACCAACCGCCGCCCCCAGATCACGATGTGGGCTGGCGGAAGTGGGATGAGGAGCGCGAACGCGTGTACCAGGAGAAACAGGATGCGAGCAGCATGGACGGTGATGACGAAGACGAAGGGGATGATGACGACGACGACGCCCACGAGCAGACTTCGCGCTGGGATAGCGAGAGTAGCAAGGACCGTACCCAGGCCCGCCGCCCGCGTGCTGGCAGCTCTGCGTCCACTTCGTCCGTTCAAGGGAAGAAATACCATGGCCGTGGTATTCAAACGGATCAGATCGAGACGCGCAGCATGGGTGTACAGGTCAATGTATGGGCAGAGAGCGTGGCAGCTGCGACGCAGAAGCTCGAGGACCCAAAGCCCAGTCGCGGAGTCGGAACGTCGACTAGGCAACGAACTCAGCCCCCATCTGGCATAGGGCTACTTCCTCCGGTCACGATGCGCGAATTCAAGCGCGATCCCGACCAGATGGGAGTTGCGTCTACCCCAGCTGTGACCCAGCCGATGATGGGCGTAATGCCCTTCCCGTCGAGCGCCTCCCCTACGGGGATCAGGTCGCCCCAGTTCCTGGGCTCGCCCCGGACGTATACGCCCCCAAGGGCTGCGAGCCCACTCCGTATCCCCTCTCCCCCGAAGATCGCGTCTCCGAAGCCCCACACGCCTCCAAAAGTCTCTTCGCCGAAGGGACCGCACTCGCCGAAGTCGACGATGGTTCCGCGTCGCCTGTCGGCCGCCCAGATGCCGACCAGCAGACTTGCCGGGTCGCCCAAGCCCGCCTCGCCCAAGCCGGGATCGCCTGTCGTCGGTCTGTCGGTCGCTACCTCTCCGCGCCAGTCCCCGAAGCTCACGCGGCTCACTGCTCCGTTCAACTCCTCGCCGCCGCTTCACCGGTCGTCCTCGAACGACACAGTCGTAGCCTCTTCTCCTTCCACCCAAGGGCCTGTGGAGACACCGGAGGGCACCCCAGTGTTGGGCACGATCCCCCTGCGCAAGGGTGGCCGGGTGTGGGATCCCGCGCGCGGCGTGGACGTGTTCAAGCGCTCCTCGGAGGAGGTGCTGGCACGGTTCCTGCGCACCGGCTCCTTCGACGAGGACGAAGTGCAGCGGCGCCATGTCTGATCACGGACGCCTCCTTCGACCCATGTGCATGTTCCCCTCTCCCCCTGCAATTCTTTTCTTCCTGTTTGTAGTTGTTAGATGTTGTCTGTCTCATTATTGCCTTTCGGTTTCCCGCGCTTTCAGTCTCTCTCTCCCATCATGCATCTCTCTCTCCCCATCTGCAAGTCCATCCGTCCTACTCGCCCCGACCCCTCCTCCATCACGAAGTCTCCCCGTCCTATATAATGCCATCCCCCCTCTCCGAACTCGCCACGCACGTCGTTTCCCGGTTCCCTACGTTCGTTCATTCATTTCTCGCGATCGCATGCATACCTCCATTCGTGCACATACCCCCATTCCGTTCACTTGCCAGGTTCGATTTGTCATCGCCGTCCATTCTTTCCTAGATAGTATTTGCCACGGACAGTAGTCGTAGGTTTCCTAGGAGCACGGAAGGGCCGCGCGTTAGCTGGGATCACTTGCAATTCCATCCTCAATCTCCCTACACGCCCAGACCGCGTCGTCATTCAGAGTGCCTCATACGCACGCCTTGGCGCGCGCACACGACGCGCAGTGAACGCGTCCGATCGATGACGTCACGCGTCAGACGGTGGCTTCGAGTGACGATATGGGCGCCAAATAGCGTTGATTGACGTGAGCGGTGTGAATGACGTCGCCCGCCATAGCTCGCTCCAGCGCCACCTCTTGACAGTCACCGTATATAAGGAGCTCGGCGGGGACGATGGACGAACCACCAACTCATCAATCTCACGAGCTCTCTGACGATCTACCAAACGCAAACCCTCCACTTTACCAACACCACCCACCCCAACCACATCCAACATGTCCAACGCTACCCTCCCCGCCGGCCAGTGCGTACACGGTCCAACATATACCGGCACGCGACCATATGCTGACCATTATACTCAGGAGCGACGCTCGCTTTGCGACCAACGCTGCTCTCGCTGAGACTGAGGCGACCACCGTGAACCTCTCCAAGGAGGTCCAGTCGAACGCGAACCAGCTCCACAACGCAGCATTCGATGCCGCCACATCCGCTCAGGTACGTCATGCGCATACACCTCAATCAGCAAGCTCTGACAATCATTACAGATCAAGGAGCCCCTTTCTGGCTCTGCAGTGAACCAGCTTGAGGAAGGCCTCGCACACAAGACGGACGCAGCTGCTTCACAAGGCGCTGTTGATGTCGAGGCCGCCAAGGCCACTGCTACCGGCTACGTCGAGCAGGCGAAGAACCTCGCCAGCGGCGCATTTGCTACGGCACAGGTGTGTACCCTTCATTCTCGTCCCTCGGATGATCTTACTCACCTTGCTACTTCCAGTCGTACGTGCCCAGCACCACTACCACGAGCAACGCAGCGAGCGGTGTTTCCTCCACCGTTCAGTCCGCTGTCGCAACCGGCCAACAATACCTCGCGTCCGCGCAGGAAGCTGCCAAGCCGTATGTCGCGTCCGCGATCGCCACCGCGAAGCCCTACGTCGACTCGGCAGCGGCCACTGCGAAGCCCTACGTTGACCAGGCCTCTGCCGCCGCACAACCACATATCGAGAAGGCGAAGAGCGTTCTCCCCGGGGTTTCCTCCACGGAGCCCGCCGCAACGAAACCCCCTGCGCCTTCCGCCACCACGGCACCTCTCGAGTCTGGCCCCCACGTTGTCGGCGGACCGTATCCTGCGACGACGACGGGCCAGTCGACGAAGGTCGCGGAGTTGTAGATGCATATACCCGGATTTATTGTCTCCCCCGCCTGCAGGCACGATTGTATGATTATTTCGGGCGCATTACTGTAGTTTAGGATGTAATCAATACGAATCTTGTGACACCACCTCTGTCCGAGTCTCGGATATCGCACCCACAAGAGTGGGAAATATGTCTAGCAGGCGCATGAAGCTTCAAGCAGGGCTGTGCCTGTGGAGTTGCTTATCGGTAACGAGCCCGACGAGCTCGTCTTGTTCTCCGTATGGTAGCTTTTTGTGTTGTTGTGACCTGTGCTACCTCGCGACGCGCCACTCATGTGTATACATAAGGTCCCGCGCGAAATCGAATACACCTCAGCCCATCGCACTCGGGCAAACGCACTCGCTCCTTCCTCCTACACGCTCCATTACCCTGCACTAATACTGATTATACAGATTTGTAGCGTAGACGGTTTCTCCCTACAGCTCCGAGTCCCCAAACGGCCATCACTGCTTTCGCGCATGCGCGCTCATGCTCCGGATCTTCTTGCCGTACCGCCAGAACACCCACATCCTACATGCTTGTCAGTGAGCCACTCGTCTCCGCAGTATCATCACGTCAAACAGCACTCACGCGGGGCACCCGACGGCGACGGCGAACGCGGCGAGGATCGTGTTCCCCTTGCCGTATCCGAGGGCGGCGAACATCGCGGGCGCGAAGAGCGGGAAGCCGAAGCCCGCGAGGGACCGGAAGAACGAGACCGCGGCGAGCGCTGTGGGAGGCGTCGTCGAGGTGAGTGAGGGGATTGACGCGAAGTCAAGGGTGAGGATGACGCACCTGAGGCGGCGTACATGGTGAATGAGTCAATGACATAAGACGTCATACCCTGAAAGATGAGCACCATGCCCGCGCCGATGCAGAAGAAGCCCTGTCATGGAGGGCGAGTATCAGCACGGGCGGCGATGGATGGGGATGAGGCAATTGTGCTGCTTACGATGTCGGGGACGATCCAGTGGACGTGCTCTTGTGCGCCCCAACCGGAAATCAGGAGACCCGCGGGGATGAGGAGGGTCCCCGGCATCACCGTGGCTAACCGTGCGCATGTGAGCAAGACTGACAGGAACTGCGGAGTGAACAGGCCTACGGAGACGGAACTCGGGCTCGCCCTTGTCGTTGTTGCGCTTCTTGAGCGCGACGTACACCTTGTCGAGAGCCCGCGCGTTGAGTTGTGATGAGATATATAGGCCTGCGTGATAAGCTTGTCAACGACTGAGCACCAGCGACAGCTGTGCGGTAGTACGTACCGAGGCCGAGCGCGATGTAGTGCAGCCCGACGTGGCCTGGGCTTTCGTGGTATATGTTGGTGTAGATGGGAGGGATTATCGTGATCACCACTGTAGCGCGTCGTGCATGAGTAAAGACACAGTAGAGATATCCGAAGTGCGGCTCACTGTAGATAACGCCGTAGATGAAAGCGAGGTAGAGGGAGATGAGCTGGATGATGGGCTCTTTGGCGAAGAGCATGAAAGGGCGGAAGAGGGAACGGACGACAAAGTCCGTGTTGAAGCTGCAACTATAGTAAGCACGGCGAAGTCAGATGAAAGGTACGTGTACACTCACCTTGTTGGCTGACCCGGCTTCTCGAACGTCGTCCGTACCTCCCTCACAGGCCCCTTCTCGGCATCCATCTGCTTGCGGATCTTCTTCGCCTTTCTCCGAAGCAAAACTGGGGCATATGCTGCACGAATCGGCTGTCAGCACCCAGGCGCGGAGAAGGAAAGACGAAGTTGACTGACTCTCAGGCAGCGCGAAGAAGGATATAACCTCTATGATGCCCGCCGCAATACTCGTAGACCAGAACACCCAGCGCCACGTCGACCGCTCAGCGATCCAACCACCCGCCACAGGTCCTATGGCGGGTCCGAGCAGGGGCGCGAGTGAGTACACGGCTATAGCTTTGCCACGCTCTTCTGGGCTCCACATGTCGCCCAGGACGGCGCCACCACACTAAGCGGGTCATTAGCCAATAAGCGGCGCACGATATCCGCAAGAGATACATACTGCCAGGGGAGCGCTCCCTCCGAAGCCCGAGAGGAAGCGGAAGACCATGATTTGTGCTTCGCTCTGCGCAAATCCACATGCCAAATTCCACACTTTGAGTCAATGTCAGGACATCCGGTAACCTTGGACGAAAAGCTGATGTTGGCGCACCAAAGAAGAACATGTTTGCGCTCTGGAGCACTCTCGCCCTACCGAAGTTTTCAGATAGTGGTCCGAGGATCAAGGGTCCAAAGGCTATCCGACAACGCGACATCAGGATAAACGTCCTTCAAGTACACCAAATGCCTGACCGTATGCGAGAACGAATATTGATATGGTGAGGTTGCCTTCAAAGCTGTGGTGGATATTGAACGACTCCGCAACATGGCTTGCAGCCGGAGCTACCATGGAGGAGGCGATTGGCGAGATGAAGGTGAACGAAGACACAGTCAAGGCTACCGCCCATTTGCGCTTCGGGGACCACCTACATGCGAGTGTAAGCCGGCATACATGAAGAAGGATCATTAAAACGTACGTGCGTGGGTTTTCTGGATCATCGGGACCATCCCATCCGACCACAATATCGTTGTCATGTTGCTCTTTGTTCTCTGCTTCTGCCGCAGAAGACTTCGTTTCTTCTTCCGGGGCCGGGTTTTTCTGAGAGGATATAGTCGGCGTGTCGCTGGAGCGCGGTGTGTCGACTCGTTGAAAGGGTTCAAGACCCACCCCGGGAGTGGCACCCGTAGGATCCTGAACGGACGTCGTAGAGCTTTGAGCCTGAGGAGTGTGGGCCATTCTCATGAGAGGTACCTATGCACTCCATGCCTGCCATCTGCTTTTGTAGCGGACCCACTCGGCACAAGGGCGAGGTAGAATGTGGGTCAGACAGACGTGTGTCAGAGCCAAAGCGTAAGACGGCCTGCAAGTTCGATGGGCGCTCGGAGGCGCTCGGCGGCTTCCCGCGGGGCTGGCCCAACCACAGCAACTGCCCGTTCAGGACGGCTCGATCATCACATGCTGCGGCGATGCACCGATGCTATAGATAGACGCGCATAACATCATCGCCCGTTGCGCTCTCCACCCAGCTCTCTTCGCCATCTTCCACCATCTACACCATGGTCTGTCGATTCCAGAGCGCGAGCGGCAGCGCATGCTGACCGATCAACCGTAGGACGGCTTTATGAACCTTGCGAAACAGGGCATGCAGGCCTACGAGCGGTCCCAGTGTGAGTGTGGCGCGCGATGCGTATGCGACGCGGAACCGATAATGAATTGGCACGTCTGTAGCCGACGTCTCGAAGACCGGAGGGCAGGAGTACAACTCTCCCCACCACACGACGAGCGCGACCGATCGCCCTCAGTGTGCGTAATATTTCCACACACAACGTCGCCGTTGTTAATTGGTCTTGTCTTGCGCAGTCGACGACGACGAGGTCGTGAAGACCGCCAGCCGCGAGGGCAGTGGAGACCACTCGCTCTTCTCGAGTGCGCTGGGTTTCATCAAATCTAACAAGGCGAGTTCTGACACAAAGAAGTACGACGGTTGGTTGCTTACTCTTGAGACATACACAGAGCGAGCATGAACAGCCCATCGATGAAGAGGGTGTTCAGCACGCTCACCGCAAGGCGTACGAGGAAGACTCTGCAGGCTCGCTCAGTGCAGGGTCCCTTGGCAGTGCTGCTGCGATGCAGGTATGCTGTTCGTGCAGCCACGATTTCGGAAGGCCTCATGTTTCGCGCAGGTCTTGAAGCAATTCACCTCGAGCGGTAGCAGCAGCGGCGGCGGCTCACAGACGCAGCTCATCAGTCTTGCTATGGCGGAGGCCTCCAAGCTGTTTGACAAGTCCGGTGGTACTTCCTCTGGCAATAAGCAAGACGCTGTCAACGGCGCTGCTATGACCGTCATGAAACTTTTGGTTCAATCCAAGTTCAGCGGCGGTGCGACCGGTGGCGGAAATAGCGGCGGTTTGGGCAGTCTGATGGGTTTGGTAAGTACAACTCCCACTAAGAGACCTTAAAGTGGTACTGACGTCGACGCGGCAATAGGCGTCCAAATTTATGTGAAGGGACATTACGGCCAAGGGCCCAACTTGGAAAGTGTACGATATAACCTGCTCGCGATCAGAATGCACGCCCGAGACGCTTATCGTCGTGGAGTTGGGCTGACTACCCTGTGCTATAGGATGACTTTCAATTAGTCGGCATCGTGCGAGCGCACGCCATTGTGTTCATCTACACTGTCTGCGGAATCAATATTCATTGACGTGGAAAGCGATAGAAGCGACGATAGCATTGTGAAACTAGAACATACAGGGCGACGGACATACATGTACAGCATGTAAGTAAAGCGTTGCGACGGGTATATAGCGTAAGAGAAAGCGAGAAAAAGGTGCAGGAGAGCGACGATACACACAGCGTATAACAGCGACGAATAACATATGCAAGACAAACCACTGTGACGAGGATGATTAGCTATTGCATACAGTAAGTTGTAACGGGAATGTACCTCAGAAACTTAGTAAAGCGGTGACCTCCTCGACGACATGCGGTAGCTTTTCAGGTTCCACACTGATGGAGAGCGGCTGGGATACTGGGGAGGAAGACGCCGATTCGTCTTCTGAGTCAGAGGACTCCGAATGCGAAGAGGAATACAGGGCGTATGGGCTGTGGATCGGAGAGGGAGTCGTGGCATCAAACCAGGATCCCCAGGTTACTTCCGGCGTCACGCGGTCGACGAAGTCTAGCGTTTGGTCGACCGAATCCACGCTACATTTGGAGTCATCCCACAAACGGAATGTATCGCATAGAGCGTAGTCGATTGGGGTGGTGTAGGGGAAGTCACCGCAGTCGAGGTTGAAGTCGCAGTCGGGTTGGTATACAACGGGATCCTGACCTGAGGCTGCGATGGGAGGCGGCGTGAGGGCGCAGTGCACAGACGGGGGACACGGAAGCGCGAAGATGGCTGATTCCGAGCTGGCGTGATCAAGGGATAGGGGTTGATGGGACGCTCGAGGCAGTTCGAGGGCGGCTTTAGGAAGACTGATCAGGGGAGTGCCTGGCTCTAGGACCGACTTCAAGAGGGCGTCCAAAGAATCAAGATCGGAGGGCGGCAGTCCTATGTCGAGGGGAGTCGACCAATAGTCGAAGTCGCAGTGTTCAAGAGCGACATTTGACACGGCTATAATGATATGATGAGCTTCCATCATGACAGCCCGACCTATCGATACTCACAAGGAAGAGGATTCGCGATACGTGTTGCTTCAAGGTCATCTTGAGCCGACGTCTCATCGCTGAGTACGGCGGGAACTTCGTACACAGCTGGAATTGTGTCCTTCGTAATCGATGAAGGCGAATGGCCAGAAGCGGATGGAAGCCGCTTCTCCGCTTTGCACGTGGAAAGCGACGAGAATGAGTCAGAGACGGCATGTAGACGAGGGCCAACGTATAGTCGTCTCGACTTGGATGGAGTGGCCAAGGTGCTCGAATCAGATGCGGTTCGCTTTCTCTTTCGAAGAGATGAATCGTCTTGAACCGCGCGTACGCTTGATGTTGGCGACAAAGGGGAAGCAAAGGGAGAAGGGAAGGCTGAGAATCCTGAACCGTGGTACGACCCCGAGTCCGCCGAGCTAGTACTGGAAGATATCGAATTAGTGCTGCACGGTTCAACTCATTAGTAAAGGACCGAAGCATAGTAACCAAGACTCACCGCCTACGCTTCGTTGTCCCTCGAGTGGGCCAATGGCAGTGTTCATCCTCCGTATTTCGACGTTTGCGCGACTGCCCCACGGGCGCGCGATGAAGGTGGAGAGCTGAAGAAGCGTCGGAATGTGGGGGTTGACACAAACTCGGCGAGGGGTCGGTGAGAGTTAACTCGGACATCAAGCCGTGGATGTCGTCCATGAGTTGCGAAGTGAACGTATTGCAGCTTTCGTACACCTCTGCCGAGGCATCTGCTAGCGTAGCAACTCGCATCGACACTGTATGCGCTAGGGAGAGTAGTTCGGTATCTGGGCTTGGCTGAGCGATGGCCGAGTCGATGTCGTCCAACAGGAGCCGCCAGTGCTGGTCGAAGGCGACCATGGCGTCTTCGTCCCCAACTAACGCAGATAAGAAGTCGTCTTCGGCCGAGAGTAAGCGTTCTTTCAGAGAGGCCATCGTGGTAACAATAGCGGTGAGGGAGGGAGTATGAGGAATGTGACGGATGAGGCGGTTGGGCCCCTGCGTTCAGTGATAATATCGGTAGGGCGAACAATGGGCATAAATACAGTCAAACAAAGGCATTCACATTCACACGATCTATCCCATTGTCCGCCCCTCTTGGAGGTGTGCAAACAAAGCCAACCGCGCCTATTACCTATCGGGCGTCAGTGGCCACCATATACCGTCGAGTTAACCGTTGCGTTCTCGATCGTCCTCTCTCCATCCACACGTTGCTCTACGATGCTACACACCCCCGAGATCCAGTCTTTGCAGCGGACTCAAAGTCGCGCAAGGTCACTAGCAGCGAAATTCGCCTCTCGAGCTCGAGCCAGTGCCCCAAGCTCGTCATGCGAAATGCTCACCCAGCTGCCCTTGTCTTTTCCTGTACCTCCTCCCCTACTTCCCAAACTACTCCGTGCGGGAGTCAATGGCGCCATCGCGGAACGTGTATCTGCCGCCGTTGCGCATTCCATTCAACGCTTGAAGGGCGTCTTCGAGATCGACTACAATCGACGACTCATCGCGATCCGGTCCGACACTGCCCTCCTACGGGGTCAAAATACCCTATCATTCATCCCTGCGACGTATACTGCAGTCTACCGAAGAGCTGTGTCCAATTGGTCGTCGTACGTCCTCAACGTCCTAGCACCCCGGGTCCTACGAGTGCAAGTGGCTAGCAAGCAAATCACCGCTCCAGTGAACGCGCCACGGCGAAAACCTTTCAACCAGGTAAGTGCTGCTCCATATATGCATATGCGTCCCATGTTGCTCAAAAGGCCACAGGAGGCAGTGCCGAAACTTGAACGGTTCTTTGAGCAGAATGCTTTCCCGTCACGGCTAGAGAAGATGGAGTTGGCTACCGAAAGCAATATGGAATACAGACAGATACACGTCTGGGTATGTTGATCCTCGCAACATCCTCTATGTAGCTCATGTCTGTTTAGTTCCAGAACCGCCGGAGCCGCTTCAAAAAAGAAGGGAAGGTGCTGCCGAAATCGGTCCAGCGGGGGACACTATTGGAAGAGCTCGAAAACACCGTCGTCGAGTGCCTTCTTCCCGCTTGCCCTGAGGCTGTCGATGATGATGACAATGATGCGCCTCTTGTACGTGGTGCAATACTCGATACGCGGTCTACGACTTACCTTTCATCTAGGTGACCAGTTGCGAAGACGTTGCCTACGTCTCTGGTCCGTCCAACTTGGGTTTACCCCTGGAGCCTCCGTCGCATGCGTTCCCCGCCCCTTATCCACCTCTGTGCGCATGCGATCCATTCCCCGTTGCGCCTGAAAGGCGAGCATTCGCAACTCCGTGGATACGGGTATCATCTTCATCCACGAAGCCCGATCGCCCCGCCCCCTCTATGCGGGAGTTGATTACGCAGTTCGCAGGTCTATCGCTTGCTGGCTCGTCCGAACTAGACGAACGCACTCCTGCTCATGCCTCGGTCCGAAACTACGTGGGCTTCACTACACCGTGCTCCCGTGCACCCCATCCGGCGCTCGTTGCTAGAAGCCGCCGCCCCGCTCGAAATTCAAGCCGGACATCATGTCAAGCATCCTCCACTCAACCCTGTGCCCGCAATCTCAATGAATTTGGCTCCGCGGCTCAGCTATCGGGCCCGCTTCCGCAACGAAAGAAGCGAACACTTCCCCGTCGCTTTCCGGCACGACCGCCGTCGCTCGCCCCTTCCCACCCCTTCGCTCTATCACAGACGTCTTCTTTTCCTACTGCCAGTTCACCCTCATCTCGAACTTCGTCGAGGGTGTCTTCAGGCGCGTCATCGTCTTCACCATCGACTGGGTCGAGTAGCGACAGCGAATCTCCGATCACCACACCCGAGCTTGCACCCATCGCTATCCCACTCGATGCCATTCCCGGATGGAGCCCAGACGATACGGGCGTTCTCAAGAAGGACATAACGCATATCCTCACGCCGTGGGATGCGTTTTCATCGTTGGACACACTTCATTGGGGTTCCGATCTGGTCAAGATAGCCGAACTCGCACAGGAGACGGACGAGTCACCTATATGGATATCAAGACGCTGAGGTGCCGCCTTATAATCTAGTTTTTCGTGCATCTATACTTCTTGCTCTGCTCTTTCAAGCTACCATCGCTATGTACTGTCTAACGTCAATGCTCCCCTTGCTTTCGGCTATCTTTATCGCAGCTTTCACAACCTTGTACTGTATGTGTATCATGAGGATTATTTGTATTCGAGAACATGTCGTTTAATGTCAGTGTCTATCCGAAGCGACCTCGTCTTCGATTTTCCATCTTCCCACTTCGGCCATAGCAGCGCCATCGCCATTCGATAGCTGAGGTGAACCTAGCAGTGAGCCAACCATTCCCCAGCAATCCCTGCCTCCCCCGTATCGCAGGACTTCTCCCTTGAAGTGTTCGCCCACATCGCGATCGAGGGGGTTCTGCGAAAAGAGTACTCGCCAGACTCGGGAAGCAATTGCGCGATCGAAGAGATACGAGTAATATGTTGCACCATATCCGAAAAGATGCCCGAACTGTGTCTGCCATGACGTCCCAGGAACGTAAGGGACCAGTCCGCGTTCATCGTACAGTCCTGCTAGAGCTTCTGTGGAGTCAAATTGCGAGGAAAGGACGGTAGGGGAATGGTAAATCTGGTCTAGCATCGCCAGAAGTATTTGCGTGTGTGTGTCGATCGAACGACAAGGATCCTCGTGATGAAGACCGTTTGAGCGCTTTCCGGGTGTATCGTTACGATCAAAGAGGGAGAGGACGGCCGGTGAATTCAAAAAGTGTTCCATGAGAATAGAGGGCAGTTCGACGAAGTCGGTAGCGCAGCGAGTCCCGGAGACGTTCTGGTACTCTGTTCGCCCGATCATAGCTAAGAGCTGTCAGCAACATATACGACAATCAGCTTCAAGCATGTACGCACAATGCATCGCGTGCCCCATTTCGTGGAAGAGCGTCAAAACTTCGTGCCATTCCAGGATCGTAGGTCCGCGGGCAGTGGTGGGCCGCATGAACTCGCACAGAAGTACAACCACAGGTAGTTGATATATCGCGTCCTGACGAGGCAACCGCACGTGTCGCTCGGCCTCGAATTCCCGCGAAAGTTGCACGACGTCCCGGTCAGGTTCGTCAGCGCGTCTCAGATCGCCTTGTTCGTCGTCATCGTCTGTCCGCCGAGAGCAGCGGACGGTGTAGTGGGCCGCGCCTCCGGGTTTGCCAGCGCGCGTGAAGAGGTCGGCGTATATCCAACCCAATACGCCTATCTCTTCGTCAATGACTTCAAGCTTCCGCACGTCCGCGTGCCAGACCTCGCCCGGAGACGGTTCCGAAAGCCGCAAAGACACGCCATAGAGCGCTTGAAACAGTCTGGAAAGAGCCATGAAGACGGTACCGAGAGTGAGGGAGGGTAGAGAAACAGGAGGAGCAGGCGGCTCGGGAGGGCAATAGAAGTCGCGATCCCACGCTTGGATGGTAGGGAACGGGGCAGTATGGAAATGGGCCTGTTTCCGTAGGCTAAGCGTCCGCAGAGCGCGCATGGCATAAGGTCGAGTGTGATCCATCAAAGCATCCAGAAAATGTTGAACGTTTTCTACACTCAAGTATCAGTATCGTCGTAGGTGGATGCTGACAGGTACTCACCGGGAGACTTTGCCATTTTGTCCGCTAGAGCCATGTGTGCATAACTTTCCTTCCCGACCAGCCGAGCAAGCTCTCCACGCACTCGCAAGAGCCGCTCTAGCAGTGCTATTTGCTCCGGTGCACTGTAGTTTGCCGCCATATAGACCTTCCTCCGGGGCTCCTCGGCTGGCGCAGAACGCATGATCATTTGAGCCTGTAGCGAGCCAGGGTAGACGAGAAGATCGCGCTTGGTAACCTGCGCTTGGAGGCGAAGTCGAGCACCCATACCCAAATCCTTCACGCCTTGGAGCTCGGAGTACTGGATTCTTGCTGGAGGTCGCGGTGCAGCAGTCTCATTCAGGAATTGGCGACCGAGCACAAGAATTTCCGTTGAAAGTGCGACGAAGCGTTCTCGTTGCGCGGGAGGCAGGTGAATACCTGACTTCTCGAAGTCGCGCCAGAATATCAACGCAGTTTGGTAGGCCTCCGGACTGAGGGATTTCACAATCTCCCGATCGGAGAGGACGACACTCAACACCTGCGCACCGGGCAGTTCAGTTTATTGGGATGTGGATACATACTGGAGTTGCGTACTTCGTAAAGGCCAACATTGGTGTTTAGAACATTCATGAACTCGCATAACTTCTCATAAACCTCGTCAGCGCTCTGAACCCACACAGGGTCCGGGTGCGCGTTTCGTAAGAGCTCCGCGAGGTCTATGATGCCACAGAGCATGTCGCTCAGTCTATCCAGGTTCTTCACCACCTTGAACAACTCGTCTCGCGACTCTCGGGCTCGAAGTATTCGCTCCGTAAGCAGGTGCGCGCGCCGAAGCGTCGAGTCCGCGAGGGCATTGAACGCGGCCGGAGTGGTGAGGATACGGTGACCGAAGATTCCGGTGGGAGAAGTGACCTTCTGCGGGGCTTGTGGGTAGTCGAAGAAGGCTATGAGGTTCGTGTCGTCGACGGACGCGGGCTGGATGGCGGATGTGGTGGCTGAGCGCAAGAATGAGGGCGCGGTTCTCCTTGACCTCTGCTCCGCGTAGAGGCAGCCACGGAAGCGGACGGGTCGTGGAGTTGGTCTAGGAAACGCATGTCTGGCCGCCTTCGCGAGCATCCAGCGAGCAGGGGAGGTGGTGAGAAGTCGAGAGACGAGGTCGCGGACCCGCGCTGGACGAAACCCCAAAAGAGCGTACTTGCTCTCTCGGTCATCCCCGGCATCTGCCGAGCATGCATATCATACGTTTTCGGCGCTTCGGGCCATCCACCCAGGCGCGGCCAGTCGTGGCCATCCCTTTGGTCACAGGAGCCCAAGGAGGATTCGCGCGCGATCTGCGCTCCTGGTAGTTGATGATCTGCTCATCATGGACGCCGACGCTGGAACGCGAATAACTGGATTGGATGCGTGTAACTACTAGATGGGTCTACGAGAGCTTGCGATTACATGACCATAAGTACCCGGGTGAGCGGTAGCGGTTCAGAGAGCTGTATATGTGTATAGAAATGGGTGCGAGGCTGCGAGGATGCGAGTGTAGAGGATGGCGTGCGTTGGCAGGATAGCAGGAGCAAGATGGAGTAAACAAGAGGGGACGCAGTGAGGCAGGACTCATGACTCGTCCATGCTCGATGTTGGCGACAAGCTGCCTCCGATGCTCTTCTCGTAGAGCTCATCGGCATTGGAAGCGCTGGCAGATGCGGATGCGGAAGGTGTCGTCGATGGGTAGCGGCCGCCGTTCCCATGCATCTCATCCGACAATTCATCGCGTTGGTGCTTGTCTAGTGACGGCAGCTGGACAGCGTCGGAAGCGGGAGGGATACCGTTGGGTGCGGCGATAGGTCCTGGGATGGGCTCGACAGCGTAGTACCAGAACTTGCTCTTCTTCTTGCCCGCTACAGCTTCTACAGCCATCTCCGTGGGCTTCATCGCAGCGGCGCCGTTGATCTTGATCTTTAGGCCGCTACCTGCCTTCTCTGGCTGCCCAGACGTATCACCGGAGTTTCCGCTGACAGCGCTGTCATCTGTTTTGGCCCGCTTTGGTGGTGGTGGAGGTCCGTCCAGCAGTACATCCACTGGGGCGCCCAGCCGCGTTGAGCGCCGCTCTCCTCGCCAGTCACCCCATGGATCTTGAGCCCCCTTCGCGCTGCCGTTCGCGGCGGAGGTTCGGGTAGACCGACGAGAGCCTCCCGCAGTAGCACCCCGGCGGGAGCTGGTGTTCTCCGCCTCGTCAAGGTCCATGTGGTCATCGTCATAATCGTCGTCTTCTGGTTGTGATTGGTATGCGTATTCGTCTCCCTCTTCCTGCGCGGGAGAACACCAGTCAACACACATACTTCCCACAGAGTCGGGCCGATATATACGCACATCACTCGGAGGGTTGTTCATGTAAGCGTAGTCCGGGCGTGTTGTCCGCCGACGGGTGCGAGTTTCCCTCAACTCCGCAGACGCGATAAGCATGTTCCGCTGCTGGATCTTCCGCTGAGCCTTTTGGATTCTCTGTATCGCCGGCCCCAAGAGTTAGTCACGTGAATCTCGACAAATTGCCAGTAAAAACATCGACTGAGGCAGGAAAGATGCATCCGATCGCGGCGCGTGGCACCAAATATCACTAGTCTCAATGAACAGACGGAAACTCACCGCTAGTTCGTTGTCAATAATTTCGACTCTGTCCTGCAGAGCCTTGAGCAATGCGAGATGGGCGGTCTCAAGCTTCGACTTGCGCTCTCCGGCTTTGGGTTCGGAAGGTGCGCCCGCCTTCACCCTCTCTAGTATCGTCATGAATTCCTCACGCGTCGAGGCTATGGTCTGGAACGTGGCTGTGATTTTCCAAGGGTTCGTTGACATGTAGACCCTGGGTGAATCTGCCGAAATTAAGCGACCCGTTAGTAACGGTTTTAAACGCAATTCGATAACAGCATCCGCAAAGTGCCGGCAGTCCGATACGACCCTGGGCCGCATAGGCTGCAAACACCTGCAAATACCAAAAATCGTCCGAACGCCACCAAACTCACCGTCAATGACCCAGTAGCGTTTTCGGTCCTTGTCCTGGCCGAGAGGGATCAATTGTAGTCGTTCTTGGCTCTGCGGGTCGCCGGGAGGTGGTGGTAGGGCGGACGCCTCGATCTTCTTGTGCTTGTTGTGAATGACGCCCCACGCACGGTCGATCACTGCCTTGATCTCCAGGCTATAGCAGAGCTGCAGCTCCACCATTTGGCGCAGTATTTTGAGCTGTGGGGGAGGTGGTGGGGATGGAGCGCCGCACGGAAGGGGTGAGAAACGGGACAGGCGCACCTTCAAGTCCCAGTCCGCAGCGAAGAACCCTTCGGTCATGCTCGGGAACGGGTCCACGTTGATCTTTAGCGCGTCGTCCCAGAAAACAGTGTGCTCCGGGGTCTTGAAGTACTCCTGCAGCAGAGCCGCCACAGTTGTCGATATAACATCCGAGCTGGAGATTGCGCCACGTCGGTAAAACGTGTCATACACGCCGAAGGAGGGGTTGAGACCATGCGCACCTGAGATTACGCGTCCCCGGGCGCAGGTTGAGCACAAATCGCGAGAGTATCTGTGTCATGATCGGGTTGGGCTCCGGCGACAACAGCGCCTCCTCGAAACTAGTGGTCGTTTCCTCTATGATCAGACTGGGTTGTTCAAGCTCGGATTGAGATATCCAGACGTACTCCATGGGTGAATTCAGTCCTTCGACCTTCCCTCGCATGTTCGTGAAGCGACATATGAAGCCATATACAAAGAGAGACTCCCAGCGGTCCGAAGGATGCTTCGCGTTTGAAGGTGGGCAGATGTGGCCCTTTTTCTCAGAAGATTCAACAGGTGCGGGCTTCATGGTGAGTGTCGTGGGTGGAGAAGGTGCATGGACGAGTGAGAGTTGAGGTGAGGCACAGACTGGCGCCGCGAGTGGTCACGTTTATAGTGCCGACATCCTTATATTCCGTCATATCTATCGAACAAACACGGGGCAACAGAGTTATCTAGTTCAATACCAATTTCCTTCCCCTGCCGACGAGATGCGGCGCGAGATATTCGCAGACTAAGACACGAGGTAGGTAGCAAGCAAGCGATGTATTTCCACGGCGACACAGAAATACAAGAGGAGAATTGTACATGATTCGACGCGTCTTATCCTGGTCCGACCTGCGCGGTGACGTATGGTAAGCCCACTGAACACGAGTAACGCATCAGACTGGAGACATACTTTGGGGATGTCGTGGTGCTCGCTGAGGGCCTCGAGCTTGGAATTGAACTCGTTGACGCGGTCCTTGTGGGTCTTGTTCGCCAACCTCGCGACCTTCTCCGCAAGCTGAAGGGCAGAGTAAACACTTGATCGGGTAGAAAGTCGCAGATAGCGCACCCTCTTCTTCTGCACCTCCTCGAATCTCTTCTCAGCGGCGGTCTTCCGGTCACTAGTGCCCACGATCGCAGGGGAGTTGCGGCCACTCCCGGAGGGAGTGCCCGCATTGACATCGTCCTCTTTGATAGCACGCTCCAGTGCCTTCAACCGATCCTCGCCAGGAGAGATGGCTCTCTCCTTGTCCTTGTCCTTTGACTTGGATTTCTTCTTCCTTTGTGTGCGTAAGCGGAAGGGTAGGACTGGGCAATGTGGAGGCTCACTTCTTCACAATCCCACCATCGGTGACCCCTCCTTTGAGCTTGAGGGAGCCGCCAGGGCGGAAGTCGTAGTCCGAAGACATGGTCCGCGGGCGTGGTGGTCGTTCAGGTCATCAAGCTGGGGAGTCACACGTCACACACACCGCGCACAGAAGTGAGGCGTGACAGACACGCCCTGGGCGCGTCGCAAACCGCAGACTCCCGCTTGAGTCGTCGTCCGAGCTCATCCAGGTCTCCCTCTCCCCTCGGCCTGGTCCTTCTCCTCGCTGTGCAGCCCTAACTGCACCCGTCCTCCCGCTACTGTGCCATATACTCGTGAATGACTGTTTGACGATACTGCTCGGAAATCATGGCTATCCTCTCCTCCGCCCCGCTGCAATTCGTAGCTTCAATACCCCTCGCGACTCGGGTGATCACGGCCGCGACCATAGTTCTGTCCCTCTTCTACTACTTTCTCAGATGGTCTGGGACTCAGGTCACAGCCTTGCCATGGCTTGTTCTCCTCCCGGGCTCGAGTATCTTCTACCCGTGGACGTTCTTGACGTCCGCATTTGTTGAGAGTACCGTCCTAGAGGTACGCGCAACCTCATTCTCATACTTTGCCTTGGGACAGGTCGCTGACGACTACTGCAGCTCATATTCACGCTTATCACCATACCCCCATCTCTGCGATACCTAGAGCGGCTATGGGGCGCAGTAGAGACCGCAAAATTCGTCGTCGTGACCATCACCGTCTCGAATATCATCGCGTTCGGTCTGAATTGGTTGGAGTACGTGGTGTTGGGATATCCCGGTCTCCTGTGAGTCATTTGGACATTTACCACAAACGTCGGCTGAGCATGCTGGTTCGATTAGCTGGGAGCAGGCATATCACGGGCAAATGGCGCTGCAAATTGGTGTGCTTGTGGCGTTCACCCAGATCATACCTGAGCACCAAGTCCAACTGTTCGGTGTGATCAAAGCGAGGGTCAAGGTAAGGGATGGCAGACATATGCGGTACCAGTTTGCATCCTCATCAAGTTCCCTGTCAGACGTTGCCTATGGCATACGTGACCTTCTCGACGGTCATGTGTCTTGTCGGCTTCCAGTGCCCGTTCATCGTTATCCAGTTCGGATGGCTGGTGTCGTACCTTTGGCTCCGATTCTACAAGAAGAACTCTGGGGAAGTCTTGAGCGGAGGACCGGCGTACGGAGACCGCAGCGAGACGTTCGCCTTCGTCAGCTGGTTCCCTCCATTCATCCAGTGAGTACCATGCATTCTACCTCCGCGCACACCACTCATGTGTCGTTCAGCGTTCCCATCACCCTGCTTGCGAACACGGCTTACACCATTGCGAGCAAGTTCCATCTCATCCCGGTCGGAAACATCGACATAGAGGCTGGAGGGTACAGCCAACTGCCTGGCGGCGCACGCGCAGAAGCTGAAAGAAGACGGTACGTTGATGTATTCCCTGATGGCGGACGCTTTACTAACATACCGCAGTGCTATGGCGTTGAAAGCACTCGACCAGCGCGTGGCGTCTGGTGGATCATCACCCGCGCCGCCGCAGAGGGGGGCCAACGGCTCTGTCTCGCGCCCCGGCCCCTCTTCATTGAGTGAAACCCCGGCGCCCGCAGCAGCAGTTGCAGATACCTCATCAAAGGAGTCGTCGGATATTGCAGAGGGGGGTCGGTAATATGTGTTCTCTCTAGCTTTGCCTCGTAATTGCCTACACTCTACGTTTCCGGTGTATCTATACGAGCGCCTAATGGATCAAAACGCGTCGCGACGCGTCATGCAGCCCCGTCGAAGGGCTTCCTCTCTCCGAACTCTGCTTGTATGTGAAGATGTTATATACGCATAGAATCTCAGTAGACTGGAACGAACACATGATTCACTCCTTCAGATCATTCACTGTGGCTTGGGGCGCGACAAGCGCGACACCTGGGTGCTTGAGGCGCCCGATACCGTTCGGCAGTGCATCATCATGGGCGTCTAACTATGTACACTTGGTTCCCGCAGTCACTGTCCTCGCTGGTGTAACGCTCTCCGTATGGCTCGCCGTCCCTCTTCTGGCTCAATTGGTCTGGCAAACTCCCCTGAGATACCGCGTCGTAATGGCTCCGCGAGTTTCAACACCCCCAAGCGCGACTCCAACCATCTTGGCGAGGCTGCTCGAAGACCCGCCCCGCGCACTGCATCCTCGTCACAGAAACTGGACAGCTCAGTCAACTTCAACGACATTGACCCCGATGACCTGTTCACGAAATATACCGTCTCCGAGATTCGGACAGTGCAGCACCGCCTGAGGTAACTCATCGCGTTTACATGTGGCGGGAATACTGGAACCAACCTGGCACACAGGGCTGAGGCGGATGCGAAGCAGGAGGAGCTGCGGCTTATGGTTGGGTGCGTAAATTCGGCATGTGTTTGCCCGGTAGTGTGCTAAGGGCTTAACGAAAGGACAGGGAACGGTACCGGGACCTTCTGCAGGCCTCGACGTCTATACTGGCTCTCGCGAAATCCTCAACAAATGTGCTTGAGGCCCTAGAAGAGATGCGGGACACCGTGCACTCTATCGCCCCCTCACGAGCGCCGAAACGTGCAATCAGTGGTGAAGGTGAGTCCGCATCCACCCCACAGTACTGCCGTGCTAGTGTTGACGCTACCGGTTCAGACAAGCACCTACAAGCATTGCAGTCCTTGTCAGCTCATGTCAAGTTGCTTCTGGATGCACCGGAACACCTCTGGCGTTTGATGGAGCGTAAATCGTACCTCAATGCTGCCTGGCTCTTCCTGCTCGCCCGTGTGGTCCACAGAGCGCTCTCGCAAGATGAGGATGACCAGAGTTGGCATGCGTACGGAATTGACGTCTCGGTATGCATACATCTTTGCATATATGCAGCATGCTGAATTGCGTCGTGACAGGAGCAATTGCCGCTGGTGCAACGACAATGGGATACCATCGCGCCATTCCGCCCCCAAATATCACACAGGGCGACGCTGTTTCTGAGGGAGCCGAATAGCACACCGGGGGTGCGTACTGGTCTACCGCTCCTACGACGCATGCTAAACGTATGGCAGGAGGTCTGCGCAACACTCTTAACCCTTCACCTCCTTGACGCTCGACCGATTCCGGACATGTTGTCCATATACCTAGCGCAGCGAACGAAGACGTTGTCAGGGCTGCTAACTCGCAACGCCTCTACGTCCTCTAATGGCAACTCAGCGGACTCCAAGCCGAACGGCAAGACTCCTCATCGACCACGGAAAGTCGTGGTCAAGGAGGCCAAATGCAATGCAGAGACGGTCTTGGAGGCAGTATCGCGCACAGTAGGCACGGCGAGACTCATGTTCGCGGACGCCCCATTTGGCGACTCGTCTTTGATGAAGGCGGCGCTACATTTCTTCCAGGTTCCTACCGACAGTCTAGCCCAACTGCCTCCAGAGCTGCAGTTGTCCACGCAACTGCTATTGTCATCATTGCCATCTTCGAGCCATCTCCTTCTACTCCCACAGAACGTTCGTGCCTACAAACCCTACGTCGATAACACAGCGCTCCTTTCGTCTAGCCTGCAAACCCAACTACAAGACAAGCTCCGAGCCTGGTTCAATAAGGCGCTACAGGAGCTTCACGACGCACTCGCGGATTGGTTCTCCCCTTTGGAGTCCATACAAGAAGTGTGGAGCGTGCGCTCTGCGCTGCTGCAATGGCTCAATGGCGCAGAGGGCCTTGATCCATCTGAGCGACAAGAACTCGAGTCTGTCATCAACGCTGCGTCCCTAAGCCAGGCAACGGCCGTTTGGAAGACCGCATTAGGCCGCCTTGAAGCCTCCTTCCGAGGCGCCATCGCGGCCGCGACGACTGCACTCGCGGAAACTACTGACGAACATATACTCGGTAAGCCAACTCGTCCGACCTGACTTACAGGCAACTGACGGACCACAGATACCCAGCCTATCACACATCTATTGCAGGCTCCGCCTATACCAACAGGCTTACAGGCCGGTGCCCACAGCGCTGCTATGGCCGCTACCCAGTTCGCGAAGTACAGGTCATCTCTACGGCAACAGCTCAACGGGCGCACGCCCTTGGTGGAGTCCGCGCTGGCCACCCTTGAGCGTTATGCTTCCGAGATCCAAGAAGACCTCGCTGCGATGCAGAAGTCGCTTGACAACAAGACGTGCGTCACTGCATGCTATGAAGAGCGGCCTGATTTTGACGGTGCTTCCCTCTTGCAGCGATTTAGTTCAACAACTATCAGATGCGTATCGGGCAGACGCGGAAGCTGTCTGCGGAACCGTGTGCTCAGTACTGGAGACTACAGTTGCTGGAGAAGGTCGGTCGAACAGTGCTACAGAGCAAGTTGATATTAATGCCTTTGACTGCTCAGAACCCGTGCTGAGGATTTCGGTATATGTCGGCCGGATATCACAAGAACTGGTTACCTCTTCGCACTTCTTTACACAAATCGGTTGCGGTGAGGCGGCAACACGACGTAGGCGCGATCATACTTCCCGCCCTCGTCTCATGCTCACCAGTGCTTACAGGATTCCACGAACGTTTGACTGCGCTGGCTTTCAAGCTCATGCAGGACTGGCGCGAACGGACGGTTTCCAAAGTAGTACTAGGCGACTTGGAAACTAGCCGGTTGTCTGATCCTCGTAACCCATCCAAAGGTGCGAACACCAATAGATGCGCACCTACCGTCAAATTCTGACTTCGCGCAGGGGACGCGATTCTGCCCAGTCGACCGTCAACAGTTCTTACAGAAGCTTTGCTCTCTCTATCGTCCGAGATGCAACAGCTCGGTACCTGTCTAGACGATGACCGTCGCCAACGACAAGTCGGCTTGACGGTAGAGCGGTTCATCGCTGCTTTCCTAGAACGACAAGAAATCCTGCCTCGACGGCATGCTGAAGATCTCCAGTCTCTGTGGGATGCAACGTTCCTCCGTCGGCTCGCACGACTATGGGAGACGACTGCCAAAGACGTACTTGAACGTGTAGATGCCAACATCGCGCGCTGGTGGGAGGTCTGTTATCTATTGTTGGGACATCGCCTGGGCTCATTCCACTGACGTCGACCCTCTGCAGCGTGATGATGCCAAGATACCACCACAGCCCGACATCGACGCATCGACGCAGGAGTTCCTCACCAAGACGCAAGTTCTGCTCGCACCGCTTCTCCCTTCACGCGCGCCACAAGGGACCCGGCCCACCAAGAAAGCAGACAAAGCCTCGAGTCTGCTTCTCTTTGGCACGCCGGGGGTCGAGCAGGGTTTCGAGCCGGCCTTGGAACTCGTAAAAACGCCCCCACGGTTTGGCCTGCTCCTCGTTGGCGGCGCAGCTCTCCGATAGATATACCTGTACAGCCGGATATACACTGCCAGACTAGCGCTCTCACGCTTGACATAATGCATCTCACTCTTTCTCGTGCGCCAGGTGCAGGCTCCCGGAGGCGAACATATAGTTTGCCGCAGTCTACGAGAGATCGCCGGTTGCAAACCTACTTTCATGTTTATATTTGGTGAGTAGCCTTGGGCACAGTTCGCCGTCGGTATGCCCCGAAATAACATAGCGCCCCGACCGACTAACGGGGAAGTCAATCTCTTTTTTTTTTTTTTTTTTTTTACGGTGCTAACCTAGATAGTGCCTCTGGCACCTGTTCTAGGCTATTGCAGGTTTAGGGGATTTTCACCCATTACACCGCGCCGGGGGAAATGCTTTATGCACACGTTATCGTTCGTAGTGTGGGACTCCTCCGACGCCATAGTCTACTATCCATTTTCTCTAGGCGCGTAAGTCTCTAGGTTACCCACTAAAACCCCCGGAGAATTAATCCAATCGTCTGGCAGCCCTTTTTGGTCTTGTAGGACTCCGTGCCATGTTGCTAGCACTACTTCTCGGCGTATTGCCTTCTTTCCTAGCATCGGATGCACTAGCCCTTGGTCTATTTGCAGTCTTTTGTTCATTACCGCGGCCCATCGCTTTGTTATCTCTCTGTGAGAGTGGTCTTTGGCCGGGTCAAAGCTTACGCTAATCGTGCGTTCGCAGCGCATCTTCCAGATTAGGTGGACTGCTTCGGTGAGCACTATTTGCATTAGCCTGTCTTTCCCCGCTTCATTGGTTTTTGATTTGCCTTTCAGCGAGAGTATTGGCGCCGCCAACACTGATCCAATTCGGAGCGCCGGCATGCGTACTTCGCGTCTCCGGAGGATCGCCTTTGCTAATTCCCATATTTCCCCCTGCCCTGGGGCGTCGCATTCTAGTATGATGTGCTCTAGCGTTTCAAGGCACCCACAGTGGTTGCAGTTTGCACGCTGTTCGTAGCCCGGTATGTTATCCCAATACCTGCCTATTTTGAGTGCTCCGTGGATTGCTTTCCACCAGAAGTCTCGGAATGAGCGCCGCACATGTTGGGCCCTTATTCCTTTCCATATAGCCCCTTCATGGGGATGCAGGTTCCAGTCGTCCGCCAGGCAGTCCCGGATTTGTTCGATCATATGGTCAGTCGATTTCCTCGCTGTCCTTTGGTCCTCGATTATCGACTTATACGCCATCTTTTGCGTCAGGGCTGTCATTTTGACTCCCGTCGCTACAAAGCCTCTTGGCGGTGGCGGGAGGCTAGATGTCTGCTGGGCCTCGAGGCTCGCTCCCGCCTTTGCTAGTTCGTCCGCTCCATCGTTTCCCGGGACTCCGCTATGCCCTTTAACCCATTTGAAAGTTACCGGCGCCGACCTGCTCCGGAGTCGTGCCGCAACGTCTTGGATCATTTCCGCGAGCACAAGTCCTTTCCAGCCCTTGTCCTCCCAGGCTTGGAGGTGTTTGGTAAGTCCATCGATCACGAATAGTGAGTCCGTCACAATTTGCATCGGCACGAAGGGCGGTACTGCGTTCGCTGCCACCGCAATCGCGTATAATTCCCCCGCCTGGTTTGTTTGTATCGGTCCTGGCACCCGTGCCGCTATGTTCCGCGGATCATCAGGTCCAAACCAAAGTCCGCTTCCTGCTGTTGCGTTCGACGCACCGTTGGACATTGCTGATCCATCTGTGTATATCTCGGTTTCCTGCTCGTCCACTTGATACGGTTTTGGAGGCCTTCGAGGCAGGGGGGCGTTTGGATCACTCGGCTCTGTGAATACGCGGAAGCAGGAGGCCACATAGGGGCCGGACTTGATGGATGGGTTGAAGGTGATAGTCTGTCGGTTGTATCTCGCCTCTTTGTTTCTGTCTAACCTCCTCTTTGTTAGTGTTAGTCCGTCTCCAGGGTCCGGGATGCCCGGCCTCCACGTTGGTAGGAGTTGTTCCAGAGCACGCTTTGCCGCTTTTGCGCACCGGTTAGGGTCGGAGCAGTGGTGCACGTCCCTATCTGTAGTGCAGTCTCGACACCGGCATGCCTTGTTCAGGGTATGGCGGCCATCCCCGTCGCTTCCTTGGTCATTTCTCCTACATAGCCTGTTCGCCGTGTTGACGCAGTCCTTTACGGTCCGTACGCCGTGGTTGTCGCGTAGGCATTTCGCAGCTACTGAGTTTGCGGAGGATCTAGCGTCCGATTTTCGGATGTGGTACCAGATTGGGAGGGCGAGCCGGATTTCTTCTGTGGGGTATGGGGAGTAGAACGATACTTTGTGTTTTTTTGCTACCTTGACCAGCGCCTTCAGCGTGACCGGGAGCCCTGCTGCTGTTCTCGTACTTATCTCCCATCCTTGGAGGTAGGCGTTTATTCTGGCGCTCCGGTCAACTCTTGCGTGTGCTGCTGTCGCCGCTTTCGCGAACAGGACGTCCGCTAGGTGCGCCCACTGCGGCCTTGTTGGGGAGAGATCCAGGTACAATTTCACCATCATTAGGTCGATCGCTTCGTTTCTCACTTTCAAGTTCAGCAGCCCCAGGCCTCCTTTTTGTATCGGCATATACAGCATCTCTCTCTTGATCGGCGGGATCGTGGCTCCATCCCAGAGGAAGTCTGTTATCATGGCGCTGAGTCTTTCGGTTATTCTCGGCGGCATGCCTTGTGCCGCAGTCAGGAATTGCGTACGTCCGCCTATTTCCATCCCTATTATCAGCTTTTTTCCGTATAACGTCGGGCGTCTTAGCTTCCATCTTTGCAGGTTTCTTCGTATTGTTTCTACAATCGGCTGCCAGGCCATTTCCTCATCGACATCGTTACCTACCCAGGCTCCTAGCAACCTTACCGCTTGGCCGTCTGGCGTGATGCGTACGTCCGTCGGCAGCTCTGGTGCCTCTTCATTTAACTTGCGGGTTCTTACTACTCGGTCCCGGTATTCTGCCGGGCCTATCGGTATGACTTCGGTCTTGTCTTTGTTGAATTTCGCTCTCGACGCGGCGCACCACTTCGTCAGGATGTCTGTTAACATGCTGTATTCGTCTTGCGCATCTAGGTAAACCGTCGTATCGTCTGCGAACAGCTTGGTTATTAACTTCTCGGCGTTTCCAGGCATTTTTATCCCTTTCAGTTCCGATTTTCGCAGGAGAATTGCTAGTGGTTCTATTGCCAGGTTAAAGAGTAGGCACGACAGTGGGTCACCCTGTCGAACCCCTCTGATTATTTTAAAGCTCTTCCCTAGGGTGCCGTTGATCATGACTGCGCTTACCGCCCCGTTGTATAGGGATTGTACAGTTCTTATGAAGTTCTCAGGTATGTTAAATCTTCTCATTACATCCCACAGGTATTTGTGATTAATCCTGTCGTAGGCTTTCTCCTGATCCAGGGCTACTATCACGCCCTCCACTTCTTCTGCTTCCGCAAGCTTTACTGTCATTTCCGCAAGTCTAATGTGGTCTAGTATCCGGCGTCCGGGCAGGAAACCCGCCTGATCCTCGTGTATTAACATGTCTGCAGCGCCCGTCAGCTTGGTTGTCAGCGCCCTGGTGAAGATCTTGTAGTCTGTGTTAAGCAACGTAATGGGTCTGTAGTTTCCAATTATCCGCGGGTCATTCTTCTTATATATTGGGCAGATCCACCCTTCCGCGAAGCGCGTAGACCGGTCGACTCCGTGCATTTCTATGTCGTTATAAACTCTACATAGGGCTTGCGCGACATTGAAGGCCTGTTTTCCGGCTTTTGCGTCTCTTCTATACCATGCCATGTACGTTTTCCACACCTCCGTCGGGACGCCATCTAGGCCCGGGGCCTTGCCACTTGCCGCTTCATCTATCGCCTGCTCCACCTCGTAGGACTTGATCTTTTCTGCTAGCTCGGCTTTGTGCCTGTTTGGGAGCCTTCGTTCAACAACTTCGTTCACTTCTTGTATGTCTTTCTCGTGCTGTTCATCCGAGGTAGGTGGGTCTAGCATCTGGAGCTCATCGAAAAACCTCGTTGCTACTTCTAACATTCCCTCCGTGTTGCGGACGTATATTCGGCGGTCTCCTTCCTTGTCCTTTTCCATTTCATATATTGTGGCATCTGGTTTGGGCGGCGCGTTACATCGCGTCCAGTAGCATCCTATCTTCTCTCCAAGTGCCCAGTCTTTTGCGGCATTTAGCTCGCGTCTCTTGCTGAAGCGTTTAATTTCTAGCTCTTTTATACGTTGCTTGAGTATAGCGCCACTCTCGGCTGATGCTCTTTGGGCGTCGGTGCCCTCTTCAAGATTTGTGGCGCTGTCACACTGATCAGCAAGCATTTGCCTAAGCTCTTTGAGTTTTTTGTCCATGACTGATGCCCGGATTTTTAGGCGGCTTCTCGCTTCTCCTACTAATCGTTGTTTGAAGGCTGCGAATATCGTTTGCGGGTTATCCTCTTCAGTCCTTACCGCGCAAGCCTGGAGCTTATCTTGGAGCTCGTTCCCAAGGGCACGCATTTTGTCTATGAATTGTTTATCGCTCAGGAGGTGCGTTGGCATCGCCCATCTGCCAGGACCTATTGCAGGCGCGTCGTAGTTCGCTAGCGTCAGGCTTACCAGCTGGTGGTCGGTTTGTATGCCTGCTTCCTTCATTTCCCAGTCTGCCGCGGCGTTTACTAGTTTCTTGGACAGGTAGATTCTGTCAAGCCGCGACTGGCTTACCATCCCAGTTTGGTTGAACGTGTAGCGTTTGACCGTAGGGTGCGCATGTCGCCATGAGTCTACCATGTTTGCGTAGTTCATCAGCGACGCTAGTGCCTCAGTGGCTGGGTGTGGGTCCGGATGTGCAGGCGCCCTGTCAAGCGCGTCTTCCACGACATTGAAGTCTCCTAGTATAACGTCCGGTTTGGGGTGTCCCGTGCTCCGGATTTCATCTTGTACTTTATTCCAGAAGTCCGCATTCTCGCTTGCGCTATTTGGTGCGTATACGTTTAGTACTGTTATGTTTTTCCCCGGTGACCATTGCGTGGTCGCGCGTATTGCTCTTCCAGGCACTAGTACATCTATTGACACTTCTTTGTCTCCGAAGTATCTTTTGCTGATCACGAAGGCGACTCCCGCCGCTCCTGTCTCGTTCCTACTATCTGGGGAGCCTAGGACTTTCAGCTGTGAGCCGAAGAGCGTGTTTAGGGTTTCTATCCGTTCTTCGGTGAGGTGCGCTTCCTGTATTGCTAGGATGGCAATTCGCTGCTCCTTGATTATCTGGTTTATGCATAACCATTTGTCGCTGGTTCCGCCCCCTGCGTTCTGGCCGAAACCTTTCATGTTTAATGTTGCCAGCCGGAGCCGACCCCTCGTCTTTCTCTTTGACCGCCTGCCCTCCTTCTGCCTATTCTCTCCGTCTTCAGACACCACCGGGGTGTTTCTTCCCGGTGGGACGCCACCGTAGTCCACCGATCCTTCATCAGGCCACTGCTCGGCGTCAGGGGCTCGTCGCCTTCCGTCTCGGCGGACGCGCTGATCACCAGTACCCGAACTATTCATCCGTTGCGTGTTTTCAATATGATGTGTGTTTGCAGTCGGGTGTTTCCCGCTGCATATCGACCATTTTGCAGCGGTAGCGAGCTTTTCCCAGCTCGCAGGGCGGTCTCTTCATCCTTAACAGGCGGCTACTCTAGGAGCGCGGCCGTCTCGGTCGGCGTACCGTGCCTAAATAGGCCTCCGATTTATATAGGCCTAGTCATGGGTCGCTTTCCTGTGCCGTGGTTTACACTGCCAGTAAATTTGGGCGACCGTGTTCCTGGGGGGGAGGGAGAAGGCGGGAAGGGGTCAGTTACTCATTAAGCACCTCGGGCGCGCTTTGCGTCTCCGTATCACTCTTTTAACTTCAGCGCGATTTAGCGGTGTTTCCGGTTTTGCGGGGACCATGTATGTATTAGCGCATATGGCGTATTTGCGCCTTGCGGTTGGGGGTACTTCAGCGAGCTAGGCTAGTTAACGGTGTCGGGGATTCTATGTATATGTAGCTACAGTCGTACTTCAGGGCGGCTCATCTATAACTGCGGGCTCTGCCTACTGTCCCCTGCCTCGTTTACCCGCGAAACCGCTGCCTCGTTTGGCGAATCCCCTGCCTCGCCCGAAACCAGGGCCGGCTGGGGCGTTCGACGTGAAGCGGCCTGGGCCAGCGGTGTTGCCCTGCGCGGCCGCGTTCCTCTGCGCCGACTGGACGACCATGCTCGAGTAGTGGCCCCCAGCCGGAGGGGCGTTCCAGGATGGGACGTTCTGGAAGGGACAGAGGGTGGTGGGGTGGTCTGCTCCATGGCACCCAGCGCAATAGACGTTGTCGCGCGCCGTCGCGGGGAGGTCGTAGTCGTTTTCGAAGGAAAGGGAGCGAAGGAGGCTCTTCCATTCGGCCCATTGCTGGGGCGTGTGCGTGGGGGGCTCGATGTAGATGCGGGCTACAAGGTTCCCGCTCCCGAGCTCCTCGACGCGTACTTTGAGAGTGCTGAGAATGTAGGAGACGGCCTGAGCCGTCTCGAAGTACGCGAAGTCCGGGTTTGTATCGAGGTACCTCTCGATCGCCGGCAGCACTAGTGGTCCTTCGAGGGTCTCCCGGACAGTGCCTTCGATGAGATCGGCGTGGATGAATCCAGCAATCGTGAGGGCGTACGTCGGGGTGCGATTTCTGCACGGGAATGCGATGAGGGTTATGGCGCGGCAGGACCAGACCCTCCCTTCCAGCAGGCGAGCTACGCTGTCCGGGAGGAGGTCGACTGCCGCCCATGTGGCCGGCGGGTTTCGCGAGCTCGCGTCTGCCTCCGGCGGTACAAGGTGCGGGTTCTGTTGTCCCGTGATGATCGTCACAACCCTCGCCAGCGTGACCGCTATGCCTCGGGCCTGGCCTTGCCTCGGGTACCCCAGGTTGTAGATCAGGAAGAGGACCGTGTTGAGCTGGGGTTGCCGGCGGAGCATGTCTTGCTTCGATTTGGCCAGGTCGCGGAAGAGTGCGTCAGGTTCATCGAAGTAGACTTTAGGGAAGCCGTCCAGGGGCCGGGGAGTGAAGGCGAAGTCGCCGATGGCAGGGAGGGCCGGTATCATCCCTCTCTGTAGGCCGTCAGGGTGCCGGATCTGCACGATGTGCGATCTGTCCCCGGCGTCCTTCAGGTTCCGGGGGTTCGGCGGGTGGTTGGCGACGTCTGGCTCAGCCGCGGGTGCCTCGTTGGGGGGCGCCGGGGTGCTAGGCCGCGTCCCAGCTTGGTCCTGCGCGTGGTCTACTTCCATGGCGACGTTGTCTGCCAGGTTTTGGCCTCCAGGCGGCGGCGGTGCCCCAGCCAGACCGAGAGAGTTGGTCCTGCGGAAGCTAGCCCTCGACGGGCCGGCTAGCATCTCGCGCCTCGCGGCTTGGCTAGCGCGGAGCCACTCGTTGCGGGCTTGGCTGAGATCAGCGTCTCGGAAGGGTGGGACATACTGCATCCCGTAGATGGCCCGTGCCATCTGCCGCGAGAGGACCGGCACGTCGGGGTCTACACCTCCCATGTACATGCGAGTATGCGCGAGGTCTATGCGTGTATTGTCAACGCCAACGTACATTATGTAACACAGTCACTTCTGGGACCTACTGGTACTAGAGCCCCCCGCGTTCTCGAGGTCAATCGCGCCGTAGTCCAGGTCCGGCATGTCTACCCAGTAGTCTTCTTCGTTCGGCGGCGGGTAGTTTCCCGTGACGACGGTGCCCTGCGGGATCGGCGGCGGCAGCGGGTGGAATGGGCCACGGGCCACGAGCTCTGCGGTGAGGTCGCGCGTACCCGCCTGCGTCTGGCGCGTTTGGGTTCTCGAGCGAGATGGGTGCGGCGTGGCGCCTGCTGTGGTGTGCGTCCTGGCCAGGTGGGGGCTAGGCGTGACGGGCGGGCCTCCCTGCTGCGTCTCCGGCCTGGTCGGGAAGAGGAAACGCGGGAGCGGCGGCGGGGATACGTATCTGGCCCTCTTCCTACCCTTTCGCTCGTCTTCCTCGCGCAGGAACCTGTCTCTGCCTGCTAGCCCGCCCTCCGGGGCGTGCCCTGGCTTGAAGCGGGTCCCTAAGCCGCTAGGGAAGCCAGAGGGCTGCGAGTATATGATGCGGCGGGGGAGCGGGTTCGTGGCGGGGATCCTGCGCGGTGTCTTGGCTTCTCCTTCGCCGCGGTCAGATGCAGGGGACGGCCAGCGGACTGTCTCGGGGATGGTCGTTGAAGGTGCGGGTGAGGGGGTGTCCGGGAGGCTCGAGGGCGGCGGGTGCTCGCGCCTTTTGCCCTTGTCCACCTTGCGAGGCTGCTCGCTGTCGGTGGCCTCCTCGTCCTCATCCCCGCCGTCATCGCGCGGTTCGGCGTCGGACATCTCTGCATCGTCCTGTTGGGTGGCGGGTTCATCCGTCGACATCGTCGTCTCGGAGGGCGGCCCCCTAGCGGCCTGCGTGCGTGTTAGCTGCGTGCATGTGCTGCCGCGTTTCCTGCTCACCTCGCGGCGGATGTGCTCTGCGAACGCCGGCAGGAGCGAGGGCCTGGGGCTGTTCCAGACCACTCGGTCCTCGTCCGGGCGTTGCATCTCGTCCTCGAAAGCCCTTATGCCGTCCGGCGGAGTCGGAGTGCGGCTCAGGGTGCCTTTCGGGAGGTTGTGGTTGCCAAAGCGTCCCCGGAGGACCGTTCTCGGCGTCGGCGTCTGAGGCGGGCTCGACATGGGTGTTTGGGGGTGGTCGCGCAGCAAGATGGTAGGCGGAGGGAGGCAAGGTGCGTGGGTGGGCGTCGAGCTCGCGTTTTCCTCGTTGGGGAGGTGAAGTCGCGTCGTGTCGTTAACGGCCTTCTCTTCCCTTTTTATCCTCCTGCCCGGCGCTGCTTGCTGCCCTCTGCTTGTCTGCCTGCGTCCGTTCCACAACATCTCTACATGTCGAGATGCTGGAGTATGATCGCTTATGCTTGTCGTTCGTAGGCGTTCCGTTTTTGGACGGGTTGCAGTGTCGTGGCCGGGTGCCTCAGTAGCTTCCCGCGAGATCGCTTGCGGACGGTTAACGATTATGTCATTTACGTAGAGCGTCACTCACGACGTCTTTCTCATGTTGTGCACCGTCTCTTAAAAGCTCCTCGATCGGGCTTTCATATCGTTCTGGGGCGCGCGTTTCGGGCTCATACTGGTTTGGGTTGTACTGTTCGGTGGTGGTCTGTGTATACACAGGGGGGCCTCTCACATCATTGCCACTTCGCGTTGGTGGCGGTGGTCCTCGTCGATCTGATGGGGGCACTACTCGTGTTTCCCTCTCCGGCCTTCTATCGGGTGCTGTCTATTGTTACTCTACTGCCGCTGCTCCGGCAAACTCCTATCCACTTCTCTGCTGCTGCGCTCTCCCGTAATGCGACGATGACTCCCCCTCCGCTCTCTCCTAGTGACTCGTTCAGCGTTTATCCCGGATGACTCCTCTCTCGCTTGCGGCGATAGAGCGCGTCGCTCACATTAGGGAGTCCCGCGCGTAGTCATTTCCCTTGCGTCATCGGGCCGGGGCACGTCGGGGCGCGTCGGGCGATCTACGGGGCTGTGCGGAGGGTGTCGGGGTTCCAGTCCACGAGCTCGCGCGCTCGGCGGGAGCTTGGCCCGGCGTATGCCGTGGGCGCGTCGTCCCCGAGTTCGCCGGTGGCGGGTTTGGCGTCTCCGTCCTTGCTGCCTGCAGCGAGCTGCTCCAGGCGACTAGCGAGCTCTCTTGCGAAAGCCTCCCGTGCCGGGCGCTCTGCCTCGCGGGGAACTCGGAGGTGGGCAAGGGATATTTGGGCGTCAGGGAAGTCGTTTCTAACCATGAACTCGACCTCCTGCTTGTCCTGCCGTCTCACTCCAATTATCGGCCCGCGGATGGGGAGGGTTATGAGGCCCTCGTACGTCGCCACCAGTGCAGGCTCCTCTCCGTAGTCATCCACCAGGGCGTGTTCCACCGCCATTTGCAGCTGGACAACACGCCCAATCGCTAGGACCTTGGCGTACACGTGGGAGGCCGAAAAGACGGCTGTCGTTGTGTCTGGCGGCGGGGGTTGGTGCGGTTTGGCGACTTCGTCGGCCTGGATGAGGATGGGGAGGGCGTCGATGGACATGGTGTGGTGGTGGAAGTGGGCGGTGTTTTTTGGGGGTGTTTTCCTCAATGACTGGGTGCCTTTGTACCTGCGTACGCGTCGCTTCGTCTGGGGTTCTTTGCGGGTCTCCCAGGGGCTGCGGTCAGGCTTACGTAGAGTGAATAATGCACAACAAGATGTTTGTTAAGCGAGAGTCGGTTGAAGCTAAGCGAGGGACTGTGAGTTAGTCATGGCGTGCAGACAGCAAGCGAGGCGTCTGTTCCTGCACTGGCAGGCCTCTCAGCGCTCTGGTATTCGGACGCAAGCTCGTGGGCAGTGGGTCACGGTCCATTTAGGCCTCTTAGCATTTTGGCAGCTTCAGGGCTCCTTACGGGCACGGGAGACTGTTTTGCCTCAGCTCCTCGTTCCTAGTTCGCTTCCAAATCTGGAAGGCCTCAACTCGTCTTTAGGCTTCCTTTAGCGCTTTCGTAGCCTCGTGGATGATTTGGGCTTTCGCCCCGATCAGCCCGGGTTACGACTTTCCATTCCAGGCGTTCATCACTTTAGCCTGGGCCGGCCGGTTCGGCGCCGGGCGCCCGCAGCCCACTAGCGCTTGCGCGCGCGGGCTACGTCCATATTTTGGCGCCGGCCAGCGTTGCTGCAGCAAGACTTGTCCCCTTAGGGCTCAGCTCATAGGAGCCTGCTTTCGTAGCATATCCCGTGGTGGGAGCCCGCGGTGGGCGCCCTCGATGGGCATTTCAGGGGTGGGGGGGGAGGGCAGGCAGGTTGGGGGGCGTCGCCAGCACGCCATCCTTTGGGCCTCCAGTTCGGAGGTTGTCCATGCCATAGCTTACCCTATTCTCGTCTCTTCTAACGCTCCGGGTGTTGCCTACGTGCGCACACCTTCCTCTCCTCTGTCTATTATGCTCCGCGCGCTACTATTCGCGGAGGTATGGTATGTAGATTGGAAGTATCCCCGCACCAAGGGCTCAGCTTGGGCGTGGGAAAGTTGACCGTGGTGGTGGTTGACTCGACGGGGAAGTCAATCTCGACTTTATTCGAGCCGATCATTCTGCCCCGCCGCGCTGATCATCATCATAGCCATCGACCCCCACCAACCCCCACGCAAAACCAGAAGCGCTCCGTATCCCCCAGTAACATCCCAGCAATCCTGAGGCCCTTCATTGTACGTTCATCGTAGAACACGTATACCATGCGGGCCCATTGTCCGCATCACAGGGCACTTCGGGGCCCACGACGTCGGTCCGTATCTGTTTACAATCATTTCAACGTGATATGCTCCCCTGCTGATCGCGGCGTGCGCAGGACACCGCCCTACGGCCACAACGCGTGATGTAACACCCAAAGAGGGCGCCAGCCTCGGTCAGACATCATTGGTCGTATCACCCTGAACGCGCGGAGGCCGATGCTCCCATGGCCATCGACTTCTCAACTTCTCTCGCGTCCCCCCACCTATGAAGACGATCGCGTCCCGCCCTCCCGCCCGTGCGCCCTGAACGCTCTCTCTCGCCCCAGCAGCACTGGCTGCTACTGGTCCCCCGGCTCTCCTGCTCGCTGGCCGCTGGTCGCAGGAACCCCACTCCGCTCGAGACGCGAAGCAAGCTGGGACCGGAGTTGATCTCCAGGACGAGCGCAGGTCGCCCGGGTGACGAGCCTAATGAGAGGTGAGCCGCAGCCCGCGTACCTAGTGCATGTCTCGCACTGGCAGCGAGTCCGAGAGCTGAGCGGCGGTGCGACCGCAGAACCCCCTCCGCCGGACTTGCGGGGCCTCACGCCTGTATTCCTCACGATCCACGTCCTCGGCGGCCACATTGGGCTGCCGCTCGTTGTAGCAACATTCCTCATCTCGAAGACGGCAAAGCGGCACCCCACGATCATTAACTTCTGTGTTATATGGATACTGTATTCTATTATCTATTGCCTCCTGTGCGTCCATCTCGACCTTGCTCCGAAGCCGCGCTAGTGTACTGAGGGGATGCTAGGCTTTACGGAGGCAGTGAGCTGCAAGAGCACCCTCCTTACGCGCTATGCCTTACCCAGGCCGCTATGAATTACGCTGCGCCCCCGATGTGAGTTCTCGTGTTACAAGTCCTCCCCGCGGCCTTTCTGAAGACATACCGCCTTAATAGGGCCGTCGTCGCGGGTCTTGCAGTCGTTCTCCAGGTGAGGCTCGTGCCTATGTCATCTATATGCGCTCACTAACGTCAAACGCCACGCCACGCAGATATGGAGTACGTTCGTGGAACCCTGGAAGGAGGCTCGTCTCGTTAACATCCCTCAGTGGATCAAGCTGCTCGCCGTATGTCGCTCAAGCGCACTTGGTCAACATGGATGCAGACTCACTATGATAATATGTCGCAGATGATCTTGCCGCCCTACCTGGTCTTCATCGGGTTCAGTCTTTCGGCCGGATACGTGCGTACACCCTACTCTGAACTGGGACAAGTAGCTGACACTACGCTCGTAGTATGGCCTCAAGAATCCCCACTGGGTCCAAGTCAAGAACGGACTCTACTGCGGCCTCATGCATGGCAACTTGTACGTGAATACTCCCCCCGTGTCCTTCAGCGCACCATTTGACAGTGCCATCTGCAGCGAGATGCTCGCTGTTCCCATATTTTGCGGAACACTTGTCTTGATCATCATTGGTTTCGAAGGTGCGTATCTACTAACTCTGTTCATCCGCATACTCCCTGACCTGACACGATCTCAGTTGCGACGATTGTACGATATTTCAGGGGACGCCGGCTCATCAAGAAGGTTTTCCCCTTGGTAGACCGGAAGGAGCCGTCGCTCTCCCCTTGGTGCAGGGTGCGTCTCGGCAGTGAATACGTGCCCTGGAGGTTCTGACTAAGACGCGGACATCTTTACAGGCCGCGCTCTTCCTGATTTATGCAGCGCTGACCCTTGGGTACGTCCGCCCGCACACATGTTTAGCGTAATGGGGCAGCTTATGCTCAAGCTGTGTAGGGTGTGCATCATGGAACTGAAGCAGGAAGCGAGCGTGTTCGGATACATGATACAAGCAGCCTGTGAGTATTTGTATTTCATTGCTTTCACCTGGCAGGTCTGACCGCTACAACAGTGCCCTTGGCCGCGTTCCTTATATTCGGGTTGCAAAAGGTGCGCAAACAATTGGAGGATGTACCTCTTTGCAAACGTTAACACCGTTTTCAGGACATCGTCTTGACGTGGTTTTCCATGAACCGCAAGAACAGGTGGACACCCGACGAGCCAACCATCAGGATATCTGGCGAGCCCGGACGCATTGCACGCACCATTTCGCTTATGTCAAACACCACGATCGACTCGACCACGCCTATCGCATCGCACCCTTCTTCAGCACTCTCCCATGGATGCGGTTCAATCGTGTAATGGCCATGTCGACATGCGACGGCAACCTGCCACTCTAACGCGGAAGACCATCGCTTGCGCCGAGTTAGGTCGACCACAGGGCATAGACCCAAATCCCCAGGAGCCGCACAGAGGACGCCCGTCTGGACGTGTTCGGCGAAAGCGGTGCTCTCAGGGAGTCCGCACGCCGCAGCGTGACAACACTTCGCGCGCAGAACGGACCAACGACTTCCTTGCGATCTTCAGGAGTACCGTCGATGGACCCCTTGCGCGCGTAGATGGTGGCTTTGAGGAGGGTGGTCTGGGTGACGAAGGGAGCGTGGATGTTTCGAGAGAAGAAATAAATATCCCCTATGTACACAAGTGACGTCCGAAATCCTGCAGCCAGGCGGATCATGCGCCGCCTCTGTGACAATGTTTAGCCTATTGTTATGAAGAGAGAGGTGGAGCACGCACACTAGGATGTTGTTGCTGCGTAGCTTTGGTTAGCGTTGGCTTGGAAGTGACCTGGCAAAGAGAGCTTACATCGGGATGTGGATGAGCTTCACGAAGTAGCCGATGAAACCCATAACCGCGAAGCCGATGGCAACAGCCTTGGAGATCTGGATGAACTCTGCAAAGCGAGCTCAGGGGTTATGAAGACAATGTCACGCCAATCCAGCGAACCTTTCCGCGAAGGCTTCGTGCAGCGAGTGAGGAACTACAGGGTGGATTTCAGAGCAAGTTCTCCCTGCGCCATGAGGACAACGCACCTGCTGGCCGTCGTGGACGAACTCCTGGGGTATCTCAACGAATTCCTTGAGCTTTTCGGACATGGCGGAGGACGAGACTGAGTGCAGATGTGGGGGAGGAGGAAGAGTTGGTGGAACGCTGCTGGCGGTCGCCGATCCTGGTCGACGTGTCTCGATCACGAGACCTTTCTGGCGCGGCATACCGTAAGCGCCCATTGCACTTTCTGCCTCGTCCGCCATTCCGCCTGTCTCGTCTCCACCTCCTTTCGTCTGTCTGTGCGTCGACTCCGTTGGATGGAAAGGTGAGCTCGGTCCTCTCTTTGCGAGAATAGAGTACTAAACGATCTTCAGTACTATATGAATGTTCTTGCGGGGGGCATTCGCTGAAGGCAGTCTCTCCCTACTTCGTCTCTCTGCCCGACCACCTCGGACCCGCCCATTCCGCGTCCTTCCAACCCTTACACTGCGCTATGACTCGCATTACACACGCAAACGGCAGATCACTCGCCCTGAGGACCGGGAGTATATGCGGTATCGACATGCGGTCGACAATTTCTACAAAGCAATCTTGACCCAACCCTACCAATCTCCGCGACCCTCTTACGATGCTCTCGTCTCACTTGTCGAGTCTTTCGATGACTACAAGGACGTGTTAGTCCCACCCAACCTCCGGAGAGCTTTCCTTCAGCTCGCTCGGCGCAGGAACCATGAAGACCTCGAGATCCTACCTGACGCGCTCGAACGTTTCGCCCGTCTATCAAGCGTGGCCGTCAATGACTATGCGTGTGGTGTCTTCCATGACTTTCTTGAGGCTGCCGAACTTGCCACGGCTTTCCATTGGTTGAAGTTGTCCATGGACATGAAGAGCGTCACCTATGCCTCGAAGTTCTCGACCTGGGATGCACTTCTCTATACGGCAGCCAAACGCCCTGACTGCCCTCTGGTCGCCCAAGTCCTAGCGTTCATGCACAAGATGGGGAGACCGAGTACGCCAGAGACCTCCCTTTCGATATTCGAGGCGCTCTTCTCCGCCAAGCCCTCGGCTCGTGGCTACCGCCCTCCTAGTTATGCCTCCGTCAAGTTCCTCATCAGGACTCTAAACTCTTGCGGATATCCCTACGATTCTCGTACGCTCGCGGCGATCACCAACGGCCTTGCAAGTATACAAATGGACGACGAAGCGAAGGACGCGGAAGTCATGTATATCACACAGCTAGGTCGCCCAGGCCTGGTCCCTCCCGAACGACTGGTTAGCGTCATGGTCGACGTCGCACGCCGCTCGAGTCGCGACGACACTACACGCATCTACAAGCACCTTGTCCGGGCTGGACTCACTCCATCAGAGACAACGTTCGCAGCTGTTCTCGGCGACTCTGACCAGCTCGCGACCCTCAAGCATTGGGAGAATGTTCTCGGGCGGAAAGCTAGTCCTAGAATCATCGCGCTCTTGATGGAGCGCCGCGCCAAGGCCAACAAGTCGGTCGCCGACTTGTACGAGTATGCGGTTTCTACCGGCATTCCTCTGGCGGCTCCAATGCTGCAACTCTTCGTCAAACCCCTCCTCACCCTACGCGGACTGGATAAACCTACGGAGCGGTCGATCGACAAAGCCTTGGACCGTTATCGCCACTTTGTTGCGCATCTAGACGGTGTCAAGGAGACGAGTCCGTCAGCAACCCAGGAGGTGGATGCTACTCGACTCACCGGGGACTCGGAGGATACGAGTGAAGGTGTCAAAGAGAAGGACCTATATCCGCATCGAGCCACATACCAGCTTCTCCTCCGTGCCATGACCTCCACTGGGAATGTGCCGAAGTACTTGCCAATCGCCGTATCGCTCGTCTCCGACATGCGGCGGTTCGGCGTGCAGCTCGACTCCCCGAGCGCCGCTAGTGTCATCATCCTTCTTATGCACGCCTCTCCCACTCCCGAGGAGGCCTTCCGCATGTATCGCCTCATCGCGCTTCCCGAGGGCATGTCCGGAAAGGAGCCCGTCCTGAACGAGGAGGGCTACGTCGGGATCCTGGACGCGTTCTGCACGCTTCCCTCGTGGCCGAACAACATCCCCTCCGTCGATCTCTACTTCAACATCATCAGCGACATGCGCAAGCTCGGGATCCCGCTCGGCCCCAAGGCGTACACCGTCATCCTCGCGCAGATGGCGCGCCTCGCGACCGCGGCCGCGCACAAGACGGACGCCGCTGCCGGCGCGCGTGAGGCGATCGCGAAGGCGATCGCGCGCATCCACAACCACCTCAACCTGAACCCGTCGTTCACGCCGGACACCGCGCTCTGGAACCAGCTCATGGACGCGTACCAGCGTGCGGGGTGCTTCGCGGAGGCGTGCCGCATCTGGCAGACGCTGTTCGCGAGCGTGCGCTTCAACCGCGCGAGCGTGAGCATCATCCTCGATGCGTGCGCGTACGCCCGTGCGTACGACATGGCTGTGCGCGTGTATGGGGCGCTGCTCGAGGTCGAGTTCCCGATGAACGTCAAGAACTGGAACACGTACCTCGAGTGCCTCTGCCGCCTGGGCCGGCTCGACGAGGCGATGAAGGTGCTCTGCCTGGAGATGACGGGCCGCAGCGACGGCGTCGAGCCGGACACGGAGTCCGTGCGCATCCTGCTCAAGTTCGCGGCGAGGGAGAATCGGGAGGGGGAGGTCCGGGGCCGCTTGAAGCGGTTCTTGCCTAAGCTTTACCGGGCTGTGATTGAGTCTTCGCAATAATGTATCTAGCGCTTTGTTTATAATGCCGACCCGTATAGGATGTGTGCTGTATTGCGAACTACTATGGTATGCAACAGGAGAGCGAATGCGTATGATACAGAAAGATGCGTGCGCGGTTGAACAGACGCGGGGCCGGGCGCGGGCCATCTAGTAGAATAGAAAGCCCAACTAAGGTATGGGTACAGTGAGGTTAGGATGCGGAGTCTAGCGGTGATCAGAGCGAAGAAGCAGATTCCTCTACGGTAGGGCAGTCACACTGCGAATGGAGTACGTTAGTATTGGGTAGATGTGTCTTTAGCGGTTATGGTACTTACGATGAGGTGGGTGTCGCCGTAGGCTATGACGTTCAAGAAACATCAGCACACGTACGTTCGAGGGTGGGTGCCAATTGAACTTACCGTCGTCAATGCGGGAAACAGTGGGCCAGAACTTCTTCTCGAGAAGCCACGGCATGGGGTAAGCCGCCGTCTGGCGGGAGTATGGGCTGCGAACGCATCAAGTCAGTGTGGTTCGAACAGCGCTGATCCCGAGGATGCGCACCGGTTCCATTCCTCCTCGGACTGCGCGATCACGGAGATGGGGTGCGGGGCGTTTTTGAGGACGTTGTTGTCCTTGGGCTGCTTGCCGGCGATGATGTCCTCTGCCTCCTTGCGGATCTGGATCATAGCATCGCAGAACCTGCGCACAGTAGATGTTCAACACGTGTTGGTCGGACCAACGGAATACTGCTTACCTGTCGATCTCCTCGAGAGTCTCAGACTCCGTGGGCTCGATGAGCATGCAGGTAGAGATGGGCCACGAGCACGTGGGCGGGTGGAAGCCGTAGTCTTGCAGGCGCTTAGCGAAGTCGTTCACTTTCAGACCTGCGGCCTTGTCGAACTCGGCGAGGTCGATGAGGAGCTCGTGCGCAACACGGCCCTTGCCGTTCTTGAAGCGGAGGTTGTAGTGGCCAGAGAGGCGCTGCGCCATGTAGTTGGCGTTCAGCAGGGCAAGCTTCGAGGCGTCGGAGAGACCGGCGCCGCCGAGCATCTTGATGTACGCCCAGGAGATGAGGAGAATGGAGGCGCTGCCGTAGGGCGCGGCTGCGACTGCGTTAATCGCCTTGTCGCCGCCGGTGGAGATGATGGGGTGGGTGGGGAGGAAAGGAGAGAGATGTTCAGCCACGCAGATAGGGCCAACGCCAGGACCGCCTCCACCATGGGGACTACAAGGGTGTTGATGAGCGCATTTCACATATCCAAACTGAGATGTTACTCACATTGCGAACGTCTTGTGCAAATTCATGTGGCAAACATCACCGCCACAAGTGGCAGGGTTGGTGACGCCGATCTGCGCGTTGAGGTTGGCACCATCGAGGTAGACCTGACCGCCATTGTTGTGGATGATCTTGCAGGCCTGCAGTAACAATGTCAACAAGGAATTTGGGCATGGCGAAGATTGCACTAACGTCCTGTACACCGTGCTCGAACACGCCGAAGGTCGAAGGGTAGGTGATCTGTAAATATTGTAAGCGTGATTGCGTAATTGTATGCACGAATACTCGGGTACGTACCATGAATGCCGCGAGCTGGTCTTTGTGCTTCTCAGCCTTTGTCTTCAGATCCTCCAGATCGAGGTTGCCATCCGCGTGCGTCTTGACAGGGACGACCTTGAGGCCGGCCATGACTGCCGACTAGTGAAGATATGTCAGTTGCGGTACGTACGTGATAGATAGAAATAGACTTACAGCCGGGTTGGTGCCGTGAGCGCTGACAGGGATGAGACAGATGTCGCGATGGCTCTCGCCGCGCGATTCGTGGTAGGCCCTGATGACCGACAGACCAGCATACTCGCCCGCAGCGCCTGAGTTGGGCTGCAGAGAGCAAGCATGGAACCCAGTGATCTTGCAAAGGTCAGACTCCAACTCCTATATTCTTGTTCAGCATGCAACCTTCCCATGGTCTGACTAAGAATAACTCGCCTTGATCAGCTCCGTGTAGCCCTTGACCTGGTCCTTCGGCGCGAAGGGGTGCACCGACGCGAACTCGGGCCACGTGAGCGGGATCATGCTACTCGTGCTGTTCAACTTCATTGTGCAACTGCCCAGAGGTATCATCGCGTGCACGAGTCCGAGGTCCTTCGACTGGAGGTGGTAGATGTACCGGAGCATCTCCGTCTCGGAGTGGTGCGTGTTGAAGACCGGGTGGGGCAGGAACTTGGATGTGCGGCGCAGGCTCTCCGGGATAGAAGCCGACGAAAGCGAAGTCGAGGCGAGGTCAGCCAGAGTGACGGGGGAGAGCGAGGCGGCGGAGGCGAAGATGTTGACGAGGGCCACTACATCCTCGGCGCCGACACTCTCGTCCAGGGTCAAGCCGACATGATGATCGTCGATCCGACGCAGATTGATACCAGCTGCGAGCGCCGCGACGTGGAGGACCTCCGCATCCTTCACAACAGCGCTGACCTCGAAGGTGAGGGTATCGAAGAACTGCGCGCTGACCGCCTTGTATCCGTAGCTCTCTACGGCGCTCTTGATGATCTGCGCGAAGGTGTGGACCTTCTGCGCGATGCGCTGCAAGCTGGCCGGTCCATGGTAGACAGCGTACATCGCGGCCATGTTGGCAAGGAGCGCCTGACTGGTACAGATATTGCTGGTAGCCTTCTCCCTGCGGATATGCTGCTCACGAGCTACCAGAGAGTCAGCATTGGATGACACACTATGATTGGACAATCCTCACTCTGAAGCGCGAGACGGTAAGCGGGCTTCCCATTGACATCGCGGCTGCGACCAATCAGACGACCAGGCATCTTGCGCTTGAGCTTGTCCGTGCACGCGAAGAACGCCGCGTGGGGGCCGCCGTACCCTGCAGGGACACCGAACCGCGCCGAGTTGCCCAAAACGATATCGGCGCCCCATTCGCCCGGCGGCTTGAGCAAGGTAAGTGCCAGGAGGTCGGTAGCGCAAACGAGCAGGGCGCCTGCACCGTGGACAGCTTCTGCCAATCCGGAGAAGTCCTTGACGGCGCCGTTGACGTCGGGGTACTGAACCAAAACGCCGCAAAGGTCCGCACGAAGCGCCGCGTCCTCGAGAGCCGTGAGGGCGTCGCCGACCACCAAGTTGATACCAAAGCCCTTCGCGCGTGTTCTCAGGACGGCGATAGTCTGCGGGGCGACACCGCTGTCTGCGAAGAAGGTCCGTTTCTTGCCGTTCGTGGCGGTGAATGCCATAACCATGCCTTCTGCCGCAGCCGTCGCCTCATCGAGAAGGGAAGCGTTCGCGATGTCCATAGCCGTCAATGACATCACCATCGTCTGAAAGTTGACCAGAGACTCCAGGCGACCTGCGGATGCTCGTTATGACGTGTCTCAAGCTCACAAGGGCGGCACAAACGAACCTTGGGCAATCTCAGGCTGATAGGGAGTGTACGGCGTATACCAGGCCGGGCTTTCCATGACCTGTGGCACGTCTCAGGGACCCTGCAGCTCATTGCAAACGGAAAAAAAAACATACGTTGCGCAGGATCACAGGCGGGACCACAGCATTGTGGTATCCCATGCCAATGAAGCTCTTGACAGGCTTGTTGGCCTTCCCCAGTTCCTTGGCCCGTTGGAAGAGCTCCGACTCGCTGAGAGCGGGGATGGACTCGTTGCTCACAGAAGAGGAGGATACCCTGATTTTCTGGGGAACGGTGTCCGCGACAAACGCGTCCATAGAGTCGTAGCCCAGCTTCGACAGCATATGCGCGACCTCGCTGTCATCTGGGCCGATATGACGGTCTGTAAACGTGTCTAGAGACGCAAAAAGAGAAGAGGGGGCCTTCGCCGTCGCCAGACCACGCGTGACGGCATTCAATTTGACTGGGCGAGCATGGTAGACGATGTTCCGCGAGGCGAGGGCACAGAGGTTTCGAAAAGCCGCCATGGGCGGATAGGGACACCCTGCGACCCGGGGAAAGGGCTGGGCGGTGGGCTGGGGTGGAGAGACGGGGTGAGGGAGACGAGGGCGCGAGGAGAGGCATTTTGAATTTGAGCAGCATGCTGGATTCACCGAGCCATTCACCGAGTAAAAGCAAACGCTTATCGTCCTACACAGCGGCCAGCTCCTCCCCTTCCCCAAGCCCGCCCCTTCGGCGCTCCGCCAGCGTCTCCCCCGAGCCGGCTCCCCTTCCCACTCTCTTCCCCTCCTCTTTCGTGTGTTTTCCTCTCAAAAAATCTTTCAGTATGCTCGAGAAAAGCCTGCGCATCTCAGATAGGGTCTCTTCATTTCGCGCCCGTGTTTAGATTGCGAGACGGCCATGAAAGCCAAACGGACCTTACGGGCGGAACGGTCACGAGTGAACGTACACGCGGTGAAAAAGATTTTTCCTTGTGACTCGGCTCCGTCGCCCTTCCGTCCCGAGCCTCGAACGCGGCCAAGAAAGCGTCGGGCCCTTTCCATTTCGGGCTCTCACTCCCGACGCGTATCTCGCAGCCCTGACATGTTCAACACATATCCAACATCATGCCAGCTGTTCCTGTTCGTATTTTACAGCACTCACCCCGCGTTGCAGAAACACCCCAAAGCACTCCACGCTAGCGGCTCTCTCGCCGTCTGTGGGCGCAATCCTTATCGCCCTGCCGTTCGGTGGCGAAGAAGATGGATGCCTGATGCTCATGGCATGCGATGATTGCACGGTCATGATAGCTTCAGCGTTACCAGCCTGTAGCTATGGTGGCAAGTGTCGTAAACTAAGGGTAAGTAGACTGGCTGGAGCGATCCGCGGTCACCATTTACGTCAAGGCATGAGGGCCATCCCATCGGCATAGGCGAACCGGATGAAGCCCACTACATCCTCCGACTGTTTCCTGCAAAGAGGATCGTCGCCCGTGTAAGCAAGAGCCAACTCTCAAAAAGCGCGAACGACACTCACGGTGGATCGTCCGCGCCGTGCAGGTCAACGCCGTAGCTCAACCCGTCCGACTTCTCGATGTCCTTCGCGACCGCACGCAATCCCTGGTTCGCAGAGCGCACGCCTGCCTCGCGGAGCTTCGCCTCGAACTGTTCCGCCAGCGCGATGATGTTCTCGAGAGCCTGCTTGGCGCGCGGCTTGCTGCCTGATACGCGCTTTGGCGAGGTGTTAGAGTGGGGGTTGGCGAGCTTCTCCAACAGGGCGTGCTGCTTCCGGAACACCTCGGCGGAGCGCACGACCTCGTACTGGAGAGCTTATCAGCATTTGTATTTTCAAAGGCAGCGAGTCGGACGCACAACGAGCTCGTTCACTGCGGCGGGGCTTGGTAGGAGCTGCTCGCTGCGGCAGAGAGCGAAGTCGACGAGCAGCAGCGTCTAGAAACATGCGTTGGTGCGCTTCCAGTGATGCCTGTGTACGAAGAGCCTACCTCTTGGACCAACTGCTCGATGCCCCCAGTAGTGGTCAAGCTCTCTAGCTTACTAGCCAAGAAGTCGAGGAGCAGAACCAAGGCACGCCACAGCTCCTGCCAATGATAGTCTGCACATCCATTGTGAGTAGGATGCAATGCGGCCGCCGGACGTGCGCATCCCAACGTACCTAGTCGTACATGTTCTTTTTGCAGGTACCACAAGATCCTATAGCACGCTCCTATGCATGTGCTAATTTGCGTGAGTTCAGCGACAGTGGCAGAGCGGGGGAGGGGCTCACATACAGGTAACATTGGACCTCAAGTTTCTTCTGCATGTTGTGCCGAAGCCACAAAATACAACAGTCGAGGAAAGCACATAGTGGGGACCTAGGTGGGTCAAATGGTGGTAGATACGGCGGTCTCTACAATCCACTTGTTTATCAATGTGTCGCTCTTGTGAGAACGGTCATGTAGATGGACAGACCTGGCGACAAAGTCGTATGTCCAATTGAGTGTTCTGACTCAGTGCGCCTAGTATTTCTTCGCTCTCAGAAATTACCAAGAGGATATTGAGTGCGAGATTCGCATAGGCAATGGCACGCGGGGAAGACGAAGATGAAGCATGAGATAATAGATACGAGGTCATAGATAGGAAGGTGAGGGGTAGAGCTTTGGTCGATGTGCCGTCCTGAGTGATGAGGGTTTCGGTAAATGTCTTGCGAAATGTTGCGCTGCCATGCAGGAACTCGAACAGGGGGAGCAAAATCACACATGCTTCGATGGGCCTGCACGTTCCGCTCAGTATGCAGGTGCGGAGGGGGAGAAACCATGCGACGCACTGGCTTTTGAATACTTCCCGGGGAAGATCGACTGGTTTCGACGCAAGGACGCGGTCCGGTCGCAGAGCCGAGAACATAGACCCAAAGCTGGTTGTCAACGTAGGCGGCGAATCGTCTTGAATACTCTGGTAAGCCCTGCGGATATATCATGGTTTTGGTTAGCAGATGGCTACGAAGGAGCCGAAGAGACCGACTTCACGACCGCCGCGACAGCGAAGTTCGCAGCCCAGCAAATCTTCCGCATCAGTGCTTCATCCGTCGAGTCCCGTATACGAGTGAGGTAAGGGTTCATCTTCGCAGCGTCGGACTTGTGGAAGTTCGCCAGGAGGGCCATAAGCAATACTGCTTCGAAGGTGAATTGTCCTGTATCGGGAGCGGTGATAGTCTAGTAAGCGTGCTATGAGTGGTATTCTCCCGGCGATTCTAATACCGTAACACGCACCGCGGCGATACAAGGGAAGAGGTCGTGCTGGAGGAAGTACGCCCCGGGGCTGAGTTGGCTGATGCCGCAAACGAATGTCACGGTCATCTGCAGGACCTCGTGCCGAAGGCTAGCTACAGGGTGGATCAGCGAGACACCCACGATAGGGAGAGCACGGTACTCCACCCACCTGGGGCTGAGGTGTCTCCGAGTACCCCTTCTACCGCACCCGTCAGGCCCTATGGACGATATCAGTTGGTAAGCCCTTCAAGTTCAGGCTATCACATGCATTCCAGAGCTAACCTTGAACACTCTGTCGCTGTCGCTCACACCCCCAGCGAAGACCTCCATCACCTCCCACCCCGCGAGGTTTTTGCTCAACACAGCACGGCTTACTACAGCCAAAGTGATCGCGGCATTATGAGTTTTTACTGTGCCGTCGGCGTCTTCAGAGCGGAGCGCCGCGATACAAGCGTCTACAAGCCCGTTCAGCACAGGCTACTGGCAGCAGCAGGACTCCGTGTGTGAGTGACACACTGACAACGAGTAAACTCGGAATAATTGCGGGACGGACCTTGAGTTTCCCAAGGCAGTCGTCTTTGCGGACTTCGTGCAGTTTAGCAGAGAGGAGACCCCTGTCTACTGGTAGGAGAAGCAGGTCCGACCAGAACCTCTCGGAGGGAACATTTGGCGAGATTTGTTCCGGGGTGTTTCCCTTGATAAGGCTAAGTCAGAATTGGAAGACATTTATGTGTTACGAGAGTAATACATACCTGTAGGAGACGGCTGTATATAGATTCGAACTTCGGCAGAAACTGCACGGAGTCGCGGCGCTCCATTCAAATGGGGGTAGGACCGGCCGCAGGTTTGAACGAAGGTGCAGCCCGAATATACTGTACAAAGCGATATACAAACAAGATGCGTCGACTTGCCCTAGGCAAACGCAGATGGGAGTACTGAGCAGGTCGATTCCGCAGTGAGCGGCCACGTTCGCATCTTGGTGGCAGTGTTGTGGCACCTAGAATAACACTGACTGCATACACGCTCAGGGTAGTCGGACGTAGAACGCCGGGTAGGAAATCAATAGCCACCATACGAAAACAACGACAATACAGTACGCTACAAACAACATCGCGACACACCACGTAAGCTCACGACGTCGTGGTACCCGAAAGCCCCGCGTCAACCATCTCCGTAATCCAGCCCTGGAACGTCTCATGCCGCAGCCGCACGTCCTCCATCAGATACCGGATGCCAATGAACGCCTTCCTTCCCCTCCGCTCGCCCTCCATGTCGCTTGCTGTGCTCTTGTTGCGTTCCTCTTCTGCATCATCCTCCTCGTCCACAACGCCCGGGAACCCGAAGTGGTCCTCGTCTGCGCGGGGAGCAGCGTCTGCGGACGCGAACGATGCGCGGAAGAGGACACGCAGGCAGAGTAGCGCTGTGAGCGAGCTCGGCGGCGGGTCGACGTGTGGCCGCATGTATGTCACCCGTGTCGAGCGCGCCGGTGGTAAAGGGCGGGTCGTTGGCTCTGAGACGGGGTGTTGGTATCCCTGGGAGGGAAGGGTGATGGTGTCCGGCTGGGACGGGTGTTTGGGCGGAGGCTGCATGTCTGGTAGATGCGTGAGGACGTGTCCGCGCATCTGCGCCTTGGTGATGTCGGACTGGGCGCAGGTGGCCCACAGGCAGGGCATGTGGGCGCCTTCGAAGGGAGTGAGGTGCTGGTCGAGAACGTGCTCGTAGAGCTCCTCCGTCGACGCGAATGCCTCCGCGGAGCATTGCGAGCGATCCCATTGGCACTTGAACTGCGCACTAGCTGAATAGTCTTTCCGCCGGTCTACGCCACGCACGACGAATCGCTGGGGCGGACCGGGGAGAACCATCGCTTGTGCTTGGGGGAAGACGGTGTTGACATTCTTGATCACGTCAGACGCGACGAGCAAGGGATGTCGATCCTGGTAGGGCAAGAAGACATCCTTGTAGAGATTCCAAAAGTCCACTTGCGTCAACTCTCCGTCGGGCTTGGCTACGAACATGGTCTTCATCCTGAGACGCATACATTAGTCGCGAACTGGAGCGGAGGCGAAAGAGAGCTCACCATTCGTAGCATCTTTGAGGCTCTTGCATCGCAAGCAGCGTGTCGAGCTCCTCCTTCGTCAGCTCGTGGTCCTTGGCAGTATATGACTGGGCCGGAACGGTGTATGCGGGCATTCCGATTTCAAACGAGACATTCTCCTCCATTTGGTCAGCTAGAATGAGCGACACCAGAAGTCTCAAAGTGCCCGGCATTCGCGGATGCCGCAGGAATGCCTTGGTCATGGACGGATAGGACAGGTGCGCATACATGTAATTGAGCGCGGCGTCAATGAGGTCCTTGTCGAGGATAAGAGGAAGGACGTTCATGGCGGTCTCAAGTGCAGGGGCTTCCGCGTAGAGGTGAGGGGTGTTACTTGGGTTTGAGTACATGACAGTGAGAGCAGTCAACGCCGCGACGATCAAGGCGCGGTTCGACGAGAGCCCTGCGATCTGCTGAAGAGGCGCTATAGGGCTAGCCTTCGGGGAGGTATTCGGTGGAGGTAGGATGATGTTGTGGGCAATGGATTGGAGGATTTCGATGACATAGAGGAGGAACTCAGAGTTGGGGTCCGAGTCCGGCTTGAGGTCGTGCAACGAACAGAGGATGAGGTCTCGCGTTTTGGGATGGAGTGCAAGCTCTTCCGCGTTGGATGAATGCATAGCAGCATTGCGAAGGATGAAGAGCGACTCAATGGCATGTCTCCGTTTGCGCTCCTGCTGTGGAGAGACGGCGAAGACGCCAGAGTCGGCACTGAAGAGTTTTGCGCCCTGCTTGGTGTACCATTCGGGCCACTCGAAGAGGGCGTCTGTCAAGCCCGGGATAGCGATGAGCATGAATTGCTCATTCTGGCAAAGTCGGCAAAGACGGTCGAGCGCCCAAGCCACTTCCGAGTCGATCCCTGAGCGGAGGGAGAGAAGCATTCGGTTGTTGGGGGCGGCTTCGGTGTACCATCCTGCGCAGTACACTGAGTAAGCACTCTGGGCAATACCGGTCGGACTACTTACGTTCATAGTCATCCGTGAGGTTCGGCCGGGGATGGACGGGTGCAGGAGTTTGACGACGGTAGACGGCCGACTGGGCGGCTGTGGTGAGGGTGGACATTATACGTGGCGACTGCGACGCGCCAGTCGGAGTTCCTGCAGTACACGAGTGCGATTTCTATGGATGCAGAGGGAGTGGATGCAAGAGATGACGGAGAGACCAAGCAGGACGGGGTAGGAGGTGGACTCGGGTCGAAAGGATTCAGCGAAGACGCGTCGAACGCGTCGTGCACGTGCCCAAATTTCGCGTGGTCGGGCGCTCGTGTGGGCTGCCTCGCGCCACCTGCGCGGTTCTCTCGAGCAGCCACCGCGACGGTCAAGAGCGCGCGCCCGCTGCCCGAGCTTTGCTGACCAGCCCCCTCTCGCCAAGTTAGAAAGGAACTTACTCATGCAGGCTTCTTTGACTTCGAATGAAGTCATGTCTACGTTCGAGCTGGTACATAAGGGCAGCGGGCCTCCACGAAGATTACGGTAGGCCATCTCTCCGCCTCTTCCGACTCTGTCCCGTACACTTGCACGAAGCGACCCTATCGCTCTGCTCGTAACACCGCACAAAGCCGCTCAGGTCTTCATTGCAGTGAGTATCAACATCAATGTGTTCAAGTGCGTGCGCAGCTAATCCGCTAGTTGTCTGTTGGGTAGCAATTCATGTCGTTGAGCAATACCATGACCCCCCACCGCCCGCATGCTCTCGTGCAAGAGGACGTCCTCCATTACGTCTTCGAACATGCCTCTCATCCCCATGTACTGGCCCAATCCGCCGCAGTCTGCCGCGCCTGGACCATCCCCGCTCAGGCCGCCCTGTACAGGGAGCTCGAGTACTCTCCGTTGGCATGCCGTCCCCGAGAAGCTCTCCTCGCACGCACCTTGAGGACGCGTTCGCATCTTCTCCGCTTCATCCGTAGGCTCTGCCTAGTCACCGTATGGACCCATTCTCCCATCGCGGACCTCTGTGACTGGATCAAGCATATACCCGCCGACCACCTCCGGAATTTCTGCTGGAGATGGGAACGTGGGCACCCTCCTCCTTCCATCATAGAGTCTCCAGCTATCAGAGGGACGCATCACATCACGCTTCAGGGGCGTCTCTACTCGCTGAGCAGTATCCAGCCTGTTCTCGAGCTTCCCTATCTGCAATGTCTGTCACTCGAGCTCAAAGGGGACGAAAAGGGGTATCTGTCGGTAACCACCCGCCCAACCAAACTCAGGACTCTCCATCTCGTCGCACACGAAGGCTACTCGCCGGCGATGAACACACTCCTTTCCGCCGTGGGACCCCAGCTCGAGACCCTCCACCTCACCAGTCGATTAGGAGACGATCCCGAGCGGGATGCATTCCTCGTCTCCTGTGTCGCCGCACATTGCGCAGGTCTCACACGAGTCGAAATAAAGGCGATCGCCATGCCAAAGGCCCCCATCCCGATCGCAGACGAACTCGTCCAGCATTGTCGATCGCTCGAGCACCTCCACGCAGCGCCAGGCACCTTCACCCCTGGCCTCTTCCGCGTCATCCCCTCGACCCTCCGGGTACTCCGGCTTCCCATCATCCCCGAACATGATGATGAAGGTCTTCTGCTCGAATTCCTGGAGGATGCGCGAAGAAGCCGTGACGGTCTAGCGACCCTGGAGCTCGTCGTTGGCCCTGGTGACAAGGAACGATGGGAGCGCATTGAGGACGCGTGCCGCATGCGCGGCATAGCTTTCCGGCTTTGTGACGACTGACCGCTATCGGTGGTGGGAAGAGGGCAAGCTAGCCATGGTACGTCATACTGCAGAGGTTTACCGTATTCACCATGATGTGCCCTACGATACGACATTTCCCGTAGACGTATACCGCCGACCGTTGTCTGTCCACTTCTGCCCCTGCATGACGAGTTTCGTAGCCTGGGTTACTAATACAAGCACGTTTGGTCATTACCAACGGGTTGCCTGGCCCTCTACACGCAACAGAGACTTCAAATGTTGTCTATGATTGCTGACTTTTACTACACTAGACATTGTCCACATTTACTCGTACATCGACACCAGTAACAAATAATGTTCAAACACAGTCCAGCAAGAAAGCCCGAACCCACCTCGCTCATCCCAGAAACTCGTCCACACAGACCATCGCCTCCTTCCAGAACCGCTCCACCACACCCTCCTCAAACCCGTTGCTATCGTACCCCAGACTAATCCATAGCCGGCCCTTGAACGTGTACCCGAACAGAAGCATCGCGCCCTGGCGCTGGCGCGAGCCCGTCGTCAGCGTGTGCAGCTCCACGCCCGGGAACGCGGCGTGCCTGTACACGCCATCCAGATTGCCCAGCAGGCTCAGCCCGATAAGCGCCGCCGCGGACGACTTCGCGCGCACCGGGTACACGGATTCCTTCGGCACAGTGGGCACCGCGGGCGGCGCAGGGGGCACGTACGTGCCCGCCTCGCGCTCGTCGTCCTCCTTCGCCCACATGCGCGCACGCGCCCCGCGCTCCTGCGCCATCTCGTGCGTGCGCGACGCGACGAGCGGGCTCTTCGCCGCGCGCGTGCTCTGCTCCTTCGCCTGGCGCGCGCGCAGCCAGAACGACGCCTCCGTGGCCGCGGGGGTGGACGGGAGGAACCCGGGCAGGACGACGTTGAAGTACCCGATCGCGAGGTACCAGTACGAGTCGCGCGGCGCGGGCCGCGGGACGGAGAAGTACGGGCGGAGGTTGAGCGCGGAGTACATGAGCGTGGGCGCGACGCTCGCGCCGCCGCTTGTGCGCGCCCAGGCGACGTTGCAGACGGCGAAGAGCGCGGCGGAGATGGACACGCCGTGCGCCTTGCATTTCTTCAGGATCGCCTTCGTGCGCTCTTCCGGGACGGACACGGTGGGCACGACGGTGTGGCGCTCGGGGTGCTTGCGCCGGGGGAAGACCTGGCCGCCGATGAGCCGCTGCTGCGAGAGCTGGAAGTCGACCTGGGCGGCTGCCCGGCGGAACCTCGAAGATGGAAGGGGCATGTTATCTTCGAGCGCGGGGGGAAGCACGGACTGCGATCGCGGCGTTAGGATGCCGCAGCTGCGCTCTACAGCAGGAATGGATAACTCACTTCCTCAGGGGCGGTGGCCCACCGGGTGCGCCATTCCTCTTGCAGCAGGTCGCGCAGCTCGTCGTCAGACTTCGCGCCACCGAGTAACCCGAAGAAGTCGTTCGCAAATTGGTGCAGCGCCATGCCGTCGCCGAGGAAGTGCATCGCGCAGATGAGCAGCTCGTACTCGCGCTTAGGCTCGATCGCGGCCTCGTTCGCGGACGCCGAATCAGCTTCGAGTGTCAGGCTCGGGGGCGAGGGCGTGCGGGGCGGGGTAGGCATAAGCTCTGGAGAGCTCTGGGGCTCTGACAGAATGAGGTATGACAGCCTAGAGTTTGAGAGCGTGCGCGGGCCGTTCAGATAGGTGTCAATCAGCTCTGAACGGGCACGGCGATGTCAGCGCGCAGATAAAACGGAGGAGGCTATGTACAAACCATCCTTCGTCTGGGCCCGATACTCAAGGTTGGCGTCCGCGTCGGAATAGGCAGCCTCTGCGGACGAGGGAGCATCATAGCTGCCGGGTGGACGGCGCAGTTAGAGGGCGCCCACACGGAGAAACACAAACAGTACGTACATGAACCTTACGTCGTCATAGTCGCGCAGCTCCGCTCGGGCGCAAAGGAGGGGATGGCGGAGTCGGAGGATAGCCCACGCGGTGCACACTCGGGAACGCCGAGCGACACGCTCAGGCGCTTTGAAGCCGAGATGCAAATACCTGTACGTGTGATCAGTCGAGGTTGGATAGATTGAACGCACAATACTCACATGTCATTCACGCCCGTCTGTCTAGAAGGCAGGAAGTAGGAGAGCTCGGTATCGCCCATTTTACGCTCGTAACGGTGCTTGCGCGACGGCCCGGCAGCGACGTCGCTCACGTCCGACCGAGAGTCGTCGGCATTGGACTTGTCCCACACATCCTCCGGAAAGTCGGTCACAGACGTGGGTGGGGTGAGCAGTGCAGCGTTGTCGGACATATTGACACTGGTAGGCGAGCACGACGGAGAGCGATCACGGCGTTCGTGCGCTCAGACAGCGCGGTATAAAAGCCCAGACAGGCGTCGGGGGTGGAAGGCGGCAGCGGCGCGAGGGTGGGGCGGCAGGGAGGGACAGACGCGATACATACGGCCGCACAAAGGCCATGCATTTATGGCACCTGGTGCGGTCGACGACGCACGACGTGCGAGGGCAGTGGCATGCTGGCGCGGGCCTGACGCGTGAATGTGTGGCCAATAAACGGACGAATATGGCTTCGAGGCCGCGCTCGACCGGGGACGGAGAGAGGTTGACAGGACGGGGCATCTCAGATCCCGCAGATGGATGCGATGTGCCGTCCACGCCGCCCCGTGGAGCAGGGCGCCGTTCTGCCGGAAGAAGGCGTCCGCGGGAGAGCCCTCTTCTGGAGTCGTCGATAATCACTGCGCGGCCGGCCAAGGGACAGATCCCTCGAATATCGGAGGAGGTGCGGGGCGAAGTGCGAGCGCCATGTGGGTGCGCGGTGTCACGCTTCAGCCGCGTGGGGTTAGGGTTTAAGCATCGCACGCCCGGGCGTGACATCGGCGACAACCCTTTCTGTTCTTCCACAAACAACGGGTGCATCGTTCAGGTCTCTCAACTCTCTCGGACCCGAAAACATGGCACCGGCACGATCCCCCTGGAGAGGCTCCACTGCAGCAATGTGGCTAACGCGTCGTCCCTGTTTAGGGTACATCGGCACCGCGCGAACGATCGAACGAGCACATCGTCATGAACCGTAGCGACACCAATCGGAAACACCCTCGTCGGCGGCCTCCAAGGGGCACACAACGCGCGAGCTCGTGGACGCGCTCCACTCGTAGGTACCGTCGGTGGGCAAGCAAGATGGATAGACAACAACGCACGCTCGTCACTCAACATCAGAGGTAGCGAGGGGTGCCCAGGGGCGTCGTCACACCTCTACCTCCCCGGGAGATCGTTCGACGTTATACCTCTGCCTCGGGAACGTGTTACGTCGGAGACTAACTCCTTCCGGACCCTCCGTCGTCTTCAGATCCTCCACAAGCTTGTCAGCTTCAGCACCCGAACGCCGTTCTCGCGCAAGATCCTGTACAACAAGGTGAGGCACCCTATACGGCTCCACGCACAGAATCCACTCAACGGTTCTCTCGCCCGAAAACACCTGCAGATACATTGCACTAACAGTCAGACGTACGTGATACGGTCCGCATCCACGAGGCGTGCGCCCGCCCCAACTGCCAAAAATACGGCCGTCGTGGCGCGCGCGTGCGACGGCGCGGCCTGCCCTTGCACCGCCCGCCGTCCGATTGAGCAATGCTCAACCGCGTCGCTTCGACGTTTTTGAGGGCGTGCTACGCCGCACGCGTAATACGCAGGGGAACGACCCCGCCCCACTTGTGGCGCTGCTACGTACGGAGACGGCTAGGTGAGCCAAATCAAGCGTCCGAGGGCGTTAGGAGACGCGGCAGGCGTGACTGTGTATGACGGCACACGAGTATCGGCACACCAGTGGCCGCACGGGGACGGCTTCGCGCGACCGCGTCCCAGTCCGCCACCTCCGTCAATGGCAATGGCGATGGGCCCGCGGCCGCGGGCGACGCGCCAGGCCAGTTCTTTCTGGCACGCTCTTCCGAGCCCATCGGAATCAGAACCAGAACCGTGCTATGGCGCGCGCACGCCGCGCTCACGCACGGACTCGGAGAAAAATGCGACGCGCCTGGGCCTGGGATCGGGCGTGAGTCTAGTCGCCTCGTCCCGCGGGCCCCATGATGCATCGAACGCTGCAGACCGCGCGCGGAAAGAGAAGCGGGACGTTTAGGACAGGCGGATGCCTCGCTAAGGCGTGCGTGATGCCTGCGCGGGGCTTCCCCGGGGCGTCCGCATCTGTTCGCGACGACATATGTATGTACAGACGGCGTCTTGCGCGCATTCCAGCAAGGCACGTACTCAATGGGCACTTTGCTGATCAATTATCGCATGGACGTACGTCGGCGCAGAGGACGCTAAACTCTGCTAAACTTCCCATGGGCATGGGAATGCCTCGCGTTACGGAAGTGCGCTGCGCACAGCCGCCACGAGCGTCCGAGGAGCAGACAGGTCTAGAAGGCGGCGTACGGCCATTCCATCGCCCTCCTCGAGCGCAACTGGGCACTCGCGTCCCGGGCGAGCGGAGGGCGCAAAAGGTACGAGCGCGCCAAGCACCTGGTGGCAGGCAATGAACTCTAGTGCAGCCCATGATGCCACAAGTCGGTCCGAGGAATCCCAGAGCAGACGGGGTCGGGCCGCATACGGGGGCGAAAGCGGGCTAGAGTACATGCTGAACGAGCAAAGTCCGGTATATCCGTGCACCCTGTAAGGAATTTCGTGGTATGTATTCATTGTTTTGGGCGGTCGTCTAGGTAGTACAGTTCGTCAAAGTGTCGTGCCAAACATCAATACAAGCGTCCGTGGGCGCGACCGCTGTCGCAGCGAAGTCGCCCCCATCACCTCGGTGTCGGGTAATGGCCAACAAGGTTGCCAGAGCCGCAGCCACCGGACAGCGCTAGGATATCCTGAGAATCGGGCGGCGTGTGCGGCCGCTACGCGGCCTGCCGCCTCTTCTCGTCCTGCCAATCGTGGACCTCGCCCTCGATCTCGTCGAGCTGTATGCCAGCGCTCGCCTCGACGTCGTCCTTCGGGATCGCGGGCGCCGCGCGTGCCGGGGCTGGTGCGGCCTCGACGGACTTGACCCATGTGTAGTACATCGTCCCGACGGCGATTACGAGGATAGAGATGGCGCGATTCCTATGCATAGCGCAATGTGATTAGCGGGCGCCCTGGCGAATGACATAGAACAGCGCCAATCCGAAAGTGATTAGGGAGTTAGAGGGCGGGGAGAAGTGCGAAGCAAGGCACAGCACATGGAAAGCATATCAGTAATAGAGCACTCACGCAGTGAACAAGTCGTGGAAGAGCCAGACGCCGAGGAGGGTTTGGATGGCGGAGCGGGCGGCCTGGGATATCATAGATATGTCGGTGACAGAAGGATGGTATCAGGAGGCGACGTCAGACCCTGCGCTCGTAGAGGGGACGAAACAGGGAACTTACGCTAGAGAACATATGGGTGACTGGGCTCGTAACCTTGATGCTGAGCAGCCCGGCGACACATAGCAGGAAGCCGAAGACACCCGTCACGATGCTGCCCCACACGAACACCTCGGCGTTCCATTCCGGGGTGCGGATGAGCTGCGAGAGGCTCGAGAGCTCGCCCTGGAGGAGGATGAACGGTCCGAGAAGGAGCGCAGAGCCAAGGTTCTGCCAGTACGCAAGCTGGATCGTAGAGTTTCCGGCGTACGGAAGCGAGTACTTGATGAGGACGGCGTGTATCGCGATGAAGAGCGACGATAGGACGCCGTATGCGATGGAAAGGCGGCTGGGGGCCTCATGCCAGCGATCGGTAGACGCAGAGCTCGGTGCTACGCCGATGAAGAATCCGGCGGTGACGATCGCTGCCGCGAAGAGGACCCTCATAGAAGGGAGGGAGCGACCATGAATAGACGACACGATGATTGTGAGGGGTAGAACCATCCCTCTAGCGATCTATGGGCGACGTATGAGCGAAAGGGTAGTCACCGCATGGTCATCGTAACGTTACCTGGAAGAAAGAGGCGTCGACGCCGCGAAGGCATAGGATGTTGAACACGAGGCCCACGACGTTGACGATGGTCACTGGCGCCAGCTTTTTGGCCGTCTTCAGCTCAAGCTTTGGAATCTCGACACGCTTCGTGATGAAGGCGGCCCCATGGAGGAGCACTACCGCGAGCGTAAGCTGGATGAGCAGGAAGAAAAGCGGCAGGTCCGGGGAGGAGTTCAAGACAGCTTTGTTGCTGTTAGGTGTGTTAGAACGGCATCGCAATGCAACACTTGAGTGTTCTTACACAAAGACCATCTGTAGAACGTAGTTAGCATAGACGCCAAGAGATGATACTGGTCGGCTACAAATGACGTACGACAAGAGCAGCACCCATGTAGAAGCTAACTACGCCGGCGACCTGCCAAGTCTGAGGTGCGTCGTGATTCATGCTGGGCAACTGAAAGGATGGCGGAGCCTGGGGGCGGACGGGGTATGGGCTTGGTCGAAGGACAAGTGCAGCACGAACGCGGGCGTACTTCAAGATCAGCCACAGCGAGGAGAGAACCGACTGATGGGCGTATTAAGGGACGGTGGCCACACGGTGCGGATAGACAGGGCGTAACAGCCGGCGGACGACCTGGAAGAATGGTGGCTGCGAGCCCCTTGTCGGCAAGGATGCGGAGATGGATCTGGCGGGTAGTAACGGGGCAGAAATCGGGGACTCCGAGGGGAGGGGAGCGAGGGAAGGCTACGTATATTCAGGGCATACGGGAATAGAATATGTTCGCCGCACGCGTTCTGCGGGTGCATCGATGGACGCTGCAGGGCATCTGACACACAGCGTGGCGCTGGGTGTGTAGATGGCGCGATCCTGGGAGACGGCGAGCGGTGCGCCGCAGGAGGACGGCATGGACTGGACAGCGCTCATGCTGCGGCCGAAGCGGAGGAGGGCGTTGCAAACCAAGCACGCCGCCGCAGATTCACCGTCCGGCGCGCGTGACGATCGAGGACCAATGTGACCGTATGTCTGCCGGATCGGGACAAGGCCGTGACAGGGCATCTGAGATCTGGGCGATCGACAGGGGAAGACGCGCGTGAGTGCGAGGAAGTCGGGCGGTGTGGTCTCCTTCACGGACCACGCCCGGCGGACAGATGGCCTCGCGCTCCTGGTCGCGCGGCATGCAACGGATTTCCCGCTCTGCCCCCCTCGCCTCCCTATTATTCGCCCGTCTCCATCCAGACTGACTTCTCTTCCCAGCAGTCTTCCCCCCGTCTCCTCACTCCCGCAAACTCATCATGCCTGTGAGCGGGAAGCCCGCCGCTGCCTTCACCCATGGCAGATCCCAGTCCAGCATGCCGCTGCTCCCCTACGCCGACTCCACCCCGCCCTCGTCCCCCGCATCCCGCTCGTTCAACCCCCGGTACATGCCCTACTTCGCGCACAAGCGTCGTCTGTTTGTCACCGCCTGCCTGTCCCTCGCCGTGATTGCTCTAGTGTCTTTCTCTTTCACTACTCTCGGAACACATGAGGGGTCTCTCGCGGTACCCGTATCCGAGCACTCTCAGCCGTCCTTGGACGTCGATCTTTCGCTCCCGGTCTCCCATGACCAGCCTCCAGAACCGGCCGCGGAGCCTGAGCCACTGGAGGAAGAGGAAGAGACGCCTGAGTACTCCCCGCTCGTACTTGGCGCCCCTACCCAGAGCTTCCGGGATAACCTGCGAAACGACACCAAGTACATCACCTCTTGGATATCTGCGGGATGGAGTGAGCCACCGTCCTACTCCCCGACGCGACCTTGTACTCACCTTTCGTGCAGCAAACGATATTATGACGTACGCGAACCTCATATACCTCGGCCAGATTACGGACCGCGTGCCGGTCGTCGGCATGTTCACGCCCTCTCACATCGGCGGCGACGTGCCCCCAATCATGTTCGGGGAGGTTTTCGACGTGCCGCGATTCAACGAGGAATCCGGCATCCAAATCGTCGAGTGGTACGAGGTAAAAGATCCCGAGAGCCAAGTGGTCGACGACCTCGGCTGCTGGAACGTCTGGGAGGCCGTCCAATATAACGAACACCACCCACGAGGCAGCGTGGTGCCAGAGCAGTGGCTCAAGCTCGGTGAGGGCGTCCGTTGGAGCCGCGATTCTATGCCCGGCTCACTCCGACTTCAATCCGGCAGACATCTCGTATACGAAGGCGCCCGGCTGGATAAAGCAGATCCCGGATTACCAGCACGACCTGTGCAGCACCTTCTGGTCGCTGGCGCGCCTCAGTTTCCCAGAGGAACGCGCCAAGAACATCGGGAACCCCCTGCCCTCCCCGGTGCACAACGCGACTCTGGACCCGGACGAGCATATGCTCTGCTTCGATTACCTGTACTACGCGTGTGCCCAGCAGGTAGGCTCTCCGCAGTCTCTTCTGTGACATCGTTCTGACAATTCGGGTCTTCAGTCTACCGACTTGGAGCACGACTATGCGCCGACTTGGAGAAACGTCCTGCGTCACCTGCATTGGACGGAGCGCATCGAGACGGTCGCCGGACTCTTCGTGCGCCAAGTATTCGATTTGCCTCCAGAAGCCGAATTGCCGCCGGTCAGTCTGTCTCCCGCCTGCCGGTGCAATATGAAGGTTCTGACCGTTACTCTCCCGGATGCAGTACATCGCCATCCACGTGCGCCACGGCGACTTCGCGAACTGGTGCTGGGCGGCGGAGAAGCCCGAGGACTGCTTCGCGCCGCTCCCCGTCATCGCGCGCCGCGTCAGGTAAGCGTCCTCCCCAGATATTCACGCACCCCTTACCCCAGATCTTAAAGTTACTGACCGGCATTCCCAGGGAAGTGCAGGAAGAGCTGCTGGCACGCAAGGGGCTCGACATCCCGATGACGCGCGTGATCATCACGAGCGACGAGAAGGACCCCGCGTGGTGGGAGGAGGTGCGCGCGCTCGGGTGGCGCACGCTCGACCACGAGGCGGCAGGCACGGCGGAGGCGTTCGGGCGGTGGTACCCCGTCATCCTCGACGCGGCGATCCAGTCTGGGGCGCACGGGTTCGTGGGCACGGACCGCTCGACGTACTCGATCGTGTCGCGCAGACGGGTCGAGAGCTGGCACGACGGCGCGACGCGCATGGTGCTGTGGGGGTACAAGGGCGCGGACGACCATTAATGATTTGTTACTGACGTTATGATGATGATGTGTGCGGGGGAGGATGGGGGAGGAGGTTCTTGGCGACCTAGACGTGTACGAGATGTATACGCGGACGATGACTGCATTTATAGTACATTTATTTTGTAAAAGTATACCACGTTGTTGTGCTGGCCTGTCTTTAGGCTGTACACCAACGATGAGAATGCGAACGTTCTCTTTCTCTTTCTCGTCTCGAGCTCGGCGCCAAATGGTTGCTTTGCCGCAGTGGGCGCCTGCCCAAAGTTGCCCAATGCAAGTTGTTGTTGAGAATCCCTTGGCTTTCTACGACTCGATCGGAGCTCTACGTATTGGCCGCAGCGAGATCGCACGTCTACGTAGAGTACTTGAGGTGAGTCACGATACAATCATGCCTCCTGAAATAGACGTGACAGTCCAACGGTTAACGGGCCTTTTTGAACAAGGCACAGTATCCGCGTAATGCACGCGTTTTCCGGGCCATCTCGAAAATGTCGAGCGAGGCTGCTGTGGGCCAAATTTGTCAACTGTACGAGAGCATTTTGAAGCGATTGGGAAGACGGTGCCCACTCGATGGCCACGTCGTCCAATCGACAACCTCTTGCCAGCCATTGGAACTCACCTGAGAGACACATTGGGGTAATCGTCGAAACCACCGACGCCGCGGAGATCCGTCACAGGATGCTGCCAGACATGGACCGAAGAGAGGTGTGTACAAACACGCTCGTTTTGCGTCTCTTCGCCACTGAGAAAGGCTATACACTTGTCCTTTTTGGATAGACGCGAGACCTTCAGAAAGTGACTACGCTCTCAGTACGGACGTGTTCGCTCGTCTGCGGCCTTGAGGTGCTGTCACCGATTCCGAAGCGTGCACTGTTCCCAGGCACGCGTGCGTGCGCAACCTGCCTACACTGTCGCGCTCTTCGGTTGCTGATATCGTGATTCCTCCTTCTAGTGTAAGGCCCGTGCACTGGTGTCACGCACGAGCGCGCAAGGCTGGCCGTCAATACACCTCAGCCTCCAGGACTCCTCCCATCCCACCACCCACTCTCCGGCGACATGGATGCCTGTCGCCGACTCCCGCTGCTTCCCCTAGAAGTCTACACAGAGGCGTTCACCTACTTGTTCAGCTTCGAAGGAGGTTTAGGCCTTAGGACTCTATTCAGCCTCTTGGCCACCAGCCGCTACATCCGCGCCGCCGCCTTACCCAACGTCATTTGGAGGCCGTACTACGAGGCGCGCTACTCGCACTCTACCTCAGAGCGCGATACGTGGCGGCGCGCGTACTACGGCGGCAACTATCGATTGCAGTACATCGCGCGGCGCGTCCGGGACAAACAGGCGCTGCGCCTCCTCGATGGCATCCGCACACACGCAGCGGGGCGCGGCGCACTGGCGCGCAAACTAGCCAAGAGGTACTCGTGGGATGTATGGGACGTCCTCCGCCACGAGAGGGAGCTCCCGGTCCCAGATTACTTCCGCCACAGCCGTGAAACGTTGGTCCCTGCTGCACCGAATGCATTCTCGCGAGGGTACTGGGCGGGTGTTGCGCAAGGAATCATCGCGCGCTATTGGGCGGTGAAAATATGGAAGCGGGTCGCGAATGGACACCCGTCCGTGACATTCGAGCATATGATTTCGGCGCTCTCGGCATTCTTCGACCATTCCCCCACGGAGGTGAGAGGGGGTTTCTAGTCTGCATAAAGATGACGCTAAGAGTTTCTGTGTACAGATTGACGAGATGTTGGACAGGACTACTAGCATGTGCTCAAAGTTTCTGTATGAGCGCCGCGTCAAAGTCGACATGGAACATCCAGATGTCAGCCTGTATCGGTTGTGCGGGGAGGTCATCAGCTTCATGCAGGCATCGGGATGGATGACGAACGACGGTGAGTTGTCGTCACTCCCGAAACAGCTGCCAATTGAGGCAGAGCGACCGCTCATTTATAGATGCAGATCATGCTGGTATCGGCCTTCCCTTCCTCAGGTCATTTCCCCACCATCTCCTCCGCGGCGCAGCCCACCATGGGCGCCTTAGCGTCTTGACGAAATCTTGGCTATTCACGGGGATCTGCGACCGACTCGGGTGCGAGGCGTTTCCGACCCACCTCCTATCAGGGGAGACGGTCTGCTGCGTCCGCTTGCCAAACATGTCTTCGGGCCCCATCGTCGTCAACTTCCGCCAAGGGGCGCCTCTCATCACCGTCGGCGCCCCCGACAGAGGCAACGATGAGGCTGGCCTCAGTACAGGAGTGGAAGTTGCGCAATCTTTCGCCCCTCTTCATCCTCGTGAATTCCTCGACGAGGCCAGGATGGATCTTGTCGGGGACATCGCCGGCTGGTACCTCCACAACGCCAACATACCCTTACCGGCTGCCGGGAATAACGCCCATACAAGCGAAACGCTGCTCCGAGCGATGCACGCCATGGGATGTTACCTCACAGCCAGTGGCTACCCGGTAATGGATCAACGGGGCGGCAAGTCCCTGTCCCTTCTCTTTACGGCCTTCATGACGGAAATACTACCGCTCGACGGCGAAGCCGTCATATTCAATGCGCTTTTCCCCACTGACGCGGAGGTTCCGGCGGAATTCTCCGTCTCCGCGGCCGAGTTGAACAATATTCTACGTCGTATTGAAGATACGAACACAGCTGTCATGCAGCGGAAGACCCGGCGCTTGCAGGGAGCGAGCAAACATCTCGTCGGTGAGATCGTACAAGATTCGAGGACAAATGAGTACGGCTGCATCACCGGGTGGAAGGTGAGCTATTTTCTTCTTTATGCTTTGCGTCGATATACCAGACTCATACGAATTGCGCCAGCCAATACCTAGATCAAGCGCCGTTGCGGCAGCCGACTACGACGAAGACTCTATTCAATTCAAAGTGGTACTCTCCCCAAATTTTCACGAGCGTGGTGAGCGGTATTGATAAGTTTGTCTCTAAAACTTTATGGCTCATACACCGTCGATAGCGGTCACTGATCCTTCAACCTTGAAGTCCTCAGCGTTATCGAAGGAGGCGGCCTGGAACTTCCGCCAGTTGTGGCCTAACTTCAGGCGCTACTTTGAGGACGTCTCTCAGGAGGATATGGCAAAGGACGAACACGGGAACATGCTGCCTACTAAGTTGGTGTTGACTGCAGAGATGCGGGCTCGATATCCCGATGATGTGAGTACTTAAACTCCCTCACTCTGAGACCCGTCGAGAACGCTCGAAGCTAATAAACAATGTAATGTGTACGCTCATACAGTGATACTCACCCAGCCTGAGCTATTATCTTGGTGAAATGTGTATACAACGGTCATTCGCCGTCGCGGCATGTAGAGTAGAGTCTATCATTGTCTAGACGACGGCCTGCTATCTCGTTACGGCTGCTTTCACTGCGTTTAGAACTCTCTGGAACTCTCCGGAGAACACGATTGCGTGTATACGAGTTCGCCGACGTCGCGGAGATTGGTCACTAGACGCTGCCAGACAAGAACCGAAGAGAGGTGCGTGCATTTGCGCTTGGGTCCTTTTCGTCAGATGGCTGCTGAGAAAGGCTGTGGACTCGTCCTCTTTGATCAGGCACGAGACTTTCAAGAACTTCGCTGTCAGTACGGACATGTTCACTAATGTGCGGCCTTGACGCGTTGTCACCGATTCACCGCTCGCAGGCACGCGTGTGTGCAGTACTTCCATGTGCTGTCGTGCTTTTCGGTTGCTGATACTCATCCTACTGCCTGAATTCAGTTTGGACGACACGGACAAACTCGTGGCTCATCGAAGTTGGGTTTCTGCGCTTCCTCTTTCGAGTGAGAGTCCGTCCACTGATGTCACCCACGGAGCGCGGAGTAGGCTTTAAATACGCCTCAGCCTTTGGTATACCTGCCATCTCACTGCCCATTCTCCAGCGACATGGTTGTCGGTCGCAGCCTCCCTCAACTCCCGCTCGAAGTTCACACATTGGCGTACACCTTCTTGTTCAGCTTGGGCGGGGACTTGGGGCTCAAAACGCTACTCAGTCTCTTATCCGCTAGTCGCCACATCCGCACTGCCGCTTCTCCCAACGTCATCTGGAAGCCGTATTACCGAGCACGCTACACGCACTCCGTCGAGGCGCAGGAAACGTGGCGGCACGCACACTACCACGGCGACTACCGCCTGCAGTACTTCGCCCGGCGGACCCGGGACAAGGAGGCCCTCCGCCTCCTCGACGACATCCGCACGCAGGTGATAGGTCGCGGTCCGAAGGCACGCAAGCTCGTCAACGAGTTCTCGTTCGATGTGTGGGACGCGCTCCGTTGCGAAAGGCTACTCCCGGTTCCGGAGTTCTTCCGCCAGCCCTGGGAGGGCCCTGCCCCCGCTGCGCCAAATGCGTTCCCGCGGAGGTACTGGGCAGGAGTCGCGCAGGGAATCATCGCGCGCTCCTGGGCGGTACAGACGTGGAAGCAGATTGCGAGCGGACACCCGTCCGTGTCGTTTGAGGATATGATTGCGGCGTTCTCGGCTTTCCACGAGTGGTCCCACACAGAGGTGAGGCCACGAACTAGCGAACTAGCATCCTTTGAGATGGCGCTAAAGCTTTTGGCAGGTTTGCATGGAGTTGCACAGGGCGAGCGAAATATGCGAAAAGTTTCTGGATGAGCGCGGCGTTCAGCTTGATGAGGAGCATCCAGATTTCGATTTGCATCAAGTATGCAAAGAGGTCATCCACTTCATGAAGGTATCAGGGTGGATGGCAAACGACGGTCAGTGGTTGTGCCTCCTGACACGATTGTTCAGCCACGATGACCACTCCTGTGCAGATGCAAGTAACGCCGCACTCAGCCGTCCCTATCTGAAGTCATTTCCCCACCATTTCCTTCGCAACCCCGCCCAGCACGGTTCTCTCAGTGTCTTGTCGAAGACTTGGCTATTCACGGGGATCTGTAGCCGACTCGGGTTTGACGCGTTTCCGACCCGTCTCCCATCGAAGGAGACGGTCTGCTGCGTCCGCTCATTGGATATTGCTTTGTGCCCCGTCGTTGTTGACTTCAGCCAACGGGTGCACCTTGTCAGCGGCGGCCTCTCGGACAAAAGGAAGGATGAGACCAGTCTCCTAACAGAAGGAGAACTTGGGCAATATCTCGTCCCTCTACATCCCTGCGTATTCATCGACGAGGCCAGACGGGACTTTGTCAACCACATAAACAGGTGGTACCCCAACGATGCGAACGCACTCCTCCCCGGCCACAACATCAGCGCAGACGAACAGCTCCGAGTGGTGCACGCCATCGGGTGCTTCCTGACGGCTACGCATAACCTAGTCAGCGATTGGGGGGGAAATCCATCCTTGTTTCTTATGGGCCCCATCGCGGAGGCGCTCCCGCTTGACGGCGACGCTGTTATTCTCAACACGCTCTTCCCTCCTGATGAGCAGGTTCCCCCGGCATGTTTCGTCCCAGTGGCAGAGCTGCACGACGCTCTCCGTCGTGCGGATGACGTGAACAGCCCATCTATGTGTAGGGGCCGGCTCTCGCGAAGCGCGAGCGGACACGAAGTTGGCGAGATCGTGTACCAGTCGGAAACAAATAAATACGGCTGCATCACCGGGTGGCAGGTTAGTTGTTTGTTTCAATTTACTTTATGTCGATGGACTACTGACATGGGAGCTGCACCAGCACGTGCCCGGAACAAGCAATGCGTCGGCAAACGAACAATCAATTCAGTTTTACGTGACATTGCCCCCGCATTACTTTCAGCACGGTGAGCAATAGCGATATATTTCTCGAAGGGGTGTCGCCGAGACTAAGTCGATAGTAGTCACTGAGTCTTCAGCCTTGAAGACCGCGTTATTAACTAGGGAAGCCGCCTGGGACCTTCGCCGGTCGTGGACACACTTTGGGCGATACTTTGAGGACGTTTCCACGGATGCTATGGCGGAGGATGAACACGGGAACATGCTTCCTACCAGGATGATTCTGACGGCAGAAATGCAAGTATGGGGTGAGTACATTTCCACGCCTTGATGGTCGCCGAGGAGACTTGAACTTGACTTTGACAGGATGAAGAAACGCGACCAGCATGCATATCCCCACACAATGATAGACAGACGATACACCATTGTGAACTGGCACTGTCTCGATGATCTATGTGCATTGCGGCCGTGATATCCTGACACGGGTGAACCGGGATGGAGTCCAATTCCCGTTTAGTGTGCAGTGGTACCACCACTGAGGCTACAGCCTGAGCGTGCTCGGATGTGACGGTCAGTGCTTGCCTCCATGCAGAGTTGTACCGCATACGGAGGGCGTCGAGATTCGTCTATGATCAAATATGGCTGCCGGATGAACGGACCGGCCACCTTCTGTAGTTTAGCGAAGTGCCCACCACCACGCGCCGTTGGCCTTCGACGAGCAGGCCGTTTCCTGCCGCCATAACACTCACGCGTCCCTTTCAGGGGGTGCACATACCATCATGTCGCCCACTCTACCCGTAGAGCTCTATGTTCAAATTCTTCGTGAGCTTCCCGTCAAGGATCAATCTACCCTCACCACTATCGCGAGCTTCCTTTCCACCAGCTCTTTGCTTCGCGCAGCAGCTCTCGAAGCCTCGGTATGGGAGGAGCTCTATCAAGCCAGGTACTCAAACTGCGATGACGACAACGAAACGGACAGACAGGCGCGACTGCACGGAAACATCCGCTTGATGTTCATTGAGCGCCGCAAGACCGATCGGGAGGCTCTCCGCCTGCTGGACCTCATCAGGGTGGACCCTGAAAACAATCAAGGACTCGCGAGTCGGATTGTGCGGGAGATGTCTTTCGATGTGTGGGATGTACTCGGGCTCGAGATGCGGCTTGCTATCCCCAAAGTATTCCGCGACCCGGACACCGACGATATGGAGGAAGACGCGGCGCCGCATGCCCTCCCGAGGCGATTCTGGGCGAAGGCCCTCAGGGGATCCATCGCCCGATACTATGCAGTCAAGATATGGGTCGACATGTGCGTCCATCCTCAGGATCACAGCTTCGACGATGTCCTCCTTGGATTATCTGCTTTCATGGACTTCTCGCCGAAAGAGGTGAGCTTGTATCTGATGGTCAACTAACTACTCCATCTGAGCCCTCCAAGACTATCAAACAGCTTGATGACATGGCAGTCAACTGTCGCCAGAGGTTGAACGCCCAAGGCGTGCAAGTTGCCTCCGGAGCACCAGACTACGACTTAGTGGCCCTTGTCATCGCGATTCGCGACTTCCTCCACCATGAGGGATTCGCGGTTGCCTCCGGTAAGGCGTCCCAAAGGTAACATCGACAGCTATGTGCTCACGAAATCTCATACCAGGTCAATCATTCATGAACCCTCTCAACCAGTTCTCACATCACTTCCTTGGACCGGGACGCTCGTCGACTCTCCCCATGTCCATGAACTGGGTCTTCGCTGCTGTTTGCCGTCGTCTTGGGGTCGAGGCGGGTCCTACGAACACGCCGGGGAGAGTGTTCTGCCATATCACTTCTCGCAACCCCCAGCAGGGCGACATGCTGCTCGACGTGTGCACTTCCACTCCACCCGTCGTATTTTCCAGCAGAGACGTTGCCATAATGCTTGCTGAGGCTGGTATGCCCGCCGATGTCGCCCGACCAGACGCGGTCCTCCCGGGGGAGCTCCCTATTATGCTACGGCGCGCGGCGTACAACATATTCAGCGCCACCAGGACGGGAAACATAGAGCTCGGAAACGCAGGAGACACCCAGCGCCGAGCCGACTATGCCGCTTCGGTGGCTATCGCCGTGTTGTACGACCCACAAGACATCCAGGTTGGCCAGGGGCGGGGCTTCCTGCAGACGATGCCTCAGGCCCCCTCTGGATGCCCCTTGGACACAAAAGCCGTTCTCTCGGCTTTGCTGCCTGATACCCTGGCTCAGGGACGTCGCGACTTCCAACCAATGCTCGGCTTTGTTCCGCTGACGCGTAAGGAGGGGGAGCCGCCCAAGCGTCGGACCCAACCTGGAGTTGAAGGCTTCATCGGGCAGGTTGCATCCTCGGGACCCGATATAGGCTGTATACTCGGATGGCGGGTGAGTAATCGTACACCTAGGGAAATGTGCTCTTTATGAGTCTGACGCATCACGTCACCTACAGTGGGTACAAAGAGACGAGGAGGCTCCTGTATGCGCATACGACGTTCTGAAGCAAGTGGGCATCCTCCCATACCAATTCGAAGGTGTGTGTTCCTATCGCAGCCCATAATTTGACCTACGCGTCCGCTCAACGTTCTCGTCATTAGCCACGAACATTCTCTATTTTGGTCCGCTTACCGCCGAAGATGCACGCAGACTAAGACGGGAGACCGTCAATTTCGACCAATACTTCGAGGACGCGGTCATACCCAGGGAAGACGGGCTAGGCGGACGGCTCATCCCTTCTCTGGAGATGCAGACGGCGTACCCAGACGATATTGGGTATGGCGCTCGCTGGACAGCGCAGGTGCTCGAGGAAGCCGGGAGGACGGAGGGGGTAGCTGCGCACTATGTAAGCTGCTTCGGCTGATAGGAGGTGTGATATTATCGTTTCTACGCTCCCCGTTCTGCTACACGGTACATCGTGTACACATACCCTCGAGTGGCCGCCTGCGATCTGGCCTCCGACTTCGCAGTCCTGTCGACGTCGCTGTGTGGACCGGTGTGTCGGAATCGGTGCGATGCCGTCGACGAGCCCATATCCCGGCGGAAGCCGCCATGCGGTAGTTCGTCATTGTGCCAGGAAGGCGATGGGGCGATGGCGCATAGTTGACAAGGTCGCGCTTGCCCCAGATTGACGTATTGGAGTGACATGTGGGCTGCGGAGCAACTAGCTTCCGGCAGACGGCTGTTAAGAGTGGTTGAGTAGGTAGTACTACGCGACATATGTGCAAAAGAGACGTACTCGGGCCGATAAGCGCAAGCACCATGGGACACGACGCGAAAACGCTACGACTGTACAGCGTGGGCAGCAAGGGGAATCGCGCCGCGCATCTTGACGAGGTGCTGGAGCGACATGTTCATGACCGCGCGGTACTTGTGCCGTCTGCCCATGTGAACAAGGTAGCCGTTGAGATAGTCGATCTCCGTTGGGCGCCGCAGCTTCACATCCATGTACATGGAGGAGTAATTGTTCTTCGTCAACTCCACGACGCGCTGGATCTCGTGTCGCATGACCTGCGCGCTCAGCTCGCGCGGGAAGGGGGGCGGTTCGAACGCCGCGCCCGCCTCCGAATTGTGGGCCAATAGTTGCTCGTTCACTTCGGCGGACCACTGTCTCCGGAAGACGTGCTCAGCCTCGCGACAGATGCGGTCCGCGGTGGCTCGTCCGTACTGGCTCTTCAGCACCCCGCCGTTATTGCATTGCAGGAGGGCAGAGACCGGGTTGACGAACGCGTTTACGACTAGTTTACGCCGCATTGCGACGTAGACATCCGTAACCGGTTCCCAGGACGCGCAAAGGCCAGGAGCATGTAGGAGTGCGGCAATGGTGTTTCGCAGGTTGAGGTAGCGAGGCCCGTCGGGCTGCTCGGTGGAGACGTTGGCGATATCGTCCAGTGAGAGCTGGGCGTTGGCGGGCCTGCTTGCGGCGGCGTATGAGGCCTCGTAGTTGCGACGTCCGAGAGGGTCGGGAACGATCCCTAGTTTGATGTCCCCAACAGCGGAGTGTACGGAATGGAGGGGGCCCTTCGAGTATAGCCCGTGGGTGTTAGAGCACAGGACGAAGTTGGGGCGGTCGTTTGGATCAGGGTACACGTCTTGGATGACCGTCTCATACACACCCATGCCGTTATGGAGGAGCACGATCGTGCTGTCGCGAGACAGGTTGTGCCTGAGCTTTCTCATGATAGTGCGCACAGCGAACGCCTTGGAGGTGACGATGAGGGAGTCGATGGGGCCTATGGCCTCGCGGACAACTGGGTCGTCACGCGCGTCGATTCTGGCGGGCGCGAAGTCGCTCCTCCGGACGCGGTTTCGCGGTTCGCCATAGGGAAGATGGATGAGCCCGTCCTGGGAGAACAGCGTGCCGTCCCTCTCGATCGAGAGAGGCGCGCCATTGGGGAGGTCGGAAATGAGTTTTGCGGTCTCTGAGCGATGGAGGGCGACGACGGTGTGCCGAGGATGGAGAGACTGGCGGAGGTGGAAGGCGACGAAGTTGCCTACGGCGCCGATGCCGACGACGTGGATGCGCATCGACGCCGAGGACTGGATGGAGCTCGCTGTGCGTGACGGCGAGGAAAAGCAAGGTGGGAGGGCGCCGGGACCGGGAGACGGGACGGACGGGCGGGAGGGCGCGCCGGAAAGTGCCGCCGAGGCCGAAAGAGGGAGGAGGTCAAGAAAGAGGGATGCACCGAGGTATTGCCGAGCAGGGGGGATGATATCATTTGACCTCTTCCTTCCACCACACCGACGTCGACGCACTCACATCGATCCCGATGAACATCGATACTACCAACCTTAGCTCCCCCGCCCAGCCGTCCGCGGCCCGTATGTCCCACCGATGCGCCGGCTCCCGTCCCCAGTCCTTCAAATAGCGGGGGCCCTTCCTCTCCGTACCCCATCCCTCTTCCCTCTCTTCCCCCACCACCCACAATGTCCACCACCGTTACCCTGAAGCGCACCGGCGACAAGGTATGTGCTCCCGTACTCTCAGGCAGGGTGTCATGCTCACCTCCTGTCGCGTATAGATGCCTCTCGTAGGGTAAGCTCATAATCTTTATATTCGAATCTGCCCCCCTCTGACGCGTCATTTCGTAATACTTAGCTTCGGTCTTTGGAAGGTATGTATCTATAGTCATATCCACTAGCATATAGCTGACAATTTCTCGTGTAGGTCACCAAGGAGACTTGCGCCGACGTATGTCTGATTACGCCAGTCTCTGCTCACGCGTCGGACGCGTACTGATTCTGGTATCAGACTGTATACAACGCGATCAAGGAGGGATACCGCCTGTTCGACGGTGCTTCCGACTACGGAAACGAGAAGCAGGCGGGCGAGGGCGTCGCGCGTGCCATCAAGGATGGTCTCGTGAAGCGCGAGGATCTCTGTGAGTGTCCTTTTTCGACCTTTTGGGAACATGATACTTACGCTGCGAAAAGGGATCACCTCTAAGGTTAGTTCGCAATGCCTCCGATTGGACGGCGGAAGCTGATCGCATGAGAACACAGCTGTGGAACACCAACCACGCGAAGGAGCACGTAAGTCAACGATAACACGGGCGCCCGGTCTTGTGGACTACAGTCTGACATACCGTAACAGGTCGAGGCGGCCGCCAAGTACTCCCTCGCTCTTTGGGGCCTTGACTACTTCGACCTCTACCTTGTTCACTTCCCCATCTCTATCGAGTACATTGAGCCCAGCGTCAAGTTCCCCCCTGAGTGGTGGGGTCTCGATGGCAAGATCCACCCCGGTGAGTAGTTAGATGAACAGAAAACGTTCCGCATACTCATATCAATGCAGTCAACGTCCCCTTCCAGGAGACTTGGACCGAGATGGAAAAGCTCGCTGATAAGGGGCTGGCCAAGAACATCGGCTTGAGGTATGTCATCCCAAGCGCCGTCGTAGTTTTGACACTGAACCCACTTTTTTTCCCCAGCAATGCTCAAGGCTCGTTTATCTACGATGTCCTCCGTTATGCGCGTATCGAGCCGCAGGTGCTCCAGGTCGAAATCCACCCCTACCTCACCCAGGAGCCCCTCATCGAGTTCTGCAAGGTTCTCGGCATTGCGATCACGGCGTACTCTTCTTTCGGTCCCCAGGGCTACGTGGAGATCGACGCACACAAGGGCGCGAAAGGCCTGTTCGAGCACGATGCCGTCGCCAGCATCGCCTCTAAGAAGGGAAAGAGTAAGAGCCTCATATTCGCTGTGTGGAAGAATTAAAAGGCTAACGCCCTGCGTAGCTCCCGCGCAGATCCTCCTTCGCTGGGCTTTGCAGCAGGGTCTTGCTGTCATCCCCAAGTCGAACAACCACGAGCGCCTTGTGCAGAACTTGGAGGCTACGTCCTTCGAGTTGACGCAGGAGGAACTGAAGTCGATCAGTGCGCTGAACATCAACCTCCGAGTGAGTCACCTATGGCAATACGATGTTTTGTATGCATACTGACTGAGTCCGTAGCTCAACGACCCCGTCGATCTCGACAAGCGCCTCTCGATCTTCTCTTGAAGGGTTTATAGGGTTGTCCGGAGTCATATAGCGTGAGCAGCAGTCAACAGTCATGTAGCACCATGGTGTGTAGGATAGACAGCAATGCCGAAGGGCTACGTGTGTGCATACATGTTGTGGCGCAGCGCAAGAATCACATTGAATCACGACCGCAGTCTGAAGATGACTTGCCATGTGCGCAGCTGTGGTGCCGCCGGGCGTTGACGAGGACGTGGACCCACGGGGATGCGTCGGCTCCGGCGTCTGGGGGCGGGAGGGGGCGATCGAGTTGCGCAATGCGGTGCCGAGGTACGCGCAGCCCGGGCGCTTGCCCCGTACTTTCGATTGCGCACTGCGCAGCGGAGTTTAAACTCACTAGGACGACCTCTCTCTCCACCACCAGGGCCGGTATAAAACCACAGCTGCTCCAACGCCCTGCCCCTCACCAACCTCACCATGTCTCCCATCCAGTTCAAGTTTACCAAACCTCCCGATGGTCTTGTTCGGCGCGTTACCTTCCAGGACAAGCCGTCCTGGAATGAGCTCGCTACCAAGCTCCAGTCTCTCTACAACATCCCAGTCCAAAGCATCGGGGTCTCGTACGTTGATAACGACGGCGACGATGTAACCCTCAGCTCCGAAGAGGAACTTCTGGACTTCTACCAGGCCGCCTCTACGCAGAGGAGGGACGGGCCCCTTACGCTCGTCAAATTCACTGTCCGGGACCTCGACGCCCTGCGCAGCGATAAGCCGCTCCCGGAGACACCCCGCACGTCCGGCCTGAACTATCGCAACACGTTCGGGCGGTCTGCACCCGTTCTCTTTGAGATGGAAGTCGACGACGGATGGCAGCCCATCCCCAGCGGTCTCGCCGGGCTCTTCAACGGCGCGGTCCCTACCGGAGACATTCCCCACGCGTTCGTCGAAGTACTCGATAGCGACACTGGTTCCCAATCACAAGAGAAGGACAAGGACACCTTCCGCACGACCACCTACACCGACTCTACCTTCCCTGAGATCAACCCGTCCCCGACGGCCGACAAGGGGAAAGCACGGGCGCGCACGGAGGACCTCACCTCGGACACCGACACCATCTCCTCCGACCAGTCCGTCGTCGCCGAGGAAAGCGGGAACAAGCACCCCATCCACGTCTATAATGCTAAGAAGCGTAGTGTGGACAACGTCTTCGGCGTCACTAGGTCTCGCAGCCAGAGCCGTTCTGCTACGGCTCCGCGGACCCCCACCCCTCGGACAAAGACGCCCGCCGCAGCGACAAACGCGCCCGCAGCGGGCGCGCAGGCGGACGACCCCCCGCTCCCCGATCTCAACGACATGCCCGCTCCCGACGCCAACATCGCCCACGACGTCGCGAACCTCTTCGGCATGCTCTCCGGCGTTCTGGCTTCGCACCCCGAACTCTCAGAGGGTATTCGCAACATTGTCCGGAACGCTTCGAATGGTACGTACTGGCACGGCCAACAGGACTCCGTCATGCGCGCTGCGGAGGAGATCCGCCGCAGCGCCCTCATCGGCGCAGACGAAATGCGTCGGGTCGCTCTCGACGGCCGGCGCTCTGCCGAAGAGGTTGCCGGACGCAGAGTCGCGGACGCATTGAGCAACGTGATCCGTGTCATTGCAGATATCACAGGTACGCTCGCCGCGGACCCGCCAGCCAATGCTGCGCCGAACGACATCACGACGTCGACACCGATCGCTGAGCGCGACCCCTTGGGCGGTGCTCGACGCTGGGGTGGCCCATGGGGGCCAGGCCTCGGCGGTCCCCGCGGCCGCGGAGGCTTTGGTGGACGTGGCCGCGGAGGTCACGGTCATCTTCATGGCCACCATGACTCCATGGGTTCATGGGGTACGTTTGGATCGCGTTGGGGTGACTGGGCCGACCCGTCGTCTCGTGGGTCTATCCCCTTCTCGTACTTCTCTCCCCCTCCCGGACCACCGCCTCCTCCCGGGCCACCGCCTCCTCACGGCCGCCCTGAACGCGCACCAGGCCCGCCGCCACCGCCCGGGCCCCCTCCTCCCCCGGGTGGTGCGCCGCCGCCGCCGCCACCACCACCGGGCGGCCCACCACCTCCTCCTCATATGGGAGTTCCCCCACCTCCCCCGCCACCCCATTTCCCTGGTCCCGCCGGCATGTTCGGATTCCCCGGCATCGCTCCCCCGCACCATCACCGTCACCATTCTTATGATCATTTCGGACCACCTTTCGGTCGGCCAGACCATCACCATCCCGAGTCGGGTGAGTGGGCAGGCAGGGGTGGATTCGGTATGCGCCCCCCTCACTTTGGTGGCAGGGGCGGCCGCATCCCACCCATCGACGCTGATTGGGCCGACACCGTCCCACTCCTTCCGCCTGCACCCCCAGGTGAGGCTAACGGGGACGCCGAGGTGACTATGTATGGTGCGTCCCCGGTGGACTCGTCGGAGAGCGCCAAGAAATCTCTGCAGGCTGCAAAGGACCACTACCTCGCTGAGAAGGAGCGGTACCGCCGCATCAGGGAGGAGCGCAAGAAGCGGAAGATGAACGTCTCGACCGACAGGTACGTCTGCATGATGCGCGGGTTTTCCCGTCGGAGTATGCGTGCTGACCGTCGATTCAGCGAGATGCGCGATGTGCACGACAGCCCGACCACCCCCAACGACGCCCCTGAGCCACCCGTTCGTCCCGCGGGCGAGCCCTCGCCCATCCAACGCCGTAACACCGTCGACGACCAGGCGCAGATCATCAGCAACGCTCGGGGCCCGTTCCCCCAGCTGCAGCTCTACCCCGTTCCCCGCAGGTCTCACACCATCCACGGCGCCGGGCACGCCCGCGACGCCTCCTTCGGGTCGATTGCACCCCCTCCCGCGACCCCGCGCGCCGTGAGTGCCATCACGACACGTTTGAACGACGTACGTACTCCCTTTTCCCCGCACACATTCTATCCGATGCTGATGCGCCATCCGCACGCAGATGGGTTTCACCGCTTCGCAGTATCCGGCATTGGCCGCCAGGGTCGAGGCACGCGTGGCCCGGTCGGGGGAGGTGAGCCAGGACCGCGAGGACACCATCGTCGCTGAGATCGTGGAGGAGCTCGTGCAGAGCTCGCCCCCTCCTCGGGCGCCCCAGGCGTCCGGCTCCGGCTCCGGTCAGAGGGCAGACTGAGCTCGTCGCCCGCGAGGCTCGAGCGAGAGGTGTAAGATGTGCGCCGCGCTGATATGCTTAAGGCTTCACTTATCGACGGACTGTTTTGTACGAGTACGACTCTCCCCCCGGCTGGATATGTTCTAAGGTAGTAGTACGTTTCTCCTTTTCTGTAAAACTCCCCAAACTCCCTCTTCGCTATCGTAGTCAAGGTAGGTCTTTTATTTTCCAATAAAATGGCTGCCCATCGTGGGTGGCCGGCAAATATACGTGTATTCTATTGTACAATTGCGAATGCGTGTGACTGCGTGAACTTCAAGAATCGGGCTGCGAGTGGCTCAGGCATCCCTCCGCCTACTGACACAGCGGGACTTCCCGGGAGTCTCGACTCTCATGCAAGTCTGATGGGTCACTCTAAATGTCTGTACCTGCACATATTAATCCATGTCCGGTCCGGTATGCACGAGGCTGCATGAGGTCGCGCAGGAACGCCAGGCGATCTATTTGAATGCCGAAAGACAATGGTAGCCAGTACATGAGGTTAGTCGCCACCTGTACTCTCATCATCGATCGCGGTACTCCTCATGAACTTCTTCAGAGAACCACGCGCCCAAGAACACGAGGCCAGGGGGGAAGGCAAACTCCGAGAGAGCACGATCTTTCCTTTGTCCTGCGCAGTTTGGGCCACACACGGGGATTAAGTAGCCGCAATGAGGACACTGAATACGTGAACATGTGCTTCCGGTCGGAGTGCTCAGATAAATGCGCACCGGAGATACTGAGCTTGCGCAGGGCGACCCCGAACCGAAGAGTACATGTGTGGCTCGGAGCAGCACTCCGTACTCAGCGTTTGAGGCATACGAGGAACCGCACAGTCATGGCTGAAAACAGCCATATAGGTGATAGCTGTACATTCCAGGGCAGCGGTGCCATGGCCCACTCACCTAGGATGTGCTGAGCGTCGCGGATGCAAAACCGGGGGATCCCGATCGAGTGGCGGATGCGAATGCGACGGGCGCCTAGAAGTGTGCCACTCAGATCGCATCGACGTTTGTGCCACTCGCTTTTCGGAAGCTGACAAGATATTTCAAGGACGACCTGCTGCCTCCGTGATGCGGTGAGATTGCGGCGAGGTCATCCGTACGGCGGCGAGAACCGCTATAGGTATGTACTCACCAGTCGAAAGGCTCTGTCGCTGATATATTATGTTGGCGCGGTAGTAATACCGTAAACGTTGCCTGAGCGGGTCTGGGGATGCCACGAGTCGTCGCCGTACTGATATAGGAGCGCGCCGGTGTGTCGAATTCATGGTTACCGAAGAGCCTAGAGGGTGAAAGTATACATGAAAGTCAGCCGCTAAATAATGAACTAACATAGGTACTTGCTTACTAGTGTCCGCCGTTCGCCGGCTCGTCAACATCTAAATGAATGTCTCGTGGAGAAACTCTGCCGGTCCCCACGCGACGTGATTTCACAGGGTTCACGCCGAAGCATCCAGCCATCTTCCGCGGGCGTTCCCTGGTTTCCAGCTCAGTAGCACGGCCCGTTCTCAACTGTGCCACTGGAGGAATATCCTCTGCTGCGCAAAAAGCACTGTAAATGGACGTAAAGGTGTTCCGAGAACCCTGGATTCCAAGATGCCCAATTTACCGACCTATTAAATGTCACAATCAGTGAACAGCGCTACCGGGCCACTTTCTTTGTGGTATCTTCACCCATGCAGGTGGACCCGTGTTGCCTCACCTATACAAGTGCGTGTAATTCTTCGAATTCGCGATCCTAGGAATGTCTTGCGGACATACACACCTGCGAGTGGCATCAAGACGGAGACGACCCTGAACGCCGCCGCACGGGCCAGAAGTTCCGACCTACGGATATTATGAAATGACCTGGGCAATCTCGTCAGTATAAAATCACCAGGACCAGCGCGGTTGAACTCTTCCACCTCCTACTATCCAAGCGAGTCAAAGCAAGAGCCGAATCCGTCTCCCGAGGATCGCCAGCGTGCGCATCGCCTATTGTCCACGTTTCCAGGACCTCCCCGCCGATACAACGTGGGGTCACCTCACAGGTCGACATCGCCCCATCAGCTGCACACGGCCGCACTTGTTCCACGCCCTAAACGTGATATCGGTGAGCTCTACAGTCATGGAAGGAGGTGAACAGCAGCCGAGGAGAGCTAACGCTGAAGCGGCAGGACACCTACAGTGCCAAACAAACGGTACTAGTCGCGCTTATACCTCTGCTCTTTTCCCGCGCCTCACTGATCGATTCTTGCCATGCCGCGCTCAGCAAATACAAGGGCACGCCCCCGTCCGACCACTCCTCTGGGCCACGCTCCGCTCAGGTCCAAGCACCGCGCCTCGAGTACAAGTCCCTGGTCCAAGCACCTCCCTGATTACAAGGTTGCCACTGGGCCTGCCCTCCTCGCTCCCATTGTCCCCTGGCGCTACTTAAGCTCGCGTCTGTGTCCCGACATCCCCGCTACCTGTCAAGCATCCAAACAAGGAGACCCATAGAACGCTTGAGTGCTACACGAAGGTGCGTCTCGTCGTTGTTCTTCTAGACGCCCCGCACTCACTACATTGCCCGCGCCGGAAGATGTCTTCCCTCGCACAACTCCCCCCCTCGCACACCCTCAATCAAACCCAGAAACCCCTCGAGCAGTGGAACTCCGACGAGCTCATCAGGACGTATCTCAGGAGCAGCACAGAGCCCATGGCGCCCGCCGATCCGGTGCTCCTGCGGACGCGCCTCCAGATGTTCCGGGTGCGCATGTTCGAGATCGAAAGGCTCCGCCTGAACCTCCGCCCCGCGAGCAGCGACGTGTTCGACCGCGAGCTCGCGGCGATCATGTACAAGCGCAAGATCCTCCTCTGGTTCAGCTTCCCCATCCGCGACCTGCCCGATGAGATCCTCGCCATCATCTTCCGTTACGTCGTCTGGAGCTCCAACGGCGCCGACCAGGCTACCCAGCACCGTCTCTGGTTGACGTGGGTCTGCAGACGCTTCCGCGCGATCGCTCTCTCGGACGCGACGCTCTGGAACTCGGTCTGGTTCCGCGACTCGCCCCCGTGGACGCGCTCGTTCACGTTCATCGAACGCGCGAGCACGGCGACGCTCGACCTCCGCATCGACGAAAAAATTGGGCCGGAGGGGACTGCTCACGATGTACCTCCCAAGTACCCGCCCATCACCGTCCCCCAAATCAAAGAGCTACTGAGGATACTCGGGCCCAAGGTGGGTCAAATACGGATCCTCGTCGTCGTCCTTTCGGACATGGAGGTCGTCGAGGCGTTCATGGAAGGTCTGTCCAAGGCTGGCCCTCTTTCAGCGATGGAGCGCATCGAAGTGCATCGCACTAGTCAGCCGTATCTGTGGCCGAAGGAAAAGTCCGAGGGCTCTGGCGGCTATCTACCACTCAGCGAGCAACCCACCCCGAAGCTCAGGTGGCTCTCCCTGAACGGCGTCACCACCAACTGGAACGCGTTGCAGCCGTCCAACCTGAGGACGATCGACCTGCGCCGCATGTCCGTCCAGGCCTGCCCCACCTCCGAGCGCTGGTCCGAGATCCTCAAGTTGTCCCCCGACCTGTTCAAGCTCTCGCTCGACGCGGCAGGCCCGCAGCTCGACCCGCGGCGCCAGCGCATTGGGACCGGCGCGCGCCCGATCGACCTCCCGTGCCTGCGCGACCTGACGATTGGGGACATGAGCTGCCTGTACGCGGCGCACGTCCTCGCGCACATGCACGCGCCGCGCGTGATGAGCCTCTCGCTCATGTCGCTCACCGGGCAGGACTACGGCCCGCTGACGGAGATGCTCAAGGGGCGGTTCCGGGAAATACGTATGCTGCAACTGCAAGGCTTCGAGGTCGGCAAGACGGACGTGAACATGCAGCGCGCGGTGGCCTGGTTCGAGTCGATGTCGCGCCTGAAGCTGTTGAAGTTCTCGCGAGTCAAGCCGTATCTGCTTGACGCGCTGCTCGCGGACCCGCGCGACTACCGGCCGGGCGAGATGGACACGCGCCCGGCGGACGGCAAGGACGACAAGCGGCCGGTCGTCTGCCCCGAGCTCGACACGGTGCACTTCAACACGCAGGGCCCGACGGACATGTCCACGTTCGCGAAGGGCCGCAAGGACCTCGGGGTTATGCTGAAGCGGGCGTACGCGCTCGAGGCGTTCCTCAAGACTTTGAAAAAGGAGGAGGACGTACGGATCCGCGAGAACGTCGCGGAGCTGGTCCCGATGAAGTTTATCCAGATGACTCGGGAGGAGGACTCCATCTATCAGGAGATGGCGAACTCACTGGGGGTCGTGCGCAGGCGATGAGTGTCGGAGGAAATAGAGGGGAGAGTGCGAAGACGAAGACAATGCCCGAAGTACTTACTTATTCTGCTTGTATATAGCTTGTATCGCTAACGCTGCTCCCGAGTCCCCTGCCATGCTACCATTCTTCCGTTCCGTTAATGTTCTACATATCATACTCTCTTTTGTCCCTATAGTACTCAGCGAATGGCAACTATGTTTGGCCAATACCGGTGTGTTTGCGTGAGCGCGGTGCGACTGTTTGTGTCACGACGGGCGTCCAAACAGCTTGCCGAACGTTGGAACGGCGGGTGCACGTGACAGCGGTGCTCCGACGCGTGATTCGCGTTGTTTGGGGTCGTATACGCGGCGGGGACGCGCGACGCGGTTCGGCCGTGTTCAACGTTCGATCGCGTCCACCCGACTTCCCAACTCCCAGTCCAACCTCCACGCCTATGGCCGTTCGTTCGTAGTCGCCACCAACTTCTCCCTCAAGACCCCTCAAGACCTCAAGCCCCTCAAGCAACATGACGCCCCCGCTCTCCCCCACCGTCTCGGCGTGTTCGCTCGACTCCATTCAGACCGCGCCGCCGCGGTTAGCGTTGGGCCAGCCGTCAACGCGGAAACGCCTCGCGCCCGCTCAAACAGGCGCGCTCGTGTCCGTGTTTGAAGTCAAGACGCACCCCTCTCGCGAGGAACGCGCGCTGCTCGCCGCTGAGCTCGGCATGTGCGTATATGTCGCGAACCCCATTCCCCCTGCTCGTGCTCACCGCGTCCATATATAGGGAGCTAAAAGCGGTGAACGCCTGGTTCCAAAACAAGCGGCGCACGCTGAAGAAGAACTGCGCGGGGTGCGGGTGGTCGAAGGGCTCGCTGCCCGAGAACAAACACGTTCGGCCCGCAAATGGCCTCAAGAGCTTGCCTCGGAGCGAGTCCCCGATATCCCTCGAGCGCGTCGTGTCCTCGCACGAGCTTCCCTACAAACCCAAGCCGCTGCAGGCACCGCGCGCCCCGACGACACCTCGACGTCGCACGGGGACGTCGATGTCGAAGGAGATATGGGAGTACCTGCCTTCGTCCCCGCCGACGCGACCCTCGTCCCCCGGACACACAGAGCCGGTGCTTTCCCTGGCGGCGCGCACGTCGAGGGCCCATTCGCTGGAGTGGGCTTGCGCGAAGGCCCGAGTAGTGCGCAAGACGGTGAAGGACCTCCCTATGGACCTGGATGACGACGAGGGTGACGAAGACGTGCCGATGCTGGTCCTGGACGCCCTACCTCGAGACAAGCGTTCGGTGGGCGGTAGCGAGACGGACACGGAGGAAGAGGAGGAGGAGGCCATTACACCCAACGTCAGCGCCGAGCTACTGCCGCCGTTCGTCGTTTCCCCCGACCGGGCGGAGAAGGACGTCGGCAAGGACGTGGACATGGAGGCCGCTATGGCGTTACTCCGATTCATGGCGCCCAAGGCATGATGAGCGCGGATCGACGGAGGACGCTCGGAGTACTAGTGCCGGTTTTGTACGACCAGTGGACTGGAAGCTTCGGAGGGATTTTTTCTGTACGTTCAGCTGCATGCGGGGTTCTGCATGACTGTAGAGACGACGTGACGACTATTTACGACGCTACTTTATTTCTGTCGCTCGCTGTGCATACTGTCTTGCGTGTTGTCTTGATACGGTTGGATATAGCATGGAACGTACGGACCACTGGAAATGCATGTCCATACGACTCGGATGACCAAGGAATGGCTGGGCGTGTTCCAGACGGCGTCCAACGGTGACTGGAATGTTGAAACGTTGGCCGGCGTGGTGGCAGACAGATCGCGACGATGTCACCGGACGCCTCGGCGCACAGCCGCGCAGGCTTGAAATGGCCGGGCTAAAAACATACCTCTCCCACTCCCCCACCTTTCCCTTTCTCCCCTCTTCCATACAGCTTCCGCGCCAGATCCACATATATCTCTGCCACCAGCGTCGTCAGCGACCCACTCCTGCGACCAGTCTCTCCTTTAGACCTCAGCTTACCCCACACCCAGCACTCGGCGGCCTCCGAGCAGCTTCACCCCTATGGCCGACTACGCAAACGAGAACTCGGGGCTCACCTCCTCCCGGCCAAAGACCCGCAGCCGCAAGTGGCTCTGGATAGGCGGCGCCGTCGCTGTCGCCGTTATACTCGCCGCCGTGCTCGGCGGTGTGCTCGGGAGTCGGGCGCACAAGAATAACCAGAACAGCTCGGCAAGCGGTGCAGCGGCCGACAGCGGTCCGTCCCCCACCGGCGAGGCCGCTGCGAGCCAGGCCGCGAGCATCAAGGAGGCCGTCGGTCTCTTCCCCACAGCCACGAACAGCCAATACCTCCTTCCCATATACCCCTCTACGGTGCGTGAGCTTCGTGCGGATCGCATTGCCTCTGAAACTCACCGAAATCGCCGGTAAATTCAGACTAATACCGCGGCCTACACCACGCCCACCTTCCACGCGTCCACCAACGCCTCCCTCGCATGGCCCAAGGACTCCTTCCAGCCCTCCAACCCCCAGCCGACCTCCGTCCGCCCTGACCGCCCCCGCCTCATCGCGCCCTCATACAAGTGGAACGCACTTCCGGACCTGATCAAGAGCGACCCGTACCTCAAATTTTGGAACGACACCATCTTCGGCAACGCGACGCAGTACTTCGGCTTAGAGCCCGTTCAGTACCACATGGACGGCAGCAGCGGCATTCTGGACAATGCGCGCGAGATCAAGATGCGAGTAAAGGCGTTTGCGTACGCGTACCGGATGACGAACGACACGAAGTGGCTGGACAGGACCTTCTCGGAGCTCGAGGTAAGTGCGTTGCCCTTATGTATGCGCGCCCCCGCTCAAGCGCCGTCTCGCTGGGAAGAACGCCGTGTCCGACTCGTTCGGGCCCGCGGGGACGGACAAATGGAACCCGACGCACTTCCTCGACACGGCGGAGTTCACCGCCGCGTTCGCGATCGCGTACGACTGGCTGCACGACGCGTGGTCCGCGGACCAGCGCAGCACGATCCTGTCGGGGATGAAGACGTACGGTCTGGAGGTCGGCCTGGACGCGTTCTCGAACTCGAGCACCGGCTGGTGGGCGAACAACATCGAGGGCAACTGGAACTGCGTGTGCAACAGCGGCCTCACGATGGGCGCCCTTGCCATCCTTGAGGACGACACTACGGGCCTCGCCGAGCAGCTCATCGCGAAGACGATCCCGAATGCGCTCGCGAACTGCATCTGGGCCGTGTCTTCCGACGGTACCTGGTCCGAGACCGCGAACTACTGGTACTTCGGTACCACTGGTCTTGCTGAGATGACGGCATCGCTCCTCTCCGCGACCGGATCCGACTACGGGCTGCTCTCGACCAACGAGCACCTCGAGCTCACCGGCTACTACCACATGTATGTCACCGGCCCCGGCTCGTTGTTCGCGTACGGCGATCACGGACCCAACAAGTTCTCGACGACCGCGAATTCGATCCTCTTCTGGGGCGACGTCCTGAACCACCCCGAGTACATGCTCTTCCAGCGGGACCAGCACGACGCGCCGGAGCCGAACAGCATGTTCTGGTACGACCCCTCCGTCTCGGGCGCGTTCTGGGACGGGCTCGCGCTCGACCGCTTCTTCGACAACAGCACGGACCAGTGGGGCGCGATGCGCAGCAGCTGGACGGACGAGAACGCGCTGTACGTCGCGATGAAGGCGGGCACGCTGCAGGGCCACCAGACGCACAACGACCTCGACGCGGGCGACTTCGTGATCGACGCGCTCGGCACGCGCTGGGCGGGCGAGCTCGGCTCGGGCAACTACCTCTCCACGGGCTACTTCTCGAGCGACGACCAGGACAGCCAGCGCTGGCTGTACTACCGCAAGCGCACGGAGGGCCAGAACACGATCCTCGTGAACAAGGCGAACCAGCTCGTGGGCGCGCACCCGTCGGTGAACCACGACACGTCCGGCACGACGCAGGGCTCGAGCACGGTCCTTGATGTTGCACAAGACTCGACTGCGTACTTCACTGCGGACCTGTCGAGCGCATACGACAACGTGTGAGTACATCCTCTCAAGGTATTCCTTGTGCATGTTGTCTGACAGATGCGGCTCTCAGGACCTCATTCAAGCGCGGCATCCGGATGATCAACGGGCGCAAGCAGGTGCTCCTCCAGGACGACATCAACGCGTCGGGCGACATCATGTGGCGCATGCACACAAACGCGACGGTGTCCGTCTCGGGCACGACCGCGACGCTCACGATCGGCGACCAGAAGCTGGACCTGAGCATCCTCAACGCGCCGAGCGGGGTGAGCATGACCACGGGCCCCGCGGTGCGCTTCTCGGACGACCCGGCGCTGCCGGCGGGCGAGAGCGACCAGGAGAACCCGGGGGTGACGGTGGTGATGATCAGCCTGCCCGCGGGCGAGTACAGCCTGCAGGTGCTCTTCAACCCGCAGTGGAGCGGCATGTCCGCGAGCGACTTTGTGACGCCGCCGTCGGTCGCGATCGACAGCTGGTCGTTGACGAGCCACAACTGATCTCTCTTTTTCTTCCATTGACATTTGCGTTTGGTCCGCCAGGATAGTTGCGGACGGACTGTTGAGTGATTATTGACGACGAATGTAATGGACTGTAGGTAGCACGTCTCTACTCATGGACCCTGTCGTGGGCCAAGTACACTACATTTCTTTTTTGTTGTGGTGTGAGCCGCGCGATGTACGGGCATCTTCTCACGCACGATAATGTACATCCTATCCCCCTCCCCCTTCGTCCATCCGTCGATATGCGCTGCTCACTCGGAGGGGCCAACGGAACCCGCCTTGCCGGCCCTGACGGAACGCGATCACGAGACCGCGACGCGCGTCGGGCAGGCCAACACGAAGTCCGCCCCTTCGTTGGCTGACCACCACCGTCAGCCACATCCTATCATCTCTTTCCTTCGCGTGCGCCGGTCGCATGCAACACTGTCTAATCATCCTAATTCCAACTTCCTGCTGAATATGCCTCCGTCGCCGCGCAAGACCCGCTCGTGCTCTCGTCTCGTCTCTGCGAGCTACGACCCCGACTCCGCTCCCGACTCTCCCCTACTAGGCTCGCCCGCCGCTTACCTCGCCGCTACCTCCGTCCCCGTGATGAAAGCCGAGTCCATGGACCCTGCGCGGGGCTACCAGCCGCGCTCAGAGAAGCGTGCGCGGCACAAGATGACCGAGCCCCAGTTGCAGCGGCTCGAAGCACTCTACCGCGCAAACACGCACCCCGACCGGCAGGCGAAGGAGGACGTCGCAAAGGAGACTGGGATGTAAGTATTTTTATCCCTCCCTGAGGCGCGTGGAAGGTGTGGGGTGGATCGTTGACTATGTTTATCGCGCAACGTGCGGCAGGCCCCTCAAGACCGTGTTGATCTGGTTCCAGAATAGACGGCAGGACCGCAGGAGAAGCAAGGCCGCTGCGGCGTCGAAGGCGGCCGCACAGCGCGCGGAACGCGCGCAGGCACCGAAGGCTCGCAAGCCGTCTGCGGCGAAGGCGAGGACGTCTCCCGGACCCCCGCGGAAGAAGCCCAAAATTACCGTCACCACTACCCCAACCGCCACGCCCATATCGATCGCACAGGTGCAAGATGCTGCGAGGCAGCCGTCTTCGCAGGCTACTGCCCCCACGGTCTCCTCGCACGCTGACGACTTGATGGACGTCGATGAGAGCTCGCCCTCCACAGCTCCGACCTCAGTTCACGAGGGTACCAAGCAGATGCCTCGCGTCCCCCGCTCGCCCAGCAGCTCCTTGGACTCGTCTTCCTCCGCTGGCACTGGACCGGATGCGCTCTGGAGGTTCATCAACGTCTCTCCACCTCCTCCGCCGCCTCTTCCGCTCCCGGCACCGTCGCAACGTGGTGCAGGGTCCGCACGGCGACCCTTCGGAAATCTCCAAGGCCAACAGCAACAGGTGGCACGCAGAGCCGACCTCGAGTGGGCGTGCGCGAACTCGGCGTTCCGCCGCAAACACGGTCAGTACGTCTACCGCGACGAGGACGACTCCGAGGGCGAGAGCAGCGGGCACGAAGACCCTCCCTTGGACTTGCGGGTGAACATCCCGCGGGAGTACGAACTGCTCTTCCCGCCGGACATGGTTCTTGGCGCGTCGCTCCTGCTCACGCTCAAGCACTCTACTGGCTCTGCTAGGCTTTGATCTGGGCGACACTCGGCGGCTGGTCTATCTCTGCTGGCGGAATCAATCTTGAGCTCTTCTGGGTCTACAGGGTCTTCCGGCTGACGGGCTTCTTGCAGCGACACTACACACTTACCATCATCATTCTTCCATACATCTACATCCCCTCCTAATCACATTCTGCGTACAAACCTACATGCTTCCGCGAGCCTCTGGGCGCGAAATATCACACGAATCTGAGATGATAAACAGATGGAGATTGCACGCAAGACAGCACAACATGGACAGCGAGCTACCGATGCAAAATAAGTATGCTACGTGTTGGTGACAGACAGTGTGAGCGGATACCGTGATTGTGTGGACAGAACGTGGACGGCCTCTACTACGGGAGCGTAGCAATGCGAATTAATCAGACACTCCAGCCCACCAGACCCCAGCGCTCCCTGTGTTCAATGCTATGGACATGATACGACCCTCCCTCGCTGGATCCTCAGCTGAGGGACTTTTTCCGCTTCTTGCCCGCTTTTACGGCGGGCGACGCGTCCGACTGCGCCGGGGACGGTTGAGTTGGCGTATACGCGTGCCCGTTAGGAGTGATCCCGTTTGGCTTTGACGCGTGTTTCGCCGGAGTCGTTGGAGTGCCGCGGATCCCGTTGACATGTGGTGGGACGCCATTCGGTTTGTGGATGCCGTTCACTGGCGTTGGCGTGAACGTCGGTGGGGGCCGCGACTCGGAAGGCGCTACTATGTTACATAAGTTTCTGCACGCTATAAGAGGGAGAATAGAGCACCACGCACCTTTGATCGCACACTGGATGAAGAGCTCCACGAAGCCGTTCATCTCCTGCCTGTCGACGACCCGGTCGAGCGACAATCCGCTCTTGAGGGACGGAAGAGGCGTGATGGCATCCTCATCAACGTCCATCTCCTCATCGTGCTCGCGCTCCAGCTCTGCGAGCTCATCCGCGTCATCGGGCCGCACGGCGAGGAAGCCGTCCATGACGGTATCGAAGAGCATCTCAAGCGGCGGCACGAGGTGTGCGGGCGCGTCGAACGCAGATGTAGCCGCCTTCCCCTTCCACGGCTGTGCCGTGCTCGTACTCGCGGAAGTGGAGGCGGAGGGCCCGGTAGCGAGATCTGCGAACGCGGACGCGCCAAATATGTCGTGGAAGAGCGTGCGTTTCGCGGCGGCCGCGTCGCGGGTGATGCCCTGGGCGGACGCGCCCTCTTCCTCGGGTACTTGGACGTCGTCGCCGAAGACAACAACACTCCATGCGTCGGTGACGCCGACCAGCGTGAACCCTGCGGGATCCGTGGGGAAGAACCCAGACGATGGGACAGCAAGGGTAGTGCGCAGATGGAAGGGCAGTGTCCGGATGGCAACAGGATTGGAGGACGTAGGCTCAAAGATGAGTATCTTCGTCGACGGCGAGTCTGCGGTTGTTGCAGGCGCGATGCGTTCCATGACCACGAACTGGTCTTCGTCCGGATGCGCGACTGGTGGCTCTATCGCTGTCCGGCTACGGTAATGCCATCGTACTAAAGAGATGGACGAACGGTAAGTGCGAGCAGATACGGAACATGTAAGAGGACATACAACTCTGCGACACGAGATCCCAAAGGAGCACATCTCTTGGTCCACTGATGACCATGTAGCGACCGCTCGACCCTACGAATCGTGCGCTCGATACAGTCGTACACTCTGGACATGTAACGACCTGGCACAGGGCGTTCGTGTCGGGGTCATAGACAGCAACATGCGATCCAACAGAAACGGCAAGTAATGAGCCATCTGGCGACCAGGAAACATCGGAGGGGGTTTCGTCGCGGAAGCGTAGTGTCGAGCGAGCTACCCAGAACTCTGTGGCAACATAACAACTAGCGTAAGCGCATGGCACTAGTCGCAAGGAGAAGCCGCCCCACCTTCAACACCCTCAGACTTCGTCTTCACCGAACGGATTCTCCAGGTCTTGATATTCCCATCCTCGCCTGTGGTCGCAAGCAGAAGATCTTCCTGGGTCCGCGCACCGGGTCTAAAGGCAACGCCAGTCGCCTTTTTGAGCCCATGCGGCCTGTCTATGCGCGTGTTCAATATCCAGAAGCCAGATTTGCGATCCCACTGCCAGATCTTCATGTACTCTTCTGCACGGAACATCTCGTCCGCTTCTCTAGAGTCTATGGTGGCCATCCAATCTCCAGAATCAGAAAGCACAACATGCTCGACGCGCGAGGGTTGTAGTGGCTTGTCGTCGCGTCTTGAGACGCGGTTCGAGGGGGAGACCTCGAGCTCGGACAAGAGTGTGGATGTGGAGGGGGAGAATGTCTGTAGCGCGGAGGGGTGGGATGAGGGGAGGATGAGGGTGGAGGAGAGAGAGTGGATGGCAAGTGGGGCGGTTGATGTCGAGGGTCGATCATGAGAAATTGCAGGATCTACGGGTATGATCAGCAGAGGTTCATGCAAGGTGAATGCATGCAACTGACCTAGTTTGATGCGGGCTATTGACCGCGCAATTTTGAGCGTCGAGGCACGGACGAAGACGAAGGAAGCATCGGCAAGCCCGAGGAGGTATTCCTCCTCTCCCCCGGTATTTGTCAGGGCGACATGCACGATGGGGGAACCCACGCGAGGCACAAACTCCTTTTTCCCAGTGTGCAGTTGCCAAATAACCAGGACCGACTCCTCACCACCACTGAGCAGGTACGCGCCATTCGGTGTGAAGGTGAGTGATGAGACAGCATGCGCGTGCCAGTGCAGGGTAGTCGTCTGCGCGGTCTTCTCCACACCGGACGTCTTGATCGCAATAGACTCGTTCAGACAGTACCATAGCCGGATGCACCCAGTAGCATCACCAGTCGCGAAGTACTCTTCCGAAGGGTGGAAAGCAAGGCAGGTCAAACGCTCGGGCGAGACGAACTTCGTGAAGCCAGCCTTGAGATCGGCCGTTTGGCACACGTACGCTTTGTGGCCGGCAGTGGCCACTAGCCACGCACCGCTCGGGGAGATTGCGAGCCCGGTAGTCGACCGTGTCTTGCCCACACCCACGATCTCCGAGGAAGTCTGTACTTGGGCTCCAGCCGTCGCAGCCGTGGGCTTGAATGCTACTCGCAAAACAGCGACGTTGTCCTCCGCGGTCGCGACATGCGCTGAAAAACGCTAAGCACGGATGCACTTGATCGGAGGGGAGTGGGCAGCGCGCACCTTTGCTCGTCTTCTTTTTCGTCGGTCGCGCGGCGGCGACGAACACGTGCTCCCGGAATCGTTCATGCGCGGTCAAGTGGAAGATAGGCTGAGCGATGCTGATCGTCTGCAAGAGCGAGGCATCCAGGAAGTCCCATACGCGCACATAGCCATCGAGCGAGCCGGTGATCAGCTGGAACGGGTTGTGGGGGTTAAGGATCGCCGCCGTAACGACATCCGACTGCGCAGAGCAGCCCGTCGTACCCGACACGCTTGTGAGTGGGGGCGTAAGGGTCGACACGACCTCGCCAGTCGCGACGGAGTGAATCTTCACGGACGGCCCCGCGGCGGAGAAAAAGTAGCTGCACAGACATGAGCGGGCCTACACTCACCGCACATTATAGCACCACACACCTTCCGTCCTTCGTGAATATCGGGGGCACCCTGCTCGCCGACGAGTCCGTCAGGGACTTCCACGACCACGCCTCCTCCGCGTCCTCGACCTCTTTTCCCTTCGCCTTCCGCTTCTTGCGCGGGTTCACGCCCGTCTGTGTTGCCCCGCCGAGTGGTATATCCTGCGCCGCTTTCGCGGGCGTGCCGTGGGGGTCCGGCGCAGTCATGGTGCGCGTGCGGTCGACAGCCACAGGCATAGTCGGGAGTCGGGGCTCGGTGAGGGCGCGCTGCAAACCCGTTCTTACCAAAAATTTGCCACGTGCCCGAAATGGTAATCGGGCGGCATCCCGGAAGCGCGCGCCGGCGCTTCCTCGTCTACCGGTTACCCCGCGGTGGCGGTGACCACCAGTACTTGTACTAATAGTGTGCCAGGCTATTAGGGACCACTCGGGCTCAGGCCGGTGAGATGGAGTGGATTGCGGCATATATACACAAGCTCGACTACAACAACGGGTAAACCTAGCAGATAGGAGTGGGTTGGCATGCAGCGTCGTGGCGGTCGTCGAGGAATGGATACAGTGCAGCAGCATGGGGTATCGCAGGATGAGTGAAATGAGTGGAGTACACATAGTCATACGCGTGGTAGGTAAAAGGGTTCGCATGTCCCGCAAGCACATATCCACTACTCGTGACAACAGCAGGCATAGAAGGGGCATTGAAGAGAGCGTACAGAGAGATGATAATGGAAAAGAAGAGTGCGACATTTACCAGATCTGAGGAGCGGCGGGGAGATAGTCGGCAGGTAGAAGGAAGGCGTCGATACCGTTCGCGCCGAACGACGCGCCGCCAAGGCTTTGGTCGGAGAGCCACACGGGAAGCTGCTCGTTCGAGGTAGTCTCGAACCCACGCCAGATGTTCTCGATGTTTGGCGCGTACTGCTGGGCATATGGGTGAGGCGGGCCCATTGGGACATGACCCACGGCGTCGGGGTGACCTTGGTATGGCGGCTCGAACGTCGGAGAAGTGGGAGGTTGCGATGTCGTAGACTGGCTGACGGCATCGGACGAATATCCACCAGCGTCGCTGACGGATCGATGCCGTTGGTCCCGCGCCATTGTTGGTGAGCGGGAGGAGATAGACTGTCTGCGCTTCCTGAACCGCTTCAGCATCAACTGCAGCGTCAATGCATAACGCCCTCCAGGAACTGGTGTGTTGATTTATAAGCGGATGAACAGGAACAGACTTGACGGGACGTACCCTCCGAGAGAAGTGCAGACAATTGCTCGACGAGGGCCCTGATCTCCTGGGGGTTACACTGGTCCGGACTGAATACGTAGTCAGGGATATGCGACCATCACAAGTAGCAATGTTAAGCTCACATGAGACGACACAAGCGGAGCAAGAACGACGCCGAGAACGTGGCAGTCGCATGGGTATAATGCACCGCTACGTTAAAGTCAGTCGCCGTCGCACGACAATACGTACAGAGAACGTACCGTATTTCATACCCTCCCGGTACGATGGCGAGTTGACCGTGATGTCCAGGATCTGCCGGCCAATCTGGATCGACCGGATGGCAAGCTCGCGCTGTGCGGGAGGCATCTTCTGGACTTCCTCTGGGCCATCAATACCTCTTAGAGCGGTGGCGTTGTGGAACAGCTCGGCGTGCAGGTGCTGAATCTGCAAACTCTGCCGGTAGAAGGCTACGCAGAGTCATGAATATATGCACCGGCGGTGTTAGCGGGCAAAACGTACCCGCATCCTCGTACTTCTGCGAAAACGCCTGATCCCAAGTGGCATACCAGTTGCGGAACTCCATATCGGCCTCGTGCAGGACGTTGAACGTGATCTCGTCCACAGCGCGGTCGAAGAGTGGCGCCAAGTTATTGTGGACGCGCTCGCGAATCGCCATGAGCTCCACAGTCGAGACCAGGCGCATGTCATCTTCGATTGCGAGCGGGTGTTGCAGAAGCAGCCGGCATTGCCATATGCTCTCGTCGTCCTTGAGAATCGCTGGCCGTCCTGTTCCGTACGACATTCTGGATAACGATAGCGGTCAGCGATAAACCACTTCCCTTGACGAGATGATGACGCACTGATGCTCGAAGAGGTACAGACAGAACCACGTCCGTGAGGACACGACCAGTTGCCTATCTTTAGAAGACGTCGTGGCCTTGCCAGCCTTCATGCGCTTCAGGAGCTCGGGCCATGCCTTGTGCATCGCTGTAAAATAAACATGAGCACTGCGGACTTGTTGGTGACTTTTGACGGCCGCTTACAAAGCTCCATGGCCATTCGGACGGCATGTCCGCCGCTCAGCCAACCGTTGTCGGACCACCCGGAAACCAAAACTGTATAGCGTAAATCAGCGTTCCGCTCCCGCATATAATTACCGCCGTTCTCACCCATGGCCTGGACAGCCTCCTGCCGCGTGACCGGCGAGAAGAGGGTCGCACACGAGATGGCCTGGACCTCCTCCAAGCACTTCAAGAACACGTCGCTGGGGTTGCCTGCAAAAATACCGCTCAACGAAGGGCCCCTTGAACTCTGTTCGAGCGTACTCACCGCCACCATCCCTCACTTTGGCAGCAACCATGCAGATGCAGTCCACCGCGAACGGCGAGCGCTCGTGCAGCGCGTCGTACGTGTCCACGCCCGCGTCGAACACGGGCAGGAACGTTGAGCAACCGTGGTAGAATCTAGACGCGCCCTATCAGCCTCCCACACTCGCGCGCCGCGGGACATCCTCGGCACCACGTACATCCTGAACAGCTCGCGGGCCTCCGCTTCGGAGATGATCTTCTTTGTCACCACTGCAAACGGACGCTATTCAGTGTGCTGCGCTTCGCGAGATGGATCGAGCGCGGGCTCATTACCGTCGGGGAACGTCGTAGATCGAGGCGGCAGATGGTGCACCTTTCTGCGCTTTGCAGGGCGCGGTTGGCGGGGTTCAGGCGAGGACGTGCGGGCCCGGCTCGGCGCTTCACTTTCTGCACCGTTCTCCTACAATGGCGACGCCACCAAGCGTCAGCTGCGTGTCATGAGAGGGCATGCTCCCGCTCGGCGGCCTACCTTGGCGGCCCGTTCAATGGCGACATCGGCCAGGCCTCGCAGCACTTCCCAGGGTGCGACAAGACCTGATGCAGGAAGCTCCCCAGTGTCCTCTTCGGCGTCAGAAGAATCCGCGCTATTGGCAGCAGAAGCTGGTGGCAGGCCTCGTTTTGTTCCAGAGGTTCCTTCCTGCGGGCGCCCCTGACGTCCGTTATCCGCGGCGTTGTAGCGCATGGAGGACACGTTGGTTGTAGAGCGCGGAGGACCCATGGATTCGATGCTGGAAAATGGTGGCAGACTGGGTCCGTGCGCTGGATGTTGGCCGGCTCCGCCGTTACTGTACATCATACCGGGAGGGCCTTGAGTGTGCATGTCGCCAGGTCCCGCTGGTCGAAGACTTTGTGAAGGGGCGGGTGGTGGATACATGGGTGGATGAGGCTCTCTGTGTTGCCGTTGGGCGGCGGGATTTGGCATCGCATGACTGGATGTCAAGGTGCTTGTGGCTGCACCATGCCGGGTGTGGGTAGTGTTCATCGTGTCTTGAGGAAAATACGCACCGGTAGAAGGCGTAGAAACTGCCGGTGACCCCAAACTCTGCCCCCCTGGAGAATGGTGGGCGAATGGGGGATACGTCGATGGCGAGCGAGAGGTTATTGGAACGCTTACGCTCCCCCCGCCGCGTAAATGTGAGACTATTTCCAGCAGGGTGTTCTGAATCGCGGTCTGTGACGCGCGTATATCTGCGACATGGGATTCGAGGCTTCGTATGCGTCTGTCAGGCAGGCTTCAACACTGTCCTTCAGGCTCGCGACGCGTGAAAGACTCACTCTAGTCCGGCCTCTCCGGTCAGACTGGCCTCCCTCGTCGGCTTCTCAAACAGGCACTCGAGCCCGGCGTGGCGACAACGTCTACATGGCGGGTTCTCCGCGCCCTCGCATCGCATCTTCTGTTTGCGACAGGCATTCTGAATGGTAGTGACGGGGTGAGCAGGAGCGCGATCGGCGGGAAAGCGACCTTTATGATACTCACGCATGCACCTGGAACGATTACGGTGAATACGGTCCGATGGATGGCTCCGGGATAGAATGGAGCATTATGTACTTACGGGGTACCCTGTTCAGCGTCCTGACGACTGGCTTCTGCTCGGCCTTCTGGTCCGACTTCGGGCCCATACCGTCCATGTCCTCCTGCTTCTTGATGTTCATGCTTGCGCTGGAGCTGCCGCCGACTGGATCCATGCTGATAAGGTGAGATGGGGGCGATCGCGTGGGGCGGGGCGGTATGTACAGGGCGCAGGTGCGGCAAGCGCAGATGCGGGGAGAGGGGGGAGCGGTGCGGAGGCGGAGGTGGGGGACGGGACGGAGAGATTGGGACGAGGCGCGGAGGGAGGGAGGGAGGATAGAAGACGTGCAAACAAGGACAAGCGCGGCGCGAGGATGGGAGAGGCCGTCCACGTTCCCCCTGCTCCCGCTCAGATTGGCCTTTTACCGTGTTGGGATGAACATCTGCTGCCCATCGCCCGTTCGACCTCCCATTTGCGATCTGCTCGTGTTCCAGAACGCACGGCATCTCTTGTGCGCTGGGAACAACTCCGCTGGGGCCCTATCACACCTCCCCTCGCTCGATGCTCGCGATCTGCGCTCCCCATCTTGCGACGGAACTCCAACCTTCCTCCTGCGCCCTCTGGCCAGTCACCACCTCCGTGCGTTCTAGGACAGGGTCAGCGCACCCGCTTCCGTCGTAGAAACCGCGCGTCCTCACGAAGCCCCCCATGAGTCACTAGTCCCCCTTCCCTCCTGCTTCTCTGTCAGAAGGCCTGATTGTCGCTCGCCACCTATGCTGCTGCACGCTGTCGTATAGATACCTGCGCACCACCGAGCTCGGCCAGCCAGCACGTTCCTCCCCGTAACTGAGCTTCGGACTCGTCCACGGCTAAACGGGTGCCCTGGTTATGCTCCTCCGAGGTTCTCATACCGCAGCGTGCAATCGGGGCTCACTGCGAGGGTTATCAACCTCAGGGATCCAGGTGTGGCTATTGTTCGATACGGTCCCACCCCCTGCTTCTGGTACGTTCGCCAGGTGCAGCACGCATGTCGCTGACGATGCACCGGCACCCCGAATGGCATCTCTTTGTAACACCGACGTACACCGCGATGCCCGCGGATTGGCCACAGCAGGAACATGTCTCCGGCGTCCTGGAGTTCGAGCGGATCATCATCGTGAGCTGAGATATCGGATGTACTGCGCAACATGCACTTTGTCCGGCGCAGGCGTGCAGCCGTTTGATACGCCATTCCGCCGCGGCACGCCCCTTCATTTACGGGCCTCTCTCGTGTTCCTCGCGTCATGCAACGTGTTCATGTGTGAGAACAAGGCAAGATTTGGGCCGCGAACTGCGTCCGGTGACAAATTGCGCTGAGTTCGCAAGAGGATACGACGGACACATTTGTACCTCATATCCCCGGACTCATGACGGGCGGGATGCCGCCGTCCACCCGCTCCGGTCAACGGGCGCTCCGAGAGCGCGTAATGGGCGCCCCGCATCCGGGCGTAGGCGCTGCTGTGTCAGTGTGGCTGAGCCCGGCGCGATCGCCCAGTCGCGACTCGCGACGCGCGCCTCAGCACTGCGCCGCCTCATCTCGACATCCACGTAGCCGTTCACGACCACTTCTCTTTCATCCCCCATTTCTTTTGAGACACCACAGGCAGCAGCTGAAGGACCGACCAGACTCACTTTGCCAGGATGTTGATGTCTTTCCTCTCGCACGTCCTCACGTACGTCCTCGTGTGACTACTGCTCGTAGCCGTAGCAATCACGCGAGCTCCGACGCGCATGCATCGACTGACACGTCCGCACACACAGCGCCTGGTTTGCGTTCCTGCTGCCCAGCTACGCGACATGGAAGGCCCTTGCCCACCGTCCCCTCGCCGAGCCGGAACTCGAGCGCTGGGGACAGTACTGGGCCGTAGTCGGCGCCTTCGTCGCATTCGAGTACGTTTCAGGGTGGCTCCTCGACTGGTCAGTAACCTCTTCACCCTCGCCCCACGCGCCTCGTGCTCACAAACACGCGCAGGGTTCCGTTCTACTGGGAGGCTAGAACCGTCTTCCTCCTCTTCCTCGCCCTCCCGCAGACCCAGGTCCGTCTTCCTTTCCCTTGCTCTCCTATCGCCCTCCGCGGACGCCCATCTCATATATATTGTGGCGCTTGCGCAGGGCTCCACCTGGGTCTACCAGACCTACCTCCAGCCGTTCCTCCTCAAGAACCAGGCCGACATCGATGCCGGAATCACCGCGGCGCAGACCAACGTTCTCACCTTCGTTCAATCGCGCCTGCAGGTCTTCTGGCAGACCTTCTGGGACCTCGCGACCAAGGCGTCCGCCCAGCCCGGTGCCGCCGCCGCCGCTCCCGGCGCTGCCCCGCAGGCCGCCCCCGGCAGCAACCCCGTCGATGTCGCACGTTCGCTGTGGGCCTCGTACGGCTCCTCCCTGATCGGCGCGATCCAGCAGGCGTCGAAGCCAGCCACGGGCAAGCAGCCGCAGGCGACGGACTACGCGGTCAAGGCGCGCCCTGCTGCCTCCCCGTACGACGTCGGCACGGGCTCGTCGAGCTCCGTCCAGACCAGCCAAAACGCATTCTCCGCCGAGATGGTGAGCAACTTCTCCCCGGCGGCGTCTTCGACGAACCTTGCGCAGCCCCCGGCCTTCCCCCAGCCCGAGGTGCATGCTGCGTAGACGGCCAGATCGGGTCAGCTGGATGTCGTTCTGCTCGTGGACCGGTATTTATAGCAATGCGTTGTCGGACTTTGGGCCACTGTATCTGCGATAGCAATGGATAGTCTGTTCGACAACTGGCTTGCTCGACCGAGCCACAGAAGGTGTGCAGAGATAAAGAGTAGCTTGTACAACGTGCTATATACTTCCAGACCTCCTAGATCGTAGCCTCGCCTCGTCTACGCTGCAGTGTACACGTCGGGATAGTGGGCCTTCCGCGCATGTTCTGCCACGTCCTGGAACGGTATCTGAATTAGCCACTGACGAAGAAGGGAGCATGTGTTAACGTACCTCCGGCGTAGTGAATGGCTCGTTGCACATCCGGCCGTCCTGGACGTGCCGACAAGCGTACAAGACCTCTTCGATCTCCCCCGATTCGAGGGATGCACGAGGCGATACACGAGGACTGAAGGAACGGCAGCCATTCAGAACGCGGAACGCCTTCCCATGCCACGGACTGCTGTCTTCCGCGTCCGCCTCTCCGTCTTCATCCATCTCCACATCCGCGTCCGCATGTGCATCCTCCTCCGACCTTTCCCGCTGCTCCGTCATCCGCGCGATGATGCCCGCCATCTTCTCCATGTCCGCGCGCACGATCTCCGCGTCCTCTTTCAGACGCGCGTTCTCCTCGCGCAGGCGCGGCTCGACCGCCGCCCGCCGCCGCACGTCGTCATCAGTGCGTTCGTCCTTCGCAGTAAGCACAGAACATAGCGCCCGCCACTTCTCCGCCTCCGCGCGCAGCGTTTGCGCCTGCCCTTCGAACGTCCCGCGGATCATCGCGAGCCCGTCGCGCACCTGGCCCTCCGCGAGGGTCGCCCGCGCCTCGAGCGCCGCGTTCTCCGCCGCGAGGCGCGTGGCGTGCCCAGACGCCTCTGAGTACAGGTTCTTGAACATATCACGGTCGTCTTCCGCGTACTTGAAGCGGCGCTCCCACTCCTGCGTGGTCGTTGCGAGGCGGGATGTCAGGACAGTTGACTCCTCTTCCGCCTTCAGCAGGCGTGCGCGGACGTCGGTGAGTTCCTGCTTTAGAGTGGTGACTTGCTGCTGCGCCGCCAATATCTGCTCCGCGTGTTTGTGGTCTGCGTCGGTGGCGGTTTCCTGCGCGGCAGCTGCGAGGCGTTCGCTGTCAGCTACCGCCGTAGCAAGCTCTTCCTGCAACTCTACCAGCGAAGATTCAAGCTGCGACACTTGCTCGTTGCGTTCTTCGAGAGACTCGCGAAGCTCTTGCACCTCCAGCTCATGGCGTTCCCTTTCCTTCAAGCACGATGATAAGTGAGACGACCAAAATATATTGAACAATATTTTCCGTGAACGTACATTATCAGCATCGGACGCTTGTTGTGTCAGTTGCAGCTGGAGCTCGACCAATTGACTCTCCAACTGTGATATCTGCTCCGTCTTGTCGTCGGACGCCTCCACCAGCGCCTTGAGCTCCGCTTGGCGGGTTGCAGTCTCCTGTAACGCTCGGTGAATCATACAGCAAGGGGACGACAACTCGGCGGCATACCTCCGTCTGCTCGGCCTTCAACTTTGCTATATGCGACTGCAGCTCCTCCAACTGGAGCTCGAGCTGTGTAAGCTGCTCGTCCTTCTCCTCAAGCTTGGCATTTAGCTCTGCGATCTGACCGTTGAGAGAAAGCTGCGATCCGCATCAGTTTGCGTTCTGGAAAACAGGACAGTCACATCAGCGCACCTGCGACTGGCTATCCGCTTCTGCTCGTTGCGTAGTACTCGTGGCCGGCAGGTCCTGCAAAACCGGGATCTCTGGAGATTCTGCGGCCTCAGTGGAGCGCCCCTGTTGGGATCCTGGGTGCTAGAAGCAACGTCAATATAAACATTTTGAGGTCTAGAATGGTCTTACCTTGGCCAACACAGTCGTCATGGCCAGCCGGGAGCCACCCTCCTCATCAGGTGGGGGTAGACCGGGTCCCAAGGAAAGCTCGGGTCCGTCTTCTTCCGAGGCGAACGGATCATCGGCAGGTTGCTCGCCACCATCCCAGTCCATGAATAAGTCCATGGGCTGAGTAAACTCAGCCTCCTCAATGGTGTCTTGAGTGGGAATATCGAGGGCCCGCTTCTTTCGACGTGTATCCTTCTCGGGAGAGCTGAACTGCTCGATCTCTTCATCGTCAGCGGAGGGAAGGTGAGGGCGGAAGACAGATGGTGACATGGTAGGTACAGGTCGAAGCTCCTTAGTTGACGTGCGCTTGCGCTTCATCTTCGCCTTCACGGACGATGTGACTTGGGAGTTGCTGGGCTGTCGCTCGGAGTGAGCGCGAGGAGGCGTACTTGGGGGATTCTGATCCACGACGAATGCATCGCCGGAGGGAGAGGGCTGCCTCCGATGATCAGCACTGCCAGGATCCGGATATGGCTGGGTCTCTGGAACGATACCCTCTCTGCTGAAGGTATCGTTCGCAGATGGGCGCCCTTGGAGAGCAGGCCTGCCAGAGGGCTTCGACGGACCGGCTTCAGCATTCTCCTGACGGGGGTGGCTGGAGCTCCGACCAGACCGTCGTTCGGCCTGGGGCGGTTTAACGGGTCGCACAGCAGGAAGTGGAGGGGGAGGAATCCAATTGGTCGCCTCCTGGGTGCTCTCCTCCTCTTCTTGTGCGAGAATACGTTTGGTATCGGGAGAGATTTGAGCTGAAACAGACCGCGATTTTGCCTTCTGAAGCGCCTTCAAGAAAGCAGGGTTCATGAGCTCCTCGTCGTCGGATTCGGATTCCTCTTCCAGCTGAGCCAATGTAGACGATTTGCTACGGCGTGAAGATGCGACCTCCTTTGGGTTGGTGGCTCGTCCGCTGACGGCGTTCGAAGCGTCGGCGGCCTTTCGAGCTCGCGAATTCGAGGACGAGCCGCTTGGGGTCACTTTGGTACTGCGAGACGAGGACCTCCCGGATTGATGCTGATCGAGAGGTTCTTGTCGAGAGCGGCCCTTGATAGCGGGTGAATCAGAACCTGCAGCCCCTCCAGAGTGCGTCCGAGAAGGCACGCTTTCATGACTCTTGCTCTGCCGACCGCGCTTGAGATGTCGAGGAGGGCCAACCTTCGATATGGGGACAGCAACGGACATAGGTTCATCGCCCCCTTCCACATTATCTGTAGCCCGGCCCTTGCCTTTCGAAGATCCTGCGGGCCGCACGGAACCGTTACGGACGGCGAGCGGGGTGTCCGCATTCTCCTCCGCATCCGCCGCGCTCACAGCAACCTTCCCAAACTTCTTCCGAGCGACAACTTCGTGGCTGGACTCTGGGGGAGGCGTAGGCCGCGCAGGCGAAGACTTGACGATCTCGACCTCTACCTTTCGCCTCTTTCGGGGCCGCGCCGGTTCTGCCGAAGCACCGTTGACATCATCCTCGCGAGATTCACGGGCAGACTTTCGCTGCTTTGAAGTTCCCGGAACAGGTGGAGGTGCACGAGAGGGCTCGGCGCGGGGGCTGCGCGCGGGCGGGGGTGGGCGAACACTCGTCGAAGGTGTGGCATCCTTCGCGTTTCGACGCGTCTGTCGCGTCGTGGTCGCTGTGGATGTACTCTCCGAGCGCGTCTTGCTCTTGGCCGATGCAGTAGCGTTGCGGACCTTCGCTGGGACGTTGCACGACGGTCAGCGCCACAACCGCGGCGCACACGGTGAATATTGCGACGTACATTGCCTCCCCTTCGCAGTGCTTTTCTTCCTGTTCTTCTTCGCCTCTTGCTTCAACTTCCACGTACGCTTGAGCGCCGGATTGCAATCGCGCTTGTATTCCCAGGTCGGCGCGTAGGGCTCGCCGTCGGAATCAAAACCATCCCACAGCACCTTGTACTTGTCCCCTCTCTCTTCCAAGATCTCGATCGCATCCCACATCTTTTCGGGGTCATCATCTCGCGGTACAAATCGTGTTTGACTATCTTCAGTGTCGGACTCGGATGGAGTGGGGTCGCGGTTGCCGCGAGCCATGTTGCTGAAACGGAGGCGCAATCGACCGGCGTGGTTTAGAGTTGGGCGTATGGGCGCCTATACTCCAGCACTTGTGGCTGAAAGGAGCGCCTGTACACCTTCGGCTTTATCCGGCCCGGACTAGCCGACGACTGCACCTCGACCTGAGGCTGCGGCAGTAGCGTGTTCCAAAACGTCTCGTATGCGAATAAGTTAGTGCTACAAAAATGAACGAGCTACATGAACATGCTACGCATTGACCCGATGTCTTCTGAAAGCAGCCTCTACGTCGGCGGCAGTATACTCCAGCGACACATTGCTCTCCTTGTAGCACTGGCTGATCCTCTTGTTGAATAGCTCCGTGATCCTGAGCAGCTCCTCTTCGCATGCCTTCCACACACCAACCATCACCGTGCCAGGAGCGATGCCGATATTCGCGCTCGCGTCTTCTGTCGTGGCCTTCTCTGATGCCTCCGTGAAGTGCTTCTCGACACGCTTGAACAGGGCGTCAATGTACTTCCGCACATCCTTCGTCGTGTATTCCTTGACGACTTTCTTCAAAGCGGAGCGGTTGTAGCTGCTATTCGACGCGATTTCTGTAGGCGCAGTCGTCTTGAGGAGGCGCTCGACGCCTTCGAAGTATTCCTGACGTAGTGCATGAGCCAATGTAGACCACGATAGTGATGCCGCACTCACGATGATCTTGGCGAAAGGTCTCCTGAGGACAATCTTGACGTATGCGGTCAGGTTCTCCTCGTAGATAGACTCCGCTCGCTTGAGGAAAGCAGCGACCGAGCCAATCTCGATCTGGGACACCTCAGCCACGAAGTAGTGCATGTTCTCTAAGGCATATCCTTCAGTGAAGCCCATGCCCCCAGGAAGAAGATAACAAACCGATGATGATGACATGGTAGTTGAGCTGGCCCTTGTCTTCTCCTTCGCCGTCCATCTTCGCCATCTGCTTGAGCGCGTCGAACATGGCCTGCACGATCTTGTCGTAGGACGCATCGACGCTCTGGCGGATCTCCAGGGTATCCGAGCCGATGAGCTGGGTCTCCACACGGCTGATATACGTGGGGAAGTATTTGATGAATGGCGCCACACCCTTGCGCTTCTTGCTGGTGAGCTTTGTCTCCTCGATGGACTTGATGTGATCGGTCTGATCAAGGGTGCTGTGAGGAAACTGCGAACCAAATTTGTACAAGACACACATACCGCGCGGCGCTCAAATAGAGCCTTGAGACGCATGTGCTGCTTCTCCAACAACGTTAGCAGGAAGGTGTTGCCCCGGTCCTCCGCTTCGGATTGAAACCTCTCTAGTGACGCGAGCATACCAACAACCTGGCTGAAATCCGGAAAAAAAAGTAAGAAGGGAACATCTTTGACATGGCATCGCAACATACACATTGTCCCGTGCCATCGCAGTGTCGAGCCATGCCTTGAGCTCCATAGGCAGGAACCCAAATATGAGGTCCATGGCTCCGCGGACCAGCTTCGTCGTGGCTTGACTTAACCCCGCCCATCGCGAGGCCTGACGGCGGAAATAGTTTTCCAAATTCATGTGGTCAGCATATGTCTTTGCAGCGTCGTCGATCTGCAGGAAATGGGAGATCCATTCTTCCTCGGCATAGATCGTGCTTGCAATCTGCTCAAGAACCATGCTCAAAGCCTATACGAGTCGCGAGGTGAGTTATCAGTATATTCCATTCACACTGGGAGATGTTCACCTCAGCAGCACGCAGCTCTCCGTCACCGCCGTCTCGCCTGTCCCGACGGCTGTCGAGGGGAGAGCGAACGATTGTGCCGGCGCGTCGCATCCCTTGCGCAGCTTTGGCAGCATTGCTTGTAGGTGTGACCCCAGAAAACCCTTCCGCTTCCTCCTCTGCAGGCGCTTTCTTCACCAAGGCACTGTACGCGGAAAGCAGCGCTTTGATCTGTTGGGCATGCAACTCGCTGACCGCGGAGAAGTATGCCTACAGTATGAAACGTCAACAGATGTGAACCAGGAAACGGGTGTGGCACTTACAGCACACAACTTGGCATATGAGCTCTCGTCCATCTCCTTCAGGTATAGCAGCAAGCCACGATATCGCTCCAGGTACGTCTCGAGAGACCTGTGGTCTTTCAGCGCAGGTCGCCCCCGTGACGACTTGACGACACCGTTGTTGTCGCCGAGCAGCATCTTGCCCTATTGCCAAACATCAATATATACGCATGTGCGTTCGAAGTGATGTGTACCTGTGCTGTAAACATGATGGACAAATAGTCCAGAATGCGCTTGCAGAACTGGGCGTTGTACTTCTTGTATTCGTCAAGACGTTCCATGGTGGCCGCCATGTCTGGAAACCGTGTTGAGAACGCATTCATGGGTAGACTGCATGGCACCTACCGCGATCCCGACCAGCGAGTAGCGCCTTGTACAGTTCCATAGAAGCGGACTCGAGCTTCTTGATACTGACGGGGTGCTCTAGAGACTCTTGTGTGAGCGCGAGCAAGACATCGCCACCGACTTGCACAGTTTGCTATTACAAGAGTTTCAGCCCGCGACTCCCTCGGCAATACCGCCATCGCATAGCGTACCAATAGCTCCTCCAGCTCGTTTAGGAGTGCGCGTTGGTTCTGTGTCTGAACTTGAAGACCTCGGCCTTGTCCCTGGATGTAGACGATATCATCGCTGACGGCCTGTAGAGGAATTCATTCAATGGACGCAAGACACCTTATAGCATGTTGGCATACGTTGAGATGGATCTTATACGACGAAACCACGCTCTCCATCGTGTCGAGCTCGTTGATGGCATCGTCGAGGAATTTGAGCACCGTCAGTACTCTGTCATCGGACTCGATGAACGAGTGGATGTTCGCCTGTGCATGGTCAGATCAACGTTGCGCACGTACTCAGGCCGCCCAAGATGCCCGTACCTTGTCGAGAGCCATAAGCTCATCTAACAATCTCGCCTCGATTTGGTCCGCGGTCCCGGTCAAGGCTCTGCGACCCAAGATATCGTCGCTTGCCCACTCGTACCCTTCGAGCATCTCCTCCACGCTCTGCAGGGTCGCTTGTGCGCTTTCATCCTCTACCTCACCAGTACCGTCACCTTCACCATCACCTTCCTCGTGCAGCATCGCATCACCGGACAAGACACGGTTCAGAGTCCCCTGATTCGTAGGGTCAAAGAACGAGACCCGGGTATTCTCCCGCCTTGGTTGTCTCTTCTCGGCTGATGCCCCGTTGGTACTGCGGGAAGGCTGTGCGCGCGCAGCAGGCGCGGATGACGCGCCCAACGAGCTTGGTAGGACTGGGTCGCCATACGCTGACCTAGGAGAAGGCTGCACTACGGAGGAAGCGGGCGACGCTGATCGGGAGGGTATATCTAGAGATCCTCGACCTGGCAAGTTGCCATTCGTCCTGTCGCCATACCGAGACACGCCCTCCGACTGCACAGAAGCAGGTGTGGAAGGCAATACTATCGAGGGTACGGACGTAGCAGCAGAGGAGCGACTAGCCGTGTCTGCGTTGGAGGGCAATCGGGCATGGCGCGGACGCAGCGCGCTGGGAGGGGGCATTGGTTCACGAGAAGGTGTGCTTGGACGAGTGCGCACCGGGGTCCCTGATCTGTCTGGGGGGACAGCCGTTGGCGGCCTTGACAGATCAGGGGAATCAGCGCGCGGCGGACTTCGTGGTCTTCTCGGTCGCGAGGATGATCGTGCACCGGGTGTGGAAGGCGCGTACGAGGAGACCCCGCTCATGCGACCGTTCTGTTTCGGGGAGTCTGAGTAACCATTGGCTACGGGCCGTCGGGGGGATGCTGGAGGTAGAGGTGCGCCGCCTGTTGGTGTGGGTGCGCGCTCCATACGCGAAAAACTTAGTGGTGGCGGCCTTGATGCTGGTGAGGAATGCTCGAACGGATGCACATCGAATACCGAGGAGGCAACGTACATGCTTCGTTCGGGTCCCGTATGCCCACCAGCTCGAGAGGTGCTGTTCCCCCGGTAACCGTGCGGAAGAGCTGAACTAACGCGCTAAGAAAGCTGCTTTGGTCGCGCTGGTTCTCTGTTTGCCATCGATACGTTCGTGCCATGGTGATATTGAACGCAAGGGGCTGGATGCCGTTCACATTGAGACCGGAGGCAATCTGTATACACTTCAAGCACTTACATTGAGAACTTCTAGCCCTCTAAGCTCGGAGAGCTTCCATGTCTTGCCCACGGAGAACGATCCATTGTTGTTTAGCTTCGCCTTATGGATGAACCCTTGTCCGCCAGTGGACTCTGCGAGCGTGAAGCGTGAAGCAGCGATGTCATAATTCGGAGTAGACGCGTAACATACGCGAGAGTATGATGTATCTTGGCTTCTTCCCCCCCTCGTCGGGCGAGGCCTCCTCCCAGATCTTGATGTGCCCGGCATAGGTCTCCTCCGTGAGCTTGGTGAACACGGAAGAGACAATCCTCTGGCGAATTGAGTCGCTGTCCGCCATGCGGGAGAGCGGAAGATGGTGGCGGTTCGGTCAGCACAGAGCTCAGGCAGCAAGTGGTTGCGGACTAGAAGAAAGTGCAGCGATAGGCAGGTAATGAAATGGTTGCTAGCACAAGACGCAGCAACTCCGCGACCACAATACTGTACTAACCCCACTCCGCGTGCCGGAGTGATCAGTCCTATTTGGCCTTGTTGTCCAAAGGCTTTGACGCTCACGAACTTGTCTACTGACCAGTGGCTGCATCGTACTCCATCTAAATTCACTAAGGGGAACTCATTGGACGCGTGCATTGGACTGGTTTGGAGTGCAATCCGATCACAGTAGATAATTACATACGAAACCCGATGCTACGAAAACAAGAAACCAACAGTAAACAGCATTCCGCGTGCCTCTACCTGTATATATCTGCATCTCGATCGTCACTCTCAGAGGGAGATAAAGGACCTTGTCTAAGAGTCGACCTATACGTCTACCCATATGTCTGTTTATTGAGCAGCTGAACCTCTAGTATCCAGCGGTCCAAGTTCCACGACATTGACACCTAGATTTGGCTGAAGCGCAACGACATCATTCAGTACACGATATGACCGCGTTAACGCGCGTACGCACCTCTCTCTTTGAGTGAGCATTACGCCCGGACTGTTCCGTGTCGAAGGGGGTGTGTTGAACCGTCACTGCCATCATCTTCTTCTGGAGAGAGGGCCGCCCGTTGAAGGTCGCCAGAAGTGCGTTCAGAATCACTGTAAGATGTATGAGCACGGACTTCTTTTCTGTTCGTCACAAGCGGTGAGGTATCGCGCACATTCCGGATAGATCATGTACAAAGCCATGAAGATGAAATTCCCGGGCATGGTCAGGTACTAGGGTTGAGGGTAAGAAAAACGCTTCCTTCGAAATATTTGAAGCGAAAGCTCACTGTTACCAGACAGACCAAGGCGCAGGTGCTGTTTCACGACAGTTAGAACGAGATGGCACTCCGACATAGCGCCCAGGCGATGAACGTACGTGCTCAGGAGCGCGTTGTTTATCGCATAAATCGTCAAAGTTTTGACGATGCTATCCGATCTGCGGACCCATAACTTGAGTGAGCGAAGCTATTTCAGCGTGTCAATAAAACGTACCTTGCGTGGCCCGTCTTTCGCATCGCAAGCAAAACGCAGAGCGATGCGGAGATGAGAATGTCCGCAACCATGCTCAATGCCAAGCTGAGGGAGAGCAGCCACTGCATGGCCAATGTTCGCTCGAGTTAGTCGCAAACACCATAGACAATTGCTTGTACTGACAGAGTACTTGGGAAGGTCGAACCAGGTTTTGAAGCCGTGGCTTCGCAGAAGGTCAGTACACCATTTCAAAGCCCTGCAATAGGGTATACCTACGATACAACGGCGTATGCTAGACGGATGAATGGGAGTTAGATGGCGATGACTATACGTCGACCGAACGGCCACCGGTTATTATCGCACTCACCAACATTGACTCCTGTTTCAAAGGACGTTCAATCAGTTTCAATAACATCCTTGCGCTTCAGGCAGGACTAACCCAGTGCCGTGAGGACGAATAGTGCCTAGCAAGGGATCAATGGTAGTGATAGAAGAGAGCATCGCAAGCACTCACGATCGCTGACGCAAGCCACCAATTTCTACCGCTCACTAATAGCACGAGACCGGTAAGTCGTCGAGTATACAGTATGCGCACCACACTCACAGCGCCAGAGCCTAACGCAGAATATGCTGTAGTGGGGTACATGATGAGTTTCGTAGATCTTCGTTAACCTGCTGAAGAGCTTCTGACCCTCGCACAACTGCGTTGTTGAAACCCTGTAGTACAACAACAATTAGTGTAAGCTCCGACGTACTGGAGATAGCGACAAGTTGTCTCACTACTGTGATAACGGTGGAAGGCTACGATCGAAAGTAAGATGATCTGTATCGACACGTTCAACGATGCAGCTTACGAAAATACCCCTGAAAACGCGAAACGCGAGTTAGACTTTCGATGAAGACGAGCACCTATGTGATTACGCACCAGGTTGGCTTCAAAATCGCTATTAGATTCATGAAATCCGTGACCATGTACGTGTATGCCGCATTTGTGATCAAGGACACGCGGAGCGTATTGAGGACCCTGACGAGTAGTATGTCAACAACGTCATAACATCAGAACATCTAAGGCATATGCGTACCAAAGCATGAAAACCTGACGAGTATGGGTAAGACCGAGCACACCCAAGGTAATAAAATATTTGAGCGTACGATGCATCTCATTAGCTTTTTATCAGTGGAGCTGCCAGTGCGAACGAAGTAAATGTATGTCTGGAACGATGTGACGCCGTACAAGCTGGATATCTTCATGAGCCCTGACACTAGGCTGGCGAGTCATATAAGGCGACTTGCCAGGAGGCGAGAACCACTCCTGTAACGCAGCTATATCAGAACGTATCCTTTTACTGTGGGTTTGTACGCACCAACGAACATCGGCCCGAGCGAGCCACTAACATCTATTGAAGGAATGGCGGTGATTGCAGCGGGCTCGGGGTAAGACATTGGCGAGTGTTAGTTGAGAACGTCCAGAAGGGAGAGCTTTCCAATTGTGGGAAGCCACATTAACCGGACGGCACCTCTATACCTCTTAAATGCTCTGGGAACGGTGTGGCCTCCAGTTTCGGGCGTCCACAGCGGGTCGGCGGTTCTGAATCTCCTTTCACTTCATCTCTCTTTCGAAGCGGGCTGTACCTGCGCCCACAGAAGTCCGGACCTAAGAAGCACCAAACCGTAAGTGCGTTCGGGGCGGGGCTTTCGAGCGCGTGCGTGTTTGTTATCATTCATCACGAAGCCAGGCCGCTGGTGTTGAGACGCTCGGTATCGGGTACTCGTGGGCCCCCCCGTTCACGGATGCGCGGCGCCATCTCGTGCTGCATGCCTCACGTCGACCGCCCGTGAGGGACATCGTTCTTTGATGCCGCCGGGGTGTTGGCAACATTTTCCCCTAGGCCACATCACGGCGGCCAGCCTTAGAACCTCTAGAGTGGCACAGATAGGGTTCTGGAGGCGCATAGAACCTCTGCAGAGAAAGGTGAGCAACATTGATAGTATGTAACATAAGATGCTCACGTGGGCGCACTTCATCATGGCTGAATTTACCGACCACTGGAGAAGACAGCTTCCCTTGTTGAAGGCTGTGAACACAGCGGTTCGAAGAGCTTGAGAATTTCCAAAGGAATTGCCAGCGCGAGATTGTGGCGAGGCGTCTGAGTAATCGAAGCCCGAAATCTCTACGTACAAGGGAACTTGTGCGAGCGCGCTGCACGCGCTAACCTACGTGATCGAACTGAGTCGGAAGTGCCCATGGTGGAGGCCTCGGGAGGTACAACCTGGGGGGTGTCAGGCATAAGCGCAGACTGTTGTGAGCGACCTGGACTCACTGCGGCAGTGCTCTGGCATCAGGACCCCACCCACACGTGCTAGAATGATCAGTTGTGTTTGACTTTGAAATTGTTGTGCAAAAGCTTTAGCGATAACGCTCATATTGATAGCGTTCATCTTGATTATTGGACTCCAGATCATCGCGGCGATGCGCTGAGAAAGACCCATGATGTTCGGAGTCCCCCCTCGATCCAAAACAAGCAATAAATTCCATGAAGACGGACGTAAGAGTGATGTCCGAAAACACAGGAAACAGCCTACCCGCGTCCTGCATGCCTCCACCTGCTTCACGCACTCCATTACGCCAAGCGGTCAGTAGTAGACCTTGTCCGATACCTCAGCTATCTATTGTCAGTAAACATGGTAAGAGAACACATTTTTGAATGACGGGCGCAGACTGATGACTTGCCTGTGATGCCATGCTTATATCAGTTCCCTGAGAAGTCGCACTATCCACTGGGTCTCCGAGTTCCGTGATGTTGACGTCCTTGGTCTGAAGTGGGAGCTAAGTTACACACCAAATCTGGGGTTTGAAAGGCACGAGTACTCACCTTTCTCTTCGCATGAGTGTCACGCCTGGACTGGGCCGAGTCTAAGACTGCGGGTTGAACCGTAACCGTCATCATATTCATCTTCCTCTGGAGAGCAGGCCGCCCGTTAAACGTCGCCAGAAGCGCATTCAGGATCACTAATGACTGTGTTAGCGTAGATAAAAACATGAACGTCATAGCTCACATTCCGGATATATCAGATACACAGATAGAAATATGAAATTGTCGGGCATAGTCAAGTACTAGGAACAAGGACCAAGAGCGTGCATTCAGAAGTCATCCTGTCGAAAGCGATAACACGAAAGCTCACTGTTATGAGACAAGCCAGAGCACAGGCGCTGTCCCACAGAAGTTAGCACGAGTTGGCATGATATCTAGGTGGTAAACTTACGTGCTGATGACTGCGTTGTTTATTGCGTATATTATCAGAGTCCGTAAGATACCGTCCGATCTGTGCAAGACTTCGATATCAATCTCTTGACTAGCTCAAGCGTTGATCAGCACACCTCGCATGACCTGTCTTTCGCATCGCCAATAGAATGCAGAGCGAGGCGGAGATGAGAATGTCCGCCGCCATGCTGCATGCGAACGCGAAGGAGAGCAACCACTGCAAAGACAAACAAAGCGAGCTTAGTCGCAGATTCGTAATTACCGTATAAGCCTACTTGCACTCACAGAAACCTTGGGGAGGTCGAACCAGGTTTGGAAGCCGGAACTGCACGGGAAGATTATGTATCACAATCTCCTGAGAGACGGAAAGGTCGAAAGGGTGCCTACGATATGACGGCATATGCTGACGGAACGTAGGTGGTTCAGATGGCTCTGGGCAAATAAGACATATTATGGCCATGCTAACACTCACCGGTATTTGCACCTGTTGTAGAGGCTACCCAATCAGCTCATAGGACGTCCTGTGGAGGCCCCGGAGACTGACCAAACGCTGTCAGAATAGTAAGAGCCTGACCGCATAGCTTGCACTCAGTAATGGTGACGGTAGAAGAACATCAGGTGCACTCACGATCGCTGACGCGAGCCACCAATTTCTTCCGCTCACTAGTACGAAAAATGAGCATATTCCCAATTATAAACAAAGCGCAGTTTGCTCACGACGCCAAACCCTGTAGCAGAAGACTCTGCATTGCGCAGAAAGTGAGTAACTCAATTTTGAGTCTGTAGACCTAGGATCTCTGACCCTCGCACAACTGCATTATTGAGGCCCTATGTAGTACACAGACTGCGTAAGTCGAGTGACCGTTAATAATGGAATGATGTCCCGTACCACTGTAACAACCGTGGAAGGCTGGAAGTTAGTGAGCCCGCTGGTAAGTATAATGGCAACGAGGGCGTCGATAGTCGTCCTACGTACGAAGATAGCCCTACAGCACGAGTCAAATTTCCTGTGAGACTGAGCATTGGTGTATCAACGCACCAAGTTGGTTTCAGAATCGCGAATATGTTCGTGAAGTCCGTAACCATATACGTGTACGCCGCGTATGACACCATCGCAAGACGTAACGTGTTAAGGATCCTAGCAAGCCGCACCAGTGAGTTCCTCGCGTCCCAATTCATCAAGACATCGACTACGCGAGAGACCATGCGTACCATAGCAGAAATATCTTAGCAGTGCGAGGAAATGGGGCTAGATGAGTCGATTCGAAACTTGAAGACAACAAGACACAACGTACCAGGATTTTCATCGCCATTTTGTCGATAGAGCTGTGAGCGAAGTAGATATATGTCTGAAAGGTAGTGACGCCGTACAGGCTGAGAGTAGTGAGCCCCGCCGGCCTGCTGAGTCGTATCGCACATAGCAAGTCGGCTTACCAAGAGGCGAGGACCAACCCTATCGTACTGACCCGTTAGAAAGCATTCCTCCACGAGGGTTCGGTACGCACCGACGAACAATGGTCCCAACGAGCCATCAATGGTCCAGTGGCCTATAGATAAAGACATGGTGATTTCCGCGGAATGAAATGCGAGCGAGTCGCAAGTGACGTTCCGTCGGGGAGGGTTGGATAAGTTGCTTCCACAAGTTCGACCAGACAATATGCTTATATATCGTGCATCTCCTGGGACAAGAGCTCCTCTTGAAGACTTCTGAACTCCCGTGGCGCGTTGAGGACTTTCCGCTGGGGCTCATTCTTGAGTTGAGGGCTGTACCTGGGTCCATAGAAGCTCTCACGTATGTCGTGCCAAAGCACGACTGCGGTCCGGGCGGAAGATCAATGAATGGAACATGAAGTAGTGGGTCACGGTAGCAAGCCCGGACGCTGGTCGTCAGGGGCTGAATATCTATGAACCGCGTCTCGGGGCTTCATGCGCCTAAGATGTACGGGTGTACGGCGTCAAATTGTGTCGTATGCGTTGGCATGACGTCCCAAAGGAGCATTACTCTTCGATGCCGCGGGCATGCTGGCAACAACGTGCTTCAGGGCCCGTATGACGACGTCCAGTACAACATCCACAGTCGACAGGGTTCTGTGATGCGACAGAAAAAGAGGTGAACAGCGTTGATATTTAGCATGAGCTTCGGAATGGGCACAGTAAATCTTGCTGACCTGGAGTTTATACCTTCGCCCAGTGACTTGCATTGAAGCTGTAGAGATCGGGGCACGATGAGTTTGATTGCCCTCCGAGTACCCCTCAGGAGATGATGATCGTAGGACCTTTGGTGGCCGAAGGCAACCAATCTGAGTTCAAGGGTATCTGAACGGGCGGGCAGCGCGCCCTAGCCTGAAGAACAAGGTTAGTGTTGGACGTTGATGATGGACAAGGATTGAGATACCGGGGATCACAGTGCCGACTCAGACGACCACAGTCGAAGGCCCCGCTTGCTCAACGTGCGACGGAGCCTGTGTCGAGAGATCTTGTGGCGGCGGCCTCAAGAGGCCAAACCTAAACGCGCATGTCAACAGTAAATGCAAGTTGAAGCTGTTATGACTGAGCTGCGGCAGCGTTGCAACGTGATGAGAGCAAATTGACGAGCTTCTTCCGCCGCGCTTTGGTATGCAGGTAGTCGCCCTCATAGCAGGTAGCGATACGCTAAGTCCTCACGAAAAAGCTACGCTCATGAATCTCGCGGGCCAGCGAACGCCCACCAGGTAAGATGCGATAGTCTCGAGGGGGAGGTAGCTTGGAGCTCGATGGAGCGTTGCGCTGTACGTTACACCATGAGAGGCAACGATCACGGTCGAGTCTCGAAAGACCCCGAGACTGTATTTCTTGGTGTGGCGCATCGTTTCGCTGCTTGCTGTAGACCAAAGTGCTTCCTGGGTTTACACCTACGAATTGCGACGCATTTTGCACAGTTACCTCGCAACGCACCATTGGGGGTGCCGCTTGGTCGACAGCCTCGAAGCACCGCAGTAAGCACTGAGCGGCATAATCGGGGAACGTACCAATTTCATATGTCCTCCATCCATCGCGTCGTCACAGCCAGCGCTGCAGACCCCGAGGTCGCAAGAAATCTATTCTTGCGTCTCCAACGGCTCGTAGTAGTCGGCGGTCTTCCTGCCCCACCGCAAAAACCAGCCCGTGATCCCACCCTGGCCCTCGCCCACCCTGCGCACCTCGCCGTTCTCCATAACCTCGTACCGCTTCCCGCGCCACTCCACCTCGCTGCCCACAATTGCCATGAACCAGATCGGGAGCGCGATGAGCTCGCGCGCGGCCCACGCGGCGAGAAACTGCCAGCGCATGTTCGCCGGGACCGGGTGACTAGCGAGCGACGCGAACACATCCATGTCGACGAAGAGCCACACGAGAAAGTGTACGGGGAGAAAGAGCCACGGGGAGACGCCCGTAAGGTATCGGAGGCCTATTGCAGCAAGGACGCCTGCGAGCACGGACTCGGTGAACGGCTCCGCGAGGGTCGCGGCGAGCACCATGCGCTTGCGCACGCGCACCCAGCGAATACGGCGCGCGACGTAGTCCATGAGAGACATGTTCCCGACCGCGTTCTTCGCGACGTCGCACGAGAGGTCGTGGCGCAGGCCGAGCTCGTGCCAGAGCGCGCTCGCGATCATGTTGTCCTCGGCGAGGAAGCGCCCGAACGCCGCGAGGCCGCGCTCGCCCGGCTGGCAGCCGCCCGCGTCCGCGTGTGGGACGGGCTTGAGCGAGCCGTCGACGCGGTCGAGGTCGGACTTGCGGTAGAGGCAGGACTTGCCGACGACGCAGGAGTCGACGGCGACGGTGTTGATCGCGATGTACATCTTTGCGTGGTTGGTGTTCAGGAAGGCCTCTTCGACCCGGGAGCCGGAGGAGTCCTTCGTCACCCAGGCGTAGGGTACGTGATGGACGACACCGATGCGGCGGCGGGGAGGATTTGGGGCGTCGGGGGGCGGGTTTAGGATGTCCACGGACCGCGCGAGAGTGCCGGGATCGACCATGACGTTAGAGTCGAGCACCCATAGGATGTCGTGAGCAGTTTGATTGTAAGCTGTCATTAGGTTGTTGACCTTTGGGTTCACGCCTACTGTAGCACCATTTCCTGTCAAACGTGTATGGAGTCAAATAGTTGGAAGTTCGGACATGGTACAGGACTTACGTATGGCAATGTGAGCATTTACACTGGGGTACTTTGTCATTAGGTCGCGGACGACGCTCAAAGCCTGGTCATCCTCGTCATCGACACAAAAGAATATCTCATAGTTGTTGTATTCTTGGGTGAACGTAGACTCCAGATTCTCGTAGAGGTTTGTGTCGAGCCCTTTGAGGGGTCGTAATATAGATACACCAGGGACAGATGAAGCAGGGGCGGAGGCAAGGGGCGAGCGCGGACGCAATCTGTATCGCTTGCGACTGGGGGCGGTGAGCGGCGCCACACTAGTATATGCAGAACACGTACGCTGCGAGGCAACCGAGCACACCGAGACTCCACAGGAAGGCGTACCATATGAGACTGGCCGACGCTAACGTGAGCTTGAGGATGTCGCGGTGTTCGGCTTCCACCATGCTTGTACCAAGGCTGGGAGTTATAGAGTCTAAAAAAGGGGCTGGAACATCCCCTGATCCCGCGGAGACCAGATAGACAGCACTATGGCTAACGTCAGGGAAGGAGGAGAAGAGCTCGACGGCGTCGGCGAGCGCGCGGCGGATCCGAGGCCACCCCGAGCACTTAGACGCCCACCCAAGTCGCGATCAATCCCGCGGCCTTATACAGTCGGTCACAGATCATCACACTGTGACGCCATGTGACAGTACGCGTCCAGTCGCGTCCGCGTCTCAAGCTGCGCGCTCCTGACCTCATCCTCCCACTAGGTCGCTCTAGTCACCGTCCAACTCGTACTCTGACTGGCATCTTCTCAAGAGTACTCTGTCTGTGTGCTGCTTTGCCACTGTCTGTCAGCTGGGACATACGATGGCTACGTTCGCTCGTGGAGTGAAGTTATTTCGCGATGGCCAATATCAGGACGCAGTCGACTGCTTCTCCGAAGTGAGCAGTGTTTCACTCTCACCCGATGCAATGTTGTGAATGTCAAAATCTCAGGTTTTGGAACTTGGAGGTGACAAGTTCAAGATATACGACTCTCGCGCGGCTGCGTACCAAAAGCTAGACAAGCTCAAGGACGCGTTGCGTGATGCGAAGGCAGTCATAGACCTACAACCCGACAGGTGGCAGGTTTGTCTGCCTTACTTCACTCGTCATCGCTACTCTGAAAAAGTGCTGCCTGTGCAGGGCTATGCGCGGTCCGCCCGTGTATTTTGCCAAGCGCGCAAATACGAGGCTGCTACTCGCATGGTAGAGCTCGCGCTCGAGCGCATGCCCCCAAACCTCGATCGCCGACGAGACGAAATGGTCCTCCTGCAGGAAGAGATTGCCACATCCCAGGCTGCTGTAGCAAAGGCGATATCCAAGAGGACGTATCACTTTGGCAAGCTACCCGTGGAGATCGCGGCGGCCATGTTCTCTATGGTCCTCGAAGATAATCACGCGTATGTCGTTACGCTCGCACAGGTCTGCCAGAACTGGCGCCACACCATCCTAGACACACCGTCCTTCTGGTCAACGCTTGTCCTAGGCAACCGACATCCTAAACGCAAAGTGAAGTTCTGGCGGGAACGCTCGCGAGGCCGGATACACGAGTTGGCCGTACTAGACACATTCACGGACTTCATACCCACATTCGAGGAACTACGCTCTGTGTCGATGGACACTCTCCGTTCAATCCGATTGGACGCCCAAGCTTTGACCCGGGTGCTTAAAAATTTGCCTAACGTGACGCCCCTTGTCCTTGCCTCCCTTCACCAAGTCGTTCTGCACGCGCCTTCCATGGACTTCCTGAATCTGGTGGATGTGCCCGAATACAATTGGCGCGTACTAGAACTCACCAACGTTCTCATCACGGACTACTACGCTCTCGCATGCCGTCTGTTACAATTAGAATCCCTCTCACTCTCAAACTGCCCCTCTCACGGCTCCTGGGACGACTTGCTTTGGCTCCTCTCACGTAACCCAAAACTCGCCCGGCTAGATCTCACTGCCTTCGACCCCGTCTCCTTGAATTTTACGAACGAGCCTGGAGACAGGGAGGAACTCCCTGCCATCATCACCGTGCCGAGCCTCGTAGACATCCGTATCGAGGACACCGACCAGCTCGCGAACGTCATCCTTCCACGTCTCATCGCCCCTTCCCTCGCCTCTCTCCGCATCTTGCAGCATCGCCAACGTCTCGACGGCTGCCTTAGCTGGCTCGCGGCCGGCCCCGCCGCCACTCTGACCACGCTCTCCATCCAACGCTCGGCATTGAACGTGCAGGCTCTCCTCGACGTACTCCCCGTCGCGCTCGCGCTCGAGACGCTGGAGCTCACGCACGTTTGCGACGTGGCCCTCCCCGTTCTAAAGGCCCTAGGCACCCTCATAGAGGTCACCGGCCCTACGGAGAACCACGCCATCGTGCGCCGCGTCCGCTGTCCCAACCTCCGCAAACTTGACATATCACACTGTCCAGACGTGGTGGCCTGGCCCGTCATTGCGTTGGTGAAGCTGCGCCTTCCAGAGGCGCAACCCCCTCCTCCGGATGAAACGTCGATAGAAACAAAGGACGCATGGCCGCCAGTACGGAGACTAGAGTCGCTCGTAATTGACGGCTGCCCGGACATGGATGCGGACAAGCTCCCTTGGCTACGAGCGGCCGTCCCGTCCGTCAGTTGCGTGTACCTCACTCGGAAGACTGCCAAGTGGCGACGATGAACCCTACGCTGCTCAACCCGGGCTTCGAGGGAGCAGAAGGTGTATGTACCATACCAACGATACTCATGCCTACTGTAGCTCTGTCAAGCCGAACACTTCGACCGTGTTCTTCCATGCCTTTTCCGTAACCTGCTCGAACGACGCGCCCTCAGCAAGCTTGTACACAACCCAGGCGACACCGCCTATCGCTCCGGGCTCGTTGCGCCCTTTCACAGGGCGGCCGTATACGAAGGCCTCGGGCTTCGTCGCTGGGGGGAAGTACAAGGCATTGAGCGCGGGAGGCAAAGACGTGAGGTAAGCCTTGGACGCATGTGTCGATGTCATAGAGCACCATGGCGCATCTGGAGGTATGTGTGTCAGTGGGAGATTTATGCGGCGTATGCCAGGCGGCGCACCGGTCTCTAGCATGATCTTGTCCGGTCGGATCGACTTCGTGGCGGTGAGATTTTCCGCGGTCTTGAGACTACATCCGTTCACGCTGGAATAACAGGTGTCATCAGCTCCCCGCCGATTAGCGGCCGGTCAGAGTTTTGCGTACCTTACATGAAAGCCCATGTCCATCTGTAGGGGATGAAAAAAGAAAAGGTGAGCACTCGCCCATAATGCGATCGACATATGTGCTCACCAATTCTGCGGCCTCCTCCGCGGTGCCCGTGAAGCTGTGTACGACGCCGCCCTTCCCGCCGGCCGCCTTACCGCCATCCTTCTCATACCCTTCCTCGCGAAGGATCTGCACGAAGTCCTTGTGTGCTGCGCGCGAGTGCAGGAACAGCGGCAGATGGTACTTCTTCGCCAACGACAGCTGAGAACCTGTCGATACCCCGTGGTGAGCGGCGGAGAACCGCCAATGATTGGCAACAGAGGGTCCTCACGGAAGTGTCGCCGCTGAACGTCTTTCGGCGCGAAGTGCGTGCGGTCATAATCTGCGGGCCCCACACACGTTAATCCCACTCTATCAATCGAGTGCAAAGATTCAGAAGCCCACCCAAGCCGCACTCGCCCACCGCGACGACGCGTCCCCTCCCCGTCAGGTTCTCCGCGATGAGCTTGTCGAGCTCCTCGAGGTACTTCGCGGGCCCGCCGCGGAACTGGTCGAACTGCGCGGAGCGCGTCGGGTGGCAGCCCGCGGTCGCGTAGAACCCGAGCTGGCGCGCGAGCTCGATCGCCTCGCGGGACTCGTGCAGGCTGCCCCCGGTGAGGATCATCGACTTGACGCCTGCGGCGCGCGCGCGCTCGAGCATGGCGTCCATGTCATCTGTGCGTGATGTTTGCGTATGAACGGTGGTTTTTTTTGTGAGTGGTGCAATGGGCCCGAGGCCGGTGCGCACCGTCATGTTTGCGTTTGCCATGGTGGCAGCCTCGAAAGACGGGATCGGTCAAGTTTACTGACAAGACATCCTGATCAGCCGATGCGCTGGGAGGCCGCCTTTAACAGAGGAGCCGCTATAGTACCTCCAATATCTGGAGCATCACAGAGTAGTCGCCATACACCATGAGCTACTGAACTGCAAATAATCGCAAACGAATCTGGTGGCGCACCAATGAATCTGTACTTCTCCGGATGCACCTCCTGGGCAGCTGGCTTTGCAGCGACAACGGTAACTGGCATGTCTTGTTTGATATCGCTCAAGGTCTTTGTGGGAGCTTGAAAGTTATGATGCTGGTGGTTTGGAAGGAACCACGATGAACGACGGATGGTACTTATGCTTAGCTGCGGCAGTTCTTGTTGAAGGCGCCTCCTACTGGCAAAAAATCCGAGCCGGGACATACTTACGCACCCGGTGCCATGAGTCAGACAGTCGCGTAGACAAGTACTTACGTTCGCGGTTCTCGAGTGGATAGGCGAAGGTCATAGATCACTGACTTCCTTGAAGTCAACTTAAAGGGTCAACGTTCAACATACGACCTGGACGATCCCCCCAGTCCAAACTACCATCGCCCTCGAATCTTCATAGCTTCCCTCATGGATGCTCAATGCAAAAAACAAGAACGTGTTATACAGTCTATGTGGTCGTGTACGATGTCTGGTATACATATGAATAATTGATTTCCGCCATATGTGCATAGCTACGCCGCGCGCCGCCCGGTCGAGTCGAGTCCGTGTCCATATAGCATACAGCACAACCCATGCGCCCCCGAGTTCCAAGTCCCATGTCACGAATTAGAGTCCTTGATCCCGACGATGAGGCGCACCTTCCGGCAGGGCACGTCCGGCTCGCTCGTGTCCGCGAGCGCAAGGCGCTGCGCCGCGAGGATGTCCTCGCGCAGGCGCATCTCCTCTACGATCTCCGTCTTCCCGAGTGGGTCGCGTGGCGGGAGCTCCCACCCGTTCTTCACGAGCGAGTGCCAGAGCGATATTCGGCCGCGCATGTCGCTGTAGCCGGCACACCGTCAGCAAAACGCACTCGTCACAGACACACAAAGCACGACCCACCTCTGGTACTGGTCCACGGCGGTCTCGAACCGCGCCCTGCTCGCATGCGGCGTGTAGTCCTCCTCCCGCCACCCAAACCTCTGCAACTCGGGATCTCGCGCAGCTACGCGCGCGGCGAGCTCCTCCCACATCGCCTCCTTCGTCGACAGCACGAACGTGACCGCGCGGTACAGGTGCATGAAGCGCGATTGCTCCTCCTGGTCCTCGAGGCTGTCTGTGGGGATGAGGTCGATCGCGTGCGCGCCCCCGAGCGACGTGCTCTCCGCCGCGGACGACAGCAGCACCGACGGCCGCCGGCCCACCTTCGCGCCCGAGCCTGAGCCCGTACCTGCGGATCCGGAGTCGTGCGAGTCCGTCGTCTGTATCGAGCCCGCACCGGAGTCACGCCGCACGGGCGGCGCACGCCCGTTTGTCGTGCTGCCGTTGCTGTGTTCGGTGTTGGGCGTGGGGGCGTTCGTGCGTTGTTCTTGGCGGAGCGAACTCAGCGAGGGTGCGGGCGAGAGCGAGCTCTTCGCGCTCCCCGCGGACGTCGGCTGCGTGGAGGTGGGCGAGTGCGTGAGCGACGGGTCGGGCATGTTCTCCGTGTTCAGTGGGGTCAGCAGGCTGGACATGCTTTCGCGCGAGAAGTCGGACGAGCCGTTGCTGCTGCTTGCGCGAAGGAGTGTGTGGGTTGAGCCGCCATTAACGACTCCGGGTAAAGGTGCGAATGGTGCGAGGGGCGGGGTGAAGAAGTTCAGAACGGGCGGGGCTAGTACCCGGTCGAAGAAGGCGCCGAAGTAGCCTGGAATACATGCTATGGGACGAGGCGAAATATATTAGTCGGAGGCCGCGCTGTCAGTACAGGGGAATACTCACAGCTGGGCGTGGGATTGATGAATCTATTGGACCAGACGTCGTGGTAGAGGGTCTCCAGGAGCTCGTGCTCGTGTGCGAGCTCCGAGGTATCAAACGATGAGGGGTATGATGACGGCTGTTGGGCAGCGCCGGGGTATATGGTCGACGGGCCACGCGCATGCGCGCGGAGCGGGTTTGTGTACCATCGTGGCAGGATGGGGAATATCGCATCTGGGCGGTGTGTGAGCCGCGTGTAACGAGACGCCTGGGCAGTTCTGGGTGGGTGCATATACCTTCTTCCAGTAACTCTATAGTGGCCCCCGGCTTCATGACCCTACGAATCTCCTGCGCTGCGGGGTGAGTCGACGGCTCGGGCGGTAATGATCTCAACTCACTTCGAAGACACTGTGCCACTGTAGCAAGGGTTCAGCACCCCGGATCAATTGAGCAACATTGTTCGCTGACCTTATTTTCGGGGATGCCAAGGGCCACGCATTGCATGTGCACATGGTCGAACTCGTCGTCGTCGAACGGCAACTTGTTCCTCAGGCTGTTGGGCGAGGAGTTATGGATTAATTCTAATCGTAGACGCCCGGGGACATAGGCGACGCAGCGGTGACGTACATGTTTGTATGCACCCATTCTACGCGATCGGCCGTCTCAGGCTCAAGCACTTGCAGTGGTGGCTGAATATTGACCATGTCCAGCCCGACCTGGGAACCGCGTCAAGCAACTCTCGCGCTCACAGAGCGGTAGGAGAACTCACAAACGTGGACTCCGGCCATGTTCTCGCCGATGAGAGCACCCAGAGGCCGAGCTGATAGACAGGCGGCGTTAGATCAGAGGAGCATGCGGTGGCTGAGCGCAGTGAGCGGACGTACGCCCGTGCCGATGTCGAGACACCGTTTCGGCGGCTTATCCTTGAAGTCAATGAAGGACGCGAAGCCCTTGGACGCGACGATCATAGCGTTGTCCAGGCATTGTCTAGTGAATCGTTCAGCTCGGGGCTCGCCGCACGGCTGCGCGAGTGCACGTACAGCTCGAGGACGTCGCGGTCGAAGGAGGACGGGTAGGGCGCCTTGTCTCTGTCGTAAGCGTGAAGCTTGGAGCCGTTCGTGTATATGAACTGGTGTTCCTTGCCGCGAGGAGTGCGGTGTGAGGCGGTGGAGGAGCTGCAGCTGAGGCGGGTGCTGGTATGGCGCGTGGAGTGCGGATGTGGGGGTCCCATGGGTAGGAGCGGGGGAGGGGATGGACATGGGTTGGGAGAGAGGAGGAGAGAAGGAAGGAGACATGGGGAGGGCTGGGACTGGCCCCGAGAGGATTCGGAAGGAAGGGATAATCGAATATTGATTATTGCGAGCGGCAGGAGGCCCTGGGTGTGCTTCGCCCCGACCCCGGCCTCGGACCTCTCCCCCCACCGTCCATGCCGCCATGGCGCCCGCCTATCGGCAACTCTCTTCTCGCCCCGCCCTCCGCCCGATTCCCATCTTCGCCTATTTCCCCGCGCGGCGATGTGCCTGGGTGTTCATACACACACTCATCGCCACAAAGTGATTGTTTACGCAACGGGTCCTGTCGGGGAGCACGTTACGCGGGGGCTGAATGTCAGGGTCGACGGTGAGGGATCGCTGGCGCTGCGGCCGGAAGACGAGGAGAGTTTGACCCGGAGAGCTAGAGACGCACGTCAACATGAGGCAGCTGGACGGTCGATGGAGGCACGGCTGATATGTTTTCGACAGACTGGGAGTCGAGACGGAGTGCCCGGGAGCCGTGTTTCCTCGACGACCTGTGATCAGTCTCACAAGACTCCAGCCGCGGCACCTTCGAGGTGTCAGACGAGCGCACATGAAGCAGTTCCAGCCTCGTATCGTCGCGGTGAATAACCTTGACCAGGTGCGCGCCCGAGAGATGCCGCGGGACCGGTGGTGACTTGGATTAGCACTCGATATAATGTCCTGCATATGGCAGTCCCCAGATTCAGCCACAGCTGCTACTGCTGCAGCACTCCTCACTCCTTCCTCCTCCTACTCTCACTAGTCTCGGATCACAGATCGCACAGGCACCCATCAGCACCCCCACCCACCATGCTAAACAGACGCAAGAATCTCTCGCACAAGCAGCGCAGGGAGCAGATGATGCTCAAGCGCGCCGTCAAGCGCGGCGACATCTCTCCTCCCCCCGCACTCAGACCAGACAGGCGCGTCCGCAAACCGCGCAACCCCGCCGTCGCCCTCCCCGACCATGCACGCCATGCGCGTCGGCTTCAATCCGAGTTCATCAAGCTCCCTGCGCCCTTCCTCAAAAAGACCGAGATCCTCGCGTCTGCGATCCCGCTCGCCCGCCCCGTTCCGCCCGAGGCCGCGATCCTCCCAGATGTGAACGCTGAATCTCCGAGCTCAGCGGAGCACACGAGCACTGAGGCGACCTCAGCGGAAAACACAAGCACTCCAGCGGTCCAGCTGACGTGTCCGAGGCGTCCCAAATGGCGCTACGACCAGTCCAAGAACGAGATCGAAGCGAACGAGGAGGGCCTCTTTGCCAAATGGCTCGCACAGACTGACACCGCGCTCAGCGCGTGGTGCACCACGGAGGACCCCCCGGCGCCCGACCCTACTCCCGCGGATCAAGAACCTCCTCCGCCTAATGCGGAGCCAGAACAGATGCCCCATGCGCCGACCAGCTTCGAGCGCAACATCGAAGTGTACCGCCAACTGTAAGCTTCAGTTTTCTTTTACCGCACACGACCCGCACTGACCACCTCGCGGCAGTTGGCGCGTGACCGAGATCTCCCAGATCCTCCTCATCTTGCTTGACGCGCGCTGCCCGACCCTGCACTTCCCACCCGCGCTCTCGACGTACCTCTCGACGGTGTCCAACGCGACGCGCCTTCGTACCATACTTGTACTCACTAAGGTCGACATCGTCGGCCCCGAACGCGCCGCCGCGTGGGAGCGCGACCTGCAGAAGCGCTTTCCCGGGGTGCGCGTCGTGCAGGTCGAGTCGTATGTGGAGAAGCATCACCCAGACACCCATGGAGGAATGACTGCCGGCTCGCGGCGCGCCCATAAACCGTATCTACCGTCTGCATTCCGCGCTGCACTCGTTGACGCGTTGCGCGCGACGCACTCGGAATTGTTGGAGCCGCCGGCGGAGGTGAAAGCCAAGCCGCAGAGGCTAGCGAACTGGAAGCCGCGCGTGAAGACGCAGGTCAACTGGGACGCAGTTCTTCAGGCACATGGAGGGCAAGTTGGCACCACGGTAGGAGGCGCTGCGGCACCGAAGCCAGATAAGACCGCGGCGGACGACCACGCAGATGGCGAACATACGGACGAAGAAACCGAACCCGAATTTCTGACCGTCGGCGTCATCGGTAGGTTGTACCCCCATATAGGTCTAGCGGCGGGTTTAACGTTTCTTTACAGGCCAGCCCAATGTTGGCAAATCATCGCTGCTGAACGCGTTGTTCGGCGCGACGAAAGTGAAGGCGTCCAGCACGCCAGGCAAGGTAAGACCATGCGCTACGAAGTCCTTGTAGGCTACTTTTGAACACGCCGTTCTCCCAGACGAAGCACTTCCAGACACTATTCTGGACACCCGAAGTCCGGCTCGTAGACTGCCCAGGGCTCATCTTCCCGAATTATGTGGATATGGAGACACAGGTACGCTGTCCCATCGTATTTATGTGAGCCAACAGAGGCTCACGTACGGCACCCCGCAGGTGCTGACCGGGATCCTGCCCATCGCGCGCGTGTCCGCGATCCCGCTCTGCATCCACCACGCCGCGCAGCTGCTCCCACTCGAGGCCGTGCTCGGACTCACGCACCCGTCGCTCGACGAGCCACCGCCCGAGTACAAGCGCACGTGGCGCGCGGGGATGCAGCCGCACGCGGAGGAGCGGGCGCGCCTGCGTGCGCAGACGTGGACCGCCAATGACATCCTCACCGCGTACGCGACGAAGAAGGGCTGGATTACGGCGCGTGTCGGCCGTCCGGACGTGAAGCGGGCTGGGAACGCGAGTGCGTGTTTTCCATTTGTGTGCAGTGCACCAGCTGACAACACCACAACCACATTATTGCGTTCATGATCATCGACGTCCGTGCATGCCTGCTCGGTCCGGTATTCTAATCACATCGCCTGCGCACACCGCCGTCTTACGCCCGTCCATCTGTCCGCGATGCACGCACAGTTCTGCGCGCGCTCGCCGGAGGCGCCATCCGCTGGGCGTTCTGGCCCCCGGGCACCGACGCAGCCACGATCAAGGCGAACGAGCCCATCCCGGGCGCGGGTATCTGGATCGACCACGGGCAGCACGATATCGACATCGACGACGACGCGCACCCGCACGAGCGCGGATCGTCCGAAGACGACGACGATCACGGCGGCTCGTCCGAGGAAGACGACAGCGGGGAAGAAGGCATCAGCGAGGAAGATGAGGAGGAAGAGAACGGAGGTGAGGAGGACGGCGACGACGCGGCCGAGGTCGGCGCAGGGGCGGGGACTGGCGGGAAGCCGAAGCTCGCTGGGACCGCAGGCCGGTTCGGCGCGCTCGTGCTGGATGATGAGGATCAGGACGAGGATGCGGACAGCGATGCGTCGAATGGAAGGGAGTGATGGTGGCGAGCTAAAATCGTCTTCGACTCTGCCAAGGTGCGTGGATGTGTCGGGATGGAGCTGGTCGGACTCGAGGCGCGGCTCGGATGTGTGTACGAGAGCTATATGTGTACGATGAGATGTATCGCAGTTGTACAGTTGTACTCACCGGCACACCATGATTCCGAGCAATGTATCGAAAGTCTACAGCAATCAACACAGCCAAAGAGATGTGCCTCACCTCGTCCAGGCATCGTGCCGTGCGTGGGCCGAAACATAAACTCTTGATAGCAGGCACGGACCGAGGTCGACGGCAGGAATACGCGCACACGTCAGATGCATGATGTGGACGGGAGGGTCGACGCGCTGTCTTGCCAAGGTCGTCACTGTACGCACATCAAGTACTAGTATAATCGTCGTAGAGGAAGCACCGGCTCGTCAACGGGAACAAACGGCACAGAACGGGAGATGGCGTTAAAGCGTCCAGCGGGTGCGGCGAGCGCGCGCAGGTCGATGCGCAAAAAGTGGGGCAAACGGACGGACGGGATAAACGTAACAGACACGGGGGATCAAGAAACGGGTAGATTAGGGACGGCCGCCGGCGCGCATGGGTTCGGTCTGTCTGCGGTGCCAGACAGACCGCGCGCGCACGGCGGCGTGAAGAGGGGAGGAGGGAGACTTCGGAGAGAGGAGGTATCATTGTGGCATTATTCGCTCCTATCGATACAACGACGCGCTGCGCCCGTCGTGACAGAGCACACACCGAGGGAGAGGAGCACGTCTAGTAGCGAGCGCCGTGGCCGTAGTCGTACGCGCCACCACCCATGCCCTGATGCTGCATGGGCATGCCGTAGTCGTAGCCGGGGCGGTTCATGCTCGGGCCGCGCGAGAGCTCCGCCATGCTGGGCTGCGGGCTCGGGCCACGCTGGAGGTCCGCGTAGCCGCCGACGGGCGCAAGCGACGCGCCTGCGGTGAAGTCGTGCTCGGGGAGGGGCTGGAGGCCCGCCGCGCCGTGGCCGTGACTGGAGGACTTGAACGAGCCGTGGGACTCGTTCGAGCCCGCGCGGCGGTGGCTCGGAATGATCCCGGCGTCCTCGGGCGCGGTCGGCTGCCAGTCGATGGGCTGCATGCGGTCGTCGAAGTTGGACGACGGGCGGAGCTTCCACTTGCGGAAGATGGTCCACGCAAGCGCGATTCCACCGACCGTGGACGCGATGACGGCGATGACGATGATCGTCGTGCGGGTGATGTGGCTGTTGTCCGTCTTCACGGCGCCGGTGGTCGACGCGCCGGAAGTGGCCGAAGCCTGTGCGCTGCTGTCGGTGACGGTGACGAAGTTAGTCGAGGTAGAGCGGGCCGAGGAGGTCTGGGTATCGGTGTCCGGGCCAGGCGCTGAGGTGAACGAGATGTCCGCCTCGCTCGTGGACGTAGGCGTGGCCGAGGAGGTGGAGCTGGGCGCCGAAGAAGTCGTGCTGCTCGAGGTGGACGTGGCAGACGACGAGGCGGCGGAAGACGAAGTATCGCTGCTCGTGGACGCGGAGCTTGCGGACGTCGCAGACTTTTCGGGCTCATTAGCGTCACGTACGCGTGGGCACAAAAACCAACACTCACCGAGGACGTGGCCGAGGAGGAGGTAGAGGCGGCCGACGACGCCGTTACGGACGAAGTCGCCGACGAGGACGTACCCGTCGCCGAACCAGAGGTAGCGGTGCTTGAACCAGTGCTGGCAGTGCTGGTGGGGTCGCTCTCTGCGCCGAAGACGGGCAGGAGGGGGAAGCCGCTGACATCCGCACGTTTCTTGATCATGCGGGAGAGCTCAACATGGCCGCGGGCGGGGGTAACGAGCGAGTTCGCCTCGGATACGGTGGCCAAACCCAGGGCGACGACGAGGCAAAAGAATGTGAGTGCGACCTTGCTGCGGGCGAACATGGTTGCGTGTGTGTTCAACAGGTCAAAACCGTGTCGCAGGGGGGAGAGGGGGAGTGCGAGACGCTGTTGGGGGCTGCTGTCAGTCTTTTTCGCTCTCGAGTTCACGGCTGTTGGAGTTCGCGGAAGGAGTCGTCGCGACGAACAGGGCAAGTGAAGACGAAGGGGACCAGCCCGGGCGATGAAAAAGAGAGAACGGAGAGGATGTGGACGTACTGGACGGCGGGGAGAAGGAGGCCCCCGGGGATAGAGTTTCTTTTGTTGCTGACGAGAGAGGGGGAGATGTAAAGGAGCGGAGGGATGGCAGAGGCCAGAGTGCGAGAGCGCGGGGGAAGAGACACAATTTGGCGGGCGGCGGCTCCTGCTAAGGCGCGTCGTAACCAAGGCCCCATATCACCCCAGCAACAGGCGCCCACCCGTCGCCCCGTCAGCCGTCAATCATTCCTCCCTCTGAACGTCCGCAGCATCCCGCCCGTGAACACCGCACCTATACCTTTCCGAACACACCGCTGATTCAAATTGACCCCATTTATTGAGCACACGATGGGTACCTGAACAGCAAACACCCCTCGACTCCAGTTCACCAGGGTTTCGATTCCGTAAAGTGCGGCACAAGTAGAAGTGTACTTGAAGAAGAAGAAAATACAAGGGCGACAAATGAATCCGAGCCGTCACGGTCCATCATTGATCATGGAAAAGTAATACGCCAACTATGGTAGAAACAAACATCCGTGTCCATCAATTATGCGTCGTGGCTCGTCAGCGTCCAGCTGTCGATCGCCACCGCCGGCGGCGTCACAAAGTCGCTCGCCGACATCCCGTCCCACTGCGGGTTGAACAGCACCTGCAAGCTGTACTGCCCCGCCGGCAGGCTAATCTGCACAACGGTCACCCCCGGGTTGTCCTGGTCCGTCTGCCCGTCGATCAGCGGGGGGTCCGAGTCCAGCCGCTTCGCCGCCGCGGTGGTGAACGATGCCCCGCTCGGCGCGTTCAGGATCGACATCTGCAGCGTCTTGTCCCCGATCTGGAGCTTCGCCGAGGTCCCGTCCGGCGTCACCGTTGCGTTCGTGTGCATCCGCCACATGATAGCCTGCGACGCGGTGATGTCGTCCTGGACGAGCACTTGCTTCCGGCCGTTGAGCAAGCGAACACCACGCTTCCACGAAGTGCTGTAAACGCTTGTTAACAGGTGTCAAATACGTCGATGGTAGGGTTGCACTTACACAGTGTCCGCGTATGCGCTCGTGAGATCACCGGTGAACAGCGCGGTAGAGTCCGAGGGAACATCCATGACGGTGCTCGAACCCTGGGCGGTGCCCGACGTGAGGTTCTGGAGGATCTTGGGCTCGGCGGTGACCAGCTGGTTGTCGGCGTTCACGAGGAGCGTGTTCTGGCCCTCCGTGCGCTTTCTGTAGTACAACCACCGCTCACTGCCCTGCGTGTCGTTGCTGAAGTAGCCCTCCGAGCGGTAGTCGCCCGAGCCGAGATCTCCTCCCCAGCGCGTGCCGAGCGCGTCAATGACGAAGTCGCCCACGTCCAAGTCGTTGTGCGTCTGGTGACCCTGGTTCTTCCCGAACTTCATACCGACGTACAGCGCGTTCTCGTCCGTCCAGCTGCTGCGCATGGCCGCCCACTGGTCGAGGTCATCGGAGAAGAAGTTGTCGAGCGGCATGCCGTCCCAGAAGGCGCCAGCCACCGTCGGGTTGTAGTAGAACATGGACAGCGGCTCAGGAGCGTCGTGCTGGTCACGCTGGAAGAGGACGTATTCGGGGTGGTTGAAATGATCGCCGTACAGGAACATGGCGTTCGCGGTGGTCGAGAATTTGTTTGGACCGTGGTCACCCCAGGCGAAGAGCGACCCAGGGCCAGTGATGTACATGTGGAATAGACCGGTCTTCCAGAAGTTCGGGTTGACGTCGAGGAGATCGTAGTCGGAGCCTGTGGCACTCTTGAGCGAGGCCGCCATCTCAGCGTGTCCGGTAGTACCGAAGTACCAGTAGTTCGCAGTCTCCGACCAGGAACCGTCGGTGGACACGGCCATCGCACAGTTCGCTTTCGCGTTGTCCACGGTCTTCCCAAGGATCTGAGCCGCGGTACCAGTCGTGTCATCGTCGACGATGGCCAAAGCACCAAGGGTGAGACCGCCGTTGCAGACACAGTTCCAGTTACCCTGGGTGTTGTTTGTCCACCACCCGGTAAACAGGTTGTCGCTGTTGTTGTAGGCGATGAGACCACGGTCAAGACCATACGTGATCATGTTGGTCCGGATCATGGTCTTCTGGTCGTCGGTCCAGACATCGTACAGCCAGTCATAGGCGTAAGCGAACGCGGCAGTGAACTCGCCAGTATCGAGGAAGTGAGTAGGGTTCCACTTCGTGTTATCGTTCGGGCCGAAGGTGTCACTGACGGAGTTCTGCAGATCGACAATTAAGATCGGTCACTGCGGCGTTATGACGCTAATGCGCACCTGGAGCTCCTTGTACGCCCTGTCCACCCACTTGGTGTCGTTGGTCATGCGGTAAACGTACGCGAAAGCCTTGATGCGCATCTTGATCTCACGCGCGTTGTCGAGGATACCGCTGTCACCGTCCATGAAATACTGGACCACGGGGAGGCCATAGTACTCCGTCGCGTTGCCGAAGATCGTGTCGTTCCAAGACTTGAGGTAGGGGTCGTTCTTGATCAGGTTGGGGAGTGCCTGCCACTTGTACGCGGGTGCGATCAGGCGTGGACGGTCCGTGCGGACGTTCGTGGGCGAGGGATCGCTCGGGGCAAAGGTATCTTCAGGCCACGCAAGCGCAGCATTGGTCGAGGGATTAAACGTGGGACTAGTGTATGCGGCGGTATTGGTCTGTTGCGCATGGTCAATCATACAGCTACCGAGGCTAGACGTGGACAGATACTCACAGCCGAGGGGTAAATGGGAAGGAGGTATTGGCTGTCGGTCGCCGTCGCGAAAAGGCCAATGGCGGCCTTGGCGCTCACGGCTTGGCTGGCTGCAGCCTCTGACGAGGAACTGCCCGACGAAGATGCGGAGGATGACTTGTGCGAACGCAGGCCCAGGATGATTCCCACTACGGCGGCAGCAACGACGACGAGACCGACGGGGATACCGATCTTCACCCAGTTGCTAGTCCTCTTCTTGGTGGCCTTGGGGGTCACGAAGCCAGTGGACTCGTTGTAGTACGGGTCGCCAGAGCCATAAGGGGTGTGAATGTTGGATGCGTTGCTGTGGTTGTAAGTCGCGTTGTAGGCATAGTTGTTGGAGGCCATGGCGCTAGAGGCCCAGCGGGGCAAGTGAAGGAAAGGAGAGGACGCAGCGAGCTGCTGGAGAGGGATATGTAAAGAAACGACGGAGGACCAGCCAGACGAGGATGCTGGCGGGCGTGGATGGCGGTCGTTAGAGAGGTGAGTGGGGCGGAGACGGAAACGGGGCTGATTGTTTTCACGTTTCTCACTCGGCCTCCTTTCTATCCCTCCTCGGCATCACCCGGCACCAGCCCCTGCTATTTCTGCGTCCGGCCCCTGCTATACATAGCCTCCTCCTCCAGAAATACAACACACTCTGCACCTCCCTGCATGGCGTCGCTCGTGTGCAGACCCGTATGTCAAAGATGCGAAACATAGTCGGTAAAATACAATCCAGAACTACATGACAGAAAATCCCAAGCATAATTGAACGCGATACATCACTCTGCGACGAACACAGCAGCGGCACCAATCCCCGTTCCAACACACATGGATGTTATAAGGATCTGGAAAATCATATTTCAGCCGCCTCGTCAACGGTTCCGGGTGGGATCAAGACGGGCTTACCTTGCCGTTCCGCCGAGCGAGCGCGTTGAGGCCCGTCGCGATCTGTCGGGCACCGGTGCAGCGTGGACGGCCAACAACAAGATCAGCTACGCCTGCGATATGGCACCAATGTTAGATACTTATCTAGTGGGTGGCCAAGAGCAATGGCACCGCCATTCACGTTGACCTTGTTGATATCCAGGTCGAGCTTCTTGACACAGTAGACGTACATTGACGCGAAGGCTTCGTTGATCTGCGCGGGCGCGTTAAACCCGAACGACAGTAAAAGGCTCGCGGTGCGGAAATTACCTCGAACACGTCAACATCCTCCTTGCTCAGGCCAGTGGCCTCCAACACCCTGGGTATCGCGACCGTAGGGCCAATGCCCATGACGCGAGGCGCAACACCGCAGACTGAAGTCGTGACATGCTTTGCCAAGATTTTCAGGCCAAGCTGCTCGGCCTTCCGCCTCTTCATGAGCAGCACCGCGGCCGCGCCATCCGTGATTTGGCTCGCGTTTCCGCCTGTCGTCTGCCCGCGGCCCCACTGCGGGAACGCAGGCCGGATCTTGAGCAGGTTCTCCTTCGTCGTGCCATACCGGATCCCGTCGTCCTTCGTGACGAGCTTCGTGGTGCGCTGGCCCGAGCCGTCGTTCACGTACGCGGTGAAGGGAACGATCTCGGACGCGAACACGCCCTCCTTGTCGGCCTTCTCGGCGCGCTGGTACGACATCGCTGCGAACGCGTCCATCTCGTCCCGGGAGACGTCGTAGTCCTCCGCGAGGTTCTCGGACGTCCAGCCCATGGGCATCGCGGCGTCGCGCGCGAGTTGACAGGCCTTGACGACGTCGCTCTGCTCAGGCCCACCACGGTCGGGGCTGTGTGAGAAGACACGTCAGTACGCACCGACGGACATGAGTGACATGCGTAGTGCGCACCTGTCGGTCATGCTCTCGAAGCCAACCGCGAGACCAATCTCAATCTGCCCAGCACGTACTTTGTTTGAGATCTCGGTGACGGCCATCAGCCCCGAGGCGCACCACCGGTTCATGGTCTGGACCGGGGTTGTCTCTGGAATGCCGGCCGCGAGGGCAGCATAGCGCGCCTGGTACGGCGCGCCTTCCGTCAGTGCGGTTCCGACAGTAATATCATCGATGAGCGACGGGTCAATGGTCGACCGCGCAACGGCTTGCTGTAGTGCAACATGAGTGGACTGGCGAGGTCTCTCACGAGGCGAGAGCGCTGCACCTTAAACATCTCGTAAAGCAGCTCATCGCTCCTGTGACATGCTGTTAGCCGACGTCTACGAATGACACGAGTATAACACGTACTTGGTGTCCTTGAAGCCGCCCTTCTTTGCCTTGCACATGGGAGAGCGAATGGCCATGGTAATGACGACATCGTCGGGCGAATTCTGGAGCAGCGCTGCGCGACCCTTGGTCGTGCCAGACGTAAGATGCGACACGACTTGTTTTACGCGGTCAAGAGACATGTTTGGGGAGGTTTACAGGAACTGGTACGGCTAAGGACAAGAGGACAGGAGGGTGTCTCGCTGGAGAAGGACGTGGGGGTGGCTTCTTAAGCGTTCCGGCACTCGGAACAAGATGTGCAAGTCGTGCCGGAGACCCTGGTCTGCTGGACGCCTTCGTTTGCCGGACGCAGATCACCAGTTCAATGGAGAGGTCCCGCGGACCTGAGATTGTCTCGGCGTCGTGAGTAATGCAACACCGATCTACTGCGACCCCGTGGGGAGATGTGGCGGGCAAGAAGGCGGGGTCGGGGGACAGGTACCACCGTGGCGGGCGTCATGGTACTTAGTAAGTAATTAGTCTACTAAAAGTAACAACTTTGAGGCGTATACCAAACATCGTACACGACCACTGCGCACATAGACCGTACAACATGTTCTTGGTTAGATTGAGCCCCTTCGTGGGACTTGGGAGAGTTAAGAACGATTGTAGTCTGGACTGGTGAGTGGTCCCTATTGATCACTGCTCGTCAGCCTCCCTTTGCCAGCTTGACTAGTGACCCTACATGGCCATCGGGCCCGCTAGTAGACCTCTCTGTGATTCAGGCTGCCGAGCACAAGCCGTGTTAGCCCTTGTGTCAGCCTCATCTGCAAGTATGCGTATACCGCCCCGACGTCCGCCTGCGTACCTCACCCTTCCTGCCGTCTTCCCCCCTTGAAAGCCGGTCTTTCGTAAACCACGAAACGAACATCTGCACGCCCGGACACAGCCAACATGTCCTCCCCACCGCGCAAGCGGAGCATCCAATTCTCCCCTCATGACGACGCCCCCGACGAGCGAGCCCGCGTCGGATCCTCCGCACGCCCATACCGCGAGAATCTGACGCCGCATCCCAAGAAGCTCTCTGACGCGTCCTCGTACTTTGAAGACGTCCAAGGTGCGCAGGGCGATGTCCAGCCCACGCGCGACTACCCGACGCCACACCCCAAGAAGCTATCCGATGCCTCCTCCTACTTCGACGGTGTGCGACCCGCACATGGTGGTAGTGGTGCCGGCTCTGGAACTGGCTCTGGATCCGGAATACCGCCCGTGCCCCCTCTTCCTCCAAGCGAGCCTCCGAAAGCCGCCGTATTCGAACATCCAAAGCGAAGTGGGCTCCTTCGACGGTCCTCCACGATGGACTCGGAGATCCGGGAGCGGCACGCGACGGAACGCGCACAAGTCGAAGCCGGGCGCGCCGCGCTCCTGCGGCGGTCCTCGTCGATGGACTCGCGCGGGACGGGGACGACTGCGGCGGGGCGCTCGTTCAGCGCGCTCGAAGAGGGCGGGGAGCGCCGGGCGCGCCGGAACAGCAGTGCGGGTGGGGGCGTCGTAGGGGCGTTCCTGCGCTTTGGGCGGGGGCGGCTGCCCTCGGGTGGGCTGCACGTTCCGAAGGTGCATGTGCCGGGGGACTTCAAAGTCGCGTCGACGGCGTCGCTGTACGATAGCGGCGAGAAGCAGGTTGACGCGTCGGGAACGAGTGCGGGGTATCAGGAACGGGCGAAGCAGCTCCGTGAGCGGAGGAGCTCACAAATCACTAAGCATGTCGAAGGTCGGTCGTCTTCAGCCGTGCATATGCGACACATGACTGACAATCCCGCAGACTACGTTGCACGCCAGAAGTTCGTTCTCCGCCTCGCGAAGGCTCTCCTCTCCTTTGGCGCGCCCTCGCACCGAATCGAGTCGCAGCTCGGCTCGGCGGGCGAGATTCTCGACATGCACGTCGCGTTCGTGCACCTCCCGGGCCTGATCATGGTCACCTTCCTCGACTCGGACACGCGCACGTCCGAGACGCACTTCGTGCGGGCGGGTGGGCGTGTTGCGCTCACCGCGCTGCACAGGGTGCACGCCGTGTACCGCGACGTGCTGCACGACAAGATCGGCGCGACGGAGGGCTGCGAGCAGCTGAAGCGTATCCTGCAGGCGCGCCCGCTGTACGACATCTGGACGCGTTGTTTGCTCGCGTTCTTCTGCGCGTCGATCATCTGTGTGCTCTCGTTTGGAGGGTCGATCGTGGACATGTTCGTGAGCGGGTTGAGCGCATCGGTGCTGCAGTACCTTGGCCTCAACGCGGCGGCGAAGAGCTCCATCTATGCCAACGTTTACGAGTGAGTGATCTAGCGATGTGGGGTGTCCATCACGCTGACCTAGCCCTTACAGGATTTCGGTATCTATCGTCGTGTCTTTCATCGCTCGACTCCTTGGGACCTTGCCGGGGAATCTCTTCTGCTACAGTGCGATCTCTTCGGCCGGAGTTGTCCTTATCCTTCCTGGTTTCACTATTCGTGAGTGTCGCGCCATTGCACAGAAGCACAACAATACTGATTACGCTCACAGTAATCTCCGCCCTTGAGCTGACTTCGAGGAACATCCTCTGTGGTTCCGTGCGCATGGTATATGCTATCATCTACACCCTGTTCCTTGTGAGTACCATATCTAACATGAAGTTAGAGAAGGCCTTGCTAACCTGTGCTTCTAGGGATTTGGCCTCACGATCGGATCGGACTTTTACCTGCTCGTCAACCCTAAGGCGCGGCAACATCTCGCGGCCACCGCCATGCTGGACGCAGAGACCTTCCACGGTTTCATCCTGAACAGTAACACTTCACTGCCCATCTCGCAGCTCGGCGGCACTTTTACGTTCATGGAGACGGCGGACTCGGGGACGAGCCACATCATCAAGGGTCAGTCACTGAACGTTCTTACAATCTCTCTGCGGTTCCCAAACTGACGAACGCGGGCCACGCAGGATGCTACCGCAACCCGTCCTGGCCGTGGTACCGCCAGCCGTTCCCATGGTGGACGATGCTCTTCCTGGTGCCGATCTACTCGACGTGCTCGTCCGTCGCGAACCTGCAGTCGATCCGGAGCGTGCAGCTGCCGATCATGGTCGCCTTCTCGTGCGCGGCCTTCGCGGCGAACAAGGGCGCGAACTACCTCATCTCGGACCGCAGCGACATCGTCTCCGCCTTCGGCGCGCTCGTCATCGGCATGTGCGGGAACATCTACTCGCGCGTCGTCGGCGGCACCGCGTTCACCTCCATGGTCACCGGCGTCCTGTTCTTGGTACCCGTAAGCAACTCCCACATAACCCGGATTCTTCCGAGACGTACTCACCACCATCCATTTGCACAGTCAGCGATTGGTAACGGCGGAGGGCTGATTGCAAACTACAAGAGCTCCACGGCGCAGTATTCGAGCAGTTTCGAGCTCGGCATCCGCATGATCCAAGTCGCCATCGGGGTCACCATCGGGCTCTTCGTCTCGCAGATCCTCGTGTACGCACTGGGGCGGCGCAAGAACGCGGCCCACTTCGCCTTCTAGGATAGATTCATCAGCCTACGCATTGAATACAAACTTCTTGTCTCTCTCTAACCCCACCGCGCCCCACTGGGCGCCGCGCTACCGCCCGTCTCGGACGGGCGTGTGATGGTACAGCAAGAAAACACATCGACGACGGAGACCAAAGTTACGTGGGATGTACAGTATGCAGAATAGGAGCGGCACGAGCGTGCAGGGGAATAATGTATGCGTGCATAACTTATGAGGCGAAGAGCTGCTGGAGCTCCTCCATCCGCCGCGCCTGGATGTCGGACTTGGATAGCGGCGGGCCGAGCGTGAGGTTCGCGAGCTCCGTCTTCTTCTTCTGGACCTCGAGAAGCCGTGCCTCGATGGAATTCTCGATGATGAGCTTCACCGTTGTGACCGGACGGGTTTGGCCGAGACGGTGCTGAGGACGGTAACTGAGCGGCGTGCCTGAGCGAAGGAGAGGGCGGAACTTACGATACGATCCACAGCCTGGTTCTCCACTGCCGGGTTCCTGAGGCGAAAATGAACTGAGTGGTCCGGGTGCCTGAACGGAGGGAACGTACCAATAGGGATCCATGAGGTATACGCGTTGAGCGGCGGTGAGGTTGAGGCCGACACCACCGGCCTTCAAACTGACGAGCAACACCTCGCAGCCGGGATCGTTCTTGAGTGCGTCCATGGCCCGTGTACGATCGTCACGCTTCATGGTACCGTCAAGACGGTCGTAGCGGATGTTTGCAATCTCGAGGGCGTCCTCAATCCTAAAGGGAAGAGAAAGGTCAGCGATGGTGATTTGACGAAGCACAAGAACCACGTACTTGTCAAGCATACTCGTCCACTGCGAACTGCAACGACGACTCAGCAACACCCCTGCTGAGTGAATGACTAAAACACCTACAACACAACCGTCTTCGTGACCCCGTCTTCTAAACAGTTGCCCTCGTTGTCGACCATCTGCACCTCGATCGAGCCCGGGTCGTAGTTCGCCGAGTACGGGTTCCCCCTCGAGAACTGGACGAGGTCGTTCAGCAGCGAATTCACCTTCGTCGACGGGTGGAAGTCCTCCGGCGCGATCCCCTTCACCCGCTTCTCCTTCTTCCCCGGCTTCTTCTTCGCACCGCCCGCGATCACGCTCTCCAGCAGGCTGCAGTCCATGTCGATCTGCACGACGTCCGCCGGCCCGAGCGCGTAGTTGCACGTCGAGCACGCCCGCCGCAGCTCTGGCGCGACGTTCGGCCACCCCGGGAACGTATGTGCGCGGAAGCAGTGCAGGCAGAAGAGGTGTTGGCAGCGCGTGAGCACTGGATGTGGTGTTGACGGGCTGTTCTGCCGGGTCGAGGCACGCGAGCCCGAGGCGGCGCCGCCCTTTGGCTTGCGCCCACGCCGCGCGGGGACGGCGGGCGCGTCGACCTCCGCCATGCCCTCGTTGTTTGCGTCCGTGGGTAGCGAGAGTTCGCATGAACATTCGACGCACTGGGCTGTGCCGGCCTCCTTGAGCAGCGCGAAGATCACTGCGGCGCGCTGGAGATTAATGCCGTCATGGATGATCGAGGCCGCGACGTCCTCGTACGCGGGAGTAGCATCTCCCGGGAGCCCGAGACCCTTATTCTGCACGAGCTCGAAGTGGCAGCAAATCTGGCGCAGGCGGAGGATCTTCTGCAGGATGCCGACGTAGTTCTTCATGATCTCGTTCTTGGACGACAGCTCGTGGAACTCGGCCTTGGACTCAGTGAAGAAGCGGTCGTAGATGGACTGCTCGTCCTTGTCGAATTTCAAGTAACGCAGCTCGTCTCGGCGGGGAGGCAGCGCGAGAATCTTCTTGCCGTCCTCTGCACGCGATTCCTTGGTTCGGCGGAGCGTGATACACCTCATGATGGTCTGCAGGCGAGCCACACCGAGCGGTTGCGCAAACTTGACAGGCGTGCCGATGTACTCGTTCCAGGTGTTCTTGTCGTCGAAGGGCGCCAGCCGCAAGAATTTGATGAGAGCGTAGACGTCATCGAGCTTGTTCTGAACCGGAGTACCAGTGAGACACAAGCGCCGGTCCGCTGCGAGATCGCACGATGCGCGGCAGCCAACCGTATTGGTCTCCTTGATAGAGCTGTGCTCGACACTGCTTCAGTGCCAGCAAGAACGCAAAAACTGTGTTCACTCACTGTGCCTCGTCAAGAACGACCCTGAACCAGTGTATGCTCTGCAGCGGGCTGGTCGCCTCCGTCCCAGGCGCTGCCGCCTTCTTCCGCTTCTTCGGGGCCTTCTTCGGCTTGGGGGCCCTGCCGATTGGCCTTCCCAGCCCGTCCAGCTCGACGATCCCATCGCTGCTCCCGTCGTCCTCGTCGTCCTCGTCCGCCGCCTCGAGGCTCTTCGACTGCTTCGAAAACTCGGACGCGAGCGTCGAGTACGTCGTGATCACTGCGTCGAAGTCCGCCAAGAACGCAGGCTCCAGCCGCCGCGCGTTTCCGTGGTACACGTACACGCGCAGCGGCGGCCCGTCGCGATTGAGCGAGAACGAGTGGCCCGTGTTCGGGTCCGGCTTGATGTCCACCTGCGACCCGGACGGCGCCATCATCGCCGAGATGGAGAGCTGCACGGGCGGCGGCGCGGCGCCCTGCCCGCCGCACACGATCACCTCCCCACGCCAGTGCTCCTTGAACTGGTCCTCCCAGTTGACCACCGTTGACAGCGGGCAGATGATCAGCGTGGCACGGCTCTTCATCTTGATGCGGCATGCCCGGGTGTACAGGGCGTCCGCGCGGTTCTGCTCCCGGGCGGCCTTCGCCTTCGATTTGGCGGAAGTGCCAACGGGCGCGGCTGCCAGGGGTGGGATATTCCATACGCTGCTCTGGAATTGCGAGGCGAGCAATTGCGGGTCATATGAAGAAGAAGGGGGAGGAGTTTGTGGCGGCGTGAGCGGGGCCTCAGCAAATGCACGAGCGGAGCGCGTTGTCGCTGCTATGAGAGAAACGCAAGTGATCGTTTTTCCCAGACCCATCTATAAATGAAGGGAAATGATTGGGGGTTGCGTTAGCGTAAACTGCAATGAGTAATGGAGACGGCGACTACTCGTTCACTAGACACTTACGTCGTCAGCAAGAATGGCACCCTTCGCCTCCTCAGGCATCTCGAACACCTCCACTTGGGTAACGATGTTGACCCAAGAAATTTGGTGCGAGACCGGGTTGATCCTCTCCTGCCACATGGACAACTTCTTGCCGCGAACGCTCTCCCACTCCTGTTCCCGAGCAAGCAGGAATGTGAGAGCCTTGCGCTGGTGGGGATAGAGCGTGGTGGCAATCTCAGGTGCTGTATGCACGCCGCATTTAGCTGGAGCGGCGCATATATGCAGTTGAACCAATACGTACGCGGGTCCGTCTCGTCGAGTTCATCGCCGCCCTTCAGGCTCTTGAAGAGCTCGTCAACTTGGCTTCGCTGGACCTCAATGCTCTTGCCAGAGACGGCGGGTGAACTCCAGGACCTATGGCTACCAGGACCCATGTAGCCCGGTCGGTTGATAACCGGCGCCCGATTATGGCCGCCGGGAGGTGGATTATGAGGATTACAGTAGTAGGTGTTAGAAACATGGTCGATGTCGGACGGGAGAGATGGATGGTCTAGGAGGAGGCCGTGCTGTTGCATATAGGCAGAAACGACGGGAATGTTGCCCTTGGGCGTGTAGACTAGCATTTGGAGTTGCACCATTGGCAGCTGTAAAACATAAGCTCGGGTTCGCACGGGACCAGACAAGTGCTCACAGTGTGACTTCTGCGAATTTTCGCATCTAGGCGAATGAGACCCTTCCCCAGCATGGGGCCCAGCGGTGTCGCGACCTTCTGTTCAACTACAGCGAACACCTCGCCGGGAATGACTTCACCAGTAGGAGATTTGCACGAGGGTGGTCGGACGTTAATGTTTTCCGTCGGACTCGCGGGCCTGTTGTCAGAATGCTGTTCGTACTGCAGTCGGACCGGCACCCATTCGGCGTCCATGCCATTGGGGTCTTGCGGGATAACATATGGGATGGGGTATAGGACCAGAGCTGTGGCCGGGAGGACTCCGATGCACACCGGGGTTTTCGGAGGCAGGTCAACTGGAAGGTTGCCCATAGTCTCATGAAGCTGTGGTTGGGGCTGTGACCGCGAGGTGTGGGAAGGAGGCGGAGACGGCGAGTCGGTAAGATCGATGACTTGACGCGCCGCTGAGTGTGAAGAGGGCCCGGCGAGTGGTTGGGGGTGAGGGGAATGTGCGGAGCCCAGCGGGTTCATGGAGGGGACCGCCTGCGGCCGGGGCTGGAAGAACGCATCGGAAGTCGACGGACCTTGGAACACGGGCGGTCGAACGGTGTTCGGAATAGGACCATCATGACTCGGGTAGTAAGAGGGAGCTTGCGGCTGGTACTGAGTCTGAGAACCAGAGGGTGTGCTCGGAGCCGCGTGCGGTGCAAGGGTAGAGAGAGACATAGCCGGAGAGAGCCCGGAGGTAGACTGGTGGCGGGAGAGAGGCGTATTGCTGCCTGAGGGCGCGAAGGCCGCGTTGAACGAGCGCGACATGTTGCAGACCCGCTTGGTCATTCGCTCGGTATTGTGAGAGGCCTCGTCGTCATCGTCGAGGGTGAGATCGATAGGGTTGGCCTGCGCGTAGTTGCGCGAGAAGGCAGTGGTAGTTGTAGTTGACTGAGAGGACATGGTGAGCGACGAGAGCGAGGGGAGTGAGCGTCGAGAGCAAGGAGATCGGAGACGAGTCGTCGAGTAGAAGAGAGCGGAGGGAGAAGGGCCGGGCGCGGTGCAAGATTGCAGCGGACGGACAGGATGCGCAAGAGAAAGCGTTCAGGCAAGGAAAGAACACATAAGCACCCTGACCCTCGCTTACGTGACTTCTCGGTCGCACCTTGCCTTTCCGGGCGTGCGCTGTCGGTGATGCGTACCACGTGATTTACACTTTTGGGCGTTTGCGTGCCATACTCGGTCGACAGGCGCCAGGCACGGCGGTGACTCCGGACGGGCCCTCCTCCTGCTGCGCCCACTCCTCCGCATATCCTCGACGCCCCTGCCCCCTCCTCGTCTCCGTATATTCGCATTACGGCGCGCCATGCTCATCCCGCTCTTCCCAGGACATTTCCGCACCCACCGCACTCGAGGGTTGCGTGTTATCCCCGGATTGCGCTTACCAATGGCGTGGGTTGCTGACATCGCACGCCGTCCTTTTCCGACTCGGCCTTCCCCACTCAGTCTGACGTGCCTAAAGCACTCACCATGCCGATTGAACGCGACCGCTTCTTCCATCTTCCACATTCGCCATGTTTGAATCACCTACAACGCGCCTTGCGCCAGCGGCGGCACCGCTGCCCCGCGCGCACCGGTCACTCCGAGTGCCATCGTTTCCGGATAGGTAGATGGATATATCGCCAAATGTCATCGCCCCAACATCATGTCGTGTCCTCTGCTATTTTCGCCGAAGATGCATCATAGCCGACCTCCTCGGGCGCCGTGTGGTCTCATTGCACCCGGTGTCCGTGCCGTATAGTACTTTCTACCTATGCTCAATGACTGTCATCTTCCGGATGTTAGAGGCCCTTACAGCCCCTCTCTGACCAGATAACGTTGCACATGCCATCCGTGTTCTATTCGTCCCGCTATCTGCGGCGATGTCATAACGGCTTGCATGTGATCCGCTTCAGACATCCATAGCTCCCCGCAATATCCGGTCGAAGGTCCGCTCGTCCTCGCTCGAAGTCTTCTCCTCGTCATGTGTCTCCCGCCCCAAGCCTTGTCTCGTTCTATACGTTTGCGCGCGGCCCGCCACTCCAAGCGGGCTTGGATATCTGGGCAAGCTCGCTACGGCCTTCCAGCTATCTAGGAGGATATCGCGCTCATCATGGCCACCACTGTCGCTCTGTGGCAGCTATTCCTCGTCCTTGTCCTGATTTTACCCGTCTTGGCTCTCGAGCTTCCACCTCTGGTGCCTGCGGTTCATGATCATATCACCGCTGGCAGCGCTTCTATTGCGTTCCGGCTACCACAGCACCTTCGCATCGTGGTGGACGAACGGGACGCTCAGTCGACCGCGGACGATGGACTCACTCTGATTCCTCCGACCCTCCTGGAGTTCGCGCAGACGTTCCAGTCCGATCTGGAAACCTTATTTCCTAAAACCACAGTGTCCCTTTCGCGCGGAAACGTGCAAAACACGCCCAGCGGTCAAGCAACGATCACATTATCCCTGTCAGGCCGGCTGAATGCCACACATGCGGATGGCTCGCCCACCTCCGAAGGTTATGAGATGGAAGTCTCGCCCGGCGGCGTCCAGATCGTAGGCACAGGCAGCAAAGGGGCCTTCTGGGCCACCCGCACATTGCTCCAGGGCCTCGTTCTCACAGGCGGCCAATTTCCGGCTGGCAAGGTTGTGGACCAACCCGACTGGCGCACGCGTGGATTCATGCTCGGTACGCCACGGTGTTCCTGCACGCAAGTCTCGTAGCTGGCCCTAATCTCCGTCGTATTATTTTACAGACGTCGGGAGGCAGTGGTACCCGATTACCTTCCTGGCGGACCTGTGCACGTACGCGTCGTGGTTCAAGATTAGCGAGTTTGTATGTTTCTAGGCGCGCGCTGCGGTAGCTGTCGTATTGAACTATGTCCGCGCCCAGCACGTCCACCTCTCGGACAACGTCTCGCCGCGGGGCGACTTCAATGCATACGCACGCTTCCGCCTTCGGCCTGAAGATCCGGCCCTGGCAGGCCTGACCCCGCACCTGAACGAGACGTATTCGCGGGCGGAGTTCGACGCGTTCCAAGCCGGGTGCGCAGCCCGCGGTGTTACAGTAAGCAGCCGTCTCAATTTTTCTTCTTCGCGTATGGTGCCAATATAACTCACTACATCGCGCCGCGCCCGCAGGTCGTGCCAGAATTAGAGTCGGTGCGTAGTCGGGACCTGTGCGATTGCGCGCGCACGGCCTGACCGCCCTCCCCCTTTGTCAGCCCGGGCACGCCTTGGTCATAACACAGTGGAAACCCGAGCTTGCGCTCTCTACTGACCCGACGCTGATTAATCTGACCGTCCCGGACGCTATCCCCACGATTAAGTCGATTTGGAAGGGTGCGTCATGTACGATATCGATGCGGCCTCGCCCACTGAACGCGTTGCGTCACCGCGTGTTGTAGAATTCCTTCCATGGTTCCATACGAGTGCGTCCTTTCGCATCCTAGATAGGGATAGGAGACAGGGCAGCTGAACAGGCCACAGAACAGGTGTCGATCGGCGCGGACGAATACAATTCTTCCTTGGCAGATGACTACAACAATTTCGTGAACGAGATGGTATGCCCCTACCGCAGCAATGCCTCGCCCCTGGCGAGCTGACGGAGTTTGTGCACAGAGCGACTTCATTGGCCAAGAGAGCGGGAAGACGATTCGACTTTGGGGCACGCGCGAGCCGTCCAACACGACGTCCGTCAGTAAGAACATCACCATACAGCACTGGTGAGCGTGCCCTCAGATCGTCCGACCTCCCGCATGCTCATCGAAATTCAATACCATACAGGGATTTCGGAGACGACGATCCGTTCGAGCTGATTCGCTCTGGCTACGATGTCATCAACAGGTGAGTCGCGCCGAGGAGAACGCGAGACGACGTACGCACCGCTGACCAAGCGGCCGGCCTGGGCATGCGTGTGCACCTACAGCGAGGACTCCTTCCAATACATCGTGATGAAACAGGTGCGTAGCCGTTAGTCATTCCCCGCCGCGGGCCCGCCCGATATTCACGGGATATCCCCCTCCCCCCAGTCGGGCTCGTTCCCGCAGGCCCTGAACCAGACGCGGATCTGGGATGGGGCAAACGTAAACACCGGCGGGATCTGGGACCCGCACGTATTCGACCGAGGTCAGTGCTGGCATCCCGTGCGCGCCGTTCCCGGGCGAGATAGCGGTGGAATGGCGGTGCTCATCGGCTCAACAGGCAACGCGTCGAACAACCCAAGCATCTCCGACCCGCACCTGAAGGGCGCGATCATGGTGCGTGCTGCACAATTAAAACGCGGCGGCTGCTGCGGCCGCCGCGCCCGGCGGGCTCGCTCTGCGCATTTAAGCCAATGTGCTAACCCCGCCACGCACATACAGGCGGCGTGGAACGACCACGGGCCGACTGCCAGTACGTTCCTGGAGGCGTTTTATGCGCTCAAGCAGGGGCTCCCCGTTGTCGCGAGCGCGGGCTGGCAATCCGCGACGCGCGCGAACCATCTTACGCACGCGCAGTTCCTTGCCGCGTTTCCCGCGCTCGAGGCGGCCGCCCCGGGGCAGAACCTCGACCGGCGCATTCCCAGTAAGGGCGCGGTCGTCGTCGACTACGACTTGACGCGTCTCGGTCCCGGTGCGTCCAGGGTAGCGGACTCGAGCGGGAATGGGTACGACGCGCGTCTCGAAGGCGCGGTGCTGCATACCCCGCTGGGGAGCAAGGGGCACAACTATACCCTACTCCTGCGCGTACGACTAAGCGGTACGCCGGGAACGCTGCTGTCTAGCCCGGACGACTCCTTCGGGGTGGCGACTCTACCCGACCAGGGGCTCACGCTGGCCTTTACATCATCGAACATCACCTACCTCCTCTCGAACTACACCCTTCCGTCTACCTCCGCGGACACGGCGGTAAGTATTGTACTGACGGGCACAGAGCACGGCACATCTGCGTTCGTAGATGGCGCCCATGCCGGCGACTTTCTCGTCTCGATCGATCAGACGTCGGTGTTCGAGCCGATGGCATTTGTAGCACCGGTGCAGACCATAGGTGGAGGCGATAACAGGTTGCAGAGATTCATACTTTGGGATGGCATACAGAGCGAAACGACTATATAAATAACTACCAGATTATGGAGCCAACCAGTTTCTTGGACGCACGCCTGACAATGCGTGTGCGGAGAGCGTATTCATGAGAAAGTACGAAGGGGGAATACCGTCCATACTGGCGCCGAGCGAATAGGTACGAAACTAAACCCTGCGGGGCCTGCAGCTATGCGGTTACAGTACAACGTGAGATACGACGAACAAGTGATACAGGTGAGAGAAGCGCGCGGGGTTACCTTACATGCGCGAGTACATTGGGCTATTGTAACCTAGCAGCACGTAGCGACCGTAGAGTGATAGTCTGTTGCGGCTCTTCCGCCGGCACTCGACGGACGATACCCTGATCATATACCACGCAACCCCATCTCGAACTCACCATGCTGCACATGGTGAGTTCGAGATCCGCCAGCGTGGTCCACAATCTGGAGGAGCGAGATGACAACTGCCCAAAGTATTCGTGAGGGCCGGTGACGGCAGCGCGGCGTAATCCGCATCAAACACCTGTAGACTATTCAGCTCACAGTGGCAAAACGATAGGCGAGTTACTCACGAGGCGCCCAGCCCATGGCATGGTAGGCTTGTCGGGCGGCCTCCTCCTTGGCGAGCTGCTTGCTCGCACCTGTGCCTTGACCCTTTTCGATCCCGTTGACTGCGAGAGGTATATGATTAGTGTTTAAAAGTACGCCTACAAGCTGCAAAAGCGCACCAAGACACAACACGGTCCATCGGCCGGCGTGCGCAGGCCCCGAGAACTGCGCGGGATACTGTACTTCGAGACGGCGCTGCTGCGCGGTCTGGTTGAAGAGAGGGAGAAACGCAGAATGCGGCTGCGCGGGTGCGAGAGGATTGAACATAGGAAGGGGAGGGGGCGCGCTGGCCGGCGGCGGCGGCGGAGGGGGCTGCCCGTACATAGACGGCGGGGGAGGTTGTCCCCAGTAGCTCGCCTGGGGCTGACCAAACCCCATGCCCATCCCCATGGGCTCGACCTTGACTCGCTTGTTCTCGGGCTCTGGCGAAAGCCCCGACTGAGCCCCTGGTTGAGCCTGGGGATCGACAAGGGCTCCGATCCAGTCCCGGACCGCCTTGTACCCTCCACCGACGAACACGGCCCCCACATAGGAATTGAAGAGAATACGAGTCTCCTTGGAGGGTGTGAGGGACTGTGCGGCGGGAACGGTAGGTGGGCAGGGACGTACCTCGGGGCTGCTGAGGTTCACGGACGAGGTATGACGAACCTTATCCCTCCATCTATACCCAGAAACCCAGGACTCCACGTCCTCCTGTAGCTTAGTTTCGACCTGTTGCTACGCGGCGCGTGCAGTGAGCAGGTATCGGATGAAGCATACCGAGTGGCACAACATACCTTCAGCTCGTCCGCCTTCAACATAGGCCGCTTGTAAAAGAGCACGTCGGTGTAGGCCGCTTCGAGGACCTTGTCGCCAAGAACCTGTAGTCGTTGGCCATCGCCGTAGGGGGAGTCGCCGTTAAGAGGGGCGCCAGAGAACTTCATCGAACGATGCACAAAAACCTCGAGCATCGCTTCGCCGTCGATTTTCGGAGCGGGGGGGAGATCAGGATCCATAGTGACTGAAGCAGAGCGAGAACGCTTCAGGTTGGGAGAGGGACTGTGAGATTTCGCTGGTGCGGAGGGAGAGGTACACGTGCCAAAGTCTGGAGGGGAGGTTAAAATGTGGGTTGCAGATTGCCGCAGCAGGCTGCCACAGTACATGTATGTATACGCACCGGACTGTGCTGCGGTAGTCGAAGCTCCGTTGCTCGTGGACGCTTCCGATGCCGCGCTGTATCCGTTTGTGCCTCCCAGTCCCAGAGTCATCGTGGTGTGTGCGGAAGAGAGTTGAACGCAGGGGCCGCCACTGCGTGGCCGCTGCTGCACTGATGCGAACGGCTCGCCCGCCAAACGCAATTGGCTTTCCCCCGGCGCAGCGCTGCAGCACCACCAAAGCTCCGCCGCGTAGCGCTTTCACAAAGCGCTTTGAGATCTGAGACCCACATACAATACGACGAAAACGTATAGCTGTACAATTTCGTATGAACTAAAAGGCGTGTGCCGCAGATACCATAACGAACTATCTAGATATCGGGACGTTGTACGGTAATAGCGCTGGAAGGCAAGCAAAACAGTCCGAATCGGAGCACGTATCGGAACAATGACAGATAGCGCAGTTCAACTGTCCCAGGTCAGAGAACAAAAGACAACCCTCTCTAGGCGTACTAAGAGTCACCGAGGTCTATGACTTGTTTGGCGGCCGCCCTGGCCGCCCGTCTCTGCTGTTTGGCCATGAGCTTTTGCAGAACATCCACCACAGGACCCAGGTTAGGCTCCCGCGAGAGCCGCTGGATAGCTTCCGAGATCCTGTCGAATGGATGCTGTCAGTGCACTGGGCGCCCATCACAGAGCAATAGGCCTTACTGAGAGGGGCCCTTTGCAACTACCGGGCAGTCTTTGAGCAGGTGATGGGGCACGCGTCCGCAGACTACACATGGTGGCTGTCCCACCATCTCCTTTACCTTTTTGGCTTTAGGAACATCGTTGGTGGGCACAGGGGAGGGCGGGCGTTTGGAAGAACCCGCGACCGCGTTCGAGGGTTTGGATATGCGGGGAATCGGTGGCGGGGGTATCTGGACTGCGGCAATAGACGGCTGTGGTTTGGATGTACTGGGCTGCGAGACACCATTCTTCGAGGGCCCTGCGGTGGGCCGTATGCCGTTGGGTGTAGCCTGAGCTGCAGGGCGCGCACTCGGGGTATCGACCCGAGTCGCTTTCTGCAGGGGTACCGCAGAGGGCTGAGGAGGTGCCTCGACGAGATGCAGCGGCTGACCGTAGATGAGACTGATCTTTCCGAGCCGATGAAGGGTCTCATCGATCACCCGGATAGCAGCACGCTATGATGCAACACGTCAGTAAAGGCGCGGTACAGGTGAGGCATAATTTGAGTCGCCGTACCCGCTCCTCGATCGTCTCATCTCCCGCATGCTGCATGAGCATGAGCCTGTACTGCGCCAGATTCTCCGGACTGTCCGTCATCGAGCACTGGCCGGGAGGATGGATCTTCCCGCATAGACCACAGAGTTCGCCCTGCGGCCGTCCGGAAGCCTTCGGTCGATTATGTATGGGGGACAGCGCTCGGGATGTCAGATCGGAATGCTTATGGCGTGACGCCCCCTTGTGCTTGGAATCGTGCTTGGAGGCGAGAGGCACCGGAGGGCTGGACCCGCGACGTTGTAGCATGATGATGTCGTCCATGTCCACGTCCATACGCACAGCGCTCGCATCCGACTCGGTAGCGGCATCCGATACTGCAGCACGAAATTCGGAGTCGTCTGACCCTGCCGACTTGTCTCTGGATTTTTTCCGCTTTCGCGACTTGCCCTGCTCCTTCGTCGGGGTATCGCCGAGATCCAAACTTTGCTAAGGGGCCGTCAGACACGAATCCGAGAGAAGACTGCCGATGTCACTCGCCTGAGGAAACACCGCAGCCGCTTTGCGCCGCACGCCACGCCCAGTAACCTCCTTCTCGCGTTCCTTAGCACGCTCTGTGGCAATAAGCTGGAGCGCCTTCGCCCACGAGTCCGCTTCTTCGGAGTTCTCTGCCACATCATCTGCTAGGTCTTCCAGGCCGTCCTTCTCCGCCGACCAAACCTTCGCGAACGCGAAAAGCGATCCAGCACCCGACTCTGGCTCGACTTCGTCACCTTCCTTCTCGGTCTTGTCGATGAGGTTGTCGATGTCATGTTCCGAATCTGTGATAGTCGCACTGTGAGCGATAGACCGAAATCGACCGCCGGGCGATACCCACAATGTATCTCCCGCGCGGCGCTCTCCTCGGTCTCCTCGAAAAGCGCTTTAGCTCCGAACATGAGGATCGACTGCACGTCTTCCTTCGAGCCACTCTCGTCGTCCATCTTCTGCACAATGAGATGGTCGAGCACGAGCTTCTTCTTGCCCGTCTGCATAATACGTTCTGCAACGACATCAGCACCTTGCAAGCAATGCGATGTGATGCCTTACCCTCGGCGGAATCCTTAACCATGAGCTTGAATACAAGTACTGTCTTCTTCTGACCATATCGATGTGCACGGGCGATAGCCTAAAATGGGACGTCAATATATACGCGTTTTAATGTCTGGAGAGATCGTACTTGAAGGTCCTGATAATATATTGCTATACATTAACAACATGCCTAATCATTTGACACTGAAATACCCGTACCTGATGAGGGTTGAAGTCGGGGTCGAATATGATGACTGTGTCTGCGCTCCAGAGGTTGATACCGACGCCACCGGCGCGCGTCGTCAGAAGGTAGATGAAAATGTCTGAGTCTGCCTTGTTGAACTCGTCCATGCCTTTCTGACGATCAGCTTGCTTCGTGTTACCGTCCTGGGGACATCATTAGACCGCTTGGCTGAAGGTCTCAAAATGACGCTTACTAGACGGAGATACTTGACACCCTCGCCGATCAAGAAGTCCTCAATGATGTCCAAGGCGATGACGAACTAGGACCTATGAGCGCACGCGCAGCCACGCAGGAGGTCACTACGCACCTGACTGAACAAGAGAACACGATGTCCCCGCGTGCGTAGTTTCGGCAACAACAACTTCAACAGACGAAGTTTTGCACTCGCCCCAACCAGCCTGTCATGAGTCTCTTGGGGTGGCAATCCTCGCGGCTCGATGGTCTCGGACACGAGGTACGGATGCTGGATGCACTTGCGCAGCTGCATAAGCATGTTGTTCATGTTCGATTTTGTCGTTGCGTTGCTGTTCTTCGATGCACCATTGTTACCGGACAAACTATTCAGGATGTCCAGGTTTTGACCTGTCCGATGTCAGCAGACGAAATGGCACCAGTAGGAATATACGTACTGAGGATTGACCGATAGACCTCCTTCTGGAGAGAAGCCATGGTGACAGGAACGATAACCTCGTTCTACGACAAGCTCTTAGTCCTACTGTCTCGCACGAGAGTATAGAGATCAGTACCTTGGGCGGCAGCTGCAGGACTTCTGACTTAATGCGACGCAGGAAATATGGCTTCAGTCGGACGTGCAACTCCTTGACGAGGTCATCGGTAAGCTCCTCGTACTGCCTCGAGAGCGCCTCCAGATCCCGCCACTCCTCGGGATCCAAGAAGTTCATGAGGTTGAATAGTTCTCGGATGTTGTTGTTCAGTGGAGTCTACGACTCAGACGTGAGCTTGTGGCATATGGATGTGAAGCTGATAAGTAACACTTACGCCGGTCATAATGATGCGGTGGAAGCTGTTCAACTCCTTGAGACGCTTGAAGATCAGACTCGCGTCGCTCTTGACTGCAGTGGAGTAAGCCTCTGACTACTTATGAAACTGTCCACGGATACTCACGCCTCTGTCCTTCGTCTACGACAAGTGCCTCCCATCGCGGCACACTCTTGAAGACAGGTGTGAACTCCTTCGCGTTGGTGACGGTCTCGTATGTGGTGACTAGAACATGATATTTCGCGCCTGTCGTCCCGCTAGCAGGGTTGTTGTGAAAGAGTTCATACTTCTTGATGATGTCTCGAGACTTGGCCTCGCCATAGAAAGGGACGACGCGGAGTTTTGGCGCCCAGCGCTCAAACTCACGAACCCAGTTCGTGATCGTCGAGTTCGGGACGACTACCAACGCTGGGAAGCACTTGAAGGCTGTCGCAAGATACCCAATGAAGGTCACGATCTGAACGGTCTTGCCCTAAAATGCGAGACATGAGCTATAGTGGTCGACAAAAGATTCTTTGAATCAATCCTTACGAGACCCATCTCGTCTGCAAGGATACAATTCTGAGAGATGTTCCAGTTGTGACAGAGCCAGTTGACGCCGTCGACTTGGAAAGGCATGAGTTTGAACTGGGAAGCTTGACCAAGCTCAGGCTGCGCTTCTGTTGTAAACGCCTTCTTCTTGAGCCATTGCGGGCCGGCTTTCATGACTCCTTGTTTCTTGTCCCGCAAAGGCACAGTGACGGACTGGGCGAAGATGAATCGCTTGAAGGCGTTCAGGTAGGCGGCATGACCTGTCTCGGATAAGCGAGGAGGCGAGTCCCAGGACGCTGTAAGGGAATGTTAGTCAATCAAAGCTGGAAACAGTAGAGGTGAAACGCCCAACCGTCATCGTAGCCAAGGTCGTCCCACTTGAGGAACGCCCATGCGACCTTGTCGGCGTGTTTCTCGCTCAATCGTTCCTTAGTGAGTTTCTCGAACTCCTCGACTGTGACCATCGTATCTGAGGGGGGCTCCTCGCCACGCTGATACGCGAGTTCTCGAGCTCTCGCCATCTCTGGGTCGTCTTCGCTATGTTCCTCGTCACTCTCTACCCTGGCCTTCTTACCCCTGACCTTGGTAGGTTTGCGTGGGCGCCAGAGACGAATGTCTAGCACACGGTCTACAGTCTTCCACAGCGGAGGAATCTTGCGTTCGGCGTCCGGGTTGGCGAAGAGAGGCGAGGTGTGTCCTCCGTCTTTCAAGGCAGGTGTGGCGTCTTCGCCGTCTTCACCTGCAATTTCGAAGTCCGCAGGTCCAGCGTCACCGTTCTGCTCGGGCTCGGACGCGGGGTCGGGGAGTAGAGGAATCTTGGAGCCAGCTTGGAGGAAGTTTTTCAACTTCGTTTGCGTCACGGCCAGAAGCCATCCGTGCGGAACCCACTCGACCCGCCGGTAACTGCGGTCGACCCACTTCACGAGGTATTCTCGAGGGAGCATGGCCTTGTAGTTGACGGGCTCATCAGCGGGGCGAGGAGGCTCTACAGCGTTCTCTGGGTAGGGTCGCCACGCAAGGATGTGTTCGACGATATACACGTAAGAGATGCAATCCCCGCACTTCCAGCCTGTCTGGTGCTGATAGTAGCGGGCAAGGTCGGCAGGAGAGATATCGTCAGGATCAAAGTCGTCAGGAACCGGCAGATGTGCGTAATGCGAGAGACGTTTGCAGGTAAAGCATCGGAAGAGCAACTCGTGAGGGCTGTCGTCGTCATCGTCATCCTCCTTCTGTTCTGGCGCGGGTGCAAGAGAAGGAGACGGAACAGTTCCATTCGTACCGGGGGCACTATGAGGAGCGGATTGGGTATCTTGATCTTGCGGAGCCGTGGTTGTAGCATGATGGGCGAACTCGTCCGGCTTGAGCGCGACCTCTTTGCAGCCCATACATACGCCACCTTTCATGCATGACCCGCAGATAAACTCGGTAGTTTGATAGGTGTCGAGTCCTGGTCGCCTTCGGGGTTCAGGCAAGCTGGGATCCGTGGCACGCCAACTGGCCTTATCCCGCTCCTGGGCGGCTCGGAGAATTTCATCCCGTTGAGTCTTCGCAAGACAGCCCCAATGCGCGGCAACAGGACACTTGAGGCTGATTCAGTCGTAAGCCGTCACTCAAATGCTTCACACGTAGCGGCGCTATTCTTACCATCGCACCCATCCGCCGAGAGCGTTGAGTCTCGTTTCCTCGTCTTCCGACTCGTCGTCTTCATTCTTCCGCCTCCGCTTACCCTTCTTCGCCGCCTTCGTTAGTTGCTCGTGCGCGGGAGTGGTGTGGCATTTCTCGCATATCCCTCTGTGCGCGATGAGAGGGGCAAGTTCCTCGTCCTCCTCTTCGTCATACTGGAGGTCCGCAACAACACGGAAATGGCCATAGGCTGCCCGCGACGCCTTGCCGCGAACAATCTTCTTCTTCTTCACAACTTTGCTTCGCGAAGTTGAGGCAATGTCTGATGCGTCGTCGATGAAGGCTGTATCCTCGAAATCTTCATCGTCCAAATTAGCTCGCCTGCTCGTTCGATTGCGTGTGGACTTGCGAGTAGCCCGAGCGACCTCTCGGACATCGCTGTCGCTGTCGGAGTCATGGATGACGATCGCGCTTGAACGCGTCTTCTTAGGACTGAACGGTAAGTCGCTGCCAAGCTTCTGGTTAGCATTGGCAGCGGCGGCGCGTGTGCTCCGACGTTTCGCAGGTGCAAGAGCTAAGTCGGAATCTTCCGCAGAGTCAAGATCCTGCGCTAGCTCATCTGAACTGTACTCCTCGACCGTACGCGAGCGGGCCTTGGGCCTTTTCCCGCGACCAGGGAGTTTTAGCGTCAGTACGGCTTTCCGAACGCCGGGATGCACTTCTGAAGAGGTGGGATCGAAAGGTGGTAACGTCCCAAGAGCCTTCGACTCCTCTATATGACATGCAACGCTCAATAACGCACATGATACGAGTCCACGACATATGCTCACCGTAGTCCTGTACCAAGCCCAGGTGACGAGATTCGAGGGGGCGGGCGGGCACCTGAGATATAAGTGGTAAGTGAGTTATTCAGACGTCACCACAGAGCAGCCAAATCGTCTCGTCCATGATCGCATATTATTCTCTGCATTGTCTTCAGGGTGAGCGGCGAGGGCTGCGCCCGACCTCATCGCAAGTGTTGCAGTACATGCATGAATGCTCTCACCTTATAGATCACTCCGTCATCATAGCGAACATAGTAGAATGACTCTGCGCCATCTCGAAAACCCGCTACGATGCGCTCCAGTCCGTCATGAGAGAACTCGGCGTCAGATTCGAGCTCGTCTTCAGCCACTGGCCGGTATCTAGCCTTCTGAGCGCGCGAAAGAGTGGGGACGTGAACGCCGGCAAAAATCGGGGTTGTATGCGACCCTTTCGACTTCACCGACCCGTCGAGTGAAGACATGGAAGTATCGCCAGGAGCAGGTGCGTCTGTGGACGGTTCGCGGTCGACCACCCGCGCGGGCGAGAAGAGGTGCATTGCGTCTGAAGCGTCCGAAGTTGGCTCAGACATGTTGGGGAGCCTCGCCAAGGTATATGGTGCCCAGAGAGAGCCACTAGACGCGACGCGACGCGTGGGGGGTGTAGCGAGAGCAGAGAGAAGAACGCGCCTCACTTTGTGGCCGACGCGCCAGGAAACGCAGGTGCAGCACGTGCTGCTGCAGAGGAACCCTGGCGGTGGTCGCAGGTTGCCATTAAAGGCAATTATTGCCTTTCTAGGTAGGGCTGTAGCAACAATCATAGCCGGGCTCGCTCGTCTGTGTCGTCCTCCATACCTCCTCCTCCCGCTCGATGTCGCGAATACCTCAGTATCCTCCAGAGCTCTCCAGACGTACTCGCGCCCCCAGCGTCAGTGATAATGGGGCCCCGACGCGCCCTCTGCAGATCAACCGGGTCCCTACTCGTCCTACCACACCTAGCGGCAGCAGTTCCGTAGCTTCAGGGTCTCCTGGCGGACCAACACGCCCTACCCGATCCGGCCTGCGAAGCAGACAGATATCCGAGTACTCCACGTCTGAACGAGTCTCGAGTGACTCGCGTACAACACGCGACTCCAGAGAGGCATACGAAGGCCGACCCGCCGGACTACCGGATGGCCCACAGCCCACTCGATCGCGTATTATCACACAGAATGGTTCAGAACAGCAGGCAAATGGCAGAGTAGGCGCAGCAGGAATCTCGCCTCCTCAAGTTTCCCCCACTTCCATGGCCGCGGTGGCAGCATTCCAAAGCTTCGGACGCCGGAGAGGAATGTCGAACGATGATGGGCCGGATGAGTACGAAGAGCAGAGGAGGAAAGAGAAGGAGGAGCAGAGGGCTCGCCAGATGAGGATCAAGGAGAAAGTACCTGGAAGACGAACGACCGGCAAGGCGAAGGCTGGAGATATCGACGGTAAGTGCCTCTCGAGCAGCAGCTACCGTTTCCACCTGTGCAGAACGAGCGTGGAGCTTACGTTTATTATAGCCGTATTGGACGAGATCAAGGATGAATGGACAGTAGTAACTGACCCCGATGTAAGTTGCAATTAGCAGACGTCGAAATAATGAGATTGATTGGAGCAGTTCAATCCAGTGGACCTGGCCCTTCAGCTCTTGGACGACTCTTCGCTCGGTAAAGACATGGACTCGTTCCGAAGGACGAAAGACATGCTCTCACGCGCCATGAAGGGGTCCGTCGACAGTGGGTTGGCTCTATACTGCGGAGCGAACTACGGACACCATTAACGCTGTGGATATTCAGAGCACTATCAAGCATTCAACGCCGCCCTTCCCCACCATTCGTCCTTGCTAAACCATCTTGATGCTACACAGTCTCAGATTAAGGACGCCCGCAATGCCCTCCAAGAGGCCAAAGAGACGTTAGGCAGCAAGCGCGCGGATCTCGTCCAACTGTGGTCTCGCAATCAGACGGTCGAGGAGATGATGCGAATACTGGACCAGATGTGTGTATACAGTGACATCACTACACATAGGCTGGCCTGCTCACTAGCATAATATCTAGTGAACACTTGAGATCGGTTCCGGACGCTCTGGAGAGCCTCATCTTGGAGAAGCGTCTGTTACAAGCAGCAGCTCTCCTTGTACGAAGTCTCAAATTAATCAATAAACCCGACATGCTCGAGATTGGAGCGATCTCAGACCTCAGAAGCTACCTAGTCGGCCAGGAGACAGTGGGTTGTCCTGAAATTGAACGCCTCCTTTTTGACATACCTTTTGTTCCTCGCCACAGACCCTACGAGATATTCTCGTCGACGAGCTACACAGTCATCTCTATCTCAAGTCATTCTGGTGCGAGTCTCGTTGGACCGTATACAACCCTAATCAACAAAACTGTAAGTCATACCTTGGATATCCGTTTTCTTCTGGCACATCTAAGTGCGTATCTCCAGTCATGGCGCAAACCAGTCTCGAAGAGGGAGAAGGCTCCAATGACACGGATCGCCCTCTCTCCGTGTCTTCACCAGTTTCACCTACGGCGCCCCGCGCAACACGAGTGGCGAAATTCCTCGATGATCTTGCCCTGCGCCCGAATGACCCGCCTTTCAATGTCAACGACTCAAATTACCGCCATAGCCTCTCTGCTGGACTGACTGCTAGTACATCTGCCTACGGGTTCTCCTCCTCTGTGTCGACCAATGCGCTATCGGCCTTTGCTTCAGCTTCAAACGCCCAACCCCGCAATCCGGAAGCTGACTCCTTCGCATACATCGAGATGCTCCTCGAGTCTCTCGCTGCACTGGGGAAGCTGGGTACTGGCCTGGACATCGTCGCACAGAAACTACCAGGAGAGGTATTCTCCCTCATCGAGAACACTATCGAAGAGGTATCGGAACGCGCGGAGTACGGCCGTCGCGGGTCGATGATCGGCATGATGGACCCAGGGTCAACAGGAGGGCGGCCAATGGATCTCTCGATGCTCACTGGCCCTATCATCACGTCGAACGCGCTAGGTATCGCCGGTGTGGCCGTTTCCGTGGCTCTTCACGGATCGACCGTGAACGCCCGCCGTACAATCACGGATGCGACCAACTTACGGTTGATTGCCTTGGAATCCTCGACGAAGGTCATCGATCAAGATATTCTCAAGGATTTCTTCTGGACGTTGTATTCGAAGCTCATCGCAGTCAGCGAAGGACTTCGGGTCGTTTACGAGGTCGCGAACCGGATTGGTTCAGTACGTCTTTCACCCAACCAGAGGCGCCACATCTTGTTCAAATACTAAGCTGCGTGATTACCCAGAGGAGAGATTACAAGGATTCCTCCGGTACCAAGCCAGGTGCTCTGTTCCCGTTGGAAGACGTTTGGGCGCCAATACAAGCAGAGGTGAATATATGCCATGACCCGTCCTGCATCCAAGATGTTGAATATTGCGCTAGGTACGGACATTGCTCAGTGACTACATCACCGATGAAGAGCAAGGGGCGATATCTGGGCGCAACCCAATCTCGTCAATCAACGAGGTCCTCCGAGATGGCCGTTTCACTCGGGATAAGGGCAAAGTGCGTTTTTGTTCTTTCACGTGCACACCTTGCTCAATAATTCGCTTCAAAGCCTATTTTCCGGTTCGCAGATACGGACGCCAAGTTTGCGACGAAGGCACTGCGACAACACGAAGAAGAGCTCACGCGCGTCCTCAAGGACACTGTGCCGGGGCTTGTCCAGGGTTCTGAGAATGCCCTACAGGCGACTCTAGCCGCAGTTGGTACGGACGATCGGCTGATGGGCACCGGCCAACACCATAGGGTATTGGTGCATCCGAACGCGTTCCACGTCAGTGTACTGTTCCAACCGACCCTTGCATTCCTCGATCGCATTTCGGACGTCCTTCCCGCTGGACTCGAGACCGCCCGTGCATCCAGTGCGGTGCTGGACGAGTTTGTCCTCAAGGTGTACTTGCCACAGCTAGAGGACAAGGTATCTGCACTATTCCACCAAACTGTCACAAGTACGTTTTTCGTGATACCTTGAGCGGCATGCATTGACAGGCATACCCAGGTCCGGACGCATTCGAGCCTGATTCAGCGTCATTGACACTGTCGCCAAAACCACTGGTGAAAGTAAGCTTATGTTGGCGCGTTACCCGTACCATTGCAATCTGACTCGTCCGGCAATGTAGGCGAGCGTGCAGCTAATGGCGTTGATCAATTCTCTCTGTGTCATGCTGCGGACGACTCCCTTCCATCGCGAGAACTACTCCCGGCTGATTTTGACGGTCATCGGGAAGTTCTATCAGCGCTGCAGCGACAGGTTCTACGACCTCGTTGCCGTCAAGGGAGGCAGCTCACCAGAAGACGATTCTCGTATCGCTTTGGCCGCTCAATGGGCGCAGAAGCCAGAGCTGGGGCCTTGCCTGTCCGAGCTACTGAAGTTGTTGTCTGGTGATACTTCGGCGGCGACCAAGCAGCAGGTATGTCGACAAGAGACGCATCTTGAAAACAGCCTGCTAGGTGAAGGTGCAGTTGGCAAGCACGACCTCATTCCTTCTATTCGCAACGTCTCCGCCCTCGCAAGCTTGTACCACAGTGTTGTATGTCCTCCATTTTTTGTAGATGCTCTCGTCTCACTTTCGCCTTCCGAACAGACTTGGTTTGCTGCACAGCTCGAAGTGTTGAAGGGCACCGATGATGCGACGTCGCTCACCAGCCCACTCCGACTCGAGCCTTCCAGTGCACTGTCTCCCACATCACCATACCTCCCCATCGTCACTCCCGTACATCCGGACGAACAGCTCAAACTCCCGCTGTCGTCTGCGATGGCTCTGTACGTATTCCCCATGCTGTGTAACGAGGAACAAATTTATTAACACCCTACAGACGCTTCCAAGCGCTGCACATGACATACGTACAGCTGGCGGAACTCATCCTCTACACCATCCGCATCGACGTCAGGTGTCGAGTCATCCACCATCTCGACCTTGCGCTGAGACACGTCAGTAATTTTTCGTCCGTTCGTGTCGGACCTAACTGACGGCGCTGTAACAGGGCATCTATCGCATCGAACGAGAGGCGGCCGAGCCGGACCCTCATATCATCGACCTCAACACGGAGATCGGCAACTCCGATGCGTCTCTCACGTCGTCATTACCTGAGGTTCAGCGCAAGTATGTATCCATGCTCGGAGTCGTCATATACATGCATCTTACACCCCCTCAGATTCGTGTTCGAAGGCATGGGCCACCTCATGCAACATCTCGTGATCTCGAACGCACGGTTCATTCAGTCGGCGAACGCGTTAGGGATCAAGAAGATGATGCGGAACATGCTTGCGCTGCAGCAAAACATCAAAACGATCACGGATGACAGCAACAGTACCGACTTCGAGCGCGCAAAGCGGTACTACTCGCTGTTTTTGCTGTCACCTCCTGTGAGCCTTTCTCCCTGCGTCAAGTTTGGTGTCGTACTGACACCTCACGCAGGACATGCTCGACACAGTCCGGCAGAAGCAAGAGTTCACATTCGACGAGTATAAGGCGATCCTCGACCTCCAGTGCGGCGTGCAGCCGAATCTCAAGAACAACGGCGCGCAAGCCGCGGATCGGAACTACAACATGTACCTCATCGAGCTGCACGGGTTGGAGCTGGAGAACTCGGCGGACGGGAGCTAGCGGGTGCAACGACGGACGTTCTGCGATTACGTTTGGAAGTATTTATACTCTTGTTCCTCCATACCCTGTTGGATACTGGCATCACCACTGTACTCATCCGCCCATATCTCATTTCTTCTTGCTCGGTGCCACCTCCTCCGCGCGCTCGATCCACGCCAGCTCGGCCTCCCCCGCCATGCGATGCGCCGGCGCCGTCCTCCGCGCTGCATTCGGCGAGAGCGTCGCCTGGAATTTGCCCGGCTGCGTGCCGGATGGTGTCATCCTCGGTGGCTGGTACACCAGCACCGGGGTGCGCGCGAGCAGCTGCTGGTACCGCCGCCGCAAGAACCTAGCCGGGAGGTGCGAGTCGAAGGCTGGAGCAGGTTCCTCCGCCGCGCCCTCTGGCGAAGCACGATTCGCCGACTGGCGCACCTTGCTCGGCGGAGAAGCGAGGGCTTCGATCTCCTCGAATACTCCGGAGCCCTGCAGCCCGACGGGTCGGACCCCGGCGTGCGCCAGCGCGGCCACATCGGTCTGACGCGGGACAGTGCCCCCACCTGACGCGGGTGCCTCTTGGATAGCGACTTGCAAGGGGAACAGGGTCCGCAGCAATTCCTCCTGGAAGAACCGCCAGCGGAGGTTGACCTCCCTGCGCTTGCTGAAGGGACCGAGGGCGATGGCCTCGGGCGACTCGGGGTTCGCGCGTGGGGGAAGGTTCGGCGGATGGGCCAGCGCCGCCGCATCGAGCGGTCTGGTCTTGCGCGACACGTCTGACGCGAGGAGCGCCCTCATCTCTCTCGAGTAGAAGGGCGGACGTGAGGACTCGACCGCGGGGATGATGCGGGGTGGCGGCGGGACGCCAGGCTCGGAGCGGAGGGGCTGGAAATAGGCTGCTTCAGTATATTGTACTCGTGTGGTTCTCGCGGGGTAGAAGCCTACATCTAAGATCTCCCATCTCAGAGGGCCTCGTCTGCCATAGGCTGTGTCGAGAATGTACTCGAATGATTTAGCAATGCCCGTGTTTGCGCTCTGCAATTTCCGCAGGTCCTGTGTGCAAACGACCCGGCGGTCAGTCACGAGTCGTCTTGGCTGCGACATGACATACCTTCCGAACACGACTTATCTTTGTCGGACGCAGATGCTCACGCTTCGTGTCGAGGATAGCGCGAACATCGTCCCCGACTCTGAGCCGGAAGAACTGGCTGCACTTGCTGTCGTCAGTCGGGACGTGCGACACGTATTATGCCGGGACGCACCGAAGATATTCAGTGGGGAGCCTTCTGATCTGCCGCAGGCATGACCGGTAGAGCGAGAATATCGATCTCACGTCGCCATTCATGCGATCTACGCTCTGTCGACTCTCGAGGCGGTGGCAGTCGGGCTCAAAGCTGCGTGACCTCTGAACGACGTAGCACAGGCGCTTAACAAACACTTCGGCGAAACTCTCGCGACGGCGCTTGTTCGAGCCTGCCATGCGACCTCCACCACCTCCAGCTACGGCATTCGCTGCTAGGTTACCCTGCGCCGCCGTCTTCTCCCCGAGCACACCGACATCCTAACTTGCGTGTTGTGATGTAATACGCCTGCTATGTGAACGACGACGACACAACGGTATCTGGCAGAGACAGCGGCACAGACAGTCTTAAGGACGTGCACGCATGGCCAACTGAGACGTCATGCAATAGACATCAAAATATCAACCTACTACTGATGCACACGCTAGGCTGTTAGAGGCAATCTTGCGGTTTCTTGCCCTAGGGAATCCTCGGTGTCTATCATCTCTGCCGCTATTTCTGATTCCCTTTACTCACGAGTACGCAATGATCGCTGTGGTTGCCTCCGAACCCACTCGCTTGCGGCAAAACTCGACTACGCCAGCATGATTCCCCAGCTGGTACCCGTGGATTTTCCGGCACTCCGTGCTACGTTAATCTGGCCCGTGCTGCGTCGTGGACGTATATAATCACCGTCGCTGCACGCCGTTGGAACCAGACTCGCCGTTCACGTCCAAGTCACAATGAAGTACGCAACTGCCTCTCTCGTGGCCGCGGCCACTGTCTCCCAGGTCGCCGCGGTATGTCTTCAGTCTACTACACATCCTACCCCTTACTTATAAGCGATGCAGGTATACCAGCAGTGCGGTGGTATCGGCTTCGGTTCGTAACCGTGCAAGTGGCCTGTTTGACTATCTTCGCTAACGACATTGCAGTTGGGCCCACTGCGTGCGATGCTCAGTCGGTGTGCACCACTATCAACGCCTGTACGTTTAGCCTGGTATCATCATACGGACATATGCTCATACAGTCATCCAGACTACTCGCAGTGCCTCCCGTCGTCCTCCCCCTCGGCGCCCTCTGCCCCCAGCTCCAGCCTGATCCAGCTCGGCGGTGTCAACACTGCGGGATACGACTTCAGCGTTGTAGGTCTTCCTCTGATGGAAGGTCTCGAGCGTACCACTAAAGATATTGACATAGGCTACTGACGGAAGCTTCACCGGCACCGGTGTCTCTCCCCCGCCCTCTCAGTTCACCCACTTCTCCAGCCAGGGTGCTAACCTCTACCGCATTCGTAAGTGTATCCAGTGTTGAGAAAGGGAACTGTACTGACAATTTGTCTCACTGTAGCCTTCGGTGTGTTCACTCCATAGCGACGCGGTTTCGCCCTCCTAACTGTACTTTAGCCTGGCAGCTGATGACCCCCAACCTCGGCGGACCCATCAACGAGACCTTCTTCGCGACCTACGACCAGACCGTCCAGGCCGCGCTCAACTCGGGCTCGAACGTGCACGTCATCGTCGACCTGCACAACTACGCGCGCTGGAACGGCGGCATCATCGCTCAGGGCGGCCCGACCAACGAGGAGTACGCGTCCATCTGGACCCACCTCGCCGCCAAGTACGGCTCCAACGAGCGCATCATCTTGTACGCCCGCCCCCGTTCTTCTTGCACTCATGATGAGAGTCGTACTCACGACGTCGGTGTGCAGCGGTGTCATGAACGAGCCGCACGATATCCCGAGCGTCCAGACCTGGGTCGACTCCGTCCAGTTCGTCGTCAACGCCATCCGCCAGGCTGGCGCGACGAACTTCCTCCTCCTGCCCGGCTCCAGCTGGGCGTCCGCCCAGGCCTTCCCCACTGAGGCCGGCCCCTACCTCGTCAAGGTCACCGACCCGCTCGGCGGCACCGACAAGCTTATCTTCGATGGTAAGCCCAGCGTGCTAGAGCCGATGATCCTGTGCCCGACTGACCCCGATCGTAGTCCACAAGTACCTCGACAGTGACAACAGCGGCACCCACCCCGACTGCACCACCGTACGTTGTACCCCTCAGTGCCGCGCTGCGTCCAGCGATGCTGACGCATATCTTGCAGGACAACGTCGACGTCCTCAAGACCCTTGTGTCGTTCCTCCAGCAGAACGGCAACCGCCAGGCGATCCTGAGCGAGACCGGCGGAGGCAACACCGCGAGCTGCGAGACTCTGTAAGTGGCCTCATGCCCCTCCCCCCTCTTCCCACCCCGTACTGACGCTGCGGCGCACGCAGCCTCAACAACGAGCTCTCCTTCGTCAAGTCCGCGTTCCCGACCCTCGTCGGCTTTTCCGTCTGGTCCGCGGGCGCGTTCGACAGCACCTACGTGCTCACCGTCTCGCCCAACCCCGACGGCTCCGACCAGCCCCTCTGGATCGACGCCAGTATGTCCTCTCCCGCGCGTCGAGCCCTCTTCCTCAGGTTGCTCACCATCTGCTGCAGTCAAGCCCAACCTGCCCTGAGATCTCTCTCCAGCAGCGCTGAGGTGTCCGGAGTAGTATCGGCGAGCCTTCGTGTAGAGCTTGCGTGTACGTGTTTTGTAAAATGGATCGGTTTCAATCCGTACAGGAGGGCACGTGCGGAGTCCATGTCCTCTGTCGCGGATATCGGCGCACGTGAGCTCGGGGGTTCTTTCCATGGGTTAGGCATCATCCCCCGTAGCAAGTCGGAGCCGTCGCGGCCGCGCGCACGACTAGATTGAGCAGGCTTCGGGACACGACGACAAGGATATTCACGACTTGGTGGGCGGACATTGATCAACTATTTTTGGGGACACATTTTTGCAACTGTAAACAAACTTTCGACTCATGGGTGCTCTCGTCTGTAACTACTCTAACTACTTTAAGCTGCACACGTACTGTAACAATAGACGCTCGGCGTTCAGTAGAAAGCGGCGGGCCGCGATGCCGGCCGAGTTACCGAATGGAGGAGCTGCGGGGAGAGTGGACACCGTGGATTTCGGAGTGCGACGCTACTTTGCACGAACACCTCTCTCTTTCTCTCTCTCGTCTCCCGCTCTCTGGCGACAGCGTGTCTCACCGACGTTCCTCAGGGAGGCATTGATGGCGGAGGCTGGGCCCTCAACTTCGAGCATCGACCGCCCCGTCACGCCTCCGTCTCCGCCTCGCAGACCCTCGCGCATCCGCTTTCCGGCGGACCAAACCAATGCAGACAGCAGACAGTACGGCAGCTTTCAGACACTGGGCTTGGGACCTCCTCCTATTCTATCAAGTTCTCGGAATGGAAACAACGACGGCTCTCTCATATTCAAGCTGGACGACAAGCGGCGGCGCGTTAGGTCGGTAGACGGAGTGGAAGGGCTCGAACAACCTCGCGCAAAGGACGGGCATATAGGCAGTTCATTGTCAAGGAGAACAGTTAGTCTTAGCAGGAGGGGAGACCAGCGCGACAAGTTTGTCAAGGCAGTCGGTAACGGGTTGACCGAGGCCTTCTCTGACGAGTATGATCTATGTGAGTCGCCACACTGGTTATTCGCGCCTGTGCATGATTTCTGACAACCGAGTAGCACGCGAAGGCATGTAAATCCTTGCACAGGGATCGCCACATGTGTGTAACAGAGTCATGTTTACAGACCCGGCTATTCTGGAGGACGTCCAACGAGCCTTGCGGCTGAAGGCGCGTCGTGAGGCGCGTCTCAGGAGCCTTCAGTCCAGCCCTGCCCAGGGCGAATATCGCGGCAGCCCGGACATTGCATCACTATCTTCTGTATCCGCAACCTCATCGCCTCTTCGGGGGCAAGGCGTCACTGCACATGCATTTCCACGGCAAACTGAGCTCCCAGGTGATTCCGAAGTGGACTTCAGCCCTTCCGTTGGGACCGCGCCCTTGCATCCTGTCCCATCCTCTTCTAACGGTGGCGCCACACTCGACTGGGCGATCCCTCCTCCCGAGGATGCTAGGGAACGGCGGTGGTCTATCTCTATCACCAAACGCAAGGGTAAGGAAGCGCCTCTAGCCTCCAAGGACTTGGTTGAGAAGCAAGAATCTATCTATGCGGGTAAGTTGGCTTAACTTTGCAGTAAACACCTCGGGCACTCACTTTAAGGTTGGCCGCAGACAAACTTCAGCAGATACGCTCTCGAGCGAAACCACACACACTCCGGAAAGCTACGATCACAAGTGACCAACTAGAGCGGAAGTACCAGGCCTTGCTGCCCCGAGGGAAGAATCCTGGCGCAAACCTCTATGATGTGACGCGGTGGTACCGCAAGCAGGACGATACCGTCAAGGCGACTCTTGACAAGATGGAGCCTTCGACTTGGATGAAACACCTGTGGGACAAACATGGCGCCCCGAAAGCTGGCAACTCGGCTTGGTCCCCCACTGCACTGGTCATGGAGGAATACGTCAAGTCGCATGCGACTCCTCACACTATGTCTACCATTCCCGAAGACGAGGTCGTACTGCCAGCGTCTCCGGGGACTCCTTCGTTCACCGAGGCGCGCTCACCCTCGACCAGCACCTACTCATGGACATCCCCTCGCAACTCCCTCGAGCCAGCTATATCGCGGAAGAGGTCTTCATATGACGCCCAAGTATCGTTCGAACCCCTTGTCGAGTCCGGAAGGGAGTCCGTTGGTCCGCGGTCGAGGCACAGTAGCGAAGGCTTCAGCAGGAACTGGCGAAGTCCTGCTACAGGTGTCGACTCTGCGCGTAGCTCGCTATACAGCCTCATTTCCAAGGGCGCCTCGCCGAACAGTAGTCGCAAGCATTTGCGCGGCTTCGGCAGGCGACTTGGTCGTCGGTCCAGCGACGACAACCTTTCATCTGCTCGGAACTCTGCCTCCGAGGGTCACAGCGCTTCGGATGATGGTCATTACGGACACCAGAAGATGGCTACTATCAGGCCGAACAGCAGGCCAACCAGCCTCAACCTGCAGTCTGGAGACGAGCGCTCCCCTTTCCCGATGGACAGCATGGATGCGAAGCCGTCAGAACACGATACCCTCCGCGCGGACGAGCCTCCAACCGCGACGCAGAGTACCACCATATTTACTAGTGCGCCTGGTCAGACTCCGGGTCCCGATGAGGACGCACCCACGCAAACGCGGCTACCCCGTCGCCGTTTTCGGACATCTTTACCTTCGTCTAGGGATCTTTTTGTACGCGAACGGGAGAAGCAGCGACGTGCGGCAGACGAGCAGAAGGAACGGGAAGAGTACGAGATCAAAGCCCAGTAAGTCACTTGGTTTATATTTGCCTGCCCCTGTCCTGACCAGTATGCAGGGTCTTGGAGGATACTATATCACAGAACTACCGCATTCGACATCTCCTTCAACGCGTTTCGGCCAGTGCTCGCGAGTACGACTCTGTGCAAAGCGTCCTGTCAGATCTACTGCGGATACCATACCCCAAGATACCCCCAGAGGTCATGGACGCGTTTGTGCACGACCCAGCCGCTGTTACTGGAGCGACCCGCCGCGTCAAGGGCTGGGAGGCGGTCGAGGACATCCACGTCCGCATTCAGCGACAGCGAGAGACGCTGCAGTCTTTCCTACACGCGCACGATATTGGCTGCGACCCTGCCGAATGCACCGGCAACGTGTTCGACGACCAGATCGCGACTGCTATGCGGGCTTTAGAGCAGCTCGGGTCCCAGCGCGAAGCTCTTGCACAGAAGGCGGAAGAAGTCACTTCTCTGCTGAAGCGAGTCAAAGCTGTGCACGCGACAGTGAAGAAGGACTATAACGACACGCTTGCCCATACGTCGTTGGTATATCCCGAGGTAGGTTGCTCATTAATGTGGTGTGTGGGATAGACAAACTGACCCTCTGTATAGTTGTCGCAGCTCGCCGCTCTGGAAGAGAACTACCGGAACCATTATCAGCAGTTCTGGGACTTCGGGCTGGACGCGCTCACGCTGCTCCTCGATACCGTCACCCCGTTCTGGCGCAACTATGGCAAGGTGATCGGCGAAGACGTGCAGGACTTCCTCATCATCCCCTGGTACCGCAACGAGTTCACGGGCGAGCCCAAGCGATACCTTATCGAGCGCTTTCCACGTCGTTCGTTCCGCCACTGGGTCGGCCTCCTCTTCCTCTCCTTCCTCAGCGTCGCTATCACATTCCTCCAGACGCGTTTCGCTGCGTCTCTTACCATGGCCTCCAACCTACCCTGGATCACCAACGCGGGCCTCTGGTGGATCGTGATGCCCGTCTACATTATTGGACTCCTAATACAGTGGTGCGCGGTCCTGCTCGAGTGCTGCGTCCTCCTCGCGCAGTCGGGTGTCGTCATCTGGTGGATGGGATGGTCTGTGAACCTGTTTACATAGCGCTATCGATCTCGCTCTGCTTGTATCATTATACTATTGGTTATGGCTATTGTACAACGGAATGGATAGTCAGGGTACAAGCACTTATACAGTACATTCTCTGCGGATCAACCTGGTGGTGCGGCGTGTGACGATGAGGCTGGCGGTGGGTACGGTGGGTAATACGTAGGTGGTGGGGGCGCCGCAGAGGTGCTTGCGGGCGCAATGGTCCCTGTTTCCGCGACCCACTGTATTGCGAATGGGGGTGCAGGTACGACGCTAATCGGGGTGGTGTGAGGGACAGGCGTGGAAGGCTTCCCAGAGTTTGCTCTGCTAGGCTGAACCTGGGGGATCTCAGTGGTGGCTTTTCCCGCGTTGATGCATTCTCTGCAGAATCCTGAAGTACTCTAATTAATCTCCAGACGTCAAACGTGTGTGAAATGCTTACTGCCGCCCATCATCAAGGGTACGTCTCGCTGTCCGCAGGAGTGACAGGCGATAGGAGGGGGCGCTGAAGCCTTAGCCTTCTGTTGGGCCCGTCTTTTCACGGGTGGTGTGGGCGGTGGGGGTGGCTTCTCCGGAGAAGCAGACGGGGCGGCTGCGATTGAGACTGTGGGTCTCCTGGTTACAGATTTCCGTTTCGCCTTATTGCTGTCGGCCCCCGCTGGCTTGACGGGCCTGAAGGTATATGACGGAGCTACAGCCTGGACAACACCATGAAAACACAGCGCACACAGAAGTCCGTGTACACTTACAGCCCGAATTTCTTCTAGCAGCTCGCCCTCTGGCAGGCGATGCTTGAGATACAAGTGCGGACCCGCTTGCTTTGCCTGTAGCGTCGTGTCAACGCTTGAGACATATGAACCGCTGAATGGGTGGGTACTCACAATCTCAGCTAGTTTGACTCGGCTCTCTTCTATCTTCTGTGGGCCTCCCGCCCACGTAAACAGCAGCTCCCACACCGCATGCGAGACTCGCGAGATCCGGAAACTGACAACTTCGGGTGTGTCATTGTCTGGAGGCTCTGCACCCGGCGTGGTCGGTTGAAGGCTTGCCGCGTTTGCAAACGGCACACAGCAGGTGATGATCGCGTCCGACGCCTTGTATGGCGATTCGGTTTTAGGCGCCGCTAACTCACATACTACATCGCCGCGGGGTAGGATGAAGCGGTCGGACGACCGCTCGTGGAATTCGAGGACTACGTCGAACGGTCTCGGCGAGGACGGTCTTGCAGAAAATTGGGCAGCAGACATCCCGAGGAGGGTGGGGTTAGGTTGCTCCAATGCCTGTACTCCCTCTAAGGACTGTATGAGGAGGCCCAGCGTTTTCACTTGGTCGTCAGTAGCAGTGCGACTGATCACGGCTTTGAGCAGATTCGCGAGCACCGGATTGCTTTGTGCGGCCACCGACACCTTGGAGGATAGCGCTGGGGTGACATAAGTGCCAGCCGGAAAGGGTATGGCGGACAAGGATGTTTGCACGCCGCTACTACTGGCAGTTGCGGGTGGAGTGGAAAACGGCTGTTGTATAGCTGTATGCAACGTCGGACGAGTGCGACACGTGCGGACAAGCCAACGACCTACTCTGCAACCCCTCAGCTATAGGTTCAACAGCAGGGAGGTAGTGGACCTCGTAGATGGCTGTGTCATGGTATACGTGAGGCCCAACGTGAAGATCATACTTCCCGTGAGCTTTGGTCGTATGAGGGGGCGGGGTCACTTCGGGAGTTTTTCCACTGCGTGTTTTCACGGAGAACTTTGGAAACATGGTTGTGACCCATTTGCTACGCGCTATAAATTCATGGGTACAGTGCTCCTGAACTAAAGGTGAAAGCAGAACGTACATTGTCTCAAAGACTGTAACACCACCAAGCTGGATAACCGCTTATGAGTTCATAATCTTGGGCAGCGTATGAGGGCATCCACTGCCAGGAAGTCGACGCTGACCTCTCCGACACGCTCTTGAGATCTGTCTCTCCGGCGTGTGGCCCACTGATTTCCCATCCGGGCTGTGGGCCTGTAGGTAGTTCAACGGCACGATGCATAGCGATGTCCCTATACCACAAAGGCTATCTCAGATTCCCAGTGAGATCAATGCATAGACAGCACGAGCAGAGTAGAAGAGGGAGCAGGTCAGTGAGTCGGCGAATGGCAAGTAGGAGTGGTGGCGGGTGGTGGCGGGTGGTGGTACAGAATGAAGTGCAGATCACAGGCGCCCGTCCATGCTTCTCTGACCTTTACCGTCTTGACCCTCTGGTGACCTTCTCGCTCTCGGGACTGTTCCAACGTCTCGCGACACTCGCGTATCTTTTATCTCTTGGTTACCCCTGGAGTAGCTTTCTTGCATGTCTCAGCGCGTCCGTGAGTTATCCTCCTGGCACGGCTTGTGTACGCTGCTCACCTAGCGCGTAGAGAAGGGAAGTACGGTCTTCAGGCCGGTTGCGAAACCGCGTCCGCGAACTGGAGGAGGATCTCGTCAGTCGTCAGTCCTCCCAGAGTCTTCAGCAACGCCGGGCCCGAGCAATCTGCGAAATACACAAGATGGACCTCCCAGGGCACCCTCGGCTATGCCTCCCCCATCCTCCGTTCCACAAAGGCCTTCGGCAGATCCGTTTCCTTCACCCCTCCCTGTCAGCGCCGTAACACCCGCTGGCGATGTCAGTATAATCGAAGCACCCCCATCCCAATCAGGCCCAAGCGTGCTTCCTACCCAACCTCCTGCTGCGCGAATCATTCCTATGCCGTCGCGGATGCCCCCTAGGATATGCGCATCTCAACCATCCTCTTCTCAGTCTGGCGTTGCGATCAGCATGCCCTCGCGCACAATGGCCCGTGCACCAACACTCCCCCCAGCACCAGCCCCTACGCCTATCGTGCCGGTAGCACCGTCGCATCCGAAGCCGAGCTATCCTGCAAACCAACTCCCTTTTCTCCCACAGGATGCTCCTATCATGAACGGCCCGCCATCCTCCGCCCTGTACACTATCGACTCTTCCCAGATTGACCCATTGTTGATGGATGCGTCTGCGTTTGCTGGGTTTACTTCTTTACAACCGCAAAACAACTCACCCGGTGAACTGTCTGCGGAGCCTAGACAAAGCGTTGGCCTTAGCGACGTTCCTGCTGTGAAGGCCACACGACCACGCCGGACACAGCGGAAGAAGTCCGATACTGCAGAAGCAACCACAGAGGACGGGGGTGATCGTGAGCACGGTTCTGCTTTTCACTAAGGCTGCGGTTGAATTATGATCTCAGAAGATGACGCCGAGGGCAACACCGCGCCCCCCAAGAAGAAACGCTCCAGGAAATCTGTCACAGAGGGTGACCAGAATTCCTCACCGGCCGGGTCCAAGAAACGCAAACGCTCCGAGACTGCAGAGCCCCGTCGCTCCCGAAAGCGTGCACCCTCTCCTCCACCTTTCGACGCAGAGGCCGACCCCGGCGAGGAACTCGACCCCACAGCGATCACGATGGCTGCGCTCTGCGATGATAACGGCCGTGGGCGAGTGAGCAGCAAAGCAGCCCAGATCGTCAGTAATCACGCCGCTTGGCGTGCGTCGAACCGGGACAAGCGGGCTCGTATGAAGATGGCTATGGAGGCGAAGAAGTATGGCAGGGACGCAGAAGAGGAGGATGGCGCAACTCGGAGCGCAAGTCAGAAGCCGGCTGAACAGGACGATCCGGGATCAGCCTCGCGCGCAGCATCCGTTGCATTGGATGTAAACGCACCAGCCTTGGCCGCAGACGAGGATGAAGCGGCTGAGAAGGGCGTCGATGGCTTCGACTACGGTGCAGATATGGCAGTCAGCCGGTTCAACGTCCAGGTTCGCATAGGCGCGAATGGCGAGACGATCATCGACGAGCAATCGCTGTTCGTCAACCGCGATGAAGAACACCAGACCGACGACTACACACATGTGGAAGAGTCAGACTTTACGAAGTTCGTAAACTCGGCAACGTACAGCAAGAAACTTCGGGGATCTCGCTGGAGTGCCGAAGAGACTGAACTGTTTTACGACGTGAGCCCAGCGCTACAATTGGCATATCTCTTTACTCACTTACGTTCTCACCATAGGCGCTTTCGCAGTTCGGTGAGAACTACGAACTCATCTCGTACGTCCTCCCCGGACGGGATCGCAAGGCGTGCAAGAACAAGTTCAAAGCTGAGGACAAGAAGAACTCCGCGAGAATCACGTATTGCCTCAATAATCGCACACCCTATGGTATGGGTCATAACGTTTTGTATAGGTTCGCATGTAGTTCTCACAACTCTGCCAGATATCGAGACGCTGTCCCGCATGACTGGCAAGGACTTCTCTGGACCAACCCCCGAGATCCGTGCGCCAACACCACTGCGCTCAACAGAGCTTGAAACTGCCTCGGAGCTTCCCGCCCCCTCATCTACTCGGACGATTCGAAAGAAGAGCAGAACGCCGAGCGCCGCTGAGGCCGGCGTGGAGATTGTTGGCGACATCGATGAGGTTGAGAAGGAAGACTTCCAACAGATAGGACCAGATGGAATGCTAGTTGGGGTCTGAACGCAAGCGGACGTGAACGTTATCCTCTCTGTTGTACTCTGACTATAACAGTCATAACAGTTCTCCAGGCCATCAAATTATGTGCGCTGTCGTGCACAACGTGAATCTGTAAGTTTCTGCAGGTAAGCAGCAGTTTTTAGGCAAACATGTGCCGCGAAAAGCCGGTTGCAGGATGCCCTTCTGGAGGCGAAACGCTGACAGCCGCGGTCACATGACTGAAACGCGTCGCGCGTATATGAGGCGCATCCGAATTGGAAGACTGCTCGTTCGCTTCTCTTCTTCCCACCACCATATCCTCCTGCATTTTCTGCGCGCCTCCCTCTCTGCACCTTCAGCTATGGTCCGTCGCACAACGTCTCAAAGCGTCCCTGCTCCTTCACGTCCTTCTTCTCCCCCTGGCGACGATGTCGAAGAGGTAAGACACAGACGTCCATTCCTTGAGGAGCACATAGTCATGCTGCATATGTAGGGCCAGTACTTCGATAGTGTGGATGAGTTACAACAGCATGTAAGCGTTTCCGTTCTAGGCCTCAGTTGAATCTGACCCACTTCGGGTAGGGAATCAATGTGCAAGACATCCTCAAGCTCAAGGTAGTTTAGTCGATGCCGATGCGGTCTGACATCTTTTATACATTTCCCTTTCTTTTTCCGTATAGTCCGCTGCTATCAACACCGTCTCTGGCGTGAACATGACCACACGGAGGCAAATGCTCAAGATCAAGGTACTACGGCACAGCATATATGCGCCTTCATCGAGCTGATATGTTGATAGGGTATGTCGGAAGCCAAAGTAGAGAAGATCAAGGCAAGTTTACTCGTCCCTCCGTGCCGTTGGGTACAGATACTGACATACCGCGTTTGCAGGAAGCTGCACACAAGATTCTGGTCAGATCTGCACTCTCAGGACACGCATATATGTGGCTAACCATCAAATCAGGGCTCTTCCTTCGCCACCGGGCTGGAAATACAAGAAAAGCGGAAGCGCGTCCTCGTTCTGAGTACGGGCAGCAAAGCCGTGGATACAGCTTTGGGAGGTGAGTGTTCTTGTATCTATGTACTGAATAAATTCGAACTCGCCCGCTCCTCTTCCAGGAGGAATCATGTCTCAGTCTATCACCGAAGTCTACGGGGAATTCAGAACTGGGAAGACCCAGCTTGCGCACACCATGAGCGTCGTTACTCAGCTCCCACCAGACATGGGCGGTGCCTCTGGCAAGGTGCGTATATGCGCATATTTCTCTTCATGGGTGTCTGACACCCACTTCCAGGTCGCTTACATCGATACCGAAGGCACATTTCGACCTGACCGCATAAGATCTATCGCGGAACGGTTCGGAGGTATGAGGCATTCCCCCGACGGGATCGCAACACTAACGGCATGTCAAGTCGATGGCGATATGGCTCTTGAGAATATCCTCTACGGTCTGTCATGTTTTTCGCTGACACAGGGAATTGCTAAATCTCCAGTATCAACAGCGCGCGCGCACAACAGCGAGCACCAGGTTGGTGTCACAAACGTATGTCAAGGAGCCGCTAGCTCACACCTTGTTGTAGATGGAGCTCATCAATGAATGTTCCATTCGCTTCGCGGAGGACAAGGACTTCAGACTTCTCGTAAGCATGCCTGCTTCAGAAATGGTTTTGCTATGACACGCCGTCCCCAGATCGTCGATAGTATCATGGCACTTTTCAGAGCCGATTACTCCGGCAGAGGCGAACTCAGCGAACGCCAACAGAAGGTTTGCCAATACGACAGCAGTATCACGCGATTTATCATACTGACCAGTACTTCTACTCAGCTTGCTCAGGCTGGTCTTGCCACGTTGCGTCGGTCGTAACTCATGCTAATCTGTTCGAATCTAGATGTTGTCAAAGCTTAGCAAGCTGTCAGAAGAGTACAACGTATATATACGATACCTCTCACTAGCGTTTAACAGTATTGATCACAGTAATTTCACAGATTGTGATCCTTCTCACGAACCAGGTTCAATGTGGGTTCAACTCGCACTCGTTCTCATGTAGTTTCAATCTGACCATTGGTTCATTTTAGCCGATCCTGGAGCGACTATGACCTTCGTCGCGGGAGGGGCGCTCAAGCCCATTGGCGGGCATATCCTCTCGCATGCCTCAGCTACTAGGATGTTTCTCAGAAAAGGTCATAGTTATACCACTGGGTAATCATTGCGTTTTTGGTCTAATAAAGTTGGCAGGTCGCGCTGAGGAGCGAGTCGCCAAACTGGTAGACAGTCCAGACAGGCCAGAAAGCGAAGCTTCGTACAAGCTCGACGAGGGAGGCTGGGCTGATGTCTGAACTGCTTCGAACGATGATCCCGCCCTCCTGGATGCCTTGGTCTTGCAACAACTTCCGGCTGTCATCCTGTTCTGCTCTCGCTCGTGTTACCGGAACACCGCTTTATAGCAGATCGTACTCTCACTCTGCTGCCTCGTCTCAGGAAGCCTGCTCGCGCCCTACTGATTCTGCTCATCGGCCCTTCTCGGAGTTTCTGGCTTCGGCGTACTCTCCTCGTATATTTAAAATCCGCAGTACCCATTATTTGTACTCAACCAGTCCCATAATAACGAGTGTCGAACTATGGTGTTCGTCTCGATTCGAACAACACCAATCTAGGTTTTGGGCACCAGGCACAGCCCATACAATATGCAGAGCACGTGGAAAGTCCGGCGGCTAATTTTGGTATTCCTTCGATCGTCCGCACTTGTGCAGTCCTGCAACTCTGCTCCCTCTACACGCTCTCCTCACGCTTCGTCAACGTCATCGCCCACCGCAGCGGTGGTGCACCCATTCACCCATACATACATACCCGACACGCCCCCACGATGAGCGGCCAACAAAAACTCACCAAGAAGCAGAAGAAGGCGCTCGCCTTCCGCGACCGCAAGGGCAAGGGCAAGCCGCAGAGCTTCGATGACCTGGACGACGTTCCTGTCGATGAGAACCAGGATTGTGCTGAGGTCGAGCTGGATGCGGAGGCTGATGCTGTGGAAGCTCCGGCGGGACGTAAGGCAGGCGCGAAGAAGGGAGCTGCGCAGGATGCGGAGGCTCTGGGCGACGGTGACAGGGGGAAGGGGAAGAAGCGGAAACGGGAGGAGAAGCCTGAGGGGGATGAGGAGGCGAAAGAGGACGGCGCGGGGGAGAAGAATACCAAGAAAAAGCGGAAAGGCGCAGACGGTGCAGGGGTGGCTGCAGGGGATGCGGTAGGGGAGGATGCGAAGAAGGCGGACAGCAAGAAGCCCCAGGGGAAGCAGCGGTTTATTTTGTTTGTCGGTGAGTGTCAAGCAGGTCACACAGGTGCGCTTTGATCTCAAGGGTTTCGCTCAGGTAACTTGAAGTACACTACGACAAAAGAGGCGGTTGAGAAACACTTCGCAAAATGCGGTTAGTTTGGTCGATTCTCGAGGCTCTCGCTTCACACCTGACACGGCCCGCGCAGATCCTCCACCAACTGTCCGACTCATGACACCAAAACCGTCCGCTACCTCAAGACCCACCGCGAAATCCAAGGGGTTCGCATTTGTGGAGTTCTCGCACAGGAACGCGTTGCAGCAGGGTCTGAAGCTGCACCAGTCCGACATCGAAGGCCGCAAGATCAACGTCGAACTTACTGCAGGAGGCGGCGGCAAGAGCGAAAATAGGCTGGAGAAGGTCAAGAAGCGGAATAGGGAGCTGCATGAGCAAAGGGTATGTCTCCGCCACACGACTAATAGTGCGGGGTGTTGACAGTCGGTGCAGCAGCAGATTGTGTCGAAAAAACCGAGGACGGTCGGCGAGGGCGAGGCGCAGGTCGAACGTCCGCAACGGTACTCGACCACCTCGGGCGTGGAACAGCAGCCGTCGAAGGAGCGAACATGGTCGATCCCGGAAGCTGGTGACGACGGCTCAAAACGCAAAAGAGGCAGCAAGAAGAAGACCGAGCGAACATCAAGACCACAGGGAACTGGCGTCAACGCTATTCCGGTTGGTTGAGGGCTCTTTGTTATATGTCGACGGGGGTATCACGGCCGTGCTAGAAGGCTAAGGCAGTGGGAATCAAATGCTCTATATCCTAGGTGTCCATACTCCTATTACTTGAACCTACACATAGACCGGCCAGCCAGCAGAGACAGATTATGAGACGAGGATGAACACGAGGAACTAGGTAGCGGGGTGAGTGGCAGAATGACGTATCGGACAAATTCGCGACTCACGAAAACAATCAATACTCCGAAGACCTTCAGCATCAGCCAACGGTTACTCGAGATGCTCGCATAGTACTTGAGGAGTTCTCGTTGCGCGCCGCTGACGTTGGATGCGATGTCGACGGTGTCCGCGTCGATGCGTTGGACGGTTTCCCGCTGCTCCGCCACCATCTGAGCCAGCTGAGTGAATATCTGACCGAGCTCGGCGATAGTCGATTCAATGGACTCGATGGCTGTCGAACGCGTTTGGATGTAGCTATCCTGTAAACACGTCATCCTGTTTCAGCAATTGACAAGTGGCGGGTATATGCATGGCACGGACCTGTTGCTCGACTATCTGCATCTGCATGAACGCATCCCCATGTTGGGGCGCCGCGCCCTCCTCTGCCGCACCGAGGTCAAGGGCAAGGATGTCGCCGTTGTTCTTGTACGACGCACGGCCTTTCCCTTTGGAATCGAACCGAGACGACGTCAGGGAGCTACCGTCACCCATAGGGTCCTGACGCTGGGTATTGCCGTACAAGAGCGAACCTGGTCATACGATCAGCATGCGCAAACAGCACGTCCCTTAAACTGCGTTCCTGATACGTACTTGGAGGTGGTTGGCTGGCCGCAGCGGTTGTGGAGTGCATAAACTGCTCGGTCCGGTCCTTCGACTCCTTCATGTTCTAGGAACGAGGGTGTTGCGTCGGTCCGGGAGCATGGGGTGATATATACGAGAAAACGTACCTGCGTTCTGATCTCGAGCACGTCCTTGAATGACATGCTGGTATCCGCCAGCTTGCTCTGCAGGAGCATGACGACATTGTGGTTGTGCTCCTCCAGCTGCTTGCCCTCCGGAGACTTGGGACCCTGCGCTTTACGTTGCTTTACGTACGCTTGCAGTTGGGCAATTTGCTTGTTGATGTTCGCAATATCTTGTTTGATGATATAGGTGAGTTCCTATGGACGCCTTCAACGACGCTGGTCGGCGAGCGGACAGGTTAGGAACATACACTGATCTCCACAGGCCTATCGTCAAACAAGGTCTTCCGCTTGGCAACTATAAGATGGATGTTGAGCGCGGGTATAGACGCGATAAGGCATGCAGACTCACGCTGTGCGAGCTTGCCCAGCTTCACCGTCGTACTGCTAATGTCCTTGCCAATAGAAGAGGCCATCCGCGTGAACTCCGACTTGCTCCCCTCCGCCTTCGTCTGCAGCAGGCGCTGCTTCTGCTCCGCGCCTTTCGAGGAGAAGGTCGACCTGTTCCGGATGGACTCCACGCATGCCCGGAACTCGTTGGTGCGGTCCTGGACGGGCATTTTGATAGGCAATAAAGATAGGGGGTATGCGGGGTCGAAAGCAAGAGTAACGAGCGACAAGAGAGTGTGGAGAGGTAGCGCAGATTAGACGAGGACGTAGAGGGGACCCGCGCGAGCTCGGTGAGCAGAGGACAGTTGGCGCAGTTGGCGGCAGTGGTTGGCGCAGTTGGCGGCAGTGGTTGGCGCGGGGCGGCACTTCGGCTGTGTTTCCCACGTGTCGTGTTCCCCACCGCCGCGGCCCGCTACCTGAATTCACGAGAAACCATCACTCACAACGCTTGCTTTCCTCGTCCATACGCTGTGTCGACTGTGCTGAAACTACTGCTATAGCTCGTGGAGGCTCGCAGAAGCTCAGAATTTGTCTCTTGCTCCAGGAAACACGGCATAGACCGAGATCAGGCTTCCGTTTCCGGACCAATTACCTCAACGATCGCGTGTGCTTGACTGGTGGCTCCTGCATGCTCCTCTCCTTCGCTCTCTCATCTCTCAGACCTTGCACGCACAGGCCACTTCCTAGAGGGCTGTTCATATCTCAGCTGCGTTATAGATCGCGTCTCGTATCTCCCTCGGGCTTCAGAATGGCGTCTCCGTCACTCCCCGCAGCCGAGAAGTCAACAGTCTTGGTCTTTGGGGCCGGAAACTTTGGGAGCTGCCTTGCCGACCACCTCGGAGATTCCTCGCACAAGGTCTACATGTGGTCGCGCTCCGAGGAACTCGTCAAACACTTCAATCAGTGTCATCGCAACGTAGAAGTCCTCAAGGATCACGCTTTCGCGGAATCAATTACCGCGGTCGGACCCGAGTTCCCTTCATCGGAACTAATTCAAAACATGGATGTGCTGCTCTTTGCTATCCCTACGGAAGGTGTCAGGTGATTGGCCACGGCAACTCAACTGGCGTTGCAGCCAACGTGTTCAACGTTTGTGACAGAGAGACCCTGACCGCGTTGAAGCCAACATTGGATGAAAGCAAACTGCCTCTGCTCATCTTCGTCAATAAGGGTGTTGAGATCAAGACTCGTGCACTGACTCTCGAGATCATCGCCGACACCTGCGGACCTGAAGTAGCGAAGGTCGCAACGTTCATAGTAAGCACTATGACAGCACAGCATTTAACCCAGTACCAAGTGCATTTCCGTAGTCGGGACCTTCGTTTGCCACAGAAAGTAAGTGGCAATATTGCATCTGGTATCTCGTCTTATAGGCGACCAACAGTCGTCAGAAGACAGCCGACGTCAGTATCCGTGGTGTCGCTGTCACCGTCTCATGCCGAGCAGGCATCGCAATTGTTCCACCAACCTTGGTTCCGCTGGTAGGCATGAATCCTCGTAAGCATGTCTCGTGAACTGAAGCTACATCGACCACCAGTTACACTGGCGATGACCCGATTGGCGTCGAGCTCGCGGGCGCCCTGAAGAACGTCTATGCCATCGCGGCGGGGATGGCCGCTGGCCTCGGCTTCGAGAACAACACGAGGGCGAGTAAGTGTACCTTCTAAACCCCATCATATGCAGACGCTCAGCAGCACGCACCGCAGTGCTCATCACGAGGGGTCTTGCCGAGATGACACGGATTGGGACGGCGTACGGTGCCTCGCCCTTGACCTTCCTGACTCTCGCGGGCGTCGGAGACCTGTTCCTCACCTGCAGCTCGTCGAACAGTCGAAACTATACCGTCGGCTTCAGGTTAGGGAAGGGCGAGAAGCTGGACCACATCATCAAAACATTGGGCAGCGTGGCAGAAGGTGTTACCACGGCGAAGGGCTTGAAAGCCATTGTCGACGAGTTGGGCGTAGTGGCGCCGATAGCATCAGGGGTGAGTGTCATGACGTCCTACATTGCTTCATCGTTCTATCGCTGACATCGGGCCAGGTGTACGATGTGTTGTACGAAGGTGAGTGCAAGGCAGGTCCCCCGCGGAGCTCCGCTGACGCCGGAAGCAGGAAGGGCGGTCCCGGAGCGCGCGAACGAGCTGCTGTCTCTGCCGTCCATCCGCGAGCTGGATCTGTCCGTCGAAGGCGGCAAGCCTGCGAAACGTCTAATGGCGAAGCTAGGCCTGGAGGCAGATGTGTAAATGAGTGCCCTTACGGCCGCAATCTACGTGCTTGTTTGCTTCCATCTTCATCTAACGCGAGCCTGCACGTAATACACGGCGCGTGAGAGCGCTCTGGGGCTGGGACTCGGCATCATATATGACGAAGGCCGGAGGAAGACGGCGGAAAATGGGCGGGAGACGGTTGGCTGGGCCGGAGAATCAGATGAGGGGGCGTCGGACGACCGACGAGACCTGCCATATCCGGACTGATAATCAGAAGCCGATTATCTAATCCAATTTTTCGGGATTGAGGATGGCAGCTGTGGCTGCAGCCCGTCCCCCGCTTCGTCTGCAAAATTCTTTGCGCGTGCCCTCTGTCCGCATTTCCTGCTCTGCCTCCGCCCATTACGCTTTCGCTCCGTGTTCATTCGTCCCGCCCCCACCCAGCTCCCCCCATCCCTCCATCCGTGCCCCATCTCACCATGGTCTCCCCCCTCTGGAAGGCGTGCTCTGAGGGCAGCCTCGAGAATGTGGTCGAACTCCTCAGGGACGCGACCCCGCTCGATATCGAGGTCAAAGGTACGCTTCATCTCCGCCACTCCCCGTATTTATTGCACGCCGCGCCGCGTCCAGATCACTTCCCGGATTGACACGTTTCCTCTCAAGATCACACCGGATCCACCCCACTCATCGAGGCCGTGAAGAGTGGCCACGTAGAGATCGTCCGCGTCCTTTTGGACAAAGGTATGTCCTGACTCGCGCGCATGACTCCGCACGCGCATATGCTAAGTGCCTTCGAATTCCCCGCAGGTGCCGACCCTACGAATGCTTCCAGCCAGGGTCCTCCGGAGTCGTACACCGCGGACCCAGTAATCCACGGTCTCATCGGCGTAGCTAGGAGCAAAATGGCGCACGCCGCGGCGCAGTCGCAGGAGGTCGCCTACCCCCACGATCAGTCCACGGAGTCTGCGAACATGGATCCCTCCACGGGATACTACCCGCCACCTCCTCCTGGTGGCTACTACTACCCGCCCATGCCCCCGCCCATGATGCCCGACGGTTCCGTGCCGTACTATGCTCCTCCGCCCATGGCCGACAGCTTCGGTAACCTCCCTCCGCCTGAAATTGCTCGCATGATCCCCTGCCGATATTTCCCGGCGTGCCGCTACGGTGCCTCGTGTATGTTCGCTCATCCACAGGCTCCCTATATGCAGGGGCCTCCTCCCCCACAGTACCCCGCACCTTACGACCCCATGAACCCTGGCCCCTACCCTCCGCCCACCTACTACCCTGTTCCGCCCACATCCTACGGCGCGTCACCAAATGGTGCGCCTATGAACGTAATGTCACCGACTCAGTCCTTTGCTCATGCTAGATCTGGTTCAGACGTGGTGTCTCCCATCCAAGGCCCCTTCAGCCCTGTGAATGGCCAGCCGCCCATGCCTTTCGGCGTGTCCCCCGTTTCTCCTACCTATGGCCACCCTGGACCTATGCCCGGACAGGTCCCTCCTTTGTCTCCTCTCCAGACTCACCCTGCCAACGGACAGTCACCTCCGCCGCACGCGATGTACCCGCCCATCTCCCCCAGCGCGCAAGGCATGGTCTCCCCTTACGCGATGCCCACACAATACCCGCCGCAAGGCATGCCCAACGGCGAGGCCGCCGATGTCGTCTCTCCGAAGTCGCCCGTGCACGGGCACCCGCAAGGAGAGGGCTATGGGCCCGGGCCGATGAATAGGGAAGCCATGACTCATCACAGGCGAGGCAGCGCTCGCAGGCCATCTTTCGGTGGTCGTGGAGGCAAGCCGCCTTGCCTGTTTTTCCCCTCCGGACGCTGCAGGAATGGGTGAGTGTCGCCGCAACTTTACGTCTGAGTTCTGGCGCTCATATACGCGCTGTCAGTGACGACTGTCGCTTCCCTCATGTCATCCCCGAGGGTCCGATGGGTCACCAACCTTCGCACTTTGCCCCGCGCGGAGGTCCCAGGCCCCGCCCACCATTCCACGCGCATGTTGTGCCTGCGCTGGAGGATAAGTTTGCGGCTTTGACGACCCAGGACGTAGGTCACGTGTATATATAGTGTCCGCAAAAAGTTCCTGACGGAAATGTCCAGGACAAGGGTCAGGCGCATAGCCGTAACGGCACTGGCGGAACGACCACGAGCGATTCGAGCCGCTCGCACTCGGCGGATCCGGGCCAGAAAGGCCGTGCGCCTAACTTCAGACCCAATGGCAACCAATTTGCCAACGGCCCTCGGCCGGACAGGAAATTTGCACCGCCCAAAGCTCAGCGTGTTCCCAACGCCGACGAATTCCCTGTCCTTGGTGGTTCGTCGCCCACGTCGCGGGGCCCGAGCGTGAATGGCTCGGTCACGTCTGCCTACTCCGGCCCCACGGCTGCCCAAGTCTTGCAGGCACCTGCTCCTCCTAGGAAGGACGCCCCCACCACTCGGGGTAACTCGCCGGATCAAGCTTCACCCGTCCTGGCGCCCAAGGTACGTGTTCTGGTGCAAGTGTTACTTTGTCAATTTAACACTCGGTCTAGGAGGTCGCGCCCGAGACCAACGGCATTGTCTCCAGCCCACCTGTTGAGTCTATCAACAAGCTCCCTCTTTCTTTCGCCGCCGCCGCCACTGCCGTCCCCGAGACGATCAAGGAGGTATCCGTCTCCGCCTAAAAAGGACGCTGGTCCTCGGCTCGTGTTTTACGTTGTGGTCCTTCCCTTGTCGATCTCGCGCATATGTTGTCCCGTGTCTCACCGGGCTCTGGTGTATTCTGTATTCTCTCTGGCTATCCTGTTTGCTGCTCCTAGCGTTGAGGACCTGGCGCTACAGCTGTCACTATCACGTCCATCTCCGGACCCACCACTCCGCCCATCTGCATACACAGTTATCTACTACCATCCATCTATTCTGCACTGTTTTCCCACCTCATATTTAGATGCCCCCACCCCACACCGCTTGTTTATCGTTTCGTTCTTCATGTTGTCACACGCACAAAAGCACACTCATTCTCCGACGATTCACTATCGTAGCATCGCTCTATGTCGTAGCTATACTTCCCGTCAAGTACCGTACACCCATGGCCGCCACCGTCCCCCGCCGACCGCGCTGCTGCTAATTGATACACACAAGCGTTTTTGCTATCGAGCTTCTTCTCCGTCGGACGACCCATCGGATGACCCACACATTTGGAGCCTTTTTCTGCCTGAACCCCCTCACCCCCTCATGAGCTCCACGCGCTCAGGTTGCGCATCTCCACTCCGCTCTGCGCGGTGACCTCCCCGATCCTATACACGTCCTTCTCGCCCGCCTTCTGCAGCACCTCGACAGCGCGCTCCACCAGCTCCGGCGCGACCACGAGGACCATGCCGACGCCGTTGTTGAACGTGCGCGTCATCTCGAGCGGCGCGACGCCGCCGCGCGCCATCAGGAAGCGGAAGACGGGGGGCAGCTCCCACGCCGATGCATCGATATAGCACCCGAGGCCCGCGGGCAGCACGCGCGGGATGTTCTCGACGAAGCCGCCGCCGGTGATGTGCGACATGCCCTTGAGCAGCCCCGCCTGCGCCGCGGGGAGCACGCCCTTGACATACACGCGCGTCGGCGTGAGGAGCGCGTGCCCGAGCGTCGTGGTCGCGTCCCACGGGCAGGCGTCGGAGTAGGAGAGCCCAGAGAGCTGGACGACCTTGCGCACGAGCGAAAAGCCGTTCGAGTGCACGCCGGAGGAGGGGAGGCCGAGGAGGACGTCGCCGGGGGCGATCGTGGGCTGGGGGAGGATGAGGCTGCGCTCGACGGCGCCCACCGCGAAGCCGGCGAGGTCGTAGTCATCTGACGGCGCGGAAAGAAGCTCAGTTCAGCGGTCAGACACGGAATGCCAGACGCGGGTAAGAAAGAATGGGAGAAGAGGAAAGAAGCTCACCGCCGTGGTACATGCTGGGCATCTCAGCGGTCTCGCCGCCGATGAGGGCACACCCGGCCTGCACGCAGCCGTCCGCGATGCCCTTCACGACGCGCGCGGCGATGTCAACGTCGAGCTTGCTGCACGCGAAGTAGTCGAGGAAGTACAGCGGCTCCGCGCCCTGCACGAGCAGGTCGTTCACAGACATCGCCACCAAATCGATGCCTGCGATTCAGATTGTGTGAACATTATTGTATCCGTACCCCGGGGCGGATCGGGGTGGCGTGAGCGTGGACGTACCGACAAAGTCATGCAGTTTGACGTCCATGGCCACGCGCAGCTTGGTGCCAACGCCGTCGGTCCCGCTGACCAGCACGGGATCCCGGTACCCTGTGGCCTTGAGGTCGAAAACGCCGCCAAAGCCGCCGATCTCGGCGTCTGCGCCTGTTCTGCGTGTTGCGCGAACATAGGGTTTGATGGCCTCGACGAGGGCGTTCCCAGCATCCACCGAGACTCCGGCCTGGGCGTAAGTGAGCCCACCAGAAGACGCGGGTGTCGCTGACAAAGCCCTACAAAGAAAGACGTATTTGGTGAGTAGATTGGGACAAAGCAACACTCGTAGAACGCACCTGTGCGCGATATCTCTCCGGAAGACCTTGCCCTCGAAATCGATCTTCTCGACGCCAGCATACGCAGCATCAAGGGCGCCTTGGAGTGTAAGCGCGTAGGCCGAGACCACCAACACACGACCGCCCGAGCTCACGATCTTTCCGTTAACAGCGGATGTTCCGGCGTGGAATGGGACCACATCTGTATTGGCCTGTCAGAATGGCGGAAATCCCGCAGTAGATTGACGCGTACCAGTGGGCATTTGCCCGATAGTGATTTCCTTGCCCTTGGCATAATTTCCCGGGTATCCTTGGGAAGCGAGCACGACAGAGACGCCAAACCCTGGTCGCGACTTCACTTCCACAGAGTCTAGGCGGTGCTCGGCGCAGGCCTGAAGAAGAAGGGTCGGATTTTACGGACAATCGAGCGAAGAGAGATGGTCGTACAAGGAGAATGGATGCTAGATCTGTTTCTGGGTCGAGTAACAAAACCAAAGCTTCCGTCTCGGGGTCACCGAACCGGACGTTGTACTCGAGAACCTTGGGTCCGTTTTCCGTGATCATGAGACCGGTGAACAGCATGCCAACGAAGGGGAAACCTGTGTGCATGTTCGTTGGTTTGTTCAAGGCTCTTTAATATAGTAATAAAAATACTTACCCTCCTTCCTCATACCGTCGATCGTGGGTTGAAGAGACTCCTTAGTGATGCGGTCCAGAATATCGGGAGTAGCGACAGGAGCGGGCGCATATGCGCCCACACCACCGGTGTTGGGACCGGTATCGCCCTCGCCAATACGCTTGTGGTCTTGCGCAGCGGGCAAGGCGGTGACGGTGTAGCCGTCGGAAAAGGCGAGTACGGACACTTCAGGTCCGGTCAAGAGCTCCTCAACAACAACTTCTTGACCTGAGAAAAATATATTCTTAGGATAGGTAGTATACACGGATTGTAAGGTCGCAGACCTGCGGCCCCGAAGACGCTGTCGACCATGATCTCCTTGAGGCCTGCGATCGCCTCGTCCACACCTTCGGGCAGAAGCACACCCTTGCCGGCGGCGAGACCGCTAGCCTTGAGAACGACCTTGAAGCCGCAGGTCCGGACGTACTCGACAGCCTGGTCGAACTCCGAGGATGCGAAAACCTTGAACTTGGCAGTGGGAATTTGGTGGCGGTCCATGAACGCTTTCGAGAACGCCTTTGATCCCTCCATGCGGGCGGCGAGCGCGCTCGGACCGAAAACCGGGATGCCCACTTTGCGTCGTGTCAGAACTGGTTAGGTCACATGCGGAACACCATACCTTTGCGAAAGTATGTTTCGACGCCATCAACAAGAGGTTGCTCAGGCCCAGGGAGGACAAGCGATACCTAGCGGGCACAGCGGTTAGTAACATATCAACGCGCAGTGGGCATTTGGCGATGCGCACCTCGTGCTTGAGGGCAAAATCGACGAGGGCAGGGAAGTCCGAGGCGGACAAATCGACATTTGTAGTCTTGGCCTCGAGGGAGGTGCCTCCATTTCCGGGACAGACGAAAATTCTGTCGACGAGCGGAGACTGCGAGAGCTTCCACGCGAGAGCGTGCTCGCGACCGCCGCCGCCAACGACGAGGATCGTAAGCGCAGCCATCGAGGGAACGAGGAGGAGGGATAAAGGTGGATTGCAGTCAAGGGGCAACCAGGCCGGGTCTCAGTGACTCCAACCTCAAAAAGTGCGGAGACGGACTCCGGACACCAGGGAGGTACTACTACTACTATAGCCGAGATAAGATTACGGGAGGCCAACAGATACGAGCTTGCACTACTACACTTAACTTAGTAGCACACTCATCGTACTCACATTGCAACGGGTTTAGTGAGAATCGTATGATCCGCGCGAGTAATTATATAGTTCAATGTCAATGTTGTAGACGGTACGCGCAAGCAGCAGCGGCCTCGCTCGTGTGAGGGATGATCTCAGTCTCCGAGCTGTGTATGGCGGGCAGGCTGAGGGGTGGGTAGCGTGGCGTAGGTGCTGTACCGAGGTAATACACATTAGAAACAAAATTCAGAGGCATCCAGGACACAAGCGTCCAGTCGCGAGCCAAGCGCGATGGCCGCGCAGGGTATACAAGGCGAACGTGAACTCGCGATGCGCGCCATCGGCGACGCGCCACTCGGTGCGCAACGCGCGAGGGCTCCGCGCGGATCTCCAAGGGCGAGAGTTATCGTCACATTTTTGCCACTCGGAAACGCGCACGGCGTGCTACTATGTACCGAGCACAGTGGGCGTTGGATAGCCTCAGGCTGAGCCTCCGACGAGCAGCGACTCCGAGTCGGAAACTTCGTACGCTAGCACCTGACAGCACAATGCAGAATTCAATATGTGTTCTTTTATGATATTCAATATTAGACTCAGTGGGTGAAATGCATCTAAACGCGCTACTACTTACCGGTACCACTGACAATGAACTCGATAATGCCAGAGCGTCCTTCGAAGCGATCGCTCGCGATGCACTCAGCCACATCCATGTCGAGCAGTATGGCGCTTACTCGTATGAAGCGCCGAGTTAGCTCCCTTGACGCAGGCCGGTATAGCACTAAGCCCCCGTCTTTCGCTTCAAAAACACCACAGTTGAATAGAGAGACGTATTATGTGGGATATCCTAGGTTTATGAGTTCCAATACGAAGGAATGAGGAAGCAGTACAAGATCTAAATTTAAAGGATTTCAGTCGAAAAAGTCAGTTTAGGACCCCGGAGACCCAAATGCCACTGCTACTACATAGGTTGGAGTTAGCGCTCCCCTGCCTGGTTGCCCCTTGATTGCAGTGCAGCGCAAAGCAAAGCTTTGTTTAATTTTGCGGGCAGCGGGGGTCGAGGACCCCGGATGAGCGGCCCCCGGACAGGGTGGGAAAGACGCCGGGGGTGGTTGCGGCGATGGAGTGAGAGCAGAAGCGAGGGTTGTGGACGGACCTGAGGAACAGCTCGTGTCCGCTCTCTTTCGCCCGGAATCTCCTCGACGCTCGTTTCTTCCTCCTCTCTTTCCCCATGCCCCCCCTCCTCTGACCGCCCGCTGCTGCCCCTCTCTCCCTGCACCGCGCACGACGACCCACACGCTTTGCCACGACCAGGCAAGTCGCGCCATCATACTCCGTTGCCGGCCTCAACTAGCCGCTTACCATCCGCGCACACCCTCTGCATCCTCCAGTTTTCATCGGACCGCCTGTGCTCGCTTTGAAGAGTACTCTGAGTCGCCATGGCTCCCGAAGGTGCCCATGGGCGAACGAAGCAGAGGAGCAAAAGCTTTCTGGGCCGCAAGCACACCAAGAAGCACGACGATCCTCCTGCCAAGCAACGGTCCGCGACTGACCATGGCCAATACGATCCTCGTGGCGGCAGCCTCGACGTATACGAGAAGGAGCAGGAGAACGCGCGCCCACACTTCAATCCGTTCGCATTCTCGATTATACCGGACCCCTTGAACGAGTTGCCCACATGGTATCATCGCGAAGTCGAGTTTGCGACCGCCTCTGCTGTACAATTTCGCATCCGCTACCCGCTGCACAATCCTGTCGGGCCTCGCTGGTATCGTAACCACCATCTACTCGCGCCGACCAAAGATGGCAGGCCGCCATCCGTTTTCTCTCCATCCTTCCCGCCCATGGCATCAGCGCCCGAGCGCGGGCAAGACCCTGCGCGTATGGCTGGCCCGAGTAGGACGCCCTCGGGATCGCCCCTCCCCACGCCGACCTCATCGCAGATCCGCATCCAGGAGCCTCCGAAGCCGCGGTCTCGGAAAGTCTCAACGGGCACTCATGACGGTGTGGACATGTTGGATGTCACGGACCCATGGGGTACGAATTGGCATCACGAGTCGCCTTATGATATCCAATCTGACAACCGAAGAGCAGAACCACCTCAGGTATGTCGTTGAACCATTGCGCAAGCAGCGGAATATTCAGGCGTCTTTCAGACTCCTATGAGCTCACGCGCGAGGCGGCAGAGCATGACGAATGGGATTCGCCACAAGACAGTGACGCCCTCGCCACTCTCCCAGTCTACATCTGCAGTCCACCTCCATGCCATAGACCCTGCGCAGATACAGTTGCCACGCAAACTTAGCAAGCGGCGGAAACCGTTCACCGGCATATTCGGAGGAAACGAAGATGGTAAGTGTTGTAAACGGACCGCGACTAGCCGTTTCTGACCGTCTGCTATCGGTAGAAGGGACTGTTCAAGGAAAGCTGCTACGCCGCCAGTCTGCAATGGCACCTTCCATGACATCTCTGCCCTCTCTTCAACCGTCCACGCAAAAGGTGAAGAGGGGAAGCGTCCTCGGTCGTCTGGTCAAGCGTTTCAGTGTCATGCGAAAACCCGACAAGGCTACGAACGCCTTGGGTACAGAGTGGCAACACTTCGCGAGTGCTGATAACAGTCGACTACCGACTCCTATCAGCCCTCTTCCTCCAGATGGTGACCATCGCGCGTCGTCGCGGATGTCGAAGTCCCCGGACCCTGTCAGGCGTGTACCCGCGCCCTCTATAGACGCAAACCCCGAGCCGCAGGGCTCTATCCGTGCACCCAGTCGTCGATCATCGGGGTCCTCTGTACACGAGTTTATGACGTCTGGGAGACTCACGATAGCTAATCCGGATGAGCCGTGGGGCTCCGGCGGTAACACGCCATTAGAAGAGGACCATGGCCATCCGCCCACGATCCAGGAGGAAGCCACGCCCAGGCCTATGTCAAGGGAGAATCTACCCCTTCCGGAAATCCCGAGGACGGATTCCCCGGCACCGCTAGAGGAGAGTGTCAGGCTTTCACGTCCGTATTCGACACAGCTCGTGGATAATGGCCCGGTTTTCCGCGACTCGCTCCCTCCCATGTCCTCCCCTCCCCTTCCTGAGTTGCCTCTCCCTACACCCGCAACTGTCCTACAGAGCTTGCCCGAACCGTCTCCGGCTGAGAGTTCACCTGCACCATCTACTGTTGTACCTCCGTCACCTTCTCCCACCCCGGCACAAATTCAGAAGCCTCCACATGAAGCCGTCCAGCCTGCACCCCCGATGATACCTATGCCATCTGTGGAAGACATTGCCTTGGCTCGGGCGTCGATGTTCGTCAACCCACCAACACCCTACACTACGCCCCTCGTCATCCCGACCGCTGTTGTGGAGGCTCCCGAGCCCAGTCCTAGCAAGCGCGTCGATCGCTCCCCCACGAAGTCGAAGGACACGAAGGATGGAACAGTGCGCTCGAAAGCCTCGATCGGATCGCAGAGCCGTCAGACGGAGACCTTCAAGCTCATCCGCAGTCCTTCTGGTAACATCAAGCAGGCTGGGGAGGTCATCATGGGCATGGGCGAGCAGTGGGAGGTTGTGGGTTCCCCCGGTGAGCCCTCCAGTTCGACGAAGAAGTCGAAGTCGAAAGACAGGGAACGTTCGAAGTCCTCTGAGCCCGAGCCTACTCGCCGTCGCGAGAGCAAGCGACGAGACACCATCACAGAGGAGCCCGAGACCCGCCACAAGAGACATCCCTCGAACAGCGGTCGCGAGAAGGCCCCCTCTCCCGACTACTCGCGGTCCACGCAGACCCCGATCATTCCGGAGCGCGTCACGTCGACGAAGACTGCGAGGCGCAGTTCTACCCTGAAGAAGCCTCGCAATGACGAGAGCAAGGTTGCCAAGTCCTCCAGTGCCCCGTCTCCCGTTGCCCCGTCTCCGGCGCCGGCGCCCCACGGTCATGAGCGTCAGGGATCTGCCCAGACCTCGACGCGACCCAACTCCGAGTTGCACTCTTCCGCGGACTACTCCTCCATGAAGGCCAAAGATGCCTGGGAGATGGAGCGGCTCTGGAAGGCGCGGAGCATGGCGTATGGTCCAGACGGTATGCCCGTAGTCTCTACGCCTGCTACCATTGGCAGTGACTCTCGCCCGTCGACGTTCATTAGCACCGAACTCCAGCGGGTGAGCTCGATCCCGAGCGTCACCGCCGTTGCAGAGATGCAGCGCGCGTCGAGTTCCCCACCCGCGCCCGCGGCTCAGATGCACGGCTCCAGCCACACCTACGTTGTCGTCCAGACACCGTACCAGGGCGCGCAGAGCCAGGCGGCGTCCTACACTCAGTTCGCCTCCGCGTCGACACCCATCCTATACCCTCCCGGCTCTCCTCAGTCGCACCCACAAGGAAGCCCTACACATCAGTACTACAAACAATCCTCATCGAGCTCGCCCCCTCCCCCTCTGCGCAACTCCCTCTCACATAACCCCCTCCCGGAACCCCCACGCCTCTCCTCTTATCAGCCCGCGCCACTGCCGCCGTCGCTGGCCGGTTCGTGGACGGGCACTTCCCCGTGACAGGACCGCGGTACATTGACTCAGACTGCCGACTGACTGACTGGCTCGACAAGTCCGGGGACGCTCTTGTTACTGACCTGCAATTGGAAGCCCGACGCACACTGCTGATACCACCCACACGCCCGCATTTACATGATCTCTACTCACAGACATTCCCAGTGCACATTGCCTATCTAGATTCACCATCTCTACTGCTGCATCTACACCTGTCGCTCTCCTTTCTACGGATCCCCCGTTACCCGCGCCGCTTTTGTTGGTTCTGCTTTTTTGATTAACGGGCATTTGCGGCTTTCCCCTACTTCCGCTTACGCGTTTGCATCCCGTCCCTCACTTCACCGCACACCCCTCTGCTTTAATCTTATAAGGACTATTGCTGTCGTTTGTACCACCGCGCGATGATGTTGGCATTCCATATTCAATCCTAATTCCGGCTACCTTGGAGCTTTCCCGTGGCCCATGCCCAACCCATCTCTAAACGTTCTCGAGTGCCTGTTGGTGTGCAATGCGTTGAAATTCCATTCCAAAGCGACTGCGTACGTAGATTACAGCACAAGGCGGAGCAGGAGAAACTAAAGAGGTATGATGCGTGCAGGTATATAATACATATGCGGGAGAGCCCATACAGACCGCGCCCTCCAGGGCGAAACCACAGCAAACATATGCACAGATAGTATGTCACACAGCCTATTATGGACATAGAAAATGGCAGCAGCACGGAGGCCGGCGCGGGCTACTGCTTGTACTCGTTCGGGTCGATCGGGAACTTGGGCTTCGGGTAGTCGTCCCACTGGTGGTCCGCGTCGAGGAAGCGGCGGAGGCGCGCGACCTGCGAGGAGAGGAACATCACGATGATCTGCATCTCGATGTCGAGGTTCAGCTTGAGGATGTCCTCGCATGTCTTGAGCGCCTGCGTGCGCGTCGACACGAACATGTTCCCGTCGAAGCCGAGGTGCTTCAACGCGTCGATCAGCTCGCTGAACTCGGAGCACCACGCGAGCACGCCGAGCTGCAGGGGCACGGGCAGGTTAGCGTGCGTGCGGGGGTAGGTGTGGGGGAGGTATGCGCACCTGGCCGAACTGCTTGAAGCGGGCGTAGAGCACGTTTGGTGCGCTCTTTAGTGCGTAGTCGAACGCCTCGTTCTGCTCGATCACGCCTGGTTGCGGAACGTAGTTGTCCATCGTCGCCTGGGGCTGGGGCGGGGGCTTCGATACAGGTCAGCCCGGTCGCATGCTTCAATTATGCACATCCTAGCTTACCTCAGGACGTGGCGGAGGGTCTTTGAACCACTCGATGCCCGAGTAGTCGACCTCACCTCCCCAGTCGACGGTTTCCGCTTGCTTACTTGTGAGATCCATGTCTGGGTCGATGGTAGAGTTGCGGAGGATCTTCTTGACGAAGTTTAGGAGATACGCAGGCGGGCGGAAGTTGACAGCCTCCGAGTATTCGTGTGCGTTGGGGGCGGGAGTGAAGATAGCGTAGGGGGAGTCCTTTGGTGCTACCCGCGGGGATGGTGTTGGGCTAGGAAGGGGGAAAGAGAAGAGGGAGGTGTCTGCATTGTTGGAACGGTCAGTAGACGTAGATGTTATATATAAAAGTGACGCACCAAGGGCAAGGGGCGTAAGAGGAGATGGGGGTAGGCTGGAGGTCTCCGGAGGAAGGCAGAAGACGTTCAGGGAAGTGTTCTTCGGCACAGATCAGACACAAGCCGCTGTACAAACAGACTGCACGACGTACCGTGATAACGTGCCCGTTATGCTCTTCGCTGAATGTCACCGAATGTCGGCTCTGGCGGTTGTCTGCTACCGAGCGACGGTAGATCACAGAGAGCCGGTTGACTGGGCTGGACGGTGCGAGGAACGAGGTTCTTTGAGAAGGGTTGTAGAGGGTTACAGATGAGCACGTCGATCTCGGCGTCTGTGGCGCTGTCGTGAATTCGAATTCGATCTGTGACGATATGGATGAGCGATAGGCAGCGACAGGCACCCCATCATTGCGTACCTCGGGCTCGCGGAGGTAATAACTGTCCGGCCTCAAAGAACGGGGGACGATATATAGTGGCGGAGAGGGCGGGGGAGGTATCGGGAGCGGAAGAGGGCTGCTGCTAGCTGTGGGCTCAACGCCTTCAACGTTGCGAGAGAGCCAAGCAGGAGATGGTGCCGGGCTCCAGAAACGAGAGATGCGATCGACTGCAGATGCAGGCGCAGAGGCGGTCAAAGACTGAGGGTCTACAAACAGGCAGCGAGGGAGCTGAAGGCTAGCTGTTCGCAAGCGTGGGCTCGATTCGTGGACCTCGATGCGAGGAAGAGGGGGTGTGACGGGTGTCTCGGCCTCGGCTGCAGAGTCGGGCTGAGTGGCAGTCTGAGTGAAGGATGTGGCGGAAGGCGTAGAGGTGTTCTCTTCGACGATAAAGGAGAAATCAAGTTCGTCGAAGACAAGCTCAGGGAGTTGGAGGGCCTCCGCTGCGGTAGGGGGGCTAGGGAGATGGAGGGATGCACCAGAACTTTCGGCAGGGAGGGCGTCGCACACCTGGGGCGCGTGTCGGCGAGCGCTAAATAGCGAAGACCTACTTAAAGTTCGGAGGCGCCGGAGGGACGAGGAGAAGGACTTGGCTTTCGGAGAGGGGGGTGTCGCCGCCGGAACAAGCGCAAGGCTATCGGACTCGACTGTAGCTTCGTCTTCGAAGTGGGCAGTCAGGGAAGCCTCCTTGTCGTTTGGAGACGCGGGCTTCCGTGCAGGGTCGGGTCCGAGGAAGAGTAGCGGCGAGGTGTGCGCTGGTGGCGTTTCCGGAGAGGTAGATGCCCTGCTGGAAGTAGACGAGGAGGAGGAAGAGGGCTTCGAGAGTTCAAAAGAGGGTGTTTGTTCTCGTGCGGGATCTTCAACGAGTGTCCGGACGTGCTTTGCCCGGGTGCGCGTGAGTGCGTCGCGTGGTCGCTTGAGGGAAGCTCGGGATAGCTTTCGGAGGCGAGAGATGGACGAGCGGGAGCGCGATAGAAGCGTGTGGTTGTATGCTCGCTGGTAGTCTGCACCGATCGAGTGTCAGCTCGCGCACAGAGGCAGGGTATTGTCCGAACTCACCGAAGACGGGCGCGAAGTGCGCAGGATCGGCAGGGCAGAGCGATAGGCGGAGCTCGTCGTACGATATCTCCTCGAAGTCGTCTTCCTCGATGTGCTCCGGCAGGGATGCGTAGTCTTCGAACGCGGCGCCGAGTGTCTTCCCGGACGCGAGAGCCTGTTCCGAGAGAAGAGGGTGGTGAGTGCCGGCGAGCGGGGAGGGCCCGGTCGAGGCACGCTGTGGGCCTTGGAGGCCGTTCGCGAGACTCGACTGGTAGCGGTTCGTGTAGGGATGCGTGGTGACTCACAAGTCCTCCAATCGTGGACCTGTGGGGGCAGGGCTCGTCCGTTCGCAGCAGTAGATGAGGACCGCGGCAGATGAAGTGAACGTGTAAACCTCCTGGCCTCGGCGAGCAGCACACGTCTTCCCGATAGTGACGAACGCTTGGAAGATACGAAACAGGCGGCCTGAGATCGCGAGCGAGCACGGAAAGCGCGAAGGAGAGCTCGACGCCCGGGAGAGCTGCCTCGAGGACGGAGGCGCCGCCGTACTTTCCGAGGGCACAAGCGCACGCTCTCATTCCGGCCTTCCTTCTACTCTCATCTCCCACACCTCATTCAATGCCAAAATTCATGGTTCAAACATAGAGTCTCATGCGAGACGAATTAGTATACCTAGGTTACTTCGATGGCCCAACATCCGAGTGATATCTCCTCCGAGTGATATTTCCTCTTCCGTTAAGACACCGATCCACTCACCCGCCCCCTCCCTCAAGGTGCCCAGGCCGCAGACGGATTTGCCACAGTCAGAACCCGGTGACACATTCTGATTAAGTCCGCCATGTTTTCGGTGGAGTCCGCCGCTGCGCCTATGGTCATGCAACCGGGGAAACATACCTTACACGGCGATCGCACACCTACATGACGGCGATCGCGCCTGGAAACACACTGCGACCTGGTCAGTAGACCCAAGCAGGCATGAGTAGACCCAGGCAGGCATGCCAACGTGCCGTACTGCGCCATGGTTGAGTACTGCCGGTGTCAATCCCGCAGGTAGGGTAATCCCGGGCGAACGATATTGAATGTTCACCTTCTTTCGTCCTACTTTAGGTATATCCAACGGAGATGGCAGGGTCCCAGAGCACCCTAGCATCCCCCGACGTGCTTCTTGTAGGGCACATTCTACACAGAAGGCTCATCCCCCACCAAAGGAGCCTATCCGTGGGCATTCCAGAGGCAATCGGGTCCTCGCCGTGTGATAGGGCAGACATGCAGTATGTGCGTGCCCGCGTACCCTCAATATCACAGGTGCACGCATACAGTCCTGGCGGCGACAAGATCTATGTCGCAGGACACGATCCGGCACATGTTCCGCGTTCTGGTGACTTGATCGACTGACAGAGTGACTTTGAAGTACACGAAGTCCAGCGACGCGCGAAGGCAATTATCCCAGAGTCTTTGAATTTGCATGGTTTGGGAGCTTTATTACTCTCTGTCACCTGGAACACAGAACACGAGAGAACTTGTTCCGGAGCACGTTCCGCGGAACGCAGCCCGCAGCCCGCATGGCGTTCTCCGCGCACGGCACCTGTGGTCGGCGCGCTGACCTGTCTGCTCCGGTTGGGTCGACCCAGGTGCGCCCCTGGCATGTTGTGGCGGGCCTGCTGATAGCCTCTTAAACGTTCGTGATGCAATGTGGACTGCTGTCTACTACTGTATATTCCGCTAGAGGCACAATAACTTACAAGTGACCGGTCAGGGGAACACATAACGATACACACCGGTGGGTTCACAACACGGGGATACGCTCGCACAGTCCAGGCACACCAAGGGAAGACCCGTAAGCGGGGCAGGTTCTCTCAAGTTCCGCTCAGTCTAGCAGCGGCCGTTCTTCGCCTCTCGTCTCCCGGGCACCGAGGTTCCTAATGGACACGAGAGCTCGCTGGACCGCACCGGTGAGCGACGCGATCGCCCTCCCGGCTCCCTGCTCGCGGTCCCCGACTTGGCCAGCCACAGCTCCCGCCATCCACGCTGTCCCCGCGATTGCCCACACCACAGCGAGCGCCGTAGATGTACCCCCCGCCGCAAAAATGGTGCGGCGTTGGTCAAATGGCCACGGCACGCTCACCGTCTGCGCCCACGAGCCAGGCCCGGTCTGCCGGAATGCGTGCATGCCGCGCCCCGCAAGCCCGCTCACCCCGCCCGCGCCGCCGTCGCACCAGAGCACCATGCTGCCAGTTTCCTCCGCACGCGCTTTGGCTTGCTCCCACATCGCGCGCCCGATGCTCGGGTGCCAGGTGCGCGCGGGCGCGAGGATGAGTGCGGGGCGCGCGGGGAGCCCGGCGAAGGAGGACGCAGTGGTGAAGTCGAGGCAGATGGACGCTGTGATGTCGATCGGGCGCGTGAAGTTAGGTGCTGGGGCCCATTCGGGCGCGGTCCAGAATTTTGGGTGGGGGAGGTGCATGGTGAAGAGCGAGGGCTGTTCGTTGGAAGGTGTGAGGGAGAATGATTCGGCAACTGCAAGGACGTCAGTTGTGAGACCCTCGTCACGTTCGAGATGAATGCACTCACTAGGCACCAGGTTTCGCTTGTAGTACTCATACACTACACCTTCCCATCCGAGAAGGACCAAGCCGTTGCGTCTCATACCAGCCTTCCAGACGCCGTCCGGAGAGTCGGAATGGACGACCTCCTCGAACCCGATGCCGTAGTAGGTCCCGTTCGCGATCTGTCGGCTGATCTTTGCAAACGTCTCCTCCCGCTCTCCCGCGGCGGTGAAGTGCACAGCACTCTCAGGCCAGAGGATGATCTTGGCCTGGGATTGCAGCGTCCTCGACTCCGCGACGTAGTCCTTCAGCGAAGGCGGACCAGTTGCGTGACCATTACGCTGTGGGTAAGGCATAGCGCACGCGACGCCGAAAGGCGTCACATCGGGCGCGGAAACCGGAGGCGGGAGGTCGGAGACCATGTATGACGGAACAGCGAGAGTCATGAGGACTGCGGCCATGACGAGCGTCCGGCGTGCCTTTGCAGAGATGGCCGATCGTGCTTTCGGAATGGGATGGACGAGGGGTACGTCGTCCACGAGGGAAACAACGTCCTCCGACCCGGGCTCTTGCTCTCCGCCCGGTCCCATCATCCATGCCCCCGCCACGTCCGCGATGACCACAGCCCAGGCGGCCACGACCCAGTTAATCGCAGCCTGGCCGCCCACCTGCCGCAGCCAGCCGTAGCCCCCGACGTTAACTACGGGGCTCCAGGTTGCTAGCTGGCCAATCGGACTACCGCGCTCGACTGCAGCCCATGTCGTGGCCCAAGTGGCAGGGAAGAGCGTCGCGCGCGCCCAGTGCGTTTGTGAAGCGCGTTCCGTGTAGTATCCGGCCGCGATCGCCCCCGCGGCAATGGTAGTTGACACAGTAGATAGGCCGGCTAGGACGATCAAGGAGGTGAAGGGCGTGGAGAGGGCGTGGAGAGACGCTGCAGCATGGACTATGCCTGTCGCGAGTGAGACGCAGATTACTTGGGCGACGGCTCCAGACCAGTTCCGCCGAGGGATGAGCGTTGCAGCCTGGAGCCGCAGGATAGCTAGGAGAAGGATCAGTGGAGGTAAGGATGGCGTTGGAGTTAGGGCGCCGAGGGCGAGAAGAGGGCCCAGGGTGAGGTACACTCGCGACGGGTGTCTGATAGGTATACTTGCGAGAGACATCTGACTGCACGATGGTCAGGAGTAGGAGTAGTTATTTCGGATGAGAAGAAGACCGTCTTTATAGACCCGACGCCGACGTCGCTTCTGCAGTCAACGTTGTGCTGCGGTAATCCTATTAGTATTACAGCACTGCGGTAGCGAAACTGATCAGTACTTTCCAGCGAAGCACGTAGCTTATAACCTGCGCAGAGGAATCAAACTTACCACACATACATCTCCCCGATGTGTCATGGACGACTCGGAGCGAGTTCAGGAGAAAGTGACGAGGTACGAACACGAAGGCCTGTGTTGCGCTGCGGACCCTAACCTCAGACACTGACCTTGTCCTCATCAGTGCGTCCCAAAGCTGCCTAGGGCCTACTATCACGGACCCAGAGTTCGAACGGCAAACGAGTACCCCTTGTTGCGTAACGAATAACTCCCCTCCCTCAAGCCCGATAATTCCCAAACTTGGCAGAACTACTCTTCATATGTATTCCTACCATCATACCGACTTTGAAAAAATCTGAGGATGTTGCAGACCAACCCGAGCCCGACCAGTGGGAGGGTACCAGAGTTCGAACGTTTTGATGCCGATGAGTAACGCTAAGTAACGCCGCCGAGCCATGCCGGATTGATTCCCCGCAGCAAGCGTGCACTACGCGAGGAGGCGCTCTCGGCCACCAAGATCGTCGGAGTTCAGAACGCTGCGTTAGCGGTGGCGCAGATGTCACGCTTTGAGTCTTACACCTTTTGCTACTCAACTTCCCGTTCCCCATAGATGCGTAGAACTTCGGGAAAATGGTGGAAGCATTTGTATATACATATAACGCTCCCAGAAGAAGTTCTGTGACAGACACTCATGGTACAGGGAAGAGCGCCCATGGGTGCATCGTGCAAAAGCCGAACTCGTCCACTTACTCGCTCAAGATCGGGACCTCCACCTGCTCTAAAAACTTCAACTCTTTTGCAGGTAGTGTATCCGACATAGAAGTATTGATGTGCGAGTTTGCAAGGTTATCGGTGGCTAGGGAGGGAGGGATCTTTCGGAACGTTCGAACTCTGGGTCCCGTTCGAACTCTAGGTCCGTGATAGTACTGGACGAACGTTCGTCTTAAATCAGCGGCACAAATCGAGAGCGACTATCATGTCCATGGACACTTCATGGAACCCCAGAAGATGTTGTATCTTCATGGAAGTCGTACACAGGATCGCCTTCGGTCACCGTCGTCGATAGGCACGTCGAGACAGTGTTCTTGGGTGAAGGCAGGCGTGTTGTATACAAGCTTCAAACTGCAATCCTTCCTATTGTCGCGTAGCGGTAGTTGACTTCTCAATCATACACCTCGTATATGTTACATTCCGACCGTAGATCTCGAGTGGAGGCACATCGACGCGAAGCGCTTAGCACTTGCACTCGCCGGGCTTGCACGCGCAGCTACATTGCAGACACGCATCAGCACATAGCCGGAGCGGTACTGTAGGGAAATACTCACGTCGCGCCACAGTTGCAGGAGCTAGAGCCGCAGTTCTTGTTCTTGGGCGGCTCGGAGCTCTTGGGGCCGCACTCGCAGTTGGGCCAGGCGCAGTCAGAGCTGCTGGACTGGGTGGAGCACTTGACGTCGGCGGGCTAAGAGGGACGGTGAGCACGGATGAACGGATTGCAGGGCGAAATGGGGGGAAAGCTAACCATGATGATAGTTGGATGTAGGTTCAGTTTCTGACCGTGGGTCAGTCTCCCATCGGACACTGCTCTTTATATACCCGTCCACGGTCCGCCTGGAATCGAGATCCACCATCTGATAAAAATGGGGCAGCGTTCCTAATTCCTCTCTGCGCTCGGCATGGGGCCGCTGCGCACAGCGGGCGGTGAAAGACTTCAAATCTTCGTCGTTTGATACGACAAGAGCCCATCTAGAGCTGCCGATAGAGACCAGGCGCGTCGATAAGCCATCTTGGTCGAACCATGGGGCTCTTCGTCCTGAGTTCTCCTAAACGGGTATCGTCGGGACGGCGGCCCACAGTGACACCTGGAAGGTAGCGGTGCTTCGAGAGTGCCTGTATCCGTTCCGGTCTCTCCCCGCGCCGCCGCAGAGTTGGCGGCGTTGACGATCGAAGGTATACAAGAAGTTGTCAGTTTACTCAGTTCGGTACCATGCAACCTGCACGCCTGAATATCTGAGTGTCGACACGAGATGCATAGAGAGAGTATAAACATATCATAGCGAGAGTGCTCTCTAAAAGTTTGTTTGCGATGGTCGCAGTCAGGAGATCAGAGAGTTCGCCGAGCGCTAACTCATGCTTCTCCGCATATCAAAAGTTCTCACGCATACACATCGGGACCACATAGACGCCGAAGACATTCTTACTGCTCTCACTGCCAGTGCACACACCTGACCGAGTCCTCTTCGTCCTCCGCCCTCCCCCCGGCCGCCCTCCGTCTCCAAAACACTTCGCATGGCGACCAAGCGCATCGCCAGCCAAGTGCACAAGCAGGCCTCGCGCCTCATCCGCGAGGGCTACATCCAGCGCGAGCCCGCCTGGTACCGCGCCGTGCTCGACAACCCGCCGCTCCCGCTGCCCGCGCGCGAGCCGCCGTCGCGCACGCACTTCGACACGCCCGACGCCATCGCGCTCACGCGCCCCGCGCACGCCGCGACGATCAGCCCGCTGCCGGTGCAGTACGTCGAGGACCAGGTCCGCAAGCAGTTCTTCCGCGACCACCCGTTCGAGGCGTTCCGCGAGAAGTCGCTCGTCGAGAATGAGAAGGTCGAGAGCGAGCACTCTGTAAGGGGGAAGGAGTGGAAGAGGTTGAAGCAGAGGGGGCGGAATCCGTCGCCGGAGGAGTGCGTATATGCTGTCCTGTGTGTCCGGTGTGACAGTGTGCTGACTTTTGGAGCAGTGCTATCCGCTATGCGGTGAACCTCTATGAACACCAAAATGTGAACCTGTCCGACGCGTATGCGTCCGCCGTCGCCCAGTTCCGGTCACTACGCTCCGAAGTCACCATCGCCCGCCAGGTCGCGCTCGCCGAGGCTGAGGCGCTCGGCGTAGAATTCGGGCCCTCGCAGACGGAGATTACGTTCCGGAAGGAGAGCAAGGCGTTCGAGACCTTCCAGGACACCACCGAGCAGACACGTACCGCGGAGACGGAGCGCAAGCGCTGGAAGGCCGTTGTCGAGCGCGAGGGCCGGCCAGACCACTGGACGAAGGGACAGGAGTACACGCGGTTGTGGAAAGAGGGTGTCCGGCCAGTATATGCGCCGGTCTTTTCCGAGGCTGAGGCTGCCCCGAAGCCTGAGTTGACACCAGAGCAGATCGCAGCACGGCTTTCCGCCCAGGCGGATTTCCTGGCTGTAACCGGTAAGGCATAGGGCAGGGGCTCGGCGCACTCTCCTAGTCTCGGTTGCTTGATACTTTACATATGGAATAATTTGACGTTACCTGTCGCACACCTCATTCGACAGTACGGCCCACGAAAGTGAAAAGCGAGAGAAAACAGTCCGCGATGAGTATGCCTATATACTATGCTGCTAACTACTATGCTGCCTTGATGGCTCTCGACTGTGCCGCCTGCGCGGCGTTCACGCCCATCCAGGTCTTCTCGACCAACCCAAGCAGCCGCTGCATGTCCGAACTCCAGTCGTTCATCACGTCCTCCGCACTTCGGCTGTTACGGAAGTTGACGATACCTGTTGGTCGGTCGATGCGCGCCCACACGGTCGCAGAGACTACGAGTCGGCAAAGGATCTCCTCGGTTTGTTGCTGCGTCAGATCGAGGAGAGAGGTGAGGCGGGCGAGGGTGATGCGAGTGTAGTACTGCGCTACGATGCGGATGTTCTGTGGGAACGTAAGGTCAGTTGTCATGAATCTACCATGATTGAACTTACGTGTTCGATGACCCTGGTGTGGAGGTCTTCCCAGAGCTTCTCCGAAGTGAAGACCTGAGTCTTGCGCAGATGAGGTCCGTAGATGGCTTCAATGCCTGGCCATCTCATAAGCTCGGGAGTCGTGAAACATTTCACAAGTGCGCTGAGAAGGATGTTCATGAGGCCTCGGTGAGGCTGACCGGAGGAGATTAAACTCACTAATGTAGTTCAAGCTTAGGCAGAGCAGGATCGGCGAATAGTCGATGAAGCATGTCAGACTGCTCGTTGTCGTGAGGCGCCAGGACAACGTAGTAGACGATGTGTTCTAGCGCCTGTACGAGACGTCAGCACAGCGGAACTACGTCGAGATGACTTTCACGTACCTCGCGTCCGCGGCCATTCACGTCCTCCTTGATCGAGGGGGTCTCCCAGACCTTGTGGTAGTACTTCGCCGCATCGAGGTATGTGCTGCCATACAACGCATATTGGATCATCATGTCGTAGTACTTGAGTTTCAAGTCCTGATGCAGCCCCAGTGTCAGCCCAAGTCAATAGTACGTAGCGAGCACTCCTACCTCGTTCGCCTTGTCCTTCAAAAACTCCTCGTTGACCTTGCGACCTCCCACCCTCACTTTGACCCACTCAGACTCGCCGCCGCCGATCGAGTCCTTGCCCTCCTTCCCAATGTCGCTGTCCTTCAGGCGCGCAAGCGCGATCAGTAAGCGCATCTGCTCCAGGAGGAACTCGGTCTTTTCTCGCCGGTCCATCGAGGAGTACGTCTCGACCTGGAGGTCGCTGAGGAGATCAGAGGCAAGTTGCAAGGTTTCCTTGCGGGAGGCGGGGGTAGTGGCAGCGGCGGCGATGGTTTCATGGTGGTGTGCAAGGAGGAGAGTTACACGAGCCCGTGGCGTTTCGAGGAAGATCTACATAAGCTGGTCAGCGGAATGGTTGGGGGAGTGTTATTTGAATGCACGCACCTTTCCCTCGGTGACAGTCCGCAGCGTCTCAATGAGCTCCAACCACGTCTCGGTGCCCTGTGTCTTGCGGATGTCTTCGAGCCACTCATACGCCTGCTCTACGATAGCCTGGATGGCCGCCTTCAGCTGGCCATGCTTCTTGCTTAGCGAGCTGATGTTGCTGTTGAGGAGCTTGAAATTCCGGGCCTTGTAGCAGAGTTCAGAGGCCTCCTTGACCAGTCTCGTAGTAGACTTAAGGTCAGATGCCTGCGTGAACGCGTATTAGCAACGCATTAGCCTCTATAAGAGTAGTACGACTCACATTGCGAGTCTGCTTCTCAAGGACGTAGATCTTGTCGAGTGCCTCCTGCAGCTTCTTCGACTGTACGCGCACGCCCAATTAGCACAATGTCCTAAGCAGCCGCAGAGCACGAGCACGCACTGCCGCAAGTGTTGTGGTCTCCGAAATCAGCGCATCGACCTCCTTCGTGAAGTCCTTCTCTTGCTTTTTGGGATCAGCCATGTTGTACGTGTTGCAGGTGGATGAGGGGGAGTGCAAGGAGGAGGTCGCGGTTCTTACGGTAGACTGACGCGTCGCGTTCAGGCTTTCGCTTCCCCTCCTGCCATATCCGGTAGCGCCCCCACATTCGGTCACGTGGAGTGTGGGCGCTCGCTCAGGCATGGAGGCGCCGAACTGAAAGTGGATCGTAGGTACGTCCAGCGTAGGCCTCGGGTCAGTCTTCCACTCATCCGACTCGCGCGCATCGGATGCCAGGTGAGGTTCAGGAGGAGAAGAAATAATGATATTCGCATCGTCAGAACCCTACACGCGTGCCAGCACATCGTCCGTATGTAAGCATAGAGCGGAGCAGCATAGTCGAAGAATTATTGACAAACAGGGCTGATGGCGTCTGTTGCCGTGGGTGCCGTGCCGTTCGTGTAGGCGGGCTCGGAGTCGGCGATCGCGCGCTTGTCCTGTCCGTTGGGGGCATACTTGAGTTCATAGTCGGAGGCGGGCATATGGTTGTGGGTCAGCCGTGAGAGGCTGAACGGCATAGAGGGCATAAAGGAGAACATGAAGCGGATGGGCGCGGTGTAGAAGCGCACAACGCGGTAGGTGATGTCGGCGACGCCGTGTGCCACGGAGGGGATAAACGTGGAAATGGCGGGCATGGTGTTTTCGGGGCGGCTGCCCTCGTCCGAGCTCTCGGATGCGGTGTCGGAGAGCGCAATGGACATGGGCTCCGTGCCCTTTTCTTCGGTCTCAGGGACGGCGTCGATGCTCTGCTCGCAGAACTCGGGGACCGCCATGACCTCGACCTCGACGAAGACGGGCGTGGCATCGATGGAGACCTCCGCCGTCTCCGGCTCGATCTGCACGCCAAAGTCGACGAGCTCCAGCTCCGCCTGCACGGCGAACTCGGCGACCTCAGGAACTGCAGACACGCCCACCTCAGAGGTAGACACGGTCGCGTCGACGCTCTTGTCCGCCTTCGGGGGCGGCACGTACGGCGCAGGCGGCGGCTGGAGCTTGCGCTCCGCCAGACGGATGTGCTGGATGTGCGGCAGGAACTCCGCGACACGCTGCCACGCAACAGCATTCGCCTCCACGATCCCTGCGCGGTTCTTCTCGTTGAAGTACTTGAGCGTGTCCAAGTACGGCGCAATGTGGCTCAGAAGCACCGCACTCTGCAGCGGGTTACGCACCCACGAGTGCCCGACGTGGAGGCGCAGCAGCGAGCGCGAGCACACCGTGCGCGTCCCGTACACCTCGTCACTCTCCAGCTCGGCGGCGTGCACGACGACCCCGAGTGTATGAAGCCGTCGGCAGTCGCGCGTGAGCGGCACGATGTTCTCGAGCGTGAGTGGCGGCGGGGGGCCAGTCGGCGGGAAGCGTGCGGCGGGGCACAGCCGGAGGATTTCGATGTTGGGGCAGATGCGCGCAATGTGCGCGATGTCGCGCTCCCTGAAGATGACCGACTCCGGGAGATCGATCTCGAGACGCCAGAGGCGGGGCAGGCGCGAAAGGTAAGAGAGCGGTAGCTCGCGCATGGGCACGTCGCCGCCGCGGGACGTTGCACGTACGAGTTCGCCGAACCGCGAGGCACTCGTTGCGTTGATGCGCAGCGACTGCAGGGTGTCCGAGAACTGCTCGCAGATGATCGTGCAGACCTCGTGCCAGTCGAGCGCCGGGGGCGGATCCTCCATGACGAGGTCGAGCTGCACGAGCGGGCTTGTAAGGTGCTTGAGGAACGTGGCCAGGTTGGCAGCATCGCCCGTGAGCGTGAGGTTGCTCAGCTTCGCGAACGCACCACGGCGTGGCCCGTCGCGCGTGAGGCGCACCGCCGCCTTGCGTGCCTCGGTGAAGTCGACCTCGTCCCCGGAGAACACGCCGCTGTCGCTGTTGGAGCCGCCGACAGAGCTCGGCGTCGAGTACCCCGAGCCGGGGCTGATGTCCTCGAAGAAGCCCTCGACGGCGGTCGTCGTGCGCGCGGACAGGTCGACCGCGAACGTCTTGAGCTCCGGCAGCGTAGAAGCCCACTTGCCGATCTTCGGCGCGAGTGCGCCGGGCGCAGTGAGCGCGACCTTCTCGAGCGCCGCGTTCTGTGCAAACGTCTCCGTGAAGTCGTCCGGCAGGTTGGTGTGCAGCGTGAACGAGAAGGCGGACAGCCCACGGTGACCCGCGATCTCCTCGAGGAGCTCGTTCAGTTTCGCGCTGCGCGTGCCCACCTCGAGGGTGACACCCTGCACGCGCGGACCGAGGAACATCCGGCAGCGCTCGAGGCTGGCCACAGACTCGGCCTTCCACGTGAGCGTGGTGAGGTTTGGCAGGATGTGCGCGACGGGCTTGTTCTCGTCGAGCAGGGGCAAGATCGAGGGGTGGATGTTCCCTGAGCTCTCGACGTACGAGACGCTGCGCACGCGCTCGCCGTACGCGAGCACGCGGGCCCAGTCCTGCCTCTCGGGCGCCTTCGTCTGTGCGCCGTACGCGGGAACGAGCGGAGGGGTAGGGGCGGAGGTAAGCAAAGGCACCTCCGGACCCGACAGAGACAGAAAGCGTACCAGACCCAGGCCCGGCCGGCGGGCGCGTCTGAGGATCGTGCTCGGGAAGAGCCCGAGCAGCGGCGTGAGCGAGTCGAGGTCCCGCCAGAGGACGTTCAGCGCTGGTTCCTTGAACGCCTTGCAGGTGCGTGCGAGACGCGACACAGAGCGGCGTCCGCCGGGCGTGTCAAGAATCGCCTCGAGCAGCAGCTGCGTGGCATCGGCGTCGCGAAGAATGGCGGGGAACATCTTCTGCTGGTATACGGCGTACGGCGTGTAAGGGTCGACGCGAATAGAGGCGGTGGACTTGCGAGAGCGAAGGCTGGCAAGACGAGGTCGCGGAATCGCAGAGATGTAGTCGGCGAGCGAGGAGCGGCGGGAGAGGGAGGGTCCAGTAGACATGACGAACGGGCTCACTGTGCGCGGCAGGTACTTAACGGAAGATGTCGCTGCGGATGGGTAGGTTTGGGTGCGGATGGGTAGGTTTGGGGGCGGTCCTGGCACGTTTGGCCTGTAATAGATATGCTGGTACTCTCGAGGCGCGAGAGAACTCCGGTAAGAAGTCAGGAGGGCCGTATGTGACGGTGGGATGCTTCGAGGACGACGCAAGTGCGCAATGCGACGATGGCGGATGTGGATGGGCCCTGTGTCCGTAAAAGCGCGTAAATATACGACTGGCAGAAAGCTGGCTCCAGCTGTGTACACATGTTAGCGGTGTCGCGCCGCACATTGATAGCGCACCGAGGATGGGAGCTGGAATCACAAGCATGCATGATCAACGAGGACATAAGCTCTGCAAAGATGCGGGCGGAGAGCGTGTAGTCGCCCATAAGACGGCAGCACGCGTCTCACGTGAGTCGCGACACGCGTCGAACGCACCTCTGCGGGGCGCAATGTCTGGCAGGCAGTCCTCTGCGCGCGCGGAGCAGCACCCCAGACCACAGCCCAGCTGCAGCGAGACTCGGGATCGTGCAGATCACAGTGAGCATTGCGTCCAAAAACAATTCGGCACATACTAGTCGTACACCGCCTACGGCTCTTTCTCCTAGGGCACTGGCACTGCTGCAGCTCATCTGGAGGTCGACCTCCAACTCGACGGAGTCTCATGCGGTGTGGCCTGATCATTCGAGTTCGACGGGGGTCGCCGGTGTGCCTCGCTGCAGCGAGACTTCGGATCGTGTAGATCACAGTGAGCATTGCGTCCAAAAACATGTCGCCACATACTAGGTGTACACAGCCTATAGCTCCCCTTCCTCCCAGGGCACTGGCTCGCCCTCCCACTCTTCTTCGGTCCCTCCAACGTGGTCCTCGTCCTCTCCCACATCCCAGATCTCGCCGCCCTTGCGCGCGTTGTAATGGACCTCGCGACTGCCGTACAGAAGTTCGCGGACGACCTTCTCTTCCTCCGTCCCATGACCTCGACCAGGCGATATGGCTAAGACACGCTGGAGCTCATCCGGAAGGTTGATCTCAAACTTGGCAGGGTCTGCGTTATGAGGTAGGTGATCCGACGGCGGTCGCCAGTGCGCCTCCCAATCAGAGTCTGGATCCACATCGCGCTCCGCCCTGGAGGACCGAGACGAAGGGTCGATCTCCTTCACCTGGATCTCGTCGTCGAGGCTGTCCTCCTCGTCCTCCTCGTCTGCGCCGTTGGAGTCCTGCAGGAGTTTCGCCTTCTTTCGACTGAGCGCCGCAGCCTTTCCCTTTCCCTTTTCGGCGTACTCCGGCCCGGAAGGCTTGGAGGAGTCGGGCGGGGGAGGAGAGGGCGGAAGGAGCGGCAGATTCAGGAAGGTATTTGTAGAGTTAACGTCATTCTCAGCGTCATCCTGGTCGTCAGGCAGAGACCGCTTGTTCGACGTGCGCGAAGGCGGGTTCGCCGAAGCCGTGCGAGAGAGTGAGGAAGGTCTCGGAGGCCCCATGTCCGACCACAAATCATTCCTGCCTGGTATGAGCGCCTTTGGGATGCCGTGTTTCCCGTTGACCGTTCGACCCTTCTGCTGCGAGAGCTTCGCCGATCCCACCACAGACGCGTCGAGACCTTTCAGTCGCGGCTTGAGGCTCCAGTCGTCTTCCTCGTCCGAGGAAGGGGTGAGCGCACGCGACTGCGCCCTCTTGGCGCCGAGGAAGACGTTCTGCGAGGAGTTGGACTTCTTCCGAGATGAAAGAGACTTTACGAGACGCTTCTCCCCGTTTGGGAGGACGTCGTCGAATAGGATCTTGAAGTCCCGTCCGCCTGTACGCGGCTTCATAGGCGTGTCGGCGATGATAGTGTCATTTTGATCCGCAGCCATCTCATCTCCGTCGGAGGCGTCGGGGCTGTCGAGAGCAGCGTGGCTATTAAAGGAGACCGCAGCTTGAGACGCCACGCGTGGACGCTTCTCTTTGACCGGAGAAGGTGATACGGGTTCACCGCGGAGGCGTTTACGTGCGCGTGTGACAGCAGAATCAGCGACGGGAGCTGTAGGCGTGCGCTGGACCATAACCATGGGCGGTATTGGCGGAAACGGGTTCGGGGAGGGGGAACGCCGGGTGACATGGGGTTTGGTCTTCGTCTTGCTGGGAGTTGCGAAAGGGTTCGGGCGGGATGGATTAGATGCACGTTGTGGTGAAGATTGATCATTTGGCAGCTTCTTCCTGTTCTTGACAGGCGAGAAGGGATTGGAAGTAGTAAGAGGAGGATCGACCTTAACGGCTCTAGCCTTCGGCAGGATGGATGAGGATGCCTGGGGTTGACGTGGCGCCGAGGACGGGGGCGTAGAGGGGCGCGCAGCGGGATGCGAGCGGGAAGAAACGGCCTTAGAGAGGGACTTGTAGAGTTTGTACTTTGCGGCTGGACCCGAGGTGAACGCGGCAGGACGGGGTGGGAGGAAGAGAACGTACCGATTGCGGGCTGGTCCTTGATTTCCTGGATGGACGGGTCCCGGCCGTGTTTTGCCTTGAATTCGCGCTCCCAACTCTTGATCTCCACGCGAAGGGCGGCGACGTCCATCTCAACGGGCACGGCGCGTGGCTAGAGGATGTACAACTGGCAGTCACGGTGACTGGGAACTAAATCCCAGTAATATGAGCCTGTGACTTCCTGGCAGATAACTGAGATATGCACCTGTGATCCCAGTTATTACCACAAACCTCCCAGAGTAGATGGCGGGAGCGTTGCCAGATGTGAGGCCTGTGAGGAGGAGGAGGTAGAGGAGAGACGCGCCGAGACGCGACGCCTCAAAGTCTGTTGACGCGTTGTTTGGCCGACACGTGGATGAGACGCCCGTTGCCGGTCCGGCCGGAGGTGCCTTGTGGGGGTGCAGTGGCCCTGGGAGCAGGAACGCAAGGCAGCGCCTGCATGCGCTCCAGAGAGACAAGAGGCGGCGGCTCCCTCCATCGCCCTCTGCTCCTCCCCCCCGTCATATTCTCCGCTGCCCCTGGCCGGCTTATCGAATGATCCTCAACCCAAACTTTTATCACCATGACCGCGACGACTTTCCTCAAGACTCTCCTCCCCATCTCCTCCCCCGCCCGCCCTTCCCCCACCAGACCCCCGTAGGCTTCTCGTACTCCGGCCCACAGTACCCCGTCTTCCAGCAGCCCTTCTCGACATCTTATCCGTCCCAGGGGCCTTCCCACTCCCAGCAGCAGCAGTCCTTCATGCTCCAACACCGTTCTGCTCCTCCCCATGCTCGTCCATTTCAGCCCTCGCTCCTCAATGACCCCGCCTTCTCTCCGGATCCGCGCTCCAATCCGTACTTCTTCACCATGAACGACCGCGAGGAGATCTACCCGGCGAGTCTCTCAGATAGCCTATCCGACTACGCCTCCACTGCCCCGGACGAGGAGTCTGAGATAGACCACAACAATCTACCTCCGCGCATGCGAATGCTTCAGAGCTCGGACTCCAAAGCGCAGCCGCTCTCACAACATCTTCGCTCGCAGTCTGTCCCGTATCCTCCCATTGCCCCTTCAGACGAGAACCTCTCGCGATCGTATTCTACGCGAGTTATCCCGATCCCTCCTCCCATATCGCGAGCATCGGCCTCAGGTGGCCCCTTCCAACAGCCGTCTTTCCAGGAGCTCTCACAAGAAGACCTGCGCCAAAATGCCCCAGGTCCGTCTTCGGTGTACACCTCTGCCTTCATTGCCCCGCGAGATCTATGGCAACCTCCTCCCCCGTATTCCGAATCTGAGAGCGGGTCCTCGTCCTCGTCCTCGCTGCCCCTTCATCAAACGCCTGCTTCATCGTCTTCCCATCTCCCGAGGGAAGCACAGAAGTCCACCAGCTCGCTAGCCCTCTCCCAAGCGTACGCCCTTGAAAAATCCTCTCCATTGCGAAGCCACCCACCTTCGCCTACGGCTGGTCCCTCCAAGTCGCGGCCCCGGGCACAGGCAACCTCCCCCAATGGCTACCCGGCGGATAACAAGACTGAACCTATAGTTCTTCGTCCACCGGCGGCTCAGCGCAACGTATCTGCGCCAGATCTGCACCCGCCACCGCCCCAGACCGAGCTGCCCCCACGACCGTCAACAGTCCCGATTGCAGCGCCCACGAACAGTTCGGTGACCGCGCCTGTAGCACAACGCAAACGCAGCAAGAACGCGAGCACTTCCGCCATCGCGCGGGACCTCGATCGTATCGACGAGCTCGATGAATCTGACCCTCTTGGGTTTGCCTGGCACCATGACGGACCATACGAGGCCATTGCGAAGGCGAACTCCTCGCACAATCAAGAGCAGACCGCCTCCGGTCAAAAACGCGCTGAGGTGGGCGCTAATACCGCTTCCCTTTGTTCCTGTTCGCTGACCATTCGTCAAACCTTCCAGCCCCCGAAGCGCAAACCTGTTCAGTACGGCAGTGTCGCAGTTGGTGTCGCCCCCGGACAGATCTTCCCATCCAACTCGCAGTACCAGCCTCCGACCCAACGCGATGTTGCACAGCTGGCCGAGAATATGCCGCCAGGGTCGCTTCCTTCGAGTCCGCTCATGCAGGTGCCAGTGCAGCGGCGATTGCCACCATCGGGTGTGCTGCCGTCGTCCCCCGCATACCACAACAACAGGCACATGAGCGTGATGCAGGCGGAGCAGCAGCAACAGCAAAGTTCGCGCACGCCACAGCCGCCCTCGCCCATTCAGGCAGAGCGCTCGCGCCGCGCAGAGCAGCCAGAACCTTCCCCGCCCCTCCCGAACCCATACTCCCCCGGCGCCGACTCCAGGTTCCCCGACGGCGTACAGGACCAGCGTAATAGCCCTCCACGCAACAGCCCTCCGCGTAACAGTCCCCCACGCAACAGTCCTCCGCGTACACGCGCACCCTCCGTCGTACCAGGCCGGCCCGAGCTCCCCTCCTCAAGCGTCGTCCCCCACCCAGACATCTCCCTACCCCCACCACAGCAGGCCAAGTCCTCTGCTTCGCTCCTCCCGCGCCACCTCCCGAAACGGCTAGTCATGCCCGCGCCCCTGCAGCCGAACCAGCAGCAGGCGAACCAGCAGGCGCCCGACGGCCGAAGTGCGGCGCACGTCGAGGTGCTCGCTCAGCGCCACACCAGCCAGCCTCCCCCAGCGCCGCCGAGCATGCAGTCGCAGTCCGGCCGTGCGCAGGATATCCCGTTCGGCCAGGGGCCGAAGGTGCTGAGGAAGCGGCATACAACGGGCGGGGTCCCACTCCCTATGCCAATCCAGTTGCCTATGGCACAAGGCGCGGAGATCCCGGCGTCGAACACTACCGCCGCGCTGTTCGCTGCGCGGGTGCGGTTTGCGGAGCCGCCGAGGGAGGAGACGAAGGAGGAGCGGAAAAAGCGGGAGAAGGAGCAGGCGAAGAGGGAGAAGGAGCGCGAGAAGATGGAGAAGGCGCGCGCGAAGGAGCAGCCGGGGGTGTTTGCGCGCGATCAGGTACGGGAGGCGGAGCTCGCGCGTGAGCGGGAGATGGCGCGCGCTCAAGCGAGCGCGAAGGCATCGGCGGGGCGCAAGCTCAGCAAGCGTCGATGATTGTTGTGGACATGGCGGGCAGCCGCTGCGCGTCAGGCGGGTGGCCGCTCGCTATGAGGGCGCATGCTCGCCTGCGGGGCATGCTTGCTCGTCTTTCTTGGTCATTCTCTTCATCTAGGTTATACACTTCCTCATTCCCTCCGTCTTACCATCCTGGATCTACATTCACCTCCTCATCCACACCCCTGCTACTCACTGTGATGATCCTGCTGACGACACATCGACGCACATGTAGCGCATACGACTCGGACTGGACTCTACCCTGCTATTGCTGTATATCTTCCGCCTCCTTCTCACTGTTGTCTGTTGTACTCGCATATCGCCTCCTCATCCGCATAGTTCCTCGCAGCACCACTACCGGGCCTCCCCATCATCATACAAGTACGAATATACTCACCGGACACCGGTATTTATTGCTACATCCTCTTGCTCAGCGCTCAGCGCTCAGTGCACGATCCCTTCTGGACGTTCTTGGACTTCGTCGAAGGACTATATGCATGTGTACGTACATGCTGTCCGTAGCGACGCACGTTTGCAATATTCTTGTGTGCTCCCTCGCAACGTTGGCTGAGAATCACAAGTTGGCGTTTAGGCTATACACGCGGTCTGCAACTCGGCCGGGGGTTCGTCAGGTCATATTATATTGGCATGTGCCACCTCGTGGGCTAGCTCCGCCGCAACTCAGTACATCGCGACCCCATTTCTAAATAAAAACGCGACGTTCCTTGGAGCAAGCTGTCGTCGAACGACTCGTGCCTACAAAAGAGCTGCGCAAGGCTGTGACGAACGCCCACAATATCGGAGCATCGTAGTCACTGCCACCGGAGTGTACGGCTTTCCCTCAACCGTAACGGTCCCGGGGAAATCGCAACCGTCGACTTTCGTAATGATAGATAGGACATAGGAGGTTAAACACTCACGTCCAGTCGTCGCGGGAGGATTTGAGCGAGCACAAGCTCATGGCCTTGGCGAGATGGCAACAGGGCCAAACGGCAACACGAACCTACAAACCTCTAGTGCGCGTGCCACATGCTGATAAGTGTTTCCAAGAACTCAAGGACGCTGCTCGCCTCGTCCGGTGACCGGGTACGTACAAACCTACTGATGGGCGCACTACGAACGCGGGTCGTCCACATGGAGCGTTGCGGCGGCGGTTTCGCGTCGGCGCTGCACAACCCATGCACGAGCCTGAGCCCGAAATGATAACGCACGTTCCCTCACCGTGCATCTGCGTCGATACCGCCAGATACCTGCTTCTGGCGTCGGGATGTCCGCATGGTCTATTGTCGATAGGCCTCCCCGGAGGGCGGCTGATGGTTTACAAGGAAGTGCAGCTGGCTTACAGGGCGTTCGGCGGTGGTGTCGCCGAACATCTTGCAGGCCAGCCAAGGCGAAGGACCTGCTTATACGGGCACTGGCGGCTACCGGTCGGCGAATGCGTCGTATGTGATGCACATGCGTCCATGACGAGGGGGAGCGCGCGGTCTGTATGAGCTCGTGCATGCTGAATCGGCTCAGAGGACGCCCGGGGAGTGCATAAAAGCGCACCGGAGACAGAGGATCCTGCAGCGGTTGGCCCTCTCCAGACGCCTCGGACTCTCCTCCAGATCCTCGCCATGAAGTTCTCTGCTGCCTTCACCGTGGTCTCTGCGCTGTTCGTTGCGTCCGCCACCGCACGCGTCGCTAGGCGGCAGTCTGGGGGCTGCCATTGCGCAAGTCAGTCTTCCCTGCACTGATGAACTCTGATCACATGCTCACCTTGTCCTAGGCACCTCGTACACCAGCAGCGATATCACCAAGGCGATTAGCAAGGCAGAGGCTGGCGGCGCGAGGTAAGCCCTGAGGTGTACAAGGTGTATACCGCATGTCTAACCGTAACTGCAGCAACTATCCCCACCAATACCACGATTACGAGGTACGTACTTACCCGCCGTTGGCTCGAAGTGTTGACGCTAAGCGTACGTTTTAGGGCTTCTCGTTCCCTTCTTGCAGGGGGGAATTCTTCGAGTTCCCGCTGAAGCACAGCAGCGTGTACACGGGCGGCAGCCCTGGCGCCGACCGCGTGATTTACGACGAGAGCGGAGATTTCTGTGGTATGTCCTTAGCCGTTATGCTCGAGATGGACGTATCTCACCCGTGCTGGTTACAGCTTGCCTGACCCACTCTGGCGCAAGTGGAAACAACTTTGTGGAATGTAGCTTCTGAATGCGGGAACATGGATGTATATAAACCTGGAAACGAGCTGTCTGTATGAACCATCATGGAGGGCCATCATGTAGGGCGTCGAGCAAATGGCAATATTACAGGCAAAACGATACAGTATCATACATCAGTACTGGAGGCGGAACATAAACTGGAAACTGTACTGCTTGGTGTCAGGGTCCCAGTGGGACCAGTTCCAGTAGCCAGCGTCGTCGGACTCGTCTTCGATTTCCCGCGCGGGGATGCGGAAAGCAATCGTCTCGTAAGGCTCAGCCGCGACCTGTCCGTACAATCGTTAGCGTGTGGCGTACAAAAAAGATGTAGGGACATACGATGAGATATTGGTAGGCCTTGTTCGGAGGTTCCTTCCTTTGCTCCCATGCACTCATGAAGCGACGGCGAGGAATAACATCTCCCTTGATCTGCGGTAGGTGCACCTGCACCATCATACCCTCTTTTCCGGTGTCTCTGTCTCTGACCTTGGTAACACGGTACCCAGGACGTCCAATCTTCAGGAAGACCTTCTTGTGAACATTTTGCTGAGCAGGCGCGATCATGAGCTGGGTCTCCTTCAAATCGCGCGCCGCTCGGCGGGCGAGGTTTGTTTGGTGCTTCTTTCCTTGTGTGTGTGCGAGGTAGGAGCCTTCGTTGGTGTGCAGCGTGAGACAGAGACGACATTCCAGGGAGCCAAGATGGTTGCGCAGGATGTAGGGGTCCTAAACGAATCTCAATACCACCGCAAGGCGTGCGATTGTTCAAACGTACCTTCGCGAGATCTATAGTCTCGAGCGCAAGCTTCCTCAGTCGCTCCCTCCGGTCGACATTGGTCTCGGACGCCCCAGCGACACCACCACCACCGAACTTGGAACCAACTCGATTCTAGGCGTGGCGCGTCAGCAACAGCGCCGCTGTAGAACCTGCTACATGCATACCTGGTAATCTGCAGGTGAAACGCGTCAGCATACATATGAAGTGTATTTCGTAGGACAAACGTACCCATTTTATCCGGTCAAGGGCACAGTTTGGACGAAAGAGGTGGAGACTCGCGAAAGAGAATCGAAAGCGCGCAGGGCAGCGCGCCCGAAGCAAGGGACAGCGCGGCTTAGTCAGCAGCGTTAACGCTCAAGATGTGATCTCACCGATCGCTACTCCCGGCGGCAAAATTTGGGCCGCTTGAGCAATTGCAGAGCGCGCTGCTGGGTTGCTCTCACTCCTGGGCTCTCTTCGTTCTCGTCATCTCTCTGTTCTGGTATCTGGCTGACAGACTATAACCGCGCACACAATCAACGCGCATATCACCACCCCAAAATCAGCCTCTCTCAACGAACTAACGCGACATGGCTGCTGGAAAGAAGCGCGTCCTGGACGAGACGTCAGGCAGTCCTAAAGCCAAGAAGACGAAAACAGAGAAGACAGCGAAGAAAGCCAGGGAGGATGCCCCCAAACCTGCACCAACACACTCTACCCTTGTCGCAGACGATATCGACTTCCCTCGAGGCGGAGGCACTAGCTTGACGCCTCTTGAGGTCAAGACTCTGCGGGCGGAAGCTGCGAAGGAAGCGGATTCGGAGCTTTTTGCAGTGCGTCGTAATACACCGGAACTAAGACAAGACACGCTGAACCGCCTTGCAGGAATCTGCCAAGGAGGCCACGACTAAGCGTAGACGAAAGTCTGAGGCCGGTACGAAGTCAAAGACCACGGACAAGGATGGCAAGAAGAATGTGATCCGGATAGAACACCTTAACTATAAGGTGTGCCCTATCTGTTTCCTGCTGCTGTCCCCGATAGCTTACAGTGTCTCCAGCGTGTTGCTGTCGGCATGAAGATACTCGGACAAGTGGTTTCCGTGGAACCACTTGCGCTCATCGTATCCCTGCCAAACCAACTCTTCGCCCATGTTCCCATCACTCAAATATCCAGTCAGCTCACTCACATTCTGGAGAGTGAGGATGATGCAGAGAACTCGGATGATGAAGAGGAAGAAGCCTCCGCATCGCGCGTACCAGACCTTTTCGAGATCTTCCAGCCAGGCCAGTATGTCCGGGCGGTGGTAAGTGCAGTGCACCAGCCAGGCTCCACGGACGCGACAGGTTTGGGGCGAGCACGCGACGAGGTTCAGAAAGCCAGCAGGCGCGTGGAGTTGAGCCTTGTTCCGGAGAAGGTCAACGAAGGAGTAGCGAAGGCTGATCTGCTCGCGGGATTCGTGAGTGTATATCAATACGAAGGCGGACTTAAACTTATTTGGTCGAACAGGCACTCTCCGCTTCCGTGAAGAGCGTAGAGGACCACGGATATATTCTTGACCTTGGGATTCCTGAGGTCTCCGGGTTCCTATCGTTCAAAGCTGCTGCACAGAAAGGACCCTCCGGTGCGGAGAAGAAGTTCCATGTCGGACGTTTGTTGGACGTCATCGTGACCAAACTGTCTGACAATGGGCGGACATGTAATGTCTCGGTCGATTCGTATGCTCCCAAAACCGCTCCGGTATGTGTATGGGTACTATTGTCTGAACCGCCACTTACGCTTTACAATAGCTCACGGAAGTGACCAGCGTCAAGTCCGTTGTTCCCGGTGCACTTGTGCAGTCATTAGTCACGGCGGTACAACCTGACGGCCTGATCCTACAAGTGCTTGGGTTCTTCGACGGCACCGTCGACCAGTTCCATCTTCGATCAGGAGATACGGAGGACAACTACAAAATCGGGCAGAAAGTCAAGGCCCGAGTTCTGTACGACATCAGCCCGTCAACCCCACCCAGGTTTGCCCTGTCCTTAGCAGATCACGTAGTCAAGTACAGCGCGAAGTCTGCCGCTTCGGGTAGTGCTGCTACGGACTTGCGGGAAGCATATCCCGTCGGAACCACTCTGGACGCTGTCAAAGTAACCAGGATTGAGAGCGAGCGCGGCCTGACCGTAGAGGTCGGCTCGGGAGTTGCAGGCTTTGTGCATGTGCGCATAACTTTGGTCCACCGCACTAACACGCGCTGACGGACTTCTCAAGATTTCACAAGTCTCCGATGAGCACGTCCCTACGCTCTCAACAACATCCGGTGCTTGGAAAGTTGGAACTGTCCACCGCGCACGGGTCACTGGCTACTTCCCGCTCGACGGTCTCCTCCAGCTTTCTCTAAAGCCATCTATTTTGGCGCAGAAGTTCTTGCAGGTTGCTGACGTCCAAGTCGGAGAACTCATCAAGGGGACGGTGAAGAAGCTCACGGATACTGCGCTCTTCGTCTCTATCTCCGGAAACGTCGATGGTGTGATTTGGCCGAACCACTACGCCGACATCGTTTTGAAGCACCCTCAAAAGCGCTTCAAGCCCGGGGGTAGCATCAAGTGCCGAGTAAGTTGTACGTAGCTGTACTGTGTGCGCGCCGCTGATATTGCTCTAGGTCTTAGTTGTCGACTCCGAGCGAAAACGCATTGCGCTTACTGCCAAGAAGACTCTTGTCGAGTCTACCTTGCCGATCGTGTCGCAGCTCAGCGATGTTCGAGTTGGCGTCGTGACCCACGCTGTTATCTTCAAGATCTCAGAGAAAAGCTTGCAGGTCGAGTTCTACAACAACTTGAAGGCAAGCGTGCCAGCGCGTGAGGCGAGGTACGCCTACAGCCATCCACTGCATCTGCTCTTGACTCATCATGGTGTTATGTAGCGAAACCACCTTGTCTTCTCTGTCGGCCGCGTTCGCCATCGGCAAGCCTGTACAAGTTCGCCTCATCGCTGTTGACGCGGAGACTGGTCGCATCACAGCAAGCATTAGGCAAGCCGCCCCCAACTTCAAGTCTGCCATCACGGACATCAGCGGCGTAGACATCGGTGACATTGTCGAAGGCGTTGTCTCTGACATCCGGAAGGACAAAGCCGTGGTCACCCTTCAGCCAACGCAGGTCACCGCCCTTCTCTCCCTCAACAATCTTGCGAACCGCAGGGAAGTGTCCGTAGCTCAGCTGCGATCAGCATTGAAGGTCGGGGAGAAGCTTCAGGATCTCGTCGTCACATCAAGGAATCCAGAGAAGGGCTTCGTCTTGGTGGCATCAAAACCGAAGGAGAAAGAGGCCATACTGCAGAAGAACCACCTCTCTTTGGACACGGTACAAGCCGGCCAGCTTGTCGGCGGCCGCGTTCTGCGTCACAACCGCTACGGCGCTCTCATCAAGCTCACCAACTCTATAATGGGTGTCCTCCACCCTACCGACGCGGTGGACGACTATGAGAGCGGGAAGCCTTTCCCCGGAGTGGACTCTGTCCTGAAGGCAGTCGTGCTTTCGGTCGACAAGGAGAGGCGGCAGTTGATGCTGTCGACGCGCATGTCTCGTCTTTTCCCTTCTCAGGACAAGCCCATCGTCGACCGCGAGATCACCTCGCTAAGCCAGCTCAAAGTCGGCGACAAGGTTCGCGGGTTCATCAAGAGCATCGCGGAGCACGGTTTGTTTGTCACACTCGGCCGTGATATCGATGCTCGTGTGCAGATTAAGGAGCTCTTTGACGACGTGAGTGTCATATTTTCCAGCAAAATATAGGTGATGCTCATACTGCCATAGTTTGTCAAGGATTGGAAGAGTCGGTTCACGGTCAACCAGCTTGTCAACGGTCGGATCCTCAGGTTTGTACCGGGCATTTCCCATGCTTCCACTCGCTTCTAACGCAGCATGCAGCGTCAATGTAGAGAAGAAACAGCTCGAATTGTCCTTCCGCTCTGGCGACCTAAAGCGCGACGGCCAATCACAACTCAGCCTGTCTGATTTGTCGGAAGGTCAGAAGATTGACGGTCGTGTCAAGAAGGTCGAGGACTACGGTCTCTTCATCGAGATCGAAGGCTCGAAGCTCAGCGGCCTTTGTCACAAGTCGGAGGTCAGTCTGATTGGTTATATATCCTACGTTCGACAAGTGCTTACTCGGTTGTATAGCTGTCTGACAACAAGGACGGTGATGTCACTCTGGCACTTCGCAGCTTCCGCGTGGGCGACAAGGTCAAGGCTGTCATCCTTTCCGTTGATCTGGAGAAGCGCCGTGTATCCTTTGGTCTCAAACCTTCGTACTTTGAGGAGAAGGATTTCGAACAGGAGTCCGAGGCTGAAGAAGAGGTCGAGCCGGCAGCAGCTCTTGGCGTCGTCGTGGAGGATGCTGAGATGTCTGACAACGACAACGAGGATGAGGATGAGGATGAAGAGGAGGACGAGGAGGTTGCCGAAGCCGAGGGCCCCGAGGACGACGAGTCTGCGGATGATGAGGACGAGGATGGTGGCGACGCGGCGATGGATGTCGACCTCACGCTTGACCTTCAACGTCCTTCAGGAAGTTCAGCCGCCGCTTCCTCAAGCGCACCCTCGGCAGCCCTCAATCTTGCGGATGGCTTCCAGTGGACTGTCCCCAACCCAGAGGACGACGTCGAGATGGAGTCTGACGACGAAAGTGACAGCGGCAACGAACAAGAGGGCAAGAAGAAGAAGAGGAAGCGTAAGGAGATCGAGCAGGACCTGACTGCGGACATGCACACCAAGGTCCCAGAGTCTAACGCCGACTTCGAGCGCCTGCTTCTCGGGTCCCCGAACTCGTCCTACCTCTGGATTCAGTACATGTCATTCCAGCTGCAGATCTCGGAGATCGACAAGGCGCGCGAGATCGCGAAGCGTGGGCTGAAGACAATCAACTTCCGCGAGGAGCAGGAGAAGCTGAACGTCTGGATCGCACTCCTCAACCTCGAGAACATTTACGGCACCGACGAGTCGCTCGAGGCCGCTTTCAAGGACGCCGCCCGGCACAACGACTCGAAGACTGTCCACTTGCGTATGGCCGAGATCTTCGAGCAAAGCGACAAGTCTGAGGTATGCATTCGTGCCCATGACAAGAGAATTACCTTCGCCGACCCTTGATCATTTCGTGATCACAGAAAGCAGAGGAGCAATTCAAGAAGACGGCCAAGAAGTTCTCGCAGAGTTCCAAGGTCTGGACCCTCTATGCCGAGCACTACCTCAAGCGCGGCATGCTTGAGGAGGCACGGAAGCTCCTTCCCCGCAGCCTGCAGAGTCTCGAGAAACGCAAACGTAAGGAAACGTCGTTCGTAAGATCAGTTTCGCCCGCTAACACCACATATATGACCCGCAGACTTGAAGACCATTTGCAAGTTCGCGCAGCTCGAGTACAAGTTGGGTGACCCGGAACGCGGCAAGACCATCTTCGAAGGCATCGTGGACTCGCATTCCAAGCGCTGGGATATGTGGTCGATCTACCTCGACATGGAAGCCGTGCAGGGCGACATCATGAGCTTGAGGTGAATGGCTTGCCCCGTACCCTTCCCGGTCGTACCACTGATAAACCGATGTGTAGGAATCTTTTCAACCGGTTGTTAACTCTTAAGATGACCAGCCACAAAGCAAAGTAAGTGTTTCAACGGCACCTTCTTGTGCCACAACTAATGACGCGGTGTAGATCATTTTTCAAGAAGTGGTTAGAGCTTGAACGCCGATTGGGAGACGAGGAGGGACAGGCCGCAGTCAAGGCCAAGGCTATCGAATGGACACAACGCGCCGCCGGGGACGCACAGTCGTAGTAGCACCGTATCATATTTCCAACCATCTCATTGTATTTCCCACGATACATCGTGCAAAATTAGTATATTCAACCGCAACTATACCGCATAGACAGCAAAAAACATTATGATACGAGAGATAGAGACGAGCGAGGATAGAAACGAGCGTGCACGAAGGGGACGGCAAATATGGGGGTATATGCCAGCATAAATACGTCGCAAGGAGGTCATGACCGTGAGCGCGCGCGCTCATGCCCGTGTGAAGGGGAATCGTAATCAACCGGCCTGCGATTGCTCATCGAGCTCGCCAGCTGGCGCTGCCAGTCGTCCAGCTCGCTCGAGAGGTGTTCGAAGGCCATCGCGTTTTCTGAACTCGACGTGCTCGCGCGCCGCTCCGAGAAGCCGGAGACGGGGCGGCCCGCGCCGAAGTTGGACTGGTCCACCGCGAGGAGGAGCTCGATCTTGTGCGAGAGCTGGTCGTTCTCGCGCTTCAACGTCGTGTTTTCGTTGCTGAGCTGCTCCAAGATGCTCTCGTCCTGGCCGCCGCGCGCGACGACAAGTGCGTTCTGCACCCGCTCGACGTCCTGCTCGAGCTCCCGGATGTGCGTCATGCGCTCGTCCGACTCGCGCTGGACCGAGATGAACGTCTCGCGCATGTGTGCGAGATCCTGCTCAAGGGTGTCGATGCGGTTGCGTAGCTCCTTGTTGTCGTTGTTGAGGCGAGTGACCTGGCGCTGAGCGTCCTGCAGCTGATTCCGCAAGACTTCGCTGCCGTCGTCAGAAGAGGGGGTTCCACGACCATTGAGGCCGCGTAGACGCGTGCTCGGAGAACCGCGCTCGATCTCGGCTTGCATGCTCGTGTTCAGGTTCTTCTGCTTCGTCAACTCCTCCTTCATCTTGCGCATGGTCTTCTCAGTAGCCCTGTAATATGTTTAGCAAAATACAGTATAGTTTTGTAAAAGCGACACTCACTTCACATAGTGGACGGCGAGCTGATAATCCTCCTCAAGTTGCGCCAGGCGCGCCTTGTAGGAGTTCTCAGTCTCCTCCAGCTTCTGTTCAAGCTCAACGGCACGAGCATCAGAGGCAGCGTCAGCCCCGTTGCGACGTGCGGGGCTCTGCGTCGCACGGACCCGGTCCAGCTGTACAGAGAGGGACTCGATCTGATTATCCGCATCCTGCTTCTGCCGGAGCAGTGTCTGCAGCTCCCGCTCCGCGATGTCGTGTGCCCGAGTGCGCTCCGCCAACCTGTCCTCGAGTTCCTGGATGCGGGCCGATGTTACGTCGTCCGCCCGCAGAGGGTTGCCATCGTCGTCCTCGGCGTGCACGCCGTTGGCCGCAAGGTAGCTGCGCATGGCCTCGAGGCGCAGCGCGGTGGCAGACGCCTCCCTGCCCTTCGAATGCAGCTCGGACTCCTTCGTGTTGAGCTCCTTCCGGAGGCGCCCGCTGTCGGCAAGCGCCATGGACAGCTGGGTGCGGAAGCCGACAACCTGCGAGCGGAGCGAGAGCGTCTCGGCCTCTGCCTCGCGCGCCTTGCGGCGCTGGCCAGAAAGCTCCTCTTGCGCCTCCTGTGCACGGCGCGTCGCATCCTTGAGCATGTCCCGGAGCGACGCGATCTCCGCCTGGAGTGCGTTCAACTTCTCCTGGTGGCCACGCGTAAGCCGGTCCTCATCACTGCGTAGCTCGTGGTGCGAGTCAAGGAGCTTGCCGAGGCTGCCAGTAGTGACTGCGCGGAACGCGTCCGCCTCCTCGCGAGACTTGGCCCACGAGTTCTCCACGTCGGCGAGGCGGACGCGTGTGTTCTCGACCTCGGTCGTGCGCGCCTCCAGCTCGCCGCGGAGCTCGGCGATGTCCGCCTCCAACTGGGCGATCTGCTCGCGTGCACGGGCGTACTGCGCATCGACCTCGTCTGTGCGCGTCGAAGCCGCATCCAGGGCGTCGCGAGTCTGCTGCAGAGCACGAACATGCTGGTCCTGGGAGTGCAGGAGGTCATCGAGTTGCGACTGCGCCTTGATGTAGTCGGCTTCGCGCTGCTCTGCGATGGACGTCTGCTCCAGCAACTTCTCGGACTGCTCCCGCAACAGCGTCTCGAGGACGGCGTTGCGTTCGCGAAGGAGGGTGTGATCGTCGCTATCTCGCTCATGCGAGTGTGCCAGGGTATCTGCACGCTTCGATGAGTCGTCCGCCCGAGCCTCCGCCTGCTCCAGGAGTGTGGTTTGCAGCGAGAGTGAATCAGTGAGCTCCTTGATCTTGCGATCGCGTTCACTCTGGCCAGAAAGCGCTGCCGAGAGCTGACGCTCCAGATCGGCCGCGCGCTCCCGCTCGACTCTGGCGACGTCGCTATCTGACGAGGACTCGAGAGCAGCAAGCTTGGCCCGGTAGAAGGCGGCTTCCTGAACGGCGCTTGAGCGGAGACGCTCGGCCTCCTGCACCCGGAGTGACGCCTCGTTTGCCCGCTCGAGAACGGTGGCCTGTGATGTGATCTTAGCACGCCGCTGTACAAAAATATGGCAAACAGACGTACTTGGATCCTCGCCTTGAGCTGCTTCAGGTTGATCACCATCTCGGTGACCTTCCTGCCGTCGATGTCGTCATCATCCGCGCGAGAGGACAGCTCCTCCTCCGACTCAGCGTAGATGAATCCGGAGCGTTCGGCCTTCAGCAGTGCTGCCTTCATCCACGCCTCCTTCTTCTTCAGCCCCTCGACCTCGGCTTCCTTGTCTTTCAGATCACGGATGAGGTCCGCAGTGATGTTGCCAGTGGAACCCTTTGTATGTGCGATATGCGCGAACCCATTCACAGTCGGCGAAGCAGGCTTATAGAAGGATTCAAGCGTGTTCTTGGACCGATCAGCGACGACGGGAGACGGGCTGCGAGCAGCGCCTGCGCCACCATTTCGGGACATCATCACGCTCGCCAGACTCGCTTGAGGTGCATTCGGGTCGTAGACGTCGACGCCCTGAGCCGGCGAAACCGCGCGACTGGCAGTATTCGGTGGGCTCTTTGCACGCGTCCCTTCCGGCGATACAGCGCTGTCGCGGAATGCAGACTCGGTGTTCTCCGGGCTGCTCTCGCCATCGTATTCCTCGTCGCGCGCCCTGCTCTTGCCCTTCATCGACGCGATTCCTGATATAGCTGTGCCGTTCGGGGTCTTGGAGCGTCCACTCGGTGAGACCGCGCGCTGAACGTTGTCGCTGTCGGAACCGACGTCGTACGAAGGTGAAATAGGACGGTTGGAATTCGGGGTACCATTCTCGACCCCGGGCTTCTGAATAGGCTGGGGACCGATTTGGGACTTGCGCCCAGCCATACCCGCTGGAGGAGGCTTGTTGGAATCCGGGTACTTGATATGTTCTGGAGAACGGTGAGTAACATGTCTGGGAAGGGGAAGCGAAGGGGAGCCGACTTACTGGTATCCAGTACGTGAACGATCGTCGGATCCTCAGGTTTCTGAGTATTCAGAGACTCTCCACCCAATCCCCCCAACACGAACACACGCGTCCCCATAGATGCCATGGCATGACCAGACCTTGGAGATGGCGCAGGGCCCATCTTTTGGAACATGTACCATCTCTGATCTAGGATGGGACATGAGCAAGCTCCATCACGGCGTAAGCGGGGCCGTGTACGTACTGGAGATCTTGAAGGCACCCAGGTCACCGAGGTCCTTGCCATCAACACCCCTGCCACCGAAGACGTAGACTACATCGTCCACCATTGCCGCCGAGTGCCCCTCACGCGGCGACGGAATGAAGCCGATACAGTTCAACTCCGACCATGTGTTGGTCGTAGTGTCGAAGGACCATGTATCGTTGTAGTGGTATTGGCAATCGGTACCTCCGAAGCTGCGGAGATGAGCCCCTTTTAGTGACGATAGCGGGGATATAGATGCACTGGACGTACAGAATGATCTTCTCGTTGTACGTAACGCAGACATGGCTTGTCCGCTTCGGCGGTCGTGGGGAGCCCTCTATGGGCTCAACCAACTCCCAGGTCGCCTTCGACCTCACTGCAAAGCCTCAACTCAGTATGGCGTGGTCCAGTTGGGCGTTACTTACAAGCCGACTCACAGGAGTTGAGATCGAAAGACCAGAGGTCGTTCAAGAACTCCCCGTCGACCTGTCCACCGAACACGTAGAACTTCGATCCTACCATCGTTACCGCATGCCCATACCGACCAACAGGCGAAGGGCCGTATACGGCTACGCGAGTCCATTCGCGGGATACTGCTATTCGTGTCAGACAAAGTCTGCAACCCACTAATTGGTTGTGACGCACCGAGGTTGAGCAAATACAGTCCATCATCTTGCTTATCAGCCGACTTCGCCTTGTTGCCCGTCTTTGTGTCTCCTCCCCAGACGATGAGGACACTCCCAACCAGGGCGCTTGCGTGACCCACGCGAGGCGAGGGGATCTCGCCCGACGTTTGCAACAATGTCGCCGACAGGTCCCGTACAGAGAGCAGGTAGAGGTCGTTGCGCACTGTTTCACGGACGAGACCACCGAAGAGGAAGAGTTCGCCGGAAGTCGTCGCGTTGGTGGGCAGTGCATGGCCGTATCTGGGGAATGGCGATGGAGAGGGCGAGGTGGGAGGGGCGACACCTGGCTTCGGGATAGTCACTGGGGGAGGGAGCTGCAGTCGACGCTGCGACCAAGGGTAGGCCGGTCGTGACTGGGAAGATCCTTGCTGCTGCCCGGGTTGCCCTTGCTGCTGCGACGGGGGAGGAGGTTGCACACCATTCGCGCCCAGAGGGAGTGGTTGGCCGTTGACAGGACGTTGCGCTTGCTGGGAGATGCTAGGCTGGACGCCATTTACAGCGGGAGACGGACTACCTCTGCCATTGAGACCGCTGGAACGAAACCAATCAGACTGCCGTCGCATGTACGCTTGGGAAGGCGGGAGCGCCATGCGGTACGGCTAGAAAGGAAGATGGGAACAGACCTGTCGTAGCTGGTCTCTTTTGTCAGAGGCTTTTGAGGCTGCTGTTGGGTCTGGGGCTGTTGCTGTAACTGTGCGAGGGCGGCACTTGCTGATGATTGTGTGACTGTTGTGCTGGCCGATTGTGGGGTATGCTTCTTCCTGCTGAAGAAGGACATTCTTCTGCCACGGCCTCCTAGAATGGACTGTATGGCTGCAAAATGGGGGCAGGGGCGCAGGGGGTGAGGACGAGGAGGGGGGAGGGGAGCGCTGCAGGCCCGCCTGGAGGTGGAACGAAAGCGGCAAAGCCAGAAGGCGAGCGAGCGACTCGACCCGTTCCTTGGTCTCTGCTCTCAGACTCCCGCGCCTCTCCTCATCGCTACGCGTCTAGCAACCGCCTCCGCTGATAGCCGTCGCTCTCGGCTGTTCTCCCTCATATTCATCAGCTATCTCTCTTTCGTCCTCCTCCGCCACAGCAGGGGATGCTCAAGAATTACATGCGTTCTTTGTAGCTACTGTCGGCGCCAGACGCTCATTATATAGGTACCTTTACCACAATTCCTCATGCCCAAGAGCCTCCAAGCATCATGCATCCGTATCATGAAGTCTGATACACCCTCCGCTTCTGTTCAAGCATATCAGCGATGTTAGCCCGGTTGCGCATTGCTTTGAAGTATAATTAAGCGACGGATAAGACGGAGAATGTGGACGAATATCCCACAGTCCATTGAGCTCGTGAATACTGGACTATTACTGTAACGCTTGTATGCGAAGGCCAGAACCTAAGGCTACGAAGACCTCCGGTCGCTCATCGGCGTGCCAGGTCCAACCCAAGCAGGCCTGTAGGTCATGCGCCTTCCCCAACCTGAACCTTGACTGACCGAGTGGTAGCAATCATCCATACAAAGGGAAGGGAAGGGAAGGAACCACATGTCGGGCGCAGCTGTTTCGTGATAAGCATGGCTGTGTGAGATGCCGAATCATGTCAAGCATCTGGAGGAAAGGAACATCAGCCACAGGTGCGCAAACGTCAACTGTGAGAAACGGACTCAAGTGATGAGCAATGTTTGTCCGTTTACTCGTTCCAGGTAATGATGTCTTCCTGGTCATCTGAATCATGCTCTCGCTTGCGGTGCTGGAGAACCCGGTCCCGCGAAGGAAATAGCCTGTAGCAATTCTGCATGGCACAGATGAAGACCGGTGTACTATGTGAAACCATCAGTTCGCCCTGCAGGCACGCGACTGTTACGATACATGGCCACGTACTCGGTAGGGTTGGTCACTCGAGCATGACCTCCGCTCACTTGCTCAGGAGTAGTGTCCACTGTACACTTAGAAGTCAGCGTGAGGCGTGATCATGAAACATCTTAACATACCGTCCTGCAGAGCGGGTGCAGAGGGGAGTACGGAAGGCAGCGTTGGATGCCCTTGCTGAGCCATAACGAAGCTGGATACTGACAGCACTCGATGAGTGGGTTTGCGCTGGACTACTTGGAAAGGAGGAGTGTTCGAACCAAGTTCGAACGTCCACGGGTGCAGCGCTGTGCTGCCGCCACCAGCCATGTGGAAGCGATCAACTCACAAATAGGCACATACATTCGCAGACGCGCCCATATATTTTGAACATCCATCGGGACTCTTTCTACCACATACCCACACCACAAAGGCCGCGATGCTCACACCGTACAGGATGCCTCTGTGCGTCCTCCTCCGTGAGCGGGCTAAGGTCTGAGCGTTCGAGTCGGCGCTTGTGCGGTTCTAGCAGGACCCGGTTGGTGACAACCGCGCACGACTACCAGAAAAGAGCCACATACACATCGACCTAAACCAGCTTTGGGTGCGCATGCTCCCCTCCGACCGCGGCGCCTCCCAGGCGGTGCTGCCGAAAGACGAGGATGGGCTTGGAACGTCGTTGGGGCACCTTGTTGCGTCGGCAGGGTGGGCCTGTCTATTCTTCGCCACCCAGGGTTCATCGCGTCCTGCGAGTGGCTGCCTTTGTGCACGCTACCTCGTTCGGTTGTCGCACCCCGACTGAGACGTAGGAGGACCCTGGGCAGGAGTTTGGACGGCCTGTCCTTTAGTGCACTTCGCGGCTCGCGGGGCTTTGTTGCCTCGTGAAACTCGATTCAGACTATTCTTGTGCTGTGGGCTACCCACAATTTTTTGCTCATCTGCTCTTCGTGAGCAATGACTTGTAGCGTTGGTAGCCTACTACTCGTACTCGTCCGCTTGCGTCGACATTCAACGTGCGTTAGCCATGTTTCTCGAGTTGGATCGAGACAATGGTGACGCTCGATCTGTGGCGCTGACTTCAAAAGAATGGTATGTTTCCGATGAACTATGCATGTCCCTCTGCAACTTATATACAACCCCTCAGATGTGTTCGCTCAGCAGGTTATCGTGTAATATACCCTTGCCAATGCCATCACTCGTTCAATTCACAATTGTGAACGTCGGACTGCGGTTTCCCGAGTCACCAAACACTGCGTTCTTATGCGTCAGCGGAATCTGCAGTGGGTTGGCGGATGCACTTACAAACGACGATGTAATCGTTCCCCGGGGTTACGCTGGGAACCCGTACCATGGCATGGCCCTGCGTCAGGTTGAAGCCCTGCGCCAATGGGTGATCTGTCGTGTGAACCTGTCAGTGATGATCCGGTGGTCCTCGGGATGCCGACTGAGTTCAACCCACCGAAGTTCAGGTGCTCATTCGAATCGTCCCCATCCTCCAGGTATCCAAGGACTAACTTCCCCTCCCAGTTCGTAACGTGCTTCGGACGAGTGGACGAGTCCCTGGTGTTCTGCTCAGAATGCACGTCTCTGTATGCTCCATGACAGCAACAGCACGCACCAGGAGACCTTGACCGTCGATCCCACAGCCCACACCGTGCTGGTGTCAATTGAAGTGATCGGCGGGGCCCAGACGTCTCGCGGGAGGATGACCATCGACTTGCTCGGCGTGGCCTCCGCCCGCATCACCGAGGTCGGCGTAGGACTGGTCTGCTTGGCCCACGCCGCGGTATCGCTCTCCGTGATCGTTTGGGTGTCGTTCTGGTAGTGGAACACGGCTGCCGTACTCATGTTCTGGCCTGGAGGCCCGGGTGTCGCGTCCACGTCAAAGTCGGACGGCATGTAGAACGCGCGCCCCGGGGCCGGGGCAAGCGAGAGTGCTGCAAGAGTGCATGCGAGGAGGGTGTGGCAAAGTGCGGAGCGAGAGGGCATATTTCAACTGGGCGAGCGAGAACACAAAGAGCGGGGCGTGCATGCGAGGGGCAGAGTCCGGGTCGGAAGGATAGTAGTGGGTCGGTGCGCCAGGAAAATAAGAGAATGGCTGACAGCTGGGTGAGGCTGCGTCTCGGACTGGGTATGTTGGAATCGTGTCCGGGCACCACTTAGACGGGACTGACCGATCATATTCGGTTCCCCCAAGCTGAAAGCCAATAGACGCGCGCATTGGCTGACCGTGGGCTCTAGAATATACTTCTGGATACACACGCACCTGTGCCACACATTTCGACACTCTTGTATATATTCTTGGGAAGTACGAGGATCTGTGGCATTAACAAGTGAGGATGTAGTACCTCATAGTCGGCGGCTGCATATCTAGCTTGAGGCTTCCCGCCCGCTCTGTTTATCGGAAGTATTATATTAAAATGATACATGTACATAGCTTCACTTCGACCGTATCTTGACAGGTAGTGGCCTGCCATCAGGTATAGGCTCAATGCAAGCTTGGTACGTGAACCACAACGCCTGCCGAATGTGGACCGACACCTGAAGTGATCGGAACTTAATCTGTCTTACTGATCATTGAGCAGATCTATCTCACTGCCCGGCTCATTCAGCAGGGGCTGCTCGCCGATCTAACTACCCTTCTCTCCACTCCCTCACACTGCTTCACTGCTAGTACTATCTCTCAACATGGTGTGTATATTGTGCAGCCTGAGAGGTCGTTGGCCGGATGCTCAGCTCAAGATTATTTTCTTCAGCCACCTAAAGGACGGGACCATAACCCGAGCGGCCTTGGTCGGGCGATCATTAACAAGAAATCGAAGGATGCTCGTATTGCTCGCGAGAGTGGAAACGTACGTCTGCGAGTCTACACAATGCTACCCAAGTTCGGGACTGAGCTTTACTACAGTATACTACCGATCTAGACCACGCAACCCGATTGCAATCCATCACACAAGAAAAGGATCTCGATGAGTTCCTTAACACTGCGACTTTGGCTGGGACGCAGTTTACTGCAGGTGCGTCAGTTGGTGCAGTGGTCTGTGCAATGCTCATGACCTGTATACAGAGCGGCGAAATGTCAAAATCATCAGCGTGGCCGCCGGCTCACAACAAAATCCGTACCTGCTGAGTGAAGAGGAGGAGCGGACCACTTTGCAAAAGCAGCAGGAAAACAAGCAGCGACTTCGTGTACCCCGGCGGCCGCCATGGAAGAAGACCATGACGACGGCGGTGCTCGATCGGCAGGAAAAGGATGCGTTCCTGGAGTGGAGGAGAGGACTTGCCGAGTACGTCCCCCAAAATGCCCTCTCATATACAGTCTTGGCTCACTGAGTCTCAACCCCTTCACCTTATAGGCTGCAAGAACGTGATAGCTTCCTCCTCACACCATTCGAACGCAACATCGAGGTTTGGCGACAGCTGTGGCGAGTCCTGGAGCGGTCGCATCTCATCGTTCAGATCGTCGATGCGCGGAACCCCCTTCGATTCCGGTGTGAGGATTTGGAGGCTTACGTGCAGGATGTCGAGGGTACCGAGGGCGAGGCTGGGACAGGAAGAGGAGTGAGGCGGAGTCTTCTACTCATCAACAAGGCGGATCTTTTGACTGCGAGGCAGAGGTACGTTATGTGACCCTTTACCTTCAGGCAAACGGTATGCTCATAATATATGCAGGAAACTCTGGGCCGACTACTTCGACTCACAAGGCGTGCAGTACGCCTTCTTCTCTGCGGCGAATGCGGCTGCGTTGCAGGAAGCTCGCAAAGAGGCGGAAGCCGCAGCGGCGAGAGCTGAGGAGGAGGTGGAGGCGGCTGCAGAGGCGGCAAAAGCTCCCGGTGCCGGCCCAAATTCGGACGAGGAGGAATCTGACGACGAGAGCTCCGATGAGGAAGACTCTTCTGATGAAGAGTCCTACGATTCAGACTCGAGACGAGGCACATTCCACCCTCTGGAAGAGCGCTCAGAGACGGAAGATCCTAGGACAAGGGTTCTGTCTGTGCTTGAGCTTGAGGAGCTGTTCGTCAGCTGTGCGCCCGACCTGTCAGGTACGTTTGCGCTTTCACATAGAGAGAACTTTGAAGCTAACCAGTGTGCTCGTCTCCGCAGTGTTTACTGATTCGACCGGGCAGAAAGCGACCAGGCTTGTGATCGGACTGGTCGGATACCCCAACGTCGGCAAATCGAGTACCATCAACGCGCTGCTTGGTGAGAAGAAGGTCAGCGTGTCGTCGACCCCGGGAAAGACGAAGCACTTCCAAACGATCCATCTTTCGCCTTCGCTCGTTCTGTGCGATTGTCCTGGTTTGGTATTCCCGCAATTCGCGACGACGAAAGCCGATCTCGTTTGTGATGGTGTCCTTCCTATCGACCAGCTCCGCGAACACACCGGCCCTATCGGTCTGGTTGTGAAGCGTATCCCGAAGCAAATCCTGGAAGCGATATATGGGTTGAGCGTCCGGACTAGGGGTGTCGAAGAGGGAGGAGACGGGAAGATCACTGGGACCGATCTTCTAGTCGCGTATGCTAGTACGTATACTTATTGCTGATTTGGGGGACGATACTGATCACCTTCGCAGTCGCTCGTGGATTCATGCGTGCCGGCCAAGGCAATCCTGACGAGGCCCGTGCGGCACGTTTCATTCTCAAGGACTACGTCAACGCGAAAGTTCTCTACTGCCATCCTCCGCCTGGTACCACCGAGGCAGACTTCAACGAGGAGACGTGGGAGATCGCTCTTCAGCGCGCCATTGGCAAGAAACGCGCCCCGACCACGCGTGTCACCAAGAACGCCGATACGTTCGTCGCACCGACAGGCGCTCCCGAAACCGCACCATCTGCTATGCAGGGGAACAAGAGCCACAGACTGGACCAGAACTTCTTCGCCGACAACGCGCCTCTGTCCTCGAGGCCGAACATCGAAGGCGTGAAGGGACAAGGACAGGAGTTCTCACGTGGGCGGATCTACCCTCATCAGAACACGATGACGGACAATGCTGTCCCGCTGTCGGGACGGAGGGCTAGAATCGCATCCGTGGTCGCTGCTGCGGGCAACGAGGTCCAGTCGGGGAAGAAGCACCACAAGAAGATGAAGCGGGTGAAGCAGAGGAGCGGGAAGGGTTACGATGACTAGACAAGCGTTGGTTGTGATCGAACATCTGTAGCCCTAGCTAGAGTACTTGTTGGCGTTGCTTGTATCCATTTTCTTGTATGCTCTCCTGTACTTTGCCTGGTATTATCAGTCCGCCGTGCAATTCGGTTCCAGTTATTCGTCCACGTGATCGTGCATACATATTCGCGTCGCGCGTCGGAGAGTCTGCCCTCTCTTCACTCTTCCTTCCACTCGAGCGTCCTTCTACCAACCCCTACCTCTCCTACTATCCGATGCCGAAAGCCTCAACCTCCCGCGTCAAGGCCAAGGCGGCCGCGCGTACATTGGTCGTCGATTCACAGGCAGAATTCGAGGCCGAGGGACTTTCACCCGCCAGTGCTGCGACTGTATGCGCGAAACTCATTACTACCAACGGCAACGAACAAAGAGAATGTGGGTCTACACATTGGAATGAGCCTCTACTACCAAATATTGACTGTGCTTTCGCGTAGCGCTTCTGCTCAGCGTTGACAAACCACTGACGATCGGGAGGAACCCTGCCTGGTGCGCTGGGCGATCACTTTTGGCTACACTATTCTGATCGTTTACAGCTCTTACGTGGTGTCGGATGCCGTAGTATCTGGGATACACTGCAAGCTATATGCGTGAGTATTCACTATGGGCGTTTGTAAGAGCTCAACGTACGAGACGTTTGGATGCAGAGTGAGGTCAAGTAACGGCGGTACCATAATCTCTTGCCATGTAAGTCCCAGTCTAGACTTCTTGGGAGTGCATATCAACAGTATGGTACAGGATAACTCCACCAATGGCATGCTTCTCAACGGCCATAAAATCCGCAAAACCTCTGTCCTCCTGATGGACGGGGACGTGCTCGAACTACCTTCCTCTCAAAGTGCGTTCGTATATGCATATATTCATGGCCCTATGACTGACGCAACGCAGAGTTCGAGTGTGTGTTATTACACAAGGAACCAGAGCAGAAGGTCAACATCTTCGATCCGACACCACCGGCGCAACCTGCAATCAAGACGAAGGTACGTCTTTTTCTCTGCTATCTCTGATGCTCAATATCGATATTGATACGTGTCGCAGAGGATCGATCGTTATGTGGTCACTTCGCATTGCTTAGGAAGTGGTAGCTTCGCCACTGTCCACCTTGCTATGGATACAACTGCTTTCAAACAAGTCGCTTGCAAGTGCATCAAACGTCGAGGCAGCGACAAACTGGATAAGGTCAAGAAGGAAGTCGATATCCTGCTCAATCTCCAACATGTACGCTAGTCCTGCGTATGCCTCCCTGTTGTCGCTCATAAACTCCTCGCAGCCCAACATCAACACCGTACGTGCGGCTACGAACGATGACAACTTTTTGTGAGTGGACAGTTGAACAGATACGACCATACTCCGAGCTCAATCGTGCTTAGGTACATCTTCCTTGAGCTCTGCACTGGAGGCGACCTATTCTCGTACATCGTCAGCCACCCGGACTCACAGTTATGTCAAGCGGAAGCCAAGTATATCATGTATCAACTCCTGAAGGGCCTGAAATACCTGCACGACAAGTTGATCTCCCATAGAGGTGCGTTTGATTTGGATCCTGTAATACACTGAGAGCTTACTCTTTCGTCCAGACCTTAAGGTAACAGTGTTTCCGTCCCAGACACTGGCATCGTTACCTGACACACACTCCCAGCCTGAAAACATCCTACTGCATACACCAGGGCCTTATCCCCGCATACAGATTGCCGATTTCGGCCTCGCGCGCCCCAAAGCATACCAGGAGACGTTCAACGTCTGCGGCACTGTCTCCTATCTTCCTCCGGAAGGTATCCTTGCCCTCGACCATAAGCACCTAGGCTACGTCGGTATGCCCGCCGACTGCTGGAGCTCAGGGGTGATCATGTACATCATGCTAGCGTGCGTTGTCTAGTCGGCTCAGCCTCTCGTCAAATACGACCTAACTGACGACCATTTGTAGGGGCTCGCACCCGTTCGACTACGGAAAGGTTGACGGAGAGTCTGATCTGTACTCGTACCGGCCGTCAGAGGAGTTCGAGGACTCCGAATATTCTCAGGAGTCCCTCCAGACCGACCAACTCATCAAGCGTAGGATAGTTCACGGGGGAGTGGAATTCCCTGAGCACCACTGGGATCAGATGTCCCAAGGTATGCTCCTCATCCGCCTCACTGTGGCAGCAGAGCCCAGAACTGATGTGGTCTCATCAATCGCAGCTAGGGATCTCTGCGGCGACATGCTTGTTTACGAGCCTCTGGAGCGGGCGACAGTGCAGCAAGCCCTCAGACATACCTGGTTCTCTGCCGAGCTCTTGGACTTGGAACTGGCATACCGCTCGAGGATCGGCTCTGGCTAACTGGCGACATCGACATCTCCCAAGTTCCCAAGATTCTGACTTCGCACTCTCCGGCCGCTCGCTTTGTTGTCTTGCTCGCTCTCTGCTCTCCTGCATTTGTCGTTCTCGCATACATCAGACTGAACCATCTGCGCATTCCGCATGATACACCATTGTAACTCCAAGCAAGCATACATCGATACAATTTGTGAATGATACATCATAGAAACTTCTCCCTATCTGCCCCTCGTTCATGCCTTCAGGAAGTTTGCGTGGACTGCGGATATTGTCAGCGACTCGCTCGTACAGCCGAAACGTATGAACACCCACAGTGAACATGGTCTTCCCCGAAAGTCGAGATCTGTACAACGGTGAGCCTCGAAGCGGCGCGATCCTCGCAAAGAAGCACGCACGAAGAAGTAGCTGTGGTCATAGCCTTCCTGCGCCCGCACGCGCACCTGCACCTCGTCGTAGCCCGCATCGCGCGCAGCCTTGAGGAAGTTCTCCGGCAACAGCTGGCCCTGCTTGTAAAAGTTGTCCCCGGTGCCCTACACCATAACACCCCACATCAGCCTCGCGCCCGCCTTCCCCAAGCAACCTCAAGGAAGGAATAGAACGCACATAGTCAACGAGGATGTGCACGGGCTCCTTCCCGAGCTTGCCCACGAGCTCCGTCGCGTCGTACTTTGCGCGCGCCTCCTCGACGCCGCCCTGGAGGTACCCTCCAAACGCCTTCTGGCCCCACGCGCAGTTGACCGGGTTCGAGATCGGCGCGAACGCGGACACGGACCGGTACCGCTTCTCGCCCGCGAGCACCGAGTTCAGGTAGAACGTGAGCGCGCCGTGTCCGCCCATCGAGTGTCCGAAGATCGACTGCCGCTTGAAGTCCTGCGTCCCGCGGCGCGTTCAGTATGCTTATTACGTTCCCGCGTATGGGGAAAGGGAGGAGGGGATAGGGACATACGACAGGGATCCCGGCGGCCTCGATGACCTGCGGGAGCTCGACGGTGATGTGCGTGAGCATGTTGTAGTGCTTCGCCCACTTCGGGTTCGTCGCGTTCAGGTAGAAGCCCGCGCCTGTCGATGCCCCGGCCCCGACCGCGCGTCAGTCCTTGCTCGCTCCACAGCCGAAATACCAAATCAACGCTCAACCCTGCACCCGCAGCAGCGCGGGAGAAGCGATAGGGTCCAGGGGGCGTTGAGGGAAGCGAAGCGAAGAGACGCGAGACGCACCGACGCCAAAGTCCCAGCTGTCCGTCTCGCCCTCGACGCCGGCTCCGCGCGGGGAGGTGTCCGGGAAGAGGATTGCGATGCCTTCCTTCGCGGCGGGCCCGAGGAAGTGGCCCTTCTGCGCCCTGTACGCGTACCCATGCCGCACGTTCAGCCTCTGGGGGGTCGCGGCAAAGACACAGGCACTCGGTACTCACGCGTTGTCCTCGGTGCAGGTGAGCCCGGAGAGGTACGTCAGGAGCGGGACCTTGTTCCCCTCGGACGCGTTCCCGGGGAGGAAGAGGTTGAAGTTCGCGACGAGCCCGCCGAGCGCGTCCGACTGCGGGAGTAAGGGGACGCGGTGAGTGCTCGAGTACCTAGGAATCGGCGCGGGGTGGCGCACCTTGAACTTGTATTTGATGAGTTGACCGTCAAAGGCCTTGTTCGCGGATACTTGTTCAAGAGACATGCTGCAGCTTTGCGAGTTGTATGTAGTGTTAGAGGTAGGGGTCGAGTGCGAAGGGGCGCAAGGAGCACTCCGAGGACGATCGATGCGCGATGTAGGCTTCAGCCACACCGCGGCGGCCGGTGACGACATCGCAGCGCGCCGGGGGGCCGCCCCAGCCAAGTCCCTCCAGCATTCGTACACGAGACGCACCGATAGCCTCGCTCGCCGGTCCCATGAGCAGCACCATGGGACACCCCTCCTCGACGCTTTCTCACCTCCGCCATCCTGCGGAACCCCGGGTCCCACGACGCTCGCTACCGAAGGGCCCTATTACAGAACGCAGGGGCGGTATTAGCATTAACGTCGTACAGACCGCATTATATACGCTATGGTGGCCAGCATAAGTGTGTACGGATATCGTGTGTGGGTATGTGTCCAGTCGAAATTAATGCGCGAATCATTGTGCAGGCCTCTTACCCTCCCTCTTGTCCTTGTCCTCGTCTGTGCGCGGGGGCGGAGGTGTCGATGCTGGTGTGAGCTTCTGCCTGCTCTCGCGCTCCCCCTCGCCGCCCTTGCCCAGACTGTCCGCCATCTCCGCGCGCTCACCCTGCTTCCGGATCTCGTCTCTCTCCCTCCTCTCCGGCGAGCCTTCCGCCTCTGACTCGCCCTCGCCAGAGGCAGCATCTCTTGCAGCATCGAGCCCGGGGCCCTCCTGCGCGCCTTCGCCGGGCGCACGGCCCTGGCCCTCGACGACGCGCGCGAGGTGGTCCGCGATACCGAGGTAAAACGTAGCGGGCTTGAACTTGATCTCGCGGCCCATGATTTCCGCCCACTTGTACCGCGCGGTGTTGATCCACCCGACGAGATCGAGGTGGTTCACGCCCTCGAGCGTGCCGAGGTACGTGCCCCAGCGCGCGGACTTGAGCGAGACGAGCCCGTCGTTTGGGCCTTCCTTCTCAAGCACGATCGAGTGTGGCCACCTGTTACGAGAGAAAAATGAGCGACCGTCCTCACAGCCCTCTCTGGGTGGTCCGACATTCACGCACTTCCACGTATCAATCAACCCCGGCTCATACACGGCGCCCCACGAGAAGTACTGCACGCCCGGCACGTCCGGAGTGTCCTCGTTGAAGCGGCGCATGTTCTCAACAGTGAGGAACTCGAACGCCTTCCCGTCTCCGCCGCCGTTCGGAAGGAGCTCAAGCAGGGAGAGCACGGACGGCATCCGCTCGCGCCCTACTGTCGCGAGGAAGTGGTCCGCGAACGCCGAGCCGCGGTGCGGGCTCGAGATCGTCGTCACCGAAAGCACCTCAAACGGCCGGTCCGTCATGTGCGTTGTCAAGTACCTGCAGTCGATCCCGCCCTACAAAGCCGTCAGCACAAGGAACGAGAGTCTGATATGTGTGGGAGACGGGGAAGAAGGACAGGAGTCGCACCATGCTGTGTCCTGTGTCAAGATCATCCTGGAGTCCGCATGAGCACGCCAGCAGGGACACATGTAGAGGCACGTACCGATGAGATGCACCGCGCGCCCGGGGTACGTCTCCGCGATCTTCGCACAGAGCACCTTTGCGCGGTCGATGGGCGAGCTTGTTGCGGGCACGCGCGTGATGAGGACCTGTGCATGAAGGAAGCGGGGGGCATGCGGTCAGGACACGCAAACTGCGAGCGGTGATGATTGGGCGCACCTCGCTGCCGTTAGCCTCCAGCGCATCGCGGATCCCCCGCCAATGAGTGACTTGCAACGGGGCGATGGAGGGACCCAAAGTGACCGTGTCGAAGCCGAGGAGGCCGTGGCAGAAGACTATCGGGTTCTTCGTTGCGACATCTGCAAGATGGTCAGGGCCGCGAGTCTTTCGGCGGAGCAGAAGAAGATGGCATACATTTGCTCCTGATGTTTTCACGTTGTTCTTGGGCGGTCTTACCGCCGTCTTCTTCGCTCAGAATCGGATTCAGGTCCTTGCCCGAAGAGTCGTCCGGAGAAAACCAGTTTCGTATCGAATCGGGGAGTTGCGGGAAGTTGAATGACTGCGCGGGCGCAGAGGTGTGTATGCTGCGTGTGCGTTGGTGTATGGACCGCAACGACTCGAGCGAAGAGGCCGTTGGGGGCGAACTGTTAAGGTGAACGGGCGCGGGTGAGTGGGGCATGGGCAGCGGAACGGGGGTGGGGCTGAGGAGGAGGTCCATGTCCGCATCATTGTAATGGTGCTGCGAAAATGCTTCCTCGAACGGGTCGCTGTACCTTGGTGGCATGTACGACGCAGCGGGCGGCGGGGAGAGGAACGCGGTGGGCATGGTAGAGCGAGTGAGGTTTGAAAAGTAGGACGGTCGGTGGAGGGCGGTGGAGAGGCGAGCTGCCTGTGGACGAGAGGGCAACTTAACATCTTCCGAGTGCTCTCTCGAATGAGCTTCGAGGAGGTGCGGGTCGTCTTGGAATGCATCCGCGAGCGCAGACAGAGCAGAGGAGGGAGTGGAGGGTGCCGACCGTGTGGGGGTGTTGGGTTGGCTCGTGGAAGGCGTGTCTGGACGCGAACCAACGGGTGAACTTGGGGTGGAGTTTGGCCTCCCGTCCGAGCGTTTAGAAGAGAACCAGCGGAGGACGGGGAGGGTGGGCCTGCTCGCGTGTTTCTTCTTGTCGCGAGCAGCAGAGGATTCGGCTGGAGGGGATGCCATGCTCACGCTGTCTATACTGAGAGAGTGGGAGTGGCGTAGAGAACTCGACTGCTTCGGGGGGTGGTGGACGGCGGCCGAAGACGGCTGTGTGCGCGGAAGCCTCATGTCAGGATGTGAGGACGAGGATGGCTGCGGAGCGGTGGCATAGGTCGGGGCGTCTGGCTGAGCGGGGGAAGCTGAGGAGAAGAAGCCCTGGAGGCGAGCAGAGAGGTCAGGGCGGTCGCTCGCGAGGCTGTCGCGGGAGCTGTTTGCGCTCGAGCCCGCTGAAGACATCGGTGCAGTGGAGAGCGGCCAAGTGACGTGACGTCACGCGTCGGCCTCCATATTGACGCGTCCCCCGATCCGGCGTCTCCATATTGACGACTCGCCAGACGCCCAGCCACCATCTCTCCTCCGACCCCCATCACCCCATCCCGCCATTCTCCCACATCTGCCCGACGAGCACACATGCAGACGTCGCAGCAGTCAATGAAGCTTCCTTCGCCTTCTCTACTGCGTGAGCCCGGGAGCGACGGCCGAGCTGGGCCAGAAGCCATGATGAGCAGTCATCTGCGACGGAACTCTCCCTTAACGGATCCCATGCTCCTCGAATTGAGTGCGGGTCTACCTATAATACACTGACCCATCAGCCCGACGCACCCACACGCAAAATCTGTCTGCGCTCTTCCGAATCAGCCGATGCTGTGATCCATCCTCCACCGCCCATCTATCACGGGCAGGCCCTGCGCCATTACCGCCTTCCTCACAGTACATATATCCCTCATCTTCCCGCACTCATATCAGCTGGCCCTCCCGCCTCTTACCCTCGCTGCTCTCTAATGCTCTGGTGCATCCCGCCCCCGCTTGACATCCCCCGCCGCATCTCTATCAAGCGGCGATACCCTGACTTCCCCTCCTTTCGCAGGAGGACCGAACTCTCCCGGGGAGACTCCAACTCCAGCCAAAGGTGCGCCGCACTACCAATAATTGACGGCTTAGTCTGACGCTTTTGCAGGACCCTCATAGATAGCAAGGTCTCTGAGTACGACGAGATCTTGCTCATTGACGCTCCCTCGCCACCTCCAAAGGACCGCAAATCTCTCCTCCACTTTCTCCCCCAGCTCGAGTTCCAGTCGGAGCTTACGGAGAAGCCGCCACCGCTTCCAGATACCAAGGTCCAGCCAGATCCGGCTCCCGAGCCCGAGACCAGGCCTCCGCCAGAGCTCAGTCCCAAACCTTCAAGTTTGCCTGAGCCGGAGAACGACACTGAGCCCGAACACCCCTGGTACCGCCGCCGCCTCGTCTGCAGTGGCGGCACATGCTACCCCTCCGTGTTCCCTCGCTCCGACTTCTCCCTCTCGACTCCCGGTGCAGCAGCTGCGGGCCTGAACCTTTTTGGCGGCCTGGACGACCGCGCCAAAAACGATGTGTATTCCATCTCGGTCTGTGACTTCGCTGTCACGCGGCTGTACACCATGGGAGACATCCCGTCGACGCGCTTTGGACACGGCAGCGCATTCGCGGGCAGCGTGGTCGTCGTCTGGGGCGGTGACACGATGTCGGCGTCGTCGCATCAGCTGCGCGCGAGGGCCAGGTACGATAACGGGCTCTATTTCCTCAATCTCGGTGAGTGCGCACATGTCGCCTCGCCGCGTTGTCGCGGTGTCGGGACGTCGATATTAATCAACGGAATGCAGCGAGCCGCGAGTGGACCCGGGTGTTCATTGACGGCGCGGCACCGGTGGGGCGGCTTGGGCACACGGTCGTGATGATTGGGCCCCGGGTCTACGTCTTCGGCGGGCATGCGCACGGCGAGTTCTTCAACGACATCTGGTCCTTTGACCTGAGCACACGTGCGCCCGCCCCTTCCTCGACAGCAGTTTGCAATTCGCTGACGGCTGGCTGTCCGCCGCCTTCTGTGCACAGTGATATCGAAGCCGGCATGGGAACAGCTCGACCCGCCCAAAGGCGCGCCCCGGCCGTCTAGGCGCTCGGGACACTCGTGCGTTGCGTACAAGGACCAGCTCATTATGTACGTCCCCCACCGCAATGCTATTGCAACCGTTCTAAATCTCACACGCGGACAGGTTTGGCGGGACGGATGGCAAGTACCACTACAACGATATCTGGGCATTCGATACCCGTACGCGCACATGGTCCGAGTTCTGGTGCGGGGGCTATATTCCGTCACCACGCGAGGGCCACAGTGCTGCGCTCGTCGGGGACATCGTGTACATCTTTGGGGGCCGTGGGGTGGATGGTGCCAACATCGGCGAGCTTGCTGCGTTCCGGATATCCAGTGAGTCACTGTCAGCCGTGTTCTTTTGAAAGGCTTTGCCTAAATTGATGGATGCGTAGACCAGCGGTGGTACATGTTTCACAACATGGGCCCTGAGCCAGCGCCACGGTCGGGGCACGGCATGGTCGCTGTCGGCACGAAAGTATATGTCCTCGGTGGCGTGAGCGAGGACAACCTTGATGAGACAGGCAAGGACGCGAACGTAGCTTATGTCCTAGACACGAGTGCGTATCTTCTCTCCCCGACGCCGCTCGCCGCTCGCTCGGTGCATACTGTGTTGGACGCTGATAGACGTCTTCTGGTGCTGGCAGATATGATCAAGTATCCTAAAGCCAGACGGCCACTCCCACCTACCCCGGGGTCCCCCCCAAACATGTTGTCTCCGCTACGGTGACACCCAGAGCCTCATCCCTCACGAACTCTTTCCTCGCTTTCCACTCTGCCTGCACTGCGTGCTATTCACGAAGTCGATATCAGCAACTCCTCCACCCACCCGTTTCTCCTCTGGCATACCCCATTGACCTTACGCATATACGCACTCACACGCTCCTTCATCATCATCATCATCACACCACCGCCTACCCCCTTGTCGCTAACTTATCGACTTCGTCCCTCCTTCGCTTTCACTCTCATTTGCCGGAATCTGTGCTCACGCGCAAGGCGCGTGCACGACCAAATGTATAGTATCATGTAGTACCCTCGGCGCGTTTGTCCAACTCTGTTGTTGTATGGGATACTACTTACCGGTGGTGGATGCCGCGTACTATGGCGGGTCCATTGCACTTCAGAATCATGTGTTTGCCCAGTTTTTCTGTTATTGGCGTATGTCAGGCACATGGGGAGGATTTTTGTATGGATCGCGAACGATGTATGTATTAAACCTACTCGCTTCCACTCGCTACTCACCTTTCCAGGTAGGAGGTCGGCGCGGGTGTTTGGCACTGTTGATGTATGATGGCAGCGCCATGAGCGCCACGATGACCCCCGGACATGACCCTCAAAACAAGTCGTCTTGCATCCAAACCACTGATGAGTCGGATATAACAGTCCTCGCTGTGCACTACGACACAGGTACACGCATGCAGATAGGCGAACCGAGGGAGAGGGGGTAGACGCCGCACCATGTCCATGTGCGGAGACAAGCTGTGGAGATTGTGGGCGCGGGAGACGCGGGGGCGCCAAATGGACGCGGTTGACCATTTGGTGTTCTGCACCGCGCGCGTCCGGTGAGGATGTGCACAATGGCACGTCTGTATAATAGAATATATGATGCTCAATGTAAATATATATGCCATCGAGAATCGGACTTACTGACGACAAGGGCGCGCTATGAGTGTCCCCGGACGACCTCTGCTCCTGGCTCTCCTCCGAAGCCCTCCCCGCGCGGCGCACATTTCACCAGTACTTGCCCCGCGCCGACGTCTCACTGACATCCTGTATCCTGTCGGAGTATCGAATTATTCCCCTGGCCGTCTGCATCCCACGCGCGCAACACAGGCAAACATGGCTAGCCTAGCCCGGTTGCATCCGCTAACGACTATCAATACGCCCATCCTTCGCGCGAGGTTGCTCGAGCCCTTCCACTCCGTCTACCGACCTGACGCGCCGCCGCTTGTCGTCCAGCTTAAATATGAGAGAGCCGTCGTTGTTTCCATTCCGAGAACTTGATAGAATAGGAGGAGGTACCAAGCCTAGCGTCTGAAAGCTGCCGTACTGTCTGCTGTCTGCATTGGTCTGGTCCGCCGGAAAGCGGATGCGCGAAGGTCTGCGAGGCGGAGACGGAGGCGTGACGGGGCGGTCGATGCTCGAATTTGAGGGCCCGGCCTCCGCCATCAATGCCTCCCTGAGGAACGTCGGTCGGGCACGCTGTCGCCAGAGAGCGGGAGAAGAGAGAGAGAAAGAGAGAGGTGTTCGTGCAAAGTGGCGTCGCACTCCGAAATCCACGGTGTCCACTCTCCCCGCAGCTCCTCCATTCGGTAACTCGGCCGGCATCGCGGCCCGCCGCTTTCTACTGAACGCCGAGCGTCTATTGTTACAATACGTGTACAGCTTAAAGTAGTTAATGTGTGTTAGAGAGGCGGGCGGCGCCGCCTCAGAGTCCGATTCTTCTGCTTAGGTCGAGCATAATATCGTGCAACGCATACTGAACATGGCATGGTAGAGCGGGCGGCGCCATCGGTGGCAGACAGTGGAATATGTACAGTATACGAGTGTCTAACCATAGGACCTTATGGTAGTTGGCCTTTGGCAAAACATACATATATATCATGGATTATCAAGGACATCTAGTTGTGCCCTTAATCATCTCGTATGGTTGAGGACGCCACTTCATGTCATGCTTCCACATCCATTTCTGGACCTCAAAAACGAAATTCTACATACCAAAGGACCCCATTTGAGCTCAAATCCCGACGTACAGAAAATTCTGGGCGTCTAACCCTAACCCTAGAAAAAGCGCCAAATCGGCCGGGGGTCAACGACAATTTAAGCGCTCGATAGGGCGGTTGAGAGGCTTGAGAGAGCTGAGAAGGGGGACTACAAGTTTAAGCCTGCTTTGAAGTGACCGTCGGCCATGGGGGTGCCTCATAATCCGACAGGAAAGACAAGGAAAGTTGCCTACAGTGACTGAGTGCAACAGCGGAGCTTGAACTCGCCAATTAGACGCCTAAGATACCATATATGGGTATGGCTTAGTCAGCAGGGTGCGCCAAATCGAGGACCTCCGACATAAATTTTGGAATTTCGGGGAAACAGCCCGACAGGATTGTTAGCATGTCCTTTCTGATCGTTTCTGCACATAGAACGAACCCTACAAGTGTTGTGTGAAGGAGCCTTAGCAGGATTACAAATGAGCACGGGCGCTCGTCACAAAGAGGCGTCCTCAACCATATGTATTGGTACTTGCTGATACGCGTCAACCGCGAAATGAGCGATATCACTACTTACAAAGTTAGCAGCCACTCTTTTGAACACCGTGGGAGTTTAGTGTACAAGATGAACGTGGCCACTGCACTCGTCAATATTCCAAGTATCATCATAAGAGAGGACGACACCAACGTTACGCATTGTAAGCTGCTGCTAGAGGTAGAAGAAGGTGCGCGAAGAGGTGCGAGAGGCCAAGAGGCGTCAAGCCCCGAGTGGTGGTTGGTGGCGCGACCGTGGGAGTATGGTACATATAATTCACGTGACCCCTATATCCTCTGCTGGTTGATAACCGATTCTTTGGAAGAATCGGAATATAATTCACGTGACCCCTATATCCTCTGCTGGTTGATAACCGATTCTTTGGAAGAATCGGAAAGTAGTTACAGACGAGAGCACCCATAAGTCGAAAGTTACAGACGTTTGTTCACATTTATGAACAGAAGAGTCCCAAAACTGGTTGATCAATGTCCGCCCAACAAGTCGTGAATATCCTTGTCGCAGTGTCCCGAAGCCTCCTCAATCCACTCGTGCGCTCGGCCGCGATGGCTCCGACTTGCATCTTCTACGGGGAAGGTTGTCTTTCCCATAGAAGGATCCCCCGAGTTCACGTTCACCGATATCCACGACAGAGGACATGGACTCCGCACGTGCCCTCCTGAACGGGTTGAACCGAGGGAGAGGGGGTAGACGCCGCACCATGTCCATGATGGCGGAAGCGGGAGTCACCGGTCGCGAAGGTGGCGGCGACACCATGGAGCTTCTGGAAGAGGGCCTCGAGAGATCGCGCTGCACAATGGAGGAGCGAGACTGAGATGGCCGATGCTTCTTGACCGCGCCGAACGGGGAGTGGCTCGAGTAGGCTGCTCTCGCGCGTTCTTCATACTGTCTGATCCGATCGGCGACTCCCAAGTAGCCACCTACACACATCAATAAATTTGCAATTCGTGCTCAAATCAGGGAGGGATACTCACCTTCAGAGGAATTAGCGTCAGACGCTACCAAGTCCCGACTCTGCTCAGGGAAGGGTAGGTCCACCGGTCGCAAGCGCGGCGTTGGCGGCGGCGAGCTTGCAGGGGAGGACGCACATGACCAGGAGTACGATGGAACCAGCTCTGGGAGTCCCCGGAGAATATATGCCTTCTCCGTAGCCACATTCTGCAAGGCGCGCCGAGCTTGCATGCGTTGCTTGTACCTCAGTGCCTTCGTGACATCCTCGGTACTGTACGACTCTGTAGAATGTCGTTGGCAACGTAGGAGAGAGAAAGCCTAGCCTACTGACCTTCTGAGCCGCTCACTGTGAAGCTCCCTCGTCTGTCAACAATGCAGCTGAAGCTGGGTGAGGCTGAGCGCCGCCCTGCATTCGAGGCTTCTTGAGTAGCTTGCTTTCTGGGGATGGTGAGGGGCGGAGGCGGCATCGCGGATCCCAAAGTAGAGGTGGAGGCTGTCGCAGCCCGCGGGCGTGGCTCATAGAGCACGGTAGGACGAGAGTTGATGTAGAGGCCACTGGGGAACATCACGGCACTGTTCAGGATAGATGGCTAAATGCGGGGGTTGGCGGTGTCGAGGATATCTACGCTCGGATGCTTCGAGTGAACAGCGGTCGCAAAGGCTATGTCGGACGAGGACGAGTGAAGGGCGGGGGAGGTGGTGGGATGAAGATGAAGAGGTAAGTGAGTGAACAGACCGAGTTTTGAACGATTTCCAAGTCCAAGCGGCCAGCCATGGAATGACCGGAGCTTCCCCACATTGGCGCCTTAGACAAAGAGCTCAAATGCGCATCAACACTTACCCCAGCGTATGACCCGGATAACAACGACACTGTCGGATCTGGACAATAGGAACATATCCAACTCCGCCTTAGGAATGGTTGACGTTGATGCCTACTTCATGTATGGTCATGTCGTTCGCCGCTACTTCGACGTCGACCACGCAGCACGCTTCGAGTCGATTATAGCAGATACAGTAAGCTCTCGCAAGTAGCACTCGATTGGACTCACATACCTCTAACGTCTAGCAAGAATTGCCTGAGGTGCAGCGCGGGCTAGATGTCGTAATGGGTGAGCCAATGTGCAGTACTGCAATAGTCTTGGTGGCCACTCCGCGCGGACATAGCGCGATAAAATGGGTAACCACTCTGGGCGTGCTCTACCGAGGAAGACGCGCCAGAGCTTGACGACGTTTCAAAAGTAAACGTATGAACATGACAGTTGTAAATGCCGAGAGCGAATACCTGTCAATCGTTCAGCAAATAGGTTATCGCGCTCCCTGGTCAGCAAACCTACCAGGTGACGATGTACGAGACATGCGAGTTCCTGACATCCACCGTAGGTGATCTGCCCACAGGATAACCATGCGATATTCGTGAAGATGCGTCCCCAGCATGGCCCTCTAGTGTACATTGAGACATGCCCGCACGAGTGCTCAAATTCTGACGCACCGAAGACCTCCTCGATGAAGACAGGCTGCACCCCTGACGCTTCACCGCCCGCATGCGCAGCCATAGCGTCCACATCCGCCCAATACCATTTGCCTTCGTCGGGGAGGTTATCTGGCGTGAACGAGTTCCGCGGCTGCGCGGTGCGCAGCATGCCAAGTATTTCTACCTCTCCTTGTACGGTGCTCTGGTTTTGCTTCGCAGTCTGCGCAAGGTCCTTGCTAACGAAGCCGCGGTCGACGAGCACAGTAGAGCCATCGGTGCGAACGAATGGCACTACGAGGTGGTAACCGATGGTGCCGTCTCGTACTCGAGGGCCCAGAAGGATGGCATGGGCGTTATCCCAGTGGCCTTTCAGCACTACCTTGCGGAAGGAAAAGTCGGGAAGTGCTGCGAGACTACCAAAATCAGAACGCAAAGAGCCTGGGGCCAGTCTGGGTACACACTTTATTTGGGGAGGTAGAGGCATGGGCTCGCGCTCCAGTTTCTCCTCGAGCTCGTCAATGAGCGCGACCTTCCACTTCAGACGTTGCACCTGCCACGTCCCAAGCGCGAACGTGAAAATTGGCATGATCCCAATCAAGACCATCGTGGGGGTGACCAGCGGTTCACGCTTGGCCTTGTATGTCTGCGAAGTGCCCTCGGTCGCGAGCATGCGTTTACTAGAGGGGCCGGGACGCGTCACATTCCGCCAGGAGGCTCCGACTCGTGGCCGCGCAATGGAGGATGCCAAGGAGCGCAGCATGCCTAAGGAGCGTATAGCCTGCGAGCGAGAGGTCGTGCCAAGTTTGTCCCGGGGTGTGTGTAGAGCAGAAATAGCGGAGCGCAGCTGGGCGGAAGCTCGACTCGGAACCTGGAGGAGGGCGGCCGCTGGGCGGCTGCTGGGCGCGACGCGTCCGGCGCCTGTATGGGGAAATGAGGTGAATACGCAGCCGAGGCCGTACACCTCCTCCTGCTTCCACCCAGATATACCCCCTGTGTCTCCTCTTAAGCTCCGGTGCACACGCCAGACATGTGCGCAGCTGTCCCCGTCCTACCTCTGCGCATATGGGGCTCACCCGTCACCACAGGTCACGTCGACAGGGCGATTACAATATTGACGGCGATGAGGTGCATTACCCGACACGACCGGTGGACAAGGACAAGGCCGAGGCGGAACTTGTTGTGAACATCAAGAAAGCAACCTCAGCAGAAGAAACGGCGCCCAAACAGAAACATGTCAGAAGTGCGACCACTTATTGCGCGTGCGCGGACATGCACTGACCTCATGCCTGCGCAGAGGCCATCGTCTACACATGGGACTACCACTCTTCGATATCGTTCTGGACTGGCCTGAGAGTACAACCTATTTTGTCTGATGAGGTTCAGACGTTCAAGGCTCTGATCACGGTGCACAAAGTATTGCAAGAGGGTCACCCCGTGGTACGTCCGCCACATTTCGTACTGTTATCCGCCCTAATATATATGGACAGACTATCAAAGAGGCCCATGGACAGACCGGATGGCTGGAGACTTGCGCTCGGACAGTCGGACATGAGACGGCACGCGGTGAGTGAAGCTATGTAACGCGGTGCTATTAGTACTCAACTCCGGCCCAGGCTACGGACCCTTGATCAGAACATACGTGCAATTCCTTCTTGCCAAGCTGCGCTTCCACAGACTTCGTCCGGAGTTCAACGGTCTCTTTGAGTATGAGGAATACATTACGCTCAAGGGCATCGACGATCCGAATGAGGGGTGAGTTGTTATAACCCCTCGGTGAGATATGTTGCTCACTTGTGTATGGCAGCTACGAGACTATCTCGGACCTCATGGCTCTGCAAGACCAGATCGACTCTTTCCAGCGCATGATCTTCGCGCACTTCCGCTCTGGCAACAACGAGTGTCGTATATCCGCACTTGTCCCGCTGGTGAAGGAGAGCTGGGGTATCTACCGGTTCATCACCAGTATGCTCCGTGCTATGCACCGAAGTGAGCATACCGAGATTGCAACGGCAAACCCCAGGATGAACTGACAAGGAGATAGGAACGAACGATACCGAGGCGCTTGAGCCGCTCCGATCACGGTATAGCCAGCAACATTACGCTCTCCGCAAGTTCTACTATGAATGCTCTAACCTCAAATATCTTACCGGTCTCATCAACGTTCCCAAGCTTGGAGCTGTAAGCGACAGTTTTGTTATATCACGGGTTGAAAGTTGACCTTTTTCCCCGCTCAGGAACCCCCTAATCTACTAGACAACGGCACTGCTCCAGATCTACCTGCTCGGCCAACTACTGCCCCTGTTAAGTCACCACCCCCTGCAACCCCTCAACCTGACGCGGCAGAAGTACGGGAGCAGGAGCGTATGCTCAAACAGTATGAGCAACAGCAGGCTGCTCTGATGGCTGCGCGTGAGGACGAGGAACGCCGCCGGAGGGAGATGGAAGAGCAGCAGCGCCGTGAGTTCGAGCAGCGGCAAGCGGAGCAGGCCGAGCGCGAGCGTATGGCCCAAGAGCAGCTCGTACAGCAACAGATGCAGCAACAGATGATGCAGTACAGCAACCAGGCTGCGCAGCAAGTGCACGACCTCGAGAGGGAGATCCTTGGCATGCGCGGACAGTTTGAGCGTGATCAGCTCATGTTGGAGCAGTACGATCGGGTCCGTCTTGGGCATACTTTGAATCAAGGAACAGCCGCTCATTACCCGATACACAGAGAGTCAAGGCGCTGGAGAGCGAGCTCAGCAGCGTCACGGCCAATGTCAACTCGCAGATGATGTCCAAGGACGAGCTCATCCGGCAGCTGCAGGAGCAAGTCACGATGTGGCGGCAGAAGTACGAGGGTCTGGCCAAGCTCTACAGCCAGCTCCGCGCGGAGCATCTCGACATGCTGTCTAAGTATAAGCAGATGCAGCTCAAGGCCAACTCAGCACAGGAGGCCGTCGACAGGATGGAGCGCATGGAGCGCGACCTGAAGGCGAAGAACCTCGAGCTTGCAGACATGATTCGCGAGCGTGACCGTGCCCGCTTTGATCTCGATCGCCAGAAGGCGGGCCACAAGGACGAGATTGACCGTCTCCGTCGCGAGATCAACTTTGCGAACGAGCGTGCTGAGGACGCTACGAGGTCGAAGAGCTCGGAGGTGTCGGGCGTGCTTTCCAAGTACAACCGTCAGCTCACTGAGCTCGAGGACTCTCTCCGTGTATGCCACCTTGACCTGTTGTTCGAGGGCTCATGCTGACCATCTGTGCAGGCGAAGCAAATCCAAATCGACGACCTTCTGAGCAAGCTCGACAACGCAAGTGGCGATCTTGAGCGTCTGCGTGACGAGAAGGACCAAGAGATTGCTATTCTCCAGGAGGGTATGGATGCTACCATCCAGCAGCTCCATGACGCGCAGCAGGTAAATCAAAGCGACTATTTCGCAGTATCACATGCTGACCGTCCTCTCACAGAACCAAGGCCTCAACGAGGAAGCGACAATGGCTCAGGTCGACACCCTCATCCTGGACAACAGGAAGAAGCTCAACCAGATCATCGGTTGGCACATATTACATCTGAATCAGCTCTTATTGACACTTGCTTTGCAGACTCGATCCTCAATGCCTGCGTGCAGAAGGTGGACGAATCGATCTACGAGCTGGAGTCTCCCGCACAGGCCGGCAACATTAACTCGACGCCGGAGTACACGCTGTCCATGATCGAGAAGGCGGTCAACAACGCCACCGACTTCGCGACGATCTTCAACCTGTACCTCGGTGGCGAGCCTGGCGGGGAGCACGTGGAGGTTATCAAGGGCGCGAACGAACTTGCGCAGGCCCTCTCCGACGTCCTCATCAACACCAAGGGCATCACGCGTCTAGTGGAGGACGATGTGTCTGACAAGCTCATCAACGTCGCCAGGCATGTCGGCGACGTCGGCCTGCGGACGTTCCTCAACCTCCAGTCATACAAGCTCGACCTCATCCCCCAGCCAACACAGCGCAAGGAGGTGGCGATGCGCAACAACGGCGAGGTCCGCGGGGCGCTCACGAAGCTCTCCGAAGTCGTCGACGGGCTCGTGCCGAAGGGCGGCAAGGCGGGCCCGCTCGCGAAGACGAACGGCGACTTGGGCGACCTGGTCGAGCAGGAGATGCTCGGCGCCGCGCAGGCCATCGAGGCCGCAACGGAGCGCCTGCAGCAGCTCATGGCGCGCCCGCGCGACTCGTCGCGCTTCAGCGCGGTCGACCTGCAGGTGCACGACGCGATCCTGCAGGCCGCGATGGCGATCACGAGCGCGATCGCGCGCCTCATCAAGGCCGCGACGGAGTCGCAGCAGGACATCGTCGCGCAGGGCAAGGGCACGAGCACCGCGCAGCAGTTCTACAAGCGCAACAACCGCTGGACAGAGGGCCTCGTGTCCGCCGCGCGCTCGGTCGCGTTCGCCACCGGGCTGCTCATCGAGAGCGCAGATGGGGTGCTCTCGGGCACGCACACGCTCGAGCAGCTGATCGTCGCGTCGAACGAGGTCGCGGCGGCGACCGCGCAGCTCGTCGCCGCGTCGCGCGTGAAGGCGAACCTGATGTCGAAGACGCAGGAGCGGCTCGAGCTCGCGGCGAAGGCGGTCACGGAGGCGTGCCGCGCGCTCGTGAAGCAGGTGAAGACGATCGCGGCGAAGCAGGTGCAGGAGGACGACGTGGACTACAAGAACATGGCCGTGCTCGAGTTCAAGCGGCGCGAGATGGAGCAGCAGGTCGAGATCCTGCGCCTCGAGAAGGAGCTGAACGCGTCCCGCCACCGGCTCGGCGCGATGCGGCGTGCGGGGTACCATACAGACGAGACGGACTGAGGAAGAAGCGGCGGCGGTGGTCTCTAGTTAGCACTTGGAATATACTCTGCGTTCCCTTACCGATATACTTGTATTTCTCACTCTCTGCATGCGCGTTGGTGCTCTCTTACTCTCTCAGTCTCTGTTCCGTCCGTGGGTGTGAAGCCGGCATGAAATGTGTGTACAGTCAGGCGCCCAAGTGCACAGAGATCATGGATGAGGAGAGGAAGAACAACAATGCGAGGATGGGGGTGAGCAGAGCATGGAAAGTGCTCCAATGGGGACCGCGGCGAATTAGTATGTGCGTGTAGTCGAAGCAAGATAGATGATGTGCAGTAAGTACCGAAAGCAAAGGCGGTGTGTGGGTGTATCATAGCAATAAAGAGGTATAGATACCAAAGGAAGGGAAGGGGTGAAAAGGAAAGCAAAGGAGGGAAGGGGGGAAAGCAGGCGCAGCACGGGCGCGTTAATATACATAATACGCGCTCTGCGAGCTCCGCACCGTGTCGAACGAATCCTTCCGGTCCATGTCGAGGAAGCTGCTCTCCATGGTCGGCGACTGCGGGGACGGCGGCACCGTGTCCCGGCCCGTCGACTCGGTCTCCTCGTCGTCCGCGCCATCGTCGTTCTCCGCGCTCGCGTCGAACTCGTCGTCGATCTCCAGGAACGACGGCTTCTTCATGATCGAGCGCCGCTGGAGGACCTTCTGCCGGTCGAACGCGCTCGGAGGCCGCGACGACATCTCGGAGATGCCGGTGTCGCTCGACTGCTGGCGCCGCGGGCGCGGACGCGTCGGGGGCGGAGAGAGCGGATTGATGGGCACGACGCTGACGCGCTTGTTGACGATCTCCAGCTCCTGGAGGTCGTGCCTGGACGGTCGCCGTCTCGGGGGCGGGGGAAGGCTCGCGGGAGCAATCTCCGGGGAGTGTTTCGGCGGGCCAAATCCGGTCGGGGAGGTCGGGGGGCTGAGGCCCGCCTGCGCAGTTGACGGCCGCGCGGAAATGGGCGGGGGCTTGTTCATATTGCGCGAGAGCATCGAGCTGCTGCGCGCGGGCCCGCGCGAGCCCTCGACGAGGGACATCTTCCGCGGCGGGGGCGCCGACGAAGCGGTGTGCAGCGCGGGGCGCGCGCTGCCGTGCCAACCAGAAGAAGCCGACTTCGTCGAGTGCATGGAAACGCCGCGCGACACCCCCACGGCGGGCTCCCCGCCGCCGTTGCCGTTGCCGTAGTCCGCCCCACCGCCGCTTCCGAACGCGAGCGTCCCGGTCGACGCGTGCGACAGGACCGAGTTCGAGCGCGAGCGCTGGGCCGCTTCGCGTTCCCGGTCGCGGTCGCGCTGCGTGTTCATGACTGGCACCTGGCTCGCGTTCTTGCCCTGGCGGAACGCGAGTCCGAAGTCGCCAGGGTGCAGATCGAGCTTCGGCTTCCGCTCAGACTCGGGCTCGGGGTCCGCGCGCGCGGCACGCGCAGACGCCTCCTCGTCCGCAAGCTTCTCCGCGAGCTTCAACTGCTCCGCGGGGGACATGATATACTGGGGCACGTACTCCGACTGCGACGTCCGCTTCGTCCTGTCCTCCCCACCTGCACCCGCACCCACCGGCGAATCCTCCCACAAGGACGACGGCGAAATACATGCGTTCCTCGTCATGAGTGACAGCGGCCCACCTGCGGCCCCGAACGACAGGGTGATGTGGTCCATGGCCACGGACCCGGTACCAGGCCGCGAGTCTGTTTCCAGACTGAACACAGATCGACTGTCGTCCTCGGTTGAAGGCGTCGGTCCGTGCGACGATGTGCTCCTCCGCGCGCTCGAGCCAGAGAACAGGCGCTTACGTGGGCTCGTTACGCTGCTGCGCCGGGGCTCGATAATGGGTGACGACGGCGCGGGAAGCGTCTCGAGGCTCGACGACGGCTGTGCGGACGACGAGCCGTTCCTGAAACCGGGAATTGGGGGCATCGGGACACGCGCAGCATGAAACGATCGTTGTTTCCGCGCAGGCTTCGCTAACGGGTGTGGATTATGAATTGCCATGTCGTCGTGCGAGGCCGAGGAGGCGATACTCGTGGCGGAGTGCCGTTGGGATGGAAGGTTTTGCTGCGAAGACATCTTCCGAAGGAGCTTCCCCGCTTTGCTTCCCCCGAATTCGACGCCGTGAATGAACGCTGGTACGGGTGGGAACTTCCCGAGGGGAGAAGGCAGGCCCGAATCCCCGGGCGCAATAGGGCTGAGGTCCCCATCCAGGATGAAGGTATCGCGATGACTCCTCCGCTTCCCTTTAGGATCAGGATCCCGCATCTCGAACGGACCCAAGTCATAAGTGTCGTTCATGAGCTGAGAAATCGCGTCCCCGTTGTCCATCATGTGGAAGCCATCCACACTCGGAGCGAAACTCAAGCTCAGCGAAGAGCTCGAGGAATTCCTGAATGCCAACGGAGAAAGGTCGTGATCACGATAAGGCGAGCGGGGTACGGGTGGTGGAGGGAGGTCGCTCATGGGAGGTGCTGTATTCAGGGGAGGTAGTTTGACCCGCGGGGATGACGCTTTTCGAACCAGCACAAGCGGCCTGGTCATGGTCGGGGAACGTGGGGATTCTAGGCTCGGCGCGGCAGAAGTGGTGCGAGAGCGTGTGAATGTGACGGGAGAAGGAGAAGGAGGGTTGGAGGAGGATGGTGAGGAGGAAGATCCCGAGACTTTGCGTCGAACTTGTAGCGGCTGAATCGGGCTCAAAGCCACGCCCGGGGAGCGGGGCGGGGGCGGGGGAGGCATGCGAGGCAATTCTGGATATCCTTCCCGCGGGCTCACAGCGCCGACTGTCATCCCTCTAGGGCGAGAGAGAGATGGACTGGACCGCTTGCGGGGTAGCGTGGAACCACCGTTCGAGGGGCCACCAAGTCCGCTGCGAAAAGCCTCTGGGGTCACAGTGGAGTTCGACGAATTCGATCCTGACGGGGTTTTCATTCGTCGTGTTCTCTGCGTCTGAGAACCGGAGGTGGATGTACCACTCGAGTAATACGCATCGTTGGGCTGTGTCAGGTCATACGCGGACCTGCTGTGAGGTTGTTAGATCATCCCCGGCTATCGGGCTTTTGTGAGACCGACATACCTCGCAGACGGCGACCGCACAAAAGAGCTCGCGGATAGTGGCGACAACGCTTGTCCGTCGAAGGAGTTCCCATGGGAATTGGAGGATGACGATCCGTATGATCGTCTACTGTTTGGGACGATATCCCCTCTCTTCTGGTGATGCGGATCGAGCACTGACGAGTCGGAGTAGACGGAGAGTCTGTTGGGATCCTGAGGTAAATGTTGTACAACAATGCCACCTGAAGCGAAAGGGTCGATCTCCGAGAAGGTCATGACGGACGTTTGATAGGACATGCGATCCCGTGGATGGTCTGAGGGGGTGCGAGGTTCCGACGGGGCTTGTAGCTCCGAGCCACCATCAAAGTCGTACTCGGAGGAGCGTACGGTGGATACAGACTTGGCTGGCGGTCGGTTGGTGAAGAACGGGTTGTGTTCTGTCGTGGAGGGAGTGCTGCTTCCGGTACCTGGCCGAGAGTGGCTCGGGTAGTGGGGAGAGGGAGAGGGAGGGTCTGCCGGGGAGGGGGGATCCTGGATGGTGAGCACAGGCACCTTTTTGGATCTGAAGCCCATGGCAGAGGCGAGCGTATTGAACTTGAGAGAGGGGAGGCCATCCTTGTGTTTGGAGGAGCTGGCGGAAGGCTGGTACTTCTCGCTGTCTTCTGCGAGACTGGAGAAGGAGCGGTTCGCGCGAAGCTGTTCCTTGGAGGACTTTGAGCGGGACCACCACGCCTTTGGAGGGGCTGGGGGGGAGAGTGCGGGCGACATGAAAGGGAGAGAAGGAAAGGAGCGTGGTCTCCGAGAACGACTGATGTAAGGTACAGCTGGAGGTTGGGATCAGTGATTCCTCGGGCAGCGCTGGAGGGGACTTGGGTGGGCAGCGGGAGAGGGGGAGCGGGGAGCCTGGGAGGGCGCGCACGGCATGGAGGAGGTGAGGGCCTCTGCAGGATGCTTCGCGCGACGTCGCTCACGACAGCGGAGGAGAGCGGGACAGCGAGCAGACAGGAACAGAGGAGGCCCTGGCGGGGAGGAAGAGACGGTCGCAACGGCCGCGGCGGATGTCGACCAGTTCAGTAGACGCCCGTCCGTATCAGACCGATAAATTCGCTTCTCACCCAATTTATGTAACGAGTCCTCCTCGATCTTGTTCTCTCTCTTGCCCCCAGCTGACACGATCTGCCTCGAGCGCAACAGCTGTGTGTTGCCAGACGTCTCCCCGCGCAATATTCGACAGTCCCCGCACCGAGGGAGACAAAATAAATTGCGGAGGAGGGATGACACGTGCCAAAGGCGCAAGATGGGCTTCGGAGAGGTCCCTTGCGCCAATCTGCGCGTATCATTCCGCGGCGCCCCCTCCGCTCCAAATTCGTTTTCCATCTTTCACGCAGCCGCCGCCCCCGGCACCCGTCCCCCGCCCCCGCCCCCTCTTCCGCGAGTCCCGGTCGTCAAGAGGGCCCGTCGGGTCCGCGCGCCGCCCGCCCCCATCCGCCGCCCTCGGACGAGCATTCTCCCCGCGTGGCGCCCCCGAGCCGTCCAGAACACCCCAGCCCCGCCAACCCGGGTCCGGGGCGGCGGGCGGCGTCGAGAGAGTTCAGGCAACCTTGCGTCCGCTCCGTCCCTGTGCCGTCATGCATGCACCAACACCAACACCACTCCAATAAGCTCGCCTGCTCGGTCCCGTTGCGCGTGCCCCGGAAGCTTGTCAGAGCTTTGAATGGCCCCTGCTATTCCCGGGGCGCGTACCTGACGCTCCGCGCCCACTTGACGCCATGTTTCAGCCCACACGCGTCTGTTACGCGGCAGGGAAGCCCGTCGCGCTGTGCTAGCAACCGTCTCAAACGGCGGCCAGGGGGATTGTCGCAGACGTGTTTCTCGGGAGCGCGGTCCCCGACGTCCCTGCATGCTCTCTCGCCTCTCCGCACGCCGTCGACCTTGCTCGAGCGTTCCATTCTTGGCACGAGAACTCGCCTTCGCAGCAGAAGCTCTCTCGGTGCACAATTAGCGGATCATTACCAGAACACCGACGATGGAGCTACAGTAACACCCTCGATTTTGCCCCTTCTAACGAACAATAGAGTCCGTTTTGTGTGCGCCCCGACGTGAGAACCACCGCGGCCGCCCTGGCGCAGACGCGCCGCCAAAGACCGCGCGCCGTTCTCGCGACCCTTGCCTCGAGCCGCCGACACAGCGCTAGCGTGGGATGGCACGCACGATGCGCGGAAGCAGCGGCCTGACGGGACACAGAAGACGCTTGCGCCGTGGATCGTACACGTAGGTGCACTGCTCGATGGTGGTCCGCGACGCTGACACGGAGACCACACACAATTTTTCTAGCCTTCCAAGGACCGCCGTACGGAGAGAAGTCGGGGAAGCACCGAGTCCGATCGTATCGTCGGACGCAGCAACAAAGTTCGACGGAGTCTGACGGACCTCAGCGTTCAGTAGCCATCAGGTCCCTGCTCGGACTTGCGTCCACTCTGTCAGAAAACCTGATAGAACGGATGTACCCCGTGAGCTGATCAGTTCTCCGAGGCCTCCGTATTCGGCCAACTTGATCAGACCACTTGAACGCGCACGGGGCGTGCCGACGTTCAAGAATTGCGTATGTCGCGCTTTGTGGTGAGTGCGTATCTTCACGGCGGTCCGGCGGCGTATGTCCATCTTGTTCATCACTCAGCGGTGTCCTTGACATCAGTCAACGTGCGGGGACATCGCAATACGACATGAGCTCAATCACACACAGACATACATGTGCTGATCCTGTCAACATGCAGCGCTACGTAGCATCCTCGCAAAGTACGCATGCTCGCAAACTACCGGAGATGTGCTTGAGTCATTGTCAAGCCCTCAGGCCTCCAGTACAAGCAAATATATCTCGTGACGACGCTTCACAAACCGATCAACCTAGACAGCATAGCATGGACTTCCCTCTTACCAACACCTGCGGACATATCGTGACGCTATAGCTTTACCATCGGGCAGGGCTCCAGATACAGCAGCAGCTATGTCACCATCGGGTGCAGTCTGCGGCGGTATGTCAGTGTGTCTCGTACGCAGCAGATGCTCTGTGTATCGTCATTGATCAGGGGTACCATGTTTACAGGTATCCCCGTATGTGGTGGCGTTTTCAATTATAAACGCCACCCGCCGCAACGCCACCTGCGGTCCAGGCAAAACCGTCGTTCATGCGGTCCACAGGAATAGGCCTGCACGTTCCCCGATACCCGCGTATCTGGTTGCTCTGTTGATTGCGCGCGTCGTGTAGCAGCAGCTTGTGGGGACCTGGGCGATCGAAAGAGGGTCATGACGAGCATGCATACGTACCGAAACGTACCGGTCACCCAAGTTGCCGCGCCTGAGTTGTTTTGCCTCCAGGATGATACCGCGTCTTTCCACGCGTGGCACAAACACATAGGCTCGGCGGATAGTCTTCATCCCCTTGAGCGGCTGGATGTGTCTTGGGTTATGTCAACGACGCGCACAACAGTTTGTTTCGTCTCTACTCAAGCCTACCCCCAACTTCGAGATAGACAGCGGATCTTTGACGTACAGGACACGCTGTGCGGACACCACTTGCAAAGCCCGTAGTTCTGCCGTCGGGCGCGGTGGACAAAACGCATCGCTTCCACAACGATTCGCGCTCGTCGTGAACCCATCGACATTGCGGGCCGGGACCCCCCTCCTTGCCTCAGGGCGTCGGTAAGACGATGACGTGACCCGGTGTGGTTGCACGAGAAGCTGGTGCGTTCCATACGTCTTCAAACAATGTTGTACGAACAGAAGACGTACTGCACGCTGGCTCTTGACATAACTTCTTGCTTGTGGTAGACCGCATGGATTAGGTTCTGTGATGGGCAACAGGACACAAATATCGCCATGAGTATGTGGTGTTTCATGATGTTATGCGCCGTACGCTGGCTCACGAAGAACCCGCGATAGCATACGGTTGTGGCTCCACGCCGCCAAGAGCAGTGCATTGTGGTTTGGGCTTCTGGCACCTGTGCTTGTGGACGATGAGTCCTGACATACGGGAAAACCACACTCACTGGATATATTCCGACCCATGCGGCGCAGCCACGGTCCGAAGGAACACGATAAAATTACGAAAGAACGCGGCAATATCGCTAACCTATTTCTGCCCACATATCCTCCATGTCCCGGTCCTGCACGGCCTGAGCCGCCCGCGGCATATCCGACATGGGCGCGCGAGCTCCCCGCGCAGGGTCTTCCGCAGCGTCGAACACGACGTCGCTGCGCATGAGCGGCCGCCCCAGCTCCTCGTCCTCGTCCTCCATGTCGATGTCCAGCGTGTACCCCTGCCGTCGCGCGGCGGAGAGGTCGATGGGCTTCGGGCGGGTGAAGATGGACTGTCCGGATCTGTCATGTTAGGCGGCGCGTGTCAACTTCGAGTGGAGAGGGACGCATGATAGACGGGGTGGACGCACTGCCGCATGACCGCAGCGAGGCGGCCGAATTGTAGGAAGTTACGGGCGACGAGGAGGAGGGTGTCGAGCAGCTCTTCCTCCTTGGACGTGTTGCCGCACCCCGCGAAGAAGATGAAAAGGAGCGTGATGACGCAGAATGCGGTCAAGACCAGGTCCATGATGTTGAAAGGGGATTTCCAGAATTGCTGTGGCGGGCTTAGAGACCTCGGGCGGCAAGCACATGTGGAGGAACTCACTTTTCCGAACGCGACAAAGCGGATGACAACCTCCAGAATCATCGCACCGTTGATGATGAACTCCAGGATGTAGAAGGGTATGGTCGGGCAGTCATTTACGAGACTGAGTACGACCGTGGTAATGGAGAGCGCCGCCATGGCGAGGTAGAGGATGATGTACGTCCTCGAATGGACAAATCGATTTGCTATGCCCTTGGTGATTTCATCGCGAGTCATAGAGTATATCGAGCGGGTGGGCCTGCAATGTCATGAGACGGAGGGTACTGTCAATGTCCGACGGGTTCTATGAGTTGGCAAGACGGGGCTGGGAGAACGGAACGTACGCGGGGGTGGGTGGCTCGGGGCCATGGAGAGTGTCGTGGAGGGGGTCGAGCTCGCCGGCCTCGAGGTCCCCTAGACGGTGATCGGGAGAGGAAGACATGAGTCCGCCGTCGGACGCGGCTCGCGCTCGTAGTCCCGCCATGCCTTATGGGCGCTTACACGAGCACAGGGTTATGGAGGTCAACAACGCCAAATAGCGCCCGTCTGTCGCTCTCATCCGTACCACGACCTCGGACCTCTCCGTCGCTGCGGTCTGCTCTTTCTCGCCTCCCTCAGACACTCTTTCTAGACCTTTCACTCGTAACGCGAAGCCACGATGGGTGGTGGAGACTTGAACATGAAGAAGTCGTGGCATCCGCTCCTGATGAAGAATCAGGAGCGGGTGTGGCTCGAGGAGAAGAAGGCGGTAAGTACCATCACCTACGATGTGGCCGGGCTACTGAGCTAACATATTTGCATATAGGGCGAGGAACAGAAGAAGCTTGACCAGCTGCGCAAGGAGAAAGAAGAGGAACGGCAGCTGCAAGAGCTGCAGAGGCTACAAGAGGAGCAGACGGGCAGAAAGAGGACGGAGAAGCTGGAATGGATGTACGCCACCCCCGCTAGCGGCAGCAGCCAGAACGCTAGCGAGCTGGAGGACTACTTGCTGGGGAAGAAGCGGGTGGACAAGATCTTGACGGCGGATGAGCATGAGAAGGTACGCTTGTTGGCCAACCTCAGCGCGCCTGCTTTCTAATGCACCCTAGATTGGAGCTGCCCACAAGAGCTTCATCGCGACTCAGTACGCCAACACTGCTCGGGATACCGCCTCCAAGATTCGAGAGGATCCCCTCCTTGCCATCAAACAACAAGAGCAGGCGGCATACCAGGCTCTCATGTCCAACCCTCTCCGGCTGCGCGAGATGCAGGAGCGGACTGGTATCAAGGTGAAAAAGGATAAAAAGGAGAAGAAGAAGGATAAGAAGGAGAAACACAAGCACCGCAAGGACAAGCACCGGGAGGATTCACGCTCGCGATCCCCATACTCCGACAGGCGGCATTCCGACCCTCGCGACAAGTACTCTCGTTCCAGGCGTTCCCCTAGCCCCGACCGCCGCTCTCGCTCCCCACCACCCGCGCGCTCTCGGTATGACGATCGCCGGGACAACTACCAGAGCCGCCGTGGGCGAAGCCGCGATCGCTCAGCTGACCGTTCTCGCGATCAAGTCAGGACGTGGCCGCGGTCAGACGAGTCGGACGACAATGGCTACGAGTCACGACGACCGCGGAGCCGTAGTCCTAGTCGGCGCCGCGATGACTACGACAGCAGGAAGCGGATGCGGAGTCCTAGTCGTAGCCCACGCCGAGCGGATCCTGTACCATACAAGCGGACCAGGATGAGTCCACCTCCACCCCGAGCGCCCGCACCATCCCAGTCAAGCTCAGCCGCGGAGGACCGGGCGGCGCGGTTAGCTGCGATGAGCTCCAACGCCTCCTCGCTAACGGTAGAGCGCAAAGAGCACCTCACCCAGCTGCTTGAACGCGAGAAGGCTGAACAGGAGGCCGAGGAGCGTACGCGGGCGAAGAATAAGGGTATGGGAGACTTCTTGTCACACGAGCAGAAGAAGGTCTTCGGTGGTACGGGTGGTCTGGAAGATCGCATCCGCCGAGGTCGGGGGCAGATGCGTGTTGAGGCCGACTAGACACTCGTCGGCCGGTCGTTTTGCAGGTCGTTTGTGTCGCTAGCTCTTGTCCGCTCGTTGTACTTTGGACTTATGTGTCGTGTTGCTTAGCCGTGTGGACATACAGCATCCTTCGGACTCGGCGCCATGGCCAATGAGCGCGGGCCGTTATCGCAAGCGAATGCTATTTCCAGACGCTGTGGTTGGGTCCGGCCTCGAAAGCCGATCGGCCGAGGAGTGTCGCCCCCAAAAAAGGAGATTTTGAATCACGGTTTGGGAGTTTAGTCAACGCTCTACGGCAGCCTCGACGGGAACACATGAACATCCGGCAAGATGGCTCGCGCTCGAATACATAAAACTCCCACCGACCTTCTCTCGCCCCTTCTGCGTGTCCCGGCCCATGTCCTGCCCACGACGTGCCCTCTACGACGTTTAAGCCTCTGAAACATGGCTGACAAAAGAACAATGCCTCCGACGAACTATGATGACGTCGATGATAACGCTACCGTTCTCCAGGACGCTCCCACAGACAAGAGTGAAGGTGTGTTTATTACCTTCTATGTTGACTCAACCCACTCATATTCGCTCGCATCGACCGAAGGTGTTGCACGCAAGCCGCTGTCTATGCCGCCGAGCAGTACACTAGAGTCCGATTCGCCACCGGCGAAACCGTACAGTGTCTATACTGCTCGAGAAAAATGGTTCATCGTCGCGGTGACCGCCTTTGCGGCGTTGTTCAGGTGACTTGAACTTCCAGCGACCGCTCGATGAAATTTGACCTCGTTGTGGACCACAGTCCTCTCACAGCCAACATATACTTCCCTGCCATCCCGACAATTGCCGCTGCCTTCCACCAGTCGACCGAGTTGATCAATCTCACAGTCACCGTGTACATGGTCGTCCAAGGCATATGTGGGCACTCGGTTCCGCTGACTTCCAATACGCGCCCTCACTGACTCCTCCAACCTTTCAGCGCCGATGTTCTGGGGCACGCTCTCTGACCGCTGGGGCAGGCGTCCGATGTTTATCGGCTGCATGATAGTGCTCTCTGTCGCCTGCGTCGGGCTCGCGCTGGTGCCCACTAACGCCTACTGGCTACTCATGCTTCTCCGGTGCCTGCAGGCTGCCGGTTCAGCTAGCACTGTTGCGCTCGGTACGTGTGCAGTGCCCCATGCTTCGCGCAAATTTCTAACGCATTACGGCACAGGTGCTGGTGTGATTGCAGACATCGCCGCACCGGCCGAGCGAGGCAGCTTCTTCGGTATGTGGAACATCGGCCCGATGGTGGGCCCCTCTATAGGACCTGTGCTAGGAGGCGTGCTCGCCGAAAATCTAGGATGGAGGTGCGCCAAAGGCCCCTGCGACCCTCAGAGGCGGGCTGACGCAATCCAGGTCCATCTTCTGGTTTCTGTGTATCGCGGCAGGCGTATGTGCCGTTATCATGGTTCTGTACGCTCCCAGTCCACCGCTCCGTCCATGTACACCTTCTCACTCCGAGTCACAGATTGCTCCCAGAGACGCTCCGCGCGCTCGTAGGAAACGGCAGCATCCCTCCCCCAAAGGCCTATCGCCCGCTCATCCCTATCATCGGGCGCACCGCGCAGGCGGCAGATGACGCAGACAAGCCCCCGCGGCGCGGGTTCGCGAACCCGCTGCGGCTGTTCACCTACCCGGACGTCTCGCTCCTTCTCTTCTTCAACGCGCTCGTCTACGCCGTCTTCTACGGCGTCACCGCGACCATCTCCACGCTCTTCCAGCCGATTTACCCGTTCCTGAACGAGACCGACATCGGCCTGTGCTTCCTCGCTATTGGGGGCGGGATGCTGATCGGGGGTGTTGTGACGGGCGAGATACTGGACCACGAGTATAAGCGCATCAAGCGCGACATGATTCGCAAGGTGGAGGCGGACCCTGAGAAGAAGATCCGCCCCGAGGACGTCACAAAGGAGGAGCACTTCCCAATAGAATACGCCCGCCTGCGGCTGATGCCCGCGTTCTTCGCGGTGTATGTGGCGGCGTGCATCGGGTATGGATGGTGTCTGCAGGCAAAAGTCAATATCGCTGGCCCCCTCATTTTGCAGATCATCAGTGAGTGCTCTCCGCGGGCCGCGAACAGGGTTGCCGGACGCTGACGCCGTGACGCTATCTGCAGTTGGTTGGTCTTGCATGGCAATCATGAACAGCGCGCAAACGCTACTCGTGGACCTGGCGCCCAACCACGGTTCCTCCATCACCGCTTGTGTACGTCCTGCATGTTGTTAATGTTTTTGGTGGGGTCCCCCGTGTTGACCCAACGTCATTTCTTTTTCATAGAACAACCTCGTTCGCTGCTCGTTCGGCGCGGCGTGCGTCTCCGTGATCGACCTCATCATCAAGGCGGTCGGGACAGGCTGGACATACACCCTCCTCTCCCTCATCTGCGTCGTGTTCTCGCCCATCTACTGGGTTCTCATCCGCTACGGGCCAAAATGGCGCGCTCGTCGGCGAGCACGAAGGCAGGCCATTGAAGAGAAAAAGTAAATGCACAGGGACTAGTCTACCAGCGCCCACATTTCCGTCATGACCTAGTACTACACGCACGGTATACTAGACGGCCCTCACGACTCCACGAACTCACGATTACCGCTTACTGTAGATTGTCACCTTGCCCGCATTTCACTAGGGTCCTTCAACAGGATAGATAGCATTTCCTCATGTATCAGCCGCCGTTATCATGGACATTGTTAACTCCAGATCCCCGCATTCTTGAACCGTCAATTGGGCTGCATCTTACCTCTTCCGCACCCTCACGCGTACCATGGCACGCCGGCAACCAACGCGAGCGAGTACAAAGTACACCAAGCCATTTTCATACAATAAGAACGTCCAGGATTCATTAGCACCGGCAGTCCGTAATCTACGCTTCGCAGTCCACCCGGAACCTACACCTAGAACAAGCACCGACTGTTACATACAACACGGGGAGCTGAGAGCTGAGCATACGACGAAGGCGAACTCGAAAGGTGCTAGAGCACTAAAATACGAGGATAGCGAGAATCCATTATCATACATACACATTTGTCATTCTTGTCATTCTTCGGCTACGTCTTCACAGGAGAGGGAGAGGGGTTTCTTCATTGTTGGTGTGGGGGCATGTTGTGCCCGGGGTGCCCGGGGTGCGTATAGCGGTAGTCGTAAGCGGGGTAGTTGACGTCCTGGACGCCGTCGGTGAAGCCCTGCGAGAGGTGCGTCTGGCCGAAGGTAAACGGCTCCTGAGGGATCCCATGCTGCCCATGCTGTCCGTGCTGCTGTTGCTGCTGCTGATGCGGCAGACCCATGCCGTGAGGCTGGTGCGGCACATGGTGGGCATGGGCGGACATGGACGGGCCAGGCAGCGAGCTGAACGTCATCGGCGCGCTGACGGGAGGAATGTCCATCGGCGCCGACAGCGCCATGTGCGTGAGGCCCTCTGTCGTGATGAGCTGCTGCGGCCACCACTGGTACCCGGGGTAGAACGTCGACGCGTGCGCGTCCATGCCCTGCGCGCTCACGCCCATCGTCTGCGCGTAGTCCCACGCACGCGATGTGTTGGCGGACGAGGGATACTGGTCGGCCGAAGGCATCGCGTAGCTATCTCGTCCCGTCGTATCGGGGTTTTGGGAGGTCCCCAGGGCCTCCTCGACCGACCGCTTCGGCCGTCCTGCCTGCGTGGCATCGGGAGCGTAGGCCGACTCGTCTAAACGCACTTTCGCGCCCTCCAGCAGCAAGCGGAGTCGGGTCGCAGTCGGCCAGAGTTTCTATCACGAGCGGGCAGGGTCAGGGCAGCGGTAGAAGCATAGGCGCGTGATGGGCTCACCTCCATACGCTCGCACGCCGTTATGCACCGACTCAGTCCGAGAGTGGCCTGTGGGTCCGAAGCACGGCGCGTCACTGCGAGACAGACGCTGTTAGGTTAATGCCGATACTTCATCGGACGTACTTACGCGTGATGACGTGCATGATACTGTTCGGTAACATTAGCTTCGATCATTTATGGAGAAGGGTGCAAACGTACCCCGCACACTGAAGGTAGATCGACAGGAAGGGTGGGGCCTTCTCGAGGCCAAACCTGTCATTATAGATCATAGCTGCGCAGATCTCAATATATATGCGGTGCGAGAAGGATGAACGTCACGTACCCATAGAAGTGATGTGAACCGCTGCGCCGGAGCAGACATCGAAGGCCTTTAGTGGCAGGGGATCATCATGCACAGTCGAGGGAGCACCCCTACGGATAACAATTCAGCACGTTATGGCCAGACGCCTGAGGGAGTAAAACGCACTCGGTATACGAAGGGAGGCTTTTCAACGCACCCTAGTCAGTAAGGCGGACATGTAGAAACAGGAGGCATGCTCACAATGCTCGATGCAGCAGGAGCACAGCAGCCTGATATTCAATATGCAGCATTAGGATGTGAGGGAGAGGCTTCGCGTATCGGTCTAAAGCGGTGTAGCGCAAGTGCTCGGGCAACCCGATATTCCACTTGTTGAGACGTGCTTCGAGCCGTTCAAATAGCACGCGGCGTGGGGTCTCGGACGACGGCTGCACTGGGTATAATTTATCCATGATGTCGGTGATGATAACCGCTGTTTGTATGGCACGGTCAGCCTGTGGCCTTCGTTGCTATGGCTCCACACGCACATAGATGACACGCTTCTTGGAAGGCGGTCATAATCCTCGAGGGTTGGGGGACGAAGTCATGTCCGAGGCTATCCCTGGGATATGGCTCCCACAACTCGGTCTCGTCGACCTAAATGAAAGTTGCGGTTGAGAATCGGAGACTGAACGAACAAACAGAGTGAATACCTCATCAGCGCTCACAACGGGCGTAGAGTAGTCGTTTGCACGGAAAGTGATTGGCCTCCCGAGCCATACGGCGGACAGCCTGCACGCCGATCAGTACTAAGAAACTGAAGGCGGTGTTGGACCTACTTGTCACAAATGCAACATGACCACCAGATATGCTTCCTGGCCTGTTTCTCTACGTCGGTGAACACAGGTGTCTTGCCATCCGACGTCCAGCTATCGGCATTTCGGTTCATGCCGAGGTCGATGGCCTGAACGAGGTGTCAATGCCAAAATTGTTACATCGAACGAGCGGTCATACCATTCGCAACGCCATGCCTGCGGATTATTTGTTCAGCGACACACGTCAAGGAGTCCGAGACCTGCTAAGATATAACTCACCGCTATATAGCCAACCTTTGTCCATGGCACCTATACCAACTGTGAAAAGTGCTGAGACGTCCTGTGTCTGAAATACTTACCCATGCCGAATTCGCGGATAGCAAGAAGTAGCAGCGCTTGGCAGGTCGACGGGCGACTCGTCTGATACTTTCGGTCTGTGAAGCGCGAGCTCGTGAGAGGTAGCGACGAATGAGTGCCCCCATGTCTCCTTACCTAGAAGTCTATGCGCATCCTCCGCGTATTGCTGCCCCGCTCGTGATATGTGGTTTCCATGCTGGCCAGGAGGGTGATCTTCAGGCAGACTTGAATATCTCGCCGCGATCGCGAACATAGCCAGTAGCAGTATCTTGCACGGCTCCTGAATGGAATGGCGGCTGAGATGAGTGTTGCCAACCGCATGAATTCTTTCGGAGCTGTTAGTAAAGGTTAGCGTTACAGATTGAAAGAGACCGTTCATACGAACTCGCTGAAGAGGAAGTAAGCGTCAGTATTTGAAGAGCATTGCCGTGTTCGTATCACTCACTACGAATTGTAATGGTAAAGGAAGTCTTGCTTGTGGACAACCGGGAAGAAGGGATGGACATAGGTGAAGTACAGCCGAAGTAGATGTGCTTGCATATCCCGGGAAGGAAGTTGAACGGACGCATCTTCCTCTTCTTGTGTCGGATCATGAGAGGATACCTCAGGGTTAACGTCGGACTGACTGAACTTCCTGTAGAAATATGTCAGCACAAAGTCGTCGGGACACATGTTACAGCGTACCATATCCTATTCTCTTGCAGACCATCCCCCGTCTTCCTCCGACTTTGCGCAAGCAGAGGGAGGCCAGATGCCGGTCCGTGATAACGAAACTGGAAAACACACCGTCAATGCATGGAAGATGCCGATGTATTGTTCACAGTACCTCTTGGTTCTCGTCCACTGAGAGGTGACCAAACGTCTCCGCAGTCTCATCCACGGTACTGGGCTCGCCCGCCTCTGTAGCAAAGTCAATTATGTCACGGCAAGCGATATCGGCACACTGAAAGACGTACGTGACGCGTCTGTCAAAGTGTAAAGGTTGTCCCAGTTCTGAGGAACGTGAGAGAGCGCGCTAGGTTGACCAGGGTAGTCTAGCCGTCGTCGAGTCCTCGCGGAGTCCTTCGAACCACCCGCAGAAGACGAAGAGCGAGAAATTGGGCTCATAGATGCATTAGGGTAAGCCCATTGGTTGCCATATGCGAGTTTCCGCGCTAGTTGCTCCTGCCATTCCTTCGTCGGGGTAGCCATCGCGGTAGGATCTGGATAGGAAGTTCAGTAGGTGTACGACACATTGGAGCATGAACCGCCTTGCCTTGGGACACTATTTCTCGCGAGACACGAGATTGCCGGCGGGAGCGCCGATCCTCCCTGGCGGGATGAGTATCTGAGCCGTCGACAGACGAGGGGTAGAAGTTCTCGTGTCCCATATCTGGCTGCTGCCCCATGACGTTTCTCGAGCCCTATAATGAAATTGTCAACAGGTAACACTTAACGCACGTCCAGAAGATATGAAAACTCACGTAAGGGCCGGCCTGGACGCGGTTCAGGATACCATTGGCGAACGGGTCACCGCGGAGGTCGTTAATAATATCCTGGGCGCGCGGAGACTCCATGATAGTGGCGAGGATGCACTCTACTTGGTGCCATCGTTGCTCGATAGAGTGTATGTATCCCTTAGGAGGACCGCGCTTGAAGCTAGGACCTAAGAGGAACGTAAGAACGTCAGTCAGGCACGGCAAAACCCGTGCTGGTGCGCGCGCTGTACCTTGAAAAGTGCAGGCTGCGGGCGCGTAAGAAAACGAGATGGGATCAGGGATTCACGAAGGATACGCACGCGTATTGGCTACTTCGCAGTTCTTGCACTTCTCTCCGTCTCCGGGCTCGCACTTGCTCTTGATTTTGCGACAGCGGTCGCACGCTGAAGGGAGAAAAAGTCGGTAAAACGCTTGAACGCGGTAAGGCTTTTCACGGACCTCTGGAGCCGCGCTTTGAATTTGCAGCTTTGCTCGAGGAGCCCTGTTCGTTGCCGTCGTCCTCTGAGAAGCTGAGGGTGGGTTGTTGGTCTGGGTCGTTAGTCATGGACATGGGGAGGGGGACAGGTGGTGGCGGGGGAAGCCAAGAAGATAGCGGTGAGATTTCGCGAGACGAGTGAAGACGAGCGGGCTGTCATTGCGGGCTGGACGCAGAAGGTGCCCCGTATAGACTGCACAGACGGTGACATCACCACCAAACTCGCGCTCCAGCGCTCTGGCGCAAGGCCCCACCTGTCACGTGGCCGTGCCTATCCTGGCAGGACGCGTCGCGGGCGCCTCGGGCGGCAGTCGCATGTCCTGCACGATGAACCTGGGATGGCAGCCAATCTTCCGCTGACCTTCAACGGCACGTACCTGCCCCTCTAATGCCACGTCGCCGCAGCTGACACGCCCCTTGTACCCTAGAGGCTGTCCGTGGAGTCGCAGAGTTCAGTGCGTTGCCCCTTCGTCTGATCCACCCGCCCCTACTAACCCTATCCGCTCCATGCTCCCCAGTCGAAGTCGCCGTGCACACTATCCTATACGTCCGACATGTTTATCCTGCGGACCTCTTCGTGCGCAGACGAAGATACGACACGCCTGTCTATCAGTCGCGTCACCCTGCGCTCAACGAATACATCGCCGGCGCCGTGAAAGCCGTCACCGACGAGCTAGCCCTCGTTAGCGCGTTCTATTCATCTGTCGTATGCGCAGCTCACATTGGCACAGGGAACGGTCGATAAAGTTGTGCTGGTCATCAAGAACACGGACGAGAAGCCGCTCGAGCGGTTCATATTCGCCCTCCGCAACACTCTCCAAGTCGAATCCTATAACAAGGACACGAGGTCGCCCACGGCTGTCACTCCTTCATGTCCGACCGCCTCCCTGATTCATAGAACGTTTCCACAGCGTCGAAGGCGCGATATCCGCAGCGTCGCTTGCCCAGTACTTCCGGTCCTTCCTCGTCAAGCTCAGCATGATCGAGGCCCAGCTCGGCCAGATGGACACCGACGGTGACGAGCCATGACGTTCAGGGACCAGGGTCTTGGCCTGCTGACACCCCGCATATTCCCCAGATCTCTCCTTTGCGATCCTCCTCGAGCTCCAGGACGATAAGGCACCCGCTGCGTCGCATGGCAAGGTACGAATCTGTCTATCTCACAATAACAGTAACAGTTTCCCGGGGAGCGTTGCGAACCGTTAATACGTGGGTGCTCAGCCGCATGAGGTCCGCGCGAAACCCTTCCAGCTGTTCTCAGGTCGATATGCCCCCGTTGAAAAATACAGACAGACGCGGCGGCGACGCTTCGCATGAGGCGATTGGCAGGTCGCGAGCACCGCGAAGAGGTACGCGCCCCTAGGCGTGTACATCCGCATCCTCCCCACGTCGTCGCCTGGAACCGCTGTCCGTGATCATTTTTTCCACGGGCCTATCGATCTGAGAATAGCTGTCAAAGAGGACGCTGTAATGTCAGAGCAGGTTTTGAAGAAAATAACGGATGCGGAATGTACCACTACGCCATAAGGCACCTAATACGGTGCTCGTCCCTCGAGGTCCGTGCAGGTCCTACATCAATTCTTACACGTTCACTTCGTAAATTCGAGCTGTTTGAGGTGTATCCTACCTTGAAATATATGGGGCGCGCCAAAAGTTGTGTGAACGCTAAAATATGGGGTTTTGAGCATTTGCCACCTCTCGCCACATTTGCCACCCACTCGCCAGGGCCCCGAGGAGCCCGTCATTTGCCACTCGCCGGCGAGCACTTCGCCGAGCATTTGCTCCCAACGCTCTGATTCTCACTTGCACAATGTCCCTGACGAGCTCGTCATCCACAGGAGCCCCCGCCCTGGATTCCAGCAGCCAGGCCCGAAACCACCGCCGGGGTCACCGACGCCGCTGAGCTTCACATGGTCCGTGCGGTCGACACGGGTATCATAGACGTACGCGTCATTGCAATCGGGCAGCCAACTGAGTAACTCACCTTCTCTTCAGCTCTCGCTTGCAGTTCAGGAATCGGAGTACAAACTCAATCTAGGCAAAGAGGCGGAGTCAAAAGGGAAGCAGAGGGCCGACTGACCGCGCACGTAAAACAGGGTAAACAGGATACAAATACAACGGACCGGTGGCGGCGCCGTAGATTAAACGTCCACGCGTATGCGCTGAATTACTGGTATAATCCTGTCCCACTCCTCCATGGCCTAGCAAGAGCGTCGTGCGTCAGCGCCACCGCCCGAAGTCCGTCCATTGAGCAGACGACTTACCGCCTTGTAGAACTCGATCTGCCCGTCAGCGTAGTTCCCGAGCATCTCCTTCATCTCGGCGTCTTTCGCCCGCTGGAAGATCGCCTGCTCGCGCAGCGTCTCGTCGCTGAACGCGTCCGACGTCTCGTGCGCTGTCGTCACCGCGTCTTGGAGCTGCCGCCACAAAGTGTCATCAGTCCCTGCACACCGGCGCGCGCGCACGCGCACGCACACACGGCTCACCTCCTTGATCTTCGTGTCCAGCTTGCGCATCCGCTCCACGCGCGCCCGATCGTCGTCCTGCCCGCGAAGCGCGTCCACCCTGTCCTTGATGTACGCGCCCAGCCCGAGGCCAGTGCTCCCGGCGCGACCGCTGATCACCGCCGCGAGCCGGTCGCGCTCAGCTGTCACTGCGGAGAGGTACTCGGACAGCTCCTCGAAGTCCATTTGCTTCTGGTCGCGCAGCTTGAGCACCGCGCGGTTCGCGTGCGAGTACTGGATGAGCGAGTGCAGATGCACTAGGAACGGATCCGTCGACGTTTGCGTCTACATGACATGGGAAGGTGAGCCCGTCTCGAAGCACAGGACGTGGAGCAGCTCACGTTGTGGCGCAAGAGAGCAGAGAACTCGAGGAGCGTGTTCGAGAAGTGGTTAAGCGGGTCCGTAATGCCCGACTCGAGGAAGCCGAGGCCTTGTACCGCGACGGCGAGGTCGTGGTAGTCGCCCGTGAGATCTTCACCCGGTTCGGGATTGCCGTCTCTTTCAGCCTCAGATACACGCACGCACAAGGGGAGGGGAAACGGGACGGCGCGAGGGGGCTACTCACCGTTGGTCCGGTTCCGCACGCGGCTGTACAGCCGCTCCGAGAGTGCGATGCCCTCCTCGAACTTGTCGACGCTCTCGCGCATCGCGAGGAAGCGCTCGTCCGGCTTGCGCACGCGCGAGAACGCGTTCAGCAGGCTGTCGGAGATGCTGTCGATCACCCCGGACGAGGGCTCCACCGGCGGGTGCGCGACGTGTTGGTGCATGATGACATGCTGGGCGAAGTTAGGATGATATGCCAGTGAGTGTGGGTGTACTTGTATGTGCGTACCCATTCTGTCGACTCAAAGAACGCCCGGAGCAGGGTGCTCCTCTGTAGTGTCGGGTGGCGAGCCAATCGTTGTAGGAAGCGGTGGAGGCTGTACGGAGGTCAGGTATAGGGTACCCTCACTCACAGCTGACAAACCTACTCAAGTCTCCTCCTTTCCATGAACTCCGGGCTGAACCTGTCTCCTGTCACATATTCTGCACATACCGTCGAACTTGGCACCTAGGTCACACGGTTCAAGAGCACATACCGAGTCTGTGCTTGTCTGGCAAAGGGGGGACAACGCAGGCAGGGAAGTCCTTCGCGAGGTGTGTTCGCAGGAACACGAAGTCTTGAAACCGCCTCCTAGCAGTAGGGTTTGGTGTTGAGAATATAGGAAGGTTGGTCTGCTCGCCGTGCTAAGCATTGTCAGAAACCAGTACAATCGCGCGCCGCACCTTCGCAGTCACAAGATAGGAGACGTAGGCATCCTTGGTCTCCGCGAGCTCCTTCACGGGATCCTTCACGCTGGTAATGAGATAGCCCTCCCACTTGGGGTCGTGCGGGTCGCGCCCGTCCTCGCTTTCAGCCGTGCTCTGCCTGAACCCGGGGCCAGAGAGGCCGGCGGAGGTGCCTTCGTACGTTGCGGGCGCGGCGGGCGACTCCCAGGTTACGCTGTCGAACACGTCCTCATCGTCGCCGAGCATGTCGTGGACGAAGCAGTTGTGGTTGAAAGGAAAGCGAGTGGACGCGGATGCCGAGTGAGCGTGAGCGAGCTGCGCACGCGATTCGCCGACGTCAGATGGGACAAGCAGTGCCGCGCAGGAACGGCGTCCTTCCAGGCGTTCACGCTACAGCCGCGCTGCGCACAACAATCGTCAACACTCTCCTTCCCTCTCACCGACCGCCATGGTCCGCAGATGGTCATGGCTCCCCTTCTGCTCTCTCTTTCTCGCCCTGGCCGCCGCGGTCGCGTTCGAGGTCCCCATTTCCGACACAGACTATGACCGCCAGATATGCTCCGGCATGTGGGGCGGAAAGAATGCATATATAAACGGTGTGCCTCGCCACCTGCTATATGCGTGTCATAGGAGTGCTCATGCCCTTCAGTGACCTTTGACTCCGGGTCGTTGGGCCAGCTGGCCATGGTGATATACGAATGGAGTGACGTGAAGTACTTGGGGAAGGATGCGACCACGGGCAGACCTGTGAGTGTGAGTTGGATGTCTGCTGCGCGGCCGCTCAATGCGCGTTGCATGACATAGGAGAAGTACTATGTTTGCACCTCGGACGCTCTGAGGGGCGGCTACTGTGAGAGCTCGCAGCTCGGCCGCTTCATTGTGGACCTTCCGAGCGGCCAGTCCGTGAACAGCACCAGCATTTGGTCCGCGAGGGTCGCATTACCCACCGGAAGCGACTCCGCTACGGAAGGCTCCTTCGACGTCGCCGTCAGCGGTCTATGGGACAACCCCGATGGCAACCCGACTCCTCCTGATTTAGGCCCTGAGTACGAAACCAATTGGCGCAGGGATAGTGCACTAGCAGTTCGCCAAGCAGTCAACCCCAGCCCTACCAGCATCCTGCGGTACCAGAGCGCTATCCAGTACAACGTACGAAAGACCGGGTACTATTGCGTCGGTATGATACTGTTGACAGTTAGGGCGGCTTCGCGGTGCTCACGGCTCATCTAGCAATTGTGCCCATTACCGTCTTGCCTGCGACCTCAGCGCGACAGGATGTGTCCGCCAACCCACATCCCTCATACTCTGGCTCCGTATTCTTCCGGAACACCTTTGACGGTAAGCTGCCTGCATCGGACTACCCCAAAGTCAACGTGAGTGCGTAAATTCGCGCATGGCATTCCGAAACTAAAAGCAGCTTTTGTAGTTCTACTTCTCCATGTTCCTCGTGTACTCTGCACTCGCCATTGTATGGGGATGGCTTTGCTACCAGAACGTGCAAGACCTCCTTCCGATCCAGGTTGGTCTCATTATATTTTAGACCAAGGACTTGTCTGACATCGTATCAGTACTACGTATCTGGTCTTCTCGGTTTCCTGATCATCGAAATGCTCGCCAACTGGGGTACGTCTGCAGCAATGATCTCAGTGTTACTCTGCTCATACGGTCGTTTGCAGCATACTACCGTTACCTCAACGCACACGGTGAGGGCACGCCTTCAACGGTGTTCCTCATTGTAGGTCAGTATTTTGCGTGCTTTTGGGTACACATGAAGATGCTCACTTCTGTTCTGTGTAGTCGCCATTCTCGACGCCGGCCGGAACGCACTGTCGTTCTTCCTGCTTTTGGTTGTCTCTCTTGGTCTCAGCGTGGTCAAGGAATCTCTCGGAAGAACTATGCTCAAGTGCCAGCTGCTCGCTGGCGCACACTTTGTCTTTGGAGGTATGCTCGGAGTACGTCTCATATTCGCTCCGATCTGACTGTTGTGCACAGTCCTCTACGCTGTTGGCATCGTTGAGCTCGAGCTCGAATCGGCATCCGCATTCATTCTTCTCCTATTCGTCATTCCTTTGGCTTTCACTCTCAGTGGTTTCCTGCTCTGGATTATCTATTCGCTCAATGGTGAGCACTGCCTGGATGTTTTGTTGATTGTGCACTGACCCCCGGACAGCAACGATCGCGCAGCTTGCCGCTAGGAAGCAGCGCTATAAGCTGTCAATGTTCAACTGGCTCCATCGCATTCTCTTGATGACCGTTGTTGTCATCGCCATCTTCTTCGTCGTTTCTTCGTTCACGTTCTCCGGCCGCCTTGCGGAAGGTATAGCCCGCGACCTTCGTGTTGATGAAACACTGCTGATTTTATATGATAGACTACGGCGCAAAGTCGTGGAAACTCCAATGGTGGCTGCTGGACGGCTGGCTCGCACTCCTGTACCTCGTCGACTTCATGGCCATCTCCTGGCTATGGCGCCCATCTCCGAACAACAGAAGATATGTATCTTTTGCTGCACGCACATTGCACTGCATGCTTACCTATCTTTGTCCTTACATTGGCGATGTTCGACGAGATCGCGCAGGACGAGGAAGACGCCGAGGACTACGACCTCGAGTCCCTCGAGCACCGCACAGACGCACGCGGCCTGCACGAGACCGACGACGACGCCGCGACGCTCGTGGGCCGGCCCGTCGGCGACGACGCGGTCGTGTTCGAGATCGGCGACGAGGACGGGGCGGGTAGCGACGACGAGGACGCGCCGAAAAAGCGCCGCGGCGAGCGCGAGCGGCTCGATGGTGCAGAGCACGAGCGCGAGGGCTTGATGAAGGACGATTAGGTTTTACACATAGACACTCGTATCTAATAAAGCACATGTAGAGTACACGCATATCATCTCTGGCCCGAGCGGGCTGCGGCCGAAGGAAGAGTCCATGCATTAATCCCTGATACGACCCGTCGACGTCGTGTACAAGCGGGCTGCGATGTTCATGCTTTGCAGTTCCTGAATAGCAGTAGGCGTTAGTTGCACGAACCTGAGGCGCATGCTAGGCTATTGTGCAGCTTACCTGGAACAGGAGCTTCGCGGCATAAGGGATGTAGATCTGTGAACACGCAGTCTTGTTCCTGCACGCGCGGCATTCGAAGGTTTGCTTTTTCTGCAAACGAAAATCTGAGTACTGAGATCAGGGGCATGGCTCATGTCCACTTACGAGGTTGGCAATAGCCGTAAGACCGCAACTGCAGGATATAGGTCAGTAAACCGCCACGCTATAAAACCGATAGACGTACATGTCGCAAACATGCAGACGATAGGCATCGCTCGCCTCGAACAGACGCTCCTTCAAGAACGCAGCCACACCATGCGAGATCATGCAGTCGCGCTCCATCTCTCCGAACCGCAGGCCACCGTCACGACTACGACCCTCGACCGGCTGGCGCGTGAGGATCTGCACGGGCCCACGGGCACGCGAGTGGATCTTGTCGTCGACCATGTGCTTCAGCCGCTGGTAGTACGTCGGGCCGAGGTACACCTGCGCCTGGATCTTGCGCCCGGTGTGGCCGTGGTACATGATCTCGAGCCCACGCGACTGGTAGCCCTTCTGGCGGAGGAACTGCGAGACGGACTCGACGGTAAGGTCCGTGAACGGCGTCGCGTCGCCCTCGTTTCCGATGAGCGTCGCGACCTTCGAGAGCAGACACTCGACCAAATGCCCGATGGTCATACGGGAAGGAATAGCGTGCGGGTTGATGATGATGTCGGGCGTGATGCCCTCCGCCGTGAACGGCATGTCCTCCTGGCGGTAGGTGATACCGATGGTACCCTTCTGCCCGTGACGCGAGGCGAACTTGTCGCCGATCTGGGGGATACGCGTCGAGCGGACACGGATCTTCACAAACTTCTGGCCCTCCGCGTTCGTCGTGATGAGCACCTGGTCGATGATACCCTGCTCCGTGCTCTTGAGCGGTGTCGAGACGTCGCGCTTCGTGTGCGTCCGCGTGCGCTGGCCGAGCTCCTCGCTGTCGGGCGGGATGGGCGCGGTCTTGCCGATGATGATGTCCTCGCCGTTGACATTCGTGCCGGGCGCGATGAGACCATCGTCCTCCAGCTTGTCATACGTGCCGTGCTTCATCCGCAGCGTCGAGTCGCGCGTCGGCTTCTCGAACTCCTCCAGCTGCTGGATACCGCTCTTCTTCTCGAGGTCCATGTAGCTCCGGTAGTACATACTCCGAAAGAGACCTCGGTCGATAGAGCTCTGGTTCATGATGACGGAATCTTCCTGGTTGTAACCGCTGTAGCACAGAATGGCGACAACGGCGTTCTGGCCAGCGGGCAGTTCGCGGAACTTGAGGTACTCCATGGAACGCGTGGTCGCAAGGGGCTTCTGGGGGTAGTAGAGAATGTTCGCCATGGTGTCCATGCGCACGAGGAAGTTCGTTAGGTAGATACCCATCGCCTGTTTACCCATGGCAGACTGGTAGGTGTTACGGGGGGACTGGAAAAGGTGTCAAAATACGTGAATCAGTCAAAGCGGATGCAGGCTTACCTGGTTGTGATCGGGGAAAGGAATGATACTAGCACAAACACCCAAGATCATGCTAGGATGAATCTCGCAATGTGTCCAAGTATGCGCGTTCGTCGGCGCCTTCAGGCGGGCAGACGGGTCAAGCTCGCCGTCGTTCTCGTGAGGGTCGATGCCCGCCGACTGCAGCCTGGAGTTCTCGAGGTCCTCCGGCGTCATGCAGATCATGACGGTCTCCTCTTCCTCCGCATCCAAGAGCTCGATGACACCGTCCTTGATCAGGTTGTCCCACTTGTACTCGAACTTGGTTGCATCCTTCTCGGGTTCCTCCTTCCCGCGAGCGAGGTTTTCAATGTGCTTCTTCTGCAGAAGCAGCTGCTGGTTTTCGACAATGAAGAGTGGACGGCAGACACGTCCGGCGTCGGTGTAGAGACGGAGCTCGCGCTCGCGGATGTCGCGGACCACGGAGACCTCGGCACTAATGTCGTCCTTCCGACGCAGCTTCTTGATTGTCTTGACGAGGTTTGCAGGGTCGCGGTGCACACCCATCCAGACTCCGTTGACGAACACCTTTGTGCAGGGCGTCGACGAATGTGCGTTCTCCTCCAGGGACTCCAGCCCCCACTCCTCCAAGAACTCGATGACTGGCGCGGAGAGCGAACCGACAGAGATGCAAGACATGAGCGACAAGTTCTTGACGAGGCCACAAGCCTGTCCTTCCGGCGTTTCCGCAGGGCAGACCATTCCCCAGTGGGTGTTGTGGAGCTGACGGGGCTTGGCGATCTTGCCTTCACGACCGAGAGGAGTGTTACACCGACGCAAATGCGACAACGTAGAGGCGTATGTGTATCGGTTGAGCACCTGAGAGACACCAGCCTTGGACGACATGGTCTTCTTCTGGTCTCCCCAGTTGCCGGTGGCAAGGGAGTACTTCAGTCCGTTCGTGATGGTGTTGTGCTTCACAGCGAGGCCCAACTGGAACTCCTTGTGGGTCTCAACGCACTAAAGGACGTGTTAATAATGTCATCTAGGATATGGCTCGCGCACTGACCTTCTGGAGGTAGCGGTAGACATCCTTCGTCAGCTTGCGGAACAGCATACGGAAGAGGTTCGCTAAGAGAGGGCCGGCAAGATCGAGACGCTTCTTTCCGAAATGATCACGATCGTCAAGGTCCCTCCGCTCGAGGGCCGCAAGCAGGAGACGATGGATCATGTAGCCGAAGAAGTAGGCTTTCTTGGACTCCGAACCTTCGGCCATCGAGACATGGGGAAGCATCTCCTTCTGCAGAATCTCCTGAGCATAGCGCAGACGTCGCTCACGGTTGAGACCAGTCGTAGTTCCACGATTACCGATGTAGTCCAGTGCAATCTACATAGCATTAGCCAAAGAAAATTCGTGCGCCGGGTACTGATGTAACAAACCTCGCGGTCCTGGATAACGAAACCCTCGTCTATACACGGCTTGAGCATCTCCAACATCTGGTTGTCCTGCATGTCGTAGCAAATATGTTCCAAAATGTCACGGTCGGAGATCACGCCGAGTGCACGGAACACCACCCAGATCGGGATGTCGACCTTGATGTAGGGAATGGTAGCCTTCATGACGTTCCCGAGCTATACACCAAGCCATCCAACAGTTAAGTCGTGGATGAGCATATGCACCAACGAATACCTACCGAACGCTCCTGGCTTCGATGATAAAGCTTCACTTGGAACTGACTGATCGTCTTTCCACCCTTCTCGACGGCGCTACGAATCTCGGCAAGGAAACTGATGGGGGAGGGTTGCGCTTTCGCGAAGACGTATACGTGGTTGGTGGCCATGCGCTCCTGGGCAATGAGCACCTTCTCCGAGCCGTTAATGATGAAGTATCCTCCAGAATCATACGGGCACTCATTGAGATCGTAGAGTTCGTCGTCCTCAAGACCGTGCAAGATGCAAAACGTGGACCGAAGCATGATGGGGACCTGTTCACAAACTGGTGAGGACATCGACCAGAGAGTGCAACATGAAGGATACCGACCTTTCCTATCCACACTTTTCGTGTGTCCTCAGGGTTGTCATCGTGCTCAGTCTCCCAGACCATGTCCCCGGTGGCACTGTCCGGGTCCTCCCGCCCCAGAAGTACGCGCTTCTTCATCTCGATGTATAGCGGTGCGGAGTAGGTGAGATTCCGCAAACGGGCTTCTTGAGGGAATATAGGGACGACAGAGCCGTCTGCCTCCGTGACAGTCGGTCTCGAGAGGTAAATCTGTCCAAACTTGATCTCGTAGCGGCGAGTGACATCGGATTCATGACCTGTATGTTGGTCCGCCTGATCGAGAATGAGGTCCGCGTTTTCATCGACAAGTTCTTGCATGGTATTCTGGACGAACTCGTCGAACGAGTCCAGCTGCTGCCGCACGAGACCCTTCTGATCGAAGAAGCTTGAGATGACCGTCCAGCAATCTTCCTGGGTGATCTCCTCGTAGTCCTCGCCTGCGCCTTCACCGTCCATGCCATACCCATCATCATAGAACGACGCCTGCGTGGCTTCAAAGTCTGGAGAAAGTGGACGCGTTATTTGAAAGTCTACCAACACAAGGTGAGAGGCGTGGACATACCTTGGCTCATTTTGAATAGAACACCGAGTGTGGGGGAAAACGAACGTTACGTTCAGGACTGGAGGCCAGCAGTGGAGGCGCACAGAGGGAAGCCAGTCAGTCAGAGTACGCAAAGCTCAAGACACCACAGCTAGTCGTCACAGCAAGACAGGGAGAGTAAGAGCGAGCCCAGAGGATGTGGATGGTGGCAAAGAAGGGCCTGGGACGCTGCGAGACGCGTCCACGCTGACCAACCTCGGTAGGCGCCCGACGCTACAATGAGCGCCTGTCCCTCGGACCTCGTTCGGTGTCTCACTCCGGTTCCGCCATTGTCTTGTGCTCAGCCTGCCACAGTCCTTTGCACGACCTACGTCGACTCATATCGACTCGACCTTCACTCGAAATTCTTTGACCGTTGCGATGAAGTATCTCGCACCATCGACCAGCATCAACCCCGCGCTTGGAGTGCGGTGGCTACATCATAGGTCGCGCGCGTGAATACTGCGTAAGAAACACTTGCGGTACACTCATGCAGTATCCTGGTGCCACGAAGTCTTCACGGTGTACTAAAAGTGCAAAGATGCTCTGTAGGTCTCCTTAAACGTGCTGTATCAGAACCACATGCATCAGGTCGAAGCCCGATGACGACAACTCCCAAGGTAGGCAGGGACCTTGGGTCGGCGATGATCCTGCTTGCGTGCTCGACGGGCTTCATGAGGTGTGCTCTAAGGTATAGCATATATAGAAAGCAGAATGTCCTGCATTCACCACTCGCAACTGGCGAGAGCGAGGTCTCTACGCTCGATGGCCTACCCCCCACCAGCACTACAGCTCCTCCCACCACACGTCAAAGGTGTGCTAAACAGCAGGTCCACCCGGCGATAGGATGTTGACCTATAGATCCAAATTGTGATGGGGGACATCCTCGTCCACGAAACGCAGCCCGCAAGAAATTAAGCTACCACGCATGCTGGGGGGTCCTGCCGTCATACGTCCCCCCCGTCCCCCCCGTCGTCCTCTTGTCATCGGTGTCTCTCTCGATACATCGTGGAGTCGAACAGGACATGGCCGAATGCGACGTAGCGGCATGGGTATCATCCATTTGGCACGTTAAGAGGCTGCCTCAAGCCGCGTATACGGTTACGCTGGAGGGGAGAAAATTGACAAGGTATGGTCTCATAGTGGGGAGTGTCAAGTCTGCCAGCTGCTGACCTTCGCTCTCCTTTCCTCACAGGCTGTCGTTCGGATGCGTCCCGTGGCGCCGATGGTCATGCGCTTTCCGTGACTACCGAGAGTACCGCAGAAGTTGATCGACGTTACGCCCGCACCGAGGGGCGTCGACCCACAGTGCGGTGGTCCTCGAAACGGGCGGTCATCGGCAGTACCTCTCCTGAACCATTGCGTTCCAGCTCGAGCAGGCATCAAGATGTGCGGCATGCTGTCCTCGTATGAGCTCTTCTCGTTCCCTTCGAGCGCTCACCGTGCCGAAGGTACCAGCGTGGCGATCACCGGTGCCGTCTGTCGGATGTGTTCTCGAGCGAGTGCTAAACCTGGCTACAATATACATGAAGCGACACATGGTGCGACGACCTGCCAGGTCACCTGCAGCCGTGCGCCGTATGGCCGAATATATCGACAACTACCGATGAACAGCTGAACCACGACACCTTCCAATCTCAGCATACGTCATAATTCCGGACTCCGTGCACATCTTGATCCGCTCGCCTGGCCCCCGGCCCCGAGCTACAAGGTCCGTCCTCTCCTCCTCCAGCTCAGCAATGTCTATTCAGTATCTCCGCTCAGGTACTCTGCCTGGCCCCGCAACCCGGGGCTTTTGGGGTATTTACGACACGTCAAACGTCAAGCAGTGCCTAAAATACTGTTAGGCGGCAAGACGCGGATACTCGTCGGACGTAGCGGCTGCTCTTCGTGTGCCCTTTACGGATATTGCCTATGCAGCGCAACACAGGCTATTTTTGTCAACGGCACCTTGAGACCTATGACCGTCTAAAAATTCGGTGCCTCTTCGGGTTGAGCGAACATCAGCAGCTCTCGGACATGGCCAACGAAGCGGAGACAAGTCACGCTTCTCCACTTCCACACGCGGACCCATCTCGGCGGGCCGTGCTGCTGTCTCTTCAACGCCTTCGACGATGCGTTGTGCAATGCGTCTCTGACAGGTGCACTATACGATCTATTGCAAGCAATTCGGCCGCGCGGGCGACCTCGCCATGACCAGAGAGGGACAGATGCACCTGAGGACGCGTATAAAAGGTGGCCCGTCTCGTCGACAGTCTGCATCGAGCCAGCAGTCGCCTCTCGACAACCCGTCCTCGGTACAGCCTCATCGACATGTTCCCCTCAGCATCCCTCCTCGCGTTCTCGCTGCTTGCGACCGTCTACGGTCAGCAGGTCGGCACCCTCACGGCAGAGAGCCACCCCCGCCTCACCATGCAGCAATGCACGAGCGCGAACAACTGCCAGACCCAGCAGCACTCCGTCGTGCTCGACTCCAACTGGCGCTGGCTCCACTCGACCTCCGGCAGCACCAACTGCTACACCGGCAACACCTGGGACGCCTCGCTGTGCCCCGACGCGACCACTTGCGCCGCCAACTGCGCTCTCGACGGTGCTGACTACGCCGGTATGTCTCCCCTGCACCCACAGCCATACGCGCCTTCACTGATCACCGCCCATAGGCACCTACGGTATCACCACCAGCGGCAACGCGCTCACGCTCAAGTTCGTCACCCAGGGCCCGTACTCGAAGAACATCGGTTCGCGTGTCTACCTCATGGACGCCAACGACCAGAAGTACGAGATGTTCAACATGAAGAACCAGGAGTTCACCTTCGACGTCGACATGTCGAACCTCCCCTGTGGTCTCAACGGCGCACTCTACTTCGTCGAGATGGACGCGGACGGTGGCGCAGCGCGCTTCCCCACCAACAAGGCCGGCAGCAAGTACGGAACTGGCTACTGCGACACCCAGTGCCCGCAGGACATCAAGTTCATCAACGGCCAGGTGAGCGCCACACCCGACGCGGTTCGTGCATGCACTCACATCCTTCATCTAGGCCAACATCGAGGGCTGGGAGGGCTCCCCCACCGACCCCAACGCGGGCTCGGGCAACTTCGGTACCTGCTGTAACGAGATGGACGTCTGGGAGGCGAACAAGAACGGCGCGGCCTTCACCCCCCACGTCTGCTCCGTCCAAGGCCAGACGCGCTGCTCGGGCGAGCAGTGCGGCGACGGCGACGAGCGGTACGACGGCATCTGCGACAAGGACGGCTGCGACTTCAACTCGTTCCGCATGGGCGACCAGACCTTCCTCGGCCCGGGGATGACGGTCGACACGAACCAGAAGTTCACGGTCGTCACGCAGTTCCTGACGAACAACAACCAGACGTCCGGCACGCTCTCCGAGATCCGCCGCCTGTACGTGCAGAACGGGAAGGTGATCGCGAACTCGAAGACGAACATCCCCGGGCTCGCGACGTTTGACTCCGTCACGGACGAGTTCTGTAACGCGCAGAAGGAGGTCTTCGGCGACACCAACACGTTCGAGCAGCTCGGCGGCCTCAACCAGATGGGCCAGTCCTTCGACCGCGGCATGGCGCTCGTCATGTCCATCTGGGACGACCACGCTGCGGGCATGCTCTGGCTCGACGCCGACTACCCCACCGACGTCCCCGCCACGAACCCCGGTGTCTCCCGCGGCCCCTGCTCGGCCACCTCCGGCGACCCGACCACGATCGAGAACAGCGAGGCGAACTCGTCCGTCACCTTCTCGAACATCAAGGTCGGCCCCATCGGCTCGACTTACTGAGCGCGCATAGGTATGTGCAGGGTACTAGAACCACAACGCAGTACGCTCACACCATCATCGCAGACATACCGCGCCGCTCCGCGAGAGAAAAGGGTGGTGGTTGTGGTCTCTTGGTCTTCTCATACTCTCGGGCTCGTGATGTAACTGCAGAATCCTACGCGAAACAACAGATACTTTCCCTCTCATTGCTGCACCGTGTGCGATGGTAAATCTGTGAGGCGGCCAGCGAGATCAGCATATCGCGTTTACGTTACAGGGCAATGGTAAAAATACAGCACTATGCAGATTCACTTGTCAGGGACTTCCTTAAGGAGCCGATCCATCTTCTGTCGAGCACTCCCAGCATATGCACCCTTCAATGGAGCATTTCAATCAAACAGCACACGAAGCCGAGGAAAGTCTGATACGTACGCCAAACATCACGGTGTGGTTTAAGTAATGGTAGAGCTGGTACAGCTCCTGCCGTAGGCCATACTGTTCCTGAGGTTCGGACTTTGGGAGATGCTCGTGGTAGGTGGTGTAGAACGCCTCGGGGATACCGCCGAACATTCGGCCGATAGCCAAGCTGTGCAAACACTTTGGTAAAAGGTTCAGCGCGATAGGCACCTACTCTATGACACTTACTCAGCTTCGTTATGTCCGAAGTAGGAGGAAGGGTCGAAGATCACGGGGGCTCCAGTGGCACGGTCGATTCCTGTGTTTCCACTCTAAAGGAGGGTCAAACGGCGGTGCACGGGATGGGGCGAACATGCGACGCACCCACAAGTCACCATGAAGAATAACAGGCTGAATGACGAGAGGTCCGAGCAGCGCTGGGATGATCCTGAGCGGTGCTTGTCAAGCGAAACACCATTCATTGATTTGGGATGCACCTACCGGTCTCTCACCGTGTCAATCTGCTTGCAGAGGCCCTCGTATCCGCCCTGGGCTTTCAGCTTATCCGCAAGGCCCCCGACCAGCGCGTCGAAGCACTCCGGCCATGTTTCGTACCACCCGTTGTCCTGCCGGATTACCCCACAGTACGTAGGCACATGGAAACCGAACCCCTTCGGACTCTCGTAAGCATGCAGCTCTGTCGCCAGACGCTTCCCGAGGACCTTTGCGGCAGCTGGGGAGAGGGATCCGATATCCTTGTACTCGGATAGGAAGTACGGTCGTCCTACGTCGCTATCGCGCTCTTTCGTGTCGGAGTCTATGGTCCCACAGTCTATCAGTTTGGGCGCAAGACCCGGCGCAGCCAGCTCTATCGCCTTGAGCGACTCGGCTTCTCCGACGTATTGATCCTTGTCGCTCGTTTTCCCGAGTTTTGCGAAGTACCGCTGCCCAGTGGATGACCGGAGAGACGAGCCGTCCTGCGTGAGAGAGATTCCTCCGGAGTTGTCACGCTGGAGAAGCAGTTTGAAAACGCGGTGCACCTCGGGCATGATAGGAGATGAAGAGGGAATAGGCTCCTGGTGGATGTGAGGCAAGAGGTGTCGCTGTGCAATTGCAACCGACCATCCTGCGAAGGCCTTTGCAACACCGGCCCCACCGGCCCCACCTACATAGTATAGCGGTCTGGGCGCGGCATAGGTGCACTAATATTATCAGTCAGACACCCCCATGCTGTCCGCTCACGTCTTCGCAGCAGACATCGTGGGCTACGGGAGAGAAGGGTAGTGGATCTGAGTTTATGCCAGCTCGTGGTCCAACCTTTGGGCTCGTACGTGTTGCAACCGCAGAACCATGCACGGGGGTGACTAGCACTGGCAGGCACTTTGTACACTCTCATTGCTGCACTATGTGCGATGATAGTTCATCTGAGCCTTGAGGCGACCACCCGCTTGAAGCGATGTCCAGTACTTCTCGTGGCTCAGTTGTGCTATAATCGCCACAGTACAAGTACACCCAGCTGCTTCAATTTCGTTAGTATGGGGCCACCCTTAGCAGCCAATCCATCTTCTTCCGAGCACCCTCAGCATACGTATCCTTCTACGGAACACATAGTCAGACATCACACAAAGCGCAGAAAGGGCGACACGTACGCCAAATATCAAAAGGTATCTCAAGCAGTGGTACAGCTGGTACAATTCCTGCCGCATGCCGTACTGTTCCTCGGGCTCGGACCATCGGAGATAATCGTGATATGCGACGTAGAACGAATCCGGCATGCCGCCAAGCATGCGGCTCAAAGCCAAACTAGATCAGGTTTAGTGAAACATCTGAGCAGCAAGTACCGGCTCGAGGACACTTACTCAAATTCGTTATGGCCGAAGAAACACGCAGGGTCGAGAATCACAGGAGCTCCAGTGTGACGATCGACTCCTGTGGTGCCGCTCTATAGGGGATTTAGTCGACGGTTTTTAACAGCTGGAACAAACTATCAACGCACCCACAAATTACCATGAAGTAGGACGGGGCTAATAACAAGACTTCCCAGCAGTGCTGGGATGATTCTAGGGACCGCCTGTTGAGCCAAATGCCCTGCTCGTTCGATTGTACAGACACTTACCGTTCTCTCACACGAGTGACCTTCCTGGAAAGGGCCTTGTACTCCTTATTTGCGTGCAGCTCGTCTGCAAGGTCTCCAATGAGCGCGTCGAAGCATTTCTGCCAAGGTTTGCACCATTTGTTTTCCTGCCGAGTTGGCCCACAATACGTAGGCACGTGGAATCCGAAACTCCCCAGACTCTTGTAAGTATGTAGTTCCGTGGCGAGGCGCATTGCGAGGACCTTGGCTGTTTCAGAGTCGAGGGGTACGGTTTCCTTGTACTCGCATAAGGAGTACGGTTTCATCAGGTCGCTATCGAGCTCTTTATCTTCACGCTCTATGAGGCCGCAGCCGCTGGATTTGGGAGCAAGACCTGGCACCGCGGTCTCGAGTATCACGAGCGACTCGTTTAATCCGTGATACCGATCTGTGTCCTCATGGCGTCCAATCTTGGCGATGTACTGTTTTCCGGTGGATGTTATGATAATGGAGCCGGCCTGCGTGAGGGTGCATTCTGGGCCTTCCATGTGAGGATTCTGAAGGACGCGCTCGAACACACGATGAGCACGCATGGCAGGGAAAGAGTTTCTGGCGGACGAAGGCGAAGAGATGGCAGAGATGGATGTCTGATTCAGGTGCGCAATTGCCTCCGAGTGTCCTGCGAGTGCGCCGTCCAAGCCCGGGAAAGTCGGGGCGGCTGCAGATGACGACTTCGCGCGCCCCGGGCCGCCGTCTCCGGGCGGATTGCAAACCGCAGGCTCGCCGTGCGCTCCCCGCATCCTCTCCGCGCTCACCGAACGCGAGCAGCGAATCGTCGGCCATCCGAGTGCGAGGGTCCTGCCATTGGTGGCTGCTTCAGTGTATAAATAAGAGGAATCCTGTCTATGCTCACCAGCGCACCCCTTCGACGCGTCTTCGCCCACCAGCCGCATCTCCGCGCCCGTCTTATTACCCCGCAATCCACTCGAGTCTCAGCACATCGCAGCATGGCGCACATCAACAAAGCTGTCCCGGGGATAGACCAGTACATCTCCTTGAATGAGCCTACCATCGGCACAGCGTATCCCAAGGTCAGTACTGCGTGCAGACTGGCTCAGATAGAATAGCACTGACCATGGAACGTTCGAACGTACACTAGGACATTTACCCTCAGAATGCAAACCTCCCTGAGCTCTTCAAGCCGCTTACCCTCCGCGGAGTGACCTTCAACAACAGAATTTTTGTCGTAAGTTCGCATCCGAGTACACACCAGACGAGATAAGGTAAAGCTTACCCTCGCAGTCCCCCATGTGCCAGTACAGCTCGGATGACGGGCACGCCACGGACTGGCACTTCGTCCACATCGGCGTATGTCCCTACCCTCTTGACCGCGCACCCATCTGATTGTGTTCAGGGGTACGCTACGCGCGGTCTCGGCGCAATCTGCATGGAGGCCACCTCGGTGGTCCCGGAAGGCCGCATTTCTCCCCAAGACGCTGTAAGTGGCGCGAACCTTTGTCACATCAGGAGGACGACCTGATTGTGGTGTTCGAATAGGGTCTCTGGAAGGACAGCCAAATGGCGCCCCTGAAGCGTATCGTGGCCTTCGCGCACTCACAGGGTGCTAAGATCGGCGTCCAGCTTGCCCACGCCGGGAGGAAGGCGTCCACGTACGCGCCCTGGGTGCACGCCGATATGGCGAAAACCTGGAAGGCGCCCACCTACGTCGCCGGCGAGGATGAAGGCGGCTGGCCCAACCACGGTACGTATGCATGCACCTCCTACAGCAGCTGTGCTGACTGCCTGCTGAACATTCTTAGTGTACGCGCCGAGCGAGATCCAGTTCTCGGACCAGTACCCCAAGCCCAACGCCCTGACGGAGCAGCAGATTGCTGACCTCACCGAAGCGTTCGTCAAGGCCGCAGAGCGGTGCAAGGAAATCGGCTGTATGTCCGCTCTTCGTTCGAACGTCAACAATCACTTACCTGATACACATACCTCTAGTCGACTTCATCGAGGTCCACGCGGCGCACGGATACCTGCAGCACGAGTTCACCTCCCCGCTCTCGAACACCCGCACCGACCAGTACGGCGGCTCGCTCGAGAACCGGCTCCGCTTCCCGCTGCAGGTCACCAAGAGGCTGCGCGCCGTGTGGGACAAGCCGTTCTTCATCCGCATCAGCGCGACGGACTGGGCAGAGGGCCCCGAGAAGGACCCCGCCACGGGCGAGTGGAAGCAGTGGGGCATCGAGCAGAGCACGATCTACGTCGGCGAGCTCAAGAAGCTCGGCGTGGACCTCATCGACTGCAGCTCCGGCGGGAACTGGGTGCAGCAGAAGATCACCGTCGGCCCCGGGTACCAGGTTCGTGCTGTGTTCTCGAACGTTGTTGTGGCTTGAAACTCATGGCCGTTGCCCTAGGTCCCTTTCGCTGAGGCGCTGAAGAAGGCGCACCCAGACATCCCCATTGGCGCTGTGGGCCTCATCACAGAGCCAGAGCAGGCGGAGTCGTACCTGAAGGATGGCAAGGCAGACGCCGTCTTCCTCGCGCGCGAGCTGATCCGGAACCCGCACTGGGCCATTCACGCTGCGCAGAAGCTGGGGGCCGCCGTGAAGCCCGCTAACCAGTACGAGCGCGGTTGGGCGGATGTCCTCACTCCGGCGCGCCCCGGTGAAAGCAGCCACCGGCGCGGCGAGGAGCAGGGCACTGGTAAGGAGCACTTTGAGCAGAAGAAGCCGAGCCCGTTGTGAATGGTTGTGACTGCGTTGTACAATAGTGTAGAGGGACATACCTGCCATAAATGTGAATTGTCTTGTAGATCCGTATATGAAGATTTTACGGGGATATTGATATCGTGAATGAGGAGATTATGCGTGCTTGGGTAGGCTATTCTACATGCTATGGTTCAGGTCTGCTGTCCGCTGTGAAAATATCTAAAGTGCTGTTGTGTAGTCTCGTCTATATTGCCGGGGTCAACCTGAAGCAAATTCATCAGCAAACGGTGCTATCGCGCGAAGAGAGGCTTACGCACCAGTCGTATTTGACCAGATCATCGGCGTTGACGAATGCCGCCGATGCGAACTCCCTCGCCTCCATCCATACCCAGACCTGGTAGCACGAAGGTCTCAGATACAACTCTTGAGCGAGGTGAGATAAGCCATACCTTCAAGAACGCGCCCACATCTCCAGAAGGCAACTGCGTCATCGTCTCCTGGGTTGACATCTGCCTCCCGAGCTGGCGCAGAATCGGCAGCGCACTCTTGAACAAGTCGAGCTCGGGGTCGAGCTGCCTGCCGATGCCCTCGAGCAGGAGGATCGAGATGACGGTGTTCACGAAGTCACCCTCCATCTTGACATGGTGCTTGCGCACGGCCTTGAGCACCTCCGTGAGGATGTCCGAGATCTTGATCTGCCCGAGCGAGAACGTCTTGCGCTTCACGTTCAGCACGATGTGCTGCATGCGCAGCGCGAACGTCTCCACGTCGATCGCGAGCTCGGGCGTGCGGCAGCGCTGTACCATGAGCGTCCCCGCGCGGTACCCGTCGAACTCGGCCACAGCGCGGAAGAGGTCGAGGAAATTCGAGCGGTTCACCGTGTTCAGCGTGGTCACGAGCCCGGCATCGACGAACACGATCTCGGGCAGCCAGCCGTCCTCTTTTGCTTGATCGAGAGCGGCACGCCATTTCTCGGGCTCGTGCGACAGCGAACGCAAGTTGTTAACTACGTCGTCGGAGGTTTGGTCGGATACGGGTTCCGATGGCAGTTCAACGACACTTGGAGTCGTTCCTGTAAGACGCTTGACGAGGGATGTCCACGAGCGTTCCAGTTGAGGTATACGAGGCTTCGTGAACTTGATCATGATGTTGCCCGGATGCAGGTCGGAGTGTACGAAGTTGTCCAAGAGCAACATGTTCTGGAATACTGACCATTAGAGGTGCTCGGAAACGTGATGCGTCGTGGTAAACTTACCAGGAAAGCATCTAGTCCGACTTCCGCAAGGGTATCGTTATAAGGGCCGCCGCCGTTCTTGAGGAACGCCTCTAGTGGCAACGCGTTCTCGAATTCCTCTACCAAGAGAACCTTTGTGCTCCACACCTTGAGCGGCCTGGGGAAGGTCACAGGAAGCTTGCGAGCCTCGAAGTTCTTCTCGAATTTCGCCAGGTTCTCAGCCTCTATCCGCAAGTCGAGCTGGTCTTGCATCATGTGTCCAAAGACTGCGACCTCCTCGGGGAGTGACAGCCACTGCATCCCTGGAAAGATGGTGATAACATTCGCGAAGAACGACATGATGCTGAGGTCCCTGTTGATCATCTTCGTGACATGAGGATGAAGAACTTTGATTGCCACGGAGGCGGTGGGCACTAGTGGAGGAGGTTCGTTCGTGAGCGCAGGAGGTAGGACCGCCTTGCGCCTGCCCTGCCGTTTCGGTGAAAGATGAGACGGTGGGATCAGATCTTTCTTCAGAGTCGCCCTGTAAACCTAGAAAGATTGTGAGCGACATATCCTTCTATGAATTCAAAAGGACATACCTGAGCGATTGCGCCCGTGCCAATGGGAGTCTCATCGAATTCCTCAAACACCTCTTCAATCGGCTTTTGAAAGACCTCTTCGATCACTCTCTTGGTGTGAGAGAGATGATGAGCCCTTCCGCGAGAGTGCAATGCGCCCATGCGTTCGCACAGCACCGCTGGAAAGAGGTCTGCACGAGAAGCCGCCCACTGCGCCAACTGTTCAGATGTGTGAGTATTGAATTCCGCGCATACATCCCAGACAAGACTGCAAGCCATAAAACCGGACGCAAACATGCAGTAGTAGACTACGATGGACAATAACGGCGCGAGCGTGCAATTTATACAAAAGCACTTCAATACTACTCGGTACGCAGACGCGCATGATGTCATACAGAAAGCATGAAGGGGGATAAGTACGCCTGCTCACCTTCATGAATGTCGGCCCAGCGCATTGCATTTGTCTAGTAAGAAACCCGTACCACCACACAGCGCCCCAACGATCACCGCGAAGGCGCTCCTCCGGTTGGCCAATGATGAGCATGGGCGCCGCCAAGAGGACCGGGACGAAGATGCAGCACAGGTACACGAATCGTTTCGCCGTGAGGATGGGCTCTATCAGTCGCTCGCGCAAGAAAGTCAGAATGCGCCCCATAAGCGACCGGTCAGACTCCGAGGGCGACATGATCATCGGCTCCAGAGGTACCGGCGCAGGACAGGGAATGAGAGTGGGCGAGGCGAACACATTGTGGGACTCGCGAGGCCGTGGGGCAGCATAGAGGGCGATACCACCAGCAGCTGGCACAACCCAGAGAAGCTTCCTGGAGAAGAATGAGTAGGGGATGCTAGGCCGCGAACCGAGCTGAGTGTGGAAGTGCGAGGGTTTGTGCCAATTTAGTACGCGTCGGGAGGGAAGAGAAGTGCCGCGGGAGAAGAGGGTACGTCCTATAACAGGTGGAAAAAGCGCAGAGCGTAAAGCCATAGCTGGCATGAGGACATTATGGACGACCCAGAGGGCAGTGGTGGGAGTAGGTGGAGAGCGTCGTCCGAGACGAGGACGGCTCGGAGGACGCGCTTGAGTTCGGAGGACGAGGAGTCGGAACGCAGACGCGCGCCTATCCAATCTACGCACTCCCGGTCCCACGTGTCCCTCTCTTCCCCGGATCAATAGGGATGCCGAGCGCGGATGGACAGCATAAACCCATGCATCGCACTTGGAGTCGCTGTAACTTTTCTAGAGTCAAGCGACGTCAGCGAGCAGTTGGCGCAAGGATTGCATGCAGCAAAAGCTCTCTGGCGGGGAGTCGAACCCCGCTTTCGCGCGATCCGTACTGGATGACAAGCGCGTGTACTAACCGATATACGACCAGAGAGATGCTCTATCACATTGGACCTAACCCATAGGACCAACCAAAGTACGCGGCAATAGAGACACCTGAATCATGGTCCACGTTTCCAGACTTGTATTACACCGACGCAACACATTGGCATATCGTAAGGCATACAGAGAGTTCATCCTAGCACTACAGTCGTAAATCGTCCGGTAAGTGGTTCCTAAGGAGTAAGAATGGGAGAGCAACGATTCAAATCTATCGCGGGACTACAACGCGTGCGGGGAGCTCGAATGCGGCGACTGCTCGGACGTCTCGGAGCGGCGCGGAGCCACATCCTCCTTTGTGCGTACATCCAATGTCGCAATAAGGTTGTGGTGCCGCAGGAGGTCGCGGGCTTCGGTCCACGAGATACCGTCGACGTCGTTGCTGGGAAGCCAGATCATAGGCGGCGGGGCGAGGAGCTCCGGTGCGTAGAGCACCCCCGCCATCTCCTCGGCGTGGTCGGCGAAAGGGAGGGGAGGGAGATGTGGTGGCGCGTCTGGGTTCGTGCGCGCAGCCCGCTCGGTGGCAGTGAGGTCATCCAGGTTCTCGGTTTCTATGGAATAGTGTTTAATATGCGCATTAGTAACGTGTACTGCAAGGAGTAATTGCACGACTTACCGAGTGGTACAGGACCCCGGCTTTCCGAAGCGGAAGGGGTGACAGCGAGCGTCAGAGACATCATCTCTAACACCGACGCGAACGAGCCTCGTGCACGAGTAGTGTTCCGCGCGGAGCTGACGAGGCTCGTGCTCTCCTCGTCCACGTCTCGTCGCTTCCCAGGCGAGGCAGTATGCTCGAACGTCGCTAGGGAGTCCTGCGTGATCGGGGATAGGGAGCGTCGTCCAGGGACACGTGTTCTCCAGCTGCAGAAGCTCTCCACGATGATAACAACCAGCAAGGCCGCGCCGCACAGGATGCCCCCCTCGATCCAGATCCGACGGCTGAGGAAGATCAGCCCAAGAAGGAGCGGTTGGAAGGCGAGGACGGTGCCGAGGCGGCGAAGAAGCCACATGTGGAGAAGGCCTCCGGTCTGGGATAGTGTGCGTCCATAGACGTAGCCAACGAGGAATCTGTGAGCTAAATACGAATCTCGATCAGCCAGGGTTCTTCGCCAAATTTATAGACGAATACTCACCGATGAGAGTCAGGAGAAGTAGCAACAGAACAGCAGGTGCAAGCAAGGGGAAGATGAGAGCAAAGGCCGAAGCGAAGATGATTGCAAGCACAGCACAACTAGTCGCATATGTCGGATCGTAGGTGCTAGGGTATATGGCTGAGTAGGATATGGGTTAATCACTGTGAAGTCAACTTTGTGAAGCACAAGAGTGCGAACATACCTCGGAAGCGTTGTCGGGGAGTAATGGCCGCCTTCTCCGCACGCAAAACCTTTAACAGTCTGATGGGCTGAAGCAAGAGCAGCCCCGGGAAAATGATAGCAACGTTCAGGACAAGGACGAGGGCGAACGCGCTCATATAGATGGCACCGTTCGCCACCGCCGACGTCTCATCGAGACCGAGGCTGAAAGCGTTGATGGAAAAGAGGATGGCGCCGGTGGCAAACAGCCATATGCCTGCCACCCCCAAGAGCACGTAGAACATGGTCTTGAATTGGAGTAGCTGGGAGCCCGATATCGATACCGTGCGAGACAACGGGGTGAGTTCTAGTTGTAGTTCATGGAGCAATTAGCGTATGACAAAGCTAAACAAGATGAATTTTGCTTACGGTGGAGGATGAGGAAGGCCAGTGAAATGAAAAGTATTGCGGCGACTGCAGCGGCCAAGCTTGAGGCGATCCCACCTCCGAGCTGGTGTCCAGTGACGATCGGCATGAGGAAAGGGAGGTAGTGAGCCACGTCCGGGGCGAGTGCCACTGCCAGTCCAGATACCGCGGTGACTATACCACTTTACATCAATAAAACTTCCAACTGAAAAGGAAAGGATTGACGCACGCCCAACACCAAGCAAAACAGCAACCATGATGACTGCCAGCCACCATATCAAATCTCGCGACCAGTCGCCCTCCCTTTGAAGCTCATCCCAACGAATATCCTCCTTCGCACGTCCTTCGATGAGCTGGATGCCAGGGAGATACCTCAATCCGCGTCCAACCATGAGCCAGCCCTTGATCCTCGCGCCATCCGCGATGTCGTTGTAACACTCCCGCTGCACCTCAGCGATTTCAGTGTTGATAGCCTTGAGCGCCCCTCGACAGCGTCTGATGTCTCGGTATATTTTACTTAGCTCAGCGTGGTCTATCCCGGAGAGCGGGCGCACGTATGGCTGGTGCGGCTGCAGGCGTAAATGCGGTGGAGGTATGTCCGGTGTCCCCGCCCCCGCCGCGCGGTTGCGCATTGGGAACGTTTCGCGGTGCTCATCGACGGGGGCCCCCGCGCCGTTCCGTGTGCGCGGCGGACGCGGGCGGCGGCGTGCCTCGACCGGATACTCCTCGGCGTTCTCGAACGCCTCTGGGTCTTCCTGCATGACATCGTGCCACCCCTCCTCTGGTTCCTCGTCTTCGGGAATGACGTCTGGGTGCTGGTGCGGGTGCTGCAGCCAATCCTGCGGCGGGACGCTGCCTCTAAAGCCCGACGTGTCCCACGAGCTGGTTTGATCGTACCCATATGGAACCGGATCGGTGTCGGGCCCGTCGTCAGTTACGTGCGTGACCTCCGTGACGGGTGTGAGCTCGCCGCTGTGGTCAACTTTGAGCGGGCTGCCCAGAGGAAGGCGCCCGTATGCCGCGGAGTTGCGGTTAACTTCCTGGAATCGACTGCCGACTACGCGCTTGCTGACGCTGTCCGTGAAGCTGGGCTGAAGGGAGCGGCGGGAGGCCGAGGAAGGCAGGTCCCTTTCTGGGTCAGTGAATTGACCACCGGAAATGCCTCCGAGATCGGTGATCTTGTAGAATTGGTACGGCATCACGTATGATGTCGGTGGCAGCGACGACGATCCATACGCAGGGTTCCTACCTCGACGTCTGCGGCGGTGGCTCTGTCGGTAGGCGATCAGTGTCTGCGTATGACATACTCACAGGCACAGTACGTACTGCGGAGCTGGCGAGCGGAAGGGGCCGACTGATGGGAGGCCGGGGTGGACCCTCAGGCTCCTCCTTCGGTGGGGGTACGGGTGGTTCCCAGTCAAGTACAGACGGATCGGGAGTTTCGAGGCGGAAGCTTTGGATGTACTTAGTCTCCGCAACCTCGAGGTTCTCCAAGACCTCGTCCCGCTCGTCAATGAGGAGCGCAAGGTGCCCAGTATCACTAGAACGCGAACATGAGCGGAAGCAAAGCAGCCAGTCTGATTGAATACGCACCCGATTGAGAAAAGCGATTGAACGTCAATTTCAAAGTTGCTCTGCTCCTCGTTGTTGAGCTCCTGCGCGCGTCTGCGACGCCTGGAGCGCGCATTTCTGTCGGCCGCGTCTAAGCAGGAGCTGAGCCCCATCTTCACAAGGTGGTCCTTCAGCTGCTTCTCGCCCCATCCCACAAAGCCCGGGGCGCGCCGCGCACTCAGCCACCCCATCTCGAAGCCCTGACAGCGCACCTCCATCCACCGCTCGCGATACGCCACCGTCCTGTTAAACTCCTTCAGGACCTTCCACAGCACGGGGAGCAGGCCGAGTACGATAGCGAGCACGGTGGCGATGATGATGCGGAGTCGCGCCTTTGGTGCCTCGTCGGTGCCGTCCACGATCTCGCGCGGAAAGAGCGCGACGCTGAGGGTGGTCGTGGTCACCTGACCCGCGTCGAGCAAATGGAGGAGACGGAGGAGGCTGAGGTCTTGCAGAACGGAGTATACCCCGGTGAAGCGAGGTTGAGGAATGGAATGCGCGAGGCATGGGGTGTCGACCATATATAGAGGGAGGAAGCCTGCGAGTGCGAGCACCGTCCAGCCGGCCGCGATAAGGGTGCAGATCCACAGAATGCGTTGGCTGAGTTGCTCATCGGAGGGGAATAGTAGCGCATCCTTTGCGGGTGACCGACCTGCGTCGGACACGTCCGAAGGGAGAGAGGGAACTAGGGGGACGCTGGGAAACAGAAACGCCCAGAAGGACCGGCCCAATGGCTTAGGCCGGAAGCTGGGACGCGTTCATCGAGCGTCCGAGGCGTGTTATGTCGAGCGAAGACTCACCTTTGCTGCACGAACCATTCTCTAAGACCATACACTTGTCGATAGCGAGGGCGTAGAATAGCAAACAATAACTGTTGAAAATCGTCAGAAATTGTGTTCCCGCTCCCGTGCCAGGAAGTATGGCGGCGCAATGCTGCTCACCCATATCAATAAGCCAATAACAGACGGAACAACAAGGGCGGATAGCAGCCCGAGCGAAGACGCGTCTATTCCGTCGCCTATGCAGACGGGATCCACGAGGAGGGCGGCTTGGACGGTCTGGGTGTCGGGAAACGCGGTGAAGACGCGCGAAGAGGTGATCGTAGATTGAGAAAACGTAGTAAATGTCGTAGATGGATCGGAGACAGTGATAGGCACAGATGTGGTGAAGGTCGTGAAGGTAGACGTGAGGGATCCAGGACCGGAGACGGTGGCGCTAGATGGTATGGGCGAAGTCTGCGCGGGGCCGCTGGAGGCTGCCGTCGCAGAAGACGTAGAGGTACTAGTAGAGGGTATCGCTGAGGTCGCTGAGGAGTCGGCAGACGGAGATGAAGCAGTTACGGCAGATGAGGTCTGTGTAGGCAGGAAGGTGGAGCCGTCGCTGGTTGACCACCACTGGTTTTTGAGAGAGGATAGCATAGAGGAATCGTCATGAGCTTGTCGTCGCAGTCGTTGGGTCAAATGAATGACAGAGGAGGTAGAGAGGGTCGTCATGCAGAGAAGCCCGGAGGGCGTGGTATATGGCCGAATACAACGCACTCGCAATCGCAGCGAACCAGAACACCACTCCTCCAACTTCCTCCTCCAGCGTCTCTCCGCTTTCGGCAACTATTACACGCCCATCAACCGGCCATTCCTCGCCACTTCCATCCACGAGAACCCACGCGGCGCACTTACGACGGACTCTATATGCACTATCACACGCGGGCAGAGAAGCAGCAGACTTATTGGCCGATAAAATATGCATGGTATACAGACGATAGCAAGAGATGTCGCGAAGCGGGTTCAATGAGCGTGCGTATGGACGTCTCCACGGTATGCCTAAATTACAGTGGTGGTATGAAGTCTAGACGCGTCCGTGTCTAAGATTCCTGCGCCGAAGTAGAGGTGTGGTAGACTTACCTCCGGGACCAGTGAAGAAGAGGAGAACGGGCAAGGGCATTCGACGCAGGCGCACTATTGTGACTGTTGTCGCTCGGTGATGATAATGGTCCCATCCTTGTGTGTCGTAAGGATTGCACGAGCAGGCTGCAGCCACGGAGCAGCGTCCTCTTCGATGACTGGTGAAGGTAGCCGCTGACTCTGCTTCTTCTGCTTTTTCTGTGACTTCTCCTGGGCGCCGGAGAGAATGACGGTCGAAGAGTCGCCGTCAAGGACTTTCTGCTTGCTTGGAATGCAACCCATCTAGCGGTACACTGAGTGGGTGTCGAATAGTCGATCCAAGAGAGGCTACTGACCAGGACGACGACCAAGGACCGAGAGGGGAGGATGAGAGAGGTGGTGGGTCACTCGCGGACGTATTATTTGAAGAGAACGCGATGCGTTGCGAGGGGGGTATGATCTGCGATACGCCCTGTGGATGATGCAGATGGCTCGCAAGGCGGCGGTGCCACGGCGCGACAGGGTGCGACCGCAGTAATCTCCCCGAGCTCCCAGGTACCGTGGATGGCACTTATTGCTGATTGGACCCGTCTGTCGTCAAAAGGGCGGTTGCGATGATTGGTTCCATCATCGAAGAGACCAATCGCCTAGCAGCAACGTTGCAGGCGGCGGGTCACTCGACGTCGGAGTCGTGGAAGCGGGCCAAGCGGGTCGTCCCCGCCGGGCGCCCCGCCCTCGCGCTCCTCTCCACGTGGCGCGTACACATATGGGCGCTTACGCGTGTCCACTGCGTTGTGCGCTAACGAGGCTAAGGCTGTTACTCCCGTCCTGCTACTCGTCCATCCACGCCTCCCCTTAATACTGGTACTTTGAGCGCATAGGAGGTCTCCAAAGCATATTGGCTCGTCATGGCGAGCAGCGTACTTAAACAGGTATGTGACATGCCATGTTCATCAAGAACAGCCAGCTGAGTATAGTTCAGGCGAATGCAACATCGCCGACCCTCCAAGAGTCTCAAACACACGCCCTTCTAACGCTCCTCAACCTGAACAATCATGTAGAACCATCAAGTAGCCCTATTCAACCCTCTGGCAAGAGCACGAGTGCGCTCAAGGTCTCCGCGCCAAGCGGACCTCCCGTCTGGAAGGTACTCGTGCTAGACCAGTACACCAAGGATGTCCTCGCCACAGTACTACGTGTACAGGACCTCCGAGACGTCGGTGTGACATTGCATGTGTATGTTGCTAGATCTACTAGGGTCTTGCCATGTATTCTTACCTCAACTCCAGTCAACTGCACTCAAACCGTCCCGCATTACCTGATGTGCCTGCTGTGTATTTCGTATCCCCTACGCTCGCGAACATCCGGCGAATAGCCCAGGATCTAGAAAAGAGTCTCTACGAGTCGTTCCATCTCAACTTCGTGGAGCCTCTGCCAAGATCGTTGCTAGAAGACCTCGCAGCAGCTGTAGCGCGCGACGGGACAGGCGAACTCGTTGAGCAGGTGCGTGTCGCTGCAGTCGCGCTTGTCCTTCTGTACTCACAAAACACAGGTCCTGGATCAATATCTCTCCTTCATCGCCCCTTCACCATCTCTGTTCTCTCTCCTTCCTCCACCAGAGTCTACCCCTGCTCCCGGTTCCAATGCCGCTGCGGGTCCCTCAGCCCCGCCTCCGCCTCACTCAACCTATGCGGTGCTCAATTCTCCAGCATCTGCCGAGCAGCAGATAGAGGAGGAGGTCGAGCGTGTCGCGACTGGTCTGTTCAGTGTGGTAGTGACAATGGGTAAGTCCACACATGAGTCAGGTCCACTCGGCTCTCATTCCTGTATACAGGTCACGTCCCAATCATACGCGCTCCAAAGGGGAACGCAGCCGAGATGATCGCGAAGAAGCTGGAGCAGAAGATCCGCGACGCCATTCTCTCTTCAGCACGGTCGCACACGCCTTCGCTATTTGCGCAAGACGCGTCCGGTCTCTCGAACCTCCAACGTCCCCGTGAGTATATATTCCCGGCTCCCTTGTCTGTGCTGGGACTTACAACATGGGCAGTCCTCCTCATCTTGGACCGCAATGTTGACCTGGTCCCCATGCTATCGCACGGCTGGACATACCAGGCACTTGCGTCCGACTGTCTAGAAATGAGACTCAACCGTGTCGTCGTCGCGCAGCCCCAGAAACGGTCATACGACCTGGACTCGAAAGACTTCTTCTGGGCGAAGAACGCGGCAAACCCCTTCCCGCAGGTAGCGGAGGAGATTGACACAGAGCTGAACCGGTACAAGCAGGACGCAGCGGAAATCACGCGTTCTACAGGCGTGAGCGACGTCAACGACATTGCACAAATGTTAGCACCATTCTCCACTAGTTCTTTCCAGTGTCTGACGCCTCATATTCTCTAGGGACTTGTCTGCCAACGCCGCACACCTGAAGACTGCGATCACAGCACTACCCGAACTTACCGCGCGGAAGGCCGTCCTCGACACGCACATGAACATCGCGACCGCGCTGCTCGAGGAGATCAAGCGACGCGGACTCGATGAGCTCTTTAGCACCGAGGAGGCGATCTCGAAGCAGAGCGCGCAGGCGCTCCTCGAGTTCCTCCGTAACCCCAAGGCGGACGTTCACCCCACCCCGGCAGACAAGCTCCGGCTTGTACTTGTCTGGTACCTCTCCGTGCCCGAGACCGCGTACTCACGCGACGACGTTGCGGAGCTTGAGAAGGAGCTCAAGGCGGCCGGCGCGGACGTGTCTGCGTTTGACTACGTGCGGCGGACGCGCGAGATCATGAAGATGACCGCGCCGAACGCTTTGGGTGCCTCCACACCTGTGCCTGGTGCGAGCACCCCGGGTGGCGAGCTCTTCAAGGGCTTCAGCGCGCTCAGCAACAGGGTATATACCAAATTGTCACCCCATATCCATTCTATGTGCTCACCGTGATTAACTTCTCCAGCTCACTGACCGGCTGAAAGACGGTGGCCTGGAGAACCTCATCTCGGGCGTAAAGAACTTCCTGCCCGCGAACAAGCTGTTCCCCGTCACCCGCCTAACAGAAGCACTTATGGACCCATCCGCCGCATCGAACCAATCGCTACAGGAGACGGACGACTACATCTTCCTCGACCCCCGCGCATCGCGCAACCAGAATACCGGGCTTGGTATCTCTGGAGTGGGTGCTCCTGGTGGCGCAGGCGGAGGCAGCCGCGGGCGCCGCATGGCGTTCTCGGAGGGCGTTGTGTTTGTCGTAGGCGGGGCCGGGTACGTCGAGTACGGAAACATCGAGGAGTGGGCGAAGAAGACGGGTAAGCGCGTGGCGTATGGCGGGACGGAGATCGTGGACCCCGGAGGGTTCGTGCAGATTCTGGAGAACCTTGGCAAGGCTACTGCTTAGACAGGGGCGTCGTTAGTATACTTGTTTGTCCGAGACGCTTCGCTATATAATGCACTCCCTTTGGATTGTCGGACGTATTTTTGGAGAGTGATGTTGATGCAAACATATATACTAATTACAGGGGTCGGAATGCAATACGAAAGCCTGTTACAAATGTGCTACGATCGATACAAGAAGGCGTGATGACTCTCGCTCACTTCCGCGACTGCTGCTGGGCAAGAATCTGTACCATTCGGATGCTGCAAGGGTTGAGTGTTCTGCATTCAGGGATGGAGGTATATGTGCTCACAAGATGTTGATCATGTCCAACTGGAGGGCAATCGACTCCTTCAGGGGGTCATTGGCAATCTTGCCTGCCTCAGCCAACCGGGCATTGCGCAAGATTTTCTGGGTGCTGCAGGGAGGGATCAGCATGTAAATACCCGTTAGGTCAATAGAAGGAGCACGCACTCGTAGAGGACAAAGCCGCTGAATACCGCAAGACCGCCGTACAGGGAGATAGCCTCAGTAATAGCCAGTCCACGCATGCCGAGGGGAAGGGCCATAGGAGCAAGCGAGCTCAGAGCGACAACCGTTACGCCAGCGAGAAGAGGACCACCCATGTACAGGTAGGTGTCGTTCCTGACAGTCCCGGTCAGTGACGAGCAAATCTTGGACAATGGCACAAACTCACTTGGCGGTCGCGCCAACGTAGGACAGCGAGCCGACAACACCGCAGGTGTAGAGCGCGGCACGCGACAGGATGGCGGGGCTGAAGAAGAAGAGCGGGCTAAGGGTAGCCGCTTGGCAAGCGTTGAAGCCCTGCGCACTGTAAGTACGTATGCCCTCTACTGCTACCAGCACTGGGCACTTACCAGCCAGAAGGCATGCTTCAAGACAGTGTTCTCTGGGGGAGTGTACATAGCTCCCATCATCGTCCCAATGGAACCGACCAGGCTGACACCGAGCACGACCCACGGGTTCGCCGACATAAGACGGAAGGCGAAGCCATTCTTGAACAGTGTCCGGGCGACAATGGCAGTAATGGCGAGCCCTCCACCGGTGTACTGGAAGCTCTGGTGCAGGTACGACTGCTCAGCTGCAGAGAGGCCGTCGCGCGTTTCCCGGTTGAGGAACACGTTCACTCCCACAATTGTGCCCGCAACAGTAGCCTACATTGATCGTAAGAGTTGAGCAACGTACTTCGGCCTCGAAGGGGGCACCGCGGGTACTCACGGCAGTGATTCCAAACCGCTTCCATGATTCCGCCTGGGACGGCTTGTAGACCACAGGGTTCGCGTCGGTGATGAAAGTTCGCGACTGTCGCGTGAAGAAGGACGGCGAGAGCGGTGATCGTTTGAAGGAGCCCAGGACGTTTGGCCGGAGGCTGCTGTAAAGGCGGAAGCTGGCCATCTGCGGATTCCGGGCTGCCTGTGAGAAGGCAGAGCTCGCGAGAGGGCGGGCAGCGGAGACGAAGCCTATGCGAAGCATTGCAGAATATTAGAAGAACGTATAGCAGAGAGTGGGTGTGTCCGAGCGGGCGAGAGAGAACGTGCAGGTAGAGAGAGGTGGGTGGCCAAACGGCGATGACATATGTATACGGCGCTAGACTCGCGGCCGCCCGGCGCGGCACTTCACGATCTCTCCAGAACCGCGGAGCCCGGAACGTCGCAGAAATGCAGCCATTCCGAACGCGGGCATTTGCAGCAAACGACAACCTTGAGACAACATAACTACGGTACAAGCTATACTAGTATCGGGCACAAAAACATAGGTGAAGGATAAATACATGTACAGGAGCAGGGTACCAGCGTGGAATAACGTCAACGACGAGAGCAAAATTAAGGGCTGTACATATATCATACCATACACCACCATGCGTCCATCGAGAGGGGAACAAATTACTGTAGCTCGGGCACTGCCATGGCATCTATCACGACAACAGAATGGTCCTCCAGCGCCATAGCTATCCTGTTCGCGAAGTCGGACAGTTGCCACGATAACTCGAAGATACCGCTTTTGCTGGCGTTGTACGACCACCGCTTCCTTCTGGTCTGCAGTATCATTCATAAGCTGAGTATAGCATATAAATTTTCAACCCATCGTCTACTACTCACCCGCGCATCGTATATGTATATCCAGCCATCTCCTCCGGCGGAAGCGAACAGCCGACCGTCCGGACTGAATGCCAGATTATAGACGTGTTTCTTGTGATCATTGTACACTCGAAGACATTGGCCTGTAACGGTGTCCCACAGCCTTGCAGAGCGGTCGAAGGATGATCTGCATGGTGCAAGGCGTGAGCATGATGCACTTTCTGCATGGGATGCATACTGACGTGACAAGAAGTTCGTGCTCGAGCTCAGCTGTGCATGGTTGCCAAACCAGGTTGCTGACCTGCCCCTTGTGGCCCGCTAGGGTCATGACACGGTCGTCAGGCTCACGGCCGTAGACTATATCTTGAATATTCCAGATGCGAGCAGTTTTGTCGTCGGAACAAGAAGCCAGCTTGGTCCGAGGGATGTTGACCCTGAGCTGATTGACTTCGCCTGTGTGGCCGCTAGGGTTGCACGGTGAGATATGAAATATCTCACCGTAGTATACCACTTACACGAGCGTCTTCAATGGTGTGGGATTGTCGACGTTCATGATCTTCACCAGACCGTCTGAGCCGCTAGTTGCGAACACTGATTCGGTTAGCCAGTCGACATCGAGACAACATTCTGCAATGTGCTCGTCAGCACGCGCTCCGCCACAATGTACTTGGGTGACATACTTTCATGCGCGCTGAATTGCCGGTGTAACCGTTTCCCCTTCACGTCCCAAATGCAGGCAGATCCATCCAAACTTGCGCTGGCAAGCCATCGCCCTCCCGGAGAGAAGCGTGCCGCGAATATAGGCCCCTTCTCAACAAGCAGTCAGCAGAGGGAAACCGAGGTTGAGCTCATTCGAGCTTACATCGTGTTGGGCGTGGCTGAAATAGAGTTTGCCATTTGCATCGCAGATGCGAAGGACTGAGTCGTAACAGCCGATAGCAAGAAGAGTGCCATCTTTGGACCAGTCAAGGGATGTGAGGTCCCCTGATTCCTGATTCGGGGTAAACGTGCATGTGCGCGGGGGGTCGACTTGTGAAGGCATATATCCGTATTTATCAGCAACTGGGACGCTCCAGAGGTGTACTACGCTGTCCCGCGAGCTGTAAGTAAGGTGAGCCCCTAGCTATTACTAAAGAACTGAAAGATGCAACGAACCCAGACGCCAAAAGTGTTTTGTCGACAGGGTTCCAGGAGCAGACAAATACCTAGAGAATATCAGATGGCCGCATGTGTATGATCATACTAGACACAAACCTCGGCCTTGTGAGCCTTTAACACTTGCAGTTGTTTGCGTTTGGTCTTCTCTGCCGTTTCAGGAAGAATGGGCTCATCTGCTTCGTGGGTCGCTGTTGCAGCCGCAGATGCGCTGCCCGTACCGGTAGATGTCGTATGAGGACCAGCATGCAGAGCTTGAAAGGGAACACGTCGGTCTATTGGGAATAGCCAAGATACATGACGGGGCAACCTACATTCTACGGAAGGCCCCGACCCCACGTCTACGTCTACTTCGATAGGCGAACTGGTCTTCGCACGTTTCTCCTTCGAGGCCTCATCTCGTGTCGGAGTTCCACTGGCTTTCCGCTTCAGGGAGTTGTCCAAAGGTGAATGGCGGTGAGACAAAGGGCCACCGTTGGGTACGTTGCTGCCCGAAGCATGTGGGGGCGGCGGGGGCGGGGCATTACGAGATGGTTCGGAGCAGACGTGACGTTCCAAGATACTGAAAGGGTTCTGACACGAGAGTTTCATGCTGTCGCCTCTCCAGTGGGCCTCCACCTCGGAGAACAGCAAAGCCTTGCTGAGAAGCTCGATCAGCTCTCCACGTGGCACATGCTTCCGAAAGTGTTGTGAGTGCTCGATGTGGGACTCTGCGCGCAAGACGAACGCGCTGTGTTGAAAACCTGGATAAAGAATGAGTGGTGCGGCGACAAAGTCGGGAGGTTGTGGGCGCGCACCGCTGTCTCTGAAGTACGCATATATCAAGCAATTGACCTCGTCGGCCGTAATCTGGAGGGGGTCGATCATGACAACAGCATATACGAGTGGCGGGGAGACACAGCGAGAGATATGTTAATGGAGCAAAGCGAAGGTGGACTTTGCGAAATGCAGACCCCAACCACAGCCTAGCTAGGTATGGTGGCGTCTAACCACTCTTTCCGGGCGGAGCTTGTCGGAATCCGTGTCGGAGATCTGCCCTACTCCCACGAAGGTTCGTAGATTAGATAAGGGTGGGGAGGTGGCGAATGCGGGGTCGTCTCGGCGGTAGCGGAAGGTGATGCATATGCTTGCTCAGCAGTGCCGGTCGGATGTTCTATCTAAAGCGCATATACCCTCCTTCTCTCACCGTCCGCGGTGAGCTCTATACTGCCTGTGTCTAAGACGCCATGGACCGCGACCAGGATACCCAACATGAGGAGGGGCACCAGCCGTTGCACCTGCAAGAACTGTTTGCCGACGCAGACACAACTGGTGGCCGGGAAAGGTTACAGCGGATTCTTGACGGTATGTCATGAAGTTCTTCAGATTGACCTATCGGCTCATGCAAACCAATTCAAGCCATCTTAGAGCTACAGGGCGTGCAAACCACACGCAGCGATGGGGAGCGCATCTCTGCTACCCTTTCCATAGAAGACCTACAGCGTCTCATGGCCATCTTCGGCGCCGGGGGCGCTGGCTCCCGTACCGCTGAGCTTTTGAATGAAGAACTAGAGGATGATGATGACGACCCGGACTACGTTGAAGAAGATGACGATGAAGAAGCAGAAGTGAACTACCTCGGCACTGGCCCTCATTACGCTCGCTTTGACCGTTCGCGAAACTGGTGGCCGAAGATCACAGAGCCCACAGAGCAGGGCCTATCTCTCCTCTTGAACGGCGAGTTTGGAAGAGTCAGGCATCAAGTGAATGCACGGAGTGGACGCAAGAACGTGACGCGCAGTCTCTTCAATCGAGGTTTGAGCGCACGACCCACGTATAAGGAGGATATCGCAAGTGTGCGCACATACTCTATATAACCCATGAGTACGTCTAACGCGACACGTCCAAAAGGAAATATTGCCCAACTCAAGTGGTACAGCCGTGGCATCGTACCCTGCTAACGCCTACGTCGGCCAGTACTCGTCCGGTATGTCATTACGACAACTGTGCGCCGATGGGCAGCTAACACAATCCTACCAGACTCTGCTTTCTACTACACGTGTGTCAGAAGTAAGCTTTATATTGCAGGCTCGTTGACAGTATCTCACAAATTGCGTATAGATTTCCGGCTTCATGTGTATGATACCAAGGCACCATTCAAGACACAGAGAGCCGCCAGGCTCCCGCGACAAGAATACGACGATGGCCATACGACGACAATGGAGGTCATCAAGACCATTCAGGCAGCCCCCGGACGCTGGACAATCACGGACTCACATCTGAGCCCCGACAACCAGCGGTAAGGTTTCGCTATCGTCCAAATCTGTACGTATACTAACCCTCGACCTCTAGAATGATTTATGCGTCAATAGTAAGAACACACGTCGCCTCCTATTCTATACAACGACTCACCTCTCTGTCAGTCTAGTACAGTATACATGACATCCACGCTCGATGCGTCCACGGAGCAGGTACCCATATCCTTCAAGGATCCGGCCCCGGCGCGACGTCGTGGATGGAATGACTATGACGAAGAAGACCACTTTGGTATCTGGAGCTGCAAGTTTTCCGCCGATGGCAAGGAGGTCATTGCGGGTGGCAGTAGTATGATATTTGGTATGTTACCATTCCGATCCGAGGACAATATACACTGATACATATCCAGTCTATGACCTGGTGGCCGACAAGCGTACGGTCAAGATTGCTGCACATTCAGACGATGTCAACAGCTGTTGTTGGGCCGATACAGCGTCTGGGAACGTCCTCATCAGCGCCTCAGACGACACCTTCGTCAAAGTCTGGTATGCAGGCAAATATATGCGGCCGGACCATTCATTGAACCTGCTATAGGGATCGTCGATCATTAGCGGACACGAGAAAACCCTCAGGTGTGCTCATCGGCCACACCGAGGGCATCACATACGTTTCTGCAAAGGGTGACGGCCGCTACGTGATCTCGAACGGCAAAGACCAAATCCTCCGGCTTTGGGATTTGCGCATGATGAGAAGTAACAGCGACTTCGAGAGCGTCGCGAAGCAGCACTACGGCGTTCCACACTTCGACTACAGAGCAGAAAGCTACCCCCAGCCCAGACACAAGGCCCACCCGCTCGATTGCAGTGTCATGAAGTTCACCGGCCACGAGGTCCTGCGCACCCTCATCCGGTGTCATTTCAGTCCTGCGGAGACCACCGGCCAGCAGTACATCTATTCCGGCTCGTCTGATGGAAGGATACATGTAAGCCAGTACGCAACACTGACTATCTATCCTCTCACTCACTCTGCGCATTAGATCTGGTCTTTGGACGGACGGGTCGTGGAGGTGCTCGATCGGTCATATACCTTGCCAATGGCGCTGGACCCGACTGGTGCCGATCCCGCGGATATCACCCCTTCCCGCGTTCAGCCATGTGTAAGGGACGTCAGTTGGCATTCACAGGTAAGTCGTGGGTGATATATTTGAGGTCCCCCTTCTTACACGGACGCCACAGCAACCTATTCTTATGAGCACAGGATGGCTGGGTCGCCGCTGGGGTATGTCAGAAGGCAGTGTCATCGCTAGGCACGAGGTGCGTTTTGCTTGCGTCTGCGATGATCTCCAGCTCACTAGCGCTGCTATAGTTCAAAGGGATGTCGAAGCTCAAAGGCGGTCTGGAGGACTGGGTTGCACAGGAGAGGGCGGAACGTTCGGACCGCGCGCGACGCCGTGCCCAGCGATCCGGCATGCCTGGGGCCTTCGAAGCTGAGGGAGACAGCATGGACACGTCCGAGGAGGAGGTATTCTAGAGGTAGGCATCTTACAACCCGCTCTGTATGGGCGTATTGGGGGAGCTGCTCTATGGATAGTTGTAATTGTATTAGTATGCTTTTGTTCAGGCCGTCGTCGCTTTGGAATCACAGTTGTTGCAGTCCTAGTTGTTACAGTTCCTTGACAAACACAAGGCCGTGCCGAACGCCAGTGAGTTTCAATTGTGTGCGCAGCCTACCCGAATAGAGACTCGAGTCTTGGCGCGGAAGGTGCCAGACTGCCAGTGGCTGTAACACAGCCTCTGCTACCTGCTTGCCTCCGCCCACCAGCTATAAGAACGTGGGCTAAGTAAGGCGCTGCGGTCCCCGCACACCCGCTGAGAATGATCCCTCAAATTGGGGGAGAGGCGTGTCGGAGTGATACTAATTGCGTGATATGCGGCCAAGCTCGAAAGCCCAGCTGATACGTCGCAGCGGTTTGTAGTTTTTTTGCTCGTGAATGTGACTTGAATGATTTGGAATTGATAGGTTTTACACCCCCAAGAAGCCCTGGCTCTCTGAGCCTTGCGAGCAGCGATGTCTCGATATGAGTCTCACCGTAAGTAGAGATACGGGCAGCACACTAAGCCTGATGCTCAGTCGCTGGCAGCGACACCGCTGCGTTGAGGGGAGACACGTGGATGCCACGCGGATTATTCCCATATGTAGAGGCGTGTGAAAACTGGACGCGCAAGAGGTACAGCCACGGCCGTGAAAAGGTGGAAATCCTGCACGGGATGATAAGCCGAATAATCCTACGGATCATTCTCAATGGTCATCACAGGCGACGACGCAGATGAGCCCAAGAACGAGATGCAGCTCCCCGCAACCGACACTGTTGTCCCACTTGCTGTCGAACTGAACTCCTATGGCTTTCCGCAGGGCTACTTCATGCTGCGGTCCTTCGGAACAGGTCGGCTCCTCGACGTCGCTCAGGGACACCTGGAGGATGGGACAGAGGTTATCCTCTGGCCTGCCACCGAAACCTCCCAGGTCGAATGTCAGTCTCGAAAGCCCTGTGTGGTAGAATGTAGCTCATATCCATCCGGCAGCGATGAGACGACCAGATAGCAATAATCAGGTTAGTATCCACCAGTATTTCTACGATGATGTACATACCTTGAACTCGTACAGGTCTTCTTCATCGACATATCTGGTGCACTGTCGTCCAGACACTCCGGACATGCTATTGATGTTGAGAGTACGTTTCACAATCACCACACTTGTCGAAGATCTCACATTGTATGCCGTAGAGGAGAAGCTCGTCCTGCGCCACCGCAGACCAGTCTCGTACCCGTTCCCGAACGTGTACTCCCACACGCTCCCGCGCTTCGTCTACCATCCTGAGACAAAGGAGATAACCGTGGTCTTCGCGAGTGACCCGTCCTTCTCCGCCTCTCGAAGGGACAGCAGCTCCGGGGCATGGAAGGAGAAGACGTACTACCTGACCTCGGTCCCCGTCCGTCAGCCTCCCACCATAATCGACAACGCCTCTGCACTCCTCAACTCCGCGTACACGACCTCTCTTTCACTCTTTGGCAAGGCGGGCTCCAAGGCCACGCCAGACCAGGTCTTCGACGGCGAAATCGACCTGACGGAGAACGATCTCGCCGAGCAGGACCGTAACGAGGCGGAGGAGATCGACGATTCGCTGGAGCCCCTGCGCCCCGTCAAGGTCATCGCACTCACTGCGGAAGAGGCTGCAAACGCGAGCGAGCAGGCGAAGGCGCGGAGGCAGTGGGAGTTCTTGCCTCTGCGGATTTCGAAGCACCGCACGGGGATGCCGTCTCAGTGACCGTTGTTTCATCCCTCAGCTGAAGTTGGGTCTTCTTGGATTCACTGTATCACATTGGTTTGGTTGTTGTATATATACGCCCCCTGTAAAATATCCTATCTCTGAGCGTAGCATTACAGCTGGTCCTGAAAATGATGAGACAGGTGACAGAACTTTTTCGGGCTCCGAGCAGGTTTGCATCTTCCGACGTATCTTCCGACGCATCTTCCAAGTCATAAGCGCCCGTGCTCTCGCAGCCTTTCATCGACTTTTTAAAGGTTTTCGTGGCTGAGCATCAGTTCTTGATTTTGTATCAATTACGCTCCGTGTTTCTGACGTCCTCTATTTTTCATGGAGGCGTTCGTTCTAAACTGAAGCACATAGCGCAGTCGGAAGTGAGTCTTGGCTCTGGCGGGCCCCTTCCATGCCCACCCCCGCTAAATCAAAAAGCTTAAAATTCTGAAATTCGTACAAGGGAACATTACAAGCTCTCGCAAGGTATTGAGGGTGTTTCATTCCTCATTATTGTACATGATCTGCTATGACAACCTCGAAAGGTGGCAAGCATCTGGGCGCCTATGGCTCGGAAGATTGGCTCGGAAGACTTGCTGGAACCTTTGTGACATCTCTTGCGAAAAAAGGTTCTGTCACCTGTCTCATCATTTTCAGGACTAGCTGTAAGAAGTGGCTGAATTCAAGCGGATTGGGAGAACTTACGATCATTTGATCGAGTCAGACGCTCATGGTGCGACGCGCGGGTGCCCGCCGCGGCCGCTTGCAAGTCTTGCCTATCGTCAACCCCAGCTGCCGCGATACAGCTCTGACTCCTGTTGAATATATACCCAACGCCCTGGCCACAGACTTAAAGTCAAATAGACGTAGCGTCGCCCTCCAGACACCCACAGAGCACAACTTGAGACGACACCTGCGGCGGACCATCCTCAGATCTCTCTCCCGATGTTCAAGTTGCTCCGTCTTGTCTCTCTCGCCCTCCTCGTGGGCGCGCCTTCTGCGTGGTCTCACCAGCACGGACACGACGAACAGGCACCGTTGTTCGACGCCCATGACTTCGCATCCAAGTCTGGCTCCAATGGCTCTCCTACCTGGACAGAGAAGTATGGCAAACAGATCGACCAGACCTTCTCTGGGCCGCTCTCCTTCTCGCATCTCCCCTACTCGCTCTGCTTGGAAGATGACAGTGCGGTGTTCGACGTCGCCGTGCTGGGGATGCCCTTCGACACCGCGGTGACATACCGTCCGGGAGCGCGCTTTGGACCGTTTGCTATCCGCTCCGGCAGCAGGCGGCAGCGCGAGCAGCGGGGATACACCCTCTCGTGGAAGAACAACCCCTACGAGCTTGGCTCGAAGATCATTGACTGCGGTGATGTATGGACATGTTTATGCTTAATAGCAGGCCTAGACGTGCTTATAACGTTTGTAAACACCAGGTCCCCGTCAGCCCGTTCGACAATGCCCTGGCGGTCGACCAAATGGAGGTGGCCTACGACACGCTTCTTTCCCGCCCGGTGGCCAGCGACGAATCAACCGCACTCACTTCAGTGACCCAGCGTCTGGCACTAGACGGCAAGCAGCACCCGCGCATCGTCAGGTATGCAGCCTGAACGGAAGCCTCTATATATGAGATGACGCATCTAGCTAACATGATACTCGCATTTCAGCCTCGGAGGCGACCACACGATCGTGCTCCCAATCCTGCGCTCGCTCAACAAGGTCTACGGCCCCGTGTCCGTCATCCACTTCGACGCGCACCTCGACACCTGGCCCGCATACCCGGGCACGAGCACGGAGCAGTCGCGCGTCACGCACGGCACCTTCTTCTACCTCGCGCGCGAGGAGGGTCTCATGACGAACACGAGCATCCACGCCGGCATCCGCTGCAAGCTCGCGGGCATCGCGGACCTCGAGAACGACGAGGCCGTCGGCTTCCAGCTGATCTCCACGGACGACATCGACGACTATGGCGTCTTGGCGATCATCAAGCGCATCCGCGAGCGCGTCGGCGACTCGCCCGTGTACCTCAGGTACGGTAGCCACACGTCTCCCGCGAGTGTATAGAGAGCTGACGTCTGTCTGTTTAACACTGCTAGTCTTGACATCGACGTGATTGACCCTGGACTCGCGCCCGCCACCGGGACGCCCGAGGCGGGTGGGTGGACGACGCGTGAAGTCAAGCGCATCATCCGGGGCCTTGCTGGGCTCAACTTCGTGTCAGTACACACTCCTCCTCGTCCTCGTCTTCAGGTTTGACGGTTGCTGAGAAATGATTTCCTTGTGCAGCGGTGCCGACATCGTTGAGGTCTCGCCTGCGTACGACAACGGTCAGTCAAGCCCTTCACCATGTTACGCTAATTGAAGGCTGACATTGGGACACTTACAGCTGAGATCACCGGTATCGCAGCGGCGGATATCGTGCACGACTTCCTTGCCATGCTGCTCTCCTCCACTCCCCCCACCCCTCACAGCATATGGGGCCCTGCAAAAGACGAGCTCTAATGCTCGAATTCATCTATGCCATGAAAATACGCCTCGGTCCGAGACGTACTGCGGACAAGACACAATGTATCAGTCGAGCATAGCACCTGGAATACACCCCTATGTAAACTCGCGCTTGGAAGGCAGAACGTGCATCCTATTGTACATCCTTACACAAGTAACGAACGCCCAAGGTCGATTGGAAGAATAATTACGACATAGTGTACGGGAGGTGGCAAGAGTGTCCGGGTGCACGGCGAGCGTGCGCGAAGCCTGCAGAGCTGAGAAGAGTCGAAGGGGTCTGCAAGGTAGAAGGGGGTGACCTGATCGTATCGTGCGCATCGTGAATGTCCGTAAATAGGTTAAGCAAATCTGTCTGTCGATGGCCCCTCCGCCAGGCCTCTACCGCTTCGCGCCCCACTGCCCTGGGGGCTGCGACGTCGCGGCGTCGTACATGGGCGGTGCATCTTCGTGCTCCGCGTGCTCCTGCACCGGCGACTCGACGATCGGCGCAGGCATCGACGGGTTCGGTCCGCGGGGACCCCTTGGGCTCGTCGGCTGACTCATTCCCCCGGACACGTTCGTGTTTATCGGTGCGGGTGCCGATGTGTACGCCGTGGATCCACTGTATGTTGACGGCGCGCTCGGCGCTGGGGACGGTCCGCCGTACTGCGGATAGGGAGATGTGCTGGGCGCGGGGACGACGTTCGAGCCGTATCCGCCGCCACCGAGCGTGTAGTTGCGCTCTGGAGGCGCGAGCGGCGGAACGTATGAGCTCTGCGCACGGTACGGGTTCGTGCCGGAGCCACCGCTCGGCGGTGGCGAGGCTGGGCTGGCGTTCATGTACGATGTGGCGTTGTATACGTCCGCGCTAAAGTTCGACTGCGGCATTGGAGGCGGCTGCGCGGCGAATGGATCGGCAGGGGGGTTCTGGTAGTCGGAGGCGTATTGCTGGTGGGTGACGGCAGAGTGGTCTGTAGTGCCGTTAGCGATCATTTCTACACTTTGATTTCACTTGATACTCACATGAGGAACCGCGAGCGGGGTGGCTGTACGATTGCGCGGTCGGTTGTTGCTGGTGACCGTACTGGCCGTAGGGTGCACTGTTGAGGTACGACGCACCAACAGCGGCTGCTGCGGGTGCCGCACCAGGGGGAAGGGCGTAGGGGTCTGCGTATGTGCTTTGGGCGTATGCAGACGTGCCTTGAGTGTGCCCGCTGCCTTGCCTCGAAGGATAAGTGTTCTTGGGCTGAGCCGGGGCGTTGTAGTAGTCATCCACCGCGCGCGTGCCAGGTGTTGCCTGAGCGTATCCGCCAGCATAGCGCGACGGCGCCTGGTTCGCCTGGCGAGAGTAGGCTGCGGTCCCGGCGCCGAGGCCAGCGCCGCCGGACGGCTGGTTCGGGTTGTACGGGAGGACTTCGCCACCCTCCTCGATGAACTGCTCGTCAGACTTCGAGGTCAACGGCTGGCGCTCGTATTCCTGGAAAGCCGGGAGACCAACTTCAGTCTTGCCCGCAGCCTGGCGGGCCTTCCTGTCTGCCTCTGCTTTCACCGCCTCCAGACGCATCTGGTCCGAGTACTGGCCGTCGGGTCCGGGACGTTCCTCCCTGTCACGACCGCGGCCGGATGGCCGGCGGCTGATGCAGCATCTGCCGAGTCCGTAGAAGCATCCGGCGAAGAAGAGCAGGAGGAAAGCAGCGAGCGTCAACCAGATAGAGATGCCCATCTCGGCGTGTCCGCCCGAAACATTGTTCACGCGCGACTTGGTGAGGAAGAAGAGGACGAGGTCGAAGATGAAGGCCGTCATGGCGATGGTCGCGGAGAATCCGGAGATGCAGGTGCTGCAGTAGGTCATGGACATCTCGCGGACGTGGGCGAGAAGACCGAAGACTGAGGAGATGCCAGCGAGCACGAGTGCAACGATGTGAAGGACGAGTGCGTAGGTGACCCATTTGACAAGCACGCTGGGGATTTTGATGATAGTGTTGTCGCCCAGGAGGGCGTTTACGTCTGAAGAGGGATGCTATAGCTCGGACTGAAGGGGCTTGCAGCGTAAGACTCACCAAGCTGGTATCCCACCGATGGTTTCGAACATGTCGTACCGTTAGGCAATGTTAAGCAGTATCCCAGTGTTCCAAAGGTGACAGACTCGGTGCTGCCATCTACTGTGACCGAGGCCTTGAGGAAATAGACAGACTTGATGATGGGGACATTGAAGGAGACCACAGCTAGAAGGATGGTCGCGATGAGGGTGACAAGAAAGCCTGGGGTCGCAGGGCGCAGGAGACCCATCGTGCAGCAAAGGTAGAGAAACCGATGGGTGTGTAGAAGAGGAAAAAGGGATGGGGGATAGGGAAGGAAGATGAGAGATGGAGGAGGGGACTGCGGGGAGTAGAGCTCGGACACGAACGAAGGCTGTGTCCGACGAGCTTCCTCAGGCGGAGCACCGTGACGACCATCCGACTGCAGACTCACAGGCGCCCGGCGTACTGCTCTCCACTGTCATTCTCTGCGCCTCTGCTGCGCCACGCCGACCCCCGTCCTGTGCACACTGCGCACTTGGCGGTCCCTGTCTTCGCACCACCCGCCCCTTGTTCTGTTTTTTGCTGCGAAATCCAGTCTGGGTGGAGGCAGACATCATAGCATCCGTTTCTGCCGAATATCCAATCCTGACATGGTTCGGAGACCGCCCACTGCCTTCTTTACAGCCACATCGCTACAGCTCAGACACCCCGGCGCTGTCCCCTCCCTCTTCGCTCTGCCGCCACCAGAGTACATGAAAGCCCTCTATCCACTCGCCCGCACTCGTCACCTTCTGCACCCTGACCGTGTCGCAGATCCCGAACCCCAGCTTCTCCAGCACTCGCCGGCTCCCCCGGTTCCCAATGATCGTCTCTGCCCGCACAACCCGCGCCCCCATTCTTGGAACAACCCACAATCGCATGAGCATGTTCAGCGCGCAGCTCATAATCCCCTGGCCATGCAGCGGCACGGTCAGATAATCTGGGGGCAAGTTTGAGTTCAGAGGTGCGTTCAGACGTTGTCCCCGTGTTACTCACAGCCTACACACCACACTATACTGGGATCGCCTCTCCTCCTGCTCTCGTTCCTGGCGACTAGGCGCTCTTGCTCCTTCTTATCCCGCACGTCCGGGAAGTTGCACCGACTGAACTCGATTGCGCCGAGATACACGTCCGTTCCGTCGTCCATCTCGCCCCTCAAGCAACTGACCGGGCAGCCGCTAACCGCTGCGAGCGGCCCTCGCGGTTGCTCTTCTTCGGCAACGCGCAACTCGTGCATCACCACGTCCGACTTCTCCTTCGTCTGCGCCACCCACTCCTGCCCGTGGCACTCCAGGTACGGAAAGGCCAGCCCATCGAGCCACTTCTTCACGGCCTCCGCGTTCAGTATTGCGACAATGTGAGGTACGTCTTCTCTCCGCGGCGGGGTAATGATGATGCGGTCGAACGGTTCGGGGAGGCGGAGGTATGGCTCGCCGGTGTTGGGGTGCCGCTGCAGGGGGTAGAACTGGGAGAAAGACATGGATGACGAACGCGTGCCTAGCGGAGCCGCCGCATATGGCCAGGCTCGACCCTCCCGTCCCGCCGACAGGGCTTCCCCTCCTACTCCCGCCGAACCTTCCTTTTGTTTGGCGATGGTGAGCAGAAGATGCAGGGTGCGTTGTCATCAGCTCGCTCTATTCGCGAGTCGTTGTTATGCAGACCGATTGGGCAGACAACGGTGGGATTGTTTGCGGAAAAGGCTGACAGAACTCAGCATCGCAGCGACCTTTTCTGGCCAAACAAGTCACTGGGCTTTAGTCGCTTGTACACGCACACAACTGCTCGCATCAAGCTCCATCATCTACCATGACTAGATGCTTCATTTCCCCATGCGTACACACACAAGCACGTTGATACCTAATACAAGCCGCAGGAACGCCACACCACCCGAAACGCCACCGAGCCACGTCCTACTCGGCCCGCCACCATAGAATGTCCATCCCGCTAATCTTCCTGCCCGAGTTCAAGAACTTGTTCTCCAGCGGCACCGTCTTCTCGTAGACGAACCCCAGCTTTTCGAAGACCTTCCTGCTACCGACGTTGTCGTCGAACGTCTCGGCGCGTATCTGGCGCACACCCATGCGAGGGATCCACCACTCGTTCATCAGGGTCTTGATCGCGGCCGTCATGATTCCCTTGCCTTGGTGGGAAGGCGCGATGTAATCTACGTACACGTTCAGCCGCACTCATAAATACACGACGCTGAATGAGCTCGTACCGCCGATGCACCAGATGATCTCTGGATCGCCGGCCGGCTTTTCCGCGTTGGGCTTCGAGAGGGCTTCCTTCGCCTCATTGTCCAGGACCTCCGGCCAACGCTCTCGGACGAACATGACGTCGCCCAGCAGCACATCCGTCCCATCCTCATGCACCTCTCTGATGATACGGACTGGGCAGCTATTGACCACGAGTCGGGGCTCGTCTGGATGCTCGATCTGCGCGCGTTCTAGCTCCTCGAACGCCGCGTCTGTATCCTTCTTCACATACTCCAGCCACGAGTCGGCGTGCTCCGCGTGGTATGGGAAGGGCGGACCGTCGAGCCAGTTATAGACCGCGGGACTGTTCATGTTCGCGATGACCGTGGCGGCGTCGCTCATACGCGATGTGGTGATGATGATATTATCGTGCGGGCTGGGGAGGCGCAAGAACGGCTCGCCCGTCCGCTCATTGAACTGGAGAGGGTGGAACTGCGAGCGGCTCATGGTAGGTGGAATTTAGACCCGGCCGTTGGACTGTCTGAGTACGCGCACGGAACGGCTGAGGATAGATGCGGAGAGCTGTGAAGGAGGCCGGAGGCGTGGCGGAACGTTAGGTGGTCGGTGTTAGCACTGAGCAAGGTCATCTTGACTGGCGTGAGCGGCCCCGAGAGAAATCGATAAACTTTCGCGCCAACTGCTAATTGTACACTGCGCAGATTGGACGATAGATGACTAGACCCGGTGACGCTGGAAACTAGGTGCCATTCCGAGAGTGAAAGAGTGCAGCATGTCGACTAGAAGCGGAGCGTTACCAAGCCACAATCCGCTACGAGGCCTATAGAAAAGCAGCAAGGCAAGTCATCCAGAGTCCAGTCCGGAGCAGTCGAGAGTGCGAACGGGAGCGAGACGCAACGCGCTGCCGGCTCGGGCCAGAAGGAACGGGCAAGGAACAGGCGCCGCCCGCCAATGGGAGCGAGCAGGCGACTCTCGGCACGTGCTACGGGCACACAAGCCGGCCCTAAAGCGATCGATAAGCAGGACCAGCGGGGCAGCAAAAGTTTGCAGACATCTTCACGCCGAGTTCTGCAACCCCGGCGAGCTTGCTCGACTCCTACCACCTCCTCACCTCCACCGCATACCCTGCGGTGCCCCGTACACCTTTTCCCTCCTTCCCCCTGTAAAATCTAGTCACCATGGTGTAAGTTCTGCATCCTCTCGCCTAGATCTGCGTGCTCGGTACTCATCGCAATTTTCATTCGCGGATGGCAGTAACTTCACCGTCGGTTAGTACTCGGTCGTCCTCAGTGCAGCGTTTCACGATAGCTGATGTTGCTGTTCTACAGACCAGATCCGTGGTCTCATGGACCGCCCGACCAACATCCGTAACATGAGTGTCATTGCTCATGGTACGCCCCTCCGATTTTCTCAGGAGTAGGCTCGGGCTCATTGGCACCTCCCTCTCCCCGCAGTCGACCACGGAAAGTCCACCCTTACCGACTCGCTCGTCTCCAAGGCTGGTATCATCGCCGGCTCAAAAGCGGGTGACATGCGTTTCACCGACACAAGAGACGACGAAAAGGAGCGTGGTATCACGATTAAGTCGACGGCTATCTCCATGTACTTCGAGGTCGACAAGGAGGACATCGGCGCGATTAAGCAGAAGACTGACGGTGAGCATTCATCTTACCGAGTCGGCTGCCTCATGGATCTGATCAATATCCGCCGCTACTAGGTACCGAGTTCCTGATCAACCTGATCGATTCCCCCGGCCACGTTGATTTCTCCTCGGAGGTCACGGCTGCTCTCCGTGTCACGGACGGTGCTCTCGTCGTCGTCGACTGTGTTGAGGGTGTTTGCGTGCAGACCGAGACGGTGCTCCGTCAGGCGCTTACCGAGCGTATCAAGCCCGTCGTTGTCATCAACAAGGTCGACCGTGCACTCCTCGAGCTCCAGGTTTCGAAGGAGGACCTCTTCCAGTCCTTCTCGCGTACCATCGAGTCCGTGAACGTCGTCATCTCGACATACCACGACGCCGCTCTCGGTGACGTCCAGGTCTACCCCGACCAGGGTACCGTCGCTTTCGGCTCCGGTCTTCACGGATGGGGCTTCACTCTCCGCCAGTTCGCTGCCCGCTACTCGAAGAAGTTCGGTGTGGACAAGGAGAAGATGATGTTGAAGCTCTGGGGCGACAACTTCTTTAACCCCGCGACCAAGAAGTGGACCACGAAGAGCACCGACGCTGACGGCAAGCCGCTCGAGCGTGCCTTCAACATGTTCGTCCTCGACCCCATCTTCCGTATCTTCGACGCCGTCATGAACTTCAAGAAGGACGCGGCCACCTCGATGTGCGAGAAGCTCGACATCAAGCTCGCTCAGGAGGAGCGTGACCTCGAGGGCAAGGCCCTTCTCAAGGTCATCATGAGGAAGTTCCTCCCCGCTGGTGACTCCCTCCTGGAGATGATAGTCATCAACCTCCCCTCGCCCGCGACCGCCCAGCGCTACCGTGTCGAGACCCTCTACGAGGGTCCCATGGACGACGAGTCCGCCATCGGTATCCGTGACTGCGACCCCAAGGGTCCCCTCGTCTGCTACATCTCCAAGATGGTGCCGACCTCCGACAAGGGTCGCTTCTACGCCTTCGGTCGTATCTTCTCCGGTACCGTCCGTGCCGGCCCCAAGATCCGCATCCAGGGCCCCAACTACGTCCCGGGCAAGAAGGACGACCTCTTCGTCAAGTCGGTGCAGCGCACCGTGCTTATGATGGGTCGTTACGTCGAGCCCATTGAGGACTGCCCGGCCGGTAACATCATCGGTCTCGTCGGTATCGACCAGTTCCTGCTCAAGAGCGGAACCCTCACCTCGTCCGAGACCGCGCACAACATGAAGGTCATGAAGTTCTCCGTTTCCCCCGTCGTCCAGGTCGCCGTCGAGGTCAAGAACGCCGCGGATCTGCCCAAGCTCGTCGAGGGTCTCAAGCGTCTCTCGAAGTCCGACCCCTGTGTCCAGGCATGGATTGCCGACACCGGTGAGCACATTGTTGCCGGTGCTGGTGAGCTCCACTTGGAGATTTGCTTGAAGGTCAGTCTCGAAAAATACGCATTAGTACACTCGATACTGATTATATGCGTGTAGGATCTCCAAGAGGACCACGCTGGTGTTCCCCTTAAGATCTCCGACCCCGTCGTTGGTTACAAGGAGACCGTCAAGGCCGAGTCTTCGATTGTTGCCCTCTCGAAGTCGCAGAACAAGCACAACCGTCTCTACGCCAAGGCGCAGCCCATCGACGAGGAGCTCACCCAGGCCATCGAGAAGGGCAAGGTCAACCCCCGCGACGACTACAAGATCCGTGCTCGTGTGCTGGCCGACGAGTTCGGCTGGGACGTCACCGACGCGCGTAAGATCTGGTGCTTCGGCCCCGACACCACCGGCCCCAACTTGCTCGTTGATGTCACCAAGGGTGTGCAGTACCTCAACGAGATCAAGGACTCTTGCATTGCTGCCTTCCAGTGGGCAACGAAGGAGGGTGTCTGCGCTGAGGAGAACATGCGTGGTGTCCGCATTAACATCCTCGATGTTACGGTAAGCCGAGTAAAACCATATTGTCGATCATGTCTAATTGCTTGTTTCTTCCCTTAGCTCCACACCGACGCTATTCACCGTGGTGGAGGTCAGCTCATCCCCACGTGCCGTCGTGTTACCTACGCTGCGTGCTTGCTCGCCGAGCCCGGTCTCCAGGAGCCCATCTACCTCGGTAAGCACCGGAATCTATGTCAAAGCATTGGTCAGATTACTTACGGCGTTCCCTCTATGCAGTCGAGATCCAGTGCCCGGAGAACGCGATCGGTGGTATCTACTCGGTGCTCAACAAGCGCCGTGGTCAGGTCTTCAGCGAGGAGCAGCGTGTCGGCACGCCCATGTTCACGGTCAAGGCGTACCTGCCCGTCATGGAGTCGTTCGGCTTCAACGGCGAGCTGCGCTCGCATACCGCTGGCCAGGCCTTCCCTCAGTGTGTCATGGACCACTGGGAGTTGATGAACGGAAGTGAGTGGACCCCCAAAACGTTATCATGCAAGTTCAGCCCTGACGCATTTTTTGCTTCTAGCGCCCATTGAGAAGGGCAGCAAGCTCGAGGAGCTTGTCCGGAGCATTCGTATCCGCAAGGGTCTCAAGGTGCGTCATGCCCGAATGTCATTTGAGTTTGACAGGATCACTGACGTCTGGTGTGCAGCCCGACATCCCTGCGCTCGACACCTACTACGACAAGCTCTAGAGGGGGTGTTCGCCAGCAGAAGTTTATCGATGTGCCAATGTGTCCTACCACTGTGTTATCAGCGTCCGCCGTCTTCTGTCACTAGCATCTCTCCGTACCGTGTTGTATTCTCTCACCCTCGCTCGAGCCGCTCGTTCGAAATGCATTTTTACGTCTTTCACGCAATATCATACCGGATCCCCTGCCTCGCCGCGCGCGTGTGTCCCCAGCTTCATGAGAGCCTCCTGCGAATCCTATGCAGCGAAGGACGCGAAGACGCAGATAGCACCAGTCACGCGTCCAGCCCCCGGTCTTCGCAGGGGCGGAAGACAGCGCGGCGCGTGCGCTCGACATCGGGGGTGCAAAGAAGACGCTGCTTCGGCGGTCAGACGACTGCGGCTGGGGACCCGCGGGTGCCGCCCGCGGAGGAGGAACGTCGGGCGAGCTGGGGACACAAAGCTGCTGAGAAGACGGGAAGCGGGCGCGGGCGAGTGCTCTCCGCGGCTTCTGGGAGTGCTCCCGCGCGCGGGGGGACGCGGTGGGATTCTGGGAGGGTTCTGAGGCTGCGAGTGCTTTTCTGGTGCGGGAGCCGCAGCTTGTGCTGTGTGCGCTATGCGCTATCCCTGACACTGACTGGAGGTGCGCGCAGCACCCGTCCGGGGTCGGACGCGGACGTCAGACGCAGACTAAGACTTACACGTACATCTCGTCAGCGGCCTGTGCAGCTGCGGCCTGCAGCTGATGATGCGCATGCACGATGCAGGGGGCGGACTCAGGAGATGGGGAGAGATGGAGATGCGCGTGCTAAATCCGCGCGCTGCCGCTTGCAGGAGGAGCGAGCCAGGCTCAGGTCCGTCGCCGCGCGAGTCCGGACTGCTCGAATCCGTCGCCCACGGCTGCCCGTCGACGCGGGGCTTCTCGTCTTCGCCCGCTTCGCGTTCGCGGGCGCTGACGTCACCGCACTAGTGCATGGGCCGATAGCACTTCTCCCATGACCTCAGCGTGTCCGCTCGACGTCCCCCTCCGCGTCCGAGGCCCATGTCATTTGGGGGAAGGCTGGGCAGGCAACATGTTCGTCGGGCACCGATGCTGCATTAGACGATTACAATAGCGATTTAGGACAGACTGTGGGTGTACTCTATATACTACGGATGATGATGGGTAAGGTGCGAGAGCAATGATACAATGGGGGAACGGACGAGAGTCAATAGATGTTAGAGAGAGCGAACCAGGCGCAGGTACGAGATACGAGTGATAGAGATATTAGAGGGGGGGTAGGACGCGACGGCGCAGCGCACCATCACGTCCGCCAGAAGAGAGAGAGGGGGACAGAACAAAACGATGCAGCGGATGATGAGAGCCCCGGAAGATGGTGTGCGAGCGAGTGCGCCGAAGAAAGGTGCCAAAAGTACAAACATACGAAGCCGGCGGACGGTGATGGTGATGAGAAAGAAGCCCGTTGCGCAGTGCACAGCACCACTAGTGCGCTGCACTCTCCCTCCCCTGGCCCAGCGCGTCCGCATCCGTTGAGGTGGGGGATGCGATCCGTGCCCAACATCACGCCAAGCGTCCGACGCGGGCGGGCGGGGACGCCGGGCGTGTGCGCGCGAGGCGCGGGCGGCGGCGTGGGGGGAGGCGAGTAGCGCGGGGAGCGCTCGCAGGGAAGAGCGGAGTGCGCCTGAGCGACGGGAGGGAAGAGTGCTCTTCGCGTGCTCGTGGGGAAGGCATAGGCGGTGGCTCATATGGTAGGATGGGGTGGGGGGATGGTCCGCTGACGGCGTCGCGTTCCGTCGGAGGAAAATCGAGGGCCAAGAGGGGGGAACGCGAGTGCGTCGAGGTCGATCATCGGCGTGCAACGTATCGCCAATAAAGGCTATTTGGTGGCTAATTGAAAGCGGGGTCAGCACGGTGTACGAAAGCATTACGTCGCGCGCGGGAGAGAGCTACACACCTGAGTACCGGGAGAGGACTGGTCTGCAGGGACAAAGAAAGTGTTAGTCGGTGGTGCGAGTACTGTCTGCGATGAGGACTTACGAGGTCGGATGCACTCCCAGACGTCTACACCTTTGCCCTTGGGGTCCCATACCCCGCATTGCGCGTGGAGCGGCCAGTAGAGGTTGGCCTCCCAGATGCGAGTGGCATCGGCGACAAGACCGGGCATGGCTTTAGGATGATGGGGGAGTGGTGCGGGGAAGAGGGGGAAAGAGGGCGGGATAGTAGGAGACGGAGAGGACGGTTGCTAGCAAAGCTTGTAGAAAAGGAGACCAGCTCGAGCGGAGGATTGGTTTATATGAGTCTGGGGGGAGAGACGCCGGGCGAGGACTGAAGCAATTCTCAATTCAGTGCGCCCTCCGGCGAAAGTGACATAATTTGTCCTTGGCAGCCAATCACATATTCGCACTATTCCGCGTGCGACAGGGCAATAAAGCAGGGCGGCCTTCCAATGCGCATTCTCCGCTGGGTGGTGCCGGGGGTGCCGCGTGCAGCGGGGGGCGATAGCCGTGTCGGAGAGTGAGATTGGGGCTGGATAATCGCGATAAATCCAGATCGGGAGGATGGTTACCATCGATAGGGGCGCCCAAGCGAGGGCGGCAAGGCGAGTTTGCTGTGAAGTCATCCGACGCGTCTGCAAATCTCGTGGTCCTCCTCCGACACCGCGTCACGACCGTCACAGACGCGAGATCCAGCGCGTGTCGTCCGCGTACGTACCGATCTCTGCCCGCTCGTCCTCGCAACCCGCTGGGACGACTGTGGGCCTTTGTATGCCGCTGTGCCACCCAAAATTTCTGACAGACCGCGTCTTCCTTTCACTGCCCCCGCTCGGCGTTCTTCCCCCAACCCGCGTTCGTTCCTGCTTCCGGCGCTGGACGCCCCCGCCTGCGCCTTTACCCAACCAGCACCTCCGGAGCTCACACCAGGCAACATTCCATCCTCACAGCCTTCCCTGCCCGGCCGATCTCCACCAGGGCGTCTCCGACCGCTCGACCGACGACCAGCGAGGGCCTCCGGGGCCAGACCGTTTTCTCCACAACTTCCCGCCAACCAGCCAATCCGCTTTGGCCGGCGTTCGCCGTCCCTGATCTCGACCGCCGCCTCACGCAGACGCTCCACAACGTCTCGCACTCCACCGTGTCCGGCGTCCATCGATACTCCAGCACATTGTACCAGATCGTACCTTGTGCGCTCCCAGCCTCGTGTATCGCCAGCTCATCATCATGCCAGCCCCGCCGACCGTCACCCGAACGCGGTCTCGAGACCTCCTCCGTCCCTATCCATCCCATCCATCCGTCCAACCGTGTGCTCCGCCGGAGCCCGGGCCCGGACGTCCAATCCCGCCAGGCGTTCTAGGTGCCCCCGTCTTCTCCGGGAATTTCCCCCAGCCACAGCGCAAAACTGTGGCAGAAAAAAAGAAGGTTTCGCGCGGCCCTGGAGCGCGCGCGCGCGCCCAATCGTATCACGCCCTCCGCAGCGCCATTGGCCCGCAGCCGCGAATAGGAGTGCGTCCGCCCTGGGCTGGTGGCACCCTCGCGCTCTGGACCGCGGTCGCGCTGACTCCACAGCGCGCACAGCGACCACGCCCCGGTGCCCAGAACCTCTCGCGCGCGTCAGCCTGCTGAGCCAGTGCGCGCGCGGGCCTGACGTTGCTCTGTAACGCTCGGTGCGCCCGCCGAGGTGCACGTATCGAATGGTGCTCTCCGGACTCCGGCGTTCTATTGGAAGAGAGGCTTAGAAAGTGAGTTACCCCGCCTGCCCCTCCGCCCGGCCGCACAGTCCGGCCGCGCCCCCGCACTTGGCGCGCGGCTCGCACACTGGGCTGCCAACTGCACGACGTGCGGCTCGAGCTCTGGAACGGCAAGAACGCAGTCTGAGTCCGACAGTTGATGCTTGCCCACGGCCGTACGCGTCCTTGGAAACCGATCAGGCACATCGACACGACGGGCTTCGGACGATATTGTGGGACAGTGGGATGGGCGCAGCAGCGCTTGCTGCCGCGCTCGCGCGTCCCCGATTCGCGAACTGTGTGTGGGCGCGGCGCGGGCGAGGTTTTGTACGTATTCCGAACACAGCGGCGTTGCACGGGTGCACACACGGCTTGTCACCCTCGTTCCCTGCGATCACGGTTCGTTGTATCTCGGGCTCGGTGCTTGAGGGGGCCATCTTTGGGGGAGGGTGCTGTCAGGAGTTAGGAGCGTGCGTGTTCTCGGTTTCGATCTGCCCGCGAGCTCTGCTGACGTCGCGTTAGCTAAACTTACGGTGATGCCGTGTTGAACGCTACCGGCGCGGTTCTCTTCTGCGCGATAGTCGTAGATATCTCGACATCTCGCTCGCGCTAGGGCTACGAGCGTCGCACGCGTACGAGAGGGGCGCTGACATAGGATGACATAGCCTGGCAATGGCAGCTATCTATTATGCGACATACCATGCCATGTATAGGCTAGTGTGGGCACGGCCAGGCGATGCAGTACGCGAGCGAAGAGATGCCCTGCATTCAATGAACCGCGTCCGGGCCACTGGCAGCTTCGCGCCCCCGCGGCCTTCTGCGCTTCCCCTCCGGATCGAAGCCGGGCGAAGGGCGATTGATTTGCGCGTGTGCGTAATAAGTCATAGCTAGCTCAGCGGCGGTGGCAGTCGTGCGAGATGCGCGGCCAAATATAGTCTGCACATCTTCCAAGCAGCCGCTGCACAGGCGTTGCACTGTGGCCATGGCGGATGGATCATGGCAGTCGCCGGCGCTGCGGCTGTCAGCACATCGTGCTGACCGTGTGCATCGAACTTACGGTGCGCTGCCGTCAGCCTTCCCCCGAGCGCGGGGGGTTCGCTGTCCACGGCTGTCGACCAGCCTCGAGGAGATGGCAGAGGCAGCGTATGTACATCCGGACAGTGGCAGCAGCTGGGCACGGCTGCGAAGCCCATCCGTCGCCAGCGCAGCGCGGGATGATCCATCTATAACTCCTGCTATATCGAGGACGTGGTGCGTGCGCACGTGGCGGCTGGGGCGGGAAATCAGCGCCGTCGGCAGGCAGCCACTGCGCCTCGGCCGTCTGGGCAGAATGCAGTTGCCTCTCCAGCACGGTCCGCAGCCTTGGCTTTGTCCTCCATCTGTCGCACAATTGTTCCCCTCGTCGTCTCTGCTTACCCCCCGCGCGCGCTCACTCGTTACTTTTGCTGCGGTCATCTGAGACGACAATATTACCCCACACCTTCCTTCACGCTCCGACCAGGACTTCAACGTTACGCCCGTCTTGCCACTACTTGACCTGCATCTACCGTCATGAAGCTTGCGACGAACTTCGTAACGCCGGCCGTTCTTTCTCTGCTCGCTTCTTCTGTGTCTGCGCTTTCGACGACTCGGAGGGCAACGACATGTAACGGACACGCCGAGGTATGTCTGCAAACAAAGCATGCGCAGCAACGCAACTGCGGAACGTACCGTTAACGGATGTCGCCTCTAGCTATGCGACAGGAGCTTCGGTAATGTCACCTTCGTTGGTGCTCACGACTCCTATGCTGTTGGAACTACTGGCTGTACGTACCAGCACCATCGTTCGCGGAATGCTGCTTAACCGTTAGCCTTGCGCGTCTACTATAGTTGCCGTAAACCAGGACTACAACAGTGCGTGTCCCGGTTCGTCTCTGCATTCTCATTCCGCTCACCGCAGACAGTCACCCAGCAGCTGAACGATGGCGTCCGGATGCTGCAGTCCCAGGCGCACAACCAAAGTGGCGTCATCCACCTTTGCCACACGAGTTGCGTAAGTGGTGCTTCTCCCACGTCCGGCGTTCCCGCCGTTTAATTGAATCCTTCCCATAGGGTCTCTTCGACGGAGGATCGCTGCAAGACTACTTGACTACAGGTCGGTACCGTCAAAAGCCCTATGCACGGAACTATTTTGACCGTGACATATCATTTTAGTTAAATCATGGATGGACGCCAACCCGAACGATGGTGAGTCTGAAACGGGGTTCCGGGCTACACGGGAGGCACTAGAAGCATACTCACGGCGCTGCCTCACATAGTGGTTTCCCTCCTGATCGTGAACTCCGATGACGTCGCGCCCTCGGAGTTCGATACGGTGTTTAAGGCTGCCGGGCTGGACACGCTCTCCTACGCGCCGGACTCGGCGTCACTCGCAGCGAGCGGCTGGCCCACACTCGGAACCCTCATTGATTCCGGAAAGCGCCTCGTCACGTTCATGGATGCGGAGGCGGACTTCACCTCCGTGCCCTACATTATCGACGGTGCGCCTCTCCCTCTGTCAGCCGCGTAGGATTGCGAAACTGACCACCAAGGCAGAGTTCACGAACGTCTGGGAGACCGCATACGATGTGACGGACACCACGTTTGACTGCGCCGTGAACCGGACGCACGGCGACTCGAGCACGCAGCTGTATCTCATCAATCACTTCCTGGACAAGCTGATTGCGGGCTTCCCTGCGCCGGACTCTGACAAGGCGAACACGACGAACGCCGCGAGCGGAGTCGGCTCGCTTGGCCAGCAGGTCCAGACCTGCTCCGCCCAGTACGGACGGAACCCGAACTTCATGCTCGTTGATGTGCGTGGCCGTCTTCTCGCCCCGGCGGCTCCCACAGGCTGACACACTACCTCTCCAGTTCTACGAGTTCGGGAATGGTTCGGTGTTCCAGGTCGCGGCTGACGCCAACGGCGTGACTTACTCCCCGGCGACGCCCGTTGCGACGCCCCTCTTTGGCAGCACGAGCACCAGCAGCAGCTCGACCGGAGTAACTACAGGAGCGGCGAATGGCGCCGTGGGCATGCGACTCGGCCCCGCGCACTTCGCTGCCTCGCTCGCCGTCATCGGGGGGATCGTGGCAGGCGCATTGACCGTCCTGTGATTGCCCCGAGACGTCATCTACTACATTATGCCTACGGACCGTCGGACCTCGCATCGCTACTACTATGTACGCACCGCATCTGGACATCACTAGCTACACTGGCTGTCAGCCGTAATCGCATCGCATTGCATTCGTCGTGTTTTTTTCACGCTCTCCGCACCATACATTCCATGTCCGAGTCTGCGAGAAATGAACGAGACAGCAGCATTTTAGCGCAGACGCCGTGCAGACGAATGGCCGTGGTGTCGGTCACGCGGCAGCCCGGGTCGGCGACTCCGGTGCGAAGCGCGAGCGGCGACTGGCTCGCGCTCACCAAGCCGCTGCACTCATCCTCCGCCGCCACTCGCGCCTCTCCTCCGCCACGATGAGCTTCCAGGCGTTCAGGATACACCCGCCCGGCGGCCAGCAGACGTTCGGCAGCCTCGACGCCTCCTCCTCGCTCTCCCCGCCGACGTTCGGGCAGATCTCCGGCGACGCCAACGGGACCCGCAGCGTGCAGTCGCCGTCGACGACGTACACCGGCAACCCGCGCAAGGGCCTGTACGGCTCTGGGGAAGCGGACGACCGGTACACGCTCGTGTTCGAGTCGCTCGACGCGTTCGAGGCGTGGCGCCAGCACGAGGAGGAGGAGAAGATGGTCGAGTTCGTGAAGGGCGACACGCACGCGTCCAAGGCCGTCCCGCCGCGCTTCAAGGAGCACATCAAGCTCGTCTGCGGCCGCCACTCGCGCGGCGGGCGCAAGAAGTACGTGAAGAAGTACCCGGACAGGGTGCGCAAGGTCCCGAGCAGAAAGGTACGTGCGCGCGGCCGGTGTGACAGGGCGCGCGGGGCGCGCTCGTCGTCGTGTGCGCGGGGGTGTGTGTATGCGGGGGGAAGGGCGTCCGCTCATGCTGTTTAGGTAGCTTGACGGTATCGGCTGCTCGGCGTCGATCAGCTACAAGACGTACTTCGACACGGACGAGGTCCGCGCGTGCTGTGAGTCGCCCCGCCGCCGGCTCGAGCTCTCGCATATCGGGCACTGAACGGAAGGACAGATGTCGCGGAACACTCGCACGATATCGGGCCCGCGAACTTCCCGTTCACGAAGCGCGGCCGGAAGGCGCAGGCAGAGATAGATGCCCAGACGGCGGGCGAGCGTCCTCGAGGCCGGCCGCGCAAGGACCGCGGGTCGATGACGCCGGCGTCCCAGAGCCCCTCGTCGGCCTCGTTCATGGACGACGGGCACAACGCCATCGCGGGCCCGTCGTCGGCGTCGACTTCGATGAACCAGGACGTGCCTTCTTCCCCGGAAGGGATGCAGGCCCCGCCACAGACGTTCCAGTCCGCCATCTCAATGCTTGCGCCCCTGCCCTCGGTGCCGCCGCTGCAGCAGCCGTCCCTCGACGCCACGCAGGACCGTTGGGAGCGCATGGCTGTTCTCTTCCAGAGCGTCCGCGACCATGCGCGCGGGTTCGAGTTCCCGACGCCGTCCGTCGCTGCGCTCGAGAGCGTGCTCATCCGTTTGTATCTAGAAAGTCCGATTGGAGGATCGATACCGGGACCGGCGGGTGCGTCCATGGAGGCGATGCACGGAGGGGCCGGGATGGGCGACGCCAACCACCACGGAGCCGGGACATAACGCATAACGTTCGGCCGACCTTTCCCTCCATCCTTGTCCTCGACCCCGTCCCATTCCCTTCCGTTCTGTCAGCGTAGCGTGTAAATATAGCGTCTGTGGTTATTTTTCGTGGCTTTTCCCTCCTACCCCGCGCCCTATATTTTTATTTCTTGCGACTGGCCCCTTTCCTTACAGCATGCCATAGTACAAATTTTCAGGTCCACGGTGACCTTTTTCATGTTTCGTATGTATTGGCGGGCAGCCGGCCCGGGTGGCGATCGAGAGATGTTGTTAGGCGCCTGTAATGTCCATTTTCGAAACTGTACTGAACGCATTCTGCCACAAACCTCGACGCCCCCTTGCGTCCAGCTCGACTTGACTGCTTGTCGCGATACCCGTCATAACTGTTGTAAGCTATGTCGTCTCTCAAGAACTCCCTACACAGGAAGACGCACAAGGAGCGTTCGCAGCTTTCGCACCGGACACGCCTCGGTTTCCTCGAGAAGCACAAGGACTATGTGCTCCGCGCGCGCGACTACCACTCGAAGCAGGACCGGATAAACCTCTTGCGGGAGAAAGCTGCGACGAGGAACAAGGATGAGTTCTACTTCTCGATGACGAAGGAGAAGACGGAGGTACGCTTGCTTGCCTTCCACCCGCTCATGATCCGCTCACTCACGTTTGGGCGCGCGCTGTCAGGGTGGTGTACATGTGAAAGATAGAGGGGCTCAAGCATTGCCAACGGACATAGTGAAAGTGCTCAAGACGCAGGACGAGAACTACCTGCGCACCATGAGGGCCGCGGGGCTGAAGGTACGCGCGCCGTTCTCGCACCCTCCTCCCCGGCCGCATCTCTGACTACGTCCGCGCTCCTAGAAAATTGACAAGCTGAAGAGCCAGCTGACCCAGCTTGCGGACCTCCTAAAGCCCGGAATGCTGAACGGCGAGGACGACGCAGACGAGCTTGACGAGCAGGAGCTCGAGGCTCTGCGGGAAGCGGGCGTTATTGCCCCGGAACCGAAGAGAGCCCGCCGGAAGTCCCACAGCAATAAGGGAAAACATGTGTTGTTTGCGGAGGATGCGGCAGAAGGTACGTCGGCATTCAATGGTTACCCGTATGCCCCGCTCATCTGGACCGTGTAACGTATAGCCCGGCAATATGCTGCTTCTAGTCGCAAATCCTCGGATTCGCAAGAGGACGTCAAGATGGACGTGTCCGTAGAAAGCGCCGTGGACCTTGGCTGGAAAGCGCCTGCGGAGGCGAAGCGGAAGAGGAGAAAGTCGAAGGCGGATGCAGATGCTGAAGAGACGACGCTCGACCAGAGCTCAATACAAACGGCAGAACAAGCGAAGGTTCGTCCATCGCAGTGCTCACCTAGCGTGTACACATCAACTCATGCGCCTCACAGGAGCATCGCACACGCCTCTTGAAAGAGCTCTCTGCACGTCTCGTACGAGACCGCCACCTGCGCTACGCGGAGCGCGAGATGGAGATGCAACGCGCGTTAATGGGCAAAGGTGGAGCGAAAAAGATGAGCGGAGTAGAGAAAGTCACTCAGGATGGCGACTCGGACGATGAGGACGAGGACCGGGGTCCTAAGAAGGTCGACGAGCAGACCTGGAAGCCGAGAGTCTACAAGTGGCGCATCGAGCGCAAGAGGTAGTAGTGGAATGTATCCCGGCTCATATCTGTCGTTTGTGTCTGTCTTTGCTTTGCTATGATATCACGCATGCAGTCGTCACAATCGAGACTATACTTTGAACCGCACAAATGTTCGATGAAGACTGACTCCTGAATAGAATGATATAATTCAGATACACATGGTAGATCACAATACAACTTCTCAGCGCGTTCTATACAATATGGTGACACAAACATACTAGAACACCGAGCGTACAAGTACTGCTTGCTTACACTTCTTGCCACCTTTCCTTCTTCCCAGCACCGCCTCATAGTTCAATGGAAAGCGGTCAGAGTGGATCGGCAAAAGGGTCCTCCAGCAAGCCCTGCTTCGGGTTCCGACGGACATCCGCAGACTCGTCGTCGGAGACGTCGACGTATCCTCGCCGGCGGGGCTGCCCCGAAGACGACGCGACGGCGCGGTTGTGCGTCTCCTCATCGGACGAGTGGTAGTCGCTGAAGTCCGAGAGGGAGCCGCGTCGCCACGCATCGTCGTCTTCCGACGATGAACGCGGTACTGACGGTCGAATCGGGGGAGGCAGACCGCTATCATCGGGGTTAGCGGGTTGTGTGTGCAGCGCGAGGCGGCCTGCTCACCTCTGCTCGGCGCCCAAAGCACCGAACTCAAGGTTCTGCAGGTCGGGGTGGACGTATGACGGGCTCGTTGGACTGGCAGGGCTATCTTCGTCGGAGTCTGGCCGCGTGCTGGAAGACCCGACGCGACCAGTCGACCGTTCGATCGCCGCGCGCTGCCTATCCTGCAGCTTGCCCAGCTGACTGTTCGACAGCTTCGTAGCGGCGAGCCCCTCCTGAATCGCCTTGACCTGCTGTTCTGATGTATCTGGCTTCGAGAGCTAGAGTGAAAGGTGAAACGATGAGCGGTGGTGTGTTGCTAGACGACAAAGAAGCGCACCAAGTCGTAGTTCTCCAACGCTGCGATGATGCGGTCGTTGGTCTCGATCAGAACGCCGATCATGTCCTCGTTCTCGACAAGCTATCGGCACTAGTGTGAATAGGGGTTGTTGCGGTCACTTCGATGATCACTTGCCTGGATATAGCGGACAATCTGCTTTCTTACTTGCTTCACGTTGGTCAAGCATTCTTGGACTCGCTCATTTGTCTCCAGGCTATCTTGGGCAGTGTTTACGAGCTGTCCCGCATAATCAGCATCGCTAGAATGTTCGACGCCACATTTACTTACTGTCATGGCGTTCACTAGATTGTTCGCCGCTTGGGAGGCGTTAGCGATGGAAGTAAGAATCTGCGGTTTCTCCTACAACACTATGAATATGCAGCGTTACGGGTGGCGGGTTAATCGTACGCACCTGCTCGAAGTTGAAGGGCTTTCGCTTCATCTTCGGTTGTGCAGCCTTCCGTTTTCGCTCCTCCTCTTCCACCTTCCGGCGCGCTTTGTCTTCCTTGGCTTTGCGCTTCTCTTCCTCCCTTCTCTTCCTAGTTTCGTCCTCTTTCTTTTTCCGCTCAATGTATTCGGCGTCCACGCCAAGACCAGCGTTGACGTTATCCAGTGCTCGCCGATCGGTGCTCACACGAGTGGAGTGTGCAACCTTGCACTGCTTGTACAGGTTCGCCACAAGCGTCATAGAGGGGTCATCCTTGAACTGCAGATGCCATGCTGCGAGCACGGAGGCAAGCTTCTTCTTCACCTTGTGGTCTGTTGCGGCATCCGCGGCGAGGTTCTTGATCGCATCTGTGAGTTGGTGGTCCGCGAATGACGCTGCGGCGGTCTAAGTACGGCCCGCTCCCCGAACCTTGACAGAGGAGACTCACTCTGGAACTTGTGGCCGCCGTTCTCGACGATAGCCTTCAGAATCTGGGGGTGCGTGAGCTCGCGAGTCACTTTGGCGCCACAAAGGGGCGTACCACGAGTGCGCGGTACTGCTGATGAGGGTTTCCGTGCTTGAGCTTCTTGCGGACCGCGCGTGAAGCTTCCGCAGGCCTTATGCTTGGTTAGCCCAGGACATCCGCATGCAGCGGGATTCGCTCACCCTGTGGCTTGAATATTGATGGAATCCACTAATTCCGGGATCCTAGGACAAGTCGGATGAGATCGCACTCACGAGTGCAGACGGGCGCAGCACATACCCATCGTACGCCTCCTCTTCGTAGCTGCTCGAGGTGAGGATCTCGACCCATTCCGTAATGGACGACTAGAAGACTGAGGTCGGGAGGGTGCCCGCTTGGGCGCGAAGAGGACGTACATGGGGCTTATCGCGGTTGAACGCGGAGTATGCCTGTTTTGCGAGCGAGAGCGCAGACATGGTGGCGAGAGAGTGGTGGAGGTAGAGAGAGAAGGGAGTTGTGGAGGGGCCGGGACTGCCGCGGCCGCTTTGCGGTACACATGATGTCTAGCGCGACAGCGGCGGAGGCGCCCATGAGCATCATCGTTCACGCTGCGATCACTCCGTCTGTCCTCCCGTCCCTGATGACGCCGGATCGCCGCCTTCATTACCTCGCTCTCCGTCTGCCCCCGACGCTCAGCTATCCGTGCACGACGCGCGACCACAAATCCACCGACGCTCACGATAACCATCTGCCGACATCGCCCGCACGCCACGGACTTTGACGGGCTATCCAGTGTCAAATACGGGCGATACCTGGCTTCCAGAGAAGGGGCATGTGATTAGCTGTGTCGTTATAGGCGGTGTACGTTGTCTGTATACTCGTGCGCAGTGCGTTCACCGCGTACCATCATACCCACTCAATCAACCCCCGCGCGTTCCCCCCAACCCAGAACGGCTGCAGCGCCTTCGGCAGGCGCAGGCCCGCGACATCGCCTGCGTCGTTGAACACTGCGCCGTTCTCGACCAAGGCCACGATGAGCCGAGGCACGGCAGCCGCAGTCCCATTCAGTGTGTGTACGAACGGCAGCGCAGACTGCGCTGCATCCGCAGGAGAAGATGAGGATGCGACGGCTGCACGGCGATACCGGATATGTAGTCGACGGGCTTGGTAGTCGGTGCAGTTGGACGTAGACGAGATTTCGCCCCAGCTTCCTCGGCCAGGCATCCATGCCTCTGCATCGTACTTGCGGTATGCGCTCGCGCCGAGCTCTTCCGTTGGCATCTCGAGAACCCTGTGCGAAACAGTGTGAGCGGATGTCAAGTATTCACGGGTCGCTCGACGCACCTGAACGAAAGTCCTAGTCCCTCGAAGATCTCAGTCTGCAGCTTGCGCATCTCCTCCATCATCTCCTCGCTCTTCTCTTCCTCACTCAACGCGAACAACTCCAGCTTCGTGAACTGATGGACACGGTACAACCCGCGCGTGTCCGCACCCCTCGCACCGGCCTCCGCTCGGAACGCGTGCCCAAGCCCAATCACCTTCAGCGGCAGCTCGGTCGCTGAGAGTATCCTGTTCGCGAACATACCAGCAAGCGGAATCTCCGCTGTCCCCGCGAGGACGAGTTCCGGGTGGTTATGGTTCTCCGCTGCGCCCGGGTCCGTGGTGTGCATGAGATGATATGTCTGCGAGGCGGTCCCATCTACGGGGTCGCGCGGTTGGAAGCCGCACCGACGGGCGATGTCCGACCGAACAACGTCGGGGGTGGTGACAGGTGTGAAGCCGTGTTTTATCGCCGTGCTCAAGGCGTAGTTCACCAGCGCGAGCTCGAGGAGCGCACCCTCGTTCTTAAGGTAGTACCACGAGGAGCCCGCAACCGTCGCACCAGCTTCCAAGTCGATGAGGTCGAGCGCGCGGCATATTGCTACATGGTCGCGTGCGGGGGAGGCAGGGATGAGTTCAGGCCCGTGTGTGGACAGCGTGACCGCGACAGACTCCGGGCCTATAGGTACGGCAGGGTGCGTGTCATTGGGGATGGCCAACGCGAGCGTGTGCAGTTCTTCCTCGAGGCTAGCAGCGCGATTCTCCAACTCCGAGATCTCCGCCTTGAGGGCCTTCGCCTCGTCCAGCGCAGCCTGCTTCTTCTGTGGGTCTTTCGCGAGGCTTCGTATGCGGTCACCTACGGTCGAACGCGCATGTCGTTTCGTGTTCAGCGTTTGCGAGAGCTCCTTTTGTTCCTCGTAGAGTCGGGCGACCGTCTGGACGGCACCCACGGGCAGCGCAGCCTTGCGGTTGAACGCGTTGTGTGACTTGAAGAAGACGTTTTCGGAGATATCGCGATAGTCTAGTCGGGGTTTCGGAAGGCTCGTGGAGGCTGATGGACCGCGTTCGGGGGCGGAAGAGAACGCGCGGGACCTTAGACCTCGACGGAAAGTGAGTTGGGGCGTACGCGCGGATTGGGAGCGGGGTGATGCTCACGACAGCACCGGCGTAGACATGCGCTGTGCAGCCAGCGGGTTGAGTAGGCTGGGTTCATCTTCGCGCGTTCATGTGCGGAGGAAGGGAGAAGAGGGAGGAGGCGAAGAGATTCGGCTCGGTGCGCTGGAAAGTCTGGTGCGCGCTTGCCACGCGTGTCTCGCTAACGGAACGCGTCGAGACGCGCCGTCGATCATCGGGCATTTCCGAGAGTGTGCGACCTACCCTGCGGCAAGCGTAACTCTCTCAAGACAAATGAGCAACAAGAAAATTCGTCATTGAATGCTTTACGGTGCTTATAAAAAGGCAAAATAAGGAAGTCCGCGAGGCATCAGCAAGCACCCAAGTAGACACAGAATAATGACTGCCAGTGTGTTGAATTCGCGTGGAAACAATAGGTAGGACTAGTAGCGGAGAAAAGAAAACAAGAGCGGCTTGTACGACTCGGAGTGTGCACGTCCAATGACAATCGGCCAGGTTATTAGACTACAGATGCGTGTTGTTCCAGAGCGACCGGACGACGAAGTCCGACGGGGACGGGTGCGCGACAGTCGACAACGCTGCGGACTGCACGAAGCGCACTGCGAAGGGGTATGAGCGATCGCTGTAAACTACACTGTACCAGAGACATTCAGACTCACCGGTGCGGTCTGAGCCCGGAACGAGGTAGAAGCCGTTCAGAGGCTTGTTGGACGTCGTATCTTCGAAGTAGCCCACGGTGCCCGACGGGTGGTCCAACCAAGTGAAGGGCGCAACGCCGCCATGCGCAGAAAGCATGAACGTGAGATCATCACTGGAGGTGACCTTGATCTGGGGGTCAACGAGGTTCGCATTGGCCAGCGACGTCGGCACGAACTACCGTTGGTATGTCAGACTCCAGCATGGTAAATAAGAGAAGATTTGCACGTACGTGCTGCTCGTGCGTTACGGTCTCGCCGTTAACCCGCGCAGTCAAGCTAAGGAGCATCCACACGTCCTCGGCCTTGGATCCAGAGGGCAGGATGTTGTCGAGGCCTTGAGCCGTGTACACCACTGTGCTGTTCAGGCTGGGGACCGCGAAGGCGTGCGACGACGTGTGGAGCGAATTGCCGAGCCAGTCGTACCACGTAAATTGCACGGTACCATCCACAGTCTCCCACAGATCGGACGTCACCGAAACCTCCAGGCTCTCCGTCTCGGGCACCCAGAACGGGTACACGATCACCGGCGTGTAGATGTTCTCCAACCCGTACTGCAGCACCTTCCAGCGGCCGGAGTACTCGATCGCGGACCAGCTCACCCCCTGCCAGATGTCGTTCAGCTGCCAGACGGTCGCGCCGAGGTTGTTCTCGCCGCGCCCGGAGCCGCGGCGGTAGAACGCGATCTCGGACTGCATGTAGAGCGTCTGGAACACTTGCGTGCTCCAGCACCACTGCGCGAACGTCTGGTTCGAGTCGGACGTCCCAGGGGTGGGTAGCCAAAGTTCGACGGCGACAGTCATCTCCTTCTGGCCCTCGGGTGCTCGCGGGTTTGGGAAGGTGAGACTGGTCGCAGGAGGGTGGTGGTCGCGCGACATCACGACGGTAGAGTTGAACGAGAAGTCGTCAGGAGACTCGAGGACCTCCTCCCAGCTGTAGAAGGAAGGCATAGAGGGGAAGCTTGGGGATACAGCGACTTCAGTTACTTATGGGGGCGGAGCGGAGGGGCTTGGTGTGGTACTCACCCGAACTCGTTCACAAACCTAAGCACAATCAACGGTTGAGAGCGCCATCTTATGACAGTGAGAGAATGCCTCACCTAGCCACCGGGTATGTGCTGTAGTTGAATGCTTGAGAGGGGTCATAGTTGTAAAGCTCTGAAGTATCGATGGGCGATTAAACACTGCTGGTGAACTTCTGACGAGGGCAATAACGTACCGGTATTTCCGTAAATATTGCCTGGGACCACGTTGTCCAGCCGCAGAATGTATGGTTCCAGGCTCAGGACACCGTTTGTCGTCGAACAGGCGGTATACGGAACCTTCCGCACTGTGAGTCGCTTCCAGTGGTAGAAGGTATCAAAACGTACCGATGACTGCTCCTCCAAGACAATATCGTGTAGGAAATTTTGGAAGATGTGCAAGAACTACGAGCACGCTCGGGTTAGCCCAGAAGAAAAATGGGCGTAGGGTGCAACACTCACGTTGTCAATGAAGCGTGGCTTTAAAGGGCCCGGAGGAACAACGACTGAGCCCAGGTCAACAGGGACGGTGCTGCTGTTCAGCAGCCTGATTATGACCTCGATTTCGTTACTGCCTGCCCACTGCACGTTGCTAGGGTGCTTCTTGATTCGCCGAACATTCTGCCGTACTTCGCGCTCGACCGAGTCCAGGAAGAAGTCGTTCACGGGGTAGGTCGAGTCGGAGAAGCCGAGTTCGGACCAGACGAGGATGCCGAGCTCATCGCAGAGGGAGTAGAAGTCGTATCCACCGGTGAGCTCATCCGAAGGCTGGTAGATTCCTCCGCCCCAAGCGCGCAGCTTTATTGACAAAAAGAAGTGAGTGACATGCACGCAAAAAATTGATGAGCGGGGTTGACATACCATGTTTTGCCCACCCTTGACCACGCTCTCTAAAATCCAGCGGACTTTATCCGTAGTGATACGAGGGTAGAATACATCGAGCGGAGTGAGGTTTGAACCTTTCGAGTATATCGTCTTGCCGTTGACCTCGAAGTGCCACTGGTCGCCAGGCGTTATGCCGCGTTGCTCGACGTCTTCCTGCGAGTACGGTGTCTGGACGAGGAATGTCGTCCGGAAGCCGGATCGAGTAGTATACGACGCCGCGGGCAGCCCAGCCACGTTCAACATCATAGTGATGTTGTACAGCTTCGGCGTGCCGACGGTGTGGGGGTACCAGCGCTGCGGCAGGCCCTCCGGAACGGTGAACGCAGCACTAACGAAGGTAGATGTGTCGGTCGCAGCAGGGATCGCGGAGAGCTTGAGCGGACCCGAGTTGACGTTCAACTCGGGGATGGACACGATGATGGTAGGGTTGGGATCAGCACGGATGGAACGGATTGCGAGCGTGACATTGACGAGCCAGTCCGCGGACTCGTCGGGGCGCACATTCGGGTTCTGTCCGACCTTCGTGATCTCGAGGGTGGACTCTTCGATGAATAGACCGTTGGATTGAGAGACGAGGAGGGGATGCGAGACAGGATTGTTGTCTGCTGCAGTGCCGTCCGCAGCGTCCGACAACGTGACCAGGTAAGCGGGCTTGAAGACACCTGACGGTGCGAAACCCGGAGCCTGGGGGGATGAGTTGTATGATGAGGAACCTATCATCTCATATGCAGAGGTGGCGTACCCAGTCCCATCCGAAGTCGGATCCGATCTTGCGTATGAATTGGCGCACGCCTGTCCATTCAAACTGAGGATAAAACGATGAGATAAATTCTGCGACCACATGCCAGGCGTGTACCCACGTCGATCGTAATCTCCTGCTCCACGTCCGCACGGGCGCTGACGTTCTGCCCGTACGTGATGGGGGACTCAAACGCGATGGTCAGGGTCGTGTCGTTATCCGCAGGCGACGCTAAGTAGTCCGTAACGTCGTAGACATACTGCTGAAACTGATTATTGACCCATGCGAGAGGATGACCGGCGACAGTCTGAGGACTAAGCATTAGTAAACGGAGGTATATGTGTGAGAGCGGGCTGCTTACAATGTTGGCAATAGTATCAAGCCCATAAAACACCAGAAGATTCTTGCTGCTGCTGTTGTCCTGCGAACGCTGAGCTATGATCAAACTGAGGTCTGCTTGATAGACCCAGCTGTCGGTGACAATCCACCTCTCAGAGAAATCTAGACGTGATCCGGGGTCAGTCCCAGAACATACGACGGCTTGACGGGCTTGTAGACAGACGTACCGTTAATGCCCAGCAGCGGTTCGGTGATGACGTTCGCCTTTGTCAGATCCAAGTGGACCTGGGATGGTTGCTGGGCAGAGACTTTGATCTGGCCCTCCACGTTTTGCAGTGTCCAGTTGAGCTGCGAGAGACTGAGAACTTCGGCTGCAGCAAAGGCTGCTCCAGAGGCTAGGGTCAGCAAATGCAACAGCATTCTGTGGGGAGGTTCGAGAGAAGAAGGCCAGGGCTAGGATGGTGAATGTACACCATGAGAGCCTGGAGATTTATACGACCCAGCAGGCGTGAGCGTCTTCATTCCTGCGCCCGGGTGTAGGCTAGCACTCGGCGCGCCGTACGGGCAGTCTGCCGAAGTTGAGGGCGCTACAGAGCCCGGAACGACTTAGAAGCCTGGATCAGTCGGGATATCTTCGCCGCATGAGTACACGGACCCATCGCAATGGATTGTGTGGTGCTTGCCCGGTTGACTGCGGCCCTACAATTGCGCCGTTGAGAGCCGTTGTTCACTACGAGCTTCTTACCTTACCCTCCTACGGTTTGCTTTGTCTCTGGCTTCGAGAAGACTCGAAAAACGGTATGACTCATTCGCACTATCGTAATGGGTCCCGTACTCGGGCGACGCTTGCCAGAGGGACTTAACCCACACAGCAGATATGTTACCCACTAAGTATCGCGCGGTGTCAGCGGTGTAACGACATTTCGCGTAGCGCGGGTTATCCTCAGATGCAACGGTGCTGCGCGGATGGCTTGTTCTGTAGCATCGTGAGCAGTGTGAGCAGCTTAAGCCAACTTGGACTTACTAGTACAGAGCTCGTGCAGGCAATGTTTGAGCGTGGGCGAGAGAAGATGTCGATGCGAAGTTCGTACTCGATCCGATCCCAATGGAGAGCCAAAGACACACGTTGGTTACATCTGAGAAGGGAATTGTAAGAGCTGCAGCGCGTGAATGTAGTGGTAGTCGGCGGCAAGGACACAACTTGCTTGAACGCGGGAGCAATAGTACGTACCAGCACAGCCATCCTCGTCACTTCAATCCCGAAAAGGCAATATGCGATGTTGACCACACGCCGTCACCACCCTCTGCAGCCCCCCGCCGACCCAGCGTTACTACCTCCTCAACTCGGAGACCACTTCCAGAACCGGAGATACTGTGCAGACGGTGCACAACCGTTCTTAATATGCACATACGGGGACATTGAGTACTCGTCACCGGAGGCAAGTACTCTATACTTACTGCGGCCAAGCGCGGCATTGTGACACGCTGTGCCGGCTACAACGAAGGTGCGTGCTGCGTACGTCAGTAGCGAAATCGTAGAATACTGATCTACATTCTATGACAGAGTTTCGGGCCGCGAAAGGGCTGTTCACTGCCAGTTTGAGTAAGCTCTTTGACTCCCGGGGGCCGGCCTGCACAAGTTTAGTGGTCCGCATTCAACTCAGGCTGGTGGCAGGGACACCTTCCAGCCCTTGCAATTGAGTACCGCGAGACGCTGTGAAGGCCACGTCGGAGGTGAAAATGCTCACAGCCTTCTTCCAGCCGTATTGCGCGGCCGATCGAATCTTGAACCAGGGCTTAACGGATACCTCGGGCTCATTGCCCTCACACGGCAGAACCTCGTGTTCCCAACGTCAGGGACATCCACAGTTGCGTGCTTGCCTGCGGAAAGTTCGTCTTCAGTTTGTTCGAAGCGCTCGGTGTACTGTAGGCAAATGCCAGCTCACTCCGACTGCTCATCGCTTTTTGTGAACGATAGGGTCGTATCGGTGTCTCCAACACTATCGTCAATACCAACCTGGGAGCGCGATATCGCAACCGCGACATGACGTTTGGGCGGCCGCTTTCCTGACACGACGCTCCAGGTAACATCTCCATCGAAGGCCGAAGCGCAGGGTATGTCGTGTTTCTAGATTTTTGGCGCAGTCAGCTGGATATAACTATAACCGGCGCCCGGCGTGGAACCTGACAGCATGCTCTGCCTGACCTATGCAGTGTCGCCCGCATCGGAGCTGGCATGGCACCGGCAGAGAACTGTGTTGCTATACTCGGTTTGGAGCTCTTCATGTCGCCCTCGTCAGCGGACCCGGGATAATCTCCGCCCGTGATTCAGGAGTTGCGGTGAATTGGAAGAGGATATTTTTGGACGGAGGGGACCCGGTGAAAGGAGTGCGTCGCCGCTAACAAATTATCGCGGATCGCCGTCCTTGTGTGCACGCGCTTGCGAGAGAGCTGGAAAGTCCTGCGCATCGTATTTGATAGTGGAGTGAACGGTCGTCGGTTGCTAGGACCTTGCTAGTGGATGCGCTAGAATGAGCCCTTGAACTTGGGAGTTTTTACTCATAGGTACTATTCCTCAATATTTTAACAGTGCTCCGCCTACTGCTGTCGCGGAATTTATCGCAGGATGAGACGTACCCGGCCGACCCTGCACTGGCATACAGTTGTCGTCTCCCTTTAAATGATCGTTGGCCATACGGCTACCGAGCGCGCCGTTCGAAGCCCGTAAAGGCAGCGCGCACGCATACCTTCTGCTAGATTGCCCTTAAACTTGACCCTATGGGAACTGCGGGATGTCTCCTGAAAGCCGCGGATGCAAGGGCCAGATATCAGCCGCGCAACCGACAGGAAGTTGTGGTGACTCTATAAGCTTGAGGCACGTACCAGGTACTGAAGAACGTATGAAACTATGTGCTAGTTTGGGTGAGATCGGCGGTGAAGGCTCCGGATAAGCCTGCCACGATCGGGGGGTGACGTGTATAGACGCGTCTGTCACGCGTACGTGACATGGGCGACGCGTCTGCGACGCGACGAGCCAGTCACGCCGACCGCGCCTCACTCCTTCACCTTCCGCCACGATGTCCTCATCCACTGCGAAGGGGAAGGCCCCCGCCAATGGCAATGCCGCAAACTTGCCAAACTACGAGCTCCCATGGTATCCTTGACATCTCATATCTGGCGTCTGTCGTCTCACTCTGGCTTAGGGTCGAAAAGTATAGGCCACAAGTCCTGGACGACGTGGTCGGGAACACGGACACTATCGAGCGGCTGAAGATCATCGCTAGGGATGGGAACTGCCCTCACATCATCATATCTGTACGCAACCTGGACCGTTCGCGTGTTCTCACTTGACAAGACTCTCTAGGGCATGCCGGGTATTGGGAAGACCACAAGCATCCACTGCTTAGCGCACCAACTTCTTGGGGATGGGTACAAAGAGGGTGTTTTGGAGCTGAATGCGTCAGATGAACGGTGCGTGTTGCAGTTTCGATGGTGCGTCCATGTATGCTGAACCCCGTAAAGAGGTATAGACGTCGTGCGCAACAAGATCAAATCCTTCGCACAGAAGAAGGTTACGCTCCCACCTGGACGCCACAAGATTGTCATTCTGGATGAGGCGGACAGGTGCGTCATTTGACGCGTCGAATCGCGCACGTCTGACCCGGAGCTAGCATGACCGCGGGAGCGCAACAAGCACTGCGGCGCACCATGGAGATCTACGCGAACACCACGCGATTCGCGTTGGCGTGCAATATGTCCAACAAGATCATCGAGCCCATTCAGAGTCGCTGTGCTATCCTCCGGTACTCTAAGTTGCGGGACCAGGAGGTCTTGAAGCGCTTGCTTGAGATTTGTGAGATGGAAAAGGTGAGTTTCTACACTACGCATCTTTCGCGAAAGGCTAACCCGGCGTTCCAGGTGGAATACAGCAACGAGGGCCTCGAAGCTCTCATATTTACTGCCGAGGGAGATATGCGACAAGCAATCAATAATCTCCAGTCGACGTGGTCGGGCTTTGGCTTCGTCTCCGGGGATAATGTGTTCAAAGTCTGCGACCAACCACATCCAATCACCGTGCAAGCCATGATACGCGCCTGCCTGAAAGGTGACATCGAAGGCGCGATGGATAAGCTGGACGAGCTTTGGGACCAAGGATATAGTGCGGTCGACATTGTGGTCACGGTCTTCAGGGTGGTCAAGACGTTTGACGAGTATGTCTACCTGCGAACAACGCGACCACTAGCTGACACTGGGCCCTATAGGATTCCGGAGTACACAAAACTTGAGTACATCAAGGTAAGGATTTCGGAAACCTGGACGACGTTGCAAGCTAATGGTCATTTCAGGAGATTGGCTGGACGCACATGCGTATTTTGGAAGGTGTAGGGACATTGATTCAACTCGGTGGTCTCATGGCGCGTCTCTGCAAAATGTACGGATCGACCTGTCTGTTTCACACCCCTGCCATTCCACTGACCAATTGTCTCCCAGGAACCACAAGCCAGAACACTTCCGTGTATAACGGAGTCGTACCTACTTTGCTCGTCTTCGCTATCCTCTGCTTTGTATTCTCTACCTGTGTCATAACTAGCATCTGATATTGAATCTTGCGAAAATGCTATGATCCTCAAGGGACTGCTTGCACGTATACGCTCTCAGTGAGTCCCGGTGAGGCTTTCTCGAGGAGGACGTTAGGCGCTTAGATTACCCCGCATTACCGCGTTTGGTAAGAAGCTTAGAAGGCGCACTTCGCGATTTATCATCATCGCTGCTAAATCTCTGCGCCCATGCTCTCCTCGCCACTGACTCGACGACGTTCCTTCCTGCTCCTCCTCCTACACTGTAAAGACTACCCAACATGAGCGTGCTCGAGGACACCCCGGTCTCCCGCCGCCTGCGCAGCGTCAAGCACATCATCATCGTCTGCTCCGGTAAAGGGGGCGTCGGCAAGTCCTCCGTCTCCACGCAGCTCGCGCTCTCCCTCCGCGCGTCCTCGCCCACGGCCCGCGTGGGCATCCTCGACGTCGACCTCACGGGCCCGTCGATCCCGCGCATGCTCGGGCTCGACGGGCACCCGGTGCACCAGAGCAGCGACGGGTGGGTGCCCGTGTACGCGGACGGGAGCGCGGCGCGCCTCGCGTGCATGTCCGTCGGCTTCCTGCTGAAGAAGAAGGAGGACTCGGTCGTGTGGCGCGGGCCGAAGAAGAACGCGATGATCAGGCAGTTCCTGAGCGACGTGCGCTGGGGCGAGCTCGACTACCTCGTCATCGACACTCCGCCCGGTTAGTGCGCTCCCCATGTCGTGTCCACGCATACCGGACTGACGCCCCCCCCCCCTCCGCGTCTTCCCCGCGCGCTTTCATTGACACAGGCACGTCTGACGAACACCTCTCGCTGGTCGAGCACATGGCCCCTGTGCACGCCCGAATATCCGCCGTGCTCGTGACGACGCCGCAGGCGGTCGCCCTGCTCGACGCCATGAAATGCCTCTCGTTCACGCGCGCGACATCCATCCCCGTGCTCGGCCTCGTCGAGAACATGAGCGGGTACGTGTGCCCATGCTGCGGCGAAGTGTCGAACGTGTTCTCCACTGGCGGCGGGGAGGAGATGGCGCGCCGCGAGGGGCTCCCGTTTCTTGGGAGCCTCCCCGTCGACACGGAGCTCGTCACGCTGCTCGACGCGGCGGAGGCCGAGACGCCCGACGAGCTCGCGGCGCTGCCAGAGGGCGGGAGCAGACGGTCGTTCGGGCTGCTCGAGCGGTACGAGCGCACCCCAACCGCGCCGCTGTTCAAGAAAATCGCGGACCAGATTCTGGAGCGGCTCGCGGGCGAGCGCCAGGCTCCGTCATGACGACTGCAGGTGGCTTTGTAGAACAACGTACGTGCGGCGCGCTACTGCACGCCCGTCCGTCATAATTCTGTCGCTGACGGGCGCGCCTTAATCCGCTTCCAGGTATATTATAGCCCGCGATGTATCCCTAGACACGCCTCCAAGCACTGTATCGCTCTCGAGCCCGCCGTGCGCATGCATGGAACCCTGCGCCGGACGTCTCGACACGCCCTGCTTCTAACACCGACCTTCCCGGCTGGCTCGAGCAGCTTCACGTACTCCCCGCCAGATCCCAGACAGCAGGGAGGGGATCTTGGAGAAGCCGCCGCCAATTTGACTGCTGTCGAAGCGTCGCGACTATTGCTTCCACGGGATCGCAGCAACGCAGGCCGTTCTATGCGGAGCGCGCCGCCCCGTCAATTCGTCAGTGGGGGCGGCGAAGCCGTCGGGGAGCCGCTGTTCTGCCCCGGGCGGCCTGCGCAAGCTGCAAAAATGCCCGACAGGCGGCGGCGCAATCACCGCTGTGCAAGTCGCGGTCACGCTCGCGCCGCCACATATCAGCGCCGTCAGCATAGAACGTGTTGCAGGTCTTCAAATTGCCTCCGCGCGGGGACGGTGACGCGCGCCGTGAAGTGAAGAGAGGTGCGCGGGCGCAGTGGATGACTCGACGAACGCGGCCGCCCTGCATGTTGCTCGAGCAAGCGGAGCTGGGTGCCTCAGCTCGCTTGCAGGAGTGCGGGAAGAGCGTCCGGGGCTCCGAGATCTGGTGCGATTGCGATGTGATCTAGATGTCTGGATCGACGGCCTTGACGTCCGTTGCGCCTCGACATCTGATCGCGACCACTACCAAACGAGATGTGTCGATTTGAGTCCACACACGCACTCATTGCGTCTCGGACATGAAAATCAAAACGCGGAATGCATCGGTGCGCGACGTGCACGGCTCGAGCACCACCAAGCGGTATTATTGCGGGGTAATTATAGAGGACTGGGCGCAGTCAAGGTGTAGCCGTCCAGGTGTGGCGAAAGGACAGTCGCCGCTCGCGGAGGCATTTGCGGGACACGTGGGTCATGCGCATCGATGGGGTCGGAGTGCCCGGGGAGGCTCGCTGGGCCCGAGCGTCGAGTGCACGTACAATGCAGGGCGCGCACTGCAGCCGCGGAACTTTAACGACGCCTTCAGGCCCACGAAGGCATCCATGTTGCTGGATAAGCAAAGGTGCGGCGCCGATGGAAAGGCGGATAGAAGGATCTCCGCCTGCCGAGCGTCGCGAGCTGCAGCGACGCAGGCGTGCGACTCCGCGTGCAGAGTCTGCTGATCTGCTCGCCCTCCTCGGACAGGAGGCAGCGCGGGGGCTCGCGGGCGCGTTGTCCAGGCGTGCGCGAAGACGCGGCGCGTATGGAGGGCGAGCGGAAGGCGTGCGCGATATATTGCACGGGCCGCGGGCGGTGAGTACGCGGCTGAAGAGGTGGCCATAGGGACATGTTCGCATGTAGAAAAGTATCGATGGGAACAGGCGGGCGGTTGATTGGACGAACACGTTCCTGCGGCAGTACGTCAACGGTGACCAACGCGGACGGGCAGCGCGCCATCAGCCATGCCCTCCGACCGTCCAAGCCTGCGGTTCGTCTTTCCGGGTATAGTCTCCGTCCTCCGTCCGCCCAACAAGCCACACTATAACTATCGCTCGCCTCCCGCCTGCCTTCCCTTCTCCCCCTCCTCTCCATCCCCCGTCCGCCCCCATGCCCCTTCGATGACTGTCTCCTCCTGACCGACTCCATTCCGCCCGCACACGACCGGAACGACGCTCACGATGACCCCGCACGCCACTCACGATCGTACTCTACTAGCCTCGACTGCCTCAATTATCACCAACTTCGGCTTCCACGCATCCGCCCCTGGCGCCTTATACCCCCTCGAGAAGCGCGCTGACACGATGCACCCGAGCCCCATTATCGCAGGTACGCAGCGTATTCGACTACATGCAGGCTCCCGTACATATATATCCCGCCGCAGAGCCCCCTACGCCCACTTCGACCGCCACCCTCCGCAGAGCGAACGCGCCGTTATCTGCGGCCGAAGACGACATCCTCCCCACCGCCGGCATGTCCAGAACGCCGCACCGTAGCTCGAGCAGAACGTACCGCTGGGTCGAAGACCAGCAACATGTCTCAGGCGCGCGCCCCGAGACCGCGCCGCCGAGCAGCATGCGCGCGAACCCGTATCTCGCGTACCCGCACCTGAGCGCGACGTCGCTCGTCAAGGACAACAAGGGCACGATCCGCACCGTCGAGAGCTACGTCTTCGTCGACGACGACGCCCCGCACGCGCCCCGCGGCAGAGACGCGGGCGCCACGACGCAGGTGGGTTCGCGCGCACGTGACGCCCACGCCGCGCCTCGCTGACCGCGCCCGCCATTCTTAGCCCGCCTCGCGCGCGGAGACGCCGTCCGCGCCGTCCACGCCCCGCAAATCCTTCCGCTCCTCCCAGGGCCTCTTCCATTCCGCCTCGCCCCTTCGCAGTCTCCATCTCACTTTCTCCGCCCGCCGTCCGTCCGCCCCTGCCCCTGCCGCGACGTCGAGCGTGGAACGGTCCCTGAGCCCCGCCTCCTCGACGTCGACGTTCCGGCGCACGGCTGCCACCGCGGCCGCGGCGCACAGCAGGGGCTCGAGCCTGTCCACCGTGAACGCGATGCACCAGCGGAGCGCGCGCGCTGCGAGCCCGGAGCTGTCTGCGAGCCCGCCGAAGACGACGGCATGGAAGTTCAAGCGCCCCTCCGTCGCGGGCCATTTCTCGCCTGCGCCCGAGGACGAGCAAGAGGGCAGCCCGCCCCCGCGCCCGAGCACCTCCTCGAGCTTCACTCACTCGGGCTCCTCGACGGTGTACACCCGCACCTCGTCCGATGCCCCGCGCAAGATGCACTTCGGCTCCATCCGCTCGCACTCGTCGACTACCATCTTCAGCGCGTCGCCCTCGCTGTGGTCGCTGCCGACCGACGCGTCGCACATCAACGACCCGCCCGAGAGCGAGAAGGTTATCGCGCGCGATAGGCTGCAGTCGAGCTCCGAGGGCGCCTCGGTCGCGTGGAAACCGTCGTCGACGGCTGTTCCGCACCTCGGGAACGTCACGAACATCCTGACGAGCCCCCGGTCGCGGAAGAAGCGCAAGCTGATTATCAGCGGAATACCGCCCGACGACGAGCGCCGTTTCGAGGGCGTTAGGAAATGGTGCGAGTCGTTCGGAGAGCTCAATTCGATAACCCGCGCGCCCAACGGCGATCTTCACATCGACTTCCGTAAAGTGGAAGTCGCCGATACTGTGAGTTGGCACCGTCGGAAGACCGTGCTCGCGCCCTGACCTCTTCTGCCCAGGTCTGTCGCCTCAACGCGCGAGTCTACATTGCCGGAGTTGGCAGCGTCTGCCTGTCCTGGTTCACCGGCAAACGTCCCTGATACCCATACCCGATTGGATCTGTCGTGAGTTGCCTCCCCCTTCAGCAGCGGCGTCAGCAGCTCACGGACCTCCTTCCTGCGCAGTGTACACCAGTGCTATCCTAGCTGCTTTCGTACGCCTAATCCGCTGCACGCCCCGCCTATGCCCTATGCCACAGCCCCTGTATATGCCTGCCCCCCACCGCACGAACTGTACCATCCCACGCACGCACTCACGCCTGACGCTCCTACGCTACGAACGCTCGCATCTTGCTCCATCTCATTCTCCCCCATACCACCCGCATCGTTCCCCTCTGTGTCCTGTCACCCAGAACTCTTCCGTGTGCTGCAGAACGCGCCGCTGGCATTCCGTCGGACGCTGCTCGCGTACTACTGTATCTGCTGTATTGTTATCGCCGCGCGATGCGCTAGAGGCCGTCCTGCTGCGTGGACCACGCGGGATGCGCCCGAGCTCTTGTACCATGCAATCACATCTGCTGTCTGTCTTCTGCTTTCGTGTGTTGCACATGATCGTGTTTCGACACCCGACGTATGTGTGTTTTCGGCTTTCGAAGGCTTCGTAAGGAGTTGGTAAGAGCTGTATGTACAAGCTGAGACGGGGTATGTATATGTTGTGTAATGGTGCGCGTCGGCATCGGTACGGCCAACTTCCAAGCACGACTAGCTGACTGCGAGCTCCAATGACCCTCGCAACTAAACCATGTGCAGTAAATATTACTAGTGCAGGGCTGCGCCATCACGCACGGCGAGCCTGACCCATGAAACACACGGGTATCCATGACCTCCTGCATGCGTCAGTGCCCTCCATACATTCAACTGGAACATACACCGCTCAGCCAGTATTTCACTACAGTGATTAGATGACGACAAGTAGCACCATCAGGCACCCGCAGCTCCGGATCGGAGCCCACGTTACGATGCCGTGCATCACGGATTTAGAAAAACAGGCACCTCCAGCGGGCGGGCTCACATTGCTGTGAGCATCGCCGTGGTCCGCCAACGACTCGCCGTCCCGCAAACCCCGCACCCGGTGAGACGTCGTATGTGGGCTGGGCGAGACTTCAGCACGACATGCGTGCAGGTCGTGGAGGTTGTGTGGACGACGCCCCTCCGGGTCCTGGTGTACGGCAGGCGTCTGTGCGGGTGCAGAGTATGCGGACTCCGTGGGCTCGTGAATAACGGCGCGGACGGTACCGTATGCTCAGATCCGCGGGCTTACCCACGGGATATTAATACAGAGATAGGACGCAGAGCGGGCTGCGGCGGCTGCACAATGTCGACCTAGGGTGGGGTACCGAGCTGCCACGAGGCAAAAGTTCACGGCCACGCGTTGGAGCTTCGCAGGTGCTGGGGACGGACGGGCCGTAGAGTCCTCCGCGTTGTGCCTGGCTTGCATACGACATATGCTTGACCTGCCCGTGACGTATGACGTGAGCGGGGAACCATAGTATGAGCATATAGATAGCGCCTCACCGGAAGTCAATGCTTTGAAGGTGTCTGTGAAGACTGCAGAGGAGAAGTCGTAAACATGCGCAAGGTCGAAGAGAAGGAACAACACCATATCGGTTCTGAACAGAGCTGGCTTATGCACCATACCGGAGGATGACGGACCAACGGGGCCAACCTGCACCTGGTGTTCCTCAAGCCACGCCCGAGTCAAATGTGCATTGGGTGGATGCTTGGAGACGTACCTTATGGTGTTCCTGTGAGGCACCTGCATAAAGGTACTGGTGGACAAAGTTTGCGTTAGTATACTTGTGGCGGCTGTCCAGCCACCAATGACACCAAGTCAAAACACATCCCAAGCCATACTGGCTAGGCGGCATAGCAAGGGCACAGGGTCGTGATCTCACATGCTCAGATGTTGACGTTCAGGGTGCCTCTCCATACTGTACATCGGTCCTGTCAAAGAATGAGCAGAGTGACTAAGAGCAATCAAGTCGGCGTACCGTATGTACGCCGGACGCCTCTGGCGATATTTGGCGTGGCAATGTCAGCATATCTGAAACATCCTGGGCACGCGCCACGCCCCAACATAGACAGCAAAGCGGTGTAATATCCTAGATGTGCGATAGTAGTCCAAATATGCAAAGTCCAGCGAACACGCGCCTGGGATAAAGTAAAGTATGTACGCACTACACGGCGAAGGTCATAGACGATCCCAGGAACTACCAGTATGTCAAATCCACAGAGCGACACAGAGCGAAAGCGAGAACACCACCGCACACCTCACACCCGCCGCCCTTCGCCGAGGCCGAGGAATCATGATGGCGTGTACTCTGGGGGTACGTCCGCCAGTGGATGCACCTCGCTCGTGCTCGCGGACGCCTCGATTGGCCGCCCCTCGGTGTCGAACCGGACACCAGAGTCAGCGTGGTACTGCACGGCGTCCGCCTCCGCTTTCGCTCGCCGGGCCTCCTCCGCCTTGCGCTGTGCGGGCGTGAGGAACGCTGCCGCCCCTGCGGCCGCGTCGTTGTTCACGACAGAAAGTGTGCGTCCGGTGGAGGAACCCGCACCGCTGCCGCTTGCACTCGCAGGGGCTGGGGGGTAGGCATGTGGCGTTGTGGGGGCCGATAGCACTTCGGAAGCGGGGGCTTGCCGAGGCACGTACGGCGAGGTGTCTGCATAACCGGAAGTCGGCGCGCTGGCGAGGAATGGCTGCTGGTGGGACGCTTGCGCCTCTGAGGGCTTCCCGCTGAAGTCATCCTTTTCTGTGCACGCGTGTCAGCAAATGGTCATACACTGGCAGTACCCGCAAGCGTTAGAGCGCGTACCTGCAGCGAACAGCGGGGGTGCGTCGCCAAAGCTGCGGTAGGCGTACGAACTGCGGTGCCGGTGGCGGAAGTACAGGAAGTAGAATGCCAGGCCGGCGGCCACCAGCAACGCGACGCCGCCCACGACGCCGCCCACGATGGCTCCTACGGGGGCAGAACTGGTCGAGGCACTGCTGCTAGCGGTACCGTTGCTGGCCAGACTCGTCGCGGCGGCGGTGGGGGTGACGAACACGGTGGAGATCCAGATGCCTGTGTTGCTCGCCGTGGCACTCTGAGTTACCACTTCTTCCTGGAGAAAGACAGCATCGAGCAGGTACGGGATATTGTCGTTGATTTGGACGATGGAGATGTCGAGCGTGTGTTTGCTATTGGAGAGGGGCCCGGAGTTGTAGAATGTGACACCAGTAGCATTGGCCGCGTTGCCCTGGAATAAGAAGACACTGTTCGTGGCTCCGTCCAAGGTGTACCCGGATATTGGGCCGGAGTCTGAGCTCGCGCCGCTAGGGGCAACGGTCGCGCCAATGATCACGATTTGGGATGCTACAGCGAGCCATGAATGATAGGGCCATGAGCGCGGTAGGTGTGACTTACCAATGAACTCGATATGCGCTGTATCTCCTTCGTGGACGGTGGACGAGAGCGAGTTGTTGAACACACTAGAGATCCCAGGATTATCGAACCATTCTCCGGTGTACACGATACTGGGGTCGGTGTCGTCAAGCTTGTGAAACGGGACATTACTAGTGGAAGTCATAGCTAAGCGGCGAGCAGCGGGTGAAGGAGTGGACGTCTGGAGAGGGACGGAGAGGGATGGCAGACCCTCTCCTCGTGGAAGAGTGAGACAGAGAGGAGGATTGGATGCTGTGTAGATTCGGCCATCCCGAACTCTCCTGGCAAGATGTGCAAGTGGCCCTGGCTCCCGCCGCCCACGAGTACTGCTTAGCCCCGAGATCATCTTCCAATTTCCACTCGAATTACGTAACTCGCCGCCGTATATTCAGCGCTCTCGGCGTTACGCCTCTTTTCGGCCAATATATAACACGAGCATGGGATATGCCGTATGTCGATGCTACCTCTTGAGCTCGTCCACCTTGCAGTTCTTTCTCTGTGGTCCGACTTCGAAGAGAAGATCGAGGAGACAATCTCACCCGAGGAGCCCGGCACAAACCAGTGTTCCATGCACTGCCAACGAGACCTCGCGCCTCGGGCCCTTCCATGGTCGGATGCATCCAAGAACGCGAGGTATATTCTGTCAACAACCGCCACAAGTGCCCACCGTCACCCCACGAGGCGTCCTGTCAATCGCGCGCAGCCAGTGCCCCAAGTCCAGCCAGAACGCCTTCTGGCTCGCGCTCGCAAACCAAAACGGCACGATCGACAGATGGTGCGTCTCCGCCAGATGGTGCACGTTCCACACCCCCGCCTCCGGCGCGCACTCGTACCGCGCCTCCTCGGGGCCGTCTAGCAGGATGTTGTCGCTGTGGTCGAAATGTCTGCAGCGCGTGTCGCTGATGCGCGCCGCGGGCGATATCAGTGCCGGTCTGAGAGTGCTGTGCGGGCGAGCCGCCGGATGGGATAAACACGCACCTGCAGTCGAATGGATGCCATTGGGAGAAGAGCGGCACGACGCCATCGTTGGCGCGTAGCGCTGCGGAGAGGTAGTCGCCGCCATTGACGACGTCGATGACCCCGTCTTCGATAGCCGTCTCACTGCCGGCCTTCGACGCTTGGCTTGCCGCCGCGATCGTGGCCATGACAGCGGGTATGGGTCGCAGATTCGAGAAGTCGAACCGCGAGATTATCGCTGAGGATGCGTACATGGGCAAGGCGGTCAGCCAGGCGAGCCACGACGCTGACGATTGACTTCCGGGAGGCGCGGACTGCACATATAGCCGCATTTGAGTACACGAAGTCAAAGGTAAGAAAGGGTACCCACAAGCGTGGCGCAGTAGCTGCGATAATATGTGCGCGGATGGACTTCTCCCTCTCGCCGCGATTCCCGCTCATCCGCCGATTCAAACGTCACGTCGTAAGGCGTGACGTCGCGACTCCCGGCCCAATCGCTCTTGCGCAGCTGCCGTAGGAAGGAGAGGAAGCTCGCTTGGCGGAATGACAACCCTCTAGCATCCGCGTGTACGTCCAGGAACCGAGGTAGAACGGGCGCAAAGTAGGCCGCGAGATGAACTCCTTTGGCCATTATATCGCCTGCGGAGAACGGGCGAACGGTAGGAGCATTACAGATGTCTTCCCCTAGGGTGTATACTAGCTGAGTGCCTCGGAAAGGTGCGGAGACTATGGGCGCGGGTATGAGAGAAGTGGAGCGTGAACAGAGATGCGCGACGAACCGGTATTGACTGATAGTATCATGTCCGCAGAGTAGCCTGTGCCAAAGAAGCCTGTCGCCAATAGCCATTGCAACTTGACGATAGTAGGCCCTCCCTGAGAAAGTCGTCAGTATGGATGGATGCAGGTATGTTCTATCGGCCTTACTATTGAATGCCCCAGAAAGTGCAGCGGGCGGTCTGCTGACCATTCGGGATATAAGCCTATTTCATAGCTACGTCCGAGCCGCTCATGGGCGTGTTCCTGGGCGTGCTGCTCGCCATAGTTCACTATGACCCAGCTGTCAGTCACAGCGATCACTAGAATGGTGGTACATGTATAAACGTACCTGTCCCGCCTACCAACAGATAGAACAACTCGCACGCCCTGTCATGTAACGAGCTCACGGGCCCAACGCTGAATTGCGAAGGAGCATAGGTCGCCAGTGAGCCCTCGTATGTACTCCGGAGTATCAAGTCTATAGATACCTGGCAAAGATAGTGCGTCTCGTCTTCTCTCCGTTGCTTTGGCACGCGTAATTAGAGTGTTCCTCGAAGTTGCCCCAGACAACAGCGCCAGCGCTGCCGAGGAAGCCTTCGACGATGACAAGGGGTATCGGTTCTACGCAAGTCATGATAGGTGCAGAGAGATTAAGCTCAGAAGAGAGCATCCGTCCTTCGTACCGCACAGCAGTACATGTAACGCCCCAGTCCAGGTCCGAGTCCGTCCAAGTCTGAGTCCGAGTCCCAGCTGGTGTGGTGGCGGCAGCTAACAAAGCTTCCGGTTCCGCAGTGGGAGCCATGACAGCCGAGCACGATCTCAACACGATCGGCGGTCATGCATGCCTGACGTTCGATCACGATCGGTCGTAGAGCGCCCATGACCTTCCGCAGGCACGCCGTCCCACAGTCTGAACTTGTACACGCTGCCTCGAGTATGGCTTTACCAAGGTCTCACTGTACGATATCGGTGAGAGTATTACAAGGGCCGTAGATTATTTTGATATTAAATGTACGAGGGAAGAAGGAACACGAAGCGAAACTAAATGATAACGTACTTGAAACAACCCGGGCAATGTTCGTTCCCCTCATATTAGCCACGCAAGGAAGAGAGTACGATCGGAGACGAGATATGGTAAGCTGGGACAACTGCAGGAGTAATAATGCTTAGTCTGAATGCGCGCAACTGCTCAAGACAAATTAGATACGTACGTACTTTTTCTGTGAAGCGTGCGCCGGGCGTCGTCTGATCAGGGTCCCCGTACAAAGCTGTGATTCGCTGTGCTGTGCTGGTTCGGATACCTAACGTGCTGGGGTCCATTGAACGGAGGATTCCCGCCGTAAGAATTGTCGCGCCTGTTGTTGTATCGCCTAGGGTGAAAGTCTCCGCGCTGCCCCGACGGGTACTGTCCATGAGCGTTCGGCGGAGGGCCAGCACGCGACATTCCGTCAGGCGCTGACCCTGCCGCAGGCGGATGGAATGGTTGCGGAGGAACGCTTGGCGCTTGAGTGGGAGGGAAAGGGGCGACAGCGTGAGGAGGAGGGCCTCCTGGGAACCAGTAGCCTCCCTGAACGGGAGGTGGGTGAACAGGAGCAGGGTGGCCCATGGTAGGATATGGTGCCCCGTAGTAAGGAAAGGGTGAGGCTGGCCATGATGCGACTCCGGCAGCAGAGGTAGAGGCCGTTTGGGTCGACATGGAGCTCGTTTGTGGAGAAGGCTCGCCAGGGTGCGCACTCGCCATGTACTGATCGAGGGCCTCGCGCTGGTACACCGGGATCAGTGTCCCCGCCTCATTCTGTATGAAGCCAGTTGGACGGAGCGGAGGCTGTGTCCCGCTCTGCAGCTGTGGACCGTGCTCATCGCTGTTGGCAGCCTGGTGGACCAGTTAGATAAGACAGTCAACAAACAAAAATGCGAAGTGCCTGACTTTGTCCCCATGATTGAGCGTAACATCGGCGAGCGCACTAGTTGAAATGCTCGAACTGAGGCCACTGGCTCCACTAGTGACGAAAGCAGGGGGGACATGGGGGACATGCGAATACGCGTACCCCGGGTAGGCATAACCAGGCATAACCGGAATAGGATATGAGTATTGAGCATGGTACGGTTGTACCCACGGCTGGGGAGGGTAGTATCCGACGCTCATATGATGAGGTGGGAATGGTGGCATTGCGGACAAAACTGAAGGCGCTGGGGTGGGAGCGAGGGGTGCAGGCGAAGTTGTCATACTCGATGGATCATGAGAACCGTGACCGTGGACGGACGGGACTTTGGTTGTGCCGGAGGATACAGACGAAGCGCTGCTGCTAGTCATGCCATAAGAAGATCGCCTTGGCAGGCCACCGTGTCCGGAGGCGCGCAGCATCCCCGTACGAAAGTTGTCGGGTGCGAGAGGAAGCGGTTCGTGAGTGGCTGCTGTAGGGATAGGGGCTCCAGGTAGCTCCAGTGACATCTGTGTGGCGGCCGAATCAACCGTACCCATATTGATATGACCTGGTGCGTCTTGATGTGGGCGAGATGTAACCCCAAAGCGATTGCGGCCCCTACCCCGCCCAAGTCCCCAACTCGCGTGAGGAGGCGGATTCCGGTCTCGTAGCTGAACGCGGAGGGGCCGTCCGTCGTGAACCCGATTATGCTGTGACGGCAATGAGCGATTGATACATTTCAGCAGGCATAAGATTACCTCTTCTCGTACGGCACGAGCAGCTGACTCAGAATTAGCGAATTGCACGAAAGCGAAGCACGTTCGCTTAGTTACTGAGCAGCAATTGTTAGAATGTGCACCAATATACTGCAGCGAAAAACATACCAGGCCTAACGATCTGGACACTCTCGATGAGCCCATATTGATGGAATATCTGTCGTAGCCTATGCTCGTCCCAGTCATCGGCGTCCTGCACGTTTAGACCGCCGACAAAGACTGTTCTGGGGTCGATCTCCCCTGTCTGGAAGTCTCGTAGACGGGTTGAGAGCGAGTCGATATCGGAGGGCTCGACAGGACGCGATACTTGACTGGTCCACGGACTGTGAGGGAGCACGCGATGGCCTGTCGAAGTGATGGCCTGAGGTATATCCGTCTTGAGAGCAGAAGTTTGCTTTCGGTCTACGTCGGGGAGAACTGAAGAAAGTCGCAGCGTAGGTGAGAAGAGCGTGCCGGGAGTGTCTCTGGGAGACTGGTCTGCTACAGAAAGCCCCATGGTTTTGGTGAAGGGCGAGAAGGGCTTGTGAGTACCAACGCTGTTGATGGCCGGCGTGGACGGCGTCTTGCAGGAGGGAAGACCAGTCTCTCCATAGACATCTAGCTCAGTAACCTGATCTGCCCAGCGACTACTTGTTCCTCCGAGGCTAGATGGCGTGGCTCCGGAAGGAGGGGACGAATCTGAATTCGCCAAGATGCCTTTCGCAGCAGGACTGGTATGACCACGAGAGGTTGCGCCAGAAGAGTCAGTGGGATACGAGATTGGCTGCAAGATAGTCGTCGAGTGCGCACGGCTGATGTGCGAAACGGATGGTGATCCTTGGCCGTCGCGTCCAGAGTGCTCCGAATACCCCCGCCGCATGGTGGGAGAAAGCCAGAGTCCTTTTGTGAACGGACCGTCTTTTGTGTTGAATGGATCCGTGTTCACAGTCAGAGGATGATGATGCGCCCAGTTGACCATAAGATGAGGAATCCTGCGCAGCGTCTACCACAACATTATAAGGTAGATTGACAAGGTGTTCCGACAGGAGACGCACCAAGAGAGCAAGAACGCTATCCTCGCGGTTCCTCCACTTGACCTCCCATACCCCTCTGCTCATTTCAGGCGACCGAGGAGCGTCATGAGGATATGGATACAGTGACGTGTCGTGCTTCGACTCTGGGGACAAATCTGAGTCGAAGGATGACAGTCAGATAATCGCCTGGCTCGATATCTGTACGTTGTTTTTACCTGCGACCGTAGAGCCCATCTTAAAAGTCTCCAGTGGTCCGAAGGCTGACACGATCCGCTGGATGGTCTGTGGACGCCTTCAGGCTGCATGTCAGATTGTGAACGATTTGTCTCGCACCTTTTCATCGTACGCAAGGTCTTGAATCAACAGACCTTCTCCGCAGAAAGCATCGCTGACATCGCCCTGGGGTTCAGCTACTGTGCTACTATCGAAGTCGAGAGCCTCCGAGTTGTACATGATACCTAGATGCCTGAGGTGCGATATTAGTTCAAACAGCCGACTCGCCGGCTATAGACATCCACGTACCTGGCATTGCGAGGCCTGAAGATGCGAATGGCGTGGGCTAGTCTCATGCTCGCAGGTTGTCCACCACCGGGGCTACCAAACGGATCATCCGAGCACACGGTATATGCAGCTTCTGTGGGGATGCTAGCATCGGTGTGAGCATCGAGTGAACAGCCATGAGACGTTGACTCGGCCTTGTCCACTCCATGCGAGCTAATCTCGGCAAAGGATATGTCAGATACTCACCGATAAGAAATGAGCAAGGTGCGAAACGCTTTGGCGGCCTCGAACCGTAGGAAACGGCCGCAAAAAGGTCTGGGCGGGTTTTCCGCCAAGTCTTGAAGCATTCTACCAGCAGCCGCAGGGCTCTGAGGGTGTCTGATAAATATGCACAGATGCGCATATACAATGTCATAGACTCACCTCGCATTGTATGAAACCACAAACACCGCCGCGGCTGTCCCGTACCACTTTGATTGCTTTGACTTGCGGGTGTGCAGAGAAGTGCTCCGACAAGCGCTGCGTCAATTCGGAATGGTCGATATTCGCTGGAAGGCTAGATTGTATAATTTGATCAGCTCTCAAGGGCGTACAACTTGCGAGCTTAAACAGCATGAACGAACCTTCCGATAAATATGCTGGCATCATGAGGCGTCGGGTCCATGTTGTCTCCCTTCGGACTGGAGAGTCCCCGGGAAGGATTTTCAGCTGCGGGAGTGGGGGTAGGGCTGTGGGCGGCGGGGGGTGTGCCGGAACGACGCTGAGAAGGGGATGAGACGGGCGAAGACTCCAGTGTATCATAGCGTGTGCCCCATGCACGCTCCTTGGCCGGATGCTTGGGCGACATCAGGGTAGAGGCGGCGGCGAGCTAGAGGTGTGGGGAAGACGCTAGAGAGTGTTGGTGATTGTGGAGCGGGGAAAACCCTGCCGCAGGGGAAGGTCGCGTCTTGCGGGTATATCAACGAGCGCGACGAGGTGGCGGCCGAAAAGGGCAGGAAGTGCCGAAGAGATCAACGTACGGCCTTCTGGGGAGCCGCCGGCCATGTCGACGGAGGAGCGGAGGACTTCGTCACAGTGATATATGCAAGGGCCGAGTCCTCTGTCGCGATTCCTCGCCGCCACAGAGTTGACAGCATTGCGCCGCTCCTTTCAGAGCGCCCGTCGACACAAAGAACACTACATCCGCGGCACGCTCTGCACGACTAGTCAGCGCATGATGCGGTGGACTCGCGCTGTTCTCCCGGCGTCCGCGAGGAAGAAACACCGGGAACCATGCAGGCAACGGTTGCCTTACGTCGAGCGTCAGCGTGGTTGCACCCTTTGGGCGAGATGGGTTCAAAGAGGCAGGAACGAACCTTACCTTCTTCCATGCGGTTACGTGACGCAGGCGGATCTGCATCGGACACCTTCCATAGACGAAGCGCGCGCCGATCTACGGTCCCACATATCCCTTGCGCTGGGTCTGTGGGCGGTCTAGTTTTTACATGAGTAGCTCGAGGTTGCGATACGTCGCGAGGGCCGACTCGAGCTCCTGACGCCAGTACACTTTTGGGGGCAAACCTGACCTTCCGGGGCTTCACCTCAGCTAGTTGTGAGTTGACTCGAACGCTGCAAGATCTGACCATAATATCTGGATGAGTGCGTGTCAATTGTCAATGTCCTAATCTATCAGTTTTGAGCGAAGGAAGCGAGTAGCTGTCACTGAGATTCATACCGGCGGATCATTGCTCCAAAAGCTCGGATGGCCCGTCGCCCTGTCGGCGGACGTATGTGTTGGCCCCAGATGTGCCCCAGCTTTCTGCCCTTTTACAGTGGAAGATATTTGACTTTTTGTTCTTGCAGCTGGTGCTGCCTACGGCCGCTGGGTGTGGTCGGGACCCAAAGGATTCGGTTGCGTATAGGGCCCGGGCCCTACACTCGTAAAGATGCCTGACATTGAAGAAGTTTCCCGATGTGGGGTAAGAAGTCTTTGCATCGATCTAGGGGCCATGCGCGCGGCGCTGTCAGGCAGAGATTCAGGGAAGCCCGGGAGGCGAAGTGCAAGGAAGACACAAACCACGCTTGCTTGTTCGGGAGCACATGTGTAACCCCCGGCCGGCTGTCCGGCGCTTGCCGACCGCTGCTCCAGAAAAGGGCCGATGCCGGCCGCGCCCACAACGCACATGGCCGCAGAGTATGCGAGCGCCAAAATTCTTGTCTTCGCGCCTCCGCCTCGGTCTACAGCTTCTCGTTCTCAGCTGGTTCACTCTCAGCGCAACTCGTCCCCTCGTTTGAGAATTGATACTTGAACATGTCTGACGACGGATATGGCGGTGGTGGCGGCGGCGGAGACGACTATGATTATGACGGTCCCGGGTAAGCACAGGACGCTGCATTCGAACGTCTCGACGTTAACCAATGGTCCCTTGTTCAGTTTCACCGAGGACGCCTTCGTGCGTGATATACCATATCAATGGTTCATGTATGCAGCATCTGCTGACATATGATGCTGTGGCTTCTCTCCAGGACGAGGGCTACGACCTGCTCGCAACAGAGCTCCCAGACGGCGAGGCAAACGGAGAGGGCGAGCAGGTGAACGGCTATGCTGGCACGAACGGCGCAGAAAACGGACAAGACGCTCCGAATGGCGAGGGTGCGCAGGAGCCCGCGGCAGCAGCACCACGCGACGAGCGACAACCCAACAAGGTCCGGGTCACGACTCCCTACCTGACGAAATACGAGCGGGCACGAGTGCTGGGAACAAGAGCGTTGCAGATTAGGTGCGTGTATGCGACGTGCGCGGCGTTTGTGTGGTGCTGACCTGGTTTTCGAAGTATGAACGCGCCAGTACTGGTACCTCTGGATGGCGAAACGGACGCGTTGCAAATCGCCATCAAGGAGCTCTCGCAGCGAAAAATCCCCCTGATCATCCGACGTTACCTCCCCGATGGTAGTTTCGAGGACTGGAGCGTGTCGGAGCTCATCAGCGACTGAGCTGGTCGGGTCAGGGCGGTTTCTGTAGGATGTAGGTGTGTTGCGAGACTTGTATTTTTGGTTGCATTCCCCTCTGTTCTGGCTGTCGCACATAATGCTTGACCCGTCTGCTATGGTATAAGCTCATATTGCTCTCGCTTCACGGCCATGAGCTTACGACCATCTCTGAATTTCCACCGCCCACATGGATCAACACTACTGAGGTTCGCTTCAAGCGAAAATACGATGGAGGGTGGCTACCCTGTGTATATACAATAATGATACATGTTAAAATACGACGATGCACATCGCGCACTGGGTCCTAGGTTCAAATCAAATCCTTCACGCACGAACAGCCACCTTCTTAGCTGGCTGTCTCGCCTCCAGGACCACCTCGACCTGAGCCTTGGGTATCCGCGGCTTCGTGCTCTTCTTCGGCGCGGTCTGGGGCTTCGCAACGTTCTCGCCCAGGTCGAGAGCATCCTTCTGCGAGGCACCCTTTCGTAGCTTGGCGTTCGTCGCGTTCCCGAAGAGAAGCCCGCGCTCCTTGAAGTCCGCAGGCTCGCGCGCTGCAGCAGCCGCGACCTCGCGCGACTTCTTCGACGGGCTCATCTCCACGTCGCTGTAGTGGCAGCGGCTGCGCGGACGCTTGCCGGGTGACGGCGGCGGCGAAGGGAGAGGCAGAGTGATGTCGAAGACGTCGTCCTCGAGCACAGGCACATTCTCGTGCTTGAGCGTGCCTTTCCGCTTCGCGCCTTCGAGTATGCCGTCAGCGTCGCCAACGATGTTGCGCGCGAGGGGACGTACCTTTGCCCTTGAGGCCGACCGTGTTCGTGATTTCTTTGGCGACGTGGAAGGTGCCCGCCGTGCTCGACTCGCCAGCCGCGACGAGGGTCTTCTGCACCTCCCAGTCTGACGGCCGTGCCTTCTTCCAGTCCTCGATGACCTTCTCCACCCACCGATCCGTCTCCCCGGCGACGTGGTAATCGATAATGCCATCCCACTCGCTGCCGGGAGCGGTCTTGTTGACGAAGATCACCTTCCCGGCGAAGCTCTTCGCGTTCTTCTTCGGCGGAGAGACCGCGGGGGATGGGGCTGACTCGTGCACCGCGCGCGCGAAGTCCTTCACGAGCTTCTTGAAGCCGTGCACCTTCAGCGAGGTGCCCATGATGATGAGCATATCGGGCTTGCGCGTGATGTCCGCGCTGTGCATGCTACCGATGTCGTCCCCGAGCGGATGTGGCTCGTCGTAGAGCACGATAGCCGGGCGCAGCGTGCCGACCTTGAGCGCACGCGCTGAACGCGCAACGCGAGCGGAGGCTGCGAGAGCGCTTCCGGTCAACCCTCTGGTGCAGGCGAGGATGACGGGAGGACTCACATCGTGCAGCACAGTCCGGGCAGTCGGGCGGGGTGCCGACGAGAAAATTGTCCAGGTGCTCTTGTGTACACGGGAAGTCCGCCGAGCAGAAGGTGCACCGGACACGGTGGATGTCCCCGTGTAGCTGGACGTTGCGCACGTCCTTGGCTTTGACCTTCGCCTTGCCTTTGCCATGCGACTTTACTTCCTGGCTTGACGTGCTGACAAGACCAACCCGCTCCTCTAGGCCATCGATATTCTGAGTGTAGGAACGCAGTAGCTTCTTCTTAGAATCGAGGGTCTTGATGAAGCGGTGTGTGGATGATGGGGTCGCCGCGTCGACAGACTTCTTGAGCTGCGAGATGAACGTGTAAAACACGGCGGTAGATGTGGGGTCGCGGAAGAGAGACGCGTCGAAGAGGTCGCGTCCCTTCATCACGACGTCAGGGTACTGTTGCTTCACGAGTGCATACAGGCCGTCGGAAGATCGGAAATCCTGCGAGACGCATTGAACTCGTGTTTGAAGGCGTTGCATGTAAAACGGCACGTACTGGGATGCCGCAGGAGCACGAAATGCCCGCGCCGGTGACGACAACGATCTTCTTGCATTTAGCCACGGCGAGGGACAGGTTGGCCAATGTTCTCCTGGCCGGGGCGTCGGAGGTCGACGCTTCCAAGTCAAGTGTGATGGTCATGGCGGACGACGCGCGCGAGGCTGGACACGCTCGGGGAGGATGACACGGTTGGAGGTGGGAGGGAGGGTGCGGTGTGGCTGATCGAGTTCAACAAACTATTGCCGGCTCGCGTACCCGCGTAATACCACGTGACCGCTTCGCGTCCTGCCAAGTCGCGCGTCTCCCCGTACCGACACCTTCTGTCTGTAACTACCACTCTGTGCTCAGAACCACCCCCTATGATACTGTTTTGCGACATAGGATTTTCATCGGGATGAGTATACAACATATAGATACACACGGAACAAGATCGTCCTGCATCTGGACCCGTCCCCTTCCTCTCACGAGTCAAGTCCTCCACGAAGTCCCGTATTCCTCGGGGTGCATGTCGAGGATATTGGCCTTTCCTGATTTGAGTCCTCGCGTAACCTGTTCAAAGCGGCGAGGTGAGCATATGAAAATATCTACCTTCTTGCCTCCAAACTTACGCTATGCTTTGCGACGGATGAGGTATACGTAGTGCTGCACAACAGGCGCATGAACGTTGCTCTGCGCCCCAGTCGGCGCATCCATTGTAACGACTTTCTCTAGAGACCAGAAGTCCGTCGCACGCGGAGGGTTGCCATCGATAATCTCCGGCGAAGACAAGAAGGGAAACCGGTTGGAAGAGAACGTCAGAGCAACCCACAGGCCCCCGGTACGCACGAGCGACGCTAGATGGATCGCGAGCACCTCCACCGGAGACAGTGTGAATGTTCGTCCTGCGTGAGTCTTCAGGTAGTCGTTGAATACAGGGTGAAGGCTGGGACCGGGGACCCCATAGGACAAGTCTTCTCCGCACGAGATAGCGTCAGAGGTACTCTTCTCCACCACGAGGTCGAAGAGGCCGCCGTTCGTATCCACGAAGCCATTTAACTCCGGCCATTCGAGTGCGTCCATCCGCACCCAACTCATACCCTTTCCAGGCCCGCCGACCGCTCGCCTCGCCTCCTCCGTTGCCTGTTTCCTGGCCACTAGATCCTCCACGAAATCCGCGTTTACAATCGCTCCTTCGTCGACGCTGTCCCCATACACGTCAATGTATAGTTCGCGCAGTCGTTCCGACAGGGAGGATGTCCCGGCGCCGATATGCAGCAACCGCGCAGGCGAGCCGGAAGAGGGTCGCGACCCGAGGAACGCGCGCACATGGGGAAGGATGGTGTCCTTGCCGTCTCCTAGCCACTCGAAGTGCTGCTCTCCGACGAACCGAGTCTTCCAATACGACTGCAGCTCGTAATCCGGCGGCATAGGCTCTTCGTCGACGTCTTGAGGGGGACGTGGTGAGCAGCGGTCGTTGACTTGCCGGTTCAGAGGAGTTTGCGGCAAGCGCCCGATCACTGAAAGTCGCTCGGAAGGCGGGCCCGGTGTCCGGGTACGGAAGGTACGGAGCAGAGTATCGTTCCTCCAGCAGTGAAGACGTCCGCGAAGCATCTTGGAGTTTGCGACATCGCACAATCGAGGAGTGGCTTATGAGAAGGGAGACGCAAGGACACACCCCTCTCGCCGCGGCTCGACTAACTCCAAGCGAGGTCTCATGACCACACAGCGCACGTCGAGACCCAAGCTAGACTTTCAAGAAATCATTGTTTTTGAATGGTCGGCATATAGACCGGCCAGTCTGTACCTACGCTCTATCGAGCATCATATACAGAAGGTATGCGAATCCCTCCACCTTAAGGCAGTAGCCTGACCTCACGCTCCGAAGTAGGTGTACGCTCGTAGTAGTGGATGCCGGCGGTCTTTGAGCAAGTAGACGTCGTTGTCGAATCGACGGTCTTGAAGTGGCCGAATTGTTCCTGTATATCACAAGATGAGTTCCGGGTATCGGATAGGTAACAAGATTGGACTCACGGTGCCCAAGACGTGGTGGAAGTACCACACTTCCTGCAGCACGGTGCCGTTGCTTCCACATCCGAGGAACGGAAGGGAGCCAGTTTGTGCCTTCAGGGCAGACTGCAGCTGCGTAAGAGAGTACGTGGTCTTGTTGGAAGGCTGGATGCCGGATCTACGAAGCAGCGAGCCCACGTAAGTTTCCGACTATGTGATCTTGAGGAGCAACTCACGCAGCAAGCATCTCCCATGTGGGATACATCTTGAACGCACGAACTACTGCGTCGAAGAAGTCAACCACGTCTTGGTTCTTCTTGTAGTCGGGCCCATAGCACGCAACGTCAAACGTTGACGTGCAAGTGGCATGCTTGGAAAACTAGGGACGGGGTAAGCTGTCGTTCCGTCTCTTCCAAACCATCGCGCTGACATACTTCGTGTCCCCAGAAGCCGTTGTTAGCTTGACCCTGGCTGACCCAGTACTTGTTCACTGGATTCGAGAAATAGTCAGCTTTACGGACGCAAACACTAAAATTTCACGCGTACTGTAATCCAACAGGTCGAGACGGCCAAACTCCGCGACGAACGTGTCCACGCCAGGGCCCTTGTACGCAGGCACCGCTGTCCCGTCAGGCAGAATCGCCGGTGACGGCGCGGGATCGAACTGTCGCGACAAGTCGCAATACTGCTCGAACGACCTAGGCCCCTGTCAGTGTCGCGCCCATGCAAACTATACCCACAAGCCCACTCACCCGTCGCAGTTGTCCGGCCACAGCCCGTGGATCGTCCAGCTGTCCTTGGGCAGCAGCTGGCCCTTCTTCTCCAGCCCGGTGTACGTGTCCCAGAACTGCGTCTGCAGCACGAGCCCGCCGGGCGTCGGCGAGCAACACGTGTTCGCGATCGCGGTCGTGTTCTCGCACGAGTACGCGCTCGCGGCGCTCGCGCACGCGGAGATGTTCGGGAACGTGCGCGGGAGCGAGAAGAACGACGACGCACTCGCCCCGGCCTGGAGCGCGAGGAGCGCAGAGACGACACCGTACGCGGCGACCTGAGCCATGGGTGCGGGCTTGAGCTTGTCCGGGGAGTTTGGCTTCGGTGCACGAGGACGCGGAGACGGACGCCGCTGCTCCGTCGATGCCCGCCATCTTTATACTGTGGGAGATGGGCGCAGCGCGGCGGGCGTGACGAACGTGCTATCTTGCCGGCACCGATAGAGGAGGTAGGATCCACATGCACCGCGACGCCGAGCACGCGCATCAGCCAACCGCAGACAGCCATCAAACGGGACAGCGTCGATGCTGTTTGTGGTGGCTGGGATGGGGCTCGATGAAGGCCGGTGCCTGGCGAACGTACATGTGAACGCCGGGCGTTCGAGGCAAACCGATAGAGTGCTCAAGAATATCTGCCGTCGGGGATGAGAAAGCGGCGACCCCATGGACAGTCGGCGCTCTGCGTACCGTAAATCGATGCCTACACGAGGACGAGGTTTGTCTCACGTCTTCGGCTGTTACAAATTCAATGGAGATCGGAGGTTTGTACTGATGAGCGCACCGCAACAAGCCTGTGCTCTGTGGTACCGTCACTCACCCTTACTACTGTGAGCGCTAGATGCTCGACACATGTGGATAGAACCTGGAGGCCTGTTTGGTGTCGTTCGAAGAGTATGTATATACATCACAAGTGCGTGTTTGAAACAGGAGGCAAATAGACTGAACGAAAGTAGAATAGTAACGCTGGGTGTGCGGCAAAGGGAGGAGGCGGACGCATGATCGCCGGAGTGGAAACAGTAGGGGATGATGGATTAATGTATCAACATATCAAGACATAAACATTGCGGCATGAGGCATACGGTGGCATAGAGTGTAGGCAGGAAGAGTGGCATGTGGCGGGGGTTACTTGAAGATAACGCCTCTCCAAGGCGTGACGGGCTGCTGAGTGCTGAAATCGAACGCGCCGCGGTACCCAGTCCGCGTCAGCAACGGTGCGAGGTTCGAGTGGTGCTTGGGCGACTCGACCCCGTCCGAGCTGCAGTCCATGTCCGAGTCCGAGGAGGGCATCTCCATGAGCATGCTCTGCAGAGTGTTATCGTCCTCTGACTCCGAATCCGAGTGCGAGTCGCTACCCCTGTCAGCCGCAGGGATGGCGGCGGGCACTGGAGTAGGTCGCTTGGAGACACTAGCGGGAGTCCGGCGAGGAATCCGTGGCGTCACCATGGGGTGACGAAGAGGCCGATCGACGACGATCTCGCCCTCTTCGTCGTCCGAGAGTGTCAGGTCCACAAAGATAGGCGCGGCTTTCTTTGCTGGGGCGACCTGAATCACGGCCTTGCTTGACGAGGCTTGGCTCAGTTTGGGAGCGAGAAGCTTGGGTTGAGCGGGTACTGTATTGCTTTGATGTCTAGCTATATTTCAACAAACGTACAGAAGGAGGATGACTTACCGATGGGACGACCTATAATGCGCAATTTAGCACTTGGGCTGCGGCGCGCCACATGCGCCGCTTTGATCTTGTCCAGAGCACGCTTTCTTTGCGGCACTGGACTCAACAGCAACCTTCTCGCGGGTGAAGGAGGAGGGGGCCCGCGCCGAGATCGAATTTCGTATCTCATTGGGGGCAAATATGCAGGCCTTGGTGGTCTGTTACCGCGCCTACTGTGGCGACACACAAGGTAAGCTCCTCGCGGTCCGGACAACGGGCGGAACCACACTCACCATGCATAGAAGGTCTGCGTGGTGGCGGCGATCAAGGGGGTATATATCTCTTTCACCCAGGCATACAGCGCCTCGAAGCCATGGTCCAGGTAGTACGCCCCGATGACCGTCTCGAAGAGATCAGCGGTGGCCTTGACCTGGGACTTGCTCTTCGCGGGCGCCGCCGTGCTCTCGCCAAACGTGTTGCGCGTTAGAGCCCTCAGCACCGAGTCACTTACCGCCAGGATGTCCAGCTTCTCGGCGAGCATCGCGAACGTCATGTTCGAGTGCAACGCCGCGCGAACAGACTATCTCAAACACACGCATGACATGTAGTATCCCTCAAGACAAGCAAGACGCACGTACCGTGTAGAGGTGAGGGTTCCCGTCTGGGATCTGGGCGTAGAGCTGCCTTCCGATTGTGGCGTACATGAGGGCGTCGCCCAGGAACTCCAGCCTGTCGTTCTCCTCTACGACCCTCTGTGTCTGGGCGAGGATTTTCATCCATGTCTTGTCCGATAGCGGAGGGAGAGCCGCATCGAAGTCGGGGCGGCTGATCACCTCACGGATTGCATGCTGGAGATCTAGGTAGTGGTCCATAGGGGGGCGAGGGCCAGGCATGTTGGGGAGGTGGTGGCGGGACACTTGAACTTGAAGGTTAGGTAGTGATGAGGAGACAGGGAGTAGCAGTATTTGTATGACCAACAGGCTGGGTGGCTGACAGTAGGTAGTCTGGGGCGGGCGGGCACGATCATGTATGTGGATGACCAGGAAGCACAGCCGAACCGCCAGCCTCTCCCGAATCGAAGGATCCTTGCGCTTTGACGCCCGTGCACGAGTAAGTACAGCAACCACTGCATGCCACATCAAAGTTTGGACCAAATACGCTTCCGCTGGTTCAAAAATGAGCAGCTATATATAGTGGAGACTACATGCAAATATTACAAACGTTCGATCCGTGTCAATAACTTATGCATCCAAGCCGTTGTATTCAAGCACAGAGTCCATCCAAGAGACATCCAGGTTTTGTACCGTGTTCTCATGCCTCAACCAACCTCCAAGATAGCGTCCTCCGCTCGCAAGAGCACCCGTTTCGTCATTTTCTCGGTGAACTGGTAGACCTTGTAGAGCGCCCTATGATTTGGCGTCGACGCAATGAGAACGTGCGCCACGCACAAAGTCGGAGCAAGGAAGGTGCCTACCTGGCAGCACCTGCAATGACCACCGCTAAGACGATGAGCGCCACCAAATCTTTCGACTCGCGACCGGCACGGCGTGTCCGCATTCGCAGCCATCGGAACGGCATCGGTATAGACAGCAGCATGTGCGCAATTGAGCCGGCGCCGACAACGGGCAGGCCCAGCAGAAAGCGCTGGAACAGGCGCATGAAGAATCCGGGAGGACTGCTGGGCTCCCGGAGCCTGAAGGAACCAGCACGGCGGCTGAGGAGGGGGTTGTCCAGCATTCGGTCGTCGAAGAAGTTGACCGTCATGCGAACGAGGGTGCGGAAGATGTCAATGGGCGCCCAGTAGAAGTAGGTGTCTTCCTGGTCTCCCATGAACCAGGTGGTAACGAAAGAGCTCATAAGCACGATCGCTGTGAAGACCAGCGTGGATAGCGCCGCTACAACGACTGTAAACAGGGGTGAGTACTTTAGCAGTATCGAAAGCATTTGAAGAGGGTTACGTACCTGGGTTTGTGGCTATACCGACAACGCGTGTGCGCGCGAAATGGTAGTGATACCCGCACTGCGGACAGGCATAGAATGCACTTCGGGACGCGGAGGTGTTCCGCCACCGCTGGAGACACTTCACATGTACGAACTGAACATCCCAGAGCGGATGAGCATGTTTCATCCCTCTTCTTGGGGCCGCACAGCACATTGACTCACGCTAATTGAACCCTTGCAGAGACATGGGCGTATGAGCCTACCCAGCTCCGGTACCTCCCCGTCCAGACAGATGCGGCATTGCTTGGAGTCCTCCGTTTCGTCAGACATTACAGCATGAGAGAAGCAAGAAAGAGCATATGGTGTCGTTAGAGCAAGAGGTGAGTAGCGGACGTGGTTGCTCGCAGACGTGAGAGGCGATGTGTGCGACCGTCTGTTCGATGTGTTTCCTCTGCCGGCCGACGGTGACTGAGCCCGGGGTCCGGGGAAAGGTTGATTAGGCGCCCATAACGTGTCATACTGATCGGCGGCCCGACGCTGCTAATGTGCCGGCGTCTCTTCTCTTCTCCGCTTTCGCCGTGCCGCGTTGACGCGTTGTGTCCTTTGCCACACACTGGGTGTGCTCGCCGAACCGTCTGCTGAAAGATGGCATCCGAGTCAAACGCCCCAAATGTGAGGCTGGTAGGTGCCGTAGCTGGTGTTGGAAGTGGTGAGATTCAGCAACAGGGTACGAATGACCGTCCGGAAAATTAACGCAACGAACGGCAGGCTTGATGAAGGTGATTCACTTTCTCTTACTGCTGCAGTATTTTGCTTGCCAGACTGGCTCTCTGCACGCACCTGGGCAGCACGACACCGGAACTTCAGCGTCGAGCACTAAATGAATTTTATAGGTGGCCGTTGGACACGGGTTAGTAGTCTAAAAGGTGAGATCGTACAGTTCAGCACGTCTAACCCATCGTGTAACCCATCGTGCCCAGAGACCCATACACTTGACACCAGCTGATATTGATATGGAACATACGTAAGGTTTGACACTATCAAGACAAGGCTTCAATGCTCCCCGCCCGGGACATATAAAGGCGCTGTCGACTGTTTGCTGCGGACCGTCCGGAACGAGGTAATGCTTTCGTGCCACTGTTGCTGTTCTAACTCAACTGACACGGTAAATCCAGTCTATATTTGCCCTGTACAAGGGTGCAACACCTCCTGCCGTAGGGTGGGCTGCGATAGACTCGGTTCTTCTTGGCTCGCTGCACAACTATCGCCTCTTCCTCGTGGAGCACGGTCTGACGGAGACTGTACCTGGGTCTGACGTTAAGCGACTGACTCTCGTGGGCCATGGCATTGCAGGCCTTTTCGCGGGCTGGACAAGGTACCTGCAATCCGCTGAGTCTATTTCTGTTCTGTGGCAGTTATTAACAATGCATCTGCGACACCCAGCGCGCTCTTGGCTACGCCTATGGAACAACTGAAGGGTATGTAAACTTGCATTTCTCCTCTAGGAATTACACACCGACCTTTCTGCGTGAAGTCAAACTCCAGCTGCAACTACAAAGATCATCGGCGGACCGCGTATATAAGGGTCCGATTGACTGCTTGCGTCAAGTGGTGCGAGCACGGGGTGTGCTCGGCCTATGGGCAGGCTTTTCTGGCAGTCTGGCGTTCCGTAGTAACTTCCTCTTCATGTTCGGCTCGTTCGAGGTAAGCTCACCGCCTCGCGATATATTCATATTTGTGGCTAATGCATATAATAGGCTCTAATGAGAGGCTTCTCAAAGCTGGATGGGACACCTTATGCAGTGAGCAGTAAGTTGCATCTGAGCAGTCGAGATTCTGAGCCCTACACAGATCAGCACGCCGATGGCAAACTTCCTCTCTGGCGGACTCGCTTCATTTGTCTACTGGATCATGGCTATCCCGGCAGACAACATCAAGAAGTCAGTCATCCATGGCCCGCAGAAGCCGTCGCGTTCACTCACTACGCTACCTTACACAGCCGTATGATGGCGACCCCACACGATCGTCCCAAACTCTCCTTCACGGCCACCGCGCGGCAGATAGTTGCAGAAGGCGGGTTCAAAGGGTACTATCGCGGTCTTGGACCTACCTTGCTGAGAGCGTTCCCCGTGAACGCCTCTGCATTGTGGGTTTATGAAGGCTTGATGAGAACGCTCGGTGCCGAGAAGGTCAGTAGTACGATATGCCGTGGGGTTAAAAACAAGCTAACAACTCGAGCAGACACGGCATTAGCATTCCAGCATCTGACGGGTACCCACAATGTTTCTTCTATCGCAATGCTCCTTCTAGACCATCCCTCCCGGCGCTACGACACATCCACATAATTACCACGAATGAACATACCCAGAATTTGAATTTTCGTACACAGCGTGATAGCAAGCGACTCAAAGTGCACAACGGTCCAAACAACCCCCACGATACAACGGGGCAAATTCATATTGGCACAACCATGTCCTTCTGCCTCCGTACATCCCAGAACCTATATCCCGCCGCCGCCAATAATGGAATAATACATAGCGCAACCAAAACAGGCCACGCGCGCAAGATGCGCCTCGCCAACCCTTGCGACTGCCCACGACGCGCTTGATTCGCGCCATCCGCACCTTGGTCAGAATTGTCGACGAGCCGAATCGTCCTCGCAAAGAGGTTCTCTAGGCCCGTCGGTTCCTCCGGCGCAAAGAAGCGCTGTGGACGCAACCACGACGCGTCGTCGTCGCGGGCCACCTTCTTCACGGGCGAGGACGGGTCGATGTCCATGGCGTCTGGGTCGCGATCGTCGTCGTCATCGTCCATGTCGATATCCTGGCTAGGTGATCGCGCGACTGTACTCCTGCCTCTACGCGTGGGAGATGGTGGGGCGCCGCCGGTAGACGAGAACGATGGTATCCCGAAGATGGGGTTGTAGGCGGGAGGCGCTGCAATCACTGGGTTGTTCGACAAGGTGAGGGTGGCGAGGAGGTCGGGTTCGGACACCGCCGGGGTGGCGGATCGCGAAGAGGGAAGGGAAGGGGTCGGTGACAGAGCGCGGAGATGTCCCTTCTGGCCGATGAGTTTGACTGGAGGTGAGTGTTGCACTTTCAGGATCAGGTGCGACGAGATGAGAATCTACAGTCATGAACATGAGCATCGAATGTGCTTGGTTTTGCTGCAGAACTTACGACAATCTCGGAAAAGAGCATGGCTCCACAGAATATCCGAGCACGCTCCGACCGGGGATCTTGCCACAGGTGCAGCACGTCATACTCTGGCTGATATTTCGCTACGGCCAAAGCTGCTGTGGTACTGAGCCGTAGGGACCACGCAATAAGCTGCAGAAACTGAGGAGGAGTGAGTACAGCTGTGACACGTGTGTGACATAGCGGAGGAGACTGACGTTATAGGTCCGCTTTCCGTGTACGCGGACGGCCCTTCCTTGAAACTGTGCTCTTCGGAATGTGGCGTAGGTGGGATCCCACGCGGTCCATAGAATAGAGACCACGACGAGAGCCGGGAGTACGGGTATCATAGAAGACGGGAAGGAAAATGGATGATATGATGCAGCGACTATACGAGTTGAGCGCAGGTTCGGTTAGCCACGTAAAATATGATGCTTACTAGAGGTGTGTCCGCAAATGGCGGTGGCCAAGCTTCCGACCCAGAAGCATCCGCGCACTTTCCACGCTCTCAGCTCGCGTTCGAGTTTGTCCCGTTCCTTTTGCGTGGCAGAGGATCGGCGGCGACTGTCCGTGCCCCTGGTGGTCTTCAGAGCTCCACCGAGAGCGCGCACCCGGGCCATGTGGTCGCGTTTGCGAATCTCGTCTTCGACGGCGGGTAGACAGTTGGCGCATATTGGAGGGTAGCGTATCTCAACCGACTGGCGGTACTCCGGAAGAGACTCCAGACGCGCCTCATACTCCGGGTCCTACAAAACACGAGTTGAGTTGAGTTGAACGGAGTAAAGCAGGTGTAACATACGTCAGGCGTAGGGAGATAGTTGGACAACAGGTTTGTGATGAGCATTTGGTTCGTCTGACACGTATGGCAGAATACAGTGTTCCCGTACGCGGATAGGAAACGGTCTTTGCGCGGTGAAGCTGTAGTAGGGTTACAGGTTGACCACGAACGGGTATAATGCAGGGGCACGTACCTCTTTTCGCGAAGGAACGAGCGTTCAAGTTCTCGTCGTGCATTGCAGGCTCTTCCGAGGTGATCTCCCCATGTTCATCATAGCGGTTCCAGCAGTCGCAGTGGGGACAGCGGAAGGAGCGCGGGTTGCGCGGGAGGGGAGTAACGGGAGACTGGCAGAAGAAGCAGGAGACTGCGCTGGGGTGTCTGAATACAGCAGGCATTTTGTGGCAGAGAGGGCAACTAGAGCAGGCAGGCTACGGATAGCGAGGCATATACCGGCAGAGGGCAGGAGAGTGCTGCAGGAGATGTGGCTGAAGGAGAGACGGACACAGGCGCTAGACCAGAAGCGGTTTGTCCACGGCTCCGCGCGGCACGTGCCACAGACGCGTTCGCGCTGTTGTCCGCTGTTTGGCCCTGCGGCCTCTGGCCAAGCGCCTGAGTCATTCCCTCCATCCTCCGTTCTCCCTTCTGCGCCGGCGTTAGGCAATGTCTATAGCGCCAGAACCGTCTGCGACACGGGGGGAAATCACCCTACAACCGAGCTACTTTACGTCGTCCCTCTACGTCAATCCCCTCCGGGAAGACATCTCTACGCTGATCGACGCATTTTCCGAGCAATACAGTCCTTCTGTTCGGCCATTCGAGCTTTTCAGGAAACTATGGGCAGACCAGGGCTGGCAATGGCTCCACCTCCGTGCACAAGACGGGCGCTCTCGGCAATCCTTTCTCAAGATCACCACCAGGCTCTTCGTTGGCAAGTCCGCTGCATCTACTTAGTCATCTACTTAGTTATGCACTATATTGACGCGTTTTGGTTGATAGAGCGACTCGGGGAGCAAGAAGAGCCTCTTACGCGCGTGGTTGCGCTATTTGCTCTCTATACCTTCCATGAAACCCAGCCTTCGACTTCTGCGCCCCCGATCCTCTCGGTTCCATATATTGTGATTCCACTAGGTGACCTCACCTCGCTAGGAAATGATCTGCAGTACTAACAAAATTATCGTTCCCGGCACCTAGACCTATACAGGGATATGCTCGAGATACCCTCTACTCTGGAGGAACCTGGTCTCTGTCCCCTGAAATCATACGTCACCCACGTTCTCACCACGATGTTGGACGCCCAGGCCTTCCAAATAATGCCCCGTTCGTCTTTGAACGCCCAAAATCCAAGCATTCTGCCTCGAGAAATATTCGTGCCGGATGGGCAAGAAGCCTCGATGGTCTTGCAAGCAAGCTCCTCCAGCACGCCATCCCACGGGGCGGGAACCAGTGCCGCTCCCAAGAAAAAAGGTCGCCCATCCAAACGCGACAAAATACGCAAGGCCAAAGAAGCATTGCACTCTCTAGACAGATACGTCGACAGAACCTACCTCGCCCTCCACCAAGACCCGTACCAGCTCCGAATGACCGCCGACCCTTCCGCTCCCGGCGCGGGGCCAGTGCAAGCCGGCCATATGCTCTTCGCACAGGCGCCCGCGGGCTCGCTCGGACACTACTCAGCGCGCAAGCACGAGCTGTTGGGGGCCTTGTACGCGGGGCATCCTGATGGGCCCGAACAAGCTGCACTCCGGCGCATCAATGACTCTGTCCTGGCGCGGTTGAAGCAGATTGACGAGATGGCCGCTGAGAAGGGGTTAGAGGTGGGTGGCGAAGGCGGGGACAAAACGGGTCTTGCGCGCGTGGAGAAGGCGGTGGAGGAGCTTCGGCAGGCTACTGGGGTGGGCGCGTCGGGCGGTATACTGGGATTGCTGGAGGGTGCGGGGATGGACATGACGTAGTTGGTAAAGCTAGGTATACTAACATCTTCAGTCGACCTCGCCTCTAGGCTACCTTCCTTGACATCGACTGACTGTGCTCTGTATCCAGATGTACGAACGGACGCAGCGTTCATTTTACGAACTCATAAGCTAGGAGCGAAACCACCAAGTCAACAGTCTTCACCCGGATTAGACCCATGTGAGTGGTGTAATCGCGCAACGTTCTCGTACTCCCGTCTTGCCTTCGGCTGTTGCTACCATATGGAAACCCGGGCTTTCCACATTGTCTTCACATTTGAAGAGGACAGTGTATAATGACCAGGTCAGATTGGATTCGCTATTATTACCTCTCGATGTGAAGCTTACTAGAGGCGGCGTATTACGTCCGCCTCACAATAAAAAATGGGCGCCAACCTGGAAGTCGATGTCAATGGTATCAAGGTCGCGTCGCGACACAATAAGTTCATGGCTATGGATACAGATACAGTCTACAGATGCGGGATGCGGCAAGAATGGATGCAATGCAGAGAGAAGATGGAATGTGAAATGCGAGATGTGAGATGCGGGACGGTGATGATCGATGATGTAGTGGGGGGATGTGGTCGTGGTCGTGCCGACGTGAAGAATACGATTGTGCAATGAGGGGGACATGTGGGGGCATGAATTGAGGTGACGCGGGTAGAGTATGGTGATGTAGAAGATCCCAGGAAGGGTCCTCGGAACGGAAGCGCAAGGGCTAGGCTCGCGGTAGGTTCCGGGGACGGGTCCCCAGGGGATGTGCCGGCGGTGGCAGCATGTGCGGCGTGCAGCGGATGGTTGTTGTTGTCTCCCGACGCCCAGAGACATCCTCCAACGCTCCATGGTCGCGAAGGCGACGCGGCACCTCGTTCCAGACAAGGACGTCCCGCCGCCCACCTCCAACCCGCACCACACGCCCGCCGACGTCTACGAGAGAAGGTGGTCCGCCTACTTGCCGAACACCTTCTTGAGCGAGCCGGTGTGGCTCGCCTGGCTGCGCTGGCCCTGCGCAGCGTTGTGCGCATTGCTCGGCCGGAGCGCGGCATACATGGATTGCGCATCGCGCGGGTCCTGCTGGAAGGACGCGAACGCGTGCGGCGCCGCGGGGCCCGTCGGGAAGAAGCTCGCCATCGGCGAGGACGGCGGCGAGGTGTAGTAGGACGACATGGGGGTGGTGTGTCGTGAAACGGGTGGGGGTCGTGCAGTCGTGAAGTTCTGCAGGGACGATGGGGCCTGGCGTCGAGCGACGTGCAGTGCGCGCGTGCGGGTCGTAAGAGGTGGTGGTAGGGGGTGGTAGTGGTGGTGGCGAGCGACCGCAGAAGGCGTATGCACAGGCAAATGGGCAGGAGAAGCCTGGGGCTCTTCCGCCCCTGGCCGCGTCCTTTTATCCGAGCTGGCGCATCCCCCAGCTGTGAGAGCGCGACTATAACACCTTCCATTCCGGACGCGCAGCGCACGGCGCGCCGCGCGAAATACAAGGGCGCTGCCAAAACGGGACGCGCTCACCTGACGCGCGGCCACACGCTTCCCAAATGCGGGTGAAGGCAGCGCACCGAAGCGGCGTCGCGTCTTCGGTGTGCGAACGTTCTGCGCGATATCAGAGCTCGCCGCAGAACGGCCAAGCAGATTAGCGTCGCGGGCACCCCGGGAAATGGAGGACGCGGAGGAAGGTGGCCAGACGCAGACCGATCGGTGCATGGGCGTCCTAGGATGTTGCGTAAGTAGGAAAGATACGCGAGCTGAGATGCGCGGGCACTCACCCACAGGCCACCGATGTGGTACATTGCAGCACTGGGTTCTGGAAACGATACATTGACTCGGACGGCCACGCACCTCGGAGATGAATCTTGTCTTTGCTGCCGGGGTGGACTGACGCTGCAACTCTACATCGCCTTTGTATTCGCCCTGACGGCTTATGCGTGGTACAAGTTGAGTTGGTCTGCTGGAAGCTTAAGCTCTACTGTAAGCCGGCGGGCATGGTGTACTGTATAGCGAGTGGTATCGCGATTAGTCCGGAGTACGTAGGGATATGCGTATGCGACGGGGGAATATGGTGAGAGCAGCGGACATGGGTGAGGAGGACGACGATGAGGAGCGACAGGTTAAAAAGGCAGAGGGAAGGAGAAATCCGAGAAATCCGAGTGGGAGAGTGAAAAGGAGGGGACGGATATGTACACACAGCAAGACGACCCAACAGGATGCTGAAGTACAGCTCACATGTGTCCGGGGATGCGACGACGAGATGTGATGCGATGCGAACGTGAATGCCCATGCGGTATGCGAATGCGAATATGCCAATGCCAATGCGAGAATGCGAGGAGAGGAATGGTGAGGAAGGGGAGAGAAGAAGCTGGTGTCCGTCGAGCATCGAGTCCGTGACTCCATGCAAGTGCCAATGCTATAGCAGCGCCGTACCGTTCTCGCCAGACGCGACGAGCCGCGCCCAGTCTTGCCTCCAGCGCACCATGTCCGCGCGCAACTTCTTGTCCCCGAGCGCCTTCTCGATCCACTGTAATGTCGTGTCTTCGTCTTCCGGGACAAAGAACGAAGAGAGCATCGACAACACAGTCTCGAAGTTCGCCGACTCCGAAGTGATGTGATCTAGGGGCAGCACGTCAGCGTATCCCCGCATAGTGCCCACCAGCGACGCTTACCTCGGTACACCCACACAATCGCCACCGCAACGATAACGAAGATGTCGTGCCCCTCGAGCAGGAACGCGTCCCAGAGCCGGAGCTGCATCTGAAACGGCACCGAGTTCGCAAACAGCGTGATGTACCACTTCGTCGCATACGACGTCGTCGACACCATGTGCTTCTTGAACGCCGCGTACACCGCGGGCATCATCTGCTCCGTCATCCGCTCCTGCACGTAGATCGCCTCGAGCAGCCCGGGGAAGCCAGGGCTGAATATCGAGTGCATGCTGTACGAGTCGTGCAGCCGCACTAGCGACGCGTACGCGCGCTCGGGCTCGAAATAGCACAACAATGTCGCGGCGATGGGACCCATCCCTTGGCAGTACCCACAGGTGTCGCATCGTAATGACAGTGAATGGAGGACGTGGAATAATGACCGTTGCCTGCACAACGCCCCCGCCGCTTAGCATACGTCCACCTGAAACACAACGAGAGTACGCACCCTTGCCCGTATCGTGTCCGGAACATGACATGTCCGCTAATCGTCCGCGGGACGTCCAAGTCGATCTGCACGTCGTACGAAGACGGCTTGTCCAGTGCCTCGTGATACTCCGCCATGAGCTGCTTCAGCTCCGTCTTGCCCGTACGCGAGTAGCGGCACATCAGCACCTCCCACGCCGCGGTGCGCCAGCAGTTCGGGATCCCCTTGTAGACGCGCTCGCGTAGCTTCCGCTCCTTCGTCGGCTTCACGGCCCACATGTCGATGTTCCTGCCCGGATCGCGCGAGGCCGGGACGAGCATCCGGCCCCATTTCGCCATGCGTTCGGTCTCTTTGGGAGAGAGCGAGCTGCCAGGCTGCTTGGGCAGTGGTGGGGGACTCGCAGGGCCCGTGGTGGTCGCGGTAGGTATCCGCGAAAGTGGCCGGCGCAGAGGTTCGGCGTTCAGGAGAATAAGGCGGTCATGCGAGGGTATTTGGAAGAAGCCGTACCTTCGACCTAATCAGCGCCTGCGACCGTGGATTGACAGGTTGTATGCGTACCTGTCCAAGCTCGACAACAGTTCGACCTCCTGCGGGGTAAGCTCGCGCGTCTTCTCTGCCGCATCTCCGAGGGCTTGCATCGCACGGATCTCACTTGCGCGGCTGCCACCCACGCGGGCACGGGTACGCTCGACACCCTCCTCGATCCCATCGCCCTTGACACCGGTCGCCTCGAGCTGTGCATACGTGCTCCGCACATGAAACGCATCCGCATCCTCCCCTTCTGACCGGGCAACTGCTGAGTGCTTGCTTTCCGGCGTGCTGAACTGAGACGTAGACCCGTGCGGTGATGACGTCGGAGAGAAAGAGGTGGACCCAGGTATTTGTAAGGAGGGCTCTGGAGGCGAGGAGGTATCGCGGTGTGACGGTCGTGATGGGGGAGTGAATGGTGTGCCTGGGGTCGAGGGCGGCGAGAGAAGAGGTGAGCGAGGTGGGGTCTGGGGCAGTGGTTTGGGGTCCGTCGCATCAAGTGAGAAAGATACGCGCGGGATGTCAGTGCTGGCCGCAGACTGCTGAGACGAGGAGGGCTTGTGTCTATGCGAGGAAGATGGCCTGCTCCGGGGACCTGAAGGACGGCGCTCTGAACCGGTGCTACGTCGGGGTGCTCCACCATTCCCAATACTCTCCACGGTGGAATGCCTGTAGGCGGAGGACGGCCTTGAGTCTGCGTACGCAAGCTGAACAGAACCGGCGGAAACGACAGAGTGTCTTGGCTTGTCAACACTTAATCGCTTCCCCATGCTGGCGCGGCGGAGGTCGTACGCGGCGGTGGTGTCGTAGAACGCACTGTCGTCGAGCGCGGAGGGGTTATACGAGTCCCGGTAGGCAGGCATGGCGGAGGTGGCGATGTGCACACCGTCCTTGAGGTTCAGGTTCAAGCCGCGACTGGTCGGGCGAGACTGCGGCCGGGAGGCATGGCTGACGGCGGAGGCAGCGGCAGACCAGCTGCCAGCGTCTTCTTCATACATGGAATAGATAGTGACGATGGTCGTCTCGGAGGAGCTGCGGTCGCGGTCTGTCGACGAGCCCTCGGAGGAGTGTGTGAGCTCCGGGACGAGGGAGTGGCCGTCGACGTCGCGGCTGAGGCGAGGGGAGGGCGGATGGGGGGTGCTGATGGGAGTTGGTGGGACGACGATGTACTCCGGAGAAAACATCAACGGTTGCTCGAGGTCGGGGACGGCGACGGCGAGAAGGAAGGGGAGAGGGAAAGGGAAGGAAAGAAGGAGAGGGGAGGAAGAGAGAGACGGCTCAGCCTGTCGCTTGCGCTCTCATCGACGTCGGTTGGAGAGCGTGCAATGCTCCCTGCCTCTCCGGGTCCCGCGTCAGATGCGACCTCCCGCTCTCGTTTCATCTCGTTTCATGCTCATTCATCGTCTACAGACTACACCACGCTCGTACACCCATCGCCGCACTATAGTACATGGGCTCAGGACAATTAGACCGGGAAGGTGTGCATGCGTGCCATCCGCGAAGGTTATCTTGAGCACGGGCGGCACGCCGCGCCGCAGTCTCCGGTGCTTCCCTCTGCGCCGCAGATCTCCCTGCCCGTCCTAGCCCCGAAAGCATCTCTGGGCTCACCGCGACGGCGTAGACCGGTGGGAAGCCGTGGAAGTAGAACACACCGGTCCTCAATACGCCGTCGCACTTCGCCGCGTGCCTCCAGAGTACAGGCCGGCCCAAGTCTCTCGCTCTATCTCCGCACGACCATGTGAGTCCAGTATTAATTACAGGCACTCGAGCAGCAACCACTGCGATGATGCATAATATTAGGGTATAGATATAGTATGAACAACTGACATCATAGCGAGGTCTCGATGGTGCAGCTGTCCTCCTTTTGGCACACTGCCGTACGCCCCAAGTTCTTCGCGATAGGACCTGCCAAGAGCTCGATCGTCGGTACCTCGTCCGGAATACCCATAACAGCAAAGTACTCACCAGTTGGGCCACTCACAAACTTACACTCATCCACAACATCAGGGATGTCGATGCAGTACTGCCCGTGCTCCAGGATCTTATACTGCTCGTCCCCCCACGCCCCCGCAAAGTTCAGCCAGCTAGCGCCCTCCGCCGGCTCCTCCTGCCCACCAACATCTGCACCCCCTGCCACGCTGAACGTGCTTGTCGCGCTGTCGAACCAGAACCCGCGGAAGTTCAGCGTCGGGTCCCAAAGCGGCCCCGCATCTGTCTGGTCGCACAGCAGGTTGAGCGGGAGGTCGTGACAGTGCTGCCCCGGAGTTGCGTAGTTCGCGTGCGTGCCGCCCGCGATGTACGTCGTCGGCCGCCCGTTCGTCTTCTCCGTCACATCGAACGTGTATGCGGACCCGCCAGAGTGCGCGGAGAGGTACAGCGTCGTCGGCGCGCCATTCACGAAGCGCACCATGCTGTGCTCCCAGTCGCCGACGTGGTCGCCGAACTCGATGTCGAGCACCTGTTGAATACGGTGCTCAGCGTTACATCCGGGTCGATTCGCGAACAACCGGACTAACCTTTCCACCATGGTCGAACGAGTAGAAATAGAAGAAGAACGCGTCGAGTATGCCCCCGTCCTTCTCCACAAGCACGATCGTCGCGGGCGCCGCGCTCTTCGCGCTCGCGTCCGGCGTGCCCACCGCCGAGGTGACCCACGCCGGCTGCTTCGTCACATCGTCCTTCGACGTTAGGAACACGTCGCTCCCGAGGCCGCCGACGGTCTCCAGGGTCACCCCCTGCGCGACCGCCGAAAAGTCCGCCTCAGGCACCATGTGCGTGAGATGCTCCGCGACGTCGGCCGGCCACCACTGCTCCTGCGACCACAGGTGCGAGACGGGCGCGTTCTGCAGCACGAACGACGGGACCGGGTCGCGCTTGGCCAGCCGCGCCGTCGGGGTGGCGGCGGCGGTCAGCGCGCAGAGGAGCGCGGGGAGGGCGGTGAGTGTGCGTCCAACCATGCTTGCTACAGCGCGCGATGCCGACAGGGAGGGGTAAGTGGGATGCGACCGAGCTCGCGTCTCGTCGGTTCCCCTTGCTGCTTTATATTCTCGCGCGTGTCACCAACCCATACGACTGCCCCGCGTATTATTTGCATATGACAGGCCTTCTAAGTAGAAACGAGCAACGTGTTGAACGTTTCCGCGGATGAGGCAGCGATCGCATCTTGTCGTTGTGATGGCGGACCAGACAGCATTGCAGCACTCCTCGGGGTTGTCGGTGCTAGTGCGCCCCGCGCGAGCTCAAGTGAGCAAGTCAGCCTACCGCGTTCGTCACGCGTCTGGGGGGACCATATGCACCAGCGTCCTTCTCCCATCGCGGCTCGCCAAGAGATGGCTTGTGGCTCACACGCCGCCGGGCGAACGTTTGTTATGAAGGCACAGGTGCGTTGCGCTGCGCCGCTTTTTACTGACCAGACGGTATTCTGGATAGCGCGACGGACCCGGCGGAAGTCCTGGTCGTAAGGCCCGCGAAGGCGCATCACAGCCTATCAAAGAGACGAAGTGTCGGTCCATGTGGTGACGCGTGCTCGTGCGCGCCGCCCTGACAGAAGGTGCGTCCCGCCGTCGCACCGCCGACGACCGTGCATAGGAACTCAAAGACGAAGGGTTCGACCGGTCGCGCGTTGCTCTATGCCGATGTGAGAGACGAGCGGTTGCTGGCTGGAGCAGCTGAACGAAGACTGGCACGGCGATAGGACCTGATAATTCCTCGTGCTTCAGCAATTTCAGTTCGTTGCTCACTTGGAGATATGATGGAATGAACGCTGACCTCTTATAATTAGATCCAGAATCACATGCAATGCGGCGATATCGCTGTGGTTTCTGCTGGTCAGAGGTTGTACTGTTCGACACAGACACTCTTGACAGGAGCCTGATCCATCGAGTATTTCGAGATTCGCCCAACTGGAGGTCATAGGCTTTAGATCATGCTCGCCCGTCGGCCCGCTGGTATGAAACGTATATAGGCCAGTGGGAACCGAGTCTTAAAGAATCGCCAATGAGTCCTTGAACTCATGCACGTCATACATCTCCGCCGCGTGTGCGTAGACGGATTTGTCGCTCTTCGCCCGCCGGTCAGAAACGGGGTTTCCCCCAGCATATATTTGTCGTCGGAGGCTTCCATCCAGGAGCGGTGTCCCAGAGTTCGTAACGCCGTTGACGGGATGATCAGTGGCATGTACGACAGGATACCTCTGACGTGAACTTATCACACATGTTCCACCCGGTCTTCTAGCAAACTGTTCAAGCACATAGATTGATATAGTCCGTTGTCCTTGCCAGCATCGCCATGAGCGATGTGGACGACAGGGCAGCGGTGGTATAATAGCCCGCTGTGTACATACGTACACAGCGGTGAACGATGCGTCCTCTGACACCCGAGGACGCGGAACATACAGAAGGACCCCTTAAGAAAGAATCCGCGTCTTGAGCGCAACCTCGATCAAGAACGCATCTGCCCACGGCACACCCTTCGCGAGAAGGGCTTGCTCGAACTCGCCGTACGGCTCCGTCTCGAGCCGCGCTAGGGCGGCCATCGGCAGGTGGACGACGTCGATCCCCAGCGCGGCAAAGACGGGCGCATGCCGTGTCATCGACGGCCTCATCGCGGCGAGGAAGGCGTAGACGCTTTCTGGCACGGTCGGTGCCACTGCTCCCGCTGCTGCCTGGTCATGGAGTGGGGAGAGCCCGTCGCGGAGCACGAGCGCCTCCATGAACGTGAACCCCTGCTCTTGGAGCTTGGCGGGAGGGTCGTTATATTAGCATTATAAACAAGATATGCATTATGTCGGACCCAGCGACGCGATACTATGTTCCTTAGCGTTTCAACAAAGGTTGAACGTTGACCGTTAGGTGAGGTCAATGACATCCTCTTCATCGTACGCCACCTTCCTGCGCTTGCTCTGTGCGTGTGCCGAATCGTCTACGGGCGCGGGCCTGGAGCCAGACCCACTCGCGCGGGGTGCGTGTGCCGGCGCTTTCGCCATCGCATTCCCCGCGTCCCGCAGCTTCGTCCGCTGCGCTGGAATCCAGCCTTTGGTGGCATTCTTCAATTTCTTTGAACGTTTACCTGCGACCCAAGCCGCCAGGTTCGTCAGAAATTGCAGAGCTCCGGCGTTGGAGGGGTCCCGGTCCAGAGCCTGTTCCAAGCTTATGTTGATCGATGAGTGTTCCGCAATTTCCACCGCTGGGTTAAACTCATCTTACCAAGGCCTGACCTTCGCAAAGTCGAAGGCAGCGATAGCGCTGTAGATGTGGTCTTCACCGAGGATCTTTATCGACCGTTCGGCGTCGCAGGCCTTCACAGCACGAAGCCAAAGTGACAGGTCCTTCCACCGAATCGCGGCGAAACACACGCCTTTGACAACTGCAGCGCTGTCGGAGGGGGTAGCCCGCGCCAGTATCATACTCGCGAGCTCTGTTTCTTCCTCAGTGGGCTTCCGGGTCGTCGATTGCTGGATGGTTTCACATGCATCCGAGAGGCCCCCCGGGCCCGAGCCATACAGGATGTCGATATGCGCCCATGCGGGCCACATAATAAGCACTGTGCGCAAATATGCTGGAAGGGAGAGGATGAGTATACCCCGCGCGGTGACGCAGAAGACATTCTCACTTCGCTCGAGACTGCCGGCCATCTAGCAAGAGGACCCATGATAAGCCAAGGGCCGTAACACGAGTACACGCAGTACTCACGTTGCCCCTGAATCCCCCGTAGTCCTGCTCGTCGTACTCTCCTTTTATGACCTGCTTGATCAGGTCGTTTGGGATAGCCTCGGTCTTCAGGTCGTAGTCGAAATCCTGTCGAATGAGCTTCCCGTCCAAGTCGACGAGATGCTCGATTGTGAGTTCGGTTTCTTCGATTTTCTCCATAGTGACCTGTGAGTCGTCGCTTCGGGGTGGGGTTGCCATTTCATCGTAATCATCGCTATTTATTCCGCCACGGCGGGTAAGGTCATCGGCCGTGCCCGACGCGGTGCAGGTGAGGCTGGCGAGGCCGATACGGATCCCGTATTGTTTTCCGACGTCGTTCAGGATGGCCACCAGGTGCGCATCGACGCCTTTGAGTGTGCTGCCTCGGAGATCCGCCGGGGTGTATTTGTGGTTGAGCAGATATATGATTTCCAGCGGGGCGTATCTGTTGCTATCCCCCTGCTGCCACGCACTCAGGGCGGGTTGGAGGCGAGCAGCGAGAGTGTTCGGACGCAATGCCGGACGTAGGGCTTTGGTGGTATGGATGAGATTGAAGGAGAGTACGAGGCGGTATCCGCTGGTGATCTCTTTGACCTCATGTTCCACGTCCGTGTACCAGGCCAGAACGGAGGTGTCGGTCAAGCTGTGCGCGCTTGTGTCGTAGCATACCTGCATGACGCTATGCTTGATGTGCACTGCGCCGCCCGTGAACTCAGAAGGAAGAACAACCACGATGGTGGCGAACATGCCGTCCGCCTTCTCTGTACTGCGATAGGTGAGCACGTGCAATCTTAGAACACTGGATAAGCTTTAGATATACGTACTCGACATGAGGCAGGAAGCTGACAATTCGCACTCAGTTTCGTGCTAACAATGCGAGAGATACATAACACTCACTGTGAACCCGCCTCGTAGAGGAGCAGCTTATGAAGCTCGTATCGCGGTTTGCTGGCCTTGTGATTCACCCCAAGAGCCTCGCATACGTCGCGCACAGTCTCTTTCATGAATTTGGCCCACGGATTTTTGTTCCTAAAGTGCACCTGTAGCCACGGCGTCAATGTCAGCTACATGAAAAGCGGTAAGAGTCTAGAGATGTCACCTTCGACGCGTCGATCTCCCACGTGTCCCGAACAGACTTATCCACGATCGTTTTGTCTGCCTTGCCGAAGGGGGCTTTCTTGGCGAACGTCTTTATCGTGTCCGCTTCCCGTGTACTGAGCGGGAGGCCGAGAGTCCCCAGGCCGTCTATGCTTAATACTGGGTTGGGCGCAGTGGGATATCTTTTGTTGAACGAAAATTCGCCGACGAATTCGAGATCCCCCGTCATGACCTCGGCTAGTGCGCCCTAGGTGAGCCTGAGGATGAGTGACAGGCTCCGTGATAGTTCAGAAATGTATGACGTTCACCTTGATATCGACAATTGCACCCTCCACTCCGTCTTCCTCCTCTTCGTCGTCTTCCCTATCCCCTACCCCTTCATCACCATCCTTTTCCTCGTATTCTGTACGACCATCTCCGCTGTCTTCTGAATCATCAGAAGCCCTGTGCTGAATCACCGACACGTGTAAAGACTTCCGGGCAGTTTGCTTAGTTCGTGCCATCGATGGCTAACGCGCATGGGTGGGTGGTTAACTTCAGCTTCAGGATATATGCATGGACAGCAATCGCAGGTCGGCGCAGATGAGGAGGTAAGCTGGCTGAACAACGTTTTGGACGCGTCAACGACGTGTCAAAACAGGTCAAAACGCGTACAGCCGATTCCCGCAGCGCGCTTGAGCTTGAGCTCCCGAAAACGCCGGACACGGAACGCACAAATGTACGGTTTCTGTGTACCGTTCGTACGGGAGCTAGAATGCGGGGAGGTGGAAACCCTCAGATAGAGAAATACATACGTGTTGCTGGGTAACGAGGGTGTCAGGTTGTGATACCTATGAAAGCATGCCTGGGTGGCCTTGAGACGACTGTCCCTCCATGGCAGTTCTGGTCACATAGGAGACGAAACCGGCGGTGATGCGCATCCTCCTCGCCCTTGGCTCCTGGCACCAGCCAGTGTGTCTATGGCCGTGCTGGTGGAGAAGGTCCGGGAGGAGGCGCCTCAGCGGCAACGCGCGCGACGCGACGGGTTGAGTGTAATCCACGTGGCCATGACGTCGATGTGTATGCAGGGTCCGCGTCTGCAAGACGCGTTTACCGCCGAGCTCGTCGTCTTGCACGATGACCATGACGGGGCCAACATCGCTCTAGGTTTGCAACGACAGCCTGCCCTTTTACCCATCGCCGTGCCGCACACGCCCGTCTACCGTATCTTGACAGAATGAACGCTAAGTGGGCGGATGGTCACATGGGCTATTGCATCAGAGCTTCTGAGCCGGCAGTATTATCCTGCGCCCCGCTCTCTGCTCTACCACGACCGCCTCCTTCCCTTGCCGTCGGTCGTCGCGATCTGCGCATAGCTCACGGAGCGCATCCTTCAGATGTCGTCCAGCTCCGACTCGACCCAGCCTGCCCAGTATCGAGCGTGAGTAGTGCAAGTTGGTATGCAATGCAGATGAACATTATTTCTGACCCACGAATAGTGTTGGCGTCGTTCTGGCCATAGGCTCCGGGCTACTCATCGGCTCTTCATTTGTCTTCAAGAAGAAGGGTCTGCTGAGTGCACAGAAAGGCCATGTCGCGGGGGAAGGCGTGGGGTACCTGAAATCGGTGCGTACCTTCATCTTCATACTCGCAAGGGAGGCCCTTCTTACCGGCTATTGCACGTTGAACAGCCTATGTGGTGGACTGGCATGATCATTATGATCCTTGGGGAGCTCTGCAACTTCGGCGCGTACGCCTTTGTCGAGGCCATCATCGTTGTAAGTGCTCCACTTCACGCGCTTGTCCGGTCTACATGCATGCCGACCACGTTCTTCAGACTCCAATGGGCGCGCTCTCCGTCGTGATTTCTTCCATTCTATCACACTTCCTACTGAAGGAGAAGCTCTCCTTATTCGGCTGGATCTCGTCTGTCCAATGCCTTCTTGGGGCGTCGATCCTCGCTTTGAACGGCCCCGAAGAACAGAGCGTATCGACGATCGAAGGCTTCAAGCATCTCTTCCTTGCCCCCTGGTTCCTCGCCTACGGCAGCGTCGTACTCGTCGCAGCTGGGGTACTAGCTTTCTGGGCCGCACCGAAATGGGGGAAGCAGAGCATGTTGCCATATATTGTGAGAACTCCTCCTCGCTCTCTGCGCGTTTCACGCTCCCCTCTAACGCGTGGCATGTAGGGCGTATGCAGTCTCATTGGCGGGTTGAGTGTGAGCTGCACCCAAGGCCTAGGCGCATCTATCGTGACGTCCATTCGAGGCGATAACCAGGTCTGGCGTTCATCCGTTCCTGTGGACGTCGCGCTTATCTTTTTCTCAGTTTAAAAATTGGTTCATCTATTTCCTACTGGTCTTCGTGGTCATAACCCTTCGTAAGTGCTACAGCGCCTTGAAAACGGTCAAGGCTCACTCTCGCGCAGTAACGGAAATATACTATCTCAATATTGCCCTGGCAATGTTCAACACAGGTACGTCTTAAGTATTTTAGTTTATTCTGCTGCAACTCATTTCTCTGCCGTAGCGATGGGTAAGCTACATCAGCATTCTGAAATCAACGACAAGCTAACACAGTTCACACAGTTACCCCCACATACTACGTGACTTGTAAGTAGGCGTCCGTATATGTCGATTGCGTTCTAACAATGATGGCGTATCAACAGTCACTTTCTGCACGCTAGTGACATCTGTGGTAAGCACGCACATGGCTGCTCTCTGTCCATTAACTTACGCCGGCCTCCATAGATCCTCTACCAAGGCCTCAAGGCAAGCGCTTCGCAGATCATCACTGTCGTCCTTGCCTTCGCAGTCATTTGCACGGGAATAGTCATTCTGCAGATGACCAAGGTCGACCCGCGCACTCTGACCAACGTGCGTGCTCTTTTCCCATCTCCATCCCTGTTCCACAAATACTCACGCGGCGCCGCTCCGTGTCCTCAGGTCGACGAGAGGACGACGCTCCTTCTCGAAGCCGCTCGGCAAGAAGTCGACCCCATCGCGGCCCAAGCAGTGGACCTCGCCCCATCGGGCACGCTGCGCTCCCGTCGTTCCCGCCAACGCTCCCGCCGCACCCATTCACACGCAGGCACCGTCGAAGCAGGCACGGACGCAGACTCCGCCGCGGCACGCTCAACCGACGACCTCGAAGCAGGCCTCCGCCCAGACGAGGAGTCCGACCTCGATCAGGACTTCGCGGACGAGAAGCGCGCCATCGTCGCGCGGACGGAGGAGCCGGGCATCGACTCGCTGCGCATGACTGGCGGCGCCATCGGGACGATCATCCGCGCACGGCGGCGTGCGACTGCGCTGTCGGCCGCCAGCGCGACGCGTAGCCGGACCTCGCAGCTGAGCTCGGTCGCGGAGACCGGGAGCATGCACAGCGCCCGTGCCAGTGCCAGCACCCGGCGTGCCAGCCCTCGCGGGGACTCGCGCTCGCCCGCCCCAGGCACGCGCCCGAGCTGGTTCAAGGCGTTCATGGCGCGGAGGGCCGCGACCGCCGACTCAGACATTCACGCGCCCACGTCCAACGGTGCTGAGATGTCGGAGAAGGCGCAGGTGGCCGTCTCGACCGCTGAGGTGCCAGTGTCTGGCCTCCCACCTATCACCTCGGAAAGCCCGCTCAGCAGCCTGACGGACTCGGCGCAGCAGGCGCGGTTCTTGAGCAGCGCAGAGCTCGTCTCGTCGCCGCTGGTCACGCCGTCATCTGCGGAGGCGCCGCGATTGTCGACCGTGCGCTTCCAGCCCGACATGCGCTCGGCCGCGTCGGTGCCCGACGTTCGCCCGCACGCGCCTGGCCTTCCTCCTCCTCCGTCGAGGCCGTCTCTCACTGTCAGCGGCGACGATGCGGCCGCGCGCGCGCGGACCTTGCCTCTCGCGTTCACGCCGGCGGAGCGTGTCCGTGCAGATGACGTCCTGCGCGAGAAACCCGCCACGCCATAACACGGCCTACGCCCTCTACTGTTACGCCCTATTGACGACTTCTGACGCGGTTCCGCTGCTTCATTCTGGTGTATCTTTATTTCTAGCCTGGCTTATCTTAGTTTTGCATCCTAACGTGTTTTGTCTGAGCGGATGTTTTGTATACCTCGGCCCCATGCCGTCTGCGTGTTGTATTACCGATGTCGTAGGGAAGACATACAGCGTATTTGATCGTGTCTTTCTGCTTGAGTGGTAGCTGCAAGTTTCCCCGTCCGAATGCCCCTCGCCCGTGACATAGTATTTGCCAATGGAATGTCGCACTGATGAGACACGCCTTTCTATGCCCGGGTTAGGCTTACGGGCAGTGCGACCTGACTGACGTGCTCCAGGATGTCATACAGTGTACTGAGTCATGACATATTCCGTCCGTGCGAGTACTAGTGATACATTCAATCAATCCTAATCGCTTCTTGAAGATCTTGTATTCGTTTCTTCAACAACGCCTCACGTAGCTCGCGTGCGAGTGCAACTGAGACCGGCCACGGCACTGCATTGCCAATATGTCTCTGCAGCTGCAATATATGTGCCGTCAGTCATACGAGTGTTTCCAAACGATGCAGGGGGGGGGGAGCACACCGTCTTCACATTCCCATCCACCGCGTGGAAGACGAACCAATCCGGGAACCCCTGCGAACGGGCGAGTTCCCGCACCGTGAGGATGCGCTTGCTCTGCGTGCAACACTGCTCTGTCAGTCGTCGCTACAGGCCTGTTCCGATGCACGCACCGTCGGGTGGATCACGCGGCTCTGTTTCGCGGTGGGCGACACGTTCGTCACCGTGGTGTGGAACCACTTGTCCTCGTCGAGACGGCCGTACATGCCTGGCCGGAAGCCGTCGCGTGCCATCGCGGACGTCGGATGCGCGCTTTGCCACTCCCAAAGCCGCGCGTTCAGCTCTGGCGGGTTGGGTCAGTCACGGTAGACGGGGTCAGGGAGGGAGGGAGAGGGCGCTGTGCATCAGATGCTTACCGCGGTAGTCTGCGCCTGCGCGGAGGGGGATATTGACGACTCTGTTGAGATAGATGTCAGTCCGGGTGCATGCTGGAGTGCTCGAGAGTCTGACCGTTCCACGGTCGCTAGGGGCAACACTCGAGTGATATGTTGGAGGTCACGGGTGGGGCGGCTTCGACATCTGGCCTGGAAAGAATTCCGGGGTTTATCGAAACGGTATGAGAGCGAGCGTGACGGACATGGCCCAGTCAGGCCACACCCTCGAGGTTGTTGCTCCACATCGCATTCCAGGGTGAGGACACCCTCTCGTGTGTGTGACGTGCCTGAAGAGCGCATGATCTTATGTGGGTCCCTCCTACATGATGTCAGATGGTGTTAGTCGGTGATTCCTGACTCTCCTCGGGAGGTCACATACCAGTCAAACACAGGCAAGTCTTCAATGGCCTCCTTGGTCGAGACGAATTTGAATGGCGCCGTCCCATTAGCGGTCAGGATCGGCCGGATGGGGGGCAGATCGGGCGAGAACTTGATTTCCAGACCGTCTTGCAGAGGGAAGTCGTGAGTGGGCTGGGGAAGCTTGGGGAGGGGATAACCGATCTGCGCAGCGACCAGGAAGAAGCGCACTCGGGCCTGCGGGGTTCCATAATGACCAGCCTGTAGGAGGCCGAAGCGGACCTGGTATCTGTTCCATATGACCAGATGAGCATCCTGTGGAATATGTGCGTGAGGCACTCACCCCATAGCTAACAGTGAACGGGTCAGGAACTTCAGGCCGCCCATCTTGATGCCGCCCTCAACCCGGTACTTGCTCGCTTGTCTTGCGTGGAGGGTGGAGCTCAAGAAACCACGCACATTTTCGAAGAAGCAGTATTTTGGCCGCAGGAAGTCGACCCAGGACAGAAGGTTGAGTATCAAGTTGGTTTTCCGATCATTGGCCTTCTTGAACATGTTGAGTTGGGAATGGGGTTGACTATGAATGGTAATCAGTAATGAAGTACGTCAAGGAGCTTGGACTCACCAAGGGAAGCCTGCCACTATGCAGTCAATATCCCCAGGGCAGGGAGGCTTGCCAATTGGGGTGTTGTCATGAAGGTCCCTCACCATATCACTGCTGCTGAGGTTTCCAGCATGGTACTTGACAGCATACTGGAATACCAGGTTGGAACATTGGTTAAACACCACCGTCTCTGGTGAGTTTTTCCTATGATAGGGTGAGCCATAGATTAATTTCCACAAAAGCACATACCTTAATGTCAAGGCAGCACTGGGAGTGATCTCCACAGCATGTGTGAGTTTCATGCAGCCGAGTTCTTCCATCGCAAGTCCGAAGGCCCCCACCCCTCCGAAAGGGTCAAAAGTGCGCAGACAAACCTGGCCACCTGAGCTCAGCTCTGACAGAAGCTGAAACCTTTCGTTATGTTGCTCCAGACAGATATCACAAGCCAGAACATCTGTTCTGCGTAGTACTTCCCTCTGTGCCCAAGGGCTGCTCAAGGTAGGGAGCCGATAGTGGGCGTAGAAGTTGAAAGGCGAGATGTCGAACCAGGCCTCCAGGTCAAGCACGTCAGACCGGTGAACTACCACGCATGGCTTGAGAAGGGCCTTGGCATCCAGTTCTATGGTCTCTGTTGGTCCAGTCAGGAAGAGCTCCCGCTGCATGAATATCAATCAAAACGAGCACTTTATGTAGAACACAACTACACACACCTCGTGAACCATCTTGTTGGGGAAATAGCCGACGTCTGACCTGCGGCCCAGTCGAGCAACGCGGATCTTGGGGGAAGTCGAAGACCGAGCAGGCCGAGGCGGATGGATCTCCGCAATCCTACCGACACATGCTGGACCACCACCCGAGGCAGCATAGAGCGCGTAGTCATCCACATGATATACATGCCCACCGTAATGCAGGGCGCCGCCCTCCACGACGCAAGCGGACTCCTCCGTTTGTTGTTCTTGGAAGTGACATGTCGCACAGTTTTCTGGTGGATGGACGGTCTGCAGGAGTGCGATTGTCCTGTCGTCTATGTCCTGGAATGAACCATCTTCCTCATGGTAGGCAAAGCTATCATGCATGCAGCAAATGTTAGTCAGAAAGAGGCAAATACGAGAGCGACTCACCGGCAGAAGTATTCCAAAGCCCCGAAGTCTCTGTCAGCCGGAGGAGCACGATGGATCGTAGCTTTGCCGACGACGATCCTGGCATCGATATCGTCACATGTCGGCCACAAGAAGACCTCGTGCGGATCCGAGATCTCGTCCAAGTACGTTTTCGACGAATGTTCATACCACTGGACATGGAGCGTCCTCTTGTGCTGGTCGATGTAAATGATCTTCGCAAACCTGGGCGGAGAGCGTCAAGTGCAATAGTAAAAAACGATAACCACAGCCTACCAGAAGTAATCGGCAATGATTGCAGTCGCCGGAAGTTCAGTCAAGTCGTCGGGGAGATCGCGAGGTGGTCGTTTCCGATATGTGTTTGCTTGCACAACGACGCACTCGCCTATCTAAATCGCATAGATATATCAGCAGACGGGGGCTAGTATACGAGCTTGCATGCAACAAAACCTCGTAGGTGACGCCGTCCACTATGACAGCGCTCCAATACTTCTCGTGTAGTCGTCGATTGTGTGGAAAGTTGATCGTGGTGTTGTCGTCGATGCAGCGATTAGCGAGCTCCGTCAAGGCCAGTCGCATCTTGGCCTGCTGAAGCTTGAGGGCACGTTTGCTCGGATGTTTTGGTGGCGGGCCGACCACCTTCAGGTGCTCGTGAAAAAGTCCCAGGGCGAGGACGTCTATTAGGGCGGAAACATGCGTCGGGTTCTGCTTCTCCGGTCGCAGTACAAGGAGATCAAGGTTGCCTGTGAGGCTCGTCAGGTTGACATATTGTGGGGGCGGTACGCGTGGCCGTGGAACGGAAGTCGGGACGTGCGGGGTGGATTGGCGACGCAGAAGGTCGGCGATGAACTGAGCATCGAGAACGCGCCGCCTCACGTCCGGTTCACATCCGTCAATGACGGTCCGAACGAAGGGCATCTGTGAGGACAAAATAAGAACGAGAATACATTGACCAGAGGGTAGACACACCGTCTCTTGTATATCCTCTGAGAATATATATTCGCCGAGCATAGCGTCCCATTCCCCGTAGTTCGCCTCTGCAAACTCGTCGAGGGGCATCGCAGGAGACTGGATTGCGGTCGAGACGAGGATTTGCGCTATGCGATTGGGCCGGTAGAAACGCTGATGAATGCGCTGGTAGGAGTGGGCCGGCGCGCGCAACTCGAACCAGCTATATTGAGTTTCAATATAGAGCGGGCTGGTCAAGAAAGGGTAAGCCAAGACGATATAGAGCCTTCCTAAGACCACGTACTCGTCGACCTTCGTATAGTCGAGGTACCACCTGAATACAGCACTCGTCCTTATACGTTGTACTTGACGAGCCTGTTCACCGCCATCTCCGTCGTCCAGGCCATCTTCTTGGCCCTCATCTTCTTCATTCAGGAATATGGGCCTTACGTGGCCGGCGGCCTCGAAATGGCGTCCCGGCGTTGCGTTGTCGTCCAGTACGTCAAGTGTGATGTGCTCGAAACCCCGCGTCGGGTCAAACACTACGAAATCGGAAAGCGCGCGGATGGGTTTCTCTACGCTCGCGCCCGACTGCTCAACCGCGTCTTCACCGAAGACGACCGTGTTAACGTCCTCCTTGATATCTTCGGGCGTGGGCACGTACGCGCGCTCTGTACGGAAATGGTCTGATAAGACTGGCTCGTTCTACAAGGGATGGTGCTTACTCGGTCCTGGTAGAGTCTTGCGACGATCCTCAGGCTGTAGTGCCCTCAAACGCTTGGCCGCCTGTGCGAGGTATGTTTGCGACCCAGATGAGTAGTATATACCAGCTTACTGGTTCTGCGCTCCCCCGCGATCCACTCCTGGATGTCCCGCTTCTTCCGGAAGGACGACGCGGTGCGCCGTCCGGAGCCTGCGATGGTGCGAGTGTCGCGGACGTGCCTGCGGCGGCTTCGTCTGGGAAGCTAACGTCCCAGGCGCTGGGTCGTTTCGTCATGGATGCAGCGAGGCGCGAGCGCGACCTTTAAGTTCAAGTTCGTAGAAGAGAAACGAGCGAGATCAGCGCGGAAGTGCGACCAAAGTGCGGATCGTGTAGCTGAGGCGTAGGCAGGTGGTGGTCGCGGAAGGAGGTCGCGCGCAGACTGCGCGCAGGTGCGCCTCGCGCGGGTAGGCGTCTATCTAGGCTCGTAAACCAGCCTCACGTTCGGAGGCGGAAGATAATCACATTCATCCCTTCTCTCTTTCCTCGATCTCGGCCATATCACTAATGTCGATTGCACTCCCTAATTCTCCCCCAATCCAAGCCAACAGATGAAGCGGGTCAACCGAAACGATTGGAGACGTACACTCAGGGATCTACTGGTCCAGGCCGCGAAGATGTCTTCTCCACCGTTGTCGATGAACTCGTCGCTCTCTCGGGGCTCACTAGCGAACGTTTTAACTCGTCGTGTTCAAGGCAAACTCTTCCCCATTATCAGTCATGCAGGAGATATACGTCAGCTAATTACATACCGACCCTCTTGAAATCCCACTAGCTACACTCCGTACAAGCTCTTAGTCGACGTAATCAACCCTGGCCGCCATACTGTGACATCCTATGGCTTTAGGAATACCTTGCCTTTCAACCCCAAACCCGATATATGTGACCAAGGAGCGTCGGGCCCGGATCATCAGAGCCAGTCGAACGCCTCGATCTGCCTCACCCATCGACCACCATGCCAACTCTCTATCGTCTTCCAATCATCGCTCTCCTCCCCGAAAACCCTCTTCATCCCCAGGAGCCGCCCCGCTAACACTATGTCCGCAAAGGAGGCCCTCTCGCCCATGAAGAACCGCCGCTCCTCCCCGCTGCCGGCGTCGAGCCACCCCGCGATCTGCCCGAAGGCGTTATGCAGGTGCTTCCAGTGCGCCTCGCGGGCGGCGCTTCCGCGCGGCGACCACTCCTCGATAACCCCGCCGAAAGTGCGCTCCCGGGCCGCCTTGTAGTAGGCCTTGCTCGCGCCGTCGAGCCGCTCGAGCACCACCGGCTGGTACATGCGCAGGCCTATGACGCCGATCGCGGTATTGATGGCCCAGGTGGTCGCCTCCTGGAACGCCTCTGTTCCCTCCGGTATGACACGCGGGGTGTCGGGGTACGTCGCGTCGAGGTAGCGCGCAATGGCCGTGGACTCCCCGATAGCGGTCTTGGTCGAGGGGTCATAGATGATGGGCAGGGTGTACATCGGCGAGCCGTCAGGCCAGACGGCTGTGGGGCCGACGCCGAGCTCCTTTGCGGTGCGCTCGATGTCGGGGTACTCGACCCACACCGTCGTGTACGGGAGGCTCTTCAGGTTGAGCGTGAGCCTGTCGTGCGTGTAAGTTAACAGCTGCCGCATTATGTGGAGGCCCGAGCGGATGCGTACCTGGCCTTCATAGTGTTCCCGGACATTGCGGTGCCGGTAACATTGCCAGGTATATCGTAGAAGACGATTGGTTCTGCCATGGCTTTGTTCTTGCTAGTTGTTGTGTTCTGGAGCCTCCAACCCAGCTGGGACTATATAGGTACGAGAACTGTGCGAGGCTTAGTACTCGCGACGCCCTGGTGACCAAGCTATCCTGCAGTCTTGGTAAATGCGCAGGGATCAGGTGTCCTGATATCAATAAAGTGACTGCGATATCAGTAAGGACTTGGTGAGCATGGCAGGAGAGATCACCAATGTATCTCCACTGGCCCACGGTGAGACCGCGTCTGCGTGGACGCGATACGAGCGGGATCTGAGATCGACGCGGGTGCGGCAAACGCCGAGAACGCGCTCACGCTGAGACTGAGCCCGTTCGAGTTGCTGCGGCGCTCCGTCTCGTCTCGAGGGGCAACAACGCCCCAGCCTGCTTTCCCAGACACCCTGCTGCTTCCTCTCATACACCTGGCGACACCGCTGAACCGCGCCTCCGACCTTCTGTGCTTCGCCCACTCGCCGCTGAGACTAACCGAGGGTCGTGCGACGCAACATGCTCCTGTACCTACCACCCGAAACATTGCTGGATATCCGTGAGTACAACCGCGCGGCGTGCCGCTCGTGGAGTGTTTGACACCCCTAGACAGTGTCCTACCTCGACCTGCCCGACCTGACATGCCTGGCGCAAGCCTACCCTGAGCTCGCGCAGCTGGCTGAAGACCCATTGCTCCACCGCAAGAGACTGCTCGTCGTCGCGCCGTCTCGCGTTTCGCACTCCCTGTTCGGACAGAGTACTGCGGGAGTTCCACTGCGCCCCACCGTATCCGACCTGGTGCACCGAGGGATCCTGCGCGGAATGGGCATCGAGCGACGATGGAGAGCCGGGCTGTACTTCAGCTCCCCACACGTGCGTCCGCTATCCCTTGCCTCCCTCCTATTCTACTCACCCCGCCGCCCTAGATGGTCAAACAGTATGAGTGCTCGCTCCGCCTCCAGTGGACACACGCGCGCGACGTCCTCGCCCACTCGCTCCGCGCCCGCTCTCCCGCAGCACGCGAAACCTTCTACCACACCCGCGTCCTCCCCCGCGAAACCTCCGCCGCCCCCGTGTCCGCACGCCTCGTCTCGACCGTGCGCAGGTTGCGCTGGGCGCTGCAGCGCGACCGCCTCGCGCGCTTCGTGAAGGACCGCAGCGAGATGGTCGAGAAGGGCGGCGCGGTGGCGTGGCTGGAGAGCACGGGCCGCGCTGCGCTGTGGCGCGAGAACGAGCGCGTGCGGCTGGCGGTGTGTCCGGGCATCAAGGGGATCGTGAAGTTCTACGAGCAGCTGGCGATTTGAGCGCGGTGCGTAGCTGGTGCGTCGTACGAATTTTTGGGCTTCCGGTTTTTGTCCTCGCGGGCTTAACCTCTCCCGAATTGTATACCAGCTGGCGGAATGGACCCTGCCAG